GAGGTTTTAGTAGATTTTCTATGGAGTTTTTTAAAAACTCCAATGTAGATACAGTTAGGTAAGCAAGACTCGGATGAATAGCGAATTTCAATGAGTGCAGCGTCCCCTAGTACACTAAATATTTAGCCTACAGCCTTGCGGCGCATCCGCTCACGCATACTATCCGGACAATTTTCTCATCCTAGAAAGAACGATATAGACAACCCGTAGGTGGACGCACTACCGAACTCCGAAGTAGATTCTAGATGGCTTTCGGAATCAATCGTTTGCGATTAGTCAGACGTAGGAAACGGGCACGCCTAATCTGATCTCTTTGCGAACGGAACCAGCACGCTTCCTCCTTCTTTACAATATCTAGACCAATACCGCGCCGCCGAGCGTGTGTTTCGACCACATGCATACAGACAGAACGTGTACCTCCAATACCCGCGGTATATCGCACTGGGAGGTCTGAAGCCCTAACCATGTACTAAGCTTCGCTCCCGAACAACGCCCGTTTGGCGTGCAGACCGTACATGTCCTTCAACGGCGATTTCCTGATTCCAAACCATACCCATCCACTTACAAATCCAGTCTCTATCTCCGTGGATGGACTGTACTCTTCATCGTTCTCCGGCTTATGAATCGACAATTTCGTAGGCTCCAATCATGGACACCAAGGCTACGGCGTAACGTAAGTCTACACATAGTATATCATGAAGGTAAGCCCTTTCTCTGCATTCCATCTAGATCCTATCTTATACGCGAACTCTCTCGAACCATCGCCTTATCGACACATCTGCTGGCGAACAACAAAATCCGTCTATCTACCAAAGCCATTCCTCAAAACCATGGCCAACCGGAACCAGCCTGAAGAGAAAGTCGTTACACCAGCCTTCGAGTACGTGACCATGACAGTCCATCACAAACCCTACGATAAGATCTCACCTTTCCGCCCCGAACTCTCGGCCAAAGGCAAAAACGTTGTGGTCACGGGAGGCGGCTCAGGGATTGGAAAGGCGATCGCAATCGCTTTCGTTCAAGCCGGTGCTCGCTCGGTCTCGATCCTCGGTCGCCGCGAAGACCGCCTCAAGGGAACGCTGGCGGAGATGACATCGGCCGCGACTGGTGTTGCCACGATCTGCCACCATGAGCAGGCGGACCTGACCAGACGCGAGCAGGTTGACCGTGCCTTCGCGTCCATCGCTGCCAAGGTGGGCAAACTGGACATCCTCGTCTCTAATGCTGGAGGTTTGCAGCCCGTCGCGCCGATTCTGGGCTACGACGTGGATACATTCATGTATGGATTCGACATCAACGTACGTACGGCCTTCAACGCCATCCAGGCTTTTATTCCGTTGGCGATTCCAGAGCCCATGATCATCGACATATCATCCGCGATTGCACACATCCAGCCCATGCAGGGTCTTAGCCACCATGGCGCGAGCCACGCTGCGGCAGTCAAGATGATGACCTACTTCGCAGCTGAGAACCCGGCGATACACTTTGTGAGTATTCAGCCAGGCGCAGTGGCGACGGAACTGGCCCAGAGGGTGGGGGCGGGGGGTCAAGATTCTCGTAAGTCGTGCATGCGTACCAATATTGAAGGACAAGCATGGCTAATCCTCAGCAATAGCGGAACTACCTGGTCATTTCTGTGTCTGGATTGCATCTCGAGAAGGAGAGTTCCTCAGGAACAAGTTTGTGTGGGCGAACTGGGACGTGGACGAACTGATGGCTCGAGCGGACGAGATTCAGAAGTCGAGGCTGTTTACCATGGTCCTTGACGGAAGCCCAATATAGATGGAGATCTTGATAGCATATTGAAAGGGAGATCTTGGAAGCCGCGTCCCAGCGACGCAAATCGATAGGGTGGGTTTTGTATTCTCGGCCAATCTTCCCCATGGTAACGCCGACGTACATGATCGCGAGTTGGTATAAACCTAGGCCACCTCCCTCAAAACCCTCGCAATTTCCATTGCCGTCGCATTCATGACCGTGTACGTCGGATGCACGCGATCCTTCCAAAAGTACTGCCCGATCGGCACGCCGCACTCGGGCAAGAATGTGTCGGATGGTAACATGGGGCCGTTGTATGCAAGACACGGTGCGGTCAGATTGCGCAGGCCGCACGTGAGCTCGTGGGCGCAAGGGTTGTCGAGGATACTGCCCCAGAGAGCGTGGACGTCGAAGACGAAGGTGCTGGCGTCGGAGTAGGTGTCGGAGAGATTGGTCGCCATGCGATCGAGGGCGCTGTTGTAGACGGCCGCGTGGTGCTTGAACTTTGCAACGTCCTGCTCGGTCTCGGACTGTGGACTGCGATCGTATGGCGCCACGTTGAGGAAGAGAAAGTTGCGGGCGCCGGCGGAGTAGGCGCGGTCGACGGTGCGGGCATACGCTGCGACGACGGGTTCGAGGGTCGAGGTCGTGTTGCGCCGGCCGTCGACCATGGTGAGGACGTCGTTGCTGCCGAACCACATGGCGAAGAGGGTGTTGTGACTGCCCCAGTTCATTGTAGATTCTTGCGTGGCATACGTAGGCCACCACCAGTCGAACATTTGCTGGGTGAAGGAGCGGCCGATGGCACGGAAGGGAGGGATGAGGATCTCGTCGGTCGTTGCACCGCCTCGCGCCATATTGGCGGTTCGTATGAACGTGCCGTTGTACCAGCCGGTGAGGAAAGCGACCCAGCCCGGGCCAGCGGAGCTGCTGTTTCCTGGCCAGGGGGGATTTCCAAAAGGATTGGCGAGGTTGGGTTGCTCTTGATGGTGATTGAAGCGTGTCGTGGTCAGAGAGTCTCCAAATGTGAACATGTTGGAGATGGCATCCCAGCCGGGCCAGTATGCGCCAGTGGTTGCTACCCTGTTGACTCGAAGAAGGGAAGTGGCGTGTGCAGCACCGGTTTGAGCGGGTCGTCGAGCCGTAGATGTAGTGGATGTGTGCACTGCTGTCGCTTCATGAGCAGCATCATGGACTGCTGGGGTGTGCACGGGAGGAGCGTTGTGGGCAGGGATGTGATTTGCCGGTGGCGGAGTGGGACGAGCGTCGTTCTGATTGTTGGCTGGAGAGGGTGGATTGCGGGTGGTGGATGTGGAAGCGAATGGCCGGGTGAGCAGGGCGGCGACGAGAAGAAGCAGCCAAATCGTGGTGATGATGCCGGCCCTGGACCTTAGCCAGCGCAACCGACTCGGCCTCGAATTGTCGGAGGGGCCTGTGGACCAGGCCGGCGCCCACGACTCGCCGGCCATTCTGCTGGCCGTTCTATGGTAGAGCCAAGATTGGACCAAAGGGGCAGCCAAGAAAGAAAGACGACCGCGACAAGAGAAGAGGTCAGCAGAGGAGAAGGAGAAGACTACAAAATGTCAAAGGAAGAAACCCCCGAAAAGAGGGGCCGCGGAACTGTCAATAAAAATGCTCCGAAAAGGCGTCAGCCTCTCCCGTTCCCCGTCTGTAAATCAGGAGGATCGGGTTGCGTGCTCGTACTGCTCGGTGGTTGACGTATCGAAACCAAGAAACGGCGGATTAGTGCGCCGTCCAACGAAAAGGGACGGCACGGGCGGAGCAGACTGGCGTGAAGCGTCTCACTACATAGACGACAACCACCAACCTCGCTCGGAGCAGTGAGGGGAGCAGGGATGCTGCATTCGGGTGCCAATCTATATCGAAATCGAACTTGGCAAGAGCCATGCGCGCCCGCATGCATCATCTCATGCAGGTCTCCGCATCGTGGCGACAACGAGGCCGAGTCCCCCGAACACCCTCGCCGGTCTGGAAGATTCGCAGTCCATGCTGCACTCTGCGCACTCTCTTCGACCCCTCCCCCACATCCACATTTCCCCTTCGACGCCCATGATTTCTCCCATTTAGCCTAAACCCGTTGCTGCTTGACCACGCGGTAAAGAGAGACGTCTGCTGTTGCCAGAATGTCATAAAAAGGCAGGCAGTTCCCTCCGTTTCCTCTCCAAACCATCTCACCCCCCGCCCATCAATCAAAATGCCCGCAAAGGTAGGCCACACTCCATCCCCCACTCCATCAAGGTCGAGCACTCACCCCCACAGAACCTCTCCTTCGTCCTCCAAAAACCCAACCACGTCTCCTTCGAAGACCGCCCCGTCCCCGAACTCCACTCCCCTCACCACGTCCTCGTCAATGTCAAATACACCGGCATCTGCGGCTCCGACGTGCACTACTGGACCCATGGCGCCATCGGCCACTTTGTCGTCAAGGCGCCCATGGTGCTGGGCCATGAGTCCAGTGGCATCATCGCTGCCGTAGGCGACAAAGTCACCACTCTCAAAGTTGGCGATCGCGTCTGTCTCGAGCCTGGCATTCCGTGCCGCATGTGCGTGCGCTGTAAGGAGGGCAAATACAATCTGTGCCCCGACATGGCGTTCGCAGCCACTCCACCCTTTGATGGCACCCTCGCCAAGTACTACTCTCTGCCCGAGGACTTTTGCTACAAGTTGGCGGACGGCACGAGCTTGGAAGAGGGTGCAGTAATGGAGCCGCTCAGTGTGGCCGTGCACGTGGTGCGACAGGCGGGGATCAAGCCGGGTGATCGATTGGTGGTATTCGGAGCCGGCCCAGTCGGCTTGCTGTGCTGCGCGGTTGCAAAGGCGTACGGCGCGAGCAAGGTGGTGTCGGTGGATATCAACGAGGAGCGCCTCGCATTTGCGAAGAAATACGCGGCAACGCATACCGTTGTTTCCCGCAAGGAGAGCGCGGAGGAGGCCGCGAAGAGAATCAACGAGGAGTGCGGGTTGGGCTTGGGCGCGGATGCAATCATTGATGCTTCCGGAGCGGAGCCGTGCATTCAAACTGCGCTCCATGCCATTCGGATAGGCGGGACGTATGTGCAAGCGGGAATGGGCAAGCCCGACATCAACTTCCCTATCATGGCTCTGTGCACCAAAGAGCTCAACGTAAAGGTGAGTGTCCTCCCCGATCACAACCAAACCCCTGCTAACCATCCAGGGCTCTTTCCGCTACGGAGCAGGAGACTATGCCACCGCCGTCGACTTACTCGCGACCGGCCGAGTCAGCGTCAAGGAACTCATCACTGGCAAGGTCAAGTTCCGCGACGCAGAACACGCCTTTCACCAAGTCAAGGAGGCAAAGGGGATCAAGACGTTAATTGAAGGTCCTGAAGACGAACAGGTGAATGGTAGCTAAGCATGTCGTATCATGAATCATAACATCAGCCGAGCGAAAATGCCTCGACGTGCAAGTAGCAGCCCTGCGCCCCCGTGCCTTTATGGATCGCCCTCTCATCGGAAAGTCGTACAACGTTATTCCTCACACTCGAGCTCATCGTCTCCGGCCCGCAGACAGCAACGGCCGACTCGCCGTCAGCGCCATCGAGGAGGTCCACGAGAATTCCGCGCACATCGGGCCGACCGGAGAAGAAGGAGGCGCAAGGGAGCATTTGCAGTCGCGTCGCTCCCTCGCGGATGGTAGTCGTCGTCGCTACCACCTTTCCATCCTTTTCGACGATTTCTTCATCATCCTCATCCACCAAGACGCAGCAGCAAGGTCCCAGACTCTTGTCGCAAGCACACCCACACTCCTTTGGCTCACCGCCTTGCTCCGTAAAGCTGTCGGCGCAGGTGACGAAGACGCTGACGTCAATTTCCACGCCGGCGTCGCGCAATCGAGTAACGGCAGATCCGACTTCATCATTGCACCATCTCGTCCAGTTCGAGTCTTTCACGCACCACACAAAGTGGACACGACGGAGAGGGAGAAGTTGCCCGGCGGCGGCTTTATCGGCGATACCTTGTAGCAGGGACAAGGTGAAGGTAACGCCGGTGGATCCGGCAATCAGACAGACCGAGTCAAAGGCGGCAAAGTCAGACTGCGAGCCGCCATAGGGTCCGTTGATGAAGGCGCGATGGGTGATGACTTGGGAGAGACGAGTCTCTTCCTTCGTTTGGGGCAACAAGGCGGTGGTGGAATCGTTGGCGCCACTCATCAGCCGCTTGGTGAAGCCTTTGTGGCATTTGAGGATAAACACCATGTCACCACCGTGAGACTCTGGCGTGGAAAGAATGGTGGCGGGGTGGCTTTGGACCATGCCAAAGCGTGGAATCGAGAGTAGTACGAATGATCCAGGAGACCAATGCTTCAGGTTCCTCTTTGACAGTCGAATCTTGGTAGCATCTCCATCGAGGCAGGTGATGGTAGCCGTAAGACTCCACGAGCGGACAAAAGTGACCGTCCATTGGATCAGGCGGTCCACGAACCACAGACCGATTGGGATGTAGACATACGTCCGTGATATCGGCGCGGTAGTCGGCAGATGGTATGTCAGAGCGATGATGAAGCCGAAGAACGAAAGTAAATGCTGGACGACAAAGAACTCGTAGGATAGCCGGCGGAAGAAGGGTAGAGTGCTGAGGTTGAGCCACAGCAACAAGGCGAATGCTGCAATACCCGTTGGCGGGCAGGTATCGGTCTTCCATTCGAGCTTCATCAACCCGTACTTCTGCCATCCAAAGGAGGAATAGCCAAAGTGTAAAATGGCCAGGAAGAGCATAATTCGGGCAGTCCAACGGTGGAGGACATTGATGCGTTCGTAGGACACACCAGTCAGGCAGCCGATGATGTTGTACTTGCCAACCAGTAGGATCAAGAGGGGTGTTTGTGCAACGGCGAGCCAGCCCGCTCGCACGCCACGAGCCTGCCAGAACTGAGCACCAGGAACGTTGTTATTGGCGAATTCAAGGACCAGAACAAACACAAAGTGGGCCAAAACAAGTATGATGGTGCCGGCAGGCGGAAGTCCGAGGTACTTGAACCGGGCAGAAGATGGAAGTTGTAGATATGTCAATTCCCGCGCAATCGCAGCCAGCGTGGCCATGGTCGTAGCGAAGAGGCCTCGTGGCCTGGCAGGCTGGACTCGTTTCTGGGCCGCCGCACGTAGTCTGTAACACCATCAGTACATCCGTCTCCGCAAGCCGCAAAGCACCAGAAACTCACCTCAGCCGTAGGGTCATGATTCTCGCCAGATTGACAAGACACCCCAAACCCACCACAGCCGCAATGCCGTACCAGAAGTAGCGGGCGTGAGCATTGCCAATCACCTTCAGCTCGTCATCATTCAAAATCTTGGCCAGGAAATCAAAAGCCTGAGTCTCGTTGGAGAAGTCGACACCAGCGGGCGAAAGACCACCCATTGACATGCCGCCTCCACCCATCGGTCCCATCATGTCCATGTCGGCGCCCATGTTGTCGTCGCCGTGGCGGGGAAGCAAGACTCCGAGTGCCTCCATGTTGTGTTGCCGTGGAATTGCTGGAATGTACCGTGTTACCGCGGGCTAGACTGTCTGCGACGCGACCAAGCTTTTGCGGAGAAGAAAGAAGGCGACATGCTGAAGAGCCAAGAGGTCTTAGATGTACAGGAACAAAGGAGAGAGGCGAATTGAGCATGTTTTTTCCCATTCACATCTTTGATGAGAGGAAGTCGCCGGAAATGGGCAGCGAGACGGATTGAGCAGGTTTTGGACCAATCAGAGTGGCTGCCGAAACGAATGGAGGTCAAGGCTTGAGCTTATTTTGGAGAACAACACACACTGCTACGGCCTTGCCAGTCACAATCTGCATCACAGAAACACTCCCTACGATCTCCCCAAGTATGCCCGACCAAAACCCTCTACCCATCCCGCTCCATTCACTCCCGCCCTCTGACCCAATGTCTTCGCCTCCACCCTTGCCCCTTCCACCCTCTTGCCCAAATCGCTTGCGCCCTCGTCAATCCTCTGCAATTGCGTGAGATGCGAGTTCAGCACCCTCACAATCTGCGCCAGTGGATCATCTTGCCGCGATGCCACATTGTTGTGCGAAGAGAGCCGGCTGGACGCGATGTTGATTTCCTCAATCATGTCGCTCAGTGCGTGCGACATTTCTCCGATGCGAGCAGAGCTGGCTTCGGCGGATTTGTATCTGTGGCATGTGTCAGTGTCACCACGCACTCATCAAATTTGACAAAGACTCACGTCCTCTCCCTCTCCCCTTCCACTCCTCCCAATCCTCCATCATTGTCTCCACCAGAACTCTCAATCATGCGGTCGACTTGTGCCTCGTATCTCTCCAACGCCGCTTCGAGCTCCACCTGCCCATGCTCAACCACGCTCAATTGCCTCTCAACTTCCGTGCAGTCGCGCTCGGCCTGGAAGCAGCGACCGTAAAGACCGCTGATCTTGCCCGAATTCTCCACCAGCTCTCGGTCCCATTTGCTCACCTGCGTGGCGAGCTGGCTGAACGTCTTTTGATGCGAGGCGAGCGACGTGCTCCACATGGTCAGGATTTCGTCCATGGACTTTTGCGCCAGGCGAGACGTCGCGGGCGGTGCTGGTCCGGAGGTGCTGGCCGATGGGGGACCAGCAGTGCTCGCGCCGAGGCCCGCCGTAGTTGATCCGCCTGGTGCTGCGGCTGCTGGAGTGGTCGCCGTGGAAGCAGCACCGCCAAACAGCGAAGAGCCCGAAGTAGTTGCAGTGGTGGCGGCAGGTTGGCTCCCCGAGCTTGCTGTGGTTTGTCCGAGGGTGAAGAGGGAAGGTGTGGTGCTCGCAGCCGGCTGAGAAGTAGCCGTTGTTGCACCCGCCTGAAGGCCAGAGAAGAGGCCGGGTTTGCTTGTCGCAGCTGCAGATGTTGCTTGCTGGCTGAAGAGCCCCCCAGCAGTAGGTTGTGAAGCGGTGGTCGAGCTTTGAGTGGCAGGCTGCTGGAACAGAGAGGTGCCGGTTGCCGCCGGAGCTTGACTCTGCGTATTGCTGGCGGAAGTCGATGACGGCAGGCTGAATAGCGATCCTCCTGTAGCAGGTTGACTGGTTGATGGTTGCTGAGCCTGCCCTTGTTTGACCTCGCCAAACAAGGATGCACTTGCGGGGGCACTGCCGGCTGCCGTGGCAGAAGACGCGGGTGCCTGCGTCGATTGCTGCGCGCCAAACAGGGAATTGTTTGGAGGGTTACCGGCTGGCGTGGTGGAGAAGCTCAAGGGTGACGGCTTCGGAGCCTGGGGTGTGGTGCTGCCTGCACCAAGGTGGGAGAACAGTCCGCCACTCGCTGGTGCGGCGGGAGCGGATGACGTGGAAGGGGCAAAGAGGCTTGGTTTGCTCTGCTGCGATGCAGAAGATGCGGGCGTAGTGGTATTGCCAAACAACGAGCTCTGTGCCTTTGGCGCAAAGAGACCACCGCTGCTGGGGGCTGGCGTCTGCGCGTTTGTCGAACCTGCCGCATCTCCCGACTTGCTGACTTCAGTGCCGGAGTTGTTGCTTCCGAGATTGCCAAACGACCACGTATTGGAACTGCCGGTGGCCGGAGTAGAAGTTGTTTGCTGCTGGTTTCCGAATGCGCCGGTACTGGTGCCAGTGGTGTTGCCGAAAAGGCTTGGTGCGCTCGTCGCTTGCGAAGCTGTGGGTGTCGAGGTGGCCGGGGGTGTGGCAGCAGAGGAATTCGCTGTGCCAAACTTGAAGCCGGATGTCGTACCTGAGCCTCCTCCGAAAACGCTTGAGCCAGCTGTTGTAGATCCGAAGAGCGATGGCTGGCCTTGGCCGGATGTCGCAGGTGTAGTGCCATTGCCGAATGCAGATGATGTGGGTGTCGCCGAGCCACCAAAGAGGCCACCAGTGGTGCCGCCCGAAGAGGTGTTGCCTGCGCTGCCGAAGAGACCGCCCGATCCTGATCCACTGGTCGCAGTGTTGCCAAACAAGCCGCCTCCGCTGCTGGTACCGGCTTGAGATGTATTTGCGGTCGTGTTTCCGAACAGACCACTGCCACCAGTCGACGGTGCAGCATTCCCAAACAGTCCCCCTCCACTGTTACCGGCCTGCGAGGTGTTGGTGCTGCCGAACGGATTGGAATTGTTGTTTGCGCCAGCAGAGCCAAAGATGCTGCCACTCGATCCAGCGCCGCTGGTGCTGCCGGCTTGGCCGAATGAGAACTGGTTGTTGTTGTTGCCCGCCATGGTGACAATTGTAGAAGATAGCCCACACCCAATCACCAGCCTATCACCCAAGCTCTTACTCCACGACGGATTGCGTTCCTCCGCGGGATTGGACTTCACGAGATCGTGAACTTCCTGATACGCTCGGTCGCAATCTGCTCTGGCGCGAGACTTGTCTTCATTCAGGACTTCGGGGGGGAAGGGGGCGAAGGAAGGCGGGAGGTCGGCGGTTTGTGCGCTTTCGATGCTGCGCCTACGTTTCTCGGCCTGATCTATCGGGGAATCATTAGTTACAAATTGCAATTCTTCATGGCGCGCATCGGCATTGCGACGAGGAGGTTTACTATGCAGGCCGCCTCCACGACCGCCAGCATGAGGATACCCTCGGTTGAACATGGTGATGGAGGGAAGGCGTGCATTGCAGACTGTTGTCGTGACAATCTCCCCAGCAAGATTTGGGGTGCAGGAGGCATATGCAGCGAGCCGCGAGATGTGTGGGGCATGGGAACGGGATGGAGGACATGGTACTTACCACCAAAGTCGACTGACTGTGACCAGTTCGACAATAGACAATAGCGAGAAGGGGCTCTTGTGGCAGGAGGATGGAGGTGAACTTTTCGAAAGCTCTCGAGGCTTTTGGCGCGTCGCAGGAGACGTGAAGCATAGGACAGCAAGCGTGACAGAAGTCGTGACGGCCAGAAGTGAATGCAGAGAAAGGCCCATCACCACATTCCAATCATGGCAATGCCCTCTTTATATGCGCAGGGCCAATAATTGCCCTTCACTTCGAACAATGGCCGGCCTCAATCCTCCCCGAATCAATACGCAAGATGCGCAAGAATCCTCAGGTAGGAGCACACGACCTCCACTATATCTCATGCTAACCTCCACACCCACAGATGCCTCCGATGACCACTACTCCTCCGCCTCAGAAGGCGCCCACTCTCCCATCCCCACCACCCGTGTTGAGCGGGTGGACGACACCGCCGCCCATGGTGAGGTCCCCAACACACCCGCCTACAACTTGCGCCTCCAAGATGCCGTGCCCGACGAGATCGAGGTGGTGCCTGAAGGCCAACGATCGCGCTCCAACACTTCAAGAAGCAGAAGCAGGGATATAGGGGGCGACTCCGGAACTCGCACCCCCGGCGGTACTCCCATTCCCAAGACGGTGGTGGAAAAGGTCGACTTTATTCCCAGCCACGGCGAGGTGAAGGGGACGGCGGCGAAAGAGATGAGGATGGCTGATGCGGTTCCTGATGAGATACGAAGAGCGCCGCAGGAGTCGTCGCAGAGCTTTGAGGGTAGGTAAGTTCGATCGTGCGACACTCTTTGCAGTCCTTGGGACTGATGCAGCCCCGGTGGACAGAGATGAAGCCACGGACGAAGTAGAAAATGAGGAGGGACGACAACAGTGGTTTAGGAATATGTGGGAGCGTGACACCCGGCAAAACCCCGACGAGCAAGAGCCTCCGGAAGAAGAGGATCCTCCTAATGAGGATGGCAAGGACGGCTTCGGAGATGATTTCGACGAATTCACAGAAGGCGAAGAGCATGATGATTTTGGCGATTTCGACCAAGCGGAGGATGAAACATCTCAAATACCAACATCTACACTGTCCACGGCCCATGACACATTGTCTGGCCTTGTAAGTATTGAGCAATGCTCTCTCATGGCCATCCACACACTGACCTTCTGCCCCCTCCTCTTCCAGCCACCCCTCAATCTCTCCACTTGCACCACATCCGCCGAGATAGAAGAAGCCATCACGCCCTACATCAACGCCATCCTCCCCAACTCGACACCCGTAATCAGCAAATCCGACGCCACCCTCATCGACGCCTCCCACTTCCCCGCATTCCAATCCGAGCGCTCTCTGTCACTCTGGCAACAACTCGTCTCCCCGCCTCCCATGCAGCCCCCGGATTGGACTCGGTCAAGGATCCGCCGGCTATTCCTCGTTAGTCTCGGCGTGCCAGTCGACCTGGATGAGATACTCCCGCCGAGTAAACAGAAACGACTCATCCTGCCCTCCATCGGACTAGATGGAGATGCGCGTCCCGGCTCAGCAATTGATCGACTCCGAGAAAGGGGAGGCGGGAACGAGTCGTCCACATCGTTGGATTCAAAGACTGGCGCACCGAAAAAGTCAAGGCGCGCTGCCGCACCGACATCCCAAAAAGGTCCGCTCCCGCCACCCGACTTTGACCTGAATGCTGCTACTTTGCTCTGCTCCACCACCGTCGAAGCACTCAGTGTTTATTCTGATCCGGAGCTGAAGGATCATGTCTTCACGCTGGAGATTCTCAACAAGAAAGCGAGTACGGTGCTGGAGTATTGGTTGCAGAGGGTTGATGAGAGTCTGAAGGAAAAGGAGGCTTTGGAAGGGGTGATTGAGAACCTGGTGGGGTTCGTGAAGGGGCGGAGAGGGAAGTAAGACCACGCCGAATCAAAAGGATATCCTCCATGGCAGTATTACCCTTTCCCTCATTCGTCCATTTTTTTTTTTCGCTCGCGAGGCTGAGGCAAATATGTCTTTGCATGCGGGAACTCAGCTTGTTCCCGTGGTTGACATGCTTGGCCTTACTAATTGCGATGCTTTCGTGGATTCACGCCGGCTTGCTCACTCTCGAATCCTCCTTGATTGGGCTTTGGTCGGAGCGAACTATACATCGCCGCGCTGCCTTGCCACTGTGCAGAAGAGATGGCGCGCGAGAGCCAGGAGCGAAATGGGATCACGAGCGAACTCTCAGGAGCGAATTCATGCTCCCCTGATGTATATAACAGAGCCCAGGTCCTGCCTTTCCCTGACCATCGAACATCACATTCAACCACTTCGACAACCATCACAAGCTCATCAAACAATCACATTACACTACCATCACCAACCAACACAAGCACGCCATGGCCCCCCTCATGAACATCACTCACGAGACTTTCAACATCGCCGCCCGTGAGCGCATCAACGGCTTCAAGCACCTGACCGTCACCACCATGGTGATGCGCCTTCCATCAGCCGAGACCGTCGCGACGGTCAAAATCACCGCACGCACCGCCCACGAGTCGGTCAAACTCGTCGTCGTCAAATTCCAAGTCGGGCGCACGGGCATCGTCGCCGCCCACCACCCCTGTGGCCGCTTCTCCGAGGTGGTGATGGCAGCGCTGGGCCGGACGCTCAAGCGCACCGCGCACGCTGGCAAGGCGGCCGCGCTGAGAGCCGCCATGGAGCAAATGCTCGCCAACACTCCGGCCTGGAATCGCGCTGTCCTGCTCCGAGCAATCAAGTCGATGGGGCTAAAAGGGCTGAAGGATCTGGATGTCGCTGGGGGCTTCAACTTCGGCCGTCCTCGTGTGGCGGCAGGTGCGGGTTTGAGGAGGAGCCTGAGGATTGCAGCCCGCAGACAACAGGCGCGAGCGGCTTAGAAGTGGGGCGGGTCCATGTAAATACGCACAGATAGAGTTACGAAATGGTACACAAACCTTCCAGCCTTTCACACCTTGTCTTGCGTCACTCGCCACTCTGTCTTCACGGTCTCGCGTAGCTTCCTTTTTGGCAGTAGAATGGCACATCTCCAGTGAGATGCTGGAATACAAGGCATTATCGCCGAGCTCTTTCCGGAAGATTGACTGACAGGAGGCGAAATTTAGAGGGAGAGGAAGAGCCATTGAAGTTGGAAATTGCCAAATTCGTCGTCGATCTCCCTCCCTCCCGAATCCCTCCTGCACCGGGTAACCACCGGCGTTCCGCAGATCGGGCGTTTCGTCACGTACCAGGGACGACTCTGCCGCTGGAAACTTCAGCATTCTCGTAAAGCAAGCAATACATGGCCGCCATGGAATCGCAGCCAACACTACTGCGCATCCCACGCGAGCTACAATCCCACATTGTCAACTCCATTGAGCCCGGCAGCCTGGTCAACTTCGCTCAGACATGTCGCACCCTTCATACAATCTCCCGGCAAGCACTGGCTAGACACAAAGCATATGCTGCTCAATACTCGATCTGGCACGACCGTCGCCCGTTGAACATTCCCAATTTGCTTCGTCTGACTCTAAGCAACCCCGAGCTCGCATGGCACGTCCGTGTTCTCGACTATTGGGGAGCGAGGCCCGAATGGCGAAAGTGGAAGACTTGGGACGAGAGCACTTGGCATTGCCGCCTCGTCGGCCGTGGCTGAATTCATCTCAGAGCTCACCCGTAATCAGGGACGAAAATCCGACATACAATAATAGAGACAAAAGAGACTGATCCAGACTGGCCCGACGTTCGCGACGATCAGACTTCTCTTGATGCCTCGCTCTACACTCCCGCCGAGATGTTCTACTTCCGAGACTTCATGAAGATAGTCCTTCACCTACCAGAGGACCTGGTTGAAGAGCGGGCGAAGGAGATTTGTAACGGGAACGATGAGCCTCTGAAAGGCATCTTGGTCGCCAGGCTACCGAGGCTGCGAGCGCTCACCTTCGTCCAGTAAGCTTGTTAGTAGAGTCTACCGTCGCTGTCTGACTTCGTTGTAGGTATGATTCGTGGCAGGACGACGGCAGAACGTTCAGCAACACCCACCCCTTACGCTTTCTGTGCCAATGCATCTCCAGCATCTACCACGACGCGCCACGCCGCATCTGGCCCCCGGGTTTCCAATCGCTACGAAAGGTGTCGGTGACTTTTGTCAGCGGGCTAAGAAATCCATACGGTAGGCATGAGGTTAGCAATCAGCGTACCTGTCAATCTCGCTGACTTCCTTGCATACCAATTCTATGCCCCGCCCGCACTTGTCGCCTCCCTATCCCTCCTCCCCAGCATCGAGACTCTGCACTTGTCCAGCGTGAGAAGTGACGGAGATGGAGACCCGAATTCTTTCTCCCAGTCGCTTGTTCAACAGTGAAGGAGCTAGGGCTCTACATTCTTGACATCACCGACGAGACGCGGCAGCGCTTCCTGCTTGCTCCCAAGCGGTTGGTCAAGTATATTCACGATATAGCTGGTAGACACTCGATACCTCTCAAGATCATGGAACGTCATTCCGGCAGCATTGAAGAGCTGATTAACCATTGGCCGGAGCATTCGCTTATTCCCAGGTTTCCGAATCTTCGGATATGTCAATCGCTGGACACGGATCTGCTTCTGAACGACGACGTGCCCGCGGGCCAGGACTATGTCCGACTGCAGACCATTCTCTCCCCTGCTATTGAAAGAGTCACTTTCCAAGCTTTGTCCCCGGAGGTCGAGACCCCAGAAGCATATACAAAGCTACTTCAGATGATCGCCGATATTGCAGAAGACACAGCGTTCCCCAACCTAAGAGAATGCTGCATCTACGCCGTTTGGACCTGGGCTACTCGAGAGGAAGACTGGGGTTCCCTTATCGTTGGCTTCGAAGCCGAGCCCGACATCATCGCCAGGATCGAAGCGAGAGGCATCAACCTGCATTGGCACAAAGAAGATGGGGAACTACTCGACAATGAAAGCCACGATGACTTGCACCCGGATTTCAGCCACGGCGGAATCCACAGTATTGAGACGGATCCGAGACGACGAGACAGACGATTGCGCATCGCCGGCGATGGGTGATTGCTTCCGATTGCTGACGCACCATGGAATGTGTCCATGTACCTTGCAGGTAAACAATTCGGGCACATTCCACGCTTGCTTGTCGAGCAAACTCGCGCTCTCTTTCAACACCTCCAAACATTATCGCAACAATAACACACATTTCGACGCTTAATATCGTTGTGCATCATGCCTCGCAACAGATCAGTAGTCCAGCGTCCGCAGCGGGGTCCAAGGCGATCGAGCAGCTCAGCAGGACCGCAGCCTCCGACAAGACTCTTCAGTCGCGAAGGATCGCCCAGCAAGAACGTTCACTTTTCCCGAAATCTCATCATGGGCCCCCATGATCCAGCACGCCGTTCGCAAAGTCCCATGCGCCCGGCTTTGCATGGGTCGGGTGGTGCAGCTGATAGTCCCACTATTCAGTTACGGCAGGAGCAGGCTGGGGGGAGGACGACAGGCAGGGGGAGAAATGGAAGAGATGGTCGCACAGCAGCCGCAAGAAGAGGGACTTCATCCAACAATTCGCGTCAGTATCTCTTCCTCACGACACTGACACGGCGCTAACCTTTCCGTGAAGCAATGAGACGCGCCAGTGGGGGCATAAAGTCAACACCAAAAACGGCATCTGGACAACGTGCAAGAGATACTGAACAGTCCCTTGCCAGTCGCACCTTGCCAGCCGATGAGTTGGACGAAGGTTGGTATATGAAATCGCCCGAAGAGAAACACAGCCTCATCTGTCATGGCGTCGAGGAGCTCAAATCAAAGATTCGCAGCTTTGCCGTGAGCTTTCCTCCACCGCGTGCCGAACTAGACGCCATGTCGTCGTTGCTGGTGGAGAACAATGCATGCTTGGTGCGATATATCGGATGCCTGGCACAAGGCGGCAAAGGCGGGCTGGAGGGATGGAAACGACTTTTGCAAGACGAAACATGTCGACATGCCCTGGTATTTGGAATCATTGGTCAAGCACTCAAGGAGAACGTCTTCTCTGCGCTGTGTTTTGGGGCGGGTGAAAAGTTGAAGGCTACTTTGGACAGAGCAGACGAAAAGTCGATTGGGAAAGAAGGTGTGCCATATCTCTTCATCCCGTATGCATAACCAGACTGACCATTGATAGGTTTCATTCGCACGCAAGAACGAGCCGATGAGATTCTAAAAGGATCTGCGCACTCGCTCACGCCGTCGGCCATGATCGCAGCGGTTGCTCCGGTGGTCCTGCAACTGGAGAAGATGCTGCTCCCACTGTGGGCCCAAGGCGGGACAGAGCCTTCGTGGACGGCGAAGAATAAACGACACGAGCTCGCTGAGATTGTCATGGCTGCCGCCGGCCTCAATCAACGCATGCGCTTGGACGGTGAGACCGTCTACTCCTGGCCACCCACATTCAAAGACGAAGAATTCGAGCCCGAGCGCATGGAGAGCTTCAACCTGGCTGAAATGATTGCGCAGAGTCCGTATAAGCGGAAGGAGATTAACGGCAGCGAACGCGCCATTCTACCCAAAGGCAGCGAGCACAAGAGTGAAGCTATCGTGAGAGTCGTCTGCTTCCCCGGTCTGGTTGCTTATGCTCAAGGTGGGGGTGATGTTGCCAAACGAGAGCTTGCCGGGGAGGATGATCACGCACCACGATCCAAGTCGAACAAGAGACATCGCGCGGAGGATGAACCAAGTGGCGACGATGGCTTCCGGACGAAGGTGCTGTCGAAGAGTGTGGTGTTGCTTCAATGGGGCAAACAACGCCTTCTCACCAAGGAAGCTGGCACCGGACGGCACATTCAAGCGATGAAGGAGGGGAGCAAGAAGTATGAGGTGGATTACGAGGGATTTGTCGAACTGTACGACGTCTTTCTGAAGCGCACGCAGCAAGAGAGGGAGGCGTTGCAGCCGAATGGATCATCTTGGTTGCCTGATGTGAGCAGATTGTGGTCCCCCAGCCGCTCGCCTTCGCAAGGTGCCTGAGAACTCTTTACATGAGGTGGACGACGGAATCAGTCCGAGGGGTGGGGCGGAAGAAGGTCCAAGCTCCTCAAGCAACGTGACTTCGATTTCAAGTACGCCCAGTCTCCATGTTGAAAGCTTCTCCTTCTTCGCTCACCACCTCGGCTCGATGCTTGATAACGAGGTTGCAGCAATCATGTAAGACGTCAAGGGTGCCGTCTTCTTCCTTCCACTCCGAGACAAAACTCCGTTCCGCCATGCCCTTCGCCAAGATGCTTGGCCTTGGCTGCCCTCCTGCCCGGGCCACATCCCGGACATTGTGCAGTAGGCGCAACGTGAAGGTGAACGACTTGTGAGCACCGCGACTTGATATCAGAGTACCCTGTGTTGATGGAAGAGCCACGGCAAGATGCACGCAGAGTCGCTGCGGATCGCCGCTCTATGACTTCCCCATCATCAACCACGAGCTCGGAAGCCTTCGCGAATGCTTCGATTCGCCATCGCCAAGGGCGGATCACCACTACATTGCCATGTTAAGAAAGTCTTGGGTTGTATTCGCCTCACGCACGGTGATGTCTTGGTATTCGAGGATATCTCTCTCTGTCGTGATTGGCGTGAAAGGCACCACGCGATCTCCAATGCAACATCCCCACACCGTTTCGCGTTTCTTATATCTCGGGTCGCGTGCGCCTGCTTGTCCGGCCACTCCCCTCTCCATCCAAGTCTCTTTCTTTCTCAATCATGGCTTCACCAGAGATCAAAACATATGTACGGCATCTCTGCTCCAACCCACGTGACCGCGCGCCTGCTGACCTTTCATCAGGATGTATCGCAGCATGAGCAAGATGGAAGTTCTCATGGCAGAGGCGGCAGCCTTGAATACAACGAGAAGCCACCTCCGACCGAAGCGATGGAGCCCACGGCGGACGAGACTCCAACGGAAGAGGAGATGCAAACCCTCCGCCGTGTTCCCGACAAGATTCCGCTGCGTGTCTACAGCATCGCCTATGTCGAGATGGTGGAGCGGCTGTCCTACTACGGCTGTACCAACATCTTTGTCAACTTCATCCAGCAGCCTCGCCCCACTCCCACCGGTGCCGCGTTGCACCCCAACTCTGCTCAAGCGCAGCCTGGCGCGCTGGGCTTAGGCCAGCAGACGTCCACGGGGCTCACAACGTCAGTATCTTACCGACTCTCGCGTATCGTTCTACGCTAACCGCCCGGTGAACAGCTTCAATTCTTTCTGGAATTACTTCACCCCTCTTTTCGGGGCCTTTGTCGCAGATACCTATCTCGGTCGCTTCCGCACCATCTGGATCTGTGTCATTATTGCCATCATCGGTCATATCATCTTGGTGATTTCCGCCATTCCGCAAGTCATTTCGAGCCCTGACTCTGCCATTGGAGTTTTTGCCGTTGGCATCATTGTACGTCTGGCGGCCGCTTACCTCCCCGTCCTCGAATCGACTGCTAATCTCAAGCGTAGATCATGGGAATCGGAACTGGTGGCTTCAAACCAAATATCTCTCCCCTCATCGCCGAGCAAGTCAAGTTCCACAAAATGTACATCAGGAAACTGCCTTCTGGCGAGCGAGTGATTGTCGACCACGCCGCGACCATTTCCCGAATCTATAACTGGTTTTACCTTTTCATCAACGTCGGTGCTCTCGTTGGCCAGATTAGCATGGCTTATGTGTAAGCCCACCACTGTACTCAATCTCATGTCTACAATTGCTGACTGCCCTGTAGCGAGCGCTATGTTGGCTTTTGGGTGGCCTTCTTGATTCCCACCTGCATCCACTGCACCTCACTTGCCGTTCTGTTCTTTTGCAAGCGCATTTACAACCTTCGTCCTCCTGAGGGCAGTGTACTGGGCCCGGCGGTCAAGCTCCTGCTGCGCGGTATCGCGGTCAATTGGCACGCGAATCCAATCAACACCATCAAAGCCATCAACAACGGCCAGTTTTGGCAAAATCTCAAACCCTCTCGCTATGATCCTGCGACCCGGCCGGCGTGGATGACCTTCGATGACGCCTGGGTGGACGAAGTGCGTCGTGGATGGAAAGCGTGCAGTGTCTTCCTGTGGCTGCCACTGTACTGGCTCACGTACAACCAGCTCACCAACAACCTCACCTCGCAGGCCGCCACCATGAGCCTCCACGGAGTCCCCAACGATGTCATTGCAAACCTCGACCCGTTCGCACTCATCATCTTCATCCCCATCTGCGATCTGTTCATCTACCCAGCGCTCCGCAAGGCTGGCTACCACTTCACTCCCATCAAAAAGATCACCGCCGGGTTTGCATGTGGCTGTTTCGCCATGATCTGGGCCGCTGTCATTCAGCTCTACATCTACCGTACCTCTCCCTGCGGAAACCAAGCGAGTGACCCCGACTGCGCCCCGTCTCCCATCAACGTATGGGCACAGACGGGCTCGTACGTGCTCATTGCCTTTTCCGAAATCTTCGCCTCCATCACCTCGCTGGAATACGGTTTCTCCAAGGCCCCCAAGAACATGCGTTCGCTCGTCGCCGCCTTCGCTCTGTTCATGTCTGCCGTTGCCTCTGCGCTGGGAGAAGCATGGCTGCCGTTGCTCGTCGACCCTCTCATTACGTGGAACTACGGCTCCGTGGGTATCATTGCGGGCGTCGCTGCCATCTTATTCTGGCTCTCCTACCGCAGCCTCGATCGCGAGGAAGATGATCTCAATCAGCTCGACACTGGCCATATGAACGTTAGCTCGTACACGCAGGACGTCGAGAGGAATCTCTCCGTTGCCGCTCCAGACCACGAGAAGGAGGCTCTTGAGCACAAGGTGGCGATTGAGGATGGCGTTGGTACCGCTGGCCCGCTTCTTGTCCACGGCGAGAAGAAGTGAAGGGGTTGTAGATGGGGCATCAGTCCTGCGATGGACATGTGATGGTGAAAAGAAATTCGACGTAGCATACACAGCATTGCCTACATGTACACATCGTGTGGTTCTTGGTTCGTCCTCCCAAGTGATACCCCATTCTCTCATCTCACCGAACCGTCGTGACTCCTTGTTATCTGCAGCAAACTTCTCCTCGTCTTCGTCACCAAGGCAATGACAATGGAGTTTGGGATGGCTTTGAGGGAGAAGAGGCTAATGATGCGCCCACCCCACTCAAAATCGAAGTGGTTGATCCAGGGCCATTTCCTTGAAACCAATCGACAATTGAGGGACCTGCTTGTAATGACTTTGACCGAGGACTTGCCTTGTTTGTTGCAGCGTCTAAATCAATAACGTTAGCCCGCCCCCATTGGTCGAAGCAAAATGATGACAACCCGTAGACGTACGTTGAGATAGGTAGGATTGGGATTCCTCTTCATGACCTCCAAGAAGGCCCACGACATGGCCCCGACGCCTTGTCCGCCGATATTCGCATCTGCGCTGGTTTGATCGTCGCGACAGCCCGAGAACATGGTCGCAAATTTGTGCTCCGACTTCCAGTCTTCAACGAAATGCTCCTCGCCCACGCCTTCCTCCTGCTGCTCGCCGCCATGTTGGAATCGTCGGAAGAGCGTGCTTGCTTGAGAGAACAGGTCCTTTGCCTCGACAAGCTTGCTCATACTGAACCCGCCTTGGATGAGATTACCAGCCTCGGACAGCAAATTGACGCTGGCTTTGACATTGTCCACCATGCTGACATTTCCGTCGGCGTCACTGCGATAGACGAATGGCAGTTCAATGGCAGAGCCGCTGTGGCAGCAATCGAAGACGACGAAGAGGGTGCTACTTGGCGGCAATGCAGACACCAGTGTTCTGTGGAGCTTGTCGCTATCGAGTTGCCCGTTCGTTTCGTAGTCAAGCGGCACGATGGTGTCATCGAAACCCGAGTCGCGGTCGCCATCTGGATCTCTGACTTGTCCTCCATGGCCAGAATAGTGGAGAAAATTGCACTAAAAGCAAAGGGTCGAAAGGTCAGTACAGCTCGTAGACTTGGATCAGGGTAGCTGGTGGAATGACACGCTGCGAGCACGCTGCCCATCGCTTTACTCACCGTCCCTGGCTCCGACACCAACCAGTGCATTGCAGCAAGTATGTTCTTTCCGGTGGGCCAAAAAGGGCCTCGTGGGTCGGTATGATTATCATCTCGCATCACCACTTGAGACCTGGCGTCGCTCGAATAGCCTTTGTAACTGAGGAATTGCATCATGTTGGAGACGTCCTGCTGGCAGCCTCGAAGCGCATGCTGGGAGCCCGTGTAGTTGATGCCGATGAGAAGAGACTTCCGTCGCAGTTGTCGTTGTGAGTTTTGCATCGGGTTGACTGCTTGGTGTGGAGGACCGCCTTGGAAGCCTTGAGGCGGCCCTTGTTGATAGTCTTGAGGAGGGCGACCTTGGCAACCTTGCGGAGGACCGCCTTGATAACCTCCGGGCGGGCCTTGGTGATAGCCTTGGGGAGGTCCCTGCTGGTATCCGTGAGGGGATCCCTGCTGGTAACCTTGAGGTGGACCGCCTTGATACCCTTGAGGAGGACCGCCTTGATACCCTTGAGGAGGACCGCCTTGATATCCTTGAGGAGGACCTTGGTTGTAGCCTTGGTATTGAGGCTGAGAGTGATATTGTTGACCAGGAAATGCGCCACGCGGCTCTTGCTGAGAATAGCCGCTTTCCTCTTCAGCTTGCATTTGCGCTGCCATCTGCTCGTCGTAATCAATCTGCTCCTGTTCGGTGCGATCCGGGTGGTGGTGGTGACGATGCATCGTGGCAATCTTGTAGACGATACTGTTCACGTACGGGATCCTACGACGAAGGTATTCTGGCGTGAGTTCCAAAGCATGCAATTACCTCGCAGCGCACTTCGTGCCAGGCAGCCGGCAGCGCGGACTTCAGCTGGCATGCGCGCCGCACAGACCGCAAACCATATTACTAAGCCATTGAAGACCACATGCACACGCAGAACTGCCCTGACTTCATGTGGTAGAAGAGTGTCAAGTGCGAATGGATCATGCCATTGACATACCCTACAGATGTCACACTCAATCCGTGTAGAGATCGGTAAGACATCTCCGACTTCGCAGGTTTCGAAAATCTGCCTAGCCTTGCCATTTCGTCACTTCCGAGCCCTTGGCTCCTCGGCGGACATACTCCAACACTCGCTCGCAGTCACAAACGGCCCATCGAACGCGTGGCAGCCTCACTTCCAAGTCTCTCTCGTCTTAGGCCTCGGGTAAGGGAAGAGATGTATTGCCGATCATTCACAATGTATATATTGTCTCCTGCTGTCCATGTGCGCCTCGGCGTACGAAAATCCTTCTTCGCCTTCGACCTCCCATCTCTTCTCTCACACGTTTGGAAGCAGGACGATGGCCGACATGGAGCTCAAAAGCAAGCATGTCGATCCAAACGATCGAAGCTCACGAGATGATATTCGTGCTTCCGAACAGTGTCGAAAAAGCCAAATTCTTGACACACACCGATCGATGCAACATGCAGTTGCTCAGGGCCGCCGAAGTTGGTCAGACTCAGTCCGCACAGGAGCTCGCATGGGCAGACGTCAAGCGCGGCATGCTGGACTGGAAGACATAGGCCTTTGGATTAAACCAGGTCGCCGACAACCTCATGTTTTACAGCTTCAGCGTCTTCCTCCCGACCATCATCCGCGAGTTGGGACCTTGGAACACTGCCGAAGTGCAACTGCTCACCGTACCAGGTAGGCCAGCCTCTGCAATCTTCGTTACTCCCCGCGGTATGCGACTTGTCTACTAATACGCTTCGATCTAGTACACATACTTGGGGCTGCCGTATATGTAGTCGCGTCACGTATCAGTGACATGACTCAAATCCGGGGACCATTTGCCGGCGCTGGTCAATTCATATCCACGATCGGCTACTGCATGCTGGTAGCTGATGCGGGATCTGACCTCAGCTTCGCAGGCTGCTTCTTCGTTGGAATGGGCGCATGGTCGGCGAATGGCACTCCGCTTGCCTGGCTTGCCACCGACTCACCTCGTTATGGCAAACGAGCTTTTGTGAGCGGGTTGCAGCTGAGCATGGGCAACTTGGCCGGTGTGGCTTCACCCTTCCTCTTTGCATCCTCGACTGCTCCGGCATTCACGCCGGGCTACAGCACCTTCATCGGAATGCTAGGCTTCGGTATGTGCATGGTGGCGAGTCTGCATTTGTGGTACAGATTCACGAATAAGCGAAGGGACCAGGGTAAAGAGGACCGGAGGCTCGAGGGCAAGACTCAAGAAGAGGTCGCGGAGATGGGCGAGGATAGTCCTAGGTTCCGCTACACAATATGATGTTGGGGTACAGATAGATCTAACAGCGGTGTCAATTCTTTACGTGCTGTCAAACAAAGCTGCATTTCCGCCGGCTTTGGACTTGCCGCCTCGAATGTTACTAAACCATCATTACTCCTTGTTATCCGCAGCAAACTTCTTCATATCCGCCAAGTCGACCGTCCTCAGCGCGGCCTGATTGGTAGCGTTCAAGAAGATCTTGGGCACAATCTTGTCTCCATCCTTCTCGCGACCCCTCGCCTCAAAGGCCTCCAACCACCGCCCCGCACACAGACACCATTTGCACCCGGCCTTCATGCCGCCAATGGAGCGCAGGTCATTGCCCTGGCGTGCGGTAAAGTCGAGAAATTCCTCCGTCACCTCTGCTGCCACGGAGTGGTTGCCAAAGTCCGAGGCGGGCACGTCACAGTAGCCGTTGCGCATGTAGCCGGTCATGGGCGACGTGGAGAAGAGAGCGAGAGGTTGTTTGAAGACTGGAGGGGTGTGGCGTTAGATGTGATGGGCGTATGATTTCCAGGTGAGTTCCGGCTTACCATTGAGTGACTTCGACATGCCTTCGGGCTTTGGTCGTTGGTATCCTGTGGCGGGGTTGTTGTCTTCAGAGGCGGACATGGGGACTTGATCGTTGGGCTGTGCGGGGCTTGCAATGGCCAAGAGGATGGATGTGATGAGGACGAGTTTCATATATTGATGATGCAGGAAAGGTTGTTGGTCTCGAGTTGAAGTGGCGGTTTCGAGATACCTCATTGGGAGCTTCATCCATGACGTAGGGCCGGATGGTCAAGAGCTCCAACCGCAGGGCATCTATGCATGGTCGATCACGGTCATCGAGATTTATCTCATTCGCATAAATCACCACACTTGGACTTGTCACACGGTACAGCGTCGTCCTACGGAAACTACAGTCTTCCCGACCATCTAGCTCGTAGTAACAATACCGTCACGGCCGGCCGCCAATGCGTTGGAGATGTCGGGTGATCACCCTCAGCACGCCGCTCTGGAACTGGAAAGTACGCGACTGGCTCTCGTCGATGCGAAATAAACATGTGGCATTGCCACGCTTGGATGGCGAGATCTACAAAGTGCTCTCTTCATCGTACTCCTTCCTCGCCCTCACGGCCGTCGACCCGCCCAGCTCGGCCTCCAGACCACCCGGGAATGTTCGATTCACCGCAGGCTTGACGGAGCATTAGTCGATGTTGCATGAAGAGGGAATGGAGAACTCACTTTGTCGGGATAGTACCTGTACACCACTCCTGACAGTAGCCCCACCGAAGCGATGAAGCATGCCTGATAATTGCTGTCAGCCTCGCATGATTCCGTTTGAACGTATTGATTTGCTGGCAGTCATACCATTAAGAATCCTGCCCGGGCTGGCGTGAAGTGTCTGTACTCCTCCGTGGAAAACACGCCCAAAATATCGTTATCTTCATGCACAGGTTCGCCATAGTTTCTCCGCTCAATCTTGTCCCACCAATCCCCGTAAGGGTCACGCAGCGATCGTTTGACAGGCAGGGCGGAGGTCAGAGAGGGGTCAGGGTAGCCGCCGTTCTACAAGAAGCCATTGTCGTTAGCCACCATCGGTCGCCCTTCGTGGCATCTACGAGGGGTAGCAGACATACCATGCCGGGATCAGTCTCATCGTTGAGATCTTCTTGCGCCAATTCCGCCTCCTCTGCGGCTTTCCGATCATCGGCAGGCCGTCTGGCAGGGACGGCGTAGGCGCGGGAGAGGACACGAGATGTTGTGCGGGATGCGGGAATGGAGCGGAGGGAGGATCGGGGAGCCAGCCGCAGGGCGGTGCGGAGGCCTGCCATGGCTGGAGTACCTCAAGGACGTGTGTTGTAGTGTGGAGAGCGCGGTAGGCGTGGCCAATGCAATCGGTCACTCCCTTCGTCCTCTTCGCGACAGTTGACGAGGTGGAGTTGGGCAATGCCGGTCTGAGCTTGGCGCGAGGGTGGAAGGAAGGAGCGGACGTCCGTGCGTTGTCGAACCGCGCTAAACCATCTGGGGGTCATCATCGCCCCTCAAGCCCGACTTTTTGACTTTTGCTCACAACACGTCGCCCTCGATCACGCGCCTTCCATCTTCCCCATATCTCCCGCTACAGACGTGCTATCGAAAATCCAACGACATCACGCAACTCACCACATTTTGGAGCTCCAGTTGATGTGCGTCTCGGAGATCCTTCTGTCAGCGTCGTGATGCAAGAGGGGGTGGGCATCAGTGTGAGATTCGGGATATGCCGACCAGATGAGCGCGTCTCCAGCTGCTACCGTGGCCGCTGAATCAAGCGGTCAGGTAGTCAGCTCTTTACACGCCATTGAACCCGACCCATCACCGGCAACCGACTATTTCAAGACCGAACCACAACATGACACGCCTGAGACCTCGCAGAATCCGCCAGATGATCCCATCAAAGTGCCCGATCAGGCCATCGACATCACCCCCACCACACTACGCCCTTCGCCGCGCCCGAGCACTAAGAGAAGGGAGTCGGAGGTGAATGGCGCCCTTCCTTTGGATCTGCAGAGGCCAGCGGACAAGAAGCGGAAACGTGCGCCTTCACCTCCCTGGCAGTTCCCCTCTGCCGAGACCACCACCCTCAAGACCGCCGATGGCAGGAGAGCATCCGCACGCGTCAACACCGCCGCTTCTGCGACTGGTAGCGATGCAGACACCAGAGCGCGCAGCAGTAGCGTGTCTGTGCTGTCCCAACAAAAGGAAAGCCCACCGTGGAAAAAGTTCGCGGCCGAGGGCCCTTCGAGTATGGTAGTTGATGGGAAGAGGAAGAGCGGCAGAGTCAATCGAGAACTGCCGGTGCCGCCAAAGCGAGTGAGTCCAAGGTCGAAAAAACAAGCACCGGAGGCCAAATATGCCTCTACTGCGCGGACTGCACAATCGTCCAAAGCTTTACATGCTGTTGTGAATGGGGCCAGCTCGAGCAGGTCTTCACGGCCGTCCAACTCCTCGCGCTCACACCAGACTCAGCCAGAGGGAGCTGCAAAGATCGCAGAATTGCGCGCGAAAATCGAAGCACTCCAACCATCAGGCCCCTTTCTCTCTCCCGAGCGGCACACACAGTCAGGCCACAAGCGAAAGCATAGCGACGAGAGCACGCCCCCTCCGCAGCTTGACGGACCATCTTCACCATCCGCACGTCGGATTCCGCCGCCCCATCAAGCATCACCCATGTCGCCTGAGACGACAAGACCATCACCCAGGCTGAAGCTGCGCTTCAACCCCGCCCGCCATCTTGTCCCTCCGCCGCATCCTCATGCCATCTTCCCCGAGCCCGCGCACCCCCCACATCCAAGCATCTACCAGATTCTCGAGGGACAAGAGTTGAAAGAGCTGCAACAGCCTTACATGGAGAATGAGCGAGGCCCACCTGACATGGCCTGGTTTCACCAGAGAGCGGAGAGACAGGCGCTAGAGGAAGGGATGATGCGGAGGAAACTTCTCAGAGAGGCCGAATCTGGAGGGGTACTCAGCAAAGAGCGGTTGAGTCTCTACCAGGAAGCCGAGGCCCAGGCCGAACCAGCGAAGCAATACGGACATCATGACCACCTCGTCGCGCATGCCCTCCATCTCAGACGCTTGCAAGTGAACGAAAACACGCTCCATCGAGCGTTGGCGAAGAAAACCGCGCTGTCCGCGTTGGAGTTTTGGAAAGCAAAACGCGGACCGAGCGAAGAGGACCTGCAAGAAGAACAAGACAAGATATTCCGGCTGATTTACAAGCAAATCGTCGTCGACATGAAAGCCAAGTGGGATCTGGTCTCCATGCATGTTCAGCAGCGACGGGTCAAGGTTTGGGAGGCCGAGCAAGAAGTCCGCCGGCAAGCCAGACTGCAAGAGAAGCTGGAATGGAGTGAGAACATGGTCGCGCGGCAGCGAGGTGAAGCTGACGGCGAGAGTGACCAAGAGATGGACGAGGGTAGCGACGTCGAGGGAAGTGGAGAAGATAGCGACGACGATGAAAGCAGCGAAGAGGAGAACATGAGTGAGAGCAGCAGTGAGGCCGAAGAGGAGCAAGGCGAAAATGTCGATGACGGTGGTGGTGAGATGGGAGACGACGAGCTGGCTGCTTACCTTGCGCAAAGAGCGGCGGACGAGCAAGAGAAGTCGCAATACGACTCGGATCCAGACGATGAGACGAGTACTGGAATTGCGGCAAGTAGAAGCTTGTCGACCTCACAAACGCCACTCGAGCGCCAGCAATCCGAGCTCGTCGAAGTATCAATGGCGGATCTACTGGATGGGCAAGGACAGAAGGACGATGAGCCGGACGATGAGTTTGAGCCACAGGACGACAGTGGAACTGCAGCTGCGGAAGATAAGCTCGCAATTGGCTCCCAGCCGGCAAATCGTCGTTCGCGACGTTCTTCAACCACCCCAGTCGCCGACGATGAACAGGAGTTTTCATCAGACGAATCAACCGACATGGACTCCACAGACTACGACTCAGACGAAGACATGAGCAGCACCGGGGAAGAGGACAATGCGGGTGACGACGGTGAAGAGGATGACGAAGAAGACGACGTGCCGCGCAACTCTCTGCTGAGTCTGTTCAAAGATGAAGTCAGGGCGATTGGGCTCCCAACCCCAACAACTAGTGCTGAAGGGGATGGTGAGAGGCATACCGAGCCCGAAGCTATTGGTCTCGAGCAGCAGGCTGAGCCGGAGATCGAGAACGTCGATGCCCACGTGCTCCCCGAAGCACTAGCCCAGAACGAAGAAGATAACGAAGCGGAAGCACAACTCGCCACTGGGGCTGAGACTGCCCATCACCCTGATGCAGCTGGTTCAAACGCCATGAGTCCAGAAGCGGAAATGCAGCTCGATGCCGACTCCCTGACAAGGCAACATCTTGTTCCCAGCCCTGCGCTTCTTCGCGGTAAGCTGCGCTCATACCAACACGCAGGACTTGACTGGCTTGCCTCGCTCTACCGCAACGGCACAAACGGCATTCTAGCAGATGAGATGGGGCTGGGCAAGACCATCCAAACGATTGCTTTGCTCGCACATCTCGCGGAGGAGCACGAATGCTGGGAGACACATCTGGTCATCGTACCCACGTCCGTGGTGGTGAACTGGGTTCGGGAATTCCAACGCTTCCTCCCTGGTTTCCGCGTTCTTGGTTACTACGGCTCATCGGAAGAACGACAGCTCAAACGCAAGGGCTGGGTCAATGATCCACATCACGAGAATAAGGAGAAGCGAGGCTACAACGTCGTCATCACCTCCTACAATGTCGCCATGCAGGACATCAACGCCATCAGGAACGTCAAGTGGCACTATCTCGTCCTGGACGAGGCGCACAACATCCGCAACTTCAATTCACAGCGATGGCAAGTCCTCATCCGGCTGAGGACGAGCGCGAGATTGCTGCTCACCGGCACGCCTCTCCAAAACTCATTGACAGAGCTGTGGAGTTTGCTCACCTTCTTGACGGCTGGAGACGATGATCCGCAGCATGGAGACCTGGAAGAATTCCTGAGCCATTGGAAGGAGCCTGTCAAGGAAATCTTCGATCGTGGCGTCCAGACCTTGTCCCACGAAGCACAGCGCGTGGTGGACCAACTGCATGTCTCTTTACGGCCCTTCTTACTCCGCCGTCTCAAATCGGAGGTAGAGAAAGACCTCCCCAAGAAAACGGAGCACGTCGTGGTGTGCAAGCTCAGCAAGCGACAGCGCCAGCTTTATCAAGAGTACATGGGGCTGGCAGAGACCAAGAGGCAATTGACGCAGAGCAATGTGGGTAATGCAGGCAAGGTCCTCCTCAGTCTGCGGAGGGTGTGCAACCATCCAGATCTCTTCGACCCCAGACCCATTCAAACCAGCCTCGGAATGGCGACGAGTGCGGCCAGTGACTTTGCACCCACCGAAAGAATCATCCGCGCTTTGCTTGGGGTCAGGGAGGATGCACCTATCTCCATGACTGCACATGAAGCGCGGCGAAAGTACATCGTCAAGCGAGCTCGGCAATTGAATGGGACCGTGCAGCTGCGAAACGATGTCCGGCAGCTCGAGCTGGAGGTCGAGAGGGAATCACCGCCTGACCCATCCACGTTTGGAGGATGCCAAGCTCTCCAACGGCTCAAGCTGCGACAGCAAAGGCTTGAAAAGCTTCGATCCTGCATCCGTACGTCAGAGAGAGACTCCGCGGCCACACCCATCTACGGATCAGACCTACGAGAGCTGGTGACTGTACATCAAGATCGAGTGTATCGCTTCACAGCCAAGGATATTCGAGGACGCGTCATCTCTCGACACTTGCGAGGTTGGCCTGCACTAGGACGATATCCTCTCAAGTTTGAATTGGATCACGCTTCGGATTGGAAGATATCGCAAACGAGCATGCTGCAACGAAGCACGCAGACTGTGGAGTCTTACGCAGAGGCCATGCAGGAGACGATTGTCAAGTTTGCGTTCTGCACGCCTGTCGTCACTGCACCAGTCCTGGACTACCTAGTTCCACCTCGAACGCAAGACAAGCTACGATCCTCAGAAGCATACCCCGAAGCAATTGACTGGGCGCACGAAGCCCGCATCCGGACTTCAATCGTCTTCCCCGACGCCCGTCTGCTTGTGTACGACGCCGGAAAATTGCAACGTCTGTCTCGTCTTCTCCGCGAACTCCAGTCCCGAGGCTCGCGCAGCTTGATCTTCACGCAAATGACGGGCACTCTCAACATCCTCGAACAATTCTTGAGTTTGATGAACTTGCCATATTTGCGACTGGATGGCAATACCCCGGTCGAGCGCCGCGCACTCCACGCCGCCGAGTTCAACCGCCCCGATTCGAAGTACCAGTGCATGATCCTTTCGTCCAGAGCTGGTGGGGTGGGGTTGAACTTGACAGGCGCAAGCTCCGTCATCTTCTACGACCTCGACTGGAACCCGCAGATGGATCGACAGTGCATGGATCGCGCACATCGTATCGGGCAAGTGAGAGATGTGGAGGTCTACAAGATGGTCAGCGAGAAGACTGTCGAGGAAAACATCCTTCGACGCGCCAATCAGAAGAGCTTGTTGGATCAGACGGTCATCCAGGAGGGCCACTTCACCACCGAATACCAGCGAGCTCGAGACGGTGATGACGGGGAGCATGAAGACGATTCGGTCGTGGCTGCAGCCATAGAGAGGGTGTTTGGCGGCAAGGACGAGCAAGCTACGGCGCGCGCCCTTGAATCCGTGGAGGACATTGAGGACGTGCAGGCTGCGGTGCAAGCTCGCAAGGAGGAGCGGCAGGATGATGTGGACTTTGCCGATCGGTCGTCCAAGGATCCCTCTCGTGCGCCGACTCCCGGTCACCAATACCCCGACGCCGATGGGTTGGAGGACGAGGAGAGCAGAGCGCATCATATCGATGACTATATGATTCGACTGATGGACGAAGTGCTGCTCAAGGGCATCATCTTTGTGCCGCCGCAGGCGCGGAAGCTGGATCGGCATGGCAGGGATCCATCACATCGGAAGAGAAAGAGGTGATTATTCACTCTGGCACTGTGTACGAATAGAGAGAGGCGGCGGGGCAGCAAGCTGTCTCATTACATGGCATAGCGCGGCGTTCATCATGAGGTTCAAGAGGATGCTCTGCTGCATGTAGATAGCAACGAAAGTACCAAGAGTACGCATCTGTCAACTTCCTCGGAGCAATACCGAAAGACCAGCCATTGCCATGCGTCCACAGTCTCATGTGCCTCTCCACTCCAAGCGGACTTCGTCACTTCACTCCCAACCACATTACAATTCGTCCTCCTCCTCCCCTTCCTCTCCACTCTCCCCCAACCTTGGCACACTCACACGAATCGCAATCAACATCCTCTCCAGCTCTCCCCGCTTCCCCGCCTCCTTCATCCTCTTCAGTCTGCGCCGCAAATCACTCCCGACCTTATTGCTTGGCCGCGCGCCACTGTAGTTCCACTTCATCACCGGCCGACATTTGTCCGCGCGATCATGCAGCCACCGCCGTAGCGTCGGCAAGTCTCCCGGCACCTTCGATGTAGTACATAGCTGCACGCACAGACGCGTGTTCTTGGTCAGCTGGCTTTGCTGCGCTGATGGGATACGGGCGAGCCAGGTGAGTAGGCCGGAAAAGTCAAAGTCCGTCACGGCTGCTTTGATGGGGCAGAGGGACTGCATTAAGGGCTGGGTTTCCAGGCGGATTTGGCGGCTGGTGAGGAGGAGGGCGTGAGGATGGTGCTGCATTGAGGCGTCATTACTGCTGCTGCTGCCTTTGTCTTCGGAGTTGTTGATGGTCGCTGTTGCGTGGGGAGAACTTGGGCGGGCCGTGGGCGTGATGTGAATGATTACGTTCTCGAGGATGAGCGTGTATATCTGGATGCGGATTTCTGCCGGGAGGTCAAAGAAGCAGGTGCCGGTTGGAGGTGGGGGAGACGCAGCGGCTACGGCTGAGGGATGCAGCAGCACGGGGCGAGGAGGGGCAGGCTGTAGATCGCGGAGAGGGCGAGGGGTAACATGAGGGGTGGCTCGAGCAGCCATGAGCGGAGGTTGGTGAGCTTCATGGGAGTATGGTGGTGAGTGGGGAAGCGGAAGTGGTTGTGGTTGGATGCGAGCGGAAGTGAGGTGGAGAGTGGCCGAGACTTTGCCAAGCCGAGCCTCCCAAGCTCCTTCTGTCGGTGCAACCTTGGAGATGTCGCCAAACAATGAGAGGCCAGACACCTTTTCGGAAAGGGTTTCCAGACATCGCAGAAGGCTCAGGAGAGCATGTATTGGCGTGACAAGGATGCCGTCACATTGTTGCACAGCACGCAGGCTACTCTCGTATCAGATGCAGCACCTTTGCCATTGTTCACGGAGAAGCTATTCAGAGAGCAGCAGCTCAGCGAAATAGGCACACATCCATGTACCGCCGTCATCCCCTCATCCTCTCAGGTTGCTCACTTGACTCTAGACCAACCAATTTCAAGCCTGCAGCCTAAGCTTGGCTCGAAGAGAGACAAGCGCTCGATCTGACTGAGAGTTGTTGGAAGCAAGGGAAAGCGCCGGGGCTTGTTCAAGGGTTGTCGATTGGCTGTACAACATGATCCGATGAGACTGAATTGGGTACAGTCCTCAAATCGAAGCGCGGCCTGGTTCAATGTCCACATGTGAATCGAGACAAGACATTCACAAGCGCATCACTCACGCATCTTCATCGCGGGCTGCCCAGCCCACGAAATGTGTTGTGGACGCACATCCGAGGTCACGAGCGCTCGGGGCGGAACCAACTCATCCGTCATGTGATGCTCTGGCTCCGTGAAAGGCACGTCGACTGCCGCCGGCGCCGTCATGCTGGACTTGATGCTTTTGGGGCGAGGCGGCTTGTGGGATTTCAGGTTCGCGACGATCGTGCCGTTGTGTAGCGTGTGCCTTCTTCGCAGGACGCGGCGAGGTTTAGGTTTGTGGTGAAGACTGAATGTACTGTGGACTCGCCGAGGATTGATAGAGTGTTGTGAGTGAGCGAAGGTGAAGTTGGGCCAGTGGAAGACGTGATCGTCTTTGCTTCCGCTGCGACGCCAGCAGAAGCAGGACATTTCGAAGGCTGCGAGGATCTCCGATTGCTCAAATTACATTGTCGTTGTATGGTGAGAGAGATTTGATGCAAACCTTTTCGGAGTTGATCGATAAGGCAATGTGACATCAATTCCGTAATGGAGAAGTTACGACTAGAGTCGGCGCCAATCTTGGAATCGTCACCGCCAGATCGATGACCACCGCACTTGCCACTTCTTCACTTTCTTACAACGACGATATGAATGAATAAACCATAACACGTGCACAGTTCACACGGGGCGAGATGGCCGTGGATGAGCCGTCAGCGCAATTAAATCATGATCTCCGACATGAGATCCACACGGCTTTGGCAACCCGCCGTCCGCTCCTGCATCATCTCAACGCCGACACCTCCTGGCTCCTTCAGATCCCGCGGCCGGCGAGCGCGGTGAGGAAGGGTGGCCGAGTCTACTTCAACCTCCTTATCGACCCGTGGCTGGCCGGCGGACAAAGCGATGTGGCAAGTTGGTTCTCACAGCAGTTTCACGTGGGGCCGAGTGCCGTGCCCACCATTGCAGCGCTGGAGGAGCTGGCGCGGGAGATTGAGATTCTAGCATCTGGATTACAACAGAATGGCCGTAGCAACGAAGCGTCGCTGGAGAATGATCCTCCGCAGACATTCGTCGACGCGGTCTGTGTGAGCCACGAGTTTACGGATCACTGCCATAAAGACACACTACTCGAACTCCACCCCGACACTCCCGTTTTCGCGATCAAAGAAGCTGCCCGCCTGATAGGCAGCTGGAAGCATTTTCGAACGGTCGTGACGGTGGATTCGTTTGGAGTGAATAAAAACTCGGATTGGAGAAGTACGAGCATTGCTCCGTTGCCGCAGTGGATCGGTATCAGCAGACTTTTGCAGACGGGTGATGTCCTGAATTATCACTCGGCGCTCATGATCGCCTTCAACAATCAACAATCGACGTCAAATTCGGCGACGGGCAATGTGAATGGCCACCACTCCAAGGTTGGACAAGACATCCCCACTGACGCCAGCGAGTCAGAGGACTGGGCAGAGGCGATAGTCTACACACCACATGGCATCCACAGTGGTGATCTCAACTTGATCCCCGGCGCCTCGCCACCCATTCGCACGCTGGCATTCCTGCACGGCCTGCACAATGTCCGCGTCGGCACGATAGCTGGTCGCACAGCGTTGCAGTCCAATCTCGGTGCGCACAATGGCCTCAAAGCGCAGCGTGTCCTCAACGCAAAATATTGGATCGGCACTCATGACGAGGAAAAGACGGGCGGTGGACTGGTGTCTTGGTTCTTGCAGCGGGACGTCATCACCCTGCAAGAAGCACTCGAGGCGGAGAGGCAGGCGAGAGCAGATGTGAAGGATGTGGCGACGTTGGCGGCATTCGAGGACACGAACTGGCTAGAGTTGAAGAACGGCGAAAGCAGGGTGCTGATTTAGAAGGCTGTGTATGCTGCGGCATTTTCTGGGTTGGATGCGTGATCACGTTTAGGCGTCATTCACTCCGGCGTGTATAAGCACAGGGACCACTTCTCCGAATTCTTCCTTGGGTACCTATATCATGTACAAGGTCAGTTGCCTACTGCGGGTAAAGAGCGAATATAATTGGAACGCCTCGGAATCCGGCTCCTGTTGCCTGGTGGGTTAAACCCCATGCGGCCGAGGGAAGCGTCACGGGGTCGCTTGCCTCCTCTCCACCGCCCAACTCCACTCAGCCTTCTCCCCGCGCATCTCCGCCAAGATCAACGACGTCTCAAAATCGCTCACCGAGACTGATTGGCATTCCGGAGGATTGCAGCGCTAGGAACCGGTCGGGCGACACCGTGAACCAAGGGAGAGAGGCGCTGACGCCATTGTCTGAATGCCGCACTACTATTTACACCAGAAGCCCACACCACCATGGCAGGGCAACTCCAGCACCGCCAACAGCGCCATGAACGTCAGCATCGTCCTCGACCAGCCCGCCGGCGCCACCTTCACCAACCTCGACACCATTAGTGGCCGGCTCGTCTTGCGCAATCACAAGGAACTCGATGTCGACAACATCCTCGTGAAGCTGGAAGGGGAGAGTCGCACGCGGTTACTGTCCCCGGCGCGGCCTGGAGACAAGCAGAAACCGCAGTTGGAATACCACAAGGCATGTCATGTCCGCCCCTACTCCTCCGCTTCAAGGGCTGTGGCTCATCGCATACCCGTAGATTCTGTACAAAGTCGCCCTCGTTTTTCCCCCGACCGAGGTGATGCGAGATCGCCTCGTCCTGATCACCGGCAAGAATGCACAGAGTCTCGCCCCGGGCACGCACGAGTTCCCTTTCCACTTCAAGGTGTGTCCGCGCCGCAACCCAAATAACATCCTTTCTGACCCTTCGCAGCTTCCGTTCAACAACTCGTGCGTTCATGAAATGACCAAATCTTCCACCATGACCGCATCTGGCAGTGGCAAGGAATCCGCCAAAGCCGCCACCCGCCATGTCAAGAAGACATTGCCTCCCACACTCAGTGGCTTTCCTGGGGAAGCGGAGATCCGGTATTATCTCAAAGGAACCGTAACTCGACACTACTTCTGGAAAGAGAGCTTACGCGCCATCGCCCCCATCAACTTCCTGCCCATCGAGCCCCCGCGACCGATGTCCACTGGATCAGAGATCTTCGCCAGGCAGACACACATTTTTTCTCAAATTCCCAACCCTGACGCCAACAAGTCAAAGTTCAAGAGCATCTTCAGCAGAAATCCGGAGCAGGCACTACCGAATGGCAACGGCGACGCCCCGACGATCAGCATCGATGCCCGTCTTCCCGAACCGGCCATTCTCACTTGCAATGAAGATGTCCCTGTTCGTCTCATCGTCAAGAAAATGAATGACTTTGTGGGAATCGTCCATCTCCAATCTCTGGAGATCGCACTCGTCGGCTTCACCAAGATCCGCGCACATGATGCCCACCGCACCGAAGATACCACCTGGGTCATCATGACCAAAAGCAACATGGGCATTCCCATTGGCACCGCTTCCGACCCGGTCGACACGGAAAACGAGATTGATGCCCGCATGTGGCGCGGGCAGACGCTGCCAAACACAGTTGCCCCTTCCTTCCAGGCCTGCAACATTGATAGAAGCTATCGACTAGATGTGCGCGTTGGCTTGAGTTATCTGGATCCCATGCAGAACAATGTCAAGGTGAGCAAGCAAAGAACCACTTTCCACCAGCGGGACTAACGTGCTCGCAACAGCCCTTGAGCGTGATCCTCCCCTTGAAACTCGACCTCGAGGTCTACTCCGGCATCGCACCTCCGAAAGCTCTTCTCGATGCCATGGCCGAAGCCGCCGAAGCCAGAGCGAATCTTCGTCGCACCTCTACCATCGACTCGGCTGCGGAGAAACTACGCAGAGAGTCGACCACCTCCGGCCAAAATGCCTCAACGGAGTCATCTCATCCGGCCCGAGAAGGCACTGCCATGCCTGAATCTCGACCGCCCATGTATTCCGAAGCACCGCCTAGCTACCAAGATGCGATGGCGAATGCCCTACCCGCTATCAATGCGCCGAGACCGCAGTACGCGCCACCAGCGCCGGGCGAGGATGATTTCTTTGGAGGAGATGAGAAGAGGCGACTGGCAGGTGGGAGGGAATCATGATTTACTTGATACCTTGACTGAGGGCGATCAAGCTGAACGGGGGTTAATGCATGTGATACCTTGGTTTGCAAAGCTTCAAAGATGCAGCGTACTAGCCACAACAAACCTCACTTCCATTACTTTGAGTCACAGTGTTGCATGCGATGGATGGTGAATTCAAGATGACTGCAGTCTCTCGCTAAAAGCACGCCGCATGTGAGAGCGAAGCTGCTTATGTAATACCGCCAAGCCAGGCGGACCTACTCAAATCTCGCCCATTCATAGCCAACCCTACCGAACGCACTGCCCGGCGGCATCACATTTATACGCCAACAACACCATCAACACCCCGCCAGTCAGCGAGCAGAGTGCAGGATCGTCAAACTACAGTGTGGATGTGCGCTGTGAGCCGACGCCCAGCTCCGCCGGTGGCCTAGGAGCCCCAACGCCATCTGCCTCTCGACCACATCTTCACCCGTTCACGATCGAATCAACGGCTTTGCTGCCACCCGCCCGACTTCTTCCGCCATCCTCAAGCAGCCGCCAAAGAGTCCCAGTGAAGAGAAGGTTGGATCTGGCAAGATGACGAACACACTCGTGGTATGTTGCCCGTTTGATCGGCATCCGCGCAAGACGGCGGCGAGGCTGCGCTGGTATCATCAAACACCGTACTGATTGCCATCGGCACAGGGCGACGTCTACGCCAAGATCATCGAAGAGGTGGTCCAGGCCTCCTCGACCGACTTCGAGGAGAGCGGTGTGAGCCAGTTGACGTTGCAGGAGTTGCAGAAGGTGAGTCGTGAACGTGCGCCTTCTCCTACCTCACCATCATATCACCTTCTCGTCTCTCGCGAAAAGAATGCGGTGGTTGAGCCATCAAAACACCCTCTGCTTCGCAACATATGCTGCCTTTCAGCGCAGCGCAAGCCGGCTGCCTGGTTTTCAGCAGCGGAAGCGGAGCGGGGCTTCACGGTCGCAGGAGCGGCGGGCCCCGGCTTCTTTTCTGCCCTTTGTTTTATACGCCTGCAAACCCCACTTTTTGCAGGCACTTTCGCGCTTGACTGCTTTCAGTTGGACTGTCTTCTTGTTCTGCACGTGACGGCCATACGCCGCCCATTTGCCCATGTGTTGTTTATGCTGCATACAATGTGAATGTCAACGCTGACAATGACCAGGAATGGCAGAGTAAACTATCACAGCGCAACGTCGCGCACATGCCCTGGGATCCCAAGGCGCAACCAGCTCCCGCACTACCGCCCTCATTGCCAACGCCTACTGCCAACGGAGTCCCACCGTCTTCGTACCCCGCCTATGACACCCCCTCGTCGACGGCTACGGCCACCAATGGGGCGCGTGTCAAGACGGAGGGGGCAGCGGAATCGCCGTACAATGGACATCCCAACGGCTATTCACAAGACACGGGCCCCACCCAAGGCGGACTCGCGCGAGCGCAGCATCTTGTGCAACAGCAGTACGGGCCAAATGCTAGCGCTTCGCTGAGTGCCATGCAGCGTGCTGGTGGAGGCCTTGCGCTTCCCGGCCAGCAGCAGCAATCCGGCAAGCCTCAGGGCTTACATCTTCCCGGAGGCACATCGTCGCCCGGAACGCCTCAATTCACACTCCAACAGCAACAAGCCATGATGCGCCACCAGCAACAGATGATGCAACAGCAGCAGCAGCAGCAGCAGCAGAACCAGCCTCGGATCAAAGTGGAAAACGACAGCCCCCAGCTTGCGCAAGGCGCATTCCCTCAGCAAGCAGCGCAACCGAATTACAGCCAGACGGATGGTGCCGATGACGATGCGCACACACAGTGGCAGACTCTCCTCGCAGAGCGCAGAGCAATCAGCGCAGAGCAGAGAAACGAAGCCGACCGTCAGATCCGTGACCAGGTAATGCAACATTCATCTGAGCTGCAAAGTGGCTTGATGGTTCCGCTCGACGAGCAGCCCAGCAGTAAGAAGCGCAAACTACAAACGAAGCGCCCAACGATATCAGCATCCGCTCCCTCCATCCCCCAGCTCGACGGCGTGGATGACGACGAAGACGACAAAGACATCAAGGACGAAGACGACGAAAATGCCATCAACTCCGATCTCGACGACTCCGACGAAGAGGGACAGGGAGACCTGGGCGAGGAGGACGATGAGACGGGGGAGAATCAGATCCTTTGCACGTACGACAAGGTGCAGCGCGTCAAGAACAAGTGGAAGTGTGTGCTCAAGGACGGCGTGATGAGTTCGGGGGGCAAGGAGTGGGTGTTCCATAAAGGGAATGGGGAGTTTGAGTGGTGATTTTGGGGAATGACTATGGGGTCCTGCTTTCTGCTCTCCGGAGTTGCTTAAAAGGGGTAACTAGAGGCGGCCATGCTTCTCTTACGGCGTATGATCATGGGAGAGTCAATGGGCTGGTGTAGAGGGCAAGGGACAGGACAAGGCCGATGGCGATTCCAAAGGTATTTGGGTAGACCGGCTGAGTCGGCGGCACCTCGCGTCTGGCAGCTCCGAGACTTTGAGCTCGAGAGTAGCAAGATAATCGTATGGAAATGTTTGCAATGTACGCGCCTCTCGTTCCACGGTCAGCCGTTGCGATGGACGGTGAACGTGGACTCCACGATTCATGTGGAGCACCGATTGCGGAGCCCCGTTCCCCACATACTTCGACCACCTCTCACAGCATCATGTCTGCATCCAATCTCCCTTGCCATTGCTGACGGATGCCTTATTGGAGGAGTATTATTTGACGTCAACGCACTTGACTATTCTCATCATGACTCAATACGGACCGGTGGGAGGTGAGTTGTTTGGCTGTATTATGCTCCATGCATCGAACGTCACGGCTAATGAACGCCCCTTGTCTCACATAAGACTTCCCCGTCATGGGCAAGATAGTTTGGTATGTCTCTCGAACGTTAAGGCAATTGTTTACCAGCTAATCTCGACACCTCTCTTGGACAGCATCACAGTTCGTCTATTTCCATCAACCCCGACATCGTTGCGAATCGGACTGACACCGCTCGCACGGTTCTAGGGCGGCGGAAGTGGTATTGGTTTCTCCTTTGCCAAACTCTGCCACGAACACGGCGCACGCGTCCTCATTGGCGATCTCAAAGTCACCGCCGAGGCGGAGGCGTACATGTCCTCGTCAGCATCGAAGGGGGATTTCGTTTTTGAAAAGTGTGATGTTTCGGAGTGGGGAGATCTGAAGAGACTGATCACGAAGTCAGTTGAGAGGTTTGGAGAGGTGAGTGAGATCTATGAGGAGAGTTGAATGACTACGAGTAGAACGCGTGTTGACGTGCAGTACTCGAATAGGTCCCCGATGTCTACTCCCCTGTTGGTGAGTGGCATACAACCTCTGAACGTTGAGCTCAAATGATAACGTAACATAGCGGGCATCTTCGAACCACCATGGAGCAATTTTTGGGACGACGAAACCGACGGGTCGTACAAGACGCTCCGTATCAATCTCGACCACCCCATCAAACTCACCAGGTTAGCCATGCGAGCCCTGGCCGGCGCGGAGAAGCAAGGCGTTGTAGTCATCGTTTCCAGCACCGCGGGGATACGAGCCAACTACCTCGCCTGTCTGTACTCTGCCTCGAAGCATGGCCTGCTCGGGTTTGCGAAGTCCATGGGCCAGTCGGATGTGGATGAAGGGGTGAAGGTGGTTTGCATCCTTCCCGGTACCGTCTCCTCGCCGTTGTGGCACGATCGACAAGACAAGTATAGTCAATGGACGAAGTTTACGGAGCGCAAGTCGTTGGAGACGGGCGACATTGCAGAGGTAATGTTGAAGATGGTGCAGAAGGCGGAGTACGACGGCGGGACGTGTGTGATGAAGACGCCGCTGGAGGAGAAGATTGTGGAGGAGGGACATCTGAAGCAGGTGCAGAAATTGAAAGAGTATGATCCGTAAGTACTCGCAAGGCTGTGGACTCATTGGCGACAACTGTTGACTAATGGAATGTTGGGGAGCATAGGTCTCCGCGACCCGACGCTGACATCAGTGAGAGAGTGCGGTCTGTGATGCAGAAGGAAAGAGGGAAAAAGTGGCAGTAGAGGGGAGTACAACGAGATGCATTAGCCATACGAGGCTGAGGGAGGTGCTCATCCCAAAGCATGTTTGTAATGCACACATTGCCCGCGTCGACAGCAACGTCGTCTCATCACTCTCGTCTCGTTTCGCTCACGAGGGTTTTCATCTCCATTCAATGCTGATTGTCACCATTCAGTTTTCCGCGGTGTGTATGCCGTCTGTGAGACATGACCTGGGGTGCTCGCCGTAAGCGACCCACCCGAACCCTTGTTTCGCCTGCAAATGTCGGTTTCACCCCAACTTTGCCGACTTCATCCATTACGCTGCATATTTCTTCCTTCTCTTCGGTCTGCTTCTTCGCTTCTATTCCTATCCCTACCCTTACATTGCATCTCTTATTTCGGATCAAATGGAACAATTCAACAAGAACAATCCCTCCACCCCCCATGGCCGAGAGGGCAGCCTGTCTTCCCTTTCATCCTCCATCAACGACTCCGCCTACTCCAGCCCCAGCGCAGGCGCCGCGCCCATTCGCTCCCGCGCGCCCTCCTACACTCCTTCCTACATGAACGCCCAGGTCCCCATACGGAAACCCGTCGGCGCTCAACAGCCCAATCGCATCCCCAGCGGACTCGCCGGGAGCACCATGCCTCCTACCAACCAACCCGCAGTCGCAACTCCTCCTCCTCCACCACCACCACCTCCACCCGCCTCGAAAGGCACTCTCCTCCTCGCCATCGCCACCACCCCTCATCCATCGACCCGCTTTTTCCTGCGGTCAATGCTGATCCGACGGCTGTACAAACAAATCGTGGTGCTGGGAAACGCCGCCTACGAAACACAACTCAAGCAACTCAAGATTGAAATATACTCAATATTGGGCAATCTCGGGCAAGAGGTCGCGATTCAAATGGCACTACGACCTAATCTCGACGAGGCTGAAATCTACACCGTCATCTCCAAAGCCGTGGCGGACGGCGAGGCCGTGTACGGCGTGCTGTGCAGTCCTGCCTATTCCTTCACCCCCAGGCAGGCAGCGAGCAGCGCTAGCGTCATGAACATTGACCAGGCGGCGCTGGAGGCCTCGTTCAAGACGGGCGTCGCCTTTTTGCAGAGCGTGGCGAAGCAAGCTATTCCCAATTTCCGCGCTGCGGCACAGGATTCGAAAGTGCAGCAATCGGGTTTGTTTTTGGTTACGGGGCTCGCGAATGAGACGGAAGGCGACGATTCCCACCTTGCACTCATCAACAGTGCCGCGTGCAGATCAGTCATGACGCTGTTGGTCGAGGCTGCAAGTGGGAGGGGCCTAACGATTGACTACGCGGAAAATCTGCTTTTGCCGGAGCCGGAGCCCGTGGTTGTGGAGGCCGAGGAGGAGAAGGTGGTGAACGGTGTTGCTAAGCCTGCGCCGTTGAACGTGAGGAAGGCTGCTGCCGCCACAGCCGCGAATGGCTATGCGGAGCCTGAGTCGCCGACGCGATTGTGGGCGCTCTATAGCGAGATGGGCGCCGCCGAGTGAGCTGCGTCGTCCTGACAAGTTGCCGAGAACCATCCCCGCGCATTCATTGTGGAAAGCTGCTGTCAATGCATCTGGCTACAGAGGGAACTACCTATCGCCGTGCCTCATTCCCGCTTGCTGCAAGTCGCCGACCACTCGTCTACGACGGTGACAAGGTAGCGGATCAAAGGTGCATGCTCCACGACCACGTCACGATCTACCGCGAGACCACCAGATCGCCTTCGACACAGTGGCTGGCATCTGCATACGATATTACGAGGGCGACGCCGCGATTGTACAAGAATACAGGAAGCTTAAACTTAGATCTCCGTGTACATATCACAGGACTATCAAGAGGTGGGCCATTTCCCTCAAGGCATCCTTCTCTTAGTCTCTCTTCTCCTCGATCGTGTCATACGGGGGCGCAGCATCTTCGGCGGCAGTCTCTTGGACCGCAGTCTTCTTCTCGTCCGAGGGACCATCGTTTGCTATTCGACCGTGAGTGTTAGCATACGTCATCCTTTCTTGATCAATGGGGGAACGGATGGACGTACCAATGAAAGCATCATCGTTCAGCTTCCTGTACTTGTACCAGAAGATGATGGACTGCACAAACAGTGCGATTGCCGGTGCGGCCCAGGCCCAGATAAGATTCTGCAGCTATTGTCAGCACATGTGTCTAGTTCCCTGCAAAGAATTCGACTTACGGGATCAGCAATCGCGGGCGTCAAGACCTCACCAAGCGCGTAGGCGAGCGCAGTCGTGAACAAGAAGAACGAAAAGACAATGGCCTTCATGCCGGGTGCTGAGCGCGCATACGCCAGCTCGTACCCGGTGACATTCACAAAGCACTCCGAGATGGCGCCCAGCGTGACGTTGGGCAGCTGCCACCAGATCGAGATGGGCGACACGCTCGTGCCCGCTTCGGCGCAGTTGGTCGCCTGGTAGCCGCATGGCGCAGTCTGATAGACCTTCCATTGCACGATGGCGCCGATGATGCCGGAGATCCAGGCGAGGGTGAAGCCGGTCATGATGCGAGAAATGCGGCCGTACTTGATATTGCGCTTGCGCAGGAGGGGGTAGATGCCATGGGAGAGGATGGGGATGGTGATGATGATGGCGAGGGAGTTGAAGTTGCTGAGGAGATCGTTGGGCGCGCCGTTGGTCGTCATCGTCGAGCCTTGGATGGTGAGTAGATTGCCGACGCCGCCATCGTTGATGATCCAGATGGGGAAGTAGAGGAAGATCATGCATGCCTCGAGTGTGCGGCCGAGCTCGTCGCAGTCCTTGTCGGTCCAGTCGAACGCCTTGCCACGGTAGGTGGTTACGCCTCGCTCACGGAGCTCGGTAGGTTTCGCGGCTTCGAGGAAACCAGCACGGAATATTCTCTTCTTGTTGTACTTGAAGGCGACCATGAGCCTGGTTGGGTAGGAATTAGTACGTTCATGAGCCAAAGATGTCATGATGAGCAAAGACTCACATCTTCACCGCCTTGTTCAAAACGGATCCGTCCGGTGGGTACTTGACGAGCTTGTTGTTCAGGAACCACAGCAGGAAGGGCAACGAGAAGTATAGAATGCCGGGTGTGAGGAATGCAAGCCAATAGCCGACGTACTTCTCGGAGAAGGTAGTGGCGACGGCGTAGAAGGCGCCGATGTTGATCATGCCGTAGAAGATCAACATGATGCGTTGCACTGTCGCCTCGGGATCCATCACAACCCGTTCGCCGCTCTTGAGCGTCTTGACGTACGGCTTTTGGTCTGTTGATTTCGTAAGCAAGAGTCTGCCGAAGAAGCTTCTGAACAAGCTTATCGCAACCTACGTCGGTATTGATCGAGGATCGTCGGGGCAATGTTGGGCTTGAAGATAGCTGCACCGATGGCCAACAACCAGAGAGATACCATGAACGGTGCCAGACCCTGATGAGCTTGCAGCACGGAGGGAATGGCGCCACAGATCATGATGATATGCGAAACACCGCAGATAAGGACACCGAGCAAGATGGTTTTGTATCTTCAGACAGTGTCAGCGTGCACCGTCCGTATGATATGACGCTCCCCCAACTCACCTTCCGAGCTTGGTATCGGCAAGCCAGCCTCCGAAGATGGTAATGCAGTATGCCATGAACAAGAACAGTAGGCCAATAGCATTTGAGAATTGTGCGCCTTTGCCCAACGCACCAGCCGTCTCCTGCGTACCCACTGGAGGGGCGCCGGCTCCGTTGCCACCCTTTGGAAGGGGATACTGCATGAAGTTGGAGAAGATGGTCTGGACACCGTAGTAAGAGGCGCGCTCGGCGAGTTCGACAACGCAGAGACTGTATGCCACAACGGGGATGCTGTCGGCGACTTTGCGTAGCGTGCGGGCTTCCTCTTCGGTGGGTGTGGGATACATCTCCTGCGTGGAGACTCCCGGAGTCTTCTCCTCGTCGGTGACGGACAAGCGTCGAACCATGTTGACGTCGTCGGTTGCGGCGCCATCGTCGAGGGCGAATGGGTTGGACTTGTGCGGGTTGGCGACCTCGCGTGGTGGCTGAGTCGCGATCATGTCGGCGATCAACTCGCCTGGTGCGCCAGCTGGAGTAATGGGGTTAGATCGGGGGAGGACTCGAGGTGAGTGGAGTGTACGTACACATGATTGCGCAATCACTGGTAGCAGATCAAGAGACAAGAACGAAGGAGCAATGCAGAGATGGGAGGGGAGGAGGAGGAGAAGCGGTAGAGAGCAGAGATGGGAAACACTGGCGCCTTCCTACATTTTACTACCATTGTACCAGTCGCTGCAATGCAACATTCGTCTCTTGGCAATGCGCCGATAGATCGGCTCAAGAGTAGTCAGGCAGGCTTGTGAGCTTGCGATCAGGGAGGCGATCAGCGATAGTGAGCCTGCAAGGCGTGGAGAGGCGAGGGTGTGGGGGAAAGGCCGGCGGTCGAGATCATGTCGCAGGAGCGCCACGCCAGTTTAGGCTGTAGATCTGGCCGGTGGTTGGATCGAATGGGCTTCAAGCTCCATGGCCAACCTTCGAGAAGAGCGCTAGGGGTCTTGGCCTTTACCAGGGCCTGGTATGTATCGTGGGATAGCGTGATAGGAGTGGGAAGCAGGGCTTGGCTGGTTATCATTTCCACGTCCAATCAGCATGAATTGGAAGGTTAGCAAATCTCCGCCTCCGAATGCGACAACATGTTACCGGCCAAGTCTTGCAGGCGGTTGTAGGTGTGATTGGGGCCTCGCTTTCCCGGTGTCGAAGAGCCTTTGCGAGAGCGGGCGGCAGGTAGGACAGCGAATTGTGAACCCCCACCCTTGCAGCCCTGCAGGACGGCTGGTGGCGAGCAATAACGCGATGGCTACCGCGGGGGCGGAGATGTTGCAAGCTGTATGAGGCCTGCGGCTTGCCCGTCAAGTGGCGTCCAGGTGCTGCTTGGCGTCCGGCCGCGGCATGACTTGCTTGCCACTGGCAGCATTTGGAGATGACTGGGAGAATTCAAAGACACCTACTTGCCCGGGCGGTAGAGAGTTGGTTAATCTTGCCGATGTCGTTGAAATTGTGTCAATCGTCGCGATAAGCTTCGGCCGAGCATGGCCAAGGCCGTGCTGCTTTCCCCGCGCTCTGCTCGCTTCTTCTTCCTTTCCGGGAAGCCTTCTGGCCGCACTTTACCCACACCCCCTTGACACCTCAGCCGAATCTATCCCCGTCGCCTGCCAAGCAACGAGTCGCCGTAGCCAAGCTTCTCTCTGATCGCCTGAGCATCAAACTGCACCCCTTGCTGCTTACTCGCCTCCTCCAACTCTTGCAAAGCCAGGTCAACCTCCTCTTCCGTGGGCATGTTGACAACCATGAGGTAGAGCGTGTCGGGCTTCAAGAAGCTCTTGATCCCTCCTCGTAAGCCCTTTTGCTTCCGCTTCTGTCTGCCCGTCTCGCCGCTGAGGCCCAGCCTGCTCTTTCTCTGCTTCCGGCGGTTGGTGAGTCTTCCCAATGGTCCTCGGTGCTGTGTCCCGCTTCGTCAGTATGCTGCCCACCGCCTGGCCGTCGATGCTTGGCAGAGAGAACTCACCTTTCCCCCAGTCAAGGTCTCTACCAGTCTTCCCGACTGCACGGGATGATTCGGGTCGGAATAGATGCTCGCGAACTGCTTTTCCCCCGTCACCCCGGCCAGTTTCGAATCCGCATTGGCGTTTTCGAACTTGGCTTGACCTCTACGATCATAGTAATCGCCGAGAAAGTGGCCAAAATGCTTCACCGCATTCTCCTTTTGTCCATCCGAGAGATTGTCCAGCTGCGGGAACTCGAGCGGTGCAAAGTCGGGGATCTCGTCCTCTTTCGTCTTGCCTGCCGTCCCTTGGTAGATGTTCTTCCACTTCGACCGTTCGCTGTCGTCGCGCTTGGCCACCTTTTGGTTGATGCCCGCCGAAATGTCCACGTCCGCCTCCGGGTCATCAGACTTGGGGTCGTATCTACTCACAAGATGAGCATCTGGACTCGTCGCCAGCAGACTCAGGGTAGGGGAGCTTACTTGATGACCATTGCGTACAGTCCACGAGGCTTGAAGAACTCCTCGTTCATGCGGGTCATGAATTTGTTCGACTCAACATTCATGTAGCCCCTTCGCCCCACCTCGACGGAAACGTGGACCGCCAACACGACAAACGTTGCAATAATGGAGAAGCCTTGGATCGCGAAACGCACCTTCTCCGCCACCCAGACAGCCACGTTGGCGACGTGGAACCACTTGTTGTTGGCAATCGATTGATCGAAAGCCTTGACAAGCTCGATCCACGTGTCTTGGTCAATGCCCGCCTCTTGGAGCACGGGAGCGTAGGCACGCACAAAACCACGGCCTTTGAAGCCCGGGCGTCGCTCAGGAAGAATCACTGGCACTTGGTACTGTGAGCAACGAGTACGAAAATGCAGCGGGTGAGAACAGCGCAATTGAGTATTACTCACTTGACAACGGCTGCACCAGTTGTTTTGCAGGCGCAGGATGGGCATGCAGAAATCTGTCCATCCACTTCTTCTCGTCGAAATCTTCCGTCGCGGATACATGAGACGGAACCGTCTCCAACTGCGCGGCATCGAGGTCCTGTGCCCAAGTCTCATCGTCGATCTCTTCATCGTCGGAACTGTCGTCCTGCTTCTGATTCTCTGCATACGGGGGCGGATCGACAGACCCCGTAGCGGTAGTCGTCGTCGCGTTATTGGATTCTTGCTCCTTGCGTGCCGCTTTGTCTGCTTTCCATTCCTGCGAGAGTCCAATGCCCGTTTGAATGGCTTTGGAAAGCGGGCGGGGAAGAGGCATGTTGGATGTCGTGTTTTCCGGGAAGATTATCGATGTTTTTGAAATGAATGCAAAAACGAGAATGTCTTCTCCTTGCATCTATCCATTGGACGACGTCTCGAATTTATATGCAGCTGTGCCTGTTGAGCTCGTCGGCTTGGCTGCTGGGCACTTCGGTGAGGTTGTAGGCATTGGCGCGGATGGTCGAATCAGAGCTCGAGCGCAGCGCAAAGCTTGCCCAAATAGGCAAGAGGAGGATGCGCATCCCGGTCATCAGTTCAGCGCAAGGCGCAAGCATGGCTGTGCTTGAGGTTGGTTCTTTCTCAGATCATCACCAGCATTACGGCGCAGAGATTTCCGTTTTCGCGCTCTTTTTATATCACGGCCATTTCGAACTACTATTACAAACGACGTATATCATCAATCATATCTGGAACGACCCACCTCTTCGCTCCGCCTCATCGATGCCAAAGCCAAACACGATCCGATAAAGATCGCGCATCCACGCCCAGTCTTCATTGCTTCCCAGCCAGCGCACCGACTTTGCCACCTCGTTTGCGCCTAATCTCCTCGACGGGATACTGTGCACCGTCTCCATCGATGCGTCGCCTATGACGAGAGCCTTGTAGAAGGAGAAGACTTTCTCCTGCCAGGGTAGTGAGCCGAACGCGGAGCCAGGGACGCTTTGGAGGTAATCGGGTAGGCGCTGGCCGGAGATGCGGGAGAAGCCGGTGTTCATGCCGGCTTTGAGGAGGAGGCAGCGTAGGCGGGTGAGGTGTGCTTCTTCACTGTTGGCGGTGGCGGTGGAGGAGGTTCGCTGCGAGGAGGGTGTGGACGATTCGGAGTAGGCGCTCAGAGCGGAGGCGTTGCTCGACCATCGGTCGTGATGTGTTCCTCCACGGAGAGTCTTGCCCGCGTTTGCGCCGCTGGCCGGTCCGAGGACGAGAATGTGAGGGACGGAACCACCGTCTGGTGAAGAAGTGGCTGTGCTCGCATCATCAAAGATCGTCGAGGGGGTTTCGGGAGGCAGAGATCGGGCTGGTACCGGAGGTCCGCGGTTACTCAAGGTGGAGGCAGAGCGGGAGCGGACTTCTGATCGACTTGACCCTGAATGCAGAGAGGATTGGGAAGGGAAGACGGTTTGACTTGGGCGAGGCGTGCCTCGATCGGGCCGCACTTGCGTCCATCCTTCGCGGAAGAGGTCGCAAAGCTCCCAACATGCCTGCACGGCCGAGCCGAGCAGCTCTTCGTCGGGGCTCTTGCCCTCGCGATTGTTCTGGCGTAAGTTGAATAGCATTTCCGCCAGATTCCAGCATGCTCGTAGCAGCGCATCTGTCTCCGGTGGCAGCGATGTTTGCTGTTTCATCAGTCGATGGCACAAGGTGACGTAAAAGTCCAGCGTCCTCTCGCTGAATGCTTCGGGGAGCGAGCGGTCTTGCGTATTGTAGAGGTGATTGTTCAGCTCGAAGCTCAACCGCAAGACCGAGTCTGTTACGTCGTCTAGCTTTTGTCTCGCGTCGAAAAGCGAGGTACAGAACTCGCGGCAGAGCTCCAGCGTTGGCAGCACGTGCGAGGTATGGTCTTTGTCCCTCGAGTCGTAGAGTTGTTGGCAGAGTCGCCAACAGCTACGCCATGCTTGCTCTTGCACCTGCTGTCTGCCGGCGTATTGAAATGTGCGCTGCCGATGCGTCGACGAGAGGTTGGCGAGAGTATTGCAGAGTGTCCAGCATTCACTCAATGCCGTACGCAGGTTTGCCAATCGTCCCTCTGCATCCGCGAGTGACTCTTCAATCGAGCGAAAGACGAGTTTCTCTCCGCCTGATTGAGCGTCGCCTTGTTCTTCTGCTGGAGTGGAGACGATGTCTTGCGCCTCGGGGATGTCTGTAACAGTTGTGAGACACAGTCAAACATTGTGAGGACGAACAGCAACTCACCATCAAGGCTAGGAGTGCGCATGCTTCTGCGCTCGTCAAATTCCTGTCTAGTGTGGGCTCGCGGCGTGGATCGGTCGACGTAACGTGGGACACTCGTATTGACGGGAGACATTGCCGACATTTTCTACGCATGTGTCAAAGACAGAGCCAGATTACATTCGATCAAGACATACCCTGGATATCGGACTCATGACAGCCTCGGGCGTGCGTGGGGACACGACGGTATTCTCGGACCCTTCGGTGGGCGACTGCTGGCTGGCTCTCATGTCTTCGAAGTTCTTGAAGCCGGCTGGTGCATGAATGACAGACTGTGGTTCGTCATCCGCCGGCTTGTGAGGCGGTAGCTGTGTCTGGAGAAGGGGAATTCGGTCCTGCGCAAGTGAGTATGACAGTCACGGTGCAGATCGGGGTGATGCAACGAACACTAGATGCACTTTCTGGACTTATGATTTCAATGTCCGATGGTTGCGCATCTGCATCTGGCACATTGTTCGACTCTGACTGCGCCCGTGATTCACCGTCTTCTTGAGCTTCTTCCTCTATCTCTGTGTTCTCGGTGCCATTGGAATCGACAGGCGACGGATCGATGTGTTGTGGGTATGGGCTTGGAGGCGGATGGAGGGTATCCGTGCCACTGGGAGATCTACGACATCGACGTTAGCAATCCATCGTGTGGGAAGTGAGTGGGAAGGACCGCACCGCTTCTCGGCCAGAGGATATGTCTTGAATGGCGCCGGGGAGTTGGGGGAGTCGGAGTAGGGAGAGAAGGTGGAAGATAGAGCACCGGTAGGAGAAGGCATGAGCGGACTCTTGAGGGCCATGATGGAGGCGCAATCAGGTGGGGATCAGGGAGGGGTGCGCTTCAGTCGAGTGTAAGCACATCAAGACTCAGCCGCTCAAACAAGAGGCATGCCGGGGAAAGAGAGGTCGTCGTGGAACGAAGCTGCGCGACAATGGCTGCGCCGCACAAGAGCGTGTCTGCACCTCGAGCTACGCAAAGCAACGGCGGCGGTGGAAGAGAGGATAGAAGAAGAGGAGAGCGGGCAGTGCGGCACAAGACACGGCACGGCTGCGGTCCAATGCGCCTAGTTGGCCAACACCTCTGTTGGGTGCAGGAAGGACACGAGGGCAGCTTCTCCCGTCTTGGTCGGTGCGGGGCCAGCTCTGCGAGCGAGAGTGGTCGGAGTAGGGGCTGGAGGTGGTGCTTGGGCAACAGCAGGCTGGAGGCGCCGGTCCTCGTCTCACTGGCTGGAGAGCAGCTCCCCGTGCCGGCCTGCAGCACTTTAAACCGGGGATATGGAGGCGTAAGGTGATCCGGACCAGTCAGAAGAAGGGCCGCACAGTTGGAACCAACGGCGGAGGAGCAGGCGGCGGGTTGGTGGGCTCTGATGTTGGAGCAGTTTCCTAGCAGCAGCTGCCTTTTAAGCGCCGAGTCGTCGATCAAGCTTCCCGCCCGCAGGCACTAGCGCCGTCCGGGGTCTCGAGCTTATTTCCGCATTGCGCACTTCACATGCCCCTCGATGGCAGACGTGAAGGCCTCCATCTCCTTGTGCGGTGTCTGACCATCCAGCATGGAGTGTGCATCTTCTGATCCGGCCATGTTCTCCAGCGGAAGCCAGCCTCGTGCAACAGTACGGATGCCTCGCCGGCACGAGCAGGGTAGCGGGAACGGTGACGGACGCCATCATCCATCCCTGCCGTCCATCTCCGCCCGCATGTGCTGAGCCGGGATATCACCAGCGACGCCACTGCATCTTCATCGCCACGAGCCAGGCTGCCGCTCAATGTCAATTGTGATAACACAGCACCAGACCGGCTGACTGCGAGATAACCAGGCAGCTCGGCTTCCCCATCCGACCCCAAGTGGAGGGTCCGACCCGGCTCCACCCCCGCTACAGAGATGACTTCACCGTCACTTCCAAGCCTTTCCCACCACGCTACGAACGTAGCATGATGAGCACAGTAAGTTCAACTTCAACGCAGATCGAAATGGATCGCCAAAGACTCCAAGTCCTTTTTCTTTATATACCTGAACCCGCTTTCTCCCCTCCTTCATCTCGTCCACGTTTCGACCACATGGGCTGGCAAGTGTTGCAATAATGCGTCTTCTCTCTTTTCTTGCGCTCAGCCCGGCAGCCGTCTATGCGACTGTCCATAACTTCTCCATCAACAATTGGCAGGGTTACTTCAACGGGGCTTCGGGAGTCCTTCAGTCCTTGTCGCCCGTTGCCGACCTTTCCTACGACTTCTCTCCCTCCGATTATTTCCACCTCCGAAATGGCCCGGGCAACTACCATACCGGCGACATCACAATGTCGTGGCGTCTGGCCAACTCGAGCGAGTGGCAAGAAATCGATAGCGCTGCTTCTCGCCAGACTTCACCCAATACCTCCACGCTAAATGGATCTCTTCTTCGTTCCAACTTCGACAATGTCTTTCCCGCCGCTGCAAAATACATGACCATTACTCGAGACTGGCAAGAACTTGACGGCGATCTGATCCTCTCCTACAACATCGCCAACCACCCATCTTCCCCATCCATCGAGATTGGTGCATTTGGCCTTCCGCTCGAGTTCAACAACATTTTTACCAACCGCACTCCGGAGGCCACGCACATCAAATGCAACCTTATCGACCCATACATCGGCCTCGATGCCGGGTATGCGCAGGTCACTCGTCTGACCGGCACTGGTCCGAATATAGTCATCACTCCCGCGACCAACGTCACCAAATTCGAGGCGTGGAACTTTCTATACGAGAACCCTGACCAGCCCTGCGAGTATCAATCCAACGTCTTCGAAGGCTTGTATGCATGGCAAACCCTGTCCTTGGCGTACGCTGAGAATCAATGGAACGCCACCGACCCATGGATGCCGCCCACATCGCAGATCCTCAATGCGGGTGAATCGGTGACTTATGCCCTCCGATTCACTGTGGCTTCTCAGGTTGCAGACATCGAATCTGTAGCTGCGTCAAATGGCCTCCCCGTGGCTGTGGGTATCCCGGGTTTCATCGTTCCAGAAGACGTGGACACTTTTCTCTACCTCAACTACCAGCACCCAGTGAAATCGATGTCTGTCGTCCCAGCTGGCGCCTTGTCTCTGTCTCCTGCCACCATCCCAAGTTCGGAGTGGAAGGCATACTCCGTCAAACCTGGCGACGGCACATTCGGACGTGCTCGCCTCATCATTCAATATGCCGATGGCAAGCAGCAGGCCGTCAGCTATTACCTCATCAACGGCGGCCCTCAGACGGTCGAGAAGTATGCCGAGTTCCTGTTTGACGAGCAATGGTTCACCGACGACGATCCATACTTTCATCGCAGCCCTTCGGTCATCAGCTACGACTATGGCACGAAATCTCAGATTTTGCAGGAATATCGTACCTGGATTGCCGGCATCTCCGATGAAGCCGGCGCGGGATCTTTCGAGGCTGCCGCGATGAAGACTTCCGTGTACCCCGTTGCCTCTCAGGTGCACCAACTCGAAGAAATGGTCGCCAGAACGGTCTACAACTGGCTGCAAAACAAACACGCGAACGGTACGGAGAATCCTGCCAACAGCGTCAAGCGAAGTCTGTTCTACTGGCAACCTGACCTCCTGCCGCCCGACTATTACAACAAATCAATTCCCTTCGCCGACAATTATGCTTGGAACCAATCCAATGCCTGGGACACCTGGAGAGCATATGACTACGTTCATGTCAGCGCCCTATATTGGGGTCTCTACGCTGCCGAATCGCAATCACCCGGCGTGCTCCAGCTTCAGAATCAGACATGGTACCTTCTCCGAGCTTACGAGACCGTCATGGAGATCTGGGCCGACTACGACGGCAAAACGCCAGTGACCTTCTACGGCAGCGACGGCCTCATGTGCGAAACGGTGTGGCTTTATATCCTTCGAGCGCTGAAAGCCGAGGGCTACACGACTCAGTTCAATCAAATGCAAGCGAGAATGCAGTCGCGAGAAAAGTACTGGTCGACGCAGAAGATACCGTACGGAAGTGAAATGCCGTGGGATTCCACCGGAGAGGAAGGCGTTTACCTGTGGGCCAAGTAAGTCGCACCTCGTACGTATTGATTGTTATCCTCCATCGCTGACCAGAGTTCCCAGATATTTCAATAACACCGCCTTGGTCACGCAAACTCTCGACGCCATCCGCGGCTACATGCCCACTGTCGCGCATTGGGGCTGGAATGGCTGCGCTCGCCGCTACTGGGACTTCCTCTATGGCGGGAGCATCGCGCGTGTCGAACGCATGATCCATCACTACGGCTCTGGCCTCAACGCCCTTCCGCTCCTCGACGCGTACAAGTACAACCCAACCCCATCCAACCTTTCAGCCATCTACGACCTTCGCGTCGCCTATGGCGGTAATATGGGACCCATGTCGAACATCAACGACGAAGGCTTCGGCTCAGAGGCATTCCACTCGTTCCCCGACACCATGATCTGGGAGGCATACTCGAGCGACTACGGCCAGAACTTCCTCGGCCATATCCTCGGCGCTTGCACGTACTTGGTCGACCACCCTGACTTCGGCATGGTGAGCTTCGGCGGCAATATTTTGACGCCTTCATACGGCGGGGTCGCCTCAGTTTCCGTGCAACCTATGGATACCGTGCGACAACGCATCTATGTTGCGCCGGCGGGACTTGCCATGCAGATCAATGCAGGTGCCATTGATAGCTTTACTTATGATTCTACGGCCAAGGCGGTGACCGTGCAGCTGGGCATGGGCAGCGGGCAGAGTGCCAAATCTGCAATCATGACCTACGAAGATACGATTGGGACAGGAGTGGAGTATGCTTCGTCGGCTCAAGCTGGGAAGTCGGGCGGGTACAGTGTGACGTTGCCGTCTACGCTGACTTTCAACATGTAGTGTATACAAATGTGGCATATTGTACTGTATCAAGAGGCGACGCGAGACTCCCCCACCGGGTCCTCCACGCTTCATGCATAACGCGAAGTTTAGCCTAAACCGGGGCTTGAATATCCCCCACGATCGGCGAGGCGATCTGCACCCCATCCTACATCATGGTTGCAGTGCAATTCGTTCAATCGCTGTATGGGAGGTGGTCATCGGCAGGGTGTCCCGCTGAATCGGAAGGGTCGGCCGCAGTCACGTTATAATGTCCTCCGGGCGCGGCACATCTCTCGTGCGGAATCGGACGCCGTTCACGATAGCCGGGGCAACATCCTCGATCCGACAGAGCGACCGCGGCTGGCCGGGCGCCAGTCGACGTAACCGTGCCTGCGTTGCGAATTGACAATCCCGGCACCAATCGCTTTCCTCCTCCGCTCCGAGCTCATGGAAGACGGCGCCGGCCATGGCGAGGAGCAGGTGCACCGGGCGCGCGTATTTCAGGTTGTCCAGCCGGCTGATAGACTGGATGGAACGACACATTTGCGCGGCGGTATTGTAAGCGTTCCGCCGCACCGCCTGAACCGTAGACTCCCAGCTTTCCTCCCCGTTGCATCGAAAGTACAAGAGGCGCAGGGTGGCGCAGTCCGCAGTCAGACTGCTGATCCAGCTTACCATGGCGGTGGCGATCTGGCCATGCGGCCAATGGGAGAAGGAGTTCCAAGGCTGGAACATCGGTCGGGAGGACAGAAAGCGATGCTCCTCGATATCGAGATCGAGGTCAGTAGCACTGGAGCGAGCGACTTTTGGGAAAATGTCTGAAGACTGCCAGGTCATCACGCCCTCACTGAAGCGCAGCAATTTTTGGACGAGCCGCGCGATTTCGCCGGCATCCGATGGCAAAGAACTTTGTACAAGCACATCGCTCCTCTCGAGAAGCTCGGGAAAGCGAAAGAGAGGAACGTATCCCCTCACCGCTCCTGCTTTGATGCTTTCAATCGATCCCGGTAAAGTAGTCTGAATGTCGACCAGTGCTTGTACATCGACATTCATGCGGCGGCGGAGAGCCATGAACATCTTGTAGCCCCCAAACACTACACTCTGCAGGTTCGGCACGGCTACCTTCTGGCTCGTTGGCGACACATCGAACGCAGCGGCACCCATGCGTTGGATCAGCTCTGCGCTGGCCAAGATGTGCTTGTCCCAGGTACGCTCCGTTTGCGGCTGCGAAGAGATGACCGGTTCACTATAGAGCCCGAGCAACTCGATTCCGAGGACCAAGTCGCCGGGGATGACTTTTTGCGTACTGGCATCGTCGAGGGCGCGTCTGACGGAGACAATAGCAGCGCCGTATGCTCTGCGGGCTTCGTGAAGCACGCGGAGGTCAACTTGTCTCTGCATCGAGGCGACGTGGAGTAGGGACAGGGCGGTGGTGCTGAAGGCAACCCAGGGCGACGTCATGTCGGTCGTCGCCAGCAGCGAGGTACTCCAATGCGGCGATCGATTCGCATCGGGGCGACACTGGGCAATGAAGCCATCGCGAAGGTGAGTGGAGACGTGTTTCCAGCTCTCGAGACTGGCGGCCGGCTGTCCTACGTAGCCTCCGAATATGCTCGTCTGACGCACAAGAGCCTGGGAGTCGTGGGCCAGGGAGGTGGGCGGTGGGGCTTTCGGTCGTCCGGCTGTGAGACGCAGAGGTTGAAGTTTCATGGCATGTTCCGTAGTGACTGGTGAATTGCTGCCCGATGGGGTCACATCGGACGGTTCATGCTCTCGCATGTAGATTTCCACCGTGGCGTAACTGCATTCACGCCCAAGGCGGATACAATTCTGACATTGCGGGCGCTGCTCATCGCACTTGACCCTGCGAAGTCTTTTACACAGCCCTCTTATCAGCCATGTTCGCCTTGAGTGTTGATGAAGGTAGATACTTCACATACCGACAGGTGCGACAACCAGCACTCGACTGCTTTAGACGGACAACGCGTGGCCGCTTAGGGGGTGCGGTGGCCGATCTATCAGACATGGCGTCTCCATTCTCCTGGTCTGTATAAAGATCTTCTCATCAGGTGGAGAGGCAAAGTAAGCTACATATGCTTTCCAAGGCGCGCCCGCATAGGTAGGTAGAAAGGCACCCATGGGGACAGTGCGGGGCCCGAAGGGTTGGGGCTGAACATCCAGTAAGCGTCTACCACGCTTTGCTACCGTAGTTCGTGGCGTCGGTACTGTCAACGGCCCAGCTCCAGCTTCCCACCTATCTCAGGCTGGTGACCTGGCTGAGATGACTAAAGATATGTCAGCCTTCCAGCCGGTTATGGTCAAAAACATGTTGGTGACCCTTAACCCGCTCAGGGTAGGTCGGTGATGCGGTAAGGTTGCGAGGCTATTACATGCCCGTCAACACTAGATCTTACGACGTCGCGGCAAACGACGGAGATTGCGAGCAATCGTGAGTTCGGGGGCGTTCATCGCCATCTGCCATCTACGACAGCCTCATGAGTGTCGTTCGTTTGCTGCCTAGCTTCTATACAATATTCTGCAATTCTTGCCCGGCAATGAACTTCCGCAGGTTGACTGCAATCAGCCTCTCAGCTTCTTGCGGACGACCGCCAGCCGCGTGCGGACTCAAGATGAGATTCTTCTGCTTCCACAACGGCGACGATTCCTGTAGTGGTTCTTTCTCAAACACATCGAGCGCTGCCCCGCCGATGTCGTCTGCATCGAGTGCCGAGTTCAACGCGTCTTCATCGATACAAGTACCTGCAGAACGTAATTAGCATCAAATACGAATGATCGAGGTCGCCCAGGATTGACACACCTCTGCCGACATTCACCACCCATGCATGCTTGGGCAACGCCTTGAGCCGCTTGGCGTTGAGCGCGTGCTTGGTGGAGTCCGATCCCGGCAGAATCATGACCAGTGCGTCGGTCTTTGGCAGCAATTCCTCCAGCTTACCCTCACTGTAGACCTCGATGCCGTCTCGGACGCCGGCATGTCGGGCAACTCCCGTCACGCGGGCTCCAAGGGCCGTCAATGATGGCACCAACGTCTTGGCGATGTTGCCGAAGCCCCAGACGACGATGTTGGCATCTCTCAAGGTGGTGAATTTTCCTGCCGGTCGATCGGGTTGAGGACCGCCAAGGTGGGCAGGCCACTTGCCTTGTGATTGGTAGTCACGCATTTCATGGAATCTTCGCGCGGCACTGAGGAGTAGTCCGAGGGTGTGTTCGGCAACAGTCCTGTCATGAAGGCCAGACCCAGTTGTGATGGCGATTTTGGATGCATCGAAGCCAGCGTTGAGGACATCGTTGGGCCCGGCAGCCAGAGACTGGATCCAGCGTAGCTTTGACAGATTCTGCTGCGCGTCCTTGAGATTCTCGGGAGTGTTGGTCCATGTCACCAAGATCTCGGCATCTCGGTGGTCTTTGGGAATGGGCTTGGTGACGTCGTAGGGTTGGAGGGTGACGCTGAAGCCTTCCAGCAACTCGGGCTTCAACTCCAAGGAAGTGGGATAGAGGAGCTTCATTTTGGGCGATGAGGCGGGGTTGCAGTGATTAGACAGCTGTTCAATTCTTGAAACGGGGCCGGGCATGGAGCGAGAGGGACGAGGGAACGTTTTATCCAGAGCGCCAGGTAAGTTTCGGTATTTCGATGTATTGCTCCCCAAATCCGGCTATTGACGGCGACTCGACGCACGGCGGAACGAAAGCCGCGCACGTGCAAGGCGGAGCCTGGCCCGATCAAGAGATGCCGCTCACCATATCATCCTGCCAATTCCTCCTTCCTCAAATGTCGTGGTAGGGATAACATTCGCGGGGAGGTGGAACAGCGCCAAGTGTCAAAAGGCACTGCGAACTGCAATTAGGTAATGAGTGTGGGCGGCCACTTTGACTCGCAAGGCTGACCTCTTGCGCTTGGATCGACGTTCCGTTCTGCTGGTACCATCGCCACCACAGTGGCCATCCAGGTCTACCTACTCTATTTGCTTACCATCCTAACGCACGAATGTCAAAGGTAAGCGGTAGCACACTGCTGGCCCTTGCGATGCAAATTAAATTTCGTTCTGCCCACCTATTTATTCCAGCTCCTCCCTTTCCTACAACTTCCACCTTCGTCTCCAGCACCAACTCTTTCTACATCAACCTGCCACCCTCTTCCAGACATCATGGTCTTCCTCATGCTTGCGCCCGTGCTCTGCGCATTCGTCGGCATAGGCGCGCTCAGTTGGGTAGCTTCTTTAGCAGCGCGAGATGTCAACGGAATCCAGCGCAGTGCTACGCTTCCGGCCATGTTGCACTTTCCCGTGGAAAGGTACGTTGTCATCTTGTGTCCTGATCTGCCGGCCGCTCACCTTCAACGCAGTCTCTCCGCGTACGACATGTCAGTGGTGGATGGCATGAGTGTCCGCCTTGATCCCGAACGCAGCGCGCCTCTTGGCTACCATGGCGCCATCTTTGAGAATGAGGCGAAGAACTTCAGTCGCGATGGGTTAGTTACAGGCGTAGGGGTAAGTCAAGCGGCGGTCGTTCGATGCTATCAGGAAGTCGATATGCTGATATGATTGACTACAGGAGCAACGCAAGCCGGGCGTTCACCACGGCAAGCTCTTCGTGCCGCTCAGCGAAGGTGGAGATAATGTGGAAGGCAAGTGGTTCGCAGTCGACTCAGCCGTTGCCGAGAACACTACCATCGACGCTTTCGACAATCTCAAGAATGCGGTGACAGGTGTAGCCGGAGAGATTGCAGGTCCCCAGGAAGCACTTCACCTGGTCGCCGCCCTGATTGCTGTGGCTGAAGATATGAAGTGGGAGTAAGGAGAGTTCTGCATTGACATGCTCGAGTGATGCAAGGGAGAAGATGAAATCTGAAGGTGATTGTTGGAGGTGCAAGCGTTGATGATTTGAGAATGGGATTCAAGTCTTCGTTCGTCGGCGACCAAAGGGCGAAAAAGATTGAAAGCTTGGGGGTTGGAATGGTGTCGATGGTTCTTGGTCGCTTGGTAGCTCTACCTTGTCCGATTTGGTTGATCAAATCTGAACACATGTAGGTGTCACGTTCGAGCTCTGTCTTCGCGGCAGATACATCCCTGCCCGGACAACAGGCGCCGTCCTTGCCGCGTGCGGTTCACGTGGTCATCTGCAAATGTCGCGATGTGGAAAGTCTACGTGTGCCGTGTGCCGAACGATTCAGCCCACGACCGCCTTTAGCCTCGGCCGGCTCGCCAGGCCTCGCGATCTAGTCGAGTAGAAGTACTAACGACTCCCGCGCTATTTCCATCCATCCCCCAGATCATGGACCTCTGCGAATGGAGGGGACGGAGGCCTACGATCACGGCACGGCCGACAGAATCCCGCATTGGCGCCAGGTCTGGGATTCTTCGGGCATCACACCCGCGGTCCAGAATCACAGATACGATGGCTCCGGAACGGCAGATGATCCTTATGCGGTGACATGGATAGACGACGACCCCCGGAATCCAATGCTGTACGGCTCGACGAAGAGATGGAGCATTATGATGATTGTTGCTCTCGCCGCCTTGCTGGTCTCCATCGACTCGAGTGCGTATTCTGGCAGCGCCGACGAGATCACGCGACATTTTGGGTGCAGTAGAGAGGTGTTCACGCTGGGCATTTCACTGTTTGTGCTTGGATTCGCCGTTGGGCCAGTCATGTAGGTCATACAGCATTCGCATCGAATGTCCCGTACTGACGGCAATGCCTGACAAGATGGGGCCCGTTTTCGGAGATATTCGGCCGCCGAGCAGTCTTCATCCCGACCTACCTTGGACTGACCGTCTTCAACGCCGGTGCTGCGGGATCCCAGAGTCTGGCGGCACTGCTCGTCATGCGATTTCTCGGAGGCATGTGTGGCTCCAACTCGCTCATCAGCGCCGGCGCTGTTGTGGCCGATCAATTTCATCCTCGACAGCGAGGACTGGCGCTTGCATATTATGCTGTTACTCCGTGAGATAATCCGTTCTCCCTCTTTTGCGTAGACGTATGAGCTGACGAGTGGACCACAGGTTTCTTGGGCCTGCGTAAGCGAATGCTCCCGTCTCTCGACGACATCGACAGATGGAATGCTAACTTGTCTCCAGAATTGGTCCTGTATTCGGCGGGTTTATAGGCTCGGGCGTCGGCTGGCGCTGGATCGAAGGCGTGTTAGCCATCGCCACCGGCATGGTCTTGATCGTGTACATCTTCACAGTCCCGGAAACCTACGCTCCAGTCATCCTACGCCGGCGAGCACGCAAGCTCACATCCATGACCGGTCAGCAGTACAAGTCGGCTCTGGAGATCAAGCAAGGCTCGAAGAAGCTTCGTGATGTCGTCAAAGTCGCTCTTTCCCGTCCCTGGGTTCTGTTGGTTTGTGAACCGATCGTTACGGTGTTGAGTGCGTATCAGGCGGTGATATATGCAACATTGTATCTTTGCTTTGGTAAGTTGTCAAGCCCCGCGAGAACGCACTCGCTAACAATGCCTCCTCCAGCGGCTTTCCCAATTGTATTCCAGGAAGAAAGAGGTTGGTCGCCTGGTATTGGCGGACTGGCCTTCCTAGGTGTGATGATCGGAATGCTCATGACGATTCCATACAACATTTGGACCAACAAGCGATACGCAAAGCTGTCCGATAAGCATCACGGCTTCGCGCCCCCGGAAGCTCGCTTGCCTCTTTGCATGGCTGGAGCGATTACTGCACCAGTTGGATTATTCTGGGTATGTCTTTCCTCTCATCATTGGGAGGGCACGGCGACTGACTGTGAGTGTAGTTCGCGTGGACCGACTCTCCCTCCATTCCGTGGATTGTGCCCATCTGCGCCGGAGCACCGTTCGGCTTCGCAGTCGTGGTTGTGTTCCAAGGAATCAACAACTACCTCGTGGATTCGTATACCATCTTCGCGGCATCGGTATTGGCAGGGACAGCCGCACTGCGCAGCGTCATGGCGGCAGCATTCCCTCTCTTCACCGATCAAATGTTTGCCCGTTTGGGTCTGCACTGGGGAGCATCGATTCCTGCGTTCCTAGCGCTGCTGTTTGCACCATTTCCTTTCCTTCTGTACCGCTATGGCGCAATGATCCGAAAGCGATGCAAGTACTCTGCGGAAGCGCTGGCGTACATGAAACATATGCAGGCAGCACGAGGGCAAGTTGTAGTCCGTGACGAGGGAGCAGGTAAAGAGGTAGAAGATGGAGAGACGGACACGCAAGTCGTGACAGATGAGAAAAGCGAGGAGAAATGATTATGAAGAACGAGAATACACCGCGCCGTTGTGTGCAACGTAAAGCTGACAAGGATGCGTCCTCATACTTTATTACTCAACTTACCCGGTGGCTGTGGATTTGAAAAAGTAGCGAGTGCTGTCGAGTAGGACTCCAAGCCAAAGCGTTCAGCCGGTCTCAACGTCATGCTCATGATGCGTGGTATCGTCTTCCGAGCGACGACCTCCGCTCTAGGCACGAGGAAGTGGAAGGAGATGTTCGAAGAAGGCTGCGGAGCTATGGAATGTGCGGGCAATCCGGGGGTCAGCATGACGATCGAGGCGGGGAAAGCAAGACGTCTCGCGGCCAGCCTACCTCATCGCTGTTCGTTTGTTCCATTGATAAAGCGCTGGCAAACACCCGATTGAATGTTCTTGGACTACGACGAATCGTACGGACATGCGAAGAGCGAGCGAATCATTACATGTACAGCATCGTTCCCTACTTGGTTGCAAGCACTCTCGACCTCGACATCTATTGCCATCTGCAAGCAATTTCATCCGCAGCCGCACTACGTCAGGCAGTGGTTCAAGATCAATCGCAGCCCGCCATACTGCTCTCTCAAGACCATCAAGGTTACCAACATCGCAAACCCGGCAGCCACTAAATCGAATGGAAGACACGCGAAACTTGCATGGGAGCAGCGGCACGGGAGCTCAACGAAGCGAAGAGTGGCAAAGCCAGGCGCCATACCGGGTTCACGGCCAGCAGGAGGAGTTTGATGTCAAGCATGAGGCGAGTTGTCATTGTGGGCGAGTGCAATATCAGTTGAAGCGAGCGGTGCCGCTGGACAGCAAGTTTTGCCATTGCGTCGAGTGTCAGGTGCAGCATGGTGCGTGCCTCCCTGTCTGTTCGCCACTGTTCCTTATCTGTGCTGATTGGAGAAAACGCCAGGCGCGCCTTTTCAATGGGCTGCGATCTTCCATAAGGAGGACATCAACTTCACGCGCGGCCATGAGGGGTTGGAATGGTATGATTCGGCAAAGAGGGAGGCACGACACACGCTTCCTTGTAAAGTGCGGTGTGCGTATTGCAAGACGCCCATCATGGACGAAGGACGACGTATGATCCTGCTGTTCCCTACTTTGATCAGTCTGAAGTCCGAGCAGGCGAGGAGAGACTTCCGGCCCAGGTCAGTGCCTTGTGAGACCGATGAGAAGATGCACATGCTGAGTAAACTGGGAGCGTAGGATGCATATGTTCTACAGCCAGCGGGTTGTTGACATTGATGACGATCTGCCGAAATGGAGGTGAGTGACATCCATCCATCCATCCATCTAACCAAGCAAAATGGAGAGAGCCAGTCAAAAGTGATGTGAAGATGGGGCTGACCATTAGCAGCGGTATGGCCAAGTCCAGCGAACTGATTGGGGGAAGTGAGCCGAAAGAAGTCGATGGTAATCTGTAGTGCCTCCTAATGAGTGGATGGTGAATGCTAGGATGACCCTTTGTGCTTCCTCTGAACGTGTAATATTTCACGGTGTACTTCACTTCGCATTCACTTGACGTGTCACTCACTGCTCTGGCTATGAATAGGCCCTCCTATTGTGCGACACAACAATAGCACTGGTTTTGTCTTTCGACTTATTCCCACTCTCTCAGAATCAACAACTTCGACTCGTCTACAGTGCTCATCCTTTCTTCGTCAAGAGTAAATCGTTCAAAAGGGAGTGGGTGTTGGTAAGATCACCGACGCCAAGCCCCGAACGCCTCACGGACCAAGCGCAACGACCTCTCATCAACGTGAGTTCATGTCTCCTACTTGCCTGCCCCATCACCCCAACAATGCCGCCCACATCGGAATGCGCGCTTCGCAGAATCTAATCATGGCACTCCAGACTGTTCCCCTCCTTGCGCGAGCAGTGCGCGCATAATGGCCAAGCGGAAGAAAGGCAGCACTTCCGAAACCCCACCGAGCAAGAAGCGACGCAAAGGAGACTCGCCCTCCGCTCACCACAAGCACGGCGACTTCGATCCCGATCGGGAGTATAGGATCAAGTCGATTCTCGACGAAACCAAGACTCACTACCTCATCAGCTGGGAAGACGACGACGCCAGCGGCGAGACTTTTGCCGACACGTGGGAGCCGAAGGAGAACGCGAATCGTGAGGCTGTCCAGGATTGGCGCAAGCAAAAGGGCAAGAAGAAGAGTATGCTTGCTTGCTTCTTTCTTTTCCGTGCCTGCAATCATGACTAACATTTGCATAGACGTAGTATCAACGACAGAGGTGCGCAAAAGAGGCAGGCCAAGACGAATCGTCCGCAGCTCATCACCGCCCACCTCGCCCGTGCAGCCAGCAGAGGGACTTCTCGAAATCGATGAAAGCCAGCATTCGCCGCCACCATCCCCTTTGCCACCGCATCCGGACCAGGGAAGTCCTCTGTTTGTAGCGAGCCCGCCATCAGACGACGCCTCGCAACCGCCTAGCGCCGCCGTTCACCCATCAGCCCCGCCTTCGAGCTATCTGGCCGGAGAGTATCAGAAATTCGCATCATCTCAAGCAACCCTAAGTGGAGTGTCTCGGGATCAGCAATCATCCGCGGAGGCCGTGCCACAGACCTCGCTTGAGACCAGCGAAGACCAACAACAAGCCGCGCTCAAAGCTACCACTCCGCCAAGATCTCTTTCTCCAAAGCCACAAATCCCAAGCAACGAAGATAGCTCAGCGCAGGTTGTCCCGGATTCCCAGAGTCTACTCGACGCCGCACCCATCATCGATTCTGCGCCGGCTGTAGTACCCTCCGACATTCCTGCCCGTCTCACCCCGTCTGTGACGAACGCGAACGAGGTTCAGCACCCAGCGTCTTTCATCTTCCCAGACGCCCAATCCAACGGACACATCTCATCTGGAGAGCAGAGCGACATCGACCACCCTCAAGGACAACAGAACCATACCTCACCCTCTGACCTCAGCGACGCACCAGCAGTACAACCGGTGGGATCTCACATCTCTCTAAACACCGAAGGCACTGCACCCCATCCGCCTCAAGCATTACTCGACTCACCCAATCGCCCTGTCACCCCTCCAAACCAGCCCCATTCCAGGACCGGAAGCCTTTTCACCGTCACCCCGCCGCTGCGTCGTCCCCGTGGAGTGGAGACTCCCGCTCAGCTGCGACCTTTGGATTCCAGTGCCTGGCAATCTACTTTTCCCTTCCAGACACAGCTGTCCGCGCCGCATCCGAGCACATTCACCGCGTTCAACTCGCAGATAGATCTGAGCGCACGAGCAACAAGCCTCCCGGTCGGACAGACGTCTCCGATCCTCATATCGAGCCCCATTCCAGCGGTGCCGTCCCAGCCCATTAATACCAATCCAATTGGACTGCAGCAACCATTTGGAGAAAGCGCTCCCGCCCGGCCATTAACATTCTCTACTCCAGAGCGCACTCCAAACCACACGATGTCTTCCTCAAACCCGCGGCCGTCTGGCGGAAGAGGTGAACTTGCCGCGCGGATCCAGGCCGAGCGTGCGAAATTACACGCCGAGAGAGCGGCACGAAAAGCTGCAGCTGGAGTGGATTCCAATTCAGCCACTCCTCAGCAATCTGCCAACCTGAGCAGTGCAGCCGCCAATGCCAATCTGAGCATAAAACTGGCTTCACCATTTGTGTTTGAGCGCGAGACTGCACGATCCCCATCTGCCATTCCTGCTCAGATGCCACTACCGGTGATTACACTGGAAGATCAGACTACTGCCGGGCGCTATGAGACTCTCCTGCCCCAGGCACAGGATGCCGCTACGGAAGAGTCGCAGAACAACACCAATCGCACTGTCGATGTCTCCGTAACACATGCGACCCCCTCTGGTACCGGGGAACATTCAGAGACAGCAAACGTCCGAGCGGTCCCTATCTACTTCATTGGGCACCAACGCGACCAGTACCCTCAGATGGTGTACTTCTACCGAGACACCATCCGCCGTTTCTTGACTCTCCCAAACCCCGATGCACCCTTGACCGCAGACGTCGAGCGGTTCGTAGAGCGTCTTCGCCACGTTACCCTACACCCCGATCTTGACAACGACGGCACCGCGACCCAATACGATGTCCAGCCTGCTCAGCAGGCGGATTGGGATGCGAGGTGTAGCGCGAAGTTCAGATTCTTGAAGGATCTCCTCGTCGGCTTGAAAGGGAGTCAGGTACGCATTGCGATTTTGTCGCAGCCTGGGAGAATCTCAGAGATCTTGGAGACGTTCCTGCAAGGTCTTGATATTCCTTACTCCCGCCCTAATAGTCTCGCAAGCGAGGGGCAAAGTGACGGACCGCTGGTCACTCTTCTAGACACGGACTCTACGACAAGTGATAAGCCGGTCGACCTGGTGGTGGCCATTGATAACTCGGTCAGGTTCGACACCAAGTCTATCCAAGATCTCAGCCGGAATGGCAGCAAATTCGCCCCATTCATCACACTAGTGGTGCCACGCTCCGTCGAGCACATCGAAAGATGTCTCTCCCCGACCCTTCCACAGCGAGCATACCTCCGGGCTCTCGTCAGCGGAATCCACCAGTACAAAGACGAAGCTGGTCGAAACTTCACTACCGAGCACATCCCCAAGAAGACGGGCCAAACATTGGCGCAGTACTTGCTACATGTGAAAGCAAGCGACGGCGACAGCTCAGACTGGCCATTGCCGCCATTGACAAACTTGCCGGATCTGGACAGCCAGACGGACAGTGAGCAAGAAGTTGTCAACACGAACAACACCGAAGCCAACGCTCGCACTGGGGAGAAGCGATCACGAGAGCCGAGTGAAGTCGATGCTGCAACTCCTGCAGATGTGAACAAGCGGTCTCGCCGAGAATCACCGCAGGCGGACGTTTCAGCAGCGAACGAGATCGACCAGCAGCACGAAGAAGCAGTGGACGTCACGCACATAAGCGACTCCATGGGAAAGCCTACGCAACCCAACGATTCCACCGAACCGACCACCTCAACCCCAGCTCCAAGCACAACCGAACAACGCCTGCAAAGCCTCCTCCAAGAAGTCCAAGACCGGCTCGAAGAGAACGTCAAAGTGCTCAGTGACCTACAATACCGCTACGAAGAGCAGCGCACCGACGTGCTGCGCTTCACCGCCGAGCGCGACGACGCCATCGCCACCGCGCAACAAGCCCTCACCCGCCTAAGCGAGGAATCAAACAAGCTGTCCAACCTGCGCGTCGAAAACAGCTCCCTGCGCGAACAGCTCAAAGAAGCAAACGAAAGGCTGCTAGCACACTCCGTCCCCGAGCGAGCAGAGTTCGAAACGCTACGCCTAACCGTTGCACAGAGCGCGGCGGAGAAGGAGAAGTTGGAACGAAGGCTGGAGGGCGCTAGCAAGGATACAGCGTACATTCGCGAGCTCTATCAGAATTCGTCGGGCACTGCGCAAGCCATGGTAGTAGAGAACGAGGAACTCAAGACGCAGCTTGCCACTGCGGAACGCAAGGCGGAGGGCGAGCAGGTCAAGTTGCGCCAGCTGGGCCACGATGCGTTGAGCAAGCAGTTTGCGGAGGAGAATAGGCGGTTGAAGGTTGTGGTCAAGGAGCGTGAGATGGGGTTGCGGCTGAGGGATGAGGAGATTGCGCGGCTGAAGGAGGCGAGTGCCGGGCGCATGGGAACGAGGGGGACGAGTGTGCCGCGGAGTCCGAGGCCGGGTAGCAGGCAGGCCAGTCCGGCGGCGGGGGAGCTTAGAGGCAGAGCGGCGGCGGCGGGGATGCTGCATCCTTTGCGCAATGCGTAGGTAGGGGAAGATTGGAGTGATTATGCTTGGTAGTCAGTGGATGAAATGGTTGACTACAGTTGGCACTGTCATCTCCGTATGGACGACTAAGACAAGCCCATTTCCGCTGTTTCATGACTCTTCAGACATCATTCACACTGCATTCTACCCGCATGCTGCACATTGCACAGTCTCGCGATAAGGCACGAGCCGTCCACCAATCCGTCGCTTCACGTCCTCATACCTTCCCTTCCGCGCCAGGAGCTTGCCCCGGCGCCGGCCTATGCGACAACGACATCGTCATCCCGGCAATCTTAACGACGTTCAGATCCTCTACCGACGCCGCATCGACACCCGTAATCATCGGCTTCAGCACGCCCAGGACCGACTCCACTTTCCGCTGAACGCGCGCGCGGTCTCCGAGCCCGTTGAACTTCTTCGATTTCGCGGCCGTGGCGTCGACCGCGTCCTCGATGTGCTTTTTCAGCGCCTGCCAGATGGCTTGCTCTTGCTTGATGTTGCGGAGGCCGCTCTTTGCGGCCTGGGAGATGATGGGAGATGGAGGGATGACGGCTGGGAGGATGGGCTTTTTGGAGATGGCGGCGCCTCTGGGCCAGGAGGTGCCCAGTGGCTTTTTGGGGCCGAGAGGGATTGTGTTCATGCCTGTGCGCTCAGGGCCTACGGGAGACTCTGGTTCGGTTGGATTGGGAGGGGGAGGGGGAGGGGTGGCTATCATGGCCGCGCGGTCTGCGTTGAAGCCTTTGGTGTGTTGGTGCGCGGAGACTCCGCGCGGCGCGTACGCGTTCTTCAGCTCGTGAACGCGAAGGGAGAAGACGGGAATGTTTTGAAGCGCGTTGGACGTTTCAGCTTCGCCCTCGACATCAACCTCGTTGATGACGTGGGAAACGGTCGTGTGAGCCAGAGATGGCGTATGCACCTGGAAGCCACCCGGTGTGTAGTAGTCGATGTTTAAGGCGCGGCAGCGGCGGCGAGGATGGAAGACGGTGCAGTGGAGGCATGGCCAGATGCACTCGTTCCAGGTGTGAGTGTAGCTGTTGCAATGAAGGCATGGCTGGGGCTCGGTGTATTTCAGACGCTTGTCAGGCCTGAGTGGAGGCACAGAATGAGATCAGCAGATGCCGGTAGAACGTAGCCCTCATCTTGCACTTACAGGTCCTCGACTCCCGGAGAGGGAGAGAGTTCACGTTTACAGCCCATCTTAGACAAATGTTTCGGCAGCGAGGTGCGAGTGATGAGATGCGCTGAGCGTGGTCAGGCCGCTTGAGGAGGGAGGTTCAGCTGCAAGGCACCAGTGTTGAGATGAAGCTTCAGGTAACCCTCGTCATTGCGTGCATCGGGAAGGTACGCGTGGGAAGCGCGTGGTCATCGCTCCTTCCTCTTCCGGACCCAGACCAGCCACCCCGTCGTGCATCGATGCATATGCTCCCCGAACCTTGAAAACAACTGCACATGAACGAGTGGAAGGAAACGAAACGAACTGAGTAAAGTAAATCGAGCAGAAACAAAGGTCAAAAAGGCGTTAGGCATAGGTTGGTATCTTACTGTCTCTCGTCCATCCATCTCCTCATCATCGTGTATCCAGATTATCGCCTCCACTCAATCACTCAAATCCGGGTTGGCGACGAACAACCGCTGCCCACTCATTGTCATAGCCCGATCATCCACGCTCCCTCTCCGCTTCAAGTCCTCCGCGCTCTTGAAATCCTGCTCCGCCCGCGGCTTCGACGGCGGCAAGCCCGCAATCCCGCCAAAGTCCTGCTCCGACGCCTCCGTCCCGCCATCCTCCTCTCCCCGCCCATCGAAGTAGTCGCTCTTGTTCAGGTTCGCGTGCGTAGGTACAGGCGTCTGGTCGTCTGCGACATAGCCCAGTCCATTGGGATGCAGATCTGCGTTCGAACCCAAATGACTGTTTGTGCGGGCTCCGCTGCCATTGCTGGAGCGTCCACTTCCGCTACGCTGGTGCGGAGGCCGCCCGTACTTGGAGTCGAGATCTTCATCGCTGCTATCGCCCTCCATCTCCGTCGCGCTCAGCCGAATCGGCACGCCGGCACCACTCATGTTCGCTCCGCCCAGATAGGCATGAGCCTTGGGAGCCCCGGGGTGACGGATCTTGCCTCGCAGACCACCGCTGCTGGCGCCGCTGGGATTGCTGCTGCTGGTGCTGATGCGACTGGTATGGTGGCGGCCGCCGGCGACCTCCATGGCGGCGCGCTGCTTGTCGTGGCGCTTCTTGTTGAGGACGGAGGGGTCTTCGTGTTGTGCGCGGTCGCACCAGACGGTGGCTTTTTGCTTGCGCATGAGGGCGACGTAGGAGGTGGCGGAGGCGGTGGTGCCGGTGGAGCGGGAGGAGGTGGAGCGGCGGGGGAGGGAGGCGGAGGAGTTGGTGGGGATGCGCTGGATGCCGGAGGAGTTCATGGTCGAGGAGGTGGAGGTGGAGAGGCGCGGGGCATAGGGGTATTGTTGGGCGGGCTGGGGCGGCGCGTGGTGTGAGATTGGGGGATTGGGGCTGTTGGAGGACTGACGAGGTCGAGGGTCGGAGTATTGCGAGGGATGTGGTTGTTGTTGGGGGTGATGGAGATCGGAGTAGGAGGATTGAGCGCCGACGCCGTGGACGGGTTTCCGATGGAATTGGCCGGAAGGATTGAGCATGACGGTTGCTGACATGGTTACTGCGGGGCGCTGCTCGGCGGCCTGGCGGTGGTGAAGAGGGGCGGGCGGGCGGGCGAGGTAGGGGTGTGTGTGGCACGCCGCGGAGAGGCTGAGATGGGGAGCCGGGCGCCAAGGGAGCGATAGGTGAAGTGATTATATGCTTTTCGGAGATGGTGGCCAGACCGGAGCGAATGGTGGTTTGACTTCCGAGCGAAAGGATGGGAGCCGGGGGGTTTTAGCTCTGGCCGTGGGTGAGGATGCGGGTTACCACACTTTTAGCCTGTGGATTGCCTGATGATGCCTGCGTGCGTCCAACCAGTCAGCTGCGCCATTTTCTGCCCGCCCGGCAGGCAAGGCAGCTCGAGCTTGCCGGTGCTCTGCCCTGCCATTGGGCGGCGGCTCGTGTTGCTCGTGTTTTCACGAGCCGGGGCTTGCACTCACCTGATAGTCGGCCCGCGGAGAGTGAAGTGCCGGTCGCGCGTGATGATGGTATCCAGATAATATCACGGCAGTGTATGATGAGAAGCAGAGCGCAGGAAATGAAGTTAAAAAGCGAACAAAAGCAACCCAAATGTACCTGGAAAGAGTGGAGTCGCGGCGGGTGGCACGACGAAAACGCCGTGCCTCCTTCCTTTCTTACTAAGTCGCACACCAGTCCCACGGTGTTCAACAGCAGCTGAAACAACCCATCGCCGTCCTCGGCATCATGACTTCATCCCAGCCCCATCGATACCCACAACATCCCACTATCGATATGTGTGGCCAATGCACGCACGCGGTGGAGCAGGCGGATGTCAGCCTCCGCCTTGGTGGGATTGGGATCGACGATTCTGGCGGTGTGCTCTGCACTTCACTTCACGTCGCTTCTATCAATGGGAGGGGTGGAGATGGGACAATATCTGTGCATCAATATCTGCATTCTATCGGCAAAGTCAAACACGAACTATCGAAGGCATATTCTCGCTTTGATCCAATGCCGGGCCGGAAATAGAACGGTGTGTGTCCCGTGTAGCTGTGCCATGCACCGCCACGCCTCCGCTTGGACCTCACCACGGACCTCACTCAAAAGCGTGATAAGAAAAGCATGTGGCACATCACCTTGTGGGCACTGTGGCACGTGTGTCCTATTCTCGTCAGATGGCTATAACCGCACCTTGCCATGCACCAAGCCCTCCCAATCCCTCTTCCGAAAAGGCACATATCCTTCCTGGCCGGGCTGGCGCCACAGAAACCCATCGTCCATCCCCTCCTTCTCCTCCGTGCCCAGCAGCCCCGGATCCACCCCTTCCTTGCGCAAACCCACCTTGTTCTGCTTGTGGTTGTGGATGTGCGAGCTTCGCTTCACCACTCGCAGGAACACCGGCACCGCATACCCGGGCAGTTGTTTTCGCGCGTAGCGAACGAGATCCACGTAATCGGGTTCCCCCCTGCCACTCTCCAGATGTATCGCCGCACACCCCGCCCGTCCCTCATGTCCTGGCACCAAGACGCCATACACATTCGCTTCCGCTATCCCACCATACCTCCCTAGCACCTCCGCCACTTCCGCCGTCGACACATTTTCCGAATGCCAGCGGTACGTGTCTCCGAGTCGATCGAGGAAATACCAGCAGCCATCAGTGTCGCGGCGCAACGCATCCCCGCTGCGGTAGTAGAGGTCGCCCTGTTTGAACACGTCCGTCGCGAACCGCTTCTCCGTTGCGGTCGAGTTATTCCAATATCCTGCGAATGCCGTCCGATCCTCGACGCCCACGAGAATCTCCCCGCCCTGCTCGTATGGCACACGTTGCGCAAAGCCCGTGCGCGGATCCCGCCAAATGTCGCCCGTTTCGTGGTCGATGCGCACGGGGATGAAGTAGTTGCGGTTCCGAATGCGATTGATGAGGCCGTGATGGCCGACGCAGCCGCTCAGGTATGTGTTTCGCGCGTGGTTGTGCAGCGTCATGAGGCCCTCGCTCGAGCTGAAGAACTCGAGGATCTCGGGGATGTTGAAGCGCTCGCGCATCTTGTCCCACACGTCGGGCCGCAGCCCGTTGCCGTACGCCAGCTTCATGCGATGTGCTCGATCTAGGGGATGTGGTGGCGCAGCGAGAAGGTAGCGCGCTGTTTCCCCCACGTAGACGAAGAAGGTCGAGCCGGAGTCATGGATGTCGGGCCAGAATTGGGAGACCGAAAAGCGCGACGGGATGGCGAGGCCAATACCGGAGAGTAGGGCGTAAGATCCGACGATCAGACCAGTGCCATGATATAGGGGCATTGGTTGGTACCAACAGTCTTCCTCCGGCTTGGCTCCGAACGAGGGTTCGAGCGGGGCATTCAGAACGAAACGAGAGATGATGAAGGGCGTGGCTTTGGGCATGCCCGTCGTGCCGGAGGTGAAGAGCTGTGCGGGGGTCAGCAATCGAATGCTCTATGTGGAACGGAAGCGTGCATGCTCACAATGACATAGGGGAAGGAAGGCTTGACTCCCCTCGCCAATGCATCATCCGGCTTCACCACCGGTCTCGCCGCAAAGTCTCTCTTTAACGCATCATCCAAAACAACAGCCACAACGCCCTTCTTCTCCATCTCCCCTCGACTCCCTTCCACGCGCGCTCGACACTCTTCGTCAGCATCCACAATCAACAGCCGACTCTCCACAACCGTCAAACAATGCATCAACGCCCTCCCCTCGAGATTGTAATTGATCGGCGCCACCGACGCCCCAATAGCAAAAGTGGCAAACATCAGCATCATGAACTCGGCGCTGTTGCGCAGGTACAGCGCCACCAGATCGCCCGGCCGCACGCCTTGCTCCAGCATCCACTGCGCCATTTGCAGGGTCGTAGAGTACATCTCGTCATATGTCCAGCTGCGCTCGCGCGTCCAGAGGGCGCGAATGTGCGGTTGACGTTGGCACACCTCTTCTACGAGGTACCAAGGTGCGGTCCTGTTGGCTTGGACTGTGACAAATTGTAAGTTATTGGCTCGTTCGCAAAACGCGGGATCGACATGCTTACGTCGACGCTCCCACGCTCGTTCGCTTTTTTTGCTGTCGATAAGCCCTTTCACTTCTCGACTGAGCTGGTATTTGCCGTTGAGATATGCTGCGGCGGCTACACCGCCAGCTGCGAGGGCTAAGACCATGTTTCGTCTGGGTCGTAAGGAGATGTCACGCCACTGTTGATGATGGTAGAGTAGATGGTTGTGAAGAAGACTGCTCTATCAACAGTTGTCACTTGCTCTACCAACAGTCAGCAAGCTGGAGATGCCCATATAGTAAGCACGGCATGCAGGGTGGACCTTGAGTTCACTTAACGTCGAAGTACCTCAAGCTACAGGCGATGCCGAGGCTGCTCACGCGATCACCTCGGCCCGCACGGCACACTGCGAATGTCTCTCTGACATTTACATGTCGAATAACATCCGCTCGTTTCCTCAACCGCTCCCGCTCCACTCGCGTTGTTTTGAGCGATAGTTGGGTTGCAGATACGCAGCGAAATGAGACGTCGTGGTCGTTGCGAGTGACCGTTGCAGATAACGCCGAGAATCCCCCGGATTCCAATGCGCCAAGCAATCTCGAAGCTAGCGCAACAGCGAAGTACAACGCAACATGAGTTTCCCTTCCATCGCATCTCTTGCGTCTTCGCCCAACAACTCCCATCCCCTCACCGACCGCGCCGCTCCTCACCATGTCATCCAACACTCTCCGCGACCGCAAGAAAGGCCAGCTAGCCAAGAGCGCCGACAAGCAGGAAGTGGTGGAAGCGGAGGACAACAAAAAGACCTTGAAGATGGTCGGCGCCGTGCCCGCCGAGCTGGACGACTTCGACCTCAAAATGGTCGTCTTGCCCGTCCTGGCCATCTGCGTGATGGTGTACGTCGTGATGATGTACGACTACGACTTCGCGTCCATCTTCTCCACCGGCATGATGAAGGTGAAGAAGGCGGGCAGTGGGGTGATGCCCAAGAACCGGTATCAGAAGTATTGAGGGATGGAGGGTAGGGAGGTTGGCAGGATGGAGGATATGGTTGGTGCACGCGACACTGAGACAACGCTTCGCTGCTGCCCGGCCTAGACTCCAAATTGTCCGGTCTGACATTATGACGGAATCTCGCGGCTGCCTCCTAGGGATCGATCGCGACGAACAGCTTTTGAACAAGGCACGAATAGCAGAACGCATACGGCTCTGCAAGAGGTTCAGGTGTCAGGCGGTGGACCTCCTCCTCGACCGCAAGCTCAGGACCATGAGGCGTGCTTAGCAAATCGATACTACCGTGCAGCGGGCAACAGGCGGTTGTTGACAAGGCTGGAGGAGTATAATTATGTCATCTCGGGAAAATAGATAGCGCGACGTCTCTCCACAGTGACGGGGGGATGTTGAAACAGAAGATCCCGGGGTCAGGTGATGGTGACTCGCTTAGAGGGGGAGGAGGGACAGAAGCGAGGCGCATCCTTTGTATTGACACATCATGCCACACCAGATTGGCATTCCACATTTCTGTGGCCCTCCAATTCTTCTCCCTCGCGCTTGACAAATGGAAAAGGCACGAAATGGTGTAGGAATAAAAGGGCATGCGCACGGGCAAGTGTCAACGCTGCACAGGCCGTGTTGCAGTTGAATGAAACGTGCGCTCCCCACATTTCCTCCCCAAAAGTGGGCGACGGCGTCGGGGATGACAGGGCCGAGGGTCGTGGTTGCCATAACAACCTGCACCTTCCTCCCCGACCAAACTTGGCGGAGCTGGCGGGCGTTGCAGGCCGCCTCAGGGAATGAGATGAACACCACGTCACGAGCAGGCAGATTGCGAAACTTCTTCTCCTCATCTCACCCCCTTTCGCCTCTTCCCTTTGTATCCTTATGAATTCATCCTCGTCGCCCTCCTCCTTCGCACTCCGGAGGCAGCGCCAGCAGCGGCAGTCACAACAACAACCACTACATCAGCAGCTCTAGCAGACGCAGTCCTTCCACTCCTTTCCCCTAGCCTGGCCCACGTGGGGCGGAGGCTTGCAGTATGGCGGATGACTATCAGATGCTGGAGGAGCTCGGCAGTAAGTCATTGACCACTCTGGCCCGTCCCCATGCACACCCTCTCTAACCATCCTCCAACCCCCAGGTGGCTCCTTCGGCGTCGTCTACCGCGCCCTCCACATCCCGACCGCCGAATACGTCGCCATCAAGCACATCGACCTCGAAGGCAGCGATGATGACATCCGCGAGATCCAGCAGGAGATCAGTCTCCTCGCCACCTGTAACTCCCCCTACGTCACCAGCTACCGCGCCTCTTTCGTCCGCGGCACCAAGCTGTGGATCGTCATGGAATACCTCGGCGGTGGCAGTTGTCTCGACCTGCTCAAGCCCGGGCCGATGGAGGAGAAGTACATTGCCGTGGTCATGAAAGAGCTGCTCCAAGGTCTCGATTATCTGCACAGCACCGGCAAGATCCATCGTGATATCAAAGCTGCGAATATCCTCCTTTCCGACGCAGGCCTCGTAAAGATTGCCGATTTTGGTGTTGCGGCGCAACTCACCAACATCAAGTCCCAACGCCTCACCTTCGTCGGCACACCATTCTGGATGGCGCCGGAGGTGATCCAGGAGGCCGGCTACGACTTTCATGCCGACATCTGGTCCCTGGGCATCACGGCGATGGAGATGGCGCAAGGCGAGCCTCCGCGCTCCGACATCCACCCCATGAAGGTCCTCTTCATCATTCCGAAAGAGCATCCGCCGAGGCTGGAAGGAAATCGCTGGACGAAAGAGTTCAAAGACTTCATTGCACTGTGTCTGAACAAGGATCCCGAGAAGCGACCCTCTGCTAAGATGCTGCTGAAGCATGCTTTCATCAAACGTGCGGGCAGGCCCGACATGTTGAGAGAGCTGGTGTTGCGCGCGAGGGATTTCGAGCAGAATGGGCGAGCGATGGATAGGGATGTGAGGTATTACGAGGAGACATTAAAATCGATGAGCAGTGCGGATGAGGAGGATGATTGGGTGTTTGACACTGTCAGGCCGTCGAAGAATGCAACTCGAAAGGCAGTGAACACCGCGAAGCACACTGTTAAACGAAGGAAACTGCAGCGTATACCTTCTGGAAATGCCACAAATGTGGAGAATGCCACGGCGGCACTGGAGGCTATGAACCTGGACGCCGCCCCATTGGGAGACATCACCAATGCATCGACCACTGGTACCACCAGAGACATGTCGACAATCAGAACGCCGAAACCACGGATCGCCAGCAGTCGCAAAGTATCGGCCATCACTGCACGAAAGATCTCAATAGCATCCCCGACATCGCGTCGCGTGAGTCGCAACATTTCGAGCCATGCACCACCCACACGCCCCGTCAGCGCAGCTCATCCAGCATCCAAACAGCCCTTGGGCCCCGACATGTCCTTTGGCAACAGCACCTCGACCGTCCGACAATTCAAGCGAGTCTCATCAGGGCCGAAGCCGACAATCTCCCCCTTACAGCAGCCACCCCAAACCACCTCCTCGCCAATCGAAGACCCCTCCCCCTTCGACAGCGATGCCGAAAACCGCCCGCCTCCAGTCCACCCTGTAGTAGCACCACCCAGCCTCCCATCCACCAAAGAAGCCATCCTCGGCCGCCGCGCCTTCACCAAAGCCCTCGACCCATCCTTCCAAGAAACCCACGCTTCTACCAGCGACCAAACCAAACGCGAAGCCCTCTCGCACGTTGCAGAAGCTTGGTCGAACCTCAACGCTGTCGATCCCGAAGGCGAACTCCTCCTGCTGAAATCCATGATGGACAGAATCCAGGCGGATCCGAAGCTGGCGAGCGCGCTACTACCCGCGCGTGTCGTTAATGCGCAACTCGCGAGTTTGAGGGGAAATCGCTCGCCTGTCAAGGGAGGCGGGAAGAAGAGCGGCAGTGTAGTTGTGATGGTGGCAGAGGAGACGGCGGAGGAAACTGATGCGGAAGCGATGCAGACCTCGACTCCCACCAAAGGCTCCAACGTGCGGACGAGCAGCACACCACAGCAAAGCCCTTCGAAACCGCAAGCGCAGCAGCAGAGTCCAGGCGGCGCCCGCCTAGTCCTCAACCCGCAGAATCCGCATCTGCAGCGCATGCGCTCTGGTCAGCAACTCTCCGCTACAACAGCCGAGAAGGACGCCAAAGCGCTGTCGTCTCCGCCTCCTCCGCCGGTCATGGCATCGCTGCTAGACGAGAAGATGCCTGGCAGGATTGAGCCTGGTTTGGAGCACGTGGGTCTACTGGGGGACGTGTTGTTCGGGCGTTGGGCGGAGGGGTTAAGAATGAGGTGGCCGGTTGCGTGAAATTGGGGGTAAGAAAGAAACGGTTTGCATGGTTTGGTGCATGAGTGGAGCGATGCATTGGTGCTTTCAGGATAGAAAGAGCACAGGGTTTGGGGCTTTTACCATTCAATGTATAGATTTTGCGCGCATCAGGACCAAGCAACAAGGCTGGTTTTCGCGGCGGTGTTTTCTGCTTGCTTGCTTGAGGCCGCTGAGCGTGGGTTTTGTTCCTTCGGGGCGATGGAGCTGGCACGGGCTGTGTGTATCGTGTGTATACATAAATTGCATCTTCAATGTAAGAGTATCGAGCCAAAGTGTCTATCTTTCTGTAGATCCGTGACCTTGTTAGATGATCCCCAGGGGCATGAGCATAGCACGCTCTGTCTCTCCCAATGCTCCTCGAGATACCCAAGCGCCTCGCTGAGTTCAACACCGAATCAAAGCTGGTTGTCCGTCTTGAATTTGTCCCAGGCCTCATTCAGCGTAGCAAACACCGCGCCGGAAATCATGCGCTGCTCCGTCGTTGCATCCTGCGGAATCTGTTGCAGACCCAATCAGCACATTCCCAAAACAAAGCGCCAAAAGATTGATCCAAACTCACCTTATCAGGATGCACCTTCGCAATAGCCTTCATATACACAACCTTCACCCTCCCAGGCACAATCAAATCGCCCATCCCAACCTTCTTCCACCCCGCCTCGGCCCACAACACCGCATCCAAAGTCGACAGCAGCGCGCGCAGATTGTCCGTCTTGCCGCCTCGCCACGCCGTCAGCCGCGCATCCACGGCGTCGGAGAGCGCAAACTTCTCGTCGTCTGCGCGCTCTGCTTCGGCGTTGGCGAGTCGCAACTTGGCGACGGCGGAGTTGGAGGAGGCGGAGGGGCGCGTGAAGGTGTTGTTTTGGGGTTTCGATGGTGAGGGGCGGGAGGCGGGTTTGTTGGTGCGAGGTGGAACGGTTTTTGGGGCGGCGGCCGCTTTCGATGCGCCGCCTGCGGCTTTGTCGCAGCGGTCGCGGCCGCTTAGACTTACTGACCCGCCTGCGCCGGCTGCAATGGCTAGGCGCCATACGACTGCCGCATCGGCGTACTTCTCCAGGTGTTCGAGAGCTTCTGCTTTGCGCATCACCGCTTTGCCGTAGAACTCCTTCATTTCTTTCGTGCCCTCCCCCGACCCGAGATCGATGGTCTCGCCTTGGCCTTGGCCTGGGCCGATGATCTCTAGCGCGCGGTCGGCATCGGTGATGGCTTGTTTGGCGTCGCCGGTTTTTAGGGCTGTTAGGGAGCGATTGCTGAGAACTATGATTGCGATGGGGTGATTAGAGGGGAGGGGGGTCAGAGCGGCGGTATAGGAGTCGTGCGCGGCGCCGTAATCGCCGCGTTTGAAGTGCTCGCCGCCTGCTTTGCGATGGGTGGCGGATGCTGCGAGAGCGGATGGGGAGATTGAGGGGATATTTCTCTGAGGGATGGAGAGCTTTGGCGGTGCTGGTGATGACCGAGAGGCGGGTCGTGCTGGAGAGGGTTTGCTGGACGCAGGTGTGGGTATTGGCGAGCTTGTCTTGGGCGGAGCTGGGCTGAAAAGGTCGACTTCTGGCTCAGGCGCCGGCTCGGGAATTGGAGTCGTCTTCTTCCGCCGAGCAGGACTGATATAGGCCTGTGCGGTCTGATCCTCGACGTCCTGTCTGCTGAGTTTGGTTGTTGGGCGTCTGTCTGATCCGATTGGCGGTGTTTGCACAGGCCGAGGTCTTGCCTGTACTGCTGGTCTCTGAGGGAGCGACTCCACGGGCGGTGAGGATCGTCGGCCCTGATCATCAACCGCTTGTGCAGAGGCGGATGGCCGCGGTGGTTTGGGGGGTCGCTGGCGTGGTGCATCAAGCATCGCTGCTTCATCTGTGAGGTCCACGCTCGGTGATACTTTGGCGGCGGGGTCGACCGGTCTTCTCTGGCTGGTCAGTCGTCCGCCGGATTCTGTACTTGGGTCGCGCATCCATCTCGGCTGAGTCGACTCTCCGTCTTGCTGTTGAAAGTCGGCCACCGTCTTCGCCACCTGCTTCTGCCCTGCCTTCCATAGGGCATTTGCCGACTTGAAGAATTTGGCTCCATATTCCTGTGCTACTTGCGCGGGATCTCGGTCTCCATTCGTGTGTTGGTCACCTTCCGGCCGTCTCGGAGGTAAGCTGTCTCCCTGTCTCATCCAAGAGGGCGTTGGATCGCGGCCTGCTTGCTCACGTCTTGGTTGAGGTCCTCTGCTGCTGTTGCGAGAGCTGTCCTCCCGAGCCTGCTGGCGAGATTCTTCGTGGGCTTGCTGCAAAAGATACCCCACGGCATGCTGAACATTGCCTCCACTCTCCGCCAATGCTATCCGCGCGGTGTCTGCGGGGAAGCCCATGTCGATAAGTTCTGCCAATGCACGATCCTCTTCGCCTCCATGCAGCTCATCTTCTGGTGGCATCGCTGAATGAACATCCCCCTGAAGCATAGGCTCGTCCAGAGAGTGTCGCGGAGCTGGTTGTGGACGTTGCGTTACAGGTCTTGCCAGGTCTCCCAATACATCATCCTCATCATCGCCCTTGGGAATAGTCTGCGCAACTCTCCGTCCATTGTTTCTGCGGGCCAGCTCGTTCAACCCAAACGTGTCGTCATCATCGTCGAATCCGGTGGTGACCGGCGGCTGCGACAGCGAGGGTGTGCCCTTCCGGCTGACCTGTTCTGAAGGTGGCGGCGGAGAGAAGTAAGTAGCCTTGTTGACAGGTGCATTCTTATTGAAAGCAGCCAAGATGTCGTCCTCGCTTTCCTGCGCTGCTGGGGAGGACTGTCTGATGTCCGGGGTTGATTTCCCACTGTCTAGCCGATCCCATAGCTGGGCCTGCTGCTCGTGCTGTCGCCGCTTCTCCTCCATCAATTGCTTCTGCCGCTCTTGCATGGACAAGCTGCTTCCCGCCTTTTGCGCCTTGAGAGGCAGTAGGTTGCCGAACGAGTCGTTGGTTGGTGCTTTGGCGCCATTGACGGTGCTCGAGGGCCGGCTGAGATTGGCGGGGGATGCATTGCCGGAGAGCGGGAGCGCTGGACTCGCTCGCAGGCTGCTGTAGTTGTTGGCGAACGCGGTGGTGTTGGGGGGTATGGTAGGCGCAGGCTTCGCCGGCTTCTGCCAGTCCTCGCCGAGAAGGTCGTCCATGCTGGGTGGTGCTCAACGTCTATGTTGGCTGCTCTTCTATTACCGCAGCTCCATGGATGCTAGAAGGGTGGGGATGTTCGGGCGGGCGCAAACATGCGTTGATGCAGAGGTCGTTGTCAGTCGTTGGGTGGAGCCGCGTGCAGTGTTGCCATTTCGGGCTTGTGGCGGCCTGAGGCATCAACAGTCCAGGCCACTCACTCCCGTGCACTTCACCTGCACTTCCTCTTCACGGTCTACTGCGCCGAAAAGGCTCGAGAAAATACCGCTTCCATACCATTGCTCATGCTTATACACTCGATCCTGCTCCGATCTCTCCCTGGTTAAGGTTCTGACATGTCCTCGTTGCGGCTGAGGTGGGTAAGCACTTCGCCGGTAATGGAGTAGGGTTCTCGATAAATACAGGCATCCGCCGAAATCAAGCGTGTGCACGAGTGTAGACTGCAAACATGGCGGAGGGTAAGGTTGGTTTCCGTGTGTTGATCGTGGGAGGAGGTGAGGCAAGACGAGGTGTAACACCCCCTCAACAGACTCACTGACGGGATGCAGGGAACTGTGGACTCGCCATTGCCACGGGTCTCAAGAAGGTACGGTGAAGTCTACAAAGGCCGTCTGCCTTGCATACTGACCCTAGCTCATTCCTCTCCAGGCCGGTATATCGTACACTGTATTTGAGCGAGACACAGAGGAGACGTTCAAGGACAGTGTCCGCAACTGGGGTAGGCATCCTCGCATCCCTCCCTCGCCAACGATTCTGTAGCTACTTATCAACCACCCGTGAACAACAGGAATGGTCCTGCATTGGGGAACAGAGTACTTCGAAAAGCTACTTCCCGACCATCTCTTGTCTCGCATCGAAGAGACCCGCGTCGATCCCTCCATCGATGCACTTTCGTCCGTACCTCAGATCAAGGCCGATACGGGCGCGGTAATGTATGCAATTCCTATGCCCGTCGCCAACAGAGTATCTCGTGCCAAGATCAGAAAGCTGCTGCTGGGTGACGGTCTTGATATCAAGGTCGGTGATCTCCCTCGCAGTTTATTAGATACAACTGACCGCCTCTGCTCAAGTTTGGCAAAAAGCTCCAGTCCATTTCCGTCGAGGGCCCCGGGGTTTCGCTGGCATTCGACGATGGCATTGTCGAGTCTGGCGACATGGTCATTGGCTGCGATGGCCCCAACTCTGTCGTTCGTAAGTTCTTGGTAGGGGCCGAAGCGGCTCAGGGGCATGATGTTGGTGGCACCATGATCAACGCGGTTGGGGAGGGCTATTCGCCTGCCGAAGCACGTCTCTTGCGATCGCCCCATCCTATCATGCAACTCGGTTACGACCATCCTGCAGTGGACGGCGCAGCGCTGGTGGCTGGTAAGCCGTGGGCAACTGCTAGACGACGCTCAAGAGGGCTGATTGTGCCGCAGCGTTGGACATTCCGGATCCCCAAGACCCTGCACAGTGGAAGGTACTTCTCCAAGTCACAAAAACGCGTCATGACCACCGCTGATCATCCACACGACAGTTCCAAGCGTACACCTCCTGGGCCGGCCCACCGTACGCCAAAGACCTGCAAGACCCCAAGGAGCGAATGACATACGTGCGAGAGCGGATGGCGCATTTCTGCGAACCATTCCGAACGGCTTTTTTGGCTCTCGCCGAGGACAAAGTCTTGCCGGTGTATGCGGCTAACCAGTGGGCGCCGCGAACGAAATGGGACAACTACCGGGGAAGAGTGACTCTCGCAGGCGATGCTGCGCATTCCATGTTGCCGAGTGAGTGCAACTTGGAAGGCCATGCTTGCGCGATGGCAAAGTCCTACTTACACAAGCACAGATCGCGGCCAAGGCTTAAACAATGCCCTGAAAGACGCTTCGGACCTGGTCGATGCGATTAAAGCAGCAGTCGCATCAGGCTCTTCAGACTTATCCGAAGGCATCACTGTGTACGAAGAGGAAATGCGAGCGCGAGGCACAAAAGAAGTCGACTTGTCGTATGAAGCATGGATGACGACGCGCAACAAGAAGACATTCGACAGCCCCTTATTCAAATTTGGATACACCAGGACATGAGACTTGAACGACGATGATTCACACATACATTACTTTCATTTTTGTTTTCCTAACCAGCTAAATGCGAGAAGCTCTAAGACCAAGACAGAGTCCAGTCTTTCGCCCAGGCACCACTGCTCGTCGCATTCTGCAGACCCTTGATGCTCAACACCTTGCTAGTACTGTTGTACGCCACGCCGGCAGTGACATTGTTCCCGTTCAAAGAGACAACGCTCGGCTGGCTCTGCACGCCCAAGAGCGTGACATTCGCCAGCGCGTTCGTATCGGGATACGAGCCGCTGACCTTGGCGGACAAGCTGCCATTCGCAGCGGTGAAGTCCACAATCAACGTCGCGTTCGGCACGACGCTCACGCCGTCGTCGACGTACAGCTGGCCGCTGGCGGAGCCGCTGCTGTCCAGAGGGGCCAATAGACTCCACGGGCTGTTGCGGCACTCCTCTGTCGTGTAGAGCGCCTCCTGCTGAGGCAGGATAGAGCCGCCGCGCAGGTAAACAGGGATGTGGCTCAGAGGCGCAGCAATCGTCTTGTTCACGCCGGCAGTTGCCTCCACGGCTTCCTGGGTATACCAATCGTACCAGACTTGCCCTTGCGCGATGCCGGGGAAGTAGGCGCCGACTTCCGTCAGGCCTTGGCCGAGCACGGGGACGACCATGAGGGCGCCACCGAGGAGGAATTGGTTGTCGAGGTCCTTGAGCGTGGGCTCGGTGGGGAATTCCCAGGCGAGGGCGCGCATGACGGTGCTACCGGTGGTGTGGGCTTGGTAGAAGAGGGTGTAGATGTAGGGGAGCAGGGAGTAGCGGATGGCCATTGCGCGCTTGGAGGCGTCGATCACGGACTCCCAGACTGGTGGCGGATTATTAGCAGGGGTTCGTTGGAAATAGGCTTGCGCTGGGACTTACTGTAGGCTTCTTGGGAGTTTGCCGAGAGGGTGTTGTGGTTGCGGTAGAAGGGGAAGAAGGCGCTCGTGGACATCCCTAGGATGCATATTAGCACACGTTTCAGGTTGAGTTAGATGAAGACTTCTTCACTTACAGCGATTGCAAAGCTCCTCGTCAGAGTTGCTGTTGAATCCGCAAGTATCGACACCAAACTGCCATCATGTCAGCCAATCCGTACTTTCCTTAATGCGAGATGCAGCAAGAACTTACCATGGGAATACCAAACAGCGCAAAGTTCAACGCCTGCGAAATGCTGAAGTACATGTACGCAAACAGCGACGTATTATCACCACCCCAGTGACCAGCCTGTGTGCCGGAGCCGGCAAAAGTGGATCGGCCGATGATGAAGGGTCGCTTGCCAGGGAAGACCTTGAGGAGACCGTTGTAGGTGGCGTTGATGATCTGGTAGCCGAAGAGGTTGTGCACGTCATATTCCTCCACGCCGGTCTGATGCGTGGCGTTGGGGATGACGGCATGCACGCCCAGCGCTCCGTTGACGTTGTTGATCACGTATGGCGGGTTGTTCACGTTTCGCGCGTTGGGAGTGATGGTCGGGGTGAAGTAGGGCATCGTTGTAGTCACCGCTGGGGTTGCTTTGGCGTTGGCGGAAGCTTGAGAGGCGGAGAGGGAAGCGGCAACGCTGGCCTCGGTGGCGTTTGTGAGATTGAAGCCCTCGGGATAAGTGTAAATAACACTGCCCGGCTCGCCAGGCAGAGCGAATGGTGGGTGCACAGGGTTGAGGGAGAGGTTGCCGGTACCACAGCTGCCAACGCAGAAGGAGGAGGCCTCGCTCATGTCAATCCAGATGCCGCTCCACGCGATCTTGTCGTGATGCATCTGCAACTCGTTGGCCCACCACTCTCCTGCGTTCGAGGAGTCCCAGTCGGGGAACACAGTGTAGCCAGGCCACACATCGCCAATGTACTCTGTGCCATCCGGGTTGTGAAGCCACACATCCAGATCATGGCCTCTGTTGTACACCGGGTAGGCGTCGCTGGCATTGTTGGGGTCAGGAATATAGAGCGCAGAATCGATGATTGGGACATAATGTTGATTGTTGGCAGCGAGGCGCGCAAGGAACGCTTCTCCTTCGGCATAGGGGTAGCGGATCGGATCGTTCTCGAAGTCTCGGTACTGGAACATCCAATCGATGTCAGTCCAGATCGTCTCGAGGGGAACGTCGAATTTGCGGTAGTTGTCGACAACAGCTTCGACTTCGCTCCAGTTGGCGTAGCCCCATCTGCACTGATGGAAGCCGAATGCCCAGTACTGCTGCATGGCCGGCAGACCAACAGCCTCGCTCAGATACTGCTGCGTCACATTCGCTGGCTCGGGGCCGTCGAGGAAGTAGAGATCGATGTTGCCGCCGAGAGATCGCCACGTGATGTTGGTGGGCAGCATCAGGGCCTCCATGCCGTGTGCGTTGCGTTGATAGACGCCATGGCTGTAGCTTTCGTAGGTCTCGGTCGCGGAAACGTTCTGGGTGGTGATGAGGGTTCGGTTGCCGGTGGAGTTGTCGACCGAGTAGTAGCGAGTGTCGAGGTAGAAGGGGTGGTTGCCGTAAATGTTCCTGTCGATTGGGTCACCGGCGTCGGCAGCCCAGAAGGTCGCGGTGAAGTTGTTGCCAAGTCGGAGGCCGTGAATTCTCTCGCCTTGATGACTCTACATCAGTTTTGTGTTTTCAAATGAGTACGGAGGAGGAGGGAGGACTCACCCATTCCGTAGAGATTGTACTCCTCCGGAAGCTGGCTCACAAACTCGATGAACTGGTCCTCGTAGACGAGCACGCTGCCCGTCGTATCAAAGATGACATCGCCAGTCGACTTGCGAGTGATCTTGAAGGAGAACGTGGGATGGTTGGAATACGAGAATGCCAGATCAATGTCTTGCACGTCTTGCGCGGTTCCGTTCGAAGGCGGCTGGTAGACGAGTTGATTCGGCAGCACATACCAGCTGGTATTGGAGCTGCCTAGGTACGTGGGCTGGATCTGGACGTTTAGTCGGTGATTTGATTGCACCTCCGCGACGAAATCCAGGTTCTTGACGTCGGTGCCGTAGGCATTGCACTAGCTAAGATCAGACTGTGAATCTTGAAGAAGCGACGTATTGTCAACATACCGGAGATCCGGCCAGCGTAAGGCTGGCGGTCATGCCCGTCGTCGTGTTCTTGACATTGGTGGCCTTGTACCCAGGACAGAGGTCCTGTGATATCTTGGCCTTGGGATCGTAGATGTTCGGCAGGATGTTCGGACCGACATCTGCCGCCGCGGGGACGGTGAAAGGGACGGAGTATGTTCTTGAGGTGCCATTGACTAAGACGGTGCCGAGGGAAGAAGACTTTGCGCCGGCTGCCGTGGTCAGGCCGTCTGCGGCGCTGGTCGTGGTAGAAGTGGCAGAGACGAGGGCAGAGGCATATAGCAATGCCTGCATCAGGCTTGACCGCATCATCATGGTGTCTTCTCACAGTGACCTAGCAGAGGAGAGAGGGAGATGAGTGACGGAGGGGAGAAATTCGACGAAGAGGCATCACGAGGCAACGTCCGCATTTATACATTGGTTATTCAGCGAGGTGGTATTGATGAGCAAAGGGCCGAATGCGGTTCGACGATCGCTGGCCAAACCCCATCGTTTCTCCGCATCTTAGCTGGACGTTATGCAAGGCACCGACGCAACTAGGGCGTAGTTTCGCCGAGACGTGGATCGGACCTTTGGGCATTATTGGCTGGCGCGCGCTTTCTTTGCTTGCGGTGGCCAACGCAGCGGGTGCGATGTGGAGAGAAGCCGGTATTGGACGGCAAATGTGTGGAGGAGGTGTCGTTGAATTTCGCCGAAAGTCACAGCGAAGGACAATCGCGACGTCATCGCCGCTGCTCGACACGAGGGTCAGTCCAGTTCAACGAATTCATGGTGTGTGGACTTGTGAGCCGACATCCGGTCTCTCTTCTCTCCGGCCTCGCTGTACACATCGTCACGGCGTCTTGTCTGGTTTGGGGATGAACACTCTCCCGAATACTGTGGAGGTCCACGCAGCAACCCCGCAGTCCCTCATCTAACGAGTGTAAGCGTGGAGGACATGCAGTCGGCGGTGGCAAGTCACTCGAGCGCCGTGATTCGATCAACGATGTGGAGGTCAGACGCATATTTGGCTGCAACATCATAGGTCACCCAGATGCAACACCGCTCACCAGCGCACTCACCACGCGGGCTGCATGTCAAGTGCTGTAACGTCGTAGTCATGAGCGAGCTCGACCTCACTCTTATGAAGAACTTTGGTGATGCTACAATCGAATCTCTCAATCAAGTCAGTCTTGATCCAGCGAGATCATTGACAATCCTCCAGGCGCGCAACGATTGCTCGACGCGGAAAAGAAGTCCGACAACAGGATTGAAGGCGTTTCTTGCTCACATTCATTTACATGCCTGCGATCATCCTGTCAATGGTGAGGCTGGAGGAAGCCTGCGGCTGGTTGTCGGCATTAATCCTTGCACCAACCCTCACGATCCCTCCTCCCATGCTCGATTCTTCTCTTGGCTTCTTTGCTATCGACACTGCTTCTAACCACACGACTGGCCGAGGCCATGAGAGACTCCATACATTTCGCTGCACTAAACTACATTCGGATGTATAATTGCCGATCCCCGCACCACCTCTCTCTCACAGCCGAATGGAGGGGTCGAGCGCGGGCTGACGGTGACGAAAACCTGCACCGGTTACGTGCCCCTCGGTAAACACTGATGGCCGATATATAAGCAAGATCCTAGGGAAAAATCTCGTCTACTCTTTCTCAAATCCACCCCTCATACCATACCATAAACCCTTCAAACCCCTCTCTGTCATCATGTCTCCCTCCAAAGTTGCCAGCGTCAAGTTTGACGAGTTCTACAACATCATCGATGGCAAGCAGCGCCCAGCCAAGCAGCAGCACTACGGTGTGAACCCCGCCACTGGCGAGAAGCTGTGGGCCGTCCCCGTGGGCACCCAGCAGGATGTCGACGACGCCGTCGTGTCTGCCCAGCGGGCCTACGAGAAGTTCCGCTTTGTGCCCATTGAGAAGAGGAAGGAGCTGCTCGTCAAGTTCAAGGACCTCTACATGGCACACGTCGATGAGATGACCGAGCTGCTCAAGAAGGAGAACGGCAAGCCGGTTCGTGTCCACCTTCTCATGTCTTGCGGACGCCCGCTGACCACTGAATTCAGCATCAATTCGCCTCTTTCGAAGCCGGTGCTGCGGCCTTGTGGTTTGACCACCACGCCAAGCTCGACTTGCCCGAGGAGCGCGAGGAGGATGACGAGAAGGTCATTACCACTCGCTTCACTCCCCTCGGTGTCGTGGGCGCCATCTGTATGTTCTATGTGCTTCGCATTCACTCCCTTCAATCTAACAATCTGGCCCAGGCCCATGGAACTTCCCCATCATCCTCTGTCTCGGCAAGCTCATTCCCGCCGTGCTTACCGGCAACACCATCATCATCAAGCCCAGCCCCTTCACCCCCTACACCACCTTGAAGATTGTCGAGCTCGCGCAAGAGATCTTTGAGCCCGGTGTTGTGCAGGCGATTGGCGGCGACGACAAGCTCGGCCCCATGCTCACCGCCCACCCGGGCATTGCCAAGATCTCCTTCACCGGCTCCATCGCGACCGGCAAGAAGATCATGGCCGCGTGCGCGCCGACGCTCAAGCGTGTCACTCTCGAACTCGGCGGCAACGACGCCTCCATCGTCCTCCCCGACGTTGACGTCAAGAAGACCGCGCCCGAGCTTGTCATGGGCGCCTTCCAGAACTCCGGGCAGGTGTGCGTGGCGACGAAGCGCATCTACATCCACGAGAAGATCTACGACGAGATGCTCAAGGAGATGGTCGCCTTTACCAAGACCATCAAGGTCGGCGACCAGGACTCCGGCGCCCTGCTCGGCCCGCTGCAGAACTCGATGCAGTACGAGAAGGTGAAGAACATGTTCAAGGATACGAAGGACAAGGGGTACAAGTTCGCCGTGGGCTCACCCGATGTTGCCGAGGGCAAGGGCTACTACATCCAGCCGACCATCATTGACAACCCGCCCAACGACAGCCGCATCATCCAGGAGGAGCCGTTTGGCCCCATCGTCCCCACTCAGCCGTGGTCGGACGAGGAGGAGGTCATCAAGCGCGCCAACAGCAGCCTGACGGGTCTTGGCGCGTGCGTGTGGGGCAAGGACATTGAGCGCGCCGAGCGCATTGCGCGCAGACTCGAGGCCGGCTCGGTGTTTGTCAACTCCTTCGAGAAGCCCACTCCTCAGGCCGTGTTTGGCGGACACAAGGAGAGCGGGATTGGTGGCGAGTGGGGCAAGGAGGGCCTGAAGGCCTTCTGCAACCCGGTAAGTCGTAGCCTCTTATGATGGTTGATGGAAACATTCTGCTAACTCTGCATCTCTAGCACGTCGTCCACTCGTACAAGTTGAAGAACTAACTGCCTGGGATGGAAGAGACATAGATAGATTTATGTATTTGTGAGATGTACACTTCACAACCCGCTGTGTGCCAATGTCATGGTTGTGAATGACTCGTGCAAATCACATGACCGGCGCAGATATTGTATGTCGATACGGAGATGATTCGGTGCGCTCGAGTCGCGGAGTGGAGATGTAGTCAGGCGAAGGAAGCTGCGGTGGACCCTGCAGTTACCGCATGTGGGCGGGTAAACGCCACTTGCGCATCACCTTTGCATACGCCGATTCATGTTTCCCCGGACGCGACGGTGACACGCATGGCGTATCGTGCTCTGTCCACAACGACGGGATGCTCAATAAAGACGATATGAAAAGACGCATGCAGATCGCATACCCTCTGCGCGTATTCCTCGACCGCCAAGTGTTTCGAGCAGTGTCGATCTCGAGGGTAGCGGAGGGGAGTGGGTCCAAGCGTGGGCTGTCATTCGTCACCGCCGCGCTAGGCTGGTCAGGTAGGAGGACGCTCCGTAGGGGAATGGGAAAAGCGGGAGTTGTCCACCACCACCACCTCCTATATGTGCTTCTTCGCCGCGCGCGCCCACGTCAGCATCACCATCTCATCCACCCCCAGCCTACGCGCCTGTTCTTGGTCTCCTCTCCTCCACCTTCGCTGTCCCCTGCATCTCGACTGGCCGCGCAATAGACCATCCGCTCCCACGCGACTGCCCTCCCCAACGCCATAACCGTCAGCCCTCTTCACACGCCGGCTCCGCGGCGGCCACCATTTTGACGCTGCTATGCATTTCTAAGCCACACGCGCCCCCCTCCCCGCTCGCTCGCTCTCCCTCTGCTCTACTACAGAGACCCCAGGGATGCCTCACGAGGAAACATCGGCGGCAGTCGCGAGTATACTGGCCAATCTCGCTAAGCATCCCGCCATACAAGAGCCCGGCTCGTTCCCACCCTCCGCCCTCGCCAATGGCATCCCCACTACCCAGGTCCTCCTCCCCGGCGAGGAGACCGTGGAGAAGAAGACGTTGGAGCGCGAGCTGACCGCGCTCGCCGCTCGCATCCACTTGCTCGAGGCCAAAGCGGCTGGCAATGCCTCCCTTCCCGTCACCCCCAACGAGCCTCATATCTCCAATTTTCCCGACACCGAACGACCTATATCTCCCCGACAACTGGCAAATCTCGATCCCAGCCGCCAGCGCTCCTCTTCATGGGTCACGAGCCTCCTTGCCAAGTCCGACACAGAAGCCCAATACCCCCGTCAGCTTACCGAAGAACAATTCTCGTTCCTGCGCGAACATATCGACCACCAAGCGAACAAGATCCAGGAGCAAAAGGCGTTCATCGACCATATCCAAGCCGAACTCTCCGATCAACAAAATCGCACACGCCACGCACTCAACACTCTCGGCAATTCCGCATCCATCGACCAGCTGAAGCGCGAGATTGAGAAGAATGCGCAAATCAACGCGACGTACCAAAAGGTCATCAAAGAGATTGGCACCATTGTCACGGCCGTGGCGAATGGCGATCTTAGCAAGAAGGTGTTGATTCAGGTGGTCGAGAAGGATCCCGAGATTGCCAAGTTCAAACACACCATCAATCGCATGGTGGATCAGCTACAGGAGTTTGCGAGCCAGGTCACGAATCTTGCAAAGCAGGTCGGCACCGATGGGCTTCTGGGAGGTCAAGCTACGGTGCCTGGTGTTGATGGAATCTGGGCCGAGCTCACGAACAACGTCAACGTCATGGCACAGAATCTGACTGATCAAGTCAGAGAGATTGCCGTCGTCACTACCGCAGTCGCACAAGGTGACTTGAGTCGAAAGATTGAGCGACCGGCTCGCGGAGAAATTTTGAAGCTCCAGCAGACAATCAACACCATGGTGGACCAATTGCGGACATTTGCAACAGAAGTCACTCGAGTGTCTCGCGATGTAGGCATCGAGGGTGTGCTCGGCGGCCAGGCGCAGATCGAAGGCGTGCAGGGCATGTGGAATGATCTGACCGTGAACGTGAACGCCATGGCCAACAATCTTACGGCGCAAGTGCGGGATATCGCCGAAGTCACCACCGCAGTGGCCAAGGGCGATCTTACGCAGAAAGTAAAGGCGCAATGCAAAGGAGAGATTCTGGAATTGAAGAGCACAATCAACTCCATGGTGGATCAACTTCGGCAGTTCGCCCATGAAGTCACCAAAATCGCCAAAGAGGTGGGGACGGAGGGACGTCTCGGTGGCCAGGCGACGGTGCATGGTGTCGAGGGCACGTGGAAGGATCTCACGGAGAATGTGAATGGCATGGCGAACAACCTCACCACTCAGGTGCGAGAAATCGCCGAAGTCACCACCGCTGTCGCAAAGGGCGATTTGAGCAGGAAGGTCGAGGCGGAAGTGCAGGGCGAGATACTGGCCTTGAAGATCACAATCAATACCATGGTGGACCGGCTGAGCACATTCGCATTCGAAGTCAGCCGAGTGGCGCGAGAAGTTGGCACAGAAGGCACTCTGGGCGGACAGGCAGAGGTCCGGAACGTGGAAGGCAAATGGAAAGACTTGACGGACAACGTCAACGTCATGGCCGGCAACTTGACCGCACAGGTGCGGAGCATCTCCGCCGTGACACAGGCCATTGCGCGAGGAGACATGACTCAGCGCATCGAGGTTGCGGCACAGGGAGAAATCCAAACGCTTCGAGACACCATCAACGACATGGTCACGCGACTCGACGCTTGGTCCTTGGCGGTGAAGAAGGTCGCGCGCGACGTCGGTGTGGACGGCAAGATGGGCGGTCAAGCGCAAGTCGCCGGCATCACCGGACGCTGGAAGGAAATCACCACCGATGTAAACATCATGGCGCAGAACCTGACGTCGCAGGTGCGCGCGTTCGGCGACATCTCCAGCGCGGCCATGAGCGGCGACTTCTCGAAGATGATTACCGTCGAAGCCTCGGGCGAAATCAACGAACTCAAGGTCAAGATCAATAAGATGATTTTTAGTCTGCGAGAGAGTATCCAGCGCAACAACCAGGCGCGTGAGGCGGCCGAGCTGGCCAACAAGACGAAGAGCGAGTTCTTGGCGAACATGTCGCACGAGATCCGCACGCCCATGAACGGCATCATCGGCATGACGCAGCTCACACTCGACACCGAGCTGGAGCAGAACCAGCGGGACATGCTCAACATCGTCTTCTCGCTCGCCAATAGCTTATTGACCATCATCGACGATATCCTCGACATCTCGAAGATTGAGGCGAATCGCATGATCCTGGAGGAGGAGCCCTTCTCCTTGCGCAGTCTCGTCTTCAACAGCTTGAAGTCGCTGGCCGTCCGGGCGAACGAGAAAGACATTAGTCTGGTCTATGACATCGATAGTTCCGTGCCAGACTACATTGTCGGCGACTCCTTCCGCTTGCGACAAATCATCCTCAACCTCGCGGGCAATGCCATCAAATTCACCGAGCACGGAGAAGTGAGGGTGAAGATCTTCGCCGAGTCTGGCATCGTCTGCAGGGCGGGCGAGTACGTGATCAAGTTCGCCGTCTCCGACACAGGCATTGGCATTCACTCCAACAAGCTCGACCTCATCTTCGACACCTTCCAGCAGGCTGATGGCTCGACGACGAGGAAATTCGGAGGCACTGGTCTTGGGCTGTCAATCTCCCGACGTCTGGTCACGCTCATGCGCGGCAAGATGTGGGTCGAGTCGGTGTATGGCGAAGGCAGCACATTCTTCTTCACCTGCATTGTGCGCGTTGGAAACTCGGATGTGGCCAAGATTATGCCTCAGCTGGAGCAGTACCGCAAGCACAATGTCCTCTTCTTCGACAACGGCTACACCGGATGCGCGGATGCGATTGCGGAGAACATTCGGCAGCTCGACCTCGTGCCGTGCGTGGTACGGCAAAACTCGCGCATCAACCCGTCGGAGATCAAATCTGCGGATGTCTATGATTGCGTGATTGTCGACCACAGCGACGTGGCGCAGAAGCTGCGTAGCATGGAACGCTTCAAGTATATCCCTATTGTCCTCGTCGCGCCCAAGATCTCCGTGAGCTTCAAGACGGCGTTGGAGAATGGCATCTCGAGCTACATGACGACACCATGCGAACCTATCGATCTTGGCAACGCCCTCATCCCTGCGCTCGAAGGCAGGGCGGCGCCCACATCGGCCGATCACTCGCGTACCTTCGAAATCCTGCTCGCCGAAGACAACGCCGTCAACCAGAAGCTCGCCGTCAAAATCCTGCACAAGCACAACCACAAAGTCACCGTGGCCAACAACGGGCTGGAGGCGTTCGAAGCCATCAAACACAAGCGCTTCGACGTCGTGCTCATGGACGTGCAAATGCCGGTCATGGGCGGCTTCGAGGCGACGGCGAAGATCCGCGAGTGGGAGGCGGCGCACGAACTCACGCGCACGCCCATCATCGCCCTCACCGCGCACGCCATGCTCGGCGACCGCGAGAAGTGCATCCAGGCGCAGATGGACGAGTACCTGTCGAAGCCGCTCAAGCCGAACCAGCTCATTCAGACCATTCTCAAGTGCGCCACGCTCGGCGGCGCGCTGCTGGAGCGGAAGAACGATCACCGCAGTGGGCTGTCGCATGAGCAAGAGAAGACGGTGGATGGGGCCTCGTTGGCTGTCCCGCTTTCCTCACCTAAGAGGCCTGGTTTCGGCGAGCATCGTGGGTATACTGAGATGGGGCCGGCGGGGATGTTGAGCCCGGCGATTGTGACGGCTGATGAAGGGAATCCGATGGATCGGGTGAGTTCTACCAGTGCTTCCGCGGAAGTTTTCAGGGGCGACCAGCTGACACGTGGATTTTACAGGCGTCACTGTTACGAGCGAATAGCGACTGAGTGTGTCATTGCGGGGGTGGTTGGCATAGAAAAGACAATGGCATGGCATGGCATCTACCTGGCGTTTGTTTTCCCCAGCGACGGCGTTGAAAGCGGTCGGCATGTGGTTTGTCGGTGGCTTCTGCATCCCCTGCGTCATGAGATGTAGTTTACCACACCTGCGGTCAGCATTTGAATCTTCACCTGCTTGTGTATTTCAAAGCACTGGACTAGTGCATTATCTTTGAGGCATCCTATGCCATTCTTGGCACATTATGTTGCATACCACTTCCAGGCACACGTGATGCACTGACGGTACGTGGTTCGGGGTCTCAGTCGATCTCAACGCTGCCACTGACGTGCTACGGTCGAGGCAACCCACTACCAAACTCGCAGGGTCGGCCGTGATTCCGAATCCGTGCGAACGGCAATTGGTCTCGGGTCCGAGTCGGGGCTGAAAAAAGAGAGAAAGTCAGGATTAGTGAACGCTGGCAATCCTTCGTCCCGCCGGCCTCGGCTGCTTTCGTGGGCGCCCACCGAGCCCTCGTTAGCATTACTCAGCCGCCTGGTTCCAGAGGTCACCTCATCCACTGCCTCCCCCGGTCCTGGGCGCCATGGCTCCCGATCTTTGCACCATCTCACCACTACTCTCGACAGCCCCATTCCGTGGGAGAGCGGAGTCGGCTTAAAACACCCTCGTGCGCCCCCGACCCACTGTCCGCCTCTACTCTGTTCAGTCAACAGCCTATTTCCCGCCTGCTTGTACCTGCATGCTCGACGTCCACCTGCTCGGGTACTGCCCCATCCCACCCCACAGCCATTCCGCTGCTATATGACGACCCTGCTCGTGACGCAAACCATGGCAGAGCCGCAACCCACCACCAGCGGGCGGAGGAAGCGGCCCCGCCGCGCCTCCTCGCCCGACGACGACGAATACGAGGTCGAAAAGCGGCGCGGACGCCCGCGAGTCGACAAGCATGACGAGTCGGCGGCCGACCGGCGGCGCACGCAGATCCGGCTGGCGCAGCGCGCCTACCGCCAGCGCAAGGAGAGCACGCTGGACGACCTGCGCAAGCGCGTCTCCGACCTCACCACCACCATTGAGCTCATGAACCAGTCGTTTGTCGCGTGTCGGGACCGCTTGCGCCCCTCGCTTGCTCCCGAGCAGATGCGGCATTTGCAGGAGCTGGCGGTGCATTTTGAGGGCTTGGTCAAGGATGCGCGTAATCCGCCGGAAGACGTTATGCCGCCTTCTTCCTCCACTACCACTACTCCGCCTCCTGCTACGTCCCACGGGGGCGCTGCTGCCGCTCGCAAGGCTCAGGAGCAGCCGCCTCCGCCCGTGATGATTGAAGAGCCCGAAGCGCGCTGGGATACTGCTGCGCAACAGCAGCGCCAACAAGAGCAGACTGTTGCGTCGTGGATCGATCGGACGGCGTTGCGGGATTCGTCGAGGACCAGCGCCACTCCGCCGATGAGTGGCGTGTGGGGCTATGAAATGTTTGTCCAACCATCCCCGTGATTGCCGCGAGCAGTTGCATGGCTTCATACAATCTGGTGTGCCACGTGCCGCACACGCTGTCAATGAGAACCGCTGGGCTGACTTGGGCGTGTTACTTTTAGGTCTGGTGCTGCGAATGAGCCTGGGTCGGATGAAGTTCTGTCGTTCGATCAATTGATCCAATCCAGGGACCTTGTGAAGCAGCAAATCGACATTTCCATGGCATCTCTCGATTCTCCGCGCGAAGCAACCGAATATCACGGATCGTCCCATGTCCCGAATGGTTTAGCGTTGCCTCGCACCTACAGTCCGGACGAGGGCACCTTTGCTCGAAGGCTGTTCCGCGCAACGTGCGAAGCCGCGTACACTCTCATCCTGAACCCGCTACGCAATCCTGCGCGCTTCGAGCAGGTCTTCAGCCTCTCCCTCCTCGGTCGCGATCGCGCCAAAATCATCGCCCACCTCGGCGATCGACTCGCCGGCCAGGCCACCGACGACTTGGACTACTGGCAAGCGCCCTTGATCCACATCGGAGGCGCAGGCACGCACTACCCCCGTCGCGACCTCAACGGCGCCCTCCTCCCCAAGAAGCCCACCCACCATCTCGGCATCATCGGCCCACAGCGCCTCGCGCTCCTCGCGCACGCGCAACGCGACAGCATCACAACCGACATGACAGTGGAGATAGCCGGCTTCGAAGGCGAGTGGCTCGACCCGTACGACGTGCAGGGCTACCTGGAGGAGAAGGGGGTGTTCATGGGCCCGCGCGTCTCGTACGTCGAAATGGAAGTCGGCGAGCGCTTCCCCGACTCCACCAGCCTGTCGACCCTGTCTTCCTCCCCGCCGTCTGTCGTCACGCCCCCGGACGCTCCGCGCTATCGCGCCGCCGACCCTATGAACATGTACGACAACCCGATGCAGTGGAGCGACTTCACCGACGCCGATATGGCTGCTGCAGGCTTGTCATCTGGCATGCAGCAATTGGGCGGCGCTGGCAGTGGGGCATGGATGAACCCCATGCAACAAGGCGGCATTGTCAAAGGGTTTGACGCCGGTGGTGCTGCTGCACTGGGCCAGTCGGGCGTGCTGGACGTTCCTCTGCCTACGTCCAATCCCGCCCTGCTCGATCCGCTCGCTTCGCGCGAGTTTGCGAAGAAGAAGATTGTTGATGTGACGAAGTTTGTTCAAGGTATGTGTGCTCTATTGTTCAGTGTCGCTAGTGCATCCTGCTGACGTGTTATGACAGTATTGACCGCGAGCGCCGTTTGTCTGGGTCGGGCGCCTGGCTATCGTCGAAAAGACGTGGATCGCGCTCTTGCGCTTGCTGCGTTTGAGTCTTTCTAGAAGAGCCGCATGGACGATGGGATGACTTTTTCCGTTACTTGTCTGGTTTAGCAAGGGAGTTTTGTTGCGTCACAGACCTACGGGGCTCTGTTTGAGAATGCTTTGTTCTGGTATGATACCAAGCTGATTCGGAATTGGACATTATGTGTAGACAGCTAGTAATTGCTATCAGCCTATTGTAAGATTTATCTTTACGTTGTACGTCCGCAAGACACGTGGGCGTTACATTGAACAATGTCATGCAGCCCACCCACTCCACGGCTGTTCCCCAAATCCAGACCAACCTCGACGTTTGATTCCAACATCACCCGCTCGCATCCGCCCGTCTAAACCTCTTTCCCCCCCCTTCCTGTCAACGCAGCTCCCCGGCCAAAGCTGCGAGCCCCCAGTCGTGCACCCAACTCGTACATCACAGCCGTACGAGCCAGCGTCGGCCCGTTTTCCACCATTCTTCGCTGCCGGCCGCCTTATCTCTTCCCGCTCATGCACCTGCTGTACCTCTGCCGGCTTGATTGGTTGGGCAGCTCGCGCCCGTCTTACTGACCCCCCGTGGGATGGATGTGCAATCGTGGTAGCCTGCGCTGATAGATCTATCAATGGCCGCTTGCATGGCTGCTTGCGATAGTGGCGCGCGTTTCCCCCTGCGCATCGTGTGATTTGAAGGGGGCGTCTTTAACCTTGGGTCTGGGCCTTGCGGCGTGAAGAGGTAGATCTTGTGCTTCCTGTTTGTTCTGATACTCTCTTTCTCTCTCTTTCTCTCTCTGTCGTGTCTACTTTCGATCTCTCGATCGAACGCCAGTAGACGAAAGCCCACTATGTCCTCCACCACCGAGGAGCGAAAAGAAATGGGGCAAACAACCGCAGAACCAAGCAGCCTGGAAGAAGGCAAGACCATGTCTCCAACAACCAGCGACATCAACGAGAAATCCTCCCCGCCCCCCGCCTACCCCGACGTCGAGCGCAGCGACAGCGTCGTCGCCGCCGAAATCCACCGCACAATCCAAATCCAATCCAGCATCGGCGTGCTGCGCGTCCTGCGCCGCGCGGAGGAGTGGATCGACTCCAAGGTCGGCATCGAGCTGCGCGGCATCGACCGCATCCCCGAGGAGGAGAAGCAGCCGCCGTCGCAGTGGAACATCTTCCTCCTCTGGTGGAGCTTGAATGTGCATGTGGGTGTGCTGCCGCTGGGAGTGCTGGGCCCGGCTTTTGGCCTGGCGCTCAAGCCGAGCATTGCGGCGAGTGTGTTGGGGACGGCGCTGGGGGCGCTGTGCACGGCTTATACGGGGACTTTGGGCCCGCGGGTAAGATATTGGGAGAAGTTGCTGCTGTTGCCGGGTGAAGCGGCTGATTTGTGTTCCCTAGACTGGCCTGCGTCAAATCGCGTGTTCTCGATACTCGTAAGTCTTTTCGTCGGCGATTTGCTACACGTCGCATTAATGAACGACCATTAGCTTCGGATTCTGGGGAGCTAAGTTGTGCTCCATCCTCAATGTTGTCGTCGGTGGAGGCTTCTACGTCGTCAACCTGGTGGTCGTAGGCGAGATCTTGAGCGCCGTCTCGGACTACAGTCTGTCGATCGAGGTCGGCATTGTCATCATCGCCGTGGTCTCATACCTGATCTCCATCTTTGGCTTCAAGCTCATCCACACGTACGAGAAGTACTCGTGGATGGTCACATTCGTTCTCATGTGTGTGCTATACGGGTGAGTTGCGTTCAGGAGTCCATCCGACAATTGAGACCATGCGTTAACATCCTCTCTACCCCCAGCCAAGCAGCACCCCTCGTCGAACCGGACGCCCCAGGCTTCGACGCCTCCGGCACGCTCGCCTTCGCCGGCAGCTTCCTCACCATCGTCGCCATCTGCTTCTCGAACGCCTCTGGCTGGTGCAGCATCTCATCAGACTACATGTGCAACTACCCAGCCAACATCTCGTCGCTCAAAGTCTTCGGCCTCATCTGGTCAGGCATCATGCTGCCCACATGCTGGTCGATCGTCCTCGGCGCTCTGCTGGGCAACATCGCCATCACCGCCGCCCGAGCGCCGTATGCGCACGTCTACACCGCGCACGGCCTCGGAGGCTTGATTTTCGAGGTCTATCATCCGGTGGGGTGGTCGAAGTTTTGCCTCGTTATTCTCACGTTTTCCGTGCTGGGGAATAACATTGCAATTAATTACTCCTCTGGCTTATCGCTGCAGCTTCTGGGCCACTACTTCCACGCCGTGCCGCGCTTCATCTGGTCGTTTTTGTTTGCAATCGTGGTGGCGGGTGAGTGCCACGATCCCCAAGCAGTTCGAAGAAAACCTGCTGATCTGTCGCAGTACTCGCCATCGCCGGGCGGCAAAGCCTGTCGAACGTCGTTAGCGACTTCGTCTCCCTCCTGGGCTACTGGACCGTCTCCTTCACCCTCATCCTCCTCATCGAAGACAAGTTCTTCCGGCGCCGCGAGGGCTACAACCTCACCGTTTGGGACAAGCCGGACAAGCTGCCGTGGGGCGCTGCGGCTGTCTTGTCCTTGCTGTCGGGGTATCTGGCTGGAGGGGTAAGTTTGGTCGAAGTTCTTGCGTGTTACGAACGAAGACTGACGTTTGGATAGCTCCCTGGTGCGGCGCAGACTTGGTTTGTCGGGCCTATTGCTGCGAATTTTGGCAAGTATGGGGGCGATTGCGGGGTGTATATGAGTGCGGCGATTACGATCGTTGTTTACTTCCCTGCGCGGGCACTGGAGAGGAGGTATACTGGACGGTGAGGATGGCATATGCGATTGCTAGGCTGTCTTTGGTGATGCAGATAACGTGACCATGAGATCGATCTTTGCTGTGCATGCGTGATATCGTCGGCGTTACAACCCTGATTCCACCAATTTTACATGTGACTGTGAGTGTATTCAACAGACTCATGGAGCACTCGAGGGAAGTAGTTTGTTGGAGGCTGTGGCAGTGACCTGGTCTGAGCGCTACGCCGCGCCCGTGTGTGACGTTGCTCTGGTGGGGTCCTTGGAACGACGTCTGTCTCACATGAAACAAACACGAGCTGGCTCATTCACGAGTGAACTTGCAATCAAGAAAACATCCAACTGAAAGACAAACACCCATCCTCCCTTCGACCTCCTTCGACCTCCCTCACCACCTCCTCACCCAGAACATCTCCCCCAACCACAGACAACATGGCTGCGGCCATCAAAGAAGGCATGAACAGCATGCTCTCCGCCCTGCACCTAGGCGGCAAAAAAGACCCCGACGAAGGCCTGCCACCTCCCCCCTCCGAGCCCGAACTGAAAGAACTCCGAGAGAAATACGACAAAGCAGAGCAAGGGCACGTATTCAAATTCTACGACGAACTCACGCCCGGCCAGCAAGGCTCCCTCTACGCCCAACTGCTGCCCATCGACCCCGCGCACGTCAACGAGATTGCCGAAACGGCTCTGCACCCTCCGAAACAAGAAGGGGAGCAGGAGAAGCCGACGGTGGAGCAGTTGCCGGATGAGGCGACCACGTCGACGATTGATAGTGAAGAGGCGGTGTTGAAGAAATGGTATGATGCCGGGCTGGAGTTGATCTCGGGCGACAAGGTGGCTGTGGTGCTCATGGCTGGCGGACAGGGCACACGACTGGGCAGCTCGGCGCCGAAGGGGTGCTATGACATTGGCCTGCCGAGCCACAAATCGCTGTTCCAGCTGCAGGCGGAGCGTATCCTGCGGCTGCAACATCTGGCTGGCAAGCATTACGAGAAGGAGGATGTGGTGATTCCGTGGTACATCATGACGTCGGGGCCGACGCGGAAACCGACGGAGGACTACTTGGAGGAGAAGCGGTATTTCGGACTCAATCGCAACAACGTCGTCGTGTTTGAGCAAGGCGCGCTGCCGTGCATTAGCATGGAGGGCAAGATCTTGCTGGAGAGCAAGGGGCGGGTGTCAGTCGCGCCGGATGGGAATGGCGGCATTTACCAGGCATTGTTCAGCAGTGGCATTGTCACGGACATGCAGAGGAGAGGAGTCAAGCACATTCACGCGTACGGTGTGGACAATTGCTTGGTTCGTGTGGCGGATCCGACATTCATTGGCTTCGCGGCGGAGAAGGAAGTGGACATTGCAACCAAAGTGGTACGCAAGCGGAATGCGAAAGAATCCGTCGGCTTGATTGTTCTGAAGAACGGGAAACCCGATGTGGTGGAGTACTCGGAAATCGACAAGGAGACGGCCGAAGCGACGGAAGCAAAGGACCACAAGCTCCTCAAGTTCCGCGCGGCCAACATCGTCAACCACTACTACAGCTCGCGCTTCCTCGAGTCCGTACCCGACTGGGCGCACAAGCTACCGCATCACGTGGCGAAGAAGAAGATCCCATGCATCGATGACGAAGGGCGAGAAGTGAAGCCGGAGAAGCCGAACGGCGTGAAGCTGGAGCAGTTCATCTTCGACTGCTTCCCGCTGCTGCCGCTGGAGAAGTTTGCGTGCATGGAAGTCAAGCGGGAGGATGAGTTCTCGCCGCTCAAGAATGCGGCGGGAACGGGCGAGGATGATCCGGACACGTCGCGGACGGATATTCTAGCGCAGGGCAAGCGGTTTTTGCAGGCTGCGGGTGCTACGGTCACGAGTGAGGAGCAGGATGAGGCCGGGGTGGAGGTGAGTCCGTTGATTAGCTATGCGGGTGAGGGGCTGGAGTTTCTCAGTCAGCGTACGATCAAGGCGCCGGCGGTGATTGAGAAGGAGGAGGAGTAGAGGATCTGGAAGGTGTTTGGATAGAAATTAGAGGTGGAGTTGCACGTGAGGAGGGAAGATGGTGGTAGACAGGACCATGATGGACGCAGTCTCACAACTCGACACATGCACCTCACTTTTCTTTCACTTCACTTCTCTCCTTCACATGTCTCGAGGGAAGCGACCGCCTCCTTTCATGTGAAATCCCCAATGCCATCCAGAGAAATGGAAGTGAGCAAGATGAAGTACTCGGCGAGCAGGTGCAACCTGAGGCATCCTTAACTACCCACCTTTACGGCACGTGTTCTGCATGCAGTTGCAGCGTCACGCCACCCGCGGCAGAATTTGTCTTGCGCCCGCCCGCATTTCGCAAATCCCACCTAAAGCCTCTTTCACTTTTTTCTGCTTCATCTCTTTCCCTTCCTTCCTCCACATACCATTTTTTCTTCGGAAACTCAGCTTACACGCGGTCGGTCTTGTTTCTGCGGCAGAGGTGTTGTTTCTGGAGAGGGAAGAAGAAGAAGAAGAAGCTGAAGAAGAAGAAGACGAAGGAAGAGTCTCGGAGCGGACAACGTGAAGAAGTGACGTGAAGAGAAGAAAGAAGAGAAGGACACGAAGAGCAAAATGTCGTCCCTGTCGCGCCGCGCCTGCTACAAATGCGGCAACGTCGGCCACTACGCCGAGGTGTGCTCCAGCAGTGAGCGCTTGTGCTACAACTGCAAGCAGCCCGGGCACGAGAGCAACAATTGCCCGCACCCCCGCACCATGGAGACCAAGCAGTGCTACCACTGTCAAGGCCTCGGCCACGTCCAGGCCGACTGCCCGACTCTGCGCCTCGGTGGTGGTCCCGCCGGCGGTCGCTGCTACTCTTGCGGCCAGATGGGCCATCTTGCTGTTTGTCCACCCATCTTACGTGTCTCCAACCCTCACTAACACCGCCCTCCCACAGCGCAACTGCCCTGCCCCCAACCCTGCCGCCGCCGCCGCCGCCCCCATCGGCCGCGGAGCCGGTGCAGCCCCACGCGGCGCCTTCGCCGGTGGTTTCCGCGGCGGCTTCGCAGGCGGCAACCGCGCGGCGACCTGCTACAAGTGCGGCGGGCCCAACCACTTCGCCCGCGATTGCCAGGCGCAAGCGCAAAAGTGCTACGCGTGCGGCAAGCTGGGCCACATTTCGCGCGACTGCACCGCGCCCAACGGCGGCCCGCTCAACCAGGCGGGCAAGACGTGCTACCGCTGCGGCGAGCCCGGCCACATCTCCCGCGACTGCACGCAGCCGCCGGTGGATGCGGCGACGGCGGTGGCGGTGAATGGCGAGGCCGTCGAGCCGACTGCTGGTGTCCTCCCCGAGGCTGCGGCGGGCGCTGCGCCCGTTGCGCCGGCCGTGATTGCCACTTAGACGGAGTGGAGGCTTTTGGGGTTCGAGGACGACATTATTGGACTCGGATGAATTCCAACCGGCTGGCTGGCTACCTGCTTTTCGATTCAGTACACCTCTTATTATGCTTCTTAACAAAACCGCGTCACCTCCACTTTTCACCTCGTTCGTTTTCATCGACTCCTATCAACGACCAGCATCCCAACAACGACGACTCGTTGATTTCTCACGGCCCATATAACACATATCTGGCAAGCCCCACACATCTGGCAAACCCAAGCAACAGCCAAGCAGCTGCGACCCTTTCCTTGGCACACGGCACATGGCACATATATTCCCGTTTCTTGTTTTTCTTGACGACCTCTCACGACAACTCCGGACACAACAGAAGACGAGCCTATAATTTCTGGTCATACTTCCGCACGGGGGTGGGTTAGATGAATGGAATTGAGGGGGAAAGAAGATGGAAGAGTGGAAGGGAGTGGGGTGGATGAGAAGAGGAGGTTGGGAAGTCGTTGAGACTTGTGAGGTTGGGAGAGGAGAGTTAAACAAAAAAGCAGTACATGTAGTTATTTCCCTTTTTCATATTGCAATTTGATGTTTGTGCATAACCTCTATTTGTGGATTGCTTCCTTACCGTTCGTTCGCTTTCACTCGCGTGCTTGCCGCCAAGGCGTTGAGTGTTCAATGTCCTGTCTTCGTTATTCCGAGCTATGTAAAGGTTCACTATCCTGCAGTGTACACCAGAAGATCGAGGCAATTGCAATTCTCGTTGCCCGTACGCCATGGTTCTCGTGATGGCGAACGACAACGACGCCGCCGAATCCCATCCATTAACGCCTTTTTCCAAATGACATGATTCGCCCCTTCTTGCCACTACCGCCATGCTGGAAAGCCCAAAAAGACGCGCGATGCACGCGCTCGCTCGTTCCCGAATTACTCCTCCCGCCATGCAACCCAAATCGGCCGGCTCACTTGCCACTCCTCCCCTTGCCCTTCTTGGACAACGACGTCGATGTGATCTTGGAAGTTTGCATCAGCTCACCAATATATCTGCAAAACATGTATTAGCAATCGTGTGGCCACAAAGGGAAGAGTGAAAGGGAGAAAACGCACGACGACAAAAACTTATTCCCGCCCTCCAACTTCTCGTGCTCGCTCTTGACCGTCTCCACCCGCTCCACAATCGCCTGCAAACTCGCCTGCAGCTCGCGCGCCTGCTCCATCATGTCCTGGCGTGCCGTCTCGGAGAGCCGCGCGAGCTCCGCACTGCTGCGCCGCGGCGACATGCTGCGCACGTCGTCTTCGTCGAGGTGGCCTGCGTCGTCGATCATGGGGTCGCCGGCCGTGGTGGAGGGGGTGATGAGGGTGCCGGAGGATTGGCGGGAGGGGAGTTTGGGGCGGGCGGGGAGGAGGTGGGTGCGGGGGTGTTGTTGGGGTTGAGGGGGCGCGGTTGTGGTGGCGGTGTCTGGCTCCTCGGTGCTGGAGGTGCTGGTGACGCTGATGGGGGTTGTTGGGGAGTCGATGGGGAGGGTTGGGTCCGGGACGGAGTGGAGGGTTATTGAAGGGTCGGAAGGCATTGTGTGGTGGGTTTGTGGCGGGAGTGGCGATTGCTTCTCCCCTTCTCAGCAGCAGTCGATGGACGTGGAGTCGTGTGAGTGGCGCATGGATGCAGTACAGCAGTTGAACGTGGAGTGAAGAACGAGAAGCAAGGAGGAGGCAGAGCAATGAAGGGAGGGTGCAGCTAGCGTGCCATGCAGGCAGATCATATGGGGGTGGTGGCACGGTGGCATCGAGGGCGGCAGGCGGGTGGGCATATGATGCTGGCGAGTGGAGTCACGGAACGCCGGCAAGCTGGCTGCAGCGCGCGTGAATTCTTCCCAAGGGGTCCATGCGCGCAACGCATGACGTGACCCTGATTCTTTCCCGTCTTTCCCCATTTCACCATTACCCGGTCTCTTATTCGACGCATTGGATACCAAGAGTTTGACTAGCTACCATCCACATGCCTCGTTAACGGCTCTGGACGCATTGAGCCATGGCCAGACGTGCAGCGTGTGGTGTCCGGGTCCCTTGTGATCATCACCCGAGTCAAGACGCGGTGGGCCAACACGCAGCACCCCTGTCTGCAAGATTCAATACACGCCGCGGCCTGCTCTCCGCACACGAATCGCACACCACAAGCGAGCATCTCACCGCTGTATACTATCTACAACCACTATCACCCTCCCTTTGCATGATCATCTCACCCCTCCCTACGAGTATCTTCCCCCCGGAGTATCCCCCTCCCTTGCACTCACTCATCAGCCCACGCGGCAGCCACATCTGCTCGCCAAGCCACCAGGCCCTCGTAGCACTGTTGCACCCATGGCGCGTGGCGTCTGGAGTGGCCGATCATGGGGAAGCAAAGCGCCTTCTCGCCTTTTCCTTCCTTCCATCCATTCTCCTCAACTCCTAACTCTCGAGGATTGCACAGCGAAGTTGACAGCCGTTCATAATAACAGAAAGGCCCCGAGTGCGATCAATCTGCCAAGCTGCAGATCACAGATGCTTGGTGAATTGGGCAGTCGGAAGGGACTCTAGCGTGCAAACCTTAACTGTAGATCCTTGCCCACTTACCGCTGCTCCGGGAAACACCTTCGAGGCTGTGGGCGATGCTCATATCACTCGTTGTCTTCGCCATTGAAAGTGTCATTGATCACTGCTGCCTCATTCCATCATGCCGAACAGAGTAGTATGCAAGCTGTATCACCATCCTCACCGCGTGCGTGGCTACTGGTATCCCACGTATCCCATACGAGTCAAGCGCCGTCACGCGACATCTCCACTCCACCCCTCCACCCACATCATCCACCCCGATCAAGGCTCTGCGCCAAGCACATGGCATAATACCTCCCCCTCCTCGCCACCAACTCCTCATGTCCCGCCCCAGCCTCCACAATCCGCCCATCCTCAATCACGAAAATCGCCTCGGCGTCGCGAATCGTGCTCAGCCGATGCGCCACCGCAATCGTCGTCCGTCGCCCTGCTGCCCTCGCCTCGTCCAGCGCCCGCTGCACCGTCTTCTCGCTCTGCGTGTCCAGGCTGGACGTCGCTTCGTCGAGCACGAGCAGTCTCGGTCGGCGGATGAGGGCGCGCGCAATCGCGATGCGCTGCCGCTGTCCACCCGAGAACTGCGTGCCCTTCGATCCCACAGGCGTGTTGAAGCCCTCGGGAAGCGAGGCGACGAAGTCGAGGATGTTCGCTTGTCGACTTGCTTCTTCCACTTCTTGCTCGGATGGTTCGTAGTCCAGGCCTAGCGCGATGTTGTCCCGTACGGAGCCGAGGTAGAGCGGCGGCTCTTGTTGTACCAGCGACATCCGGCTGCGGTAGAGCATTGGAGAGAGTTGGGATATGTCGTCTTCGTTGATTGTGATGCTGCCAGATGTCGGATCATAGAAGCGTTCGATCAGTGAAATGATGGTGCTCTTCCCTGATCCCGACGGTCCTACAAATGCCGCGAACGAGCCCGCGGGAATGTCCAACGTTAATCCGCGGAGCACTCGCGCGGCGGGTCGTTGGCGATAGCGAAACTCGACGTCTCGAAATCCGAGCGAGACATCCTCGCCCGATGGCCCGCGCTTGCGGTTCTCGTCCGTCTCGCGGATTTGACTTTCTAGGCTGCGAAGCCAGAGCATGTAGTTCGTCCCACTCTTGGCCTTGGTGATGGACGTCGTCCAGGTGAAGAGTTGTGCGGCCGCTTGCGAGCCGAAAATGATGGAGATGAAGACGACGAAGAATTGCTGCGTCGTGTACTGCCCGCTCAGCAGAAGTTGCGAGCCATACCAGAAGCCGAGACCCATGACGAGGAAGTCGGCCGCTTGGGAGAAGGAGTAGGGTATGAGTGTCATGGCCTGAGGAAGGATCAGTACATCACTCGTTTCCACAGCGCTTTCATCCACTCACCGAGCTCCGCACCACTCTCGTCACAATCCCGTCCAGACACTCGCTGTACTCCCGCAACACGGCGCTCTCAAGCGTCAACAAACTCACCGTCCGCATAGACGCCACAGCCTCCGCAGCCAACCTCGCGCTCCCAGAGAACTGCTTCTCTGTCAAAGTCTCAAGCCGCTGATCCAGCCGAATCCGCACATACCCACTGCCAACAATGAGCGCAAGCCCAGTGACGACCAGCGTCAGCCCAAGCTTCCACCCATACGCAATCCCCAGCACACTACTCGCCACCACGTTGCCAGCGACATTCAGCATCAGCCCGAGATTCTGCGCCATCAGCTCCTGCGTCGCGGCGGGCGCGGACGACAACTTCGCCGTCAGCGAGCCGGATGCATTCTCGGAGAAGTCGAAGAACGGCTGGTCCATGCGTAGCATTTGCTGCAGCATTTCTTTCCGATAGCGGTACGTCAGCGCCTGGCCGATGGCATTGCTCGCCAGCCCGACGCAAAAGTAGCCCGCGAGATTGGCGAGCGCGACGACGAAGAGCATCAGGGCGTAGAAGTCGGCTTGGCGGTGTGCTTCCGCCGCGGAGGCGAGGGTGAAGACTTCGATGAGGCGGGAGAAGAGCAGGGCTTGGGCTGGGTAGGTGCCGCTGAGCATTAGGTAGGCGAGGCCGATGAGCGCGTACCAGGGGTAGAGCTGTCTGTTTTCTCTCAGCATGATCCAGACGCATTTGAAGAGGGAGTAGTTGAGTGTTCCGCGCGTGAGGGGCTCGACGCCGGTTCCGAGGTCTCCGATCTTGGACTCGGATCGCGTTCGTGCGAGCGAGGGCGTGGTAGAGTGGTGAGGCCTGAGTGTATTGCCTTCGCCAAGTCCATCGTCTTCCTTCTCCCTCTTTTCTTCTTGTTCCACGCCCGTCCCCAAATCTTGTGCGCGCACCATAGCCGCGTACAGCCCATCGCGCTCCACCAGCTCGGCGTGGGTACCTTGCTCAACGACCTGTCCATCAGCCATGACAGCAATGTTATCCGCAGCCATTACAGTAGCGAGCTTATGCGCGATGATGAGCGTGGTTTTGTTCGTCGTGACGCGATCCAGAGCATCTTGCACTGCTTTTTCGGCGCGTGAATCCAAAGCGCTCGTGGCCTCGTCGCAGACCAGGATCTTCGGCTCGGAGATGATGCTTCGCGCGATGGAGATTCTTTGTCGTTGTCTATTCGATTGAGATCCTGCGTTAGCAACACAGTCTTGGGGGAAATGTGAAGCACGTCAACTCACCCGCCACTCAACATGCGCGCACTCTCCCCGAGCTGCGTATGATAGCCCTCAGGCAACTTCTGGATGAACTCATGAGCATCAGCCGCCACGCAAGCCTCCTGAATCAACTGCATCCGCTTCTCCTCGGGCAAACTCTTCTGCTCCTCACCCAACCCCTTGGCCACATTCTGCGCCACAGTACCGTGGAAGAGCGTAGGTTCCTGCTGCACGAGTCGAAGCTTGTTGCGCAGCCATTTGATATTCAGATCCGCGAGATCGGTTCCGTCGAGCAGGATTTGGCCGGAGGTGGGCTCGTACCATCGTTCTAGAAGACCGACGATTGTCGATTTCCCGGATCCACTCGGGCCCACGAGAGCCGTTGTGCGGCCGGCTGGGATCTTTAGATTCAAATTTTGCAGTACTGGTACGCCGGGACGGGTTGGGTACGCGAAGCTCAGGTTGCGGAGTTCGATATTGCCTGTGCACTTCAGCGGTTGGCTGCCGCCAGGAGAAAGGGGATCGAGGCGTGATGGCTCTTTGTCGATGATGGAGAAGAGTTCTGATGCAGCGGATGAGGCGTTGGTGATGGCTTCGATTTGCGGGAGGATGAACAAGACAGAAGTCGCGCCGAGTGTGACCTGGTCGGTCCCAACAATATCAGCAACTCATTCCGCGTACACATCACACTTTGATGCAGGCATACTCACACTCAAGAGGACAGTAATCACCGTCCCAACGCTCGCAATCTCTCCACTCTGATAAAGACGGAATCCCTCCCAGAAAGCCAGAGCCATTCCAGACAGCGTGAAGAAGTTCTGGCTGGAAAACAGTATGCCCAGAAAAACGGACTTTTTCTTGCCCTTCTCGTGCGCTGCCCGTAGGTACTCATCGTAGAGATTGACAATCTTGTTCTCCGCGCCGAATGCGTGAATGGTCTTGATCGATGCCAGAGCGTCTTGAGCTATCGTTGCGCCGCGGGAGTAGAGTCGGGTCTGATGAGAGACGACGTAAGTGTGCGATCTCCCTTTTGTGGGTGGAGGAGTACAGAGGATCAACTTACAATTTCCGTCTCCACGGGTAAGATGGCGCGCATGACAATCCCAACAGAACCGAAAATGGCGGGGATGATGCTCATTGTGATGAGCGCAAGCTTCCATTGCACGGCTAGCGCCACGACATATGCCGAGAAGAAGAGCGAGATTCCCATCACGCACGTGTAGATCTTCTCGGCGATGCCTTGGTTGATGCGGTTGCCATCTGACATGGCTGGTCAGTACACGTCCATAGTATACAGCTGCAGGAGTGCATACTGGTGGTGACCTGCGTCGCAACAGATCCATTTCCAGGCTTATCAAAGTGCGGAATGCCCTGCCTCAACAAGCTCTCAAGAAACGCCTTGCGCAAAGCATTCGTCGTGCGGGCAGCCGCAACACACGCACATAGCGTCCCAATATACCCAAGGACGAAGCGTGCGACGAATAAGTACACAAAGTAAAGCACCAAATGATCAATCTTCTGCTTAAAACGCTGCGCGTCGCCGGGGGAGGAGGTCTGCCCGCTGATCGTGGAAGTCGAGGATCCGAAGACTATTGTCATAAGCGGAAGGGCAGCGCCAGAAGCCACTGCACATGAGCAGCTGATGGCGTAGAGGATTCGCTCGAGTGGGCTGGCATATCGAAAGATGCGCTGATGCAGCAGCACGGTCAGCGAGGGACCGTGTGGAGAGGTGCGGTGGGTAGACGCACGAAGTAATCGCCTATGCCACCCTTCTGCTCCTGCTCTTCTGCACTCGCTTCACTCTTACTCTCTAGAGTGGTAGGTAATGTCTTGTTCTCTTTGTCGGACACGGTGTCGTTGACCTGCGTGTATTCTCGAAGGTCGACGTGATGTGACGTGGGGCTCTCAGCCTTGCCGCTCGGCTTCTCATTGGGCAACATCGTTTGGGCGTGCGATGCAATGCGGTGCACATCTATTGGATCACAAGTACATCCAGGCCATAGAATGAGGGCGTACGGCGAGAATATGTATCATCTGGGCATGAGGTCATGGAAGTTCGATGGATTCTCTCGTGCGAAGGCGTTGTTAGGCGCGCCGGGGCCCGCGGCCTCCGGATTCCGGGACTAACCAATTCACATCGCCAGATTCGGCGCCCGCGGGCCCCGAGATCAGCCTTGCAGCACGTAGGAGCGAGCATACCTAGAAACCGGCTATAGCTCGTGATATTCCACATCAGAAAGTCGAATCGTCATAGAAGCAGTCCGAATGTGTCCCTTGGAGCTCAGATCACCAATTGCAGATGGAGTGCTGATCCTCGGCACCATCTCAGCCCGGCCAGGCAGACTCATCCATAAACTCGAACCCCGAGCCGCCAAGGTCCTGCTCTAGCAAAGTGTACAGCGATGCATTGCCAGAGTACCATTCCTGCAGGCTCTCGAACGGATCCATGATTTGCTGTTGTTGTCCCGCTGCCTTGTAGCCCAGTTCAGCCGGATACTGACCGTTCAAGTCCGTCCCGGCGGAGGGGTCGATTTGACCGCTACCATTGCTCATGGACGGCTGCTGCGTCTTAGCCCGAATGTACGCCTGAGCGACTTTAACAAAAGCCGAAGCAAGCTGGTAAAACTTTTCGATCGGTTCGGAAAGTTTCCGCGCCGGCGCGAGAGAAGTGACAAAATCTTCGAGGAGTTTAATGTCATCTTGCGAGTCGCTGGGGTTGGCGATGACATTGTAGAAGACGCCGGTGAAAGTGGTGATTGGGGCGTGCAGGAGCACCCAGTGGCAACAGATGGTCCAGTTGTAGATATTGTGCAGGTAACAATTGCTCAGATCGCGACTGATGCGAAGGCACTCACGTGCTGCCTCGATGGCACGGAAGTGCGCCGGGTGTGGGTAGGGAATGGCGTATAGTGCTGTCGAGCTGGTTTTCATCAGTGGTGGCCTTCAGACGTGCTGATAATCTTTGCACTACTCACATTGTGCTGAAGTGCATGATATGATCGCCGTGAATCCAAGGTCCCTCGAATCTTTGGCCTTGCGAAAGCTGAGCTCTCGCTACCATCGCCATGGTCGCCTAGGTGTGACTGATCAGAGCCATCGGCACAAGTGCAAATATGGCGACACGACATACCTTATTCTTACGCTCATGCGTCTGCTCCATCTCTTCTGCAAGGCTCTCTGCAATGCGAATGCGCTCCTCGGATGTGAGTGAAGAGGCGCCGGGTCCGTAAAGCTGCGTGCAGATTTTGCCCTGGATTCGCCCGCAATCCACCCAGAATGTGAACACGTCTATTACTCCTGCGGAAAGATCGGGATGTACCGTCACCATGGGCGTATCAATGTCGTAGTCTTGGATGGCGGGTGTGTGGCCCAGGCGAAAGGCGATATTTCGATCGAGACTATAGGTGATCCAGAACAGCATCGTCTAGAGCGAGTGTATCTGTTATCAGTATATTTTCATTTTCACCCCACGGGTTAAGCAAGCCTGCAGATGGCAGTTGTATCTTACCTGGCGATTGTACATTGGATCCATGCTAGGACTGCTGCGAGATAGGCGGTTGTACCCCAGTTTTTGACACATCTGCGCGGCCTTGCAGATTAGAGACCACCCGGCGGATGGCTTGCACATGCCAATCAATGTTAGGGTCTAAGATACCGGTGTCATTAGTCGGCATCCAACACTGCCAGATATCACGAAAGAGCCACTCACAGCCACAATGAGGGCCTCAAGGGCTTCGATGGACGCTGGTGTGAGCAACGGAAAGGTGGCCAAGGTCTTCATCAGCAACGACAAGAAAACTCGAGCGAGGCGATGATGGTACAAGATGGAACCTTCATCACCCTCGCCAGTAAACTCCGAGCATGTGTTGCACAAACCCGCATATATGAGCAGCTTCTCCGTCGGAGAACACACCCGCCGTTTCTCGTACATGTCTCGACACTTTGTGCAGAAATCGCCAAACAGCGTCGGCGGGACCAGACTGAACGACACAGGTGTCCCCTCTGTTTCATGTGTTAGCAAGTCTTGATCATATGTAAAGTAATGCCGGGTGGTGCACTTTTTGCTCTCTTCAGTAGGGGCTCGACCACGTCCCATCCAGGTTCGACAACGTCCGGAGCAGGATCAAGGCCCGGGCCTGAGCGCGATGCCTCAGACGGATTATGGTGTACTATGCTGCGTAGTTGTTCCAGTGCCAACGTGAGTTCTGCGTCATGCTGAACCGAGGGATCCCGGCCAATGATCTGATCGAGCACGCTCGTTGCCGCCATGGACTCTGCCTGAGCACCAACATACCCGGCCGGTTGCATATGTGTGCTCGCATCATCCTCGGAGATGGACAGAGTCGTGCTCGGGGCAACACTCGCATCGTTGTCCAGATAAGCACTCGTTCCATTCGAAAGGGCTGGCGTGGATACAGTCTGGGAAGGCGGTGTGCTTCCGGCTTGTCGTCGAAGCAATTGTTCGATGGTTGCAAGACGATGATCAATGCTGTCGATTTTCGATTCGCTAATTGAAGAGAATTATTTCAGCTTGACCGTCTTGAGTGGTATTCAGTTGGCCTGACTCACTACTGCTTAGAGACCTGCACTCGATGTTTCTGCACCTTCGAGCCTTGCGTTTCCGTGCGACATGCTATCGTGATCATCAGTTCGACCAACCTGAGACTGCCCGGCATCGATGACTCTATCACTCACGTAGATTTGCAGCTTTACAGGGAGAGCACGGCGAGCCTCGATCGCATTTGACCTTCCGGATGCGACATGAATCACACTTGATCGGCTGTCAGTCGGGCGATAACTGCAGGTGGCGTTGAGTGTTGGGCTTACGGCTCGGTGCGCACTTAGCCCCGACGAGAGGGGCGTTTCAGACCTTTCCATGCCTGGGTGACATGGAATGTGTTGATGTGGCAGGACGGTACAATAACACAGCAAGACCGGTGGCTGATGGAAGAGGTGTAATTCCAGTTGTCAAGCCTGAAGCCGCAGCATCAAAGCTTCACGGCTGCGGTGCGCACGGACTGAAAGTGGTAAGACGGCTCTTCCAACAACATTCCTCAGAGTACATGTTATCTCTACACATTGTCCAAAATCAAATGCCCCGGACTCGGAGGCACCTCCCCCGTCTCCCACCTCCGTTTTGTCTTCCCCATTTCAAACTCAATCGTGCCCCCGTTCGCCATAACATCGTCGTGCTCCAGCCAATTCCTCTCCCAAGGCTGGCCATTCACCTTGACCGACTGCACGTAAAAGTGCTCGTGGTTGTCGAGATTGTTCGCCTTGATGGTAAGCATCTTCCTCTCTCCAAGCGTCATGTTGAGCTCGGAGAACCATGGTGAGCCGATGAGGTAGACGGTTTGCGTTACGACGGGGTAGAGGCCTATCATTACCCAGATCAACCAGGAGTTAAGTGCGCCTGCGTCGCTGTTGCCCGGGACGCCGTAGTCTGCGTCGTGAAAACTGTGCGAGCATATTAGCTAACGGCATTCAATATGGTCAAATCAAGCTGGATGCGTACTATTGGTTTGCAAGCGTGCGAGACCTTTCCACACTCTTGTGCTGCTTGTTGATATAGTGGTACTCGAACGGAGTGCCAAAATCGGGCTCGTTCCTGAGACATGCATTAGAAATGTTGGAGCCTCCTTGTTGCTGAGTGAAGGAAGGCCTACCCGATGTTCATGATTGTGTCAATCCCAAGTCCGTTGCCTCCTAGGTTCTGCTCCGCACTCTTCGGCGTAAAGATGTAATCCAATCGTCTTTCAAACTCGTTCGCGCCACCCATGAATTGAATCAGCGTCTGCATATCGTGCGGTACGGTAAAAGAATACTCTACTGCCCAGTCAGTAATCACCAGCAAAATGCATCCGCAATATCGAGCGCACCGAAAGGAGTTCCCTCATAGGTGAGGCCAGGCCATCCGCAATTCGGATGGCAAACAGCCGGATTGTAATTCTCCAGATCACGGAAGGTTCCATTGCGGAACCTCGGGGCAAGAAAGCCCTTGAACCCCTTGTGCTCCAGGTCATGGGCCCAGAGATTCTGCCATTGCGCCGACCGCCGTACCCATAGATCTTGATCCTCGTATCCGAGGCCTTTGGCCAGGACTGCAAGCGAGTAGTCGTTTAGAGAGTACTCCACCGTCCGAGAGATGGATCGCGAGTGAACGTCCACGCCGATGAAGCCGAAGCGAATCCAGTCCTCGAGAGCGCCCCGGCCTTGTTGGATGTCGCCTGTAAGATCGGTGGGATTGTATTGATTGTACGGTACAACCGTTGCGTCTTTCAGCATGGCCTGGTAGGCCTCGGTCCAGTTGACACCAGGCAGTCCTTTGATGTAGGCATCCGCCAACACATTGTCAGCATTACTCCCTGCCCCATTCGTCAGCTTAACATTGCTGGAGTATCGGTAGGTAATTCTCACCCCCTTGAACAAGGCCATTGTAGTTCCCACTACGCGCATCCGGCATGAAGCCGTCCCATTTCCAAATGTCGATGAGCGATCGGATCATGCTGGCATAGTAGACAGGCTGAATGAGATGATATAAAGACACCGTACACCGGAAAGTGTCCCACAAAGCGTAGAAGTCATCCCACGAATCCGTGCTCGGCCAGAGGGGATTCTCATTCCGTCGGTCGGAGGGCATCAAGTGCATGAAATACAGACTGGAGTACAGCAGGACGATGTCTGTTCGGTTTCGGCTCTCGTCCACTGGCACCTGGATTTTGGAGAAGACGTCGGTGTTCCACTCCTCAACAGCGGCTTGCACTGTAACGTTCAGTGCCCAAGATTTGATCTCATGGTCTTTGAACGCGCACGCTTTCTCCACGGAGATCATCGAGATGCCCACGCGGGAGCGGATGGGCGAACTGTTTGAACCTTTCCACGTGAAAAGAGCACCCACTCGATCATTCATAGGTCCAGAGTCTTGCATCGACTTTCCGAATGTCGCTTCCGACGGATCGGCGTTCGCCCAGGTGTGTTGTGCTTTCACTGGATCCGTATTTCGACCCCGAAATGTCCGTGCTTCGCTTGGAGAGCGCTCGAACTCGCCACAAAAGTACGTGGTCATTGGAGCGCTTTGCGAAAACCCCCCGCCGTACGAGCCCCATCCAGTATACACTCGGCCGCCGGCTTTCAGCTGGATTTCGCCGCCGTCATAATACTGGCCCTTGCCTAGACTGCTCGTTTCCATTGGGAGATAGTGAGAGACGTCAACCAAGACATGCCGATCCGCAGCCGGAAAGTTGTATTGAAAGATTGCGCTGTGTCGTGCCCCAGCCAACTGAATGCCAACTCCGTTCTCGAGCTTCGTGGAAAAGTACCCAACGCTCGCCACATCGTGTCCGACTCTCTGCTGCCAGTAGGTTCGATTGTCCAGGACATTGACGCCGTCCAGCGTAGCCAATGGCATCTGTGAAATGATGCCGTACTTTGGTGGTCCACCAGTGCCGCTTTCGTGCATCATCGACACGCCGGTAACCAAGCCATGCGGAGTGTAGCCTCCATTGATCGTCGCGTGTCGTTGATCGGTCTCGTAAGTATCAATTCCGGCCTTCACGACACCAAAAGGCACTGCGCCACCCACGAAAATCTGTCCGCCGCCAAAGGCAAGGCCAGGCATGGCGCCTTCGGACCCCATGAATGGATTGACATATTGGGAGTAGTCGTATTGCTGGTCAGCGGGTGACGGCAAAGTCTTGAACGGCAGTATACTCGAGGAGTACGGAGACTGGTAGGCGATGAGGGCGAGGATGAGCAAAGCCGCGACAACGAGGACTCGTGTCCGCAGGCTTAAATTCAGCGAACCCATGGTCGCGGCATTTAGAAGTGTGCGAGGCAAGTCGATGAAGCCATATCTGTCACATTTTAGAAGCGTTTGAGGAAGTAGGAGAGTTCAGAGTGACAGAGCTGAGATCGAGGGCGCCGAGAGGCTTCAAGGGGCCAAGACCGGCGTTGTAGGAAGCACGAAGATGCTGGCGATGTTCAACAGCCTTGGCAATCTGCGGAGGTCATTCCAGCCAATGATGAAGCCAGAAGACTGGTCCAGTCGCCGCAGTGAGATTTTATCAAGCAACAGCCTGGCATGATATGATTGCAAAGTGTTGAAGCAAGATAATGCATGCGTGTGTATGCGGATGGAATGAGGTGGGTGGATCTTTGAAGGTTAAGGTAACGCCATGCGCACAGACTGCACATGCACATGAGTGTAGTGATCTTTGAGAGTCAATGAAACATGCAAGTACGCTACATCCTCTATCATCTACAGCCCCAGCCCGCCCGCGAGCCACGCATTGCGCATCGGATCACCAGGCTGAGGAAACAGGTCACCGCCATCACCACCCTGCGCAGCCGGAGCGGGCTGCGGCTGCTGCTGCTGCTGCTGCTGCTGCTGCTGTCCCTCTCCACCACCATCCTGCCGTCTTCTCTGCTCCGCAGCAGCGCGCTGTTGCTGCTGTTGTCGGTAGAAGATCAACCAGCCCAGCGCAGCAACGAGCCCAACAATGATCAGCGTCTCAAGAATGCCGTCGTCGAAATCGTCGTCCCAGTACTCCCCTTCCACGCCGCCGGTCATACCTTCGCGTCCGCTCTCCCAATCATCCGCTTCGAATTGCTCGTAGTAAGCCTGTGCGTCCGCCTCGAGGAAGTCATTCAGCCACTCGGCAAAGCTGCGCTTGCGCCTCTGCTCTTCCTCGTCCTCTTCTATCCCGTGGATGCCGCCATCGGTGAAACGATTCCACCAGCTTCGCCAGCGTAGTTTCCACAAGCTCAGTTTCACGGGCAGGTAAGCTTCTCGGTTCGTTTCCAGTGCCTGGTCGTAGAAGCGCTTGGCGAGGTGGAAGTCCTGCTCGATGCCCAGCCCATTCTCGTGCATCCAGCCGAGATTCCACATGGCTTGCGCGGACTGTAGCGTTTCCGCGGCTGCTTGGTAGCATGCCGCGGCGTTCTCGGGAGAGATGGTGGTGCCGATGCCGTGTAGGTAGTAGTCGCCCATCTTGACAAGGCTGTCGATGTTGTTCTGCTTCGCGGACCGCGTCCAGTACAGCAGCGATGTTGTTGCGTCAGACAGCACCGCCCTCGCGCTCTGCTGAAGCGAGGCCAGCCAAGCGACAGGTGACCATTGCGGACTGGTCTGGTCCAGCAGCCAGGCAACATTTGCCTGTGCGTTTTCGGAACCCTGCTCGGCAGCCATGAGGTACCCGATCAGAGCTCGTCGGTTGTCCCCTTCTTCGTAAGCCTCGTTGGCTTCTTGCAAGGAGCTCCAGATCGGTTCTGCCTTCTCGGAGACAATCTTGTAGTAGCCTGCCGCCATGCCGCATGATCGTCCCTCCCCAATTGCATTGTTGTGCAACTCGGCGAGGTAGTAGAATGCCTCAATGTGGCCATTGCGGGCGGCAAAATCAAAGTACTGCATTGCCGTGGTCGTATCGCCTTGGTCGAGGAACAGAATGCCCAGATTGGTCTGTGCCACCGCTAGATCTTGATCGGCAGCAGCAGAAAGATAGTCCACTGCCTTCCCCACATCCTGGTCGACACCCAGTCCGTGCAGATACATCAAGCCCAGACTGTACTGCGAGAGAGCATCGCCGTTGGCGAGAGCACGATTGAACCAAACGCGAGCGATGGCGTAGTTCTGCGCGACGCCCTCGCCTCTTAGAAACATGCGTCCAAGATATCCAGCACTTTTCGTTGCCAGCTTCTCCGTCAGCGGCGAGACATTGGCGTTCACCTTGCCGCTATCGCTCCAGTACCGTCGGGCAACGGACTTGAACTTCTTCTTTGCAAGCGCGAGATCGCGTTTCAAGCCTCGGGATCCATCGTAATGCATCTTGGCCATGCCAAAAGTCGCCTTGAGATCGCCGCTCGACTCTTGCAGGAGGAAGTAGTCCAACACGTCATCTATGTGAGCGTAGACGTCGCTCGTCGGGCCGCCTTGTTTAGCCCGGTCGCCGGCGGAGCTGACACTGGCACCCTCTCCGAACACGCCGCCATCTTCATCCGCGAGTCGATAAGCGTGTCGGACGAGGACATGCCCCCCTGGCGGACCGGAGCGATAGTAGTCCACCGCCTTTTCCGCGACATTGCGATACCAACGGACCGCCTCCTCGCAATTCTTGGGAGTACCAACCCCCGCATGGTATCGGTATGCAAGCGTCATCTCCGATCGTGTGTCACCCTGCTCAGCGGCGAAAGCGTGATACATCATACTCTTGGCCTGATCAGCAGGCACCGCAGGATTCAAGCCGGTGGCGTAGAAGAAGCCCAGCATATGTTGTGCTGTGCGATTTCCATCCCGATCCGCAAGCTGTTGATATCTCTGAAACGACTCCTCATAGTTGATCGGGTGCGAGAAGTTGCCAAACATGTTCATCTCCGCGAGGAGATACATCGCATCCGGATTGTCCGCGTTCGCTGCATCCTGCAGTAGCCCAACAGCTCTTTCCAGTGGCTGAGATGGTGTTGAGGGGGAAGGGGTCGTCCAGATGGATAGAGGCTCGGCGCGCCGGGGAGAGCCCATGAAGAGCAGGGTAAACGTCTGCTTTGCATAGTAGGCGGTGGAGCCCAAGAAGCCTTTGGGCTTTCGAGAGTAGCGGGCGAGCTTTGACACCACCGGCGCCTTGATTTTGTGCAGTATCTCCAACGCCTCGCGCACCTGCTCGGCCCCTTCTCTTTCCTCGTCGCTGATTCCATCCTTGTCTGACGCGGTCGGCGGAAACAGGTGTTGTGCGTCCAATAAGGGCTCCTGCTCTGCAAGATCATTGTGCTGTGCTTCTGCCAGGGTGTTGACCGCCAGGAAAGAGAGGAAGACGACTGTGAGAAAATGTTAGTACACTGATGTTTGAAGGGCAGTATGGCTGGAGAACTCACGGAGCAGGAGCGGCAGGGAGTGCCACCACGAGCGCCTCATCTTGGTTGATGAAAGAGACTCCGAGCGTGCCGAGTGAAGCGACGCATCACACTGCGAACGAGGGGTTGGTGGGTGATGGACAACGTGTTCACGAATGACGATGCGTGGGCGACTTCCTCATTTGGCCATCTGTACTGAAGTGGGTCTTAGCGCGGGCACAGACGTCGCGATGTTCCGACCTCACGCCCTCCATCCCTCTTATATTGATCTGACATTAACGCCTTCGGAGCATCCTAAACACTCTTGTACATATCTTGGTTCTTGGTCGTTAAAAGTGGTCATATTCTTCCCTTATCGCTCTTCTTAATCGCCAGAAAGACACGAATCGGCGTCCGGTCCTTGAAATGAAGACAACCTAGCATTCCTACGCAATGGACCGATTACCAGAAGAAGTCATCCTGCATATCCTATCCTTCCTTGACGTTCCAGATGTTGTAAACTTCCAAGCAGTATCCCACCGCTACCTCGCCCCCGGTCGGGACAACACCTTTTGGAAAACCGAAACATTCACCCACTCCCGCGCGGAAGCACTCAGACGTCGACAGCAGCTCATTGACGCGCAAGACTCGCGTCTGGCAGAGTTGAGGAATGCCGTGGCCGCTCTACCCGGATCGGACTTGACGGCATGGGATGTGGCTCAGCTCCGAGGCAGCACGCAGCCTCGCGCATCGTCTGATCCGGTGGCGGAGGCAAGGACGCAACGCTATCGCGCGCTCGTCAGCTGGGAGCCGGGCTACCCCAATGAGAAGTTGAACTACTACGAAGAGTTTGTCCACCGTCATGCAGCTATAAATACTGGCTGGCTGTCACTCCCTGCCAATCATGCCACGGACAAGGAGAATCAATTGGAGGCAACTGGCGTCGCCATCCTCCATGACCACCAGCAGAATGGCCCACAGAAAGTGGTTGCGCCGCTTGACGACGGAAGTATATGCATCTGGGATCTCTCTGCCAGATCCACGTTGAGTTTCGAAGGCCCCGGCGCATTGCTTGCGCAAACCAGGCGAGGCTTACTCACCGGGCTCTCCCCCGATGCCACAACGGAAAACCACATCGTCATGACAGAAACTGGAGCTGTGGAATGCGTTGCAGTCGACAGCGCCACACAAAAGGGCTACTTCGCCATGCAAAATCGTTTGCATGAAGTAGACTTGGCCACCCTGCAGCTGGTCTCCACGAAGCATTATCCTTGGCCAATTACCGCTCTCTCTGAAGCCACAGATCGCACGCCCATAACTATCGGGACGAACATGACAGTGCATCTGCACGACCCTCGAGATGCCGCCTTTGCATCATCACATTCATCATCTGGCGGCGAGCTCATAGGCGGATCCGTCTACTCTCATGCCACTCTCGCCCAGCCCGGGCCGCTCGCAATCCTCCACCACAACCATGCACACCCAGATGAAAGCTCCATTTGGGTCGCCGGCCGCTTCACCTCCCTGCTCAACTACGATCGACGCTTCTTCCCCCGCCTCCGCGGCACAATCCACAGCGGAGCCCGAATCGCCTGTCTATCCTCTCTACCGTACCCGCTAATTTCACACGAGCTAGATCTAGTCCGCAACCCTGAAGCCTCCATCTCCGCCTTGTCCGACGCCCGCAACCGCCAGGGTACCACCATGATGGCCGCGGCAGAATATAAAGGCAAAGGCTCTCTCGAACTCTACGGCCTACCTCGTGTGCAACCCTACCAAAACCGCCAAACAGCGTCTGCGTCGAAACTGCTGTCTGTAGCGCCGCACGGCGGCCGCATAGTCTTCAGCGACGGCGACGGCAATCTGAAATGGGTAGAGCGCGACGGCTTCTCGCACGTGCGCACATTCAACATCAACGACAAGCCGGCATCCACCAATACCGCCTCTGCCACGCAAGACGCCAGCGCATACGGCATCTGGTCGTCAACAGCATCCGAAATGCCAGGACAAGGCGACATTGTGCAGAAAATCCTGCCCATCCGTCCATCGCCTTCCACTCACAATGTAGCCAGCAGCAACAGCACCGACCGGCTAGACATCAACCAATCCAACCTCCTCCTCTGGACGGGCGACGGTGCGCTCGGCGTGCTCGGTTTCGGGCCGCGGCATCCGCTCGGCTCGGCTGGGGAGCAGGAGACGTGGCACGATGCAGTGGAGACGCTGGCGGAGGAGGCGGAGCAGCGGGCCAAGGAGGACGCGGAGCGGCAGTATAATCTCGCGATGCGGCGGGCGTTGGAGCGGAATGCGGACGAGGTGAGGTTTGTGCGGGGGCTTGGGATGGGGTATCAGCGGGGGTGACGAAGAGATGACTCCGAGAAGGACGTGTCATTATTGTATAGAGTGATCGTACGTTCATCCATTCATTTCCAAGTGATATTGCGAAGCAAACAAGGAAGCATCGACATTAACTATCTCCCAAAAACGCCATCGCTTTCGGACGCCATGTAGGCCGGGGGGTATCTCATTCCAAAACCAATCTGTCGCAATATCTGTCCCCCATCAGAACAAAAGCAAAGCAACCAAAAGAAAAGCCCTTCAATGAACAGACACAGACATGGCCCTAAAATTAAGCCGGTAATCCGTCATCCGCGCCCGCCCCGCCGTCGAAGTCGAAACAGAGTACCCAGGCGGCGCATCCGACTCCGGCATCGAGCGCCGCCGCTGAACAGCATCAGCATCAGGCCGCTCCGCCGCCGCGGCAGCAGCAGCTGCATGCTCATGCTCATCGTCCGCCAGCGGCGCCTGGCTCCCAATCCGACTGCGGCCCACGAGCTCCTCGCTAGGCACGCGGATGCGCCTCGGCTGCCAAAAGTCCGCGAAGAAGTTGGCGGGGTCTTCGACGTCGATTTCGGCGTTGTCGATGGAGTCTCTGCGGTCGAGCAGGTCGTCGCCGACGAGGCCTTCGGAGGAGATTTGGATGGGGACGCGCAGGGGGAGGCTGGAGGCGAGGCCGGCGGAGGAGAGGCTGAGGTCGAATTTCAGCGCGTACACGCGGCTGATGAGGCAGGTGTGGAAGGTGGGGGGAAAGGCTTTGTGCGGGGGCAGCTGGACGGGGACGACGAGGCGCGCGGTGTAGTATGCTGCGCCGTCTTTGTACGTCTCCGAGGGCGCGGGGATGCTACCGGGGGATTGCCAGGAGAGGGAGGCGATGGAGTTTGCCGAGTCGCGGCGCTCGAGCACTTCGTCGGGGGTGGTGGGGGTGGGGTGGTGTTTCTTCCATTCGACGTTGGCCATGCAGCGCGAGGACAGGTTGAACTGCTCGCTGTGCAGGCCTTGGGTGATGTCGAGGGTGGAGGCTTGTTTAGTGGGGACGGTGGAGCGGGCGCAGGAGGCGAAATAGGTGGAGACCTTGAGGCGGCTCGAGAGTGAACCGAGTTTGGGGGGCTTGGTTTTGTCGTCGAAGGGGTCGAAGCGCAGCATGATGGTGGCGTGGGTGTTGGTGCGCGCTTCGGGGTTGTCGTAGGATTGCACTTGCAGTGCCGGGGGCTGTGCGGCTTCCATGACCAATGTCCCCACTTTGCCCTTTAGCATGCTCTTGCGGATGCTCTTCTCCTTGCGCATGTTGTACTCGCCCTCCTCGGCGTGGACGTCGAGGGGCGGCTGGACTTCGACGGCGGGGATGACGCGCACTCTCCGCGCGCGCGATGCCATTGTCGAGCGCCAGACCTCGTCGCCGCGGATCTTGACCTCGCTGATCTTGGCGAAGATGCCGTAGCGCACGCTGGCCATGTCGGGCGCCATGTCGTCGAGGCCCTTCTGGCTCGCGCCGAGATCCTTGTCGCCAAAGGTGGGCGGCAGGTGCAGATGGAGGTCGCGAACGGCATCGTTGCGAACCGGGTGCTGGCAGACTCTCGGGAGGAGTTGCTGCGGCACGGCGAAGATGAAAGGAAACTCGTAGGCGACGCCGGCCTGGAGGACGAAGTCGGCGGGGTAGTACTGTTCGTTGCCGGGTTGGGAGAGTTTGAGGAATTGATGATATGCTTCCGAGCGGCCCGACGCAGCAGCGGCGGTGGTGAAGCGCTCGACAAAGGTGCGCGACGTGCCGATGAACTCAATGTCGACGCTATCGAAGCGCGTGTCGTGCGGGGCGGTGATGGTCACCGTGCCCTCGAGGCGGTCGAGGGTGGTGTAGGTGCTCTTGGGGTGGTCGAAGTGGATCTTGATGTCGGGCTTGGCCGTCTGCACCAGATTCCTCAGTTTGGAAGGCATGGTGGTGAAGCCGTCACCGATGGTGCTGGTGGTAGGAGACATGGTCGCGATGTTGCCCGTCTACACTAGATGGGGGGAGGGGGTCGCAGTCACGTGCCAGCCACGTATGCAATGGCGACGTCTAGAGGTGCGGAGAGACGGAGGTGTGGCGAGCAGGCTATCCAATGGCTGCAGCGGAGTAGCGACAGGCCGGTAGAGAGATAGGATGATTCCAAAAAGCTTCGCTTACCGCCACATCAAGCAGAGGGTTGTTGGAGTTATGGGGATGAGGGATGAGGGAATCGGCAATGTGGGGAGCCCGGGTTTCTTTATACGTCTGGCCCTTCTTCTCTGCTGGAGAATGAGTTCCGCCATGGTTGGGGCAACGCCGACACTGCTTGCGCGACAGGGCGCGCGTGGAATGACTCCCTTGACTCATCCCACCCCAATGATCGCAGGATGAACGCGGCGGCTTGCGACTCGCATCGCGCAGCAGCCAATCCGCGCTCGCGCCTCGCCCACTAGCGGCAAAGATCTTTTCCCAAACGCGCTCCTCTTGGCGCGGTGGCTTGCCCTTTGCGGCTCCGGTGTTCGGAGGGCGCAAGAGACATCCACGCCCTATAACGCCTCCTCCAATCGAGGGCATTTTGTCAGCTTACCCGGAATCACGACATGTCGACTGCATGTGATACGCCGCACTCTCGAATCCTTTGGGAGCGTCAGCATTACACCTCTGTGCATCGAGTCACAACCGACAAGAAAGCTTCGTATTGCCCAAAGTCAGGGCACGGAGTTCCGTTGGGCACGCAGCCTTGTTCCGAAATTTTTCCAACATGCCCATATCCACCACGCTGCACCTCTAAAGGCAAGTCGATGCCTCGCCGTGCAACCTCGCCTCGTACAGATGGCCACTGTTCCAACACGCACGCACGCCCATACGACCTGGCCCAGACCCGCCACTTCTCCACCGCAACGAATCTCCAGTCTTTTCTCGTGTTCCTTTCCCCTTTGGTAGTGGCAAAGGAAGCCAAGCCGTGTTTCCACGTGTTTCAATCCCACAGCGCAGTATTCATTACTAGATAGTGGGCGGTTTGGTGGAGCCGATGGGGTGCAAAGGGTGTATTTTTAATCAAAAGTCTCGAAGCACGTGGCGCTTCCGTAAGGAGCAAGAAGCCAGAGAAAATGAATTCCGCGTTGTCCGCCTGGGAACGTCGAACTCCGACGCCGCCCGACGTCGGAATGCCGCCGCACACTCCGTTGTCAGTCATCTATGCCGCACCCCATTGTTGGCGAATGAACATTGATGGATGATCCCTGGCTTGCATGGTTGTTTCATGGAACTTGCCGGAAGATGATGAGTCGATTGCTTGGTGATGCTGCAGAGATGAGGTGATTTCACTCCATAAGCAAGCAACCTAGGCGACGACAAGATGAGCAGTGATCGCCGCGGCTATGGGATAAGCAGTCATCCTTCAGCCTCGATCCTCACTACCCCAGCACTGCTACAGTCCTCTTCCTTCGCCGTCTAGCTAGCCCTAACCCTCCGCTTCAATCTCATAGCTGTTCGACTTGTGCTTCGGCTGGAACCTGAAGTCCTTGTGCGCCGGTCCCAGGAACATCTCACTGTGGTCAACAAGTCAGCCAAACATCCACCACTCGCAACTTCAAGCCACTCACCTGATTTTGATCCAGTCCTTGTAGTTCCCACTACTCAGCAACGTCTCCAGCTCACTCCTCCCCCGGAAAGCAGGCGGCCGATCGCCCAGCTTCGGCGGCAAGTGTTCGAGAAGACCCAGCGGCACGTAGCGACAGCTAAAACTCAGCCACTCCAGCAGGAACTTGCGCGTCGTGCCCACCCCGAGCTCGTCTGAACCCCAGTACTCCAGCCCGTTGCGGGCGAACTGCTCAATGTAGCCCAGCCGCTCCGTCGCCGACTTGTCGAGGTATTGGTTCGTGGCAATCTCTTCGAAAATCCAGGGCTTGACGAGCGCGCCGCGCGCCACCATGCACGCGTCCACGCCGGCGTCGTTGAGATGCGTGTTGTAGTCGACGTGTGAGAGGATGTCGCCGTTGCCGATGAAGTAAGGCATGCCGTCGCGCGTGGCCGTGGTGGAATTGGAGAGGTCGCGGGCGTCAGGTTCGTGGATGGTGTCAACGGCATCGGCGTGCTCGGTCTTGAGTTTGCGCACTAGGTTGGCGCACGAGGCGATGTACTCCCAGTCTGCGCTGCGGGTGTAGCGCTGCTGGCGACTGCGGCCGTGCAGGGCGATGGCTGCCACGCCTGCTGGTCCGTCGCCGGTTTCTTTCGAGTCTTCCGTTCCCAGCACGAGTTTGCGGCAGAGCTTCTCGGCTGTGGGGTGGTTGTCTTTGGTGCCCATGCGGATTTTGACGGTGATGGGCACTTCGCCTGAGACCACGTTCATGCCGCGGAGGATTCTCTCCAGCTTGGTGGGACTGTCGAGCAATGCCGAGCCGGCGCCCTGTCGGAAGACCAAGTCGATCGGGCATCCGCAGTTGAGGTCGACGGCACGAAGGTGAGGAGCCAAAGCAGTGAGGACTTCTGTAGTCTTGAGCGCCAGCCAGGGCTTGTTCGCAGCGATTTGCGCTCCGAATTTCAAGTCTTTGCTGTTGTTGTAATCTGACACGACCGTCTTTCCACTGTACGCGGGAGGACTGAGCTCCGACTCGTGCGCTTTCATCAACGCCCACTCTCCCTTCTCTCCTTGCAGTAAGGGCAAGCCCATGGCCATCTCCGACCACGTCACTTGTGCACCAAGGGATACACACAGCCGACGGAACGGCATGTTGCCCTGTGTAGTCAATGGTGCGAGGATTGGGGTTTCCGGGCCGTAGTAAATCCGTCGTTTCTCGGAGGGTTTGAGTGGAGGCTCGCGGTACGTGGCTCGGTTGTCGTGCTTGCCATTGGTGATTTCGATCCCGTCAGCATCGACCAGCGGCTCGTCCGGTGGATCTTCTTTGGATCGCGCCTCAATCCATTGCAGGTACTGATCGGATTTGGGGGTAGGGAAGATTTTCTTGCGGAGTTTGATCTTCGTGGCAGCATCCACGAGGTTGACCACGCCGTTGCCACTGACACCCTCGTCATCGTCATCGGTCGTACCATTAGTCTGCGTATCCTTCTGCACCAAGACCAATTCCTTGCGGCCATCCTCATGCTCCACTTCCTTGGAATGACTGCTGGCGAAACGACACTTCCAGCCGGCGGAGCAGGTCCCTTTGATTTCAAAGATGGGACACAGGCTGTTGAACGTCGCAAGATCCTCCCTCTTCCCATCCTTCAGATACTTGCGAATGTCATGCTCGTACCGGCACTTGGCTCCGAACTGACAAGCCTGGGGCGAAAACTCATTGACGTGCACGCGGGACTTGCAGAGCTCGATGGCGTCTCTGGAATTCCCAAACTGTCGATTGTGATTCTGGCCGCCTTTGGATTTGGGTCCGCCGCGGCCAGCGGTGGCTTTGGGGTCGGTCTTTCCTGCTGCTTCGGCTGCGTCGTCGTCTGCTTCTGCTGATGCCGCGGATGACTTGGTCATGTCGATGAGGTATTCCGCTTTGATGGGAGCAATCCCTTTTCTGCGCTCCGTTGAGGCTGGCTTGTCCGCAGGTGAAGTATCATGCGAGAGTTTCATGCGCTTAGAAGGAGACTCGGTGACATCTTCTGCCTGGGTGTCCGCCTTGACCGCAGCTGGAGTGGTGGATTGATCCATGGTGTTGGTTTGATCCATTGCCGTTATTTCATCTGTGGACAACGATACTCAGATGGATGTCAACGATGAAGCCTGAGCCACACAGAAAATGGTAAATTCACGTGCGGTCAGTGCTTGTGGCAGAGTTTCCCCTTTCGGTCGTGCCTGCCTTGGTCTGGCAAGCGCCAGCCACAGTGACGTACCGCTCGCGTCTGGATGAGCTGCCGTGACGATGGCATGCCCACCCACCTCTGCAAACGAAGCCACTTTTCCAATTCACGCGTCCTTCATCATCATCAATTCCCTCCTTCTCACCATCTTCACGAAAGAAAGCCCTATTCACGCCCCTTCGCATTCCCCACGTCCACCACTCATCCACATCACACCCATCTCCAAGCCCCCACCCTCCCGCAAACAGCTTCCAAACAGGACACGCAACTCGATTGGAACCAACCCCACCTCTCCAATACCTACCTGCAAGCCCCTCCGTCCTATAAAACGCAGCTATGACGCTCTACTACTCCCTCGTAAGTCTCTTCCTGTCTCCCACCCGTCTCCAACGCATATCACCACCACCGCATCCCACACCGTCCCATCAACAATCCATCCATCACCATGCCGTCTCTCATCTATGCCCCGGTTCAAACCACCCTCCATCCTCCTCCACAAGCCCCAACTAACCCAGCAATGCACAGGTGTTTGCCCTTCTCATGTTTGAGATGGTCGTCTTCGTCTCCCTCATCATCCCCATGCCCTTCGACCTCAAGCGCAAACTCTTCATCTTCATCTCCGAGAACCCGCTCGTGGCCAAACTGCAATATGGCTTAAAGGTGCGTCGTCTCCGCCGCCCCGATAGCCCCGGCATCGCCAAACCCCTAACGATGCAACTCAGATCACTTTCATCTTCATCCTCATCCTCTTCGTCGACAGCGTCAACCGCGTCTACCGCGTCCAAGTCGAGCTCACCCAAGCCAAAAACCAAGGCGGCGCCGCAGTGTACGTATCCCCACACACCTCCCCCGTCTCAATCTCCCACTAACACCCACCCCCCCAACAGCCAAGTAGCAGGCAGCGAGCGCATGGAAGTGCAAGCGCGCAAATTCTACTCCCAGCGCAACATGTACCTCTGCGGCTTCACCCTCTTCCTCTCCCTCATCCTCAACCGCACCTACATGATGATCACCGACATCCTGCGCCTCGAGCAGGAGGTCAAGATCCTCAAGGGCGAGAAGCCGGCCAATGACGAGGCGGCCGCCAAGATCGGCGAGGCCGGCAAGCTGAACGAGATTGGCACGCTGAAGAAGAAGCTGGCGGAGAAGGATCGCGATATTGAGAATTTGAAGAAGCAGGCCAAGGGGTTGAATGATGAGTACCAGCGCTTGGGCGATCAGGTTGCCGGGCAGGACGGGACGCCGAAGAAGTCCAAGTAAAGGAGAGATGGTGAGCCGGTGGTAGGAGGGAGGGTATTGGAATGGATGACGAAGAGATGGCGAGTTGAGCTAGGTAGGGGAGCTGCATATCTATGGGCGGCGTTGGAAAAAGCGCGGACGTATCCCGCATGGAGCGAAAAGTCAAGAAGATCAGGCATCAAGCATGCACCCCAACACATGGAATGAATTTGTTCGCGTAACGTCTGTCATGTCTTCATCACTTCCCAATGGCAACGCATCTTCAATCCCCCTCCGCTTCTCCCGCCTCCGCCTCCCTCTCCGCCTTCTCCAACCGCTTCATACTCGCCTCGTCGAAAATCGTCTCTTCGTCCCCGGGAATCGGCGGCCGCCCAAACCCAACCACAGGCCCCACCATCTCAATCCAATCCCGGCGCTTCTGCATCAACGCCCTCACCCCATCACTCACGCCTCTTCCGCCCCCACCCGCCCCCACGCCCGCCACACCCTTCTGCCCAGGCCTGGCGCTCGAGCCGCCGCCCCCGCCGCCCTTCTTTGATCCCGACTTGCCCAAACTGCGGTTGCGCTTTAGGTACGCCGCGTTGACCTGGTTGTCCAGGTCGTCTGCGATGTTGCTGTACTCCTGCATCGCCATGCGCTCTTCCGTCAGCTCGAGCACGCGCGCTTTGCGCATGTTGTTGATGCGGCTGACGCGGCGCAGTTCGTGCTGCAGCGTGCGCAGCCGCGCCGCCACTTCGTCGTCGTTGTGGGAGGCTAGGTCCGGCATGTCGTTCGGCCCGAGGAAGCCGATGTGCCGCAGTTCTTGGATGGCGCGGCTTTCGATCTCGGCGTAGTCGAGTTGGGGGAGGGTTGGAGGGCGCGGGGCGTCGGGGGGGAGGCAGGTGGTGGGTTTGGTGTCTTCGATTGCTGTTGTGGGTGGGGCGCCGGGGGCGGTTTGATCGGCGTCGCCGTTGAGCATGCTCGTGTCGCCGTCGATGTCTTCGACGGGTTCTTTTTTGCTGTTGGTGCTGGGTGAAGGGCGGAGGATGGAGAGCAGTCGGTTCATGACGGGGCCGAGGCTGATTTCGTCCGTCTCGGCCGTGTCGTCGTTCATGTCTTCCATGCTGCCCCTCGCTTCGTTGGGATTCGGCTCTTGCTTCCTAGGCGGCGCGACACCGTCCATTCCATCTTCCGCGGCCCAGATCTCCTTGTAGCCACGTGGGCCACGCGCAGGGATGAGGTAGGGCGTCACTCGGTCTCCTCTTTCCTTCAAAAATGCCACATCCTCCTCGGTAAAGGGGCGAATGTAGGGTTCGGCGTAGGTCTGGAAGGTGGAGAAGTGGACCTGATTGGCGGGTTTGGCGTTGCTAAAGTCCATGTCCGGAGGATCACCGGCGGTGAGATCCCGCAAATCGCCCTCCGGCCATCGTGCCACGTTCAAAATTGCTCTCTTTTCTTCCTCGCTCATGTCGTCGTGTAATTCGCGGATATCGTAGACGATTGGGTCGTCAAAGAGGGTAGGGTCCTTGCCGAAGAGTCGTTCATATAGCGGTGCAGTTGATGATGGCTCTGCTCGGGACACATCAGAATCGGAGGGAGATGCAGCGACGTCCATCAGATCGACAGGGGGTCGTGGAGAGATGACCGGGGATGGTGGAGGTTTTGCGCCTGTGATTCCGGTGTGTTAGTCGATACTTGCATGTGATTGCACGGCCGCAATACAGCCATAGTCAGTTTCACGCGGACATGTGGATTGCACTCACCTTCATTCACTCCCACTCCATCTTGTCGCGCGACTCCATGTGCGCCAACATTAGGCAGAGCATCCTTCTGCTCCTGGCGCTCGCCCTCCTCCACATCCAGCTCCATTTCATCCGCACTCCTCTTTTTCCCGCTGCCAGCACTTTTGCTCTTCTTCTTCTCCTTCCTCTCCCTCTCCTTCTCACTTTCCTCCTCCTTTTCACGCTTCACTCGCGCTGCATCTTCCGCCGCAGCCCTGCTGGCTTCCTGCTCTCGCTCCATCGCAATGCGCTCCTTGCGCTTCTGCGCGAGCTGGCGCATGCTCCGATCGCAGACCTCGCCGCGCCTCGTCATGAACTTGTTGATGGTTTCCTTGATCTTGCCGTGAAGGGCATGCAGTTCGCGAGCGGAGGGAGGGTCGGCGCCTTTGTTTGCACCGCTTCCATTCGCCTTCTCGATGAGGGCGGAAATGGTGTCATCGTGGGAGACTAGCGCGGCGGTCGGAGTGTGAATGTAGCCTGTCTCTTTGGGGATGGAAGGGGTGGCGATGGCGGATTGTGGAGTTGCTGCTTGGGGGGTAGGGGGAGCGGTATCTCCCAGGGCGGAGAGGGGGGTAGACTGGCGGGATGAGGAGCGTCGATCACGTGCAGTATTTCTCGTGCCCTTCTTGGAAGCGGTCGGCGCCATGTTCAAAGCGTGGAGGAGAAAGGCTCAGGCGAGGGGGGGCAGAAGGGCCCAGAGTTGGCAAGGTCGTGTAACGCGGACGTGAACCATGCGAGTATATCTAGCGCATCCTGTCGATACAGTGTGACGTCGTGCGTTCAAAGACCGTAGTGGGAGTTGGTGGTGATGCGTAGCGGTGAGGAGAGAAGCTGATCAAGATGTCGGGTACAGTCAGGCACGCAGTGAAGGTCAACGTGCAGGAAGTTGAAAGTCCCCACTCTTGGCTTTCTCAGCATTGAGTCAGCGGGCCCACAGCCGGCTCGGAGTCAAGAAACACCAAGCTTTTTTGGCGTGGCGGGCGGATGGGGCGTGCGTGCGTACGCTGATCAAAGCTTCCGGCCTCATCCTTATCCTCCTCCTCTTACATCCTCTCCTCACCATCCGCACACCCCGCTCCGTCCTCTTCGCCGTGTCCAGCTCTCCTCAGTCCGTTGGGGGGTGATCAAGACCGCACGGTTCCGCGATGCTTGTGGCACATCTCCGCACTTGACGCCGCTTGTGAGCGCGCCACCTTATCTACTCGGCCTCTCCCACCGTGACGAGTCACAATGGGTATGTCACATTCCCCCGGCCCTTAATCACGAGTACCGTGACGGCGCCTTGGGACTACAACTCTAACGTCGAATGCTACAGCCGCCTCAGACTACGAGATCGTTACCGAGGTCTTCACCAATCCCGAATGGACCACCCAACGCACAATCTGGACCCTCAGTCCAAACATCTCCTTCTACTACGATTCGTCGTACATTGTCACCCTATCCGACCAGCTTTATAGTCCCAACGACCCGCCCACCGGCCTCCTCTATGTCCCCGACCTCAAAGCCGGCGATCCGTGTATAAATCTGACGGCCCCATACCTCCCTACACACGTTACCAGACTCGCAAATCTGCCGCCTACGTCAGACCTTCCCACATACCTGATTGCCATCGCGCCATGGACGACTACGGAGTGCAACACCCACTATCTCGACGCCATCCCTTTGGAGAACGTGAAAGGCTTCCTCGTTTTCCAGGGCGGTGGTGTATTTCAACCCCCAACCGCTGACGACAACGTGTGGAATTTGGGCAACACCAGCGCAGATGAGTGGAAATCGCAATACACCTTTCCCGTCTTCGCCATCAGTCCCGAACAAGCCGAGAATATTTTGAACGTCAGCGCGCAGTACAGCGGGAACTTGACTGATGTGCCGAATGGGCATCTGTTGACCGAATCCGGGTTCGACTCGCGAGACTATGCGCGCTTGTCTCTGACTATAAATCCCTCCAAATCGCACCCACTGCCGAGTCTGTGGATCTTTGTGCTCGTCGTGTTGGGCATCTTGCTGGCCATCATCTTCCTCACCAGCGTGTTCTTGCATCTATTGCAGGCGCGCCGCCGGAACTCTCTCAGACGGCGAGTGGCGAACGGAGAGGTGGATCTGGAGGCTTTGGGCATCAAACGCTTGACCGTGCCGCAAGACATTCTCGATGAGATGCCGCTGTACACCTACGGCTCAGGCGAGCCGGCAAAGCAGGAATCGACGACCGCCATCACGACCGTCGTGGAGGAATCGGTCGTACCCAATAAACTGGACTCGCCTCCATCCTCGCCTCCTACATCACCAAGTGTGAGCCCTGCGCCGGCACGGAGGGCGCGAAGAGCGAAGCCCCACGTTCCTACGACCCTCCAACAACCCACCTGCGCCATTTGCCTGGATGACTTCGTCGCAGCGCATGGCGGCACACAAGGCACCATCGTCCGCGAGCTCCCATGCCAGCACATCTTCCATCCCGAGTGCGTGGACAACTTCCTCCGCGAAAGCAGCAGTCTCTGCCCCATGTGCAAAAAGACCGCCCTGCCGACCGGATATTGCCCTCGCAACATTACGAATGCAATGGTTCGACGCGAGCGCATGGTGCGCCGCATCCGGCCCCGAGCAGAAGCCAGCGGCGAAGAGGGCGGCGACGGCGCGGACGGAGGAAGGCGGCGCCCCACGAACGCCCTTGCGCGCCTGTCTACCTGGCGCTCCTCCAACCGCTTGCCCTCGTCGACCCAGGGAGCGGATCCAGTGGAACTCACCGAGAGACCTCCCGCGGCAACATTGACTACAGCGCAGCCAACGGACGGCATCAGTACGCCGCCACCTGTACAGCCTCCGTCGAACTCGCGGAGAAGAGAGTGGGCGCGCCGCCGCGCGGAGGCGATGCTGGGTCGGAATCAAGCGCCTGCAGATCCCGAGGCGGAAGAGGAAAGAGCGACACCTGGGTGGCGGAAGGCTTTACGGAGTCTATTCCCCTAAACTCCACCACGGACTGGAGGGAAGCAATTGGAAATCATGGTGAACGACGACGAGGACGGCTTGTACATGCGACGATGTTAGCGTTGGGTCGGGGTATTTGAGCGAGGCGCTTGGGTGTAGTTAGGCGAGTTTCTGGCTTTCGCTATGGGAAAACGATGCGCTGATGGAGGCCACGATCATGTACATATCTTGCGGGAACGAGGAATGGATCTCTGTTTGCTCGCTTTTGGTTGGACAGCCGGCACACGATGTCCATTGTTTGCCTGTCAGTAAATGTCGTTGAGACGTGTGCAACGTCCATGACGCCGGCGTTTGGTAGTGCAAGATGGGGCTGGCAGTCACAGCGTTCGTCCGCCGTGACTCCGTTTCACCGCCGCGGCCGCTTGACATCCGATTGACGTCTGCGGTACAACAACGCGAGGACAACGCCACACATGTGACGCATCGAATTCGCCCCGGCACCCCTGCTAAACAGCAAAAGCACTTCTCGCATCCCGCGCTCATACGAGAAACGTCCAGAAGCTGGGATATACAAACTCCTCCTCGAAGATGCGCTGCACCTGCTCGAGGATGAACTTTTCAATCTTGCCCACGTTCTTCAGCACCTGCTTGCCCTCCCCCGTCTCCCCCATTTCGCTCTCAATCTTAATCTCCTCGAGCAAAGCGCCGACTCTACTCGGCTGAGCGGTCGCGGTCGTAGTGGGACTGCCGCCGCCGCCGCCGCTTTCCTCTCCGCCGGGCGACTGCGGCATCGTCGCGCTCTCGCTTCCCACCAGCGCTTCTGCGTCCTCCGGACTGAGGAAGCACAGATGCGCGCGCTTCTTGATGGACGCGAGCACGCCTACGCCATTGAACGTGATGCCGGTGATGGTGAGTTTGAGTGGGATGCCGACGAAGCTGGGCATGGGGAAGTCGAGGAAGACGTCGGCGGTCATGGAGAGGCGCACGTCGCCGGAGTAGGTGGCGTGGAAGACGACCTGTAGGTCTTCGGGGTTGCGCTCGACTTCTGTGGGTCGGGGGGTTTGGGCGTCGTCTTGGCCGTCGAGGGTGGAGGAGGCGGCGCGGTGGGAGTCGAGGTTTGTGTAGTCGCGCGAGACGGGGCGGGAGGTCGGGGAGGCGCTGGATGTTGGCGAGGTGGGTTCGTTGGAGACTCGTTGGGATGGATGTGCGGCGAAGGGCGTGGTGCCGTTGGCGTAGTGTTGCGCTCCTGCTACGGCTGCCAGAGGCGTGGTGGTGCCAGGGATGCCGGGGAGATGGAAATAGCCAAAGTTGGAGGTGCTGCCCAGGATCGCTCCCCGAGTGAGAGAAGGGCTGGCAACGGCATCGAGCAATTCGAGCTCCGAAGGCCGGCGGGAATGATCTCTGCTCCGCCCGTTGCGAGCCCCAGCCGCGGAATGCAAAGGCGGTTTGACATGAGTAGGAATAGGCGTAGGCCGCTCATTCAGCTCCTCGTCCTCCGCATCCTCACTCCCATCCTGCGTCTCGTAAAAGTCCGGCAGAGGCTCGCAGACATCCTTCAGCGTGATTTCGGGCGCGACCGTGCCGAAATCAAAGGCATGCACTTTGACCGAGCGGATCAGTTTGGGGAAGGAGATTTGCTGGAAGCGCTCGTGGATGAAGTCCCGTATGCCTTCGGCGAGTGCTTGTCCATCGGGCCCTCCTGTCAGCGTCTCCCAGTTGATGTCAACCGACATTGGGTTGGGGAGGAAGGGTTAATGAGGGCGGACCTGAGGAGAGATGAAGTGAGGTATCGCTGGTCGTTCTCTGTCTTGATTGGCCAATCGCCGCTCTTGGCGACGTCTCTACGGAACTCGAGCAAGTGCAGCACAAGTTGTGCAACTTGACTGCCGCGCAATGTTTCACAAAGAATCAAGATGTGGCTGGATCTTGTGCTACAGTCCTGTCAAAGCTCGTGCGTCTTCTGTACAACACGGCAAATTGTGTCAGGTGTTGGTACTGCAGCGGGCAAATTTGCAGCAAACGCCGTGCTCAAACGAGCGATGATGAATGTGAGGCAGGACACTTAGAATAGACGAAGGAGAAGGAGGAAATAGTCATGAGTGTAAGCGACCTCTCACGATACGTTGGAGTCGCTATGAAATTACCCACAAGAAGTAAGGTCGAATGCTGTCCTGCACCAATGCCGCTGGTATCTCGTGACGCTCAAAGTGCAACAAACACTCCAACCGCCCAACATGAAATCACAAGATTGCCGTGCCCAATCTAACCCCCCAGCGCCGTGTCGCTATGACCGTATGACTGAAAGCACACAAACTCCATCCAAGCCATTGCACCTGTGGAATGTGCACCCTGCACAACCGGTCAGCCGACGAGGAAGCAGACGACACTGACAGTTGCTTGCATACCACGTCTAGCCCTCGCCGCAGTCGAAGCACTTTGTCTCGTGATGGACGGAGCGGTTGTTGAGCACGCCGCACGCTCTCCGCTTCGACACGGCGCAGCCGGCCTTGTCGACTCGGTTGTGGCCGCAGAGGTAGTAGTGGGTGATTTGGACACACTTGTTGACCAGCTCGATGAAGTTGTAAGATGGAGGGCTATAAGTATTAGTCGGGCCCGGGGTTTGGTAGCTGCAGGAAGCATGCGCACTCACTGCATTGTGGCGTCCTGTGAATGGGTTCTGCTGTCGGTCGAAAACATGTAAGAGAGCGCAGAGCAGAGACAAACTCTTATGCTTGCTTCGATCAGCGTTGTCAAACAGATGAATGAGCGACGCTGTGTGTCGTTACCCCGAGGCAAGAACTACAGCTGGTTCCAACGAGACGGCCCGTGGCATGCATGATCCATGCAAGGGCCAAACAGTGCAACAACACAGCTCATGACATCTTTGCGCGGACGGTGTTTGTTTGATACGCGATATGTGTTAGCCTGCTGATCGACCAGGAGCTCGCATGGGGCATCGGGTCGGCCTTCCATCTTGGCAGCCGAACCCATCCTAGCGAGGTACGGTGCAGGCTGTTGTGGAGGTTGACGAGTCAGTCGAGGAGATGAGGTCGCACGCCATTGTCCACAGCCGTACGCGGCGAGGGGATAATAATGGAGCCATCGATGGTGGCCGCTTCGACTTGCTGCCGGTCCTACGTTTGGTTCAGCCGAGCTACTGTCGGCCCTACTTTCGATGCGCCATTGCTGATGCAGTGCTGTAGGCGAGCGAAGACTGGTGCGACGAAATCGCAAAGTGCATACTGCAGATTGGCTGGGGGGACTCAGTCGGATCATCGTAAACAGATGCATATGCTGCATATACGGCGGCAGGGGTTCCCAAGCCGTACACTTTCCAACACATGCATAGCCTTTTCATGCGTGTACACCACAGGCAGCCCGCATGTCTGCGGCATATTAGCCCGAGGATCTCGCAGGGCCGTGTCGTGCAAATAACATCTCATTTGACCGCGCAATCACCGGCAATTCACATCAAGTTGTCGATGAAGTTGTCGAAGCTCAGGCAACCAGACACCTTCCCGTCGAAGGGTATGCCTCAGGTTGCATTCTAGTGAGATGCACGGACGGCGCCGGAGAAGTCAGCCGCGGGCCAACCTCCATCCATCCAACTCCCTTCTGTCCGCGCATCCAAGAAACCGGTCCGTCACGCGCTCCAGCAGCCACCGAAAATAAGTCGTGACGCAGTCGAACTAGAGCTAGCCCGGTTTCTCTTTCGAGCTCCTTCCGAGTCTTTGTTCAGCGTTCCCTGTCCACACCTCGACAGCCACCGCCTCCTTTGTGATGGCCTTGGAAGCTGACGTTGCGCCTACATCAGACGCCGTATGCATGACCTCGCACCACTCGGGAAGTGACCGATCTTAGCGACCGCATCCAATGCTTGCAAACCCCAAGTCTGGAAAAGCAATCTCGAAGCCATTGGCCGCGTCTGCCGCGCCTCTTATCAATGTACCCGACCTGCTGACACCTTGTCGAAAGCCTAAACCCGAAGGCAGTTCCCTTGTCCCGCGTGCACGCTGGCGAACCACGCACTCTCTCCACGTCGCGAAAGCTTCCCACGGCGCGCCATCATTGGCTCCCCTAACCGCGGGAATGCCCATTCCTTCCTCAGCCTTCCGTAGTGGTTGCGTCCAGACTCGTTCGTAGCCTAGGCCGCGCTCTCTTCTCTTCCACACGTGCGTCACTGGTTGATGGGCTGCCGCATCCCGCCGTCACTGCCCTACCTTAATCTCCCACGCAATGACGGGGGACGCGATCACCAGATCTGAACGCCCATTAGTTTCCGCCAGGTCAGGGATCTTGGTAACGAGTGTCTGGGGTATGTATACCTCGGGTCTCGTCCTCGTCTTCTCTCCGCATTTATGCTCTACCAAAGCGACAAGTATACTATCCCACAACCTGCACACCACGCCTGCCTCCATTCGTTCTGAATCCGCCAATAACAACCCCCTTCAATCAGCCATAAAACCCAGCACCATCTCCCATCCCAAACATGCCACCCACAACCACCGACGCCAAACTCGCCTTCCTCAGCCTCCTCCCCTTCCAATCCACCAAATCCGCACCCTCGACATCCGACGTCATCGAGGAAATCAAAGCCGCCGAGCCCGGTAGCGATAACACCACCAAAGCGCGCCGCTCGAGCGAACTGTCCACCGGCTCTGCGGCTTCGACTGCGTCGTCCAGTAGCTTTTTGAAGCTGGGACCTATCCATTCGGATGACTAGACTGTTCCGGTGCTAAAGTGTGTGTTTTGACGGCTGTTGCATGAGGGCGTTGAGGTTGTTGCGTTAGGCGAAGGGGCCGTTGGCGTATCAAGTTGCACTCGTACTCGAGCGAGTCCGATGCGGTGTGTTGTTTGGAAAGAAGATCCCTGCGAGAAAGCAGCGCTGTATCCTTATTCGTGTCATTGACTACCTAGCAATCGGCATGTACGTGTATCTTCTCGCGCCGCAGGGGCCATTATCCATCTAATAAGCCACCATCGTCGACAAGCCCTCCAGCTCCCGCTCAAAGTGCTTATGCTGCGAGATGGCGAAAAAGTACGCATCAACAAAGTCCGCCGCGCCCTTGGCCATCTTCAACACCTCCTTGAAGCTCTCCGGCTTCGTGCGGCTCGCAGTCACAACGCCATAGCTGTCCACCACGCTTTCCGAAGAGCTGAACTCCACGCCGGGCAACGCAGCCGCGTCTCGCACCAGATCAACGCCCTCGCCCACCGCGCCGATGGCTTTCAGGTGAGCGAAAGCTTCTCGCACCCAGTGTAGTGCGCGGCCGCTCTTGCGGAGCGTCGCTACGCTGTCTGCCCCGCCTGGGATGAAGACTGAGTCGAACATGGTGCTGCGCATGCCTTCGAGGTGATGGTCCGGCGTCACGCCCTTCGAGGAACCCTTCTGCTCTCCCGCGGCGTAGATGGCGCTCCGGCGTGGGCCGATGGTATACGGCACGGCTTTGGCCGCTTTGAGCGCCGCCACGATCCCGTTGTACGCCACGGCGTCGAAACCGTCCGCGATCAAAATGGCGACACGCCGGGTTTCGATCGTAGGGTTCTTGGGCTGGAACTGCGTCTGGCTGAGGCGGGACGTCTTGCCGTGGTTGGGTCGGCCGGCTTTCTGCGGGACGGAGCCGCCGACCATTTCCGCCACGCTTTGGGCGAGGCCGAGATCGATGTCGGCTAGGCGCTGCGACATGCGCTCGTAGACGACGGGGTCGTCGCAGTGGTCGAGCTCGAAGCTGAACGAGGCGGCAATGTGCGACTTCTCCGCTTCCGTCTGCGAGTTGTAGAAGAGCTGGGCTTGGCTGAAGTGCTCCTGGAACTTCTTGGAGCGCAGGCGTTGCTTCATGCCGGCGACCTGTTGGGGGTAGTCGATGTACGCGCCCTCCTCCTTCTTCGCCGGCGGCGTGGCTTCGTAGCGATTGGGCCAGTAGTTGACGGTGCCCTTCGTGATGGTGTGACGGAGCTGGCCGTCGCGGTTGTTGTTCATGACGGGGCACACGGGCTTGTTGATCGGCAGCTCTTGCCAGTTGGTGCCGAGACGGCTGAGCTGGGTGTCGAGGTAGCTGAAGTTGCGGCCTTGCAGGAGCGGGTCGTCTGAGAAGCCGATGCCCGGGACGACGTGGCCAGTGCAGAAGGCGACTTGCTCCGTTTGCGTGAAGTACTCGTCCGGCATGCGGTTGAGTTCGAGCTCGCCAACGTACTGCACGGGCACTTGTTCCTCCGGCCAGATCTTGGTGGCGTCGAGAATGTCGAATTCGAAGTCGTGCTCTTGGCCATCGGGGATGATCTGGACGCCAAAGTCCCACTTGGGGTAAGAGCCGTTGGTGATGGCCTCTTCGAGATCTTTGCGGTGGAAGTCAGGGTCTTGACCAGCAAGCTTCAATGCCTCGTCCCAGACGAAGCTGTGGACACCAAGCTGTGGTGTGAAGTGGAACTTGACAAAGAAGCGCTCGCCCTTGGCATTCAGGAGGGTGTAAGTGTTGACACCGAAGCCTTGCATCATACGGTAGGAGCGGGGAATTCCACGATCAGACTGTGAGATGCGTTAGACGTTAAGAGGACCGCAGGATACACGCAGGCAGTGCTTACCTGTTGCCACATGAACATATGAGTGGCTTCACTATGAAGGTACTGAAAGTCCCAAAAGCTAGACGTTGTCAGCATCCACCAGATGGCGATCAAAGTGCAGACTAAAGGCTCACTTGTTGTGGGCGCTCTGGGCCTGCGGAACCTCGTTGTTGGGCTCCGGTTTGGCAGAGTGGACCATGTCGGGGAACTTGATCGCATCCTGAATAAAGAAGACCGGCATGTTGTTCCCAACAATGTCCCAGTTGCCTTCCTCGGTGTAGAACTTGACCGCGAAGCCGCGCACATCACGCACAGTATCGGCCGAGCCACGGCTTCCAACCACCGTGCTGAAGCGGGTGAAGAGAGGCGTTGAGCGAGAGGTGTCGGTCAGAACGCCCGCAGTCGTGTACTCCTCCAGACTCTTGTGCAGCTTGAAGGTACCGAACGCACCGGCGCCGCGTGCGTGGATGACACGCTCAGGAATGCGCTCATGGTCAAATCGATGGATTTTCTCGCGGGCGGCGTGGTCTTCCAGCAACGATGGTCCGGTCTTGTCGTCGGTGACGACCTTCAGCCAATCGTCCGTGTTCTCCTGCTTCACGCCGTAGTCGGTGGTCAGCCGGGCGTTGGGATTGTTGTAATCCTTTGTGTCCTTGGCCATGCTCGCCAGCTTGTGGCCTTCGAGCGACCCGTTCAGCGTCTCTTGGAGTTGTTGCAAGCCCGAAGAAATTGCGGTGGAGGCCATGGTGAAGGTGTAGTGATTGGAGGGAATTGAATAAGAGAAAAACGAACTTGCTTACCGTTGCTGCCCTGTATATATATAGAGAAAGACGATTGGCACCAGCTGACTTCATCTGGTCGTCATCATCTACATGCAGTTAAAGCGAGCGCTGGAGAGCTGTTCCGAAGGCCCAAGCCGCCACACCTTCCAATCAGTAGAGCAATAGCGAGGTTGGGTAAGTCTAATGGCATCGCTTCTGCTCACCGGGGGCCTCAGCTTGGTGACTCCAGCAAGGTGGGGTCGTGTCAACACCAATGAGACGTGGCAGTTGCTCATCATTCCAACGTCACTGTGATGCTTCATTTAGTCTTGACGAGGTTAGATGCCCAATGTCAAAATGCAGCTTTCTCGGAGGATTCGCAAAACTCTGGGTCCGTGATGCTGGACGGAAGGAATAGTTATGTAGTCTTGATGTCGTGGGTGTCTTCGGTGTGGGCAGGCTGTCGGCTGGTGTGTAAGTGGCAACGGAACAAAGTCAAAAAGCTGACGACATTTGCACGTCAAACCGTGCTGGTGGGATCGGCACTTGAGGTCATTATGATCGACATTTGGACAGAGCCGCCTGGCACATGAAAGCAACCAGGAAGGCTGCCTGCATTCTAGCACTTCTTCGGCTGGCCTTTCGCTCAAGACTGAGTGCCTTCGAGAGAATCGGCACCGCCGTTCAACGCTGAGTGGTGAGAAGCCTCATCCGCCCCCATCTCGACAGCCGTGGGTATCAATGTGAATTCGCAACTCCCCGGCAATGTATGTGGTGGCAGGAGTGTGGAGCTTCGTACGGGGACGAAGGTTGTATGTCTAAGAGAAAAGCCCTCCGTCTCACCTTCAACCGAGCGTGGCCGAGTGGTGAAGTCGTCCAGGCGTTCTAGACTTTGCATGCCCACATTTCAGCCTCGCGGAAGATATGCGTGCGTGCGGGAGACTCCGGCAAAGGACGTAGACAGGTTGGCTTCGCATGTTTGGCCATGGCATGTAGTGAGAAGCTTGTTTCGAAACCGTGAGCGCTTTTTTGGAGGGTTGTAGTGCCGGACCCTGAAGTGGGCGTTAAGGGGAGAGGATGCATGCGGCCAACAGATTCCTTTCACTCCTAGCTTCGCATCGCACTCATGCAATGCACGCTGTTCGGCAGGAAACGTGGCTGCAGGCAGCGTAATCATCCTTGAAAGTTGAGCCGAGGATTACGGGAATGCGCGACTGGCCTGACTGATGATTAGTTGTCGACGAGCAGACGCGTGCAATTGGCCTCGTTACGTACGCCATATGGAAGTGGTGCAATAAATAAAAGGCACGCGCAAGACACCTAATTTTGCGCAAATTGCGGGCAGGCTGCCTGGCGCCGGCTGCTCACCGGGCGACGGTAGATGGGATGATGATGGGATCGCGTGGCATTGCATCATCCACTCAGCAGTTTGATGGCAGGGAACAAGCATCACGGCAATACGCTGCCGACACGCTACGGGCATGAGGTGCCGAGTGTGGCCGCGTTGGCCTCACCCATCTCTCGCGTACGCCTCCCCAACTCCTGCAGGGAGAAGGCCAAAGGATCGTTCTAGAAACGTGCTGCCACGTGCTGCCGCTGCGCGCCAGCGAACTCTAAAGCCGCGCTACTGCACTCCCCTCGAGCCCGGATTGGACGCTGACGAGAAAGAAGTTTTCCTCCAGCATTGGCCCGCCTGGACGGCACTGGCCCGCCGAAAGACCCTCCGAAAGAAGATGTCATGGGTGTGGACTCGTTCCGCTTTTCATCGGGTCGTCAAAGTATCATCAGGTTGCCATCGACGCATCAAGGTCCTGCGTGTACCCCCGCCGCGCCACGCCAGCTCCTCATGAGGCGCCGCCATTCTGGGCTTTGGGGATCCGACATGCACGCCGCGAGGGGATGAGCTCTTGGGGGTAACACTTTTGGTTGCCTTCGGCCATGTCCTACAGTATCAGGTAATCGGCGGCCAGGCACTTTCTTGCTTGTCCGGCAACACTTCCCTTTCGGGCGTCTGCGCCGTTGCGCTTGCCCTCGGTGGCTTGCCGCTTATTTTGGGTACAATGGCAATCTTCATCTTCTCGACACTGCTACACACCCGCCACCGCAGTTGCTGTGAGTGAGAGACGTGTTCAATCAACCTCCGCTGATGGGCATCTTCCATCCTCCCCCCCAGCCCTTCCCTCCTCAGTGACATTCGTACATGGTCATGTACGGAGGGAAAAGGACAGCACTCCGGGCTAAATAGGGTGCAATTCAGCCTATGTGCGCCCCATGCATGGCGCTCCGTGCGTGGCTTTCCCTCGGATCACAACTCCGGACACGTGGGAGGTGGGATCGAGCGCACCGTGCCCGAAGGCCACGCGAGATGCGGCCGCGCATGAAACTCTATGCATCATCGCTCCCCAGTCATCAGCTCATCGTCGCATGCGGCTTGTGCTGCAGTGGCTTCGGCCGATACGCAGCTGCTCTATTGGTGGCCCGGCACCCTCATCCTTCTGGCCAATGCACCGGCTGTTGAGGGACGAGCCACTAAACCGCTCTGCCGGACGCCCACCACATGGCAAGACATCTCGCTTCTGACGACAACGGCGCCATTTGGCTAGTGCAGCACCGACTGCCGGTACACTACCTTGCGCTCGCCGGCGCCCGACATGCGCCATCGTCAGCCGACGGCCCCCAGAATGGCACTGCCGGGGCGTATGGCGCTTTGCATTCCTCTGCGGAATCCCCCCATCCTTTTTCCCTCTTGCGTACCTTCTCGGCCACCTGCCTTATCTGGCCCACTCTCATCTCCAGACTCCAGCGCTAGGCGGGTTGTTTCATAAAAGGATCACTCCCCAGGTTCGGCGTATAGCCTTTCTCTCTCTCTCTCTCTCCCTCTCCCCGACCCCTACCTTTTGCTCACCACCGTCCGGCGTTGGAGGTCTGTTGAATGTGCCATGCTCGCCGCCCCGCTCGCTTTCGTACCTGCAGCTCTGGCCTCATGACCTCACGCATCTCACGGCTACTCGTCCCGCACTACTGAAGACCCACCACCCGTCGATCGCGATCCCCAGCACTCCCAGCCCATGACGTGTGTCCTGTTACCGCCCCAGCCTTTCAGTCTGATGGGCGGATGGCCAGCTATGAACCCGACTGGCGGCTCATCATTCCAGTCGCACTCCGACTCTCAGCAATATGGCCTGACCATGTCCGAGCCGGAGTCGGCGTCAAGCAGTTCCAACAAGAAGAGGGCGTCCCGCGCGGGCACAAGGAGCGTCTCCACGCTGTCCGCCGCCCAGCTCGATCGCAAACGAGCAAATGACCGCGAGGCGCAACGCGCCATTCGCCAGAGGACAAAGGCCCAGATCGAAGGCCTGGAGAACGGCATCAATGACCTTCGCGCCGCCAAAGAGGCTTCCGAGAAGGCGCTCGCGGTCGCACAGCAACGAAATCGCGAGCTCGAGGAAGAGGTGTCCTTTCTCCGTGCCAAACTGAGCCAGCGTGCGGGAGTCTTTGCTGCCGAAGCGGCTTTGGGTATGTTTAGGATGCATTCTATGCGCGCAGTACGCATTGCTAACTCTCATGGCAAGCCCAAGACTCGGCGGAAGTTCGCAAGTCATCGCTGCGATCCAATTCCACCGTACACACCCACGTATCGGCATCGAGCATGCCCGTAGCGGAAGTTGCGCATGCACCACCCACTCTGCATCTAGCTACACAACAGGTGCCGCATCCGAGTCATGGCTTCTGGCAGCCATCTCCGAACGAGCTTGTCCAAGTCCAGACCGCGCCAGCGACGATTCAAGACGCCAAATCCGCACACATGGTGAGGAGCCTGTCGGACTGGAGAGCGCACGAAGGCGTGCAAAGCGCGGGACCGCATTCCGACGTCGTCCACGACGCCGTCCAATCTTCGGTTCATGGAACTTACCCTTCCTCCGTCGCCAACCAATTCTCGCAATTCGCGACCCCGTCGATACAGCACGCGTACTCGGGCTCGGCCATGCCTAGCCGAAGCGAGACCACCTCGCCGCAGGATCGACAGTATCCCCAGGCTGTGCAACAGCAAATGTATCCATCGCAATCCGCGCTTCACCACCATCCCACCTACCAGCCCACCTCCGCACCTCATCCGCCACCTCCTTCACAACAACAGCAGCAGCAAGCGCCGACACCCACGCAAGCGACCTACCAGCCGGTCGACGTGAGCGCCGCAGTCGGCTATCACGCCCAGCCCCAACAACAGCAACAGCAATCCCGACAACCCTCCCCGCAAGCAGCGGCCCCGGCCCCCGCCGCGCAACAGCAACAACAGCAACAACAGCAACCGCACCTCTACGCCTCGCAACCGCAATACGCCATGCAGATGGAGTCGCGCCAGCCAGACCCTGCGCTGAACTACGGGCATCCGCAGCAGCCGAGCCCGCACTATCACCACCAGCAGCATCAGCATCACCTTCACCAGGCGCAGATGCAGCAGCATCCGTATTCCATGCCGCATTATGCGAGTGGTTGAGGAGAAATTGGATGGTGGGAGGAAGACGACATTACGATTTGCATTGCGCTGTAGCAATCATCCCTTCTTGACGATGCCGAACTGGCCGGGTCGACTCGATGGCGACCATGCATGACGACGGACGCATCGTCAGATGCTGCTGTGACAAACAGGAGTGACGAGACGGATGACCACGGCACACCCTCGCGCGATTAATGAGGAAATGCGGCACGACGAAAGGACGGGAGCGGCGTTACCGATCACAGAGAGCGAGTGAGCGATAGAGATTCTGCTCTATTTGAGATGCCCCATGCACGAAGTTGATGCCCCCATTGTAAATAATATTTGTACCATTAGCCACCCCCCAAAAAATCAAGTCGTTGAGTTAGGGACCCATCACATTCTAATTCGCCCCCAACAGACCTCGAGATTCAATGCGCCTGGATGGGCTGCTTCGCCGCACCCGCACTCCCAAAAGCCTTCGACTCCGACGCGCCGTCCAAACTCGCCTGCTCTGCCTGCGCGGCGCGCAAACTCCGCAGCAAATCGGGGTACCAGCGCTCGCTGACGTCCGGATGGCTCTTGATGCGATTCATCAGCGTCGCCTCGCCCAAATGCGCCCACTTGCCTTTGACGAATGTGAATTCCACGTCGTCCTTGCGCCCGCCTTCTTTGTCCAGCACTTCCTGCCGGAGTGCGCGCACGTGGGCCGGCACGTCCATGGATTCGAATTTGGCGTCGTAGGACACGCCTTGGAAGAAGGGGATGCTGTAGCGCGGGCCCTGGCCTGCGGCCGGCGAGACGACGCGATGGGTGGTGCTGGCGCACACGCCGCCGGTTAGGGCTTCCAGGCCTTGGCCGATGGCGACGACGAGGGTGCCGCGGATGGGCGGCACATCGATCCATTCGCCGTGCGTGTTTTGCGCCTGCAAGCCGCGGTGCGGACTCGCTTGCAGCAAGTACGAGGTCAGCATGGAGTCCTTGTGCGGGCCGACGCCTTGGCCGGCGCCCTCGCCGGAGTCCGGGTACTTGACGATTTTCAGCTTGTGCTGCTGATTGGCGTCGAAGAAGGGGTCGAAGGCGGTGGGCGGCAGGTCGAGGGACTCGGCAATCAGGCGCATGAAGAAGATGCTCACGTCCGACATTTGCGCCATGTACTGCTCGTACAGCTGGCGGAAGCCGGGGAGGAGCGCGTCTTGCGGCCATTGGTTGGGAGCGAGGAGGTTGTAGTACAGCGGGTCGGTGGGCTTGGGGAGAGGCTGCGGCGTGCTGATGTCCATTTGCTCGCGCCAGTCGGCTTTGTGCGCGGTGATTTCATTCCCGAGGCGCGAGTAGCCTAGGAAGCTGCGCTCGTTCTTCATCTCGATGCGCAGCTTCTCCGCCTCGGGGAGATCGAAGAAGCGGATCCCGGCTTCGCATACCCGGTCGTACAGGTCTTGCTCAATGCCGGCGTTGGCGATGTACAGGAAGCCGACGTTCAACAGCGCATCGCGGAGTTTCTTGAGGAAGGCCGGCTTCGTGTGCTCCGCACGGGCTTCGGCGATGTCGAGCACGGGGATTTCGGTAAAGGCCATGGTGGTAGATGGACTGGCGATATCGGAAGGGGAGGTGGCGACAGCCAGCAAGTTGAAGCTACGTCTACCTCGCCTGCACGAAGCCGATGAGGGTCGCCAGGACGAGAGTCTTGGAGACGATGAGGAGGAGGAGGGCGCCGAAGAGGACGAGTTCCATGATGAAGAATCACATTCGGATCTCGATGGCGGGCGGATTCGACGGGGCGCGCTCTAGGCAATGGCGTGAGTCTGGGAGGTGGAGAAGGCTTCGCGACGACTTGCCGTTTTGAGGTCTCAAGTCTGGGGAAGTCACGTGAGTCGAGCATGGACAACGTTGTGATTGTAGCGCAAGGTATCTATCTATTCCAATCATCTCACTCATCCCCGTCAATGAGAAGATCCTCACCTTCCACTTCTTCATCCTCGTCATTGGTGAAGTCGTCATCAAGATCCTCCGCTTCACTCATCTCTTCCGCTTCCTCGTCCTCGTCCTCCTCGCTGTCAACGTCACTTTCCTCAATCCTTCCATTACTAACCTTCTCCTTCTCCTTAGCATTCCTCTCATCCTGCCCCTTCTTCTCCTCGTCCCTCCTAGCCTGCTCCAATACCTTCTCCTTCTCCTCCTTCGTCCGTCTCAAGCCAACAACAAACGCCCCAATAGGCGTCTTCTCCCACTCCACTTCCCTCAAGAAGGCCTCAACGCCCTTGCGATCATTCGGCGCAAACTCCACCTTTGCTCTCCTCTCTTCAACCCACTTCGCGTTCGCTTCCGCCTTCTGCACGACCAGCGACACCATGCCATTGACCCGCGGGTTCTTGTTCCCCTTGCCGAATTCACGACTATTGACATCCTTCAGCCAGCGCTTCAGCATCACCGTCACCGGCAGGGACAGCTCGGGAAAGGCAATGTTCTTGCTCCACAGCACGAGGAACTCCGCCAGCAACTCCTGCACTTGCTCGCCGGTGCCGTCCTGGTACGTGCGGGTGTGGAGATAGGCCTTCGGGGCGCGGATGGCGGTAGAGAAGTCGAGAGGTTTCAGCGTGGCGGGTTTGGGCACTTTGCGCATTTCGCCCGATGTTAGCACTTCGTAGATTGGTGCTGCGAGTGGAATGTAAGTTCCTGTCGCCCGGCTTAGGCGGAGGAGAGATCGAATGAGTTGGAAGCGGAGGGGGAAGTATGTTGCGGTGGGAATGAGGCGCATGGCGCCCAGCGTCACTTGAACCAGCGGGTATATGAGCGGTCGTAGGGGGGCATCAGAGGCGGTGCAGTGTGCGGAGAGGACGCGGGACCAGAAGTCCAGGCTGTGGACGTATTGCCAGTTGTACACGGCCTTGTACGACTCTTTCGCGTTGTTCTGAATGGAGTTGCGCAGGTGGATGGCGAGTTGTCGGATGAAGGTGAAAGCGGTGGTGTAGCCCACACTTCCGTCGAGACCCCACAGCTCCGAGGCGGAGTTCTTCATGAGGTTCACGCCGGCGAGGGTATGGATGGTGGTGTTTCTGGATCCCTTAACGAGAGCCTGGTAGATGGCTTTCAGCACATTTTCACGTATGCCTGGGTCGCCAATGACCATCAGGCGGCGGAGCAGAAGGAAGGCGGCAATACGCGTTGCTTCTGTGTTAGATGTGAGGGACCAGACATTGGTGACACCCTTGGTCATGTCGCGGACGAGCTTCTTGAAGGAGAGGAGGTAGGGGAGCAGCGGGAGAGTGCAGGAGAGAGTCAATCGCAGAGTCGCCGGGTCGGACAGGTGGTCGAGGAGATGCAGTATACTGCCGACATGGCTGCGGAGAAGTGGTGTGATGGTCTTGAACTTCTTGCTCTCCGTCGCCACGTGCACCTTGCCGTGCTTGTTCTCTTGCACGGGAAGATGGTGTTCGAAAACCGCCGGGATCTGCTTAAGGGCGAGGGTGAGGAGCTCGTGATAGACTTGGGGGTCGGAGACGGAGTATTTGAAGCCTTGTTCATCGTCGTCGGAGACATGGGCGGCGGCGCGGAATGCGAGGATGACCTCGCGAGCGGTGCGAAGGGAGTGTTGGGTGGTCAAGGCGGACGCCCACTTTCGAATGGTGGCTTTGGTGAGCTCGTTGTTCTTCGCCTCGGGCTCTTCCCCCGACTCGTCGGCATCCATGTCCTTGCTCTTCCTTGACTTTTTCCGCTTGGGTTCCTCATCATCGTTGAGTCCCTCTAGTTCATCAAGGTTGACGTCCAGTAGTTCCGGCTCGTTGTCCTGCAGATACTTGTGGAATTCGGGGTCATTTTGCGCGAGAGCCTGCAGTTGCTGTTCATGGTCTTCCAGGTCATCCTCCTCTGACATGTCGTCCACGTCGTCATCTTGCGGCACTGGTTCCTGCTCGAAGGAGGCATCGGATTCTTCGTCCTCTTCCACCTGCTGCGACCTCTTCCTCTTGCTGCCATTCTTGGGGAGTTCGGGAACTTCGAATCCACCTTGGAAGAACTCATCGACACTCATAGATTGTAGCTTCTCTTTGGCCTCCTTTGACACGCTGTTCGGCGCTGCCTTGCGTGGCTCGGGCTCGCCATGCTCTTCCGCTCTGCGTGCCTTCTTCTTCGCCTTCACCTGCTGCCGCTGCTTGATCTTCTTGAACCCATTCCGCTTCTCCAGCGTATCCTTGAGATGCCGCTTCTCAAACTTCTTGGTGGCCTTGGTCTGCGCCATCGTTGTGTGTGTCGGTGGGTGGACTGCCGTCTGCGAGCTGCTCTCGAAAAAAAGTTCCAGTCCGGGGAATTTTTGATTCGCCGAAGTTTTGCCGGCGGGATCGTCATGGCACCTCCGAGTCCACGTCCACCTCTTAACTTGCCAATGCAACATGCATCCATGTATCATCCAACGCAGCAACTGGCCTATGCGCCCGCTCCGTACAGCTACACGCCTCACAGTTTGACGGCGACCATCAATCTTGACCAAGTATGCACATCTCGCCAGCCGAACAATCAATGTGGGAGTGGATTTGACCGGTGACACCAGGAAGTCAAACTCGCCGATACCTCTGCTGAGCGAGACCTGTACGAATCACTGGCCGAGATCTACTCCATCATCGTCACCCTCGACGCGCTAGAAAAGGCATATCTGCGCGATTCAATCCAGGAGAGCGAGTACACCGAGACGTGCGATCGCCTACTGCGACAGTACAAGAGTTGCTTGGCCGCCGAGACCGTTGCCGCTGCCTTTGGAGATCTCGACAGCTTCAAGGCGGAGTGGAATGTAGGCCACATCGCGCACATCACGTTCAATCCCCTGGGTCTGACATGTCTTGCAACAGCTCGAAGCACCCAAAGCCACCGAACGTCTCCGAATCGGCCTGCCCGCCACCACCGAGACCGCCCCCTCTCGCAACTCCTCCCAGCGCTACCCCCAAAACGGCCAGTCCTCTTCCAATCCCTCAGCCGGCGCCTCATACATTGTCAGCGCGTCCGAAAACTTCATCACCTTCTTCGACGCCATTCAGATGAACATGCTCTCCAAGGACACCCTGCACCCCATTCTCGTCGACATCATACAAGCCGTCAACAAAGTCACCGATCGCGATTTTGAGGACAAGGGCAAGATTGTGCAGTGGTTGATTACGCTGAATCAGATGCGTGCGGCGGAGGAATTGACTCCTGAGCAGGCGCGACAGTTGCAGTTTGATTTGAGTGCTGCTTATGACGGGTTCAAGAGGGGTTTGGAGTAAATGGTGTTCATTAGGAAAAACACTTTCGAGCATGGACCATCATTTGGGTGAAATGGCGAACAACGTCACCAGAGAGAGCTCGGAGGAGGCAATGGACGGTGAGCCGCGGACAGGGCAGAGACTTGGACGACCATTGACTAATCCAATCTAGTCCTCGATCTTCCCCAGCTCTACCAACGCCCTTCTGGAACAGAAATCCTCTCCGTCCTTGCAGACTTGAGCCAAGGACCGGTGTCTTGGGATACAACGTCTTCGTCAGCCGAACCAAAAGGGCGGAGGATCAAAAGTAACGGGGTACCAGCCTATCTGACCGCCATAATCGCCAGCCCTCTGTCTTGGCTCAATACCGACGCCGAGCGAGAACAAATCTGGGATGCAGCCTCGCAGCGTTTGAGCGAGAGAAGTGGGCGGTCAGGAATGGGTGACTTGACGCGCAAGTTCCGCATTCCTCTGACTCCGAATGGCAGCATCCTGGAACTGGAACTCCACGAACCCGCCTTGACATCCGACAATCTAGGCTTCAAAACCTGGGCCTCCTCCTACCTCCTCGCCAAACGCCTCCCACTCTTGCGATCCCAGCTCTCCGACTCGTCCGTCCTCGAACTCGGCGCAGGAACCGGCCTCGTGGGGATTGCAGCAGCAGCCATCCTGCGCACTCACGTCATGTTGACAGACCTCCCCGAAATCGTCCCAAACCTCGACAACAATCTCCAAGCCAACGGCTCCTTGCTCGCCACGTATAGCGGCAGCGCAGAAGCAGCTGTCCTGGACTGGTCGGACCCTGCATCCCTCGCTCACGTCGGCAAACACTTTTTCGCGACAATCCTCGCCGCCGATCCACTCTACTCCCCTGACCATCCGGCCTTACTCGCGCAAACGGTGGAGTACCATCTATCCCGCTCTCGCGACGCGAGATTGGTGGTGGAGTTCCCACTTCGCGAACCGTATGCTCCCGAGCGGTTGGATTTGAAGACAAGGTTGGAGCAGATGGGGTTGAAGTTACTGGATCAAGGGGAGGATGTGGGAAGAGACGATTGGGGAGATGAAGGGCGGACAATGGAGGTGAGATGTTGGTGGGGGATTTGGGGGTGGGAGTGATGGGTTGACGTTGTCATTGCGTATGGCCACGTGCACTTGGCCAGCGACGCTTGTGTTGGTCTCCATTGCTGCAACGGCTAATCACATGCCACCTCTTCATCAGTTGGAGGTCCTCTTCGCCCGCTCATTCTCATACCCCACATCCACATCCCCGTACCAACTCGACATCATAGCCTCCCGCACCCGGCCAGCAATGAGCGGACAGCAATCATCAAACGGCAAGTCGACCAGGTCTTCCGCTTGAAACCCGTACACCTTTCCAACGGCCCGACTGGCCGTCTGCGTTTTCTGTGCCCGGGGGAGGCGCGCCGCCTGATACAGGCTTGCAACTGCCTCGAGCGTGGGAAGACGTGACGACGTTCCGCCGCGAAAGTGGTCGGACAGTGCACGGCCTAGGACCCATCCGTCTTCCATCGACTGCGAGCACCCGGCGCCCAAGTGAGGCAACATGGCGTGAGCCGCGTCGCCCAGCAGCATCACTTTGCCGCCCATAAAGTGCCACTGGTCCAAGGGTTCGCGGTCATTAATCCGCCACTTGGCCGGCCGATCACTCAGAGCGCGAAGGATAGCCTGCGCGCCCTCCTCATGCTCCGCGAACGCCGCCTGCACTTCCGCCCGCTCGCAAGTCGTCACCCAGCTCTCGCGCACGTCCCGCGCCTCGCGCTCCGGCTGGTCGATGAAGGCGACGAAGTTGAACTCCTCGCCGCGCGAAATCGGATACACGAGGAGATGTTTGTGCTTCGCAAGCCACATGGTGGCTCCGTTGTCCGGCAGTGCCCCTAGCGAAGCCCGGGGGATGACATCGCGGTAGGCCACTTGCCCAGAGTACACGGCTGGGTCGGCGACGAACTGGTCGCGAATGGCCGAGTGGATGCCATCACACGCAATGACCAGATCGGCAAGGGCGGTCGTGCCATCCGCAAAGCTGAGCGTGATGTGCTCGCCATCGTCCTCGACTCTCTGGCATGCCTTTCGAGTATGCAGCGTCGCCGCGCCTCTCCGCTCTACCGCCGTCTTGAAGAGGTCAAGCAGCCCCGTCCGCGCACAAGCGGCAACCTGCATGTCCCCGGGTTTCGGCACGGGCATTCGAAAAATCTCGTCTCCGCTGTCGAAGCGCCGGTAGACGAGCGTTGCATTGCTGCCGGGCCTGGTGCCGGCGATGGCGTAGATGTCGTCGAGCAGGCCGAGCTCGTCGACGAGCCGGACGGCGCTGATGCCCACGGCTATGCCGGCGCCAATCTCCTTGTACTCTGCCGCCTGCTCGTAGACGTCGATTTTGATAGGCTTGGAAATGGACGACGAGGCGCAGTGGTGGTGGATACACAAGGCTGCGAACAGGCCGCCGAGACCGCCGCCGACAATGGCGATGGAGAAGCTATTTGTCTCAGACATGGTTGGGACGTAACGTTGAGAAGAGGGGCCAAGTATTCGTCGTTGTCAGAGCGGCGGCAATGGCAGTTCAAGGGCATTATTTGCTTGTCGCTTAGGCATGCTTACATGTGATGCCGTTGTGTAAGAACTTAGCTTACCCTGTAGCCTGTGCGGAGGTAGATCTTGCCCTATCGGCCGCAAATGTTCTCCGTATCCGATGAGGAGGATTCCATGCATTTGCAGTTGGGTGAATTAAGAAGTCTGCCCTAATTCGTCTTTCGACTTGTGGACTTGACGTCTTGCTGGACTTCACGTATCACCGCCACGTAAGCATCACGCCTCCTCTCAGCGCTTCTCTCAAACCACCCCTCACCTTCTTCTTCGCTGTGGCAGTAGCAGGTGTACTCCCCGCGCCTCTCTCCCTGCCCTTCGCAACGAACCACCTCGCCAACCTCGAACTTCCACATCCACCACTCATCGCAACAGCCGGCGGAGGTGACGATGGCACAAACCTCCTACCTACAACCTCCTCCGCAACATCCACCTTCTTCGTCGTCGTTGGAGCCAGCATGATCGGAATCTCCTCCATAATCTCACATGCCTTTTCGTTTGCTTTCTCTCCTACACACCGAGCCTCCTTACCACGGTCATTCGTCAAAGGAGCCAGCGCATCCTTCCATCCCTCCCCAGCCGCCAGCCGCACATTGTCAAACCGCAGCTCACTAACCGTCCGTTTGTGCGTGGCAGCAAAATTCCTGATTTCGGACGCTGAGGTGCGAATGTTGTGGAAAGTTGCCTGGCTGAGGTTGGGGAAGTAGAGCGGCGGTGTTTGCCTTCTCTGTCTGGTTGACGGGGTGGTGGTCGTGGTGCTGCTCTCCGCGGTTCGAATGGGAAAGCCGCGCTTGCTTCCGATCCAGCGGAAGTCGAGGCTGGTGAGATTGGACTGGAAGTTGCGCAGATAGGTCTGCAGGAGTTTGAAATGGTCTGGTTCTTCTTTTGCTTCGCAATTGTGATCGAAAGACGACAACGTAACACTGTCCATAGCGATCGCGAGCCGTTTGATTCGAGACCATGTTCGCGCTGAACGAGGAGTGGCACCGTAACCCGCTCGTGGCAGGAGATACGCCAGGCCATCCGGGTGGATGGGAGATAGCGTCAGGCTCTCCAGCCTATTGAGGTCATTGCGTTCGATGGCTATGCGGAGCGAGATGAGGGCAAAATCCACTGTGCTCCGTCTATATCGCTGACTTGAATCGTACCCGGGACAGCTGACAGTGAGATGGGAGAGATTGACAAACGCGGAGAAGGCACGAATGAAAGCGGGGACGTTGGTGGCGGCGTGGAAGAGCGCGGGCCATTGGCGCGTGAGGATGTCGTTGGTGCCGGCGTCGCCGTACTTGGGCTGTTTGGGCGTCGGCGCCTCGATCTGTGGCGTGTAGGTGAAGCTCAGCTCGGCGCCGCTCTGCGGATCAACCAGGGGAGCCAGGCAAGTCTGGGACGAGTGTGGGAGATTAAAGGTTAGACGTTGAACATTGAAGCCCAGCCGGTCCAGCGCAGCTAGCCGGGCGGGTTTGGTGAAAGTAGTGCTCCGAAAGGTGATGTGAAGGGTTTGGAAGAGCGTCGGCGCAGCCCGCACGCTGAAGTCGTGGCACGTGAGTCGGAGGTTCGCGAGGTCGGTTTGTTCGACGTGGGATAGGAAGCGTTCGCGGCATTGATCCTCGAGCCAGAATTTGAGAAAGGTGCTGCTGTCGCAGAGCACGAAGCTGCCGACCGAGGCGTATGTTTGAGATGCTGTCGAGTGGTCAGTCAGTAGATCTTGACGAGTGTGCGCAGCGCGACAGGTAGACTGACATCTGTCGCTGCTCGTATCAATCTCGCCGAACAAGAGCCTGCTCCCTCCACTTCGAGACGAAGCCGCTGAAGTCGCCGAAGCGCTCGAGAAGGCAACAGAGGGTTTGCTAGCGAGAGGATGTCCAGATTGCATGTCCTGCGTGCAATCCATAGCGGCGAGATGCGATCATTGGGATATTAGTGCTGCTGCCGGTCCAAGGAGATAAAGCGCCTTGATATTCATTATCCGTACGAATGGAGTGGAGAGCGAAAGGAAAGAAACACAATCCAACAAGACAGAAATCACCGCGCGAGGCCGCCATTTGACCCCATCAATCCCCTACCTTCTCCTCGAGCAACCACAAGTGGCGGGGCGCGATCGACGCCGCCCGCTCGCACGAGAAACGACTCGACCTCGACCTCTGAATGGCAGGCAAATGCAAAGCAAAAGTCGACGGGGGAAAAGCATGCAAAGAAAAACACGCTACGCACGCGGGCAGCTGGATAGCAAACGCGAAAAGAGAACTGCAGTGAGAGAGGTGAATGGAGCCCCGCGGCGGAAGAGGTCGGGGCCTGAGGCCGGGGGCTGTGACGCTTTGGGTTTCGAAGGTGGAGGGGGAGTAGGACAAGCCAATGGGGAGGGCGAGGAGCTGTTTGGCCGGCTGCGAAGCTAATGCAGAGATGCGGTTTCATGCTGCGTTGCTGCTGTGCAGCTTGCTTGCATTTGCTATAGTCGCGTCCAGAAGCACGTTAGCACGCGCGATAGACGCGACGGGCCGCGAGATGTGTGCGGATGTGGTTGGGAATGTGCTTTTGCGTGGAGGTGTGACGGAAGGGGATGAAGTGAAGTCGATGAGAGGCTCGCCAAGACACATAGTCTTCACCCTGAGGCACACACGTGGACTTCGCCACAAAAATCGCGAATCGACGCGACATACTTGATCTCAGTCGCGTACGACACGCGCTCCATGGACGTGAAGATAGAAGTGATCAATGGCTCGCGAAACCGTGAATGAGATACGTCGTCAGGAGGCGACATTCCGCGTACAAGAAGCGGACAACACCCCGCAACGCCATCACCATCTAAGCAACTGTCAATCCCCAACTCCCATCTCCACGCAGGAGTGCCCAGATCCGCCCGGCAATCCCCTAAACCTATCCGCTCAAGATACCTCAACTTTTAATTCCAGATCCGAACCGAACCCAAGCCAAAAACTCCACGCTTTCATGAAACTCTCGCAACGCCAAGTAATCCCATCATCACGGAGGCGGTGGCGGCGTCGTCAAAGGACTCACCGGCGATTCCGGCCGCTCTCGCCCATCCGCCCGTCCCTGCCTCTCGTCCGTCGTTTGAAAGAACGAGTGCGCCGCATCCTGCCTACTGCTGCCAGGCAAGTCGTCCGACTTCGGATTGTTGACCACAATAATCTGCGTGGCGGGCGGAGTCTGTGCGCTCGCCGTGACGTCTTCCGAAGGCGAGAGCTCCTCGTTCTCCTCTGGTATCGGCGGGCAGTAATCCTTTAGGACTTTCTTCAGTTGAGGGCGTTTGATGGGTTTCGAGCTGCAAAGAAACATCAAATCAGTATGACTGCCGCGTTCAAGTGATCAGGCAACGCCAAAACTCACAGAAAGTAATTCATCCCGGAATCAATGCAGTCCCGGATGTTGCTCTCCTCCGCAAACGCCGTCAGAGCGACAATGGGCGCCTGGTATCCTATCTCGCGGATCAACCTCGTACTCTGCAGCCCATCCACGTTCGGCATCTGCACGTCCATGAAGATGAGGTCGAAGGGCTTGCACTCCTTCGGCATGTCCGGAGTCGGGGGCAGCATGGACTCCTTGACGTAGTCGACGGCCTCCTGCCCATCCTTGGCGACGGTGACGTCGTAGATGTCCTCGAGCTTGAGCATGCGCAGCACGACCTCTTGGTTGACTTTGTTGTCTTCGGCCACGAGCACGCGGATTTTGTTGCCGCTGCGGTTCGCCTCGGCTTTCATCTTTTCCATCGCCGCTGGCTGCGAGCCGGGGGATTCCATGGGCTCGGAGGAGGCGAAGAAGGGCTGGCTGAGGCCCACGAGTCGCGGCTGCGAGTCGCTGGTCACTTTGGCGGGACTGCCGGTCGTGACGGTGGCCGTCGTCGTCAGCTTCTCATCCACGAGCTCCTCGCCTGCCGAGCGAGAGTGGCGAGCCACTCCGACGTCCATGTCGTCAAACGACAGGCTTCGGCGCAGGACTTCGTCCCTTGGAGCCTCCACGCTCGAGCTCGCCGAGCTATCCAACCGCGTCGTCAAATGTCGCAGTGGCATGTTCAAGGTGAATGTGCTGCCCACCCCTACGGTGCTCTGGACCTTGATCGAGCCATGCATCAAACTGGCAAGCTGTGAGCAGATGGACAGGCCAAGACCAGTACCACCGAACTTTTTCGTCAAACGCAAGTCGCCTTGGACAAAGGGCTCGAAGATCTTTTGTTGCAGATTTTCCGGGATGCCCGGACCAGTGTCGATGACCTCAAATTCAAAATTCAGGTAGACGCCCGGAGGCGGAGATGCCGCTCGCTCTTGCGACATGGCATGCGGTCGGTCTCGCGCGTTGATGGCATTGGCGGTGCTGAAATTGGAGCCGACCTGGGAAGCGTCTGATCCTCCATGATGGCGTCCAGAGACTCCTCGCGACTGTCGAGATTGACGGGAAGCTCTAGACGGAGACTGACGCGAGGCCCGCGAAGTCCGTCTGCTCATGTCGGCCAGCTCGGGGAGACATCGGATCGTAAGCACGACCGAGCCGTCGCGAGGAGTGAATTTGAGCGCATTGGAGACGAGATTGATGATGACCTGTAAGATGCGTTGCAGGTCGCCCCAGAGAATCATATCTTTCAGCCGTCCGGTCCCGTTAGGTCCGTAGTCCAAAAAGTCTGGAGTAGAATCATTCGACACGTAGAACGGAACGCCTTCCCACTTGACGCGCAGGTCGATGTGTCCCTCACGCGCCTGCTTCTCGAAGATTGCTTCAATCTGCTGACTGATGTCCCGCAAGCGGAACTCCTTTTCGTCCAGGCTCAGCTGCTGCCCAACCTGGTTCTTGCTGAAGGTCAACAGATCGGTCAGGAGGTTGAGCAGAAGGTCTCCGCTCTTGTAGATCGTCCCGAGCGACCGCTTGACCCGCAGCGGATCATCTTCCTGCATGCACACGGCGCACATGCCCATGATACCGTTGAGAGGCGTCTTGAGCTCGTGCGAAATGTTTGCAATGAACAGCGTCTTGCTCTCGTTCGCCGCTTCCGCCGCCTTCTTGCTTAGTTCCAGCTCCGCCGTGCGCTCTTGCACCCGCTCTTCCAATCGCGAGTACTGCATCATCAGCTCATCCGACATCTCGTTGAATGTTCTCGTCAAATCGGAGAGTTCGTCTTTAACGAAATGCTTCCGATCCGGCACTTTTCCTGGGATGCGGAAAGCCCGCTTCATCCGATTCTCGCGTCTCCTCTGACGCTCCTCGTGTCGTTTTGCTCTCCATTTACCGACGGCGCCGTTGGGAATGTCTCCAGGCTTTTCTCCAAACTCCTTTTCAGCTCCACCCGCTCCAGCGACCATCTCTGCATCGTCGAGGCCTCGGTCTTCCGGATAGTCGAACGAGCCAAGGCTGCTTCGGCTTCCTGACTGTCCCGGCGGCTCGACGGATTTTGCCGTAGCCTCACGCAGACTACGAATAGGACGAACGGCAAAGTGTGCCAAGGGGAAGGCGATGACGGCCATGAAGCCTGCCGTGCCAAACACACAGGCCAGGATGATATTCCGGAGATCGTAGATGGGCCGGTAGACTTCACTTTGCGCCAGCTCGACAATGACCAGCCATTCGACCAGATCGGTTTGGGGCATGGCATACCCCACGGCAACCTTGCTGCCATTCTCGTTGCGGCCCTTGACGACGGCGCCTGAATTGTCAGAGTTGCCTGTTGCTTCCGTCAGGCCTTTCTGGACAGCTGCATACTCGCGCACAGGGAAGGGAAGGTTCGGCGTGGTGAAGGTGTGGTTTGGATGTCGATTCGCGTCAGCCGTAGGTAATGGAATAACGTACTCGACGGGAAAGTTGCTGGGTGGATGGCCATGATTGGAGGAGTACAGGATTGCGGGAGAGAAAAGGTTGGTGCTGTTCACTGGGCCAACCAACAGTGTTTCGCCGGTTTTTTGAAGGCCCTCGGAGCTGCCCATGATTTCGCTGATCAGCGCGCCACTCATGACTACGGTTAGCCAGCCCAGGACGTCGAGAGTACTGGTAGTATTGACGATGGGTACGGTGATGGAGACGAGTGCAAAAGTTTCGTTGATCTGCCACGGGCCGAGGAGCAGCGCCTCTCTCGCGCCGGGCCCGATGGTGGCGCCATTGTATGTTGCTTGCTGCACATTTGACCCGTTATCCAGCGTGGCGGAAGTATATGTGAGGTTTGGGTACAGCACTGGAGGGTAGCCATAATCGAGGCCTCCACATTTAGAAGGGGACATGCCGAGGGTGGCCGGGCTGCCATTGGGGCAGGTCCAGGGTAATTCCAGAACACCCTGTACCTGCGCACTGGTCGTGTTGAGCACACTGTACGGACCGGCAGGGCCCGAGGCATTCCTAGGATATACCATGCTCTGCAATAGCAGATCCTGGCCCACCGAACCGCCCGATCCAATCACGGCGGCCATATCTTGGTCTGCCTGGGCCCAATTGGCGGCAGAGTTGTCTCCGCTGTTGACATAATTCTCCAATGCGGCCTGGATGATAACCCTGGTGGAAACGAGGTTGGAGGTGGTCTGCATGAGGTCGAGATTCGACGCGAGCTGGGCGGCTTTGAGGGATGCGGTGAGGGAGAGGCGGGAGCGGCAGACGCTCAGGACGAAGGAGTGGTTGGCGACCCATGTTGCAATGGAGATGACGCCGAGGCCGATGAGGGAGGCGAGGAGGATGAGCAGGGCGAGCTGCTCTCGGATGGGGATGCGCATCATGGCAGACGGCGGAGGTGTGCGGGGAGAAGAAGCCGCCTACCACTGCTGCAGTCGCGTGTACGGCAACGGGAGGCCGGCGATCCCATGTCCTCGCTCTTCAGCTTTCCCATGCACCCATGCTGGAGTGCCCACGACCGCAGGGATAGTGCGATGGTGATCTTGCCACGAGCCGGTGAATCCGTGACACGGCGGGCGGATGTGATGAGTAGGTCGCGCGATCAGCCGCGCTCGGAGTTCTCCACAGGAGGTGTATGTAGGGGAAACGCTCGGGCTCCAAGACTCCGAGAATCCAAGAAGCGTCGCGGGACAGCAGTGGGGCATGGACACGAGCAGCAGCGCGGAGGGAAGATGTTTGGTAGATTCAAAGGGTTGTCTGCCTCGCCTAATAACTCGACGGGGGGGTTCCAGCGTCCAGACCGCGTGGTCGCATAAGGAATGCACTAGCGCCCGAGGCCCTGCGCCTGACTCAGCTACGCCCCCTGCCAGTATACGTCCATGCAGCAGCAGCACCTAATCCAGCTGTTTTGCAGAGCCGTGCATCCGTGGCCTCGCGCACCGATGGTCTGGCATGGCCTGGCCTGTGATCAATGCAGCCTCAAATACTAGACCCTCGCCGATCACCGTCCATCGTTCTGTCCACTGTTTGTCAAACATGGGGCCGCGGGGGATGTGGAGGCCCACGGTGCGCGGGCCGACCCGTGCCTGACCAGCACCGAATGTTGGCAACTCCACTCGAGCCTGATAGGTCCCTCGCTTCTCGGGGTCTTCTCACGTACGCCCTTATGCAAGCAGTGCACTCAATCCACCCAGCACCACATCCCGACAACTCTGCCGTCAAGCACATGTATCTGAGGCGAAGGAAGGAGGCAAGGAGACAGCGGAGCTCACGGCTTAATAATTGTACGGAACCGACGGTCTTCCCATGACTTCTTCGCCTCATCGAAGAGCCTGCTCGAAGCCTTCTAAACCACCCCTGCGATATTCTCTCCACAGTTGTAGTTGCCAATCGTCTGCGGTGCCAGAAAATTCTCGAAGACGCCGTAAGTGTCGGCGCCCTGACTCGGGCAAGTCGGCGCCACTGAGACGAAGCAGCCCGCGAACATGCCGCTTGGAGTGTAACTCCAAACGGCGGCGTTGGTGAGCTGCAAGCCTGCCACACAGCCTGGACGCACGCGCGCACATCAGTCAGCCTACGCTCGTCCAATCTTATCACACCCCACGACTTACAATCGTATGCACTGGTTATGCCACTGACAGTGACGAACTTGTCCGCCATGTTGTTGTTGAGCGTTTCTCCAATCACCTGGCCATCGACTGCGTCCGCCAAGTTGTTCTCTGCGCATGCGGCGTAGACCGTGGCAGTTGCATAGACTATATTGGTCGCCGTCGTTGTGGTCGTGGTGGATGTTGATGTCGTGCTCGTTGTCGTGGTCTCCGTGGTGATGGTTATTGTCGCCGAGGGATATATCGTATCTGCGCACCGCGTCAGACACATCGCTTGCCACGAGGCCCCTCACAATACCTACCTGTTTCAGTGGCTGTGGTTCCCACAATGACCGGCGATGGCGTTATCTCTGACACCGACGTCACCGTTCTCGTTGTCTTAGCGCAGCTGCTGTGGGTCTGTTGGATGCAATTGACCCCGTGCGGATGAAGGTTTCGATTGAATCCGACCAGCGCTTGACCAGACGGTTTTCTTGCCTCGACCATTGCGGCAGGCTCAGGCTCACGCTTTACTACTGGATCGGGGCCAGCTGAATATGGAGGATTAGCCATTGTTAGCCCCAAAGTAGGGAGCTGGGGGATTCCTACCGGAGCCTGAATAAGAAGAGCCTGGGAGCGTCGACTGGACGGGTAGAAATCTGCCCGCCATTTGCAGTCAGTAGGGGATTGCTCGCGCTCTGCGATTGAACGAACCCAGGAGAGGTAGCAACGGTCGATGTTGCGGTCGTCGACGTGCTCACCGTGGTGGTGGTGTCAGTTTCGGTCTGTACGCAGCGAATATCAACCCAGCGATTCTTGTCGCGAGATGGCCGGAGGCGGAACATACGTTAGTATTCGTAACTGTGTCAGTGATTGTGTTGGTCGCCGTGTCGGTCTCCGTGGACGTCGTGGCAGTAGTGACCGTGGTAACGGTGTGCGTGACTGTACTGGTCGAAGGAGGGAGAGTCCTGGCCTTGGTCTTGGTCGAGGTGACGACACTCGTGCAAGGAGTGTACTTGGTCGACCAATCTGTGTGGTAGGGGACCGCTCCTTTCCCCCAGGTTGTGTAGCACCAGGTCGGCCAGGGAGGGTTGGCCGGCGCGTGCGCAGCGGCGTGGGCCATGCTCGCGAGCGATGCGGCTAGCGTGACGGCGATGGCACCGATATACATCGTTGCGCTTCCTCAATGGTAACCACTTGTTCGCGTGAGATGGTATGCAGTGGAACGGAGGGAAATTGAGCGGGAGATCACTCAAGGAAGCAAAAGAAAACGAGAGGATAGGAGGAGACCTGCGACATGGAATGGGCACTTACTTCTAAGCGTGCGCCGTCACCGAGCACACGCTACCATGCCCACGGACCGTATGTTAAGCAGAGATCGACGTGGCTAAGTAGCACGGAGAGCATGCATGCAAACTAGGCGAACGAATGATGAGCCTTTGCACTGGACGTTAGTGAATTTAGGACGAGCGATGCGAGCAGTGAGGCGCTCTTGGCCATGTTTAGCGCCCGCGGAGGGTGTCGTTGGTACTCCACGATCTTGCAGGCTGCATCACGGAGATCTCAGCGCGACGGCCGTGAGAAGTCTGCTGGGGAAAGCTGCCACATCGTCGCCCATGTCTGCCTTGTTCTATCCTCAAATATTCGCCCAAGCACGTGAGAGGTGTGAGATTGATGTTGCTGCTTTCCCCATGGGGTAAGAAGTCATGACCTGCCTGAGGCTGAAAGCGCGGCGTCCATCTTCCGCTCCCTCGCCGCTCTCCTCCGCACACCTTCCGCTTTCCCGACCAACAACCCCGGCTATGACCGCTCCCTCTCTTCGAAGAAGGCTAATTTTTGGATGGCGACCGTGATGATGCGCGTCAATGGCGCTCCGAGATCGCCCCCCATAGTCAACGGGTATGTTATGACAGATCATTTGCTTTGGATGACATGATTCCTTCCTCCTCCTCCGCCACTTCAACAATCCGTTCTTTCTTCCTCGCATAGCGGTTTCCCTCGTGCTTTCTTCCTGTCACGAGCCATGCAGTCCTTCATCCAGTACCGCAAGTTTCGGACTGCCATCAAAGCACAGCTGGAACGAGACAGGGTGAAGCTTCAGCATGATGAGAAAGAGCCGGGTGCAGCGCACGACGATGACTCGCCGAGTTCGAGTGCGAGTAAAGATAGCGGCGTTGAGGGCAACGAGCCAGACCTCGAGCGAGGACGCCGGCGCAGCTCGAGGAGGGATGCAGCCCAGGCTGAGGATGTGAATGCGAGGGACTTTCGAGAGCCGGCGGAAGAGCAGGCGCCCGTCGAAGACGAGGAAGAGGACGATGCCGATGATTACGAGCTCGGGCAATATAGCACCCGACAGCGCTCCGTCTCGCGCTCAACCACACAATCTGCAGGTACCCGGCTGGGCACAGTGCTGAGTGGCGTCGAGGTTCGCAGGCGCACGACCAAAGAAGGCGGAGAGGGGAATGTGTTTGTGGTCAGCTACGAGTCCGACGATGACCCGCTCAACCCTCACAACTGGAGCAACTTCACCCGCATCCGATGTACCCTCACCGTTGCCGGCATCGGGTGCGTCGTGGGTTTCGCCAGCGCCATCGACAGCGCTGCCACCCTACGCATAGCCAAGGCGCTGCATACCACTCCCGTCGTCGAGAGCTTGGCCACGGGACTCTTCCTCATCGGCTTCGGCGCTGGCGCCCTCACCGCAGGCCCCTTCTCTGAGACCTTCGGTCGCAACCCGGTGTACATCTTCACCTTGACCATGTACATGATTTTCGTCATGGCCTCGGGCCTGGCAAGGAATATCGAAGAGCAATTGGTGTTTAGGTTCATTGCGGGCTACTTTGGCTCCACGCCCTTGACATGCGCCGGCGGATCGATTTCGGATCTTTGGAACCCGCTGGAACGTGTCATTACCTTTCCCATTTTCGCCAATGCCGCGTTCACCGGTCCACTGCTCGGTCCTGTTGGTATGTATTGTCCCTGCCCAGTCGTCCTCAACTTTGTGAATTCTCGGGTGCTGACAGCAAGATAGTCGGCGGTTTTATTGCGGAGAGTTATGACATATCCTGGCGATGGGTGGAGTGGAGTCAGTATTATCCCTCAGAGTGCCAGCATCACGTGCTAACAATCTTCCTACAGCAACGCTTCTCTTCTCGGGCTTGGTCCTGACCTTTGTCGTTCTCTTCCAACCCGAGACATTCCCCCCAGTCCTGCTCAAATGGAAAGCAGAGCATCTGCGCACCCTCACCGGCGACAACCGCTACAAAGCAGCCATCGAAATCCGCGACGAGACCCTCTCCGTCAAACTCAAACGCGCCCTCTACCGCCCCTTCCTCCTCACCTTCCGCGAACCCATCATCATCCTCGTCGCCCTCTACCTCACCATCATCTACATCGTCCTCTTCGGCTTCCTCGAAGGCTTCACCTACGTCTTCGGCGACACATACGGCTTGTCCGAGGGCCTCACCGGCCTCACCTTCCTCTCCATCATTGTCGGGCTTTTCGGCGCGTCCGCGCTCGTCCCTCTCATCTACAAATGGGCCAAACGCGACCTCAAAAAGATTGAGGAAGAAGGCGGAACGGGCGGCCTGCCGCCGGAATTCCGCCTGTGGTTCAGCATGCTCGGCGGCTCGATTGCTATCCCCATCTCCCTATTCTGGATGGCGTGGACCGCGCGTCCGGACATTTCGATCTGGAGTCCCCTGGCGGCCGGCGTACTATTCGGCTACGGTACGTGATCACCCTCAATTTCTCCCCTTGAACATCCCCATGCTAATTCTTCCCACAGGCACACTCTGCGTCTTCATCACCTCCTACCAATACGTCATCGACTCGTACGAAATCTACGCCGCCTCGGCCCTGGCGTCCGTCACGCTCATCCGCTACATTGCATCGGGCGGCATCGTCGTCGTCGCCATCCCGTGGTACAGCGGGCTCGGCGTGCCGTACACGCTGACGATCCTGGCGTGCATTAGTGGCATCATGGCGCCGGTGCCGTACGTCTTTTACAAGTACGGGGCGAGGATACGCGCAAAGTCGAAGTACGCGGTCAATAAATAGAGATGGTAATGATGAATGAGTGAAATTGTCTGGGAGAAGCGTTGGGGTTTCGGTATCTCCTCGTCTCATCCTCTTGTACTTGTAAGAGCCTCGAGCGCTGCCATTGCTCCATCAGTCCCCATCTGCACGACAGTGCCCAAACTGCTCCGTAAGTCTGAGCAAAATGCAAGGTCAATGAGGAGCGCACGGCGCTACTGCGGCAGTATTTGTAACCGGCAGGCATAAAGCCGCTACTTCCCAACCTCACGCCGAACCTCACCTCCCCAAACAACAACAACAACAACAACACCACAACCTGGAGAACCCATAGAAAACGACGGCGACAATGCCAGCCTACACCTTAGTCGTGCACCTCTACGCGAAGAAAGATTGCGTCGACAAGCTGAAGGAAAAGCTGCAGGAAGCGAGCCAGGTGTACAGCAAGGATAAAGAGTGTATTAGCTGGTAAGGCGATGGCCGAAGTATTTCAAACACGCTCCCGTGTTCTAACGTGATCGTACCGCTTCGCCAGGTTCGTAATGCAAGACCACAAAGACCCGCAAGCCTTCACCATCGTCGAGCGCTACGAGCACGAGAGCAGTCAAAAGTATGTTCTTCTTCTCCTCCTCCCCCTACGGAACGACCGGAACTACCCCTTGCTAAACAATAGCGTCTCACGCATGCAACAGGTACCACCTAGAGAACCCGTACTGGAAGACTTTCGATCCCTACGTGATCCCGCTGCTCGAGCGGGATATGGATCTGCGCCGCTTCAACGAGCTGGACACGAGTGCGCCGGTGCGCGTGGAGAAGGACGAGGGCCTGTGGGAGAGGGTGGCGAAGCATCAGACTTATTGAAGGGCATTACTTGCCTGTTATTATTTGTTCGTGGGTTGGTCGATCGGCTTGTGGTGAACTCTGTCAGCCTGTCATCAATTCGAAATCACATTTCTCAGCCGTGCAAAGCGTCAACGTGTACGATGTGGAAGGGCGATTTGTAAGCCACTGGCCAGCCCATGTACATTCCTTATCCCGACGGAGGAGTCGGTCGTGTCGAGTGCCGTTCGTGGCGGAAGTCGGTCAGGACGGAAAGCCGATGATAATCAACATTAAATCGTTATTAATATTTCAGCCTGGTCTGAGTCGGATGGCCCAGAAGGTACAGGCTAGCAAAACCGTTTCATCATGGCAAAGACACTCGCCGTCTTCGGAGCAACTGGCCAACAAGGCAGTTCGATTATTCAGTCCGTCTTGAACGATGCGGAACTGTCGCAACAATACCTCATACGCGCCATTACCCGTGATGTCGACGCCGCCAAAGCCAAGCATAAACAATTGCAAAGCAAGGTTGTCGAGGTGGTGGCTGCCGACAGCTCCGATCGAGGCTCTCTCGAGAAAGCATTGACGGGCGTCGACACCGCCTTCGTCATGACGACGCCTTCCTTCACTCCTGACGGCGAAGAAGTGGAGTTCAGCGCCGGCAGAACCATCGTCGACGTTGCCGTCGAACAGGGCGTGGGATACATCATCTTCAGCACCCTTCCATCTCCTCGCGAACTCTCAGGCGGCAAGTACACCAAGTGCATACACTTCGAAAGCAAAGCCAGACTGGAAAAATACATCCGCGGACTGCACCCGAAGGTCAAGAGCGCCTTCATCTCGCCGGGCGCCTTCATGAGCAATTTCCAAAACATGCCGTTCCTGGGTCCGCAGAAAGCGGCCGACGGCAAGTCATGGGTCAGCACCGGGCCTAACTCTCCCAAGACTCCGATCCCCCTGATCGATCACGGAGACATGGGCAAGTACGTGGGCGCCATTCTCGCCGAGCCGGACAAGTACGAGGGCAAGACGTTCTGTGCTTCAACGAAGATGTACACCAGGCAAGAAGCCGCGGACATCGTGTCCAAAGCCACGGGCAAGAAGGTTGTGTATAAGCAGCTCCCGCCGGAGCAGTGGGCCAGCAGCCTGCCATTCGCGCAGGACATTCTCCTCGAGACTTTTAGCTATGTGGAGGAGTTTGGGTATTATGGTCCGCGAAGCGAGGAGTTGGTCAAGTGGGCGGCGGAGAATGCGAGGGGGAAGGTGACTACTTTTGAGGAGTATTTGGCGGCGAACCCCTTGCTATTGAATTAGTCGAACGGTTGACAAATGCCGGCGCCAGTAGTCGGCACAAAAGGTGAGTGGCTTCAGTGGCGTGAATGTGAAGAAAAGCAGTCGATACGCCGGCGTAATAGATCCCGTATATTCAAGCATTTGTCGATTGGTATAGATAGGCGCCTTTTCTTCTATCCAAGAACCGGTGATAAACCGCGTACAGGGCAATCGGACACGAGAGAGCGAGACCGACCGCAAAGAGCGTCGAAAACTCGACAATTTGCGCTTCCTGCTCCTGCTCGTCGACTTCCGCAACAAAGGCATACTCCAGCCCACGATCCACAGCATTGCTGATGCCATTCGCCATCCGCGCGCCATGTTCATCCAACGCGACCACTCGAATATACCGTCCGATGCCAACGCCGTCGGGGATCGCAATGCTCTCTTCGAACCGCGTCTTGCGCACCCGCAGCGTCTCCCACCACGCCGTCTCCCCGCTCGACGAGAACTCGACAGCCCAACCGCCAACATCCGTGGCGCCCATCCAAGATACGTAGAGCGTGTCGGCGTCAACCACCACCGTCGGTTTCCACTTCGGCTTGCCCGTCCACGGCAGTTTGTGCACTCGGTAGCTCATGTAGCTCAAAACATGCTTGTCTTGATAGCCGTTCGCGGCGAAGCGGACATCGCACAAGACCGTCCCGTTGGCTGCAAACTCCGTCCACGCGGCAGTGTGCCCGTAGCCCACCAGGACTTTCGGGTCTTCCCCTCGCCCCTGCGGGATGAGCTGCACATTGCCCTGCGAAATCGAGTGGATGCGCGTCGGATTCTCATACGACATGACCACGCGGACGGTGAAGTTCGGATCGCTGCCGTTGTTGGCCAGCACCTTCTCGATGTCAAGGTCGGACATGGGGAAAAACTGTGTCTTGTCCACTTCACTTGCATTCTGATTGATTTTGGCGGGGCCAGCAAGGGCATTCGGGGTCCCCGGGGTCGGGTACGTCAATTCGAGCAACAGCCCGCGAGACAGTGGCATTCCATAGCGATGGTCGAAATCTTCATCGGCATTGTCAAACAAAGTCAGGAGTTTCGTCGTGAATCCAGGCCGTTCCGGTGGTGGACGGTACAGTTTCGGAAAGGTATCGGTCGGGTGGAGTCGGGCATCGTGTTGGTAGGCAAAATTTGTTGCATTCCCGCCGCTCAGATCCATGAAGCTGTTTTTCTTGCCGCCAAGGCGCCAGATCGTCTCCTTCGTGCGGCCGTCCACGTAGAGAACGCTATGCAGGTATCGCGACGAGAAGAGATAGTTGCCCAACTCGTCCTTTTGGGCGCTGTTGATGTGAAACCAATCGAATGGTTTGTTGGGGGTGCCCTGAGTGCGGATGGGCTGGTATGTCTCCTCTGCGTCGACGTGGTCTGAAGCTCGCCATTCCCATCGGAGCTGGCGAGTTTGCAGGTCAATCTCGCGGATCGAGCAGTCCCAGAAGTAAACCGAGTCCTGCACTCTGCGCACGCCATCGTACACGCTCACGAGCGCGGTGGCGTTGTCGGTGATGGAGAACTCGTGGAGGTCTGGCATGCTATTGTCCATTGTACCGATTGTGTCGACAACCTCATATGCCGAGTTGAGGATGTAGTTGTAGCCTGTGCCATGTCCGTGCACCATATCTTCTCCCACCCAGAACGTCAGGTGGTCCTCGCCTTGGTAGGACTGGACGCCGAAGTTGTAAGGCTCGCTTCCGACGTTGTCGAAGTGCCGTGTCCAGATCAACTCTCCGCGGCTGTTGAGTATCACAGGGCCAGACTGGTTTTTGATGGGAGAGCCCCGGGGCGTCAGAAAGTACAGTAAGCCATCGTCGCACTGCTCGCTCCATTGCAGGAATTTCGTCACCGGCACCTGCACATTCTCGAGAGTCTTGAAGTCTTGCAAGGGGTAGGAGCCATTTCTGCTCTCATGGGCATCGTCATAAGTGAGGGGAGGCAGGCGGGATAGGATCGGGGTTTGCGGGTCCCATGTCTGCCACAAAAAGAGGAGCGCAACGATTGCGAGAAGGATGGATGAGGATGCCGCCCTCATCGAAGGTTGCTGTCAGATCCGCGGCTTGCCACAATAATAGGAGCGCAAGGATTGCAAAAGGATGATGGATAATGATGCCGCGCACATCGAAAGTTGCTTTCAAGTTCGCATTCTTCGTGTAGAGAAGGCATTGAGTGAAGGAAACAAAATTAGGTAGGATGGATGGCTTGGACGACATCTCCGCTGACAGCTTGGCAAGGCTGCCGCATTAGGGGACAAAGGGGGGTTCAAGGGGTTGGAGTTCCAGGCCGGCGGTTGTATCCCTAGCGCGAGCATCAGTAATATGTAGTCAGCAAATTTGGTTTAAAATGAAAAGAGTCGGCCTACGTTGGACAGTGGAGGCTACAAGGCTACGCACCCCCACCCCGGACTTTTCTCTGGCCGCGTGCCGCGGGATGGATCTGCAGGCGCCGACCCCCTAAAGCATTCCTCGGCCAATGGGGATGACTTGCAAATTGAGTCGTGAGCAGTGGCTTGCGCTACGAAGTTTCGAACTCCGCTCTTCTAAAATGAAGCACGGCAAGCCACAGGGTCCATATCCCGCGGATGACACAGCGTCGTCAACCACAGCTAAAGGGGCCCACGATGCTGCCATCGGCGTACGCATCGACGATCGCAAGGATGGTGACATAAATACCAGCGACGCAGATGAAGAGCCCTGCAAGGACCGTGAAGATCGCCAGAGCAGTTTGCAAAGGCTGCCGCCACCACGATCTCGCTCCTTGTCCGTCGTGGTAGGCATCGTACAGGAAAAACATGCCGGCGCTGTCGGGTATTAACAGGATAGCAGATGCCAAGGGACCTTGAACCAGTGCAGACTTACATCCCGTAAGTGAACCACGCCGCGAAAAGAGACGCAGCAATGCCAATCAGGTAGTTGAAAATCGGCACTCCGACCGCGAGGAGGAAAGCAGCGACATTGATCACGGCAATCAAGCCCACCCAGACCGTCCACCCGAGCCACGTGTGATCGTGAAGGTGGCGAGAACGGCGAAAGATTCGAAGGAAAAGGACCTTGCTGGCAGTGTGCGAGTACAAGGCGCCGGCAATCAAGAGGTTGGGAAGTGCGATGCCGTAGGCTGCTTTCCTCCAGGTGGGCGCGAGCGAGGAGAAGGACGGGGAGGCTACGTTGCTGCCGATGAAGGCGTATGTCACGGCTGCAAACACTGCGTAGTACGTTGTTGCCACGGATTGAAGGGTGTATGCGGCTTTGATACTGAGACGGGAGAGTCAGTTTGAAGGCCGAAAACCGCCTGATGTACAGCTGTTGTGAGCGACCCACCCGTCCTTTGGATTTCTCATCTCAGACATCAGAGAGAAGAACCTGGCCAAGTCAGTCATTGGCGCGGCAGAGAGCAGCAAGAACGGGCTTACATGAAATGACCGCAGTAAGCAAAGACCGGGTTGGTGATGGAAAAGAAAGCAGTGGAGAAGCTAGAGCTGCGAGCAGCCACCACACTCCGACCAGCAACGGGGTGTACACCCGCACCCACCATCCCAACAACCGCAGCCACCGAAATGCAGATGACGCTCGGGATCGAAATCCACCCCATCCGGCCGAACGTCCGCGGGAGCGAGCAAATAAAGGTTGCAGCACAGAAGATGCCGGCGAAGGAGACGTTGCAGATGGCATTGTCGCTGATGGCCGACAGAGCGATTTGGCCCGAGAGCATCTGTCCGCCTGCCAGGAGTATGGCGAACAACATCGTCCCGAAGGCGAAGAGCTCGCGGCCCACGGGGCCAAATAAAATGCCACCAGCATCCGACATGTTGTGGACTTTGGGATGTCGGAGCTTGAAGCGGACAAGAATGATGGAGGTATATGTTGCGAAGATGCCTGAATGTCTTGTCAGCATATGTCTTTGCTCGCTGATGACTTGATCCAACATACCCAAAAAGACGATAAGGATGACGCCTGGGACCAAGCCTACAGTAGCCAGCGAAGATGGCAGCGATAGCATTCCATTGCTCACAATCTCCGCCAGCATGAGAATGGCAACCAGCTGCCATGACATTGTCTTGTATTTGATATCATGATGCTCCTCGTTGCCGAAGACGTCTCCATGGTCGTCACCTGCATTATCGTGTTGGACGTGGAGTGAGACCACGGCTTCCTTCTTCGATGACATTGTGCCCGTTGCCCAAGGAGAAGACAGTTTAAATCAATATGTGAGGCGTAGGACGTCCAGTGAGATTGGAGAGGGCGAGTGTAGAAAGTGGAAGATTATAGGTAGGCGGGAGCTGAAGAGTGATCGGCGTTGCACGTGCATACAGACAACCTTTACGTGGGATGAGCGATGCATGAGGGTTTAACGACCTTCTTCTTCCGGCAGCTGTACGACCGAAGCGCAGATCAGTGCAACCCTGCGTGATAAAGATTCCATGTCGCAGATATGCGTAGTAGGGCTCGGCCACTCGTTTACGATACTCACTCACCACTATCGACGGTGCAGACAAGCCCTTCCACTGCGGGCACCAACACGCCTGCTTCCGACCTCAGAATCTTCGCTCGGTATATCTTCCTTGCACCGTGGTGGCCTTCGAGTTCCGCGACACTGCCAATCAACTGCACACCACATCCACGACGTAACCACAACGTCAGCAGTATCCTAGTCCCCACAAACCCGCACCACCCCCAAACTCACCTGCGAAAAAAAGAGAGGTTGAAGCGCCGTCCTCAACAGAGTAATCGGAATCGAATGATACCCTTGCCCGCCCCCAAAACCCCCACAAGGAGGGGAAAGGAAGCAGAGCGCAGATACGCCGCATATTGCACTGAAGTGATCGTGCCTTCCCCCCTCCGCAAAAAGAGAGAGAGAAAGACACACACCATCTTCGCACCGGCTCCCATAGCCCCAAGACGCCCACGCGAAAGGCGAGGGCGCGGGGGCTGAGATTTCTGATGCCAAATGCAACCGTGTAGGAAGACTGTCACGGCAGGCCCTCACGGGCGGTTTGCCTATTCACCATCGCCCTAGGGACGAGGTGAGAGGCAAGGTTGGGGTGAAGATTACTCCGAATTTCTCATTTGCTGGGGGGGGACGAACGCAGTCTTGCGACTGGTTGTCGGTGTGTGAGCAAAGAAATGCGGCATTGGAGAGGACGGCGCTTGGGGGAGGGGAAGAGGGAGTGCGTGAGTGTGAGTGCGAGAATTGATGTTTTCTTCAAACGTGACTAAGCCCGCGGGAATGCGGGTGGCTCGTGCATCAAGCGTTCATGGACGTGAGAATACGCCATGATTTGACCATGAAGAACATGTATAGTCAGTCCATTGCTACGTATAAACTCCTTCGCTTGGTGAATGACCTATCAAAGGGTATCGTCCCAAAACTCCCCCGCTAGTGTTCGCTAAATTCAATCATCAAATCTCCAACTGCCCCTGCACCTGTTCTCCGGAGCTCGTTCGATCCGTGGGTTCGGCAGTGTCGTGCATCGAATGCAGCGACAATTTCCGATCCAACAGGTTCAATGCCGACTCTCCACTAACACGATCGCGATCATTGCCCTCGTCACTCGGAATGGCAATCCACTTCCGTATGTGGCTGGTGGGAGACAAGATGTCCCGGTCGTCTGTGCCGACCATTTCGATGCCCGCCTCGCGCATCGCCTGCACCATTGCTCTCGTGTTCAGCTCTAGTATCCACTCGGGCTCCTCGGCTTTGGTGAAACGGCGAGCGAGGAAGGGGAACAAGATGCCAAAGTCGCTATGGTTGAAATGCTGGCTGCGTTGCACGTAAAACATGCGCGATCCACTCGATTCTTTTGGTCCGGTGCTCGGCGCCGCTTCTTGTGCCCGACCAGTGTCTCCGCTCACCTGTCTTGTGAGTGAAGGAGAGTCTTGGGAATGATATCCAGAATCTCGAGATGGCGAATGATCCTGAAGTCGGGCCCAGGATGGAAGCATCTTGCCCTTCTCTCTTGTCAATCGTGGAGGTGGGGATGTCCGCCGCGATCTTGATGAGGGAGCGACGATGTGTTTGTTGATGTTGGTATTGTCTTTCCAGTTGAAGAAGCCTTCGGAGAGCACAGACAAGACGTTCACGGCCTGAGGGTCACCAGTGGTGTAAGCTGGCAATGGCCGATCCCAGAGAAACGCCTGATCAGGTGATTGAAGTGGGAGGCCCCACATATCCAGGATAAGGAGAGGCGATTCGGGCATGATTTGGTGGAGGACGGCGGCGTCGGGGTTGGGCTTGATCAATGGCTTCCCAGATTCCGCAGGGCGCTCGGCGGAGTAGTAGATGCTCTTGACCAGCTGGGTCATGGTGGCAGCGCCAAAGGAATGCCCCGCCCAGCTAACTTTTCCCGCTCGATGAATGTCCAGCTTGCCATCAAACTGCCACAACACCTCCACACGTTCCTGCCGCTTGTTGCTGGTATTGCAGTCTAGATTCTCCACTGCCTGGCCAGCATCAATCTGCATCAGCGCCTCATAGGCCATGCTGATCTCCCACAGCCTAATTCGTAATTGCCTGTCGCGCGCCTGCCATACCTCTTCACAAGGCTCGTGACTGATCTTGACGGCGTTGATGACATGTGCTGGGGTGTCTGTGGTAGCGCGAACGTATTGCACCGGGCTACTCCCGTCGCGGTGGTCCATGGCAATGACTATCATACCATGACTCGCGAGGTCTCCGCAGATGTAGCTGTATGCGTTCCGGCTGCCCGCCAGGCCGTGACTGAAGAAGGTGACGGGCCATCGGCCATTGCTTGTTGGTGCTTCAAGCAACTTGGCATTGCGGTGTGCGCGGAGGTTGATGTAGTAGAAGTGCTGCGGCAAATAAGATGCCAGGCCCGCCATCCGCTCTTTCATCCCGAGGAACTTCATGAGCGCGGCGAGAGTGAGCCGCTGGGGCTGGGAAATCCATCGTACCGGCCGATTCGCATCGCCGCTCGCAGGTTGGACGCACGGGTAGAAGATGCGGAAGGCAACGGTGGGTGGTGCATTCTCCGGCGAAGCCGAAGGAGCTGGCAAATTGGCTGCCGGGATTTCGACGTCCACTGTGCCGACTTCATAGCGACCGTGGTAGTCGGGGAAGGAGTTGATCACCGAAGGCACCATCTTGACGCATTCCCTCCTCTTGTAGACGTTCTAGGCGGCGGTGATGCCGGAAGTGTGCTTGTCGGCGGCTTTCGAAGGTCTGCTCGCTCTGAGACCCGTGGAGGCAATAGAGATGCGCGGAACGTGAGATTGGGGTGTAGAGCGACGGGATGGAGGCGGTATGGGAGGCAGAAAAGAGCACGCGAGAGGATGGGGGAAGGGGAGGACAAGGTTTTTAGGAACAAGTAATGAAGCACGCGACATCAGCATCGAGATCGGCAAGGCGAAAAGTTCTGCGCCGAGTCGGCACCGCCGCAATGACGTCCGCCACTCGCCGCCCGCGCTTGTCCCCTTTGGGAATCCTCTGCCGGGTGAAATCCTTTCACGTGAAAAAACCACCACTGCACTCAGCTTCTACATTTATTGCCCTACAACCAACACCTTTTGTCTATCAAATCTACAGTGTACCCCTATACAATCATGAGTACTTCTTCACAAACTCCAACAGCAGCTCGTCCACTTCCTGCGGATGGCTGGCGCTGAGATAATGCTGTCCCCCCTTCACCACCTTCAACTGCGCATCCGGCGAGTTGACAAACATCTTGATTTCCTCTTCCGCGTTCTTCACCTTATACGCAAGATCTTCGGTCCCATGCAGCCACAAGACAGGGCAGCGAACTTCATACAGTCTTGCCAGCAGACCGTCTCGGTCGCGGAGGTTGATGGTGCACTCCTTCAGCCGCTTCCGTCCATCGTCGCCACTGTAGTTTTGCGAGTACTCGTCCCACCAAAACTTCACAGTCGCCTTGTCGATATCATGCCCGAAGCCGGTATAGATGGGGAACTCGCGGAAGTAGTCCGGCATCACCCAGTCCGGCGTGGCGTCCTTGGACTCGAGATCACGAATGGGGCCAGTCAGGGTCTCGATGCAGTCGAAGTTGCCATTCTGCCGCGTGCGTTCGCTTTCGTAGTCCATGCTGGTGCCCAATGGAAGGATGCCAGCAATGCGGTGGGGTTGTAGCAGGGCCATGCGCACCACGATCCAGCCTCCCTGGCTTGTCCCTAAGGCGAACACCTTGCCCTTGATGCCGAGTGCATCCAGGACTTGGAGGTTCATGATTGCCGTATCCCAGTAGGTAAACGTGTCGGTGCCTGCCCGAGTTTGTCCGTGGCCGTATCTATTCAATGTCAGCTGACTCGATGTAGATTGATCAACCCAGGGATCAACATCTTACGGCTCTATGGCAAGCAAGTTCATGGCATTCAGCAATGAATCATTCTTGTACTGCTTGGCATACAGGTCGGAAGTCATGGTGAAGCTGTTGATCAACACGCACGTCGGCTTGCTGGCATCGTATGGACGAGGCATTTGATAGGCGGCATCCGTGCCGAAAAGGTGCGGCACCTTGATTGTTCTGGTGTTTGGCATGATGGTAGATGATACGATGATGACTCACGACGTTGAAATGAATAAAAGATGTGCAGGAGAAGGAAATGGTGGAAGGAGACCGATGTTGTAAGACTGCATTGCCATCCGAGGAAGTCGAGACAAACCCCGCTTCAGCCTTACGCGGAAGTTATGTAGATATGCCAACCCTTCAACGATCAGCAGTTGGGTTGGACTGCATGGTATTTTCGACGATCCAGCATGCCGACATTGACGGAACAGGAGACCAAGAAGACATGCACTGGAGTCAGTGATGCCATCTCCAGCGTTCGTTCATTCCAACATGGAAGATAAGACTCTTTCACGGTCCGACGCCATTCTTCCAGCAGTAACATGGCCGGGACGCGTTGTACACGGATATGAGTCGTTACAAAATGTCTTCATGTGTCTGCAGAAGTAGCTAGTGGCGTTCTTCATGCTGCCAAAATGCTGGCGCAGAGGTGTAGTGTTGATGAGGCCTCGCCTACCGCAACGGCAGTCGAACTGCCTTAGGGTTAGGGTTTATCCAGGCCGCCCCGATAAACAATCACAGATCGGCTTCCTACCATACCCACAGCAACATCGCCGTCTTTGGCGACGACACTGATCTTCGATGGTCTGAGGCCTCAACGGGAGCTCCGGTCTCCCCCACCTCGACTACCCATGGCGCGGCCACGACGAGGCTCGACCGTGTCGAGCCGCTCCACCACCATCACCCAAGATGTGCCGGCCGGGCAAGAGATGGCGAGCATGTACGACTACCTCGCCAAAATCATCCTCCTCGGGCCTTCGGGAAGCGGCAAATCATGCCTGCTGCATCGCTTCGTCAAGGGGGAGTGGAGGGTGCTCAGCAGTCAGACGATCGGCGTGGAGTTTGCGAGTCGGATCGTGAAGGTGGGCACGGGCACGCAGAGGAAGAGGATGAAGCTGCAGCTGTGGGATACGGCGGGGACGGAGAGATTCCGCAGCGTGAGCCGGAGTTACTACAGAGGCGCGGCGGGCGCGGTACTGGTCTACGACATCGCCAATCAGGCGAGTTTCGCGCAGCTGCAAACGTTCCTCGATGACGCTCGAGCGCTGGCCAGTCCGCACTTGACCGTTCTGCTGGCGGGGAACAAGGCGGATTTGACGGAGGGGCCAAAGTCGACGGAGAAAGTGTTGGAGGCGGAAGTGGGCAGTCTGCCGTCTACACGATCCACAGCCACGATTGGCCCCGGCTTGGGCAGCCAGCAACGAGCCACCACGGCGAGTACAGGACGCGCGGTAGCACAGTCCACAGCAGCCAGCTGGGCAAGTCAGAACGGCATACCCGCGACGACGGAAGTCAGCGCGCTCTCGGGTGACGGGGTAGACGAGATCTTCAACAAAATCGCGAGCACCATCCTGGCCAAGATTGAACTGGGCGAAATCGATCCGGACGATGCCAGATCGGGCATTCAGTACGGCGATGCTGACTATCGTTATAACGACGACGGCGACAGCATCAGGACGGGCACGACCGTGGACGCATACGCACGCGGCGCCCGGGGGAAGAAGGCAACAGGATGGGGAGGCGGCTTCCGACTCGGCCGCGCCGGACGGGTGAGCAGTTGTTGCTAGCACCCGTCATTTTCGGGTCCGAAATCTACAAGACGTACCGTACTTCAATACAGCGTGGTGTCCCTGACGTTTCTTAGGTTGTGGGACCCTGTTCAGCCGCGCCCGTTCACATCAAAGTGCGGCTGACATTTGGTCATCGCTTACCGTGATTGTTAACTAGAGCTGAATGGCCGTCCATTGCGGCTCCACCAATCAATCTGCTGCACCCGGTAGCCTTTTCCCTTTCCAGTAGTGGTCATGACCGTACAGCCGCGCGAGTGGAGACAATAACTGTAAGCTCTGTCCTCGACTGGTCTTCCCTATATATACGTGCACCGCACCTGAACAGATGACGAAGAAAAATCGTAGTATTTTCCCAAACCTCGCCAGGACGACCCGCTACCCTCGCTCATCAACGCTATGCCCGCCAAGGACAGCGACTCCTTCGCGGAGTTCTTTGACCCGAAGAAGAACAAAGACACGTACCAGCTGAAGCGCCACCCGCACACCGGGCGCTACATCGATGCCTACCCCAAGCGCCCTCGCACCCGACCCATGCGCATCCTGTGTCTGGGGATGGCCCGCACCGGCACGCTGTCCACCTACACCGCCCTCAACAAACTCGGCTACAACACGTACCACATGTCGGAGGTGATGAAGCGCCCGCGCACCAATCTGAGTTTGTGGAGCGAGGCCTACGAAGCAAAGTATGACGGCAAAGGCAAGGCGTGGGGAAGGGAGGAGTTCGACAAGATGCTCGGCGACTACGATGCCCTGCTCGACGTGCCGTGCATTGCCTTCGTCGAGGAGCTGGTGGCCGCGTACCCCGACGCCAAAGTCCTTCTCACGAATCGCGACGTGGATGCCTGGCTGCAAAGTATCAACAGCACCTTTGGCGTTGCCTTTTCCTGGCCCAGTTGGAACTGGGTGGCAGATTGGGACCAAAGTCTCGCCGGCCCGTTCGTTTCCTTTTCCAAATTGTACATGCCGAAGATGTTCGGTTACGAGCGCGAGCACTTCGGCACAAAGATCGACTATACATCTGCGGAGTCGCCGGCGCGACAGGCCTACTTCGACCATTATGCCTTGGTCCGGAAGACGGTGCCCAAAGACCGATTGCTCGAGTTTCGGGTGCAGGACGGGTGGGCCCCGCTGTGTGCGTTCACGGGAGATGCGGTGCCGGAGGGGGACTTCCCGAGGGTCAACGACTCGAGGATGTTTGTCAATATGATGAAGCTGATATGGTGGTTGGCGGTTGGGAAAATGGTCACCAAGGTCAGCTTGGCGCTTGCGGTGCCTGCGGGGGGCGTGCTGGCGACGCTATGGTGGCGTGGTTATCGGTTTGGCTATTGAAGCTTCAGGGCGTCTTTCAAGATCGCCAAGGCGCCGAAGAGCTCGTTGTCATGATGCTTCCGGGCCACCAGTTGCAGGTTGATTGGCGCATTCTCAAAATTGCTCTCCCTCCACATCTGCCTCACATGCTCATCTTCCGGACCCAGCGGTGTACTGAATTCGGCCGGATACTCTTCCTTCTCCTTGCCCGCGCGAACCGGGGTCGGGAAGACGACACCGGGATAGTCGACGTAATTAAACAGCGCGGTATAATTCCAGTAGAAAGCGGTATCGTGCGCACTAGCCGGCCCGACAAACACCGGACACAAGACGAAATCGACGTCCTGCCTGTTCCAGTCCATCGCGAACTCGCTGCGATACGTATCACGCGCGAAGCGCAGCTCATTCACCTCGCTTCCCGTCCGCTCCCGCTCGCCCTTGACGTCTTTGATGATCCAGTCGCTGAGGGGATGCCAGGGTTCGCCGGTAGCTTCGCAGGCGCGAATGTCGGGGAGTCCGCTATCGGGCCAGTAGGCTTTGCGGATGGAGGACATGGCGGTGGCGGCCTTGTATGGCATGAAGGGTTTGGTGGTGACGTTTGTGACGCCGGAGAGCTGTTGCTCGGCCCATTTCAAGGCTTGGAGGACTGGCGGCTGTGGCACGATCTGTCCATCATGCGTCATGATCCCGATCTTCAACGGCAGGTCGATCTTGGTATCAAACCCCGTCCATGGGAACGGAAGAACCCTTGGATCCTCAAGGTGCGGTTTGCCCGCCTTGATCACGTTGACGAATAGCTCTGCATCGCGAAGAGAGCTAGCCATGGGCCCCGTTGAAGCCAGGACATTCAGCTCGGCGGCAAATCCACCGGGGATGAAATCTTTGCAAGGAAGTGTGTATGCAGTGGCCTTGAAGCCGTAAATACCGCAGAAACCAGCAGGGCCGCGAATGGAGCCGCCAATGTCGGTTCCGATTCCCAGCACCGAGCCTCGCAGGGCCACCAGAGCGGCCTCGCCTCCGGATGAGCCTCCCGAGGAGAGACTGATGTTGGACGGGTTCAAAGTCCGACCGTGAAAACCCGTACACTCGAGGTGCATGATTGCCTGGGGTTGGTTCGTCTTGACGTAAAAGATGGCGCCAGCATCACGGAGAACTGGACTGGGTGTCAATACACGCAACCTTGTCCGAAACAGAGAGAGGATACACTCACTCCTGACCATCAAGGAGTCCTCCTCACTAAACGACCGCGTCACCAAAAATCCCCACGAAGAGTAGTGGCCTTTCAAAGGCAGATGCTCCTTGACACTAATCGGACAACCATGGAGCGGCCCCACTGGCCTGCCATGCGTCTTCAAATACTCATCCAAATACTTTGCGCGCTCCAGCGCCTCCTCGACAAAGTAATCCGTCAAGCAGCACGAGAGCTGATGAGCGATAGCCGCCCGTTTGCAAAACGCAGTAGCGACATCCACCGCGCTCAGCGTGCCAGTGGACGTCGCTTGCACCAGCGCAACGGCATCGTACTTCTCCGTAATGTCCAATTCGTGCTGGCTGAGGATGCCACATGTGCGAGGGATGTCGGTGACGTCCAGCGGGGGGTTGGCGATGATTTCCTGGGGCAGGAGGCATTCTTTTGGGATCTTGGATGCGAGCTCGGTGAGGATGGCGGCGCGGGTGGTTTCGTACGATGCGCTGCCTTTCTCCACGGGCTTCACTTCGATTGCTAGGGGCTGGCGGGTTGTCATCTTGTCTGGCGATTAGAGTGGGATTCGATGGGGTCTTCTGCTTTGTCAGACGGGGGTCGGGAGGCTTTATCTGTCAATGGCGAGATGAGGTGAGCTGTTAGGCTGCAGTGCGGGGCATGAGACGTGACCGCAGGCGAAGGCGGGGCGTTGGACGGACGGCGCAAACAAGATAAGTCCGGGTTCAAGGGAATCTAATCTGGCGAAGGAATAGCCTAACTGATACGAGCAGTCCAGTCACGAGCAGCTTCAACAAACCACGCACCCCCATCCCTCCTCCGCCTTCGCCTCGTCCTTCTCCAGCTCCCTCACCCGCTCCTCCACCCGCGCCACACTCGTCTTGAAATCGCCCACGCCCGCCGTCACATCCTCCACCTTGCCCTTCAGCCCATTAATCTCATACTCCAACTTGGCGGCCAGCGTTTCAATCTCCTTGCCCGCCTCCTCCAAGCGCTCCTGCTCCGCGCGCAGCAGCGTTTCCGAGTTGGCGCGCAGCCCGTCCACCTGGTTGCGGTACTCCTGGTGCTGCTTTTCCAGCGAGCCTTCGTCCACGTCTAGCTTGCTGAAGACGGCGTGGATGGCTTCGAGCTGCGTTTGAGTGAAGGCGACGGTGGAGGCGTTGAGGGTGTTCAGCATCTGTCGGAGCGCTTTGGCTTCCCGGGCAAAGTACTCCTCGTCGGCCAATTGATCTTTCGGCTCGGTGAAGTAGGATTCCGCATCTTTGTCCACCACGTCAGACCAGATGAGGACACTGTCTTCCGCGAGGCTGAAGCTCAGGTGTCGAGGGTAGGCTTCCGCCGGGTGTCTTTGCATGTTGATGACGAAGAAATGACTCTCCGACACCGTTCGACGCAGTAGATGCTCGCCGTTCTCCTCCCTATCCGCTTCCTCCATGACCTCTCTATCATCGTCCATTGACCCTCGCACGGAGGGCTCTTGATCCGACTTTTGATCAAATGCCACCTGACTGCTAGCTTCTCGCGACTGGTCGTTGGTTTGATACGACGGCGGCCGCATGCTATCTTTGGATGGCCTCGACCCGAGCTCCCGGTACGACGCGGCGTAGCCAGGGGCCTTTGCTTGCTCAGGCATGGGTTCTGCCAGCAGCGCGTCGTACATGTGTTGCCGCGCGACACCCTTGGTCCCTTCAGGACTGCTGGAGGGGGAAGTGTGTGATCTTTGCAACTGCCATGGCCGTTTCGCACGCTGCGCGGGGGAATCATCGAAAGAATTCCGGGGGGAGATGTTTGGGGAGAGCGGGGTGCCGGGGGTATCAAGGGAGGGCCTCTGGAGGTATGTCGGGCTTTGAGGCACGAGGTTCGCATCCTTGGAAATGGTCCGGGAATGACTCCCCAGCCCTACAGCACCTTTGATGCGGCCTTTGGTCAGGCCCGTCGTGCGCCTCAGCAGCCCTTTTGACCGTTCATCCTCCTCGACCGTGTAGGCTAGATCGTCATCGTCTCTTCGATGGGTCCCACCCAAAGCTGCAAGGCCATCGCCAACGCTCTTCCGCGCCGCCCACGTGAAGCCTCCATGTTCGCTTTCTTTGAAATTCAGCGCCCTACCATCCACCCCTTTCCCTTCCTCGCCGGCTCGTAGCGTAGTTCCGACCGCTTCTTTGGCAGACTTTGACTTCAAAGGCCTGCCATACCACAGCCACTTGCCTCGTTCGCCACCCACCAGCTGTACAAAACGCTCCATATCACAAGTCTCAATTTCGGAGATGGTCGCGCGGTCTTTCCGATGGACAACGTCGAGTACCATCTCCCCGCCCTTGCCGCTAAGCTCGGCGACGGTGTTCTTGACGGCCTTGGGTACGGTCCAATGGCTGTCACTGTTTGCCGCTTTCTTCGTAGCCGTGTGTAAGCGTTCCATTGTCCTGCGACAGAGTCGCCGAGAGCGAGGAAGGCGCTGCTGTTTTTGGAAGGCGCTGATGCCTTTTTTCATGCTTTCCACATCGAAGGCGTCCTTACTGAACGGAGCATTCACAGCGTGCAGCCGGTTTCGTGCGCCCATGATGAGGCCGATCAAGGCCGCCACCGTCGTCGGACCAAGGATGCCATCATGGGGTTCCACGTTGTAGTAGCGACTGCCCAAGTCCATCCACCAGTCGTTGATCGCGCGCTCGGTGATGTCGCACAACAGGCCGTCGGCAAAGTCGACTTCGAGTTTGTCGAACAGCAAGAGGGCGGTCTGACACAGCTTCACCAGTTCGATGACGGATTGATAGATGTCATTCTTGTCGCTGGTGCGGTAGAGTTGGTGGAACTTGGCGACTGTGGCGCCCGAGGGTGGACCGAGGGTTAAACCCACGCGACCAGAGCAATTCAGACGTTTGAGATTTTCGTTGACGAAAAAGTCATTGCGGTGTTTCCGCAGATCCCCATCGGGGACCAGGATAACGGTCAGACTGGATGGAAAGCCTGACAGATTGGTGACCATGAGTATACCAAGCGGGGTCTCGCGGCGTTTGGCATGGTACTGGTTGAGAGCCTTGAAGTACACCCTCAGGCGCGCACTCCATGTGGACTCGTCGGTGGGCACGCTAAGGACATCGACAAGGACAGTGGAGGAGGGGTCTCCGGTGTAGGTGGTGATGGTGAAGGTGGGGTGAGAGCGAGAAGTGGCCCACTGTTCGACGACATAGCACTCATAGCCTTGCAACTCCTGCTTGCGCTGGAGCACGGTGGTCGTTGGATCCTCCTCGAGATAGCGGAATGCAATGGGATCGGTGAGGACGAAGCGTTGTTGATCGGGGAGGGGTCGCGCAGAGCTGCCAGCCCGGGATGAGCGGGTGGCAGAAGGTTCCAGGCCGGAGTTGGGTAGAGTGGGTTTGCTGGTGGATGGAGAGTAGGGCTGCGGGGTCGCAATGCTAGGTGCCGTCTGCGGCCTCGACATGGAGGTTTGCAGAGGGGGCAAGCGCGGCCCGCGCAGCTCTGCAGCCCGGTTGGACATGTTGCCGAGTGTCCATGGAGTGCCGTCTACCAGTGCGTATGTGGTGGATCGAGGGAGTCGGCCTCGAGCAGTAACAGTCTCCTCGGAATTCCTCGTTGGCCAGGCGCTCGGCTTGAGAGATGGCGCGCAGGCTGCCGCTGTCTGTCAGAGCCAAGAGCAAATGCCAGGGCAGTGTGGGTGGAAATGCGGCTGATATGATGGAGGAGATGAAGTCGGCGAGTGATGAGGTGTCGACGGGAGGCTTGACGTGCGCCACACCTCCCCGCCAGCGCCACAGCCCATCGTGAGTGTGCATGTGCTGCTGCTGCCACTGCATTACATCAACCTTCACTCGTTCCATCCTCACACGATGCGCATAGACTAGACCGCCGTGCTCTCCTGCTCGAGCAGTCAAGCCCTCTCCACTCTACTGACGACATCGACACAGCATGGATGGCATCCTCACCGCCCACGCCGCGCTGGAGAAGTCGGGCAATCTCTCCAAGGCCATCGCCGACGTTCAACTCCTCATCCAACACCTGCAAAAGGCCCGCGATGCCGTCGCGGAAACGCCGGAGCTCACGGCGATGCACATGGCCAAGCTGAAGCAGCCCGTCAAGGCATCGTTCGACCAGATCGAGGAGGACTTGAAGGAGGTGAACAAAGGGCTGAACCATTATCAGAAGGCGGTCAAGGACAAGTTCAAGGCGGCACAACTGCCAGCTGCAGGCGCGGATGGAGGGGTGCTGGGCAAGGAGGCGGGACTGGTGAACCGCGCCATTGCCATGCATTTGTTGCGCGAGGGCAAGTTTGATGTGGCCCACACGTTTGTGAGGGAAGTCAATGAGCGCGCACCTGCGGGGACCGGCGATGAGGGGAAAGAGAGCAAGGGAGAAGAGCGATGGCGGGAAGATTTTAATCTCCCCTCGGACTTCGCCATGGATGAGGGCGATGGCGCGCGACTGCCGGGTGGACAGCTGCAGAGCAAGTTCTCCGAGATGTACCACGTCCTCAACTCCCTCAACAACCAGCACGATCTCGGCCCGGCAATCGCATGGGCAAGGGTGAACAGCAACGAGCTCGAGAGGCGCGGGTCGAATCTGGAGTTCGAGCTGGCGCAGCTCAAGTTCATCGAACTCTACACCTCATGCGAAGACCCCTACCACCCCTTTGCCGGCCCGTTGCAGGCGCTGCAATACGCACGAGACACCTTTCCGGCGTTCAGCTCGAGATATTGCAAGCAGACGTCCAACCTGTTGGGCTCTCTGGCCTTCTCTACCGCGCTCGATCAAAGTCCGTACACGTCATTCTTCCACGACGAAAGCACCTACACCAACGTCGCAGCCACCTTTACCCGAGAATTCTGCGGCATGCTGGGACTGTCGGAAGCCTCGCCCCTCTACACCGCAGTTACGGCAGGCGGCATCTCTCTGCCCATCCTGGAGAAGGTGGAGCGCGTGATGGCACAGTCAAGAGGACAGTGGACATCAGTCAACGAACTGCCGGTGGAAACACCACTACCGCCCGGCATGCAGTACCACAGCATCTTTGTGTGTCCGGTCAGCAAGGAGCAGGGCACCGATGCCAATCCTCCGATGATGCTGCCGTGCGGACACGTGATTGCGAAGGAGAGTCTGGAGATGCACGCGCGAGGCAAGTCGCGGATGAAGTGTCCATATTGTCCCAACGAGAGCCATCCAAGGGAAGCGAAGCGGGTGTATATTTGATGCCAGTATCTACTTCGACCACGAATGTTACGATGATCTGTCCCAATCTGTTTCACTAACCCTGCAAGAGAAATGTACATTTGATGCTCATGACGTCTTGCCGTTTCGGCGAATCAGCGCGTGGGGATTATCGATTACGCTGCCTGACGTGCATGACGTGAGGCTGGAGGGGCACGTTTGTTCAATGCACAGCTACAACACACTTCAACTGCTCATCACCCCTCATCCACCTTCCTCTCCCTCACCTTCTCTCTCCATTGGCCATTGATGCTTCTCGCTCGTCCACTGTCTACTTCTCTTCTCCGCACATTCGCCTTAACCCGTACATCCACATCCACCCTCACCCGCCAATTCTCCCGTTCCGCTCAAGTCATGGCGTCAAACACAAGATCACAAGGCACCGAATACAAAATCAAAGGCCTCACCAGCATCGACCTCAAGAATGGCCAAATGCAAGAGGTGGAAGTCGAGGGCATCGAAGAAGGCAAGATCCTGCTCGCCAAAATCAAGGACGAAGTCCACGCTCTCGGGTCCAAGTGCACGCATTACGGCGCTCCGCTGGCCAAAGGCATCCTCACTCCCGACGGCAGATTGACTTGCCCGTGGCACGGTGCTTGCTTCAGAGTGTCCACTGGTGACGTGGAGGATGCCCCCGCGCTGGACCCCGTGGCCAAGTTCCAGGTCGTGGAGAGAGATGGCGCGGTGTATGTCAAGGGCGACGAGAGCACCATCAAAGCCGCCCGCAAGTCGTTGAGCATCAAGTGCCAGCCCAAGGGTCAAGAGCACGTTGTCATTGTTGGGTCGGGCAGTGGTGCCGTGGGTGCCATTGAGGGGTTGAGGAAGGATGGCTTCACGGGGAAGATCACTTGCGTCTCGCACGAAGGCACCCTGCCTTATGATCGCCCTAAGCTCTCCAAGGGCCTCATGACCGACGCTTCGCAGATTGCGTGGAGAAGTGCGGAGTTCTACAAAGAAGGAGGCGTGGATATGGCCAACGATCAAGTGACTGAAGTAGACTTCAAGGCCAAGAAGGTGAAGACGAAGAGTGGCAAGGAACACAGCTACACAAAGCTCATCCTCGCCTCCGGTGGGACGCCAAATATGTTGCCGCTCCCTGGTCTGAAGGGCGATCTCAAGAACTGCTTCCCTCTGCGCACCGTCAAAGACGTCGCCGCCATCATGGAAGCTGCCGGTGAGGATGGAGGCAAGAAGGTGGTGGTGGTTGGAAGCTCATTCATCGGCATGGAGATTGGCAACGCGCTCGCGGGCAAGAAACACCACGTCGACATCATCGGCATGGAAAAGGAGCCCATGGAGCGCGTGATGGGCGAGAAGGTCGGCTCCATCTTCCGCAAGCTGCTCGAGAAGAACGGCGTCAAGTTCCACATGGGCGCGTCGGTCGAAAAGGGCATCGAGTCCAAGTCCAAATCCGGACACATTGGAGCAGTCGCGCTCAAAGACGGCACCGAGCTCGAGGCGGATCTGGTCGTCGAAGGCGTCGGCATCCGCCCAGCCACCGACTACTTGAAAGACAACAGCGCCATCTCGCTGGAGAAAGACGGCTCCATCTCCACCGACGAATCCTTCGCCGTCCACGGGCTGAAAGACGTCTACGCCATCGGCGACATCGCCACCTACCCCTACCACGGCCCCGGCGGCAACGGCAAACCCGTGCGCATCGAGCACTGGAACGTCGCGCAGAACGCCGGGCGCAGCGTGGCACACACCATCGCCAACCCAGGCAGCAAACCCAAGAGCTTCATCCCCGTCTTCTGGTCGGCCGTCGGCTCGCAGCTGCGCTACTGCGGCCACACGCCCAACGGCTTCGACGACGTGGTCGTGCAGGGCACCACGGACGTCAGCGAGGGCAAGCAGAGCTGGGTCGCGTACTACACCAAGGGCGACGAGGTGCAGGCGGTGGCGAGCATGATGAAGGATCCATACATGTCGCAGTCGGCGGCTTTGATGCTTCGCGGCAAGATGCCGGGCAAGAAGGAGCTGGAGAAGGGCGTGGACATTATGCAAATCAGTGTGCCGGCCGAGACGAAGATATAATTATTACCTGACGGCGAGATTTACAATACAGGAAAAAAGGACACCACGATAACCCCCTCAAGCGCGTCTGGAGTCTCACCAGATCGTTTCTCCTCTTTGCCCCCGTCTCACTAGGTCGCTCCCGTGGTCATCAGCGTGTATTCGACCGCGCCGCATTCCCCCTTACATTCCGCACAGTCAGTAGGCGAACAAAAGTTCCCGACTCCGTACTCGGTCCCACAATTATCTCGGTCCGTGATGAGCCAGTAATCGTACGCGCCTTTGCCGTTGGGCGGATTGAGGCCGCACCCCGTCGTCGCAGTGCCCGTAACTTGAAACGAGCCCAAGCCCGACGGCAGAACGTGGCACTTCATGTAGTTGTCCTGGTTGCCGTAGTACGTGATTTCGGCGACGGCGTGGCCTTGGTTGTCCAGCCCTACCTCCTGGCTGCAGTTGTTGGAGAAGAAGAAGGAGATTTTCAGGTCGTCGCGCCGGGCTTCAAGGGCTGGGGCGTCGTGCAGAGGCGACGAAGACACGCGCGAGCTGTGCTTGGGTTTAGTGAGGGCTTTGCGGCGGAGGGCGATAGAGCGCGCACTCACATGGCGGCCAACAGACGTAAAAGGACTTTGCCGCCCGTTTCCCGCGTACTAACTCCACGAAAGCATTGGACTATCAAAGTATGTTCGTTTTGGGCCATTAAGGTAGGTAGGGAGTGGCCACATGGTGAGGCGATGGGTGGGGCTCTACCTTTGCCTCCAAGTGATTACTACTGCAGCATATCGATCCATGCGATGGCCATCGACGACACCTTCGAGCTTCCGCTCCGCGCTGGACAGACAGGAGCTCGAATGTGCAAGGCTAGCACTCGTCCCGTCTGTCCGATCCAAGCATACTGGATGCTGTCCCACTTGGTGCATGCAATGCCACGCGGCTCGCACTAGTCGTCCGTCGTGTAGTCCTAGGTCACATCAATTGGAAGCAAGATGCACGAGTGGAAACCGCCCGGCTGTCGTTATCCGCATCATAGTTTCTTTTCGATTGCCCGAGTATCGTCATTCTTCCATCCATGCTACACCTTCTTGAAACGATGCCGACGCGTCGACGAAGGACGCCAGGAAGCTACCTTAGCATCTTCATCGATGACGTTGACCGTCACCAGCATCAACTGAATTGTCCAATCCGCTCGGCCTGAATCTCCTCCAGCAAGGGCAGGACGTTCTTACAGCACTTCGCCTTCGCGTTCGCCTTTCCATGGACCCCCCACACCTGCCCCAGTCGTCCGGCCAGTCGCGGCTCCGTCTCGACATCGCGATCGGGAAAGGTAATAGCTGCGTCCCACGCCATGTTGCCTAGACACGACTGCACGGGCGATGGTCGTAGGTCCCACCACATCCCCTGGAAGCCGAGCGAGTCGATAAGGTAATTCAGGCGCTGTGAAGGTGGCAAGGGAACGTGGTCGTCGGTGCTCAGTGTTGACAGACTTCTTGAAATGTCAGTACTGCCGGAGTGTCCAGCAGCAGCGGTGGGATGGGCGATCTTCTTTCGTTTGGTCGGGGTTGGTGGAAGCTTGCCCTGTTCGCGTAGCCACAACACTGCCTCTTTCGCAGCCATCGTCTTCGCGGCCTTCTTCGACGTGTGCAGCAAGTCGAACCTGTACCCAAACGTTTCGTTTGGCGCATCTGCAATCTTGAGAGTACATGAGAACTTTGGCGGAGCGCCTCCGTATGCCATGTCGTCGTACTCTGGCATTCGGAGCCTCTTTGGCTGGGCGTACTCTGGGACGTCGTCAGCATCTTTCAAGTAGATTTTCTTGGGGAGACCTAACCATTTAAGATTGAAACCCAGTCCTCATCGATCTCAAACTCCGTTGAAGCATCGTTGGCCCCCGACCTCTTACGTTTCGCCTTCTTCCTCACCCCCGCATCAGTAGACAACAACTTCTCAAGCGCAAGTTTGCACACAGCCCCACGAGCCACCTTCTTGCTGGGAAACTGCTCTTCGACCTCCACCTCGAGCTCGCCAAACACCACCTTGGCAGTGAATGCTTGCGAAGCAACTTCGGTCTCTGTGAGTATCGGCGTGATTCCGCGCAGCACGCAGAGGTTGTGGAAGCGGGAGACGCTCTCGGGGTCTCCTTTGGATTGCCGCTGCGTGGTCCCTGCTGTTGGAGGGTGATAGGGATTTTCGCGGATGAAGTCCTCTAGGCTTTGGATGTTGAGTGCGGGAGGGAATGTGGTGGAGATTTGATTGCCGTTTGGGACGTCGTTGCCCCTGGACAGGGCGTGCGAGCCATCCTCTGCGTTCTCCTCGTTGGCCATGGCTGCAGGTTGAGCGAGGTGCAGAGTGTTGTTCAGACGTTCCTGGGGAGGGAGGGAAGAAGTAGATGCTCCCATACGGGCACTGGTGGTTGCCTCGTGGCGCGAGACACGCGTCGGTGACTGTGGCTGTGGCGGCTCCATGAGATTCACACCTGTTGCTGTGGCTTTCTGGTACATGCATATGCAGGCTCCCGTTTGGATGGAGCGATGTTTGCAATCGAAGATGTTGTCGATAAATGGAGTTAGGACGACGTGGAATCGTGGCGGCCAGTAAATAATGTGACACGGGGATGTCTTTTGATGTTAGTGGTATTGTGAAAGCGGTAGAAGGTGGATCAAATACAAGAGTGGCTTGAGATCCGAGAACCGCCAACGGTGAATGTAAATGCTGCGGGGTCTTTTGTGACTGAGGAAGTTTCAAACATTACCTGTGACTCTGTTCTGCCTTCTCAGTCGAAGCATTCACCTTCACTTTGAGCAGCTCACAAGCTTTCACGTGTGCCACAAAGGCAACACTCATAGGTATAGCGCTGTCCATCAACGAATTACATTGGTGGAATGTTCGTATTCGCTGCGCAGTGGCAGTCAGGGACCAATGCGGACAGGTCTAATACAAGAAATACGTCTGAGCCAGGGGTAACGTAGTCGCCGGCTCTGCGGTGCACAACTGCCCATCAGCCTCGACTGTCTACGAAACACATTAGCAAGCCAGCCATCAATCAGTCCTCTCATCCTGCCATCACTCACATAGCGTTCCGGATCCACCTTCATCTTCGGCATGGCATCATTCCACTTCATATCCTTCTTCCCAATCTTCCGACAATTCTTCACAGGCTCCACGCGCTTGCGCAAATCATACTTGGCCACGGTGCCACTGCTGACGCTCAACTCACTCACCCACGCAATGGAGTTGGTGGAGATCATGGCGCCGAACATGGGTCTCATGATGACAGGTTCAACGGTGGGGATCGACGCATTAGCATCGCCCATCTGCGCCCACGCAATGAAGCCTCCCTTGATCACGAGAGACGGCTTCACGCCGAAATTCGCGGGGTCGAAGAGGACGAGATCTGCCAGTTTGCCGATTTCGATGCTCCCGATCAGGTGGCTCATGCCCTGCGCGATGGCGGGGTTGATGGTGTATTTGCTCACGTAGCGTTTGACTCGCGCGTTGTCGGCGTCGGTTCCTTCGTCTTCTTTCAGTGGGCCGCGCTGGACTTTGTTCTTGTGTGCGGTGTTCCACGTGCGGAGGATTACTTCGCCACAGCGGCCCATGGCCTGCGAGTCGGAACTCATCATGGAGATGGCACCGAGGTCGTGCAAGACGTCTTCGGCTGCGATGGTCTCTGCTCGGATTCTGCTCTCGGCAAACGCAACATCTTCGGGAATCTTCTTGCTCAAGTGATGGCAGGTCATCAGCATGTCCAGATGCTCGTCGAGGGTGTTGGCGGTGAATGGCCGGGTCGGATTGGTACTGGACGGCAGAACGTTGGAATGCTCGACGACTGAGATGATGTCGGGTGCATGCCCGCCGCCAGCGCCTTCGGTGTGATAGGTGTGGATCGCACGCCCCTTGATGGCTGCGATGGTCGTCTCGACGAACCCGGATTCGTTCAGGGTGTCTGTATGAATAAGACACTGGACGTCTTGTTCATCGCACACGGTGAGACAGCTGTCGATAGCCGCCGGCGTGGTGCCCCAGTCCTCATGCAGCTTCAGCCCACACACACCTGCTTCAACTTGTTGCGTCAACGGGCGGTGCTCACTATCATTGCCCTTGCCGGTAATGCCGATATTGAGTGGTAAAGTATCGCAGACCTGCAGCATATTCTTGATGTGATCGGCTCCGGGAGTGCATGTCGTTGCGTTCGTGCCTGTGCTAGGGCCCGTGCCACCTCCAAGGAACGTGGTAATACCTGATGCGATGGCATCGTAGGCTTGCTGCGGACAGATGAAGTGGATGTGGCTGTCGAAGCCTCCAGCCGTTATAATCTTGTTCTCGCCGGCCACCACATCTGTGCACGACCCCACCACCATCTTGGGGTCCACATTGGCCATGACATCCGGGTTACCTGCCTTCCCTATACCGACAATGATGCCGTTCTTGATGCCGATATCAGCTTTGTACACACCCGTCCAGTCCAAGATAAGGGCATTGGTGATGACAGTGTCAAGGCAGTCGCTATCTGGCCAACCAACGGCCTGACCCATTCCATCGCGAATGGTCTTGCCGCCTCCAAACGTGCATTCGTCGCCATAGCTCGTGAGATCTTTCTCGACCTTAATCCAAAGATCCGTAGCTCCAAGACGAATCCTGTCGCCGACCGTCGGGCCAAACATGTGGATGTAAGACTCACGGTCGATAGAGAAGGGATCGAGATGGCGATCAGGCGTGGGCTCAGGCTTGTGCAGGAACCCGCCCTCGTGAAGCCGCTGTACAAAGCCCTCTGCAAGCTGTTCGTCGTGGATAGACCCTGCTGCTATACCGTTTCCGCCCTTGATGACCTGGTTGCCGCCAATCTGGACAAGCTGCACGGTCCGGCTATCTCCAGGCTCAAAACGAACACTAGTGCCAGCAGGGATGTCGAGTTTGAAGCCGTGAGCTCTGACTCTGTCGAATTCCAGCCTGGGATTGACTTCGATGAAATGGTAGTGACTGCCGACTTGGATTGGACGATCTCCTTTGCTAGTAACCTTGAGCTGGATACGCTTTCTACCCTCGTTCAGGACGACTCGCCCCGCCGCGCCTTTAACCGCGATAACTGCACCTGGCATTTGTCTGTCTTCGTACGCGGCCATTTTGCCGACTGGTGGCCAGGGGAATTTGCTTTTGGCCGGGACGGGCAAGAAGGAGCCATACAGGGCCAGTTCGAGATCGCCGTCATCGCTGGCAATGGGATTGTGTACAGTGACGAGGTACGTGCCATTGCGGAAGGTCCCTTCGACCATGAGCTCATGCAGGGTGTGGGGGACAGATGGCAAGACATGTCGGCGGCCGAGCAGCGTGGCGCCGAGGGCCATGAGATCGGCGACGGAATGGTTGCCATCGCGGATCAGCTCTTGGAGGACGTTGGCTATCAGGGCCAATGCCTCCGGATGGTTCAGCTTGACGCCTCGAGCGAGCCGTCTCTGGGCGAGAAGGCCCGCTTGCGAGATGAGCAGCTTATCAACCTGCCATCGGCGGAGAGGTGAGTTGGTCGACGGCCGTCGTCAGAAGCAGCGGGTGACTTACCTCTCGGGGAGACAAATTCATCTTGGCTGGCTCAAGAGGTGTACGTGGCACAGACCGACATAGGCACCTCGTTGAGATTGCCTGCGTGGAGGGATGGAGGCGGTGGAGGTGGGATCGAGGGACATTGCTGCATGCCCGTAGAGACAAAGGCGGGGTGGGGTGATAAGGTAAGGCTACGGGCATGATAAGGAACGGCAGAGCAAAGGATTGGGTAAAGCTGTTTCCTAATCGGGAAGCTTCCCGTCGTACGGCCATGTGTGCATGACTTTGAGAATGCCGGTCTGTTGGAAGTATACCACTCGTGTGAGTTACATTAATTACGCAAAGAAACCCTCCAGTATTACCCATGCCTAACCTCGCTTCACGCGACAGTGCCACTCTGAAACCGATCCCTTTGCGATGAACTCGTTGGCAATGGCGAAGTGATCTTTAGGCATCATTCACCCTCATCCACCTGTTCAAATCGATGGAAACGACACAACATTGGAGAGCAGCCTAGGCCTCGACACCCTTCTTCTTGGTCTTCTTCTCCTTTTTCTTCTTCGCGCTGGCGTCGGTATCGGCTGCAGCTGCCACGGGCGTCGCCGCAACAGGCACAGGAGAAGCGGCCACTGCCTCAGCACCCGATTTGCGACCGCGCTTCTTAGTACTTCCTTCTGCATCAGCGCCGGCTTTGCGCTTGCGTTCCGGAGAGCTGGACGCTGGAACAGCAGCGGGAACGACGCCGGAGAGATTAGTGCTGGTGAAGCCAGGGGCAGCGACGGCGGGAATTGGCGCAGCGCTCTTCTTCGCGGCGGCCTTCTTGGCGGGTTTGGCGGCGGGCGGCGGGGGCTGGGGTGCGACAAGCTGCTCATCCTCGTCCACAAGTGATTCAAACTCTGCACCGTCATCGCTTGCTAGCTCTGCGCCGGGATCAGCAGCTGCGAGGACATCGGCAGGGTCAATTGTGTTGGGATCGATTCCGGCCAGGGCTTTGAAGCGCTGCATGTCCCTCTCGTACTCCTTGAGGGCGACGCGATACGCGGCGTGGTACGGCTCCCTGTCTGGAGTTTGCATCTGGTTCCAGCGCTCAGTGGCCACTCGGGAGATATCGCCAGGCTTGCCCGTTGCGTTGAACGCCGTAGGATTCTCCTGGATCTCCCTAGCGATGGTGGGGCGCTGTTCTCCAAGATAACGGAAGTATGCAGTCAAGGGCCGCTTGGGAGCATTGGGGTCGCGCGGCTTGTAGGCTCGCTTGCTGCGCTTTTTCTTGCCTGGGACCTCGGGTTCTGTTGCTGCGGGAGGCACGGCCAGGTCGGCGGAGTTGGAGAGCATGGGCGGGGCGACGACGGCATTGTTGGGATGCAGCGCCTGCTGTGCCACTTGCATGTGGTTGGCGAAGTTGTTGAAGGGCAGCAGCAAGTGGCTGACGTCGAGAGAGGCGTCGCCATTCAGCACGATTTGGGTGTGCTCGAGGTAGGCCTTGGAAGCGCGGTCAATGGCGCCCGACAGGCCCAGGTAGGCGGAGGTGAGCTATTCGCGTCGGGCATTAGCAAGTTGTCAGCTGTCATGGCCGCGAGCCGGGTCGTGGAGTGACAAGCGCGCGAGGTGGAGCAAGGCCGCTTGGGTGCTCAGCCTGACGCACGCGCCTCACGGCGAAGTGGCGGAGGTGGAGGTGGGTGGGAGGGAATAACAACATACAGCATCACGCGTGCGGATGAACTCGCCGACATCGATGTTCACCGTCTTGAAGGGCGGCGCGTCCGCCATGTATGCCGGAGCACCGTACGTCATGCTTGGACCGGCCATGGTTGGTGGAGGGGATGGTGGAATGGGCCGCGTTGGAATGCGCGGGTTGGGCCAGTTGGGAATTGATGAAGAAGGTGGAGGGAGAGTTTGCGACAGCGAGGAAATTGGAACGACCTTAACGCGCACTTTGCTGGGGGGCGCGTGAAACCCCCAACAACATCTCGCCTATTTACCTAAATTCGGAGGCTGGGTTTAGAGTTTGCCCTCGCGGCGCTTTCCGCCCAGCAGCTTCCGTATCACAAATGCGCGCGCCCAAACCTAATTCAGGTAAATCGAATGGGCTTGTCAATTGATGATACCCAGTAGAACCGATCGATCACAGCTACTTGGCGGAGATCAAAGGGAATCAAGCCCTTTGCAGTCAAGATGATGCAGCTGTGGAATAGTACTAGAATACCGTCTTCCCGCAATCTTCACGCGCGGCCAATACACTCCAAGTAACTCCATAATGTGGCAGCCTCGTCTTCATCCTTGCTGGTCTTGCTCCGTCCTCCCCTCGCGCATGGCACATCAACCGAAGCTGAAGAGTTGCGTTGAAGCCAGTACATTCGTCTTTCACGTCCCATGAATCTCAACAGACGGTGTGGAGACTGCAATCGAGAATAGAACTGTCCTTCGAAGCCGAATCACTACCTGCAATTCAACGATAGAATAAGCATCGTACAGAACAATGCAGAATGCCAACCGCTTCCCAGCAATGCATAAACGCCTCTGGTATCATGCTCTCCTGTTACCTCTAATCGACCGCTTCCACTCCCGGAAATCCGACCCATCGTCCCATCCAAGCTACACGTACTGGCCTTGGGGCGGTTTATATCCCTGCTGCGGCGGCGGCGCGTTCCACCCTTGCGGTGGACCTTGTCCTTGATGGTTCTGTTCCAGTGGTATGTTCTGCGGCCCTCCTCCTCCGGCTCCTCCCGCGTCTATCTGCTGCTGTACATCCGGCCGGTACTTGATGTCTTGCGAGAATCGGCATATGTGACAGCTCACGGCGTGCCACGGTTTGAGGCTAAAGGGAATCAGAGGGATGAAGCAGAACGTAAACCACTCCCCTGCGTGTTGTATGTCAGTGGACTGTGTTCTGGTGGATGGGGGCGAGCGGGGAGCATATGGTACACTTCTTGATGACCTTGCCCGACCAATTTCCGCAATTCTGACATCTTTGCGCTTCGCGTCAGCAATCCGAGGAAGATAACAGGCAGGTAAGATTCGACTCACTGGGCCGTGATGTGTTCGGCGCCTTTGAGGAGGGATTGGAAGGCTGGAGCCATCATGGTCAGTCTCGGCGCGTCGCAACCATGTGAAAATCGTCCCGACTTACTATGCGTTCCACACGTGAAGATGAACGCCATTTGGTTGTCACAATGCCCTGAAGGCTGGATGAGCGTGCGGTAGGTAAGCGCTGAGGATGTAGGTCGATGCGCCGCTATGCGGAAGAAGCACTTGTGTCGTGATGATAGTTTGGAGTTGTATCTCGAATGCGCGGCGTGACGAATCAGTTGACGTAGGTGGGCGATGATTGGTACGGAACGCGGGCCGAAGCGCCGACTGCCGACAAGTCGGCAGTGAAGATCACGTGGGCCATCTCTGTCGGCAGGACATGAGCACATCAACGCGAGCGAAGAGGGTCGGCGCAATGTTTTACACAGAATACAATTGGGAAACTGAACTGTCCTTGATTAACGCTCCTTCCGCGCTCTGTGGCTACTATCTATCCAGCGGCCTTCCCGGCGCATGCCTTGCGACTTCGAACCGAGTGGCCAGTGTGAACGACTTTGCCAAATGATCACTGCGTCTTGAAGAGGAGGATGGCCACGTGCTCCAGGTAAAAGTAGATGAAGTGTTTGGTCTCTGGAACGGGACAATTGGTTAGCAGGTGGCTAGGCTGAGACATAGAGGATCGCATACCGTGCGTGACGAAGCTGCCAAAGTTCCTGCCTACAATGCAGTGCCATGTTGCGCCTTTGCGCTCGTCAAACTAGAGAGGCGTGAGCAAAAAGACTGCAAAGAGCGGAAGGAAGGAGTGGCCACATACCGTGCGCTTGATGTGGTGCGCAATGTCCTGGAGGGGGATTGGCAAGGGTTTGTCAAACGGATACTCGGATGCGTGACGTACTTTCTCGATGTTGAACTTCTCCATGGCTTCCTGTGCTAGAGGTAAGAGTCAGTATAAGGGCGGCATTCACGCATTTGCGGTGTACGTGGCTAGCGACATACCAACTTCAATCGCTTCCTGCTGCATGTCCTCGCTCTGCAGACGGTACGTTCAGCTTCCCGCTCGAGTGCGCTAAGAGGGTTTGGATGAGACTATACCATGTCCACCGACTTGACCTGCGCTACAGGAGTGTCAGTAAGGTACAGGGCGTACAATTGATTCAGCTGCTTACCCTCGCGCTTCTTCACCTCGTCACCTTCTTGCTTCTCCGCCATCTTGAAACGGGGCTGAATGGGCTGAATAGAAAGAGTGAGCAGTTGTACTAGTTGAAATCCTCCAAAGCCGAGCAGCGAGGTGTCGTGAGGAGGGGTTGTGGTTGAATGCGACAGCAAAGTAGTCAACGTGCAGTCGCGTGGCAGGAAGTCGTTCTCACGCTGCCAAGACTGGTCTCGCCCCACCTTCCTCCAGATTTTCGGTAGCGAAACTCTAAAGTTCGTGAAGCCGAAAAGCGGTTCAGAAAAGTTCCCGCAGCTACAATTCTCGACTGCCTCGCATGATCCTGGCCGACCCATCCTCACATCATGGCCAGCTCAAGGATCTTCGTCAAGGGCTTACCGCCGACTCTCGCCGAAGCGGACTTCAAAAGCCATTTCTCGGCCACAGGCGAAGTCAAAGATGCGAAGATCTACCCCAACCGTCGCATCGGGTTTGTGGGCTATGAGACAGCAGAAGATGCGGCGAAGGCGGTCAAGTACTTCAACAAAACCTTCATTCGCATGTCGAGGCTGCACGTCGAGGTTGCCAGGACACCGCGCGAGTCAAAGGCGCTCGAGGTCCAGCACAACCCCAATCATGAAGACTTACGCCCTACATCAACGAAGAGAAAGTGGGATGGCGAGCAGGGCGAGAAGCAAGAGCGGGATCCACAGCTACAAGAATATCTTGACACTGTCCGACCCAAGGCGAGGAAGTTGGGCTGGCAAGATGACGCTTCTGTGAATGCCGAAATACAATCTACTGGAGCTTTGAATGCGGCAACCGGGGGTCAGAGTGATGAGGAGTATGAGGATCTCACAAAATCTTCCGAGTCCAAAAAGCAAGTGCCCGATGAGCAGCCGATCCCTGCAGAAGACAACACTCCCGAAGCAGGCGAGGAGGCCGCACCAATTGCCACCGATACTGCGGTGTCAGACCAGGATTGGGCACGCTCCAGAACGAGCCGTCTACTCGGGTTGCTAGATGATGACGAGGCGGATCCCAGAGCACTTGCTAAAGACGACGAAGCCAGTGATGGGGAGTCTGAGAAAGGCGCCGCAAAGAAACATGCCGAGCCGGCACCACAAAACGCTATGCCAACACCACCGTCCGATGCCGAGGAGAACGAAACCGCTGAAGTTGCCGTCGATGATACATTAACGGGTGTCAGGGCTAGCATGCGACTCTTTGTGCGCAACCTGCCGTACGATGTGAAAGAGGCTGATCTGGAGACGGAATTCGAGCCTTTTGGCAACCTGGAGGAGGTGAGTTGTCATTCGCTTTTTCCTTGTCTACCAACCCCCACACGCTATTGTGATGATTCGATAGGGACAGCTGATGCTTCGGCATCTGATGTGAACCCACCTTGAGAGTATTTTAGTAGATGCTTCTCACTTCTGATCACGCATCCAAATACGCACTCTTGTCGCCGCGCGTAATGCCCTGCACTTTGCTAATCATTACTATCAGGTCCACATCGCCGTTGACAAGAAGACTGGAGCTGCGAAGGGATTTGCATTTATCCAATTCTCTGACCCCGACTCAGCCGAAACTGCGTTGCGCGAGAAAGATGGAACAACCTTTTCGGGCCGTTTGATACACGTACTGCCGGGGAAAGCAAAGCAAGACAACAAACTCGACGAGTTCGCCCTCGCAAAACTCCCACTAAAGCAGCAGCAGCTGATCAAGAAGAAACGAGAGACTTCGTCGAAAATGTTCAACTGGAACGCACTCTACATGAATACCGATGCTGTGTTGTCGAGCGTCGCAGATCGTCTTGGATTGCCAAAGTCAGAAATTCTCGATCCCACCAGCAGTGATGCAGCTGTGAAACAGGCCCACGCGGAGACCCACGTCATTCAAGAGACGAAGGCGTACTTCAAACAACATGGTGTTGATCTGGACGCGTTCAAGAAGAAGCAACGAGGAGATACTGCCATCCTGGTGAAAAACATTCCATATGATTGCAGCCAGGATGAATTAAGGCGGCGATTTGAAGAGCACGGCGAGCTGACGAAATTCCTCTTACCTCCGAGCAAGACGACTGCGATTGTCGAGTTTGCCAACGCAGCCCAGTGCAAGGCTGCTTTTGACGCACTCGCTTACCGCCGAATCAAGAGCTCCATGCTCTTCCTTGAGAAGGCGCCAAAAGGATTATTCGACGGGCAAATGGCCAATTCGAATGATGAAGTTCCCGCCAATCCAGCGAAGCCGTCCGCATCCGATCTCAAGTATTCAGAGCACGTTGCGGATGGAACTGGCCGATCTACATTGTACGTCCGCAATCTCAACTTCAAGACTTCGACGGCGGAATTCGCGGAAGCCTTCAAATACCTCGACGGCTTTTCGACTGCGGTGGTGAAGACAAAGGCGGATCCAAAGAATCCCAACGCAGCCTTGAGCATGGGCTTTGGTTTCGTAGAGTTCAAGTCTACTCAGGACGCGCAGAAAGCACTCCAAATGATGGACGGTCACGAACTAGACGGCCACAAACTGCAGATCCGCGCCAGCCACAGAGGAGCAGATGCCGCAGAGCAGCGAAGAATCGCGGATGCCGAAAAGCGGGCAGCTGGGAAGCACACCAAGATCATCATCAAGAACCTACCATTCGAGGCTACAAAGAAGGATGTCCGCGCGCTGTTCTCGGCCTACGGCCAGTTGCGCAGCGTTCGAGTTCCCAAAAAGATGGACAGGGCGGCCCGTGGATTTGCCTTTGCCGATTTCGTCACCCCGAAAGAGGCCGAGAATGCCATGGAGGCTCTACGACACACCCATCTGCTCGGCCGTAGACTCGTCCTGGACTTTGCTGCGGAAGACGCAGAGGATGCGGAAGCGGAGATTGAGAAGATGCAACGCAAGGTCGGAGCACAGGTCAACAAAGTCGCTCTGCAGAAGCTCACCAGTGGTGGGAGAAAGAAATTCAGCACGCAGAATGATGAGGAAGATAATGATGACTGAAAGGAATAAATGCACCTGTCAGAAATCCAACGGAAATTCGCGGTCGACTCCTTGCTTAAACGCCGCGAAGCCGCCACCCCAATCTGCAAACCACCACTCGAACTTTTTCTGTGTGCAGTCAGAACATCTGCAAGTCTGCCTCTTACACGATAATCACTACCTACAATGGCCCCCGCATTCTTGCAAACACACCACATTCCAACGCCATCGAGATTGTCTACCAGGGAGATTACGACGATGCCAAGGCGATGGGCATCCCTTTGCGCATTTGCACGATCACTGGAGCCATTCCCCGGGCCCGACGTCACCCGGGCCTGCCCTTGCACTGGGTTTGATGAGGGTCTGGAGCTCCTGTAGCTGGATTCCCTTTCCGGGTGCATTGCCACATTCAATCGGTCGTCTAGGCAGCACACCTCTTTGCCAGCCTTACCCACGCAGGGCCGAAATTGCGGACTCCCTGGATGGGGCACTGGGAGTACAAAGTTTAGATCTCGTAGGTCCGTACATGTGGTGTGCATCAACTTCTCACGATCGTGTCGAGGGATATCTCGAAAGCCTTACAACGGTCTCATATCATCTTCTGAGTCCCGTCCTCTGTTTCCTGTCTTTCCCACGGCATATATCCATCTATTCTTATCCTCTTCGACATTCATCCTTGAGCATTCTTCGCCCGCGTGCCTGAAGGAAGCGTGGTATGTTGACAATGATTCAACCTCTACGCGTCTTGCCATCCAACGCTCCTCCTCTGCGGGAGGAGGCCCACATCTATCAGACATCCAGGGTGCTCCAAAAACAATCCGGCAATCGACAGCTAGGCGACTATACCTATGGCGAGGAGATCAAGGTCAAGAACCATTTGGCCATCTTCGACGAGAACCAAGCCTCAGCAGCTCATCACCAAGCACTGCACACGCTGCCACTGTATCATCCGCAGCCTCAACATCGCCAAGTCTGGAGATATGGCCATGCACAGCCTGCGTACCAATATGCTTATCCTCATCCGGAGGAGGAAGAGAGGATCCGCATCGAAGCGGAGCGGCTGTACGACCGCCTGCTCAAAACGGATGCGTTTGTCAATTATCGCAACCGTCAAGCCAAGTCTGCCAAGGGGACTGAGGAGAAGAAGTGGCCCGATCATCTCGAAAGGGCTTTCGTTCGAGGTTCGTTCGTTGGTGACCTGTGTCACGTTGAGCGCGAGTTGACATCGTCTTACAGCACTGGTGCAATACCCTCCCATGGGACGCAGACAGCAATTACTCAGAGGCAAGCAACGCGGTAGGAACGAGCTCATCGCCGACTGCATTGAGCAGTGGACGGGGGAGGTTCGAGGGCGAAAGCAAGTCTCTAGCCACATTCAAGTGCTCAAGCCGTTTGTCGAGAGCGATCCTTACATCATGAAATGGCTGGCCAAAGGCGGCGGGGCGGCTAGGCAGAATGGTCGTGCCTCACCCTACAACAGTGCACGGCGCATGTCGAACTACCCGGTCGCGAGCCTGCCTCAGCAAGGCTCCTCAAACGGATTGCCGGGAGGGCCACGAGAAGACATCCGAAGCCTGCGAAAAGTCAAGAGGCAACTCTCTGTCTTCCAGCCCACGGACTTCCAGATGTTCGTTCAGCAACACGTTGACGGTGATGAAGGACAAGATGTGGAACGACTGCACACGTACACGACCTGCAGCCACCCTCCGTTCGGGCCGGAGCTGCATCCAGCGGACATGCAAACATTTACACACGACTTTCCTTTGCTGGCTAGTATGCACGCCCACCGCCCCCTCGACTGCAACGTGATCTCGGCCGAGGCCTCCCTTGCATTTCCGCTGGACAATTGGAAGCAGATGGACGGGAGCCCACTTCGCGGCGTAGAACTCGGCATCTACTTCCTGTGCGTCAGCAATCATCTGCCGCCCACGGCCACGATACCCCTCTCAGGTAGCCAGCGAACAGACCAGATCCGCGTGCACAACGCGTTCTACGAAAACGGCGTCTGCGTCAAAGAGCACAGTGGACCGAGTGAAGCGCGCCTCGAGCTCTCGGAGCGAGGGGACTGCGTGGAGACTCGCATCAAATTTGGAAGCACATTCTGGGCCAAAACGCTCGGCCGTCTGGCTGGGAGACTGCAGGAGGAGGGCAAAGACAACAGTGGCGAAGTAGCCGCGTACCTCGGGAGCATCAACGCCGTCCAAGAGGTCGTGGCTTGGTCTGAGCACGGCCCTGAGCGCTTGCTGGTGATTCACTGGACCTTCCGGCACTCGAGTTCCACGTGCGGCCAAACGAGGTGGCGGCAGGTGTTTGTGCCCACGGAGGAGCAAGCAGCATCTACCGCGCAAGACATGCTGCCGATGAAACGAAACGACTCAATGTGCGGGTACACCACTGGCGGCGGCGTCTCCGAGGAGGAGGAGGAGTCAGAGACGCAGCAACTACACGACATCGCCAGCCAGCCCGTCTTGCAGTCGCCGTTCGAATACGAAAGTCAGGCCTCTGCGCTCTCCTCCGCCACATGGCCCACCACCTCCTTCGCCGAAGCGAACATGATGCCCGGCTCCACGCAGCAATCAAACGACAACGAGTTCGACTTCGAAGCCGGAAACCTGCACCTGACCATCGACCACAGCGAAAACTACCACAGCTTCGACAGCTCGGCGTTCACCTTCGACTCCACCACGGCGGGCATGCCGGCCGACTTCGCCGCGGATCCCGTCATGGCAGGGTACGAGGACTCGTGGTACCACGCCGCTTACCCGGATGCCTTTGACACGCAACAAGTCATGGCTGGCACCGAGGCGTTCGCTACTGAGGCCACGGGGCTTGGGCTGCACGCTGACGCGACGATGTACGACGATTACTCGGGGCAGTATGAGCAGCCGCGGGCGTTTATGCTTGCGCATCACGCTCAGGCGTTTGAGGATGCGGGGGGTGGGGGACAAGAGATGGGTGAGGAGGGAGGAGATGGGCTTGCGGCTTTGGCTGATGCTTCCTCGCATATGATGCATGCTTCGTCCGAGCATTTGTAGTAATGAGTAGCTAGAATATCGCCGTCCTTTCCCTCTTTCCTGGTCGCAGGTCTCACAGACTTGCCAAATGATGCCTCGAGTCCACTGCTCGACGTAATCCTCCGTCGTATTAACTTGAGTGAACATAGCAGGTGCAGTACATGTCGAATGCGCCATGAACGGCGCAAATTAACGATAGACCTTACATGTCGCTTTCAATGATAGCACTGTTTCGCTTCCAACTCGCCCCAAACGCCGCGTCGTGTCAGATCAAAGTCGCTTTCCCGGTACAAAGATGAACAAGCAGCACAAGGCCACATCAATGATGGTGATCCACATCAAGCACATTAGGGAGCGTTTGTTTAGTAGTTTCCTGCGATTCGTATTAGTGTGGAGTTAGAGAGGCAGTGACATGGACAGGGTACGTACCGTACGAAAGACTCCGTGATGCGAGCAAAGCTCATGAACGTGTACTCGCTGTAGCCCGCGAGGGCTAAGAGAGGATCCAGCATGTATTGATGGCTGGCCAGGGAGTAGACACCGATGGTGAAGGGGAGGATCAGCCCGCACCGCGACGCTCTGCTCATGTTCAGGAAGATCAGCACAAAGGCCGTCCAGAAGGCGGCGAAGAGAGCCACGAGGCCGATGATCAGGCGTAGCATCATCGACGGCGGCACAATGTTGCCGAGTGCTTTGGCGCGTAGGAAGCCGGGGAAGGCATCACGCTCCATGGCCTGGAAGACGTAGTCCTTAGCGGCGTCAAAGACCTCTGGGTCGTCGCGACCTTCCCGCTCGATGCTGTTGGTAATTTCGTTGAGGATGCCTTGCGGGAGGATAATCTCTCGCTCAGCGCCTGGTAGTAAAAAGGTGTAGAGAATCTTTTCGGCTGACGAGCGAATGTCTGCTCGGGCTACAGTAGTTTGCGGGCTGGCTTCGCTCGTCATGTTCGCCGGCGAACTGGAATGTCCCGTGCCGCCAGTCATGAAACTGGGCCTGGGAGGTTGCTCGGTGGGTGTGCGGGTGGGCGGCGTGCGGTCGTAGGGATTGGAGCCACTCCGCTGGCTCGCGTTGCTGTCTTGTGTAGAGTATTTGCTTTCCGTCGGCGCGCCAGCTGCTCCGTTTTCATTGCGCAAGAATGCGGACAGCCGCTGGTCATTGCTCTGTCGCTTGGTGTTGTTCGTTCCGCTCGGCCCTTGCTCGGATGAGTGCCGCTCGAACTGGTCGAGGATCTGGGAGGAGCGCTTGGAGCCTGCGCCCTTTTCCAAGTCGGGGGTGGAGATGAGGACGGAGCGACGCAGTTCGCGGACGTAATGCCGGCAGAGAGACATGTGCTGGGAGACATCGAGCCTGGACACGTCCATCGTTAGTACTCCACCAGTGCGTGCCGTGCGGGCGCAATGGTACTCACCAGAAGTCGAGGTAGTCAACACTACGCTGCACATCTCGCATGTAGATGTAGAAGGAGAATAGATCGACGGGGGCGAGGGTTTGTCGCGAGAGCACTTCGAACAGGTTGGGGAGCCGGTCGCGAGGGCCAGGCTCGGGGGTGGGCGTGCGCGAGTCCATGGCCGCTCAAATCTGCCGCTCGATGGCGGGACGGCGGTGAGAGGGCGGTGGCAGTGGTGAAGGAGGCGGCGACGGTGGTGGATATGGCGGTGGAGTGAATGTGAAGTAGTGATCGTTCTCCTGGCGCCGTTGCGAAGCTGTGTCTTTGCCTCCACTCTGCCCAAACATGAATTGGCCAATCAGAAGCGAGGATTTTGGCCGAGCGGCTAGGGCAATCTTAATCCAAACTCTATTCGACGAATTCACGTTCATCATTCCATATGCCTGTCCTACGTCGTCCGCTCGGGCACAGGTCTGTCTCACCGGCGGTGTATCGTGTGCCAAGTCGTGTGGTCGCATACGTCTCTCCTCCCGAAAGCGATGTAGTCAAAGACGACGGGTAAGTTTAAAGTCGTTACCTGGCGTATTGCTTCTTGCCCGCCATAGCTACACCAAACACCAGACACCCATGCTTTCTGATACCACTCATCCCAGCAGTCAAGCTATCGACGGCCCAAACGCCAACCATTGATCCATGCTGTCTCACTCTATGATGCGCTGCATCTCTTCACAGATTGCGGTTGCTGTCCACTGCTCGCACAATGCCATATGCCACCGCAGCAGCAACGCTTCCGACTATCAACATCTGAATCGCGCCTACATCGCCAAAACCATCATCGGTCAGCCAATGCCTTCCTGCAAGTGAGCGCAAAGGGAATGGAGAGGGACTGTACCTGCGAATGCTGCCTTCCAACTCGTGCCGATCAACCTGGCCTTTGTGAACCCAAACAGCAACAGCACCATCCCGGTGACCGCAATCGAAGTGAATAGGCCGTGCAGCGTGTTGTGAGGAAAGGCAAAGTAGGGGACCAAGGGAAACAGGCCGCCGATGAAGTACGACACGCCCATTACCAAGCCCTCCACACACGCCGTCTTGATGGCCGGCTTCTCCAGCTTCAGCTCAAAGTCCATCATGAACCGCACCCACTGGTCCTCGTTGGCCTTCAGCGCCGTCACCACGCTCCTCGCCGCCTGCCGATCCACCCCGTACTCCGCAAACAGGTCGAAGATCTCCTCCTCTTCCTCGGTCGGCTTCTCGCGCACCTCGCGCCACTCGCGTGCCTCTTCCAGCTCGTAGTGTTGCTTCTCCGTCACCGCCGCCAGCCACGCGCCGAGGCCCATGCTGATGGAGCCGGCGAACAGCTCGGCCAGGCCGCCGAGGACGACGAGTTTCGACTGCCCGAGCGAGGACAGGCCGGCGGTGAGGGCGAAGGGGACGGTGATGCCATCTGCGAAGCCGATGATGCAGTCTCGCATCAGGTACCCGTAGCCCTTGTGCTTTTCGACGTGTTTGGCACGGGACAAGGTGGACTCCTCGTCTGTGTTGGACCTCTGCGGAGAGAAGGTGGCGTCCATCTTTATCTCGGCCATGGGGTGTAGTGAAGAAGGCGGTGGTTGTAGGCGATCAGATGAAATTCCTCTCAGGTCGAATAGGTGACGGCGAACGGTGTGCAGGCCCGGATGGAATTGTTGAGCGCAGTGAATGTAGTGAGTGTTTGTACAAAGTCGATGACCGCGACTCCCGACGGGAAGCAGCATCTATCCTGGTTTCATTGCATGCGCGGCTGGTTACAATCAAGCGATCAGATAGGCATCCGACGAATGACAGCAAGGGTATTTCTAATGCAACTTTCGATCAGATTATCGTGACATATCAGATGTGGCTTTTGCGGAAGGAGTAACATACATTTGATGATGCAATTTAATAAATGCGAGTGTGTCGCGGTGGAATGTGCAATCTCGTCGCCGAGCGCGCCGCGTCGAGCGCGCTACTCGGCGTCGAGCGTGAGATTTTTGAAGAGCACTTCAATGCCACTTTGCAAATCATCCTGCGACTCTGGCGTGGGTTTGGCAGCGTAGATGCCCACCCACATCTCTGCCTCGACGTCCCTGCCCTCTAAGAATGCCCATTTGATCTCCCTCAACGGCCGCCGCTCCGCACCGAGCACCAAATACACCCAAAGCGTCTGCTCCACTCTCACTGCTTCAATGGTGGCATCGACGGCATTCGCCTCTGGCATGGGACACAAGCTCCAATCGGAGAAGCGATCGCATCCGACGACGCTCAGAGCGGGCTTGCCCTCGAAGTACTCGATGCCAGTCTTGACCCATTGGCTCTGATTCCGCGGCGATCTCGGCCAGCAGATGATGAGACCGCCTTGGTCGTATTTCGTTTTCCAGTGCGCCGAGATGTTCACCGAGATTCGCCGGAATGCCGACGACTTGAGCGAGGCGTAGATGAAGGGAGCGTTGAAGTCGTCTTGGGTGGGGGACGGGCGCCAGATGTCGGTCTTGGGGGGAGTGTGGATTGTCATGTGGGAGGAGAGGGTCGTTTTCGAGCGTGCTCCCTTTGAGTCGACCGAGATCCATTCGCGTTCGGCCATGTCTATTGCCTGGCCGCGGCCTGCTCTCAGGCTGAGTGGTCTGTATGCGGATGCTCTAGCTTCCACGCCGAGAGGACTTCCTGCAGATCGCTCGTATCAAGTCACGGGGCTCGTATCGGATGCGGCTGTGCTGTTTCTGGTTTTGCCTCGAAATGGAAAGTGAAGAGGGAATTCTTCTGCTCGTGTCGGGCTGATTTCCGCCCACTGTCCGATGATTGGCCGCTGCATTCAGCCGTGTACTGTACAATATGTTCGCCATCGGGCTGCAGACGCATGACATGCATGCCGTAACCTTTGCCACGGTGTCCGGTAATGGCCGGAGACGGGATGACAGGGGCAAGAACAAGATCCATATTACAAAATCGAGTCGTTTCCCGGCCTCGTGAACGCGCAGCATTCGCCCCTTCCCGCGCATGATTGGCCGCTGCCTTGTCTGCCATGGGCTCCACCCAAGCTACGCCAAGGACAGCTTGATTGGGCGATGTTGTTTCTGGCATTCCTCGCCGACCTCACCTGCCTCTATATCAGACCCCGACGCGCAGCATTCATTCGTGGCCCGGCGCAAACTTACTTCCGCACCGCTTCGTTCGCGACCAAGGTGGGTGTGGGTGGGTGTGTCCATCACTGCAACGTCCTCGTAGTGAGACCCCATCAGATCTGACTAGAAGTGCTACCCATCGCCACCCGTTTTCCAGTAGCCAGGCAGGAGTTGGAGGAGACTCCTTCCCTCCCCTCTTTCTTCCGCTCTTCCGCCCAGACATGTCCTCGTCATCTCACGGCCCACTTCTCTTGCCACACCTCCTTCAAAACTCCCCGTCTGCGCTTTCTCTCCGTCTTCGTATGTGACCGCCAGCATGGATCGAAGTTGTTGGCAACGAGCACGCGGTCTGCAGGCCATCGTCGAGTCTGGTCCTGGTAATGTTCTTGCTCAACAAAGAACATTCGCGCGCACGTCTCGTCGGAGAACAATAAAACTCGGATCCGCCGCATGTCCGGGATGCCCTGGTAAGATCTTTCTCGACACAGCCTTTGGCGCGCTCTGAAAGTATTGGAGCAATCGAGAACGCGAGCTCACGAGTAGATAGCTTGCGCATAGATCGACTAGCGGACCGGGATCTCTGGAAGTCTGGCAACGTGACGAAGGCTCTCCTGCCAGTGCTCGACGGCTGAGAGCCTTCATTCCCGGTCGCGGTGCACCTCGAGCCGATTGCGTTCTGGGTTGATGAAACAACACTGGACGTCTTTCATCGAAATTCGCTGTCACTCGTTATGCAATGACGACACTTCATCTCCCAAACACCGACATGGCGTCGCGCGAGGGACATAATGACTGGCCGCTGCCCGCCCCACCGCACAAGGCTACGCATCGGTCGCCCAACGTCACTACATATGAACTGCCATCTCCAACCACACAGGCCTCCCTCTATCACCCTTTGACTCCCCCAGTCACGCCATTCTTCACATTCGATCAACTTCGATCACTTCAACCGTTGCCATCGTTTTCCGCCCTCCCAGGACGCGACCACAAGAACGTCCGCCGAAAGAAATCGTACCCTGACCTTGCTCGACCGTCGTTTGCATCGCCACAACTTTCGACACCGAGTACGTCATCGGCATACTCACTTCCTCCCGCTTCTTCGCAAACTTTTCACCCGACGCGTCTTCCACCACTTCCACTTACGCCCGCGCATCGCCCCCGCACCAAGCTTCCTTCCCTTTCTTCAACCATCGACACGCTGCCCTCTACAGCAACGAACGCGTGTTTCCACCGCACTCCGTCGACCCTTCTTGCAGGCAACGCGTTCGCAAACCTTACGCCGTGTGAGCTCGTTCGGTGCAAACGTAAGTTCCCCCTCTTCAAGCAAGCAAAACGCCTGCCCCATCACACGGAGAGGGAAGGAGGAGTGGTTTGGGAGGTACATGCGGCGATTGTGGACCTGGGTGGCCCAACGTCTACCCCTGGTGATTCCCACACCGCGCAGCGGAGAGACGTCGAAGTCCCTTTGAGCGGACAAGGAGCTCAACCAAGACGCGACCTTCGAACGCGAAGCTCACCAGCTCCCAAGTCTAGCGGACAAAGGAAGCGCTCGGTCAGGTTCGAAGGAAATCCCAACTCTCAAGATACTGCCCAGTCGTGGAACCCATCACAGCAGCGCGGTCGAGAAGATCGCGATTCATCATTTACTTCCAGCTTTTCACTTACGAAGTTCGCATTTCCGGAGCCTCCAGTCTACACTTGGATTGGGACGTCAGGTAAGCATTTGAAAGACTGCGACGTACGCACTGCGCTGACTTCCGTTGCACAGCGCACTCGGCAGTGCCAACACCGCCAACTACCCCTGCCACGCTGCAATTTAACGGCACCTCCTTCGACGTGGTCAATCCCCACCACTCACTGATCTTCGGCTCCAGCGAGATCGAGACCCCCGGAGAGCTCGACGGACTCCTGGACGACTACTTCCACAGTACCGACGACGAAACCATGTCCCACTACGACGACATCACCGGCGAGATGTCGGAATCCCCACACTCTGTTCACACGTCGGCCAGTAACAGTCGCTTGAGAGTTCTGTACAACGATGCTGCGAGCGCGCGCCGCACCATTCTGGGCATTCACGATTCGACGCGTGGAATTCACGACCAGGCTGCCTCGGACTTGGTCGCATACCACGGCCACGATCCAATGCCGACAACGCTCCCTGCCAGTCACCAGCCTACCATGCCACAAACTCAAGTCAATTCTGCAGAGGAAGCCGACGCGTACTTGGAGCAAATGGACGTGGAAATTGACACTTCTCGTGGAGATGAAGAGAATGAGTTGGAGCGTGCAGGTACGTGCGGTCGTCCAACATCACTTACATATCGCTAACCGCGTCGCATTCTTTTAGCCCAGAGCCAGCGCACAGGCGATGATAGAGCCAGCTCCACCTACCCGTACTCGCAGAGGAGCGACCCATTCCAACTCACGGTCCACGACCTGGTTCCCGGCCGAGATATCCACACCTTCGACGACAGGCTCATCGCTGCTGCTGCAGCCAGCCGCAGCTCTTACTATGCCGGGAATGGCGCCTTGTACGACGTGGAAGACGACTTCCACATCTACGAAGATGTAGATGGGGCCGATGGCCCGGCGTATGTTCCATTTGCTTCTCGCTCCCGCTTATTGAATGCACTTACGAGATGTTGTGTCTAGCGGAGAGTATGATATGCTCGACTTTCAGCCGGAGACCACCGTGACACACATTGTCAACTACTACGACTACCCACGTCGGCCCTTAGCTCCGCTATATGATGAGGAGCAGTACTCTGAGGAGACGCAGCATCCGTTGTATGCCGCTAATCACTTCCTTGACTCGCACATGGACGGCGACCCATTTGGCAGGCCAACACGCAACACGGTTGATGACCCTGTTTTCCTCGGCGCCGACGTCCCTCGCAACGATGGAGGATCCAGCTTGGCAGCGCCTCCTCTTGAGCGCGTCCATTCTCTGCCCATCCGAATGCGCAGCCCACCCATCGCACCACCTCCAGCTCCCCCGGTGTCACGCGAGGAAGCTGGCGAATTCGACCACCCGAGCTCAACAGACGTTCCATCCACGGAGCGCACGTACGGCCAGACTGCTCAAATCCTGCAGCTCACGCCTTCCAACGCCGTCTACCCCCCGTACGTCGGCCCGAGTGATGGCAGCACGACAATGTACCCCCACTTCGACAGCGAGAATGGATATTATCATCCCGCAAACCCGCCTCGACGCGTGGGAGTTCGAAGCTTGGAGTCGGCTTACGATGACAATGTCGAAGAGCAGGAAAATGTACCGCCAATGCCGTCTAGCCCTGCTTTCCGCCTTCCATTCGAGACAACGCTGATGAGACGCGTGGAGCGATCTTCGAGCGTCTACCCCGATGACGATGATGCTTGGGAAAGTGTCCAGGACTCCGAGAGCCGGGCAAATTTCGCCGATGTCGACTTTGCTGCCGCTCTTGAAGAGCAGCGCCCAAGCCAAGAGAGCTATGCGAACACCAGTAATGACAACTCGCCCAATCGTCCCAAGGCTCGGCCGACCTCGAACACCTTCATGCCTTTCTCCAAGAAGTTCTTCGACATGCTTCCGGGCAGGGGAGCCGACAACAAGTTGGACGAGCGGGCCGACATGCCGAGCCAGAAGAAGGCATATGCGGCCTTGCCTGACTGGAGGGAGGTGGCGCAGACCGACAAAAAGAAGGGAAAGGCCATTCTGGAAGACAAAATCATGCAAGATGTGATCGGCGGCCAGCTCACCGCTACGAGTCCTAAATTGGACAAAACCCAGCATGCCGCGGACTTGAAGGCACTGAAAGAGCTCCGAAGCCAGACCGCCACCCATCGCAGACCGTTCGACGTCGTCGCGGACAAGCTCAACAAGTTTGTCAACATCTCTCCGCTCAAGCCCGTGTACAGCCCGTCGCGGACGCTCTTGAGGACGCCGCAGGTCGAGAGGCCTCGTCATGCAAACCCTTCGATCGCGTCTGACACAATGGGCCTGCTCGATTCGACTCCCTCGCCGTACAGGAGCGGTGGCCTGCAGTTCAGCGACACCCTGAACACCTTCCAGACCACGCCGTCTCCCCGGCTCAGAGTGAAGCCGTACTCTCCCCTCACTCCCAACCCCATCACATCTCCGCTGGACGCCGTGGTGCGCGATCGTCACACCCCCCGAGGCCGACCACAGCTCATCGGCGCCCACTCGTCGCCCCTCCACGACGACGAAAGGGAGGAGATCGAGCTCCAACCTCTGCAGAGGAGCAAGGGCAAGCAAGGCCCCACCCGCGCCGCTATGAGCAGCCAAACGGCGCTTCACCCCTTGACTCTAGCCGACCCCACCTACACCCGCGCAGCCGCCACCACGCGTCTAACGGACGAGCAACTGCTCGAATCGGCGCCAGGATGGACCGTCGAGCCAAATCCCTCCTCAACAGGCGCAGTAGCGCACTTCTTCTCCCGGGAGATGGGGTTCGGGATCCAGCAAGAGGACGGGACGGTGGAGCGCGTCCGGCTTCTTATGGGGCCCAGAGAGGGGCGCAATTTGCGCGAGGGCCGCTTGCAGCGGGAGCTGACGCGCCCGTACTTCGTCGCGTGCTCGCTTTGCCCCGTCTCTGCTGTGTTTTTCGGGCTGGGGGGCTTGGATTGGTGGATGAGGAGGGCGAGCGAGGGGAAGGTGGAGGAGATGGCCCCCGTGGCCAAGAAGGACGCGTTGTGCCTTGCGGCTCCGCTGGGAGCGATTTTCTATGCGATTGTGGTGATTGTGGTGTTTATGGCGGTGCGGAAGTGAGTAGCTTTTGTAGTTTTGGATTGTGGTTGACGGTGTGGGTTCTCTCGGTTCCTTCATTTCCGTTCATTGCGTCTGCCATGGTGGTACTCAATGCCTTCTTTGATGTTGGCGCTCATGAGATATGCCCATACCGCCGGACACGCCAGGCAGGAGCGATGTCCTCGAATTTCAACCCGCCGGGCGGAATGGATCCTCTCCCTTCAAATCTGCGAAGAGATTGCCTCGAACTTGCAGAGAGCTGCCTCATCGCTCGTTGCATGGAAGAGATGCGCCTGCGTTGGTGTCGACGGGTAAGCCAGATCTCAAGCCGTGTAACGTCGATGCGGCGCCTTCACATATCGTCCGTCTGGCGTTCCAGCTTGCTGTAGTGGATGGAGAGCTTCCAGTCGGGCGGGGCTACAGGAAATAATCACCAGTGCTAAACCTCTTCATCGGCTGCCGGTTTGCCACTTCTCAATACCTCAAGCGGAAGAGGACGGCTGCAGAGTCTTGACGGCTGATTCTCGAAGTGCTAAGTGGGCGTGAGATGGTACGGTTGAACTCGCTACGAATTCATTTCGCCACAAGCATGACTTCACCCACTCTTCCACTCGCCAGCCGTTCCATCACTTTGGCCTCACTGAGATGCGTAGCAACGCAAATCTCATCCAAGCAGTGATTACCATCTAGAAAAGCTTCCAGCAAGCCATCTTGATCCTGGTCTTCGTGGCTCTCCTTCCCGGCCCTAGAAGCAGCTGTATCTGCCGTCGGCGGCGTGGGCCAGCCAGAACTGAGGGCAGCCGTCTTCCACGCTTGGTCTGCATTTCGAGGAAGCGAATTTGGATTTGTGGCAAATGAGCCGTTGGATGGCCGCGGAGTGCTGGCCTGCGATTCGATGGAGAGGGCGTATTTGTGGATGCGGCGGAGGAAGCGCTTGATCACGCCGTATGTGATGAGGCGGCGTATGTCGATGTTGTGGAGTTGGTCTGCGTGGGATAGGGAGAGCTCCTGCAAGGTTGTGCCGATGGAAAGGGCACGATAGAGGGCGATGATTGTGGATGACTGCGGGATGGATGTCGAAGAAAGTACTCTCGGAGCAGCTACGTAAGCGCAGCATTCATCCACCATGTCTTGATTTTCAACAAAGTAGGCAAAGGCGTCTGTGACGGCGTAGATCGCCTGGAAGTGGAAGGTGTCCAGGATGATGGCATGTCGGTGATAGACCAGCTCGCCAATGGCCTTTTTGACGGAGATGGGCTCGACATCTGCCAGCTCGGCGATGCGCTGGACATGCTTCACACCGTCGATGTGCGGCCGGATTTGCTGCAGGACAAGATCGCACGTCCATCGGTCGGCATCGGGTAAGGGCCGTGTGAGCAGGGGAACGTGCCATGCTTCTACTGGCGCCGGACGAGGTCTGAGTGTCGGCAAGCGTAGGTTGAGGACATGGGTACTGTCAACCCTTGCGCAAGTCTCGCCATACGAGTTCAAGTCGTCCACGATTTGGTGCAGAAGTTTGTCAATCCAGGAGGCGTAGTTTGCATGATTCTCATTCTCGGAAGTCAGCTTCAAGTCCTCGACCGGGTCTCCAGCCTGCAACAACCCGCTTTCCTCCTCCAGAGCCTGAAAGAAGCAAGCCGTCTTCCTCACAACCGCCCCCCACGCCCGCGGCTCCACATCATCATCCAGCACATAGCACACGTTGAAAGCAAAGCGGTTCCGCGCGTACTTTGCATCCTCCAGGCTGACGGGGAAGCCGAGCAGGCGCAAGCCATTGCTGCACACAGACAGCGCGGCATTGCAGATTTCGTGCGCCGGGATCACGTACGGCGAGACGTCGGCGAAGCTGAGGAGGCCTTGTTGTTGGTGGTTGCTGGTGGTGTCGGAGATGATGGCGTCCGGGGGAGATTGGTGGAGAATGCAGGGGCCGCGCTCGGGGTGGAAGCGGGCGTAAAAGATGGCGCGGAGCATGGTTCATGCTGGTTTCATGTTTGTCTGCGTGATGATTGGCACTGTTGCTATTTCTTGCTCATGGGTGATGTCGTCTTGCTGAGAGTGTGGAATTGGCTGGTTGGACGATGGCGCTATCGGGCGTACCCGCGGGATCTCTCCGATCCACTCAAACAGGTTCTAGTTACATGGCTCCAGTTCCTGATGATGAATGGAGATGGTCGTCTTAACAGACAACTGCAATAGTAGATTGCATCGTCCTTGACATGGCTGTATTTGCGCCGCATTATAATGCAAGTTACATCGAAGCGAACGATGAGGCAGCAATGGGTAAAGATCATAATCATAGCCTTGCGCTCAGAACAGGACAACAGCTAGACGAGTGAAGAGGCTATCGAGTCTGCAAAGCAGCGCGGGCATCAGTGTGAGACATACCCAACACATCAGTGAGGTATTCCAGCCTACAAGTTACCAGATCAGCACGAGCCCACACGAGACAAACCGGAAGAAGGTCGAAAGGGGGAATAAAAACTCACTCAACAGCCTTGACGAGCCTCTCCCTCACCTCCTCAAACTCCCCCCGACACACCTCCGCTACGCGCGCCCGCCTCGCCGCATCCACCTTCTTCACCCGCACCCTCAACCGCCCACTCACAGGCCGGTGATCGCTAACCCTCACCTCCCACCGCCTGTACTCCTCCATGCGCACCTTGCCCACCCCGCGGTACAGGATGCGATCACACCAAGCGGGCGCACGCCGCTTCTCCGACGTATCGTACTCATCCGAGTGCACATTATACTTGTACGTGGGCGCGAAGCGGATCTCGCTTTCTTGGAAAGCGCGCAGGCGGAAAGCGGGGTTCTTGCGGCGGGAGAGCAGGAGCTGATCGCGCTCGAGCAGGCGCCACAGGTTGTTGGAGGCGATGTGCTTGACGACCGTGTCGCGGCCCATCGTGTCGATGCGGTAGTTGAGGTCGCCGTTGAGGATGCAGATTTCGTGGTCGAGGATCATGCTGCCGTCGCCGCCCGAGGGAAAGACGTCGGCGTGCTGCGCGGCGCTGTTGTCGCTGCCGCTGGTGGAGGCGTCGAGGGGGTAGGGCGGGAGGGCTTCGGCTTCGAGGATGGCGGCGACGTCGTTGTTGCGGTGCAGGGTTTGCGTCTGGCCGGCGGCGAGATGGCAGTTGATGAAGCAGAGGCTGCTGTCGTCTAGAACCATGCGGAGGATGAGGGCGCCCTTATTCCCATAGATGCCGCCCATGCCTCGCTTCACATCCACGCCTTGCACGTGGCGGATCCGGGTTCGCAGTGAGGATCTGACGAACACGCAAGTGAACAATCCTACCAGACTGGCGGTGTGCAGCAACGTGTACGTGTGCGAAGACGGCATGTGGTCGTCCAGACAGCGTGTAAGATGATCTCTCCACGCGCGATACTGGTGACTCATATGCTCCTGCTCATTCGCATCCTTCTTCTTATTCCCTTTGAAGATGAAAGTCTTGGCCGTGAGTTTCTTGTCTTCCAGATCCACGAGCTCTTGAAAGCCAAAAACGAAAATGTCTGGCGGGTCGTGCGCAGTCATGTACTCCCGGAAGAAGTTGTCATCCTGCTTATTCTGAAGCAGCGAGGTGGGCTTGGACGCACCGGCATTCCAAGTCAGCACGGCGACATTGATTTCGGAGAACGAGCAGAACTCGGTGTCGTGTTCTTGCATCCGCGAAGCCATCCAATCCTCTTCCAATGTGCCATCCCAGACTTTCAGCAGATTATCCGTGCCCAGGGTGATGACTCGTAAGCGGTCCATCTCCCACGCAGAAGACTTCTCGGCAATGATGCCGCAAACCTGTCTTTCATGCGCAGGCCAGTCCTTTTTGACTTTCCAGGGAGTCGTCGACGTATCGTACACATACACCATGCCGGTGTTGAAGCCCGCCCATAGATACTCACCGACGCCAGTGAGAGAGCTGAGCTTGTACGAGCTCACAGTCACGACAGCAGAGCAGGTAAAGTCGTGTCGGTTGTAGACGCTGACCTTTCCATCCGAATGACCAAAATACACCAGGCCCGGGGTCGTGCTGATGGTCGTGCCAGAATAAATCTCGGTCGTGCCGGGTTGCGACAAAGGACTCATCAAGACATGAAACTCGGCATCCGACTTCACACTCGGCGCAAACACCCTGACATCCTTCCCTGTTGCAATCCAAAGGTGACGACCAAGTGCGATGGAGAAAGTATGGCCTCTCGGCGTCCTGAAAGTATTAGATTTCGAGTCCAGACTAGGCGCGCCCGTGGAATCTGGCTTCCAGACATTCAAGTCTCCGCCGTCATCCAGAGTCCACAGTTCCGAAGCGTAGCGGAACATGCGGATGACTTCTCTTCGTTGATGGGCTCCAACATGCTGCTTCACGACTCTCCCTCCGGATATATCCAATTCACGGATATCGCCAGTGGATGTGCCAAGCCACACCCGCTCACCGTCCTCCTCGCCCGATGCCGGAGGCTTGAAGACTAGGGAAGTGACTTTGACAAGGTCGTGGTGCTCCAAATCAAAGAGTTGCCCGCCTGTGCGCAGATTCCAGGCTTTTGTTCGCTGGCCGGTCGTGCACACGTAGTCACCGCAGACAGCGAAGATCCGCGTGTCGAATTCCGTTCCGATGTGCCACGGCCGTGTCTTGAAAGTGGGTGGCCGTCGACTAGCTTGTGAGGAATCTGGGTAGTCAGCGGGCGAAGCTGTCTGCACGTTCGATCCATCGAACGATGATGCCGGAGTTGTGCTAGATCTGTCGGGCGCGTGATTCACGGTTGGAATGGGAGCGGCTGTTGTGGAGGGGATTCGTCTTTGATCCATGGATCTCCGAGGCTGCACGTCGATAGGAGGTGCGAGTGGTTCTGGACGTCTGGAATCCATAGACCTTCGAGGCGCTGGCACAGCGGGTGGTCCATGAGAGGTCTTAGTTGGAGGGGAAGACGAGAATGATGAGGTTGACGTTTGGTCGAAGCCCAACGACAGAGCGGATCGTTGGGCGGGTTTCTTCGTGGCAGGAATGCGAGGCTGTGATGCTGCTACATCGATAGTAGCAGCCCGCCTCGGTCCAGCCCCCTGTGCCTCCTGAGTGACTCGCTTTAAGGGACTCGTGCGGCCAGAGCGTGGTTTCGTTGGACTGGTGCGTCCCGAACGAGTTTGCAACTCGGGTCTGACGGGTAGTCGTGGCGGCTGTTCCGGTAGATCGCCAGCCAGTGTCGATCCTTGTGAGCCTATCGGCCTATATCTGGCAGGCCTAGAAATCCCATGTGCCTGCGCTGTTGGCTGCAAGGCGACTGTGGCGGCATGTACAAGTGGACGGTATTCGTGATGAAATTCGTCGGGGAGGCTGGACGGCTCGACAAAGGAGGCATTGGAGCCCACTCGTGCACGGTTGATGAAAGAGGCATTGGACTCGCCCCGAACGCGTTCCATGGGGGATGTGACTGAGTTGGAACGGCGCCTTTCCACGGATGATGCATCAGAGGGTAGCCTCGTCTTTTCACCAACAAACGGATCGGATCCATTGCGATGTTGATCAGCATCGAAACTGGTATGGGGTGGCGGAGAATTCGGTCCGCTTCCTGGTGGAGTGCTGAATGGTGAAGCTCCTTGCTCAGCCCATTCGACGTTAGCGTCCGGCGCGGACAGAGCCTCGGCCTTCTGGGCGAGCTTGTTGGGCTTTGGTGGAATTTGTGGTTTCGCAGCTCGGTTCACCGGAGGGGGTACACCCGACGTCTGAGCCTTTGGGCGCACGATTGGAGTCGTAGGCGCGGTATTGATACCTTCGGACGAGGCTTTTGCGACACTCAAGCCTTGCGCAAGAGCAGCAGCAGCCCTCGTATCCCCTGTAGGCGTGGTGGCTCTGCTCGGAGGCCGTGCATTTGCCTGCATTCGAGGAACGGGAGAGGCCGACCTCGTATCGAAGGGGAATGTTTGGCTGCGATCGGCCGAGTGGGGTGAGTCTACAGTGACCAGTGGGGGAGCTGTTCGAGCGGGGGAAGTAGACAGTACGGATGGGGGCCGCGGCCGCGATCCACCTGAACCTGACCGACCATGCTCAACAACGGGGCGATCTAGGAGCCGCCCAGGTCGCAACGGAGTTCCCGGCCGGGAGATTGGAGTGCCAGTTGCTGGTGGTAGGAAGGGCGAGCGAGCCGAAGCATTGGATGGAGGCGCAGGAGGCGCATCTGTCTTGATCTTCTCGAACCTCGACAGTAAAGAGGAGACGGATCCGATCGAAGACTCATCCTTGCCATCTTCCTGGCTAGCCATCTGCGCTGCTCGTGCTCGTTGTACGGGACCTCTCAAGCAGAATTGCTTTGAAAGTGGCGGTCCACTTCAGGTGGAGGTGTTCCTCAAGTGTTCATGCCACCAGCCTCATTCACGGAACATAGCAGCTCTTTAACAGTGGTCTCTGTCTCCATCTCTAGCCTTGCTCGGTCCCTCGATGTTAGGTCGTAATGGTGCAGGACAGCTGTGCGAGGAGAGGAAGGCGGGAAGGCAAGCGCGGTCGCTGAACAAACCGGGCAGATATCGGAGTTGGCAAATGTCTCCATTCACCGCAAACGCATGGGGCCAGTCGGTTAGTCGTAAAGAGGCAGATGCGAAACGTGGGAGTCGCAGCAAGGGCCCACTGCCACGCAATTGGCCTCCCTCCTTCCCCAGGTTTCGTGGCGTGGTGTGCTGACTGCCTGGCGCTTTCTCGGGATTAGTCAGCGGCGGAATACGAGATGCGCGCGGGCACGTGTGACCCTGAAGTGTTCTCAAATCTCTACGCGTCTGGCTGCTCTGCTTCAGCGCCTTCAACTCTCGACCGCCCTCTGTGAACTCCACTCACAATGTGGTATGCCATCAACCAGTCCCCATGCATTACCAGATGACCCAACCTAACCCACGCCAACAGCAAGCACGTCCTCAACGCCCAAGTCGCCATCCGCTCCCCCTGCTGCCGGCAGTGGTTCGACTGCGCACAATGCCACGCCGACACCCAAACCCACGACCTCAAACAGACCACCGAGATGATCTTCGCGTGCAAGAAGTGCAAAAAGTGCTTCCGCAAGGACATGGCCGAGTTTGACGAGAGCGACGAGTACTGCCCGCACTGCGACAACCACTTCTTGATCGAGGCGGTGGAGCCCAAGGCGCGGCTGGAGGTCGAGGGCGAGGATGTGCGCAAGGATGCGCGCATGTTGAAGGATGAGAGGATCAAGGCGAAGCAGCAGTATAGCGTTTGGGAGGATGAGGGCGAGGCGGCGAGGATGGGTTGATGAGACTGCTGGTCATGCATCCCATCTACGCCATCAGCACCATCGCCACATAAACAGTGCCCTCCAATGTGCTCAGCAACACCACGCACGAGCGACAGATGGCCCCCCGGAACGAGAGCACAGAGAACGGCCTACATGGCCCAAAGCCACGATTCGGACCGCGAGCTGCACGACTCACTGCTCCGGCGGTTGTAATACGCGCTCACGACAATACAGCCAGAGGTAGAGCGAAGTGGAAAAATCTACAAGACGCGCTATGTCCCGTTAGACATGCGCAGTCTATCCATAAGTTTGTGAAGGACGATTGAGTCCGTATTATGATCGGGTCCATGCTATGGCGGTGACCCGGTTGCATCTGTACCAACGCAAGTTTATCCGCTCTCAACTGTTCCATTAATTGATCTCGACCCAGTCTATCACCGAGGCTTTCTTGGTCGTGAGGACAATCGACTGTAGCCTTGGAGTCGTCCGCTGCGCAATCGAAGCTGGTACTGCAAGCCTTGTAGACCCGAGATCGGAGGCGGGGGATGGTGTGCTTGCTGAGCTCCTGCACGACATAGCAGATCACCGCTCAACCACGCGATCAGAGCAGTACTCCTCAACGGCTAATCGGCAAAGGAGCAGGAGGTCGCCGACGTGACAACAGATATAATCCAACTCCACTCCACTCCAGACTGCACTCCAACAGATACCTGTCCATTCCATCTCGTTACATCGCCACATCGCCCAATCATGCCTGGCAAAGTACTATCTCCTTACAAGCAGGTGCCGGAGACGAAGGCAGACCGTACGTGACAACGACAGAGATAGCGACAAGGACCGCAACTGACTCCGCCACAGTCGACTGGGCCGAACTAGTCACGCTCGACCTGAGCGACTATGAGAACCCCGGAGGCAAGGAAAGGCTGGCCGAGCAGCTGAAGTACGCCGCGCAGCACGTCGGCTTCTTCTACGTAAAGAACTTTGGCATCAGCCAGGAGGAAGTGGATCGACAGTTTGCGTGGGTTGGCGTGTCCTCCCTCCATACAAATTGCACACGCTGATGATCACCCAGACTCGGCCGGGAATTCTACGAGCTTCCACTTGAAGAGAAGCTGAAGTATCACAATCTGGAGGACTTGAGGCAGGGCGAGTATAATGGCTATCGTCCGGCTGGGCTTCGAGAGTATGACTTTTTCCAAACACCACAAGTCATCTAGCTGCTAACCACATCATAGACTCGGCAACGGTATCGTTGACGCTACTCAAGTTTACAATATTCCTAAGTGGGATGGCTACCACCACCGTGAACAGCCCTCGGTGCTCCAGGATCACATCGGCGAGATCGAGGCCTTCAGCCGCAAGTGCCACGAACAGGTCGTTGTCAAATTGCTTCGAATCTTTGCTGTCATCCTTGAGCTGCCCGACGAGGATCAGCTGGTTAGAGATCATCAGTACAACGTGATTGGCGAGGACCACCTCCGCTACATGCACTACAAGGCTCGCACACCTGAGGAGAATCGCCTCGTCGGCGACCTATATTCACCGGGCCACACAGACCTTGGAAGCGTCACGTTGTTGTTTCGTCAACCTGTTGCTGCGTTGCAGATCCTGAATTCCAAGAACGAGTGGAAGTGGGTGCGGCCGCAGGACGAGACGATCACGATCAACATCTGCGATGCGCTATCGGCTTTGACTGCCGGCTACTTCAAATCGTCGGTGCACCGAGTTCACGCTCCTCCAGATGACCAGGCGCATATCGATCGATTGGGCGTCTTGTATTTCGCCAGGTATGACAACATTGTATGCTACATAAGCTTGATACGTTGGCTAACATTTCGCTCCAGACCAAACAACCATGTCGTGCTCGATCCGTTGAAGAACAGCCCGCTCTTGCAACGTGAGGGTCTAACGGAGAACGAGTTCACCAAGCTCGGACAGCATCTTCGCATGGATGAATGGGTAAAAGTGCGACAGACGCAGCAGCAGCGCCGCACGAATGCGCCGAAGATTCAAGGCTCGAAGTATGAGTACAAGGAGAAGGACTTGGAGATTATTCCGGGGTTGCAGGCCAAGATCTACAATTAGATAGCTCTGTACTATCCGTCTCTACCTTAGTTTACGAGTTTGTACCATCGATTGCATTATCATTGAAGCCTTGCCTTGGCGCCCACGTTGTGCCGAAATGTGCTCCACTCCGGCAGCTCCAGCTCGGCTTAACTTCACTTCACCCCTACACCCAAACCACCACATTTATTCAATGACACAAGAACACAGCTTCAGCTAGACGAACAATATGGCCACTTTCCTAGAACGGCTGGACGCCCAACTGGCCTCCTTCCTGTCCGACTGGAACCTCAACTCCACCGTCCTGGTTGTCATCATCGCATCCCTCATCCTCTACCCCATCCTCTTTCCCGTCGAAGCCGACACCCACCCTCTCCTCCTCGCCCGCCAATCAGCCCTCGACCCAATCCGGAACAAATTCCAAAGCGCCATCCATCGCTCCCCTGAAGCCCCTCCTGGCCAGGGCCTCAAATCCGGCTTCGACCTGAAAGACGCCGGAGCAGCCCGGTGGGCAGCGGGCCGAGATGGCGATCTACGAGATATATGGAGGGAGGTGCTGATGGCGGGGACGATGCAGCCGGGCTGGGCGAGAGACGGGTCGAGCGAGGAGAAGCTGGTGCCCACTGGCAAGATCCAGACTGTGCTGGGACGAGAAGAGGTTGTGGAGCATGACGTGCAACAGATGAGCAAGCAGATTCAGATTATCGGGCAGCACTTGAAGGCCAAGGGGTGCAAAAAAGTGGCAATATACTTGCCGAATAATTTGGAATACTTGTTGACTATTTTCGGTGAGCTTGTGGTGTGGATTTGCTTGCGCATACAGTGTTGCTGACTCGGATTATAGCCTGCTCCTTCTACGGCATCAGCCCGATTCTGCTGCCGTACAACCTCCCGCATCCAGCTGCTTACGCCTTGATCAATGCCACGACTGCCGATGGGCTGGTCTGTGCTGCGGGTAGTCTTCCGTTGGACGGAGTCGCCAAAGAGTGCTCGAAGATCCGCAGCCTCGTCTGGGTGGTGGAGAAGACCAGCAGACACATGGACTGGCACGGCGTCCCTCACTTCGCCAAAAACCGCTTGACCGTCAATGTCTGGCATGATGTCGTTCAAGAGAACCTCTCCAAGACCGATGACGATCTTCCGACCAACGCCAGTGGAGACGCCCCCACGGACATCATCACGTTCTGGGATTCGCCCACTAAGCCCCAGATTGTTCCTGTGTCGCATGGAAACATGGTGGCCGCCATCGCCGCGCTCATCTCTGCGCTCCCATCTGCCCAACGAGTCGGGCCTGGCGACGTCGTCTTACCAGCCTCCAGCTTTCACCAGCCTTACGTCTTATGTCAGACCCTTGCAGCCCTGTACACCCACGCCGATCTAGCGATTACCAGCGTGGCGCAACCTGGCGTGGAAATGGCCACCGCGACCCGCGGAATCCGACCAACGGCCGTCATCGCCTCCGCCGAGACACTCCACACACTCCATAAGAACGAGCGATACAGACGAAACTCGGTCGTGGAGGAGGTCGCCAAGTACGGCTATTCGCGCTCGCTGGCAGCCGGGCATTTGCCAAAACAGAGCAGTCTCCTCTTCCGCATGCTTTCTCCCTCCAACTTGATCTCGCAAGGCACCAAACCCCTCGAACTCCGTCTCATCCTTACTTCCGACCGTTTGGACACCCCCACACCTGCACTCACCTCGCGCACGCTCTCGGAGCTGCGCATCATGACTCGCGCGCGCATCTGCTACGCTCTGACCGCCCCTCGAGTCGCCGGTGCAGTCGCGCAAACGCACGTGTACGATTATCGGGTACACCACGAGAGAGACAGCGTGTCGAAGAATTTCGGCATTCCACTTTCATCCGTCGAGATCTGGCTCGAAGATAAGAACGACGACGCGAAGGTGGGTGGTGCGCAACCAGAGGGCGAGATCGTCGTCAGCGGTCCTGCGGTCAGCGGCTACAATCGTAGCACCGGGAAGGGGGCGGTGAAGTTGGGCGTCAAGGGAAAGTTTGGCGAGGATGGAACGTTGAGTCTTTCGTACGTGACTAGGCAGAAGAACTGAAGAGGGGCTATGCGCTCATTCAAACGACCATGATCTACTCGACTCCGCATCCTCCATTCCGGAACGTCGACCGAGCAAAGCCAGGCCTGACATTCCTCGATCCCGAGTCGCGACACGAAACGCATTGTTTACATTCCTGCCTGAAGCCTATCATATAAACCCTTGCGTATTTCCAAAGCAGCTTCCTATCATTCATCCGTACTGCTCTCAATCACACCATCGGAACAAAGACATCGGTTGCATTCAACAGGGGAAATATGCGACTCTTCCACCACACCGCCCTGGCGCTCGCGTCGGCCGTGAGCGCCGCGCAGGCAGCAAAGGACCCCTCGGCCGTTCACTTCCACCTGGGACTCAACCTCAATGTGCAGCCGAGCGGTGTCAAAGCGGTGTACGAGAAGGTGCCAATAGAGATGTAAGTTGTCCATCATGGACTGTGTTCGGCGGACACAAGGCTGACTCAAAGGGCGGCGATGCACAGGTACAGGTTGACGAACATTGGCAATGTCCGGGCGTCTGAGATTGCGTTTAGGGATACCTCGTCCAAGACGGATGGGATTCAATGTCGAGTGTGTCGCCTTGTCCTATCTCGCATCACGAGTGATTTCGCAGTGCCCTAATACTGACCACCTTGTGACTTCCAGGCGTACATCGACAGCAAAGGCACCGAGCCAATCGGCACGCCCTTTACAAACGCCAACACCGTGATCTTGAGCAAAAGCAACATCGTCAAAGTCAGCGCGGTGCTGTGCTACTACTACGAGGACGCCAGCCCGGCCGCGCCAGGCGGTAAAGGGAAGCACTCCAAAACGATCACTCAGACTGGAACGAAGAAACACACGGCCATGAAGACGAAGACGAAAGCAGCGCATAGCACCGCCAAGCACCATACTGACAAGCATCATACGGGCACGAAAGCGTCGTCGTATCACTTGGATACCATGACGACTGTGACGAAGACGAAGAAGCACCACACCACTGCTACCGCGTACAAGACTCGCTCGCACAAAACCAAGGGCCATCATTCCAAGGGCGAAGGGCAGCAGACTAAGGGCAAGGATCACCACACCAAGGGCGAAGGGCATAAGACCAAAGGCCAGGGAGAGAATACCAAAGGGAACAGCGACAAGGGGCATCACACTAAGGGGAAGCATGATGCTACCGCGTCGCCATCCGTGACGGGCAGCGTTGGTTCGACGATGGAGGAGTGATGGTTGCTTCTCGATTGGTCTCTTTCTCTTTATCTTCTTTGCTCTGCGATTCATGAGCGAGTTGTGTTCGTATAGTCGGTAGTCAGTCTGGTACTTCATTACCATAGCCTCGATCAGACAGCACGACACACCGCACCCCGACAACGAAAGTCTCTGTTGCGTTGAGAGAGCGGTCGCATTGAACAACGTCCTTTCGTCAGCAGAGCATGGGGAACGATGGAAAGTTGTGAGAGCGGCATTTCCCTCATGTGTGAGCCATTGCCAGTGCCTACGCTTCTTCATCCTTTCCGGAATCCTGTTGCCTAGGAATTAGATGTCTCATCAGATCAACTCTCGAGTTTTCAAGAGGCTGCAGCTTCCTATAAGCAGATAGCCTCGCGCGTGATTGGCCGTCTCCGCAAGGGTACTCGCCGCCCCCGCCGCGGTGGCCGAGACATGAGGCCCAAGCTTCATCTACCCCAGGCAACCAAGGCAGATAGCATAAGATACCCTACATTGACAAGGCCTCCATTCTCTTCCATACACCCCCTCCCTCCCACCAACTCCTCTCCCTCACCCCTCTTCCCAAAGCCTCACTCACCCTCCCCACGACCGCCAAGTCATGGTTAGAAACGCCATGTCGACTCCCAACCTGAAGCCGCCCGTCGCTCAGCTGTCCGGCAACGATGAGTACACCAAATCATTGATGAACCGCGTGGCCACCGGCGAGGCCACTGCTGCCGAACGCTTCGAGTTCAACATGCATGTCATGAGGATGCAGTCCCAAGCTTCCCCTCGCCAGGCCCCAAGTCTTGAACAGACCCCCTTCAATATGAGCCTGGGAGAGAATCAAGAGTCGGAACAGCGTACGCAGCCTATCGATTTGCCGGTGCGAACGTCAGCCGGTGTCTCCACGACCTCATACCCGGCCGGAGGAATGGGTGGTGTACTCAAGCCCGATCCCGAGCCATCCACTTCACTCGAAGATCTCCAGGTGCTACTCATGCGCTTGGAACAGCAAAATCGGAAGCGCCTGTATGTGAGCCGACAGGAGGTTGACGAAAAGCTCCCTGAGACGTCCATGCAAATCGAGGGCAATGCTGCTGCAAAGTCGCCAGTCTCAAGCGATGGCGGTAACCAGCGTTTTGGGGGGCTTACACAACAAGATTACGAACATAAGCTCATGATTCTGAACAACGAAAACAAGAAGCGCATCGAGAGGGCTCGCGCTGAGCTCGTCGAACAATCTGCGGCACCTGCACCAAAAGAGCTGGAAGTCCCGACCGGCAGCAATATCCAGGATGTGCTCGATAAAGCCAAGGCCGACCATGCACACCAGGATTATCAACTGCAGCTCATGCTGTTGGAACAGCAAAATCAGAGGCGTTTAGCGATGGCTCGTGCGGATCAGCAGCCCGGGCAATCTGAGATGTCTGCGCCAATTGCAGCAAATGCTGCCGAAGGCTTCCAAGGCTTGGGCAGCAGCAACGTCGAATCGCCAGAGGAGACGCTCAAGCTGCTCGAACAGCAGAATAATGCACGTTTGCAACAAGCATGGCGCTGGGCAGAGAAACAGGCTGAGCTGGCCAAGACGTCCATTGCCAATTCAATCCAAGGCCCAACGGCGAAGCGTGCTTCGCAGAGGGAAACGTTGAAGAATGCGGAGTCAGAGACGATGCGGAACACCCCCAAAGCCACTCGCAAGGCGGCCGAGATTTATTGCAAGCCATTCTGCGACTTCATGACGAAAAACCCTACCGTCTTTCATGCTGTCGATTCGCAGAAGAAAGAACTGATCGACGCGGGCTATGAGGCACTGGACGAGCGAAAGAAGTGGGACATTGTGCCAGGTGGCAAGTACTTTGTCGAGCGTAATGGCTCGTCGCTGCTTGCCTTCTCCGTTGGCGAGAATTACAAGGCTGGGAATGGATGTGCAAGTAAGTCGATATCATCCTTGACGTTCTTCCCGTGGCGTGAGTGCTGACGATTCCAGTTATCGCTGGACATGTCGACGCATTGACCGCGAAATTGAAGCCAATTTCCGAGGTCCCTAACAGGGCCGGCTATGTGCAGCTCGGCGTTGCACCCTACGCTGGTGCATTGAACTCCACCTGGTGGGATCGAGATTTGGGCATCGCGGGGCGTGTGCTGCTCAAGGACGGCGACAAGATCGTCACGAAGCTCGTGAATCTGAACTGGCCCATTGCACGGATTCCGACGTTGGCACCGCATTTTGGAGCAGCGGCAGCTGGGCCCTTCAACAAGGAGACACAGATGGTGCCAATCATTGGCCTGGAGGGGACGGAGACCAGTGCCATTGACCCGCAAAACGTGGAGCCCTTCAGCCAGCCTTCGATTATCGGCGGGGAATGGGGTGGGCTGGGGCATTTCGCCAACACCCAGCCTCGAGCGCTTGTAGAGGCGGTCCGAAAAGAGCTCGGCATCGCCGGAATGAAGGACGCACCGACTATTGTGAACTGGGAGCTAGAGCTGTACGATGTCCAGCCGGCAACTGTCGGCGGGCTTAACAAGGAGTTCATCTACGCCGGACGCCTCGACGACAAACTGTGCTCCTGGGCAGCCATGCAAGCCCTCCTCTCCGGCCGGCAATGGAACGACGCGAAGTACAGCTCCGTCATCAAGATGGTAGGCTGGTTTGACGACGAAGAGATCGGGTCGAAACTGCGCCAGGGCGCGGCCAGCAACTTCCTCCCCAGCACCATCGAGCGCATCGTCGGCTGCCTCGGCAAGGGCAAGACGGGCCCCAACCTCGTCGGCCGCACGTACGCCAACTCCTTCCTCGTCTCGTCCGACGTCACCCACGCAGTCAATCCCAACTTCCTCGGCGCGTATCTGGAAAACCACTCGCCGCACTTGAACGTCGGGCTGACTGTGTCCGCCTCCGCGTCAGGCAACATGTCGACCGATGCCGTTTCCACCGCCATCTTCCAGCGCTGCATCGATGGGGTCGGCGGTAAGGTGCAGGTCTTCCAGAATCGCAATGACGGCGGTGGAGGTGGAACGATTGGTCCGATGTTGAGTATGATGACGGGTATGCGTGCCATTGATGCGGGCATCGTGCAGTTGTCGATGCATTCTATCCGTGCGACGACGGGTAGTTTGGATCCTGGTTTGGGCGTGATTGGGTTCATGGGGTTCTTGAATCGCTTTGAGCATGTGGACAAGGAGTTCCGTGGGGATTGAGAAATTGGGTTGGAGGGTAAGGTGATGGGGGAATATCTTGAATGATCTGACACTGCGAATGAGAGGAATCTTCGTGGGACGATCTAACGATGATTGAGATAGGCTCGCCCGTAATGCAACTTAGTAGATCTCGATCCCAGCTCTCAACCTTCATACTTCGGCGGCGCATCCCTCATAGCCGTAAGCTTCCTCGTCGCTATCCTGTTCAAGTCGAAATCGGCCAGCATTCGCACCTTGTCAATCAACCCAGTCAGCACAACACTCACTCGGGACCAACACAAACACACGCGAAAACACCCACATTGATCCCCACCCTCTCCTCCGCCCCCAGACTCCTCATCACCCCCCTCAAATCCGTCCCCAACACACTCCCACACCGCCTACAAAACCAATGCGCCGCCCGCCTCGCCCCGCACAAGTACTCCTCTCGAAACTCCAACCCTGCGGCGTCAAAGTGCACGTCTGAGGCGAGCGGGTGCACGGTTAGCAAGCCGTTGCGCGCGCAGTAGGAGCAGGCGCATTCGACTGCTACGCAGCGGTCGGAGGGGTTGGGGGTGCTGGTGTAGAGTGGGGGCGAGAGGGTGATTGTGTAGGAGATTGCGCGGCAGTGGCAGTGCAGGTTATACTGCGCTTTTTGGCCGTTGGGGGGCGTCCAGGAGGTGGAGGGGGAGGAGGACATGGTGGTTAGGGGTCGATGGAATAGGATGGGGTTGGGTCTTTGCCATTTTCTTGTGTACTTATGGTGCTGGGGAAAGTCTCCGGGTTGGTGGTGAGGGCAAGGCTTGGGGACGGGGAAAGTCTCCGATGTGGACATGTCGTTTGATCTTGATAGTGGTCGACGTGATCAAGGTGAATCGCCTATGTAGATATAGGTAAGATACATTTTATGTGCATGTCATCAGTTGAAATTGATTGTGCTTCAAGGCTAGAAGTTTGAGGGAGTGAAGGGGTGAAGTGAGGAGAGACGAGGCTGGTGGTCCATGCACGGCCGTCTGTCGTCATCGCATCTCGAATTCCTGGCCAGGGCAGACAACCAACCCGAACGCGTCTCGACACGTCGATTGGAAGACAGTCCTGTTGCATCACCAGAATGCCACCGCTGCTCGACGTCCGATGACAACTCGCCCAATATGTCTACGAATGGAAACAACAGCATCGCCCGCTATGCGGCGGCCATATCGTCGACGCTGTTCCGCTTCTTCTCGTACATGTTCTTGAGATGGGTATTGATGTCCAATTACCGTCCATTTCCCCTGACAGACGCTAACCAGTATTGCAGATCCCCGGCTCTGTTAGTAGACCTCAACATATCGTGCCTGACTGCCTGAACTCATGTTGTCCAGCACTTTCCCCCGCTGCTCGTCACGCTCTTCGCCGTCTACGTGCCAGCCTTTGTCTACGCTCTCACCCACACATCACCCTACGATGTGATTTCCGATGAGATCGAAATCGTCACCAAGCCCATCGTCGATGGTGACACGGACGCCAGCGACATTGATCCTCGCTATGTCAACGGCGAACCCGTCGATCTCGGTGCCGAGTTGGACGTCGAGGAGACGATTGTGCTCCAGGAGAAAGATCCCCAGATTCTCAAAACGCTGTTGACAGGACTTCCCAGCCCCACGAGTGCCCTCTGGAGTGGCATCACTTTGGCAATCAATGTGCTGTTGATGGGCATGGCCTGGGACGTCATCTATCGCGCTCCTTTGTTCTACCCCTCCCACGATCTCTCCCTTGTGCGCGTTGGCTACGTTTCGCATTCAACCGCCAAGGTCCTTGTGCGGGAACCGGATCTGACGAGACTTCCCATCTCCCTGTCTTACCGATACGCCGACTCGCCCGTGGGTCACGACTCCTCATGGAAATCGGGCGGCAGCATTGATTGGCTGGACATCACTACAGACTACACCGGCGTGCTGGAGTTGCGTGGTTTGCATTCCGACACTCGCTATCAATATTCCGCGAACAACCGCTCGGGATTCTTCACCACCGCCCCTCGAGTCGGCCAAATATCGACTCGCGCTGAGAACGCGGATGCATTCACCTTTCTGCATTCGTCTTGTTTGAAGAATCGACTCCCATACAACCCCTTCTCCCATCCGCTCTCCAACCAAGGCCTCCGCTATCTCGCCCAAACCATGGAAACATTCAAAGCGCAATTTATGGTCTTCCTCGGCGATTTCATCTACATTGACGTCCCTTGGCGCCAGGGCGTTTCCACCGAAGATTATAGACGAGAATACCGCCAGCTATACTCGAGTCCCGACTGGCCCGCCGCGGCCCAAATCCCATGGATCCACGTCTACGACGATCATGAAGTAGCTAACGACTGGTCGGGCAACACCACGGGCATCTTTGCCGCTGCCAACGACCCGTACGAACACTACCACATCTCCGCCAACCCGCCCCCGCACCGCGCCGGCGAGACCTACTTCTCCTTCACCCAGGGCCCAGCGACCTTCTTCATGCTCGACACCCGCCGCTACCGCTCCCCCAACGACGCCACCAACGGCTCCGACCCCATCACCGGCGAGCCCACGAAAACCATGCTCGGCACCACCCAACTCTCCGACCTGCTAACCTGGCTCGCCCGCCCCGAGCCCGCCGGCGTGCGCTGGAAAGTCCTTATTTCCAGCGTCCCCTTCACGAAGAACTGGTGGTTCGGCGCGCACGATACCTGGCGCGGCTTCCTCGGCGAAAGACAGGCGATTCTCGAAGCAATGTGGGACGTGGGCCTTCGGGGCGGCATTGGAGTCGTCATTTTGTCCGGCGACAGGCATGAGTTTGCCGCGACTGCTTTCCCGCCTCCACCTGACGGCAAGGAGGAAATCGTCGGGCTCGGTCTTACGGGCGTCGGCGCCAACCTCCTGGGCGTCAACCGCGAGGCGCTCGCACCAAATTCCGCACCACCTCTACGCACACGCACCAAGCGCTGGCCTCTAAGCGCCACCGTGCACGAATTCAGCACAAGGTGACCATCCCAAATCCCCCTGAATTGCAACCCGTCGGACAAGCTGACCACCCCTAAACCCCCCAGCCCCCTCAACATGTTCTACCTCCCCTACCGCACCTACGCCGAATCCTCCACCTCGCCCGACTACGTCTCCGACGTGTGCATCAAGTACATCCCCGACGGCAACAGCAAGTATGGGGCGGTGAGTATTGCGTCGCCGCCGACGAGCGATCAGTCGGTGCTGCATTATCGGCTTTTTGTCGATGGGCGGGAGGCGTGGAGTTATACGCTTACCACGCCGCCGGATGTGGGTGGGGGTGGGAGGGCGAAGGATGCGATTTGGGGGTGATGTGGGAGGTTGTTTTCGAAGACGGCACTCCGAGTGAGAGGAGTTTGCGAAGCGATGTAATTGCAAGGAGCACCAAGGCTCTGTCCGCTAGTCGTCAATCAATGAGCTCGTCTGAATACCATTTTGTTTCGCTTTTCCGCAATCTACCCACCCCATAGAAACCGCCTAACAAGCAGCCATGAAACCCACACGCCTCACCCCAACAACCTTGACCGCTCTGTAATCTGCTCCTGCTCACTCCTCCCGCTCGCCGCAGCATCAAACCGCCTCCCAAACACCCCCTCCCACCACCCCCCCTTAACCCCCTTCCTCACCCAAACCCCCTCCACCCGCCCCCTCCCAACCTCCTCCTCCTTAACCAAAACCTCCACCCCCCTCCAGCTCCCCATCCCAAAAGTCCTATTCCCCCACACCACCACCCTCCCAACCCCCCACAGGACCACAAGCAACACGAGCGTAGCGAAAAACGTGCCCACAGCGGTAAGCAGCGTGGTCGTACTACAGCCGCATCCTAGCAGCGGGGTGCGCAGTTCGAAGCGCTCGGAGGCGAGGGGGCAGATGTTGGGTTCGCGGAGGGGGGAGAGTAGGGAGAAGGCGGGGATGCAGGTGCTGCTTGAGGGGCACCAGGCGCAGTGGCCGCCGCTGTCGAGGCAGAGGGAGCAGGTTTGCCAGCGCCAGCACCAGGCTGCGGGGTCGTGGTGGGTGGTGGGGTTTATTGGGGTTGTTGGGGGGAGCATCTTCATATAGATGGGTGGATGGGTTGGTTGGTGGTCATGGAGGGAAGATGATGTAGTGGAGTGGTGGAGTTGGAAAGTCTAAGTTCCGGGCGCAGCGGGGGCGGGGCACGGTTTATGATGGAGAGCTGTTACGACGGAATGCAAAGTGTTTGTTCACTGGAACTTTTCCATTTGACAGTCTAGCTATTCGGCCGACTTGTCCATGTGTGTCATATCTGCCATTGCAGCCATCTCATAATCCGCCGAAGCCAGTGTGCCAGCTTCATTCACGGCGGGAATGGTGAATTCCCAGCTTTTACCAGTTGCCTGCATCGATGTCAGCATATCTGCGGATAACTCAATCTCACAAATATATGACCACACTCACCGTTGCGAGACTCAAAGGACTCCTGGATCCTCTCGTGAGGCTGGCGCTGGTTGGGGTCGTAGTACTGGTCCTGGCCGTACTGCTGGTCGTAGAGCTGGTGGGCATTGTCGCGGGCCTGGCGGCGAGCCTCCTCACGGTCGACAAAGTCGGCGCCCTTGGTCTCAGCGAGCCTGTCCACCTCGGCACCAGCGAAGCCAGCGATCATTTCCTTGGCGAAGCTGTGGTCGACTTGCTTGCCTGTTTGGGGAGTGTTGTCAGTATTGGCCGGGGTTGCTTTGGTGTCTTGAGTGCTCTTCTGCCTACCTTCCTTGCGCTGATGCTCCTCCCACTCCCTCATGGCGATGAAGGAAGCACCACCAGCGAGGACCTCATGGCCGAGAGAGGCCTGGTTGGGGTCCTGGCACTGGTTGTATTGCTGCTGAGCGTCGTCTGACAGGATGTGTTAGCTACAGAGTTTCTTTGAGCAGGCAGCAGCGGAGGCAGTGAAGAGACTGACCGAATCCCCACATGTTGACTGGTTTGTGATGGAGCTGTGAAGTGAGGGTGGTGTGTGATGAGTTGATTTGAAGTATGGATTGAAGTTCTGTGTGGTCGTGGTTGTAGAGAGAGAAAGGAAGAAGAGTGAAGCAACGTGTTTGGATGAAATATATGCTCCCCCAGCTACACAGTAACCCCACCATGCACGAGCTAATTGCATCACAAGGGGCAGGCACGCAGGCGCAGGGTCTTCTTTCCCTCTCAGCCACATTCAGCTGATCTCATGCTGTGCAGACTCCAGCTGGTGCAAGCCATTGGCTCATGCTGCCGACGACTTCCATCCTCGTCCGTGCTCGTTTCAGAGGCCGCGTGCAACCCATGGAAGAGGCTGGTTGCTTCGCCTCATCCGCGAGCACTGACTGGTTTCAATGACGTGTCGCACAGCGGACATCGGATCGTGTTTGGAGAGGATGGAACGGCATCGAACCAAGCAGACGCAAGCTTTTGCCCCTGGCGGGCGCCGACGCGTTTGGGCCCCGCCTTTTCCACTCTTGGCGCGCTTAAATTCTTAGTGAAGATCGAGGGGTCTGCTGTCAGCCACAGGACGAGGCTGTGCTGTGCTGTGCTGTGCAATGCCACCGTCGTATACACGAAACTGCTCCTTCATTCCATCTCGACTCGTTGCGGGCATCACAGCCGGTGCCCCGGTTGGCGTAAGCTGACCGCACGATGGGCCGTCTCCCTACGACTGCCGACTTCCCGGAGAAAGCGAGACTTGCTATCGTCCCTCGTAAGTCTCGATGCCAGTCTCATATCGAGCACAGCCGCAATATGAGTGGCCGAACCTTCCCGTATACAGGCATCCCACGCATGAACAAGCATGGCTAACGACAGACCCAGCCCCTCCAGGCGACAACGCAACTAACATCCTCATCCTCCTGCACGGCCTCGGCGACTCGCACGCCTCCTTCACCGCACTAGGCCAACAACTGCGTCTGCCAGAAACAGCATGCATCTCCCTCCAAGGCCCGCAGACCCTGCTGGACCTCGGCGGCCACCACTGGGGCGACGACATTCTTTTCGACTCCACCTCCGGCGGCCTGGATCCCGATGCGGGTTTTGAGCAGAGCACTGAGTTTCTGAGGAAGATCGTGCTCGACTCGCTGGTGGGCAAGTGCGGGTATCAGTTGCGGGAGATTGTGGTGTTTGGATTTGGACAGGGTGGGATGGCTGCCTTGAATGCGGTCGGTCAGTATCAGCAATGTCTCGACAGATCTTCGCGCCCGCGTTACTAACCTCTCACAAGTCGATCTCCACCAACACGGTCAACAACAGCCAAACGAACTAGCCGGCGCAATCAGCATCGGAGCCGGCCTCCCCAGCTCCGCGCCCGCATCTCTAAACCCCAAGCTCTCCACTCCAGTCCTGGTGTGCGCCGGCGCCGACGCATCTGCCGTGACCTCCACTTCCGAGGAGAAGTTGAGACACGTCTTCGCCTCTGTGGAGATCAAACGCTATCGGAGAGCGGGCGACGGCATGCCGCGGGATCGGGATGAGATGATGCCCATTATGCAGTTCTTTGCGCGGAGGCTGAGGAGCTCCAAGGGCGTTCCCAAGGGGAGTGTGGAGATTGGGTGAAGGGGGGAAACCGTTTGGATGTTTGGCCGAACTTCACACGCCCTCAAACCTGGCAACGATCCAGACGTGAAGCAGGACGCACCGCCCTACGCTGTATGGTGCAACGGACCTCGGTTCATGCCTGGCAGGGCAGTCTGGGCCCAAAGACACGCATAGAGGGAAACTTCATCGACGGTGGAGCAATCTATCCATCTATCACGGCCTGAAGATGATTTACTTCCAGCCGCGCAGCAGAGCCTAGTGCACCTATTTAGTGCGCTTGTAAATCTTGCGGAGAAACTCCTCAAACACCCCCTTCTTCAAGCCCTCGCTCTCATCCAGCGCCGCAATCTTCTCCCGAATCTCCGTCACCCTCCGATCCTCGTAGTCCTTGTAGTCCTGCTCGAGCTTGAGCTCGTCGAACAATTTCTTGACCTTTGCTTCGCACGCCGCATCCTTCCGCCCGTAGTTCTCCTCCAGCACCGCGCGCTGCTCCCGAGTGCACTTCTTGAGCGCCTGATTGACCAGCCAGCTGCACTTGTTGTCCTGGATGTCGGTGCCGATCTTGCCCAGCACGGAGGGGTCGGCGAAGTTGTCGAGGTAGTCGTCCTGCACCTGGAAGTACTCGCCCATGGGGATGAGAATGTCCTCGGCCTGCTTGAGATTCTTTGCCGTCGCGAAACCCGCAAAGTGCAGCGCGAGCGCCACGGGGAGGTAGAAGGAGTAGTAGGCCGTCTTGTAGATGACGATGAACGTGTACTTGTCCATGGAGAAGTTGTCCAAGTCGACATGGTCCTCGGGCGCTGTGAGCAAGTCGCACTCCTGCCCCAGCTCCGTTTGGAAGGAGACTTCGTGGAAGAGCTCGATGAGGTCGAGGTAGTACTTCTCCTGCCGGAAGTACTTCTTCAGCAGCAGGTAGATGCTGCTTTCCAGCATGAAGGCGTCGTTGATGGCGACCATGCCGACGTTGGGCATCAGGTACCAGCACGGCTGGCCGCGCCGGGTCTTGGAGGCGTCCATGATGTCGTCGCTGACGAGGAAGAAGGCTTGCAGCAGCTCGATGAGCCAGCCGAGGGTGGCGGCGCGGAAGAACTCATCTTGCGAGAGGTCTTTGTTGAGGAGCAGCTGCGTCGTGTCGATGACGGAGAGGCCGCGGTTGCATTTGCCTCCGAGAGTGTTGTGGTTCACGCTCTGTATCACAGGACTCGTTTTCAGTCATTTGTACACTAGATAGGAGCGATGAGAGCCGAACCTGTTCAAACCATTGGAGCGCCTGCTCGGGCAATTTGTATTTCTGGCAATGCGCCTTCAAATCCGCCACGAGCGTGGGGAAGACGGCCTCGAACTCTTTTAATGTCGCCGGCATTTTGACTCTCCCAAGCCGACTGGTTTCCGTATACAAACGCTGTTGCGGGAAGATGGGTTGGAGGCCGGCAGTGGAAATCGCCTGATGCCACTTTCTACCCGACGCCAAACATTTCTTCGGCGGGCCCTGGCAGCTCGGAAGCGGGCCGAGCATGGACCCTGACCCACGCCGTCAGCTTCTCCACCCTTCAATTCGCTCCAAGCTCGCTTTTTTGAAGATCAAGGGCTTTCAGTTCTCGCAAGATTTCATACATTCTCGTTGGAAAGATTCCCTCACTTTCACAACGCATCACTTCCAAAGCACTCCCTATTTGAAGACTCAAGATGGCCGAAGAGGCAAACCCGATCTCCTACGAAGACCTCGACGCAATCGAGGATGAGTTTCAAGACATCGACACCCAAATATGTTAGTGTCGCAGGTTCACACAAGCCATGGTGGGTTGTAATTGACTATTTGAACAGTGCGCACCCAATACGAGCTCTCCGCAGACGTCTATGCAAAACGCGCGCAAGCAGTCGCGCGCATCCCTCACTTCTGGCCGCTCGTACTGGAACAAGCGCCCCCCGAAATCGACCAGTACATCCTACCCCAAGACTCGCGCATCTTCGGCGAAAGCCTGATCAATCTCGAGGTGCGGCGGCCGGAACTCGGTGGCAATAAGGGCTTGGGGGATCCGAGAAGCTTGGCGTTCAAGTTTGAATTCCGACCGAACGATGACTTTGAAGATGCGGTGCTGGAAAAGACGTTTTGGTATCGCCGGGCGAGGGATGGGTGGACGGGGTTGGTCAGTGAACCCGTGAAGATCAATTGGAAGAGTGGGAAGGACATCACACAGGGCTTGACCGACATGGCGAAAGCGCTGTTCGATGCCAGGCGCAAGGCGGGCAACATGACGGCTACCGACCTACCCGAGTACACGGCGCTGAGGAACAAGGTGGAGTCGTGGGATGCGCTCAACACCTCCTTCTTCACGTGGTTTGGATCGGTCAGTGGGCGGCGATATGTGACGGAAGAGGAGAGCATCAAGGCGAATGAAGACCACGCTGCGTTGAAAGCGAGGCGGGCGGCGGGAGAGACAGTCGAGTTTCCCGAGGAGACGGACTCGGACGACGACGAGGCGGCCGAGGTTCACCAAGGCGGAGATGAGCTGGCCATCTCGATTGCAGAAGATCTGTGGCCGAATGCCACGAGATTCTTCACGCAAGCGCAAGAGATTGAGGAAATGTCGGATGCGGACTTTGAGGAGGATGAGGATGAGGATGACGAGGACGAGGCGGTGGACATTCGTGCGCTGGTGCGCGACAAGAGCGGCAGTAGTCGGGCGGCGAGACACGCTGATGAGCCGCCCAACAAGAAGCTCAAAAGGTGATGCGAAGGCGTCGGCATTTGCCTGATTTAGGTTTGCGGATGGCCGGAGGGGCGATGGCCTTGATTGCACCTCATCTGTGCACGAGACCTCCCCACGCCATGCCCGTCGAGAAATGCGAAATGTTACCGCCACCAGTTCAAGTCCAGTCCATGTCACCCCGAAAGTCACCCCGGAGAAATGAGGAGATATCCAACTTGCCGAGCCAAAGGGTCAGCCGATCAGCTATTCCATCAGCCTAGCTCGCGATGTAACCATTTCTGAGATGCACCGTGGCCCCGTGATTGGCGACGATCCCCGACAAGACTGGAAACCGCTTTCGCTGCTGAACAAAACAACGGAATCATCGAGATCCAACCGGCACAGTCAGCATGCACGACTGGTCCCTTACCCCGCATACGTCCCTGTAGCTTGCAAGGTCCTGCGTAAGGCTTCGTAGTTGCCGTCAGTGTCGACGCCCATCGTGTGCCATTTGCAGGTCGGGCAGCCGGTGGTCTGCCGTTGATGACGGCCGGCATGTGTAACGCGAGAGTGGCCGCCTGGGCGCTGATGCACGCATGACCCAACCGTGACGCGCGCATTTGTTGGGCGGGAGGGATTCAGTTAAGTATTAGGTAAAAGGTTGCCATCGACTGGTGGGAGCCGCGCAGGCGCGCCGCACAAAAACTTTGCACCATATCGCCTCATCCGCCCGCACCCTCGCGCGATCCCGAATCGGTGGGAGACACATTGAATGCGGCATTCGATCTTCTTCCCTCTCTCTGTTCCCATCTCGATTCTCACCCCTTCTTTGCTCAACAGCGATTGGACGGCGGAGCTGGAAGCAAAGCAAGACTCGATCATCACTCACACGTGTCGCCGTCTCCATTTCTAGCCGCATTGCGCCCCGTCTCCACCTTCCCCGTCCACATCACTGAGATTGATCCAAGGGTCGTTTTTCTTACCCGCCGCCGCTGCACTCGTGCTCTCTCGGAGGTGGGATCCGTCTCTTGGCGATCGACTCTCTTCTTTCCACCTTGCAACTTCACCTCCGCCGACTGTTGACTCTACCTGCCATCTTTCATTCACACCACCTTGATGGGCGAGAGGCTGTGAGCATTTCGCGCCGCACTGCTTGACGACTCGTGCATTTCGCCACATATCTGGCCCGTCCGTTGCTCGACTCCACATCAAAATCCCACTGCTGTTATTTTCCCGAAACCTCGACCAGACCCAAAGACCAATGCCTTCCCGGAGGTGATGACACCCAAAACGGTCGCGACCATCAACAGCACCGGGAGGCAAGCCGCTTCCTTCGTCCGCGCCGCCGCCGCCGTCGGTTGGAACGTGCGAGCCCAGATCCGGCACCGCGACGGCCTGGTCTTCGACGAGCTGTCCGAGTTCCCCAATGTCGAGTTCATCGATGGCGACCTCGCCGGCCCGGAGCGCGCCCGCATCCTCGCGCGCCTCTTCGCCGGCGTCAAGATAGCCTTCATCAACACCACGCACTGGGGCGATGAGGTGGCGATTGGCAAGGCGTGCGCGGATGCCGCGAAGCGCGCGGGCGTCGTGCACTACGTCTACTCCAGCATGCCCGACCACTCTGCGTTTGGCAAGGGGTGGAGGGCGCTGCCGATGTGGGCGTCCAAGTTCGCCATTGAGAACTACGTGCGCCAAATCGGCATCCCGGCTACGTTTGTTTACACTGGCATTTACAACAACAACTTCACTTCGCTGCCTTACCCTCTGTTCCAGATGGAGTTGCAGGATGATGGCAGCTTCATCTGGCAGGCTCCCTTCCACCCCAAGGATCCGCTACCCTGGCTGGACGCCGAGCACGACGTTGGCCCGACGCTATTGCAAATCTTCAAAATGGGCGCGAGTCACTGGAAAGGTCAAAGGTGAGTGGCGATGTGCACGGAGTTTAACAAAACCTATTGCATTTACTAACACGGCTATCAGAGTAACATTGGCCTTCGAAAAGCTGACGCCCATCCAACTCTGCGAGCGCTTCTCCCGCGGCGTCGGCCGTCCAGTAAAATACGTTCACGGCCCTATCGAAATCGCCGTCTCAATACCCAGCGGCTACCGCGAGCAGCTCGAAATCCTGCAAGAAACGCTCGGCGAGAAGCGCGCACCCTACTTCGGCCCGCTCCTGGAGTACCCGCGCGAAGGCCGCAGTATCTGGGAAGGGCACCGCGGGATCGAGGAGTACGCGCGCGAGGTCTTCCCTATCGAGGAACACGACAATGGCCTTCGGTGGATGGAAGACGGATTGCAGACGCCGGTGAGCGAGCGCAGCGATCTCAATGGCGGCACGGGGAGTCGCGGTCCTTCGCGGCCCATGACGCCTTCTGGCCAGCAGAGTCTGCACATTTCCGGGCACACGCCTCGGTCGCATCCGGAGGGCTTGCAGGACAATTTCTTCGTGGGGAGTTGCTGATTCATGCAGTGGGGAATGGTGATGGGGATGTCCGGACAGCTCAAAAGTTCCTGACAAGGCATACTTTCCGGAGCAGCATTTGTTGGGACTGGCATCATAAGGCAGCGCGGTGTCTGTTGTTTCTTCCTTTTTGCTTCCTCGGACGGTGGTGCTACATGGACGCATGCATGCATTGGGGACGAGACACGATTGCATGGAACGCAAAAGTCTTGGTCGTTTGATGCATTCTTAGTTGCAAAATAGCATGGGTTGGGTATATCGATGTAATTTGTTGACTGATGACGGTGGGAAGTGTTCACTGGAGGGATATGGAAGTCGATCGGTGGCTCTTTCCTGACTTGCGGACTTGTCGACGCCGTTGCCCCTTCCTCTCTCTGTTGCGCATCCCCAACCAGAAATCTGCTATACATGACACGCCAAACCACATCACCTGACATTCTTGCCCCCCTCGACTCCCTTCATTCTGCCCTCCACTCGTCCAACAAGATTGTGTTAGAGCCGCACAACAAACCTTGAGGCTGCTCTGCGCACCGGGGAAATTCGAAGCGGCTGGGTACCTGCAGCAGCCTAACGAAGCAACGTAATCCCGCCGCCTTCGCAATGGGTCTCTTCTCCCGCAAAACCTCCTCCAAGAGCGCAAACGACATCCCCAGCCAATCCAACAACAGCGGCACCCAGCACTCCCAGCCTCTTCCCAGATCCAGCGGCCGCGCCAGCATGAAACCCAGCAATTCCATCGAGACCGCGAGTCCTGCACACAATGTCTCGCTGCCTAAGCCGCCGGACGCCAGCCGCGATCCCGCTGGCTACCTGCGGAGCATTCACGCGGTGCGCGAGCGGAGCGCGCTGGTGTTTGAGAAAGCGAGGGCGAATCAGTTGCGCCATTTTGACGTGGACATGGCCAAGTTTGCGGAGACGGCGAGGTTTGTGACGGCGATTATCAAGGTTAGTTCATGAGTGCTCTTCCACTCTTGGGATGTTGATTCCCTACACTTTTGGTCTTGTCTGACGCTTTTGCAGCGAGACTTCGACCCGAATTATTCCAGCATACCACCCCATGGCCGATGGCAGCATTTCGACGTCGGAGGGCAACCCCGTGTCGATCAACTTCTCGCTTCTTGGCCTGATTCGATCGATGCCCTGGAACGGACGCGACGTCTGATTGACCTGTTCCTTGTGTCTGTACTGCTTGACGCCGGCGCTGGGACAGAATGGCAGTACAAATCGACTGAGAGTGGCAAGGTGTTCAAGCGGAGCGAAGGACTGGCTGTTGCGAGTCTGGAGATGTTTAAGACGGGTCTCTTCTCCAGCAATCCCAGTCAGCCCTTCCAGGTCGATAGTGCAGCTTTGAAGAAGCTTTCCATCGAGCGCATGGCGAAGGGCTTGCAGGTTACCGCCGAGAACCCGATCGAAGGCTTGGAAGGACGGACGAGTCTTCTCATCCGCCTCGGCGACTCTCTACTCAACAAGCAAATCTTCGGGGAGGATGCACGGCCTGGCAACATGTTGGACTACCTACTCAACCACCCCACCACGCAAGTTTCGTCCACCCCGATCGTTCCTCTCCCGACGCTCTGGACTACTCTGATGGACGGCCTGTCCGCAATCTGGCCCAACACGAGGACGCAGATCGATGGTGTGCCACTCGGTGATGCTTGGCCTTGCACATCCATGCCATCGAACCCAGCCCAACCATGGGAAAACATTGTGCCTTTCCACAAGCTGACCCAATGGCTGACGTACTCCCTAATGGTACCCATGCAAAAGATGGCCAACGTGCATTTCATCGGTGTCGAACTCATGACCGGTCTCCCAGAGTACCGCAACGGCGGTCTGCTGGTAGACACCGGCCTCCTCACTCTGAAGCACGAAGACCTGCAGCGCGGCTTGGAGCAATACCACATGAACGCCACACGACAGGGCCAGCCGAAGGTGGAAGTCGTCCCACTATTCACCGCGGACGACGATGTGATTGTCGAATGGCGCGCCGTCACCATCGGCTTCCTGGACATGCTCCTCGACGAAGTCAACAGCATGCTCGGCCTCAGCGGCAGCAAGAAGCTCAACTTGGCGCAAATGCTCGAAGCCGGAACGTGGAAGGGAGGCAGAGAGCTGGCGGAGGTCTCGCGGCCGAACACCAAGGAGCCGCCGATCATGATTCTGTCCGACGGCACGGTGTTCTAGGAAAGCTCGCTACTGTCTGGATGGGATGCGGAGCCTCCTTCGTGGATTATCGTCCATGATGACAACGCAGCCCCCTGGGCTTTGCCGGCTGCTGCGACGACAACGACGACGACGCTTCGTGTTCCGCGACCCGGGCGGAGTTTGTCGACGGATAGCGGGCTGGGTCCAGGTGTGTCCTGAGTCCTGTTCATGCGTGTGAGCGGCTGCTAAAGCTTCCGTCAGAAGCAGTGAAGCAAGCGGCGAGCGGGTACTCGAAGCGGGTGCTTAACCCGCCCATTGGTGATCATCCGCTTCGTGCGCATCCTGTGAAGAGGGATGCCCATGGTGCGGGGGACCGGGCCAGTAACGGTAGCTAACACTCTACTCGCCGTACGCGGATGGAGTCTCGATAAGTAGAGCACAAGGAAAGAAAGGCAATCGTGGCTACTAGAGCATGGCTTGGACTGGCGCTTCACGCGGTAATGTGTAATGTCTACGATGGCCGCAGAGACAGCAAATTACCACAGAACTTGAGCATGGTCCAATCTGTAAAGCATGGAACAAATGTGTTCAATCAAGGCCTAGCAAAACTCGTGTACACCGTCTCTTCTTCCCGCCTGATGCCTCTTCGTATGTCCTCACAGCAACGCCAGCCCAATCGCACTGACCACACTAGCCCCAATGACAACCCATCCCGTGGAATTCACCTTGGGATTCGTCATCATGCTCGCCGTATCCCACGCCAAATGCCTCAACCCATTCAGCGAATGAAACGTAAACGGCAGCGCAAAAAACAGCTTCGTGGCGAACTGCAGGGCAAAGGGCCAAGCGGCAAAGGCGGCCGCCATAGACGCGCTCTCGAGGTGCCAGCCGGCGTAGGGGGCGATGAGGTACGCGGTGCCGAAGAGGTAGAAGGCGCCGCTGAGGGTGCAGCCGGTGATGCGGTTCATGATAGACGGGATCCACGTTACTTGCCATTGGTAGATGCCGAGGTGGGGGGAGACGGGGCGGTTGAGGCGTTGTTGCGCGAGGATTTTGGTGTGCTCGCTGCTTTCGGAGATGGTGGTTGCTGTTGCTGTTCTGTGGGTGGGTGGTTAGGGCGTGCTCTTGCTTGGGTTGTGGAGGGGTGTGGGTGTTGTTGGGGGGAGGGCATTGGATCGGCTGGCTTCGACATACCTCCGCTGCGTCCTGAAGGCGAGACCGGTGGCGATTGCGGCGGGCGAGGCGAACTTGAAGGCTTGTTGCGAGGCGGTCACTGTGGTGTGCTCGGGTCAGCTAGGGGCATTGACTGAGGTCCGGGCCGGGGTATCGCACCTCGCCGCAGCGATTGGTGAATCACCCTCTGCGCCAACATCTCGACGGTAGGTGAAGGGGTACGCGGTCAACTGCAATGGAGTGGGGAGTGGTTGATGGAAGTGGTGATGTCGTAGCAATCCGTCTGTCGGCGGAGGAGCTCGGCATGGGAAATGCTCGGCAAACCGACCAATCAGATGGCAGATTCCCGACCCACCTCCCATCGCCTTTTCCCACACGTCGCTGCTGGCTTCTCCTCTTTCTTCCTTCCATCAAGCAATCTCAACGCACCGTTTGGACATTTCGCATGAAGACGCGGTTCCTCGCTCTTTTGGTCGAGCGTTCTGCAAGACCCGCGTGAGCGAGTAAGGGATTTCAATACCAATGACCCGTAGTTAATCGCGCATCACACCAGAGCGATGGTTCAGTGCGTTTCATTTCAGGGCGACACAAACATCTCACCCACTCGTCTCACTTCGACTCCTTTCGTCCTTTCTCTCGAACAGAACACGTGAGATTTGGACTTCCGTCGGCGTGCACGGTTTTGCTGCGCACGTGTAGGTTCATGCTTTTTTCTTTGAGCGGCAACACAACTCTGAGTCACGAGCATTGGTGATAGTTTTCTTCCGGCCACGCAGCAGTTGTTTGTGCTTGTGGTTCATTCAGACAGAACATAACAAGCGACTCCTTAGTGTCGTTCTGACTTGAGACAGCTGTGTGAATTCAGGAAACCTATGGCCGAGATAAGCAATGTCTCTGATGTTGGCCTTATATCAACTCTACCACCACCTCAGCTGAAGCATCTCTCCCATCTCATTCTCTCAACATTACCAACATGGGTGGTCATGCGTTTGCCCGAGCGTATGCTCCAGGCGCGCCGACGCTCAACACGCCTCGAATGGATCCGGCGGAGTACCATCATGTCAAAGATGTCTATCTCCAGAAGATCCAGTTCTGCCTCCAAGATTGCAAAGTGGCCGTCATGACCGAGGCACCCGACAAAGCAAGCTACGGAGACCTGGACATTCTCATTGCGTGCGACCGAACGATCGACTTCATCGACCTGGCCAACTCTCTGCGCGTCGCGGGAGTGATGTGCCTCAGCAGCAAGAAAGCCTCACTCGCAGTTCAAAAGGACGGAACAGCCAATCTGGGCCCAGTAACGGTCTACGAACAGTTTCTTGGCGGTAATCAAGACACTTCTTCACCCACCGTCACAGAGGAGGAGTACGCTCAGCTCGACATCGAAGTCGTCCCGCTGAATCTCTTCGAGTGGCATCGCTTCTACAGCTCGTACGGAGACATGGCTGGCATGATAGGACATATCTGTCACCCGCTCGGCTTCACCAGTGAGTCTTCCTACGCACTGTCCCATTAGACACGAGCTAACCACACAAAACAGTCAACGATCGTGGCCTTTGGCTTCGTCTGAAAGAGCTCGACTTCGTCAAAACAGTTCCCTACGCTGCCGCTGCAGATCGAGACGGCATGGTGTTCATGTCTAGCTGCCCAACTCGCGTGATTGAATTCCTAGGTTGCAGGGCGGACCAGTACGAAGCTGGGTTCCAGTCGCTTGAGCAGCTCTACGAGTGGCTGGCCAAGTGCGAGCTGCTGTCTCCAGACGCGCTCAAGGTCAGGCGTGACAAAGCACATGAGCGTGTCAGGGAGCAGACTCGTTCGGTTTACGCCGGCTTCTTCAAAGACTACCTGCCGAGGCATAGAGACATGCAGGGCGAGACTGATGCGGCAAAGAGCGCCGAGGTGGTGGCAGAGCTGCGAGAGACATGGCTGCAAAGGGCAATTCTCGAGTTCAGCAAGCGCGAGGAGTACGAATCGAAGCACGCCACTCTCGTGCGCGCCATCAACAACGGCTACGCCGGCCATCTCCTGAAGCCGCTCGTGATGGAGCACAGCCAGAAGATCGACAAACACGCCAACGAGATTCTCCGCGCCTTCCGGCGGCACGTCGCCTTCGACACGGCCAATCACCCCCATATCGCCCACACCGCTCACTCCGACGAGGAGTCGCAGCTCCACAAGTTTCTGACCGACGATCATGCGGCTTTGCGGGATGCGGAGGCGGCGAGTGTCTGGGTACAGATGAACTGGGAGGGACTGCGAGGACTGGAGAGGCAGAGAGGCAAGGGAGGCAGCCAGTAAGCCGCATGACTTCCCAGGGTCCAGCAAAGCACGCATCCGGAATGTCAGCCGGGCACACAGCTCGTTATCTTACGTCGATTGGCGCGTCGGGTCGATGTGGCGTGAAGCAATATGCACTTTCGGACCAAGTGCCGAAGCGTGCGTCGTTCGCGGTGTGTAGGCGCCCGAGAGGTCCCAGCACGGCATGCTCTACATTGCCAAGCGGGACTGCATAAGCCAAGGCGCACGCCGGTCTTGGCTCAACGTGGCCGCTCAGGTGGCGCAGAAGACTTTTATTTCCGAGTGAAGTATGGAAACGATCGAGTCATGTTGTTTCCTTTGTTTCGGTCTTTGAATTTCGAGCGGTCCCTTCGGCTAGGGGTGCAAACTCTCGGCGTGGTTGTCATTGCGTGGGGAAGCGGGATGCACATGGTGGCGTGAGCCTTTTGACCAACGGCATCTTCGTCACAAATGACCAGCAGGGATCTGCGCGACTTGGGCCGGAATGATCTGGCTGCGCAACCGAGGCAAAAAAGGCAGTGATGAAAGACGTGCAATCGGAGTTTGGTGCGGTTGGAATCCTCCTATGATAGCTGCCCAATACCGACAAGCTCCCTATCGCGCGTAAATTAAGTCCGAGCAGAAATAGCCGATGGGGCATACAGTGTCAGAGTATGCATATCTCGATGCCGATGCTTTGGGGGGGAGGGTTGGCCCCAAGGCGGCCGGCTTGTTTAGGTACTGTACCAGCCCAAACCTCAACGGGCATCGGTCTGCGAGCGAGACCAAGTCATTCGACGGCAGCTTGATTCTCATCGTGAGTCGCGTGATGGCGCTTGGCATTTCCCGGAAGGATCTGGTTGGAGGGATCTGGTTGTTTCTGAGTCATGTGGGGGACACGGCCAACTTTGGGAGGGATCCGCGCTCTTCGATCCTCTACTTTCGATCCTTTACTTTCTGCGATTTGGAAATGGGCAAGCTATGCCGGCGCGGCGTGCTGTTGTTGGTGGGAATCGTGCCACGGCTCCTGAATTAAGCGAGCTGATTTGCCATGCTGTGACTCTGGCAAGCAGACGGTACGTGGTTGTTGCCGTGGCGCGGTAGGCGGCGCCTTTGCGTCCCGAGCTCGTGGCTACCATGCGCGGCCAGATACTCACTACAACCCAGCATACAGGAGAAGTCTGGTACATTGGAGCACACGCTCCCATGGGCTGATGGCCGTGTCAACAGCGGGGGCTGGCTGATACCATCCCGGACTGTAATGGGGGCGTGGAGGAATCCATGGCCTTGTTGACGGGTGGTGGCCTTTGCAACGGTCATATTGGACACTGAGCTGGCTAGGGTGACGCTTAAAGCAGACGGTGCTGCGCTCAGTGCCGATCTACAGCATTCCGCACCGGATGGGTCAGCGAATGCATGAGAGTGCAAAGCATTTGCCGTCGCAAGCGCGGCCAGCTGAGTGGCTGCAGCGAGGGGCGCTCTCGGCCAAAACATCTCCCGGGCCTGACAGGCAGAAGAGGGCCCGTGGGGGTGGATGAGGGCGGGCGTGGGTGGGCCAAGGCTTGGGCGTGCTCGGCAAGTGCGATGGGGGGCTAGCGCGGTCGGTCTTCCCTTTATTAAGCTAAATCAGGTGTAGAGGCATCGCCGCTCCGATGAATCGCCATCGTCCGTCGCCTTGCTTGGCGGGAGAATGCGATGCGGTGGAACCAGGCCCGGGGGGAAGTGTTCCAGCGTGCACCACCCCTTCGTGGGCCTCATGCCGCTTGGCGAAGAGGGCCGGCGCGAATGCGAACCGGCATTTGATGGGGTTGGGTGGCGGAAACGTCGCCCGCGCCCGGTGGGGTGGGTCGGCGCAAGGGCATGCGCTGCAGAGCACTTGATTTGACTGCCGACACCAACGCCCACTCGCCGTCCGCAGGTCGAGCGCCCAGTTGCGCCGCGCGACTCTCAATCGAGCCCGACTCGAGACAATCAGCGGCACGCTTGTCCTGGAATCTGCCTCACGCATCCCGCCAGCACTCAACCCCCTCAGGTACCCTGGTTGGTGCTTCTCATCATCACTTCCGCGCCTCGGGGTGGTTGTTTGGGACCGCAACAATGGTCGCATCCGCGATGCTGGACGCTGTCCGGCCTACATGGTACGCGCTTACCCCGACATGGCCACTCGCTCTCAGGTAGGCGCCATATCGGTGTGCAAAAGGTTGCGACCCCGAAACCGCCCCGGGCCCGAGCTACGTGCGGTGGCGCGCATGACGGCGGAGAAGCGGCCGCGGGGGCTCTGCGAGACCGTTGCCCGACTCCGCGAGAGCCCATGCACAGGTGCTTGGACTTTCACCCGTCAAAATGCATCACGATTACGTAGCGCCAGTTAGCTCGATTGGAGCTGGAGCATGCGTGCGCGCGGTGAAGGGGGGGAAAGTCTTGCGGCACGCGCGAATCACCATGCATCTCCGCCCGCGCTGCCCTCTCCGCTCGCTCTCGCCCCCCAAGCTCAGCTGCGCCTGGGGTGTTGACCCTATTGCTGTATCCTGGGTCTCAAATCCCGAGGCATCTGGGGGAACGATACGCTCGTTGGCCATCCCTGAACCCCCGGCGAGCCGCTTGGAGCAAACTCCGCTCTACAGTGCATGTGCTGCGCTCAGGTACTGTGGTACTTTTCCCCGCGCATTCTTATTAGCGCTGGCCCTGGCTCGTATCCCGATGGTCTCAGTCAGTCATCTGCCCTCGCTTTCGCCGAGTCAATCCTGGCGATCATTTGCCCTCTTCCCACTGGCCTTTGCTCCCTGACTCGGGTAGCACCCCTGCTCCCCAAGCCCTGCCCGCTTCCACGTGCAGTGGACTTCATATCAACCCGACCCACCCTCGCGTGTGGCACATGCTGTCCTGCTTTGAGTGACATCTACGCCGTCCTCACGCTCTTTGATCTCACTTGTGTCGTATCGTTCCTCCTTCCTTGTTGAGCATCGCCCAAGGCATCCACACCATCGCCTGTCCGCTTTGGGTCACGGTAAAATATAAGGCTGGATCTTGCATCTGCCCCGTCCTGACGAGGCTGTCTGTCTTCCTGGGCGTGCTCGACGGTGCTTCGACGATTGGCGTTGCACCTACTGCGTCCCCGTCGTCGACGAGAGCATTCCGTTACTGCTGGCGACGAATGCAGATTGAATCCCTTTCTGCCATGACATACGAGAGGAATTTTTGATTCGCCACCTACCCTGGACGCATCCCATCAGCTCGCGAAGGCTGATCTGAGGAGCGATCATGATCATGCATCAACCTAGATACCCGGTGACGTCCCCAAAATCACATGGAGTCCACACGCATACGCCCGCTCGACCCATGGACTGGTTGCGAGGTCTCTACCCACAGCCTTTGCCACAACCATCGCGACCGCAGCCCCTGGAGCCCAGCTGCAGGACCTCATTTCATTCGTCATTGTCGGAGAAGACGGGAATGCTGAGTCTGCAGGAGCGTTCTCGACTTCACCAGTTCCCCACGGACAACCCCCCGCGGAACATGAATCTCCCCGCCCTTCGAGATGTCCTGCCCGCGGAATCGTACCCTTCCAAAACGAGGCCCTACACCAACCCGCTGCCTGGGCCCCCTTCCTCTTTCGGCATTGATGCAACGCGCAGACCGGCAACGATTCACCCGCCTATGGTGTATACTGACGAATCCATCCACCCCCCAATGGTCTACCACTTCGACCCCACCCACCAGCCATTACCCTTCCGTCCTCCCCACCGCATCAGCAATGGCTATCCGCCTCCTCTCCGTCAACCGTACGAAGGGCTGAGCCCGACAGACGGACAACCTACTCCCCCTCGCACCATTTCTCCACGCACCGCTTACCATGACATGCCCCGCACAGCTCAAGACCACACGGTGGATGGCACTTTCCAGCTGAGACCACTCGTCCCGAACGGGCATCTCCATGGACACCAAGTCCTTGGCCACCCGCACGACGAGGCTCCTCCTGCCATGCATGCCGTCGCATCGTACCCACCACCGAGCAGAAATTCCATCCCGATTGCCCAGCCTGGCGGCGAGGACCACGGCAAGTACCTTGGCATTGATCAAAGACGTGGCGAAGGCAAGATGCATGTTTTTGAAGACGGGTACCGCATACCATTCCAAGTCGATGGCGAGCTGGTCAATCCGGCTTGGGGTTTGACCAAGGTGAACAAGCCTCGCAAACGCTTGCCGATTGCTTGTCTTGGCTGTCGGGAGAAGAAGATCAAGTGTGAACCGGGCAGGACAAGTTGCATACAGTGTGAGAAGGCCATGCGCGAATGTCGGAGGTAAGGAGTGATTCCACCCAGGGGTATGTTGAATTCGTCTCCGCTGACACGTAGCAGGGCTCCGGAAAAGTACGCCCAGCCGGATACGCTTTCGAATACTCATTACATCGGCGGCTCGCCGGTGCGAAACGAGGCGTCTGCGGTTGACACTGTACGCGCCGCACACCGCAATAGTGACTTTGACTCGGTGAGCAAACGTCGAAACAGGGCAGACTCTCCGAGGAGACTCGAGCCGAGCAAAAAGCAAAGAGACGTGTCGCCGGCGTCCGAAGATGCTTCGGACAGAGACAACCGTACGCAGCGAGCACGCGCAGAAGCGCATGCAGAGGGTGGCCAGACGGACACATTGCTCGACAAAAACGCATTTTCCCTGGAAAACGACCCGTACGCCGTTGATCCCGAACTGACCGTGCATCTCGTTGAGATGTACTTTGCGAATGTCGACAACATCGTGCTCCCTCGCCTCCATATCTTGCAGTGGTTGAAAACTTCACCGAACAAGTGCACCAACGAGAAAGCCATTCTCTACGCCATGCTCGCAACGGGCTCCGTTTTCGCCGGCCCAAGTTACGAAAAGGTGGGAAAGGAGTGCTCCCGGATTGCCAACACACCCATGACGCATCAAACCGGGACCATTCGCGTATCTTCCATAATCAGAAAGCTACTTCAGGCTTGTTACCACTACACTCAGGACGACCATGAGAACTCCGCAGAATGTGTCGGCTCGGCGGCTCGAAAGGTGGCGACCATGCATTTGAATACGGAAGATGGGTGCTTGGAAGACGCCTCCTCCGAAGGCCAACGATTCGAATTTGGAATGTCGGCGACACAGCTGACGGAGTGCAAACGTCGCCTGTTCTGGTCGGTCTTCAAGTGCGACCGACTGTCCAGAGAGACGGCGTGCATGTTGAGGTCTGAAGACGTCTTCCTTCGTCTGCCGTGCTCGGACAAGACATATGAAAGCGGCGCGCCGTCGAACGCGCCCTTCTTTGCAAACGACATCGCGGAGTCTAGTGGTGCACAAACGGGGTCGTCCAGTGATGCTTCTCCAATGGCATGGCTCCTGCCGGTCCTCGCAGTATACGGCGACGTCGGCGACTTCATGTTCCGCGCTTCTCACCGATCCGACGCCACCTATCGCGACGCCTACGAGGCCTTCTACACCTCCACGCACAAGCGCCTGCAGGAATGGCTCGAAAATCTCCCCGACACGTTCGAGTACAAGCTGGGCAACCTCGAGCGGAGTCTGCGCGAGGGCTACGGCGACACCTTCATCCTCGCGCACCTCCTCTACCACTTCACGCTGGCCAAGCTCAACCGCTACGTCCGCCACCGCCTGATCCCCGACTCGGTAGTGCGCAACATCCGCGCGGCCAACAACCACGGCCACCAAATCCTGCGCATCGTCAACGCGCTGCAGGACACCATCGCCACCAGCCCGGCCATCGCGGACGCCGACACGCCCTACGCGTGCAGCAACCCCTTCGTCGGCCACGTGGTGCTCGCCGCCATCGACATTGTGTCCGCCGGCGGCCTCGACTCGGACTTGCGCGCCACGCAGAACGAAATCTACGGCGCGCTGGCGTACCTGCGCACCCTGGAGCGCTACTGGTTGCCGATTCACGGCGTGCTCCGGGACTGCGAGACGCGCTACTACCAGGTGGAGAATGTGGTCAAGAGCCCGCGCAACGCACGCAGCGGGTGTTGGCTGGGGCGCAAGTGGGGGATCAAGAGTCCGTTGGTGTCGATGGGGGAGGCGCGGGATGATTGTATCTATGGGCTTGGGGAGCAAGAGGCGGACGAGGCGGAGCAGAGGTACTACGATGCTTTTATTGAGGCTTGAACAGGTTTGGAGGGGAAGCATTTGCTTGGGAGGATGAATTTAGGGAATAGCTGGCTGGCGGGGTTTCGGTTTGTCTTGGGGTGCGTTGGTGTCTATACGAGAAACGACAGATTTTGGGACTATTGGAGGTGTTTCGCTTGTGCGCAATGGTGATGAACAAGAATACAAATGGGAAAAGGGCTGGATGAACGATAACGTTACCCGAGTGAGGGCGAGGGCGGCAACTCTGTATTACTTTTCGGCTGTCAGCGAGAGAGCGGGAATCAACGATGATGAACATTCCTCCCAATCCATTGTTTGCTTCAGTGATACCGTCTCCCCAACATCTTGGCCTCCCGATCGAGTGCTTGCGTCCACGTGTGCCGGCGTCTTGGCCTCCCGACTCACGCAGAGCTGGGATGAAGACATGACTCGTGGTAGATGCCATGCTTCTCGCCACTCGCTGCTTGCACTGCTTGGCAGCCTCCCCCGGCACTTCCAAGCCTTGCCCTGGATCGCTGCGCAGAAGCCCCACAAATCCATGTACTGTACCAGCGATTATCCGCGCGCGTTCCCTGCCTGATGCGTGCTGGCTGTGGTTTAGAGCGACCGCCACACAGCCCTATAGCTGTCCGGTAGTGCTGATTCTTCAGCCGCGTGGGGGTTTAGGACGCGCCAGGCAGGCAAAGTACCGGACATCATCGCTCGGCGCCGAGAAGACATGACTTAATTGCACCGCGGGGTACGCGAGATCGCAGCAATTCTTGCCCGACTTTGCGCCAACATGAAACCATGGGCGTCATCGATGGGTGAGAGGGTGGGTTTGGGATCGTGCATCGCATGCCTTTCACCCGCGGTAGCCCGCGGCCGCGATGCAGTTGGCGATTTGCTCCCGGCCGTTAGTGTGTGACAGGGTGAGCGATCACAGGCGCGAAGTGGTTCTGCTGCCCGCCATTCGTCGCTCACAGATTGAAAGAGTGCCGAGGCGGCATTAGGCTGAGATCAAAAGGTCAAATGTCGTCGATGCACGTCGCCTCACTTTGCCCTGCTTTCACGGAGACGCGCCCGAGACCCTGCAGCTAGCCCAGTTGCCGATGAGGCACGTCGGTAGATTGAGGACAGTCATCGCTGATCGCCGGGGACAATTCCCCGGTGCCATCCTGGCCCCCACGGTCTTATGTCGGCAGCATTGTGGGCTGCTTTCGGCACTCCTGGCAGACGAGTCCCGGGACTTCCGGGCGCAAATTATGGAATGAAAGATGTCGTGTGATCCGACCTGCTCCCTACCTTATGCGGGGGTTCGCCAGGTTGTGATAGTGCCGGCGGGAGTTCCCTGAGGTGCGGCGGGCGGAATCTTGGGAGAGAAGGAAGTCGGCAGGACGGACCGACGCGTTTGACGCTAACCCGATATGGCACACGTGGAAAGCTTCACCTGGTCGCGACACTTCTTTGTATGGAGCAAGCTCATCAGCAGATGTGTATCGACGCCATGCTTGTCCCGAGTTCCATTCACCTCTTGGCCATGAGCTAGACATCACCCCTGGACTCATCACTGGAACACTAACTCACGCAGCTCGCCGACCCTTCCTCAGGCCCGTGTCTGGACCGCGGGACTTGCAACCATGTCCACCACTGCACTGGTGAGGTCGCCGTCGTCCACGACCGCCTTGACTGCCCCAACCGCACAGGTCAAGCCGACTTCGTCGTCATCAACATCATCGGCGCTCTTGCCGAAGCTAGGCTCAAGCCCACCGCAAAAGACCACCGGATCCCCGAAACCAGGCACACCAAAGCTTTCACAGCAGCAACAACAACAACAACAACTCGCCGCAAGCTCGACACCAGGACGATGGCAGCATCCACGCCTCAACGAAATCACTCAGCGACAGAGCCGGACCAATTTCGACAGAAGTAATGTCTTCGCCGTCCTGTGGAGCTGCTTCTTCCTCTTCCTCTCCTTCGGCGTGCATTCCGTGCTGCACACCGTGTACGTGCTGCCCCACGCTTCATCTTGACTCGATTGCTGATAACGTATTCCAGAGTACCAACAAATACCCTTGTATCACTCGGCAAGACCCCCACTTACACCCTCCTTGCCACCCGCCTCCTCATCCTCGCCAACATCACCCTCTCGCTCGCCCCGCTCTTCCGCACCCCAGACGCCTGCGAAGACATCCCCCTCAGCCCCACCCAACGCAAACTCTTCGGCCTCCCCCCGCTCTCACGCCCAGCGACCCCGCAAGAAAAAGAGCAATGGGTGACGCCGCCGCGCTACGCTCGCTCCGCCTCCGGCACCCCGCTCAGCGCAACTAGCAGCCTACAGCCCGAAGTCTCCGGTTCGCCCCTGGACTTCAGCGGACGGAAGAGCTCGTTTCCCAATTCGCCTGCTTTTCGCTCGCCGAGTGGGTCGCCTGCGAGTGCAATGGGGACACGGCATGGGAGTGGAGAGCGGAGGCGATTGAGTTATACTGCTACTCGCAGCTCGCCGCTTAGTGTCAGTGAGTTCGATGCGGCGGGGAGTGTGAACACGCCCACGAAGACGAATCACCGCGCGAGTGTGGGGTTGAACAACAAGTGGTTGTATGAGAAGGGCAAGGCGAATGGGAGTGGCTGGGGCACGGGCAGTGTATTTTCGTAGCGAATTGCATATGGAGACTAAGCGCTTCTTACGATGCTTTCCATCTCCAAAGTTCAACAAATATTCAGTGAGTCTATCGCAAAAGGGGTATATCCAACTCGCCCGCTCAAACAATCACCCAAACGCAGTGCCATCTCGTCCATCATTCACCACAAAAACCGTCCGACCCTTCCCCTCATCAAACCCTACAACCCCCAACAATTCCCTCCCTCCCCCCTTTCCTCCCTCATGCAAAGCACACCTCCCACTCTCCAACACCCTCCAATCCCAAACCTCCACCCTCGCCCTCCACCCCCCTCCATTAACCCCAAGCAACCCCGCAACAACCTCCCTCACAGCCCGTCCCCTCCGCCCCTCAACCAGCACAATCTTCCGCATCCCCGCGAACGCCTGGCTCTCCGCCACCACCGGGCCCCGAGCAGGGTAGGCAAAGCAATCCCGCTCCCAGTGCGCGAGGCTGCGCGTGAGGAGCACATCGTGCTGCTGCGTCAGCAGGTCGTGCATGATGTAGGGTGTGCGGGCGATGCAGGGCGCGGCGTAGACGGCGGCGTCGGAGAAGAGGCAGGTGCTTGTGCTGCATTTGCGCTTTTGCGGGGCGGGGGAGAAGGCGGTTGAGCAGGCTGTTGGGGTGCTGCGGGTGGGGCTGGGGATGAGGCGTGTGCTGTTGAGGGGTGGAGGGGTTGATGTTGTCGTTGGTGGTGGTGGGAGCGTGGGAGCCGTGTTTGTGATGTCTGACAGAGCGGAGGAAGTAATGTTGAGACCTCCGCGGATGGGGTGACGGTGCTGATCGTTCAAGCGGCGCTTCTTTGCTGAGGGGCAAGGCGTCGGATGCGTTTCCAGTGACTGCGGCCTGACCCTAGCTGGGGATACCTCGATAAGTGTGGTACCATCCAGCTCAGCAGGCGACACCATCAGCCTAGAACGCTTCCCTCTCGCACTACCACCGTTGGTAGTCCGCGACCGACGTGAAGAAGCAGGCGTTCTAGTAGACCCAGACCGCGGCGTAGTCATTCGATCCCGCTCGGCTTTCTTCTTGCACTTCACCGCCAATTTTTCGATTAAATTCCGGGTCTCCTGGGACTCGCCAACCTCCGGTGCCTCTCGAGCAGCAATCGCCTCGACTTGGAGCTCTTGAACGGAAATGCACTCCTTCCAGCTACGGTCCTGGTGCAGCTTCTTCACGCGCGGGTGCCGGAGCATGAAATAGTTGCAATTGGGCGGTTTCACGTAGCCGGAGCCGAGGACTTCGAACACGAAAGGGGTGTTGAAGATGGTGTTCATGCTTGCGTTACGTAGCGGCGTCTCGATGTCGAAGTTCGCTGGAGGAGTACGGGGGATGTACGGCTCTGCACAGAAGCCGCCGAGGGCATTCGCTGCCTGCAAGACTGCTCTTGGGATGCAATGTTTTGCAGGGATTGAGCCGACGATTCTGAACTTCGGGCGGGCGTCGTACCGCTCAACATCGGCTTTGTTGAGCAGACAGCCTAGATGAAACGTCGTCCAGCGTATGTTCGGAAGGCCGAGATCGAGCGCCTGCTGGGCATCGTAACTCGCCCCGACAACCGCAAAATCCGCTTCATCCCCCATGCCGTCGATGTAGTCTTTCTTCAATTTGATATGTCCGTCGATCGCTCCATCCGACTTCTGCCCCAGGTTGAAATATGGCATGTTGTACGGTTTGAGAACTAGACCCTCACACCGTGCTGCAATGGATGCCGCAAACTGCTCCATCAGTCTCCGTGCAGCGGTTGCCTCCTGGCGGAAATCGATGACTTTCCATTCGGCGCCCATCGCTCGGCCGCTGATCTTGGTGTAGACCTCTCGAAGCCGGATACGACGTTCTGCCAGCGGCTTGTTCAACACCACTTCGTCGTCGAGAAGCAATAGATCGAAGAAGACAATCGCGAGGTGCTCATCGTGATGAGGAAGGGAGTCCGCATCGGTGCCGAGGAAGACTCCGGATCTAGAGACGTGCTTGCGTATCTTTTCAAACGGCAGGACGCTTCCCTGTCTATCTGAGTGCACAACCAGTTCGCCGAGGAGGATCGCTCGGTTCCTGATCTTCCGTTTCGAACTGTCTAGAGACAGGCAAGTCACCAGGGTAGGAATAATGTCTTTTCGGTCATCAGTCGAGTCTTTCCCGCTCTTCGAAAAGATCTTGATGCATTCCCGCGGCTCGGGCGAATGCGTCATATCGATGTGAATCTCGCAGTACTCGCCATCGTACTTCCGTTCCAGTACCCACGGCTGCCTCCCACACATGCTGATACAAGCATCGATGCTCCGTGCCTTGAAGTAGTTGGGTCTGCCGACCTTAACGCCAACGAGCGGCTTGAGCAAGACAGCAGCGCTTTGACGGAAGGGTGCCTCCGATCGAGGATCGGGGCGCGGAGGAAAGTGCTTCAGGGGCCCTTTCAACTGTCGAAGCGCTGCTTCAAGGGAGTTTTGGAAGCGGAGAAGGTCTGGAAGGAGGAAATGGAAGGACTTCAGAGTCCAATAATCGTCCAATTCGACGGGGGAGAAGTCTTTCAGGATCAGGCGACTGAGCCACTTGCCCTGCGAGGGATGGAGCCGTAGGACAGCATTCCTCACCGCCCGATCTCGTTCCTCTGATGAACTGGGTGGCAGTCTTATGTTCGGATCGGAGAATCGACATCGACCAGCGAGAAGGGCAAGAAGGCCGTCTACCTCGTCCAGACTGACAACTGGTAGAGCTGGAGGTCCGCCAGACTTCAGGACTCGCTCGAGGCACTGTCCCAAGTCGCCTCCGCCACGTTGCCTCCAAGCCGTCAGGTCCTTAGCACGAGCCGCGCTCAATCCAAGACATCGACTAAGTACTCTAGTCAGTGACGGAGCCTGCAGGCTGTACACGCGATCCGGGCGTCGTTCCGGGAGGAAAGTGGAGAGGAATGCAACAGCACTCTCTGCATTTAGACCGTCAATCGCTGCGCGGTGCGACTTGAACCAGGAGTCTGTCACGCGTCGGATCTCTGTATTCTTATCTGCGGGCGAGAGGATTGGAGGGATCCTCAGCTCGATGTCCTCGAGTCGCGAGAGCAAGGTGCATATTTCGGAGAATGGGAAGGTCATGGTGATATGCCTGGAGGGAGGGCCAAGATGTGTAATGCATAGAACGGGAAGGATCCAAGACAGGCCATTATGGGGGCTGGCAGTAGTACATGTGAAACGACATGAAGTATGGGAGGTGGTGTGAAGGCACGTGAAGTCGGGCGCGAGTGAATCGCGTCGTCCGCTTTCGGCTAAATTTATCGCCCAAAGAGGAAAGCACAGGCCTTACGGCGTGATGAAGTCAATGACATTTGAGCAATTGTTCCTGTGGAATATTTGATCGGTTTATGATGAACCAAGGTGCTGATGCTTGCTTCGGTCGATTCAGTGTTGTCCCACACGTCTTCCCTCGCTGCACTCGTTTGCCCCAGTCATGCCCCAGCACCAACCTTCTTCCCACCCAGCGAAATCATATCCAAGAAGCCCTGCTTCGACATCTCGTTGATCGTCTCCTCTCGCTTCTGCATCCCTACCACACCCTCATCCCGCGCCTGCTTCATTCCTTCCGCAGCCTTGACCTGCGCAGCTCGGACGGCATTGAACAATCGCACCACACCCCTCTGCGCCGTCTTCTTCAACCTCTTTTCTTGCTCCAGCAGGGCCCCCGTATCCACATTCGGTCGTTCCAAAGCCAGCACGTCTTTTACTCGTCCCTTCTCCAGCGCCTGCTTTTTCTCTGCTCGAAGAACCGCACGGGCCTTGTGGTCGAGCTTCGCATCGGCGACTCGTTGAGTTGTGGCGGCCGTCTCTTTACTCCGGCTCAGGATAGGGTCCAGTCGCTTCGGCTGCGTGAGTTTAGTTGACAGGATCTTGGAGATGCTGGTTGCGAATGCATCGGGATCGTTCCGCTTCTTTTTCGCTTTTGTCGCTGCGCTCGACGTTATCGATACGCCATCTTCGGACTCGGCTGGCTCTGAGTCTGACTCTGCGTCCGAGTCCTGCTCTGCATCACTCGCCTCTTGCTCTTCATCATCAGCGACGACGTTCAGGGCGGTATTGCGATCCACTTCATCGAGTTCCACGTCTTCTTCGCCAGAGGTCGGTTCTGCTTCCGCCGGATCCGGTTTGGGCTTCTGAAGCCTCGTCTTCAAGATGGACTTTGGTGTTACGGTGTTTGCACCTGTCCGCGTTGGTTGCAGATGAAGGTAAATGTCCTCGTCGGCCTCCGCCTCTTCATCTTCGGAGCTGTGGTAGTCTGTCTGTCGTTTGATCCTCGGTTTCTTCTTTGGCCGCCGCGCCTCATCTTCGGACTTTCGCTTCGTGTGCGAGGTTGGCGCCATGATAGTCTCCGTACTAGAAATTCCTTCCAGCGATTGTTTAGTTGTTGTTGTCTGTAGAGAAGCGAGGGAGCTGGAATTTTCGGAGGACTTTCTGATGCCAAGCCACATCCCCGCGGCCAATGTCCCACAGGTTTTGCACGCTCACGGTAGGGTCAATAATGAAGCAACCTTACCACACTCTTCGACGGTGTTTGACAGACACGCCGCATTCAAATCCTAATTCGTCGTCCACGGCTGCCATACCCTCACTCCTCACTCCAACCGCCAGCATGGTCCTTCAAGACCTCGGGCGGCGCATCAACGCCGCCGTCACCGACCTCACCCGCTCGCCCACCCTCGACGAAAAGGCATTCGATGGCATGATCAAGGAAATCTCCAACGCTCTCGTGGAAGCCGACGTCAACATCAAACTCGTCTCCTCGTTGCGGAAATCCATCAAAGCCGCCGTCAAATTCTCCGAGCTCCCCGCGCACGCCAACAAGCGCCGCATCATCCAGAAAGCCGTGTTCGACGCCTTGGTCGACATCGTGAATCCGCATCAGACCCCGTACAACCCCAAGAAAGGCAAGGCGAATGTCATCATGTTTGTTGGTCTACAGGGAGCGGGCAAGACGACGACATGTACGAAGCTGGCGCGATGGTATCAGGCGAGAGGGTTCAAGACGTGTCTCGTGTGCGCCGATACCTTTCGAGCAGGTGCTTTCGATCAGCTCAAGCAGAACGCTATCAAAGCCAAGATCCCTTACTACGGATCACTCACACAAACCGACCCAGTCGTGGTGGCGCGAGACGGAGTGGAGAAGTTCAAGAAAGAGCGATTCGAGATCATTATCGTGGATACATCAGGTCGACATCACCAAGAAGATGCGCTGTTTGCCGAAATGGTGGAGATTCAGACAGCGGTGCAACCCCATCAGACGGTCATGGTTTTGGATGCTTCAATAGGTCAGGCTGCAGAAGCGCAAAGCAGGGCGTTCAAGGAGACGGCGGACTTCGGAGCCATCATCATCACCAAAACCGACGGCGCGGCAGCAGGAGGTGGGGCGATTTCCGCCGTCGCAGCAACGCACACTCCCATCGTCTTCATCGGGACCGGCGAGCACTTGCTCGACCTCGAAAAGTTCAACCCGCAATCCTTCGTCTCCAAACTCCTCGGCATGGGCGACATGCAAGGGCTCGTCGAGCACGTGCAGAGCCTCAAACTGGATCAAAAGGAGACGATGAAGAACATCAGCGAAGGCAAATTCTCGATCCGCGACCTCCGCGACCAGCTGCAGAACATCATGAAGATGGGCCCGTTGTCGAAAATGGCCGGCATGATTCCCGGCCTCAGCAATATGATGGGCGGCATGGACGACGAAGAAGGCAGCATGAAGCTCAAACGCATGATTTACATCTGCGACAGCATGACGCAGAAAGAACTCAACAGCGACGGCAAGATCTTCATCGAGCAGCCGACGCGAATGACGCGCGTCGCCCGAGGATCGGGCACGTCGGTGCGCGAAGTGGAAGAGTTGCTGACGCAGCAGCGCATGATGGCCGGCGTGGCGAAGAACGCAAAGACCAACATGGCCAAGATGCAGAAGGCGCAAGGGGCGATGAGCGGAGGGAATCGACAGCAGCAGATGGCGGCTATGCAGAAGCGGTTGCAGAGCATGGGCGGCGCGCCGGGCGGGATGGATTTGAGTTCGATGATGAAGATGATGGGCGGTGCTGGCGGTGGTGGAGGCGGGGGAATGCCGGATATGTCGAAGATGATGTCTATGATGGGCATGGGTGGTGGTGCTGGTGCTGGCGGCAAGCGATGATGTGCTTGGGTTGTGCAATATCACGGGTTGGTGCATAGCGATGGCGTCCACGCCTTTCTATCTGAGAGGCATACGTGCCTGAAATGTCTATTCAATTCATTGAACTCCTCATGTACAACGTTGATGCCCCGTCCTTTGAAATAGACTGTGGCGGACCTCGCGCCGCGAGACGAAATATGCAGCTCCTCATCTACATTTAACAAAAAACGCGCCGCCTCCAAACAAGCCCCCTCACAACTTCGAACTCCCGACCGAATCCAAAATGCTATTCATCTCCCACCGCGGATACTCCGGGTTATCCTTGGGATCCGGGCGATGGCGATCCCACGCCCACTTCTCGGCCAAGTCGGCGGGCAGCGCGCCCTCGAGCATCTGCACGACGTACTTGCCGAGGACAGGGAAGAACTTCCAGCCGTGGAAGGAGCCGCAGGTGGCGACGTAGAGCCCCTGCGCAGCGGCGTGGGGGGAGATGATGAAGTCGGAGGTGGTGGTGAAGGCGTCCCTGATTAAGATATGTGTTAGTGCTGAGAGGGGTTGGGTTGGGCGGGGCTTTTGGCTGGCACAACGTACCAGCAGATGCGGTATTTGTTCATCTTCCAATCGGCGCCCTTCTTGCCGTAGAAGACGTTGTTGGCGTCGTCAATGTCTTTCTTTAATCGCGGCGGGACGTCCCATTGGCCGTAGTCTGGTTTTGCGGGCGGCATGGAGATTCTGCGGCCTGGGAGGACTTCCCTTGTGTTTGTGAAGATTGTTGGGCCCCACCACTTTAGTTCGTGGTCGGGGGTGGGTGGAAGGCTGCCGAGGAATGGACCTGGGTGGGATGGGTGAGTGTGCGCGTCCTTGGAACTACGCAAATGGATGGATTCTTACCGATCTCAGCCGGGTATCCTTGCATTCCCACGGGCATCTTGGCGTGTTTCTCGTATGTCTTGTCGTCGAGTTTCGTCAGACCAGTTGCGATGCCGCCAGCAACGATTCTGCCATCGGCTCGAAGCGCATTCCGTCCGCTGTCGTGGGCGCTGAGTTCCAGAAGCTTTGGTGTGAATGCGCCGGTGGAGAGGATGGTGTGCGAAGCAGTCAATTTCCTCCCATTCGCAGTCTTCAACCCCGTACACCGACCAGACCCATCAAACTGCAGCGAAGCAACCTCAGCAACAACATACTTCACCCCCAGCTTGATCGCCTCCCGCGTCACCGCCTGCAGACAATCACCCGCGGCGCCCCATCCACTGGTATTATTAATAAGAACCTCCGTCACGCCCGAATAATCCGCATGATCAAACAAGCCATCATGCATCTTCTTCGCCTCCTCCACACTCACAGCATACAAATCCGCCTTGCGCCCCAGCTTCTTGTAATTGTCAATCACCTTCTGCGCATAGTCGCCGCGACACGTCCAGAAGATGCCGGTCTCGTGGAAATACGGCTTCCACAGCGGGTCGGATTTGAAAATGTCTTGCGACTCGATGCCCATGCGGCAGTAGACGAGGTCGTCGTAGTCGGCGCGCACCACTTTGTTCCAGTCCCACGAGGCGGCGACGCGGCTGTCGGCGTCGTAGGCGTCGCGGTCTACGAGCGTGATGCTTGCCTGGGGGTATTTTTGGATGAGATAGTAGGCGGTTGAGACGCCGAAGACGCCGGCGCCGATGATGAGGTAGGATTGGTCTTTTGCTGCCATGTTTGCGTTGAAGGATGGCGGCGACGAGGGGAAGTCTACGTCTCGCGAGGGAAAATCACGGGCGCTATCATGGGCATTATATTTTATCTTCGTCAGGCTGGTCGCTGGAAAGTTTGGCCGTTCTCGGGAGGCGAGCGAGGTCGAGATTGTGGGGAGAGTGAAGGGAGGGTCTGCCTTCCCATTGCGGTAAGAAAACGCAGGTCCACTGAAAGAATTATGGAGACGCTGGGACGACACTCCTTCTCCCGAACAGAGATACATGAGAGATACGTGGGCAGATGTCACACTCCTTCCCGGTGACTGCTTCTCTTTTGCTTCGGTCTGGAAATACCACAGGCGATCGCCATCCTCCGTGTCATCTTGCAAGACCTTCATGGCCATGGACTGAAGAATAGAGATTCGGCCATGATAAGAGGAATGACACCATCAAAGCTATGGCAGCAGTTAACGACCTCGACCGCTCTTTGACCCTACGCCTTGATCGGAACACTCACCTCATCTCGCGCATACCCCGAAGGCGCACATACAGTAACAGTCGAAGTCGACTCGGGATCCGGCACCGTCGTCCTCCCCCCAATACAAACAGGCCCAACACCAAACAACGCATTAATACTCGAAGTAGTAGAAAGCACGCAGCCCCCACAATCCACCGCCGTCGTCGCCGTATTCGCCGGCCCCGTCACCGTGCAGCCATAAGGTATAGTATCGGTAATCGTACTCGTGCACTGCCCGCCACTCCCCGATGCACACACCGTAATCGTCTTCTTCAGCCCGGCGTCCAGCACTGTTGTCCTGCCGCCTATGCAGACGGGTCCGACGCCGAACAATCCGTTTCTGCGGGAGGTGGTGCTGAGGACGCACCCGGCGCAGTCTACTGGTTGGGTGGTGGTGATTGCTGGCTCGGTGACTGTGCAGCCCCACGGGATGGTCTCGGTGATGGTGCTTGTGCACTGCACGCCGATGTGCGTTGGGATGATCGGCTGTTGCGATGCCTGTGCAAAGGCCGTAGGGAGGAAGAGGAGTGGGAGAACTTGTAAGTACATTTTTTGTGTTCTGCCTCGATTTGTAAAAATTGATAGGAAAGACGGTCGTGCATCGCACTGCACCCACAGCGCCGGCCGCTTTTTATCAACGCAGGAAAAGGAACGACCACCACGGCGCGAGCGTCAGCTACGTGCACCACCATTTGATTCCCAGCCTCAAACACCGAACTGCTACCCTGCATTTCAGCCCGCATGTGATTATGCAGCGCGCGACAGGCGCTCATATCCCGCCCGGCCTTGCAGCTGACAGCTCTCGTACGTACCGCTGTATTGGGCGGCTGCCGGCGAGACGCAAACACCGCAACTATGCCTGAAGAGGTACGACATCCGCACGGCTTACGCAGCCCGACAGTTAGCCTGCAGGAGACGTAGCTACATGATCAGCTGAGTTTGGGGCCCGGTGTATGCAAATTCGGGGGTGAAGCGAAGGTAAGGTATGCAAAGACTGGATTGGGAAGTCACAGGTACCTAACAGTTCAGGCATTGAGAGATGTTTGTGAAGAGTCTCTCGGCGTGATTAATGCTTCAGCGACGCAACAACCAAACAAAAAGTCACGACTGCTCTGATCAGACCGCCTCAGACATCTCTCTAGGCTCACACCTTCGCAGCCGCAACAATCTGCCCGCCCTCGCCCTGCTGCAAAAGAGCCACCCTCTCAAACCCATCCGCGCCAAAATTAGGCAAAGCCACCGTCGTATTCCCACCCTCCCACTCGTCAATCTTCAGCACATCCTTGACGACATTCTTATGCACCACCTTCTTCCCTTTGTTCGGCCCGCCGCCAATCTTGACCGTCTCGGCTTTCGGATCGTACGTGACAAGGAGAACATCGTACTTCTCCGTCTCGGCCGTCTCGCTGGCGATCTTCAAGTCGGCACCAGAAGCCTTCTCCAGACCGACGGAGAGCTCCATGTTGTTGCGCACCTCGACGGCTTTGGCGAGGATGTCATTCACCTCGCCCTCCTGCCTTCCCACCCCGTCAGAGATGCCATCGATAATGACCTGCGGCGTAAAAATTCCCTGCCGTCCCCACTTCATCACGTACGCGCGCTGCCGCGCATCCCAAGTGGAGTTGCCGTGCGTGTCTTTCCAGCCCGAGCGGCCGTCCCAGTACGTCACGTCGTAGGAGAGGAGTAGGATGTTGGGGTTGTGGTCGGTGGCTTTGTGGATGGCGGGGATGGCGGGCGGGCAGGATTCGCAGCCTTGGGATTGGAAGAGCTCGACGATGCTCAGAGGGGCGATTTCGACGAAGCAGGCGTCGGTGTGGGTGTGCGTGGAGTCTAGCGACATTTCGCAGGCGAGGGGGACGCGCTTCTTTTTGAAGACGAGGGATTTGATTTTGGAGATGATGCGGGGCATGTTGATAGCTGGAAGGGGGATGTTGTGTGGGAGATTGTATAAAGAAGGGCTAAGATAAGGGCTGTTTGACGACAAGGCTTGATAACCTGTGCGGAAGGGGAAAGCTTGGATATATACCACCTACCGATGGAAGAGACGTCATCTTCAGCTCTCGCGATGTCAGGGCGCCAGTCCAATTGCAACGTCAGGAGGATCTTTAGGGCGGAAGCCTTGACATTGGCAGGTGGGAGCCTTGTCTGACAGACCATATCCCAATTGCCGTTTTGGTAAGCATCGATTACTAAAGTCTGACTCCCCCAGCCTGCTTGTCGTCAACGAAAGGCACCGCCTACTTCGTCGCTGCGGTCAGACTGCAATGAACCTGCATTGATGACGTGGAACCGGCCATTGGCACGTCGCACGCTGCGGTTGTGGGATGGCCCTTGTCATCACAATAGCCCAGGCTGTAGAGGGCATGGCGTTCCAGGCAGTGCATGGACGAGGACTAACGGTCGTTCCGAGTGTAAAGATTCCATGGCAACTCTCGTCCGTCGTTCTACAGAAGTGTCGTGCGGCAGAGGCACACTCCTGGTCGGGCAATACTGGAGACGGTCAGCACCGCCCTGAATTGACACAATGCACCAAAACTCTGGGACGGCACGCTCGATGTCAGACTTTGCCTGTTGACCTCAAGCCCAACCAGGTTACTGCAGAGGCAGTCGTGTAGGTACGGCTGGGCGAGTTGCGGATTACCAGATATGCTCAATGATATCTCATCATGATCGAGAGACGATAGGTGGAAGTGAACGATAAGAGTCACTCACCAGTCTGCCGCCATCCCGAGATGAGCTACACAAAAGCCCGATCTAGCCTCGGAAGTACAGGTGATATCACAAGGCTCCAGATTCGAGACAAGATGAAGTGTGCCGTATATTAGGTCGTCTTCGCATCATGGCAGCCATCCCGCAGGATTACCCTCGTGATGACGGTTTTACGCAACGGCGATTTCGATCTCGACACACATGCGGAATCGCCAAATCCACTGCTAATGGCCCGCGAGGGCTGAGGATGCTGACGAAGATTTGAGTTGGTGGTCTTGTGAAAAGAAGAAGAAGAGGAGGACGAGGGACGCGAAGGGCGATATGGAAAGGGTTTTTTGTCGGCGAAGGTTCAGGCCCGTCCCTGTCGGCCCGGCTTCCGAGCAAGCCAAGCGAGCTTCGGCCCTGCCACATGCAGGTCTTTAACCCGTTCGAAGCTTTTCGGGAACGAAGACCGCATCACACCTGCTCTCTGCATTCATTGTACCCCCAACACCACTCCAACCATCTCCTCCAATCTGGCACGGCGCTAATCAGTCGTTGAAACCTCCGATCATCCCAATCCATCCATGAGCCTCTGATTCTCCAATCTTTCATCTCCAATCGCCTTGCAAGCCACCCACACACTGCCCACCTCCCCTCCCCTTCGCTCGCTTTCATTGTACTTGCAAGGCTCGTCCCTCCCTCTCGCACCTCGCTAGCAGATGGACAAGAAGGACGAGAACAGCCCGGCGAATTTGTGGACTCGTCGTTCCAAGTGTGTCATGCCATTGCCCTCCCCCAAAATCAATCACTAATTGCGCACACGACCATCAGTAGCAGCAAACTCAGCTTGAACGTCAAGCAGAACGATCGCAACGACACCCGAGACTCCGACAGCTCGTCTGCCAGGCGGCTGGGGAGTGCGAGTGCGACCAGTAGAAGCAACCCTTTCAGTGCCCTTGGCTCCGCGCCCTCTCTAGCCTCTCCCACCACCGGCGCCGGCGCTTCTTCAGCATTCGGCCTGGGCAGCGGAGCCTTTGCCAGTTTCGGTAGCACGGGAAAGACGCCCAAGACACCCGGCACTGCTTTCGACTTTAGCAAGGGCACTCTTGAGCGGAGGGAGTCCACGACCAAGGAAGAGAAGGAGGAGAAACGACCTGTGCCGCGGAAGTCGCTATCGGCATTGCGCGCAAACTCCGAAGCACAAAATCCCTCCACCCCATCAAAGGACAACTCATCCTGGTGGTCATTGAAGCATGCTTGGGTGATACACTACCGACCGCCGACCAGCAAGAACAGCGACTATGAAAAGTCCATGCGACCGCTGTGCAGAATAGACAGCGCGCAAGCCTTCTGGTCCGTCTACTCACACCTGAAGCGTCCGAGCGCTCTGCCGACCGTCAGCGACTATCACTTCTTCAAAGAAGGTATCCGGCCGGTGTGGGAGGATGAAGAGAACAAGCGAGGCGGGAAGTGGATCATGCGGGTGAAGAAGGGAGTGGCCGACAGATACTGGGAGGAGCTCTTACTCGCCATGATCGGCGACCAGTTCGCCGAGGCGAGCGACGAGGTCTGCGGTGCGGTGGTTAGCGTGCGATCGGGCGAGGACGTCTTCTCCATCTGGACGAAGAACGATGGCGGCCGCAACGTCAAGATTCGCGAGACGATCAAGCGCGTGCTCTCTCTGCCGCCCGACACCAACCTTCAGTGGAGGAGTCATGACGAAAGCATTACCCAGCGCAACGCAGTCGATCAAGCGCGGCAGGAGAAAGCGGCGTCGTACGGGGACAAGAGACGCAACACCCTGACTGCGGAGAAGGACAAGACGAGTAAGGACGACTCGGCGTAGTGCGCGATTTGGCGCCCTCGTCGCCGGATGGAACTCTGGGATTCATCCCAACAGAAGAAGCTATTGGTAAGAAGTACGCCTTGGATTATCCGTCGTGTACTGTAGGGGACGCTGATCGCGAGGGTTGGGGGGCTTTGAGCGCTCGATGCCACACTCGCGACTTGTACAATTAATTTTCTGTGAATTCTTGCAGGACTAGCATAGCATTGGAAAGTCTTGCAATCACCACATACCATTCCCCAATACCGCTTGCTTTCCTCAGGTTGTTTGGGCGATTCCCTGGCCAAACCTGCAGCAAGCATGTGACGCCAAGCCCGCCGCCCGCCAACGTCACTTCCAGAACTTCGAGCTCCGCGCCCGCCGCGACCTCACTTTGCGATCCGCACGCGCTCCGCCCGCTGAACACCCTTCCATTACCACCCTCGCAACTCACGGCCTCGTGAACATACGCATCTTCCTCGCTCGGTGCAAGGCATGCTCCCCCCGCTTCATGCCTCTTCCCAAGCGCCCGCATTGCCTCACTCGGTGCGGGTACCGGCCTGAACGGTGACTTCGATGCAACTGTTCAGCACGGCGCTTTCATTCTTCCGCGGCGCCGATTCGGAGGAGACTGCTGCTCCCACAAACACTTCAGTATGCCCCTGCACCCTTTCCCCAACCCTGTCAATTCTCGCGCTTGTGGCCAACGTCAGGCTTACTTGCTGTACCAGACGCCCCGTACGAGTGAATCACCTTCGTCTGAGCGGAAGAGGCATAGGGAGCTGAATGAGCCGGTGACTGGGGTGTCGCGCAAGCGGAGAAGTGAAGGGGAGGATGAAGAGGGCAGGATGGCGGCGAACAGGTTGAGGAACAGGAGGGCGGACGAGGCGCGACTATCTCAAGGCGGCCGTCAGGATACCCCGTCCGATGCACTGCCGATTGGATTTCCACAACAGTACATGAGAGACGCCACGTCCGCACCCGAGATCATCGCTCAGCGAAAACCGGGTGGAGGCCCCAAATTCAAGCTGCACAACACCCTGAAGGAGCAGAGGCATGTACCGAAAGCGAACACCCGCTTCTCTCCGAGGACCACGCAGACATCTACTCGTCGCTGGAACCCATCACCACTAGAAGTTTTTGTGAACGAGAAAAGACAAGGACAGAATGTCCAAGGCGAGTACGGCGATGACGACTTCGACAGACACGAAGAACGGGTGCACAAAAGGCAGAAGATTAGCAACGGAGGTGCCACACATGCCTCAGCCCACGCCAACACCGTGGATCTGACGCAAGACGACTCTCGAAATTCTCTTTCCGGAGCCGGGCAGGCGGCTTCTTACTTCGGAGACCCTATCGCAGTCAGAGGACAACCCCTGGGCCGAAGCTCTGGAAAGCTGCGACCTATGCCCGGGAAGGAACAAAGTCTTGCGACGTTTGCAGACCGGTATAACGAAGGGCCGCCCGAGACGAACAAACGAAAGGCGAGGAACAGCATTGGATCTAGTCAAACTTCCCCCGCTGCCAGTCCGAGCTACACCCAGAATGGCGCACTCCTGGATCCTGGAAGCCGTTCTCGGAGAATCGAAATTCACGAGGTGAAAGATGATCCACCACATCCAGCTCGTTCGGGGCCGAATGGAACCAGCAACAAGGGCTCTACTTCGAATTCGGAGCGAGATCGACAACAGCACTCACAACGCTCGAGCCATGACTCAGGTTCGCCACACGACACAAGTCCCTCTTGGCCCAACCTGAAGCAAGAAGCAGCGGCCGCGCGGTCGGGACTGCCAAGCACACAGCCATCTGCCCGAAGAAAGATCACCCAAAGCACATCAGATGCGGAGTTTGCGTTGCATTGGCAAAACGCCATCCCAGTCCAGGCGCCAGGCGATGGTAATCTTAGGCGCACGTTCATCAGAGACGACGAACCCGAAGCAAGCGCAGCGAAACCTCGTGCTTCTCAAAGGGCTTCGCCCATCCACTCCCGCAACGTCAGCACTGGTAGCATCGACGAACTCCAAGGAGCCACCACCGTTGGCACTGAGATACCCCGCGGACCATCGCCACAGAAGCGTGCGACTGAGACAGATGCTCAGCAGCGGCAAAAGCAGCCTCCGCCGGCCGATCAATTGTCCAAGGGAAGCTCAGGACGTAAGACCAAGTCGCAGGCTTCTAGCAAGCAGAGGGTTTCGTCAAGTGAGACCGCCGATGGCGAGGAGATTCGAATTCCGGTTGAACTCATCATGTGTCGCGGCTGTTACTTGCAACAGGGAGGCATCGAACTGGTATGGGATGACGGACTAAGCGGGTTCTTCATGGAACTCAATGGCGAGCGCCAGCGCATCCCCAACACGGCTCAGGTCGCGTGTATAGGGAAACGCGAAGTACACGAGTGGATTTATACCGGCGCAGATGGGAATCTGGACGTCCAAATCAAGGGGCCGATGACGGACAACAGTAACGGGAGAATTCTACTTCGTTTTGCCGACCAACCAGGCATGAACAACTGCCTGGACATGCTGTTTACTGCATGCAGGGATATGATAAGAGTCATGGCAGCCTCTCGCAAACAGATGGAGAATGTCTTTCGAACACAGAGCAACGAGATTTGGGTTGACCACAAGATGCGAAAGGAAAAACACGCCAAGGGCCAGAACAAAGAGTTGGCAGGTATGCTGTACCGGAAACAAGTCAGGGACAGACACCCCGACAGCGATGACGGGATCAAACACGAGAATGACCCGCCGGGGAGTCGCCCGTCCCGTCGATCACAAATGCAGGGTGGGGGGGTTAAACAAGACGAGACTGAGACCGAGTCGCGCTATTTCCAATCTCTGCTCGACGAGCCGAGAAGATCTACAAGGCCCTCGAAACCTGTCAAACTGAGATCGCCAACGCCGCCAAAGCCAGTACGCTGGACTGAGGTAAATCAGATTGAGAGATGGTCGCATTCCGTCGTGTATCCGCCAGAAGGAGCAACGCGTCGCGTCACTGTTGACTTTCAAGATCTCGAGCGCCTGGACGAGGGAGAGCTGCTCAACGACAACATCATCAGCTTCGCCCTACGACAAGCCGAGGAGAACATGGCACCAGAGCACAAGGACAAAGTGCACTTCTTCAACAGCTTCTTCTATGAGGCGCTCACGAAGAAGAACGGCAAGAAAGGGTTTTTCTACGAGGCAGTGCAACGCTGGACGAAGAACAAGGACCTGTTCAATATTCCTTACATCGTCGTGCCGATCAACATCGACCTGCATTGGTTCGTGGCCATCATCTGCAACCTCAACACCCTGGCCCGCACGCCTGCAATCACCATCGATGATGAAGAAGACAACACGGAGATGCTGGACAATCCCACCCCAGGTGAAGGAAATCTCAATCCTACGGCAGCTGAGGTCGAGGCTATGAACCTCGACACTCAGGAATCGATGGAACAGTTGACCATCTCCGATCGTGATGTCGACGATAAAGGGCAGGCTCGTGCGGCTGGAGAGGGTTCTCGTCCTACCAGCTCCGCAGCATCGTCAGGGAACAAGAAGTCGAAGAAGAAAGCTCCACCACCACCTCGCAAGTTCGACATCAACGCCCCGACCATCATCAGCCTGGACTCTTTGGGTCTCGCTCACTCGGGGGAAACGCGCAATCTCAAGGACTACATCAACGCCGAAGCCGAGTCCAAGCGCGGGATGGCAGTAGCGAGCAAGGATCTGCAAGGCATGACTGCAAAGGGCATCCCCGAGCAGACCAACTTCTGCGACTGCGGCGTGTACCTGGTCGGATACATCCAGGAGTTTGTCAAAGACCCCAAGAAATTCGTCAACAAGGTTTTGCAGCGGGAGCTGGACAAGCAGAGTGATTTCGCGAGTTTCGACCCTTCGGCTAAACGGGCGGAGATTCGTGAGCAGCTCTTAACGCTGTATGCAGAGCAGGAGGCGGAGCGAAAGGGCAAGAAGAAAGGGGCGGCGGCTAAGCAAGCTGCTAATAAGACAGATGGGCAGCTGCCGGGCACACCAGCTAAAAGCTCGACTCCTACTGCTGCGCACAAGAGCAGTTTGGGGGTGCCTCATTCGTCGACCGTGGAGCCTACTTCACCTGCTGGAACTACCCACCCGAGCAAGTTCATGCGGCAAATGCAGGATAGTGCGAATAGCCCGAGTAAGGAGCAGCCACAGCGTGGTGACGACGGTGAAGACCTTGAGATGGCTGTGCCAAGGGCGTTGGCCACGACGAACCCTCGACCGGCGTCCAGTCACGCTGCGCAGATGGACGACAACGCAAGCTTCATCAAGAACTTGGCTGAGCAAGTGGTGGAGATTGCGGATTCGCAGGGTGCATGATTCGCTGCGCCACCGAGGCCCAGCGAGATTCGCGCTTGATACGTTAGGTTGAGTTCCGCCTTCATGGTATTTGTCCCATGCAGCAGGAACTAGTACCCGTCTATAGTCGAACTGGCAAAACATAGTCCACAACGCCTTGCTAACATGGATTCCTTCCACTCAACTCTCCTTCCTGGAAGCCTCCTGCTGCTTTTTGTGTTCCTCGTCCAGAGCCTGCGAGATATGCCCATTCGCCCCCCTCCCGCCGGTCCCATCATGCTCCCCCGCCGCCGCAACCGCCTCGTCCACCTCTGTAAAGCAACGAAGACAAATTAGCACATTGCACAACCACCAACCCGCAACACCAACCAACCAATAATGGACGGCCTACCAGCATACTCCCCCTCCCCCTCCGCCCCAACCCAAAACCGCATCTTCTCCCGCCTAAATTGCTCGAAATCCCACTCGCCATCCTCCAGCTCCGCCGCCCCGGCAATCCAAACGTACGTCTCGCACACCACCTCCTCCCCCTCCGCACTCCCCGCATCGTCCGCCAAAAGAAGCCGCACCCTCACCACCTCACGCGCGTACTGATCCCCTTCGAAAATGTCCAGGCGCCAGATGTCCGCGTCCGTGAGGTTTGTGACGTACGTTCCGCGCACGGAGGCGTGGGCGCAGGGCAGGATGCCGGGGTAGTCTGCGTGGCGGACGCGGTGGCGGCGGTAGTTGTGCAGGATTGCGGGATGGGTGCGAAAGGTTGGGTTGTTGTTGTTGGTGTTGCTCTTTTGGCCGTGGCAGACTCGCGAGAGGACTTGGGGGGCCATTAGGGTGCCGTAGAAGAAGGCGGAGCGGGAGTCTGGGCCTGAAGGGGGAGCCATGGTAACATGGTTCTCGATAAAGCTGTCGCATCCGTGCTTTTCGCGAGCTGTTAGCGCGCTACACCAAATAATGGAATCAGCGCGATGAAATCGCCTTCTTTTTGCCACCCACCTCGCTGTCGCCATTTCATGTCGTTGAAAAATCGATATACCACTAGATCCGAGGTGTTGTTAGTGAAAATGGCCTCGAAAACGCGTCCGTCACGTGCCAGTCGACCTACTGCAAAGGCAGCAGCAGCTGCTGCCACCACCACCACCGCCGCCACCACCACCCCTGCTGCCACGCGTGCGACTACTACTACCTCAGCGAACCGGACGACTGCCAAGAGGCGTAAAGGTGGTGGTGTGAGCGTGAACGCGAGCGGACGCGTCTCAAAGGCTCGCCGCCGCCTGCCTCTGCTAGACAACGACAAGACGCCAACTGCCTCTCGCGCTCCGTCGTCTCAACTGTTGAATCAAATTGAGGAGTCCATTGAGGACGATTTTATCTCAATAGCAAGCTCTCAGCCAGTGGTAGAACAGGTGGATTTGACGCCAATTGAGCGTGAAGAGCTAGTGTATAGCGCGGTGTGGCAGGCCATTGTCAGCAATATTGAACGAGGATTGACTAACACCTCTCAAAAGGGCGACGACTTACTAGTGCTGGCCAAGGCTCGGACGTGGGCCACCAACAAGCTCAATTGCACTCATAAGATCGTCCGGACGCTCGCAATAGCGAGCTGCGGCCGAGAGCTTTACCGAACGGACGTTGAAGAACAGTCGGATTACGACGATCTGCTCGAGCGCTTGTGTGCGTGGGTAGGCAATAGCCACACTGGGCCCAAGATCCACCTAAAGCTGTACCTAGAGCGTGAAAAGGAGCAGTAGCTCGCTCGGAGCAGCCCTGCTATCAACACTGCCTCAAGTCAGCGAGCGACCTCAACCTCTCGCCACCTCGCAAACCTACCGGATGAGGTAGCAGGCCTTGAAGCAGCGGGTGATTACTCCTTCTCACTGCGTGAGCGGTGGGCCTGTAAGATCCAGAGCTGCCGCAATTATGGCCTGGGTAAAACAGGCTATTGCTACTGGCAAGGCACTGATTCTGCGGACAACCACTTCCCTTTAACGCTTCCTATTATCGCGGACTGGACGAAGGAGATAAAGGACGGCAACCTCACTGTCGACGATCCACAGACGCGGATCTTTATGCTGTTAGCGAAGAATAGAGAGCGTATGGCCACACACTCACACCCGGTCAAAAAGAGTAGTAATCGCTCGCCTGAGCGAGACGGTGGCAAGCACATCTTTCAGGTGTTTAACAGCCTGCCTGGCGCGCCGCCATATCCACCATATCCACCTCTTCATGGCCTGGAGCCGCCGTCCTCGCAGCCTAGCGACTCAGATCCGATTGAGCGTACGGATCGCTTCTTCGATTGGTGTAGTGAGTAGCGCTCGTGGCGTGGATATGAGGGCGATTTGATAGATATAAGGGCTCGCTGGGATGACAATCTAATAGACGTTGATGGATTCAAGCTGGTGTCGACAGAACAGTGGGATCGGATTGGTTTGAAGATTGGACAGGTCAATAAGATGAGAGAGAGTGTAAAGAAGTGGAAGAAGCAGTGACATCATTAATGGCAAGGGGTGTTTACTTCCGCATCGCGATTGTTCAACAACTACTGAACGGATTTTTGTTTTGAAACTTGGAACCTCTGGAGAATAGCCTACGGTATCAATGTCTATTTGCGTGTGTGTCAATCTGGTGTGGTTGCGAAGGTGTGGCCATGCTCGCGACGACTCGTCTTGTATGAAGCCAGCGCTAAGCCTTGAGATCAACTGCCTCACGAGCCTCAAAACACCTTTTCAACCTCATCCTTTACACCTCACTCATACCCGCAGTGCCTGAAGTAGCTGCGGCCATCAGAGCCTATAGCGTGGCCTACTGCCTCCTTCAAGAAGTCTGCAAACGCTAGATACGACGCCATTTCACCCCAGTGAGTCCGCATCCACTGCTTGAGAGTGTGAAAGGTAAGCTCGATTGGGTTGTAATCCGGTGAGTATGGCGGCAGGTACTCGATTTGAACACCGTGGCCTGCTAACACCTCATCCAGCTCTAGGTTGTGGTGGATTGCCGCGTTGTCCATCACTATAACCTGTCCAGGCACCAGGTATGGCAGCACACGGTTGAGAATCCACCATATAAAGACCTCCTTATTGATTGATCCTTGGATTATAAGGGGATCTGGTAGGTATCCGTTCACCGTGAAGGCAGGCAGGATTGACCACCTTTCTGACCGGCTCGTGCGTCTAATATCTGTGCAGCTAAGCCCTTTTGGTGACCATCCAGTGCGGCGAGCAGCTGTCTTCTCATTCGCTCCGCTCTTATCTACAAAGACGAGTTGATCCACTGACCAGTGTGCTGATTTGGTTCGCCACAGGGCTCGCAGCTGGTCGTTGCGAGCGAGCGCTCGTTGTTTACACACCTTACGCGTCCACCGCGCTCGCACCAGCGTCCGGTATAGCGTCGGCCGAGCCACATCGACTCCAAACTGGTCAAAAAGAGCAAGGATCATCTCGTCTGCGTAAGACGTCGGTCGGTCGTCAAGGTAATCCAGTAGCCAGGCAATCTGCTCAGGATTGAGAGCGCGAGGGCGTCCTTTGCGGCCAGCAGGAGGTGGATATGGCGTGCCAAACAGATCAAAAGACAACCTCATCCGCTCTATCGTCCGTTTACTGAGCGACAACCGTGTGGCAATCGCTGCAGCAGTGAGGTCGGTGTCCTCAAGCAGAGCCTGTACCTGCCTGCACACCGGCAGCGGCAGCTGCGAGCCAGTTGGAGCCATATAACGCTAACAACACCTCAGATTTGATGATATATTGATTTTATAACGACTCAGAAGGGGCGACGGTGAGGTGAGTGGCAAAAGAAGGCGATTTCATCGCGTTGATTCCATTATTTGGTGTAGCGCGCTAACAGCTCGCGAAAAGCACGGATGCGACAGCTTTATCGAGAACCATGTTATGGTTTGAGAGGCGTTGCTGGGTTGAGGGGATGGGTGGGTTTATTAGTAGAGCATGGTTTTCTCTCTTCTTGAATGCGATGTATGTGAATGGTTATCACAGCCTTATCTCCTGCAAACACATACGTTAAAAAGAATAGTGAAGTTGTCCGTGATCGGCGGGTTTGAACGCCGATGCCAAACGGCTGTCTGCGCGGGCCGTCCGCCACGACAGGTCCACTCTCGACTCCAGACCGCATGACTTCTGGTCTGTTGTTATCATCACTCTTACCTAATTGGGATTTACTACACGTATGCTTCGATCTGCCACCCGCTGTCTAAGGACTATATTGCGTGGCTGACGAGCGGTGTCTGACGGGCGCTGTCTGACAGAGAACTGCCGTACCTTCCCGAGCCGAATGCATTCCTTCGTCGACTACGACGCGGTGAAATTGAAGTCGCACGCGTTAATGTGAATTTCCGCTGCAGTCCAAACGACGCCGCCATCCTTGGTCACAAGATTCCCCGAAGCTCCATTCGTTCCCACGGTGGCCCCGTACGACGGGTCGGCACTGTCGAAAACAAGCACCACATCGATCCAATCTGAGACGCTCGTCAGCACCAGGTTGCGCATTTGAGAGAAGGCCGTGCTTACGATGAGCCGGAACTGGTCCACAGGGCTCTTCTGGTTGGCACTCTTCTGCCGTGCCCCATCCCTGCGCATGCCCCGAACCTATCAAGATGTCAATGGCACGCATTGGTAAAGGCGAAGCTCGTGTTGCGTACGGGTTCGGAGAGTCGAGGTCAGCCGGCCGTTAACGAGGGTATACTGATCGTATAACCCGTCCGCGTCGTTGTAGATATCTGTGGCGCTTCAGTGTCTACGTCCCTAGGCGAGATAGCTGGGGTGCGCACAGCTTTGTTGGACATGGTCGCCGGGCTTCACCAACACCTGCCGCGCACCGATCTGGCCTGCCGCAAGGGGTTCAACAATGGAAATGTCGAGTCAGCGAGTGATACGTGCCCACCTTGTTTCTTGCCATTGACGCTCAGCGTGCTCGAATACGCACACCAATCCTGTTTGGGCAGGACGCCACATCCGGTATCGCTGCGCGTGGCTGTCAGTCATTGTTCAGGGCTACTTTCCTGCCGGGCTACTGCATACGCCGAGCCATTGTAAGATTCCACCAGTGCTTGAATTAGATCTCCATTGCTCGTTCCCATGCCCGTCCACAGCGACAGCAATCCCGTTTTGGGGCTATGAGGTGGAATGACGAGAGTTGCATTTGCGGTCCGGATGAACGTCCCGTTTGCCACTGGTCCTGTGGAGAAATAGTTGCAGAAGGCTGCCAAGGACGGGCGTGCCGTGCAGAACAGCGCAAGGGCGAGTGTGAGACGTTTCATTGTGCTTGAGGAATGCGGACGCGCTGTCGGGGAGGTACAAAGCCAGGGATGGAAGAAGAGAGAGGCATGATTTATAGTGATGAAGGGACCCGCTTGATCGCGATTGCGTGTCCCTCGTTTAGGGATGGATGAACCTACTGGAGCCGAGTTCTGGAGTGGACTGGAATCGGAATATGGTATCCAGAAGGCACTGCGGCAACAGGAACAACGAGCGGAACACCATTTTGGAGATCATTGTGAGTACTGCGGTGGGATGTTGGAGCACTGTCCGACTTCAGCGTGAGCCGTCCTAGGCGTCGATGAACGCTGTCGATTCCGCAGGTGTGCAAGGTGGCCATGGGGATGTCGTTGGCGACAGCCGCTACGATCTTCGCTAACGACATTTAGGGTTTGCCCGCCCGCTAAATCACGGCTTTCGCGTAGATCCACTGGCGGCACTCTACGTTCGGTAGACGTGAGCTGTGCGGCTATCGTGCAAAGGCTGCAGCAGGAGAAAGCTATCGGTTAGCGTTCAGTCTTTGTATCATAAGGGACCGCCAGGAGCGACAGAATACGTGATGACGATGTTCAACGTAGAAGCAACTCCCTACCTTACCCAGTAAAATTATATTAGAAAGATTTGCCAAATGCGCCATAGCGTGTCTTATTAAGCCGACCCGTTGCCAGTACCTGGATCTGCAAAAAGTGACAGCCCCTAAAGTATGATGACATTGATCGATACACCATCACCTTGCCTTTTCAAGCGCTTCTTGCATTTGCGTTGTCTTTTGTCCATTTCAAACTGGTGTTCGCGGTTCAAGAATTATCACTCAGAGCAACTAGGAGCGAGTCGAGCGCCTCACAGGTCGATTTCCCTGTCAAGCCCTGCTTACCTGCCACTATGTTCCGATAACGTGCAACGACATCGTCCATCAATTGGTTAGTACTGATCTCGTCAATCTCTTCAGATGATACAAGCATCCTCCTTTGCCCGTCTCATTTGATGAGGCACTTACATCCACGATGTGGTTCAGCGTCACCACTCTTGGCGCGCTCCTGTCATCCTATCTCGACACATGGACGGGGTATCTCCACCCGGAAGAAGATGCAGATTCCCCTCATCGAGATCCACATGACCCAAAGACGATGCAAAATCGCTAACCGTCTGCTTGTCCCAGAGCCATGTCACTCGTGAAATGGGTCGTCCAGCACTTGGCCCCCATCTTCATCGTCACCTCGCCAGTCACATCTTACGCAGATCAAATATGGTCCGTCAGCAAGTCCCGCTCGTCCGCCGGCTTCTCCCTCGACATCCCACTTATCATGCTGGTCTCCTCCATTCTGAAGTACGTCTCCACATCCCATCCACTCTACTGCCTCACCGCTCACCCCGTCCAGACTCTTCTACTGGCTTGGCGCACGATATGACGTCTCCCTCCTCGTTCAAGCGACCGTCATGATCGGAGTCCAGCTTCTTCTCCTGCACGTGACTCTCCTCTACCGTCCGGCTGTGGGGGCCCAATACAGCCTAGGCCACCCCTTTGCCGAGATCAAAGAGCAAGGCAATCTCCTCACCGCCCGCCGCCCCGGCGACTTCTGGCAATGGCGCAACCGCAAGCCCTACTTCTACTTCCTAGCCTACTACGCCCTCACCCTCGCCGCCCTGCAATTCCTCCTCGGCCCTTCCTCCCTTTACGTTCTCGTGCAGGGCTACGTGGCCCTAGGAGTCGAGGCGCTGCTCCCCATCCCGCAAATCCTGGAGAACCAGCGCAACCAGTCGTGCAAAGGCTTTCGCTTCACCGTGCTCGTCAACTGGCTGGTTGGCGACGCTTTCAAGCTGACGTATTTCTTCCTCTCGGACGGTGGCAGCGTGCCTTGGGCTTTTAAGCTTTGTGGACTGTTCCAGGCGGCGTGCGACTGCTATCTTGGCGTGCAGTATTGGATGTTTGGGGAGGGCGGGACGGCAGCGGGGGACGATGGGAAGGAGACGAGGCTTGCGTAGAGAGTAGGTACCATTGCGTATTGTAGGTTGATATGCGCACTACCATGCAGGTTTTTATAGGTTGCGAGTTGCCGGAGGCTGCTGACCTATGCACTCCCTATTCGTCACTTGGCCATCCCACGGAAGCCGAAAGCTCCAACCTGGTTGTTGGGTTGCACTTTCTTCATCAACCCACCACTCATACCTGCCCCGAATACATACAGGCTTGCACTCCGGCATTTCGCCTTCTTCACCCCACAAAAACGCCTAGTATGATGGGGTGTGCACAAGCCGGAAGCTCCAACCACGTTCAAAGTCCTTTCCAACCACACCGTCGGTTCTCTCCACGCTTCTTTCCACCACTCATACCTGCTCAAACTCAGCATCAATAAAAAAGAACCCCAGATTCGCCGCTCTTGGCTCGAGGTCAGTCGGACGAGCAAAGAATTGCGAAACATCGGCCGCAGCACGTCAGAGTGCGGCATAGAAATAGAAGAAGGGCACGGCGGGCTCGACTCTGCTCTTCAGTCCCCAGAGATAACCTACACCCTAGCCTTTGTTCGTTCTCAAGCATTCAAGCTTGGGTTTTTTCTTCTTCTTCGCACAACCTTCTCATCCCCGTACTCCCGTCCACTCGTCCCTCGACAATCATCACCCTTACTTTATCGTTTCGCAACGGGTCCAACGCTCCTTCCACTCTGTGATCAAGGCTACTGCACTTCATCGTAATCCATCGCCAGTCGCTCTTACATGTACGGTCTCTGTCCGACCACGAAGCTCTCGGACGCGTGGCCGCGTCGTGACTTCTCCGCCCTTCCTGCATGAATTTGGACAACAGCTAATTCGTTTCGCAAACATACAGAGCTTTCATCCCGACGTTGCAGGCGTCATGTCCGATTATCCTCCCGACTATCCTCAGCAGATCTCCGACGGTCATCATCCGTGGAATACATTGTTCGACAACCCCGACCCTTTTGCGGGACTGGGAATGGGAGGTACGTGGCATCTTCTTTCTTTTGTCTTCTATGTCATCAGTCGTTGTGGCAGCGTGCTTGCAAGATGCTGGGGCCGATACCGATGTGGAAGCTGGACGGGGTTCATCTGGGGTGTCATCCGGAGTTCGGGATACCGGAGGAGCACTCTTCCATATGCTGGAGCTGCTTCAGATCCATCGATCCTCGTGAGGACGGACGTTTGGCAGCCTGGTTGGGAAGGCTGGGCTTTCACTTCAGCCTTACGGGACGACACTCTGTCTGCCTCAGGTCGTACGGAGTCATATCCATCCTTGGTGACGCCTGTCCATGTGGCCTGGCTCTCTGGCTTCCTCCAGGATCCTACGTGCGTCAGGATTCTTCAGGCACTTGGACTGGCATCATATCGGATGGTCTGTACGAGAAGGCCCCTCCATTGAAGGTCCAATATAAGTCAAAGGCCTAGCTTCCGTACGTGATGCTGCTCGAGCCTCACCAGCCTGGAATGCATCGTCTCCAATCGAGATGGAGATCGCTGCCCAGCCAACCTTGGACGGCTGGAGACGCATGATGTTGTCCAACCGGCAATCACGTGATAAACCTGCTCGTCTCCGGCGTCGGAGCGGGGCTCGGCGATTGCGCGATTTGCAGAATCTTATCAATCTAATCAGATCATGAGATGACCCAGCATCAGCAGCACTGCAAATGCCCGCTTGACGAATCATGAAAGTCGAGGCAGACTCGAGTACTGACCAAGACGTCCCAGACTACCACGAGCAGCCGGAGCAGCTGCAAGCGCTCGAGCCGCAGGGCCAGCTGCGTCCGCAGCAGGAGCAGCAGCAGCAGCAGTACGCGCAATACCAGTTCCAGCCGCTGCAGCATCTTCATCCCCAGCAGCCCCATCCTCAGCAGCCCCATCCTCAGCAGCCCCATCCTCAGCTTCAGCATCGTCTGCTATCACTTCAGACAGACCAGAAGCCACTTCTCCCGCCGTTCGAAGAACCGCCGGCGGGGCGTGCCACCATAGCACCGGTGCCCATCCCGCGCAACCCAAGCACACCGCACCCGCTGTCCTGCCCCAACACCCCACCCACCGACACCACCACGGCTCCCTCAGCGCCGAACGGGCCGCTGTCAAAGCCCGTCGTGCTCCCCCCACGGGCGAAGCCGGGGCGGCGACCAATGCCCGACAGCAGCGCCACGGACCGACGACGTCTGCAGAACCGCGTGGCGCAGCGCAACCACCGCGACAAACGGCAGCAAAAGGTCGCAGACCTCGAAGCCCACCTCCACGAGAAGAAGCAGCAGCACAATGACACCCTCTCGGAGCTTTTGCGAGAGAGGGAGAACGAGAGGTTTCGGCACCGGGAGGCACTGGATGCGGCGACCGCGCGGGCCACGAAGCTCGAGTCCCAGCTGCTCAAGGCGCAACAGGAGATCCACCACCTGCGTGGCCGACTCGATTCCGGCGCCACTGATGCCGCCCCCTCTAACCCGCTGAATCCCTCAGCCACGCTCTCCTTTCCTTATCAGCAGACCGCAAGTTCCATCCCAGCCTTTAGAGCTTACTCCGCGCGTTCCACCCAACAGGGCCCTTACAGTGGACTTGCAGGAATGACGCCCCCAGAAGACACCGACGCCGACGCCACCGAGATCGACTTCACCACCTACCGTGCCCCCCGCAAAGACACTAACGCCCCCAGCGCCGCCCGCCCCTCCCTCCCCGCGCCCGAGGACAGCCACGAATCGTCCTACACCATCAACGAAGCCTCCGAGCACTGCGGCTTCTGCACCGACAGCGGCAACTGCGCCTGCGCCCTCGACTCTCTCAACTCCAACACCACAGCCCCCGCCACAGCAGTCAAGCCTCAACCGCCCGCAATCCAACCCGGCAGCTGCGACTCGTGCATGAACGACCCAGCCCGCCAAGCCGCATGCCGCGCCATCGCCTCACAAGCAACACCCCAACCCGCACAAAACGGCACAGCACCACCCCCACCGTCGCAAACAACGGGCATGATCCACTGCTCACAGTTCATGGACAACGTGCAGCTGACGCGGCCGCGCCAATCTTTGCCGTCGATTGTCGAGATGTTGCAGGGCAGTGTGACGGCTTACGGGTCCACGACTACCGGGTTTCAGGTTTCGGAGCGCGAGGCGGCGGAGGCTTTGAGTGCGCTTGCGAGTCATACGGGTGCCGTCAAGTTAAGGCCGATGCGGCATCGTGAGCCGCGGGTGAAGGAGGATCGGGAGATGGAGGTGGATCGTGTGATGCTTTAGTATTGGAACGTTTGGAAGACGGGAGAAGGAAGGGAGCTTGCTATGGTTATTTCGTTTTCGGCGGTTCTCACTACCTACCTACTACAGAGCCCGCTTTGCCCTACGCAATCACGCAGCTATTGTTTCATCAATCAAGAGCTCCGCTTGAAGGAAATCATGCTCTCCGCCGTTCCCACGTCCCCCTTCAACACCCCCGCCTTCTTCAGAATGGAAATGGCATTATCCACCATCCCCTCCTCCACGCCCCTCACATCATCCGGAAAGCGCACAGTCTCCATCCACTCCTCCGCATCTGCCTTGCTGTAATGCATAGTACTAGTAATATACTCCACCGCCTCCTCGGGATGCTGCTTGAAATGCGCAACGCCGCGATTGATCTTCTCCATCAGGTCCGGCAGGGCGTCGCGCGCCGAATGCCGCGCGGCAATCACCCAGCTGGGCCACGGCGTCGGGATGGACCCGATGTTCTTCACCTCCCCGTTCTCCCAGTACTTGCGCGTGGTGAACCACTCCCACATGAAGAAGTCGCTTTTGCCCGGGTCGTTGATGGCTTTGCGCAGCGCGGCGAAGTCGCCTATCGGCGCCACTTCGAAGGCATCTTTTTCTGACGAGGCGTCGAGCCAGCCTTGCGAGTCGGCGAGGACGTAGGACATGACGTATCTGGATAGATTGTTCATGTCAGGTTGTCGGGACTTGGGGATCGGGGGAGGAGAACTCACGAGCCACTTCCAATCCGACTCACGGCAACCTTGCCCCCCTTCAAATCCTCTACAGACCGTAGATCATCCCGTCCAGCCCCAACGACAATCGACCACAGCAAGGGACTCGCGACATAGTTGCCTGCAAGCCCATACCCCGGCTCCACGCCCGCGGCCTTTGCCTTGCCTAGATCGGCAATGAAGCCCTCCGTGAGCCCGATGGCGACGTCGAGTGGCCCCTCGTCTGTTGCGTTTTTGAGCCGGGCTGTGAGCGTTCCTGTGCCGGTTGGTACGGGCTCGAGGTCGGCGTCGAGGCCGTAGTATTTTTGCGCGAAGGCGAGGGGGGTGCTGAAGTGTTCTGTGGGGGGTTTGTGAGTGTGAGTGTTGTGGGATGTTGGGCTGTGCTTTGAGGGGTGTTATGTACCTGGAATGAACCCGATTTTCAGTTTGGACATGATGGGTTTGGGTGGAGGGATGGAGGTGATGGTGAGGTGCTGTGGTTGATGATTTAATGTTTGACTTCACCATGCGTCGTTGATCAGCACTTTTAAACTTCGATATTGGCCGATCAATCTTGCCTTCCATCGCATGTTTGTACATTCTTAATCCCACAAGAGGAATTGGTTTGTCTTTATTGTTACACTCAATCATATGTTCTGCTTGAAAAACAAATCGCCGCCATTGGCCGGTCAAGATCGCACCTGCCTCATTGCCTTGCACGACAGCATTCGCGTTCCTTCCTTTCACGCCTCATCGCGCTTGCTTGCTTTATGACATCTGCACTTTCACACGACTTGATGACTCTCACGGCCTAGTGTTCTCACGGAACTTGCGCCACCTGAAGTCAGGAGCCTATCCTCACACCATGGCCAGCCCAGAGGAAACAGAAGAAGTCGCCATCCTCGACGTTGCCCGCAACCTGCCCACTCGCATCATCTTCGTCTCCCACCAGCGTCAGAAAGTAATCCAGGCCCTGGCCCAACAATCAAAGAAAGCCCGTGGCGTACCAGACATCACCTCAGAACCGTCAAAGTCCCTGCACGAACGCCTGCTTCTCTTCCTCCGGTGGCTGGACATGAGGCTGTTGATGGGCCAGGGGGCACGAGTATCGAAGCGTACCTCAGTGAAAGTATCGTGGAAGTGTTGTGGAATGTCGTGGATCTAATGTCTCTATACTCCCGCTCTATCCTGTCCATCCACAGGCCATCGACTCATTATACATAAGAAGGTCGGAGTTCTTCGTCGATCGTTTGCACCGTCTCGCCCAGCTTCCCGCCGTGATCCTCCCCCGGCCAACTCCATCTACTCAAGAGGCTCCTGGTGCTGACTTGGCGCTGAATGCAACGGCAGGAGTGCGCCCTGTTGCCCATGCCGAAGTCGCATGTGTTCGGTGACTGCGTCCATGAAACATCATCGCACATCATGAAGAGGGCTGGTAGCGAGGCACTCCCCGCCCAAGGTGGCGCCAGAAGGCATTAGCCAAGTGCATATAGCACGACGGCCAGCACTTGCGATCATCTGTCGCGCTCGACCATCAGTCCAGCCTCAGCCTTTCCGCTTTCTTTCCGACTTCAGATCAGACCGGGAGAAATTCAATCGTAGGCATAGTAGCTCGCCCCGCGCAGCGACGGCGAAAACGCATCGCTGTCCTCGATCAATGGCTCAAAAGGCGCATCGTCTTTCCCATGCCGGAGAAGAAGTTGGTACCGCGCGCTCCTCCAGCGGCGGAAAGCGGCGCGTGGCTTCAAGTGCCACAGCACCAGTAGTACCAGACTGCTGCCGGCGAAGCCGCAGCCGAAGGCTAAGAGGTTGCTCGAGAAGATCCACCCGAGGGAGAAGAAGCTGGGGGCCGCGGGCGGCGTGGGCGGCGCTACCTCGTCGCCGATCAGCGTTTTGAAAGATGCTGACGTTCCCAGGACTTTGCCGTTCTTGTCGAGCGCTTTGACTACCACGCGGGCCGCGTGGCCGGTGTGCTCGAGTTTGGTTTCGAAGCCCTTTTTCGCGGAAGTGGTGAGGTGTTCGACGGCGTGGCCGGCCACGTTGGCTTCCCACAGTTCCCATGTGCGCACTTCTGTTGCGCCGTTCCAGCTCACGTAGACGGTCGTTGTGTTGGTGGTGTTATCCGGGCCACTTGCGTCTACACGAGAGTGGATGTCGGGTAGGGTGTTGGGCATGCCGACGAAGGGGTATTTGTATTGGCGATAAGTGCCCAGCCAGTCGACGGCGAAGATTGCTTCCATCAGCAGTTCGCCGTCGGCGCTGTGCTCGCTTTGTACGCCTTGCTCTGACCAGCCCATGAAGATGTTACCGTTCGACAAGACTTGGTAGTTGCCGCGTCGCCAGGAGTAGCGGTCGTCGGTCTCAGGGTGGTCGATCTGGAGCTCGATGTGGTACGTCATATCCTTCTCGTTGATGGCGAGGAGGAGACCACGAGAGAAGGGGTAGGACGGCGGGCTGGTATGATCGATGCCCTTTGCGTTGTCGAGGATTGAGAGCAGGAGATGCGTTTCGTTCTGCCCGCGGTAGCGGACGTCGTGCTGCCGGGTGAAGTACAAGTCGCCGGCAGTGGGAAAGTCCGAGTGCGATCCCCCTAGTCGCCAAATGATGTGGCCGTCGTCTTTGGACACCTTGTACAGCGCGTCGGTGTGTCTTCCGGAGATGAGGTAATCGCCTTCGGGCGTCTTGTCCACCGAGTTCAGGTGGCTAGGGATTGATTAGCAAAAGGAATTACGGGAGTGCAGACAGACATACAGATAGTCCCAAGGGCCGCCCATACACCTCCTCGCCGGACTTCCCTCGGTCAACGTGCTCTCATTGAGTCCGATGTGGTTCCAGCTGTACCAGGTGAACGTGGGCTCGTAATCGTTCGTCACATCCAATTCCTGGAAGATTTCGAATTGGACGTGGCATTCCCCATCGTTATAGCCGATCGTGCGAGCCATGTCCGGCGGAGCTTGACGCGGATTGCCCCGAATGACCAACGCGCGCGTTCCGTTGTCGACAAAATGGAGCTCGTGGGAGTTGAAGTTGTCGATGCGTAAGCGATCGCGGACTTCGTATTGATTATCGAGGACGACCATGGAATTGCTACCCTGATCCATCAACGTCATGAGGTATTCGCCATCGACGTTGCTGATGCGGAAGTCCTCGACATTGCCTTGGGAAAACATGTTCGCCCCGCTCCACACCAGCTCTCCGTCTCCATCGAAGATGTGTGCGCCGACCCAGCCGTGGCCGAAGGTGGTTTGGTCGAGGACGCGGTAAGGGCCGATGAACCAGTATCCCGGCGCCAGGCGGTCCGGGTGGTAGTTCTTGACGTGCCATTTGGTGGGGGTAAAGTCCGGTCTCTGCACAGGAAAGTCAGCATACACGCCAAGCACGAAGGCGCGAAGGACGTACCGTCACGTATCTGTTCAGGCCCGGGTCGTCGTCGCTTCCCTCCTCTTTCTGCTCGGCGGCTGCGAAAGCGACGAGCAGCGCAAAGAATATACATCTCGCCCATCCGCAGGGCCGCGCCATGGTGATGCTCATGCAAGGGTATCAATAGCAATGTGGAAGACGGTGCCGTCGGAGATGTGGTTTGCGACCCCGACAAGGAGGTGGACGAGGAGATTCAGGCGGGAAGGAAGAGCAGGTACTTGGCACGGAAGGATCAGGCGCTTCAACCATGGAGCTGCTCGCTACTCGCTCCTCGGCTGCGTTGCACAGCCGGAGGAGGCCAGGCTAGACGGATGGCAAGCGGTGCATGTGGTTGGAAGGTATAGTCATGTTGAGTAAGGTGCTGGTAGATGGGGAAGGAGCGAAGGTGGACGTCAGATGGAGCGGCAAGGGCGACGCACTCTCAAGCACTGCCCAGCCCGTAAGCGTGCGCGCTGCATCAAATGTATGGTGCACTACGCAAACAAGGTTTGAGATGATGGCACTGCTGTGTGGTCGCCTAGACAAATTGCCCCGCTAACCTAAGCCACGTTGGCGCGTTGCAGCCACACCCTTGCAAGCGTTGCACGTTTAATCGGCCGTTGAGTGATGAGCATATGGGAGAATAGGAGTGCAACCCCTTGTCAGCATTGCCCCGATGAGTGAAATGGCTTGCCCGTTGCCCTATAGACCACTCTCGTACTGCACATCGCAATTAAATCTTCGACGCCCGGCCCTCCCGTTTCTCTGCATCATGTCAGCAAGCTGGACGGATCACAGTAAAGTCACGTGCATTGGGCGCTGCTTACTCTTCAATTCCTCCATCTTGGCCGTCATGCGCACCGCCGGCTCGCCGTCGACGAATCTCTCGCTGAGCGCATCCGTCGCCTCAAACAGCGCCAGCAGCCTCGCGCTCCGCGTCGACGAGTTCTGCAGCCGCTTCATCTCCATCATGCTCTTCCCGCTGCGGTCTTTGAGCATCTCCTTCAGATAGTCCTTGACGGCCTCGTGGAAGCCTTTGGTGGGGAAGATCTTATTGACCAGCCCCATTTGATGCATCTCCTGCGCCGTCGCTTTGCCGCCAAACATCAACCAGTCGTTGGCGCGGTGCGTTCCCATGCTGTTGGCCCAACTGATCGCCGAGCCCGCCTCGGGCACCAGGCCCAGCTGGCTGAACGTCACCTGCATCCACGCGTCTTCCGCAGCGTAGAAAATGTCGGACGAGCCTTGGAACCACGACGCGCCTGCGCCCACGCCGGGCCCGTTCATGGCGAGCACCAACACCTTCTTATGCTCAATCAGGCTCCGCACGAGCTCCGTGCCGATGGCGATGTGCTGCTGCCAGTACACCTTCTTTTCGCCGTCATGCCTGAACGATTTCTGTTTTGACGAGACGTCTAGTACGACATTAGCCTGCTAGACTGCGGTGATGCCAGTCCTGGATAAATCATACTGGTAACGTCGGCGCCAGATGCGAAAAAGCGTCCCTCGCCGGTGATGACGGTGAAGTAGGTGTCTGGATGCTCGTTCAACTTTCGCAAGGCGTCAATCGTGTCCACGACCAGGTTCCCGCCGAACGAGTTGAGCTGCTTTGGTCGATTGAACTGTAGCTCCGTCAGCACCTCGAATGCCCATGCAGTTGAGTAAGACCGACTTTGATCACCCCGACCCCATCTGCCACCTCGACGATGATGTCGGTGTATACGGAGGTATCCATGGTTTGATGAGAAGGAATGTAAGCAGTATGGATAGGATTACAACCTCGCCCGTCGTGTGTAGCGTACGACGGATGTGGATGTGCGATTGTGTTCTACTATATGCGGCCGCGGTGGAAGTCGAGATGAACCTCGGCTTCTCTTCCCCACAAATCCACACTTCCGGGGCATCGTGGCTGGATCACATAATCGTCCATGCGTTCGATATTGACAAACCCCTACCTCCGATATTCTATAGCGTAGCAAATACTCGTAAAGGACGGGGGGATGGTCAAAAGAGAGCCCGATGCTGCTTCGATTGCATGGTTTGCTTCCACCGAGCACCTCCGACGTCGCATCGAACGCGTTGGCTTGATGTCGTGATCCGATTGACCGTCGGCCAACACATGGTGATCCGATTGCAGCCACGCGCTCGGTAATAGTGCAACCTCGTCGACAAGGTCAGCATAGCCAGAGCGCTATCTTCCAAAGGCGTCGAGACAAGCGCGTGAGCGTGAAGGTTCAACAAGTGAGTCGATATCGACTCGACTTCTGCCTCGCCCTCTTTCCCGATCCGGCCGGCCTAAAATGCGGCCAGCTTGGATTTCCCGTCGCCATCACGCACCGCACCCGCGCGTGCCAGCTCATCACTGCAATGTATCATCGGCAGCAGGGCCCGCAGACCAATGTGCTGCCGCCAGCAGCCCATCCCTGCCGCCCCCGCCCCTGCAGCCCACCGTTTTGGCGCTGCCATGCATGAGGCCAGCGCGGGCAACGCCTCTTCATTGGCTCCATCAACCTCCGCCATCCAACACATCTGCTGCACCTGCACCAGCTGCTCTGCCGACTGCTCTCTGCTGCTCATCAAGAAGGCAAACTTGCGTTGCTCTCGTATCGCACCTTTCCTCCTCTCCAACACCGTTCATTGCGTTTCTTCCCCTGCCACTCCGTTGTGCAGGGATCCATGCTTCATCACTCACTATTGTCAGCTTCGATTGAGGCTCCGCATTGCACGCGGTGACTCGACGCCCCGGCCCACACGATGGTCTTGACTAGCTCCTAACGCAAACACGAATCCCGGCGTTCACGCAGCCTCTGCCAACCAACACTGGCCCAAGTTATGCTTGAGCCCCGTTCGCCACACGACGATGAGAGGACGCAACTTCATTGTATGTTGCTCTGCTTCACCTCCTTCCACCCTACCTGGTCTACCTCACCCTCCCGAGCCAATCACAGTCCCTTCCGTACTACACCTTGAAGCATGCTCCTGTACTATGAGCTGGCAAAGTATGCTGGCAAACAAATTCACTAACCAGTACCACCATCTCCAGCAAATGTGCCACCCGTGACCTCCACGTCCACCTCCATCTATACTTCGCACTCTCCCAGCCCGGACATTTCTTGCTTCGATGGAACTCCTCTCGACCTCTTGCCCGGTCTCTTTCTCTCGTCGCCTTTCGCTCACACCCTCTCCTCACATGACATGGCCAGGAAAGTCAGCATTTCTCGAAACGACGATGCTGGTGATCGGAAAGAACGAGTCCGTGACTTGAAGCGTTGCCAGGCACCATGCCATCCGGACAAGGCCCTCCAAAATGGTCATGCCAACTTACTGGATCGGTCGCAAAAGGAGAGTCCGGTGACAGCGTCGGAAACGCTGCCTTCATTCTCTCATCTTGCTGGCCTACTACGCTCCGAGAGGTACCAAACGACTCGATGTCGTCAGGCTCAACAGCACCTTCACCGAGCTCAAGTGCTTGCCGCTCGCACCGCTCGGCTTGCACGCCTTGCGAGATCAGTCCAACGTACTCTCGCTGAGTCGATCAAGTCGGAGGACAAGCAGAGCTTTGCACACCTATTCAACGCCTTCCAAGATGCCATGTCAGGCTGTATACATGTTCACAGCGGCGAATCTCAACATGAAGACGAGGGACAGATTGCATACCCCAGCTCTTTTATCGATGCCCTCCCGGAGGACTCCCAGGAACCTCTTCTGGATTTCCTTGCCAAAGTGCGGACTGACCCTGTCTTTGTTGCGGATCGCCTGGCTTCTCTATCCCACAAGGATATCCTAGCCTTAGTCCCCCAGAAGAGTCCTTCCAGGCCTGACGAGTCGGTTTTTGACTCTCCGGGAAAGTCCGGTTCCCAAACCTCCAGGAATCTCGGGTACGTGGTGGACGCCCAGATCGAGCTCTGTTCTTCGTATGAATTCGCCAGTCCATTGGAAACGCTGATCCAAGTCGTGCGCCCCCTTCCGCTGGATGATCTGCAGAATGATCCAGTCGCAACGGATGTTTGGGCCACGGCTTGCGCGAGACTAATCACAGAGCAGAAGTACGGAAGCGACAAGCTTGTACCTGCCGTTATTGACATGTGGGCCTCTTCATCGGCGTGGCCGGGAAGACATCGCCTCGAGCTCTGGCTATTGGAGACGCTCCAAAAAGGCTCTTTCATCCTCGAGCATCCGCATACCCGATCCTTCTCATTACCAGTGCAGGAAAGGCGAGAGCTGCCGCCGGAAGAAGCCCGACGACAGCATGATTTCTACGATCAGGCAGTGACCGGCCTTTTTCACGAGCTTGCCGATGGCGACGCACCCAGTCTCATCCCACCCGGAGCAAAGTCACTGTGTCAAGCGATCTTCCGGAGACTAGAAGTTTCACCACGCCATCAACGTGCTTTTCCGAACTTTGTTGTCATGCGTTGGGTTTTCCCCTTGTTTCTCTCCGACGCTGTAGCATCCTCTGAGGTGGGTGGACATGGTCGGCTATACGGCCCTCATGGCTAACGTTCAGCAGAGCCACGGTCTGTTGACGGATCACTTTGTCTCCGAGGCTGCACGACAGCGTATTCTCCGTGAGGTCGTCCGAAGAGCTTACAAGGCCGCGTCGGACGTGGTAAACGCATGGTGAGTCTATCTAGCTGATTCATCAGCCTTGCTACCAGCCTAATGAAGTCTTCTTCGATTAGGAAACTCGGGAATGCGCCTTCGGAAGGACTCACCACGCTCGTGCAGACAATGGCAGATCAGCTAATCACCCCGTCGAAAGAAACCTCGAGTACCGCATCGTCACCGCCGATGACCGACTCTGGCGAATGTATAGTCGCCGTCACGGCCGCTGACGTCCAAACCATGGTCTACGCGCTGTACCCGCCCCCGGCAGCCAATTCGTTCCTCAATCGGAATGGTTCACACTCAAGTCTGCAATCGTCTGCATTTTCGCTTTCGGGCTTCTCACTGTTTCAACCAGCATCGAGTCCGGGAGCTGCATCGCAGTGGAATCTCCCCGGCTCAAACACCGACCAGTCAGGTGGGAGTGCGAGATGGCTTTTCGTCGATCAGTATGCCACCTCCGACCTCCTTGCCGATGCTGTAGCTGCCGCTCGACAGGCTGAGGCGGATGGCGGCCAACTTCGCGTGGTCTGCAGTGGCATTGACGAAATACTGTCGGGTCACAGGGGCGCCTTTTCAGATCACTGGTGCTTTGTCATGAGCGATCATGCAGGTGGTCGCCTTCTTACCGTCCAAGGCCTTTTCGATCGGAAGCTGGCAGACACCCCCGTTCAGACCTCCCGCACCCGATCAGCGAGGCAACTTATCGAGGATCTGCTCGAGCGGAACGAGCTGCATCCCATGACGCCCTCTCATGCCGGCTCTCAGGCATCGCTCGATTGCGCCATGGAAGCTAACATTCAACGAGCATTGAGGAAGAGAGCTGCGGACTGTGAACAAGCCTCCGATTTCGTGCAAGCACACTCATACTTTCGCAGAGCCCATCATCTGCGTGAAATGGTGGTCGAAGGAGGGGAAGTCTATCCGTTCATCTGTCTCCTCAATCGAATACAGCTGGACAAGAAGAACTCTCTGGAAGTCGCATCGTCTGCTCTGGAAATTTGCGATTCGATGGTTCGCTCGGTAGCAACGTGTCTGGACCTGACTTCGAACTCTTTGAGCGGCCTCATGAGCACTCTGACACAACTCCGCGATAAGATGTGGTACGTGGCGGAGGTGAGGACTTCTGCGCCCTACGACGATGCTCGAGCAATCACAACCGCCTTGAAAGCAATGGGAAGGCCTCAGAAATCTGCTCGGACTAGACTAGCGCCAGGCGCTCAGTCGAAAGGCAGCGCAAACAGCTTCCACCTCAAGACGGAGATGCAAGTATTGGATCTCATGACTGCGCCGCCCAGTCGTGGAGGACGATCCAAGCTCAGCGACGATCAGTCCAAATCGCTAGCAGCGTGGATGGAGCGCAATGGGGTGGAGAACCTGTGCCGCGGCGAGGAGCGTCTGCACAGATTCTGCATGGAAGTTCGGAAAGTCGTCGCTCAAGTGGCTGCGGAGAGCTCGCCTCTGCTTGCGAGTGAACTCTTCACTAAAGAACTTTTCACTAAAGACAGACTAGCATCTGTACCACGGACGAACGCAGCTCATCCAGCGACGTCTTCCATGCCTGGCAGTGGCGGACGATTCGAGTTGTCCAATTTGTGGACGTATATCCAACCAGGCGTTGATGCCCCTTCGACTGCATCATCCTACGCGCTTTCGACAACCAGCTCGCGCGGTCAAGTGGACAGCTGGAGCCCCGGTGTGAGCAATCGATCCTCGGCGCCCTTCTGGTCGCCCGTTGCCACGGAAGCTCGTTCGCCCTCCAGCGTTTCGAGCGTGCGGTCTGCAAACGCACGTGGTACAATCACACCTATGCCGCCGGGGAAAAGCCGACAAGGGGCTCTCGAAGACGATGGAAACAACTACATCGAAGGCCTTCGCCAACGCCTCACATCCTTGCTCATTAGCGATCTCGGGAGCGGGTTGTTTGCGAATGGCAGTGAGACGGATGTTGCTTTCTGGACGGGGTTCGGTGGGGAGGTTGCGGAGAGGTATCTGGATGGCTTGCGTTCTGGCGGCTCTCAGCAAAAGCAGCAACCAGGGACATCGCTCGCAGACTTTGACTTTGAGAATGCATTCGAGAAGCTCGTGCGGGAATTCTCGACCATCAGCAACCCACACGGTAAGCTCGCTGTACTGGTGAATCTCGACCTTCTGCTTTGGGAGGCGAGAACGACCACCTCGTACTCCAGCAAACACAACACCGATAAGCCAATGTCATCAACAGTCACCGACCTGAAAGTCGAAGGCTTCCGCCGGCTCTTCAGCAAAAATACGACGCGTCCGCCCGCCATCTTCCGCGACCTACAGTACATCGCCGCCCTCGTCCCGCTCAAAACGCTCGAAGAAACCGCACAGGGCAGAGCCTTCTGGAACGCCGCGGTAGCCATCTCCAGTCTCAAGCAAGAATTCTGCAACAGCATGATTGAAACGGCCGACGGCATCATCGCCCACCACTCCAACACCCGCGGCGGCTCCACCAGCGCCACGCGCACCTCCTCGCGCGCCCAAGCGCAACGCGACTCCGCCGCCTTCGCCAGCCTGCCCATCCGCACCCCCTCACCGGAAGACGTCTCCGGCCGCTCCCTCGGCGACGCCGGGCACCTGCTCCAAACCGTCGCGAAAGAAGGGCACGCCGTTGCGCAGCGCGAACTAGCGACGCTCTACCTCACCGACCCGGAACTCCTGCCGCATATTCTTGCGCCGCTGGCGCGCCCGCGCGACGTCTTCCGCGAGGAGCTCGAGAGCAAGTGGCGGCGGGATCGGGATCCGACGCGCTGCGATCCGACGACCATGTGTGTGGCGCATCATTGGATGAGTTTGAGCAGTAAAGGCGGGGATGCATTGGCGATGGAGTTTCTGCGGCAGAGGGAGGAGATGGAGAGGTTGCCTTGATGGGGTTTATTTGTTGTTGTTGTTCTTCTTCTTTACTTCGCCACCTTCACCGTTCCCAATCATAATCCAAGCGGGATTCTTCGCCGTCTGTTCCTTGAATCCAATCCTCTCGCCGCCAGGTTTCTCGCCATCCGCTTTCTCCTTCATCCCAACTTCTTCTCTCGCTTGGTCTTCGACGTTCAGCAACGCTTCGCCCGCCGGCTTCCCGACACTTCCGGTAATAGCACCGACAGGTCTGAGGGCTTTGTCTGCGATCTGGCCGACCGGATCACCGATGGCTGATAGAGGGCCTGCGTGCCTCGTTAGCCTGGTTCGCAATTGGCAATGGGAAGCGATACTCGCCTTTCTTCTCCGTCTCTGGTGGCAGGCACGCGTGATTAGCTGCAGCCTTGTCGAAAGCCTTCGTGACCTGTCAGTACTAACCAAGTGGTCCGTCCGGAGCGATGTTTGCCATGGTTTCGGTTGGTTTAGTAGATTGCGATGGAAAATAAACGTTCTTGTCAGTTCTGATCTTTGATTGTAAGATGTTCGCTCACAAAACGATCAATCATCGTTTCTCGCGTGCAAGGATGCACAATGACGAAAAACGCGGCAAAACAGGGATCATGTGCACGCCTTCTAATGTGCTGTACCACATTTCTTGTATTCGTTCAGATCCGCCATCAGTTGACAGTTACATGTTTTATGCCTCTATCGAAGTTGCCCTCATTATTGTCGTTCATCGACATCGATGCATCTATGCTAGGATGGATGTCCCTGATGATGAGTCAGCGGAATGAATGCCCGAAGCCGGCTAGCGTCCTCCATCTGCACTTGAACTTCCTTCACATCTAATGAACATCTCAACACCGCCATCACCACTCCATCGCCTCCAGCATCTTCATCACCGGCCATCATGGCGTTTCCGGGCATGGGAGGCATGGGCGCCGGTCAGGGCGGTGCAGATGCCCAAAGAATGCAGGAGCAGCAAATGGTGAAATACGTACGAACCGCAACTGCTCGGACGCCCCATGCAACCTACTAACTGCAACTCAGATGCAAGCCGCAATGGAATCGTGTCCCAGCAAACTCGTCCTCGCCGGCGGCATGGGATTCGGACTCGGCGGCCTGTTCGGTGTCTTCATGGCGAGCATGCGCTACGACACTCCCCTCTCCGCTGGAATGCCGGGCGGCGTAGGGAGTCAAATCACCGACATGCCGGTGCGCGAGCAGCTGCGCATCGGCTTCAAAGACATGGGCCGCAGCGCGTACTCTACCGCAAAGAATTTCGGCTATATCGGTGCCGTGTTCGCTGGTTCGGAATGCGCGATCGAAGGCCTGAGGGCGAAGAATGATCTCGCGAATGGAGTGGCGGCTGGATGCTTCACTGGGGGATTTCTGGCGAGGAATGCTGGGCCGCAGGCTATGGCGTTTGGATGTGCGGGGTTTGCGGCCTTTTCGGCGGCTATTGATGCTTACATGCGAATGCCGAGTGATGATCGGGCGTCGGACCCTATTATATGAGTCTTTCGCCTGAAGTATGATCGGACAAGTGGCAGACCCGGCGACAGCTGCAGAGGGAAGCAGGCACGAACACCACCGGGAGCTATCCACCAAACACCCACTAAACCATTACTCAACGTCGCCAGCTGGTCCGGCAGACAGGACGCTCGGGATGGCTCCGTGAGCGAGTTGGCCGATCCCTCCGGCCTTCTGTGCTGGAATACTCGAGTAGCACTCATGGGTGCATACTGGCATTGACACTCAACTCTTCACACAAGCGACTGCGCCAGCCGGTCTAAACCGAGACTTTCTGTCAGCCTTGTGTCTTCGGCTCTGCCAAGTGGATGAGCTGCTTTCTAGACACAGAACCTAAAGTCTCGTCTCTGAATATGACATCGTGTATAATTATTTCAAAAGCAGTATTGGCACTCACAATTCCAGTTTCCTCAATACCTGTCGCTCCAATGTCGAAATTAGACCGCTAATAACTACAAGCACTACTAAAAAGATCTGCACATCGTGCAGCACCGAAGTCGGATTATCAAAAGAGCACGCAAAAAGCGGACTTCTTGCCGATAACGTAGCTCCCCTCCACATACTTCCGCCTCAACACCACGGGAACAACTTTCTTTTTTCCTTCAGTCGCCATGCTATAGATTATGTCCATTCTCCTCCGCTATCTAGAATGGTTTGGCCTCCGAGCCATCCACGAAACCGGGCGCAACGCCTACCTCATCCTCGCAGCGCGATGCCTGCGAATGACAGCGCACGGCGCCATCTCACTCATACTCGGTACGCGGAGCACCACGCCATTCGCTCGAACCATTCGTCCAATCTTGCACACAACGCTGACGATGAAGCAGCACTCTTCCTCTCCGCGCTGGAATTCTCAGACTACCAAATCGGCCTCTTCCTCACGCTGACGCTGCTCGGTGATGTCTTCCTCGGCGGCCTGCTGACGCTCATAGCGGACCGCACGGGCAGACGCAATGTGTTGATTGGCGGGTCGATGTTGATGGTCACGAGCGGGCTTACGTTTGCTTTTGTGAGCAATTTCTGGGTGCTGTTGGTTGCGGCGGTTGTGGGGGTGGTGAGTGCTACGGGCGGGGACTTTGGGCCGTTTCGATCGATTGAGGAGTATGTTCTGCACCACTTTACTCTTGCTATGGGATGCAATGTTGACGAGCAGTGATCTAGGTCTATTCTCTCCCACTTGACAACCCCGAGGACGCGAGCAGAGGTACTATCATGGTACGTGTCGACCTCTATCTTCGGCTCCGCCCTCGGCAGCGAGCTCTCCGGCCGCATCATCCACGCCCTGCAAAACCGCGGCTGGGAGCTCATAGACGCCTACCACGCCCTCTTTCTCGGCTACGTCCTAATGGGCACGCTAAACGCCACGCTCTCCTTCCTCCTTACGGACGCCTGCGAAATCCAGCTCAAGCCAGACGACACCACCTACTCGCAAGTGCCGCAAGAGGAACTCGAGCAGGCTGCCGCGACGCCAAATCCGCCTGAGAATCTGGGCCCGTTGCAAGCGATGCCTTTGTCTCCTGCTAAGCACAACTGGCTGCGGAGGGGTTGGAAAGGCTTGTCGAGTCGCCTGTCGCAGATTTCCGCTCCGACGCGGAAGATTATGTACAAGTTGTGGTTTTTGCTGGCTATTGACTCGCTTGCGGATGGTATGGTGCCGTTTTCGTTGACGAATTACTATATGGAGGAGAAGTTTCATCCGACCAAGTCGAGTTTGGGGGATATCAATGGCATTGCATATGTGGGTGGCTTTCATCCGGAAATTTGGATTTGAATTCCATGCTGACAACGAGACAGCTTCTAGGAGCCGTGGCTACGGTGTTCGCCGGGCCTTTGGCACGCAAGATTGGTCTGATCAATACGATGGGTTCGTTATCTACCATTACCTTGTGCCCCCATCAGCAGTCTACTGACTCCATCCAGTCTTCACACACGTCCCATCCTCAGCCGCCGTGCTCGTTTTTCCCTTCCCTCCGACTTTCTGGCTCACCGTCGTCCTCCTCTTCATCCGAGCAGGGCTCAACAGCCTCGACCAAGCGCCACGCTCCGCCTTCATAGCAGCCGTAGTGAAAGCCGACGAGCGCACAGCCGTAATGGGCATCACAGCGGTGGTGCGCACCCTAGCCGCCGCCACCGGCCCCTCAGTCACAGGTTTCTTAGCCGGAAGTAACAGATTCTGGATCGCTTTCGTAGTAGCTGGAGTATGTCGGCTGGTCTACGATTTCGGGCTGTACGCTTTGTTCATCAACACGAAGCTGTATCAGCATGAGGGCGGCGCGGCGGTCGATCCGGCTGCTAATGCGGCGCCGCGGCTGAGTGATGTGGAGATGGAGTTGGAGAGTTTGGCGGACAGCGATGAGGGTTCTGATGAGAGTCCGGGGAAGAAGAGTACGACGGAGGAGTCGTCTGCGGCTAGTAAGAGTCCGCGTTTGATGCCGAGGGATGAGCAGCAGCAGCAACGAGTGCGGAGGAGGTCGCCTTCGCCGTTGGCCAAGATGCATACGTGATGACGAGAAGCATGAGGTGGTATAGAGTTAGAAGTCAAAAGTGTCCAGCGTTTTGCATACCAGTCGGATTTTAGTCACGAGCGCCTTTCAACGCATCCATCGCGTCGCTCAGCTCGTCTCGATACACAATGACATTTCCGGTCCTCGTGGTACTCAAATAGCTCATGGTGAACACCTCGCTGGTCCGGTGGGCCATATGATCTCTCAGCCGGCTCGCAACGCCACAGACGATGCCGGTGCTTTCGAGGGGAAGCTGTTCGAGGTCGAGCGTGATGGCCACCTGCTCCGGCCCGTCTTTGCCTACAAGCAGGTCTTCTCCATCGTTGTGAAAGTAAGTTAGCAGTCGAGTGTCGAGTGTCAAAGACATTGACTCCAAGTTGGTGAGAGTGATGGCGAGGAAGGCCGGGGGAGGATGCGAGGTGAGACACTTGGCGAGGCCGAGCTGCAGATTGTCTTTGGCGTTGTTGTTTGCGACTGCAATCGCCGTGCTGTCCTTCACGCCGGCGCACGTCACGAGCTCGATGTGCTCATCCACGCTCGGCGTAATGTCGTGTCGCTGTAGCATGGCGAACGTCTGGGTCTGAAGCTCGGCAACAGTGGTGGGCGTCGGGGCGGGAGAGGTGGGAAACAGGTCAAAGGCGAACTTAGTGATTTGCGGACTCAAGTGCCCGGAGTTTGTCATGTGTCCCGCATCGCCGTGAGAGTCGTCGCTCTCGAAGACGAAGCCTTGGTCTTCTAGGGCGCGGATGACTGTGCGTCGGGCGGAGAAGGGGACGAGGATAAAGTCGGCGTAGTAGCTGGTAATGAAGAAGATGGAGATGCCTGCGAGGGCTAGGGGACTCGTTAGGTCGAGGACGCGTTGGCCGGCATCGAGACCTTCCCCTGAGATCAGCACAGCAGCGTATTGTTCCGAGCTGATGGACACTAAGCTCCGTAATTTCGAGTTCAGACCGGCGAGCAGTGGCATGAAGAGGGTCTCGGCTTCATGCTCCGGACAGACGACGGTGCATGCGTTGGTTGTGATGGAGATGTGGACGAAGGGATGCCAGAACAGCCATGGCCTCTTCGGTTCATGTGGAGTTCCATCCGCGTTCTGGCGGGTGTTGTGAAGGATGAGTTGAAGAATTGGCCGCACGAATAGCGGATAGATGTCTAATGGCAGGTGGATGAGAACAAGTCGGGTATCCTGAGGACATGGTCAGTGCCGGTAGTCAGTGTCAGGGGCCGCGGACTGACGAGAAAGCTGAGCTGAGCGTTGAGGAGCGTGGCGGGCTGCTCTAGCGGTGACTCCATTCACGAGGCTGCGCTCACATGTTCTGGGAGACTGTCGAGCAAGAGGTAGTGGAGAAATGGGAGAGAGGAATGAAACAACAAGAATTTGGGGGAAGAGCTAAGAGTTGAACAGAAGTGAAAGACTCACACAAGCTGTGATTACGGAACGTAATGAGATACCTAAGTTGCTTATCAGCGTCGGACGCGCCTGCGACGGTCACATGCCGACGAGACGCGATCTGTGGAAGGTCGGAGAGACAGGAGTGACATGCGCTGTTCGTCGACAAGCCCTTCTGTGCTGCACGAGGCCCGCGAATCTGGGCTGCAGGCGGGAGATGGTGGGGAGAAATGATCGGCGCCGAGCAGCAGTGCCTCCTCAAGGTACTCCTGGGTTCCGAGTGATGACTTGCAGCTGCGTGGGATGGATGGTTGCATCCTGCGGGCCGCCGCCACCTCCTCCGTCGCGATGGTGGAGTGGAGCGTGGAGGCCGTCCTATTGCCGACATCGGAGTTCGATCACTCGTCCAACGCGATGAATGACCTGGCGAAACGACAGTGACTCAGATCGCGAAGCTGCATCTCGAAGACATCGTAAGGCAAATGTAGTTGCTGTCGATGAAAACGTTCATGCTCGTCTCCGCGGTGGTCAAAGCTCGGTCGCTGCCTGCCTGCCTGCCTGCCGACCCGACTTCTCTTCCAGGTTCTTCTCTTCTTCTCCCTGCGACGTACATTGAGACAGCACGCCTTGATGGATGCTGTTTGGGTGCCTCGCACAGTCTCGTGGTGTTTGTCCTTCACAGACAACACCTGTGGATCAATGACAGCCTGTTTGCTCTCCGTCCGCTGTCTTTCCGCATGTCTCAAATCATTTCTTATGTGTCACCCTGCCGCTTGCTGTCTTCACTGTGTCCCAAACATCTCCTTACATATTTCCATTGCTGCTGTCTGCTTGTCCTTTCCTTCTTCTCTTCCATCTCTCAAACACAAGTATATCTCTTTACCCAAATCTTATATACTCTTCATGTCTCTACCAGCCTTTTCACCGAGCCCACGAGCTCGGCGCCTATCACAACAAAGACTTTGGTCATCCTTTGTGCCGAAGTCGACACGGACAAGCCCTCCGCCTCCCAAGGTCTGTCGTACTCGGGAGCGAATTTCCACAACACAAAGAAATGGAAATTCGCTCCCGAGTGCCTATACAAATGGTGAATGCCATGGATTGCCCGCTGGAACTGCTTTTCTTTTGCTTCACATATCGCCATTCACAGTACTGCAGTCATAAACTATCGGCATTCACATTCTCTTCGGTCACCGTTGGAGCAGTATTATATTCTCTTCCTTTTACTCTATACACACTACATCGGCATACAACATACAACAGTAAACATGGCGAACGGAGCGCAGGAACCGTACCAGTGCCGTGCTACCCAGACGACACCTCGTTGGCATCTCCTGGCCGCCGACAAGAACGAACCTCTCGCAATCGATATCGAATTCGTGGACTGGAAGCTGAAGGCGAACCCAGAGAGCAAATTCAGACATCGCCTTGGGAGAGTCGCCCTGACCAACACCCGGGGGCAGACCATCTACGATGTCTACGTCAACTACCCGTACAACGAGCGCGTCCGCCGCCTGTTACCGCCTCCTGTCTTCGGCGTGCTGCGCGAAGATCTCATGATCCGCAACGGCGCCAAAGAGTCGAAGGAGGTGTTGAAGAATCTGGGGAACATCATCCACGGCCGCACCATCGTCGGCCACGGGATGACGCAAGACTTGACGACGATGGATGAGAAGATCTGGGACCGTGCTAGCACAATCGTCGACACGCAGCACCTCTATGGCCAGGTCAAGCTCAGCAGCCTGGCCGCGGAGTTCTTGGATGATGGCATTCAGAAAACCTTCCACGACCCGTCTGAGGACGCGAGCGCAACCATGGGACTGTATCTCCTCAAACACCCGTATCAAGGCCGCAACGGTTTCAAAGACGCAGCGCCTACCGTCAATAATGCCAACGGGGTGAAGGATTCCAGCGAGGCCACCAATTCTCCAGAGTCAAAGGAGGATTCCGTTGTTGGCAACTCGTCCCCCAAGGGGAAGGAAAATGCGCTCCAGGAAAGCACGACAAGCGCCGAGATCGAGACAGCCTTGGCCCAGCTCGCCTTGGAAGTGGGAGACCAGTCCGGCAAGCAGAGGAAGAAAGGCAAGAAGGGGTGGAAGCCTTTTCCGTTGTAAAGTTGGCTTTGAGGAGAGTTGGTTGTTGTTGAGATGCTCATAGAGGTCGAAGGAGTGATCAGGACGTTCAAAAGCGAAATGGAAGGGTCAAGGGATCAGCGAGTGTGAGGTCATGTTCAGGATCGAATTAGTCCTCACAATAGATAGAACTGTCATCAAACGAGTCAAAAGCACCTCCTAACTGACCCCAACAAGCCACTGACCATTGATATCAAGTCCATCGATTGAAAGATGAAGGGATCCGGCAACAATAACCACATCGTATTGGCTGAGTCGCGCTGATCAATACTCGTTGCGACCGTATCTACGACGTCTTCGCAAAGTACCCATACAACGAGGAAGAAAAGCTCCTGTTGCCCATCTCCAGACCCTCATCACCGGCCGCCCCATCGTTGGCCACGGCATGACCAACGATCGCAAGGCTGTCCCCTCGGAGATCTGGCAAGTGGCCAGCAAGATTATCGACACCCAGGGCATTTACGGGCAAAAGGGGCTCAGGAAGCTCGCCGAATCAGAGCTGGGTATGGAGATCCAGACGGAAGACCATGACCCGCTGGAAGACGCGCAGGCGACGATGCGGTTGTATCTCCTCAACCACCCCTACAACGGCCGCACCAGCTTCCAGGACCCGGAGCCGGCAGTCAACGAGACCGCCGCGGCGAGAGGCTCCCCCAAGGCGGACTCTGCTGTCGCGAAAGACTCTCCCGAGGCAAAGCCCACCGCGGCCGTAGAGGACACTCTCAGCGCCGACATCGAGACGGGCCTGGGTCAGCTCGCGCTGAGCGAGGCGGAGCTCCAGCCCAGCAAGGAAGGGGGAAAGGGCAAGAAGCCGCGGAAGCCTATTTTTTGGTAGGGCTGGCTTTTCAGACTGGTCGAATGCGGGCATAGGGATGTTGGCTTGCATTAGCTCTCGCACTCAATAGTACTGTTTTCAAATGAATCAAAAGAACAACCCATCCCATCTTAACACCCATCTAAGCCCCGGTAGCACCCGCAGCCTTCCACTTCTCATGCAACTTCTTCTGCGCCTCCCACTGCTTCTTGAGCGTCTTGCTCCGACTCTTCGTAACATCATTCCCCTCCGCGTCCTTCGTGGGCAGCCCCTCATCATTCCAAGCACTATACTCGCTCGTCCTGAACATCTGCAGGGGGTCCAACTTACCCTTCTCCAGCCGTTCTTTGTCCGCAGCCTCCTTATCCGCCTTCGCATTGTCCTTCTGCGCCGATTTGGAAGCCTTCTCCGCGGCCTTGGCTTCGCGCTCCTGCCTTTCTTGCCGCAGAGAAGCGGACAAAGGCCGCACGAGGGCCGGCTGTCCTTCGCGATCTTCGAGGTAGATGCCCAGATTCCAGAGGACGGTGTCGCGCACCTGGTCGCAGGCGGCGAGGTACTCCTTCGGCGCGGCGCCTTGCTTATGTAGGCCCACAATCTTGCGCTGGAAGTCGGCGTTGGCGTTTGCGTAGATTTGATTCGCGGTGTAGGTGGTGTCTTTGTCCTCCATGCGCCCTAGAGCGGGAAGGTTGATGTCTTTCTGGATGGCTTGGTCGCGCACTTTGTCGCGCAGCTGGGCGAGGGGGTAGATGAAAGGTTTGGCCTCGTCTGGGATGTCGATGCCGGACCAGCCGATTTGACCTGCTCGTGGTGATTCGGAGTCGAGGCCGAACATTTGCACCATATCGGAGACCCAGCGGCTGATTTCCAGTGCTGTGCCCAGCGGGACAAATTTCTCGGAGTTGAAAGCGGTGATGAGCCTAGAGATAGAGTCCATGGCGGATGAAGTATCGAACGAGTCGCAGATGGCGTTGCGGAAGTCGAGTTTGGCCTTCTGGAAGTCTTTGCTGATGGTAGCAGTCGAGCCGTTTACCTGTGCAGTGCCATTTGGCTCGATGCTTCCATTACTTCCCTCCCTTTGCTGCATGTCCTGCACTTTGATGAAGAAGTTCGAGACCCTCTCCTCCCACGATGTTGCCGCTTTGATCATGCCCGGCTCAATCTCGATTCCACTATGCCAGGATCCAAGGAGCAGGACGATGCGCAATCCGCGGGCAGTCCAGCCTTGCTGCAAAGCCTCTCGAATGGTGGTGAAGTTTTTCAAACTTTTGCTCATCTTGCTTCCCTGAATGTGCAAATGCCCGGTGTGGAAGAAGTAGTTGACCCAGCCGTCGCTCTCATGTCCCTTGCCGTTGACGCAGAAATGTGCCTCAGACTGCGCCAACTCGTTGTCGTGGTGTGGGAAAGCGAGATCAATTCCACCAGAGTGGATGTCGAAGTGGTGACCCAGCACATCAGAAGCCATAGCACTGCACTCGATGTGCCAGCCAGGCCGGCCTTCACCCCACGGTGACGGCCACGACGGTTCACCCGGTCTTGAAGCCTTCCAGAGGGCGAAGTCGGCACCAGATCGCTTGAAGCCGGTCTTCTTGACGGAAAGGGAACCTTCCCCATCAGCTTGGAGTTCTTCGTCGTTGCGATTCTCCGGTTTCAGCCTGGCGTATGATCCCCCTGCCTTTTCCCATGCACCAATGTCGTAGTAGACGGAACCTTCATGCTCGTAAGCGAAGCCATTGTCCTGGATTCGTTTTACAAAGTCGACGATCTGAGGGCCGTATCTAACGGTGTGGTCAGCTACGATGAAACTTTCTGAATCTGCAGTTTTGTGACGTGGGAAGCGTCAACTTACTCTGTCACTCTGGTCACAACGTCGGGATACCGCACATTCAGTGCTCTCATATCCTCGAAGAACCGTTCTTCGTACCGCTTAGTGAGTTTTGTGAATATAGCATGATCATTACCACTGATGGTCGTTGACTCTTTGGAATCAATGTATGGCAAGAGCACCCCTGACGCTTTGACGGCAAATTGCTCGATGCTCGGCTGAGCCATTTGCTGCGCTTCGGCCGCAGATCTGGAAGTATTGAGATGCATCTTAATCTTGGCCTCCTTGTCTTTGTCCGCTTGAAGCTTCCTCTGCTCTTCCTCGCTATCAGGCTTGGCATGTAATATGCTCCCATACGTTCGCTCGCTCTCCGCCGCAAATGTCTCGGCAGTAGTCTCCTGGCTCAGCGAAGGCAGATTCTTCCTCAGATATGCATCGAACGCCTGCTTGGTGGTATCTCTGACTTCCGAGTTCACCTCTTGAAACCTCTGCAGCCATCGTGCGTAGAGGTATTGCTGCCGTGCCGCGAGGATGATCTTGTCGTCAACGTCGGTGATGTTCATTACGAATTTCACTTCGTAGCCCAGATAGTCGGTCAAGATGCGGCGCATGATGTCTGTCGTCACATACGTTCGAGCGTGGCCGAGATGGGAGTCATCGTAGACAGTCGGGCCACAGGCATACCAGCCTACTCTTCGGCCTTCGGGGTCGAGGGGGACAAACGGCTGCTTTGTCTTGCCCAGAGAGTTGTAGACATGCAATTTGGACGCCATGTTGGAAATGGCTGCGCGCTGGAGTCGGAAGGGTGGCACAAGCGGCGGGGGTGACCAGATATGAGGGGACGGAAACAGTCGTGAGAGGCGACTGAGCATTTATGAGGAGCGGAGGTGACGCATGCCAACGTGTGTCGTTTGTGCGGCGCATTCAGTCGGCCATTGACTCTTCATTCGAGCAAGGTCGACTAGCGTGGGAAAGAAGGCCCGTCCCGTCCCGCCCCGTCACGTTCTTCTCCCGCAAACCTTATGCCCCGTTTCATATGCACAATCGCAGAGCTTCAATGTCAACCGCGAAGCAGCAGCACCAAATCAACGTCTTGCCATTGCAAGCGCACCATGGCCCTCGAAGCGACCCATCCGCTCCCCACAGCGGAAGACTTCACACGACTATCCGAGCACCAACAAGAAACGCCCAACACCTTCTTCGGCGGCAAGCCAGTCCTCCACCTGCGCAGCCCAAACGCAAAGCTCAAAATCTCGAACGAGGACTTGACTGCTCAACCCGCGTTGGCGGCGCTGGGCGCCCCGGCTGCCATTCATGCTTCTACAATCGACGGAGTAGCAACGATCGAGAGTATCGATGTATGGGTTTCGTCAACGTGCGTTATTAACCACCTCTGTGACTGCGGAATTCAGCTAATCATCTTCATATGTGCATGCAGGTACCTCGCCCTCGTCTCGGCGCTAGAAACAACTTGCGTGCGCATACCCTACCAGACGATAACAGTGCACGCGCAAGAAGGCGACGCAGTCTTACTAGGCCTCAATCTGTCCGACTCCAACACGCCAAACGAAGACCTCGTCTTCATCCAGCTTCGCATCTTCCCCTCTACCATCGAATCCTTCGACCAGACCGCGCCAGGAGAACCAGACACCGCCTCTGGCGTCAACGGCACACATGCACCTAGTCCTTCGCAAGCGCTCTTCAAAGCCATTGCGGACTGTCAAGAATTGAATCCTGATCCCCCCGAGGAAGGGGACGAGGAGTACGATGAGACTGCGCCTGGAGCGACGGGGTGGATTACGAGTGAGAATATGCACGAGTTTATGGATGAGAATGGGGAGTTGCGGTTACCGGAGGGGATACCTGTTATTGGGGGAGAAGAAGAGCAGGACGCGGGAGGTCACGAGACTGACTCTCAGTTGCCCTTGGGACAAGGCGCGGGACGGACACGAACAGCAGACGAGGTCGATACGGCTGATGGGGCGGAGGAAGAGAGCAAATGGCAGCGCACCGGCTGAGATGTTGCTACACGAAGAAAATACGAAAAGAGGGATCCGTGAACATCATCAATACACATTGCCATTGGTGAAAGCAGTAAAGTTCACATCGACTACGACGAAATTACCTACACCCATCCCTCGACTCACGTATACAAGAACCCCTCCGAGTCATACAAACTCTTCGGTGTGTTCTGGATACTGCGAATGCCACTGCTCGGCACCGCCAGACTCTCCTTCCGCGGCGGCGTGGCATGCATCCTCGCCGGCGTGCCGCTGGACGCAATACCAATGGCCTGCTGACCATTCCAATACTTCTCGCCGTCCTCCCATACACCCCCCTTCTTCCCAGGCGTACCGGCATCTAACCCAGCCAGCGCCCCATCAAGCTTACTCTCCATCCTCTCATGGACATTCTCATGCACCTCTGCTCCACTCCTCGCCTGTCCCGCGCCGAATTGAAAATCAAACACCTCGCCCATCTCCGCCTGACTGGCATTCAACTCCGGGCTCCCAGCCCACGGCAGTAAAGGACTCGCCTCTCGGCCCAAACGCACGTATCGCCGGCTCTCTCGCTCGTTGTCCGCGTGGTCGATTTCGCTGTTCATGCGACGCAGCTGCATGGCGTTCTTCAGCACGCTTTGTGGCGGCTGCGAGCGCGGGCCGGTCGGGCTCGTGCGGTTGCCGCTGATTTGCAGGGGAGACGGAACGCAAGATTCTTTGATCCATTGGAGAGGAGGCGGGGGAGCGGCTTGAGTTTGGATCATCAAGCCTTGGCGCGACGCCGTGGTTCTGGGCGTTAGGTGGGCGTAGACTTCATCCTCGGCTGGAGGGAGGAGTACGGGTGCGCCGGGGAAGGTGACGTCGCCTGGCAGCTGGGCCATGATTGCGCTTGCGTTGGCTGAAGTCAGCTTCTCGGGGCTGATGCCAAAGACGGGCTCGAATTCGGACGGGCTGGTTTTGGGCGAGATGGGGGGTGTATCTGGTAGTTCACCACCGTAGGATTGCGGTCTGCTGCGGGGCGGTGAATTCTCATCCGTGCCCTCCTGAGTAGGCGAGGTCTTGATAAATGGGAATGACGCTGAGCTGCGGTCCTGTTGCGATCGGCTCCATTGCGGGCTCTCTGGGTCATATGTCTCGTTACTCATTGCGTTTAGCCCTGGCGGACTCGAAGAGATACCGAGATCTGAAGACGGTCGCATCACGAACGGCGACGAACTAGTGTCGTCATATGTGTCCGTCGATGGTCGCGACAAGTAAAACTCAGGGATTGGCTGACTCAATTGCGTCGTGGACGCCGCGGCGCGCACCGGACTCGGGAATGAAGGGATGCTGCCCATCGAAGAGCGCGTGCCGGCCGAGAGCTGCAAATCTGAGCCCTGAGAGTGCATGCCTTGTTCGTGCATCACGTTCCACAGGGACAATGTAGGCGAGCTAGGCGTCAGCGAGGCTTGAGAAGGCTGCAGACGCAGATTCGGGGCGAACGACGCTGTGCTCGGCGGGCGAGACAGGCGCTGATTTGATACAAAGACCATGCCGGGCTGCGTTGCGCTTTCATCGCCATCGGCTGATTCCTCTTCGATTCCGTGGGTGATACTCGGGCTGGTGGAGCGACTCGGTGGTGGTCCGAGGATTTGAGGGGTCAGGGTGGAAATACGGACACAATTCTGTCTTCGGTGTCCCTTTCTTGCGTTCGGGCTCCCTTTCAGTGCAGACGGCTTTTGAAGCGGTTGATTGTCCCATTGGAAAGGATTGCTATTCCGGTTCGAATCTTGCGTTGCGTCAGACCCTTGTCGTGAAGGCACGCCCGTGTTTCCGCTGATGTCGCGTAGGACGCCGCCCTTTTTGCGCTCTGCTGGGGATCCCGAGGCGGATACGGAGGTTCTGTTGTGTTTGCGCGGGGTGATGACTTTACGCACGCTGGAAGACGCAAGAGAATTTGAAGAGGACACGCGGCTGATGCTGACTTGGTCGGCGGTGCCGATCTCTGCACTGGAGACACGCCTTTGTTGACCGTCTGCGGTTAGGCTGCCCGAAGAGAATCGTTGACTGGCTAAGCTTCCTGCACTGTATCGAGCCATGTTGTTTCGAATTGACGATAGCTGGCCATGCGCTTGTGAGCTGTGCCATTGATTGGTGGCTGCGCTGTCGTCGTCTGTACCGACGCCCTGGATTTGCGCAGTGCCCATAGAGTCCTTTCGTTCCGGGAACACCAGGACAGGCGAAGTGGCTAGCACCGAGCTGTGCACCGACCCGTGGCTGGAGGTAGACAGTCGCTGAATGCAGAGGCCTTGGGCAGCGGGGTCTTGCTTGGTGGCATCGTGAGGGCTGATGACAGGCAGCGGAGGTACAGGACCAGAGGGCGGGCGGCTTGGTGGAGCAGCACCCATACTGACCGAGCGTCGACTCCGCTTGTTAGACGGACTGCCAAAGACGTCTTCATCGGGAACCGCAGACATGGATCCCGATCTCATCCGGTGTTGAGACTTGCTGTGGTCGTCATTTGCGATGCCTGCTCCGTATCGACCGGGCGAGCGGATGGCAAAGGAGGGCAGAACGTTTGGCTTGGGACTCTCCGGGCAGACAAAAACATCGTCCTCATTCGATTTGTGCATGTTGTAGCCTTTGCTTTTCGTAGGTGTCGACTTGTTCCCATCAGCCTGTGTAAGCACTCGATCCGGGGCAGGCGAATCCGTTGGCCGAGACCTCGGGCTCTCCAGGATGGCGGTCAGACGCTTGAATCGCGTGAGAGGAATGCCTTTGTGTCGGAACTTCTTCGGCAAACCGATAGAATCCCTCTTGCGTCTGGTGGAGCGCGCAGGCGGGTCTGGCTGATTCACACTCTCGTCCGATGTCAACGCATCCCAGCCCGCTCTCGACTGCAACGGGAGGATCAAGCTTCTTCTCAACGCGCTCACTGGCCGAGCGACCTCTTGCGTCTGTTGTATGTGCAGCGCCTCTTCCACTTCCATAGCCTCGACCAGGCGCTTGTGCTCCGCTCGTTTTCGGACGGTCAAGATCGCCACGAAAATGAGACCGAGGATGAAGGCTCCACCGACTCCGAGTCCCACGCCCAAGTATGTTGCCGAGTGAGAGAAGGAGGCAGCGTTGCTCGAAGCAGCGCTGCCTGGCGCCTGACCAACACTGCCAGCATTTTGCCTGGCGTTCAACCGGGCTCTGCTGAGGGAGTGTGGTGCGTCGTCGAAGCTGACCGTCAGTTGTCCCGAGGGGGCCATGTTGTGTGGAGCTCAGATCCCTGGATGTCGTAAGTTCACAACCCTTGTCGCGCCGGCATTGTCGCTAGTAATGGAGCCTGTTGTCTGCCACTACCGCGCCGTGCAGTCGAGTATTCGTCCGTGAGCGTCGACCTCACTATGCGGACTGCCGTATGCTCATTATACAGCGACGGCCCGTCATGTTGTGAGTTTGGCCGGCGATGGCATGCAGGCGGTCGCCATGGTCGGGGGGAACTGGAATGTGACGGGCCCGAGAAGGTGGGCAGGCCTCTGTCCTCATTTCCCCCCAGGGACTCTGCCTATATTTATTGCGTCCAATTTCGGCACGAAGGTAAATAAACAGCTGTCTGGATAGAAATTCTCCGAGACGTTCAGTCGGTCATTGCTGTCCGCCCAAGCGAGGTGCCAGTGCTATTAAGCGAGGAGGACTTGTTGAAGGGACAACATGCTTCTTCGCGGGCACGAGGTGTCGCGTGACGAAGATGGGATTGGAGGTGACGAGGCATGATAGATGAGGAGATGTCTGGACGCACCTACCGTTGAGTGCTTGAGGTTGGATGCGTGGGAGGAGAGTAGCACGAGAAGGAGTGAGCACGCGTCTCGTCACGGCTACTCAACGGTCGCCTTGGCCAACCGGGTAGAAGACGAGATGCATCCTCCGTTTTCAACCGTCTGTATTCACATGCTGTGCATGGGCGAAGGATAGAGATGTCTGACTATAGCGAGGGAAGATGGAGCGGAGGTTAGAGCCCCCCACGCCTTCATGTCGTCGAAGAGAGTTTGTCATCAAAAGTCCGAGCGTCAACGATTGCAACATCACCTTACGTCGACACCTCATCCCGGCGGAGTCCCCGTATTCACAGACAATCCCGACATCAAAAAAGCGAAAGGGACATAATCAAACAGCCCCTCCATTGACATCCAAATTTCTACTCGCCCATTGCAGTCATGGTTCGCGGCCCAGCGCAAGCGGCCGCTCCACAGCCGATGATGGCCAAGGAAGAAGCCCCCGAGGATAGCGCGATGAAAAACGGCTTGTTCCGAGAGAACAATACGCTTCCTCCAGGCGAGACTCGGATTGGAGCGTTGTTCAGTCTCAAGCACAAGACTGCCGTTGTGTCGGGCTCTGACCGTGGCATTGGGTTGTCCGTCGCCCAAGGCTTTGCGGAAGCGGGGGCGAACGTGGCCATTTGGTATCATAGTAATAAGGATGCATTGAAGCGGGCGGAGGAGATTGAGGAGAAGTATGGAGTCAAGTGTAGGTTGTCGCTTAAACACTACCTTGTCACCGTGGTTAGACGCTGACAGGTGATGGCTCTCTAGGCAAGGCGTACCAAGTCGATGCCACCGACTTCGACAACGTTCGCAAAGTCCTGCACAAGACCATCCACGATCTGGGCGGGCGGTTGGACGTCTTCGTAGCCAACGCCGGCATCCCCTGGACTCAAGGCCGCATGATCGACGGCGAGCTGTCTCACTACCGAGCCGTCGTTTCCACCGACCTCGACAGCGTCTTCTACACAGCGAAGGCGGCGGGCGAAGTCTTCAGGTCGCAATACGAGTCGGGCGTCGATGCGTTTGGCGAGAAATTGCAGCACTATAGCTATGGCAGTTTCATCGCCACATCGAGTATGAGCGGGCACATTGCAAATATTCCTCAACTGCAGGCTGCGGTAAGTGTCTGGGCATCGCCCATCTCCATGTCTCCATTCGAATCACAAGCTGATATCGAGTACAGTACAACGCGGCCAAAGCAGGCGTACGCCATCTCTGCAAATCGCTCGCGGTGGAGTGGGTGAAGTTCGCTCGTGCCAACTCCATCAGTCCCGGCTACATCGCCACCGAGATCTCCGACTTCGTCCCGCCGGCCACCAAAGCCATCTGGCGGTCGAAGATTCCCATGGGTCGCGAAGGGCAGCCGGCGGAGCTGAAGGGCGCGTATCTGTATCTTGCGTCGGATGCCAGCTCGTACACCACCGGGTGTGATATCATTGCCGATGGTGGATACACCTCCGTATAATAGAAAAGCGTCGGTCCCGTTCTTCCCATTCGTTCGCTGTGGTGTTGTAGATCTCGGTCGTCCCTCACTCACTCACTCACTCCCCAGACTGCTACTGTGCCATCGCCACCAGCGCTAGCCAGTTGCTTGCGCATCTGGTTCCAGGCCACAGCACTGACGACGCTCTTCTTCGTCGCCTCTTTCGCCTCTTCTCCCTCCATATGCCACAGTTCCTCCTTCAGCTCCCCACTCAACACATCCCAAACACACACCTTCCCATTCTCCGCTCCACTAACCGCATACGCATCCGCCATAGCCAGCGTAGACCGCACGCGATACGTGTCATTCTTGAACCCCGTGTGCTCAAACGTCTGCAAACACTTCCCCTGCGTGCGATCCATCAGACGCAGCTTGTTATCCAGCGTCGACACCAGATAGCTGTCCCCAGCCTTCGCAGGCGTCACAGCCGTCACACTCGCCCCCAGCACATCCACATCCACGCATCCCAGAGCCAGGTCGTAAACCCTGACTTTCCCATCCACACTCCCCGCATAAATCTCCCCGCCCACAACGCGCACACAACTAACGGAATCCCTCGCCTCCGCAAATGTCACAATCGCCTTCTCACTCCGGCTCCGCAAATCCCACACCTTGACCGTCCCATCAAAACTCCCACTAACAACCACACTCTCCCCCGCGCCACCGGAATCCTCCCCGCCAAAACAAACAGCATTCACCCGCCCCGCATGCCCGCCAAACCGCCGCGTAGTCTGCGCGGTGCTGACATCCCAGAGAAACACGAGCTTGTCGCCGCCCACGCTCGCGAAGCGCGAATTGTCGGCGCTCACGGCGAGGTCGAGCACTTCGTACCCGTGCGCTGCGTAGGTTTGGATGAGCGGGCGTTTGGTCGACGTGGGGTTGTAGAGCCGGATTTGCCGGTCCGCGCTGCCTGTGAGGAGGAATTGCCCCGTGCCGGAGGAGTAGGTGAGGGCGTGGATTGGGCTGTTGGTTGGGGGTTGCAGGGTTGTGAGGCGGGTTGTTGGGAAGGCAGGGGCGGTGGACATTTTGCGGGAGGCGATTACATTTTCTTGTTTTGCTTTAGAGGATGAGGGCGGGTGGTGAGGGTGTTGGTAGTTGGATGGGGAAAGTTTCATGATGGTATTTGGATGACATAAAAGTGAAGTCGCGCTGGAATTTATCGACCACGAGGCTTCGACCTCTTGGTTACACGCTACCTAAGGTACTCACATAGTACAGATCTCATCAGGACTACACTGCTCAAATAGTCATCCAAGTGAAGCGAAGCAAACAGCACAGACATCTTCAAATATACTCCACCAAGACAGCCGTCCGATAAAAGCCACGCACCGGCTGGATATACCACTGATTATCATTATGCTGATCAACAACCGATACCCCACTCGTCGTCCCCGGTGTCGTCTGCTCACACATCAACCGACACCCCCCGTCCGCAGGCGACCCGCTCAGAGCGCATTTGGTGTTTGGATTATGGATCTTGCCGAACTGCAGCACAGTGCCCATGGGGAGCGTCTTATGTGTAACCGAGTAGGCGAAATGGCCGACCTGATATTGCCGTTCTCCGGGCGCTTTGGCGACCGTGAGGATGGTGTTGTTCGTGAGCGTGTACTCGTACTCGGTGGTGTTCGCGGCGTCGAAGTACGAGTTACAGAAGGTGTAAGGGATTTGGCAGGTGCCGCCGAGGGTGAGGTACATGTCCACGGCGGTGGCCCAGAGGCGAAAGGTGCCATTGGAGGGACAGCCTCGGACGGCGCTGGCTAGCGCAATGAAAGGCCCCAGGGCGAAGACGATCAGATTGCAGAGGAGGGGCATTGTGGAAGAGGTGAATGACGATACCAATGATGAGTAGACTGGTCAAGCAACACGGGCGAGGAAGGCTGAGTATCTATATGTTATGCGGTCGGCTACCGAGCGCTAGGTAAGTTATGTGCGTGCCATCCTGCAGTTGGGATCGCTACCACAGCGACCAAAAGGATGGCAAACCCTATTCCAACCGCGTATGCAGTAGGTCGGATGGTGAAGATGTCCAAGCTTCCCGTTGATCAGCAAATCGCATTAAACGTACTGAAAAGCATACAACTCGCGGCTAGTCTGCTCACGGGACGATATCTACATGCACTCGCGCCTGGCAGACCGCGAGATCAGCATCCAATGCAGATTGGATGCCGAGATATCGCTTGCTGCCCGTCCATCCAGGTTCACCTCTTCGTTTGGGGTTGCCACGCGCTCATCACATCTCCATCTAACGCCTTCCAGTCCTGCTCAGGCTGCCCTGCAGACCCTCGACTTCCGCCTCGAGCTGCTTGATGACCGCGTGGCTTTGCTCCAAGTCCTTGTTCAATCGATCCCGCTCGGAAATCAGCTTCTGCTCCCACTGTCGGAATCGCGTCTCCTCCTTTTTGACTTCGTCCGTGAACCTCTTCCTCAATTGCTCCTCCTCTTCCTTGAACTTGGGGTTGTCCAGCTTTCGGGGCCGGGCCTCGCCAAACTTCCTCGTCTCCATTTGCTGCGCGCGGTAGGCCTCGTAATGGTTCTCCTCCGTGGTGTGGATGAGATCGAGCATGTGTGTGCGGATGAGGATGGCGCGCAGCTTCTTGAAGTCGCAGTGCTCCTCGTTCTCCACCTCGGCGACACCCCAGGCGTATTGGCGGCCCTTGACTTGACGACCGTCGGCCGTGGAAACGTCACGCTCGCTGCCGATCACGGAGAAGGGCATGGCGGCGATGAGGCTTCGGGCGTGCTGAAGGCCGGCCTCATCGTCTTCTTCGAGGGGAGGTGTGTAGATTTTGATGCCCTGGGCTTCAATGACGGTGCGGATCTGGGCGGTGTTAGTATTGGTGTTGGACTGACTGGACTGAGGATGAAGAGTTTCACTTACGCGTTGCTTGAACTTGGCAAGGTCCGCTGGGCTAAGAGTGTCTGCCTTTGCGACCACGGGGATGAGGTTGACACGCGTGCACAGACGCTTCATGACCTCAATGTCCAAAGGCTTCAAGGTGTGGCCGGTGGGACGGATGAAGTACAGACATGCGTGCACGCGCAAGTCAATCTTCTCCGTTCGGCGGGGCTGCTGCTCCTGCAGCATGTAGCTCTCGTGCTGGTCATCGAGGAACTCGATGATGGGCTGCCAGCTATCGCGGTTGTTCACGTAGTCGCCGAAGCCTGGGGTGTCGATGACAGTGAGTCGGACCTTGAAGAACTTCTCCTCGAGCTCCGCCTTGGTGATTTCGATCTCGACGGTCTTGTCCACCTGCTTGGCGTGACGGCGGCGATGATCGGCGTAGTTCTTGATGGTCGTGGAGAAGAGGGTGTTGATGAAGGTGGTCTTTCCCAGGCCGGACTCGCCTGCAACCATGATGGTGAAGGCAGCACCTCTCTTCGCGACAATCTTGTGGCGCTGGTTGGGAAGCTAGAGGGTGAGGCATCAGCGATGGCCCTATGCCACAATCGCGGGCTGTGTTTCAACGTACATTGGCAATGCCAATCGGGCCTCCTGCTTCCGCCATGTCTTTGATGATGCAGCGCGAGCGCTCTTCTACGGGAGGAGTGGGTGCGGGAGGAAGGGAGTGCTCGGGATTGATTGCTAGATCCCTGTCGCGCAGTCTGTCAGTGCCAATGTAAACTCGGGCTGCAGCCATTGTCGAGCGGGTTTGCTTCAAAAGCTTCTGAAGCCATCAGAGAGGGGGTTGTCGTACCGAGAATTAAGATGTGGATGGATCCGGGGAGCTGTTGACAAGCGCGACCAAGTTCACAGCAAGCGCAATGCGATGGGTGATGGTGTTGCAGTCGTGAGGGTGAATTTTTGCAGCAGCGTTGACCCTGAGGAAGTCGTCTCCTTTCTTTGAGAAACGAAGTGGTCGGTGCGCCGACGCATGCGACGGACCAATCGGACGGCTTGGCGGGTCCCGCGGCGACCGTTGCAGGAACCTTAAAGTGGTGGATCTGCCACATGCGGCTCTGCGTCTATAATTTTTTGACCTCTCGACATCGACAGATCTTGGAGCGGCTTACGAACGCCCAGCGACAACCAGCAGCTGGAAAGGAATTCAAAAGACACTTGATGATTATGGCGTAAACGGTTCAAGATGAAGACGGATTTCAAGGTGCGCTCCATCTCTAATCTACTGCTCGTGGAAAGTCACTTACACCATGGCCACAGTTCTCCAACCTGCTTGGAACGGTCTACCGCCAGGGGAACCTGGTCTATACCTCCGATGGAACTTGTCTAATTTCACCCGTCGGAAACAGAGTCACGGTGTTTGACCTGGTCAACAACACATCCCACACATTGCCACTGGCCCATCGGACAAATGTTGCGCAGATAGCTCTGCATCCCCGGGGACAACTATTACTCACGGTAGATGAGCAAGGCCATGCGATTCTCAGTCACTTTACTCGACGGATAGTACTGTACCACTTCTCGCTCAAAGCTCGGGTGAGCGCATTGCTCTTCTCACCATGTGGGAAGTTTTTCGCTGTCGCACTCGGCAGGAAGATTGAGGTGTGGAAGACCCCTTCGACCCCGGGCTCATCAGACTCTCCCGAAGGGAACGAAGGAGGCCTCGAGTTTGCTCCTTTCGTGCGCTACAGACAGTATGTCGGACATCATGATGAAGTTCAGAACATCGAGTGGAGCAGCGATTCTCGTTTCTTTCTATCCGCAAGCAAGGACTTGACCGCGCGAATATGGAGCTTGGATCCAGAGGTCGGCTTCACCCCCACTGTCCTAGCTGGACACAGGACGGCTGTATATGCCGCCTGGTTCAGCGAAGATCAAGAAACCATCTACACCGTCTCCAAGGATGGTGCACTCTTCCAATGGCAGTATCTGCCCCCTGCCGGTGCCGATCCGGATAATATCTCCGCGGACGATGAACGCTGGCGAATAAACGAGCGATACTACTTTTATCAGTCACAAGATCACGCGCACCTCACCACCGCCGCCTTCCACGCCGCCACCAATCTATTGGTGACGGGATTCTCCAACGGCCTCTTCATGATACACGAGCTTCCCTCCTTCTCCGAAATCCACAAATTGTCCATCTCCGCCTCTCAAATCTCTACCGTGTCCATCTCACCTGATGGCTTGTGGCTCGCCTTCGGCGCATCCACGCTCGGACAGCTCCTGGTGTGGGAATGGCAATCCGAATCCTACATCCTCAAACAACAAGGCCATTTCGATAATCTCAACGCACTCACGTACAGTCCCAGCGGCGATCGCATCATCACCACTTCCGACGACGGAAAAGTGAAAGTGTGGGATGCGGCTTCGGGCTTCTGCATCGTCACATTCACCGAACACACCTCGGGCGTGACAGCCTGCGAATTCGCAAAGAGAGGAAATGTCCTCTTCACGGCTAGTTTGGACGGTAGCGTGAGAGCTTTCGACTTGATCCGATATCGATGCTTCCGCACCTTCACCGCAACCAAACGATTATCCTTCTCGTCCATCGCGGTAGATCCTTCCGGCGAGGTCGTGGCAGCTGGAAGTCTGGATGACTTCGACATCCACCTCTGGTCCGTGCAGACGGGACAATTACTCGACCAGCTAGCAGGACACGAGGGACCGGTGTCGAGCCTCGCTTTCGCTCCAAATGGCACGAGTCTGGTGTCTGGATCTTGGGATCGCACGGTCAGGATTTGGTCGGTGTTTGCACGCACGCAGACTTCAGAGCCCCTTCAACTGCAAGCAGATGTGCTTTCCCTGGCTGTCAGACCGGACAGCAAACAAATCACCGTTTCGACTCTTGACGGACAGCTTACGTTTTGGTCCGTGAGCGAAGGCACTCAAGAGTCTGGCATGGATGGGCGAAGAGACGTGAGCGGCGGCCGGAAGATCTCCGATCGGAGGACCGCTGCGAACGTAGCGGGCACGAAGAGCTTCAACACTCTGACCTACAGCGCCGACGGCAGTGTTGTGCTCGCTGCGGGGCTGTCAAAGTACATCTGCCTGTACGCGGTGGAGACCGGCGTCCTGCTACAGAAGTACACAGTCTCCGTCAATCTGTCTCTGGAAGGCACGCAAGAGTTCTTGAACTCCCGCATGCTGACCGAGGGCGGGCCTCAAGGTCTCCTCGACGAACAAGGAGAAGCATCCGATTTGGAAGATCGCATCGACAAGTCTCTTCCTGGATCCAAACGAGGGGACGCAGCGCAACGCAAAACCGCACCAGAAGTCCGAGTGGCCGGCGTCGCCTTTTCCCCCACTGGCCGCGCTTTCTGCGCCGCATCCACAGAAGGCTTGCTCATCTACAGCCTGGACGCAGGCGTGCAATTCGACCCCTTCGACCTCGACATCGACGTCACGGCCGAAAGCACCCTTGACGCCCTCGCGCAGCACGAATACCTCAAAGCATTAGTCATGTCCTTCCGCCTCGACTCGCCCAAACTCACCACGCACATCTACCGCTCCATCCCCGTCTCGGACATCCGGCTTGTAGTCCGCGACGTGCCGGAGGTATATCTCGAGCGACTGATTGGGCACGTGGCGAAGGAAGCAGACACGAGTCCGCGGATGGAGTTGAATTTGCTTTGGACGGAATGTTTGCTGAAGGTGCATGGGAGGGTGCTGAAGGAGAGGCAGCGGGATTTTGCGGAGGTGGTGAGGTTGTTGCAGCGGGCGGTGGGCAGGATGCAGGGGGAGATTATGAAGTTGGCGGATTCGAACGCGCATGCTGTGGAGTTTTTGCTTGCACAGTCGAGGACGGGGAGCCATGGCGGAGGAGAGTCGAGATTAATGTCAGGGGTAGAGGAAAGGAAAGAGGATGGGGAGGACGGGCAGTGGATTGGGTTGGATTGAGAGCTCGCCCGATCGCGTAGGAGATACCCTGCTAGCTGGATGGCCTTTATCATGTGCCCAAGGTAGACGACAGGGACCCCAGCGACTACCATTATCAGCGAGGTTTCCCAGCCCAGCCTCGCCACGATGAAGATATCAGGATGACTGGCGTGCATGCGTAGACTTGGCTTGAGTGATGGTGGCAAGAGACTAGGATCATCTCTCCATCGCTACATTACATGTACACATGGTCAAGGATAGGGAGATTTCGCGGTAACGTGTCAGGGCTTCTTCGTGTATGGAAGAGCTCATTCCTGCCATTGGACGCGGGGAACGTGGAGTGGAGGGTTCATGCAACAACTCCACCTCCAGGCCAAGCACTGGTGACAGCCGTTGGGCAGGATTCGAGCTCCATCCCGCTTTATGTTCGCGTTGCGCTGAGCTCTGGGAGGGGCGGTGGGCTGTCGACATGGCGAACACACTCTTGCTCTGGTCGTGGTCATGAGCGAGGGATGATGTCTGATATCTGGAGGCATGCTGGAGCACTTGGCGGGGAAGGCTGGACCCTGCTGGACCCTTGACCCCTTGCAGCGGCGCGGGCAGGCGCGTGCGTGGGCCGCGCACGAGCCCGCTAGTCTAAACCATTCCTGGTTGGGTGGCCTGAACTTCCTCAGGCGCACCCTCCCTCCTCCCTCTTCCACACCACCTCGCATGCATTCATACCCCTCTTCCCGCATCTTCTCTCACGACAGCATGATCGCAATGACATATCACGACTCCTCTCCGCTGTTCTATTTCCACGTCCTCTAGCTGTCCTTGAACTCCGTCCTAATGCAACCGCCGCCGTCCACGACCCCTCTTCATTCCACAACCCCACACATCCCCCAATCCCCCTAACATCCTAACAACATGGGCCTGCTCAAGCACTTCCGTTCCAAATCGAAGCTGAAAGACGCTAGCCCTCCTCGACCGACCTCCTACGAAGTCAACTACCCCATCCTCTCGTCTCCTCCCCGGCCCCGTTCTGATCTCATCTCTCGCCTCCCGGAGAAAGTGCTCGCGCGCGTCTTCTCCTTCGTCTGTCCTCACACCTCCGACACCAGCTTCCTCCCCTCCGAAGACTCCCAGATCGGAGATGGCTGCATGCTCTGCGACTTGCGCGACCTCGCCCACTGCGCCCAGGTGTGTCGCAAGTGGTACAGCATCGCACAAGGCCTCTTGTACCGCAGTGTGAGGATCGATGCCGTGCATTACTGCGCCTTGGAGGAAGAGCTGGCGGAGAAGCGGAAGAAATCGAGCAAGTTCCGCAGCAGCAAGAATGTCGTCGAGCCGCTCGATGTCCCCCATATCCGCCTGCAGCTGCTGTGCAGGAGTGTGCGCGAGAATGCGAATTTGGCCGACCAGGTGCAGATACTAAAGCTGCCGTACATGACCCGCGAAACTGCCAAAGGCGATCTCGCCCGCACCGTCAGCGCTCTCCCGCGACTGCAGTACGCCGACCTTCCCGATGGCTTCGCTTCGGGCGATGCGAGCTGCATAACGTTGCGCCAGGAATTGCAAGCGCGCTGCCCAGATATCAGAAAGATGACGTATCGAGCGGGGGCGGAGGAGGCATTGGAGCTGCTGTCGCAGAGACACTGGCAGAACATCGAGATCTTGGAGCTCGACGGGGTCGCTGTGCAGCCGGCTACGTTACGATTGGTCCTAGCGAGTCTACCCGTCCTCCGAGAAGTCAGCATCTCTGGGATGCATTGGCTGGATGACAGTATCTTTCAGAGATCGAGTCAAATTCCCGACTTCCCGCCCGTTCAGACGCTCAAGATGGTCAATGTTCCAAACGTCACGGCGAGAGGGTTCAAGGAATACCTGCAGGACCCTCAGAATCGCGATGTATTCTTTTCATTGACGTTGGAGAATACTGGGGTGGCGGTGAACGAGCTGTCGACAGTGCTTTGGGCCGCGTCAAACTTGCAGCATCTCAGCATCACAGCCGTGGTCTCCAAAAGCCTGGGCATCGGCGCGGGCGACTTACCACCGCTGACTTCCATCAGCCTGAAGACTTTGCATTACGAGATCCTGAGCAGCGACGAGGTCCACAGCCTGCAGAAACCGGCGGAGAGCTACTACGCCTACCTGGCCAGCTCCTTACACCGCAACGCCCTGCCAGCCCTCGAGACCCTTTTTGTACGGGATCAGAATTTCCCGGATTTGCTCCTCATGCCTCCCATGCCCACTTCCAACGCACGACCAAGCTTCTCGACCAGCGGCAGCGGAACACGACCCGCACCCGCCGACACAGGCTCGCTCAAAAGCAAGGGCTCGAATCTGTCCGCGGTAACGCAAAACTCCACCAAGCCAGGCCTGGGCCCTACCTTGTCATCCAATGGAGGCAACGCTGTTGCTTTCAGCCAACAACTAGAAGTCTACTCCAAAGGTGCTGGTGATGTCGAATGGGTCTTCACCTCCATCGCCCCTCCGAGTGGAGCTCGCAAAGGCTCAATCTCCGGGCCCCCAGGCGCGCGCCCTCTCAGCGCCTACTCCGCCTCCAAAGGCCTTACTCCGCAATGGGCACATGGAGGATTCGGAAGCGAAGCCAGAAAATCTGTGCTCGTGGGCAATGGATATGGCGGCTTCCTCGCCGTTCCACAACTAGATGATGCGCCCAAGGAGCCCGTTCCGGAGGAGTTCTTGGGAGCTACGAGATGGGGTAGCGTAGGCACGCAGAGCTCGGGGCATAGCTCTTTCCTGAAGCCGCCGCCGAGTATGACTAGTGTGTCGTCGAGCGGGGAGAAGAGGCATAGCAAGCATGATCTTTGGAGGTAAATGGGGTAGAGCGAGGATGCTCAGATCGACGCACGCGGAGGCTGGATTCCTCCTGCTACCGGGCGAATGAACGATGGCAACAACGAAGTGTTTCAAATGCGCATCTCGATGTTTCAGGAACGGAAAGCATGTACGAGGCAAGACGTTACGATGATGATGGCATATTCGATGGCATATCTTCGTGTTTTTTTGGAGAGCCCCCGGCGATGTCTGTTTTGTTTTGCCTTGCGGCGTCACGATTTGGTATTCACGAAGCATTTGAATGTACGATTACATCTTTTCCAATATCATAGGCGGCATCCCATTTGCACTCTTCATGAGTCAACCATGATCGGTCTCATATTCGTCTTCATCAGCTTGTGTAGCCCATCGCCTTCCGCCACCAGGCTAGCACACCGCGCTCCTCCATCTGCCGACCGAAGTCCGCCACCGAGTCCGTTTCAAAGAGGCCTTTCGTTGCATTGCCAGTGGCTTCGACCTCTATAGGCTTTGCAACGAGCTGATAGTCTTTATACCGTAATCTCTACCTCCGTCCACGACACAATCAACAACGGAGCCTCGCACCCAAAGCACAAACTCAATCCCACTCACCTGCACAACGCCCACCCACTCCTCAACATTGCCCCTCGCTTCCCCTGCAACATACATCATGCCCGGCGCCCCGCCGCTGCGCAGTAAGACGAAGACGCCATGCTTCGTCGCGGCTTGCTTGAGTTTAGAGACTTTGGCACGACTTGTTATGTGGTGGGTGCGGATTAGGGCGTGCCAGGTTGAGGGGCTGGGGGGCATGTGCTTTGCATAAGGGTCTTCGGGTATGGGATGCTGACTGAGGGGAGGAGAGGTAACGACGGAGATGGTAGTAGGGCAGGCTTGAAACGTCGCGCTGCTTGCCTAATTGGGCTTGGCTTGGCGTGAATGATTATTAACACGGACTCCTCCTTGACTTTCCAGTCAGCTTCTCCCCTCTGACGCCATCTCTCATTCGAGTCTGACACGAGTGCGGCACGTCGAGATGCGTTGTGCTGCTGATCTTCTTACGCCGAACGGCCTACGCACGTGTCTCCACCTCACGGTCGTAGCGATCGCGGAAATGGAAAAGCTGACAGTAAGATCCGTATGGGTTTGCGGCTGAGATATCGATCACTTTCCTAACTCCGCCACCTACTGTGGACCTCATCAGGCACGACAGCCGCAAAGCGTTAATGTTGCGCGGTTGCGTAATCGCCGTGCCTATTTGATGCAGCTCCTCCTTCCGTATTCCTTCTGCTTTGTCTTCTTCTTTTCCCCCTCTGGCCTTTCCTTCGCCGTCTCGCCGTTTTCAATAAAAGCAAAAGACTACCCGATTCCACAATGCCTTTCCCCATTTCCGCCGACAAGATCGAGACTCGCCATTACATCAATGGCGAGTTCAGCGAGTCCTCCGACAAAGCCACTTTCCAGCTCGCCTCGCCTTACTCCCACGAGAAGATCGCAGACGTCTGCGAGGCGACAGTAGAAGACACGAATCGCGCCGTGGCAGCAGCAAAAGCCGCCTTCCCGTGCGTGCCTAATTCCCCATTTCCCCATCTCCTTGCCCTTCTCATTGACTAGCTCTTCAGAGCATGGTCAGCCCTTGATCCCACCACGCGAGGCGGGTACTTGAAGAAGCTGGCCGAGCTGATCGTCGCCAACCATCAGGAGTTGGCCCAGCTCGATGCCATGTCCATGGGCAGACCGGTGTCGTCCTACTTCGACGCCTTTGCCAGTGCCGGCTACTTTGAACACTATGCCCAGGCTGGCCTCTCTGCCTTGGGCACGACGAGCCTGAACACCCCGGGCTTTGTCAATATGACTTTCCGCCAGCCCATCGGACCTGTGGCGGCGATTATCCCCTGGAATATTCCAGTGGTAACGACTTCCCCTTTGGAGCATTGTTTACATGCGAGGACATCGTGGGCTGACGGTTATTGATTATTCTCTAGATGATGTTCGGCATGAAGGTCGCTCCTGCTGTTGCCGCAGGCTGCACGGTCGTGCTGAAGAGCTCCGAGAAGGCGCCGTTGTCGGTACGTATGCTGGCCGAGAAGATCATTTCATCGGACACTAATGATCCCAGTCCGCCAAACTCGCCAGCCTTGCCCACCAAGCCGGCTTCCCCAAGGGCGTCATCAACGTTCTCAGCGGTCACGGTATGTCATCAGCCCACCGTAATCCATTGAGTAGTTCAACACCCTAACACCATTAAGGCACCCCATCCGGCTCCACCCTCTCCTCTCATATGGACATCCGACTGGTGAACTTCACCGGCAGCACCGCCACAGGCCGCAAAATCCAGCAAGCCGCCGCAAGTTCCAACCTCAAAAAAGTCGTCCTGGAGCTCGGCGGCAAATCCCCCGCCCTCATCTTCCCCGACGCCGACATCGCCAAAGCAGCCGCCGACACCGTGGGCAGCCTCCAGCTCCTCTCAGGCCAGGCGTGCATCGCCAACAGCCGCATTTACGTGCACGAAAGCGTGGCGCCGCAGTTCAAGGAGGCGTTTAAGAATCTGTTCCGCGGCGCGAAGAAGGGCGATCCACTCTTGCCTGAGACGCAGCAGGGCCCGCAGGCGGACGCGATTCAGTTTGAGAGAGTCAAGGCTTACCTCAAAGCTGCGAGCGAGGGCAAGGGCAAGCTGGAGCTCGGAGGGCAGGCGACGCAAGTGGATGGCAAGGGGTTCTTCATCGAGCCAACGATCTACTCTGATCTACCGGAGGATGAGAAGGCGCAGAAGGAGGAGGTGTTTGGGCCGTTTGTGAGCATCAACACGTTCAAGACGGAGGCCGAGGCGATTGAGAAGGCGAATGATACCGAGTACGGGCTCTATGCTTCGGTGTACACGCGCGATATCAGTCGGGCGTTGAGGGTGGCTAAGGCGTTTGAGTCGGGCACTGTGGGGATCAGTAAGTCGTTGCATCATCCACTTCTTCGGGACTTTTTGAGGGGTGTTCTGACGTTCTTAGATGCCACGAGCCCGACATATGCCCAAGACATGCCGTTTGGAGGGTACAAGGGCAGGTGAGTCGTTCAACCATCCGTCCAAAGTGTGCAACTATGCCTGTTTGCTAACCCTCTCGAAGTGGACAAGGTCGTGAGGGAGTGGGATACAGTCTGGACGAGTACTTGGAGCACAAAACAGTGCTCATCAAGTTGGAAGACAATGCTTGATGGAGTGCAGCTCTATCGACTAAAGCCGCTCTCGACCGCCGTTGCAGATCGCTCCATGCACCGCCAGCGCCGCAACACCGTGCTAATTCCGAGTAATCACACTTCTATAGACCGTCACTTCTTCCACGCCTTCGCTTCCATTCCGTCGGGCGGCGTCGTCTCCACCGGCCCCTTCTTCACTTCCTCCCAGTTCGTGCTCAAAGCCGTGCCGTTGCTCTCGGTGTACGACTTCATCATTGCCCTTTGCGCTTCTGGTGAAGCATTCTTGAATAGCTTCTTGAAGAAGTGGTCGGCTTCGTCTCCACCCTCGAAGTCGTCGTCATCTGCTGCACCCGCTTTGCCATCCTCCTTGTCGCCTGTGCGCAAGTCTTCGGTGATTTTATCCCAGTTCTTGGGGCCGGATTTGGATGATGTTGGGTATGCGGGGCCGGTGGGTTTGTCGGAGGTCACGACTGCGCGGGGAACTGGGTCGATTTTGCTTGACTGGTCCGCTTTGGTTGAAGAGATTGGCTCGCTGCTTTCCAGTGCGTTCCACTTCTGGCCTGGCGTGGCTTTGGCGAGTACGATTTCGATTTTGGTGGAGAGGATGCGAGGGATGCTGGCCTCGGGCTTCACGGCGGCGAAGAGTGGTTCGAGGGTGAGGTCGTAGGTGGCGCCGCTGGCGAGAGGGAACGAGATGCTGACGGAGCGTTCTTGAATGTCAATGTGCGCTTCGTCTTGAAGCACGCCCTTTGCAAGGAGTGTGAAGTAGACGTTTTCGGAGTTTTGGTACCATTCATGTCGTATCTTCTCCGGGGCGGTCTGTGGTGGTGCTGACGGGAGTGCGACTACTTTGGTCGCTTTCTGCGTGTCTCCGTTGGAGGATGTCTTGCCCTCGCTAGCAGCTGGAGCCGTGACCTCCTCTGCCTTCGGCGTCTCCTCAACATTGCACACCCTCCGTTTGTCACCAGGCTCCAGCTTCGCCACGGCATTCTTGTTGAACTGCTCCCACGTCGCAATCATCTTGTGCTTCTCCTGCATGCGCCTCACGATCCCAAACACAAACTCCGCATCGCCGTAGCGCTCCAGGCCGTAGTAAGCACAGCCCCTCCGAAACTGAGCCTCCACGATGAGTTCGCGTTTGGCGCGGGCTTGGGCGTTGAGAACGGCATTGTTGGCATCGGAAAGGGCTTCGGCGTACTTCTTTGCGCGGTGGTAGGCTGTGGATCGCTGGATGAGGTAGTCGGGTGAGGTGGGCGACACTTTTAGAGCTGCTGAGTACGCTGTGATGGCTTCGTCGTAGTTCTTGGCTTCTAGGGCCTTTTTGCCGCGAGCTGCGTGCTCCATGCTGAGGATGTGGGAGTGGCAGAGACGCAGAGGCAGACGCAAGGGCTGAGAACGGAGATGAAGGGAAGAAGGTGCAGTGTGCAATTGATGGAAGCTAAACGACTTCCGCGGAGGTGAATGAAATGTTTCACCGAAATCCGGGGAAGTGGGGGGAGCGGATTACCTAAACACTCAGTGGAAAGAGGCAAAACTGGACGGCATCCCCTCCCTCCAGCCTTGCAGCTGCACCCACTCCGCATTCCCTCGCTCGTCATGTCTCGGGCATCTCTTCGCCTCTTTCTCTCCAATGCTAAAAGACATGTATCACAATGCCTATCCGGGGGAGGCGAGCACCACCTCTCCTTCGTCATCGGAAACCAATCTGCCGACCTGGACTCCATTACTTGCGCTCTAGTCTATGGCTACCTTCAATCTTTCACAGCCCAAACAGCCAAAACGCAAGGATACATCATCCCAATCACAAACATCCCCTCGCGCGACTTACGCCTACGTCCCGAGCTCACCGCTTTACTAAAGAACGTCAATTTGAAACCCTCGGACTTGATCACTCTCGATGACTTGGGGAATTTGCACGAGTCTCTCCCGTCGGATCGAACAGACTGGACACTCGTGGATCACAATGCCTTGTTAGGAGAGCTTGGCAAGCACTACTCCAAACGAGTCAAAGCCGTCATCGACCACCACGACGACGAGAAGGCTGTGCCGCAAGATGCATCACCCCGGATTATAGAAAAGAGCGGAAGCTGCTGTAGTCTCGTTGTCAACTCTTTCCGCAATGTCTGGGATTCTGCATCGACATCATCAACGGATACTCGTACTGGTGATATCGAGCCCGAAGAAGCAGATGCCCAAGTCGCCCTTCTCTCGCTCGGACCAATTTTAATCGACACAGTGAACCTGAGATCCGAGGACAAAACCACACCTCACGACCGCCAAGCCGTCGACTATCTAGAATCCAAAATCAACTCTTCCCGCAAACTGCATCAGACATACGAGCGGGACGCGTTCTACAATCAACTCAACGATGCAAAATCCAACCTGGACGCGCTCACGTTACCCGAGATCCTGGAGAAGGACTACAAAGAGTGGCACGAGGGCGATCTTACTTTGGGCATCAGCTCTTCTGTCAAGTCAATCAAGTATCTGATGGACAAGGATGCAAACTTCACCAACGTACTACTGGAGTTTGCGAAAGGGAAGAAGTTGGATCTTTTCGCAGTCATGACGGCACATAACGAGTCTGATTCTTTCGCACGCCAGCTGCTTTTGTTGGCTGTGAGTGAGAACAAGGCCATAGATGTTGCTGAGAAGTTCGTCACGGCAAACCAAGGCGACCTGAAGCTGGAAGAAAACGATCCTGGACTCGAGGCTTCTGGCTCGAAATGGATCAAGATCTGGCAGCAGGGTAATTTGGCTGCAAGTAGAAAGAAAGTCGCGCCTGCTTTAAGGAAAGTAATGTAATGAAACGAAACTATCTGATCAAGCTCAAGTGTGTTTGTGCTTTTGCATTGTGCTATATTTATTCACTTCCGATCAATCCTTCATGTCAATCACCAACTGCTCAGCTCCCCCTCCCTCGCAAAGCTCGCCCGTTTGGTACTGACACCTGGTCTCTTGAAGATCGGCTTGCCTGCCTTGCTCATGTGCAAAAGCAGCCCAGCCAGCCCACAGAAAATACTCGAAAGCGACCTGGTAAGGGACCTGCGCTGCTCCTCCTTCTTCCAAGCCGGTGGTGACTTCGACCGAGGCTTGCACTATGTGGTCGTGAGCTGCTTCATGCCAGCTTCGTTCATGCGCCTCGTCGCAACGCAGCGTGCGGCTTCGGCTGACCAGGACCCGGCACCGGTTTGCCAGCTTGCTCATTGTGGTCACGACAGCAATTAGGCTGGTTGGGACCATGTATCGGGCAGAATCGAATGTGGTGGCGCCTGCCATCCACCAGCTTGAGCGCTCGCGTTCTGAGCATCGTCGGGGTTGTCAAAGGCGACGTAAGCCGTGGGTGCTGGTCTGGATCACAGCCCGGACGAGCAGATGTGATGCTGATGTGGATGCTGCGCGGACGAGCAGGTATAATGCTGATGTGGACGTCAGCTCGGACGAGCAGGTATGACGCTGATGTGGACGTCAGCCCGGACAAGGAGGACACAAAGCTTTGTGTCGTCGTTGTGCTTGGAAGAGGTCCTGCTCGATGTCCCGTTCATGCTGTGTTCGCAGTCGGTGGATTTGCTCTTTCAGTTGCTGAATCTGACCTGTGCAGCTTGCGGAACTTCTGTTGGCTGAGCATGTTGAACGACAGGAGACGACGCAGGGTATGGGGCGGGCATCTAGTTCGCCTTGCGTTGGATGCCAGCAACTTCCCCTTCTCCTCGAGGTAGTATGTCGGATCTTGACACATCTTGGCGAAGTTGGTACCGGCGAGTGGAACCTACATGTAGCAGCTTCCCCTTCTCCTCGAGGTAGTAAGTCGGATCCTGGCACATCCTGGTGGCAACATCCCGGCTGTGCTGTTCTTGCTGCAGGCGAATTCCCTCCTCCTGTGTCGTAGATGCTGTCATCGAACAACTCCCAGTAAGCCACCGGTGGTGTCGTACCTTCTGCGATATATACTTGTCGTGTTCGGGGGGCGATATGATGTTTGGATGCACAAGCAGCACCGCACAGTGGAGGACCCTGGAATGAAATCAGCAAATCTGCGCATCTCTCGTGGGTCGTGTTATGAACTTACCCCCTGCAACGCTCCAGTTGTGTCGTAGTCGCCGCGAGCTATACTTGGCTTGTTCGAGTTGTTCGAGGAGGTCTCAATGGATGCTCAGGCCACTCCACACCAGCACAAGTCATGTGCGATTGGCGTCGTCGACTGACCCACGGTACGGAGGGGGTGGTGATAACGGACAGTATCGTAACCGCCGCGGGCCATGATCGCGAAGATGAGGCGCTGGGAGCCTGGGCTCAGCCGGTGTTGATGTCTTGTAGGATGTTGTCGACGGCCTGCGAGGTTGATGGCTGTATATAGGTGTCTGGGGTTTGTCGAGTATATAGGTGATGAAGGAGGTGCGTATATATAGGGGTGGCCACGCCCATGGCTTCCGACTCGTCTGGATGGACTTCAATCACCATTGCTCGCAGGTGCTGGTAGAAGTTACGGACAGAGTCGGGAGCCACGGACGCGGCCACCGAGAAGAAGGGGTGGTGGAGGCAGCTGGGGAGCCTAGATAAATACTCTTCGGAAGAGGGGAGGAGAAAGAAGTCGTGGTACTGGAATGAAAGAGAATGGTGGAGATTTGGTCCGGATTAGGAAGGAGTGGTGAATGTCGGGTATTGTTAGAAATCTCGAGGACAATGAAGACTTGATGCTGTGAAAAAGAGGGGACAATGGAAATCGAGGGCAGTGAGGGCAGACAATGAGCAGGTCCTGAGGAGAATGAAAATAAAGGAAAACAAAGACCAGACTGTGTGAAGATAATGGAAAAAGAACAATAGGCTCTGTGTAGGGTTGCACCCTTTGAAAACAATGCTTGGAAAGCACTCACGAGTAAGACTCGATGATGATCAAAGGCTGCCACGAAATTTCGCGCTTAACACGAATATCTATACGTACAATGCAAGAGCGAAGAGGATATAACACGCTGTGTACAAATGCCACTGTACGGAGAGCCTCGACACGGTTCTTGACCCCTGAATCAGTCGCCGCTTTTTCGCGCACTCTGCCGCCGCCGCTTTCTTCCCTCACTAAATGCTTTCGAGGCTTGTTCGAGGACGCCTCCGGGTTTCTGACTCGGCTGGATCATGTCCGAGTCCGGGGCAGCAGCAGCAGCGGAAGCCGGAGAGGGTTGGGCAGGCTGCGTTCCCGCACTCGATTGCACATCGATAACGCTTCCAGGGCCACCAGGTCTCGCGGGCGACTGTGCATAGTTGAGTTTCGGCGATTGGTACCGCGGCTGCATGTACGCCTGGTTCTTCCTTTGGGCACGGCCGGCCTGAGGCGTTGCAGCGGGTGTTGAGAAGTCGAGATGATCCGAAGGAGCGGTCGACGGCTTCTTGCCGAGTTTGACGTCTATCGTGTTCGAGTCGGGTTTCGGGGCATTCTTATTTTTATACAAAGGTGTAAGGCCAAAGAAGTTGCGAATTGCTGGTCGTTGGAGAAGCTGGGACTGGACGATGCCGATTGCGCCTCCGCTGGTGAACCAGATGCATGTGAGAGCAGGCATCCAGCCCATGGTAAAAACAATCAGTGTCGGTACACCGTAAAGCATAAACTTTTGGATGCCTGGAGCCATTTCTGACGTGCCCGCTGCACCCGTTTCGCCGCCCATGCGCACGAGAAGATGTATGGTGCCTGCCATGGCAATTGGTAGAATAAGATACGGATCACTTAGGGTGAGGTCCTGGAGCCAGAGCGGACCTTCGGTTTTAAGTGCAGGCACGGGAAGGGTTGCCATGGCTCTCACGAGTCGGAAGCCGCAATAAGCGATGATGCCTTGCGCGAGTATGGGCGTGAATTGTCCGCTGATGCTGATGCCGGCCCGTTTCCGCGCGGCACCGAGCTCGTTCCAAGCGGACATCATGGCGACCTGATCGCCGGCTTTCTGCGCAGCTTTCATCCGGTTGGTGATCGGTTGCAGGACCGGGTTCAAGGCCTGCGAGCGAGCCATGATATCGCTCGACTTGAGGAAGAGAGGGAGCAGTGCTATTCTGAGAATAACGGCAGTAGCAGCGACCGAGCCCCACCAGGGCAGACCAGCCGAGACATGGATGTGCTCGATGACATATTGCAGGGAAGAAGTGATGCCGTAGCCGTAGTTTATCCCGATTTCAGAGAGGTAGCCTATTCTTTCCGGCACGTCCGAGATCGCATTCAAATCGATTCCTTCCAGTGATATTGTGTCGAGATTGGGGAATGTATTCTGGTCGGCGGGAGGGATGGAGGAAGCAGCCTCGGTGGAGACGGGCTCGGTTGAGGCGGCGGCGCGTTGCGGTGTTGTCGAGGCATGGCGGACCGAGATGGCGAAAGAGGGAAGCGCTGTACGGGCGCCATGCCATTTAATCGATCGTGGAGATATTGTGGGGTTTGCGCGGACGAGGCGGGTGGGTATTTGTCTCGAGGTTGACGACAGCTAAACCACAATGTTAGCATTCGGAACATTCGACGTTTTGCAGAAGTACGGGATGACGCACATTTCTACAATGCAATTGGAATACTCGAGGCGCATGGCCCCGAGCAAGATGCAGACCTCTGCTCGGCATCATCTCGACCGCGTCTGAGGCAAAGACGGAGAGATGCAGAGACGGACATCCAGGTTCAGGAACTTTTTTGGACGTGAAGTCGCGAATCGCGAGTGGAAGAGCGGCATGGTTGCATAAAGTTGTGGGACACGCTGCGACGCGGCCAGAGATCGTAGTATCAGACTCGGTCGTCGTGACCGATATATACGTCTATAGACCGAAGCTAATGCAGACGTGATTGAGTCGTACACGCGCAGTACCGACACTAAATAACTTGCATCGTCCGTAACCGCCCCGGCACTGCGTGTGTGAAAACCCACATGACGCGCCTCCCATTGCCAGAGCCCGAGCATTGACTCGCCACAGCTGCGCTTGATGCCATTTGACACCTGTCGTCCATTCCGTTTATACATCTTCGTACATTTGTCATTGCCAAACAAAGCTTCTAGGGCGGTCGATGTATCACTCTAGCGCGGTGTACCCATCCATCTCCTCTCCACTTCTTCTTTTCCGTTCCACTACATCCTCTTGCATCTCCACGCCAGGGCCCACCGTTCTTGCACTGCGACCTGAAGGGAAAATCTAGAGTAGATATGTCAGCGAATGACTCAAATATGAACACGACAGCCCTGCTTCGCTCGCCAGCGCTGCTCCTCTTGTGGTGGCCGTGTGTAGATATGTCTCAAAACCCGCCCGAGACTCTTCCGATGACGACTCACTTTTGTTCCACTCCATCCTAACCTGTAAGCAGTCTCGTGTGCCACCAACTCGCCAAAACCCAGCATTAAGCCATTGATGAAAGGAAGGAACAAGTTGATCGCAGCTCCGCGTAATATGCTCCAAATCGTCGGCGGGGAATACAATATTAACGGTGGCGAGGAAGAGGAGATTGGCTCGTCGGAATCCTGTGAATTGGAGTGATTGGCATCGTAGTTCTCGCTGTCGGAGGACGGAAAGGTTGCCGATTCGGAGAGGCGATCGTGAGAGGACATGTTGCGGGGCTGAATGGAGAGGTGAATGACGGCGAAGGTGTGTTCGAGGCTGGTCTGGCGCTTCTCGCGCGGCTGTGACGGCTTTGTACACTCTTGGGCCAGTGGATTTCGCACGATCAAATAAGTGGTGTTGCAAGATGCTCTCACAACACTCGAGTATGCCCCGGAACTTTTGGAAGGTCCAAGCTTCAGGGCCTTGGCGTGAAGCTGCTTACATAAACCTGCAGACGCGAGTGACGTTTGTGTTGGCGGCCTCTCTTTCTGTCTTGCTCTTCTGCTTTCGATATTCACTTCATCATTCTGCAACCCGCAGTTCTTCCCCCGGCCTTCCTCTTCTCCAGCTCTCGTTCTTCCGATCAAAGACGTGCTGGAGAGCGTAGAGAAAGCTGACACCTCTGACAACGCCTGAAACGACTTCCCAATCCTTGCTCGCCACGACTGCTTCCTTTGACTTGTTGCGGCCACGACATTACGTTCAACTCGCCAAACATTCCAACTCTCATTCAAGATGGATCAACAAAAGATTGCAGAGTTTTGTGGAATCACAGGAGCCGATCCAAGCATAGTGAGTACTTGCCTACCCTCTGAAGCCTGAGCATGAGATTCTAACCACCATCAAAGGCACAAGCCGCCCTTGCATCTGCAAATGGAAGCCTTGACGATGCGCTAGCTCTCCACTTTGCTCAACAAGATGAGGAACCAAACAGTGGCGAAGATGAAGATTACGAAGATGCTCCCGCCGCTGGATCCTCCGCAGCATCACAACCCACCTCCGCCCAACCTCCAGTTGTATCATCATCCTCAGGCCCAGCCCGCACCACAAAGGCCAAGCGACCACTACAAATGACGATGGACGAGCTTAAGAAGCGCAGCGAAGAGGGAGATGATGACAGCGAAGACGACAAGCGTCCAGACATGTTTGCTGGTGGGGAGAAGAGCGGGCTTGCCGTCCAAAACCCTGGTCAAGGCGGAGGCAAGGGTTCTGATCACTTTAAGAACATCATGAACCAAGCTCGCCAAAACCGGGACCGGCCCAACGCTGATGGCGAGGAGTTGGAGGAAGGAGAGAGGAGCACAAACTTCACCGGTCGTGCACAGACACTAGGAGGTGATGATGCGCCGAGCGAGGTTGTCGCAGATCCTCTCGCCGAACAACGATCCCGTCCACAGAATCTGGCCCCCATCACGAGAGTTCTGCACCTGTGGGCTGACGGCATCAGTGTGGACGATGGGCCGCTCTTCCGCTTCGACGACCCCGCCAACCAGGGCATTATGGCGGAGATCAACCGTGGCCGCGCACCCCTCGCCTTGTTAGATGTGCAGCCGGACCAGCCCGTCGACCTCAAGCTCGAGCCGCACAAGGATGAGAACTACGTCGCGCCAAAGAAGACCTACAAGCCCTTCGGCGGTCAGGGTCAAAGGCTGGGGTCGCCGACTCCGGCACTGGGAGGCGCGTCATCCACTACTACATCTCAGCCAGCAGCGACGTCAGCCTCACAGACTGGCGGGCCGGCGAAAGTCGAGGTGGACGAGTCGCAACCCACCATACAGTTGCAGATCCGCCTGGGTGATGGCACACGCCTGCAGTCTCGATTCAATGCCACACATACCATCGGCGATGTGTACAGCTTCGTCGATTCCGCCTCTCCAGCTTCGACCCAGCGGCCGTACGCTCTGATGACGACCTTCCCCAGCAAAGAGCTGAGCGATCGTGCGCTTGTGTTGGGTGAGATGAGTGATTTCAAGAGAGGTGGAGTGGTGGTGCAAAAGTGGAAGTGAGAGACTCTGCGATTCTGAGTAGCGGCTACGAGAGCAGGGGCCTTTCAAAGGCTGCACGAACAGGACGAGCCGTTATGGCTATTACAGCACGGACATGATAGATGGACCGACGTACGTACAGCATTGCATTGGAGCAAGTAGGCTGACCGGCCAAAGTAGACTCTCATGGAAGGATAAAAGCAATCGCTACACCGTCTGCTCACTCTGCGAGTGTCCATCGAGATCTCAATTGAATCGCAGCGCTCTCAAGCGGTGCTGCCACACCTCCTGTCTCATTTCGTTTTGAACAGCTCCCCCCTCGGTGACAGCTCCGAAGACCCATACATTAACGCGTGTGAGCGCGTGGTACTGTACCCGAATGCACAGGCGAGGATCTACAGTAACTGTGAACCACATGCCGATCTCTACGCTTGCGCAATAGGCTATCCACTGCATCTGGTTGACCAAGCAGATCCTTTACCTCTCCCATCAGTCCGCATTCGCGTGGGAGTCGTCTGGTTGGTGTGCCGATCTTTGAGAGCAGTATACTGTACGTGGTGTACAGGATTGGAAGGAGTACCGCATGCTCAATCCGAGATGTGCGCTCCTTTTGGGAAGGTCGTGATATCGAATAGCTTGGCTGCGGCCGTTTTATCCGCTTGGAGTTTTGTTGCTGCTGTCTTGCTGACTCCCGCTGACTCCTCTCAGGAGGTTGGATTGTCGGGTTGGACGGTGAGAAGACGTCCAGCTTGCAGTCTCATCAGAGCCTCTTGACCGTGGAGTGACCTATCGAGCGACTTCTCCTCGTCGCAATGACTTGCCAAGGCGAACCTACCCGGTAGTCCGGCAGACTGACTCCAATAGCTGTGTATACCACAATACTGACCGTCTCACTATAGGCTGACCAACCACTCCCACGAGGGGTGTCGATGTAGTTTAGAGCAGTACTGTACCGCAAGTTGCCGACCGACGTTGGGCGCGCTCTCGCTTAAACAGCAAGCGAGACACGCCAAATCCGGCCGCGGTTTAAGCTTGAATTGCGCCCAATCAATGGCGGCCATAGCATCCCCCTACTCCACCACGACCCCGGCTCTCACAGCCTTGGCGCAACTCTTCGCGAGACGCTTTTTCGCTGCTCCCAAGCCTTTCGCCCCCCTGAAGCCCCAGACCGCAATCTGATGCAGGAACACATTGGCATCGCTTGTCGTGAGGGGGCATGGACAAGTCATTGTTCGTACGTGGAGACGACAGCGAGGATCGTCGGACGCTTGCACAGAAAGCAGGCATGGCTAATAGCCGTAGCGCGAGCAGACTGGATATCAGCCTGGGACCTGCCGCCAGGCATTGACTCGCTGGCGCTGCTAGGCGCATGGCATGGAGGTTTTGTCGCCTGTTTCATCTCTGGAGCCGAGAACCATGCAAGAACCACGGCTACTGTTCGTGCCCTCGCTCTCTCTTTTACAATTCAATAAAATCCTCCGTACATGCAACCGCCACCAACCAGCCCAGCACCTCATCTCTCCCCCCCTACATCATCTAATTCTCCGAGCCCTCCCTTCCTCCTGCGTCTCGTATAACAGCCTCTGTGTTCCCCCCTTTCGCCTCCCAGAATGACGGTCAGCGTCTTACTTGAACGCCACCAACACGCCCACATGGGGTGGTACAACTCCCCGTCCTCGAGCGAACGACCTTGTCCGACAATGCGACTCCCCTTGTCTCCGCCGCAAACGACCAAGATGCTGAATCTGTTCTTCTTCGCCTTCACCCTCACCGTCCTCGCCTTCTTCATTGAGTTCTTCCGCTGGAGGCGGCGGAGGCAGATGTATCAACTGCTGGCTGCGCAGGAGGGGGGTTTGGAAGGTGGTGCGTATGGGCAGTACGCGATAGGTATGGCTTTTTGCTTTCCCCCGTCATTGCATCGATCACAGTTCACTAACGAGCAATTGCACAGCCCCTCCGCCTTATATCTTCGTTACGAACGTCGACCTCGACTGCAGCTATGAGCCTCCGGAGTACGACAGCGAGGCGTACGAAGTGAAGCCAGAGGCAGATGCCGAACGATTAGATGCGCCAACTTCGCCTCGACGGGTGCGATTTGCGGAAGACGAGGCCGATTCAGCGTAACGACTTTACGATATGGACGCCTCGGCAAGCAAAGATCTATCCGCTTTTTAGTCGTCGGTCCGGCCAGAGCGACGTCTTTCTATCACGATAATTAACGGACCCGAACAATTTCCACTTCTCTTCTTATAACCTCCGTCAGCGACCGGTCTGTACGCAACTTGAGTGTTCGCGAGCAAGGCATGTGAATCGCGCGATGCAACGAATGGCCACAGCAGGGACAGACATCCTTGGGAGCGGCAGGATGCACCGACGGAGGGTTTCAATCTTACTGTGACAATCCCAGCATCACGGCGGCATAGCATAAGGCAGACCGTAAACGTAACAATACATAAACGAATGAACGCTCAAATCCCTCCCTCATCCCACAGGCAGCACATCCCGACACCCATTCATCTCCGCAAACGGATCATCCCCCGCATCCCTAACCCGCGAATGCTCCACAGCATCACACACCTTCCCCGCCGTCTCCTCACCATATACCTCCCCCACCAGCGCCACCATGCCATCAATCCCCGCACTCACCCCGGACGTAGTCCACACATTCCCACTCACGACCCACCTTGCCTTCGCAACCCAGTGCGTCTGCCCGCTCTCCGGGCTGCGCGTCACGAGGTCCCACGCTTTCTTGTTGGAGGTGGCGCGATGGCCGGTGAGGATGCCTGCTTTCGCGAGCAGGAGGGAGCCGGTGCAGATGCTGAAGATGTATTGTAGGGGTTTGACGCCTTCTCGACCGTGATAAGTAGTACGAAGAAAACCCAGCAAGGGCTTCAAAGTCTCGTCAGAAGCGCGCGTCCCTCGTCCTCCAGGAACTATGAGAACGTCCAAAGGCGGCGCCGTGTCGAACGTGTGCGTTGGCAGGTAGTGCTGCTGGCCGTTGAAGTTGGCACTTAGAGTCGCCGGGGCGATTGGGCCTGGGTTGACGGGGTCGAGTGTTTGCGCTATGACGCTGAGTTTCATCTCGTCGTTTTGCGAGAGGAAGGCGAGCATGTTGAGGATTTCGAGGGGCCCGGCGGCGTCGAGGACTTCGAATTGGGGGAAGAGGACGATGCCGTAGGATTTGGGGGAGGGTTGGGGGGTTGCCATGGTTGGGGCAGATTTTTGGTCGTGTTCTGCCTGACAGTGCTTTTGATCTTCTGTTGTGAGAATAGTTCGTCCTGGACGCAGTTGAGTCGAGTCACCAGTTGATGTGACAACTCCGCTCGAGTTGCACGGCTGAGGTCGGGCTTGGATGCGGAATTAAAGCCGTCCGCGGAGCCTCGCAACTGGTCACTGAATCGGCGCGGCATTGACCAGCCAAGCGAAAGAGTACCTACGAACTGGTCGGTTTGCCTTCAGTAATCGCGGTTGAAAAGCCAAGCTTGCGTAAGATAGTCAAATCAATTTGACACGCCATAATGTACACTACGACTCGCACATGTCTTAGCAAGACAAGCTCCTTCCAGCCTACTCGTCCACACGCTCAGCAGGATCACTGCGTAGACTCAGATAATCCTCGTGCCCTGCACCATCTTCCTTCGTAGGACTCGGAGTAAGACTCCTCTCCCACTCCGCCATCAAATGACTAGCCGTGCGCGTCAGCGCTTTGGGGCCGAGATTGGCGAGCGCAGGCCATGGGATGGGCTCTTTCTTGCTACTGTCGCCGACACCACTGCTACTTTCGAATAGCCCTTTCTGCGCCGGTGTCGGTGGGACTTCTGTGCTTGTTCGTGGGCTCGTTGCCGCATCAGAGATTGTAGAGGGTAGAGTGTCGGCTTCGGAAGCGGCGCTGGAGGTTCGAGATAGGTGCGATTGCGGACTGTTCTCGTCCCACGCGTCCCAGCCTTCGTGATCATTGGAGGTGGTGGAAATTTTGGAGCCGGATTTAGCGTGGCGTGCGCGACGGTCGACCTTCTTGACTCTGACGGGAGTGAGCTCCTGGCCAAGTGGTACGCCGTAATCAGACCAGAAGGACGGGCTGGCCAGGACAGGGTTTTGCGTCGTAGAGGTCAACGTGGTCTGCATATGTTTTGAGACTGGTCGCTCTGCGTCGGTGAATGTCTTGTTTGGTTTCGTCGAATCTCGTGCCGGTGAGCGACGCGGGCTTCTGCTCGGCTGTTTCTTCGACGCGCGTGGCGTTGCATTCGAGCCTGCCCTCCCCGAAGGCGGCTCAATCTTGGTGCCTTCCTCGCCCACAGTGACCTGCTTAAGGTCTTCCCAGAAGGTCCAGAGTCCGTCGCGCAAGTCTGTTGCCATCCTCTTGCCCGTCTTGAGTAGTAAATCTTTGTCGCCTTCAGAGAGTGTGGCTTCGGTTCCGTCAACCATCATATCAGACGTTGTCTTCACTCTCGATGTTTGAATAGGCTTAGATGGCGGGGCCTTGTTATCCACCTTCCTGGCCGCATCACCTTGATCATCACCATCTCGTCTCGACTGCCGACCCGAAGCCAGCGCATTCAATGAAGCACCCTCATGCCGATTATTGACCGGCGACAACAACGACAGCGTCCGCATATGCCTCGACCCCGTAAAAACAGTCCGATTGCTCGACTGATTACTACTCAGCAGCGCCTTGCGCCTCTCCATCTCCTGCTGCATCCACGCGTTCGAGCCATCTGTGTCCTCCTCCGCTGCCGCAGCTCCAGTCGTAGGCAAAGCAGTCTGCAACGGCTGCATGCGCGTGACCTTCTTCGCGTCTTCCCGTTTCTTGTGCGCTTCGTGCTGCGCCCAGTGCTTCTTCAGCTTGTTGAGCTCGGCCTCCGCGCGGCCTAGTTCTTCTTTCAGCTCGAGCACGCGGCGTTCTTGAGTGGCGATGGCGGTGAGGAAAGTGGTGTCGGTTGGAGCGGGGAGGGTGTCGAGGGAGTCGGATGATGTGGAAGCCGCTTCGCGTACGGGGGAGCGCGATGGGCGTGTCGGACTGCTGGTGCGCGAAGGTTGGACGGGAAAGGACATGGAGAAGCGGTTGCTACGCAGCGCCTCTGTTGCTGGCGCTACCGACGCGGTGCCCGCATGATTTTGAAGACTGTATCGCTGAAAGGCACGCTGCGAGGGTACTGGGCTGCTGGGTGACGCGAGTTGCGCCGGAGGAGAGGCTGAGGCCGACGTGCCTTGCGAGCGTGGGCGGTCTGCTGGGATTGCCTCTTCGTTGTTGTGTGAAGTCATTTTGTATGTACAAAGCTCTCACGCCATGGATCGTAGGACACACATATGTACAAAGGTAGGGATGAGAGGCGCGCGACGGCAAGTGGCCGGAGGATAAAAAGAGAGATGTCGGTAGGTAAATATCCCCGAACTCCACTGCTGATGACGGGTGTTGTCTGGGGTCAACAGCCCGGAAAGTTTAATTGGCCCAACCAACTCCCCGGGTGACAGCCTCATGCCAAGTACGGCCTTGTTTCAGATTGATAATTTGTTGAAACAGGATGGAAAAGAGTCTGCTATACAGGCATCTGTACGTTTCTATACGTCTATGTGTTCTTTGGCCGATTCTGCGGACAGAATCTCGACTTCGGCTGCTCTCAGCTCTGGCGTAGTACATCCACAATCCAATCCTTGCCCTCCTTACTTTCCCGCAGTCCGTACTTCCACGCGAGCGGAAAGCAATGCATCTGCTTCTCCCATGCCAGCCATTGTCCCTTGACGCCAGCATCCCGACATTTCTCGCGGAAGAGCACTGCGTCTGGGCCGAGGATGTCGTAACTGCAAGTCACGCCATGACAGGCGATACCTTTCTTCTTTAGCAAGGACACATCGGCGAGAATGGGCGAGACTCTCGGATCGCTCCTCTCCCAGTCTCCAGTCCAGCCCTTGGCATTGTCGTTTATGAAAGGAATTCGTAGGATGGGATCATGTGGCGCGACTTTCTGGATATCCGGATTCTCCTTCCGCATATCTACCGAAGGGCAAATGGCCATCAGCGCAATGGGGTGCGGAGCGCTCTCATCTTCCACGAGTAACGCCAGACATAGACATAGGATGATGTTGCCTCCCGAGGAGTCGCCTCCGAGCATCACGCGCTCTCCAGCTTGCGCCGCGTCTTGCAGGAGCTGTTTGTAAGAAGCCATGAGTTGCGGAAACGCTGCCGGTGCTGGGTTGTTCGGTGCGAGCGGATAGCTGACAACAGACACGGCGGTATCAGGCAGCTTCCGCGCCAACTCGATACAGAATGCCCAATGCTCTCCTGACGGCGGCATTCGCCATCCACCCCCGCAAAAGTAGTAAAACCGCTTGCGCTTCGGCTTCTCTCGTGACTCCTCGGATTTGGAAAGACGCTTCGGCTGGAGGTCGTACACGTAGATGTCTCCCACTTTCCTCTCGTGTATATCGCAAAGCGTGCGAGGCTTCTTTGGCGCGGTCAACCGCGGAGAGCCTACCGGATGTGTTTTGCGAGGCGTGATTAATAAAGATCCAAATGGTTTGATCATGTGCTGCAGGATGAACATGAACGCGGAGCGATCAGTCCGCTTCGTGATCTTGAGCGTAGCATCCGATTGTGTCTCCATTTTGGCCAGCGAATGGATATGAAAAGAGAACCACGGCAAGGAAGATGAAATGGAGAAAAAGGGAAGAGGTTGAGATTCAGGCAAGTAGATAGGCAGAAAGACAGACCATCGTGACCGTCATCGCGATTCCAAAACACGCTGCCGTGGCCGAGTGGTCAGGAATGGAGATTGCGAAAACATGTCAATGAGAAGCAGATGGATATATCTTTGGTGTCGAGGTTGAGACTGGGAACCGGTGCGAGATCTGGGTCCTTTCGTCATGCATCCACGTCCGCAGATCGCGGACCCACCTTGGCCGCGCTTACTTCAGCGCAACCTCACTTCCACAAGGCGTTTATTGTTTTGAGAAGTTTTCCCGTTTGATGGACTTTCTGGAATGTATAAACATGTTTTCAGAATCCGTATCAGAATGCCCTCATTTTGGACCCACAGATCCGGCCTCTTCTTGAGTTGACAGCTGAGTCGTCTCCAGGCCACCATGCCCCCAAGCCATCCGGACTTGAGAAGTAGTTCGATTCATTGCCAGATCCGATCAATTCTCGCGCTCGCTGGAACCTCTCAGGTGATTCAGTCTTGATCATGGTCCATGGAGTCCTCATTCTCGACGGACTCCCCTTCCTCGGCACTTTTCTCGCGCTCGCGGAGTATTCCCGCTCCAGGCCTGAAATCATCCATGAATGCGGATTGCGATTCGGTCCAATCGCCGTTGTAGTCTCGAATGGCCACCACAAGGTCTGCAGCAAACTCTGAATGCCTCTGGAAAGTCTCATCTACCTCGTGTCGCCAAAACGGTCTATCGCTGGGTTGTCGGAAGCGATCATAGAGTCCCTGTGTCGCAAACATCTTCCTGATGATTGACCCCTCGGGAGCGTGGTCGTATGCGTATACGACCATGTCATAAGTGGTGCCCCATCTTGCGAGGATGTCGAGCAGACTGTTTACGATTGCATCTTTGAAGTCCTTCATGCGGCACGTGTCTGCAAAACGCCAGAGCCGGACAAGCATTTCTTGTCCCTTATGTGAGTGCAGTAACTTCTCATCTTCCTTCAAAGTATTCTCCAGATAATAATGGCTGGGTGGGCCATAGAGCCCGGGGAGGCTTTTGTGATGGATCCAGTAAAGGAAGGCCACAAACACATCATTGTCGCAGTCCTCAAGGCGAAGATGTCGATCCTCCATGTCTTTGTCGCGTCTCTTCTTAAGAATCTTGGCCAAATAGTCGGACGCGCTGACCAGCATTCCGGACTTCACGTAATACTCAGACCCGTCATCCAGCTCCACGGCAACCATGTCATCGTTCGCGAAAGCGCTATGGTCATCAGTGTGAACTCAAAGCAAAGTGTGGGCAGGCATTCAACATACTCCGCAAAAGTCTCCATTTTTTCCATTGCACCGGCGCGGTAGTTGCGATAGGAGTCGTGCAATTATTGGCGATGTTTGTTGGAGATAGAGGAGGAAGGGCCGGGTTATTGACAAGGAGGTCCGCCAGTAGAGAGGCCTTTATGGAAGATAAAAGGGTTGAAAAGCTAAGAACGTCGCACAAAAAGTGAATTGAAGTCAGAATTCACATGAAAAGTGACGCGTTGGTCCGTCCTCAAAGCAAATACTTCACCTCACTATCTCACGTGACTCAGGGGTCAAAACTCGTTGAAGCTTCATCGTGGAGTGGTGACGCTTAGGAGTGTTGCATGGAACTCCTCATTGACAGACGCTATGTACTTCATGCACTCGAAGTGTGTGTCTGGTAATCCAATGCCCAATGTATCACCCACGAACCTCCTGTCCTTCTCCATGCTTTGTCCTTGCTACGTTGTGTTGCATCGCTAGACCCGAATCGTAGAACCATCACGCTCAGTGCCGAACCATCTCATTGTTGTTGTGATCCTCCTTCTTCTTCACGGTCTGCAGAGTCTATCCAATAAAATGCTCCACGCTTATATCGGACGCCTGCTACTAACTCCATCATGAAGTCCGTAACGAGCGAGGGGTTCTGTGCGAATGAACACAAATCGGCTCTCTTGATACCACCGTGAGTGCTCATGTGGGCCGTGAACACCTCAAGTCCTTTCTCGAGGAAGTACTGTCTCATTTCTGACCCATCCGGCGAGAGTTCATAGGCGAGTTGGACAATGTCGAGCGTGACATCGTTGCTGTGATCGAGCATCCTTGAGATTTCTCCCATCACGTCGATCTCGAGTTGTTGCACCAGGTAAGCGTTCGTGAAGGCCCAAAGCCGAAGGAGCGTTTCTTGCCATTGAAGGGAAATACGGGCTCCAGACACGTTATCACCCCACATGTTCGGAAGGCGGTGCTTGCATAACCAGTGAAGGAAGATCTTGAATATCTCAACGCTGCAGCCCGGAAGACGCAGCATTCGCTCTTGCGCCTCTTTGAACGGGCCCTGCAGCGCTTTCGCGAAGTAGTCGGATGCGCCACACAAAAGTGCACTCTGGACTTGGAACTCCGAGCCATCTGCTTCCAGGATGATGGTCACCATGTAATCGCTTTTGAAGCTCCTACGTTTGTCAGTACGCTGCGGCGAAAGGTACGGGGCCGACTGGAGACGTTTACTTCGCGGAACGTTCGACTTCTTCCATTGTCGTATGCGGAAGGTGTCTGCGCTGGGAGACTTTGCGGCAATGATGTAGAGAACAATCGGGAAGAAGAGAGTAGGAGATGAGTATTGGCTTGCATATGTGAGTGAATGTTCAGCGCTAGCGAAGGTTAAGTGGTTCTTGTGCGACGGCCGTGAAGCGATACTGCACTCACTGCAAGCAACGTCACCAGGCCATCGGCGAACAAACGGAGCCGTTTGTCGATCTTCAAATCTTCGTCAACTTAACATCATCGTGCAAGTCCAAACTCAAGCCTTGTCCCCAATAGGCGCATACCCTCCAAACCTCGTGTCGCCCTCCTCCAAGACGCGCGGCAACTCATCCTCCACCCAACTCTGCTTCCAGTCCTTCTCTCTCGCCTCCCACCCCAGCCCCCTCAACCTCTCCGCGCGATTCCTCGTATTCATCGCAAAAACCGCAGTCGTATACGGCCCAAGCAAATCCCCATACAGCTCCTCGGAAGTCAAACTCCTCGGCTGCGAATCCACCTTGGCGCCAGCCTGGTGCAGCGAAGCGGCCACGCCCTGCGCATACTCCTTCCACGACGGCTCGGCGTCGCCCGAGCCCTCGCAGAAGAAGTACGGGTTCTCGAGCGTCTGCTCGGGCGTGGAGGATTCCAGGTGGTGCAGGATGTAGATGTAGGCGCGGGCGAGGTCGAGGACGTGGATGTTGGCGCCGATGCCGAGGCCTTTGTCGATGCAGGGGACGTAGCCGTGCTTGAGCCCGAAGCGCGCGAGGGTGGGGAGTTGGATTGTGCCTCTGCCGTGCGTGTCTGTAGAGCTGCGTGTCAGTTTGCGGCGTTTTACCACGGATTGGAGGGGGGATGCGTACATCCGTAAATCAAAGGGGGCACGATGATGGCCAGCTTCGCCTTGCCCGCCAGCTCCTTCTGCGCCTTGACAATCGCGAGGTCGATGGGTCGATGAGGCGCATCGTCTGGGACAGTGTCGATGTCATGGCGGGTCTTGTCAGAGTACACTCTGTCGCTCCTAGCGCTCCCCTTCGAGCCGTCATCCAACACACTCGCCCCGGACGTGTGGATGAAGGAAGTCATGTGGCCCTTCGCGGCCCCCTTCTTAATGCCATCAATCACAGCCTCGACACTAGGAAGATGGTCCGCGGTGGCAGTGTGGATGACAACGTCGAACTGCGCGACTTGTTCCGTGATTTTCGCCGTGTCGTCGAGATCGCCCATGACCACGTCCGCGCCGGACGCTTTGATGCCGTCTGCATGTTCTTTTCGGCGCACGTAGCCGGTCACTGAGTAGCCTTCCTTGACGAGCAGCTCGACGACGTTCCAGCCGATGAAGCCTGGGCCGATGATGAAGACTTTCTTGCCGCTGGCCATGGTTATTGACGATAAAGCGACGATTATTTCGATCTCTAGAGGAATTGAGGTAAGGTTGTGAATGAAGATGTACGCGAGGTATACACTGGGCGACAAGTAAGGCGCGCAATTGATTTTTTATAAGATGAATATAGAAACGGCTTGAACAGGTGAGGTTGAGTGTATTATTAATCAGATTTCCAATCTCCATGTCATAAATCTGAGGTGCAGCTGGGATGCAGACGGTTGATTTGAAAGCCAGTGAACGCGCCCACCATCACGGCCAGCTGCATAGTGGAGAATTATTGTGACGATCCCGAAACACTAGGTAGAATATGGACGGACTTGACGTGGAGTATTATAAATGGGACGGCAGACTTGACACACAGTTTCTTCGACTGTCTCTGCTGTGCGAGAAGCGTCTCAGAGGGATGAAAGATCAGCATGCAACCTGTGCCAATCCAGCTCCATCCTCGAGGCTGCAAGCTTGAGCAGGAGTGCGAATTGCAGCCCTTCCGGCGTATCTGACGCGTAAGCGCAGAGCTTTTCTGGACAAGAGTCGACAACAACTCCGGACTTCCCCTCTCCGGACTGTGTGCATGTCGGAGTGCTAGTGCCGTGCGATCTGCTCGAAAGTCGTGACATGCACGCTCGAGGCTCAGACAATCACGTAGCAGATAGTCCATCTTCCGCCGGACATTGGACGTCTCTTTCTGTGCCGGCACCATCACCCTCCCATCTCACTCCGTCCAAATGCGCGATCCATCGCTGCTCCCAAATCATCGAGTTCACGCTGGTGGTGTGCGATACTCTGGCTGCGACTCTCATCCGCCAACTGAAGAGCATCGTCGTCCATAAGATTATCCCTCGTCTCCGCCTCCACCCCCTCCACCTTCCTCGTAGGCTCCAAGATCTTCTCTTCCCGATCCAGCCAGCCCGGCGCCTTCCTGCGGCGCTCTTGTAGTTCTCTTTCTCGGATTCCTGCTTCCCATTCGTCTACTTGCTTCTTGCCGCTCTCGCCCTCTCGTTTGATTTGCTCGAGTAGGCTGCGGTTTTGCGCGATGATGGTCGATGGATGCGCAGCGAAGCCTCCGGAGGTGGTGGTGACGTAGGCTGGATGCTCGGAATTAGAGCCCGCTGGTGGAGTGCTGAGAATGCTTGGGGGTAACGTGGGCGGAAGAGAGGTGTAGTTTGGTGGGAGGGTGGGAGGTTTGGGGAGGTCGATGAAGGGATTCACCGCTAACGCGGTTTGTTGGAGGATAGGGTGCGCGTCTTGCGAGTCTGTCAGCTGCAGTTCGATATTCTGGGTCCTTGAAATACTCACGCTCGTCTGGCATCTTCGCAGGGGTGTTGTGGATGAGGACGAGTTTGGTTGCCCGCACTTCCGAAGTCGAGGTTGGTGGTGGGGCTTGCTGTGGCTGTGCGCTTGCGATGCGATGCTGGCCTGAGGCAACCCGTATGAGCACCATATGGAGATACTCATAGCACCAGCACCAGAACCAGTAGTAAAATGAGGACGAAGATCAGCATGGTGATGCAACAGCTCGACCATTTGTCTATCCTCTGGGTCAGCAAATCGTCCTGCAATGGGACAATCCAAGCAATACTGCACGTGGACGATTTCAACTCACCCTCGTTCTTCTCAATCACATGTCGTATCCCTTTCATGCCCTGAGCCAGTTTGCCTCCCACGCGATCCGCAATATTCTCTGTATCGTCCAACAGCTCAGCCTGCTCCTCCAACTCCCTCCCCATGGTATCCGCCTGCGCCCTCAGGTTGCCCACCGTCTGGAACACCCCATCCAACGCCTCATCCTGCTCATGCATAATCTGCACCTGCCGCTGCTCTTCCCACTCCGCATAGTCATCGTCATCATTCCCTCCCCCCAAAGGATCCTCGTCGCCAAAGTCGTCCGGATGTCGTAGCGAATTACTCCTCTTCCGCTCCGCCTCCTCTACCGTCTGCGTCACCCGTCTCCTCATCTCCTGAATCTCCTCCCCGACATCGCCTACCAGTTTCCGCCTCCGACTGACCTCGTCAATGTCGATGCCATACCGGTATGGATCTCCTTCCACTGCTTTCACGCTATCCACCAGGTCTTGCAGGTCGGCGTTCAGATCGGTGAGCGTGTCTTCGAGATCATTGCGCGCTTCTACTAGTTCGGGGGAGTTGGCGGACGAGGCGGAGCCGCGGATTCGGAGGTATGATTGCAGCGAGTTGCGGCAGGTTTGTAGGAGGTTGAGGATGTCGGCTTGGGCGGCGAGAAAGGGGTCTTCGTGAGACATGTTGGTGGAGATCGATGGGTCGACACGTTGTCGGCCGTGGCAGTGTCCAAATCACATGCTCCCCATACCAGGGATTGAGATTCAAGAGTAAAGATGGGTTGTGAGCTGTCGTGTCTTTAAAGCGAAGCCTGAAGCTCGTGAGATCGCCCGGCCGTGCTTGTGGCGGTGCACTGTCCTTGAATTTCCCTCGCGCCTCACTACAATTTTCAATAATGTCTCTACACTCACAGTCGATTATCGATCGCAAACATATCTGAGGCGATACTCGGCTGACTGACTCTGGACATACCATGCTAAAGAACTTAAGAAAACCTGACTCTCTATCAAGCGGCATTGGCTGAAAACCCGAACGCCCCAAGCCTTCCAATGGCTCCGACTAAACCCCTCCCATACAACGACTCCTTCTCCAGCACAGAAGACTACGTGGAATCCCTGCTCGATCTGGTCGAGAACAATGAGCTTCTACGAACCCTTTGTGGCGGCGTCCACGTCCTGGACTTCTTCACATCAGACCCACCTCTGTACTCCAGGATCTTGCCGCAGGACTGGCGCGACTTTTTCGAGCAGCATGAGATTGTGGACCTGCTAGACTTGTACTTACGGGAAGACCTGGACTCCGATGATTGGATCTGTTCTGGTGCGCGTTCATGGAGGTCCGGTCCCGCACCACCTGCGAGTCTCGTGGAGTACATCAAAACAGTAAGACGACATCTTCTGGATCGAATCCAGAGTGCCAATCAATGTACCCGCAACCGGACCCAGAAGAAACTTCCGCACCATGTTGCAGTCGGCATGACGATCAAGAAGGTCCACGAAGTCGGACTATTTGCCTCTTACATCGATAATCTGGCCGCCGAAATATCTGCATCATTGCCTTCAGACGAGCCGATTTCCCATCTTGTCGACTTCGGCTCCGGACAAAGCTACTTGGGACGTGCGCTGGCTTCGGAGCCGTACAACAGGCATCTCGTGGCGATTGAAAGCAAAGTACACAACGCTGAACGTGCCAAGTTCTTCGATGTGAAGGCAAGGCTTGTTGAGGGGAGGAAGGTGATGAGGAACAAGAAGGCTTTTCGAAATGGAGAACTACTGGCGGATGAACCAGGAGCTTCATCCGACTTACCACCGCCATCACCTGAGCCTGTCCAAACACATTCCTATTCTGTCGCTAAGAACGACGTTGAATACCCCGAAAAAGGCCAGGGCACGATCCAACATGTCGAACATCGCATCAGCTCCGGAGACCTGACGGACGTGATAGCAAGTATTCCGCGCACGGACGAGAAGAACCTGATGGTCATATCTCTCCACTCCTGCGGAAATCTAGTCCACCACGGCCTGCGCTCCCTCACCCTCAACCCCTCCGTCAAAGCCGTAGCCATGGTTGGCTGCTGCTACAATCTCATCACCGAACGTCTCGGTCCGGCAACCTACAAGCACCCCGTATTGCGACCGACGACTTTCGCCCACCCACGACTAGGTGGCGAAGGAGAGACGTGCGATCCAGATGGCTTTCCCATGTCGAAGCGACTCTGCACGTACGGTGAAAATGGAAAGGGTGTGAGGCTCAATATCACCGCTCGCATGATGGCCGTGCAAGCCCCCGCCAATTGGGGCAAGGTGGACAGTGATTCCTTCTTCAAACGGCATTTCTACCGCGCACTGCTGCAGCGAATCTTCCTCGACCGTGGCGTTGTTGGCCCACCGAGTGAGGACCATAGCGACGCAACGACATCCAGCCACAGAAGCGGCGGTGTCCCCATACTTATCGGCTCATTAAGAAAGACCTGCTACGACACCTTCTTAACGTACGTTCGTGGGGCTCTGGCAAAACTAATTGACAGCGAGACCTGGGGCGCCGTGATGCAGGAGAAGATGGGCGATATCACGAACGGCGAGATACAGCATTACGCGGAGACGTATAAGGCTGGGCAGAAGGAGTTGAGCGTCATGTGGAGCATGATGGCCTTCTCTGCGGGCGTTGTGGAGGCGGCTATTGTTGTTGATCGATGGCTTTGGCTGAGGGAACAAGGGGAGGTGGGAGAGGCGTGGGTGGAGAGTTTGTTTGATTATCGCCTTAGTCCGAGGAATTTGGTTGTCGTTGGAATTAAGAAGCAATAATTTGTGATGACGAACAGCTAGGAACTCCTCGTTCTGTTTTCTCGTTGGTGAAGAGTCTGAACTTTTGGAGGAGAGCTGAAGTGTGACGCAAGGCTAGAAGCCTGATCGACCACAAGCATGTGCTCCTGCCGCATGTGGCAAAGTTCGACCCGGCCCGAGCTTCAAAGCTTTGGCATGCTCATCACCTCGCCCTTGTCCTTCCGACCTATGCATTGTAAATCACCTTCGAATTTCCCTGCGATCATCTCGACTTGTCGAGTGACTCACCAGCAGCATGTCGGCACCGACTAGACTGCCCCTCCGACTCTCGAGAGCAGGCGCGCGCGCTGTCGAACGCAGACTAGTGCCACGCACCGCTGGCCGCATAGAACAGAAGAGATGGGCATCGGGCCCGCCACCGAAACGGAGAGCATGGGCTTCGATGCCAGAGAGGGATAGCAGGAGGGCTCAGTCCAATGGGCAGAGAGCGCAAGAAGATGCGACGCTTCCACAACCAGCGCAAGAGCAGCAGTCTGGACGGAACACTCAGCTTGCAGCAACGTTGGCAGAATCAGACACCTCCGATCTCGTCACCGAAGTCCACATTCCCAACGACCCCAACGGCGTAATACCGAAAGATCATCCTGCATTGTCCATACTGGGCAACAGTAGTCTGGTGATCCAGCGGCAGCTCGAAATGATGAATGTCATGCTGGGCTTCGAGCAAGCGAATCGGTACATCATCATGGACGGACAAGGCCAGACGTTGGGTTACATCGCCGAGCAGGATCATGGTATTGGGAGCGCGATGGTCAGACAGCTGGCGAGGACGCATCGCAGTTTCACAACCCACATATTCGATGCGCAGGAAAGAGAAGTGTTGCGGATACACCGACCCTTCACGTACATCAATTCGCGCATTCGCGTGTACGACCCGGTGCCAGAGGGTGGATACGCCGATACAGACACATCGACTGCTCTACAAGGAGTATCAGCCAGTTCAGCAATGAACCAGGGTGCTGTAGCGCAGATCTCGCCGTACAAATTGACCGAGATGTGCATCATCGGCGAGGCACAGCAGCAATGGGCACCACTACGACGGAAGTACAACCTCTTCACGTATCGCGCCCTCGAGCCGTCTCCCGAACAATCAACTACGCAAAGACTAGAATCGGGGGACCGGCCCAACACCGAAACCACAGCTCTAACCGAAAGCAACGCCCCCGATCGAGCGATCGAAGCAGGAATGTCCCAATTCGCACACGTCAACGAGCCCTTCCTGTCATGGGACTTCACGCTCCGCGACGAAGAGCAAAGCACCATCGGAAGCGTGAATCGCAACTTCGTGGGCTTTGCTCGAGAAATCTTTACGGATACTGGCGTCTATGCTCTGCGCATGGACAGCGCGGCGCAGACCAGTGCACTGCAATCTGCTGATGGACAGGAGATTGAGAGATACCAGCGGGATGCAACGGCGATGACTTTGGATCAGCGGGCGGTGATGCTAGCGACCGCCGTGAGCATAGACTTTGACTACTTCTCGCGACATTCACACGCAGGCGGACACGGCTTCATGCCCATCTTCTGGCCAATGGGTGGTGGTGCCGCGGCCGAAGGAGGGGCTGCGGGAGCCGGTGCCGGTGCTGGTGCCGCTGGAGGAGCCGCAGCAGAGGGAGCCGCCGGCGTAGGTATCGCGGAGGGCGCAGCAGGCGCAGCGACTGGTGCAGCGAGTCGAGGACTAGGAACAGGCGCCGGCGCGGCTGCGGAAAGCGGAATCGCGGGCGCCGGCACCATGGCTGGGTATGAGGCAATGCAGCGAGGAGTATACGGCTCGGGAGGCCGGGCGGCGGACGACGCGAGCCCGCAGGCCAACGAGCCGTTTCAGAATCCGCAGAGCCAGGAGCAAATGGAGAATCGACCGGGCAATGACGAAGTCTGGGGGGAGAACCAGGATCCCTGGGGCGGAGGCGGGCCGGGAGATCCCCCGTCACCGGGCGCTGGAGGCGGTGGAGGCGGCGAAGGAGGCGGCGGCAGCTGGCTGGACACGATCAGCGACTTTTTTGGCGATTCATGATGCGTACGTCGGCACGCTGCAATCAACGCAACTCTTACGAAAGACCTGGCCGGGCATTCGCGAGCTTGAGCTGGTAACCGTTTTGCAGGCGAATGTTTCCCCAGGCGAGATGATGACTACTCACGACATGCATACTGCCGCGCATTTTTGCCACCAGCCTTCGAATCTCACGACGTCTTACTACTGATCCCCGGAATGATCGGCCTGAATATCACTCAACTCGAATGAGATTTTCCCTCTTCCGCACCACAGCATCGGAAACAGTACCTGCTGATCTCCGCCTGCACCCAGCATCGCGCAATCCCTGGGCTAAAGCACTCCCACGGCGTCTTGTATCTTCCAACCTGGTGGGACTGTGACGCATTCTGCATGCTTACGCACTCGCCTACACAAATGTCGTTCGGAAATCCGCAGTTCCCTGACTGCTGCTATTGCGAAGGCAGATTCTGTGGAAGTCGAGCTGTGAGCAGCAGGATCTACTCCCGCTTGCTTGCGCTATGTATCAAGAGGCTGCGGCCAAAGCGGTGACGATTGTTAGGTAGTCAGGCGGAGGTTACGAGGCGGATGGTGTGCGAGCTGGAGGCGAGGCGGATTGCTGCGTTCCAGGTTGGGACCGATTTACGATTCATGAGTGCGATGCTGGATGGGAAAAGCCCGAGTTATGAAATACGATTTGAGAGTACTCTTCGCTTTGTAACGTCCTTCTTAGCGCCATACGACCAACCAAGTATTCCCTTGCGTGCATTCCCATGAATCCTCGCGTTACAATCAATCGATATCGTGACATATGATCCAACAAGCGTGGACTAGAAACCGCTGCGATGCACCAGGGCTCCGCCTCTTCGGAACTGAACGCTCTCTCTTCGCACCAAGACTTGCAAAGCGCGGTTGAGACTCTGCTCGCTGTACCCCTTTCGCTCGACGAATTCTCTGCGAAGCGTGGCCAGTGACGAGGTGTAGCCAACAGGTAATCTAAAATGTCGTGTCAGTGATGATCATCTTGCGGAAGTTCATCGAGAAACTCACCTTCGTCTAAGCTCATCCTCAACCTTGTGCACTTCCTCCACGAGCTCCCTATTTCCACCCAGTCCGAGGGCGCCCGTGTCGCCGCCGGCACTCATCACAGCATCCATCGTACTGCCCAAGAACAGCCGAATAGCCTCATCAACATGCTTCTCCGTCGCCACAGGCGCGAGTTCAATCTTCGCCAAAGACTCGCTGATGCGCACCAGGGACTCGAGCTGACGAACGGTGATGGGAATGGAAGACCGCATATTCGCGTCCTGCTCGGCACGCGCCACCTGGCGACGAATGGAAACGAAATGCGAACTCAGCTTCTCCGCTGCTTCGGCGCTGAGGCGTGGCGCGCATCGTGATTTCGCGTACGAGATGTAGCGCTTCATCTTCTCCACTGGAATCTCGGCTTCTACTTGCTCTTGCACGCCTTGCCCGCCCATGTGGATGCCCATGACGTGTTTGGCGATCGTCTCGTCGCGGTTGCGATCGTGGTTGTCGCGGACAATGAAGATGAGGTCGAAACGGGAGAGGATAGTGGTTTGGAAGTCGATGTTTTCACCAGGTGACTTGAGGTCGTCGTAGCGGCCGAAGATCGGGTTTGCTGCGGCGAGGACGGACGTACGTGCGTTCAGAATGGTAGTGATGCCGGCTTTGGCGATGGAGATGGTCTGTTGTTCCATGGCTTCGTGGATCGCCACGCGATCTTCGTCTCGCATCTTGTCGAATTCGTCGATGCACACCACGCCGCCGTCTGCGAGAACCATGGCTCCGCCTTCGAGGTAGAATTCTCGTGTGCTGGTGTCTCGCTGGACCGATGCTGTCAGACCGGCTGCTGATGAGCCCTTGCCTGAAGTGTAGATTGCAATGGGTGAACATTTCTCCACGAATTTCAACAGCTGTGATTTGGCAGTACCAGGGTCTCCGAGGAGCAGGACGTTGATGTCTCCTCTTAGGCGCATTCCGTCGGGTAGAATCTTCTTGCTGCCGCCCATGAGCAGACAGGTGATTGCCTTTTTGATGTCGTTGTTGCCGTAGATTGAGGGGGCGATGCAGGAGGCAAACAGTGAGTAGAGGTCGGGGCGGCGGGACATCTCGAGGAATTCTTGCTCCTCCTCTTCGCTGAACTGCATGGCCACGCCACCAGCCTGATTATGTGTGATGTCCGTTTGAAGGCCAACGGCGCGCAAGTACGGGTTTCGAATGGCAACTGCGCCGCTGTTCTTGCTGTTCTTCTGACTGCTGTAGATGCTGAACACGCCCATGATGACACAACGTGTGCCCGGCACCACTCGATTCGCCAGGTAGCGATCCGCGCTGACGAGAATGTGTCGAGGGAGTTCACCAACAGGGACATCGTCAGGTGCTTCTTGGAGTTTCAGTACTTGCTGATCAATGAACTGTGATTTCTCGTGGACCACAAAATAGGGGTCCAGAGGGCATTTGTCGCCATCTCCTGGGGCACGCTGCGCGCTACATGTGCGAGGTAGTGTGATGCCAGTAAAACCAGAGTTGACCGCCAGATCTTCGGTATGTTGGCAATTCCTGCATTGAATATGCAGTCTTGTTGCTTTTGAGCTGAGCGTGCTGGCGCCGATGACAATGCCCGGAATGCGGACGAGGTGTGATACGTTTGTTGCGGTCAGGCCACGGATTGAGGTGTGAGAGACGGAGGAGTGGATGAGGAGTTGGTGTTCGGGGAGGGCTTTGGCGAAGTTGAGGTCTTCTGCGCTTCGGGAAGGATACAAGATCTTCTGAGTGCAAGTCTTGAGGGCCGCTTCGAACTGTCTGTCGTGTCAGCATTGCCATTCACAGCATACGGTCGGAGCTACTTGCAATTGGAATGATTTCATCGGGCTCATTGTTCAGCCGATGCGCCAGATTCTCATTGAATGCGATGAGATGGGCGATATCGATGTCACAGTAGTACTGCTTAGAGAGGACATTCTCACGGATTTGATCACTACAGGATGCGTGAGTGATGCAGTGTAGGAGTTCATAGCTCTCCACGTCTTACCGGTAGATGAAGACATTCTCGAGGTGAAACTCAAGGATGAAGTCGACCAGGTCTTTCTGGAGCTGGCGATTGCTTTCACCACCGTTGGCGCTTCTGTCTTCACCGAACAAGCTGAGACTGTACACTGATTGCCGATCCATCTTGAAGGTACGATGTGGAGGGTTGTCGTGAGGGAGATTGAAAGTCGAGATGTCGAGCCGAGATGGACGACGCCAAAGACGCGCGGGAAGACGTGTCGCGACGCGAAGCGGAAGTGCTGGCTCGTCCCGCACCGCCAGCCGGAACTCTATTGTCGGGAGGCCGATACTAAACAGTTGGAGCTATACGACACGCATCAGCCGGTGCACATCTTACCTATCTCCCCTCGCGGTATCATTGAGTGCGTTGTGTCGCGGTCGGACATGCTGCTGTTGCTCGGGAGCAGGGTTGAGTACCAGACGCCTGGGACATAAGTTCGGGCTCGCCGTACAATGCACACTGAAACATAGCCGCTGCTCGAGTCTGCGGCCATGTCATTCAATCAGCCGTCCCCCGGGGATACCTCGCCAGCATCGCCAACGTCGATACGATCGAGCTTTCCCTTCCCGAGCACGCCGAATCGCCCGTTGTCCAGCCAAAGACTATCCTACCGACGGAGAGGTAGCAATGCCAGCGTCGGCTCCTCGACAGGAATCGGCGGAAGCTTAGACAGTCAACACCGCCGAGACAGCACCGTCCGAGAAGCCGCGCCGAATGCAATCTCTACTCTTGTTCACCCACCCATCGTTCGGACGGGGTTGCTACCGCATGGCTCCACGACAGCGGCAGCTTCGGGCTTCAAAGCCCCCACGACAAGAGACATTCCCCCCGTTGCTCTGACCAACATCGATCATATTCCTCCCGAAACCTTCCGCGACTACCTCCAGCGCGTAGGGCCATTGTTAGAGAACTTTGAGCGGAGTAGGGCTGCCCCTGAGCAGGCACAATGGCTCAAGAAGGATAAAGAGTTGGATCGGACGGATCGCTTTGCTGCAGCGCTGGACAGACGCATGAGCCAAAGTAGTATATCCTCGCCCACAACACCGCTCGCGCCGCCGAGTGCAACCTTGTCGCCTCTGGCTTCGCCTGCGACAGAGAAGCGAAGACCCTCTGCATACCGAAGAAACCGCAACGAGCCTACGCCGCTCTCTACTGTTCCAACCGTCTACTTTGACGAGGACTTTCATTTGGAGAATCCGCGGACTTTCGACATTGTATCAGAACGCGCAGAAGTTGTAAGACCACCACCTGGCACACCTCAACACGAGTCCAAAGCTGCGAACGGAACGGCCCTTCCTCCCCGGAAAGCGCTTGCGACAAATGCCATCTTACAAGAGAAGCTGAGTTGGTATATGGACACCGTCGAGGTTCACTTGATCAATAGCATCAGCACTGCGAGTACTGGCTTCTTCGCCGCACTGGGAAGTCTGAAAGAACTCCAGACGGAGGCAGAGGAGAGCGTGGCGAAGATACAGAGCCTGCGGGAAGACTTGAGGCGGCTAGACCAGGAGATTGCGGTCGGAGGCTTGGAGGTCGCTGCCAAGCGCAGAAAGAGGGCCAACTTGGATAAGCTTGGAAGGGCTACCGAGCAGGTTCGTCAAGTTGTGGAGAATGTCAAGAAGGCGGATGCATTAGTTGATGACGGCGCTTTCAACGAAGCGGCGGATCAAATGGACAAAGTTGGGCGACTTGTGTGCGGAAGGCCCGAAGCAGGAGACGACGGGAGTCAGCTTATAGACCTGCGGCCACTCAAAGCGCTTCAAGGTCTTGACTCCGGTCTTCAGGAGCTTCAGCTACGAATCGGAAGCGGTTTCGCGAACCAATTCACCTCCACGCTGATTGCCGATCTGAGGCAACACATGGAGAAGGTGTCGAGCACCGATACGCTCAAACGATGGTCTCGGCAACGGGGTGTCACACCCGTCTACCTGGAGAGCAACGACGAGTTCCGACGGCACCTCCTGGATGCATTGAAAGGGCTACAACGCGCTGGTCACATGGCTCCTGCGACTACTGCATACCGTGAGGCCGTGAATAAGGAAATGAAGTCTATCATTCGGAAACACCTACCGAGTAGCAATGATGACGATGCGGATAGCATGGTCTCCATCTCAACGAGAGGCGGTGGAAAGCTAAGTCAGCAGGAGAAGAGCTCAATCCTTGCCCGCCACCTGCGAGCCTTGGACGCAGAGGATGCGGAGAAGTTGCTCATCAGTGTGTACACAGGTGTTGGAGAAGCTTTGCGGAGGCTGTCAACACAGACGAAGATTCTGCTGGATGTCACTAGCAGCATGCAGGCTCTGGAGCCCAAGTCTCCTTCAAGGTCGCCTGTGCGATCGCCGTCAGCAACACCGGGCCGCGGTTCTATCGACGATCAACTTGCCAATGGCGCGCGGAGATCTTTCGAGAATGATGACATTTCGCAAGCGCTGGATATGTCTTCCCTCCTCGAACAAGCTGTTGATACCGCGCAAACGCAAATCACTCGGATCCTGAAAGTTCGCAACGAACAGTCCATCCGTCTTCCTAAAGAGCGCTTCCTGAGATACTTCACACTCAATCGCCTCTTTGCAGACGAATGCGAGGCGGTATCGGGACGTGGAGGACAGGCATTGAAGGGGCTTATCAACGCACAAATCTCCGGCTTTGTGCAAGTCATGGGTACGGCAGAGACAGAGCGGATAGCGAATCTCCTCGACAACGACGATTGGAATTCCAAAGATTTCGGCGACCAGGATAACGTACTGCTGCAGAGGATCCTGAAAAGCATGAGTTCCGATCCGCCCGAGTGGCTGGCTGGCAAACCCATCTGGGAAGAACTCAGCTCGGCGGCAGAGTCAGCTGCCGATTTGCCAAATGGCCAGGCGACCGCGAATGGCACCTCCGCTCCCAATGCACCGGCTGCTGCAAAGGCAGTTGCGAAGCCGGCGTACATTGACGACACTAGGTATATCCTCGTTCATTCGGTCATCGCGCTCCTCCCTACCGTGGAGAAGTTCCTGTCCCTAACGGCCAGCATCGCATCCATGACGCCACAAATCTCCAACAGCCTCCTGGACGTTTTGCGCACCTTCAACAGCCGCTCGTGCCAGCTCATCTTGGGTGCAGGCGCCACTCGCAGCGCCGGCTTGAAGAACATCACCACCAAACACCTAGCTCTCGCCTCGCAAGCTCTCAGCTTCATCATCGCTCTCGTACCGTACATGAGAGAGTGTGCACGTCGCCACTTGCCATCAGGACAGACAGCCGTGCTAGCCGAGTTCGACAAGACGAAGCGCTTGTGTCAAGATCACCAAGTCGGGATCCACGACAAACTAGTGGAGATCATGACCATGCGCTCCCAGGCGCACGTGAAGGCGATGAAAGCGATTGATTTCGACAACGCGGCAGCCTCCGACAAGCCTTCGGCGTACATGGAGACGTTGACGAAGGAGACGCTCACGTTGCAGCGCGTACTGGCGAGGCATTTGAGTGAATTCGATGTCAGGATGATCATGCGCCAGATCTCGACTAGCTATAAGGAGCAGTGGGTTAAGGCTTTTGGAGAGGTGCAGGCTAGTGGGGAGGCGGGTATGCATGGATTGCTGAGAGATGCGGAGGCTTTTGAGGCCAAGTTGGGCAAGGTTGAGGGCTTTGATGATATTGGTCGGGATGTCTTGGAGGTTGTCAAGGCTAAGAAGAGCGCGAAGGCCTCTGGTGATGGGGAGAAGGGTAAGGCTGCTGAGAAGGGGAAGCCAGTGGAGCAGAAAGGGAAGCCAATGGAGGAGAAGGAAAAGCCAGCGGAGAAGAAGGAGGGCGAGACGGAGGAAAAGGCTGGCTAGTGTAGACCAATCTGTTGCTCAACATACTTCATGCTCATCACCAAAGCTCATGTCTTCAATGGCATGGCCCTGAGACCAACATGAAGTTGAACCGCTCTGATGACTAAGCATGCGCTTCAACCTCAACTCGCGACTGGCTTTCATGTTCGTGTCCACGCGATCCGACTTTGTCTGAACCCGCACCTCTGTGCACTTTCCACCGCACTGCGATGTGGCCTGCACTCCGTGACAGCCAGACATCAGGATGGAGTCGTCAAGTGGGGAGGAAACCATACCAATCACAAGCCTGACACCCGACACCGCACCACCGCCCGACAAATCCATTCGAGGCATCGTCACGCTCTCCTGGCCCTACTCCTCCTCGACCCGACAATGCGCCTTCCTGCTCGCCGACCCGGACTTCCGCCTGCGCGGCCGCAAGGGACAAGTGCGCATCCGCTTCACGGGCGCGAGTGCTGAAGCCGTTGCGAAGACTCGGGTCGGCATTGGAGATGAGGTTGTTTTGGGGTTACTCGGGGCTTCGTGGGAGCAGGATCCGGAGGCTACGAGAACGCCTGGGAGGAGTGTGGATGGCGAGTTGATGTTCAAGAGACGGTTGCGACTGGGTGTTGTGAAGGATGGGGGGGAGATGGTGCGGCTGGATGTTGATGCGCCTGCGTCTCCTCCGCCTATTTCACGCCAGGAACCCGATGTTCTGGCTACACCGTTGCCGAAGACTGTTACTGGTTTGATGACGGATTTGCATGGGGCGAGTGAGGGCCTTCCGCGCTTCACGTATACTTCTCCGGCGTTCATGAAGAGAGCGCGGTTGTCTGGAGATGGCTTTGCGGGTCCACGACTTGATCCATTCGAAGCAGACGATGATGTACAGCAGACTTCTGAAGGAAGATGGTCTTCTTTCGGCAGCAGTCGACCCTGGCGATATCGGCAAAGGACGCCTTCGCCTAAGAAGACAAGTTTCGAAGAGATCAGCGATGCAGCGAGAGAATCTGTACCGGGGAGCATGCTACCTCCTTCACCGACACTTCGAGTGACAACGACGCAAGGCGAAGTGAATCCAGGATCCGTCGCAGAACCGACTGCCGATCAAACGCAAGGTCCCACGACGCCGCAATTGCGACCAGTCGTGTCTCCAACCTTACCACTGCCCTCCCCTTTCCCGGTCGAAGGCAACCCTTTCCAGCAGCAATTAGGCCAAGGCTCCTTGGAGGCACTGAACAGCGCGCGTGACGCACCGGTGATCGCTAGTTACGAAGCTTTCAGGCAGCAGTATGCATCTTCCCAGATGCTCCCGACTCAGACCGTGGCTCCGGGCTCGAGCATCATGGACAGCGCAACGGCAACGAAAGACAACTTGGCACAGGACACGCAAAGCAAGTTGGTCGAAGAAGCTCCACAACAGGATTTGCTCAGTCCGACGGCGCCCGAGAAAGCAAAAGACGATCTACCTTTAACGCCAGCGAGGCCGGAAAGCCCCAAGACGAAGCCTGTCGCACAAGAAGACACTACAACCCCAGCCCAACGGTCCAATCATGCCACCCCTCAATCTGACAAGGACAAGATCATGGCGCAGACCTTCCGCAGTCTGTTTGGGTTCGGAGCATCTCAAGACACAGCACCGCCAGACAAGCCCAAGAGTCCATCTCCTTTGCTGGCGATTTCGAATTTGGACGGAACCAGTATGGAAACACCTGATTTGAACTATAAGCGACAACAACTCGATTTCGACGGACAAGCATCTCAAGACACAGCACCGTCAGACGAGCCTAAGAGTCCAAGTGCTTTGCTGGCGATTTCGAACTTGGACGGGAGCATCATGGAAACGCCTAGTTCGAACTTTGAGAGACAACATTTCGGTTTCGACGGGCAAGCGTCTGACCTGCCGCCAGAACCATCTGGTCTGGATATTGCGGAAGACTCTCACTCGGTCTCATCGGCGCAGGAGCAGTCATACCTGCCGGCACCGCCCGTTCTACCAGACCGATCACCACTGCTCGAGCCGTCTGCCAACCAGTCTGAGATCGAAATTATTGACCTCGGCTCCAGCTCCGACGAGGAGACGATCAAAGAAGTGGAATCAAAGCAGCCACCGGTAGTTTCAGTACCGCAAAGACAAGTTCCAACACTAGAAATCCAGGATACATTCGCGGAAGCAGACGAAGCGGATCTCCTTGCTGAGCTGCCCGAAGTGGTTCCTCTCCAGATACCAGAGACGTTGTCGGAGTCAATGGATCTCGAAATTGTCGCTGAGGCCGCACCGCAGACCTTGCCTATTCATGAACCGGAAGTGAGCCCGGTCGGCGAGTTGAGTGAACTTGTGCCGCCTACAGGTTCACACCCGATGTCTCCTATTGTCCTCGACTCATTGTCCCCAGTCGAATTGAAAGATGCCTCATTTGACAGCCCGGAACCTCCAAGTATCGACGCTGTTCAAGAGATTCCAGACGCACCAGTTGAAATTGAGAAGGCGGAAATGATTGCTGACCAGCCTCTGGAACGCCAATCACAATCGCCGGCATCTCAAGCCGCGACAGCCGCTCAACTGGAACGACTAGAGGACCGTTCGGAAGTACTGCAACACACCATGGAGGAGCCGTTGTATCCAGATCTCCCTCTCAGTCCATCCGACTCGCAGTCACTGCGGGCCATGGCTTCGCAGGCTGCGCTACCGAGTGTCATACCAGAGATGAGCGGCAATGTCTTCCCGCCTACTCCACAGCTCACTCAGCAAGAGTCTGTAGTGCAGCAACCCGTATTACCCCAGGATCCTGCTGATGAGCTTACGGCCACGGAGGAACAAGCTTCGACCCTTCAAGAAGCTGCCGAGGAGGTAGATGCGCCGGTTGCGAAAAGAACAAGGACACGCAAAAGGAAGGCCAAAAGTTCGCGAGTCAGCGATGTGCCTGCTGTGATCTCTGACTGGTTTTCACCCAAGGCCAGTGACACTCATGCCAAAGAGGCCCAACAAACGCCTCGTCGAAATGGGTTCACTGAAACTGAGGTGCAGCAGACGCCCACACATCCACCAATTAAAGAGGACGCCTTGACACAAAGTGAGCAAAACCAGACTTTGAACAGAGAAGCAAGCGGCTTCTCCACTTCTTCAGCATACTTCACTCCTCTCGCGCACCTGGGAAGACTGCTTAACGTCTCTAGCCAACAAGCGCTCGGCAGCAACACCGTGGACGTCTTCGCCGTCGTCACAGACCAGACAACCGAAGCGGTGCGCGCTAAAAGCGGACCCCGTGACTACTTCACCATCTTCAAAATCGCGGATGCCAGCGTGCCGGACAAGGCAAACGCCGTGCGTGTCGAGGTGTATCGTCCGTGGCTGGCGACACTGCCGGTCGCTGCTGTAGGCGATGTCATCCTCCTCCGCGCTTTTGCGGTCAAGTCGCGCAAGCGGAGGCCTTACTTGTTGTCTACGGACGCGAGCGCCTGGTGTGTGTGGAGATACGGTGAGGGGAGTGCGGAGGAGGGGACGGAGAACGACAAGCCTGTGTGGGCGCGGAAGGGAGGTGGCAGTGTTAATGAAGTGATCACAGGGCCTCCTGTTGAGTTTGGTGAGGAGGAGAAGAAGCATGCTGAGGGCTTGCGGGAGTGGTGGCTGCATGCCTTGCGTGATGAGCAGGGCAACGGGGTGGATGAGGACCTTGACGATGCGACTACGATGAATGGCAATGCTGCTGCGCAGGTGGTGGAGGCGGCGAAGTTGTAGTGGCTGTCCATTCTAATAGCCTCACTTCTAAACAATGACTTTGGAAATCCATTTGCTGTGGGTTATCTTGATCGCGTAATAACTGTCTGAAACAATGCGCTTCCTGATTGCATTGGCTGCGGATGAAGTCTGCGGCTGAACCCGAGCCTGGAAGCTTGCACCACTTTATGCACCTCGCACCACTTTATGCATCTTGCAATCATGCAACCTCGCTCACATCCTGTCCTCACCACTCACTCCACAGAATGAACGCGTACAACCCCTCGAACTCGCGACAATGAGCGTCCGCAAACGCGGCGAAGCGCCCAAACGGGCAAATGGAGCGGCCGCCCCGGCTGCGAAACCCGTAGACGAAAGAACGGATCTCACGCGCTGGCGGTTAAAAGACGATCGAGGGTGTCAAACATGGCACTACTTGGAGACCGCCGAGGAGCTGAAGCAATGGCCCATGACTATTGCGGATCGATATTTTCTTGGACTTGATACTGTGAGTGGTGATCTTGGAATAGCAGAATAGGCTCCCGCTGACTTGTATTGAAGGGTTTACCCAAACTCCCAAAAGCGAAGACGCCGCTTCAGGCATGCGAGAATGGGATTGAGTTCTACTCTCAGCTGCAGCTGGAGCCCGGAAATTGGGCCTGCGAGTATGGAGGGCCCATGTTCTTGCTCCCAGGTCTCATCATCGCTTTGTATGTTACGGACAATCGACTCTCGCGGCCCGAGGAGATCGAGATCATTCGCTACATCTTCAGCATGCAAAATATCGGCAGCAAGAATGGCGGTGACGGCGGCTGGGGGCTGCATGTTGAAGGCGACTCCTCCGTTTTCGGCACTGCTATGAATTATACGACGCTTCGCTTGCTCGGCGTTGAAGCGCATGACCCTCGAATGGAGAAAGCGAGGGGCTGCCTACATAATCTCGGGGGCGCCTTGTATGGACCACACTGGACAAAGTTCTGGCTGTCGGTGTTGGGAGTCATGGAGTGGGATGTGGTCAACCCTGTTCCTCCAGAGTTATGGCTTTTACCGGATTGGACGCCGATCTCTCCTTGGAGATGGTGGATCCATATGCGCATGGTATTCCTTCCCATGAGCTTCGTCTGGTCGAAGAAGTGGGTATATCCAAAGGCCAAGACAGATCCGGTTATCAGACAATTGAGGCAGGAGCTATATCCAACGCCGGCCGATGACATCGTATGGGCTCACCATCGCAACTCGATCAGCGTTATGGACAACTACCATCCGAAGTCTTGGGTCTTGAACCTGATCAACGTCTTCCTTGTTCTGATCTGGATCCCATTCCTGCGGTCCGCGTCTCTGATCAAGCGCGCGGAAGGATGGGCTTGGAAGCTGATCCAGATTGAAGACGCCAATTCCGACTACGCAGATCTCGCGCCCGTCAATTCTCCCATGAACTTTCTGTGCTGCTTCATAGCGGAAGGACCAGATGCGGTCTCGGTCAAGCGACATCGCGAGCGCCTGCCCGAGTTTCTCTGGCTCTCAGGAGGCGGGATGATGATGAACGGGACGAATGGCGTGCAAAGCTGGGACACCGCCTTCTCCATTCAAGCCGTGTATGGAGCTGGCTTGGCCACCAAACCCAAATACCGAAACATGCTCATCCACGCACTCGAATTCCTTGAGGACCAGCAATTCGTTGACCACTGTGTGGGCTACACAACTTCGCCTACTTATTCAGAGCCACCGGTAGCAGAGACTAGCGCCGAGGCGGGCTATCGCCATCCTCGGAGAGGAGCTTGGGGGTTTAGCAATCGTCTGCAAGGCTACGTCGTGTCCGACTGCACGGCGGAGGCTCTCAAAGCTGTAGTCATGTTGCAGACTCTGCAAGACCCCAAAGATCCATCCAAGACACTCTTCCCCGCCGTATTTTCTGAAGAACGGCAGAAATGGGCAGTCGACATCATCCTCACCATGCAGAACGCCAGTGGAGGTGTCAGCTCGTACGAGCCGGCGAGAGGCAGCGAGTACCTCGAGTTCCTGAATGCCGCCGAGGTCTTCGGCCGGATTATGGTGGAATACGACTACCCGGAATGCACGACGGCGTGCGTGACGACTCTCAGTAATTTCCAACACGTCTACCCAGACTACAGGGCGGCAGAGATTCGCAAGTTCATCACGCGAGCGGTGCAGTGGATCAGAACGAATCAAAGGAGCGATGGATCGTGGTATGGATCTTGGGGCATCTGCTTTACATACGCGGGCATGTTTGCGCTCGAAAGTCTTGCCACGCAAGGCGAGACGTACGCGAATAGCGAGCGGGTGCAGAGGGCGTGTAAGTTCTTTTTGGACCGGCAGAATGAGGATGGAGGGTGGGGCGAGTCGTACAGGAGTTGTGAGACGGCGGAGTGGTGTGCGCATCCGGATGGATCACAGGTTGTGAACACTGCTTGGGTGAGTATCTACCCGCTGGCAATGCCAGATTGACCACTGACGTGTGCCGGTGACAGGTCATCCTCGCTCTCCTTGAGGCACACTATCCGCACAAGGAACCGATTGCACGAGCAATCAAGCTACTGATGCAGCGCCAGCAAGCGAATGGCGAGTGGCTGCAAGAGGGGATTGAAGGGGTCTTTAACAAGAGTTGGTACGTGTTGCTCCCTTTGAGACAGTGACTGGTAGGATTGGGCTGACATTTCGACTCGTACAGCATGATTTCGTACCCCAATTACAAGTTCATCTTCCCGATCAAGGCGCTGGGGATGTACGCCCGGAGATTCGAGGGGGTGGAGATGGCTAATGGTCACTGAGGATGAAGTCATTATATACCAGTCGCGAAAAGCCGTTGGTTGGTGCGAGAGACCGCATTCGTGGCCGAGGCGGGTGTAACACGCGTGGTCGATCAGATGTCAAGGGGGTCGGGATGAAACAGGTCCAATCGTTGTCATCGGCAGCACAATCACACGCTTTGTGCGGCACAAAAGCAAATGATACAGGGATCACAAGCACGAGCGTATGTGACAGCCGGCTGCATGGGCGTTTTGTGTCACGGCACGACGGTCCGGCTGAGTCAATCCGTTATCGCCACATGCCCACTGGTCAGGAGACTATCACCAACTCTGCTGCATGACGTGGAGTTTTCAGGATATGTACGAAGTCGATGAGATCAATAAAGCTGCTGTTGTAGGGACGGCAGATGGATATGGCGGGAAAGGAGTAGGATTAAGGCACGACAGATCCGCCACCGACAGGTCGTCATTGATGCGGTCCAAGCTTCCGACGGAGTTGATGAAGATTGCATGTGGCAGTGACTGTGATGGGACACTCGAACACATCGAACAATCGAATTGAAGAATGCAGTGCTCTCCTCCACATATCACCACTCGCCGTCTTCCCATCCCTCATCGGTGCCTCGAGCGAATGCATCCATCTTCAATGCAGCGAGTGGTGGACAATTGACGTACTCGAGCAGGGATTAGATTCGGCGCTAATGAAATCCAAAAGCGAGTCTAAGAAATCGGGCGGTGATGAATTGCATTTCCTCCATCCCGAGCAGAGGTCGAGCACGTCAAACCGCTCGACTCCCTGCACCTACCTCCTTCCCATTCCCCTTGCACCCATCACCTCGTGCGCATATGCTGATGTCCACCAGCTGCCGAGTCTAATCAGCGTGCCGCTCCATTTCTAGCCCCCGAGCCTTCGTCATCACTACCCGCAGCTCCGACTCGGAAATCACTCTACTCCGCCTCTCCATCGTCCCGAGTCCAACCCCTCCAGCTCGGCCGCCCAACTCCATCACTCCCTCCCACCCACCACATCCTTGCGGCGTTGGGGCGTTCGGCGGTCATTGTAAGCACAGCACGGGAGGGAATATTCATCGCAAAGAGAGACAATGGCCACACCCACACCAACCCAGCCTTATCCCGGCCCGGGCATGCCCTACCAGGGAGCTGCTTCTGCTGCTGCTGCTGCTGCCACTGCCAGCCAGCCCGCTGCTGCCCCCTCCGCTCCCTCGCAAGCTTCCTACGCTGGTGACTCGCGGAGCTTGCAGTCTCCCGCCAGCCAGTATGGCCCTGCTCCGCTCCCCGGGTACAATTTCGACAAGTACTGCGTCATCCACATTGCCACCACCTGCGATGAGCATGGGGTCTACGTGACCAAGGATAGTGCCGAGGTGATTGAGATTGGATGGGTGGTTGTCGATGCTCGTGACCCTTCTTTGCCCGAGGTACGTTGTTGAGTCGAGACATGATCCCGTTCCTCCTCCGCTTTTGACTGACATCACATCCTCGAAGCTACACCATCAAAGCGTCCTCGTCAAGCCGGTCAACACCCCCATTACTCCCCTCTGCACCTCGCTCACCACCCTCACCTGGGAGCATGTCCGCAATGCCGGCACCTTCCGCGATGCCATCGAGACCTTCAACGGCTTCGCCACCGAGCACTTGGTGCCCAAAGACGCCGCACCAAATGCCACGCCAACCTTTGCCTTTGTCACTCTGACTCCGTGGGATCTCCGTGTGCAGATGCCTCGCGAGGCTCGAGACAAGAACGTCGTGCTGCCCTCCTACCTGCAACACCCCATCCTGTTCGGCCTTCGAGGCGAATACCAGGTCTTCCAATCGCACCACCCAGAGACCTTGGCGTTCAGCTCGCAAAGCTTGTCGTCCATCTGTGCCGGTCTGGAAGTGGAGGAGGTCCGTTCATCCGGCAAAGTCACCGGAGGCCTGCCGTTCCACCTCCAAGCACTCGCTCCTGCCTCGCCGAGACGAGCGCTTGAGGAAGCCCTCACGATGACGAGATGTCTGCGCTCGCTCGTCCAAAAGTCGCGACCTTCGCAGACCAACCCGCATGGTGACCCGGATATCATGGCTCGCCCCATCGATGCTCGAAGCGACGTGCGCGCCTTCTTGAGCGAGCGCTCGAAAGTGCTACATCTCAGCGGCCTCCCCCACGACACCACTCAAAGTGAGCTCGAAAGCTGGTTCACGCAGTATGGCGGCCGTCCCATTGCGTTCTGGACCCTGCGCACCCCGGAAGGCGGCAAACCCAGTGGAAGTGGATTTGTGGTGTTTGGGAGTCACGAAGAGGTACGAGCCATCCCATCCCCTGATCCTCGTGCTTCCATTCTCCCTATTTTTGGTCTTGCCAGCACATGTTCTTCTTCGTTGCACAACCGCGCACCCGATGTCACGCTGCTGCGCACATGCTGTGGTTGCGTCATGACGTGGCTCACATGCTGTCCGACTCGGCTGTGTTGACTCGTCTGCCTGTCTTTCCCTTACACTCCCTTTTGGAACACCTTCACACTTTCCACACTCCTCTGTTCTTTCTACACTTCTCTGCTCTTGTCGAAACGACAACCGCAATGACAATTCGGACTGACTCGTGTTGGCAGGCCGCTGAATCTCTCGGCATGAATGGACGGGCGCTCAACGACCGAGCGATCGAAGTCTCGCCCTCATCATCGCGGGTAAGTTGCCGTTCGAATCGGAATCTGATCAATGCTCATGCAAGTAGGTCCTCGATCGTGCCGCTGGTTCCCAGCCCATGGGGGGCCCACCGCTCCTCACTCCTTTCCCGCCGTCGAAAAATCGACCTCGTCCTGGCGATTGGACGTGCCCTTCATGTGGATTCAGCAACTTTCAACGTCGTAAGTCCGACGATTTTCCTGGATTGCAAATGAGCATGTGCTAATGGAGTAGGCACTGCGTGTTTCCGCTGCTCCTTCCCGGCTATGCCAGCGAACCAAGACCCATACGGGCAAGCATACGGTATGTTGCGACTCTTATGGATCTGTCGAGCTAGTTCTAACATGGCTCAGGCATGCCTCCGAACCCATACGGCGGCCAAGGCTATCCTGGCATGATGGGCGGCCAGATGCATCATGGCGGTGGATACGGCATGGGAGGTTCCGGTGGTGGCCGTGGCGGGGCCGTGCCTTTCCGAGCAGGCGACTGGAAGTGTGGCAACGAAGGCTGCTTCTACCACAACTTCGCCAAGAACGTCTCTTGCTTGCGTTGCGGAGCTTCCCGTAGCCAGGCGGCCATCGTGGCCGAGAGCAATGCCCCCAACATGCAAGGCTTCCATGGTCCAGGAGGATCATACGGCGGACACGGCAACATGAACATGCCGCCCATGAACCCCGGTTCATACGGCGGGATGGGCCCCGGCGGAGACGGCTCCTACGGTGGAAACATGGGTGCTCCTCCCGGCGGCTTCGGTGGCCAACCTTTCGGCCCACCATCCGCCTACTTGCCTTCCGGCCTCGGCGCTCCAAGCCCGTACATGCCCGCAGGCTACGCGCAGATGGCGAGCAACGGAGCCGGACAACCGCAGGGCGGATTTGATAGCCGTGCTGAGCAGGCTTTCAATTCTGGCAACGCGTCTGCTAGCGGCGGAGCATCGTACCAGTCCAACGGCGGCTACGGCGGCGGCTCCAGCACTGGCAATTATGGCGGGACTGATGCTTCCAGCGACCCGTTCTCCTTCCTCAGCAGTGGGATGAACAGCCTAGGCCTTGGCGACAATGACCGACGCAATGGACAGGGCCAAAGCGGAGCCAAGTCTCCTCAGTAGTGGGGATAATGGCTATCATGAGCGGCGATGTGCCTGGAACTGGGAATATTTGTATCAAAATGCACAGCCGACAAAGGGGAAGCAGAACAACAGAATGGGACTTTTGCAATCATGCTGGCAATGGGGAGGTTGGGGGGTGTGCTTGTGAATGGGAGAGGCGAGGATTGAAGGGAACAAGCAACTTAGCGATGGCGCTGGGGTAGAGGGATCCGGACTGCACAGGAATCAAAAATAAAATGCATGGGGGGCAAAGGGGGGATTGCGGTCGGCATGGATTGGACGTATTCATTCATTTGTGTTTGGTTGGCGGGTTGATGATAGCGTGCGGCTTTGAGTGCGCTGGTTCGGGGAGATGGAGGAGGCCTCCTCCATTGTCGACCTGTTTTAGGCGGGAAGACTCTGTAATCAGTGTGAAAATGCTATTTCTTACTGTCGTTATAATGTCTTTTGTCTGATGATTCGACACTCCACGAGCCATCACGTGCAATCCATTTCGATTCGCGTCTTAGCGTGTCAATTTGGCGCGAACTCTAATCGCCCCGCCTTTCAGAACAACCAGCTCTACACGTCTCCCACGAAGTTCGCTTTTGCTGCTCGATCCTTTCGCTTTTGCACGACTCCATGCACGCCCACAATGGCCGCCGACGCAGATGGTAGCGTTGGCAGTGTGCCCCTAGCGCACCTGGCCCTCCTACGTGACAAGTTGCTGCAGGTTCGCGCGCAACCCCCCATCCTCGCCACTGATTCGTTTGCCTTTCGCTGACACCATGACTCTCATGCATGCAGGCGCCCGAGACGAATCGCGCGACTGCAGAGTCTACCGCCATGTCGATTTCGCAATCCCCCAGCAAGAATACTTCCGTGGGGCTTGCGGCTTCTGTTCCTGAGACGGTGGATGCGACTCTCACGCCCCATGCTGCCTCTCTCCGACCGCCACCTCGAATGGGTGTTTCGAAGTCTGCGACAGGCCCGGAGATGAAGGCCATGATGAATCCGGCGCAGTCTCAAGAGGCGTCTTTGACGAGAGCGTCGTCTTTTCATGGATACCCTGGGGGAGACACGCAGCCTATGGAGAGCCAGGTGTATCGCGACTTCAACGCTTCGGTCATTTTCCCTGCCCTTGTCACGCCTGTCAAGGCTGCATTCCCTCAGATGTCGGTGTTTGAAGAGACGTGCGACGATAATGGGGTGGATGTGAGCAAGACGCCACATACCTGTGCTGAGGGAGAGACGGGATTCATTGATTTGGAGAATGCCATGCCGTCTCCGGGCGCGCAGTCTGTGTCTTCTCTGGTCGAAGGGTTCGCCACGAGTCCGCAAACGGCGCTGAGATTCACGATGCCTGAGACACCGGCTATTCCGGGGCATAATCGAAGACACAGCAGCGAGATCCTCACATCTGTCACCACTGCTCAGAAATACCCGGCTTTCTCCCAGCTCTTTGGAGGAGGACATGGAGGAGCAATGATGAGCGCCACTCAAGCTTTCAACCAGACTCAGGCACCCTCATCCCCTATGCCGGACGTCCCCCGCTCCGATCCTATCATCACCCGCCCTTCGCCTCACCTCAATCACCACTTTCACACCTCTTCTCCGATCATGACCATGTCGTCGCCAGTAGCGACAATGCGCCCTTCCACCGCCAGCGAGCCAAGAGATCGATACACGAGCATGCGCGAATCGCAGGAGAGGAGGGCGGCGCGGCTGCGGGCTGAGATCGGTGTGGCGCGGGACTTTGACGATGACATTCTCGCCGAAGAGGAAGAGGAGGAGATGGACGGAGAGCGCCTGCGGTTCGAGATGAAACGCCTGCAGAAAGTCAAGAGCGACCAGGCGCTTGCGGAGTTCGCGCGGTTTCGGGCGCCTTCGCGACATGGCTCCAGGCCTACGTCGAGTCCGAGGCAGACGCCTATGATCGACTTGACGACTCCAGCCACAACGAAGAGAGATGGTGCCGGTGATGTCGCGGTTCTTGAGAAGCATAGTGATGTGGAGGATGATGACGATGAAATCGAAGATGCACTTCCCGAGGACGAGGCGCTCGTGAACGAAGCGCAAAGCGATGATGAGTACGATGAGCTCTCACAGGCCGTGCTTAGAAGCCAGGGCAATGTTGATGAGGAAGTCGACGACGTGGAATCTACTGGGCCGGACGATGTTAGGGATGAGCTCGAGGGATCCAACGAGAACGGTCCTCCCGCGTCACACGTGGAAGATGGTGGCGAACAGATCATGGAGGACCGGCCGGAGTTGGCAACGCAATTATCAGCCGTTGCTGATTCGCAGCCCCAGCAGCAAGATGGACACCGAGGGAGTCTACGCGCACCTCTCAAGGAACCATCGTCTATGGCTTCGTTTGTCCCCGGTTCGCAATACGCTGGCAAGACGAGCCAGGATCTGGCACGGCTTCAGTCGCGCAGTATCCTGAGCAGTCCGCCCCTTCCAAGCATGAACGCCAGAGCTGCATCCGTGACCGAAGTCCCAGAAAGCGACTTGCCGCAATCCGACGACCACCACGACACTTCCTTACGCGCCGCGACAACAACCACCGACTCAAACAGGAACAACAGCAACAACCAAGCCCCCTTCTCCACCGCGCAAACACACGTCTCTTGCGCGGCAACACAGAAGCAAAATTCAGCCCTCTCGCCCCTCAAAATCCTTCAAAGCCAGCGAAGCATGCCCGCTTCGCAATCCCCTCTCACGGCTGCGGGCGTACGTCGTTTCGCTGACATCGCCGCTGCGGCCTCTCAGTCACCCCTCAAGGGCGGGCTTGTTGAGAGCGAGGTGAATGTTGATGCAATCATGGACGATTTCATCACTGCTGAGGATCAGGAGTATTTGCAGGCTGTGTCTAGTCCGCCTTCTGAGCCGCCGTTGAAACGGCGGAGGATGGCGAGGGGGCTGGCGAGGAATGTGGCGGCCGAGTCTGATGCTGCTAGAGAGCACGCTACTATGCTTGAGCAAGCGCCTGCTGCAGCTGTCGACGCTGACGAGGTTCGCGATCGGGAGGTGCAGGTTGCAGCTCCGACGGCGGAACCCTTGATCGTCAGGGCTCTGCAAGAGAGTCCGAGCAAGGCCAACGAGATGCTGCCCGCGACGCCAGAGAGTGTGATGGAACGTGAGAAGGCGGGCTCGAAGGCTGTGTCGCAGCTTCTTTCGAAGAGAGCTAGGAAGCCGACGGAGAAGCTGAGGACGTATCAGGTAAAGAAGGTGGTCAAGCCGACATCTGCAAAGGGCAAGAAAACTACTGTCGCTGCGTCGAGTGCTGCGCCAGACGAAAATGTGACGACGCCAGCCGTTCCCGAAGATCAAACAAAGGAAGATCAGAGCGGCGTTGTCGCGCCTGATGCGGGTGCAGAAAGCACAGGCCCTGTTGTCCAATCGCCAACTCGGATCTTCGCCTTCTTCAAAGGCCAGTACAACAAATACTACCCGGCCACTTGGCTAAGCATGACCAGCAGCTCGACCCACCGAGTAAAGTTCGACGACACGACGGTGGCAATCGTCGACGCGCACCACATCTGCAGACTCGAGCTGCAAGTCAACGACCAGATCAAAGTCGATCTTCCAGATATGCGTAACAAGACGTGGCTCGTCAAGGCCTTTGGGCCCGCTATCCAGACCCCGAAAACAAAGGATCACACTACCGATGTCTACGGAAGGGCATTGTTGCAAGTCCAGGCCAAGTCTAGCCGGACGAGCGTCCCTTCGAGTACAGCGGAGTTCCAAGCCGAAGGAGAAGTTGTGGACATTCCGGTCTCGAGTGTGTACTTGACGCCTACGATGTGGTCGCACTTCAAGGATCGTATGTTCGTCCCGCCAGCCACCTCCGTTGTGGACAGTAGAGCTGCGACGCCATCGGCGGGTGTTAGAACGCCGGATGTGACTACTCCCACTTCCCGAGCTCGAAGAGCTGGGCTGCAAACAGGGAAGGCCGGGGATGCAACGACTTCGCACTTGCGCGAGGTTCCTTTGTCTTCCGCAGCCAGCAATGACGAGTACGGTCTTTTCTCCGGCATGGCCTTCGCCATCTCCTACGGCGCCAACGATGCCGGGAAAGCCAATGTGACGCACCTCATCATCCGCAACGGCGGTCTCGTGCTCGAGAGCGGCTTCGATGAGCTCTTCGATCTGCCATTCCTCGACGACGCACCTCCGAGTCCGGCAAAGAAATCGCTTCGCGCAGGAGAGCAAGCCGAGCGTCCGGAAGACGACGACACCGTCGTCCTGAACCTCAAGCCCGAGTACCAGCGCCTAGGCTTCGTCGCGCTGATTGCCGACCGCCACAGCCGCAGAGCAAAATATCTGCAAGCTTTGGCGCTCGGAATTCCCACCTTGTCGGAACGGTGGATCACTGACTCGCTGGACCGATCACGCAATCCAACTCTGCTGGCCAAAGAGGCCACTGCGACCGTATTGCCTTGGCCGAAATACCTCCTTCCAGCCGGCGAGAGCGCGTATCTAGGCGGCGCCACTCGCTCAAGGACGATGCTCGAGTACTCCGCGAAAGACGCCGTGCTAGCCATAACGATCGAGCAGCGCAGCGTGCTGTTGAATGCAGATGATGGGGTGCTGATTGTCGTTCCCAAGAAAGGCAAGGCGAGCTGGGATCGTCGCAAGGCGTATGCTTTTCTCACGCTTGCGCTGGGCGCTGGGAGGGTCAAGCGTGTGGGAGATTTATTTGAGGCGAAGGCTTTGTCGTCGCATGATGATGCAGTGTGGCGGTGGATCTATGTTGACGGAGCGGTGGGGGAGGCTGGAGAGGTTGTGAATGGGAAAGCGGGCAAGAAGAGGAAGCGGGATGACGAGGGGTCTGCCAAGGCTGGAGGAGGGAATCTTCTGTCCGTCGGTGATGGGCGGGTGAAGATTGTGAATGATGAGTTTGTCGTGCAGAGCCTGATCTTGGGTGCTCTGGCGGACTGAAGAAGGGGGTTCTATAATTACAAAGTAATCGCTTTAATGCGGAATAGAATGCCCAAAAGAGCTTTCCATCCTTATCTCAGCCCCAACGGCTTCAAAATCCTCTCCTTGGTCACATTCGCCGCGACCTCGCCACCCCTCTGCAACGCCAACGCCCCGATGATGCTGTACATCGTATGCGCGAGCACCACCTCGACCCCACTCCCCTGCAAATTATCGCTCTTCTTCGGCTTCCACCTCGCCACCTTCTGCAGTCCATACGAGTTCGCTAAGTTCGCCAGCCGGCTCTTATCCAACACTGTATGCCGCGCAAGTACCGTCACGTTCTCCAGCCCTTCGAGCGCGGGATGTCGGTATACTTCTTCGGCGGGAGGTTGCGGGGTGGGAGGCGCGGGGGCGTTGAGGAGGGCGAGCGAGGTTTGGAAGTCGACTATGCGTTTTCCCAGAAAGGCGAGGCGGTCGTTGAAGCCGCGGCGGGCGTGGTCGAAGGATTTGTGGGTGACGGCTAGCCACTGTACCTATCGCGTTAGTGGAGAGGTCTCTCAAGAGGGAAGGAGGGGGGATAGTACCTTTATCTCCTCAGGTAATAGATCCCGGCCTCGCAGTATCTTCGATCCGTCTAAGCCCAACTGCTCTCTTGCTGCCTCGCCTGCGCGTCCGATGAAGTTGTCGAGCGCTTGATCTAGCACTTCGGGGTCGTCGTTGACTTTCCACTCTGGCTGTTTGGGCAGTGGGCGCACGCGAATAGGCATCTTCATTGCGGGTGGGGTTTGCTGCCATCGTGGGATGCCTTGCGCGGACTCGTAAGGACTGGAAGTGCTAGAGGTTGGTGGATTTCGCGCTCGTTGCGTGGCGGTGGTTGAGAGTGCGCGGGCGGGGGGAAATTTGATGTGCGCGGCGCGGAGAGCGCGCGAGCAGCGCAGGCATATGAAGGAGGTGTCCATTTTTGGGGATAACGAGGGGGCCGGGTTAGGATGATGGGTAGAAGAAGATGAGATGAAGTCGAGGAACTTTCCGCGTCAATGCGCGAGGAAGTCTTGGCGTGCCTGAGGCATCTGCCCTTCCAGACCTCACTCTGACTTCAGCCTGAGTCTTTACTCACAAGACAGTGCAGTGACAAAAGGGTTCTACAGTCTGACGGCTTTCGAAATTCGTTTACATTCATCAATTCGTCTAATCTACATTATCACTCAGCCATCAGCTGCCGTCTGAATTGACCTCAATCTGCCATTAGAGCGAGCATTGACATATCGTATAGCACCTCATCGCGACCGTACATATCTAGACCTCGCACTTTGCTAGTGAGGTAAGTGGATGCTTTCCGCAATTAACTGATTTCATTAGCTTGCTGTGCTGTCCTGTGTCCCATTGTGGACGGTTTCGCTTCGAACAAGGCGGCGCTCCCCACCGTCGTTGCTGCACTCGTACTGAAGAAGCTCGATTTCCCCAGCTTCTGGGCTTGTTCGCCTCGTGCACGTCAACAGGAAGTACGCGCTCCTCTCTGGGTCTGGTCGCGCAACAACGTCGAGGAAGCGGGCTTGTTCTGGCACCTCATCGGCATAGAATTCGGTGGCGCCAAAAGCCCGACCGATCACCAGCCTCGTCTGCAGCTCTTCTAGATGAATGATGGCCTCTGCATACATCGACAAGGTGCCGCTGGAGTTTACCGCTTCTATTCTCCTGGCATTCAAGAGTAGCTGCGTCGCTTTACGTCGCGGCCTCGATGCTCGACACCTGCACGCGATAGTGAACAGTGCATGAAGAATGCCAAATCCAAAAACGCCAATGGGTCGTGCGTTGTCCGGAGGGACGGAGGATTCGTCGGGGACGATGTAGGGCGACTCTTGGTGCATGGCCGCGGAACACGCTCGGTCGGCCAGAGTCAATTTCTCCATGAGCTCCACCACCACCGGCTCCTCAGTCGCTTCGGCTGCAGACTGCTGCCGCCAGCCGAACTCGGTCCGGAGCAGCCTCTCCGCGCTCTCCAGTGCGCGCACGAATTCGTCCACCAAAGAGTCGGCGACTTTCTCGCTGCCCGCCCTGCACATCACCATGGTAGAGCTGGCGTAGAAGAAGCGAATTTGCAGGAAGAGCAGTTCTCGTGAGATGGGGTGGCTGTTGCGGAAAACGCTCATGAATCTGTTTCCCCAGGCCGAGAAGGCACTGAGAGTCTCGTGCAATCTCGTCTGGAGTGCAGTGGCGATGCTCATTGTTCGACTCCGGGTATGCGACAGGCAGAATTGACTGGTGGCGTCCAGAGTCGGATGTGTCTGCTGGACGGACGCCTGGGCAGCGACGATCAGCTGTTCACGAAGCATCTGGCCCGCATCGGTAAGAGTCTCGAGAGAGGCTCTCAACTCGGCTAGTGAATCCAACGGGACCCCAAGGCCAGCAGGGGCGACGGAGCGGCTTGGTCGGTCGTCCGCTCCTCCTGGAGCACTTTCACGCGAAATTGCACCAGGACTCGGAGAACTCACACCAGACGACGACGTCGATGTGGCGGAACCACTTTGCTGCTGACGCAGCCGCTCGTCCAAGATGTTCCTTCCAACTCGAGCGTGGCGCATGGCGCTCACATGATTTCCCATGGTCACTTCAAAGACCACAAAATTCAAGCAACTCAAGATGATGGGCTCGAGCGACCCGCGGCGGCCCATTGCGTCGCCCATCGCCTCGTTGAGACAAGAGATCGCTTTTGAGTACCACCGAAGCGCCGATGCCTTCCTGGTTTCGTCGATGGGTCGAGCAAGCGTGGTGTGTAGTGTATCTTCCACCGATTGTTGTGCAAAACCGGCTGCAACGACTGCGTAGAATACAGCAGGCTCCTGAAGAGCGACGAACATGGAACAAGTGGCCCACAGGATTGGATAGCCCGTCGCGAGGTATCGGGCGCATGCGTAATGTCGGAAGTAGTCGAATGCGAGACGGGCCTCGTCGCTTATGCTTTCTGTTTGAAGGAGGGGCGGCGTGGTCGATGTGGATGATGAGCCCGGGTCGGGAACGATAGCCGCAGGGCGTTGGGCAACGTTCAGTCGAGGTGTTTCTGTGTTGAGAGGTTCGAGTGAGACGTCCCAGGTGGAATAGCCGCCACACACGCGATGCGTGCTGACACAGTTGTTACAAGCAGGCCGGGCTCCGTCGCACTTGACTCTTCGAACGCGGCAGGTATGGCAGCGGATGTATGAGCGGCCTTGACGACGTGCATCCCTGTCCATCGCAGAGAAGGATTGGTAGTGTGGCTGATTGAGGGTATGCAAGGCTGCAGGGGGGCGCTGACTGCATACAGTTGTGGCGCCAGAGCAGGGTGCGCTGAGCCGGAGCCGAGAGCAGTCATTGCGGCGTTATATATCAGCATTCCAGTTTAAGACGTAACGGGCTCCGGGGCGCAGGCATTATTGCGGGCTGGCGGAACAGCCAGTCCACGCGCGACTCAGAGTTCTCACGACATCACATACCCTCACTACCAGCCTAGCCTACTCAAAGATGACTCGACCTTCCAGAACGCTCCTCGGTTGCGATGGATTAGTCGGCCGCGGCACGAGCGGTGAACTGATCGCGGCACACGGCGCAGAACGCGACCGTTCTGGACGGCGTGGAGACCTGCCTATCAGCCGCATGCATGCAGTCACCGATCAGCGCGAAGTAGTTGCCATGTCTTCTCTGTGGGAAGTAAGTCCTCCCGAAACCCATATGTGCACCGGCAAGTCAGGTGGGGCACCTTTCCCGTTTAGGCAGGTAGAGAGCGACGATCACCTCCGGCGCGGACTTTCAGCGTGTCCCCGTGCCTCCGGATCATCACCCATTGAGCGACGTCACCGCATATCTTTCAACGTCACACCGCGGTGCAGCATGAGTTCACTACCGAGGGGAGGAAGTATTGCCATCTGCTCTGCACCTACTGTGCAAGCTAATCGTGCTGCTTCGTTCGCGACTGATTCGAGATGCGGGACTTGATTGCACACGCAAAGCTGTGGGTTGAGCGCGTAAGGTAGTGAGCAGTCTCGAGGCTGCTTTCACGCGTTCAGTTGCTCCATCAGGCACAGCCTCGTGCCTATCTCGGACCTTATGCAAGCAATCGCAAGCGTGTATGGTTCCCCGTCCGGCGAGGGCGGGCCGTCGACTCCCCCGATCGGCGTTTCCTTCTGAGATGCGCCCGACTTCAGCTGCCATGAACGGGATCTGCGCGGAATCTTGGCCCGCCGGTTGACGGGGTTGGTTTAGGCTTTTGGCATTGGGCGTTTCGGACTGCATGTTGGACCCGACGCAGAGGTGCGATCTACCTGCATGCTACCTCATGTTACCTGTCTAGCCGACCGGCGATATCGGGCTCTGGTTGGGTCTACTCGTGTTGCATTGAAACCTGGCACGAATGCCGTCTCTGCTCGCGTGAGAGAGTAAATTGGTTGGGCTTGTTACGATGTATAACGGCGCTGGACATCGTCGGCCTCCACGTCTGATACTGAGCTAGACTCGGCAGAGCAGTCATGACATGGTTGGGGTTTGATAAATCCTCGACGCAATTTAGAAACTGTAGCTGCATACGTCGACGGGCTAGACTGCTCAGCCTTGTTCCACGGAAGGGCGAGAGTACTAACGATCTAGCAAATCCCTGCGGGTACGACTCTGCCCTGTCTGTCTAGTCTACGAATCTCGGGATCATCGGCAAAGGGACCGACGAGCAGGTGTGTAGGTCGGCGGCTCTACTTCGCCGCCAACTTTGACTACACCAGGCCTGCATTGCTACGTCATCCCCACTTTCCACCACCGACTTTTTCCGCGCGCCAGTCTCCCTCTCCGACACTCGGATCCCGATCAGCGACAATGCTGATCTCGCAGAAATACCATGCCCGTTGTACCGATCATCGAAGGGCTAGATTCGAGAACAAAAACTTTTTGTATGTCGTTGCTCATGATTCCGTGATACCGACCATCGAATGGCCAGATTCGACTTGCGACACACTCGCGTCCGTTTCACCGACGATCTATCATGACACCGTATGGAAAGTCGCTGAAGGTAGCGACATAAATAAGTGCATCAAACCCGCTCCGAACTGACGTCCATCTCATCCATTGTCCAGCATCTTTCGTACACTTCTCACAAGTCACTCCAGCTTTCATAACACTATCGTCAACACACAACACTATTGAACATGTCTTCTCGACCAATTGACGTAGCCGTCGTCGGCGGTGGCATGGGTGGTCTCTGCGCCGCCATTGGCCTCCTCAAACACCCCAACCTACGCGTCCAAATCTACGAAGCCGCACATCAGTTCTCGGAAATCGGCGCCGGCGTGGCCGTCGGGCCCAACGCCCAGCGCGCCCTCAAACTCATCGGCGACTCGACCGAGGCGGCATACCTTCGCCTAGCCACGCACAACAAATGGGAGAAGCACGCAAACACCTTCTTCGAGTACCGCATGGGAATGGGCGAGAAGGAGGGCGAGCTGATTGTCGCGCCGAAGAACGAGACGGGCCAGGCGACGGTGCATCGCGCCAAGTTTCTGGAGGAGTTCATCAAACTTGTGCCAAAGGAGGTTTGCCATTTTGGTAAACGACTGGATCGCATTGAGGAGCTGGAAGGGGGCAGGATTCGACTGCATTTCCACGATGCGTCGACGGCCGAGGCGGACTGCGTAATTGGTGCCGATGGTATCCACAGCGTCGTCCGTAAGCACTTGCTGGGCGACGATCCTGCTGCCAACGCGGTCTTTACCGGCAGTGTGGCGTACAGAGGCCTGGTGCCCATGGAGAACGCCGTGGCGGAGATTGGCGAGGAGTTCGCGACGAACTCGTTTATCTGGTGTGGTGACGGCGCCTCGGTCACGACCTACCCTGTCGACGAGGGCAAGACATTCAACATCGTGGCTATCAACAGCTCCTACGAGAAATGGGAAGGCCCGTCGGTCGTGAAGGCGGATTACAGCAAGATTGCACACGAGTTTGGGGGCTGGGGTGAGCATGTTACGAAAATCATCAAGCTCTTGGACACCGATGAGACGGCTGCTTGGTAAGATCCTCTTCTCGATCGTTTGCCTTGTCATGGTGCTGACTCATAGCAAGGTCCATGTGGGATATGCCTCCTGCTAGCACGTACTGTGCACGGACCATCGCCATGATCGGTGATGCGGCCCACGCCTGTTTGCCCTTTCAGGGGCAAGGGGCGGGCCAGAGCATAGAAGATGCGTTCGTGATTGAGTCGGTGCTGGGCCTGGTGGAGAAGCCGGAAGAGTTGGCATACGCCTTCCGAGCATATGACCGAATCCGCCGGAGGCGCACTCAAGAGGTGGTCAAGACAAGCCGAGAAATGGGTGAGATCCTTGCTCTTAGACTCCCAGCAATCAAGAACAACCTTGATGCATTCAAAGAGAACGTGCAGTGGCGGATGGATTGGATGTGGCATCGTGATGTCGATGGCGAGCGGAGGGAAGCAGAGATTGTCTTCAACAGGCTGAGAAAAGGACAGAGCATTGACTGAGGGGTGATTGAGAACATTACAGCGCTGATAGGACATAAACGAACACGCTTCAGCATAACTGATCCGCCGTGTTTCTTCGAATTGAGCATTGTGAAAGTGAAGCTGGGAAGGCTGTGGACGTTGGAGCTGGTGCACGTTCTGATTGGTTCCCACCTGCCCCACTTTTCTCCCCACGCCCAAAGAGGAAAGCGGAGACTTCGCGTGTGGAGTCGCGTCTTCACTTCAATTCGCTCGCGAACCTCACTTCACATCACAATCTTCCTGCCGTTTTGCGAGTTCATCGACTAGACACCCATTCTTGGAGTCACAATCTCATCTGGCTCATATTTCGATCTAGTTCTGGTCGTCATTTAGCCTAACATGTCCACACCAGATCAGTCTTCACCACAATCCCGATCATTAAAGGAGGAGCTGGCCGCCGTTCTTCCACAAGGCTTTCAGTGCAAGATCCGATACGTGCACACCCCACCAAAACCCTGCGATCCTCTGTTCTCTACACCGTCGGGGTTCAAAGCGGGAAAAACTCGACTGGCCAGCCATTTCTTGACAGTCAGCATCAACCCATCTGCAGATGGTGGGAGTGAGCATCCCAACGGAGTGCTGGTCTTCGCCTTGGAAGCATTAGTCTACAGCACGAAGTATTTGACAACTATTTTCGTGAGCAAGGCCGACTCTACTGGCTACCTACCGCAGCAAAGGCCCTCTGCTATCAAACTCACCACGAGCGCTTTCTTGAAATGGCTGGCGGAGAAGGAGCGCCAGGCACATCCGCGGCGCAAAATTGTCATCTCCTTATTTGCACGCTCGCAATCGCAATACCTGTTTCCAGGCTCCGCCGAGAATCCCAAGAAGCATGTACTTGATGACAGACAGCTCATCAAATGGTGGGCTCGAGTATTGGACCCTATCTTCTCAAAGGAGGGTGCGCGCGGTTCTGATGGCACTCAACAACCTCAATGCGATGGCTATATCACAGTCCCTGGATACGACAACTCCGAGCTAAGATCTTTGATCCCCTCTAATACTTCTTCAACACCGAGCACTCGTTGGCACCCCGGCCACCCACTCATCGAACTCGCCGAAACAAGAGGAATGCCAACAGACGTTCCACCAAGATGTCTCCTCCCTCGCTTTCCCGATGATCCAAAAGCCCGCTTCATGCAGGATCTCGATGACGAAGCTGGCATCGTGGAGGAAACGTCGACGACGACAAGCCCTTCACGGAGAAAGGCAGACAAATGGGCTTCCATTCGCGACCTTGCTACCTTCTGGGAAACCATGGCTTTCAGGCAGGAATGCTCTTCAGGTCGATTAGTCGGGTTTCTGTGGCTGGTGATCCGGCCCAGCACGCACGATCTGGCCGCGGACACTAATGGCAACGGGATTGGAAACTCAGAAAGCCAAGACTCATCTTCAACCGTACCCAGCAGTGATCCAGTGTCATTCGAAGAGAAGACTAGAGCTCACAGAAACCCAAGTCCCAGCAAACCTGGAAGAAAACGACTGACCGGCCCCATAATACCACGCCAACCACGACTCAAAGGCGCCTCTTCCTCCTTGACGAAATCCGATCTGTCGGGCATGCTGGAATTCGCGGCCATCGATGGCCTGACTCTGACGGCGGACGGCTACGACAAAGCCATGCAGACCCTCATGCACCTCGACTTCGCCAATCTTGCGGTTGCGGGCCAATCTACGAACAAATGGATCGCAGATGTGTCTCAGATAGGCGGAGTACAGGGTGAATGGGCTCTTGAAGTGACTGGTAGTGCGAAAACGGAGAGTGCTGGTCCCACTTCGGGCGGTGGTGCTGCTGCTGCGCAAGTGAACGATTTAGGAGGCATGATTAGGAAGAAGAGGAAAGCGGAAGAGCCTGTCGGGCAGGATCATGCGGGGGTGAACGGTGCGGCCGACGAGAAACCCGCTGTGAACGTGTTGGGTGGTGGGATGATTCGCAAGAAACCGAAGAAGGTCTGAATAGCTAGATATGCCATCTAGGCAATCCCACTCTTCACACCGATGACTTGCCAACCCAGTCAAGTATACATCGTCTTATGCCCATCTTAAAGACCCCCCAGAACACCACGCTAAGCCACAGACCACCCTCGCACACTCACAAACCCAAACTCCTCCTGACATCCATCTTGACCCTCTTATCAAACTCCCCCTTCCGCTCCCTCCACATCCGCGCCGCATCCACGTTCGCGGGACTCTCATCATTCGGCTCCGCAATCATACTCATAACACTAATCAGAATCTTCTCCACACTCTGAATCGGCGACCAGCGCTCCGAAGCCTGCTCATAATGATTCGGATCCTCGCCCGGCGGGTGCAGAATGGAAATGCACACGACGCCGTTGGGGTACACGTTGGGATGCCAAATGTCGCACAGGAACTTCATGGTCGGCGGCATGAGCGGGTAGTCTTTGGGGAACTTGAGCTCGGCGGGGAAGATGCCGCCTGCGTAGGGCGTGTCTTCGGGGCCTTGGATTAGGGCTTCCCAGACGAAAAGGTCGTCTTCGTTGACGGGGCCGGCGGTTATGCCGTCCGGGGGGTTGAGGGTGAGTTGCTTGTACTCTTGGAAGAGGCGTTTGGAGGCGACGGAGTTCATTTTGGCGGGGTGGAGGGTGGGTGGAGGTGGTGGGTGGTGAGAGGGTTGTTTTGCGGTCGTTGGTGGTTGATGAGAGAGGGTGGAGAGTGACGATGAGGCGATGTTAACGCTGGCAAACCGTTATCGATAGCGCCGTCTCTACTAGCGGTCTAAGGCCGCCAAGACAAACGCCCGTTAGCCTCCGCGGCGCCATGTCCAATCACAAAATGCAAACCAAACGTCCCGCCTGAACAACACCCTCTCATTGCAGCACCACAACTGCAACAATGGGTTGGGACAACACTACCCGCCTCCATTCGAGAGGACTCCAGTGAGACGCGCCAATCGGCCGCCAGTTGTTTAAAATTTCGTCTTTGTTTCTGCAGCGCCGTGCTGCCTGAACAGCACTCTCTCATTGCACACCACGACCGCAACAAAAAAGTTGCGACGATACTACGCAACCCCGTTCGAGAGAGCACTTGCTGAGAAGCGCCAATTGGCCGCATATCGTCAAAATGGTCCTTCTCATGTTTCCTCCGCGACATCGCTTGTCCGTCACATCTCCTATAGCCATCGCAAGCCATGGACGAGCCCAATTGTTCTATCAATGGCCCCGCATTTAGCGATGGAAAGGAGATGGACCGCTTGGGGCGCCCCAATTTGAACTTTCTACGTTGATCTTTCTTGCACCGTGATCGCCTGTTCGCCACATCTCCCGTAAACATCGTAAGCCGAGGATGAAGCCAGTCGTTCTATCGATGGTCCCGTCTTTAGCGATGGGAAAGAGATGGGACATGTCAACGATAGCTATCGTATTGCATACTACGACCTGCTAAGTCATCATCTGGGCCCTTCTGGCCTCTCTCAATACCCCCTTCCACCGTGCCAGTGGCCCCGGCCCTGCCCACCACGCCCACGATCCTGTCCACCATAGGCGCGATGCTGCCCACCGCGGCCATAGTGGCGGTCTCTGCTGCGAGGACGGTCCCGGCTACGATCGCGCGGTCGGCTACGATCCCAGTCTCTGCCATGGTCCCAGCCTCTGCCACGGTCCCATCCCCTGCCACGATCCGCTCCTCTGCCTTGGTTCCACCCTCCGCCACGGTCCATCTGCTGCTGACGTGGACGAGAGAGACGCATCATCTTCACCGGCCCCAGATCACGGTATCCCGTTGTAGACTCGGAGAACTTGCGCTTTAGATCTTTGTGCTTGTCGATCCGGTCCAGTGCGAAGCCCCAGTAGTTGCGCGTCGGACGCTCCGGGTCTTTCCAGATGATGTTGCCTGCTGCGTCGACGTCTTGCACTTCTGCGGCGTCGGTGTATTTGTTGCGGCAGCGGACCATTTCTGTGTAGAGGGCCTCGACATCTTTCTTCAGTTCCGCATCCGCTTCTTTCCCTGCGAGACTGTATTAGTACATGATGTTGGGGGGCGGGATGAACTCGACATACCTCCGTTGCGAAGCTTGAAGCCGCCCGGAGGTAACGCCCTCGCCTGCAGTGGATGGCCTCGCGTGCGCGCCAGGTAAAGACCGTTGGCAGCCGGGAGTTGATGCCATGGTGCACTTGGATAGTTGATCACCCCATGCCGCTCTGGCAGGATCCAGGAAGGAGTCGCATTCTCAGGCGCCAACGCAGCCGCTTCCAGCTTCTCAAGAAGCTCTTCCCAGGTGGAGCCCGCTGCAAGTTTCACGTCGTTTCGGATCTGTTCCACTTCCTCTTTGGTGCAGAAGCCTTGAGCCCAATGAGAGACGACGTCAGAGACGCTGGAATGGGTCTTGGACGTGCGGCCGGTGTCTGCACAAGCGGCCAGCTCCGCGAGAGTCGCCGCGGCCTGTTGGAGCTTCGAAAAAGACGGATAGTTCGATTCACTATGAAGGTAGGCATGGCCTAGAGCGTTGTGCACGATGTAGAGCAGATGGAGGCGTTTGTACGCCGGCTGAGGGGGCTGCTGCACCTTGCCTTTGAGGATTTTGCCCAACCCCTCGTTGTCGTCCTTTGGCTTGGTGGTATCCACGCGCTTGCTGAGATCGCGGGGAATGAAGGATTTGCTGAGGGTCAAGACATACTTCACCAGGGCCGCAGTGCGGGTGGGTGAGGGCTGAATGAACTTTTTGATGAAAGACTGGAGCAGCTGTGACGGGGGTTCAGAGTAAGTGAAATGTGTTCGTAGGAAGCAAAGTAGAAGAGCATCAAATCCGAACAAACCTTCATGTTGTCGTTGGTGCAGATGTTGCAGGTCTTGAGGAGGGTTTTGGCGAAGACGGTGACATCGTCGCGCGAAACGGCAGCCATGTCGCCTTCACCCTTCATCATGGCGGCGGTGAAGACTGCACGGGCAATGCTCACGTCTGGAGGTTGAGCCATGCCGCTGGCGGGCTCGCCAGTGAGGCGAGGGCGCAGGTCGTTCCGATGGACTGCCAGATGTGAGCTCTTGTTGATCGAAGCAGTGAAGCCGAGAAGGCGGAAGACCATCCACGACAAGGCGGAAGCACGCACGGTTGGCGAGAGCTCTGCTTAGTGATTAATCAGCTACGTCAAGCTGGCAGGTGCGTACGCGGTACGTATGTGATGCGTAGCTTGCTTCGACCTCATCTTTTGTTCCTGATCATATCACACTCGGCCAATTCGCAATAAATCTGCTTGCTTGCTGGTCAGACTGCTCAAAGAATCAGCATACCCCCCATGGCTTTGTTCGTAGCACAATAAATTCCGGTGCATACCACGCCCCCCCTCCACTCCACGCCAACTCTCCACCTGTCCCGTCAAAACACCTGCTCGAAATGCGGCGATGGGGGCATCGGATAGCAAGCTAGCGTTCAAGGAGGACATCTTCCGCCTCGCGGGAGAGGAGGCGATCGCCATAGACAGTTCCTGGTGGTTGCGCGTAAGCATCGTCTCCATCAGCATTCCACGAATTCCCCACAGCATATGAGACTCACCCGTACGCCTTGCAAATAGTTCATCCAGCTGCCCGAGACTGCCGAAGATGTCCAGACCCTCTGGTCGCCCAACGATCTCCGCGACCTGACCCTCAACACGCCCTCCGAAAGGCCCTCCTCCCACACCCAGACCGCTCCAAAGAAGAACGCGGAGACGCTGATCTACCGCACCGTCAGCCGCCTGCACGCCCTGCAGACCAAGAGAGTCTTCGACGACCCTCTCACGCCGATCGCCCCAGAAGTGCTGAATTGCGTGCGCATCCTCACCCGCCTGCTCCCTTATATCTACGAAGCAGACTACCTCTCGGACTGGGAAGATCAGTTCTTCTGGCAGCCGCGTAGGCCAGTGTCCTACCCCGACCCCAAGAGCGACAGTCGGCGGATATACGTTGATGGACTGAGCGGCGCGGCCGTGCCGGAGGAGAAGAAGAACAGCAATCTTGGTCCCCCGCTCGGAGAGCAGCTGATAGACATCTTGACAAAATACCTCTTCTTCCCGGGGATTTGTTTGCCGGCGAAGAAGGATGCAAATGGCGTGCCGGAGCTCAAGCCGATATACACGGTCTGGCAGAGTGGCATTGGGGCTCAGAGGGGTGCTGCGATGACCAAGGACAATGAGAAGAATGCAGTTGAAGTGCTGCGGCTGCTGTTGGTGCTGGCGGGGAGGTCCTTGTATTTTGCTCCAGGTATGTGCGCCGGATGCTTGCAATACAAGCATTTGCTGACAGTACACAGGTGTTGTGGCGGAGAAAGACATCAAGCCGCTCACATATTTGGCGACACAAGCTGATCGAGCGGTGGTGCTCAACACCATCTGCTCGTTGTTGAACACGGTATGTGATCTTATTTCGATGATCAGAAAACAACAACAAAAGCAATTGGCGATGTTGCATCTAGCAAGCCTGTATCTTCATATACTGGACCAAGGTCCTTCCACGATACAGGCCTGATCTTATCGAGGTTAGTCTGGAGCTGACGTAGCTTGCATCTAGGCCCTTAAGTACAACCAGAACCCCTGGTCATTCCCCATCGACCTCGGGGCGGCAACCAAAGACTCGAAGCAGCCGCTGGTCACCTGCTGTCTTCAGTTCTTGCTTGTCCTTATCACGTACCCGGTTCCGGGTAATGGGGCGAACGAGTTCCGCAAAGCTCTTGGTCGACTGCACCGGGCCGAGGACTTCCAGTTCATTGTCGAGGGATTGAGGCAAATCCTCATGCAGCCGGTACGTCTAATTAGTCCTGCCAGACCTGTGCTAAGACAGCATGCTGACTCCCCCTTGCATAGACAACAGGTATGCTCCGTCTCACCACAACAGCACCACCCATCATTCCCGAGACACTAGCGCTGTTCTGGGAGCTGCTGCAATGCAACAAGCGCTTCCGCAGCTATCTGATCGACACCGAGCGCGCTCGAGACTTCATCGTCCTGGTCCTCTTCTACGCCATCGACGGCAAGGACGATCCGGCCAAGCAGAGTGTTGTGCGGACGTGCGTCTTCATCCTGCAGACGTTGAGTGTGGAGGAGAAGTTTGGGCCGAAGCTCAACGCTCTGTTCACGGCGCAGGACACGCTGCCGAGTGTCTTGCAGATTCCCAATTTCCACGGTAGCTATGCCGATTTCCTGATAGGGGTATGTGTAGTCCAGCTTCCAAGCACGTTGTACGGTACTGATCAAGGCCTCATAGCACATTCACGCGCTCCTCACCAGTAGCAATCGTGGCCTCGAATCTCTGCATCCGGCTTTGCTCGCGGTCATCAACAACATTGCGCCTTATGTGCAGGGCTTGCAGCGGGCTACGAGCACGATGCTGATGCATGTCTTTGTATCGTTTTCGCAGCCGGCGTTCTTGTTGGCCAATGAGTCGAATCATCTTTTGCTGTTTTCGCTGCTGGACGCGATGAACGCGATTCTGGAGCATCAGTACGACGGTACGTAACTGGTGGATGTGAATGTAGTCACGCGTCGTGGCGTTGTGTCGCGACTGAGCACCCCTGAGTGGAGATGCGGTGGCGAAAGCAGGCTGACGTGAATGAACAGAGAACCGCCGCTTCGTGGACGCAGTCGTGAAGGGCCGCAAACGGTTCGAGGCGCTGCGAGACTTCACCGTGGAGGGAGCAGAGGCCGAGATCGACCGTATGACGCGGGAACGCAAGGATATCGGGGAGTCTGCAGCCGGCCGAGCAACATCTCACGAAAGCGCTCGGGACGCCACATCACCCCGGACCACGTCGCTGGACATGGTGCCGGAGGACTCTGCATTTGCGATAGGAGACGAAGACGATGAAGATGACGAAGGTGACGGCGAGTCCAATCTGCCCAGCCACGACACGTCGACGCGAGCGAGCATGTCGAACGATGCGTTGGAGGACGCGTTGCCGCTGCAGTCGCGCAGTATGAGTGAGAAAGCACGGGGCAAGCAACCCGTGGGCCTCGCCAACTTCTCCCGCTCCACCTCACGCAACACCTCCCACACCAGCCTGGCTTCACTCATTCGCCTGCAAACCCGACAGTCACTCCAACCATTCACTCCTGATTACCAGTGGGTAAGTGACAGAAGCCATCCCTGAGCCGTGTGTTGGACGAAGAACTCGCTACTGACATGAACCCCCTTTCCAGCTCCATACCTGGTCACCGCACCTCCCCCTTCACACCATCCTTCAGCTCCTCGAAGAAGAAGAAGATGGCGGCCGGGCTCGTCCCAGCAAAACTCCTGCGGCCGGCAACGCCGTCTCCTCCACCCTGCCCGCCGCCCCCTCCCAACACGCCGGCATGAGAAGCAGCGGAACAGCGCCCGCACTCGAAGGTAAGCCCGCCCCCGACCTCACTCCCACCCCCTTGCCCACCCCTCACCTTCCCAGTGCGTAAACTAACGCCTCTCGCCGCTACAGTCAAAGTCCAAACGTTCCGATGGACGAGCGCGGCGCTGGGATGGTACCTTTCGCTGCTCTGGGGCCGCGTTTACGCCGCCGACACGGCGAGAATCTGGGCGGGCACGAATGTGCGGCTGTTCAACGTCGTGGCGCAGCAGAGCCGGATCAGCCTGAGCAGCCCGAAGGGCGCGGTGGATGCGGTGGGCGACACGATTGCGCGGAGGATTGGCGGGCTGTCGCTCCGTAGCCCCCTGACCTCGAGAGAGGTGTGAATCCCTTTGGCTGCTTGCGCGGCGCGTCTCCTGCTCTACATTTCTTTTTGTGTGAGGTGGCAGCAGGTGAGTGGTTTGGGAGGGTTCGTTTGTGAATGCTTCATTGGGATGTGGTTCTTCCGGCGAGTCTGGGTCTTCTCTCAAGCCGCCGCCGACTTCTCTACAAACACCCACTCTCTCGCTTCTTCTATTTCCTTGACCAGAGCGCTCCAATCCCCAGCAAAGCGCGGGATATGCTCGGTGGCATACCATTGGTTTATCGATTTAGCAGGGAACTCACCCCTCCAGGCCTCGAAGTCCTTCCTCGCCACTCCAGCACCCCAAGTCTCCTCCGCCCGCCGAGCATCAACAGTACGAAATCTCTCCTTCAGAGTGCCAAACTCCTTCTTCTTCACCACCTCTCTCCCCTCGCTGCCCTCCACCACTTCCACAACGGCATACATGGTGTCATACCAGTCGCTCCCCCGGCGCTGCGCATACCGATGAACGCACCCGCCGCTAAACACGCCTGTCATGTCGGGGGAATACAGCGACAAAATCTCCGTCCACGCGCGCGGCTTCTCCGGCGTCGGCGTGCCAAAAGCGCCGAGCAGCATCGGAGCAGGCAGCCCAGCGAGCCGGTCAATCATATTCTTCCACCCGCTGACGGAGAAGCTCGAGCGCGCTCCCATCCAACCCCAGCTGTCGAGGGCGAGGAAGTCGGCGCGCGTCTCTGCCGGCCCCGCGAGAAAATAGGTCTGCGATAAGAGGGCGAGGGATAGGTTGTCGGAGAGGCTGACGCCTACGGGGATGCGGCGCGGGCTGGGCTGCAGGCGGAGGTAGTGTTTTGTGTCGGCGAGTAAGGCGCGGATGACTTCGGCGATTTTGGTGGTGGCGGGCACACGCAGAGCGCTGCCGGAGATGGTGAAAGCGAGGGTGTTGGGGTGGTGGGCGAATTGGCTGGCGAGTCGGAGTGCGCACTCGAGGGTGTGCGTGGGGTAGTGCCGGGCGGTGTTGAAGTTGGGATTGAAGGGCGGGAGGCCGTGGGCTTGGCGGGGAGTGGGCGCGACGATGCCGTCGTCGGCGAGTTTGACGAGGACGTAGATGCCTGCGTCACGGAGCAGGTGCATTGCTTTGCTGTGGTCTTGGGCTGGGCGCAGGTGGGAGACTTGGATGGTGTTCAGGCCGAGCTCGCGGAAGTTTGCAATATCGCGACGCAGGTCGTCGAGGTGCTCGTCGTCGAGCATGTCGCCTGTTAGGTGCTCTGGATGGTCTTCGGGCGAGTAGTAGCAGATTCCTCGGATCATGAATCTCTGGTTGCCTTGGTAGAAATGGTTGCCTCTGGTGTAGATTGGCTCTGTCGCCGGGATGGGTGGCAAGGCTTCGCGGAGTTGCTCCATCTTCTCCATCTTGCAGTTGCTGTAGATGGATGGCAGGTTTCGGGTGCGTGTTAGACGGGTGAAGTGGATTGCATGGTCTACGAATAGAATGGAACTATGTACTTTCTCAGATGACCCGTGTTCAGTTTAGGCAGCAAGGCAGCAATCCGTCGGATGCGCTAGACAGTTGGCTTCTGCTGTTTGGACTTGCATGTAAGGCTCGCTCAATTCATCTGCAGGCATGAAGATGTCAAGTGTGTGGCTACGATCCGAATGCGGACGGAGGGTGTCAAGTGACGTGCGGTGAATCGGCGGTCGAGAAGGCGTCCTTACATGTGTCCTCCTCTATCAGTGGATTCGACCACTTGCACCCTCTTCAAAGGTAATACACTGCCAACAGTATTTGTCACACATCCAGTGATTGTGAACGGAGGACGGGGCTCACTGCATCGTTCATACTAAATACATGTCATTTAGGTCGATGGCTTCGCGTGACGTCGACACGAAGCCGCGTCCTGGTGGTGGGGAAGGTGTCAGGCTAGTGGAGCTCTCTGCACCTCGGCAGCACGGCTACCAACTACCTTCACGACAATCCACTTCGATGCACTCATCTATCGTTACTCGATAGAACCCATTCAACCACCACCAACATGACGCTCTCCCCGCCCCTCAATGGCCTGAAGGTCATGGAATTCGCCGGCCTAGCACCAGGTAAGACAACGAACCCAACGCAACCCCTCCATCATCCACCACCACCCACTAACAAGCCCTCCAGGCCCCTTCGCAGGCATGATGTGCGCAGACTTCGGCGCCACAGTCCTGCGCATCGACCGCGCACAATCCAACACCATAGCCCCCACCCCCGACACTCTCACCCGACGCAAGCACTCCATATGCGTCAACACGAAGCGGCGCGAAGGCGTCGAGCTGCTCAAAGCCATGATCCCCACCATGGACATCCTCATCGAGCCCTTCCGGCCCGGCGTGATGGAGAAGATGGGTCTGGGGCCCGAGGTGCTGATGCGACTGAATCCGCGCTTGATCTACGCGCGCATGACGGGCTTCCGGCGCGACGGGAAGTACGCGAGTATGGCGGGGCATGATATCAATTACATCGCTGTGTCGGGGGCTTTGTCGATGCTGGGGAGGAAGGATGAGACGCCGTATGCTCCGGGGAATATTCTGGGGGATTTTGGTGGTGGAGGACTGGTGTGCTTTTTGGGGATTGTGTTGGCTGTTGCGAGTCGCGAACGCACGGGGTATGGGCAGGTGGTGGAGGCGAATATGGTGGATGGGGCTGCGTATCTCGCTACCATGCCTCGACTTTCACAGAAGGGCCCTTCATGGAGTGCGCCCCGAGGGACAAATTTGTTGGACGGCGGAGCGCCGTTTTACGATACTTATGTCACCAAGGACGGCGGGTACATGGCTGTGGGCGCCCTGGAGCCGCAGTTTTTCGCAGCCTTGTTGAAGGGGCTCGAGATTGACGAAAAGTCGATTGGCGGGAACAGGCTGGACAAAAAGACATGGGAGAAACAAAAGAAGATGTACACGGACAAGTTCAAGTCGAAGACGAGAGCGGAGTGGGAGAAGGTGTTCGACGGCACAGATGCGTGTTGCACCCCCATCCTAACGAATGCGGAACTGGAGAAGGCCGGTTTCGATCATCGGCCAATCGTTCATCTGAACGGCACGCCTGCAATGGCGATCCATGACGGCGATCCCGATGATCGACCGGCGAGACAAGGCCAGGGGTTGGGAATCGAGGGCAGTGGATGGGATGTCAAGGGATTGAAGCCTGGTGACGGTGGCGAGGAGATCCTGGCAATCTGGATGGGGTGGCAGAAGGGTCGGCATTACGTTGAGAAGGATGGAGGGTATGAGCACGTGGAGGCGGGGCTGCGGCCGAAGATATGAAAAGGTAGTGCAGGAGTGTGGTTGGCGATACAGGGTTGCTACAGTTTATTACGAAAAGACACAGACTAACAGATCAATGGCCCACCATCGCCTGCGCCTTCTCACTGTACCGATTGCCATGCGGTTTCGCCGCATCAATAATCCTCCGCATCTCCGCCTTCTCCTCGTCAGACAGGACCACATCCCTCGAAGCCCAGTTCTCCTCGAGTCGCCCCGCCTTCGTCGTGCCAGGAATAGCAATCATATCCTGCGCCGCCACCCACGCGAGCGCAACCTGCGTCAAAGTGCACCCCTTGCGAGAAGCAAGCTTCTTAATCTCCTCGACAATCGCGCGGTTCTTGTAGAAATTCTCGCCCTGGAATTTGGGCACGGTGCGCCGGAAGTCGTCGGGGGCAAAGTCGTCCGGGCTGGCGTAGGGGAAGTCATCGACGAGCCAGCCGTGTCCGAGCGGACTGTAGGCGACGTATGTGACGCCTAGCTCTTTGGCTGTGGTGATTAGGTCGTCGGATTCGTGCAGCGTTTCGAAGGCGGAGTATTCGGCTTGCACGGCGTCGATTTTGGCGACTGCGTTTCGTCAGGGTGGAAAGGCTATGAGCATGGAATATGATGGGACTCACTGGAGTTTGCTTTCCGCAGAGTTTTGGCGGAACATTCAGAGAGGCCAATGTACTTGGTCTTGCCTGCCTTTCTGAGTTCGTCGAGGGCGGGGATGGACTCTTCCAGCGGCGTGTCTACCACAAATCAGCGCTGCATCAGATGGTAGAGATGCTAGGGACGGCACGAACTCGGGTCGATGCGGTGAAGATAGTACAGGTCGGGAGCAAAGCCGAGTCGCTCGATCGTGCCGTCAATGTACGTCTTGATATGTTCGGCAGAATTGGTGACGCTGCCATTCCCAAAGACATCGAATCCGCATTTTGAAGCGACTGTAAGCGTTCGTCAGCGTTGCAGCTCGATAGCACACGTGGTGAGACGACATACTGAACAGCTTGTCGCGAACCTGGTGCTTGCGGATAAAGTCGCCCAGCAGCTTCTCGTTGACGCCCGCTTGATACACGACCGCCGTGTCCCAGAAGGTGCAGCCCAGCTCAATCGCTTTGAGCAGGACGGGCTCGGCTTGTTCGAGGGTCAGGTTGTTTCCCAGGCCGAAGCTGATGCCCATGGCACCAAAGCCGGGACTGGGGACTTGGATGTTGGCGAAGGGCAGTGTATGAACCATGGTTGCGATGTTTGAGGAGGTTGGGGAGTGTTGCTGGTGGTTGGTCGTTGAAGAGCAGAACGTGTCTGAATATATATGTCTGAAGGACGTTATCGGACCGATGTTCTAGCCCGGCGATGGCATTGCTGGGTGGTAGGTAGCAATGGGCTACGTCGATCAATGCCTCAACACAGCGATGTGATGTCGTTTGGTTGCCGGAATTTGCGGGCTTAAGGAACGGACATAGAAGGAGAAGTATGGCAGGTTGGGAGAACAGGTGAAGACACGAGAAACTATCTAGTGAATAGCGCACGAGCGGCATTGAAGTCGGCAGTAGACGGAACTTACCTTATCCTATAATATTCGATACTAGAAGTTATCGTCTTTGATGCTCATCATCTTTGATTCTTCGAGAGTGATAAATGCAGTCACGTGACTGGATAGCCTTATGGCCTGGTCGATAATCTTCTTCCACTACTTTCCCGTCGCTCAATGCTCCCGATTCGGGGTTGCCGCATGTGTATGACTGTCATCGGAACGCGCGATGTGACCGGACTCGATGTCAGCTGGTCAGCCGGCAGCCCAGCCCAGCTGCGTGTAGCCAGCAAAGCAGCCGCATCGCGCCTTCCACCCTTTTCGACTTCATCGGTCCGTTTACTGCAGCAAGGTCGTATCAAGGCGGCATCAAGGTCGCATCAAGGTCGCATCAAGTCGTGCCAGTTTGATAAACCATCAGGCCATCTACTTGGCAGACTTGGGGCGTGAAGCAATGGCACGCGAGCCGCGCAGGGTCTGACGGGGCCGAGGCTGCGCCCAGCTGTCTCCGGCCTCCTGCATGCCGTCTTGCTCCGCAACGACTGGACGACATCATCGCCCTGGGCGTGCGCTAGACCGACAAGCTCCGCCGAGTCCACTTCTCCTCACTTGCTCTCAGCTTTGCCGTAACGATTCCAGCCGCTCTATATTTACATTGAAGGCATGATATAAAAGGCCTTCGTCCGTCACCAACTTCGATCATTCTCCACGGAAGCTGTTCTCCGCGCTTACATCTTTGTCCAACTTCCTTTGCCATCTCTTCGTCACAAGCCCCACAGTATCACCACCCAAACTACTCATCATGCCTCTCGCGGAATCGTGGACCCAATGGGAGCAAATGGCTGGTGGGCGAGCCACTCTGGGTGGCTCGGTCGAGGAGATTCGAGCGCAGTATGATGGGCTAGTGCAGGCTTTGATCCCCATGGTACGACCTGGTCTCATCACCCGGATTGCCAGCATAAGACATCGTTCCGTTGACTCCAAGGCGTAGATGCCACCACTCCCCGAGGGCTCGGATGTCGTTGAAGGCGCAGTGGACGGCGTGAAGTACCGCACTTACACCCCGAAGGAGGGCGATGGACCTTTCCCCGTTATTATTTGTAAGTGGGACCACATCATATCTTTGAATTGCTCATTGACAGTTGGGTATCCAGGGACTCATGGAGGCGGGTACATGCTCGGCAACCTCGATTCCGACGAGTTCCTCTGCCGCGTCATCGCCGAAAACACCAAAACTGCCGTTGTCAATGTTGACTACAGGCTGTCGCCGGAGGCCAAATGGCCCGCTCAGCTCGACGATTCGGTCAAAGTGTACAAATGGGTAGGTCCCGTCACGCTCAACTCACATACGGTAACGCTCACCTCTCGCCCAGGCCGTCGAGAACGCAGCCAAATTCAAAGGCGATCCAAAGAAGGTCTTCACAGGCGGCGGTTCCGCAGGCGGCGGTCTAGCCCTGCAAGTTGCCAACCAAGTCCTGCGCGATTCAAGCCTGAAACCCACCCTCAAGGGCATCATCGCCCTGGTGCCCGTCACCACGCACTACGACAACGTGCCCGCCAAGTACGCCGGCGACTACAAGTCGTACGAAGAAAACGGCAACGGCGCGCCCGTCATCGACAAAACGAGCATGGAAATCTTCTTCCGCGAAACCGGCACCGATCCCAAGGATGCGTCGGCCTTCACCATCCTCGCGACGGACAAGCACGCCGACTTCCCGCCCGTGTACTTTGCTTCGTGCGAGTTTGATCCGCTGCGCGACGATTCGAAGGTGATGGAGAAGGCGCTGCAGGAGGCGGGCGTCAAGACTAAGCATGATTATTGGCCGGGTTTCCCCCATTACTTTTGGATCTTCCCGCCTATCCCCGAGGGGCAACGTGAGTTGTTTCATTCCGTTTGCGGGTGAGAAAACACTGGCTGACTCTGCTTTAGAATTTGTGGGTAAGATGCTGGCGGGGATTGAATGGCTCAAGAGCCAGGCCTGAATTTCTCCTGAGGCGCGGCTATAAAACCAGGCACAGTGCAATTGTCCCGCCGCCGAGACATCAAAACGTATATACCGCATGATAGCTCCATCCATCTATACATATGAACCATCCCACACGGCCCCCTCTCAAACGAACGCACTCTCACGCTCTTTCGAAAGTGAAAAACGTGTCGTAGACTCAAGTCTGTCTTGGGACAAACGTAGACATGTTTACGTGAGTGACACGTCTGAACTGAAAGACACAGCCTTGTCTGAGACTTCGCCCAAGCATGTCTCATAGACCTGAATTTCCAAGGCTCTTCCCGAATCATAACATATACAAGAACCGCCTCCAAGCCTTTCTTTCTGTGCTATCACTCCATCGAATATCGACAAATCAACAGCCTCTATTGACCTGCCGAGGACATTACAACATCAAGCCATCCTCCGTACGATCCGCATTAGCCCCAACACCACCATGCCCTACACCCAGCTTCCCATCAGCACCCCTCTCTTCGCCGAGCTGACCAGGCAATGCATCTGCGTCGGAAAGGACAACAAACAGTGCACCCGAGTGCGCGAGAGCGACTTTCGGAAAAAAGAAAGCGAGGCGACCAAGCAGCACCGCGAAGGGCTCGTTCGCTCCTTGGTCCGCCATTATGCGTATTTAACCGAAGACGAGCGAGAGGGTTACGCAGAGGAACTCGCCATGCTGAGTGTGTGTCGGGGTTGTCGAAGTGATGGAAACATTGAGGTCGTAAAGACGGAGATCCTGAGGCAACGTGCGGAAGAGGAGGGACAAAACGCCAGCAGTGCCGAGAGCGTTGATGTGAAAATGAGTGATGGCGAAGCCACCCTTCCCGCCTTGCGCCCGTTGCGCAAGAGTGTTCCGCACCACCACACTGCGCCGATCCAACCACGGATGTTATCGACTACGACACCGCTGCTGGATGCGTTCCAATCGCTCAGGCTACAAAGCTCTGAGCCACCCGCAGATCGGCACGAAAGAACAGGCTGTGGAAAGACCACGCCTCTCGCAGCTCCTACTCGTATAGCTCCGACGCACAGACGGAGGTCCTCGAGAACAAGAATGGAGTCGCGAAAGGCCAAAGCAGCGCCCCAGCACCGACATGAGGGTTCACCGATGAGCCGACCTTCTCGTCAGCAAACCAAGCGCAGCCGCAACAATGCTCATACGGCGTCCGAGCATCGAATCCAGAAGACGAACGCGCCAATGCCCAAGTCGAAACGCCAACAGCACACAAGCGACTCGTCCCTCAAGTTTGTAAAAAGCATTCTCAAATGCTTTGGCAACGTGGCGTTAGAGTCTCTCACGATCTCTCGATCGGAAGATTCCAGTCAATATCGTATAGAAGCTCAGTGCTTCCATCGCAGCCACGACAATGCAGACCAGCCGTCATACGATTCGCGCAGTTTCGAAGAGCGCCGGAGGCTGCCAGGATCTCTGGCCACGGAGCGAGTGTGGTCACACCGTGATGAGACGCAATTCTAGGGTAGCCAAAGTGGGAGGATTGATTGCATGGGTTGTCGTCTTTCTTCTGGGATTGGCGTGCTCCTGATCTTTGTGGACGGCAGGATGGGTTTTGGAAGGATAGGCGATATGTCGAGGTTGTTCAAGACGATCGTGTTGGCTGCTCAAATGCGCGCTGGGGTTGTTTGGAGGTTTGATCCCGCATTGAGAAGGCCTGTCTTGTACGCGATAGATATGTCCATGAAATAGATTGTTTGGCAATCTTCCACATGGCCTTCATCCAGATTGCAAGGTCTTCGCACCATCCTGTTCGGCGTCGAGAAGGACATGCAGCCTGACAACAGCAAGAGTGGCATCCTGGTCTTTGGCGGCTTTGGCCTGTCTCAGCAACGTGGCCAAGCTGGAGAGAAGAGTGCGATGGACATGTTCGATTCGGGATTGCTGTGCCTGGAGAAAAGGGTGTTCAGGACCAAGTCGAGTAACCAGCTTATTGAGCAGGACAAATTGCTCCGTCTGTGCCTTTGACTTTCTGATGGGAAAAGCCTCGACTTCAGCATCCTCCTCTTCGTCGTCACTGTCAGAAGCGAGGGACTCAGCATCTTGAGCAGCGTTCTTGATACCAAGACTACCCTCCAGCTCTTCCAGTCGTCTCTCAACCTCCAACAGTCCTCTACCGACCATGATATCCCTTCGAACCTCCTTTCTCTCTCCCAACAGCTGTCCAACCTGCTCCGCCCTCTCCGCAACAACCTTCCTGATCCCCTCAATCTCCCTCTCAAACCCAAGCAAGCCAACTCTCACGCCCTCCACCTTCTCTTCTCCGCCTTTCAGATCTGCGCCAAGGCTCAGAAACTCTTCATAATTGTTGTTCACCAGATCGAGAAGCTCTTGATTGAGCAGTTGACTTCGCTGGCGGAGGTCGGAGCGGAGGTCTTCGAGCGTCTGATGTCGATTGCGCAGGGTGGAGAGGTATGTCTGGGAGTCGAAGTCGTCGGCTAGGAAGTCGTTGCGGGAGAGTTCGCCGGGGTAGGGGAGGTTGTCTTCATTGTCGGAGTCGCTGGGGGAGGAGCGGGCGTGGGAGGTGGGGGAATGAGGTGTGTCTGTGGCGGTATCGAGGTGGAGGGTGGCCATTGTGTCGATCTCCTCCCGCCTTGTCAGCGATGGGTGATTGAGTGGAAGATGAGGCTGCGTGGAAGTTGAAAGTCGCGGTCGATGTTTTGCATGACTCGGACAGAGCCTCACCCAGCACCGTCCTGACTCGCAGACGAATGATAAAGCCGCGGTGTCTCGTTAATCCCGAGGAGGCGACCCCTCCATTCATCATCCGCTGAGGCGAAAGTGTTTCTTCCAATGCGTAAGATCGGTCGTACATCTCCACCGACTTTATTGAAATCTCATTGCATCTTATCTTCCTAGATATCATCATCAACCCATCGATGCGCTAAGCTCCACCACACCACACCACACTCCTTCCATCAAGGTCGCAATGCCTGAACAACCCGCCAACCCCGAGCCGGCCCATCACAACATCGACTCGATGCTCTCGCGCAAGTTTGGCAAAGAAGTGGCCAACTACTTCTCCGGCAACCCACTCAATCGCGTCGGCTTCCTGCGAGAAAAGCACGACTTCCTCGACCAGGCCCTCAAACACCCCTCCACCTCTTTCTTGCCCTGCAACAACTTGCAACCCCTTGTCAAGACGGGGTACAAGACGGGCGACTACTTGCAATTCGTCAAGTATGACGAGATAAAACCCATCATTGGCGATGGGCCCTACGACTTGACCGAGAAGGAGGTGCTGGCGCGGTATAACAGCGAGCAGTACATTCCGCAGATGATCTTCCTCGGCATCGATGAGAAGGACAAGCAGGGCCTTACGTACCAAGGCAAGAACGAGTACACCGGCGCACCCTACTTCGCCATCGACGTCACTCCCAAGGCAGGAGTTAAGGATGCCTGCGAGAAGCTGATCAAAAGCCTCGAAGAGCGCGGGCTTACCTTCGCCCCAGGCCGCGTGATGGAAATCGACGCAACACACGGTAAGAGCACTCAACCTCATCGATTCAAACACTCCTATAGTATGCTAACCCCTCGCCAGCCGCCCTGTACGCCGAAGCGCGCATGCTGCTCGACTGGAACCAGCGCAACCCCTACTGCGGCGCCTGCGGCAACACCACCATGTCCGTCAACGGCGGCTTCAAGCGCGCCTGCCCGCCCAAAGACCTCGCCAAGGAGGCCAGCCAGCAGGACCGCCCGCCGTGCGTGACGAGGAACCGCATCAGCAACCTCAGCTTCCCCCGCACCGACCCCACCGTCATCATGGCCATTGTCAACTCCTCCAACACCAAAATCCTCCTCGGCAGGCAGAAGGTGTGGCCGCCGTACTGGTACTCCACTCTCGCTGGCTTCGCCGAGCCCGCTGAGAGCATTGAAGAGGCGGTGCGCCGCGAAGTCTACGAGGAGGCTGGCGTGCACGTTGGCCGAGTGGTGATTCACAGCACGCAGCCCTGGCCGTATCCCGCGAACCTCATGATTGGCGCCATCGGCCAAGCGATCCCAGAGGGCGAGACGATTGATCTCGGCAACGACCCCGAGCTGGACGATGCGAAGTGGGTGGACTTTGAAGAGCTGAAGTTCTCCTTGAAGGTGGGCACCAGTGGGCTGAGTGAAGACCCGGGCCCGGATTACAAGGAGGGCGGGCTGCGCTTGCCGCCAAGCACGGCCATTGCGCATCAATTGATGCAGGCTGCTGCGAATGGCTTCGTGACTGAGGGCGCGAAATTATAAATGAGCGAGATTTAGAAAAGTGGGTAGAGATGATGTATAGATGTCTCGATGCGGTGGATATATGATGATGTACAGGGAGAGCTGGTCTCATGGCTCTCGCTGATCTCCGAGACTGTCACTTCTACCTCCTACATAGTGCTCAGGTCCTTGGTCGGCGGACTCGCCGGACCCCTCAACTCCCCATTCAAGCTCAGCCCGGGCCCATGCGTACTGCTCAACACCACCTCATGAATATCCTTCGAAATCCGATCCGACAACACCCCAATATCCTTCTTCAACCCCTCGATAAACACGCGAATATTACTCTGCATCTCCTCGGGCGTGAAGCCCAACTGCCCAATCGCCATGCGCACCACCCCCATGCGCTCGCGGTACTCGCTCCCGCCCGCCAGTCCCCTCACCGCACTCCCCACATCCTTCACCACCGTCCCCAGCTTAGCACTAGGCATCAGCCCCCTGGGTCCCAAGATCCTCGCAACCCCCGACTTCCCTAGTTTCGCCAGACTATCCTGCTGGCAAATGCAGCGCTCAAACTCGATGCGGCCCGCTTTCACCGCGTCGAAAATCTCCTCTTCGCCTACCAGGTGGGCGCCTGCGGCTTTGGCTGCGCGCGCGTGCGCGGAGTCCGAGGGGCAGATGACGGCGATGCGTAGGTCGGTGTGTACTGGGTGCGGGAGGAGGAGGCGGTTGCGTACCACGGCGCCGTTTTTCGCTGTGCGCAGGCGGATGTGCAGGTCGTATTTGGCGCTGTTGGGCGGGCGGCCGACTTCGGCTGCGCGGAGGTATCTACCATGTGGATCAGGATTGGGTGTAGATAGATGGGGGGAAGGGGTGATGTACCTCATTGCATCTACCAGACTGAACTGTGTCACCCTCCTCAGATCAGGCTGGAGGAAGTGCGAGCGCGTTTTCCGCTTCTTTTTCGTGGTTTTTGTTGAGCCTTTCGAGGAGTCCTTTTTGCTGCGGGATTTGTTGGCATTGGAAGATTGGGCTGCTGTTCTCGCTTGTTGGAGGAAAGGAGAGGCTAGGTTTGCGCGAAAGGCGAAGGGTGTGATTATGCGGGTGGGGAGGGAGAGGAGGCATGATGGACAGTATCGTGATGAGAACGCCATTGCTGCGGGGGATTTGTGAGGCTGGCAAGAGGTAGTGTGATGGAGAAGAGGGAAGCTTGATGTTGTCCGGAAAAGATGTCGAGGTCAAGGAGCGAGTGCCGAGATTTCGCCGGACGATGACCGAAAGCCTTCTCCATTCAGCTTCCCACTACAGTATATGACCTTTTTGATGTGCAGAAACATCGTTCATTATACCTCTCACGGCACACCTAGGTAGTCGCAATGCTAGCGTAATAGTATCAAGAATGGACCATCCCATTCGCCAACGATTATGCCAGTCCTCACACCTTCTTCCCCGTCGGAATCTGAAACGCCCTCACACTCTCGCCATGCTTGAACGCACGATCGATGCGGAAATACCCCTTTCGATCAAATTGCACCACATCACCCTCCTTCAACCCCGCCACATTGCAGTCCGCCACGCACTCCGTCTTGAACTCCGTCTCCGGCGTCAGCACCTCCTCCAACTGATCATCCTCGCCCAGCTTATCCTTGTTGATCAAGAAATCAAAGTCGTACAACGTGACCGGCACAAGCTCCTGATCCGTCGAAAGCCACGTGATCTTCTTGGAAGTAGCCTTCACATCGCCCTGCAGATGCAGCTCCAGCTCCAACTCGGTGACGATCTTGTTCTCAGAGGACTTGAGCAGGTTCAAGGGGTTGAGGGAGTACGACTTCTTGCGCACAATCGCATTGCCCCAGTTCATGAGCGTAATCTCCTCGTCTTCGCCGAACGATTGCGCATCCGCTTGGTCGAGGATGATGTTCTTGCTGTACACCACCTTCTTCTTCCCGACGTCTGCATTCTTCGCGTGCAGCTCCTTCTCCTCGGTGCGCGGGGCCTCGGGCGCGCCGAAAACGGTGCAGGTGACTTTGTGGTCTCCTTCCACGGCTGTGTAGCGCGGGGCAATGGGGTCGATGAACTTCTTGTTCGTGGCCCAGAAGTTCGTCCAGTCCATGAGATTGATGTTCTTGCTTGGGCCTTGCTTGAGGATGAACTCCTGCAGAGCGGGAATTGTCATGCCGCGTCGTGCGATGCCGCGGACGGTCGCCATGCGCGGGTCGTCCCAGCCCCAGACACGGCCGGTGTCGACGAGTTTGGTGAGTTTCCGCTTGGACAGCAGGGTACGCACGAAGTTCATGCGGGAGAAGTTCCAATTGTGCACGGGGCGGAGGTTGAGGGCTGTAATGAACCACTGGTACTGGGCGTCGCGGTCATTGTACTCGGTTGTCCTGAGGGCGTGGGTGACGCCTTCGACGGAGTCGACGATGGGGCAGGCGAAGTCGTAGGTGGGGTAGATGTTCCACTTGCTTCCGGTGCGGTGGTGTGGTTGCGGGTTGCAGCGGTAGATGACGGGGTCGCGCATGGCGCCGTTGTTGCTGCTCATGTCGATCTTGGCGCGGATGAACCATTTCGTGCCCTCCTGGCTGCCCTTCTTCATCTCCTCGAAATGGGCTAGGCTGTCCTCCGCGGAGTCGTTGCGGTGCGAGCTCTCGATCCTCTTCTCGCGCTCTGTTCGTAGTTGCTCTTGAGGAGTGTCGTCGGCGTAGGCCTTGCCGTCTTTGATCATCTTAATGCAAAGCTCATACAGCTCCTGGAAGTAGTCGCTCGTGTAAGTGACTTGATCGTATTTGACGCCCAAGAGATGACAGTCCTCGAGGATAGCATCCTGATACTCCTGCTTCTCCTTGGTAGGGTTGGTGTCGTCGAAGCGGACAATCATCTTGCCATTGTACTTCTCATGCGCAAAGTAGTAATTCAGATACGCCGCCTTGGCGTGTCCGATGTGCAGATAACCGGACGGCTCGGGAGGGAACCTGGTCACAACGCCCTTCTCAACATCTGGAAGACCAATGTCATAGCTCGCACCCGCGTCTTTGGCCACCGGGGTCCGCACGGGAAGTTCAACAGCAGGATGGGCGCTCTCCGAGATGAAGTTGAACCATCTCGCCACGTTGATCATCCGGCCGCTTTTGATGAAGGCAGAGTTGGCGACATTGTTGGCCTTGAGAGTCGTCCAGACAGTCGTGTCCGCGTCGGTCAATTGGTAGCCGACAATGTACGAGCGCAGGGTGAGATGAGCATCCAGTTCAGCCAAAGGGCCCTCGACCTGTTTGGGATTTGTGGCCTTCAGCGCCTCGGCGCGTTTCTTCCATTCGGCGATTTGGGCATCCATAATTCTTAGCAGCTCAGCAAATTGTAATCTCGAGTTACAAGAAGTTTTATTTGAATGAGTCGTTCACTCACGAGTCCAGTCACAGGGAGGCTCATAAAAATTGGCTGAAGATTGCAAGGCTTGGTCTTGGCATTCGGTAAACCTTCCTGTTCAGGCTCGTTACTCTAAATCCTCTCGCGCCTGAACTTTTGAACTGCACCTTTGACGACACCAAGATTCCTTTCTCCATACCGTCGAGGAAGCGAGATCGAGATGGCGCTCTCCGGTGCCAGACCCTCGATCGCCAACGCTCTACCGAAACCGAAATACAGCGGCGAAGAGGAGGAGCTGCCAGCACACACTCAACAAAAAGGCCCCCGCGTGATCGATTCCCGCGACCTCGAATCTTCTCAGCTGGTCGTCAAGCGATCCGGGCCACCTCCCTATGGCCAACGATCAGGATGGAGGCCGCGAGGAGCAGAGGACTTTGGAGATGGCGGCGCTTTCCCGGAGATCCCCGTGGCTCAGTACCCGCTAGATTTGGGCCGGAAAGGCGCATCTGCTTCCTCTAATGCACTGGCGATACAAGTGGACGGGGATGGCATGGTCAAGTACGACGCCATTGCACGGAGAGGCCACAGTGATAGCCGCGTCATCCACGCCAGCTTCAAAGATCTCATCCCCCTTCGGCAACGCGCAGATGTGGGTGAACTCAGCTTGGACAAACCCACGGAAGAAGAGGAGCAAGAGACCAAAGAGCGTACGCAAAAGGCGCTACAAGCCCTCGTCAGCGGGACTTTGGCCGCGCAAAAGCCGAAGAATGTCAAGGGCACGACTCGACCGGAGCCTACTTTTGTACGCTACACGCCAGCGAATCAGATGGGGGATACGAGCAAGAAGCAAGACCGGATTATGAAGATTGTACAACGACAGCAAGATCCTATGGAGCCGCCGAAACACAAGATCAAGAAGATCCCGAGAGGCCCACCATCACCGCCTCCGCCCGTCATGCACTCTCCCCCTCGCAAATTGACCGCAGAGGACCAAGAAGCGTGGAGGATCCCTCCGCCAATTTCGAACTGGAAAAATCCCAAGGGTTACACTGTTCCTCTTGATAAGCGGTTGGCTGCGGATGGAAGAGGACTACAAGATGTTACCATCAATGACAAGTTTGCGCAATTCTCGGAAGCCCTGCATGTCGCCGATCGTCACGCCAGAGAAGAGGTGTCACAGAGACAGCGCATGCAACAGCGGTTGGCAGAGAAGGAGAAGGAAGAGAAAGAAGAATCTCTTCGCTTGATGGCGCAAAAAGCAAGAGAGCAACGAGAAGCAGACCGCCAGCCTCGACAAGACTCTCGCTCTCGCAGTCGCTCCCGCGATAGTCGGAGCTCCTACTCTTCCGGCTCCCGTTCACGCAGCTCCAGTCCCGATGACCGCAAGCGTGATCGATCTTCGGATGCAGACAGAACGGAGCGACAACAAGCGCGTGCCGACCGGCGTCGCGAAGCGCAGCGCGAAATGAGGCAGAAGAACATGGGCCATGAACGCCGCTTGCAGATGATGGCGCGCGATCAAAATCGAGACATCTCGGAAAAGGTGGCTCTCGGTCTGGCCAAGCCGACGCAGAACAAAGAAGCCATGTACGACTCGCGACTGTTCAATCAATCCTCGGGCTTTGCGGCAGGCTTCAACGAAGATCAAGCTTACGACAAGCCGCTCTTCGCGGACAGAGATGCGCTGAACAGCATCTACCGGCCGGGCGTTGGGGACGACGATGAGGATGATGGAGGCGAGACGATGGAGAAGATCCAGAGTACGAAGCGATTTGAGACGTTGGGGCGAGCGCCGAAAGAAGGCTTCAAGGGGACGGAGGCGACGGAGGGGAGAAGTGGGCCGGTGATGTTTGAGAGGGACCGAGGAGGCGGTGCGCCCGCTGCTGCTGGCAGTGGAGGCGGAGAGGATCCGTTTGGTGTAGATGCGATGATTCAGGAGGCTGCGAAGGGGGCGAACAAGGGAAAGAGAGCTTCGCGTGGAGATGAAGAGGATGAAGATCGGGGAGGGAGTAGAGGGAAGAGGGCTAGAGTTGACGATGATGAATGAGGTTGGCGTCAGAATTCGGAACCCTTCAGAGACATCAACACGACATTCAAACAATGCGAGCGAGTATCTACGAACCTGCCCTCGAGAGCCATCTGCGATTCCCCAAACAAGGAGATCTTAGGTCAAGTATTCACAGGTGTCTTCCCGCCATCCCTCTATGACATCGCCCGTTTCACAAACCTCACTTCCCGACTTGCTGCGTTTGTCACCCTAGCTTCACAGACATCATTCACAGAAGTCTCTCCAACACAAGTCCACAGTTAAGGATGAAACCTTCAACAATGGACTCGCTCAATCCCATCGACCATCCTGCCTTCTCGCCCTCGTGGCCTTCCACTGCGACAACCGCTCCCATCACCGCGAGCCGCGTCGCCGATGAAACGAGCGTGACTGGTGCAAGCTCACTGCTCAAACACTCTCAACACGACATCACTACCCTCACTCAGGGTGTTCAACCAACGAACGAAATGTCGACGAATGTCTTCACCACCCCGGCGTCCTCTCCCACCTCAACCGCAACAACAGCCCCCACACACGACCAACACGCGAAGTTGAAACTCGGCGCCGACCTTCCTCAACTACCCGGCTGGATCGCAGGCATGCTCACAGGCATCTTCTCCTTCCTGTTCGTCGTGGCGTTCATGCTGCTCCTCGCGCAAATCTGGCCGAGCTTCGACTTCTTCGGCAGAGCGAACAGGCGCCGCTACAGAACGGGTGAATACGCGAGGATTGAGCGGGAGGAGGACAGTGACGAGGAAAATGAAGGAGGAGGAGACGGGGCAATGAGCTCTACTACTGGCGTCCGCAGGTCTGCTGTCGATGGCGCAGACACGGCGGAGGGCAGGAAGCAGTTGAGGCAGCGCAGACCTACTTTATCTATTGATACGAGCGGCGTGTATTACGGGTTGGGCATTGCTGTGCACGGCGAGAGCAGCGCGGTGAAGACGAAGCACGTTCGAAAGCGAGTGTCGTATGATGCGGACGCGCTTCGCGTGAAGTCGGGAAAGGAGAAGGGAGCGGCTTTCACGGCCCCGCTGCCTGCTACCCGGACCATTGATGAGGCGGGCTGTGGTTCGGCGGTGGCGGTGGAAGTGGAGAGTGGACTTCTGAGCGGCTGTGCCGACGAAGATGGAGAGGGGAGAACCACTTCATCTTCGCGCGCAGTGTCGAGTGCGCCTGCTCACCACTCGGCTGGGATGTCTTCGAAGGGAAGCGCGGTCCTCGAGAAGCTCAATGCGGGTGTCTACTTTGTTGCGGACAGGTTGTCCAGGACTTTCTACGATGCTGTGGAGGAGCCGGAGGAGGGATTGCTGTTGCCGGTGCACAATGAGGAGAGGGAGACGGCGTTGGTGGCGGGAGGGTTTGTCTCGTAGCAAGAGGGGAGTTGAGGCGCGTGAGGGAAACAGGGCTGAGGATGCGTTGCAGCTAAGACTCGTACACGCTCACTCGCGCGAACATGAGACGAGAAGTCGCGTCCAGGAATACTGCGTGTGAGCAAGTATCTTTCGCGAGTCTGATTGATTGAGAGCGAGTACCGATAGGATGAGAAACACAACGTCGTTCCAGCTGCACGTCAGGCCTTGCCATGCGCCACAACAAAAATACCTCGAAAATGACGCGGTCGAGAACACACCAGACACAATCGAGTCTCCAAGCTTTGCATGACACAAATGGCACACCAGCGTAGCCAACATGAGACACACGTGAAGTGAGCGAAGCAGCCATCACGTCCGAATGGAGAAGGAGGGGCGGCAGCGGCAGGCGCGACGCGGCAACGCGCGGGCACGAAATGTTTGGTTCGCGCCGTCACACGTCCCGCGCGCGTCGTGGTCGTGCCGGGCGTGCGTGCGTGCATGCATTAGACCGGCTTCGTTACCTCTCCAACTTCGCCCATTTACCATTCATTCCTCCCTTGCTACGCACGGGTGCGAAGAGTCTGTGCGTGCAGATCGAGGCCGTGGGCAGAGTGAGGGAAGTGGCTCCATTCCTCCGTCTGTCCAACTCTCTTCCTCTCTCTACTGCTTCTTCCTTTTCTCGCGCATTGCTGCACGACGACTGCTGCTATTGCCTCCCTCCTACGCTGCAGTAGAAGCGTGTGCCTTGCTAGACGGTTAACTTCATTCTGAACGAGTCCATCATCGTCTTTGCCCACTTCCGACGCGTCCAAGGCGTGTCAATCGTCGGCAATCATGGCGACTCACGCTCCTTTACCAAGAGTGCCATTTGCTCCCCTCGACAACTCGCGTCTGCAACATCTTGCCAGCGCGAAAAACCGCCAGAATGGTAAGAATTACCAATAAAGACCTCCCAGCATTTTTGCACGGAGTGCTCACCCCACGTCTGCAGGTCATTTGGCGAAGTCAAACCTCGACATCAAAGCAAACGCCGCACCTCCTTCCAAAACCGCCTCAGTCTTCTCTCCCCCCAAACGCTCCTTCGACTCTTCCACCTTCGACGACTTTGACGGCGAGAACGTCGACCCTGCCTCGCTTTGCTCGCCGTCCAAGAAAAGCAAGAACGACGTGCTGCAGAAGCCCTTCAACCCTTTCACCTTCTCTCCCTCGAAGCTGTCATCCATGCCTCCTCCATCCACCATCCCCTCTCGCCTTACCGCAACGCCGGTCAGAGCCAACATGTCTTCTCCTCGGGCCCCATTGACAGCTCCTGCTGGTCGCTCTCCAAAACGCAAACTCTCCACGCCGTTGAACAACAAGACCCGTCGCATCTCGGCTCCCTTTGGCCGCATCGACCCTCCGTTCTCAATCTCCTCGCGCACTAGCAATGACGCCAGTCTTCCCTTCAGCCTCGACGCTGCTCTCAATGGCACCTTCTCCAAATCCTCCCCTGCCGTTGCCGCTCCCAAACACGCCCGGACTCGCAGCGGCGCCACGATCCAGGAAAGCATGCCGCGCAACTGGTTCTTCGACATCTACGAAGACACGCCCGAGGAGGAAGCCGGCAATTTGATGGAGCACAGCACGCTCACCCTCGACTTGAGCTCGGATGAGGAGAGTGGATTGAAGGCGAAGGATGACCGAGGCAAGGAGAACACGCCGCCGGAGGGCTACGATGCTCCCACTGCCTCTCGCGCGACTGTCACTACTGCTGCTGCTCCTCTTACCGGCCCGACGCGTGTGAAGAAGGTCGACATCATCCGCAAGAAGGTCGTTGTGGATGATATGGACGACGGTCAACGCTCGCCGCTCTCCGACCTGGAGACCGAGGACTTCATCCCCGAGGGCCTCGACAAAGACTCTCACGTGGTCGTCGACGCGACGCCCGAGAAGCAGTCAACCACCGCCACCACACTCGACATGAGCAATCTATTCGCCGCGCCACTGCCCTTCGCTGCTGGCTCGGGCAAGAAGGCACGCGCAACGTCAACGCCTTCTAAGAGGGGCCTGTTCGACCTGCCCGTCGTCAGCGCTGATGGAGACGTCAAGGGCGATATCATTGTGTGGGAGGATAGCCCGGCGTCTGTACGGTCGATGTTGCCATTCCCTGCTAGCGAGCCCCTCGGGACATCGACGAAGGGCGAGGTGGCAGATGAGAACACTCGACCTTGAAGTCTGTGAGGATGTAGTGATGCTGGATACCTGGTGTTGTCTACTGCTGCCTGGACTGGTTGTTTGTGCTCGGGTTGGGTGTTTTTTCATCTGGAGTTCAAGGATGGAGAAGGGGCGGGACTGCGCTGCGTACTTCTTTACCTTTCCTTACTACCATAGTCGCGGTCGTTTGCCCGACCAAACTCATCCAACGTTACTGTTTGTGATGCCTTTCTCTTTCACCCGTTAGCAACCATCCGCACGCCAGGTCAAAGACACCAAGGTGAAAAGCAACTAAAACAAAACGAGGCTCTCCCAATCCCACCAATCACTGCTATTTGTCACCCTCGCCACTAGCGATCTCTGCTCATGGTTGGTCTGGATCACCGGATCCGCGCCTCACCAATGCGGGGCTCAATGGAAGTTTCTCAGGCAATACCCCACTGACGTCGTTTAGTGTTTGTGGGGGGGAGGGTCCAGAAGGTATAACAAAAAGGAGGGGTTTGCGATCTCTTTTCCTCCCTCCTCTCACGCCTACAACCCTCTCTTTACGAAAACTCATTTACCACCTTTTACCTGAACAACAGCATCAACATCCGCCACCATGGTTCTCGAAATCTACCTCGACCCGTGCACCATCAACAGCCGCAAAGTGCTGGCCGGGCTCGACCTAATGAACGTCGACTACAACTACCACTTCATCTCCTTCTTCGAGGGCAAGCAAAAGGACCCGGAGTACGTGAAGAACATCAACCCGTCGGCGACCGTGCCCGCGGCCAAGGACGGCGACTGCCTCATCACCGAATCCAACGCCATCCTCGCCTACGCCGCCGACACCGTCAACTCCCCCGCCTACCCCAAAGACCTCAAGCAGCGCGCCCAGGTCAACCGCTGGCTGCTGTGGGAGGCGTCCGTCTGGTTCTCTAGCTGCTACGTCTACCTCGTGCAGGAGGTCGTGCAGCCGCTGCTGGGCAACAAGGCCGACCAGTCCGTCATTGACGGCGAGTCCGAGCGTTTCCACAAGCTCGCCACCATTCTCGACGACCAGCTCGGCAAGACCAAGTGGTTGGCCGGCGATGAGGTGACGATTGCCGATATTGCGGTCATGTCGCCTGCGCATTTGCACAAGGCGAGCAAGCTGCCGCTGGAGAAGTATCCCAATGTGACGCGATGGATTGGTCAGGTGGAGGCGCTGCCTGCGTGGCAGAAGACGCAGGGCGCGGTGGAGAAGGCCTTGTTGCCTGGCAAGGTGAGTTAACTTCTTTCGATCGTGCAAGGGGCATTTACTAAGCATTGAGATACAGTCGTGATTTAAACGCCACAGCCTCGTTGAATCCTGCTCGAAATACGAGTGTAGTACAGTTTGCATAGTCTACAGTATGATCAGAAGTCCAACCAGTGTCTACAGTCTTTGTTTGACCAGTACGTCGTCTGTCCTCGGCGAATCGTACGGACCCTATAATGCCTTGCAATCCATATTGCTCGGTCGGTAATGCCGGCTATACCACATCGACGCGAATGTTCGAGACTCGCTCGGCCTCTTGCGTCATTTCCGTCGGACCGACCACTCATATGCGGCTCTCAACCACCGATCGAGCGTGGCGAATAAGTATCTCGACACCTCTCTGCTCTCTCCCTCTCACCTCTCCTGTCCATTTCTTTTGTCCCTCGCGCCAACCACACCTATTCACTCATACACCGCCGCAACCATGTCGACCAACATCGATGCCCCGGGCGCCGCGAAGCCCCAAGTCAAAGCGACCTTCAACTACACCAAAGACGTCACGCCCAAGCTCACCGAGCTCTACTTCTACGAAGACGAAAAAGCAAACCACATCCACGAGCCGGGCGACGACACGCAAGAGATGTCGGTGTGGAATGGGTGGGATCAAGCAGACAAGTTCAGCGTGGACAAGCAAGGGTTCGCCATCGACGACTTCACCACCGACTTCCCGCGCGAGAAGTGGCAGGACGAGGACCTGGTGCGCGAGAAATTCTACCCCGAGATCGTCGAGTTCCTCAAGAAGACGCAGGGCGCGAAGCGCGTGCTCGTCTTTGATCATACGATTCGCACCAAGGGCAATGCGGCGAAGAAACTGACGCAGGAGACGAATACGTCGCAGCGCGCGCCCGTGTCTCTTGTCCACTGCGACTACACCGCCGAGTCCGGGCCGGTGCGCGTGCGGCAGCTGCTGGCGGACGAGGCGGAGGAGCTGCTGTCGCGCCGCGTCGCCTTCTTCAACGTGTGGAAGCCGCTGAACAAAGTCGAGGAGAACCCGCTGGCCATGTGCGACATTACGTCCTCGCCGACCGACGACTTTTTCAAGCTGTACTTGCGGTATCGCGATCGCACGGGCGAGAACTATGTGATGCGACACAACCCCAATCACAAGTGGTATTACTTCCCGGATATGACGCCGGACAAGGTCATTACGCTCAAGACGTATGAGTCGGATCCGAAGCGCGCGCAGTTTGTGGGCCACAGTGCTTTCAATGATCCCACGAGTCCCGAGGGCGTGCCGTATAGGGAGAGCGTGGAGATTCGGACAATCGCATTCTTCTGAGGGTGAGGATCGATTTGCCATTGGAGATTTGTTCGAGTTGGTAGAAGGTGTAGCGTTTGTTAGCGTCTTGAAATAGTTTCAGCAACACCTGTTCGTTCCAGCCAGCACAGTTTCTCGTAGTCGAAGATCCACGTAGATTGATGTCGTGAATTGCAGCCTCGCCGAGGCGTCGACTACGGCATAGCTCAAACCAGCAGGCTGACAAGTCACTTCCTCCCCTTCTTCCCCTTCCCAATATCCTTCTCCCCAAACCCACCCAGAACCAACGCATCCCGCGCAACAGCATTGATAATGCGAAACCGATCCGGCCCCAAATGAACCCCACCATACCACCTCGACACCACAACCATCACATCCCAAGCCTTCATCAGCTCGAGCAGGTGCAGCAACCGCCCACCAGCAGCCGTCTCGCCGTCGTCATCGCAGTCTTGGAACTGCACGCCGTTGTCGCCCTGGATGCGCCAGGCGGTGATGTTGTGCGTTGCTTTGGCGGCTTTTTTGTCGGTTTCTAGCAGGCGGGCGAGGTAGGATCTGGCTTGGGCGGTGGAGGTGACGGGGGCGCAGCGTGCTATGAAGAGGGATTTCTTCTCTGATATGGGGGTTGAGAGGGTCCAGGGTGGTTCTTCGGGCACGTGGTGTTTGGATATATTGGAGGTAGATGTGTTGCCAGTAGTGCTCTCGTCGTCTCCATAGGAGGAATGCGGTTCGGTGTATTGTTGTTGCGCGGCATCGGATGTGGCTTCCTCGGTTTTCTCTGCTTGCTTGTCGAGACCTAGATCTTGTAGGCGCGAATCGACTTCCTCGACCAAGTCAAAGATACATGGAGCGCCGGGCGTGTAGACATCCGCCAGCACATCCCTCACCAGATCTACCAGATACGCGCCATCGCCCTTCCCGACACTGCCACCGACGGATTGAGTCCCGAGGATTGAGGGCGGGACGTCTGGATATTGCTCGGGGAAGTCCACTCGGAAAGAGATATCGGGCTGAGACGGAAAGGTCAGGGTGTAAACCGAGTCTTCGGATGTTATGGAATTCAACGTGTGCTCGCCGTAAATGGAGTTGATGGACGTCAGTTCGTCCTGGAGCTCTTGGGACATGGTGGTATAATCCGCCTGAGGAATGCAGAAGATTGCTCGTTTTAAATTCGCATTCTGTTCACCAGTGCTTTTCGTTTGCCGTTGACTATCCGGTCCGCCTCACATATCAGGTGAACGGTCGTTGCTCGCGTGATGTTGGATGTGCAAGACACATTAAGACGGTGTACGGTTGAATTCGATTGCGTTGTGCCCTTGAAAATCAAGGGACGGAGGACTGAGCCGCTGGATACACCGGATAGGAATATACAATGCCCTTTGAACGTAAGATACGCATGTACGTGACGTAGAGTGTACAAAAACGAGACGAAGTTGAAGGGCGAGCAGCGAATTCTGGGTGTAGTGCCTCCCAGTACGTTCCAACGGGACATAAAATGGCCACAATTCTCCTGGCTACATGAGTGGTCTGATACAGCTTCTGCCAGTCTCGCACCTTAACGTTACACTACCTACTGCCAATGGTCGGGTAAAGCATGTAGTGCTTGCGGCCGGAGTGAGGTGGTGGTCGAGTTGCTGGTGCCTGAGGCCATAGCCGCTGACTAATCGTCCCGCGACCACATGCAGACGTCAAACGTTCAGAGTCGCATCCAAACTCAGCCGCCTCTCTTCCAGCTACTCCAATCGCATCACTCGCTCAAGGACCAGATCGTAAATATGGTAAGTTGTGCCCACAGAATCAGCGCGACTCGATACCGGACTGACGCATTCCACAGGCAGCCTCGAATTCCGCAGGCATCCAGACCCTGCTCGACGTACGTCCACTGTCCAAGCTGGACGGATCGGTGAAGAGACGGCACTGACACCCCAATCAGGCGGAACGAGAAGCGCAGAAGATTGTGCAGAAAGGTGAGGGCTCCATCTTATCATCCCACCGCTGACTCCTAATCACTGACGACGCTTATAGCTCGAGAATGTACGTCTTGCGTCCTAGCATTGGCATCCACCCACGGAACCTGAGCAGTTGCTCACCACTTTCTATCATCTCAGACCGAACAAAGCGAGTAAAGGACGCACGCTCCGAAGCGCAAAAGGAGATTGAAGACTACAAGAAGGAGAAGGAAGAGGAGTACAAGAAGTACGAGAAGGAGGTTCGTTATCATACCAGAAGCCGACCAGCGTCCGCGCAGGAACTAAACGGAAGATCCACAGCAACAATCCGGCAACAAGCAGGCCGAGGAGAAGGCGGAGAAGGACACACAGCAGCAGCTCGAGGACTTGAAGCAGTTAGAGAAGAAATCGGGACCTGGAGTCGTGGACGACCTTCTGAAGGCGGTGGTCGATGTGCGGCCGGAGGTGCCCGATCGCATGGAGCAGCCTGTGGTGTGAGTGTATCGATGATGGGTTGAAGGGCAGAAGTGCTTAGTGTCGTTGGGCAAGCAATATACTAGAAGCAAGTTCGCTCGGACGGCTAATGGTTCATGCTGATACCTTTACTCCTCTTCACTCGCCCCCCTCTTACCCGCCAAAATATAAGGCCTCTCCTCCCAAAACCCATCCCCAATAATATCCACATGCTCAACCGCAATCTCCGCCTTCATCTTCCTCTTCCTCTCCTTCTCAACCTGAGTCCGACTGCTCCCTCCCAACGGGCCCACCCCCTCCAACTTTCTATAGACCACGGTCCCCTTCCGAAACACAACCTCCTCATCATTATAATTAACCCCAAACCGACTCCACAAAATCTCATTCTTATCCCGCGCCAGAGTCCCCTTCAACGCCTCCTCCGCCTCACGGTTCCCCATCTCCCCCTTCAACACCAGCGCCCAGAAAGTCGTATTGTACAGATTATTCACATGACAATCCGCCTGCCTCCAAGAAAGGTAATCGCGCAAAATCCTACGCTTAGGATACGCCACGCAGCGCCCATCAAAAGTAGGCCAGGGCCTCGTGAGCGGCGTATCGGGGAAGAAAGTCGGCCAAAGCATGCAGTACTCCGCCGTGAATAGGGTAGCAACAGTCGTAGCCAGCTTCGCCGCGCGGCGGTCGAAAAGCGTGCACGCCTCGTGGAAGACGAAGCTGTACTCGTCGCTTTGCCCGTACGCGAGCACGACGTCGAAGAGGGCGCGCACGGTTTCCACCGCGGCGGCGTTCATGAGGTCCAGCGCGCGCTTGTCGTTGGGTTTCGCGAAGGCGTATTTTGCGCTGAGTTTGCTGAAGCCCCGGCCGTCGATGCGCACTATGATCCAGTTGGAGGGAGGCAGGGTGTCGGGTTGCTCGAAGTGGCGCACGTATTCGTATTCGCTGTTGGCCATTGTTTGGGCATTGTTGGAGTTTGTGACTGGCGGGGTTTGAGGAAGTACTGTGAGTCAAGAGTGAATCTTCCGAGCCGAGTGCTAAGGCGATTCCAAGTGTGCGGATGATGTGTACCTGTTCGCGTTGCTCACTCGATTGAGGGGTGTGCGGTGCGCTTTGCTCGCTTATTGAATGATCGCAGGCATAAGCCGTGTGTTAAGTTGGATATGCTGAGGTTGGACTTCGCCTGGACATGGGCGAAAACTCACCGTCACCAAATCAGGCAATCACAAACCACCACTCTCCCTCTCAACATTTAACGACTACAGATCAAGGATAAGAAAGGGACAATACATTGAGAGCAGTACGCGTCTCCATTTCAAAAGTATTTTACTGTCACTCGCCACAGTGAAAGCCCGAAGCCAAAAGCAGCGCCGTCCAAAGCAGCACCACCGCTTCCACACTGCATTCCATCTCATCATCTCATCTCCCTGTGGCACTCTCAGCCATCGCATCTCCCAGGCAAGCCAGCCAAAGCCCGTAGAGGTATCAGTCTAGTGAACGCATTCTCGCCACACCAGCGAACGAACGCGCGAAAAAGGAAAAGCAAAGCAAAGAAGCAACGTCCCACCCTCCTTTTTGTGTCCATTCTCAGCAAAAGACTCATTCTCTCTCTGCTTCCGCTTCTTCCCAAACGCCGCGCCTGATATCAAAAGCAATGCAATCCCATAATAACACTGCTGTGCGTCCTTGGAAAGAGGTCCTTTTTTTGGTGGGTGCGGTGAGGCGCCCGTTTCGTTTCCAAGTAACAGTCCATCTAAGCAAGTGAAAGAAAAAAACGCCGATTCCAGAAGATGCAAGGAACGCTGATCGCATCGGTAATAGTATTGTACAGAAGTGTGTGTTGAAAGACGGCCGCGGTTGCCAGGATGACCAGAGAGTCACGCAGGGAAGAAAGATGAAGGTGCCATGCCACGTGGGCTCAGCTAAGAGTACGCCGTCTGGCCTCTTTTTCCTTCCTGCTGTCCGCCTCTGATCGCAAGCCACGCCGTTCCGTGAAGATGTGTTCGTGTCGTAATGGTTGTTCTGGTAAAACAATGGTCGTGAATGATAACACGCATCTAGCTCCCTTCCTCGCGCGGAGAACTGTGGCGATGGTCAGTATCTTGCAGCGTTTCTGAACTAGTAGGTAGAACTCACTTTGGCGAGTACTGAGGGCTAGTCGGGCTATACTGAGGACTCGTCGGACTGGTGTTCTGCGTCGGCGACGTCGGCGAATACCCGTTCTGCACCGGACTAGTCGGGCTGTAGACAGGAGACGTCGGGCTGTACGAAGGCGACGTCGGAGAGTGGCTGTTACCCGCACCGCCGCCATACTTGGGACTGGTGGGCGAGTATGCCGGAGAAGTCGGACTGTACGCTGGAGAAGTCGGGCTGTACTGAGGCGACGTCGGTGAGTACTTGGGAGACGTCGGAGAAGTCGAGTTGCCCAGATGATGGCCAGGCGAGGTTGGACTGTAGTTTGGCGAGGTTGGCGAGTAGCTCGGAGAGGTCGGAGAGTACGACGGAGAGGTTGGCGAGTAGGAGGGAGATGTGGGCGAGACCTTGTTGCCTCCGCTGTATGCCGGGCTCGTGGGTGAGTAAGTTGGCGAGGTCGGCGTGTAAGCGGGACTGGCGGGGCTGCTGTTGTATCTCGGACTCGTCATCTCGTACGCTGGGCTCGACAGGCCTTGACCAGGGCTAGTAGGCGAGTAACCAAAGGCAGGACTGGCAGGTGAGTAGCCAAAACCAGGACTGCTCGGGCTCATGCCACTGCTGAACGGGCTCGTGGGCGCGTACCCGGGGCTCATGCCGCCGCCGCCGCTGTAAGGCGAGAACCCTCCACCGCCATAGGCAGTAAGACCACCCGTCTCGTCTCCAGCCGCGTTGATGATGGGGGAGAAAGATGCACCATAGTCGGGTCCAGCGCCGTAACCACCCTCGGCCAAGGGGGAGCCCACGTCGTAAGGCGTCATTGAGCCATCCATTGGACTGGCTGCACCAGTGGCCAGAGAGCTCATGCCTTGTTTGCTCGCGACTACTGTCTGCAGTAAGTCTTGATCAAGCAGGCAATCGAACTCTCCAGTACCAGAGGGCGCCAACTGTCCAAGGATAATGTTCTCCGACACTCCACGGCAATCGTCCAGCTCTCCGCTTGACGCGGCCTCGAACAAGATCTCGACGGTCTCTTCGAAGGAACAACGCATCAATGCACCAGTGTCTGCGCGGTTGATACCGTGCCGAGTGACGGCCATCAGGCTGCCTCGGGCGCACATCACGTCGCAAAGGATGCCCATGTGGCGGTGGTTGACGTAAGACCCATCGTTCGTCAGCACGTCCTTCAACTCCCTCATGAGCGAAGCTCTCGTGGCCTCAATGCCAAAGACCGACATGATCTCGCCAAAGTGGTTGCAAGTGGTCCTCGTCGCGTCGACGCCATCCACGCACAATACCTCGCGCAGGTTGACGCCATCAGTGTCGAGATACCACTCCTGGCATTGCCTGTCGCTCTTCTTCTTGATGATCTCCCCGTCTGGTGCCTCTCTGATCAAGACATCGGTAGAGACAAAAGCTCTCTTCACTCCCCTCACGCCTCTCAAAATGACAGTATCGAGCATGTGTGCCTCCAGTCGCTTCAGCGTGTCCTCTTCCTCAGCGTCACCGCCCTCATCATCCTTATCGCGATTGCCGGTGAGCATTCTGACACGCACGATTTGCTGCTCGTCGTTGTCGTCCGAGAAAATGACGGCAATGTCTTGACCGAAGACCTCCTTGATCCTGTGCGCCACGTCGGTGACAGTCAAGCCCTTGTCGAGCAACTGCCGACGACCAAGCACGAGGCGCAGCAGCCATTTGCTCTGCGCCTCCACGCTCTCGGCGTTGTCTTCCGGAAGGATGTAGTATGACTCCACCATGTCCTGATCAGCCGGAATCACGGTCGACTGAATGTCGGGATCGTAGTAGATCTCCGTCTCATCGGTGACCGATCGCAGAGAAGTATGCTCAATCTTGGAACGAAGGTCCTTGCACGTCTCTTGCTTCAGGCGAACATCCTGAAGCTGGTAGACTTTCATGTTCGGGGTCTTGAGATCGTTCGCCACATTGAGAATCTCCTTGAGACGCGGGACACCTTTCGTAGTGGTCTTTGCGGTCACACCAGCAAGATGGAAGGTGTTTAACGTCATCTGCGTAGCCGGCTCGCCAATGGACTGCGCGGCAAGCACGCCCACCATCTCGCCAGGGCTGGCGAGAGAGCGGGAGAAGCGGTTCTCGATGTCGCCGAGGATGTTGTCGAGCGCAAGCTTGTTCAACGAGTCCTCCTTCACAATCCTCTTGAATGCAAGCCTGGATCGGAAGTTGGCCTTGGCGAGGAGCAGTGCATCCGTGTCTGCTTGCTTGCTGAGCTCATCATCGCCACGGACAATCGCAAGGCGGGCGAGCATGTTCTTGATCTTTGGAATGGCCTCTTTGGGATCCAAATCACTCCTCGCTCCGTCCTTGATCTTGAACTTGTCTCTGGCGTTTCTGATCATGCGGCCGACGTTGAGAGGCAATTGCATACTCTCTGAAGAATCCTCCACACCCTTGCGGATCTTTTCCCGATCAAAGAGGATGGCCTCGAACTCCTCGTCGAAGAGCGCTTGCACGTCCATGTCGCCTTGGATCTCATCGGCCATCTCCAGCTCGTCTCGCGTGAGGGTCAGCCCCTTTTTAGTGTCGATGATATCAACACGATACTTCTTCTCAAAAGCCCCATGTGCAGACGAGATGATTTCCAAGCTCTGAGGCTCGATGCACATGGCGTCCAGTCCGTCTTCGCCGTAGATGAACTGCAGGATATCGCCCAGCGAGTTACGAACAGTACCATCGTACTTGACCATGACTTCCTCGAGGGCCTTTACAAGACGGCGTTGGATGTATCCCGTCTCGGCAGTCTTGACAGCCGTATCGATCAGACCTTCTCTACCACCCATTGCGTGGAAGAAGAACTCCTGTGGCGTGAGACCGCGAAGGTAGGAATTCTCGACGAACCCTCTCGACGCAGGCGAATAATCGTCTTTGGGAAAGTGCGGCAGAGTCCTGTACTTGAATCCAAAGGGCAATCTCTTGCCCTCCAAACTCTGCTGTCCGACTGCAGCCGTCATCTGGGAGACGTTGGTGGTGGAGCCTTTCGACCCACCCTTCACCATGGTCGCGACGTTGTTGCAAGCCTTGAGACCATCGTAGGCGATATCACCTCCGTTGTTTCGGGCGTTGTCCAAGAACATCTTGGCTTTCGATTCGAACGTCTCCCGAATCGTCATACCCGGTGCAGGTTCAAGCTTATTCGTCTGGACCTCGCTGACCAGAGTGTCAATCTCTGCCTTCTCCGCCTTGATCGCTTCTTCGATCTTGTCGGCCATGACTGCATCGGGAATTGTGTCACCAATCCCAACGCTGAAGCCATTGTGGAGCAGCCAGTATGCCACGATTCTCTGACTGGCGTTGAAGAACTCCACCGTGGCCTCGGGGCCTTTGTCGTTGTAGATGAAGTGCACCACGGTGCCGTTGCTTGCACCGACAATCTTCTTTGTGATGCGGCCCCACATGAGCTCACCATTCTGAATCTCGATGCCTTCTTTCTCTTCAAGTGGAACGTCACTCTCCTTGGTGTTCGCGCGAGCCATGTTGAGCCCGGCGGGGAAAGCGAGTGAGACGATCTGCTTGCCCGTCCATCTCGGACTGGGCCTGATGATGGCCGGAGGTGGAACCACACCGTCCCAACCAGGAACCCACATCAGGATATTCATGACTTGCTCTTTCGTCATGAACACGTCACGCCTTGTCATCAGGTAGATACCGGCCATGGTGTCCTGGACGATGCCCATGAGCGGGCCGTTCTTCTGCGGAGACACCACGTTGAGGGGCACTGCGCAAAGGTTCATCACTTCCGCTCGAGTCTCATGCGATTGCGGGACGTGCAAGTTCATCTCGTCACCATCGAAATCGGCGTTGTAGGGCGACGTGACGGAGAGATTGAGACGGAAGGTCGAGTAGGGCATGACTCTGACTCGGTGACCCATCATGGATTCCTTGTGAAGCGATGGCTGACGGTTGAAGATGATGAGGTCGCCATCAACGAGGTGGCGCTCAACCTTCCAGCCGGGTTGCAGTGTCATCTCTGAAGCACGTTTGGAGTGACGGAGGTCGATGCGCTCGCCGGTGTCGCGGATCACGTACTTTGCGCCGGGCCAAGTGTTTGGCCCGTTTCGCACAAGCGCAGTCATCTTGTGGATGTTGTACGCGTTGACCGTCTCGGGGAAGGTCAAGGTCCTGGCAATATGCCACGGCACGCCGACCTCGTCCAAGTCCAGATTAGGATCGCCTGTGATGACAGTACGTGCAGAGAAATCCACACGCTTGCCCATGAGATTGCCTCGAAGACGTCCTTCCTTGGACTTGAGGCGAGCACGGATGGCCTTTACAGGACGACCGGACTTCTGGATGGCTTTGGGCACGCTGGCAATGTCGTTGTCCATGTAAGTTGCAACGTGATACTGCAACAGCTGGAAGAACTCATCGACGACGTGTTGCGGGGAGCCTTCTTGCTCGCAGCGTCGGACGTTGGAGTTGGCGCGAATGATGTCGGAGAGCTTGTAGGTCAAGTCGTCTTCCGATCGCATGCCTTGGGACGTTCCGTCCACCGACACACTTGGTCTGACAGCTGGAGGCGGAACCGGCAAGACTGTCAGCACCATCCACTCGGGGCGGGCGTAGTCGGCGTTCAATCCAAGTCTGAGAAGATCCTCGTCGCGGATGTTACGGAAGACGTTCAGCGCGTCTTGGGGGGTGATTAGCTTCTTCTCAACTGCATTTCGGTCATCACCCATGTCCTCTTCACTCTTCGCCACCTTCCACGAGCCCCAAAGTCGAAGCTGCTCCCTGCGGATCTCGGGCTGCAGGTTACCACAGCCACCATGTCCTTTGTGCTTCAGCTTGGCTTTGGGGTCGTCTCCAAAAGCGTCGTTCTGGTCATCAGCAGGCTCGTCGGCCTCACAGATCTTCTTGATCCTGCAGAGCTTGTGGACGGCTTCGAAGCGACGCTTGGGATCGCGCAGGCGGGTAGCTTGAGCGAAGGTAGGGTTGCGCTGCAGCGTGATGCAGGTAAGCACTGGACATATGAAAGACGCAAACCTACCTAGGGAGCACGGATGTGGGCAAGACTTACTTCATCATCCAAAAGCTTTCCGCAGTTGTGGCACACGGCCTCAAGTACCTTCTTGATTTTGGAGATGAAGCCTAGTCACGTGAGGGGTTAGTCTGTGCTCGAGGCCATGACATGCAGATGTCACGGCTACTCACCGATATGGAAGACGGGCACCGCAAGTTCGATGTGCCCGAAATGCCCGGGACACTCTTGCATGCTCTCTTCGCAGGTGGCGCACTTGTAGCCGCGATCGATGGTGCCCATCTTGGGGTCGTTCAGGCCTTTCTCACGCGGCCGCTGGCGCTGCTCATCCATGGTCTCAGGATATTCGATGTGGACAACACTCATGTTCTTGATCTCTTCGGGGGAGAAGAGGCCGAATTGGATCTCCTGCACCGTCTTGAGCGGCGCCTGGGAGTAGGCAAAGGTGAAGTTCGACATGATTGCCGGTGTGTGAGCGCTCGCTCAGTCGGTCGTGGTGGATGTGAGAGGTGCTGTCGCCGAGTGTCTCGCTTTTGCGCGAGGTTGCACTGGGGAACGTTTGCTTGGAGTGTGTGAAACGTGAGATCCTGGTCACTGCCGTCTTGCGACCTCACTTCACCGACGCCGTCCACGCCACGGCCCCCCTTTCACCACACGCGAGACCTCGGTGAGGACCGCCTCCCGCTCCGAACACCCTCAATACTGCTTCTGCCTTCCCTATCGTGTCGGTGAATGCTCGCTTTCGATGACTGGTGATGATCGCTGGTGGCGCGGTGCGCGGTGTTGCGAAGGAAAGAATAGCTGGGGGTCGCGACCGTCGGGTCCGTCGGAGGGCCAGCCGGAGGCTGTTGAGTGCCCGAGAGGTGATGGAATTGTCTCTGCGCACTGGAGAGGCGAGGTGGGCAGTATCGCACGCGTATCTGGCGATGACTGAGGGGTTGGTCGGAGGGTGAGTGAAGGAGAAAGGTGGACGTCGCCTGCTGTTTCGCGAAAGCCTCTTCTTTGTCGAAATGCGCTAGCGGGCTTGGCGGGCGGTGACTCTAGACAGTTTAAGGTTTGGCCTTAGCGCGGCCGTTTCAGAGCCGCACGCGATGCAGCAGCCAATCAGAGAGCCGCGTTGCAAACCTTCCTTGCTACCTGTCGTGAAAGTGTGAGTTCATTGTTCACCTTCATCCAGCATTCCCTGCTATATGCCCGGCCATTGCTAGCATGGCGCATCGACCTCATTTTATGGAAATCACCGCAGCCTGAGAGATGATCTTCATCGTCTGCGCGTCCTCTCCAAGATGAATCTTCCTCTCACCGATCCGTCCCTTCTCGCCCAGGACATCCCAGAGTCGCTGTCTGCGCGCCTGCGCAGCTCCGGACAGGCAGTATGCATTCGCTTCAGTCACCAAGGCGGTACGTAACTATGGAGGTACTCTCATCGGGCTGGTTCTGACCTGACCATCCTCCAGACCTGCTTGCGTCTGGCACGTCAAAAGGCGGCATCTCCATCTTCGACCTCGCGACCAACGGCTGTGCACGCAAAATCAAAGGGCATACTCCCAATCGCACCGTCCAGTCGCTCAGCTGGTCAGCAGACGATCGCTACCTCCTCTCCTCCTCCATCGACTGGAAGATCATCCTGTGGGATCTCCAAGACGGCAGCCGGGTGCGAGTGTGCAACCTCGGAGCACCCGTGTACATCGCCGAGCTCCATCCCTCCAACCGATTCCAGTGCGTGGCAGCGTTGTATGAGTACAGGCCGGTATTGGTGGATTTGGAAGATGAGGCACACCCAAAACAACATCCTCTCCCGAACCTCCCCATGCGGGCGCCGAATGAGCAAGAGGATGCAGCAAAAGCAGACGCAAAACATTTCACCACAGTCGCCGCATTTACGCCTACCGGCAGTCATGTCGTTACAGGCACCACGAAAGGCTGGCTGAATATCATCTCGACCACCACCCGCGAAACAATTTACAGTCTCCGCCTGTGCAGCAAACCTATCCTGCTCATTCGCCTGAGCGCATCTGGTCGTGATCTTCTCGTCAACGCATCCGACACCATCATTCGGACCATCAAACTCCCCGATCTTACCTCTCCCAACCTGAAACCCGACAGCATCAATCTGGAAGTTGAGCACAAGTTTCAAGATGTTGTGAATCGACTATCGTGGAACCACGTCGCCTTTTCTAGTAATGCAGACCACGTCATGGCATCTACATTGATGAATCACGACATCTACATCTGGGAGCGGGGGCACGGCAGCTTGGTCAAGATTTTGGAAGGTCCAAAGGAGGAGCTGGGCGCAGTGGAATGGCATCCAAGCAAACCGCTCGTGGCAGCCACCGGTGTGGAGAGCGGTAAGATTTTCATCTGGACTATCAATACGCCCCAACGCTGGTCAGCGCTTGCTCCGGACTTTGTGGAGGTGGAGGAGAACGAGGAGTACGTTGAGCACGAAGACGAATTCGACATCCATCCAATTGAAGAGCTGAAGCGAAAGCGGCTGGATCAGGAAGATGAGGAAGTCGATGTCTTGACTGTGGATGAGGAGCAAATGCAGCGAGAGAAGATGGGCAACATGCGGAACAAGGATGATGAATTTCGCATGCCGGTGTTGCTGGACATGGGTGAGAGCGATAGCGAGGACGAAATTGTCGCAATCGGCACCGGTCAGTTCAGGCGCAAAAGCACAGCAAGAGAAGAGAGTGAGTTCCTCGATGGGGAGGTGGAAGACGGAGATGCGGTGGAGACCAACGGCCACAATGGGAACAAAAGAAGACGAGAAGAATGACGAACGTTATGCATGCATGGCACTTCTGACGCGGCCTTAGCATTGGAGTCTGGCCGGGATGACATTGGAGATACCCAGATCCGGCGCGTATCGCACACAATGGAATGATCGGTTCGAGCGCATGGGACTCTTTGTTCCACGCTGCAGCTTGTCGAGCTTGCAATGGATCACTTTTGAACAAAGGCAAGTTCACTCGCAGCGCTTCTCTTTGTCTCCCAAAATCACTGGCACGCCGGATGCGACCGATTGCCGCACATCTCCTTTGTTCCTTTGGGGGAAAGCAACGATAGTTAAAACACGAAAGATGTTGCTGGCGACGAAGCTCTGGACGCATTTCGATCTGCTCACCAGTCCACACCAGCCTTCACCCATCCAGTCTTTTTCCCACCAAAATGCCGGAAACGCGAGCACTGTTCGTCCGATACCAGACCCTCATCAGGGTTGGGGCTACACGTGCCAGCATCATTCGATCTTGGTCAGCTAAGACAGCAGCTCAGAAGAGAGTATGGGTGGCGGCATACCACGACTGCACGACGGAGGATAACAACGTCGTAACCGCAAGCGCTGCAGCGAATGTCGCCGACGTTGGGGTAGCTGCTGCCGAAGCTCTCATCAATAACGATCCGGCCAGTTGGAGGCGTCTGAAGACGGAGAGAGTTGCCGCGACAGCCAGATTTACCGAGCTCAAGGCAGCATTGGGCCGACAGAGAGACGTGTGGGAAGCCCTACGCGGCATTGAAGCCGCGCAATCCCATCCAGCCCCCCTCAGTACGAATCATGCACTGAATCAGCGCAATGCTGCGGCAAACGCCATACGCGCATGCGACGCCCGTTTGGCTGCCTACGAGAGATTGCGCGCTTACCCTCCGGTGCCTCTAGATGGGGGTGGTCTTGCGAAGATGCCTGCGAAATGGGTAAGTTGCTGGCGATTGCTGATAACTGCTATAGGACTTGCGCTGATTCTCGTCTGTTCACTTCCAGGTGGTGGGCTCGCGGAAAGGAGAACTGCAAAGAGACAGGCGTGCTGTCGTTGGGCTACAGCGTCCTGGTCCGGGATCGTGGCAAGAAAGAGGAGTCCGTCAAGGAGGCCAAGGCGTTGCCAGCATCTGGATGAGCGTTGACCAAAACAACAACATCATCGACGTAAGTCGTCCACTTGCCTCAACCTCTCTGTACGGTACGTACTAACCATCTACAGCGTGTATTCCGCAAAGAAGTCGTGATGGATGAGTACGCCTGGCGAGATCCCAAACTGTGGGCCGGCGATGTCCGCCAGCCCACAGGACGATATCCCTATGAATTGAGTTGTCCTAACTCTCTGCTGAACATTCCGGGACTCAACGCCGTTCCTGTGCTGAGAGAAGGACTGCATGCGGGACTACTCCTGCCTGCGGTGTTCGCCTACCGCATCTACACGGAATTTTCTCCCCATGGAGATTTGGGGGATCTGATCGAACACTACGCCCACGTGCTGGACAAACCCATCCCGGAACCGATGATATGGAACGTTGCGGAGTCGCTAGCCCTGTGCGGCTTCGCCATGGAACACGGCCATATCAATAACCGGCCAGGCAAGATCGACATGGCACCGAATTGGCGTTCAATTGTCCATCGCGACCTCAAGCCTTTGAATGTGCTATTGAATTCACCCGATCCAACGCTATATCCGCAATACCCCCACGCTGTCGTAACCGACTTTGGGCTCGCGTTCACAACCGCCGGAGGAGATCCTACCAATCCACAGTGGTGGAACAACGATGAGGGAACTCCCAGCTTTCGAGCACCCGAGCAACGACGATTTCTTGACATGGACACTCTCGAACCAATCGACGGCGATTGGAGGCTGGGGCCGTGGACCAATGTATACGGCATCGGGCTTATTCTGTACTGCTTGATCACGCTACGCCAGAGCCCTCCCGGAACCTTGTATCTAGGAGACGGCGAGGACGACGAACGACTCAAACCTCCAGAGGACAGCTCGCCTTCGGACACGTACAGCCCCGAATTGAGGGAGCTAGTTTGGCAATGCTTACAATTCGACGATACCGAACGGATCGAATTCCAGGACATGCTGCGTGAGATCCGCCTTCACACCAATATCGCAGCTACCCCCGAACACTATATGCGAAATGGTACGGCTAATCCCGTGATCCTTGCTAATTTCAGCCTCCAACTTGCGGCAGAGCAATACCGAGTGGGTATGGCACTGCCTCCAGCTCCAGCATAGACGTGGACTGCCCGGGAGAAGACACAAGGGCCGCTTGTACAGACTACCTTCCCGATCTACACACCAATCCACTTCCTCGGCAAGAACTCCCACACCGTCCCAACGCACGCCAAAGCCACAGAAACGACGATAAACACCCAATCCAACACAACTTGGCGCCGTGCAATCTGCTTCCCAAAGATTTTCAAATGATAGCCAACGGGCATGATGACGCAGATGAGGAAGCCGAAAAAGCCGCCCAGCAGAGCGGAGATTGCCTCGAAACTTGGCACGGCGATGGCGAGTAGGATGGCGAGCAGGGCTACGGCGATTCGGAAGAGGGCTCGCGTTAGGCGTGTGAGGAATTTGGATTGGTTGAGTCGGTTGGGTTTCAGGAGGGCGGCGCGAGAGTCGACGCCGGTGAAGACTTCGAGGGTTGAGACGATGGGGGCGGCGCTGTTGCTGAGTTAGTACTGTCGTTCGTTTTGGAGAGGAGGTGGCTTGTGGTGGACACACTGAAGCGGGAACTTGGTGATGGGTACCGTGGCCACCATGACCATGATGGTGATTTTGACAGCTCTAGAGTATCCTTCTGTCTTGATCATGTTCGTTGTGACTTCATCGAGTAGTTTGTCGCCGTAGAGGAGGTAGCCGATCACGGCCATTGCAACGTCTACGCAGGTCTGAGGAGTGTCAGCCTTGAATCCCCAGAACGCATAGTTCATCACTTACAACAAAGCTGAAAACGAGATTCAGTGCCCTTGCGTACTTGTGCGGATGCCGCATGTCTCGGTAGATTTGTGGGAAGACGCTATGCCCGCTCCATAACGCTTCGATCGGGAGTCAGTCATCTTCTAACGCCGAAGTCACGCTGCGAGTCTCACCCATGATCAAGCCAAAGCTCAAGGGCAAGGCTCTCCAGTTCGGAGGGAAAGCATATGTTGTCGCAACCTTGCGTAGCGATCCAGGGCCGTGGGGCTTCATGATTCCGACGACCAGAGCGAGAACGAGCAACACCAGATTACAAAACACGCCGAGGAATGAAGTGAAGCCTAGCAGCCGCATGGGCAAGAACTGCAACGGCGCCAGGACGCAGCCGCATAGGATCTTCCAGTGCACCGAACTCAGACCGCTGATGAGCGAGCTCAAAGTATCGGCGAAGAGGATGACTAGACCAACGCAAGCAACGAGTAACTCAAGCGTAATGAGCAGCGAAGTCGCAATCCGTCCCGGCTCTCCATACGCAACAAAAGCAATATCCGCAAAGTTAGCCAGCGAGCTATCGACATCGATACATTTCGCCAGCAAGCCTGCAGAGTACTTGCTCACGAGCGCGGAGAGGAGAAGCCCAGTCAATCCGAGAATCCAACCTGCGTACTTGATTCCCAAGGGCAAGCTGAGGATACCGACGCCGATGAGAGTATTGGAACTGTTGAAAATGGTTTGAGGTAGCGTGGACTGGCCGACGATGACTTCTGCTTCGGTGCCGTCGTCTCGGCGGACTTTTGTTATGAGGAGCGGTTCGCGGTCGCCGTCTTTTAGCTGGGCGCGGGATTCGTTGCGTTGGCGGGCGAGTTCTTGTACGCGGTCGTGTGAGGGGCCGGAGACGTGGGATTGCAAGGGCTCGAGGCTGGTGTCGTCTTCGCCGTGAAGGGCATCACCGTTTGTAAGCAGTGGAGTCTGCTCGTTCGCGGTGCCACGACCGATCTCATGCCCGGTATCTGAGCCGGTGTGATGGTGATGTCGATGTCGGTGCTCGTCGGTGATCTCCTCGTCTTCGCCTAGAAGTACTTGTCGCAGTCTCGGCCGGAGATCGTTGAAGCCAGAAGCGCGTGAAATGGAGCGAATGTAGGCGCCGATGCTGTTCTCATTCGCCATCGTGACTTACCTCGCATACCAGGTCCACCTGATATCTTCTACAAAGGAACGAGAAGCGCATGTTGAATGCTCTTCCCGCGCGGTGGTCACACTTTTGCTGACGGCCAGCACCGATAAGGGTAGGCAGGATGTGGTGTGGTAGGAAGGGAACATCATGCATGTCACTGCGGGCAAGCTCCAGATTGGCTGCAAGCATTCAAGAATCCCGGGCATCGATGCTTGGAGGCGCAGAAGATCACGGACAGGCAATGGATACTGTGATTTTGTTACTGTCTGACGCTAGAAGAACATCAAGCTGCGTCTGATAGCCTAGCTCTGCACATCGCATGTCAACGCAATACCGCAGGACGCGGTATGAGTGATAAGGCTGGGCAATCACTCATCTCAGCCTCGAGTCGCCCGCGCGAATACTCTTCGCCAACTCCCCCGCCAATCGCTTCGCCTCCTCCTCATCTTCATCATCGCTGTCGAGAAGATTGATCGTCTCCAGGGTCTTGGGCACAGTACTCAACGGCCGGGGAATCTCCTCCACTTCCATCTCCTCGGAACTCTGTTCAGCACTCCTCTCGACCGCTTCTCCCTCATCCTCTTCTTCATCCACGTCCATCGCATCGCCATCATCGACATTCTCCGGCGCACTCGGGCTCTCCGTGGCTGTCATCCTGCTCGCAGCAACCATGCCGTAAGCTTTCGACGAAGGTGTCGGAACTTGTTGCTCGGCTTCTTGCGCCTGCTTAACCGCATGATACTCCTCCAAAGCACCCTTTTTGCCATCCATGGCTTTGATCGCCGCCCTCCATTTGCGCATCTCTCCAGGCGTTCGATGAGGGTCCTTAGCCCCAATGAAGCGTCCATTCACCTCGTGCAGATCCAGCTGTTCAATCCGAGTGTCTGCCCAAAACCACGTCTGGCCTTCCTCGGTCTGAATGCGCTTGTCGTGCTTTTGACTGAACCTTCGAGCGGTCAAGGTAGCCAACAAGCCGCGAGTAATGTCCGATTCTTCTTTTGCCGCAGCCGTGTCAGGCTTTGGAGTCGAAGGCGCCGGAGTATCTGATGATGTGCCAAACCAGGCATCGATGGCAGTCTCTTCGAAGCAGCGTCCAAGCACCCTCGTGTAGGGCACCTCCACCCTTGCCGCCGTATTGTCCGGGTCGACATAATGATACCATGATCCGTATTCCGTCACACCTAGAGGCAGGTAGCTTGACCTCTCGTCGATGGGAACTTTGCCCACGCCGTCGAAGCTTCTCGCTGGGTCGAGGGTGTAGACACGACCGCTGAGGTGGAGACAAGTCTGGTATGGAATCTCCTCCGGCGCCATGTCGTCTTCTTCGTTGTCCAAGTTGACAAACCGCAACCTGATGGCATCCACCACCATCACCTCCGTGACCGCATCGCCCTTCTGCTCTTGCTTCCGTGGCAGCAGACGCACAGCATCGCCAAGCGTAATCAGCTCCGGTCCGATGTAGACCCCACTGCAGAAGACGGTAGCATCTGGCCAGAGCCCTCTGAAGCGATGACGGCCGACGATGCAGAAGCTGCTTGAAACCGTGAGGGCGTGTTTGATCGTAGGATGCCACTCTTCCTCAGGCTGTTCAATCAGGCATTCTCTCCAGTATACAAACGGACGGATGGCATAAAGCGGGACGTGTTTGGGTTGCTTCGTGTACGGCTTGTTTGCGTTCTTCGGCTCAGACAGTGGCTCGATCCGGAAGCCAGAGTAGTTGACGGCTTGCTCCTTGTCCTCATCCGTGATCAGGTCTTGGTGCAGAATGGGTTCTTGCGGCATTTGCGTAACTATGCCCGCTTCCCACTTCGGCTGCTCCAGCCATGTACCTTCTTCTGCGTCGACGTAGCGGAATGTGCGTGTTCCACTGTCCCATTCAGGAGTCGATGAACTGATAACGCTCCGAATGAAGAGCACGAGTTCGCCGAGGCGCGGAACGTAGCGAGGTAGATCCTGCCATTCTCGGAACAACTTCGCCGTCGTCATGTGACTACTGCGCCAGTCGGGTGACGTAGGCTCTTCGATTGGCACATCAATGACTGCTTCCCTATCACTCTTGAGCTGGCTGATGAGCGACTCGTACACATCCTGAGTCCCCTCAAAATCAACAAGTCGCCGCTTCTCCGGTCCCGGACTCTCCGAGTTTTGTTGGATGCCCTGGGATGGTCTTGCTGATGAGGTGGAAGGGCCTTGAGTTCGACTGCCCTTGGCGACGCCGGTAGCCTTTGGCTTCTTCTTTTGCTTGATGCCCTCGCAATTTTTGCACGGACAGCCTACAGAACCTCCATTGTCCATCAAATGCTTGAAGTGAGGATAGAATTCGTTCAGAGAGCGGAATTGGCCGTTTGGATGCCCGTAGATGTATCGGTCGCAGTGCTTCGAGTCCGGTCGCAGTCTCTCGAATCCAGCATACCCCTGTGGCAGCCTGTCAAGAACATAAGTGACGCCTGGCTGGGCACCACCAAGGTCTTTAATCCATTTCTCGCTGGCGATTTTCTCCTTGAAGTACTCATCGTTGCGGACGTAGTGATGCTTTGGCCATTTGCGTCCGTCGCCATCGGAGCCTGGGTTAATGTTGAGAATGTGGATGTTTTGTGCTGCCATGGCTGACGAGCTAGGCGAGGGTGGCGGGAAAGGAGGAGTGTTTTGATCTGCTCATATCGAGCGAAAAGGACAAAGCGTTCAATTACACAGCATAGGCAATCATGCTGTGAGATGGTAAGAAGCAGAGAGGTTCACTGGAAGGAGTGAGGTGAACGAAAAACAGTGACGTCTGGCGGTGGAGAGCGAGGGCCAAATCACGTCAAACGCCTCACACCGTTTGAAATCATGGCCAGTGACGGATGCAAACGGCGAAGAACCGAGCGGGATGAGGCTGTGAATCGGCAGTGAAGGTGATGTTCAGATCGATGCAACCTCGTACAAACGCGTGGAGATAGAGTTTCGGATGTAATTGATTAAGGTTCAAGGCTACGCCTGATTCCCACGAGCAGGCAGGCGCGCTCGGCTTTCGATTGGTTGCCGGGTTGGGCGACTTTGATGACCTCTACCCGTTTCAATCTATCTCTGCAGGCAACGGCTAGATCGGTCAAAGAGCACGAGGCCAAGGGCGCGGCGTGCTATGATTACATCCCAGCGCGGTGCGTTGGCATCTCACTTGCCACGCCATCCATCTGTTCTCCATCATCTTGCTTCTATCTGAGCAGCTGTAGAGGTGGTGCTCAACCCAATACCTCACCGCCGCTTCCGCGATGAGCCGTCTACACTAGAGCAGCAGGCTTGCACGATTTGCCCGCCATGGCCAGCCCGAGACACAACTCTCCCTCCTCCCCGCAAACACCAGATTCGACTTCGCGATCGCCCGGGCGGAAGCGCAACCCGCTGACTTCCTCCGAGCGACTAGCGACCATCACAGAGGGAGGCGCGGCGGCCAACACCCCGCCCATCCCCCGCCGAAGCAGTCAGCGCTTGAGCGCCTTGCTCTCCGGCAGCGGCTCTCATGGCGCGAGACACCCACGGCCTGGACCCGGAAGCCAGAGCAGTATAGACACATCGCGCGCTGCCCCGCCCTCGTACGGCTGGGTACCTCCGCCGCTCGATGAAAATGATGTTGGCAACCCGCCGGTGGAAGGCGAGAAGTTGGCAGAACTGCGGAGGAACACGAGCTCGCAGGATCCGAAAAGAGGCGCACTTCGCGGGAGAGGCGGATGGGGTCGACTGGCATTGATTGGGGCGGGGATACTGCTGGTCATCATCGCGTTGGCAGTAGGACTTGGAGTTGGGTTGGGTGAGAAACATCACAACCATTCGAGCTCCAGCACACCCTCGAATCCTCAGTCAACACTCCCGCCACAAAAGTTCCCCCTCGGCCAATACAGCTTCGTCACGGCTCTCACCAACGTCCAGACCAACTGCACCTCCAATGCTGCAGTCTGGCAATGCTATCCTTTTAATGTCTACAACCCCGGCGTCAGCAGTACGATAAATGCAAGTACAGCCACCTTCAACTGGATCATCAGCAACACCTCCTCGAATTACATCACAAACAACTCCTCCGAAACCCCTGCATCGCCAGGTGTGCCGGCGCTTCTCAGCGTCTCCTCCATCAGCGATCCCTTCGGAATCACGTTCAACTCCACACCGCTCTCGTACATCGCCACGGCTGACAACTCGACCTCCCCCCGCTATGTCTTTGATTTCAGCATGTCGAAGATGGTGATCCCTTCTACTTCCATCACATCAGACGGTACCTCCGCAGTCTGCTTCTTCAACCAGACCAGCTTCCAAGGCACGATCTATCTCACCGCCGCTCACAACTTCCCACCTAGTGGAACTTCCATAGGTGGGTACGAGCAGTGGCCGTACGCCGTGGAGATCATGGAAGTGGCTTCTGGAGGCAGCAATGTGCCGGACTGCTACGAGTATGTCAATGGCGTGGTTGGCAGCCCGATAACGACGGACCTGACCTCGGAGTCAAGTAACTCCCAGTGCTTATGTGAGTATCGGAACTATGTTTGAGCATTGCTTGTGGAATTGGGACGGTCGCGTTGAGATGGGGTACTTGATCTGGAGCACTGTTCAGAGGGAGGTGGGCGTTGAATGACCCGGTGTTGGCTTTGATCGTTAGGATACCCGTAGTTCTTACTCTTCTAGCGAAAATGGGAATAGAATAGCTTCATGGGGTGCATGTTTATCCGCTACCTCTACCTGATGAATCGATTCAAGACTTGGGTAGGCATCTGTTCGTGAGAAAGAACGCTGCGAATGGGAAGTACTATATTGCACTGGAGACAGCCGGTATAACGAATCCCTTGTATTCCTGCTATACACTGCAAAAGACACGCTACACGCCTCTGTAAACCGCGACTCAGACCAGCGACTTGGGCTTCGCGGTCCAAATGCGCTTGATACCCTCGGTCAAGCCGACATCATTTGTCTCGAACTCGTACCAGCCCCAGCCCACGACGAAAATCGCCAGCACGGAGCCGTAGTCGAACAGCTTTCGCGTCTTGGTCACTCGCTGCTTCGGAAGGTAGTCTACGATGACGGATCTGCGGGTTCGATGTCAGTTCGGTGATGTGCGTGCGCGTGGCCGAAGGGAAGGGTGGGAGCATACTGGAAGCCCATGTGTGAATGGATCAGGATCGCGCCGATGAGCAGGCCGTCCATCAATGGGTTCAGAGAGCCGGCGGCGAAGGGGGCGATTGTGAGGGGGATGAGGGCGGCGGAGAGGGCCCTGTAGTAGAGGCAGGTTAGCAATGCATTTCGAATTGGGTATGTGAAACTCCTTACCTCTCCGCAGACCAGTGATAGCTGCCATGGGCAGGCTCGGGCTCGTGAACTTTGACTGGATCATTGACCGAGCCTTCGATTCGCTGGGGAAGAGGTGGGAGGATGGCTCGCTGGGCGGTCGTCTGGAATGCTGCTCGTTGGAGGCGCTGGACAGAATGACGCTGCAGCTGTGATCGGAAGGCAGGGAGGGTGGAGGTGGCGGAGGTGAAGGTGCGTCGGCTTGGTGCTGCCAGAGCTTGCCGGAGCAATGTAGGCCGCATCATGGTGGCCATGTCTGAAGATCTGTCCTGCCGTCAATGGCTGCGTTGGTTGCAGGAGCGTGGTCGTCCGGTCCCAAGAAGCGGGAGAGCTCGGGTGATGATGTGAATGATTCGCCCGTGCCGTGATTGGCTCGGGTATAACCGCGCCAAGCGAAAAACACCATCCGTGAGCGAGCATCCATCGCAAGAGCTCTCGTCCAGGTACATCCGTCGACAACCCTTCGTCAAAAGCGTTTCCTGCACGACTACCGGCCATGGCTTCGAGGAGTCTCGCGATGAGGCTGAACCAAGGCCTGCGTGCCCAGCGGGCCATTCAGTCCGTCAAGTCGAGGTCCAAGCCCGGCCTCATCCGAAGTCTTGCTACTCCTGTCCATCACGGCGCAACCACCGAGAGCACTACGTTGAGCAATGGCTTCACTGTATGCTTGCTTCCCGCTCGGCGCTTGGTGATGACCGTCTTGATGCTGATAGATCTCCCTAGATTGCCACCGAACACTCCCCGTACGCCCAGACCAGCACCGTTGGCGTCTGGATCGACGCCGGCTCCCGCGCCGAAACGGACAAGACCAATGGCACCGCCCACTTCCTCGAACATCTTGCCTTCAAGGGCACGCAAAAGCGCTCACAATCCCAGCTCGAGCTCGAGATTGAGAACATGGGTGGACATTTGAATGCCTACACCAGCCGCGAGAACACCGTCTACTACGCCAAAGCCTTCAACGACGATGTGCCCGCAACTGTGGACATCCTCGCCGACATTCTGCAGCACAGCAAGCTCGAGCCCAGCGCGATTGAGCGGGAAAGAGATGTCATCCTCCGAGAGCAAGAGGAGGTGGACAAGCAGCTGGAGGAGGTGGTCTTTGACCATCTGCACGCCACAGCGTTCCAAGGCCAGCCTCTTGGACGCACCATCCTCGGACCCAAGGAGAACATCCAGGCCATCTCGAGAGACGACTTGACCAACTACATCAAGACCAACTACACTGCCGACCGCATGGTCCTGGTCGGTGCAGGAGGCGTTCCCCACCAGCAGCTTGTCGAGCTCGCCGAAAACTACTTCTCCGGCATGCCCGCTTACAACCCCAACGCCCAAGATGTTGCTTCCGTTCGTGGCCTCGAGAAGAAGCCCGACTTTGTCGGCTCGGAAGTGAGGATACGCGACGACACCCTGCCCACCGCCAACATTGCCATCGCAGTCGAGGGCGTCAGCTGGAAAGACGATGATTACTTCACCGCCCTCGTCACCCAAGCGATCGTGGGCAACTGGGACCGCGCGATGGGCAACTCGCCCTACCTCGGCAGCCGCCTCAGCACCTTCGTGCACGAGCACAAACTCGCCAACTCGTTCATGTCGTTCAGCACATCCTACTCCGACACCGGCCTGTGGGGCATCTACCTCGTCACCGACAACGTCACCCGCATCGACGACCTCGTCCACTTCACGCTGCGCGAGTGGTCTCGTCTGAGCTTCCAAGTCACCGAGGCGGAGACCGAGCGCGCCAAAGCCCAGCTCAAGGCCTCCATCCTCTTGTCCCTCGACGGCACCACTTCCGTCGCCGAGGACATTGGCCGCCAGATCATCACCACCGGCAGACGTCTGAGCCCCGAGGAGGTCGAGCGGGCAGTGAGCGAGGTGACGGAGAAGGACATTATGGCGTTTGCGCAGAAGAAGCTGTGGGATCGCGATATTGCCATCAGTGCTGTTGGGCAGATTGAGGGGTTGCTGGATTACTCGCGGATCCGGAACGACATGTCGAGGATGTTGTCGTAGGGGAGAGTGAGGTTGATGGTGATGGTGGTGGGTGGCAGCACACGAGTTTAGTACAATTCGGATAGAAGATCGATGCGCTCGCTGCCCGAAGTACTTCTGGTAGCCATACTCCGTCGTAGATAGTTAGTGTATGTACATTACACCGTGGTCATCGGCTCCCTGTACACCTCCCTACTGTTGAGTGTCTACTGCTGATCTCTCTGCAACGTACCGCAGATGGAGTAGCATAAGGGTCTCATACTCGTACACAACATAGACGAAGGCATGAATACGGATTTAACACGAGGGGAGCAGAGCAGAGGACACATTCGGGCTGAAGACAAATACTGAATTTGCTATGAGACTGACTGCTGGACTGTGGGTCCTTCGGTGAAAGCAGTAGTGAAAGAGAGTGCCTGTCTCACATCATTAGTTGGGGATCTGAAGAGAATGGAGGAGAGAGCGACTCACGATGTCACTCGAGATGTGCCACGATGGTCTGGCACTCATTCGTCCGCCTCGTTGGCCTTCTTCTCCGCATCGCGATAGCTGCGCAAACATCATTAGCCGCGGTGGTCGTGAACAAAGCAAGCGAGCCAGCTACGAACATCTGCTCAAAGTCGGCCTGACTGTAGCCCTGCTCAAAGGCACGCTGACGCAGCTCCTCCTTCTTCTGCAGCAACTCGCGCAAGTAGGCGACGGTGCGCTGCAAGACGACCGCCTCGCTACGAGCCTGGCCCGCGCACTCTGGGATGATTTTGGCGAGGCGCTCGAAGCCGGCGCGGATGGCCTCGCGGCGCTTCTTCTCCGATTCGATGTGGTTCTGCTTCTTCTGCGCGTCGGTGAGGCGGGGCCTGTCGCCGGCGCCGTCGAGATTCATGTTTGCGGTGAAGACGTTTTCTTGTTGTTTGAGTGATGCGTTGAGTGTGAACTGATGCCTTTGCTGTTGATGTTCGGCGTAATCAGTTCTGGTTCGGCATTACCACAGTAGTGACAGCTGTGAATTGGGATTGCCGCTGCTTGCCGACGTGTAAGGTTACGATCTGAGCTGTTGGTGAATGAAAAGACGAAGCATACCGAGTGAGTGACTGATGATGCCGGGCTCAGTCAAAGCGCGATCCAACCATTCCCAGCCGCCGCGTGACCCGACTCCAAGATTGCCCTGATTCCCCCACGCCGTGTGTGTGCTTGGGCAAGAAGACAGAAGGCAAGAGAAAGGTTACCTTGGATTGAGTGATGGACGAGTCGAATGAATGGCTCAAGGCGGGTATCCAACGCCCGAAGGGTGAGTCTGCATCGTCAAGGAAGATGAAGTCAACTCGAAAAGTAAAGGAAGGAAAGAAGGTCGGCTGGCCAGAAGTCTTACCGTGCCAGCTACGCAAGATACTGGGTAGAAGTGTGGTGAATAGTGGTTGAGCGAAGGTATCGATGTAGCGGTCCGCGGAAAGTCAACAAGGCGGGAGTGTTTTTGGCGGTTTGCTTCCAAAGCTTACTCCAGCCTAGCGCGTGTTTCAGGCCTTGGCGAGCTATGACGTATGGGGTAATGGCAGGCAACTGCGGCGCGCCAAAATGTGATGGATGCACCACACCGCATGCGCTGCACAAATACAACGCCTGTACCAGCTTCACGACACTTTTACGACCGTTCCCGACTCATGACCACCATCACTCATCGACCTTGAACCCTCCCAAGCCGAACGATCCAGACAAATCCGAGATTATAGAAGTAATTTCCCTTGAGAGAGCTTGGACAAGGGGGGAACAACATGAGTCGGTAGAGGGGGAACAGTACCGATAGACGACTCACCCAGAGTTGGCCAGCATCATGTCTTCTTCGGCAAACTCCTCCTTCAACTCTCGAATCCGCACCTCCAACCGAGCCTCCCAGCCCCGACGTGGTCTCTCCTACAGCAAGAGAGTTGCTGTTTCGGATGAAGATGCATACTCCTACGCCCTTCGCGCCGCGTACCTCGCCTATCTCCTCCTACCACGGCAGAAGCGTATTCAGCATGTCGCCAATACCTCCAAACCCATCCAGCGCTCCTCCACATCCATCAACGATATGATCAAGGACTTTAGTCTTTTACGAGACTCGAAAAGCGCGAAGCTGCCTCATGGCTTCCCCGCAGAGCTGGACAAACGCATCACCGGCGTGCTATATGGGAAGGAGAAGATGCCGGAGTTTAATGATAGCCTGGTCAAGAGAAGCTTCGCCGCCTTCTTGAACGAGTTCAAGAACCCCACGTTTCGAAGATCGGTGGAAAAAGATCGCAAGGTGGAAGACTTGCTCCTCATCTTCTTCTCCAAAGCTACAAGCGAGTTGCAGAAAGGCAAAGCGCCGGAAGACGATGGTTGGAAGTTGATGGTCGACCGCCATGTCGCGTTGTTCGTCAGGATTATAAGCAACACACTCCAGAACAATGAGTGGTCAAGGGACCGCCCCGACCTCACCTCGAAGTTGAAGATGCTCGAGCAGAAGCTCCTGCAACACGACCAAGATTTGGCAGATGCAAGTCGCAATGCAGGTGGACAGAGTATCGAAGTCGAGGTGCCTCGCAGCTACGAAGTCAGGGACATGCCGCTCGTCGTGAGAGTGTGTCGAATTTTTGCTATTCCAACCGCTCAGGCTCAAAGCGATATCAATGCGCACAGGAATGAATGGACAGAGCAAGCGGCGTTGAAAGACTTGAAAGAGTACCAGAATCAGATGATGCTCAATACTCATGTCACCTTGACCAAAGACGACTTCAACATGGAGGAAGCATACGAGGGCTGGAAGAAGGGTGAAATCAGCGATCTGAGCCAGATGATTCTCGCAATACTCAAAAGCAACCCGGAGCTCGCAAAGACGAGCGCAGAAACTCCAGCGGCCGTTCCCACGCTCAAGACAATCGACGGCGCATACCACCACCCTAGCAAGACCCTCACCAAGGACGGCGACGTTGATCCGAACTACGTGATTGACACGCCTGTCGACATGAGCAGCCTCAACCTTGGCACTTCCGATCCGATAGATACCGAGACGGAATATCTGAACGGTGCGCATGCGGCCTTCACGTTTATCCCCCCGGAACGAAGACAGTACTACAAGCGAGTTCTCAGCAAAGCATTGGCTCATGATCTACAAGACGAGGCTATGGCAGCCGAAGAACCTGCAGCCGAGGCAACTACTGGCAAGTTGCTATCGCAACAGAGCACAGATCTATTGAACGAAATTGCGGCGCGTTGGCGTATGCCACAACCCAGTCGGGCGGTCCTGTTGCTTGACGCGGTGCGTGATAAGTACCAAGATCAAGACATCAGCCTTGAAACGGTAGACTCTGCTTGGACATGGCTAAAGCAAGCCCCCGAACCGCCAAAGAAAATCACTGGAAAGCAACCGCCGCCACAGCTTACTTTGTCTGATCGCAGCAGATGGACGGTGCAGGACTTTGGACTGTATCAGAGCATCCTTGGCACCCTTCACGATGCACTGCTGCGCGAGCTGTTCGAGCTCTTCCAGCATTGCTACGAGAATAAGCCTCCAAGCATTGGGAGCGTCATGTACGTGCTCGAGAACCACGTCTATGATGATGCACTCTTCACCAAGTCTCCAGAGGATCTGGACGGCTTCACTGCAACGCTGGCGGACGCGGTACGGCAGAAAGCACGGAACAAGTATCACGAAATCCTTTCCAAGAATGTCTCGGACGATGCGAACCAGTGGGAGTTCTACCACGTCATCCAGCTCGGCCAGGCGGTGACTGGTCTATGTGCCAAGATTCAGAAGCGATACCGCAAGAATCCAGAGGTCATGGGAGTCAATCCGCTGACTATCTTGGTGGAAGAAGTCTTGCCAAGTTTTGCGGACGATGCAAGGGCGCTTGTGAAGCGAATTTTGGAGCTTGCGCAGAAGCGAGACGAGGAAGTTCCAATCCAAGACGGCTTTGAGCTGTACAAGGAGCTTGTGGAGATTCGGCAGGTGTATGCTCAGGCTTTGCCCGGCAAGGAATTTGGCTTCCACATTGAGAACTTGCTTCAGGTCTTCGTCTGGCGTTGGATCGAGATGACGGACTCCAAGATCATCGACTGGATCGAGGGCTCGGTCGCGCATGATGATTTCAAGGTTCACCAAAATGAAAAGGACAAGGAGGAGGGGCTTCCTCCCACGGACGATGAGCGGCACTCCCAATCCGCTGCGGATGTGTATCGCATCTTCAATCAGAGTATCGAGATGATTGTGAAGCTGGAATGGGATCACGACCTGCAATACGCCAAGTTCATGACCGCGATCAGCAAGTCCATAGGACGGGGTGTTGCTCGCTACTGCGAACTGCTTGAAGGAATGTTCACAAAGGAGATGGACCGGCAGACTCCCGAACAAGAATTGAAGGCGCAACAGACGCAGAGAGACAAGTGGATGAATTACGCAAAAGACTTCTACCAGAACGGCGGCAAAGGCGATAAGATTGAGCCATTCCAGTTCTGGCCGGAGTCGTTTGTGAAAATCAACAACATCGAGTACGCGACACTGCAGTTGGACAAGTTGGAGAAGGAGGTCAATGTCGATGCTTGTGCCGAAGTCATCAACCAGCGAGAGCCACCTCCGCTACCGAGCATGAGGCGACCGGGCACGAACAAGTTCATGTTTACGATCAAGATTGTTGAGGGCGAGGATCTCAAAGCCGGCGATATCAACGGACTCAGCGACCCGTACGTTGTGCTGGGTGATGAGTATCAGAAGAGGTTGGCCAAGACAAGGATTGTCTACCAAAGTCTCAATCCTAGGTGGGATGAGACGGTCGATATTCTGACAACCGGTCCTCTGAACGTCATCGCAACAGTCTGGGATTGGGACATGATGGGCGACCACGATTGTCTCGGCCGCACGAACTTGAAGCTGGACCCTGCCCAGTTCACCGACTTCCTGCCGCGGGAATACTGGCTGGATCTGGACACCCAAGGCCGCATCCTCGTCCGCATCAGCATGGAGGGCGAGCGAGATGACATCCAATTCCACTTCGGCAAGGCCTTCCGCACTCTCAAACGCGCGGAGAAGGAGATGACACGGAAGACGACTGACAAGCTCTCCTCTTATATCCACCAATGTCTCTCCCGCCGTACTCTCCGCGCCTTGCTGCATTACAACAGCCTCGGGCCGGTCTCAATTTCGAATGTGAAAGGCATGTTCTCCAAAGCCATCAGCGGCCGTCCAGGCTCGATCATTGCCGCTCCGTCGCAGCCTCCCGCGCCGCCAACGCAGGATCAGATTGCAGGCTCGCTGAGACCTCTGCTGAGCTATTTCGATGAGAACTTTGCCATTATGAAGTTGACGTTGACGGACAGCGCGATGGTCCTGGTGATGACGAGGCTGTGGAAGGAAGTGCTTGCTACAATCGAGGGCCTATTGGTTCCGCCGCTTAGCGACAAGCCGTCTTCGCAAAGGCAATTGACCGAGCAGGAGGTGGACATTGTCTACAAGTGGCTCCAAGTAAGCGATCATCTCCTTTGACAGATTCTTCATCTGCTGACACGTTACAGGTCCTCTTCGACTTCTTCCACGCCGTCGACGAAGCCGGCGTCGCCCTCGGCGTGCCCCTCGACATCCTCAAGAGCCCCAAAAACCACGACGTCAAGAACCTCTACTTCTTCTACTCCGAATCCACCAACAACCTCATCCGCACATCGGAGAAAATGGCCGCCGAGACGGCACACAGGCAACAGGAAACCGCCGCGCGTCTAGGCCGGCTCACCGCCCCGGGAGGCCTGCACTCTGTCGCCCGCAGGTCAAAGTCGGTCATGATGTCGCGCAACCTCGGCACGATGCGCAAGGCAAAGGAGGAGAAGCGCAAGGAGGCGCAGGCGGATCCGAGCGATGATATGATTTTGCGCATTCTCAGGATGCGGCCGGAGGCGGAGAGGTATTTGAAGGATCGCAGTCGGCAGAAGGACCGCTTGGCTGCTGCGGCTGCTGCAGAGGCGATTGTCCGGCAGAGTCTGCAGGCGAGTCGGGCGGCGAACAGTGCTGCAGCGGCTGGGGGAGGCATCGCGAGGAGGTGGGACACGATTCGGGAGTAAGGGCGGCGGCATTCTCATGATTTGCATGATTTGGGATTGGGCATGATTGATGAATGGTTAATGAGATGATGTTGCATATGCTTTTGATTTCTATGTACTTCCGGTTTGCATGACACGGTAGCCCAGAGCCTTAGAAGTATTCACACGAACCCGCCCTCGCCTTCACTGTTCCACCTCTCCCCAATTCCAACCGATGTCTCAGCATCTCCTGACTCGACTGTCTAGTACACTGCATTCCACTTCCACCCCACCTTGAGCACTCTGACAGCAGTGTAGCATAGCAGAGCCATGACATAATTCCCGCCAGCCCAGCACGCAATCCCCCAATATGCCCCTCCGTTGGCCCCAATAATCGCGCCCGCAATCGGCGTGCCCGTCAACGTCCCCAGCGACACAATGGAGTAGCAAGTAGCATAATACCGCCCGTACTCCTGCGTATCGCACAGCATGCCCACGCACACCGGCGTCAGACTAATATTCGAGCCCGACGCGAAGCCCATGAAAATCGAAAAGACGATCAGGAGACTTACGATCGCTGTGTTGTCTTTGGTCGCTCCATCGGCTGTAGGGGCTGATAGGATTGCGGAGGGGAGCCACAGGCCGAGCGAGGAGAGGAGGCAGGCTGACAGTGCGAGGATGGAGAGGTTGTAGCGGCCCCATTTGTCGGCTAGGTAGCCTGGTAGCCAGCGACCGAGGGCGGAACCGGCGTTGAAGATGGCGATGATCTGGAAGGCGAAGGTGGAGCTTACCGCGCCGGTGGAGAGGGCGTAGGAGGTGAGGTATGCGATTGGGGTGAAGAGGCCCCATTCCATCTGAATGGATTGTTAGCGGGGAATCTTCGTTGTCGAGTACTTCTAGATCGCAACGACTTACAAAATACGTCCCAGCAGTCACGAGCGCCAGCGCGGGGAAGCGCAAGATGCGGAAATCCGGCACGCAACTGCTCCCAGGCTTGGGCGGCAGGCGGGAGCGAATGAGGAGATTCGCGACGCCGACGAGGAACACGAAGATGAAGCCTTGGATTCGAAGCGCCCAGGCCCATCCCATTCGTACGAAGAGCGCCTCCAGCATAAGTGGAAAGACGACGCCGCCAACTGCGCCGCCCGCTGCAGCGATGCCGGTTGCGTTGGCGCGTTTGGCATTGAACCAGTGGCCGATGGCCGCGACGGCGGGAGTGAAGATCAGTGCCGTTCCGAGGCCGCCTAGGATGCCGTAGGCGAGGAGGAAGTGCCAGTATACTATGAAAGGACGGCAGAGTTAGTTACGGCGTGATGTCAGATCAAGAAGGCCGACTTACAAGTACAGATGCTCATCAAGAACACACTGAGCACGAGGGCAACACTTCCGCCCAGTACGAGGTATCTGGGGCCGTAGGCGTCGAAAATGGGTCCAATGAAGATGCCCGCGCCAAAGGACAGGAAGGCGTAGACGCTGAAGATCCAGCCAATGGTGGACTCATCGTACTCGGCCAGCTGATGGTGGGAGATGTACGCTTGGTAGGTCGAGATGACATTCATGTACCCAAAAGCAGCCATCATGCCGGAGAAGGAGCCCAGAACGACGAGCCATGCCGCCGTTCCTCCTTCCGGGTAGGTTACATCGTCAGTCTTCTCCAAAGGCGGTGGAGAGGCTGGCGGAGAGGACTCGTGCGCCTCGCGGCCTTCATCTTGCGAGGTCTTGGCCAGGAAGACGGAGCTTGCTGACTGGCGTGCAGGCCATTGTTTCTCGATGTCGGTCTTGTCGATGGATTGCGATCTCCCAGAGGGATCGACGTGGAAGTCGACGGCGGGCGTGTCTGTGATGAGTCCTGGCTTGCTGCCTTTGAAGTCTGTGCTCATTCGCCGGGAGCGAGGGTAAAAATCGTGATGATATAGGAACAATGTCTTTGTGCGCAGACAGGGGATGACTTTGTCTGAAGAAGAAAGGCGGTGTCCGGGGTCGGGGTTGAAATATATTATGAAGGCTAGCCCGCCGAGAACCCCACGCGGCAGAGACGGCAGATGGCCAGAAAACCTTTTTCTCCGCAATCGACGTATAGTCGTTAGATCCGCCGTAGGGCGTGGCATCGGCCAACTCCGCGCCGACTGTATATCGCACTTGTTGACGCCCAAACGCTGAGATTGTTACGCTTACAGAGATGTTTTGCGGGAGATCCGCAGTCTTGCAGCACCGTAGAAACGCAGGATCCATCTCATCAGACGTTGATGTATCTGCCAATGACATGAGGCTGGTGCGCACCGTTGAGGTCGATACGGAGAGACGTGAACACTCTATAATGCGTGTCTCGTCTATATCAGCACATGTCGGCGGCGCTGGTCAGGCAGAGTATACTCCGACAAAGGCAGCGATGGTATCGCTGATGCAGAGCGCGGCTGTGCTCTCGGTAAATACAAAATCAGATGCAATGCTCTGTTGCCAGGCACGATACGCACACAACTAAACGATGAAGATCTTGGAAAGGAGGAAAAGAGGAGATACATGGAGGATCGCATACCTCTGTGGCGACTAGGGCAGCCAGAAGACTTGACCGAGCCCGCGGTTCTCCTCGCCAGCGATCTAAGTTCGTATGTTACTGAAGCACAGCTCCTCGTAGATGGTGGTTTGTTCGTCAACTTGCAATAGCAGTGCTGCTCTTCAATCAAACCCTCCAAACTCGCCCTCTTCATCATCGTCATCAGCCGTTCGGAGGTTGATTTGCGCTCTCCTTTGCGACCCCAGAATCGCACCTTTGCGATTGTTTTCGACTCTGCGCACAAAGCCCGCTTTGGTGCTGATTCGCGATTGTCTCGCCGCCTTTGGATCTTTGATCTGACCACGCGCAGTGCGAGACTCGATCCCATGAGTCTTGAGGTTCTTTTTGTCCCGCTTGCTGAGCTTCGGCAATGCAGCTAGGAGCCAGTCGTCAACGCCTCCCTCTGTGCCCTGCTGTTTTTGCGCCATCGATACCACATTCGCCACGTGCTTCAAATACGGCATATCTTCTTTGCTGTAAAGGGTCACCGCCACACCGCCATCTCGCCCCGCTCTGCCCGTTCTGCCGATGCGGTGTACGTAAGCAGCACTTGAGGTCGGGATGTCGTAATTGACCACTCCATTAACACCACGAAAATCGACACCGCGGGAAAGCAGGTCAGTCGTAATGAGAACCCAAATCTCGCCCTTTCGAAATCTCGTCATGATGCTGTCGCGCGCGGTGTCGGACAGGTCTGAGTGCAAGACGGCAATTCGGCTGCTGCCGCCAGCTTCTGCGGGTACATCGTACAGCAGTTCGGAGTTGAGTGCGATGGCGCGTTCCACAGTCTGGGTGAAGATGAGGAACGGCGGCCTCAAAGACTGACTTGCACCTTTAGTCGTGGTGGTTGGATGCAAAAGTTGTCGTAAACCCATCAGCTTGCCCTTCTCTGTGGCGGCATATATCAATTGATGGGATACGTTCGGCACAGCGGAGTCCTTCAGGCCCACTACAAGCCGTACTAGTGGTGCTGGTGTGCTCGTCGAGGCGAGTCGTTGAGAGCGCTCATCAATCGTGGACCTCGCCAGGTCTTCGATGTTGCTGCCCATCGTGGCGGACCACAGGCTCACCCGAAGTTCTGGCTCATTGAGGGCGTTCCATATATCCAGAGTTTGCTCTCGAAACGCCGGGTCGAGCAGCACGTCGGCTTCGTCAAGGATCATATGATGTATCTGCCACGATAAATCCCGACATTCCGCCATGGCATTTTGCAGAAGCCCAGGCGCAGAGACAATGATGTCGGCTCTTAGCACGCTGCCGGTCGACTCGACATCGTCCACATCTTGCGAATCATCGGTGGTTTCCTTCGTTGATGAAGAGCGCGTGGGAAGCTTCAGCCCCTTTCGCATCTGCGAGACGGTCACCCCACAGCCTTTTGCCAGCTTCCTGCCCTCGTTCGTTATTTGAGCTGCAAGCTCTTTCGTAGGAGCCAGGATAATGGCTGAGGTCTGGTGTTCTGTTTGAGATGCTTGGTGTCGCCTGGAAATCACCGAATGCAGCAACGGTATGAGGAAAGCCAAAGTCTTGCCACTCCCCGTCGGCGCCACGGCTAACAGATCGATCTTCAACTTCTCAGTAGATCCTGCGAGCTCTGGAATGTTCTCCTTGGCGGTATTCAGTAGCAAGGGGATGGCAGCCAGTTGAACCTCCGTCGCATCATCATAGCTCTGATCGATGATGTTGCGTTGCAATTGTCCAGAGACTCCATAAAGCTGGCCGAGATTCCGTAGAGCTTGTAAAGGTTCGGGGAACAGTCTATGTCGAGGTTTTTCTGCCTTGACTTTCTTTCCTTTCGGTCTCTTCGTAGGATGCAGAAGTTGCTGCGAATTGAGCCACGTCACTTTCACTTTGTGCTGATGTAAAATGCTCTTGCGCTCTTCGATGGACAATCGCATACGAGGCTGACTCCGACCTTCATCTTCGGCGTCATCATTCTCTTCGTCTAACGCCCCACCGACCACTGACTCCAACTTCTGCCTTGCCGATGATCCATTCTCCTTGCCTCGTTCATTGAAAAAGTCCTCGGGATCTGCCTCTTTCCGTACAGTATCTCGTTTCCGCTTCCCTAAGGTGCTGGAGGCAGCCTCATCGCGGGATGCGAAGAGCTGAGGGTGCGAAGGTGGACCGTCGGATGGTGCAACACGCCGCGACTGCTTTGGTCGGCCTTTGGAGAGATTTGTAGATCGGGAGAGCAACTTATAAGGATCCATGTCTGCTCACCGACATTTCCTCCAAAAGCCTGCAGCAGACATCGAACAAAAGTTTAAGAGCCCGAGCGACGTCCAAGGGTTCACGCCAAGCCGGCCCGCGCCGGTTCAACCCGAAAGCGTACCGAGAGCTCGCTCTCCCTCCAACCTCTCCTCAAAAGTTTTGAACGGCAGAAGCAAAGCTCCGGAAGCGCTGCCCCCATTGACCCTCCATCTCTCACCCACCGCCATCCATCCGCCCCACCATGTCTTCCGCCGTCCTGTCCCGGTCGGCGCTCCGCCAGACACGAACCGTGCTGCAGCGACGTTGGCAATCCTCCACCACCGAATCGGCTAAGGAGGCCGTCTCGGAGAAGGCGGCTCAGGCCAAAGAAGGAGCATCACAGGCCGTCAGCAAGGCGCAGTCGGGTCTGTCGCGAGTGACGAGCTCTGCTGGCAACGTGATGGGCAGCGCCGGCCAGGCGATATCTGGCATCGGCGGCCGAACGGGGAGACTGATTGGCTATGTGCAAGGTGTGTTGCCTTGTTTTTGCTATTGCTATCGACGCGAACGTGGCTAATCAGACATCGCGCAGGCTTGATACCCCCAACCCTTTACTATGCTCGCGTCGGAGGCGAATTGGCAAAGATCATCTACCGAGGAAGGAGCATGCAGCCGCCGTGAGTATACACAAACATGAGCAGTTGGCATTCGGACAGCCATTGACAACTTCCAGCACCGTCGAAACCTTCCAAGGCTACCTCCGACCCGTCACGAATGCCATCCGCAATCCCTCTAGCCTACAAAAGGTGGCTGGAGCAGCCGATTCGCAGAACTTCCTCTCGCGCGTACGAAATCTCGACGGCGACACACTTGTGGGCGCCGGCATTGTCGCTGCAGAAGTGCTCGGATTTTTCTGTATTGGAGAGATGATTGGGCGGTTCAAGGTTGTGGGATACCGTGGCGGAAACGGTGGACACGGCGAACATCATTGAGTGAAGAGGTGAAGGTGAGATTCGGCGAGCGACTACCTCCTGCGCCAGAAAGCGGTGTAAGAAGCCTGTGAACATAGAAAGGCATTCGCTGCCATCGAATAGTGGCGTGGAAGAAGGTAGATCTGTGTCGCCGCTACCTAGTAAGCATAGAAACCGAAGCATCTCGTCGCCTTGCAAGTACTCCACGCGCACCCGCAATTGGGCAGCCCGTACTGTGTACCGATGACCCGAAGCAGCGGTCACCGTGTGGATCAGTCATTCGACACACTCGTCCTGCGTCTAGCCACGTTGCCAGTCCAGCGCACATGGGGTGCTATTTGCGGCCATCCAACCACGGACCGACGCTCACCGCCTTGTCATCGGATTCTCGCGCGTGTCGCTTGCGGCTCGATGGTTCCGCCTGCAAGTCATTTGGTACCTGCAGGATCGTCATGGACCTCAGTTGATCGTAGTGACGGCGACAAGAAGGGGGGAAATCAGCATTGTAGCACGACATGCTCGTGAGAAGTGACAGCGAAACGCGCAGCAAGCTCGAGGCTCGTCTCCAACTCAGGCCAGCCGGAGGACACTCCGGTCGTCGCCCTCCAGCCTCGATGGAAACGGGAGTACGACTAGCCGGTGAGAAGGGGTACGTATCGAGATATGGTGTCACCTGAGAATCACATGGAAAAGCCCAGTCAAGATAAGCGCGGAAGCAGGTTCCGCAGACGCTGATGGACCTCGGGGGGGCGACAGCACATCCCCTCAAAACGGTTTCAATCATGCAGGCGCGAGCTACGGTAGTGCGAGTGGGCAGCATGATCCACGCTGTCAGTGCTCGATGTAGCCTGTTGCTCCGTCGACGCTTTGCGCTGGACGAAGAGCATGACATACGACTTGGCGTGACTGCGAGTCATTGATATGGGGTCTGACAGACATCCATCAAGAATAATGAGAGGCCCGGCGTCTTTCCCCCCGGAGGATGATGGAGGGGGGCTTGATCATCGCAGGGGGGAAGACGTAGACATGCAGAGCAAGGAGGGAGCTGTGGCATCCCGGCTGAAATTCAACAAATGAGTACGGGCAGGTCATGCAGATTCGCCAACGTGCAGGAAACGTGCCGATTTCCCGCCAAGCCCACGATCAGCCCCCTCAACACAATCTATTCGATGTGACTGTGTATACGCGGGGGACGGACGCGCCGAGCTCGAGCAGTGGAAGGCGTGCATGATAGTCGCCACTGGCCTCGCGTTCACATGATTCAAGGGTGATGGTTCGAAGGTGGGGGAGGAGGAGGTAGCGGTTGTGAACAGGCAAGACTGACGCCCCGGAGGGTCTCGAATGCGGAGAAGGGTGGAGAACGGCAGGAGGGATCTGACCTAGCGTCGCCTACTCTTGCCTGCTCTGCTGCCGTCAGACAAGAGGGCCAAACGGGCTGTAATGAATCCATCCAGTCAGTCTGTTTCCACATGTCATCAGCCAACACGAACGCGCGAGCGCCGTGGAAGGCACGGCATGCACGCCTGCATTTCGTGGTCTGTGCCTGCTGCATCGAAGAGGGAACGAAGCTTTGGACGAACGTTGAATGCAGAGCGGAGACGGATCTGGATGACGACTTGCTAGTTTGCATGACTAGCCCCAACGCAAGAAACCCGATCGCCGGCCAGCATCGTCGATAGATTGGACTGGCAGGACGCGCCACTGCCGGCCATGGGCAGCAGGTAGATTAACTGCACGCGAATTGCAACGTCAAAACACGACACGTAGGGATTGGGATGGATGGCGAGGCAGAATCCAGCAGTAGTGCCCCGTTCGGAAAGACCCGGGAGACTGCAGTGGAGGTTCTCCAGACACGCTCGGGCGTGTCACTCTGCCGCCCGCCTCCGAGGAAGACGAGGCAAGGCCGCCAATGCTGCTCCCAATGTGGCAAATGGGCCTTTGCATCTCTCACGCGCGCAAGCACTGGATCGACATTCCGGCCCCTTGATTGCCGCCCACAAAGTCATGACGAGGACATGATGACTCCCTTTCCCCGTGCAAGACAACAAAGGGACAGTTAGAGTACAGACTAAACGTCGGTCCACACCTCGGACCCCACCCACCTCACCTGGGAAGGCGAGAAACGGCAGGCCAGAGTGGAGGGCACCACGCACGGATTAGGATGGTGCCAATGGTCCAGCTCGTCCACCATGCAACTCGTGCAGCTCGCCCTCCGACTCCAAGTGGACCACACATTGCCCTTTCCCCCAACCCTCTCGTGCGGACCGCGCTCCAACCCTCTTGGCCACTCGTTGCTGATCTCATCAGGATTGGAGCCCGCCGGCGCTGCTGCTGCAACCTGAAAGTCTCCATCCATGCAGTCATGCCTTTCGTAGGGCCAGCAGCACCCACCAACCGCGCCTGCTAACCGCTCAGTCGCACACACGCCAGCCGAGGGCTGCTTTCTTTCATGGATGAATGCCCGGCTTCTTATACTCCCTCCTTGACCTATTCGTGTTCCTCCCTTTCCTATATGTGCGTATATTTCTACATATACTTGCACGCGTCCGATGTGCCTCCTTTCCTTATCGGCCCTCCCCTCCCTCTTCTGTCGTTAACTTTAGCAACATGGAGTCCTGGCTCCTCGCTGCCGTACTCGTCTGGTATGTCGATCCCTCTCACACAATGCCCCTCGATACAAAGCGACCTCTCCAACCCTGATCCAACATGACCACGTGAGCTCACTTTTCACTCTCAGGATCTTTCGTTACTTCCGCCTAATCGTGAACTGCATCTCTCATTGGACTTACCGTCCCATCCCCCCGCCCAAAAATGCAACATACACATCTCAGGACGTCACGATCATCTGCCCTACAATCGCCACTGGTGGGCCGGAATTAGAAGGGACGTTGCGAACATGTCTACAATCGAACCCCTACCAGCTCTTCCTGGTGACCGTCGACGCGAACGTCGACAACTTGACCAAAATCGCCAACGCCATCGACCCGAAAAAGATCAGTGTCTTGAGCATTCGGGAGGCGAACAAACGCCGTCAAATGTGCAGAGCCATTCCCCAGGTCAGCACTCGCATCACCATCTTCGTTGACGACGATGTCATCTGGCCCTCGACCGTCCTACCATGGATCCTCGCACCCTTTGAGGACCCCCGGACTGGTGGCGTGTGCACATCACAGAGGCTGAAGAGGGCGGAGGGTGCGGGCATTTGGAGCTTCCTGGGCGCCGCTTACCTGGAACGCCGCAACTTCGACTGCTCCGCTTGTCTGCACATCGACGGCGGTCTGCCTTGCCTCTCCGGTCGCACGGCAGCGTATCGGAGCAGCATTCTTCAGGAAGAAGCCTTCACCCATGGCTTCACCCATGAGGAATGGCGCACGTGCCAGCTGAACGCCGACGACGACAATTTCATCACACGCTGGCTGTACGCGCACAAATGGAAGATTGCCATGCAGTATCACAAGGAGGCCGAGGTGCAGACCACCCTTGAAGACGGACCCCGGTTCATCAGTCAGTGTCTCCGGTGGGTGCGAAGTAATTGGCGAAGCAACTTGACCAGCATGTTTGTCGAGCGGCATTACTGGAGGTGTGTACTCTCCTGTGATTTGCGTACGATGCTTCTTCTTTCTAACAACTCTCTCAGATCCCAGCCGTGGAGCACGTATTCCGTATTGCAGACCACCATCACCGCCTGGGCCTTTCCATACGACTGCCTCAACTTCTTCACCTGGTACCAGGCTTCCCGCACCTGGACGGCAGACAACCGCACGACTTTGTTGGTATTCATGCTCTGTTGGATGTATTTGTTCAGCAAGACCGTGAAGCTATGGGGCCACTACTTCCGCTATCCGGCCGACGTCGTCTACATCCCAGCCTACATTCTCTTCGGATACTTTCACGGCCTCATCAAGCTTTGGGGACTCTTGACATTGAGCGAGGTAAGTTTTTTATCATTCCTTACCTTGACGTCTCCGTCACTAACATCCTCGCCAGACTACCTGGGGTTCCCGAGATGGCGCCGACACAGACGACAGCGTGCGTATGATACGCCTGCCAGCGTACGGCTCCACGGATCCCGATGGCCACAAATCCGAGACATTCGAGTACGGGCACGACGACTTTACGCAACAGCTTCCGGCCTACGACTCTCACAACCCACATCATCATCAAGTCACGACCCCACCTGCATTGCCACTCATCACGATCGATCACGACTGAAACGAAACATTACCTCTATTTTTCCGGCATCATACGATACCCTCCTCGACCGGATCACACGACACGACCTCTTACTTTTGCGACGTCCCTCTATTCTCCCCTTTCTTTCGGCTGCGGGACTTGGCGATCATAGAGAGTAGATGAGACGGCATCATCTGCCCCCTTGGAGAACGACGCCAGTCCCAACCATTGGTGCTTCTGAATTGCGTTTCCCTCCAAAAGTACATGCGAAAATTTGGGCGGTTCTTTTCTTGCTCGGCCTAAACAAAAACTGGGATTGTCGTGCTATGGGCCTGGGCTTTTTTTCTTCCCTCAGACACGCGCAAGCCGACTGCTCTCTGACCCTTTCATCACTCTGGGTGGAGGGAATGTGCGTGTCAGCGGCGGGCCTGGTTATTTGTTTTGCAAACTGTGGGCTGCATTATGCGACTTAGTTTAGTGTATATTAACGCCGGTGAGGATCTCCTTTTATCCTTTCCGCAAGACGCCGAATGCCCGCCTTATCACGATCGTCTCATGATTCATCTCACCTCAAGCACCTCCACTGTCGGTGTAAAGTCGCTCCGACGCAAAGGCATCCTCGTTTCTCCCACATCCCATCTAAACAGAAGCACACAAACACTACCTCCATTACCTTAGCTCCCACCACAGCTCGGGAGTTGCAAAGAGTGGCAGCTGTCATTAGCCTGCATGAGCAAGCTTGGTGCCACCGCGGGGGCCCTTTCGTTTTTTGCGGGCCATGCTGAAATGCAATGCACCGCAGCCAGCAAGCCCCAAATCTGCACGCAATCCTCCGGCCCCCCCCCCCCCCCCCCCCCCCCCCTCGAGAAAGTCTACGCGCCCTCCGCTCTTATCAATGGGGCTTTTCGCTGCGAGGCGCCCCGTCGGAGCGCCGTTGTTGTACAGTATTGTCATTGCTTGCTGGTGAGCCGCGACGACGCGTCAGATGAGTTGGGTGGGACCGCGTTGGTCGCCCGGACTTTGATTAGTGGCTTTGGTAAGGCTCATGTAATTCCCTTTCATGGTGCAACGCGACATCTGAGGCTAGGGTGAGCGAGGGCGTCAGGTTACCGATGACTCGGCAAGCAGCTCACAATCAATCCAACGTTCCATGGATTGCTACACGCCGAACATAACTCCCGGTCTGCATGGCTGCAGTCAATCAAAACAAAGCTCTCGCGCCCTCCACTCGCGAGAGATGAAGCCCCCCTCTCCGAGCTCGTGATCTTGCAGGGATGGCGCGGCGCCGACAGACGAATGGAGCGAAGAGCATGCACGTCAATCTGCAGAAAGCCACGTACAACAGGTACCTACCTATCCTGCCCGCTCGCGTTGCCCCATCTGCCCTTTTCGTCTCGGTCCGTTTCGTGCTCGAGCGCGAACGCTTGTGGGAAAAGGGCAGGTGGGATCGGCGGGGGGCGGTGATGGCTAACAGGCAATCCTTGTCGTCCGCGGCCGCTTGTTCTTCCGTCGGGGGCCAGGCCGAGCTGAGCTGCTTTCCCTTGTGGGTGAGTGCACAGAGAGGCAACGAAGAAAGAAAGGGCCATTGGAAAACCTTGTGCGGATTTCATGGTTTTCTCACTCTCAAACCTGCCGAATGGGATCCATATGGGTCGGATGTTTCGTCGATGGCCATCGCTGCGTAGGTACGTTGGGACGATCAACTCTATCTACCTTCCTTCTTCCGAGTTTCTTATTCCCACGGCTTTGATCTTCTGGGCTGACGTGCTGCATGCTGCTGCTGGCTGAAAGTCGAGCCTTGGAGAATCGGCGAGTCCGCTCGCAATACGAGGGCGGCTTTCTTGGCGTGCTGCAGCACGATCTGGCCGCCCAGACTGACCGCATCCCCAACGAGCTGAGGGCGTAGAAGGCGCACCTCGAGCACAGCTGATGAGTGACTCCAAGACACGACACCACCGTCATCGGCGCGACCGCCGTCGCCGTCGCGCGCGATCTCCGGCCCCGCATCCAATGTTCGATGGCGCCGCACTAGCTGGAACTCCATCGGAAGTCTGGCCGGGCTCAGCGGCCAAGCAGCCTATGTATTCTCCCAGTCGCGAGTTTCGTATCGAGGAGCCAGCTCCGTCCAGCCGCGGGGCCGGCTCCGTGAGGGCCTAGCTTCTTGGTCGGCGATGTTAGAGTTGTGCAGCGCTTGCTTGCGTGCTCGCGAGACTACTGCAGTACAGTACGGGAGACTCAAGCAAGGAGCTTCTTGCGGGAGGGTGTAGAGGTAGGCCTGATGGGAGTCGGAGGGTGTGCAGGTGAGGGGAAAAACTTGAAAACTATGCAGAAACTTTCGATGTCAGCTATCGTGATGTATCTGAAACTACCCAGTTCAATATGATGCGATTGATCCTTTCAAGTTGCAATGCAGCATGCCTCAATTGAAGTGCTACTCAGACCGAAGCCGGTAAGCTATAGTTGAAGTCGTTGAGATGTAAGAGGGAGTGAGAGTGAGACAAGACGGTGAGGTGTGAAGGTATTAATGTATTATTCTATTGTGAAAAGATCAAATAAATTGCAAACCCAAACTCCCTCGCTGAATGCTCGCTTGCTAATCTCAAAATCCTCAAACAAATGCAACAACATGATCGCTTTTCGAATGCATCAAGGAGTGACGGGGGCCATCAGTGTCTAGTTGGCGAGGGTGGGCTGCGCGCTGGAGGTGATGCTGCTGGTGAATGGGGGCGGGACGACGCTGCTGGCGTAGGAGGTGGTGCTGTAGGGAGGCGGCGAGGTGGGGCAGGGGTGCCAGTCGGTGACGGTCGAGGTGATGGTCTTGACCGGCGCCGAGGGGCAGGGGAAGTAGTCGGTGACGGTCTTGGTCTTGGTCTCGGTCTGGAAGACGTATTGCGTATCGGTGACGGTCTTGCGGGGCAGCACCGAGGTGATGGTATCGGTAACAGTCTGCCTGCCAAGGGTCTTCGTAACCGTGGTCGGGACGGTGACGGTCGAGGTCTGCGTGACGGGGTACCACTCGGTGACGGTCTGGACGGCCTCAGTGATGGTGGTGGTCCACTCGGGCTTCAGGATGGTGGTGGTCCACTTGGGCTTGATGATGGTCGTCGTGAACTTGGGCTTGATCACGGTCGTGGTGGTGGTGGTGGTCGGGGGTGGGCAATTGTGGTTCCATGGGCCCCAGCCGCCTGGGCCACCCGGGCCGCCGTGCGGGCCCCAGGGGTGCGTGGGCACCGCGGGGCAGGGAGAGTGGTCGGTAACCGTGCTGGTCTTGGTGATGGTGTCGACCATAGTCGTCGTGTACCAGTTCTGCTTCGTCACACCGCTGAGGATGGAGGTGGTGGGGGCAGTGTAGGTGGTCGGAGTGTAGAAGGGGGTGGTAGTGGGGGCGGTGTAGGTAGTTGGGGTGAAGGGAGAGACCGAGGCGGAAGAGTCGTCGCGGCGCTCAAGAGGAGCAGCAGAAGCAAGGCCAAGGATGGCAACGAAGGCGATGGCAGAATGCATTGTGAAGATGTTGTTGTTGCGGTTGGATGAAGATAGGAGATAAGAAATGTTGCCGGAGTTGCTGTAGTGAGAGGTCGAAGTTGAATGCAGATAGGAAATTGACAAAGGAAACTGACAAAGGAAATAAGGAAATAGGAAAGATGTTGCTGGTTGTTGTTGTTGTGTTGGTGTGTTGATGAGAGAGAAAGATCGTGGAGTTGGTGGTGCAGAGGGGCCTCTATATACCTTTTCGCGCGCGCATTACACTTTGCTCTCGGCGTGACTGACGGCGCAGATACGAGAGGGTGTTTCTAAACTGGGCGCTGGCAGTACGAGGTGACGTGAGTGTCCCGCGGGCAGCGCAGCCAAGTCGCCGGGTGGTGGGGGAGAGCGTTGCACGTCGCCGGAGGCTTTTCCGTCGCCAGATTCTCGTGACTCTCGTGTCGATGCGCTTCCCACTTCCGGATTGCTACAGAGCACGGCGATTCTCAGCCAATCAGGGCGCAAAGAGATGGCGCAGTCTTCTGGTTCGGAGCTGGCGCCACCAGGTTGCATGAGAGAAAAGCGCCGGAAATCCTCCACCTCGGCCGCGGCCCGCTGCTGTTTTTGGCTGGCCAAGCTCCAAGGTCACGTTCGGCTAGAGTCCTCCTCTCACACCACCTCCGAAAATTGCGCCGGCCCTTTCGTACGAGACCCATGAATACGAATGGCTTGCAGATACGTACGAGGCGCGCCGCGGAGTAGACGGCGTCGTTACAACGGTCTTCCCTGCTGCTGTCGAAGCTTAGTGTGATGGAAGAGACATGCGGATGTGCCATTGGACGTCAGCATCGTTCACGTCTGCAACACAGCCCACAGGGTGGTGCATCACCCTCATTCATTCTGCTCGTAATCATGAAGTCTGGAACAATAGCCACTCCGCTGTGCCGTGTGTCCAAGCACAACGCCGTGATGCCGCTCCTGCCCAATGCACGCTCGAATCACGTGATCTCCATCCCTTCCTCGTTCTCGTTCTCGTCTGCGTCCCCGTCCGCCTCGCCATCGTCCCCATCGACAGTCGTGCCTGCTGTGCTCCCCACGCGGCCCCTCTTCCTTCCATTCCCCCACAGCATGCCACTCCCTAACCTTGCACCACCTAGCCCGCCTACAGCCTCCAACTCGTCCCCTCCCACCACTCTGCCCTCTGCATCAACACCCTCGCAAAGCTCCAGCATGGCAGAGCGCTTCAAACGTCTGAATCCGTCCGTTCGCACCACACGACCCCAGTGCGTCATGCAGAAACTCGCCGCACGTCTTTTGAGCCAATCTTCCTGCGCCGTGCTTGCGCGATCAAATATCAGCGCTGCATGTTGCACATCGAGGTCGCGCACCAGTCGATTGACGCAGAGGTGGCGGAGTCGCGGCATGTCGTAGATGTTGCTCATCACGAGCATGTTTGCCACGTCTTCCAGTGTTGGTCCGCCGATGGTGTTGTTCTCAGCCGGCGGACTCGAGATGCTGTCGGTGTAAAGATAGTAGAGAAAGGCCTTGACGGCCGGGTAGGGTTCGGGGATGTGCATGCGACGCGAGTGGAACTCTTGCATTTGAGAGTTGTAGAGTCGGGCGAAGTGAGGCCATCTGGCACTGAGGATGAGGCGGTGAACGTGGATGGGAGGGGACTGGTTTGACTCGGTTTCTCGCTGCGAGTTCGTCGCCGCCAGGGATCCGTCTTCAGACATGGTTTCGATGTCGTAGTCATCCGTTCGTGTGGCGGTGATTGTAAAGTCGGTCCCTGCGCCCGATTCAGGAGGCTGATTGAACGTCCGCGCGAGGTCTGCCCCGATGGCAGATAGATGGGAGGAGATGTGATTGTCAGACGTCGGTAGTCGTGGCTCATTTCTCGAATCTTGGCTCAGCTTGTTGCCCAGCAGGCCGAATTTGCGAAGATCGATGGGCAAAACGTCGCTCAGGTACTCCTCAGTCTCATCGCCGTCTCGCGCTTCCCTCGGACATCCTAGCAGCCAGGCATGTGTCCCGTCCACATCCATGCAGCAGTAGTGCCATCGATACGTCGGGGAGAAGAGATCTTTGCCGTCTGCCAGCTTCTGCCATCGTAGAGAGTCCAGGTCGAGCGCGGACAGGGATGTGTCGAGGGGCATGTTCGTTGCCGGGGTGACAAAGTCTAGCATGCAGCCGGAGCTGAAGACGTGAAAGTGAGTGCCGACATTCTGGATCGGCAGATTTGGCGAAGAGATGAATTTGACAGAGCTGATCGCTCCGGGTGCAACCGGTGGTGGAGTCCGCTGGATCTGCGTCGCTGAGTTTGACTGTACGCTGCTGGTGTTGGCGGCGTATCCAGTGGTACCCATGGCCGTCTGCTGTCCAAAGGCGTAGCCTTCACCCAGTCTCCGGGCATCTTCCGACCCGGCCATGCCGTAGCTTGGCCCGCCTTCAAATGCCGGAGTACCTCTGAAGTCCAGCCACCAGACATCACTCGACCGTTCCATTTCCTCGCTCATTCCTCCGCTCACCCAAATCTTCCCTCCCCACACCCAGCTGCTGTGATCGTAGCGGGCCACGAACCTCCAAGTACGGCTCCATGTCCACGTTTTGAGATCGAGAAAGCAGATATCATCCAGCACCACATTATCACTGCCTGTCATACCCCCGCAGACGAACAGCTTATCATCGTGGATGACAGCCGAATGCCTTGCCCGGCCTCTCGGAATGGGACCGTTGATGTCTGGCTGCGTCCAATGAGCCGTCTTGATGTCGAATATGACGACATCCGAGAGGTGTATGCGATGCTCATTCTCTCCGCCATATACCAGTAACTTGTCGCTTTGCCAGAGACATGCAGTATGTCCCATGCGCACGCCGGGGATGTCACCGTAGTTATCGACCAAACTCCACTGCTTGGCTGCAAGGTTCAACTTGAGCACATGATTGTACACTTCGTCGGTGTATTGGTCGAACCCGCCAAAGGCATATATTGCTTCGTTGCCCACGTAGGTGACTGAGGCATTGACTAGGCAGGCCGGTCGCTGTCCGACGGTGGTGATGATCTTGGGCAGATAGGGATCTATGGTGCGTCGTCTGCTGTTCTTGGCAGGAGATCGAGCCATGACATAGGTGTTATTGGACGCTGTCGAGACTCGCGAAGAGTTGGCGTGAGAGGAAGGTGTTTGCTGGTGGGAAGCCGGGCCAGCGACAGCAGACTGGATGGCCGCGAAGGTGTAAGGGGGAGGTTGTGTGAAGCTGCCCGGACCCGCCATGACGAAAGGCTAGCACAGTGGCATTCTTCTTGTCCAATATTCCATCTCGAGTGAAGTTGTAATCCCGCTCATATGCCCGCGGTCAAGTGCTTTCATCAGGTCAGCCCGCCCAGGGCAGGCACCAATGACGATCTTTGCAGCAGGCTTGCCAAAAGCGGTCTTAGCGCGCGGCATAAGCCTTAACTCCAATCCACATTGTCCATCGGCACGTGGTTGCCCCGGAGATGGGCTTGGCGTCAACGCCTCTCAAAACGCTTGCATCCCGAACCTCACCCTTCTCTTCTTCCTCCTCCTCCTCCTCTCCTCACCCTCGCCCTCCTCGATTCTCTCTACACGCACTCAGCCTTTTCAGGCCCCTCAAACCATACCAATCAACGGCTTTACTGCAAATATTCCGCACTCAACATACTAACGGATCCCTTAACTGGGTCATCTACAGCAACCATCAACAACACAGCAATATCTCGCGGATATGGCAACCGTCTCAGTAATCACCCCCATCAAACTTCGCCGTGATGGTATCTTCTCCACCCGTCTCGCTGGCGGCCGTGCTCCTCTTACGCCCTCCCCCAAGACGCCCCGTCCTCAAGCCGTGCAAGAACCGGCCGAAAGCATCCACCATGGCAACGCCAACCTGATGTCCCGCTTCTCTCGCTCAGTGTCGAAGACCAACGTCCGAGACTCGCCCAAGTCAAACATTGCGAGCCGTCCGTCTCAGCACTCGCCAAGACGTCTCGACCAATTCACCAGTGACTTCACCCTCACTGGCACCGGCCCGCGACCAAGCACCGCGACATCTGCCAAGAACACGCCATCTCGCTCTCGTCTGGGACGTTCGGGCTCCGTGCATCGCACCCCCAAGCGGAGTCAGAGCAACATCAACTACAAGGCTGTGGATCGCTTCATCCCCAACCGCACCGCCAGCGAGGCCATCACCACTTCTGGCGCGGCTGCCAAGCTCGACAATGAACACACCCCAGCCCGCCGACCAAAGTCAAGCGCTAGCGAAGGGTCCGCAGTGCTAGCTGCAAGCGCGTTTGACTATGGTCGTTCGCATTCTTCTTCTGCCGATCCCACCGGCACCTTGTCCCTCGACGGCCTGAACCTGAACGACTCCAACGAGGATGACGAAGACTACGCTCCCCGCGGCAAGAAAAGCCCAAACACTGCTGCATACCAGCAATCAGTCGCCGAAGCCTGCGGAGTCAGCATCAAGCAACGCATCCTCGCGTTCAAGCCTGCCGCCCCAGAATCTTCCCGTCCGATTGATCTTCGATCTCAGTACAACCGGCCCCTCAAGCCTGCGGCTGCCTCTGCATCGCAGTTCAAGCGTCGTGTGTTGACCGCACCGGAGCGTGTCCTCGATGCTCCGGGTCTCGTCGACGACTACTACCTCAACCTTTTGGACTGGTCGAGCGGCAACCAGGTCGCTATCGGTCTCGAGCGCAGCGTTTACGTCTGGTCTGCGGAATCCGGCACTGTCAACCCCCTCCTCGAATGCCCAGCCGACACCTACATCGCCTCGGTCAAGTGGTCCGGTGACGGCGCGTACGTCGCCGCCGGTCTCGGCACTGGTGAGGTCCAGATCTGGGACGTTGAGGAGGGCACCAAGCTCCGCAGCATGTACGGTCACGACACCCGTGTGTCCGTCATGGGCTGGAACAAGCACACCCTCTCCACCGGCGCCCGCTCCGGCCTCGTCTTTAACCACGACGTCCGCATCGCCCAACACAAGGTCGCCGAGCTCGTCTCCCACACCTCGGAAGTCTGCGGCCTCGAATGGCGCGCCGACGGCGCCCAACTGGCCACCGGCGGTAACGACAACCTCGTCACAATCTGGGACGCACGTCACCTCAACGCCCCCAAATTCCAAAAGACCAACCACAAGGCCGCCATCAAAGCTCTGGCCTGGTGTCCGTGGCAAAGCAACCTCCTCGCCACCGGCGGCGGGTCCCACGACCGCCACATCCACTTCTGGAACACCACCTCCGGTGCGCGCGTCAACAGCATCGACACCGGCTCGCAAGTCACCTCCCTTCGCTGGAGTCTGGCGTACAAGGAGCTCGTCTCTTCCTCTGGTTTCCCCGACAACTCCCTTTCTATCTGGTCTTACCCTACCCTGGTCAAGAACATTGAAATTCCCGCCCACGAATCCCGCGTTCTGCACTCCGCGCTCAGCCCGGACGGACAGATGTTGGCGACGGCGGCAGCAGATGAGAGCCTGAAGTTCTGGAAGGTGTTTGAGAAGAAGGCGGGCACGGCGAATTTGGTGGACGGTGGTGTTGCGAGCGCAAAGGCTGGCCTCACCAAGGCTACGACGATTCGGTAGATGATGGGTGCGGGGAGGAAGATGGTTTCGTACTATTCAATGCTTGGGACAAAGCGGTAATGGGATCTTGTTTTTTTTGTTTTCACAGTGCTGCCCGTAGCTTCTGTAACAGGCTACCAATACATTCGTTTGACGTTCTCGTGTCGCTGCCTCGAGTGCCCACGAGAAGAACCATCTACCGTTACATCGCAGTCTTTCATCCGCCAAAACCCAATGCTGTATGCATCGCTAAGAAGCCAAGCGAACCAACCAACCCAAAAAGCACGCCTAACGAATACTAACCCCACTGCGATCGGTAAACATGCGCGTCGCCACATTCATCGCCGCCAGCTCCTGAAACAGCAGCTTGGCCGCGTACGGGATGACTATCTGCGCAATCTTGGTCTTGTTGCGGCACGGGCGGCACTCAAACTGCTGCTGCTGGATCTTGGCAATGGGCGTCATGAGGCCGCAGATTTCGCAAATGTGCACGCGAAACGCGTCGGAGACGTCGAGCAGGCGCTCCTTGAGGAAGGCCGAGGCGCCGTGCGAAATCATGCAGTCGCGCTCCATCTCGCCGAAGCGCAGGCCGCCGTCGCGCGCGCGGCCTTCGACGGGTTGACGCGTGAGGATTTGCAGCGGCCCGCGCGCGCGGGCGTGGATTTTGTCGTCGACCATGTGACGCAGGCGCTGGTAGTAGGTGGGGCCGAGGAAGATTTGGGCGGCGAGTTTCTTGCCCGTGTGCCCGTTGTACATGACTTCGAAGCCGCGCTGCTGGAAGCCGCTGTCGGCGAGGATGCTGGAGATGCTGGAGATGGTGACGTCGGTAAAGGGGGTGGCGTCGCCTTCTTGTCCAGTCACTGCGCCGACTTTGGAGAGGAGACATTCGATCAAGTGAGCAATTGTCATGCGAGAGGGAATGGCGTGGGGGTTGATGATGATGTCGGGGGTGAGGCCCTCGGCGGTGAATGGCATGTCTTCTTGTCGGTATGTTATACCGATCGTACCCTTTTGACCGTGGCGGGAGGCAAATTTGTCGCCAATCTGCGGGACTTTTGTCGTCCTCGTGCGGACTTTGACGAACCTCAGGCCTTCCAAGTTGGTAGTGAGGAGGACTTGGTCCACAATGCCGTTCTCGGTACTTCTTAGAGGAGTTGAGACGTCGCGCTTCACGTGGAGTTTGGTGCGCTGACCGAGCTCCTCCGCATCCGGTGCAATGGGGGCGGTCTTTCCGATGATGATGTCCTCACCGCTCACTCGTGCACCAGGAGAGATGATACCATCATCGTCCAGCTTGTCGTATGTGCCGTGCTTCATCCTGAGAGTGTCGCTTCGGACCGGCTTCTCGAACGCTTCCACCACGCTCATTCCCACTCGCTTCTCCTGGTCGAGGTAAGAGCGGAAGAAGAGACTCCTGAAGAGTCCGCGGTCGATGGAACTCTGGTTCATGATGACGGAATCTTCCTGATTGTATCCAGAATAGCATGCAATAGCCACAATCGCGTTTTGTCCGGCGGGCAGATCACGGAACTTGAGGAATTCCATGCTTCTCGTCGTCGCCAAAGGCTTCTGGGGATAGTACAGCACGTTGGCCATCGTATCCATGCGAACGTTGTAGTTCGTCAACGTAACACCCATAGCTTGCTTGCCCATGGCCGATTGATAGGTGTTTCTGGGACTCTGGTTGTGATCGGGGAAGGGGATGATGCTCGCGCAAATACCCAAGATCATGGCCGGATGGATCTCACAATGAGTCCAGGTCCGCACGAACTTGTTGGGCTTCGCCTTGATTCTTCGGTGTGGATCATCCTTGGAGTCGGGCAGTTCATAGCCATCCCGCACCACGCGATGCTCTTCCAAATCTTCGGGCGTCATGATGATCATCGCCGTCTCCTCTTCCTCCGCATCGAGATACTCAACGACGCCCTGCTTGATGAGATCTCGCCAATGCATCCAGTTCTCGTTATCGGACGTATCTTCCTTTTCCTGCTCGCTGAGCCCTTGTGATTCGCTTGACTCGAGGAACTCCTTGTACCCTTTGAGCCTGTCGATATGCTCTTTCTTCAGCACGAGATGGCCGCGGTTCTCCGATTTCGGATCGTTGTCAATGACAAACAGCGGTCGGCACACGCGACCGGCATCCGTGAAGATCTTGATCTCTCGCTCGCGCACATCTCGAATGATGGTGACCTCGAAGCTGATGAGACCTTTGCGTCGAATCTCGAGAAGTGTCGATGTAAGTTGACCGGGGTTGCGATGCACTCCGACCCAAGTACCGTTGACAAAGACCTTTGTCGAGTCGGGGTTCATGATGGGGTCGTATTCTTCCAGCAGTTCCATGCCGCGCTGGCGCATGTAGTCCACCAGCGGCATCCCTGGTGTTCCCACAGAGACGTAACACATCAAACTGAGATTCTTGACCAGACCACAAGCCTGACCTTCGGGCGTTTCTGCGGGACAGATCAGACCCCAGTGAGTGTTGTGCAGCTGTCGGGGCTTGGCGATCTTTCCGTCTCTCCCGATGGGAGTGTTCGTTCTCCGCAGATGTGACAATGTGGAAGCATAGGTGTATCGATTCAGCACTTGACTCACACCAGCTTTTGCACTCGCCGCTTTCTTTTGGTCGCCCCAGTTGCCAGTTGCCAAACAGTACCGCAGTCCAGAGGTGATGATGTTACTCTTCACCGCCAAGTTCAAGTTGAACTCTTTGCCAGACTCCACACAGCGGTGGAGGTAGTTCTTCATGTCTTTGACCAGCTGGGAGAATTTCAGTCGGAAGACCTGCGCCATCAACGGCCCAGCCAAGTCGAGACGCTTCTTTCCAAAATGGTCTCTGTCGTCCTCTTCCGTCCTACCCAAAGCGCATTGCAGAAGTCGATTCACCATATATCCCAAGAAGAAAGCTTTGCGCGTTTCCGCGCCTTCCTCCTGCGAGATGTGTGGAAGGAATTCCTTCTGCATGATGTCGCGGGCGTACTTGATACGCTTCTCCTTGGACCCTTGCTGCTGTCCTCTTCGTCCGATGAAGTCCAGCGCAATGTCACGTTCTTGCACCACGAACGCTTCTTCCAAGCAGGGCTTGAGCATTTCCAAGATGGCCGTATCGTCTCTCCTGCAAATGTGGTTGAGGATGTCCTCGTCGGAGACGATGCCGAGTGCTCGGAAGACGATGGCGATGGGGATGTCGCTTTTGATGTACGGCAAGCTGACTTTGATCGTGCGGCCAAATGCACCGCCTTTGCCACCGTCGCCGCCGGCGAAGAGCTTCACCTGCATACTGCTAATAAGCCGGGTGCCCTTCTCCACCGCGCTTCGGATCTCCGCCACGACGGGAGTCGGCGAGTTCTTCTTCTTGAAGACTTGTACAATATTGGCCGCACTACGCTCCTGCGCGATCAGCACCTTCTCGCTGCCGTTGATGATGAAGTAGCCGCCTTGATCAAAGGGGCACTCCTGGAAGGCATAGAGCTCTGCTTCTGACCGGTTGCGCAGGGTGCAGATCTTCGACTTTAACATGACCGGCAACTTTCCGATGAAGACGCGCACTTCGCCCACATCGTTCTTATCCTCCGGGTCGTCCTCCCAGAACGTCTCGGTCTCTTGTCCATCCCAGTCTGCAGGTGGCTCCCATCTTCCAGTCTCTTTGTCAAACTCTGCGCCTGCTGGCCTCTCTTTTGCGAGGAGAACTGTCTTGTTCATGCCGAGATAGATGGGGGAGGAATATGTGAGGTTTCGTAGGCGCGCTTCGTGAGGGAACAGGGGTCTGGTACTACCATCGCCCTCGGTCATGGCCGCTTGACTGATCAAGAGATTGCCGAAGTGGATCTCATACCGCCGCTTGACAGTCGTGCAGCCTGTGCCGTCCGCTTCCCCTGCAAGATTCTGGTCGAGCGCAATCGAGCCGTGCTCACTGACGATTTCCTGCATGGTGGTGCCGAAGAATTCATCAAATGAGTCCAGCTGTTGCGACACGAGACCTTTGGCATCGAAGAAGGACTGGATGACGGTCCAACAATCTTCGGCGAGGATGGCGTTGTCTTGATCGAAGTCGCCATCGGTAGCGTCCATGCCGAACGTCATGGCGCCTTCATCGCCGTTAGTGTAGGCCATCTTTACGCCTCCTGAGAAGCGCTCGGAGACTCGGATTGGGGTGCCCTCGCGTGCGCCGTTGTGTGCACCACCTGTGAGGCACCGCGCAGGGGTGACTGCGACGCGCACGAAGGAGCGCTCTTCACCCGACTTCTGACAGGCGGCCGGGGCTTGACGAGGGAGACTGTTTGGAAGTGTCGTGAGGGCGCCGTCAAGAAGTCGAGAGGGATGGGGCGATGTTCAGACCCTGCGCACGCGTAGAGAGTGTGAAGGGAATATGAAGTTTGCTGGAGGCGTTGCAGTTGACAAAGATTCCAGAGCGGGAAGATCCGCGCTGCCAAGGTGGGTCTGATTGGCTGAGTGCACTCGACGCTAGCGCGTGTTGCCGCCGCTTGCGCAGACCCTCTGCACCTCGCTAGCTCTCGCATCTTCCCGTAACCTGAACATGCGGCCCTCTTCCATGGACGCCAAAATGATCGGTCGACGACACGTAGCTGTGCAAGAGTCGGAATCTCACGAAGAAGCAGGAATGAGGCAAAATGTCCGCCTCTTTCATCCGGCCGACTGCCAATCGAGCAGTGCATCTTCGAATGATCCCGCGGCCGTCCAACTTGGCGGAATCACGAGAGATCATGCGCCTGCTCTCGCAATTCGGAGAAGTCGAATACTTCCGGAGTTTGAAGTATGATGCTGCGTCTGCGCCAGGCGCTGCGCTGGTGATTTACAAAGATGCGGACGCGGCAAAGGAATGCTTGAAGAGAAGCCCGATCAGGTTTCGAATGGGAAGAGCGTCGGACAAACCACGAGCGGAGCAGCAAGTGTCGGAAGGGGACGATTCGTCGTATATGGAAGCGGCACCATCAAGCCTTCCGAGCGGTTCGCAACGAAACTACCCATCAGCTCAATCGCGAGGGATGTCTACTTCTCCCATCCCAACGCCTCCGCACCCGAAAGTCCGTATGCCCTTTGATCAGCCTCCACCTGCCGATCCCCCTAGACTCGACCAAGAAGACAGCAGGATGTTCCAGATAATCACCAATCGCAGCGTTCGAAACTTCCGCGACCACATCAACGCAGGCGCTTACCACGGCAACTTTGGCCTCGACCCCAAAAGTCCAGGGCAGGAGGATCTGGCGCGCAAGGTTCCGTATTCGGGCTTGAGTTGTGTGAATTGGAAAGCCGTCGATCGGCCGTGGAGAGTGATTGCTCAAGAGAAGCAGAAGTCTTCAACGTTGAGTCTTGGTCAGATGGCTCGGAGGACTCCGAGTAATACGACACGAGACATCGAGAGTGCTTCCTCCGATCGTGTTGACATAGATCGAAAGATCGGGACAGGCAAAGATGGCCGCCTAAGTCAAGACGATACCCTCGACACCATTTTGAAGGGGTGGGAAAGCATGTTCCCTGGCGGCTCCGATACGCCTCCGCCTACACAACGCTACTCGAGAAAGCCGAAGTGATGTGAGGATCTTGTCTCGTGGCGGTCCTGAACCGTGATGTAGCCATCCCACATGCAACTGTCCCGAGCAGATCGATAGGCTACTGCACGAAATCTTCGACGGCGAAGAAAGGCCCTACTCTTCAGAGCACCAGCCGTATTGACAACAGAAAGCAGTGAACGGCGGGGAATGGCCATAAGTCTGGCGGCTAAAAGTCAAGCTATGCCGATGATCAGAGGGACATGAGCTCTGGCAATGGGGGAAATTGCAAGCAGGAGAGGAGGGGAGACAACGTCTTGCCTGTCTACCGCATGGCAGAAGGCTGAAGCAGGTCATATCCAGCGGAGATAGCTTGCCATTCGAATCAACATACACCAGGTAGTGCTACGCCATTTGCCTGAGCGGCATCGCAACCAGCTTTGGTACAGGGGAGTGCGAAGATACACAGCCCACATAGTTTATAGCTGTGTATGGCCATCAAATAGACACCTGATGCCGGTGTAAGAGTGTCGTCGAACTCCTGATCGTGTCTTGGCATCCATGGCGTCATCGGCAACATACGTCAAGCTTGCCCGATGGCATATTATTTGAGCCGCATGAGGTGGCTTTGCTTCTGCTTCATCATTCAATCAACCCTTGGATAAGACACTACAAAATGTTGGCCAGCAGATCATTCAGACCAGCTGCACAGCTGTCACGGGTAAGCCTGAATCTCCCAAGCTCAACAACATTCCCATTCCCCCTAACACCAATGCCAGCAAGTCCGCCGCTACGCCTCCGACTCCTCCAGCAGCGGCAGCAGCAACGCCCTCCTGTACAGCGCCATCGGCGTCGGCGCCCTCGGAGGCGGCTACTGGTACCTCAACAGCGGCAAAGCGCCCGCAGCCGTGACGCAAAAGGTCAACGAGGCCGCGGCCAAAGCGGGCGTGGAGGAAAAGAAAGTCTTCCTCGGCGGCGACCAGGGCTTCATCAAACTGCCGCTCGACAAGGTCGAGGAGATCAACCACAACACCAAGAAGTTCCGCTTCAAGTTTGAGGATGAGGAGGCTGTTAGCGGGCTGCATATTGCCAGTGCGCTGCTGACGAAGGTGAAGAAGGAGGGGGCGGAGAAGCCGACGGTCAAGCCGTATACACCTACCAGTGATGAGGGTATGATATATGGAGTACAATGACGCCTCGTAGGTTCAATCGCTGATCCAATGGAAACACAGGCACAAAAGGCTACCTCGACCTCATAATAAAGAAATACCCCGGCGGCGCCATGTCGGAGCACATCCACTCGCTCAAGCCGGGCGACACGCTGGAGATCAAAGGCCCGATCCCCAAATACCCGTGGTCGACCAACAAGCACAACCACATCGCGCTCCTCGCCGGCGGCACGGGCATCACGCCCATGTGGCAGCTCGTGCGCGCCATCTTCAACAACCCTGACGACAAGACCAAAGTGACGCTCGTCTTCGGCAACGTGACGCAGGAGGACATTCTGCTGAAGAAGGAGTTTGACGATCTGGCGAGCAAATACCCGCAGCAGTTCCGCGCGTTTTACGTGCTGGATAAGCCGCCCGAGGGCTGGAAGGGGGGCAAGGGCTTCATTACGAAGGATTTGCTCAAGGAGGTCATCCCCGGCCCGAAGGAGGAGAATGTCAAGGTCTTTGTTTGCGGACCGCCGGGGCTCGTCAAGACAATTTCGGGCGAGAAGAAGTCGCCTGCGGAACAGGGGGAGTTGACGGGGCATTTGAAGGAGTTGGGGTATGATGATTCGCAGGTGTATAAATTCTAGATATGCCGCGAGGTTGGAAGCGGATGTATATAGACGTGAAAACCTGAAGGCATCTTCTTATCGTTCTACCTATGTCCTGGAAGACACTCAAAACACATAGCATTCACAGCATAGGTATCTTGGAGTTACATACTCAGATGCTATCCCAATGTCGTCGTAAGTCATCATCCCTCGCATCTCATCGTGCCCATAGTCCGCTCATCGCTTGTATCAAGTATTGGAAGGCCCAGCCTGGCCCTGCATACTCGCCTTAAGCGCTTGTTGCAACTCCTCATCCTCCTCCTCATTCCCCGGCGACTTGGACGCCGCAGACTGCCGATGCTGCTGCTCCAACAGCGACTGCTTCTTCACGTACTCCATGACAATCTCCTCCTCTGTGCGCTCCGCCTGGCTCTTCTCCCCACCGCCAGCTTTCGCAGTCTTCGCCGTGAAATCTTCATGCGTCGTGCCCTGCAGGTGTCCTCCGTCGCGTTCCGTGTCGATCATCACGATTGGCCCATCGCCCTGTGACTCGCGGACTGCGCGCTGGTAGTCTTCGTCGTCCTCCGTGTCGGCGCTACTGTCGAACTCTCGCCGGTGTTCTCGAAGACTGTTCGCCAGCGCGCGTTCCAGTTCTTCGTCGTAGAGCGGGTCTGCTTGATTGTCCTGCTTTTGGGCTTCAGCGGCACTAGCCTCCAGAGCCCTCTTCAGATCAGGGTCGTCATCATCGTTCGAGGGAGCTTGGGTGCTCGAGTGAGGCGTCCGGGATTTGTACAGCTCTGTCATGCTCGCGCGAATGGCCTTCTCCACGGCTTCGTCTTCGTTGTGGTTGCCTTTCGAGGTCTGCTGGACGGATTGCGAGATGGCTTCGTCAAGTTCGTCGTAAGAAAGATGCGATGCTCGATCCTCGTACGTCCGGGCATGAGGCGGTCCTGTCGGCCGGGCTTCGTCATGCAAAGCCGCACTCTGCTGATCGTGCATACCAGGAGTGGTGGCACTCTGGTTGAAAGCACCAGTGGAGCCCGTACGAGCTCGGGCAATGCTGCTGTTCCGACTGCGCGACTTCTTCTCTTCCCATCCGGCCTTGAGATCCTGCTTCCAATCCTGCGCCTTCCTTCTCTTCTCGTCCAGGATTTCGCGGACAATCTCGTCCGGGTTGCGCTTCTTCTTGATGTCCTTTTGCATGCCCTTCCAGCGCTGCACGATGATTGCCCTCTTGTCTTCCGGGCAGCGACTCCATTCATCCCAGCCCTGCGCGGTGCGCGAGGCGATGATGTAGTTCTGCACGCTGCTGCCACTCTGTAGCTTCAGCTCTTTGTACACGCCCTTCATCGTGTAGCCGGGAATCGCCCAAAAGGCAGCACTGGGCTTCAACACGATGCCGCCCAGTCCTTTTCCAAAGCCCTTTACAAAGCCAGCAGCGCCTTCCTTTTGCGCTCCTTGCACAGGCTGTGTAACGAATCCCGTGATGCCATCGTACAAACCGTATCCGAAGCCCTTGCTGGCCGCTTTCAAGCCCGTCCGGAAATCTGTAATCTGCTCAGTCTTGCGCACGGTGTCGTCTCCGTACAGTTTAGGTGCATTGTGAAAGCCCTTCGCAAGGGCCCATGAGGTATCCATGGGGGATTTGAAGGCGGCGCTCAAGATGCGTCCAACGCCTTTGCTGGTACCGACCGCGGTCTCCAGATAGTTGGTAGGCTCACCGCGTGGAGAGGCAGAGCGACTCGAACTCCCGGATGCAGAACGCTTTGCGGCCGGAGATGGTTCGTTTAGTCTACCACTAAGGGCCTCTTTGAGAGAGTCGCCACGGGGGCGTTGAGGTTCCGTCGCACCGGAGAGATGGCGATTGCTTGCCGAATCGGATGACCTTACGGTCGGTGCTGAAGAGTTCTGGCGGCTGTACGCTGGCGTGGAGGATTCACTAGTGATGGCAGTCTCTGTTCCGGCAGAGTCTTGGTCTGACGACTGTGTCGTGCCCTCCTTGGTTGTCTCACTATTCTCTGCAAGATCCTGGCCAGCTTCAGACGCTCGCTTCTTCTTTTGGGCATCGGGATGGATGTTGAGTGCTTTGAGGGTCTCGATCGGTAAGTCGGCGACTCCCATCATCATTTGGGTCACGGTTCCAACAATGGCCGTGGAGCTTCCTGTGATCGGGTCCCATGGTCCATCCTCTGTCTCATACTCTCGTGCACGGAAGAGCTTCAGGTCGCTGAAGCTGAGCAGACCTTCGTTAGCCAGAGTGCAGGCAGCCACGGCACTCAGCCTGACTTGAGTCCGTTTCACACGCCATACCGCCGGTCGACTCGGCGCGATCATGCATCGCAGCTTATCGACGTCCAGCATTTGGTGAAAGCTCTGCGCGCCGACATCAGAGCCTTTCTCCCTTGCGATCTTTGATGCAAGCTCCTTGGCTTTGGCTTGGCTCTCGGGCTTGAGGCAGAAGTTGATGGCGTCTGCCAGCTTCTCGGCGGTCAGCTCCTTGTGTGGAAGTGGCTCTGGACCTGCTCCAGCTCTGGCTACCATCGACCCCCAAAAGGGCTGGTCGCCAAAGAAAGGTACCACCACTGTCGGCTTGCCAGCTGTGATACCCGCAGCTGTAGTACCTGCGCCGCCGTGGTGAATCACACAGGAGACATGCTGGAAGAGCCAGTCATGTGGGACGTTGCCAAGCATAAAGACACCCTCCGGGATGCCGAGCTCTTCTGCGCCCATACCACCCCAGCCTTTTGAGAGAAGTACTCGTTGACCGGTGGTGCGTACTGCTTCAAAGATGAGCTCTGTCATGGCATTGGGATCATCCAGCACAATCGAGCCGAAGCCAATGTAGACAGGAGGCGGACCGGCATCTAAGAAAGCCTTCAAGTCGGGCTCGGGAGTGTAGTTGGACGCTAGATTCAGGAAAAAGAAGCCGGATATGTGAATATTCTGGCCCCAGTCCTTAGGCTTGGGGATGAGCGCAGGCGACCAACAATACGTGTGCGGCACCTTCAGCCTCTGCAACATCCCGGGCGCCCAGAGCAGGCTGACAGGCTCGAGACCGAGACTCTTCTGCCGGAAGCGATTGATGACATCGCCCAAGCCTTGCCAGGTGAGCATGTCGATGAGCGAGTAGCTGATGTAGTTTGTCAACTTTGGATCCGCGTTGGATGACTGAATGTTGGCGAGAGGGTGCGGGAATGCTTGGGTGGGAGAGTAGGGCATTGTGAACATGATGTGGAGGGGAATGCCCATCTTCTCTGCAATGTGTGCATGTGCGAAGCTGGGCGGATTTGCAATGATGCAGTCGGCGACAAAGGGTGTATCTGTCACATCCTCTGGAGCTTCACTTGAGTATTGCTCGAGTGTGTCATCCGCGGCGGCCGGTCCTAGTCCGTTGCCCGCTTCGTAGCATGATCGCCAGCACCCTCGTAAGTACTCGCCCACTTCTCTCCGTCGATTGCCAATATCACCACTTCGCAGGCTGTCGAATCCAGGCATGAGGCCGGGATTCTTCACCATAAATGCCATCAGTTGTGCAGGATCTCCACCAATGCTGAAGAATTCGAGTCCATTCTCGGTGACGAACTGCTGGAAGACGGGATGTGTTGCTAGTCGCACGCGGTGTCCATAGGTTTCTTGTAGCACCTTGCCCAACGCGACGAATGGTTGCACGTCTCCTCTCGACCCCACCACTTGGATGACGACAGTCATTGGCGGTGGAGGTGGTACGCCCTCCTCACCACCAAGAGAGGGAGGAATGTATGGTGGCGGCGGGGCAGGCTCATCGTCTCGAGCTTCCTCTTGGTGGCGTAGCGCCGGCGCAAGGATATTCGAGAGGGATGAGCTTCGTTGATCGATGCGGATATTGACACGACCGTCGTCTCCGACGTTTGCATTGGTGCCGAAGCCTTGGTGCTGGCTCTTGATTCTGCCCAGTTGTTCTCCGTAGGGTGGTGGTGGGACATCGTCCTGGCGATCCTGCTCTTCTCTTTCCGCCTCTGCGATTGCTACATCTCGGCCCATGTGACGGCGAGTTCGTGCAGAGCGGTCGGTGGCATCCTGCTCACTCGCGGCTGCGGCTTCAGCCTGTTCAATCATTGATCGGGGGAGCTCGGCCTGCTTGCCCCGCTCTCCTCTCCCTTCGGAGCGGTCGTTTCGTTGATCAGACATGGCGGGTGTGATATGGCAAAGTGCTGTGCTCTCATGTCATTCCGATGTCGTTGTTGAGGCCGTAACATTCGTCAGAACACGCCGTTAGCCAAGGAGGATCATAAGGAGGGGGCTTGGGGAACAAAGGGGAGATGCGCTGGTCACGAAATCCGGGGAAGCGTCGTTCGAAATTCAAGCTTCGAGCTGCGCGCGTCATGATTGAGGCGCACGTGAAGTGTGGCTGAGCTCCGCTGTCAAGGCGGGACGTTTTGAGCCAATCACTGCAGACATGAATCTACTTCACTTCGACATCTTGTCAATGACAAGCCTGGCTGGATTGGCAGGGCGTTGTCGCAGGTCTGGCGAACGACGCGCTTGTATCGTTCGTCCGCCATTATCTGACGGCATAGTGAGGGAGGACAACCGCATACGTGGCAGGGACTCGAGACGCGCCAGAGAAACGCGGTCTCTCCCACTCCAGAGCCCTTCAACCCAACAAGATCGCGTCTTTGTCGAGATCTTCGATATGCTAAAGGTCAGGCACCGAGGCTACAATCCGCGTCGCGTGTAACGCTCCTTCCTCATCAACTCCTGTACATCAGGCACCAACGCTAAGGCTTCCTACTCTAAGCCAACCTCACTTCCGTTTCCTACATCTACCTCAGACGTTCATCGATCTTCATCTCTCACTACGGCAGCAGCCGTTTGCTGCCCGTGCAACTCGCTTTGTTCTATTCCTGGCTCGGTAGTCTCAACCTGACGAGCACTGTCGCTTCGATATCGCCATGTCCTCCGCCCCTTCGAGCCCATCGGCTCTTCCCGAATGCGCTCCAGCTCCGCTCGGTCCTTCCAACCTTCCCCATGCTGAATCCACACGCCCATCGGGAGCGGGAATTCTAATGAGACCGGAACCCGTTACCATTGGGGAGCCCTTCAGCTTTGCCTGGCCAGATGCCAAGCGCAAAGCTGACACTCCCATGCAAAAGGCATCTGATGCCAAACGCAAGATGGATCCTGTTACGCAACACACCCCTGATGCTAAACGCAAGATGGACCCCGTCACACTAGAGCCACCCGATGCCAAACGCACACGGTAATTCACTCTTTACTTCTTGTCGAAGGCCGACGCTTACAAGTGTGAAGCCTAGAGTACAAGGACACCGTCACGGTGATTGCTGGCGAGAGTTTTCGTGAGCAGCTTTTCGTCGTGCACACGGAGATAGCCACGGCGCATTCCGATTTCTTCCGCAAGGCCTGCGGTGGAGCATTCAGAGAAGCCAAAGAAGCTACAGTTCGACTTCCTGAGATCAAGGCCGATACATTCAGATCTTATGTTCACTGGCTGTACACCGGCAATGCGCTCGTCACTAACAAGACCATTGATGGCGTCCAACGGCCTTACTTCGACAGCTACGCAATAAAGGAGCGCATCCAGCTCCTCACCGAATTGTACATCGCAGCCGACATGCTGGCGGACCTCCCACTTCGCAACGCCGTCATCGATGCCCTAGTCGAACATCTGTCAATTGGCGATTGCGTCTTGGCAGGCACGATTGAGATGACGTACACGCACACGCCAGAGACGTCAAAGATACGCAAACTGTTCGTTGACCACTGCCGAACTCTGCGCTCTGTCAATTTCTTCAAGGTTGTTGGAGAGCGACTTCCACATGGATTCTTGCTTGACCTTGTCATGGAGATGACCGGCACCAATCCTGCAGTCGCCAAGCTCACATACGCCGATCGATGCAGATATCACGAGCACAGTGAACATGTGCCTAAATGTGGCTCAGATGTAGCCACAGATAACGACATCAAAACGGAGCCCGGCAAAGAGACGACAGAGATCACGAAAGAGCGCGGAATGATCTCACGTCCCAGCAGATGAGTGTAAAGGAGGCTGCGAGCTCAAGCTTGGCGACGCTGCCTTCCTGCGCTAGCTACCCTTCAATCGAAACTGAGTATTCTTACGTTCCACCTCCCAACGCCAACGTAGTTGCAGTCATAGCCTACTCCGCCTTTTGCCCATGCCCATCCGTCTGCTCCTCAACCTTCTTTCCCACCCAATCGGGAGGCAACCCCTTATTCATCCTCACAATCTGCTCCTCCGTCCACTGCGGCCATTTCCTTCCCCCCTCATCACAATAACCCCACAACATCATATGCACCCACTGCTTGTGAATCGCCATCTTCCTCCGCACACACTCCCGCATGAGTAACTCATCCGGACGTAGCAGCTTCTCCCTCGGCTTCTGATTCGCAACCACAATCCTCTTATTCCCATGCGGGTAGAGCAGCTGCTGCTGTCGACTCTCCGACAACCCCGTCCCAGCAATCGAACGATGCGAGAGCGTGACCTTCCTCCCATCAGACAAGTTGCAAAACGACACGCCCACGCGCTCGTAATCCAGCGTGCCGACTTCGTACCACGGCACACCCATCACCGCCTGCTTGCGAATCTCCTCCGCCGTCCCCTCGGGATGCCCATAGCGATGCCTTACCCACAAGCGCAGCATATCAAGCCTCGTAAGCGGAAGCCGCGGCTGCGTAGGATCCCAGTTCCAGCCGCGCAGTACCCTCCAAAGCGGCGTCAGGCCGCGCTCGGCGAGCAGCATTTTGCGCAGCGCAACGCCCGTCGGTGTGCCGCCGCTGAGGTGGATGGGGTGCAGGTACTGGTTGGGGTGGTGGATGGGGTAGATGGGGGCCGTGGGGTTGGTGAAGCACATGTCGACTTTGAGCAGGAAGCAGGTCCAGAGTTGCAGGGTTTTGGAGGAGATGTAGGCGTGGGTGCGGATGAGGGCTATGCGGTGGGCGTTGAGGGGGAGGTCCATTAGGAACCACATGCGCTGGGGTTGTTAGTGGGAAGATGAGGAAGGATGGGATGGGTGGACACTCACTTTAATCGCATTCAATGTCCCGGCAGGACACCTCAGCCCGGTAGCATGCAGCAGAATCAACATATCCTTGCACACGCCATGCCTCCACGCAACCATCTGCAACCACCGCAAACCCGGCACATCCCTCAGATCATCCCACTTCTTCCGCACCTCATCCTCCTTCCCCTCCAGCCGCTTCTTCTGCCTCCGCGCCGGATCCTTGACGCAGAGACTCCGGTAGCAGTGCCAGGGGTAGATTTTGTCGGCGCCGGGCGCCCAGGTGCGCATGTTGGCGAGGATGAAGGCGGTGTGGTGGCGGTTGAAGAGGTAGTGGAAGGGTTTGCTGATGGCGTAGAGGGAGATGAGGGAGGGGATGGTGAGGAAGCTGACGAGGTGGAGGAGGAGGTCGTTGTCGCGGCAGATGGCGTGGAGGAGGCTGAAGCTTGGGTTGGGTTTGGCTGGGCGAGATGGGAGGAGGAGGCGAGGGTGATCGATGCGAGGGAAGGCTGATGATGAGGTTGGTGGGTGTTGGCTGCTGAACTCTGCTGAGAATGAAGTGATGCGTGGTGTTCCTGTGGAGTCGTAGGTAATCTCGATCTTGTTGTCGAGGCGGAGTCTCTTGGGCAAGGGTGGTCGATTGCCGCCTCCGTTGTTCGTCGACGATAGCGATTCAAAGGCATGTTTGTTGAACTTCTCCGGTGATGCATTCACTCGCCGCTGGAACAAGTCACCCAGCGCAGATGCCGGGCGCAAGTCGACAGCCGTCTCTCGACCGTCTCCTTCAGCATCCCGCGCCACCTCCTCATCTCCATCGCTGGATAGGCTGGAGCGGCGTCTCTTCCCCAGCATGCTCGCAGACAGACTGCCCTCGTTCAGATCCCTCTCTTCTTCCCGCTGCAGAGAAGGCATGCCTCCTAGGATCCCCAGCCCGTGACCGAGATCCATGCCTCGAAGCAGCCCTGACCCTCCTCGCAATCCTCTCGCCGTCCTCTCTCGCAATCTCCTCGGCCTCCTGCTCCGCCTGTTGAGCAGCCTGTCTCGCAGCCCGCACCTTTTGCTTATTGACTCTCTCCCGTTCCTCCCACTCTGCCTTGTCCTTTTTCGCGCGTTTGTAGCGATTTCCGAAGCCGCTCCAGGGCTTGAGGCCGCGGTCGGGGTACTTGCCTTCGTAGTGGGAGCTGCAGTAGAATGAGCAGAGGAGCAGGGCTGCGATTGTGTAGTAAAGCCGGCCGATGGCCATGTTTTGTGGACGAGTGGAGAGTGATTTGCTGTGAATGAATGTGTGGGAATGTGAGCGATGACCACAACAATATGAAGGGAACAATAGGAAGACGGAATAGAGTTCGCAAACGAAGGCGTGCGTGCTTTGTGGCACATATGATGTCGTCCGACTGGATTAGGAAGGAGCGGATGTTGAAGTTTGAGTCGGCAGACCTGCAAACTCATGCGTAGATTAACTGAAGCCTCATACAAAGGAAGTAACCTCACTTACGCCGCGTTGAGCGCTATACATCGGGGTATCATCCCATCCCAGATTTCCAAAACCCGTCAAACAGAGCCTGTTGAAGCGGCCGCGCCGTACAGTTCACCCACACGCCAAGAACACCTCGCTGAACCGATCCTTCTGATCTTCCTTCACTTTCTATTGAGCAGGCTGAGGAACTCCTCCCGGGTCTTGCCTCGCTTCCTCATCGCACCGAGCATGCAGCTGGTTGTAGTCATGGCGCCAGGCTTTTGCACTCCGCGCATCACCATGCACAGGTGGGAACTCTCCATCACCACGGCCACTCCTTGCGGCTTCAGGACTTCGGAGAGGGCAAGGGCCACTTGCTTCGTCAGCCGTTCTTGCACTTGCAGTCGCCGACTGAACATTTCCGCAATGCGAGCGAGTTTCGATAGGCCAATGACGCGGCGAGATGGAATGTAGCCGATGTGCATCTGTGCGTCTCGATCAGTTGTGTACACTCTGCAACGAGAAGACGGGTACGTACCTTGCCAGTAAAAGGCACCAAATGATGCTCACAGAGACTGTACACCTCAATGTCTTTGACGATAACCAGCTCATCATGATCCTCATGGAAGACAGCTCCATTGACAATGTCTCTCAGGTTCTCCTCGTAGCCCTTGGTGAAGAACATCATGGCCTTTGCATATCGCTCCGGAGTGCCATGCAGGCCCTCTCGATCCGGGTCCTCCCCAATGCATTCGAGAATGGTCCGAACGGCACCAGAAAGCTTCTTGAGCCTCGCTTCCGCTTCTTCGGGATGCTCGCGTTCCCTCAACCGGTCTAATGTCCCCGAGCTCGGCCATGACAGGCCATCGAAATCGATGGTGGGGTTTTGGGTGAAGGGCGAGATGGAGCGACTGGTCATGGGCGGGGAAATGGGTGCCTCGTCCCTGCGATCTCTGGCCTCGGGGCGCAGGGCAAGCGCTTCGATTTCTTGATCGCCGACTTCTTCATATTGCTTGGCTGCTTTGGGGGACGTTTGCGTGGGGTGGTGGTTCTCGTTTAAGCTGAGCTCGTCGAGGCTGATTGGCTCTTTGCGGGCGCCCATGGAGAATTTGATGGCATTGTATGCGTTGTCTCTTTCTTCTTTGTCGCGGTCGGCAGAATAGGAAGGGTGGAGGGGAGAGTGTCCGTTGATGAGGCGGGAGGGGACAGCTTTCGGCCTCGGAGCGACGGGAATGTGCTCGCTCTCCATCTAAGAGGAGGGAGGAAGGAAGTGGAGGAGATCGGGAGTTGCTGACGTCGGAGGACAAGACGAAGGATGGCGTGATACTGACCGCGGGTGGCTAGGCGTGATAGGAGGAATGAGTGATGGCAGTGTAATGGAAACACCAGTCCATAGTCCAGTGAGGGTCATCGAGCAGGAGGGGCCATCGTTGCAATTATAGCAGAGCACTTCGACGCATGGAGTCATCAGAGCACAAAAGATGAGGTTGGCTGAGCTCGGGCTCGGCAAGCGTCGGCGAATTTTTGCCTTTGTCGGTATCGCCATCCGTACTCCAGCGGCCTCCGCTTCCATTCTCGGGCGCGTGCGTTTCCCCTCTGCACAACACCTTTGCTCCTCCCCTCCTCCCTTTGAGCTGTTTTGCGTATTCAAACTCATCACGACCGCCCACGGCGTGTTTCAGAAAGCACAGTTGGACACTTTGTTTACGATGACGACCTGAATATCGCGTTCTCGGCCCGTTGCGCGGCCACGGCAGGTGTTGGGAAGCGCGTCTTACGGATGGCGGCAGGTTTGCTTCTCTGCTCTTTGCCCCGGCCGGAGGAGTCAGAACGCGTCCGGAGATGAGGTGAAAGGCTTGCTGCGTGCTCCTGACACGCCAAAGGTGTAGCAGACACCTGTTCCCGGACGCATGCTCCCTCGACCACTCCACCAGCTCTCCCGCAAAGAACGCGGCACTCTGTGCCCTCGTCCTTCATGCTGTGCCGGAATATGTCATGGGTAAGGCGGTTTAGATAGATTATGCTCGGATGTGATGGCACGTAGACTGCCGCACGCACGACGACCAACGCGGCCGAAGCCGAGAGAGAAGCATCCATGACAAGGTCGAAGGCCATGCCTTGAATCAACTGCAGCGGCGCCAACCTGGACTGGGACTACGAACGTCACTCATAGTCGCACGTCACGTTCACACGCCTATCGGGCGAATTGGCTCTACCATGCGTGCCATCATCGACTCCCCTCAGCCTCGCGCTCACGCCACCACAAAGCGCTTCGTGGAGCCAAAGATTACAGCATGCGCTCAAGAGATCAGCACCAAGGGACTGCTCGAACCCTACGTGGACATTTGAGACGCTTTCGACGATGGATGCTGCGAGCTAATGCTAACACTGCTTCCAAGTTCGGCAGCGCGAATGTTGAGCCCATCATGGTGAGCAAAGACGGCCATGGGAGAGGATCTTACTCGTACAGCAAACCTCGCCCGCCAGTGTAAGTCAGCCGTACTCTATCGTGCTCCTTTCGGCCTCGTGAGATCTGTCCGAATGCATAGTCTGGCGGAGACGAATGTGGGAGTGGCAAACTGTATTGCACCAGGGTTTCCTGTCCCCGTGGGAGCGTGCAAACAGTGCCCAGCATGTGCTGTTCCTTTACGACTCATCAACATCTTGAACCAGCCGGCCAGCGGTGTCTTCGGACGCAAGAATGGCAATGGTGAAGACGTGCTCGGCTGGTGAGGAAGTACGCCAAGGCCGGGCGGCGGCAGGTGGGGCGAACGGGAACCATCCATGACCGCGGCGACGCAACCACGCGGATTGTCAGTAGACCCTCCTCCACGGTGCCTGCAACAACCTGACAGGTGGGTGGAACGGCCAGACGGAGCATTGCACGGCATGCCCAGTTCGTGTCTTTTTCCCTGATCTTCTTTTCCCTCTGTCGCGCTGCGTGCAGCACGTGCTAGCCCATTTCACGCCTGCTGCCAGGCGTGATACGCTTTGCTCGCTTTGCCCGCTGCATCACTCCCCTACCCGCCCACTCCCTGTCCCTGTGCCACGCACCGCATGGCCGGGCCATCACCACAACCAAGCGATAATCAGCGGAGGGATCTGGAAGGCAGTCGACACCAGCGCAAGCGCTCCAGGAGTTCCGAGGACGTGAGGCGTGGCCGTCCCGAGAAAGCGGAACATCGTCAGCAGGAGCACGCCAGAGCGCCGAATAAGCCTGGCCATCAAGACCCACCTCACTTTCCCTCCTCTCGCAACCACCCTCGGCCATCATCCCCTCCACATCATCATTACGCCCACCACCGACATCGAGACACGGGCGCCAGTCCACGAAGATCGCCGTCGCACAAGTCGAAGAAAAGGTGGTCTCCTGGCGGCGAGGCATCCAGCCGCAGGCAGCGGAGTATCGACCGCCCAGCTCACCACCCTCTCTCACACAAACGCCGACACTCCCGTTCCCCTTCACCACCCATCCGCCACCCCAAGCGTCGGCGAAGTAGTGTCAGCCCTGTTGCTCTCGCGTCACGGAGTGATCGTCGGCTGAACGAAGAAGAATCCCGAATTGGATCCGCTGACAAGACCGCTGAACCTCACCGCCAACGATCTCGGTCAAGAGACGCTCCTCCGGGGGCTGGACCTGCAAGAGCAAGGCCTGCATCACCAGGGTGGTATCAAAGCAGGGAGGAGGAATATTCTTCCAGACATCATCAGGCTGACGAAAGGCGTGGCCATTCTCGATCTCCCATCCGGAGCTACAGAGGAGGAAGAGACAGTCGACGAGGCGGCCATCCATACCGAAGACCTGCATCTCCTAGGTCAAACTACGAACTCTTTCCCTCTCATCGGCCGAGGCACTCGCCCCCACCGCGCAGTGGGCATTCTGGAAGGCAGGGACGGGAAGATTTGACCCGCGAACGATCCACAAGTCGTGAAAGTCAGCGCTCCCGCCGCGACCATCCCGACAAAGATTCCGACATGTATAACCGAGGGCCTTATGACCCACGATACGGCGGCTACCCTTCACACCCGCCGTACAGCAACAGCTATCCTCCCTCCGCGCACGGTTCTTACGCCGGGTCCCCCGCCCACGGCTATCCATCACAACAATCGCCTTATGCGTATCAGCAGTCGCAGCCCGGCGTCCCATACTATCAGCCTCAGTCCGGAAAACAGTACGGAGGAACTCCAAATCATGCCCCTTATCCATCAAGAGCCCCGACTCGAGGTGGCCCTAGCGGAAGGGGAAGAGGTGGTCACTTTGCAAACTTGTCCTGGACTCCTGGCGATGGCACGAAAGGTGGGAATCTGGTGAAGCCTGGTGAAGACGAGAGGGGGCGACAAGGCTCATCGTCTGGGAGAGGCGATGCATCCGTCGTTGCCGATCCCGAAGATGACGACAACCCATTCCGGCCACCCGCGGATCTCAGGGCGGAGGATGAGAGCGCGAAAAAGAAGAGGAAGATTTCTACCGACCACGTGCCGATGAATACTGCAGAGGCCAAGGCGCCGGAGACCTCGAAGAATAAGATCTCCTTTTCCATCAAAGGCCGCGCGAGTGCTGCTGCGGCTGAAAAGGCACAGCCAGTTGCCCCCAAGCCCCAGACGACCTCGGAGGGCCCGAAGAAACTGCCCGTCGCCGTGTCACCTCTGGTGCAGAACAGCATACCCAAGAGCAGGAACTACGAAGGCAATACTCGGGTGGATACAGTCGCGCGCAGGCCATCGCCTCCGCCGGTGAAGGTGGAGAAGGTGAAGAAGAAGCGCATCAAGGCGCGGCCGGAGTTGAGCGAAGACTTTGCGCAGTCGGAGAGCGTGTACTATCGGAAGACGGGGAATGATTCCGTGGTGGGCAGCGGCACGTATGGCAAGGTGTACAAAGCCGTGCATGTGTATACCGGGTCGCCAGTGGCTTTGAAGAAGATTCGCATGGAAGGAGAGAGGGATGGGGTGAGTCAAGATCGTCTTCATTTCGGATCGGCGACATACTAATGATAGACAGTTCCCCGTGACGGCGATCCGCGAGATCAAGCTTCTGCAATCGCTGAATCACTTGAACGTGGTGGCGTTGCAGGAGGTCATGGTGGAGGAGAACGACTGCTTCATGGTGTTTGAGTACCTCTCGCACGATCTCACCGGCCTCCTCAACCACCCCACCTTCGCCCTCACTTCCGCCCACAAAAAGCACCTCGCAAAACAACTCTTCGAAGGCCTCAACTACCTCCACGACCGCGGCGTGCTCCACCGCGACATCAAAGCAGCCAACATCCTCATCTCCAACACCGGCGAGCTCAAACTCGCCGACTTTGGCCTCGCGCGCTTCTACCAAAAGCACGCCAAGCAAGACTACACCAACCGCGTCATCACCATCTGGTACCGCTCGCCCGAGCTCCTCCTCGGCGAAACGCAGTACGGCCCGTCGGTCGACATCTGGAGCGCGGCGTGCGTGCTGGTCGAAATCTTCACCCGCCACGCCATCTTCCCCGGCGACGGCGGCGAGATCAACCAGCTCGACAAAATTTACAATGTCCTCGGCACGCCGTCGCGCTCCGAGTGGCCTGGCGTCGACGAGCTGCAGTGGTTCACGCTGCTGCGGCCGCGCCAGCGCATCCCGTCGACGTTCGCGGAGAAGTACCAGTCTCGCGTGTCGGCGGAGGCATTCGATTTACTCTCGGCTATGTTCCAGTTTGATCCTACGAGTCGCCCTACTGCCGCGGACGTGCTGGAGCACCCGTACTTTACTGTCGAGGAGCCGGAGGCGGAGCAGGCGGTGTTGTTGAGTGAGTTGGAGGGCGATTGGCATGAGTTTGAGAGTAAGGCGCTGCGGAAGGAGAAGGAGAAGCAGGAGAGAGATGCGAGGAGGAGGGAGAAGGAGGGTGCTGCTGCTGCCGCTGCAGGGGAGAAGAGGAAGGTGGAGGAGGGGAGTGCGGGTGGTGAGGCGGTGAAGAAGGCCAAGGTTGGAGCTGCGGCTGCGGCTGTGGCGGCTTGAGGGTAGCGTCTTGAGTAGATGAATGGCATGACTTGTGGATTGAGTTGCATCACGAACTTTTCAGTTGGTGTTGCTGACCTCAACTGTGCAGCTTTCAGACGAGCTTCGCCGTGTCTCTAATACTCTTCTCCCGCGGGTGCTCGTCAACGCACTAGCTGTAACTCTCTCGCAAGACAGCCATGGAGTACAAGCCTTTGGCAACAATCTAGCCAACCCGGTCAAGGAAGAAAGAGGGTTCTCCACGCTCTCGAAGCTCACGTCCGGCCCCAGTTTGAGCCATCCCTTCTTGATGTCCTGGCAGCGGAGGTCGTTTGAGTAGCAGGAGAAGGTGGTTGCCGAGGAAGCTTCATAGCTCGCAACGGACGTCTTTCCTTTGACGGAATGAGCTTGTTCATGTTTCTTTTCATAGTTGCGTCGGTGAGGTGTCAGGCTGTGCCTCGGAGCGAACTCGATCGGTAGCTCGCAGTGGCTGTCGTAGAGTTGGGGGCTGTAGTATCGCGAGGCTTATGAGCTCGTTCGAATGCTTTAGAATGGGTGCTAGGGTGCGAGACAAGTTTACGTTGAGCTTTTCGAACACCGTGCTATAAAAGGTACGTGAGTTGACCGTTCGCAGGGAAGAGATGCTCAGCTCGATGGACTCTGCTCTTCGGGCTGTGACTTTCTACGCAGTTTCTCGTGGATGTTTGGACACTAGGGATGGGGAAATTGTGTTCCATTATGCTGTATAGGAGGAGCAAGGTAAGGTATATTCATCAAATCATGGTTGGAATTCCGTCCTGCTCTACGAGCTTCATCGAGTCTTTGCAATCGATCCTTCCGGAAATGAGCTTGTTCCTCCTCGTTGTGTGATGAAAGTGGTGCAGGTCGATCGTATGTGATAAGAGTGTTGCAAGATGATGAGTTCTGCTCAGGAAATGTGTTGCAGGGCAGAATGATATGTTTGACCGCTGTGGTGTCGAAAGGGGGTGTGTTGGGATATGATGCTTGAGATCGTGTCCGATTGAAGCTCCTTGCCAGATACTGGAGTTTGATGTGGACTTCTCGATCTGAGCTCTGCTGTCCAGTTGATCGGGGGTTTGCTCGGGACATCCGGTCTTTGTTGAAGCTTTGTCTCTTCCGAGCCGGCTCCACTGAGGTCAGTAGCAAGTGTAGTGGTTGAGACGGACTGTTCTCGTCGACGCTCCTCTTCGATAGAGCTTAATGTCGATTGCTTGCTGCCTCGACGGAGTTCGCCGCATGAAGTCCTTCGATATGCCGAGGATGTTGCAAAGTGGTGCTTCCGAGATGCTTGACTTCCGATAACAAAGAGCGCTGCATTGAGCTTTGCCATGTCGCGGAGGGGCTCGCTCTCAAGTGCATCTTGGCTCGTCCGCATCGTGGTCATGATAGTCGCAGCGATCCTCCATAGTCGGCAGTCGGAACTTGGTTGGATCGCCACCCATGGTCGCGTATTCTTCTATCAGATAGCGAAAGAAGAAGTCATCGAGCGTTCCCTTGCCGGCGACCCACACGTCGGTAGGCTTGGTCGATACCGCACACACTCGGATCCATAGTCGATGCATGGCGCCGGATGCTATCAAAAAGAGATGCTGAAACTCGATGTTGCCTTTAGCCCAGGTAGGTTTTACGCCGATCTCAATTGTTGTGTCCATGACCATGTTGCGGAAGGCGCTGTCCTCGAGATACTCTCCTAGCTTATAGAGCTCCATCAGATGTTCGTAAGAGTCTTTTGCCGCGATTAACGCCGAGTTTCTGTCATACATCCATTCGACGTAGATGTCAAAAGTCTCTGGGTCGAAACGGGGAATGTTGAGAGGGGGACCCGTCGTGTCGGCGTTGCGAAAGAGGTCCGACGTCTTCTTCGCGTCGCAAGGATACAGATAATACTTTTTCTGTTCGCGCCCTACAGACACGATGATGATGTCGTTGCAGTCGGCGGCTCTGTCTTCATGTTAGCTCTAGTGCACTCAAGCCGCATAGCGGTACTCACTTGAAGCGTTTGGCCGGGGGCTCCGCCATCTTGTGCTACTCCACGGTCGTTTGGTGTAGTCGATGATACTGCGGCTCTTGCACCAGGTGACGTTGTTGTGGAGATGGAAGTGCAGGAGGTAGAAGAGGAGAATAGAAGGTGGAAGAAGGGGTGGGAGAAACCGGGGGGACGGCGGCGGAAACGGGGGGGGCAACGGGGGGGAACGGTGGGAGAAGTTGGAGGAGAAAGGGGGGGAGTGGAGAAAAAGATGGGAGAAAAAGTGGGAGGGAGGATAGGAGAGAAGTGGAAAGAGAAAACAGGAGAAGTAAAAGGAAGAGAAGTTGGAGCAAAGTGTGAAATAGCATGGGTGTTCGTGTAAATACTCCTTGATATCACGTGGTTCTCCTCGATAGCTCCGCCTGATGCACGCAGTTCGAGCTCACGCTCTGTGTGCCGACGGAGTTGCAATATGAAAGATGATATGCTGGCCCTCCGCCTGGATAGGAGTCGAACTCACACCGAGTGTGCCGACGGTGTTGCAGTATGATGAGCTCAATGCCGGTGCTTCGCCTTTCACACAAGTCTAGCTCAAATCCAGGGCGCCCAGGGCACTGAAGGTTAATTGCTGTAGCGCTTGGCTGCCGATTTTCAGAGTAGGGCCTCTGCGAACTCCGAATCGAAGTCGCCGTCTCGGTCTTAGTTGCACCTTGGTTCGCCTTCGTCGTGGTCATGGTAGTCGCAGCGGTCCGCCATCGTTGGAAGCCGGAACCTTGTCATGTCGTGAACCATGAGTTGGTATTCGTGGAGCAAATAACCAGCGAAACCCTCTTCAAAAGACGGGCGGTCACCAGGCTTTGCTAACACAGCATACACTCGGACGAAGAGCTGGATCATGCAACCAATGAGGTCTTCCCGCAGATAGCGGTCTGGATCGTAAGCCGTTACCCAGCCATGGCTCGACCCACGCTCGATTGTAGCGTCCATGATTGCATTGCAGAAGGCCTTGTCTTTGAGATCTATCCCTAAGTTGTAGAGTCTCACCAGGTCGTCGTAGCTATCATGCTGCTGCTCAAAGTCCTCGTGGATGACCAGCTTCCCGTAGTAGGCCCATTCCACGTACGTGTCGAACATGTTTGGTATGTCCAAGCTGAGATATATTGGGACATCGCCGCCTGCTTTGTCGCGAAAGAACTTTGAAGTCTTCGTCGCTTGGCTAGTGTGCAGAAAGTATGTCTTAGCAGGCTCGGGATAGGCCTGCACAGTCACGGTAAGGATCTCGGTGTAGTTGGCTCTGTCTTCCTGTCAGTCCATGTGGCTTTGATTAAAGTCGCGGCACTCACTTAAACCGGTCCGCGGGAGGCTCCACCATCTTGTGCAGTTCACCGGGGATTTGAGGTAGTTGAAGGATTTGGGGTTCTTTTCCAGGAGAAAGTGTATGAAGGCGGGCGAAGAGGCGGGGGAGGCGGTAAGAGAGGAGGTGGCAAAGAAGGCCGTGGCAAAGGATAAGGGGAAATGTTAGTGCGAAGAGGACAATGAAACAGCCAAGAAGCCAATTTCCAATTGTGTTCCGAATCACGTGTTCTCACATGAGCAGCGCCAAATCGTCTCCGTCACAAGCATATCGACATTATGCCTTTTGAGGAAAGATAGTCAAAAAGTTAGGGGCGTGCGCAGTGTGGTTCCTTCTCGGCAGTCGAAATTGGCGACACCGGCGGCTTCGACGGGTAGTGCGAGGTCGAGAGTGATCGTGCATCGACGGGGGCGTGGCGGGAGGTGAGGTGGACTGGCTGGAGTTGAGCGCATCTGTACAGCGTCCTGCGGGAGGCAGTAGTCAGTGAGGGTACGACGGCACCTACGATCGCTTGCAAGCCGCGCATCAAGTTCAGGCTCGGCACATCTCCAGCATTTCAAAACATACTGCATGTTACCAATTTCGTCCGCGTGGAAAGTGGGAGTAGGACTGACGTGCGCGGGCGGCTCCAGAAGACCAGAACTCGGGCATGCATTGTGAAACGTATCGAGCCGCACCATGTCGTCTACGCAGGGCTACCACGATTCCTCTCCCCACCCGTCTCCGTCCTGAGGTCCTCCTTCTTAATCGTCTCGCTACTCTTCAACGCCGGGAAAGCAAACTTGTCCAGCCCGCCCTTCAGCCCCTGCCATCTCCCATACGGCTTGCGATTTGTCCAGACCAAAGCCCCCACCCACGGCTGCACATTCCAGTGTAGGCTCAGTGTCGCATTCGAGCGACTCGCAATCTTGCCCGAGATGTCGGTGACTTGGTATTTGGGTTTCTGGTCGTTGAGCTTAACGATGCCCGGGCTTTTCCCATGCGGATACGCCTTTGCCGTCTTCTTTGACTTGGGGTTTTTCTTGATTTTGGTCATCGATTTGGAGGTGGGGTGGATGTAGGTGTTGGGATGGAAGGGAGCGTAGTCGGAGGGTATTATCGCATCCCAGACGACGACTTCGGAGGGCGGAATCGTCGACGGTGATGAGGAAGGGTAGGTCGCGGTGATGTACATGAAGATCTGCTTGGTGTTCCAGTTGAAGAGGGAGGTGAGGTCTGCCGAACATTAGCAGGGCTCGTGAGCGCGAGGCTAATGGCGCGTACCCGTGTCGAGATCGAATCTCACGTGCGCGTACTCCTCCTTCTTCGTGCTGTAGTAATGTGGCCGACCTTTGACGCTGTATGCACGTCAGTTTACGTCAGAGTAACGAATGCTGCCATACGTACACTTGAACATTCTTCAGCGCCAGGCTTGCCGAAGGAGTTTGAGGACTCAAGACCACGCTGAGAGCAATGACTGCGGCGACGGCGCATGCGACGGAAGTGAAGAAACCGAAGACATTCTGGACTCGCGTCAAGGTGGAGTGCATTTTGGATCGTTATTTAGCGGCGACGGTGGTGTCCAGAAAGTATTGCACCATTGTTGACAACAACTCAAGGAGCTGTAATGTAAAGGGTGAGGTGGTCACTTCCCTCGGAGTTTCTTCGGGCCAGCAAAATTTGTGGGTATATAATCAATTCAAAACGCCAAGCCTGCGTCCTTCGGGACATTTGGTCAATTTGAAACAATACAGAGAAGATTAGCATGGCCCCTGCACTAAGGATGACACATGCAAACAAAGAGAGAAACAAGTTTTTTATTGCCCCCTTGTCAACCCGACCGTAGCAACATGCCCTCCGCAACTCCAGTGGATGGTGAGAATTTGTTTTTTGGGAGTTCTATGAGCCTGGCATAACGCGGTCGACACTCTGAAGAACGGTAGTGAGTCTCCACGGGAGAGCCGAGCGTATTACAGATAGCTCATCTATCTATCCAGTCCGTGTGTCAGAAGTATCGAGTGGCGGTCTACCATTGCCTGCCCTGGGAGACGATTAGTACGACCAGCAGATGGTGCAGTATTCGACAAGGCGCTACTCACCGTCTTGTGCTTCGAAATTGCCGTGCTCTTCGAACTTGGGGGGGTATAACTCTGTCCATCCCAATTCGCCAATGCACTCGACAACGCCGTCCCCGTCAGGGTTGGAGACCAGACGGTGGCGGTGGCGGTAGGACTGCCCAGACTGATCTGACTGACGAGTTTATCGCCCAATTGCTTGATGCTCGCTTCGAATTCGTCGTACGACTTGGCTGCCCAGTCGGCTCCTTTGGCGCCCGGGACGGCGGTGGCGCCCTTGAAAGCCACGTACAAGACGTCCGGCTTCCCGTGGCCGATGTTCGCGCTGACATGCTTGCCGAAACATGCAGTTCCGAGAGCCTGGGAGGCCTCGCCGGTCGATGCGCCGTTTTTCGGGTAGTCGTCGTCTCCGTTGGTGTCTCCCCAGACCCCATAGAACTAGGGCGATGGTCAGCATCGGGGGGTTTGCGGGCCTCTATTCACCCGCACGCACCAGCTTGCCATTGCAAACAACGGCCACAACGCTCAATGGCTGGACACCATATACGTGTGGATCGAACGTGAGATATCCCTTCTTGGTGCCTTGGTTGCCCAAGACAACGTAGGGATGGATGTACGGGTCCAGATCTTTGACTCCGGAGATGTTGTAGGAGCGCAGGGTATCCTCGAACGCGGTGCCGTCTTGCGAATCCTGCGGGTTGTCTCCTTTCGGCCGTCTGCCGTCGACATCGATCGCCATCGATCCCAGGCCTCCGCCGCCGTAGTGGATGTACATTACATTGTCCAGCTCGCAGTACGCCCAGTTGACTGCGGGGTATTATTAGCCGAAAAGGACATGGCGCCCGGGACAGCCTGACGTACGCGGGTAGTCGTTGTCTCCATTTCCGAAGCCGCTCTTGAGGGTGTGCGTGCAGTTCTTCTGCTTTGAAACGGTGTTGTAGAAGGTTTGCAGATTTGGAGGGACACTGTACGCATGCGCGACGGCTTGCAGCGCGCACAATGCGAGATAAAGTTGCCCGAACATGAGTGGAGATGATTGGGGCGAAGAAGTGTTGGACCTGCAAATTCCAACGGATGCCGGTTTTAAAGAGTATCTATGCAAGCCTGTGACGGCGATGGCGAGGGCGTTACTTATACTCAACGAGCGCCGCTCGATACGTCCAATGGCACAGCCTGCGGGTGACGCTGCAAGGCCCCACAGGCGCAGGCTCCAGCGTAGCCTCGTACATTCCGGCCAATCAGCATTAAGCGAGCCTTCTCGTACATTTTGGCCAATCGAGCACAACCTCTACAACCCCTATAGGCAGCAAACTCTCTTGCCGACGCAACGCCCTTCCGCTCCGAACCTTGCGCTCATGTCGCCAATCCGCAGAACAGTGTCGCTTGGGCGTGATTGTACCAGGTGCAGTGGCAAGACAATGACGACGTGGCAGACATCTACCCCTTGTCAGATGGATTCCATGGTATCGTCTCGTATCACCCTCATCGATCGAGAACTGCGCCGAAGGCCAACGTTGGAAGTTGAGCGACAGATTTGGCTCACTAGCGATTATTACGCATATTAGAACTGATGGAAGGTAAGGAACTCATTGCAACGAGCTACTGTGCTTTGCTTCGCAGACATCTGTCTGTGCTCTCCCTCTCATCTCTCAGGTATCGCCTTTGATAGTCCGCGGAAGACGTCTAAACCGAGCGTCCCTTCCATCGCCGATCCGAACGCTTCACCATTTACAACGTTCCGCTGAGTCTCCGTGGAGCTACGCCTACTCCTTCTCACGCTGCCCCACAGAGTCGTTGACTTGAGCTACGCCATGGTCTTCAGCGCGAGCTCCGCCGTGGTCGTGAACCTGAGTTCCGTCGTGACCTTCGGTATGCTCTTTGCTGTGGTCGGCAACGTGAGCTTCGCTGTTACCTCCGGCTTGACTCCCAATCACGTCTTCGGCACCACCATCGATCTGACCTCCGTGCTGGGCTTCCAGTTGACCTCCGCCGTGATCTGCACTCTGACATTCGTCCTGGTCTTCCTTCTTCTGCGATGCCGTTGAAGCCTCGTTCTGAGCAAGCTCATACTGACGAGCCCACTCCTCTCGAGTCTTCCCATACTCTGTCTCCGTTGAGGCTCGTGCCAGCTCACGCCTCGCATTCTCGCCACAGTCGGACAACTTTTGAATGCAGATCTCTTCTCCCGGGGGAAGACAGTCTGCGCGAGCATCCGCACAATCGCTCCAGGCTCGGCACATCCTCAGAATAGCATGGCTCCAGCGCATCGTCACATTATGCTGCCATACCTGTTAGCAACAGACATTGACGCAAGCTTTGGGGTCTTACATCGCGCGGTGTGCCGAGACGTTGTTCCTTCAACATCTCGTCGATGGCTTCCAACCTGTCTTTGACCTTCTGGACGTCAGACATATCCAAGTCGTCAAGAGCCCTCAATTGGTCGTCGATCTGCTGTTGGAGAACTGTCTGCTCTTCAGACCAGCGGTCGAGCTCAGGCTTCACACGCTCCATTTCTTCCTTAGCCTCCTTGACTTCTTTGGCCGAGCGCATACTATCGAGCACCCGGGTGAGATGCTGCAGGGCCCCGCTCGTGTCGGTATCGGGAATCCTCAGGAGATGTTAGTGTATGAAGCCTCCCCGATAGTATCGTCAGCTCCGACATACATGGTGCTTGCTGAAGCTGTTGTGCGCCGCAGTGAAAGGCAGGTTGAAGCGCAGCGATCCGGTGCCCGGTGAAGCAGGATTGTAAAGAGCGACAAGAGAGAGTCGAAAGAGCAGGCGGCAGGGTATAGCCGGGTGACGTAACTGTGAGTGCCTCGTTTGCCAACTCAATTCGAAATGTACACGGCAAAGTGTGAGGTTGTTAGATGCAGCTGCGGCATCAGCGGGAGCCTTCTAAATACTAGCGCGCGGCGTGAACTCTTTGGTTGCGGCCCGAACCGAAGGCTGTGACACCAAAGCCAAACTCACGCCGCAAACTCCTACGGATGATAATGTAATTGCTGACTAGTCTGGACTTCTTATAGCTTAGGTAGTCGATGTTGGACGAGAAAGAGTATCGTATTGTCACTGGGGCAGAGCTATGGCTATGGGCGCGTAAGAACTACGATAATTTGTTTCATTGATCTCCATGGCTCCTTGCCGAACTCTGAGCAGTGGCAGCCTCATCTCCTCCGAACGCTGCAGTGTTGTTGCGGCTTAGAGTGAAACACACTCATTGTGCCGAAGGTACAGACCTCATTGGCGGCTGGTTGATCTGTGCTTGAATGTTGTCTTCGTACTCTTGCCTCTGGCGATCCGACATCCCCGGGTTCATTTCGGGCGAGTTCTCCTCCTCGGCCTGGATAATTAAGTTCACACGATGCTTCTCGACGAATGTCTTGCCGAGAAATGTCACGCTGTTGAGCTGCTGCAGCGTTTCTTTGGCGCCCTCGCACGGCTTTGATGTGTTCATGTTGAGTGGTGGGTAGTCGAACTTGTCTCTCACGGCCAGGAGGGCGTTGATAGTAGCGAGGAGACTGGTGCGAGCTGGTGACTGCGGTTCGTGGGCCTTGAGCTCTTTTTTGGAGTAATGCAACAGCCCATCTAGGATGGCTTTCTTATGCTCCACCGATTGACCGATGGTATTGCGGACCATGTGTTGCAGCGACCTCATCAAATCACAACCGTCGCGTAAAACATCGTCAGGCTGTGGTCTTTGTCAGTCTCGGAAGAAGAGGCAAGGATCGGACACATACCCCGTGTTGGAAGAGCTTGCTTATACTCTCTACCATTAAGTTGATGCCGTCTGCTCCCCCGTCCATCCTGCACGACTCTTCCACGGACCAAGGAAGTACGTCGAACTCGCGCAGGACGCTCTCGATTTCTTTATTCTCACGCTGGAGCTCCTCTGTTTTGACTTTCAATACTTGCAGCTTGTTGGCATTTTCCTTTTTCTTCTCCTCCAGGTGTGCTTTGATATCTTTCATTGGTTGAATGAGGTCTACGCCGCTCTCATCAGAAATGGAAGCCCTGGTAGTGATTAGCTCTCAGATCATGATGTATGTGAGCGCGGCATCACATACATTCTGCAAGTTGCCAGTGCGCCGTACTATTGCGAATAGCCAGATTTTGTATGGGGGTTGTGAGAAGAAGAAGAAGAGGCAAAGAAGGAAAGAGTGGCATTGATCCGCGCAGGGGCCACTTTCAGGTGCCTTTACTCATTGCACGTGCTTGTGTACTCCTCACTTTGTTCCCAATTCACGTGCCTGAATACTTCCTCACTTTCACTTCAATAACTACTGCACGTGCTCATACAGCTTCTCACTCGGATACCCATTTCATCGAGATCTGTTGCTTGTGCGTTCAACGAAGTGAGCGAGAAGTGAGGTTGGCTGCCAATCAATTACAAGGCTTCACTTCCGCCTGCGCCGGCCCCCGCCGAAGGCTGAGCCCGACAAAACTTCACTTGACGTTCGAAAACATACCAGTCCTTCCCATCACTCTCTCGTGGCTTTACTTGGTTTGCGCCATCATCTGTCCTTCACTCATCGATCGGCCTTCTAGCCCTCTGCTTCTCCCTCTACCTTCTCTCTACACACTCATCCACCTCGCCGATGCCAACAACTAGCGGACCACAAACGCTAGGAGGCCGCTAAGCGAGCAACAGCTTCACCTGACTGCGCTCACTCGAATCAACAACGGCATCTACAACGAAAGATCTCTTCAATTCAAACAGTTTCAACTCAGTCACTTGAGCGACGTCACATCATCTCACTCTTAGCACAACCCCGAAGCCATGTCCGACAATCCCTCACTACCAGCCCACGGTGTGTCGGCGGGCACGCACACGACTGAGGTCCTTGGCAATGAGAGCTCTGCCTCGAGGTTGACCGAGGGCTTAGAAGCGTCGGGGTTTGTGGGCCGTGAGAGCTCGGCTGATGGCGAAGACGAAGGTGCAGATGAATACGATGACGAGGACGATGACGAGTATGGGGACAATGAACAGATCAGACAATATCTGCGGGATCATGGAGTCGCTCCGCCGTACCCCTATACCCTCATGGAGATGGTGAGGTGGAGACACTGGTGGGGCCTCGGAACTCCAGAGCCAGACAGTGGCAACGACTATGATGAAGACATGGATGACGAAGAGGAAGACATCGACGAAGACTTCGTCCAATTCGAAGCAGCCTACCCGGACATCAAAGTTGATGAACACTCAATCTGGATGCACTTCAACAAAGATCTATGGCCGAAACTCGACTTGAGCAAGCCCTACGTCGCTTCCATGGTGCGTTGGGCATGGGATGGGTCCATGGCGGTCGGGTACCCCGGCCCGTCTCACGAACATCTGGTGGAGTTCCAGAAAGCGAAACGAGAAAGCCTCAAGAGCTCCACCTGCGAGGAGACCGAAGCCTATCACAATTGGATCAATCATCGGTCTACTCGTGCCGAGAACGTGCATGTCCACCATGTGCACGCCAGTCCGATGGTTGTCATAGAGAGAAGTCATCACGCCAGGGAAGAGCTTGCGCGCGTTGATGATTTGCGTTCTTTCTTGAAAGAGCTCGAGGAGGAGGCCGATTTGAACTCGCAAGCGTGGGAAGAAGGGACGGAGTGGTCTGGCTTCTCGTCCTAGCCGAGGTGGCATGCAGACATCATCGAGTAGAGCTACGAAGGAGAGATCGTGGATAGTGGGAGGGCACTGGACATTCACACGAGACACAGAATGAGATGACAAGGGAGCAAGCGTAGTCTCACTAATCTGAACCCCAACGATCAGCGAACATACGAAATTGAACTCAGTATCTTAGTCCTATGGTCGTACCACATCAGTTGGTAATTTCCCGGTAGACTCCTAAGAAACAAAGGTATAAGGACTCATCAGCTCCTTAATCGTCTTCCGCAGTTTGAGCCGGGTATTACCAACCGTCGCCCCCTGCTCACCAAGCTTTCCGCTTCCACATCCGAGGCTTGATTTAAGCCATGTCCGCCCCAAGTCTGTTGATCCGGCGATGTCGTGCGCGGTAGATCCAGCTGGCCGGACGTTGCCCTTTTTTCCTCGACCTCAGCTATTGCCATTCTTTTCGCGGCCTCGAACATAGCCCTGTAATCAGCTTGAGCTCTGGAGTTATCGTCGGGATCTTGCCCAGGCCCCGGAGCCCATGGTCCGTAGGACCGGAGCGCTGGGTTGTGGGCAGTCGTAGACGATAGAGCTATCGTGGCCGGGAGGTTCGTCGTAGCTGGAAGGCCTGTCGTGCCGGGGAAGCCCGTCACTGGGGTACTGTTCCTGGCGCACATAACGTGCCTGCCAGCACCGCTCTCTTGATGTGTTCGTAAAGTCTCATGCGCCTAAGCTCTAGAGAGTCGCCAAACCGTTGCTGATTATGTCTCCACTCAGAGTGCCGATCGCCAGGTGTCGGAGCTGGGAGATGGGTCGTAGCTGCATCGTGTGCTGTTGGCCCTGCTCTTTCCCGAGCTGCGTCCAGCTCGTGCACCCGATCGTCCGTTTTGACTACCACCATGCGAGCAGCCGGGACGATGTTCATTGGTACAGCATCGCTAGCACATCCATGCAATTGCCAGTTGCGATACGGCAGAGTTTGGTCGCAGGAGGAGAGCTGCGAATTCTCTCTCTTCGCCTCCAGGAATCGCTTGAGGTCGTCTTTGCATTGCCCAATGGGGCTCATATCCGCCGATGCGACTGCCTCGTAAGCCCAGCAAACCACATCGGCGATATGGCGTTGGTCCAGATCAAGTGTGGGCAATTTGTCTTCGTTGTAGTGCGCCCAGATGGATTTGGCGGCCGTGTTGATGGGACTGGTGTCCGTAAACATTTCGAGCTCGGGCTGTCCAGAGTCGTCTCCGTTCGGGAATGCGTTGTGGGCGTTTGCTGCGAGATACTCTCCGTAGTTTGCGGGTATCGAAGACGGATTGCCGTTCTTTGCCTTTGGTGCCGATCGCCGCTTCATTACTCTGTTCGTTGCCATGGTTGAGCTGTTTCTGAGGCGTAGCGAGTGAGAGTTGTGGGTGGGAAGATGGAGCCGAAGAGCTGTACACTCACGTAAGTGAGTGACCAGTTCCGCCGCAAGGGCGCCTCATACTCACATCGAGGCCTGGAACTCGCAAGCAGGAGTTCGAGGAGATTGCAGAGGCTGAGGAAAATCCGCAGGGCTCAGTGAGCTTGGAATGTCTTCCAAGCTAGGTCGTGATTGTTGATGTTGTAGAGTTTTGGGTCGAAGCAAGCCGGTAGGAGGAGGTATCGGCGGGATTGGCGTCCTCGAGATGCTGGGGACAAGTGAGGAGAGAGTGAACGAGACATGAAGACAAGAGAAGACTGAAGTGCAACTGAGATGATGTTAAAGTGAATGGAAGGAAGATCCACTCCGAACAAGAATAAGAAAGAATGTAAAGGCGATGACTTGGCCTGAAACATAACATCCCCACGATGTAATGACTTGAGGCGCGGCTTGAGGCTGTCACAAGTATTCTCGGGAATGAACAACAGTCCAAAGAGCCCGCTCATGGTCGGAGAAGGACGCTCTCATCGGCGGCCCCGAGGCACGGCTGTCAGTGCCGGTTTGGTCACATCTCCTTTCTCTGGATCCCGAAGCAGCAGTTTCGAAGTGCTGTAGGGTATTTTGAGGCTATTAGCAACTGCAGAGAGCGCGCCGATGACCGAAGAGCAGCGCCTTTCATCGACGGCTCTGGTGGTCGGGCTTTGGTCGTATCTCCGCCATCAAAGTTTGCAAGAAGCAGCTATAGATTGTTGCCAGTGATCTCAAGGATGTAAGTAAGCTGAGAGAGGGCGCCGACAGCCGAAGACCAGCGTTTCCATTCCAGAAACGTCAGACGGTTGGAGTATCCTCACAGCACGATGAAGACGCGAAGTCGCGACGGAGTCCGTGCTTCTTATAATGACTTTGCGCTAATCTTCCAGGGTTCAGCTAATCCATATCCGACCGCAGGCGCGTGGATTGAGCGGAGATCGGCCCGCAACTTGGGCCATCGCGAACACTCCCGTTTATACTGCCCCCCTATTGATCGCGTCGCTCACGGCCCTCCCTGTGTTTCTTACTCGTGTTCAAGCCTTGTCATGGCCACTATGTCAACTCCAGACGAAGAGACACCCGTTCAGCCGACTGAAGACGAGTCGTCGCCACCTGAAGACGCATCGCCCTCAACTGAAGACGCCTCTCCTCCTGCGGAAGATCATCCGCCTACAGATGATCTTCCACCTCCTGCGAAGCATGCGCGGCTTGATGCCGAACCGCGAAGCGTGCTGACCGTGCTGTCCGTGCCAGAAGGATTGAAGTGGTGGCGAGAAGCCTTCTTCGCCCCTCCAACCCAAGGCCTCGTGGTTCATAGGCCTTTCTTCGAGGAGGTGTGGCCTTTTTGCGACAATTTCTGGTCGAAAAGGAACACCAACAACGTACTCTCTACCGGTGAAGTGGTGCAGAGATATCGGTGCCGGCTCTGGCGTAAACAGGCCGTCTCGTCAGGCCAAGGCCTCCGCAACAGGAAAGTCGCGGTTGCTGTCGAGTGCCCTGCTACCTTGAAGATTACCTTCCGCGGCCCGACGGTCATTCTTACGGGGTCGTCGACTCTCCAGCACAACCATGGAATGGATCATATGGATCGGAAGAAGCGCAACTCTGCCTTGCGAATGATCGCGGCGAGCGAAAAGTGCAAAGACGATGCTGCAGCCGATGTGTTCCACAGACTCACCGACGGCGACGATGAGGCGTTTCGACAGATGATCATTGATGCTGGCGGTGCGCATCTGCAACGAACCGACATGCATAACGCGCGAAAGATAGCGACCAAGGTCAGAATTCGGCCACTCAGTGAGTTTCCAAAGGATGTTCCGCCTCCACCGCCGCCGCCGCCAGCACCACCGCATGCCAATTTCCGCCCGACTGCTGTCGGCGCACCTTTCGTCTATTACCCAGCCCAACCACCGCCGCCACCACTGCCACATCAACATCCGCCACAGCATCCCCAACAATATCCACAACAGCATCCACAACATCGCCCGCCACAGCATCCGCCACAATATCCACAACAGCATTCACAACATCACCCGCCACAGCATGCACAACATCATCCACAACAGCATCCACAACATCACCCGCCACAGCATCCACAACATCATCCGCCACAGCACCCGCCGCAGCATCCGCCGCCGCAACAACAGCATTACGCTCCTCCAGCTTCCCCTCCCCCCGAAACGGGCGGTGAGCGAACGACGAAGCATGCCATGATGGACGTGCTGCGTCAACTACAGCATCGCTATGAAGCCCTTGAGAGAGAGCTGAAGCGTTCGGATACCCACCCTGCCTACCAAAATGCGGTTCTTGATCGCTGGGTAGACATGTTTACGAAGGCCAGTGATGAGATCAAAGCCCAGACGCTCCATGAGCTTAGGAAGGACCTGCTTCCGTTACCACCACCGCCTCAGACCGCCGGTGAGCCCAAGGGCCAGGAGAGCGATTCGCAGCGGATACCACCGCTTGCTGATATCCTGAAGCGCACTACCACCGCCATGGAGGAGCGGTAAGTGGAGAGGGAAGACGATTAGCAGGCAGTCTGCTTAGCGACATCGATGTTGATTAGCGCTATTCACGAATCTGTTATACCTGCATTTTCAGCTCCAAATGGTGTATTCTATCAATATCCTTCAAGGTACCCGTTGCAACCGGGGACAAGGCAAGAGAGCAGGCTGAACCTTATTCCCGCGAACCTTCCATGTTGAGTTAGCTTGGAATTTGCGCAACACCCAGCACCTTGCATCGACCCACGTCGCTTGCTCCCCATCACGTCGTAATCGCTGCTCTTTCAGCGGCCCGTCCCCACGATGGTCAAAGCCCTCACATTCAAAGGCGACAAGAAGGCGAAAAAGCGCAAACGCACCGCAGCCGAAGCCGACGATGAACCCTCGCAAAGACCTCACCCCAGCGAGAACGAAGGCGGAGCAGAAGAAGACGACAACTGGGTGTCCGCCGAAAGCGTGACCGACATCTCCGGCCCCGTCCTCCTCGTCCTCCCCACCGAACCCCCGACCTGCCTCGCCACAGACGCCATGGGCAAAGTGCACGCCAGCGCAATCGAGAACATGGTCGAGGGCTCGCCGCACACCGCGGAGCCGCACTTGGTGTCGCAAGTCTGGGTTGCAACACGGGTTGTGGGGTCGGAGAAGGACTTCACGTTCAAGGGACATCATGGGCGGTATTTGGGGTGTGATAAGTATGGGATCTGCTCGGCGGTGCGCGAGGCGATTTCGCCCGAGGAGACGTTTAAGTGTGCGGCTTCTGCGGAGGCAGTGGGCATGTTTGATATTGAGACGGGGAGGGGGACGTTTATCTCTGTTGAGGGAGAGGAGAATGCGCCGCAGGTGAGAGGGGATGCGGAGGGAGCGGGAGAGAAGACGCATTTGCGCGTGCGGATGCAGGCGCGATTCAAGCCGAAGCATCAGGTGGAGAAGGCGGAAAAGGTGCGGGCGAAAATTAGTCGCAAGGAGTTGGAGGACGAGGTTGGCAGACGGCTGGAGGATGACGAGGTGAAGGTGTTGAAGAGGGCGCGCAGGGAGGGCAACTATCATGAGGCGATGCTTGATGTGAAGGTCAAGGGGAAGCATGACAAGTATGCGTGATGGGAGCACGCACGGCGCATAGCAGCAGTGTCTTCTGCAAAGCCGACAGCGCTTGATCAGGGTGCGCCACGATGAGACCAGACCGACGCAAGGAAGACGCGACATCCAGTCCGGTGCGACATGGCACAAACACAAAAGCTGGTCCAGTCCAGCCTTGGTGACTTTCGGCAGTTGATGACGCAAAATTGTGAGTGAAACAAGCGGCAACACCGCCAACACCGGCCTTGCGCAAGCGAGTTGTTGTGCGCCGACATCTCTGTTGTACACAGTATGACGTCTTCGGCATACTTCCGGATTGGTTATGCTGCGGATTCCCAGCGCGGCTGGACTGTCAAAGCCTGGTTGAAGATTGGTGAAGAGAAAATCGACGATGTCGAGACACTGCTGTTGATTCTGTGGCAACACGCAGGTAAATAAAACAATGATTGCCTCTGGCACAGCAAACTATACGCGCACCGTTGCCGCTTATTTCATGTAGATTGGATTGCCGACGAGCCTGTAGGAGTGTAATGAGAAGGATGCTTGGCAATCTCCCGAATCCAGCCAAGATAAGCTCGACCACCGGGGGATATGGACAAGCGAGGGTGTTCACCGCGTTGCACAGTGTCGTGTTGCCAATAATACACATTAATTCTTCGAGTGGCAGGAGGCGAGGCTGCTATTCTACGACATGATGCAAGAATTACACCGTGAGGAGGAAAGCCGGGGATGTCAAGTGTCTCATGCAAAAAGAGGGCGGCTGGAGATGCCCGATGCCCGATCCACGTGGGGCGGCGCGGCAGCGGATCGCCCACCTCACGAAATGCACGCGAGCCTGCGAATTTCCGGCACTGTCGTTGGGGGAGCCCGCACCGTTTGGCTCGGCTTGCAATCCGTCTTGTTTGTTTAATTAGCCGTTGGAATAAGTGTTGGAGCAACAAGCGGGGTCTGGGCATATGGCCTACTTGCTGTACACAAAGGCACCCTAAGTGCAACACCCCGCCTTGCTCATGCACAGTGTATGAAACCACCCTGCGTCGGCAAATTCAAGTGGTTGGTGTGATGGTGATACACAAGACAGTGTGTGACACCCGTCAAAGTGCAGCGGCGGGAGGACGAGGGCGGAGGGTGAAACTTCTGTTGACCACTGGCGCAAAGGATTCAGGAGGTGTCGTCTCCATCGCATTCTGTGATTGGCCGCAGCCCCTGTGCCTAGGCCGCTTGTGGCAGGTGGGCGGAGATTAGGCGGCCGTGCACTGCCAGGAATAGAAGTGGGCCGTGGCGAGGCTGGGGCGTGACTGGCTGTTGACACGGCGCCGGCGGGCACTAAACGTCGACGGCCTCTGCCCTCTAACCGATCATCCGTCCTTCGTGGGTGTCACGCTGCGCGCGCCGCCCGCCTCTTCGCGCGCGCTCGGGCCAGTCGCAGTGCGCGCAGGACCTTGATCCTCGCGCAGATGAGCCCGGCACGCCTCTCCAATTTCCCCGTCGTCCTCCGTGCGCCTGTCTTTGCACTAGCCGGCCCACTTTCATTATTTGAGCAGCCGGGTACCTGCATCTCGCCCTTCGTCCCCTTCTCTTCTCTTCCCTTTCTTCTTTATTACAATCCACCCTCCCGCTCCCAACTGTCTCCCACTCGTTTGCGACAGTCACCCTCACTCCTCACCACCAGTCACTCGTTTTACCCAACACCCAACCAACACCATCAACATGCTCTTCAAGACCTTCGCCGCCGCCGCCCTCGTGGCCACCGCCGCTGCCCTGCCCGGCAAGAGCGCATACTCGTCTGCCTCTTCCTCCGCCGCCCCGGCATCCTCCTCTGTCGCCCCGTCTAACCCGGTCTACGGCGCTCCCTCATCCACCTCGACGCCCTCCAACCCGGCATACGGCGCTCCGTCCTCCACCTCTACGCCCTCCAACCCGGCATACGGCGCTCCTTCCTCCACCTCCACGCCCTCCAACCCGTCTTACCCCACCAGCACTCCTCAGTCTCCTCCCAGCTACCCGACCAGCACCCCCGTCTCCCCCGTCTCGCCGCCGCCCTACTCCACCCCGTCGCAGGCGTGGCCCTACGGCAGCCCGACCGGCACCGGCAGCGTGTGCGTGCAGACCTCCACCCAAATCTGGCGCAGCACCACCTCCGTCACCACCTACGCCGTCTCCGCCTCCAGCGGCTGGTCATCACCCTCCGGCTACACCACCGGCGCGTGGCCCCCGAGCACCGGCGCCGCCTCGTCGCACTTCTCCAACGTCAACGCCGCCGCCGTCGCCGGTCTCGCTGCCCTCGTGGGCGCGGGTGCTCTCCTCCTGTAAAGCAGTGGATAGAGCTGGGGGTCGTCATTTGTTGCATTTACTTCGCCATGGGTTTGCAGAAAGCTTCTCGCTGCACGCTGCAGGGTGTTTCGGCGATTTGAATCACTATCACCTGGGGAACCTTCCTTTTCACCACCTCTGAGCATCGTGACGGTCGAGTCCCGACGAGCTTTTTAGTCTAATGTCTTAATCTTTATTCTCTCATCGGAAAAATCTTGCACCGTCTGTTAGATGTATATACCACATGGTCGCTATTCATCTTCTACACACACTTGACCTCTCCTCGTGCACCCTTCTTATACTCCAGTATGCAAGTTTCGCAATGGTCGAATATGAGCTACGTCTTGCACAAGGCAATCTTGATCGACGACCGGTCGCATTATCGGAGCCCGCTCACCGCCCCACTGCCTCCTGACCCCAGTATCTTACCGCCTTCCAACAGCCGCAAGTCTTTAAAACTCCCAGCCACCCACAACAAACAATGACACAGCGCACACATCAAAAGAGGTAGACACACACGAGGTGGCGGCGGGCGGCACGATGAAACCCTCCGCCCCATCAATCAAAGTCACTCACCACTGTCAAAAAAATGTGACTGCTCGCCTACGGCGCAAAAATAGCAGCAGATGTCAGACGCACCGTAAAAAGATCGCCGCTCGGCAGTAACGTCGCTTAGAAGCGTGCATGGCTGTGCCTGCCACTCGGCTCCACTGGCCCACACCATCCGATGGCGAGCGAGAGAATGAGCCCTTTTTTCGTGCGCGGTGGGTTGGGATGGGATGGGATGGGAACGCCTCCGAGCAGTTCTGCGTCGGGGGTTTTGATGTAGAAATGCCGTCGGGAAGATGGAGGGGAGAAAGATGGACTGGGGGCGTTAGGGGTGCGGCGTCGTAGGGTTAGAGTTGGGGTTCGGTCGGAGCCTCGCATGGGCTCTTCTCTTTTTACATATTTGATGCCATGTACTGATGGGCGGGTGGCCTATGTCCAGGCGGTAGCTGTCCTTCGAAAAGCTACAATAATCGCTGCTTTTTTGGCGCCGCCGAACTCGTCCTATAGGTCATGATTTCCTCGTAGACGAAATAGTCTTTCACAGCCTTACAGCTGCAGCAAACTTCGACTTTCACGCTGGTCATGATCTGCCTCACTGCAACATAGCAAAACACCAGACGTCGAAATTACGAAACGGAACTTATCAAAGGACACAGCTACATCATCAATCGGCCATTAATACAACAAGATATTTCAAGCATGCCATCTAATCTATCCCGAGTAGCTGCTCAATCCACCTTGATCGCGCTATAAATACGCCGGACAAAAGCGTAGGCCGTCAAGAAGCCGACGGTGCCCATCAGCAGGCCGTAAATGGAGCAGGCCAGCAGCGTGTACGCGAAGAAGAGCAGATTGCTCACGAAGCCGGTGAGGTGCAGCGCGTGGACGTAGTAGTAGACGCTGTACGCAAAGATCCACGCGGCCGAGGCGGCGCCGAGGAAGAAGGATTGCCACCACCAGTGGTAGTTCTGGGGAGGAGTTAGCTACTGTGGGTTTCTTGCACGGGGCTGGGAACTCACCTCCGAGCAGAGCTGGATGTACACGGCGATGATGGTCGTCTCCATGACGGCGAGAAGGAGAATGGTGGAGACGACGGCCAGGTAGCCGAAGATGTAGTAATACCCAGTCTTTTGCGACCACAGGCTGTGAAAGACGAAGAGAAGCTCGATGAAAATGACGGCAAAGGGAATGAGGCCGGCGGCGAGAGCGAGTTGCACGGGCCGCGCATACCACGGCTGAATGGGGATTTGTCGCGCAACACTGCCCGCTTTGATCGGATGGGTGTACGCCCCGCTCCTCCAGAAGCCGTAATAACTCCCGCCGTACACCAGAGGGAGCTGGACGAAGAGCCAGAGAGCTGCGAGGCCGAAGAGCGTGCCGAGGGGAATGGCGGTGGAGGAAGCCTGGGCCCAGACGAAGAGGTTGAGGATGAAGATGGTGGCGAACATTAGACCAGGCACGAGCGTGGCGGTCACAACTGCGTTGTATTTCCAGTTCAAGCCGCCGAAGGTCTTGTAAACACGCGCGCTGAAGTAGCCCGAGAAAATGCCGGCGAGGAGGAAGAGGGCCATGCCGACGGAGATGAAGCCGCCGCGGAAGCTGGGGTTCAGCACACCAAAGCAGCTGAGAGTGATCAGGCCCACTGCCATGAAAATAAGCTGCATGCCCGATCCGATGAGCGGGGCGAGGAGGTAGCCGTTGGCAGGAGAGCGGAAGACGTCGGCGTGGACGAGTTTCCAACCGGTGACTTCCTCAATCACCTCCTCGTCAGACAGATCGATGGTGTCGACATCACCCGGCTGCTCGAGTAGGCCACCGGTCTTCTCCCCGCTGCGACGAGGCGACTTCAACCCTCTGCGCTTGCCACGACTCTTCCCCTCTTCCAATATGCCCTGCTTGATGTCTCCACGGACCATGCGGGTGAAGATGACGGCAACAACCGACGTCAGCAAGCCGAAGATGGTGAGAGAGTTGACGATGGCGACCCAATGAACCCCCGTGCTCTCCTCTTGATTGACGAAGTAGGGATCCCACCGGTTCTCCCAGCTAGTTTTGTCATCTTCGCGGAAGTAGACGCTGTAGGTGTAGGGAATGGTGAGCACCGCATCCTCCGCACCGTCGTCGAGCATCTCGAGGTGGAAGGAGGACTCGGAGCTGCCGGAGAGGGTGGAATTCGTCACGTTCCTCGCCATGGTGAGTTCCAGCGGGCGGTGCTTGCTCCGCAAATCGGGAGGAAGGCCGGAGGCATCGCGATTCTCGGCCTCGATGGACTTTGCGTACACCTCGAAGCCCAAGATGACCTTCTTGCCGCGCTGGCCGGCTCTTCCCGGAGCCTGGCGATAGCGGATGACCAGGGTGACGTGGTTGTTGAGGAAGTATCTCGGTCGACCGGTAGTCCACGAGGTCTCCTCATATCCCACCTTAAAACCTGGGGCATAGTATTTCCGGCTCTTGTCCACGGTGACGAAGCTCGTCGCTCCCGGGAGGTTGTCGACAATCCACTCCGCCACATAGCCCTGCTTGACCACTTCAATCGCCTTTTTCAGATCCGCGCGATTCACCTTTTGACTGCACAGATATCTCGCCTCGTCATCCTTGCCCATCTCCAACTCGTAGTCCGAGACCATGATGCGATCGCCGCGGAGGACCTCGCCGAGGTTCAGGGCGACGTTGGAGCCGGAGATGAGGCCGCCGGGGTTATGGCGTCGCGTGGGCGGGCAGACGAAGGGGAGCTCGGAGTAGGCATACTGAATCTCGGTGTTGTCGGAGTAGACTTTGTTCACGAATAGCGGGATTGGGTCGCCTTCGCTGTAGGTTTTGATTGAAAATCCTGGAGGTTGAGGTCAGTGGATAGGATTGACAGGGAGAGCTCCGGGACGTACCGGGAATATAAAACGCTTGAGCGATTGGAAGGCAGAAGAAAAGTAAGGTGCAGATGGCGCGCATGGAAGATCGGTAGTCGGCGGCCATGTCTGTGCAATACCACCACTACTCCGCACTTCCGTCGATCGTGTCCAGCACGCACCGACTACCGAGTATCAACAGGATTGTTCTTCGCAATTCTTCGCAGAAGAGCAAAGAGCTTCGTGGACGAGTCAAGCTGCCGCAAGTCGTTGGGAAGTTCCAGAAGCTCTAGGAATTCCCCGGCAGCGCCACTCGACCTTGAAAGCGAAGGATAATGGCGGAAACCACCAACGATAATGAGCGGAGAGGAGGCGACGAGCGACGTAGAGTTGTTTGAGAGGCCGACAATGATAAGGAGGCAAGCAATTGGGGGCAATGGATGAGGAGGTGGAGGGAGGTTCGGGCCAACAAAAAGATCTACGAACGTTGCTTGCACCATTTCCGAGGGTTCACATCTGCACCCAATCACGGATCGGGGAACGCGGCGAAAACGCCAACCCGCGTTACGCGCGGCGGCCAAGCCTTCGGCTGCGGCTCGAGTCGCCCGCGACGGCAGACGGACGAGCTAGCTTCATGCAGGTACACTTCATCGACTTCTAACAACCACACCAACAACCTGAAGTCATCAGGTGCTTCTCACTCAGATCTCGTCACATCAATCTCTCAGAAAAAGTCTCCGCCATAGATGCAAGTCTTCCGAACCATCTGTTCCGCAAGCACGAGAATCCTCCCTGACGATCTGCTCTGAGCACGTATCACGCGACCTGCGGTCTGTTGAGTCTTCCCCGCGTCAATTTCCATTTCTCCATGGCCATGATCCGGCGGCATCCAGCTCTTGCGCGAAGTATCGACACGCTTGCGCGAGGAGAGCCTGCGAGAAGGCGGCGAGCTCGGCATGAATGCTTGTCGCCGCTGTTCCTGCTGCTTCGAGACGCGTAATGGCTGTGGTACGAGCTCGAGCGATGGATACTGCTTGTTCACCTTGCCACGCGTGTTCGGACTGTCCTCAAGGTACACGGCGCTGTCATGAGCAGCAGTCGTATTCCCCTCAGGTCTGACCTTCCGCGGAGAAGCGTGTTCTCTCTCCCAGCACGCCCACTCAATCATCTGCTGCCTTAGACTCTCATAAGATTCATCAGCCACCAGTTTCTTGTTGGCCCTCACAGACCCGCCGTGGAACAGCTCCCTTGCAGCACTCGAGAGCTTGCACACCAGGCTCGGGCGACGCTTGAGACCGCCCGGACTCACCTCCTTCTCAACACGAGCGGATTTGGAGACGAGACTTTGACCTTTCGAGACTTGTGGAGAGGATGTACACTGAACAGACGTCGGTGCCTCCTGCTCCATCCCAGGTAGCTGCCCATCATCTAAGCCAGGATGTGCCACACCGACTCTTTGAAGATTATACGTCCAGCTGAACAACTCAGTAGAAAGCAGCCTTTCTTCCCGTTCTTGCTTCTTCGTCTTAAGGTCTCGAAAAATGCCGTCAGCGCACAAGACTTTCCCGGTCCTAGTTTTGATGCGCGGGCAATAGTTGATCTGCTCCTTCGAAGGTTGTTGATCTGACAGCCGATCAATGGCTTGATTCGCAAGCATCGAGTACAGGCTGGATGTCATGGTGTCGTTCGAGTGCGCTTTGGCAAGATCAAGACTCGAGGTCGTGTCGTTGGTGTTACTCCTGGAAGCGAGTGTGCTGTCGTTCTCCATGGTTGGCCTGGCTGGGATCTGAAGACAAGTCGAAAGTTGAGGATGGATGGGGAGGCGGTGTCATTGTTGTCGGTGACCAGTAGTATCAACATGTGGATGGTGGAAAGAAACGATCTAGGCTGGAGCCAGTGTTGAAGGTTGATGTGAATGCCAGGCGGCACTGCGCGGATACAATACCGCAATAGGTGAATTTATGCTGGATTGGGTTGCATTGGAGATACTCGACGGTCTAGCCCCTAGAAACGTGAATGCTCTCCAGGACCAAGCAACGCGTGACTCGCTCGTGGCCAACATTCACCCGCTCAAGGCCGACACATGTTCACGCGAGTGAAAGTGCATCAACCGGCAGGCTCGACTCCCTGTCTTCTCCGATCAAGGACCCCTTGAACCGCACGACTGACTTCGGGATCGTTTCGGATCGTATTCTGCACGAGCCACTCTCTCAATCCCGACCGTAATTCGCGCATGCTCGCCGGGTCTGTCGTGTAAGGGCTCATTTCCAATCCCATCATCCGCGAAACTTCCTGATCCGCCGCTTTCGACACAGCGTCCAACCTGTCCAGCTGTTGTGATGAGACGCCGTCCCCAGACTGGCCGGCTTGCGCGCCTAGGAGAAGGGGACCCAGCTGTGCCAAGGCGATGAAGAACGTGACCGATATTTTCCGGAGCAGGGTGAGAAATTGGAAAGGCAGCAGAGGAGGATGCCATCCCGTCATACTCAGCAGCGGGTTTAAGACCTTCGTCAAGACGGCCGGGAATGTAGGCCGAGTCATAAGGTGCATTTCCACGACGTACAGACTCGCCATGACCAAGTAGCGCCAGAATGTGCCCGTTTGCAGGTAGCCCAGGACGCCGAGGAGGACGAGCACGCTGCCGCTGGCGACGTAATAGCCTGTAGTTTGCTGCATGCCGGTGAAGATGAAATCGCGAATGGTGGTGCAGCTGCGCCATTGTAGGCTGTCGAAGCCGAAGCGGTCGTAGGCGAAACGCTTGGCTGGATCGATGAGCGTGTCGCGGGCGAGTTTGAGGTGGACGTAGACGGCTTCGACTTGGCTTTTGTCGGGTCCAGTTGCTTTGTCGGGGTGGTATTGAACCGTTCTGTTTTCCTCGTCAGTCTGAATGCCTGCAAAACGCGGAAGAGACAACTTACAGCCTTCGAAATTTGCTCTGCAATGCCTTCTCATCGACATCGTGCGGTACACCGAGAGCCTGATAGAAATCACTGGTCTGGCGGATTTGATAGTCGGCCTCGTAGATGGTGTAAAGCAAGTAGGCCAGAATGACGAAGATATGAGCGCGCTTGCGATCTCGAATGTAGCGTGGTGATCCTGGCTGTGGCTTAGGGTCGCCTGCACGGATGAAGATGGAGTAGAGAATCTGCTGTAGATAGCCGCTCGCAATCTGTTTCCGTGGTTAGATCTTCACGGAGCGTTTTGAGTACGAGAAGGGTGATCAGTACGTTTGGTAGGAAATACCATCCAGCGATGGACAGAAAGTCACCGCCAGGCATTTTTGCGGCTCAAACGAAAGCAAACGGTCAGGGCGAAGGCTCCGAGGGTTCAATCAATCCCATAGCGCCGACTCAGTTCGTGAGAAGGACAATTCACCCTCTACAAAAGCGTGCATTCATGAACGATGTTGTCCTTCGGCGAAGGGGCACGTGAAGCAAGCGACGTCACTGCCAAAAGTCGCGGTCGGGAAACATTTTCTTTCTCCGCACTTTTTGAACGCCTCCACAAAGTTCAATGTCGGAGGAAACTTTCGATTGAAATGAGAGAGCCGGCAAGTGGACGACAAGATGTCTGCAGATATTGCGAGCTCGAGAGATATGGGCAAACCAGAAAAGAAGCGGAAAAAGGACAAGGAGGCAGGTGACAAGGAGAGGAAGAAGCGGAAACGTGAAGAAGCGGAGGAAGATGCTGTCGCCAATGCACAGCCTGAGAAATCAAAGAAGAAGCATGATCGAGACGAGGTGAAGGAGAAGTCGGCGAAGAAGCAGAAGCGAGAAGAAGCACAACCAGATGCCGGTGCAGAATCGAAGAAAGATAAGGCGGCAAAGAAGCGAGAACGAAAAGAAGCAAAGCAAAACGATGCTGCGCCAGAGCTACCGACGGAGAAATCGTCGAAGAAACGAAAGCACGATAAGCCTGGCAAGACCGATGCCATCCCTGACACCCCACAAGCCGAATCATCGACCAAAATGAAGCACAAAAAGCGGAAAGAGAAAGCAAAAGCATCGATCGAGCCAACGGAAGAACTCTTACGAACCCGCTCTCCCTTCGTCAAACAAACCACCTCCTTCTACCTCCCGCTATCCCCCTGCGCCCACGATTTCCCTCTCGAGGGTCTTTGCGCCGAGCACATCTCCCCTCACCTTCTGACATACTATCCTCCTCTCTCCGGCGTACTGCTCTCATACTCGAATGCACGCATATCAGAGCATCCCACCGAGGCTGTACAATCAAAGAGCAGGAACCCCCAGCCGAAAGAAGTCCTTGGCCGCAGTATCAACGAGTACGCGGTAACATTCGTCTGGCTGACCGCAGACTTCGTCATCTTCCGGCCGCGCAAAGGATGCTGGATTGAAGGGGAAGTGAGTTTGCACAATCCGACTCTGCTGGGCCTGATGTGCCAGAATTACTTCAATGCGGTCGTTGAGAAAGAGAACCTCCCGGCGGATTGGGAGTGGAGCGGAGACAAGGAGGAGGCTGGAAAAGAAAGGAAAAAGTCGCCAGAGCTGGAGAACGAGGACGAGCGCTGGTTGGATGGCGCAGGCAACGAAGTGACGGGGAAGATTGCGTTTCGTGTCGTTGACTTTGAAGCAACGCCTGGAGCGGATGGGGCGGGGGGCACCATTAGCATCATTGGAACTCTTCGCGATAAGACTTGAGCGAGCGATGCGGCAAAGTGCAGAAGGCGACTCCTCGAGACGAGGCTTTGGAAGAAACATAGGATATCCAAACCGGCCTGCGTAGGCTAACACCTCCGCCATCCCCTCACATCCTCAATTCCTCACCAACTTATTCAACCGCCGAATCTCCGTCCATCGACTCAAAGCCCCCAGTTCTAACAAATTCATCCGCCTCAGCTTGCCTGACGGATTTCCAATAATGACCGCCTTCCACTCCGGATCATTCATCCCCGGACTCCAATCAATACTCCCTCTCATCGTGCCAAAAGCCCCATTGGGAATGACCTGCACTTCCTTCCAACGCCACAGCACCACGATAAACAGCAGCGTCAGTCCCAGCAGAATCGCAGCAACAGCAGCAGTCGCTAATTGCGCCCCCAAGGCACGCGTGATATCCCCGGATACCCCCGTCGCAGCAGCCGACAGGAAGAACCCCGTACTCTGCGCCGCGAAAAAGCCCGCACAGATGCGAGGGAAAGAGGAGTAATTCGTGCGCCGCCTCCGCGTCGTCTCCGCCATGGACTCCAGTCTGTGCTTCTGGTTGACGCCCGGCTGCAAATCGCACGTATCAAACGTCTCCATGATGATGCCGACGCACTCGGCGATGGCGAGGTTGGAGAGAAAGCCCACGAGACCGCACATGACGCTTGGAATCACCCAGCTGACGGACGGGCCGGGCGATGCCAGCGTGTACGCCCCCGCGGCGAGGGGCAGCGTGAGGGTGAACATGCAGCGGCGCAGCATGTGCGAGGTCCAGTGGACGCCTTGGTGGTGCGCGTGCATTGTCATGCTGTCTGTGCGTTGCGGGTGATCGCGTGCGCGGCTGAAGAGGTTGGCTTTTGACAGGGGGACGGCGAGGAGGGCGCCGATGGCTACGGAGAGGACAGCGGGGCCGACGTATTGCGGTTGCCATTTGTAGTCGCGGGTTAGTAGGGCGCCGAGCAGCTGTGGTATATCATCAGTTCAACTGTTTCAAAGAAGGACAGTGGGCTACAACACTGACCAAAATCACCAGCGTGACTTGCGCATACATCCACCCCAAATAAACCATCATGACGAAAAAGCCAGCCTGACACGCCATCCTCTTCGTCAGCACCAAGCCCGCCCAAACCTCCTCGAACCACCACCGCGGCCCATCGTTCGAAATGTGCAGCTTCACCTCCCCCCTCGCCACCCGGCGTTTGATCTTCTCCTCGCCGTCGAGGAACTGCGCGATCGAGCGGCGATACGGCGCCCGCCGCGTCTCGGGCGCGACGACGTTCACCAGCAGGAAGAAAGCCAGTAGAATGACGACGATGTAGAAGCCCCAGCTCGGATCAAGGGTTGAGATGATCAATGCTCCAACGCAGAAACCAATCGACATGCTGCCCACGAAGCAAAATGACCAGATCCCGAGCCAGATGCCCACGCCGCCACCTTGTCGCCGCACATCATCGTACACCACGATCTCCTGATGCGGTTGGGCGGACATGAGCGATGCGCCGAAGAGGTCGAATAGCGTTGGGAGGAAGTTGATGTTGGCGAAGCCCATTGCGATTCCTTGAAAGGCGCGCGGGATGAGCAGGCCGCAGCGGTAGAGGGGGTTGTTGGGATTGCGGTAGCTGGAGATGACAATGGCTTGCGGGAACATGAGGGGCAGCATGAGGGCGAAGGAGATGAGGGTATAGGCTTTGCGGCCGTGGAGGAGGGGGAGGGGCCAGAAGATGAGAGTTGTGGCGCCGAGGCAGGCGAAGAGGCTGCGACGGGTGAGCGAGTGAGGAGGTTTGGATGGGTGGATGGACTTACACTACGTTTCCGAGAATGACCTTGTGCGTGGTATCAGCGAGCTGATATTGGATTCTTGGGACTTCTCCGGCCTGTCGTCGAGCGGTCAATCACTCTTCCGTCTTCAGTAGATTGACCGGGTGAGACTCACATAAATCCCCGTAATCAAACCCACAAATACCGTATTCAAACAAGCAATCGTCGCCGTAATGCGCTTCCGCACCGTCCCCCACTCCCTTGCAATCGGCTTGCGGCGATGAAACCTGCCCAAACTGAAGCCCTGCCCCTCGAGGAGACTAATGTGCTTCCTGCGAGGATGTCTTAAGCTTATGTTTCTCTGCACAAGGGAGGGCGGTGTGGGGCCAGCACTATACCTCGTGAACTCAGCCAAGTGATGATGCTGGGGCTGCGAGTCATACCTGTCTTTGGTTTCTTCCGTCGAGATACTGCGGGGTTTCTCGTCGTTGGCGGGGGGTTGAGTTGGGTGTTGGCGATAGTACGGGGATTCGAAGAGGTCGGAGAGATGATGGCCGCGATGCGGTCTTTCGCGACGACGGCGAGGGGTGGGTGGCTCGGGATCAGGCGGCCGCTCCTAGTTTCGGCTGCTCGTGCGAGCGGGAATGGGTTGTGTCGGTGCTGGGTTGAGCGATCTGCCCGTGGATTGCTGCTTCGGTCGACTTGGAGGATTCATTTGACTTGCTGCGCTGACAGAGGGCCTTTGCGTAGGCGATCTGGCCTTGATCGGCTCATCTATCATCACCGGTGCGCTAAGACTCGGTCTCACACCTGGCTGCGCGGCGACAGGTTGCCCAGTATCGCAATAGTAAGCTTCGGCAGCGCCGTGCGAACGACTCAACTGCCGCGCCGCCTCTGCTCGTGCCGTCTGCGCTCGAGCATAAGCAAAGTCGCGCACCACGGACTCCGCCGACGGTGGCTGGTATAGTCGAGGAGGAGTATGTCCGATCGAGTGCCGATCAGGTGATCTGTCATCCAGAGTCTCAAAAGAAGCTTTGAAAGACTTTCTCCGCGAGGACTCCGGATCCACTAGCACTGGACGACTCGATCGCGTACTCCTCGTCAACACAGTCGGTACTGTGTCTACAGAATGTCGAGCAGAAGATGCATCCGAGTCGGGGCCGACAGAAGACTCGCTGTCAGAGACATCAAGATCAGACACCGCAGGGGAGAGGACAAGAGGCTGACTCATGCGACCAGTGTTCATCTGACCCTGAACTGTACTGGCCCTTCGAAGCGCAATCGTAGCACTGTCGAGCACACTCGCGACCTCATCGTTGCGGCCGCTCTGTGCGGCGTCTCTTGCTACGTTGAGAGCTTCGTGCACGAGATTTTCCAGTCCAGTGACAGCTCTGTTGAGAGATTGAGATGGCTGTCGTACTTCTCGGGACTGTCTTATGGGAGGAGGCGAAAGAGGAGGTGAAGGTTGATCAGGCAGTGCCGGGAGTTGAGGTGGAGACGTATGTAACGGACTCTGCGAAGATGAGGAAGAGGACAGGAGTAGATGCGTGGGCATGGCGAACAATGTCGGCCTCCTTGATGGCGGGGTGGGTTGGACTGAAGGAGGTGGCATTGGTGGTTCAGGAGGCGGTATCGAGACAGATCGCTGAGGTAACGTCTTTGCCCTTGGCATTATTCGTAAAGGGGGCGGTGGTCGAGCAGTAGCCTCATGTTGTCCATCGCTGGCCGAGCTTGAGCCCTCACGTTGTCGCGGTGAGATCTGACGTCTAGTGCGCCTTCGAGGCACCCTGGCCTGCTGACGAGGGGAGACTGGCTGGCCGGGAGAGACATCAAGCTCGTCCCCCAGGAATTGGCTAGCCCCTCCCAAGGGATTGTGACGACGAGACGGATATGGCGAAGAATGCCTCTCAATCAGGCGTTCGTAGGAGTCGATTCGGGGCAGAGTACGTGATGTCTCCTCTTCATCCGCTACGCTATACGCTGACGAGCTTTGTTGAGTGGCCTTTGAAACTGGTTTGCCCAAATCAAAAGCTGCATCTGGGTATCTCCTCGTAGTCACAGGCTTAGAACCAGGCCGAAGCTGCGAAGTGACGGACAGCGATCTCAAGTCTCCAGGCCAGTGTCGCTCACGAAGAGAGGGCGTCGATCCCACGAATCGGAAGACGGGATCATGCTCGACAAGAAGAGGCGCAGATGTCCGCCTCGATGCTGATTCTGCCACTTTGCTCGCGTTCGGAGCACTGTGTTCATCCTTGCTCCCGAAGCCTAAAGTCTCCTTCGAATCGAATTGTCCCGGGATCCGCGGTCCATCCAGCCACGGCAGCTTCTTACGAACGAGAACGGTCGATGTGCGAGTCACTGGAGACTGCGGAGCATTGTTCTTCGACTGGATGTTCTGCTGCGAGGCTTGAACGGGTGTATTGGAGGGCGCAGGAGAGGCCGCTGGGGCAGGCAGCGACATGTCCACAGCGTGAGAGGAGTCATTAGGTGAGGCCAGGTTGAGCGAAAGGCTGTCGCTAGTGTTGGCCGTTCCAAGAGTGTAAAGGCGACGCGCTTGATTGGGATCGCGAGTGGACGGTTTGAGCGGCGTGGAAAGGAGTTCAGGTTGGAACGCTGGAGAGGCCAGTCATGACATGGCAAGAAGGAGGTAGAAATGAGGTTGCGACAGGAATAGATGCGGGATACGGCGAGGAGAGGAATTGAAAAGGCCGAGTGATGGAGCTGTGGAATTGGCATGCCCTTCAAGCAGACTGCAGCGGTCGCGCGAGTTGCCTCGAACTGTTCGTCCTTGCCCATCCGGCCTGACCGAAGTTGTTGATGTGGTCGCTGCGGAAGTCGCCCATGGTCGCGGCTGCATTCAACCCCACGTGAGCAAGATACACGAGCTCTCACATACCCCAGCTCACTCCTCCAACTTGACCTTCCCCTCGCTAACATCCGGATAAACATCCCACCTCCGCTGCGTATAGATCGGAATCCCCTTCCTCACCTCCTCAATCCGCTCCCCCTTCAACTCCCCATACACAATCCCCTCCTCCTCGCCCAACTCATCCAGCACCTCAGCATTAGGATCAACAACCATGCTATGGCCCCAAGCATTGTAATCCGCCTGCATATCCCTCGCCGGACTGCACATGCCCACGTACACCTGGTTGTCCACGGCGCGCGCCCGCGCCTGCAACTCCCAGTGCATTTTGCCCGTGGTGAGATTGAATGCGCCCGGGTAGAGCAGGAGGAAGGCGCCCTTGCGCGCGGCGATCATGGCGAGCTCAGGGAAGCGGACATCGTAGCAGATGGCGATGGCAATCTTGCCGTACTCGGGCAAATCGACGAGCGTGACTTTGTTACCGGGGGAAAGCACCTCGCTCTCCTTGAACGTGATTTTGCCAGGAATATCAATATCAAATAGATGAACCTTCCGATGCGTCGCTAATAATCTCCCCTGCGGATCGAACGTGAGAGACGTATTGTAGTACTTCTTCGTCTCCTCCCAGTACTCCGGTATACTGCCACCAACAAGATACGCCTTGGATTCTTTCGCGAGTTCGGACAGGGCGTGGAAGGAGGGGGACTGCTCTTTGGTAGGCGGCGAGGGGAGGAGTGTCTCGGCGTATTTGGGAAAGTATTTAGTGCCGTAGGGGGAGTTGAAGCACTCGGGCAGCACGACGAGGTTCGCGCCGTTGGACGTGGCTTCGAGCACTTTGGTTCGGGCGCGGGCGAGGTTGGCGGCTTTGTCGGAGCCAGAGGCCAATTGGACCAGGGCGAGTTTGAGGGGTTTCTTCAGTAGTTTTGCCATGGTGTGCGGTGTGTGGGATGTGATTGAATGGCGGAGGTGGAGGGATGTGGAGGGGGACTTTGATATTGCGGAGATAAAGCCGGGCATAACGATTCAAAGCAAGAACAGCAGAGCCAAAGCAAACGAGTGTGCATTCGTATTACGACGGCACCATAGGCACGTCGATAGCTATAATGATACATACTGCCTCCCATGCGACCCGTAAATCAGTGCCCAGGGGGTATCTCTGTGTAACATAAGCGAAACGCCATGAAAAAGACGATTGACCTCCCACATCAGCCCATCAGCTCATCAACGCCGATTGGCAGGGCGATAGGCGACTCTCTCCGACGGATTGTTCGTGACGCCGAACAGATACGCCAGCTCCTGCACGCCCAAGCGAGCAATGTTCTGGCCCGCTTTCTCGTCCAGCGCCTCCGAGATGAGCGTCCTCTTGCGCTCCTGCAGCTCGATGATGCGGTCTTCCACGGTCTTCTCGATCAGAATGCGATGCACCTGCACTGGTCTCGTCTGGCCGATGCGGTGTGCGCGGTCAATGGCTTGCTCCTCGATGTAGGGATCTATCCGAACGTCAGCAGACTCTCCACACGGAGGGAGGGGATTCCGACTTACTCCAGAAAGGATCGAGAATAATGACTTGACTAGCCATGTTCAAGTTGAGGCCCGCATTGCCTGCCTTGAGCGAGACCAGCATGATACGCACATCCTGGCGATCATCGCGAAAATCATCCACCGCATCCCCTCGCATCTTGGTGTTCATACTGCCATCGTAGCGCCGATAACCCCAGCCCTTGCCATCGATGGGAATCTCCAGAAGATCCAGTAGCGATGTCCATTGACTGAAGACCAGGACCTTCTCACCGGCGGCATCGTCGATGATTGTCTGCAAAAGCTCCATGGTCTTGCGGATTTTCGCCGAGTCGACGTAGTTGTCCCGGAGACGACGCAAATACGCTCGACGGGCCTTTTGATTCTTCTTCGACATCGTCGCCAGATCCGCCAGAGTCACTGTCTCCTTCTTCTTCTTCTTCTTCTTTACCTTCTTTTCCTTGGCCTTCCCCTTGCCTTTTCCCTTGGCGGACTTTTTGTCGACTTTGGCTTTCTTGCCTTTGGCCTTCTTGGACTTCTTGGAGGGACCAGATGCACCCTCTTCCTCAACATCATTGTCCTCCTCCGCTTCCGACTCGGTCGACTCGTCGTCCTCCACAAAGTTGTCCAGGTTCCCCTGCTTCGTGAGTCTCTCATATTCTTCTTCGTCGTCACTCTCACTCTCGGACTCCGTTGAAGAATCATCCTCCTTCATCGCCTCCAACTCCTTGAGCTCCTCCTCAGTCAACAACTCCGGCATATGCACCTTCTTGAACGCATCGAAATCCGTCACGCGCTTCGTATCGATCGGCGAGCGGCAATTCGGGCACTTGGCCCCCGTCCCACCCTCATTGCCATCTCTAATAGCATTCGAGGGGTCCGTGATGCGCGAGAAGCACTCCCTGCAAGTGTCGTGGCCGCATGGAACGAAAATGGCGGGGTTCTCCACGACATCGTAGCACACGGGACATTCGAAGTTGCCCCCGGTGGCTTTGATGCGAGCTACGACGGCTTCGTCGAGTTCCTTGGCGTAGTCTATGACTTGCTCTTCGGTGATGTCGGCGGCGCTGGCGATGCCAAAGTCTTTGATCAGGTGGGGATGACAAGCTGCTTGGCGCATGCGGAGGAGTAGCACCAAAACGGCGGTGTAGTTGTTGCCCACCTGACCGCGGCGGAGATATTTGTTGAATTCGAGTCGGGTCTTGTTCTCCACGGCGTCGTAGAAAGCACGCTCGTCGTCATCGAACACTGGGTTCTCGACATCGGTGGTGCGCTCCGGTAGGACCAAGATAGGCTGCCCTTCGAATTTGCTCTGCTTTGTGCGACGGAGCATGATAGCCTTGCACAAAGTCTGCAGCTTGACCATCGCGGATTGTCTGTACTGCTCGTCGTGAGATTTGAGAGGCGTGCTGATATCGACGCGGAACTTCTCCCAGCGGGAGTAAGGATTGATGCGCAGGAATTTGACGAGCGAGTAGAACTCCTCGACGTTGTTCATCATGGGGGTACCAGTCATGCAAAGGCGATACTTGGAGTTGAGGTGAGCCGCAGCGATCGCCGTCTTAGTCGTCTTGTTCTTGATGCACTGTGCCTCGTCCAGGACAACGCGATACCAGGTGGCATCATCGCCGAGGAGCGCACACTGCTCGTTACCCTGAGGCCGAGCAGTCGGGTCATGCTTCTGACGCAAACGAAACTTCTCCAGTTTCTTCAGCTCGGATGCGAGGGTGCCGAAGGTGGTCAGGACGACGTCAAAATGCTGCAAATCGGCGAACTTCTTCTTCTTCCCTTGCCCATGCTGGATGAAGACGGTGATCCTTTCGGACTTCTTGATCTTCTGCTGAATCTCCTGCTTCCATTGGCGCATCAGAGCGACAGGGGCAACGATGAGAGATGCTTTGCAGCGAGGGTCGTCCGATTTATGCTCGACGATGAGTGAGAGCATCTGAATCGTCTTGCCAAGACCCATCTCGTCTGCGAGAATGCCCCCTTTGTTGGAGCCCTCCTCGCAGTTCTTGAGCCAGGTCAGTCCCATCTCCTGGTATTTGTGTAGCTTGACATCCATGGCTGCCGGGGTCTTGACGCGGAGGTCTGCCGGTATCGCCTCGTCTGGCCGGATGTTTTCGAGAAGCGCGTTGATTTCCTCCCGTGTCTTCTCAGGGTTGTAGTCTGCAATCTCGTTGTATCGGCGATTGAACAGATCCATGTTCTCAGCGTAAGGATTGAGCAGTGAGCGGGACCCGCCGTAGATCAGGTCATCATTTGTATTGAAGAGATTGGTCAGTTCCGAAAGCGAGTCGCCGAGATGGCCAGCAGCCGTTCTAATGCCATTGACAAGACCACTGCTTGCTTGTTGAAGCCATGGTGCCTGCTGAGGGTTGATCCCGTTGAAGCCGCCATACACAGAGTTGTACCCATTCGGGGTCGCTGTCGGATAAGCACCGGGGATCTGCGGTCTCGCAGGCGTCGAGTGCACAGCAGGCCTCACAGCAAGTGGATGGCCGAACCCGGGGAGGGAAGCATTGTCAAAGCCGGATCGCTGGGATCGATTGTTGGGCGTGAAGCCATTTGGTGCGATCTCCGAAATCTCCTCTCCATCATCACTGTCACTAGCAGTGAGATCGACAACGTCAGCTTTGCGTCGAGGTTGAGAGGGTTGTGAGGGCCGGGAGCCGCTGGGCTCCGCTTTGATGTGCTCAGGCTTGACATGCTCGGGTTTGACGTACGGCGATCGTGCCTGCGCTTGAGAGAAGCCTGTCGGGGTGGAGGAATTGCGCGGAAACTCAGACTTGTACTGATTGGGAAGGAACTGTGAAGCTCCATTAGGTCGCTCAGGCTTCACTTGCGGGGCAGGAAGGCGTTGATAAGAGCCGTTGTGATTCAGCGTTGTCTGCACGCTTGGGCGCTGTGATGATGAGAATGAAGATGCGCCGGGCCCTCGGGAAGAAGATGGTGTTGCCAGTTGGCTGAGCCGACGAGCGTATTCCTCATCCGCCTTTTGACTGTCGCGCTGTCTCTGTAGAGCGGCTTCGGCCATAAGCTGTCGGCGACGTGAGCGTTCATTGATCTCGGCGACCGAAGTGGCAGGCTTTTCGAACGACTCGACAGATGATGAAGGCGTGGCGACGGTTGAAGGATCGGGAGTCTGGCGCTTGTATGGATGCTGCGAGTCGAGGCGGAGGGTGTCTGTGGCGGAACGCTTCAAGCCTGGCTGTATCCCACCGTTTAACCCGTTGTAGAACTGTCCTATTCCCATATTATTCGAAGGACTCATCTGCCCTCCCGTCATCGCGGTATCTTGTGCGCCATCCATTCCACCCATTCGCAGCTCTTCTTCGTCTGGCGGAGTTTGCGAAGGAGATCCGCCCTGCAGCAACGCTTCCAGTCTTTCCTCCAGCTCCGATTTCTTCCCCTCTAGTTCATCGAGGCGTGTTGCGTAGTCATCAGCGCCTTGGTCGAGTGTACCGATCATGATGTCGAGGAAGTCGAGTTCGTTCTCAATTTCAGCTTGGCTGGCGCTGGCGGGGAGGGTGGAGGCCATCTTGTCGAACTCTGCGTGAATCCGGTCCGCAGACAGGGTACACGGCAGTCTTGGCAGATGGGTATGTCGTGGCCCGTTTCAAGGAGCCGTGCTGTGCGAGCAAGCACAACGCATGGCTGTGTTGCAGGTGGAAGTGACGTCGCTGGTGTTGTGCGACTTGGTGGGGATTGCACGAAGTCTGAGTGGTTGTATGGAGGACGTAAGTAAGGGTTGTGAGGTTCAGCAGGCCCACATGAGAGAGGATGTAGAGCGTGGCGAACTCGGTGAATTGGCGATGAAGTTGCCCAAGCCTCTGCACGCGTCCAGTCCCAGGCTGACGTGACTAATTCTTCCCCAACAAACGCCAACTGCACATGCCAAACTTTAATGCGCGTCTTTGACACCTGCAGCCAGGTCATATTCACCTGCAACTCAGTTCAATAGTGAAGATAGCCTCCAAAGTCCACATTCGACATCCCCGCACAAGTGGATATGGCCATCCAAGTCAGTTTCAGAGGTAGAAGAGAATGTAGATAGCCATCTCGAGTCATTTGATGACAGACGACTTCGTGGAGGAACTACGATCTACCTACATGCAGTCTCCTTTCTAACTGGCAAAGCCTCACCTCGCTTTCCCCAGCGCAACAACATTCCGAAGCGTGCCAAAAGGTAGAACATCACTAATCCGCTCCCTGCCTGCAAAAAGCATCACCAATCGATCAATACCGCATCCCCACCCACCCGTAGGCGGTAGGCCCCATTCCAAAGTCTCGAGGTAATTCTCATCCAGTCCGCCCTTTCCGTCGCTCTCGCCGTCCACTTCTCGAAAGGCCAGCTGCTCCTGGAATTTGCGTCTTTGCGCGAACGGTGAGTTTTCCTCTTCGTACATGTTCGCGTACTCTCTTCCTTGGATGAAAAGCTCTGCGCGTAGGGATATGAGCTGATTAGTTTGCGGGCAGATGGCGTGCTTGGAAAGAGGAGAGAGAACGGCCGGGTGGTGGGTGATGAATGTTGGACTCTGGCACAGAGGCTCGATGTAGTGTGCGCCTAGTGCATCCAGCAGGCGAGGGAGCGTGGGATTCGATGGCAGAGGGATGTCTTGGTCTTTGAACAGCCGTGTCAGTTCTCGATGTGCTGCGTCGGGGTGGGCAAGATCGGGTAGTGCTCGGCCGGACTCCCGCTCAATGGTGGGAATGAATTGCAGTTTCGGAAACGGGCTCTCAAAGGATACTTCTGGCAACGGAAGAGCGCTCAACCTAGCATCTCTCTCCTTGTCGATTGACTGGGACATGGAAGCCAGTAGTTGTTCCGTCGTAACCATCAGATCATCCAAAGTGGCCAAGGCTTCGTAGAACTCGCACGTGTAAAACTCGGGATTGTGCGTTGCGTCGACTCCTTCGTTGCGGAATGCAGGCCCAATCTCGTACACTTTCTCCATGCCTCCAACCACGAGTCGTTTGAGCCAAAGCTCCGGGGCAATTCGAAGATTCAATGTCTGACGTTCGAGCTCGGTGGCCTCCGTCTCAAAGGGCCTGGCTATAGCGCCACCAGCACCTGCAGATAGGATGGGCGTGGAGACCTTTGTAAATCCACGCTGGCCGAAGAAGTCGTTGAGGTGTCTTTCTACGAGATGCCTCACACGTAAGGTCTGCACAGCTTCCGCATTGACGAGCATGTCGACCGGCCGATTTGTCGACCTGGTCTCCGCATCATCCAAAGTGTCCGGAATCTGGTGCAGTGACGGTGCGAGTAGGACCGGTAGGCTATCGGCGAGGACCGAGAGCTCTCCGTTCAGCGAGCGATGTGGTCGTCCATTGGCCTCATACCAGTCGCCCTTTCGTACCAGTTTGGCAAAAGCCTTGAACTCGGGGGGCTCTGTGTTGGCATTGGCGTTGAGTTCGCGCAATTGGCAAATTACTTGGATGGTGTGGCCTTCTTGTTTCAGGTCCAGGAAGAGCAGTTTATTGCCAGCGGTGCGGACCGCTTGGATCCTGCCTGTGACAATTAGAATCACGACGTAGTAGCGGACGGTGATTGTGTAATACCTGCAACCAAGACTTGTTCATCGTGCTGCGTCTCCCCGGAATTCAAAAGGTCATTGAATTTTGACCGAAATTCTTCGACCGTGACCCGCGCACGTTGACTCTGGGCAAGTGGTGGATAGCACTCCTCCAATGTCCCCTGGGCTTCCTCAAGCTGGGCTACGCGACGCTTGTAGTCGTTTGTAACATGCCGTTCTCCCCCGTTATTGGCATGCCAAGCAGACCCCTGGAAGAACGAGCGCCGACTAGACACGCGTTGGAAGCGGGCATAATTGATGAACAGATATGGTCGACATCGCCGAACCAGACGCTGTGACATGCCCTATCTGCTCGTACCAGTTAGCCAAGGCACTATCCCGCCATGCGACTGAAGAGAGAAGTTGGACAATGCTGAATATCAGGACAAAGGTGGATCAATAATCATGCCAACACGACTACGCGTGATGGTCATTCGCAGCGGTTCTTGATCTTGTTTCGATCATCATTTATCAGTGAGGGTATTGGAATGGAGACGACTTACTACAATGGTCCACTGGTCCGACGCGTTAACTCACTGGCCGAAGGTTGCCCTTTGCGTGAGGTGACATGGACTTCGAATACGAAGGAAGTGTAGCCTGCGAATAGAGTTGCGGGAGAGGCGTTCCGGGTTAGACTGGGTGGGTCCATTGCGCAGCCTCAACCAACGGTGGGAAGGCGCGGTTGAAGGTCAGGGCAGGTACGAAAGTACAAAGGGGACGTCGATTCTTTCCACTTCCCAACTGCACCGCCTCTCTCTCTTCGACTTCCTATTGTTTGCATTCACCGCGGGAACAGCGCGTTCCAACACCTCCACCGTACGCCGCCGAGAATCTTGGTCTGCCGAGCGCAGTCTGGTGCGACGCGGCGAAGACCGTTTCATCTTCCCGCTTATTCCTACCGCGTCGGGACTTCTACTCCCCTCCTCGAGGACGACTTGCACCCGCTGCTCACACCACCGAGTCGTGCTTCTTGACACGCGCCTCCCCCTCCTCCCTCTCCGATACGCCCTCCTCCTTTTCCCCCTCACGCGGCGGCTGCTCCCCGGCAGCCCAAAGCACCGGCAAAATTTCGTCCAAGGCGTACGACTACGCCCCGCGCTCCGCGCTGCTGGGCGGCGGCGGCGGCGTAGACCACAGCGCATACCAGCCCCTGACCGACTCTCAGTTGGCTGGCAATAATTACGAGTACCGGCGAAACTTCAGCGAACCCGAGCCCTACCACCCGCCGGGCGGCTACCATGATCGCCAGGGCCTGACCACTTCACATACCGTCAATCTCGGCAAAGCCCAGAGCAAAAGAGCCATGTACATGCCGACCACCTTCTGGACGTGGTCCTTCTTCCTCCTTGCCCTGCTCCAAGCTGTGATCTGCCTGGGCTTGGAGGCCTTTGTCTTCGGCGAGTTCGAGGAGAGTCTCAGGGGTGAAGCGAGGAGTAGCGACCCCCCAAGCGGAGCCTTGACCATTCCCACCTATCTCACCATCTTCATCTTCGGCTTCATATACCAGATGATCCTCGTCTGGGATGCATTACGGCTGAAGAACACCATTCAGGTCATCGGGCTGTGTCTCTACAATCTGGGCATGATGATCTACGCGGCGGTAGAGATCGATCAGGTGGACGAAGCAGTGGATTCGCTGGGAGGAAACATCGAACCCAACACCTGGATATATCTCCATCCCTGCCTCATCGCCACTCCATGCGTGCTTGCTCTGGGCACCATCCTGCTGTCCTTTGTGTCGTGGAAGCTATACGATGAGTTTGCGTGGACAATCTACAAGCACATCTCGGCTGATTTGAGATTGAAGAGGCGATATCTGACCTATCAGGTATCAAGTCGCTGATCCTCGTGCACCTGGCCATTGCTAACATTCGCGTCAAACAGATCTACATCGCCCTCCTCAAATTCGACTTCTTCTTCTTCCTCGGCTTCACCGTACAATTCCTCGTCATTGTTCACGGCAAAACCTACGAATTCGCCCTCACCATCGCCGCGCTCCCTGTCACTATCATCCTCCTCTTCCTCGCCGCGTACATTGTCCGCCGAGAGTCCTACGTCGGCCAAAGCTTCATCATCTTCCTCTACTTCGTCGGAATGGCTTACTTCGTCTTCAAACTCGTGCGCATGTACGACTCGGACCAGGCATACAAGTACGCTCCCGCGAAGCACAGCCTGACCACCTTCGCCGTGCTGGCGATCCTGCTGTTGATAGTCACGATCGTGACGGCCGTTGTGTGCATGATGAATTTCAACAAGGGGCTGAAGCCGCACATTCAGAAGAGAAAGGTGCCGGATGCGGCAGACATGAAGTTTGGACCAGAGGCCGGGTACGGTGCCGGACCACATCCGCTGGGCAGTATGGGGACGAGGATGACGATTGACTGAGCAAGTCGCAACACGCTGGACGGAAGGTTGTAGGTAGACGACAACGCAGTGGGCGAATGACAAGACCTTTACGACTTCAACCATCGGTGTTCATGGGATGTGTTCAACGGTCGATGCCGCGGCAATGGAGTTTTTGCTTGTGATACCTCGAGCTGTACGTTGCTAACGAATGAGAAAGAAATTAGTCTTCTACACTTCATTTCCACCGAGACCCCTTACTAAGGTATTGCTCAATTACCAAAGCTAATGACTCTGTCGCCGAACACCGGACTTGCGCGCATTCTCACTTGCTGCCGCCTCCCACTGTTCCATGCGCTGGAAAGCGACGCACGCTGACCAGTGGAAAAGCTTCTCCAGCGCCTCGAACGGCGTCGTGCCTTCTTCGCCGTGGGCAGGCTCGTGGAACTCCGGTCCGTAACACACCACTGCGATGAAGCGTGGCTCCTCCGCCGATTGCTTGTTGCAGATGGTGACGGCCACCATGTCTCTGGACACCCCTTTGGCAATCGCAGTGTTGACTGCGCGGGACGCGTGAGATGAGACTATGATGATGCCATGGAGGACATATCACTCACGGACGATCAACTCGCGCAGTGTAGGTGCATCGAGACCTGTAGGCTGAGGCTGAACGACCAGTTCTCGAAGTCTCGTTGGTTTGAGATCCATGTGCTCGGGCTTGGGAAGAGCATCCATCGTTGAATGTGTTGCCGATCGAGTCTGAAGTGAAGTAAAAAGGCAAGATGTTTGAGAGCTTGCTGAAGATGAACCACAGAGATCTGAAGTCCGGGTTTTATACACCCCTACGCGTTCTTGCCGACACCATTCTTTGCAGCCGAGTGCCAGGTACTGCGGGATGTTCTTGCCGACAGTATTCCTCACTGTCAAGTGCGATCCAGTGGGACGTTGTGCAGCCTCAGCGCAGACCACATGGGAGCATGGAATGGGCTGATTCGAACCGAATACTGCAGACACCGTCTACACGCTACACAGCATGATATGCTAGCACCACCAGGCAGCCAGTCCCGCTCAACAACCCCCAATCTACCGCCTCATCCTCTCCTGCCTCCGCAAAATCCGCTCATCCCTCTCCACCCGCGGCAACGCAGCAGCCGCAGACCAACGAAACAGCCGCTCCAAAGCATCATGTGCCGTGCCTGTGCCCTCCTCCCCAACGTGATACAGGTCGTCGACGCAATACACCGCCGCGAAGAAGCGTGGGTCCTCGATGGTCCGCCGGTTGCAGACGACGATGCGCCACCCCTTGTCGTCGCTGGGGGCTAGGTCGGTGGCTAGGATGAGGTTTCCTGTGACCAGGAGCGGTCAGGTTGGTTGGGGATGATAGGGGGAATGTTTACGTACGGATAATGAGTCGCTCGAGTGAGAAGGCGGCGAGGCCTGTGTCTGAGGCGCGTGGAATAGAGTCGGGCGAGAAGTTGGGCGAGAGGTTGGCGAGACCGGCGTTGGATGTGCGTGGAGTGAATTGAGCCATGGTGTCTTGGTGTGTGTAGAACTTGGTGGCCGAATTTGAGAGTTATTGGTATCTATAGTCCAAATGGCGGGACTGTAGACAGGAGGAAAGGGAAGGATCGGGAGTGCGGATTGGACCACTTGTATTTAGCATGTACTTCTTGAGTCCTGCTGAGCACACTGTTCCTCAAAAGCCAACACACACCACGGGTACCGATACATCACCCTGGGCGAGTCTCGGCCACGCGCATATGTGCCACCACGACACCGCACTCACCGCCCGTCAGACAGACAAATCTACCGCGTCGCCCGCCAAATCGCCTCCTTGATGTCACTCGAATAAGCCTCGAGTCGTGCAGCAGCCAGAGTAAGCAAATTCTCCATCGCCCGGCCAAATGTCTCGCGCGCCTCTCCTATCAAAAGGACAGCAAAAGGTTCCACAGCATCGCCATCTTTCCGCTTAATCACGTAGCCTGTGTACGTCTTGGCCCATGAGTTTCCCTCCTCGATACAATGAGGCGAAAAGATAATGGTCACGTTTGCCGCCTCGACGCGTGCACTCTGCAGGTTTTCGCGGCGTCTTTCGTCTTCGGCGAGGATGATATGGTCTGTAGGAATGCGTCAGAAGTGCGAGAAGGGACGTGTAGGCGTGACGGTCTCGACTGACCGAGTACGAGCTGTCTCAAGCCCGCGTAATCGTACTTCTCATCACCGAAGCCAGTAGTGGGATGTTGTCGTGGCACTACAACGTCTTCGCTCGACGGGCGCCGACGAAAGCGCCGCGTGGGACTTTGCAAGCTACTCGAATCGGCATCTGACCCTGTCGTCACTGACTGAGGGGCACACAAGGGCACCGTCAAAGCAGGTCCCTTCCCTGAGCGTCGACGATGAGACAGCAATCTGTAGGCCAACCGAGAGCGTGTTGCGGACGGTACGGCTGCTTGCGGGCCTGACTCTGGGTAGTAAGTACCAATCTGCTCTTTCTTGGGTGGCATCTTGGAGCTGTTCTGTCTTCCGTGCTGATGCTTGGGTCGAAGCGCGGAAGCTCTGAAGCTGAACGAGGGAGTGAGAGGCAGACGAAGCAATGCGGAACGAGTTTGAACGTTGATAGAGCAGTAGCTTGAAGCCATCTTTATACTCCTTGATAGACCTGGCATTCCGCGATCACCACTGGCGGCTCCAGTCACGGCTGTATAACGAAGTTCGGTATCGAATACTGTCCTGCCATCATCGAATGTCGATTTCGCCAGGGATTCATGCGTGCCGCGTTCCTCGGAGTGCGGAGCAATCGAACCAAGCGCGCAGGACAGCAAACTTGGGGAGCGGTCCATGGCGAGTGAGGCGCACAAAAATCTTCATCCCCTGTGTCTTGAGAAGTTTGCTCCGTGCGCACCTGCAACAGCAAATTTGTAGACCGTCATGCAGTCTCCATTTACCCTCAACCCTCCGGCCGCACACGCCCCTTCCTCTTCCTCATCTCCTCCACCCGCCTGCGATCCTCCTCAAATCCCCTAACCAAATCCCTCGCATTCTCCTTCTTCTTCTCGCGAACCTGAAAGCGATAAAAGTCTTCCTTGATCCGGCTCTTCTCCCGCTTCTTCAACTCCTCCTCCTTCGCCTTCGTCTCTGCCTCTCTTGCAGGTCCTTTCCTTCCGCCTCTTGTAACCGTGACGAAACCGTCTTCATCAGGTGCAGATCTCTGCCGCGCGAAGGCACGTGCCCGCTCCGCTTCCTGTGCCGAGAAAGCAGCCATGAACGCATCCACACTCCCACGCAGAGCCGCGACATCCGGGAAGCGCAATCGATGATGCGACAAGTACCTCTCCGATCCCAGCGCTGGTACTCTCGCTTCGACCGCCTCAGTACCCCACGGAACACGACGACCAGCCCTCGCAACCCTCCTCGCCTCCTTCAACGCCAAACTCGCACTCGCGCGATCCACAAATCTTACCACAGCCGTAGCGCCGCTAGGATGGAGTTCCCTCTCCCAAACCTCCGGCAAAAGCCCAACCTCCTCCCCATTGGACTCCACCACCGCACCCTCGGAATCCCGCTTCCGCTTCCTGCCCTTCTTGCCAATCGTTTGCACAACGGGTGCTTTGATGCCCTTGCCCAGCCTCGCATGCTCGAATTCGACGTCTTCTACTCGCGCCCCGCCTAGCTGGTCCGCGAAGAGGGAGCGCAGATGCGTCTCTGTTGTGTCGACGGGGACGTTGACGAGGAAGAGTTCGCGCGGGGTGTCTTCTGTTGGTGCTCGGGGGGCATTTGGGCGGAGGTAGAGGTAGTGGGTGGTGTTGGAGGGGTAGGATTGAGTTGCTGGAGTGGCAAGAGGGAGGACGGCGAAGTCTTGGACTTGGGTCGCGGACTTTTGCTTGATCGAAGCCATCGAGGCTGCTTTGCTTTTGGGCGGGCACTCGTGAGGATGAATGTCGTGGTTCGTTTGGTAGAGATGGATGCATGTTCCAAAAACTCATCTTCGTTACATTAAGCTTCACGCTAGTCAACTCAAATTGTTGCTGCTGCCCGAACTCTCCACATTCTACCGCATTCAGCTCATGGCCCAGCGAGATATGCGAGATCGAGAAGGGGATCTTCATAGCGGATGCCTTGATACGACTACAGACAGCTACGAACGAACGTGCAGACTGGTATCCAACACCGTCCTCAATCGTCATTTCCAAAGCCCAGCCTTACCCCTATCCTTCACAAGCTCCTCCGCAACACCCTCTAGATCTCCTTGAAGACGAGGTCAAGCCCACCGGGGTCGACGGTGAAGTGGTCGCGAGTATCATTCATCAAGCGCTTGCCATCTTCGCCCTTGGCCAGACTGAAATCGTATCGGGTGACGATGCGCGCGACGACGGTGCGCAGTTCCATCAAAGCCAGACTCTTGCCGATGCAGCCAAAGGGGCCCATGGAGAAGGGCGCCCAGGCATCCTTGTACTTGACCATGTCGGGCTTGGAGTACCATCGCTCTGGCACAAAGGACTCGGCTTGAGGGTAGATTTCTTCGTCTGTAGCGGTGTTAGCTTGTGGGATGCATACGAGCTACGACGACTTCGAGTCTTACCTCTTGCCATGACGTAGCCTGGCATCCAGAAGGCGGTGTTGCCCGGCACATGTCTTCCGTCGACTTCCATGCCCTCTGGAGGCGTCACACGTTGCACACCAGACGGCACGGGCGGATGGAGTCTCAGGGCCTCCCAGATGCAGCCGTTCAGATGTTGCGCCTGGTTGATGTCCTTGTCGCTCCAGTCTCCGGAAAGGAGGGGCTTCAGCTCTTCGCGAAGCTTCTTGACTTGCGAAGGATCCTTGGCGAGATAGTAGAACAGATAGGTGAAGGCAGCAGCGGTGGTGTCACTGCCGGCAACGATGATCAGGCGCGCGTCGGCCTGGAGCATGGGGTCGCGATCGGGACGGTCGATGCCTTGATATGCGCGGAGAATCCAAGCCATCATGTCACTGCCACCCTTGCTCTCCGACTCGCTCGCGTTCTTCACGCGCCAGCTGAGCTCGTCAACGCAGAACTTGACGAACTTCTGGTAGCCCTCTGCCGCGCCAGGGATCTTGGTCAAGAGCCTGAAGAACCAGCTGGGAAAGAAGTAGGCCAGCGGCTGCATGCCCTCGTCCAAGAGCTCAAGAGCCCAATGCTTCTCTCCCTTCTCGAGCATACCGTAGTTCTTTCCGAACGCCAACAGAGCCATGGCGTCAAAGGAGAAGAGGTTGAACCACACTCTTACATCCACCGGCTCGCTCTTGAAGGACCCGAGCTTCTCCACAAGCAGTGTTGACAGCCCGCTAATACGGGTCTCGTAGTCTCGAATGGCCTTCTCGGAGAAGGCAGGAGCCCAGACCTTGCGGCGCTTGTCATGCAGAGCCTTGTCCCGAGTGGTGTGCATCGAGCTGAGCGGGGCATCATTGTCATACCACCAGCCCTTGGTGGTCTTTGCCTTCGGGCCGTACGCAGCCTCCATGATGCTGGGGTCAGTGATGGACAAATCGTTGCTCCCGATGCGCACGATCCGCCCATGCTTCTTGTGCTGCGCCAGCATTTGCTTGTAGAAGTCGGACTTGCCGAGCTGTGGGGCGAAGTAGAGGTTGCCAACGCGAGCTCCAAAGGAGCCGGGGAATTGGTTCAGGGGGTTGAGGAAGATGCGCCAGACCAGCAAGCTGCCGTAGAGGCCGACGAGGAAGGCGGTGCCGACGGCGGTGGTACTCTTGAATGAGTCGACGAGCGAGAGGCCATTGACGCGAGCAAAGGAGAGGAACACAGCGACCCAGCTGGCGAGGTAGGTGATGAGGTAGGTCCAGCCGTGCATGTGGCATTCGAAACGATGAAAGTAGAAGAGCCAGCTGGCGTGGCCAGCAACGGCCGCTCCCACACAGGGCACCAGAGGCAAAACCATGATGCCGCGGGTGAGTGGTGTGTGGTGTGTTTGGTGGTTGTGCAGAGATCAAAACCTGAAGCTCGCCAGAGCGTGGGGAATGGGGTGCTCGATCGTTATATATGTGGCCTCGGCCGGTGGCTTTCATCACGATCGAAGCTTGTTGCCCCGCAAAGCTCCAAGCAGCCCGCGTGAAGCAACTCGGCTGTACGGGCGGGGGGCCCCACGAGGCATTGCCCTATGAGAGGTGCGCCGTAGGAAAAGCCCCGGTGCGCTTTCCGCACCCCAAGGTATTTAGCCGATGAGCTCACGGGCCGTGCTTGCGCAGCTGCGTCGTTTCTGCATGTGATGAAGCGGTGGGCGAATCATCATTCGGGAATAGTGGCCACCAGCTGTAAGGAAGTATGGTGAAGGCTGTATACAATCCAGCCTCGGCACGTTGCGCGGTCGGGCATGAGTCCTTGCTCGCCTCTCGTCGGGAATAAGTAGTGCTGGAAGCCAAGGCAAGGCATTCGATACTCCAGGTACCAAGAAGGAGGCAGGCTGCAGTGTGATCATCTGCATGTAGCCGAGATCAGTCCAATCAGACACCATGGCCATCGGACTGATGAAAACTGATGTCACCCAGATCGAGCAATCGTCGAGGTCTCTGCGTATACCTCTAGTTATCTGCCGGGAAGGCTTTCCTGCGCTGCCTGCAGCTGCAGCATAAACTTGCCGGCAAGCGAAAGTCACGAGCTCAGGCCGGGGCAGCTGGCGGAGACCCCGCCTTCCCCGGTTTCTGCTCCGGCGGGGGCGACGGGCAGTCCCATGGCTTTTGGCACGCACCGTCCGTCCCGTCTCCCCCACGCGACGCCAACGCAAAAGTAAGTCGAGATCGGATGTCTTGATCGGCTCCACCACCACTCTGCTCCCGACCTTGCAGCCGCGCGACATCCAATACGAGGCCCGATATATCGCATCGCCATGGCCTATCCGCCGCCGGAGGGAGCGACAGGCAGCCAGAGCAGGTCGCCCGCGGAATTCGACCACGATGGCGAACGCACGCCCAAACGCCTGCGCTCGGAGGACGAGGATGGCGCGCTCGAGAATGGCGCTGATCGCAACGCCACGGGCGAGCAGGCACGCCTGTACAGTTGCGGGAAATGCTCGAAAGCGTACAGCCGCATCGACCACCTCACCCGCCACGTGCGAATGCACACCCAGGAAAAGCCGTATCAATGTCAGATTTGCTCCAAAGCGTTTGCGCGCGCCGACCTGCTCAAGCGACATACCCTCGGGCATGCAAAGGACGAGCCGAACAGCAAGCCGACCATTGTCCAGCACAGTCGCGTGTCGCAGGCTTGCGAGGCGTGCGCCAGCCTGCACCTGAAATGCGAGGAGGAGAAGCCGTGTAAGCGCTGCTCGAAAAAGGGCATCGTCTGCAACTTCACCTCCCCCTTTCCCGCCAGCAATATTGCCTCCTCGCCGCCGGAGAATGGACACGTCCTGGAGCGCCAATCGTCGTACCCGCAGAGCATACAGCAGCACACGCCGACCATGCAAAACATGCAGACCATGCACACCATGCCGCCAGTCCAGCCGATGCAGACCATGCAGCAGGTGCAAGCCATGTCTGCCCCGCCAGTGCACCGACAGTCCTTCGGGGAGCACCAGGTGCAGCAGCTGCCGTCTATGGACATGAACCAGCAAATCTCCCCTCAAGTCCCTCCGCCCCCCTCGATGGCGATGGGCAACAATGTAATGTCCGCGCCGCTGCCCTCGCACAACGGCAACATGTTCGATTATCTGCGAGACAAGATGTTGCCGCCTGTCGCTCAACAAAACGGCTCCGGAGTGCAAGTCATCGACTACCAGGCTGGCCCGTGGACACCCCGCGAGCTGTTCGACTTTGGTGTCGACGCCAACATGGAGCTGAACGACATGGACCTGAGCTTCCTCGACGCTTACAACAATGCGAATCCTTTCGACCTCCGCACCCCCAGCATCGGCTTCCCCACTACCGGATCCGACATCATGCCCACCTTTACAGCCGCTCCGATGCCTCCTCTCGACACCGCGGCCCTCCCAAAAGCCTCTGTATGGCGCTTCCGGCCATTGTCAAAGGACTCTGGCTCTGCGGAACAAGAGAACCTGTCTCTACCAACCCCTACCAAGCTCGACATGCCTCTTCAGCGGGTGACGAGCGAGCCTATAGGGCAGACTGCGAGGGACCGGATCCTTGCGATGATTCTTAGCACTTGCAAGCCCAACAGCATCCCGCGAGCCGTCGAACGCTTTCCATCGACCAGTCTACTAGACAGCTTGTTCCAATTCTCGCTGACGTCGCCGGGGAGCCACGCGAAGCACTGGATACATGCGCCAACGCTGCTCGCCGGGCAGACTCGTCCCGAGGTGCTAGCAGCCATCATCGCGGCCGGTGCCGTACTCACCCCTGACAATGCCATCCGGAAAGTTGGATACGCCATCCAAGAGGCCATCCGGACAGCAGTGCAGGTGCAAGTCGAGGACGACAATTCCCTACTTCGCGATATTGAGGTCATGCAAGCGTCGCTTCTGCAACTCAAAATCGGCCTGTGGAGCGGCGACAGCCGCAAGATGGAGCTTGCCGAGGGCTTCCAGGCAGTGCTCGTCACAATGGCTCGCAGGGGCGGGATCTTCAGACGCGGGACGTACTCGGCCATCGTCCCGCACCCGAGCGACCATGGCGAAGTCTTGCAGAGCAAGTGGCGAAAGTGGCTGAAGCAGGAGTCGCGCAAACGCTTCGCGCTACACCTATTCCGCCATGATCTCGAGGCTTCAGTATCTCTGTTGAGCAGCCCTCTGATCTCGTACGCGGAGCTCTACCTACCTCTGCCGGAGTCGGAGCAGCTCTGGCTGTCCTCCACGGCGGAACAGTGGAAGGAGACGTACTACAAGCAGCAAAGCGAGCCACGCTACGACCGACAACCTTCACTCATCGACTGCATCCAGGACTTGGACATTCTCGCCACCCAAGACCTCTGCGTGGATCAGCGACAGGCGAGCATGGCGGTGCTTGGGGCGGCGTGGCGGATGATCTGGGAATACCGGCAGCTGGACTCGTCGATGAAGGACATCAACAATCAGTGGTCGAACGGGAACCTACTCATGAGCTCCCGACACGCCGAACTTACAAAGCTTCTGCAGTGTTTCCGGGTGAGTTCGGTGGAAGACGCCAAAGTTACGCTCATCCTCGAGCTGCTGCTCATGCATCTGCACATGTCGCTGGACGACGTGCAGCTGTTTGCGGGCGTGGAAGGCGAAGAGGAAGCGCGGCGGGTGTACCCATCGTTGGTGCAGTGGACGAAGACCAGCACGGCGCGACAAGCGCTGTGGCACGCGGGACAGGTGGTGCGAGCGGCGCGCAATCTGCGGCAAGGGCTGATCTGCGACTTTGCCGCCATCGCCGTCTACCAAGCCAGCCTGGCCTTCTGGTCGTACGGGATCATCACGCGCATCACCGACCCGGCGCCGAGCTTCGAGAGCGGTGTCACGGCGTGGCTGGACGGCAGCGACGATCACGGGGTACGGCGGTGGATCATCAACGGGCAGAGCAATGCCGGCATTCGCTCGCAGCAGGGGAAGGCGCAGACTGCGGAGACGGTGGCGCTGGTGAGCAATCCCGATGAGAGCGTGCAGTCGCTGGTGCTGGTGATGCGGCGCAACCACAACGAGTCGCGCCTGCCGCCGTTGGTGGGGAATTTGATTAACATCATGGAGGGTTTGCGCAAGGCGGCGAGGACGTAGCGTGGTTTCAATGCGGTGGAGATGTGGGTGGGTGTGCGGTTTAGAGGGAGGCCGCGTGCGATTGGGGCGGCGCGAAATCAGAGTTTCCTGCCGTGACGACGGCCGCATTCAATGCAGACCGTGGTGTGACAGGGGGCGTTGTATCCCCATCCCCCATCTCCTCACCCTGAATCTAGCCCCGCCTGTGCCAGGCCCATTCGCCGTAGGTAAAAAAGACGTGATGGTCAAGGGGGTTCGCACCATCCCCGACCGTTGCGCGAGCTTTTTACCAAGCACTTGTAAGCAAACGGGCGATCCAAATTGCGACACGCGGCTAATGGCAAATGCCCCGAGCAAAAGTCCAAAAGTGGCGGGTGGCAACGTCACCACTTTAAATAGCCAACCCACCCTGCAGCTACCTCGACTGTGTACACCAGGCTGCTGCTCCAGCAAACAACCACACCTTTGCTCTCCCCTCTCCCTCTCCCTCTCCCTCCCCACATGCCCCCTTCCGCGCAGCATCTTCCCTCGAGATGCGTCTGTGGGGTGAGACACGCCTCTGGCGTGCCGCCGCCGCCGTCGGCCTGTGCATAGTCAACGCTCTCTTCCTCTTCTGGTTCCTGCGCAAACAACCCGATCACCTCGTCGCTTTCCAAACAGTCCCCTACTCCCCCTACCCCCGATACAACTCCGCGTCGTGGCTCCGGCGATGGCGAGGCGAACATGTGTCCTGCGAAGGCCCGCGTGGCAAGCTGCTGAACCAGAGCGCCCACGACTGGGTGCGCGCCCGCATCGTCTCGCCCGACTCTTACCCGCAACCCTTACTCGGCGACTCGGAAGTCTTCGGGGTCCAGGACGGCGTTTGCTTTGATAGCTACGACCGCCTCGCGCCGTATGGCTTCGAGCCGGAAGAGACGGATAAGCCTGCTGTGGACTGGGATTCGGTGCCGTGGGCGGAGCTGCAAGAGCGCTGCATAGACCAGAATCGAGAGCGTTTCCACCCGGAAGCCAGAGCGTCGAAGACTGCGAGAATGCCCGCCCAATCCACCGCCATTCCTGCCGACTCGATGCAGTCGCCGCTGCAGAGGACGCCGTCGAAGACGTCTGCGAAATACCACCACCGCACTGCATTGCTCCTCCGCACGTGGACGGGCTATAAATACCGTCCAAACGACTTGCACACCATCCGCGCACTCATCACCGAGCTCAGCTTGCTTTCCGGCGGCGAGTACGAAGTCTTTCTCCTGGTGAATGTCAAGGAGCACTCCAAGTTCTGGAAGCAGCCAGAGGAATACCAGCGCCTTCTCGACGAGCACGTCCCGCGAGAATTCCACAACATCAGCCTCCTCTGGAGCGAGCTCCCGCTGCTGCGGAACTGGTATCCCGAGGTTGGCGACTGGCAGAACTACTGGCACCAGTTCATGGTCCTGCAGTGGTTCTCCAAGACGCATCCGGAGTTCGACTACATCTGGAACTGGGAGATGGACGCTCGCTTCATCGGCAACCCCTACCACTTGTTCGAACAGGCCGCGAGGTATGCCAAAGCGGCGCCGAGGAAGTACCTGTGGGAGCGCAATGCTCGCTTCTACGTCCCCGGCGCACACGGAAACTTCCAGGAGTGGCTCAACGACACCCACACCACCATTGAAACGGCCGCGCGAGACGGCAAGTTGGAGCCAGTATGGGGGCCTCTTCCCTACAATGCCTCCCTCCAAAGCCCTATCGGTCCGGCACCTCCTCGCTCACTGGAAGAAGACAACTTCACCTGGGGCGTAGGCGAAGAAGCTGACCTCATCACACTTTTGCCCATGTGGGATCCAGTCCACACGGCATGGACGTACCGCGACAAGATCTGGAATTTCCTGCCCGGCATACGCCCACACTTCAGCCAAGCCGACACGATCGCGCGCTACTTCCACCACGCCGAGTTCGCCAAGATCCCCCGGCGCACCTTCATCAACACCGTGGCCCGCTTCTCGCGAAGACAGTTGCACGCCATGCATCTGGAGAACGTGGCCGGCCGCACAATGCAGGCCGAAATGTGGCCGGCGACGGTGGCGCTACACCACGGGCTGAAGGCGGTGTACGCGCCGCATCCCATCTGGGGCGACGCCAACTACGACGTCCACGCGGTGGACGACGTGTTCAACGCGAACGACAACAAGCCGGCGCGGTGGAGCTCCCAGCGCGACTCGGTGTACAACCGCGACCGCGAGGGGTACTTCGGCCCCTTTACGTGGTTCTACAACGCCCGCTACCCGCGAGAGCTGTACCGCCGATGGCTGGGCTACGAATCCATCAAGGGCACACAGGACGACGGCGAGCGCTGGCCCATGGGCGAGCGGAACACGCTGTGTCTGCCGGCTATGCTGCTGCATCCTGTGAAGCACGTGGAGGGCGAGGACGAGGAGTAGTGCTGGGGCGATGTGCATTCTCAGCACTACCCGGAGGCCTCTCATGAATCACGAATGCAACGACTCAACTGGTAATAGACGAGCGGCGCCAAGGCTTTGCGATCCGGTCGATTTCCTTTTTTCCATCAGCAAGCGAGTTCTGTCCCAGTACTTGTTGACTCGGATGAGTCAGACGGTTAATACCAACATCCATTCGATTCGGTGCAGTCGCTGTTCTTTAAAACATACCTATGTATTTAATAGTATCGAAAAGAAAAGTGCAAATCTGACTCGTCCTCAACCTCATCCACGACCCAAATCAACCATATGTAAATACAGCTCACGAACAATGGCAGACAACAGCTCCGACGGCTTCCTGCCTGTCCCCGAAGGCTCCATCTACTGGAAACACAACTATGCCGCCGACAAAGACGCCGGCGCAACTCGGCCCACCATCCTGCTCGTCCACGCCGCCGTGGCAGATCACACGCTGTGGGATGCGCAAGTCGACTTCCTCAACGCCAAAGGCTGGAATTGCCTTCGATTCGACTTGTTTGGATTTGGTGTATGTAATCGCACATGACACTCTGCCGTCCACTCTCGCTAACCCGCCATGAAACAGCAAAGCAGCCCCAGCAAGGAATACCTTAGCGCCCCCGGCCCAAAATCCTACAAACCTTGCCCGCAAATTGATAGAGTGAGGCAAACCGTCCTCGGCCCCGACGCAAGCCTCATCGTCATAGGCCTCAGCATGGGCGCCAACGTAGCCCTCGAGTACACGCTCGCGTACGGCGCGCACGTCGTAGCAGTAGGCATCTGCGCCGGCGGCCCGCGCGGCTTCACAGGCGCCAACGATCCGGCGGAAGACGCGCTATTCGCAGAAGCCGAGGCCTGCCTTGCCAAAGGCGACGTGCAGCGCGCCGCGGAGCTGCAAGTGCACATCTGGGGCGATGGGCCGTTGCAGCCTCCTGGACGATTGGCGCCCAATGTCGCGGCGCAGATGCTGCGGTGGAATTTGGATATTGCGGCTAGGGAGAGCGAGAAACGGGGTGGGTTGGCGTTTGAGATGGTGTTTGAGGGGGAGGCGGCGATGGGGCGGCTGGGGGAGTTTGAGGGGCCGATGTTGGTTTCCTGGGGCACGTTTGATGAGACGTTCACGACGGAGTCGATGAAGGCTGTTGTGGCTGCGAGGGGGCCCGGGCGGGCGGTGGTGGGGAGGGAGTTTGCGACGGGGCATATGATTAATTTGGAGGTGCCGGGGGAGTTTAATGCGTTTGTTGACGAGTGGCTTCAAGGCCATGAGCTTCATAAGGCTAGATAGAGTTAAGGGCATGACGGGACTAGCTACGCCTCGTACACCGCGTCTACATGCACGGCCTCGGCGCCCAGCGCCTTCTTGAGCTCGTGCGCCGCCTCCTGCGGATCCTCCGTAATGTCGTGCGCGAGCAGGCTGCGCTTCGTCGTGGCGTCTTTGTCGAGGAAGACGAAGGCGCTGCGCGACGGGACGAACAGCAGCTCCAGCTCTTCCAGCGAGCGGCGCGCCGTCTCCGGGTAGAAGAGGTACGACACGATCGAGATGCCGATGCAGATGCCGCCGAAGATGAAGTAGAGGCGCCACGAGGCCTCGTTGAGGGCGGTGGGGATGTACAGGCCGAGCCAGAAGTTGCAGAACCAGTTTGTCGCTGTTGATAGTGCCGTTCCGCGCGCTCTGGACTCGATTGAGAACACCTCGTTAGGATACGTCCAAGGAACAGAGGAGTACGCGCCGCCAAAGAAGGCCTCGTACAAGAACATGAATGCAATAGCCGCATGGCCGGCCGACTTGTTCTTGAAAGAGAAGTTGACGGATTGCGTGGTAGGGTCGAAGTAAGGGGAGCCGAAGCCAACGAGCATAGATCCGACGACGATCAAGCAGACGCCCATTGCAAAGGGGCCGAAGATGAGGGGTTTGCGCCGGCCGTACTTGTCCATCATGATGTTGAGTTGCAGGCTGGAGACGAAGAGGATGGCGCCGCCGATGCCGTTTGCTAGCAGCGTGGCTTGCGTGCCGACTGTGCCGGTTTGGGCGAAGACTTTGGAGGCGTAGTATCTGTAGCATATCAGTACTGGGTTCTGGAAGGGGGGATTGTCGTTCCGAGGGATACGCACAGTACAATATTCGGCCCAGAAATTTGCTGCAGGAATTGAGCACCTACGCCAAGCGCTGTGCGTCGTCGATACTTCTTCCCACAGATCAACTGGAAATACGACGGCGTCTTCTGCTGCAGCTCTGCCTCATAGTCCACGGCAACACGGATCTCCAAGTACTCGGCCTGGACGAGGGTATTCGACTCATCGCCATGAGCGTGCAATTGGGCCAGCACCCTCAACGCCTCGTCATCGCGATTGTGCCGCACCAACCAACGGGGCGATTCCGGTCGGAAGAACATGTGAATGCCGATGATCGCGGCGGGCACAAGTTGCAGGCCCAAGGGCAAGCGCCACGCTGCACCGCCAGAAAGTCTTGAAGTTCCATACTGCACCCAGTAGGCGATCATAAGGCCCAGTCCAATACCGGTGTTGAGCACGGCGGTCGTCCGACCGCGCACTTGTGGTGGGGAGATCTCGGCAGTGTAGAGAGACATGGTTTGGAAGAGAGCACCTGCGCCGAAACCGTTGATGACACGCGCTGCGATGAATTGCGCCTGCGAGACGGAGGCAACAAGGATGATCTGGCCGATAATGTAAATAGTGATGGCGGTGAGGATGGTAAAGCGACGGCCTAGTCGATCGGCCAGCAAGTATCCCAGAGTCAAGGAGCCGCCGAACTCGCCGGCTTGAAGACCAGCCGTGAGTACACCTTGACGAAAGGCGGATGGGTTATTGAAGTAATCGAGGAATTCTGAATGGCTTCTCAGCGACGGTTATAGGAATTCTTTGCAGCCCTACGAGGCTGCGATGAGATTGGCTTACGAGGCATGGCCAGAATGCCGCCCAACGATCCATTTTCCCAGCCATAGGCAAAGCCGGTGGTGAGGATGGGGAAAAGGTATTGGAAGTAGTCGCCGAACGACGCTTTGCTGGGAGACGACATGATATCGGTTCGATGATGGATATCTGACCTGGTCAGTCTCGTCGAGTCAACTTCTAGGTCGAGCTGAGCTGTCGATCTCCCATTGTTGAAGAAGGGAGTTCTTTTCATATATTCCCTGTGCGGTTATCGCGGCATCTCCACGTGGGGACTCCATGGGGACGGGAGATTCACCGTCTGGTCTCGTGTGCTGTTGGGCGAGGGAAGCGGATGAAAGATTACCCCCAATGGCCCCGGCTATAGCAAGGATCAAGCGCTGCTATTGCTCCTGGCTAAACCCATCTGATCTGGGCTACCGTCTCTCCGTTCATCGGGGCGGACAGGTCCACGTCACCGTGTAGATGTAACGGTGCAAGCTGACTCGGGTGCTGTCACTGTGGCTGCATCTTGGCCGGGCGTGGCATGGACGCCGTAAATGCTTGGAAAAAGCTTGACCCTGGATGAACATGCTTCCACCACGTCATGGCGAGAGGTAGGTACATGGTACATTCGTGCAATGATGGACTCGATTTTCCAGGCCACATACCCAACCACGCCAAATCTCTTTTCCGAGACACAGTTGATGGCGTCCTTTCCGTGTGACCGACGTTGAGATCCGAGCAAGGATGGCGGAGATGGCGCTTCCCGCAACGGCGTTGCTAGCACCCGTGGACTCGAAGACGAACACAACCCCGGCACCGGAAACGGAGCGAGTCATCGAGAGCTTTGAAGTGAGCGGTCCTCATGCAAACGTCGCTGAGCAAGAAGACATTCCCCCGGACGGTGGTGAGTGACTGAACGAACAATGGACAATCGTCAAACATCCCATCGCTGACTTCGACAACCAACGCTCAGGCTACGGCTGGGTCTGCACCGCATGCGTCCTACTTGTCAATGCCTCCACCTGGGGCGTCAACAGCGCCTATGGGGTCTTCCTCGCCTACTTCCTCTCCCACTCCACCTTCTCCGGCGCCTCTCGTCTGGAGTACGCGCTCATCGGCGGCCTGTCAATCTCGCAATCCCTCTTCATCTCCCCCCTCATTGGCCTCTGCAACGAGAAACTCGGCACCCGCATCTCCCTACTCATAGGCGCCATGCTCGTCTCCGTAAGCCTGCTGGCCTCCTCCTTCACCACCAGGATTTGGCAATTGTTCTTGAGTCAGGGCGTGTGCTTTGGCTACGGGTTAGGCTTCTTGTACATCCCTGCGTCCACTGTGCTGCCGCAGTGGTTTGACAAGAAGCGCAGCCTGAGCATGGGTATTGCTTCTTCCGGCGCGGGATTCGGTGGGCTGGTGTACAACCTCGTGGCCGGTGCCGCTATCCAGGGCTTGGGGTGGAGTAAGTTTCTTCCCGCCTTATCACTCCGCCTCCGCATTTCGCTGACTTGCGGCACAGGATGGACGTATCGGATCTTGGCCATCTCGACGGCTGTAGTGAACGTCACGTGTGCGCTCTTGCTCAAAGATCGCAACAAGATGGTCAAGCCGAAGAAGCAAGGCTTCAATGTCCGCGAATTCGGGCACATTTCGGTCGTGCTGGTCATCCTGTGGGGGATTTTCACCGAGCTGGGGTACATTGTATTGCTATATTCGCTTCCAGACTACGCCATCTCCATCGGACTATCTGCCAATCAGGGAGCGGTTGTCGGGGCGGTGCTGAACGTTGGCCTAGGCGTTGGACGACCCATCATCGGACTCCTCAGTGATCGCTTTGGGCGAATCGATACGGCCACAGGTATGTCGCCTCGTCCTCATTACTCCGTCAGAAGTGTGCTGATCGAGACAGCCGCGACTGCGCTGTGTGGCATCTTCGTGCTGAGCCTGTGGGTGCCAGCCCACAGCTATGCTGTCCTCTTACTCTTTGCCCTCGCGATTGGCAGCGTCACTGGAATCTTCTGGGGCACGGTAGCACCTGTCACAGCCGAAGTCGTTGGTCTGCAAAGACTCCCGGCCACATTCGGCATGCTTGTCTTGCCGCTCGTTATTCCCACGGTCTTTGCGGAACCAATAGCATTGGGGCTTGCCGCTTCATACGGCTACTTGACCGCCAAGATCTTCGTTGGCTGCATGTTCCTCGCTGGTGCCGCCTCTACCTTTGCCCTCCGCTCGTGGAAGCTGTACGATATTGAAAGGAAAGCGTTGAGGGAGAGGGATGGCGGTCGCCCGTCACTGCCGGAGACTGAACACAGCTTGAAGTGGCTCAGTACTCGGCGACTGCTCGCCAATCGGCGAGTGTGAAGCCATGGAGAAGTTCAATCTGTCCTTCAGACTCCGTAGCCTATACGGAAGAGGAGAGCTCGGAATGATCCCTGGGCTCGCTGACAATGCTATCGCGATTGCGCTGGCCCTCTCTAAAGTCCGCCGTCAGCTCGCGACAGAGATCTTGTCGCATCATATTGGCGACCTCATCGTGAGTCAAGTTCTGGAGGGACAGCAGATATACGAGCTTGGTATATGCCGCTTCTGTCGTCATGTCGAGGCCGGTAACGATGCCTCTCCGCTCCATCCGCCGAGCAGACTCGTATGCGGACGTCACGCTGCCCGTGAGACATTGCGTGACACTCACGACCACGATGCCTCTCTCGATTGCCTTTGAGAGGATCTCGAGGAGGTCTAAGCCGTGTTTGGTGAGAGGGACATTCCCGGCGCCAAAGGTTTCGAGCACCAGGCCACGTAAGTCTGGCATCTCAGCAATGTGGCTGATCAAATTCGTGCTGATGCCGGGATAGACTTTGAGCACGGCGACGCGGTTGGTGTCCAAAGGCCCGATGGTTGCCGACACCGGACCGGATTTGGACGCCGCATCATGGTCTGGTGTCTTTCCAACTGGCTGGATCGTCTTGGAATACAGAGTTGAAGTCCAGATACCACCAGCATGCTTGCGGACAATCGCAAGCGGTCTCGCGTTTGGCGTGGTGAAGGCGGCGAGAGAGAAGGAGCTGACCTTGGTCACCCGCGTGGCGCGGTACAGGTGGTGATGGAAGACGACGCTGACCTCGGGAACATCGAAATTCGCCGCAAACGTCAAAGAGTCGAGGAGGTTGTCGTGTGCGTCGTTGTGAGGAGCATACATGCTGAGCTGTGAGCCGGTAACGATGACGGTCTTGTCCACGTCTCCGAGCACAAATGACAAGATAGAAGCGGTGTACGCCAGAGTGTCGGTGCCGTGCAAGACGACAAAGGCATCAAAGGCATGCCAGTTCGCCTGTAGAGTCGTTGCAATCTTCGTCCAGTGAGAGCCATCCATGGAGGAGCTGTCAATGAGCTCCTGGAATTCCAAGATGCTGCAGTCATAGTCCTCATGGTTGAGACGCGCCCTGTTTGGGGATTGTAAGGTGACCGCATTGGTAGGCTTGCCGTCCTCGTTTATGACTGGCGTGGCGCCGACTTTGCTGCCTTGGTGGAAGTCGAGGTTGGGGATCATGAGGTTCTGGGCGAAGTTTCTCGTCGGAATCAGGCCGTCGATGGAGTCTTGCATGCAGATTGTGCCGCCTGAGATTAAGACTAGGACGCGTCGTCTCCCGTTACTTGAGCTATCGTCTCGCCCGTTGGTCGCCATGTTGGAGCTCCGGAAGGTATATGCGTGAGGAATATCGGAGGCTGCGGTGGGCGCAGAGACAAATTACTCCCCACTGCTGTACTCCGCAGATACCGAATAGGGATATGAGGTTCGTAGGAAATATAGGAAGCTAGAAATCTGAGATATAAGAGGATCGGATGGTGAAGGAATTGGAAGAACCCGAATTCTTCAACATTCCGAGAAGTCTGGATGCGTCGCGGCGGCCCACGAGGCATTCGTGTGGGGATCCAATGTCAACTCTATTCCAACTCCACTTGCAACCTCGTCGCACTCTTCAATAACCTTGCATATTCAATCCTTCAAAATAGCCGAGAGTAGTCTCTGTTTCATTTGGAAGAGGCTTCTTAAGTTCTGCGACCAACTGTTCATGCCCTCAACATGCCCAACTCCTTGACCATCGCTCTCAAAAATGACAGCGACCACAACAACCTCCACGCATACGTAACTGGCATCGCCATTCAGAACGGTGGGAGACGCTGCCTATTACGAGCCGATGGAAGAACTCTCTACTACCCCGAGAGTCCTCCCTCAATAGGCTCTCCGTTGGCTGAAGACTGCGCCATACCGCTCGGACATCCTGGCAACACGACTCGCATCACCATTCCTCAAATTGCCGGAGGTCGCATCTGGATCGCCGAGGGCAAGTTGACCTTCTTGCTCAATCCCGGCCCGGCGCTCGTGGAGCCTAGTGTTCTCAATCCCAGCGATCCTAACGCTGCCGTCAATTTCGCCTTTGCCGAATTCACCCTCAACAACGACCAGCTGTATGCTAATATTTCTTACGTTGATTTGGTGCCGCGATTACCTGTCGCCATCACTCTACTGCAGGCTTCGGGCGCTGTGCAGCATGTGGCTGGCATGGCGCCGAATGGGCTGGATAGACTCGCGCAGGATCTTGAGGCTCAGTCGAGGCAGGATCGTAGGCCTTGGGTGAGCAACACTCGACCTGGACTAAACTTTCTTTCTCGAAATTAATACGTTGATGTTGTAGGATAAGCTGATCGTCAGGCACGAACAGAGGAATCTGCGCATCCTCAATGCAACACATGGCAATGCAGTCGGTGCCAACTTTGACGGCTACTTCGAGCCGCACATCGAAGAAGTATGGCACAAGTATCGATCGGGTACGTCTGGCAGCACTCTCTACACGTTCGTCACACAACTTCAATCTGACCCCTCAGCTCAGGCGCAAGGATGAGAATCAACACTCAAGCCGGCCCAGGCGTCGTGGAAGGCCACGTCCAACACGACAAGCTCATCATCGGCGGCGAACCCTTCGACAAACCCAACACAGCCGACGTCCTAGGCTGCAACAGCGGGCCCTTCACAACAGGCAGCTCCGCAACCCGCAACGCCATCATCCCCCGTCTAGCCGCAGCCTTCGTCCGCTCCACGCTCCTCGATGCCGAAGACCAGCCATCCGATCCCCGCACCTTCTACCGCCGAGATCCGACGAATCACTATGCTCGTTTGGTCCATGTGCACAATTTAGATGGCAAGGGGTATGCGTTTGCGTATGATGATGTGCAGCTCGATGGAGGCGAGGATCAGAGCGGCAAGGTCAATGCTGGGGACCCGTCGCTTTTAACTGTTACTGTTGGCGGGAAGAGTGCGGCGAGTCTTGCGAGGAAGGCTCCGGCTCCGCCGCCACAGCAGCAGCAGTATATGCATAGTCCTGCTCAAGGGCAACATGGTACGCCTCAGCAGAGGGAGCATCATGGGGTGGCGGATAAATTGAAGGGGTTTGCGGAGAGGGTGCTGAAGTGATGTCTTCTGTCGATACGAAGATTGTAAGTGCATGACCACCGACAATGACGAAGAAGCCAGTAGTGATACAGCGCACATAGCACCATTATTCAATTCCGGAGTAGGCGATAACTCAACGAGTGACTTGATTAGATTCGATCTGGTATTAGCAGTATGTCTATCCTCTTCAAACATTACCATCCTCCAATCTCACAACCTACGATCCCTGCGCGTGAACTACATTAAAAGAAGATCCTTCAGTCAGCCAACACTTCACAAAACTCCCACAACCAAGAAAGAAGCAAACTTACACTCAGCCACCCACTTCTGCACAATCCGAATGATCCAATACTGCGCCCCCTGGATGAACTGCGGCGTAATGCTCACATTCGCTAACCCCCCGAGCCCAAAACTATTCCAGCAGTGGCCGGCGCCGGCGATGAGGAGTTGCGGATTCTCGTAAGCCGAGATGGCGTTTTGCGTCAGGCGTTCGGGCGCGTCGGTGGAGTGGTAGCAGGCGTCGCGCCTGGTGGTTTAGAACATGTTAGGTGGGTGTGGTGGGAGCCTGGAGATCTGACGTACCAGACGTCCGCAGCGCCATCTATGTGCGCCAGTCTCTTTTGCACGACATTGTACCCGCCGTACTTGTTGATGCGGTCGACGTCGGGGCTGTCTGGGATGGAGTTGTATTTTCTGTTTGTGAGAGAAGCGTCACTTGATCAGTATGTGGTTTTGCAATGGCGTTGCAGTGGCATTGTGACGGTTCAACGCACCCTGGAGGAAACGCCCATCTGCACCACTGCTGGGTGTAATTGACATTCAAAACCTTCGAAATCAAGCTCGGTCCCGACTCAGGTGCGGCCTGGTAGAACCCGATTTCCGTGCAGGAGGTGTAGAGGAAGGACTTCAACGGCCAAGGCCGCACATCTGCCCAGTACGTTTCGTTCTGCGTGCCGAAGCAGAAGTCGTGGCCGTGCGGGGTGTGGTTGAGGGGCAGGTGCCGGCAGTAGGGGTTGATGGCTGTCTTGATGTAGTTGGCGTAGTTGCCCAGGTTGATCCAGGGCTCGCCGTTTGTGGCTTCGCTGAGAGCGTAGTCTACAGATGTGATGTTTGCCGAGGCGGTGAGGTCGGTGACGTTGCGGCAGAATTCCCAGAAGTAGGGGCAGTCGACGCTGGCGTCCCAGTTGAGCTCTTGATATGTGCAACCGGGATAAACAAAAGGCCCGCCGACTGAGGGGCGATTAGTAGAGCGTCTATGTATTGATGAGGTAGCGTTTGGAAAGGCACGTACTTGGAAATGCAATCGCCCGGGCAAAATCGACATCGTACAAGCTCTCCATATCGAATAGCCCTTTCATCTTGTTGATCAGCGTCCGATTACCGGTGTCGAAAACGCGATCGATGTTCTCGACGATGCCGTTGATACTGCCCACGCAATCTTGTGGAGCGAGCTCCTGGATCGGCGCATACCTATCGACCGAGTGAGAGGCGTCAGGATCGCAACGGGCGAGGATTCAGCATACAGGGGGGTGAACATACCATTGCGAATAGCCGACAACAGCTTTCGTAACTCCACTAGTAGCGATCCCACCCCAGATGATCCCGCCATCGCCTCCATACGTCTTGAGGGAGAAAGCGGCCTGTGAGCCAGCCAAGCTGCCGCCGTAGAGGATCCATGGGGAGTGTGGAGCGTTGAGGGAGATATTGCTCGTCACTCCGGGGAAGGTTGCGTGCTGGGCAAAGTAGGCATTGTCCGCGATTGCTGTGGATCATTCAGCGATATTTGGGACCCGACTTAGACCAGTTGGGGACACACTTTGCTCAGTAGTCAGGAATCTCAAGTTGTCGGTTGTGCTGAGGTTAAATGGGAAGCTCTCTCCGTAGTATCCTGGTTACGTAGTATCAGCAACTGCTTCATCGCATGAGCCAATCCCGGTCAGAAGCAAAGTAGCCTACTGTTCTCCAGTATGATTCCAAGACCATTCGTAGCCTCCATCAAGATCTTGATGACTGCGAAGTCAACGTCAGCAAACGCCAGGCCCGAACGCATCCTCTCGCGTTCTTCTACGGCATGTGTCGACTTACTACCCGTCTGCATGAGCGGAAAACGACTTGGTCCCGAAGTCTCCCCCCCAAGATACAGCAGGATGGGACCGCCGGGTTTGTAATACGAGGCATCGAAGTAGTAGCGCTGGCTGAATGTTGTCCGGTTCGACATCGGGCCATACCGTTTGTCGCCGGGGAAGTGGTTGATCTACGAGACCAATGACGGTCAATCAGGGTCGATACCATCCACAGAGGCAGTCTTATGATGCAGAGAAGGAAATTGGTCGAAGCCTTACAAGTTGCTCGAAGTAGTGCGGCGGATAGACGGCCGTATCAGACGTTTGCCGTTTCGCGAGCTCGAGCTCTTCGCCGCTCAGTTCGGGTTGCCAGAGTCGATGCGCCTGACCGGCGACGCTCAAGAAAGCGAGCAGCAATAGGAACAGCGACTTCATCTTCGCGACGCTGTTGGCCGATATCGAGGAGGGAAAACGCTGGACTGCACAGCAAAGGGCAAGAGGGAGGAAAGACAGACTCACCGCATCCTACATATACTCGCTGTCCACCCGCTTAAAACGGCAAGATCGCATGTGACGCATTCTCTGCTCAATACTGTACGTTACATCGGCGGACTAGGGTTTGGTCTTGCTAACGTCAAACAGGTGCGCCCGCAGGAGGGACAGGTTGCTAAAGTCGTTAGCCTTCCGGCCATGGAGACCCACTCGGCGTTGTACGGCGGGGTTGTAAGGCTCTGGCCGTAAAGCTCACATGCAGGAATGCGATACGGGGTGCACGTCATCGAGGGAAAAGCAGGAGAGAAGGGCGGTCAAGCAAAGGACCATCGTATGCGCAAATAGGTATCTCGGGAGCAGATAGATGAAAACACAATGCAGAGTGGAGTAAGGATCATCCCGCGTCGCTGGCTGCCAAAGCATCAAGTCCTCCCACTTCATCACAGGCGTAGTCGGCAAGGTACCTTACCTTGTCCAACCCTTCAAAACTCGCCTCGCTGTTTATGGCTCTCCCCCGGCCCAAGCGCACCTCCACCCCATACCCCCACCAAGCCCCAGAACCCGACTCTCCACCCTCGGACCAATCCCGCCATGCCCTGCCCACGTCTGGTGCGCAGCATGCCCTTCGAGTCCTTGGTAGTCGTCTCTCCCTCGGCGTACAGGATGGAGTAGATGGTCCCGCCCACTCCCTTGTACTCTGCCGGCTCAAAGACAGTCGGGAGATCGGGATCATGGCGACGCAGGACGGAGAGCTGGGCTCTGCGAACGAGTGTTTCGAGGGGTAGACGGATGAAGAGGTCGGTCAGACTGGTGGTGAAGGCGGCGACGGACCATAGGGACGGGGTAAGCTCGGGTGTGATGCGTAGTTGGCGACGGAGGATGAGCGGGGATGCGGCGGAGAAGATTTGGGGAACGGAGTAGTAGAGGGCGGTGGGGAGCCAGAGCACTGACGGCACCACGAGGGAGGGAAGCTGGCGCAGATTCTGCACTAGACCGCGCGGGGCGTGAGAGATGGGAGAGGCGATGAGTCTCGTTCGCACGAGGTCCAAGGGAGCGAGAAGCAGGCCGGTGATGCAGCTCGCCATGCCGGCGACAATCAAAGATCCAATGGGATTCGGGCTCTCGCTCACATCCAGCCCGGAAAAGCCTGCTCCCGTGACACTCAGGCTCGGTCCTAGACCCCCCGGATCTGGACCCGCGATATCAGGCAGGCCAACGAGCGCCAGCAACAAACCCCTAATGAAGCTGTCGGCCGTGCGCAGGAGGACGGAGTAGACAAAGGTGCAGTTCGTGGCTCGCCATAGCCCTACGGCGCCGGAGGTGGTGTAGATGGTGGAGATGGCGTGGGTGATGCTGTCGGGTTTCGTGAGGCGTAACTTGTAATCGGCGTAGCTGTCCTGTTCTCGACGATCTTTCGGCGTAGGGGTTCGGGAGGGAGAGTTGTCGGAATGGTGTGGCGCTCGCTTTCTCCTTCGAGGCGAGCGGCTGCGCGGGGCGGCAGAGGTGAAATAGTCGGGCATGTCATCATCGCTTCGCTCACTGCTCCCCTCGGAGTCCGACTCGGATCCCAGATGACTCGCTCGTGATGCCCCATGGCTGTGTCGACCCGCTGATGTTCGACCCGCTGACTTGCGCGATTTGACCGGGGTGGAGAGCGATGCAGCGGAGGGTGGAAGAGAGAGCTGAAGGACGGTTTTGGCAACATCGAACGGCTGCGCGAGAAGGATGGACGTGTATCTCCACACCAACGTGTCGAGCAAGGCGCGCGTGTGTGTCCATGCTTCGCCGGTGGTTGACCGCAGGTCGATGTCGATGTCGGGGAGATAGTCTCTCGCCGAGCTCGACAGGGAGGATGTTGGCGCGGGTCTAGGAGTGTGCGCCGCCTGCGGGGGTGATGTGGCAGATGTAGGGCCGATGGAGGGCGGGATGTAGTAGGGACGGAGAGGATTGGGTTCGCGGGAGGCGGTGAGGGGGAAGCGGTCTTTGTCCATCGTCGTTCGTCTACCAGGTTGTCTCCAATCGGAGTGATGGCCGCATCGAAGTCGATTCGGGGAGAGAAGAGGAGAGATGAGGTGTTGGAGCTGGTCGATGATGATGCATGTGATGGTCGGAGAGGCAGGTTTATCTCCACCTCACCTCCGGCTTGGCGCGCTCCTGCGACGGCCATCAGGGAAACTTTTCTTTTAGCTATCCAAGTCCACATATTCCCCGCCACCTTCTACCCCGAACGATACCACACGAGGAGGTCCTGGAAGGGGACAGAGCGGTTTCGTGCAAAGATGTTAATACAACGGCCATGCGCCTCCAAAGCGTCCCAGCTCTTCCTCACCCAACCTCTCACATGTCTGACTCCAAATGGGCGCGCGGCGCATCAGCGAGTACATTACCGACGATTCCACCTCCTTCGAGCGACTCGACATGACCAGATAGCCCCCTGTCGAACAATCCTACAGTCATCACAGCAAACCGCCGGACATCTAAGTCAACGACGATCATCGCCCTTCCAATTCCCATCCTCTCCCTTTTCCTCAACGGCAGTCAACAACCACGGAGACCTCACCCCTCCCCGACCCGGAGAGGAGCGACACGTCACCTTCATCGACAAAGAAGGCCAGTCACACACCTTCGAAGTCGCCGACGGTGACAATCTTCTCGACATTGCGCAGGCGAACGATCTCGAGATGGAAGGGGCGTGTGGGGGGAGCTGCGCCTGTAGCACGTGCCATGTGATTGTGACGGATGAAGAGCTGTATGACAAGATGGAGGAGCCGAGTGACGACGAGAACGACATGTTGGATCTGGCGTTTGGGTTGACGGAGACGAGTCGTTTGGGATGTCAGGTGAAGATGAGTAAGGAGCTGGACGGAGTGGTGGTAAGTTGGCTATGCTTTTGCGAGCTGGCGCAAAGAGCGTAATCATGCTAACGGGTCAATATAGGTCAAACTCCCTTCCATGACAAGAAATATGCAAGCCTCGGATTTTGCGGATAAAAAGTGACGCCGTCATTCCGACCGCCAGCGAGCTGAGTTGGCGTTACTGAGCGACCACCAACACCATTGTACAAATATACCGATGCATAGCGAGACGGTTGGCGATACCCATAGACTCTGTACAAAAAGCAATCGCACCTCCGATAGTCAAAGTCCATCTGCTTCTCTCCGGCTGTTGACAAACCCGAATCAACTCTGTCCATGCCGGGCATCGCGCAAAGATGCAGCCTTCTTCACCAAAGACATGTCATAATAACAGCGCAGCTCCACGAACTGCAGGTCATCCGTCCCCACACCCTTATCAGCCTTGCCAACAGTATATACGAAACTCTGCGGCACCAGAATCGACTTGGGATCATCAGATGCATCGTAAAACAACCTGGTGTGAACCTGGATATACACCTTTCCCGTTCGCTCTATATTACCATCCGGAACGAGAATCAACGATAGTAAGTTTCGAGTGACTTTGCCATAGCCTCCGTAAACAAGATTGAAGAAGTCCCACATATCTTCGTTGCCGGTTATTTGAGAGGCGTCGGGTAGATGCATGAGACAGTGTTTGCTATAGAACCGCTCCGATCTGATGGCTATGAAGTCGGAGTTGTAGACTTGTTGGTAGTTGGCGAGGAATTCGAGAATGGGATGTGCGGTCCATGCTGAGGATGGGATGGGGGAGTCGAATACCAGTGCTGTTTGAGACATCCTTGATCGATCAATCGTCTGTATTCATCGCTTCATCAATCTCATCGTCAATGTTCCGCTCATATGCGATTGCTTCAGGCGGGGCAAAACTCGCGGCGGGGTCAAGACTTTTGACCAGCGGGAGACGCCCCGTTGGAGCTTCGCGTCAAACAGACGCCTAGCTTCGAGCCTTCCTCAGAAGTGCATCTGCATGAACAGTGTCCTGCTTGATTCCATCTCAACCTCCCCATCCACCTTACCACCCCTTCAATCTCGAGCACGCCTGCAGTCAAACAGACAACGCTCTTCCATTCGCCCTCAGTCGGCACTCCCTCACATCCCATCTCCTCACCATGGCGTCCGGCTATGATCGAGCATTATCAGGTCCGCATACCCCATCTCACCCATCGTCACCCAGCACCTCTCCACTAACCCACAAACCCCACAGTCTTCTCCCCCGACGGCCACGTCTTCCAAGTCGAATACGCCCTCGAAGCAGTGAAACGCGGCACCTGCGCCGTCGCCGTGAAAGGGCAGTCAATCGTCGTGCTCGGCTGCGAAAAGCGGTCCGCAATGAAACTGCAAGACACCCGCATCACGCCGTCGAAAATCAGCCTCGTCGATTCCCACGTGTGCCTCGCGTTCGCGGGCCTCAACGCCGACGCTCGCATCCTCGTCGACCGCGCGCGCCTCGAGGCGCAGAGCCATCGTCTTACTGTCGAGGATGCGGTGACGGTCGAGTACATTACCAAGTATATTGCGGGGGTGCAGCAGCGGTACACGCAGAGTGGAGGGGTGCGGCCGTTTGGCATCAGCACGTTGATCGTCGGGTTTGATCCCGGGAGTCAGGAGGCGAGGTTGTACCAGACGGAGCCCTCTGGGATCTACTCGGCGTGGTAAGAACCGCTCTCCCCCGTGACCCTGCCCGTAACATCTCCCAACTAACGATGTGGTACCCAAACAGGAAAGCAAACGCCATCGGCCGCTCCTCCAAAACCGTGCGCGAATTCCTCGAGCGCAACCACACCCCCTCCCTCACCCGCGACCAAACCATCGACCTGACCATCAAATCCCTCCTCGAAGTCGTCCAGACGGGCGCGAAGAACATCGAAATCGCCATCATGGCGCCGGGCAAGGAAATCGAAATGCTGGGCGCCGACGCGATCGAGAAGATTGTGGAGAAGATTAATGCGGAGAAGGATGCGGAGGCGACGCAGAGGAGGGGCGCGAGGGGGGGTGGTGCTGCTGCTGGTGCGGCTACGGGTGCGGGTGGTGCTGGGACGGCGGCGGCGGCGAGTGCGCAGGGGCCTGAGCAGGTTTTGACGAGTAGGCCGGCGGGCGAGGGGCCGGCTGAGGAGTAGATGGTGCAGAGGATGGGTGGTTTGGTTTGCCCGTAACCTCCCGCAAGTGAACGCGTGGCAGGCATCGCATAGCATGGCGTTAGACTCTACATGGCATACGCATTTTCTTCTACACAGTCCAGCATACCTTGCAATAAAGTGATTGTAAGACGACTGATCTCAGATGATGCGGCAAAAGCCAGTATCGTCATATCACGACCTATAACGAGTGGTATATCATAAGCTAATTCCCCCCTCCCAATGATTCCAAGAAAAAGCCGCCCACACATCTATCTATCCATCCGCCCCTCATGTGTGATGATGATGATGATGATGCTATCGCAGGCTCGCTCAACCGAGCCCATCCAACAGGCGTTACCGCCCAGCGTAATGCAGCCCCAAACTCGTCCTCGAAGCAGCCGACATGGCGCGGATAGCAGAAGCAGACGTCCAGCTGGGAGCACGTCAGAATCAGCAAGGCGTGAGGCAGACGAAGGCAGGAAAGCAACCAACTCACATCTTGACTTTGCGGTCGTCGCCGGCGGTGGCGAACATGGCGTCGTTGGTGGGATGCCAGGCGACGGCGTTGACGGTGCCGTGGGGGTGAGCTTCGAAGGATGCAACGGGAATGCCCGTCTGTCGGCGCCAGATGAAGACGTTGGCGTCTGGCGGAGAGAGAAGCATCAGAATCGAGTGTCTCCAGATGTGAAAGGGGTAGAAACTCACCTTCACTGCCACTAACGACGAGATCCTCCCCCGCACCACCAAAACAAGACCGAATGACAAACTCATCCTGCACCACGCCCTCATACCGACACTTGACCTCCACCTCCGCGACATTGCCTCTCGCATCCACCTCCGCGCTTAGCAACAGCACCTTCCCCTTGTGCATATTGACAATCATGTGCGCGCCCGAGGAATCGAAATTCACGCTCGTCAGCCGGTCCTCCATCTGCCACTCTGCAATCTTCTCCCGTTTCGGCAGGTCGTACATGAGGATCTTGTTGTCCGTCGTGGCTGCCGCCATGCGCGTTCCGTCGGCCGACACGGCGACGTCGGAGATGCGGAAACTGTTGTTCTTTTCGTTGGGATCCCAGGCCGGGTCGCGGAAGGAGTGGAGTTCGTTGTTCTTCACTATTGCGCTGCTTGTTGCCGAGATGCCGTTGGATGTGGAGGAGGATGATGATGAGGAGGAGCGCAGGTAGTAGATGCCCAGCGGTCGGCGCGAGCCTTGAGTACCAATGACAAACGTCAAAGAATCCGGTAGCCATGCGGCGCAGGTAACGGGGTAGTCGAAATGGTCGGCCCGCGAGACACACCGCCCCTCGCGGACATCCAACACGGCGAATTCGTTGTTTTGCGAACACGAAATGAGGTAGCGGTCGTCAGGGCTGAAGGCGACACAGCACACCCCCCGATGGCCGGAGCCAGAAGGGTTCTTCTCGTGCTCGCGGAACTCGTGCATCGTCTTCCATCTTGCGGTGTCGTATACACAGACCAGGCCGTCTTTACCCGCAGTAGCAAGCATAGTGCCGTCATGGCTGAACTCAAGATACCACACTTCGTCCGAGTGCGCTTTCAGGGTAATGAGTTCTTGAAGCGGAAAGTCGTCCGCCGAACACTCGTGGTCGGTGTATAATGAAGGTTGGATGGTCGTGTTGTGATATCGACACGAGACGACTTGATTGCTCTGGACAGCTGTGAGGAGGGTGGCGAGTCGGTGTTCGGGAATCATGATAGATGGAGAGATGGATCTGGAGAGGTCGGAGAGCAAACGTGTACGGCTGCCGCCGACCGAGCCATCCCAATTGGCTTGTGTGAGGAGGGACGCGATTGTGGGACACATCATTAGACTACCATTTTGTTAGCACGAAGAATCTCAAGCAGACGAGGAGAAAGTCCACATACCTTGAAAGCGCATGTAATCTTCCCACATCTCTGTTCAACGGAGTGAGCTCGTTTCGCAAGACGGCCAGCGCAGCATTCAATTCCCTCCCCTCCAGCAGCTCCAAATACTTCTGTTGCCTGATCAAGAACTTCATAGCCGTGGTATCCGCGGTCTCAGCAAGTGGTAAGCCATGCCTTGGGAAGCCATTTTGACTGCTTGCTGATGACAACACCCGCTTCCTCCAAGACGGACTGTGGGTGGTGTGATGGCCATTTCCAAGCATGACCCCCCCCTCATCGACTTCCTTCAACGCTGGGCCGAAGAGCAACAGCTCAGCCTCCTCCCAATCACCGGACAAGATGGCGGAGCGAAAAGCAGCGACGCTCGCCATCTCCAGCGCAAATCCACTCTCATCGCTCAAGCGTTTGGCCGCTTCGTGGTATCCCAAATCGCTCAAGCTTTGAAGCAGCAAGCGCGTCACCTCTTCTCTATCATGGCCATGAAAGGGCTCGAGATTCCGATGTGTGGGTGATGATGAGGAGTGGAGTCCGTTGGAGTGATAGCCATTAGTATCCCGCTCCGTCGTGCCGTTCTGGTGGCCCCCGGCGCCATTTGCGTGCGGGGAAGAGGAGGGAGAGGCGTGGCGAGAGGATGATCCGTTGGTAGGGTGTCGCGTTCTGGGTTCGTGGTTGTTCTCAAGCCGCATACTCGGGTCGGGTGGGTCGCGGCGGGGATTCACTCGCAGGCGTTTGCGGCTCTTCTGCTTGAGGCTGCTGGCCGAAGCGGAAGTGGAAGCAGAAGGGTGGTGGGGAGGGGAGGAGCGCCGCTTCCTCTTGTTTTGTGAGCGGGTGGAGGTGCCGTGGTTGGCTGAAAGGTCGGTAGGAATGCTGCGCTGGTGGCGAGTAGGAGGGGGTGCTGTAGAATCAGATGCTGGTGAAAGGTGGGGTGGGGGCGAGAGTGCGGCTGGGTGGGCGGAAGTGAGAGGGGAGGCGGGCGGAGGGCTATCGTGATCCAGCTCGAAGAGCCAGAGGTTGGATGGGGTGGAGGCACAGTCAGGTGTGCCTATGATGCCCTGGCCGAGATCGGGACATTTGGGGTGTCGAGGAGAGGTGTTTTTCGGAGCGTGGCAACGGAAGTTGTGCTTGGTGGTGTGATGGTGTCTACGGAGAAGTAGATAGGTGCCTTGTGCTTGTGAGTCGAGCAAGGATGGGGGAGTCAGAGGGTGAACATCGACAGGCGCTTGACTGGTCGAGGCTTCTTGGCGAGCAGAGGGCGGGGAAGGGAGGGGAGGCGGAGGTGGGTTCACGCGCGATGATGGTGTCGAGGGCAGCGAGAGAGGAAGAGGTAGCAGTAGGGAAGGGAGACGAGGTAGTTGGCAAGAGAAGAGAAGCGGGCGAGAGGGCGGTGGACGGTGGGTGGATGGTGGAGTGGATGGCTGTGGAGTGAGTGGCCCTACGCTCCTGCCGCAGCTGCTGCTGATGATCATCCGTCAGAGCTGCCCGCGAGCCCGCCCAATCTGATGACCCGAATGACGCCCGCACTAGTCTGAATGAGGGCAGCCTCTACCTGCTCATTCACTGAGCACCACACGCTGCTCACGGGGGTTTCTTTTCCATGGCCGATCAAGTAGTTACTCTCAGACTACATGCGTCTACCTGCCTTCATCCACTGCCTTTAGTGAGAAAGGTGTTCAACAACCTGTATGAATCGTGGATCACGTGGGAATGCTATGGAGCCGTCTGGCGTGATTCCGCCGCCAATCCGGGGTGGGGTGGTTTCAGATAAGGAGCCAGACGACACCGCTTCCACCATACCACCTTAATGTACCTGTATCGACCTGATCCGGCCCAGTCTTCTTGCAGACGCCGGTGTGCATCCTGTCAGAGATCACCCTCCCGAAACGTATTTGTAGGGATTCATGATGCCGTTCTGTTCTTGCGTTAGCCAACATGCCCAACCGACACATTCAGAGACCAGGACGCGTCCAACTCACCGGATCGTAGAGCTGCTTGATCTGTCTCATCAGCTTAATCATCTCCTCGTCCCGCGAATAGCCCACATAATTCCTCTTCGCCAACCCGAGCCCATGCTCAGCAGAGATACTCCCCTGCCGCTCCCGCACCCACTCATACACCCACGGCTCCAACGCCGCCTCGACCTTCTTATCGTACCGCCGCATCACCACATTGAGATGCAAGTTCTGATCGCCCATGTGCCCATACCCCACCACATCCATCACGGGCTTCGCATCGTCCTCTGCATCCAGTAGGCCCTCGTCTTCCATCCGCTGGCGCGTAGCGGGCACGAGATCGTACAGCTCCGGCAGCGGAATGGACAGGTCGTACTTGTACACCCCGCCGAAATGCTGGCTCGACTCGGAGATGCCCTCGCGGCACGCCCACAGCGACTGCACCTGCGTCTCGTCCTGCGCTACCACCCCGTCCGCCACAATCTCCTCGCCCATCACGTGCTCTAGGAAATCGTTCAGCTTCGCCTCGTCGTGTTCGCCGTTCGATCCCGACGTCTCCACTAGGCAGTAGAAGGGGTATTCGCCCTCCAGCGGCAGTTTGGCTCCATTCGCCTTCGCATACAACTTCTGCGCCGCCCCGTCCATCATCTCGAAGGCGGAGAGGATCTCGCCCAGCTTCTTCTTCGCCTCCCGGAACGCCTGTTGCGTCTTCTCGTAGCTGTCTAGCCCGAAATATGCCACGTTCACCGCCGGGCTGCGCTGTGGGCAATGCACGCTGATGCCTGTGATGATGCCTATCGTGCCCTCGGCGCCAATAAATAGCTGCTTCAAGTCAAAGCCAGTATTGTTCTTCGGCAGCGTAAACAAGTCGTTGAAAATCCGTCCATCCGGCAACACCGCCTCCACCCCCAGCACATTCCCATGCAGACTGCCGTAACGCAAAAAGCGCAACCCACCCGCATTCGTCGCCACATTGCCGCCCAATTGACACGTGCCCTTCGCCCCAAGATCCAGAGGGAATATATACCCCCTCTCAGCAAGATAGCTATCCGCCTCTTCCAAAATGACGCCCGCATCCGCCACCAGCACGCCAGAAACCTCATCAAAACTGCGAATCTTGTTCATCTTCCCCAGATTAATGACCACCTCGTCAAACACAGGCACACTCCCGCCCACGAGCCCCGTGTTGCCGCCCTGCGGATTGACGGCAATCATCTTCTCATTGCAGTACTTCATAATCCCACTAACCTGCTCTTTCGTCGTAGGCTTCAACACCAGCCGCGCCTGCCCACGATACTTGCGCATCCAATCCGCATTGTAGCCCTCTAAGTCATCCTGCGCATCCTGCGTGACGCCATCAATCAGCGACCCCGAGCTGCCCAGAATCTCCTTGAAATGCTTCACGTCGGCCTCGTCGAGTTGCTTGAAGCGCGAGTCGCGCTTGAGGTCCGGGTAGGAGTCGGAGGTGTATTTGATTTGCTTCGAGGGCGTGGGTTGCCCCGCTTCGTCTTCGTTGGAGGTCTCTTGCGATGCGCTGGCCGTTGCGGCGTGCTGCCATCTTCTTTGCGGCAAGAGGGCGTATGCGGGCAGTGCGGGGAGTCGGGGAGTTTGGCGCGCGATGGAGCGTTCGAAGGTGGCGTTGGCGAGGCGGATGCGCCGTAGGGCGGGGAGGCAGCGATTGAGCGGAGGCATTGTGAGATATCTGCCTATCTGGTGGTGGTTATTGTGGTGTTAGTGCAATGGAGGATATGACGAGACAAAAAGCATTGATGGGCTTGCCCCCGCCGGCATCGGGCTGCCTCCCGCAAGATATAAAGTAAGGCTGGCCATGCGGCAAACCCGCTTTGGGGCTTGCCGCTGCTCGGTTTGGCGTACCGTCTGAAAGTCATCGGCAAGCATGCGCAGAAACAACCTACCGGGGGCCTCCAAAAGGGCAATAGAAGGCGATACTTGCAAACATCGTAATGATGTTTGTCGATTGAAGATGTATCTACACTCAGCCGTCCAATATCGTCCCATCTATTGCTCTCGTCTGCATAGCAACAGTAAAGGCAAGCAACATGCTGTCTACCGCTCCAAACCATCGAGCTGCGAGTAGCTCCGAGTATACCCATAGCATCTATCGCCTCATGCTCTGTATTAGTCACGATGAGCAGGTGCAAAGTGGAGTCGCGCGGCCTGATGTGTTGACCTATTCTGCCGGCGCTGGCTCCGTCTGAGGCACTTGCTCTGTGCTCGGAGCCGCCTGATTCTCCGGTGCGGGTGGCTGCACGACAGGCTCCTCATCCTTCACGTCCGTCATCTGCACGTCCTCATCCGCAGTCGGTGCTTGAGCGGGTGCTTCGGTGGGAGCAGCGACAGCAGCAGCAGAAACAGGAGCAGCATCGTTCGCCGGCACCTCGATCGTCCGCGCCACAGCAGCCTCTCCCTTCGCATCATTGGCCCCATCAAACCCAGGACTGGCCTCACGCTCATTCACCAGATCCGCAAACATCTTGTCCATGTGGCCGACAGACTGCTGACTGCCTCCGAAGCCCGGACTGTTGATGCCCGCTTGCGTGAGGCCGGTAGCCTTGGGGCTGTCAAACATGCGAGACGCGCCGCCGAAATCGGTCTCGGGGCTCGTGATGTGGTTGGCTTTCGCTTCGTTCGCCGGGCTCTCGAACATTGGCTCCGGAGGGCCATGGAACATCTGTCTTTCAAAGGACGACGCGGGCGGGGTGCCGGCCTGCTCGTAGCGCTGGCCTGGGCTGAAGCGCGTGGGAGACGCATGCTGCGGCGGCTGCGAAGTAGAGGAATTGCGTGCATCATTCGCCGTCGAGGTTGCGAACATGGGCGACGATACACCTTGAATCGCAGAGGGGTTCGCGCGATCCTGGCCAGCCTCGAAGTTGTAGGAGGGGCTGTGGGCAGCAGCAGCCGGGCTCGGGAGTACCGTCATCTTCTGTTGGAAGGCCTTGATGTCGTCCCAGACGCCGCGGTCCGCCTCCAGCACAGCCTTCATCCTGTACAGCTTCTCTCGGTTCATATGGGGCTCGGCTTGCAGCATCTTGGTGACCACGGGCGCAGATGCCAGCGAACCCAGCACGTGCAGCGACAGCGCAGTGTAGAACGGTTTCGCCTCGCCCGATTGTCCAGCGCCGGGAGTCGGTGGCACAGAACCGCCTGCTGAGCTGCCTCTTCCAGCTGGTTGCAGTGTCGGCGGGATTGAGCCTCCTTCGTCGCCCTTCTTCTTCTGATACTGATGCCTCATCTTAAACTCCTGCGGCAGCTGTTCCGGATCTGTAATACCAAGCGACGCCATCAGCTTCTGCTGCTTCGTGGGACGAGGCTTGCGAGTAGACGATGACTGTTGGATGATCGGCGGCGCCTCAGGCGCCACAGGAGCCCACTTGTGCAGTTCTTGTCGCAAGAAGTTTGTCTCCTCCGATAGCAGAATGTCCGCGCCCTCGACCTTGCGCAAATGGAATCGCATAGTGGCCACCTCCTCGGAAGTTGTGGGTACATCGGAGGTGACAATCGGCCGGATGTAGTCACGATAGTTCTGAGCGTCGGTGATGATGGCATCGAGCGCATCTTCTTCATCCGGCTGAAATGGCAGAGTGTCCAACTCATCGTGCCACGCTTGCAGCTCCTCCAGCTTCGGTCGGGCGGCATCTCGCGGTATCTTGACCCGCCAGTCGCAAATGGGGCAGGTGTACTTATCGTCCTCCTTCACCTTCCCCCGGGCGATCTTGAGACACTTCCCGTGGTACCATTCGTGGCACAGCTCACACTCAATCATCATGCCAGCTTCGGACTTGCGGCAGATACAGAAGACATCCCTGCTAGAGTTGCTTCCGTCCGCCAGCGGCGCTCCTTCTTCCGGCGTGACGTGGCGCGAGGATGGCTCGACGGGGATGCGTGGCTTGTCGCTAATCTCAAAACAGGCCTCGTTGCGCGCCCTGACGATGTTCATGTGCTGGTTGAGGATGTGGAGCGGGGCGTTTGCTTTACCGAACAGCTTCTTGCCCTTGCGCATCCAGTCTTCGTGCTTTCTCTGCTGCTTCTCGAGATCAATCGTGCCGTTGGGTTTGCTCTGGAGCTCCTCGAGAGAATCCATCACCTCCTTCATCTCTCTGTACAAGGGTCGATCCCGCAGGTCGGGGTTCTTGCTGCGGTAAATGAGGGACGCAATCTTGTCCTGTACCTCGCGTTGCTTCTTCAGAATCGTGTCGACTGCAGCAAGCGTTTCGGGGTTGACGGGCAGGGTGAGCGCCTGTTGCGACAGCGAATCCAGCTGTTGGTAATGGACTTGCTCGACGGCCATCAGCTCTTTAGCCTTTTGCTCCCACAAATCACCCTGTGCTTTGTGCTCGCGGAAGAAGACCATGTCCGGGTTGTTCTCGGGCACGCCCAATTTGATGCCTTCGGCGATGAACTCTTCGATATTTTGCAACGTCTGCTCCTGTCGCTTCAGCTCGGCATTTGGGCGCTTCAGTCTGGCCGTTTCATCCCAGGTCAGCCGCTTCACCACCTGCTCCAGACTGTCGATCTCTGGAATGTCGACATGGAACTCGCGTCCACGCTCGATCAATTCCTGGAACTCGGCGGTAGTCTTTCCTCGAATGTTGTTCAACGCCTCGCGTGCATCTAGCTGGAAATCGATAATGTTCTGTGCGCGCTCCTGCAGTGTTGCAATCTCCGGACAATCGAAAGATATCGTTTCGGCGCGTGCGAGCAGCTTCTGGATGTTTTCGACCTTTCGCAGCTCCTTCTCTCTCTCTTCAAGATCTGCATGCTTGGCCGTGCTCTTCCGCCACGTCTTCTCGCTCTTCCGCCGGTTCTGCTGCTTGCGAGTGATGTAGCTAGTGGCCTCCTCGACCCACTCATTGCACCGTTCGACAAAGGTCCGGAGTGTCGGCAAGGCAGGAAGGTCATATTGGACCCTCTCGCCCTCTGCAAGAAGCGTGCGCAGATGCTTGAGTTGGGGCTGCTCGTTGTTTTCCAACTCGCTCTCATACTTCGCCATCCAATTCTCCGGAATATTGGCCTTCTCCACTACTTTTTGGACCGTTGCATCGAGCGTTTCATCGTCCATGCGGTAGTACAGGCGGTGTGTGCCGTCGCGCCCTGTGTATCGCTCATGTTCGAGAGCGTCGCAACACTGGTAGCCGCCGGCGTGCAAAGCACACAAATACTTGGCGGTTTTCTTACACTGATACCGAGAGAGGTAGCAGTAGCACTTGCAGTACGAGCAGATGACCTCGTCCTCCTCCGTCTCCGGATCGATGAAGTCGGGCAACGATTCGTACCTGGGCCCGAGGTATGGCTCTTCTGAAGTGGTGCCAGATTCGGGCTCGGCCCCGGTGATGAAATGCTTTCTTGCAGCTAGCTCTTCATCGCGCATGCGCTCCAGTGCCGGAGCAAGCCACTTCGCCGTCTTGATGGTGAGCTCGCGGGAAGCCGCGGTGACCAGAAGCTCGTCATGGGAGAAACACGGCTGCTTGCGATAGTCCCGCAAGCGTCTGACCCCCTCCTCGCCAAATGGCTCCCAGTCTACGGGTGCGAAGTTGACGGCCTCGTTGAAGTTGAAGCCGTGATTAAAGCCAGCGTGATAGGCCTGAGGGAATGTGATGACAAACTCTCCAGCACGCTGATCGATGGCAAAAACTCGGACACCCGCTTTGCGAAGCTTTTCTGGTTTTGCCAACGTGACAAGTTGAAAGAGAATGTCAGGCTGCGTTTCAAAGAGCTCTGGCACTTCATCGCGCATGGCTTTCTCGAACTTGTCCGAATCGTCTGCAGGCACACCATACCAGGTTTTCGTTTCCCCGAGGTGCTGGTAGTTCGCCGAATATGCGTAGTGATCCTCGTTGTGCCAGCAGAAGGTCGAAAAGATCATGCCTACGTAGAGCCATGGGACGGTCATGCCAGAAATATCAGACTTGATGTGCCGGAACAGCGAGTCCTTGTCCAGAGGCAGCATGTTCAAGTTCCACGGATCGAACGAATACGGATCCCTCGGCTGCTTTTCGATGGTAGGGAACCCACTGCCGTGAGTCGTGGAATGGATGTCCGCGCCATACTCGACTTCGGTCGTACCCATGTTGTCTTCGACTAGCCTCCAGAACTCCCGCTCAACGTCTTCCTCGTCAACGTCATTCTTCGTATCCGTGAAGGGGTTGAACTGCGGCGGAAGGCCGTTGAAATGGTTGTACTTGAATTCGTTCGCCCTGCGCTGGAAGCCCGCAAGAGAGTACACATCGCCTTCCTCGAACCCGTATTCGTTGGTACCCACCAGACACTTGGGACAATGCCACTCGTAGTCGGGCTTCTGCTTGAGCGGTGGCTCGAGGCAATACATGTGATATGTGCAGTCGCACGACTGACAGGCAATGAACCGCAGTTGATCGTCTGACTTGCCGCAGCTCTCGCATACTTCGCCGATCTTGTAATTGCCGCGGTCTTTGAGCGTTTGTAAGCGCGCGGACGACATGCGCGAATGGTGCATGTTACTACCCGCGATGGTGGGCACGTCCTTTCGCAGTCGTTTGCTCCGTCGGTTGATTGCTTCCACCTCGTCCGCAGTCAGTATGCTGTCGCTGTGTTGCCTCTTTAGCGTAGCAATGCCATTCGCATCTGGTGCGATCGGTTGCTGGCCGTTGGTAGACGGTGGTGTTTCTGTCGCTCGAGGTGCAATAGCACTCAGCGGGGGATTGTCCCCATTTGCTGGAGTGAAAGAGCTGCTATGGCTGGGGATGTTGGGCGGGGAAGCGGCAGGAACAGCATTCACAGCCGTAAACCCACCCGTGACGACAGGCGGAGGTGGCAAAGATGCTCCGGGAATCGGTGTTGGTCCTTGCGAACTCTGACCGGTGATGGATGAATGCAAGGCGGCCGACGCCTGCATCACTGGCGCCTCCTCCTTAGCGGTCAGAGGTGTGGTCATTTGCGACTTCTTCGCCGGAGAAGTTCCCGGAGAGGGAGTGTACGGTCCGCCATTGGCCATCTCAATCTGCTGATGCACGCCCGGTTTGGCCACTCGCAGGTACTCTTCATACGGCAGCAGCCATTTCTGATATGAATTCTTGAGAGACGTGGACAAAGACGACATGATCTTGCCACTGTAGCCCAGATCTCGGCCAACTTCTGCCCATCTCTTGCCCTTGCAAACCGAGTCGAAGCCGCCCTTCCTCTCCACAGTCTTCTTCAGACGGTACAAATCGAGGGGGCGTTTGTCGACGCTCGGGAAGCGGTTGAGATTGTGTCCATTCTGCTTGTGGAATTTGGCGAGCTGATCGAGGTAGTCATTGTTGATACGATTGCCGCCTTCAACAGCGTTCAACTCTTGGCGACGGGTGCGAAAGTGGAAGCGCTGCCCGGACGTCATGTCAGCTAGTGTCTGCATATGGCTGGCGGTCTATACGGCGGATGAGCCCAGATCTGACTTACCTCGGTGTTGATGGCGAAGGTCGGGTTCCACGTATCCGGAGGAATAATCTTGACAATCCCGTACTTGCTTCCTTCCGGAGCGATCTTTCGGATGTACTCCATCGGCTCGCGAAATTCGTCTTCGCTCGGTCGGTATACCGGCGCATCGGGAATGCCGAAGAGTCTGTTCTTCTTGGGAGGCTGCTGTTTGGAAGGCATGGAGATGGCTGGAAGGCGGATGGCACCGAATGGTTGGCCTCTCCGCTCAACCGTCGTCAGGTCGAGTGGTTCGGCCCTACGCGCGCTGAGCGGAATAGCATGGTTGTTGCCCGACGGCGGCCCATTCAATGTGCCTGGGGCTGATTGCACCGCTGCTTTTGCCTTTGAGAGGGCACTCGAAGTCCCGGGTGGTGGGGAGCCCGTGGCGGAGGTGGTGGTTGGGACAGGCAAGGGCGACGGCGAGATGGCGGAGCCGCCACCGAGTAGCGGAGGAGCCACCATCTTGGATAACGACGAGCGTTGCCGCTATGGTGTCAGATGCGACGTGTTGGGTGTAAGGTAGTGCTAGGATGTAGGCCGGCGCAGCGTGGTTGATGTGCGTGGCAGCGGCATATATCAATCCGCGCTATATGGGCCGTTCCCCAATTCCCTGCCGACACTCCGAGGACGCCGGCTGGATGGTCAGGTGACGGAGGCGACAGGGGAAGAGAGTGTCGAGGATGGAATGCCGGCGAGCGACATTGACCGAGGTGGTGCACGAGACGGAACGGCAGTGGAGGAGGGTTGGAGAAGGGAAAAGCGGGCGGAACGAGACGAGAGGTGGTAAAGATGGAGATAGCCTGCGGCCCATACCGCGCTAGTCTCTTTGGGGCTTCATGTAAGGTTTCGCGATTCTCAGGTAATCGCGGGCGGGCTACACCTCAGCCGACGTATTATCTACCACACTACGTTTGCCCGGCAGCTCTTCAGGTTCAGATTAGGAATGTAAACAGAGCATCAGTGGCGCCGATAGACCACTCGAGCACGTGCAATGCGTGTAAGCGGCTCATAAGACAGTGCGAGGTCGAGAAGTGATGAAGCTTGGGTGGTTCCTTCCCTCGTGTCAGACGTGCAGAAGTTCTGCCCGGGTTAGCCGAACAGCACCTGCATGCATGGCCCGTGCTCCTCTGTTTGGACCGCACCTCGACCCAATCCGCGAACGTGGAAGGTAGCAGGTGCCGACACAGACATGAAGCGACTCCTGTGCACGGGGAAAGCTTACAAAGGCCATGGATAAGCCAATCCCAGCTTTTTATGCCTGCTACCTCTTACGCTCAACGGTTCGTCACGCCTCGCTGTACGTTGGTAGCACACCCAATCCTGTGCGCCGGCTCAGACAACACAATGGAGAGTCGAAAGGAGGAGCCGTGCGGACTTCGCGCGACTCATCCCGGCCCTGGGAAATGACGTGTCTCGTCACCGGATTTCCCAGCAAGGTAGCAGCCTTGCAATTCGAGTGAGTTGCCCTGGATATGTTTCTCAATCAAGTCCTCTGCTGACTGACTCTCAGATGGGCATGGCAAAACACACATCTCACCCGCCACGTCTCCCCGAACTCTCGCCTCGCTTTGTCCAAGATGGCTGTGCGATTCTCCGCAAAGACGGGACGAATGCGTAAACGCTCAGCGAGGCCTCGACTCTCCCTGACCGATCGCCTCGCCAATCTTCATTCCCTTCTCCGCTCAGGCAGCTTCCAACGATGGCCCCTCAAGGTCACCTTTTATGCCGATGATGTGTTTCGTGTCTGGCAGAAGTGGACGGCGCACGAGTCTTTAAGCCTACCAGACCGTCTAGAGGTACGGTGCAATGAGCCCTCCCGGCCACCATCAACGACTGTCGGAGGTGACACTGACGGCGGTGCGGGAATCTATACTTTGGACGTGGGCTACAAAGCTCTGAAACCGCAGCTGGAGAAGAGCAAGGCAGTCCTGAGCGCTGCTCGTCCTTGCGCATTTTGCTCGCAGCCACTATCGTCTGATGGTTCGAGCAGCCTGGTGTGTTCCCAAGATCGGTGTCATACTGCTGGGCACCTCACATGCTTTGCCTCCGCCTTTCTAAAAGATGATGGCCAAGCTTTGATCCCAATAGCAGGCGGCTGTCCTGGTTGTGGTACAAGGTTGCAATGGGTGGGCCTGGTCCAGGAGTTGAGCTTGCGCATGCGAGCACCGAAGGATGTGGAGAAGATCCTGAACCCGAAGAAGGCTCGCAACGGGAAACAGGCTACCGACACGCTAATGGCAGATGGAAAGCAACTTGCGGAAGACGACGACGAGGATATGGAGATTGATGCGCCGTTGAAAGATGATTGGCACTATCTTTCAGATGAGTCGGCAGATGATCTGGACGAGAGACTTTTGCAGGATCCGAGCCCTGTTTCGAAGTCATCATACAGTAGAGGTTTTGTTACGACTTCTCGCCCAGCGGCGTTGATCGAAGACAGCGAGTGGGATGAAGCCGAGGCAGTCGTATAGACTTGAGCTACGATACCAACGATATTTCCACATGAGCAGAGCTTCTGATACCTCCAAGCCCCTTGCAGATTATTCCAGCAGTGAGCGCAGTCAATGCTGTCTGCAGGACGATGTCGTCGCCAGCTTTAGGCTTGCCGAAGTTCCGAATACGGACGACGTAGCGGCCAATCTCCAGCCGACGGCAGTGATGGACGCACTGGGGCGATCTGTATTGACGGAGCCGCGGTACGCTGTGCGTTGTTGTATCTCACGAGTGCTTGGACGCATTCCGTTTCAGGAACTCGTATCACGCGAGTCAAATCATGATGGGCCCCGACTCAGTCAGAAGGTGCCAGTCCATTCACTTCCTCATCACCACCACCATTCAGTCCATCCTCGGCCCCATCATCATTCCCATCTCCATTTTCAGTCTCCGCAAGATCTCCCAAGTCCATCTCCAGCCCACCAGCCTCCATTAAGTACTCCACAACCAAGCCCTTCCCAGCGCGCTCCGCTTCGAATGCTGCAGAATGTCCCGCTGCGTTGTGCACAGACACGTCAGCACCGGACTGCACGAGCAATTTCACGGAGTCCAAGTGTCCATTCAGACTGGCCCAATGCAACGGGGTGTTGCCTTCTTTGTTGGCGGCGTTGACGCCCGGCACTGGCGGCTTGGTCGAGTCGGCCGAGTTGCTATCCCCAGTCTGCTGATCCAGATGCACCAGCAGTCCTTTCAGAAGGTCGAGAAATCCGTTCGCCGAGACATAATGCAGGATCGTGTTCCCGGACTCGGGGTCTTTCGCAGCCAGCACGATGTGTTGAACTTTGCAATTATATTTCTGCGCAAGCTCGGCGAGAAACTGGTTCAACTCGGCTTCTTCGTTGACTCTGGCGAGGTACAGGCAGTCATCGATCTCGTCCGCATTCAGGGCCGGACCGTCTGTGGCGTGCATCTTGTCGATTGGTCGCCCAAATGTTATTCCCGTATTTCAGTGGTTGGATTAATTGTGCATCGCCTGCCGTCAAAAATTGGCGGGATCAAGGGAATTAAGCATCACGCTTAGATCAAAGCTAGTCCTCCTTTGGCTAGACCCTACCCCTGCTGGTCCGCTGCCGTGATGTTTCTCGGTACACAAATGGATCCTGACTAAACCTACAGAGCGGCAGACGCATCTCCTTTCTCGAAGAAATTGAGTATGCTTTCGTCGTCGTACTCGGTATCAGGCTCCGGACCATGGAAGCCCAGGTTGCGCCGCCAATGGATTGCTGACATTGCGCCGTAAGCGATTCCGCTCGAGCCTATCCTGTTACAACCTCGAGCGCATGTCTGAACATGGTGGCATCCATTCCAACCACCCGTGCAGAGCGGCTGACGCGTGTCCACCAGAGTAGCCGAAGGGTCTCCCCCACGAGGAAGTTCCCCAAATCTCGATAGCTTGGCATCCATCCAAACTTCGACCCCGTGGGGTATGCCTAAACGCTCCTGCGATTGCAGGCTACAGGCCACGCCGTAATCACATGCCGCTTGAGTCATGCTGGTCCGTTGTCCCTCATGCAACAGCGGCAGAGCCTCTTCGCGGAGGGTCCCACTTTACCCCTGTACCCGTAGTAGCCATCTAGAGTTCGACTCAGTAGAGTCTAGATGCTGCTTTTACGACCGCAGATTGCACGCTATAGCGGTACCGCTCGAGTCTTTCCCGCTGCATCCGGTGAGTATTTGTAGGGCATCCAACCCTGCCTTCATGGCTTCTCGTCACTCTTTCATGCCTCAGACTCATAATGTCATCTTCTAAAATGCCCCTTTCCATGTCCTCCAAGCTGGCCAGCATCTCGGTGCTTGCTACTCTGCTTGCCGGAGTGACCGGCCAGGGTTGCGGCACTCAGAACTCCGCCAGCGATTGCGAGATCTACGCTCTCCCAGTCCAATACTCTACCGTTTATTTTGCTCCCGACGACTGCCTGGATATAAGCTTCTATGATGCTTATTCGAATGGCTGCACTTCTGGTTCCTCCGCAGAGATATCCCTCTATAGCGGCACCATTGCTAGCGGGGGAAATCTCATTACTGACTGTGGCTGCCTCCCTCTCGACGGAAACACATACAACATCAACTGCAACGGCACAGCGAGAAACTCACTCCCCGACGGGTCGTTTTACTTCCAGGTTGGTGGTATTGCCTTCGATCCGTTTACCGTCACGCACAGCCAGCAGACAGATACAGCGCCGACTCCCACTAGCACCGTAAGTCCGCTCAGGAGAAGATGTATGGAGCACAAGCTGATCCTGGCCAAATACTCAAGGCAACTTCGTACACCACCGAGACCGATATCGTGACAACTACAACTACAAACACGATAACTTCGACGTCTTCACAAACGACCGTTACCAGCCCGGCAGCATCCGCGACAAACACCATCACCGTGACTCCAAGCCCGGTGACTTCCACCACCACAACAACTCAGTAAGTCTGACGCCGGAACCATGCCCTCGCAGAGGTTTCAACACCCCTTGACCACACCGAAATACGGCTAATCATTTGGTTCCTGCGCTTAGCACCCACACGAAGACACACTTGCGCTACACTGTTGTCCGCACGACGACAACCAGCTACGCCCACTGCAGACCGATTGAGACGTGCCCCAGTCAGCCCAGAAGATCTAGACATCACCGTGCTCCTCGTGACACTCCTCGCGACACTAGCCCTCGAGAAGCGGGCCCCGACAGTCCCAGGCTGGTCGCACGTCAATGTGCTGGCAACCCAACTCCTACAGGCGACGGACCGCTGACCATCACCCTCACGCCTAGCGCCGTCGTGCTAACTGTCACATCTAACGGTGGTACGAGCACGGAAACCGATACGACAGGCGTAGTCACGACTACTACTGTTCCGGCTACCCCAGCAACGAGCACCCTCTACTCCGGCACTGCGACCACGGACATCACGACAACGATAAAAGCAGTGACTGTCAGCGTCACAGATCATACCAGGGTACAAGCCACGAAGACCAAACTGCACACATTCACCCAGACGATCATTGTCATTACGACTCCTGTGTGCCGGAGATTCTGATTGGCTCGAGAAGGCACTAAGCAATTGGAGAAGATGAGGTTCGGGGGAGCACTGTACGTTAGATGATGTGGTGGTTGTGGACACTGCCGAGTCTGCGATGCTATCGCCACAGGGTGTGTTTTCGTGTCAAATGAATGATCCTTGTCAGCGCAATCGTGAGAGGATTAGTGTAACGCAGCAGCAGCGAGGAGTATTTTGGCCAATTCAAGAGCGTCCAGAATGATGAATGCCACTACCGTCTCTCCTCCTTTGACAATACACCGACGGATGTGCAAGTTCAATGTTTTGCGCTGTCGGTTTAAGCTCGAACTTCTCGTGGTAGCTAGTCCGCTTCCGGCTAACACTTCCCATTTACGTAATCGATGGACTCCACCGCCAGCAGTGGCCCGAGCCAGCCCTGGACTCTTCACACAACTGCAAATTGATGCTCGAGACTGCACTCTACCGCGTATCCGCATTGGACCTTCACTCGCTCGACATTAGAAAAACGGGATTCCGAATGGATCTGACTTCACGAAGCTTCAGTTCCTAATCATCGTGCCTCTGCCGCCCATCACTACCCTCGCTCGAACGGAGATTCAACATCTAGCACAAGAGCGTAACATACTTCACCACGCAACTTTTAGCCGCCATGTATCCACCAACCGGAGGCTACGACCTCGATATCGAGGCTCTAAGCGGAATCTGCGGCTCCATCAGCATTGCATGCTGGGTGGTCGTCTTCTCTCCTCAGATCATTGAGAACTTCCGACGGAGCTCCGCGAATGGCTTGTCCATGACTTTTCTAGTCATCTGGCTGCTGGGCGATCTGTTCAATATCATTGGAGCCGTGCTGCAGGGCGTTTTGCCGACAATGATCATCCTGGCCGTCTATTGTAAGTCTTCTCTTCAAATAGAATAACCACAACAGCGCATTAACGTGGCCGTCACAGACACATTTGCCGACATTGTGTTGATTGTGCAGTGCTTGTACTATCGCGGATTCACTTTCCGCAATTTGACAGGGCGGAAGGACGTCGCAGATACTCTAGACGCGGCCTCGGAAAGATCGCCGCTCCTGGCGAATGGCAACCAGAATGGCAGCCAGAGCGCAACTGAGCGTAATGCCCTGCCACGCATTACTTCGCAGGACCGATTTGCGAGTCTCGACGGTTCCCACCATCTCTCCCCAGCCACACCGATGCATCCGCAGCGCAAAGACGCGGAGAACGCGGCTGCGCTGAAGCCTTCGAAGCCGCGGACCTGGACCCAGGCCATCCTATTTAACAGCACAGCCATTATCTTGGTCGTGCTCGCTGGCATTGCGGGATATTTCCTCAGTCCATCAGCGCCGGAGCGTCGCAATGGCAAGACACCAGCAGACGAGCAGACCGCATCCCTTCATTTTAGCCTCTGGGGGCAAATCTTCGGATACGTTTGCGCGGCTCTATACCTCAGCTCGAGAATGCCACAGATCCTGCTCAACTACCAACGGAAATCCACCGAAGGCCTGAACGCTCTGTTCTTCATCTTCGCCTGCATCGGCAACCTGACTTTCGTGTGCAGCATTCTGGCCTTCAGCCCGTTGTGCAGCAAACACTATCGCGGTCATTGGCATGAAAGCACTTGCAAAGAGGGCGAGGCGGCCGCCATCTACTGGCGCTATTTTATGGTCAACCTGAGCTGGCTGATTGGAAGCGCTGGCACGCTCGGTCTCGATTTTGCCGTGTTTGTGCAATTCTTCTTGTACAGAAACAACGTGGAGGGCTCCGAACAGGCCGTCGAGAGTGCATCGGAAATCTCGCCTGACATGGGGAGACCGCACGTGACGACGTAGGCAGCTTTTGTGTGGCTGGATCTGATCCCGGCGGCAATCAGGCAAATATTGGCCTACGAAGAATGCTTGATGGTCTCTCACCTCTCACCCAAAAGATGTGGACCAATCGACGGGGGTGGCTCTGCGAAAGCGTCCCCGGGCGATTAAGATAACAGCCGGGCAGTACGGCCACGCATCGAACACGGGAGCTCCAACGTACCACCATGTCTCAGCGGTACCAGAGGGAGCTGCGTCCCATTGCAGCCTCCCCGCGGCTTCGGAGCTTCGCCGCGGCGCGCTTTTGCTGGCGGGTTGGCTGGAGTATTCCCTCCGCCTTGCCAATGTCTGAAATGGAGAAGTCGACAAGGTGAAGAACAAAAACAGAGGAGGACTCCGAGCATAGAGAACGTAGACTGAAACTAAGCTACACCCTCCAAAAAGAAAACTCAAAAAAAAAAACATTCAGCTCTCGGACGAAGAATTGAACTTCGGTCTCCCACGCACGATACGAACGAGCCTGATATTCACCAGGCGCGACAAAGACGGGTGGGAATGCTTCCAGCTGCACCATCCGAGATGTGAAAGAGGGCGCTCTCAGGCGTGGACTTGAACCACAATCTCCCGCTGGCAGTCGAACAGCAGCACTTGCTGGTGTGAAGACGGGCGGAACTAGGCGGGAGGGATAAGGTCAGCTGAGGCGAGGTAGATTGGAGGGTTTGCGAAAGAGCAGAACTACTCACATGCTACCAATTGCACCACCTGAGATTCTGTCATGTTGTGCATTGTGTTTTTGATGCTTATATAGCTGGAAGCGATCGTTTGTCATGTTGCGGAGGCAGCCAATCAGCCGGCTTGAATTCGGCTTGGCAGCAGCATGCATCGCCTGACCGAGCAGGTACTTGGTACCGGATGTGGACGGGGCCATTGACATGCATCAGCAAGTGGCTTGCGAATACGAGAGGGCATGGGGTGCGCTCAGTCAGCCGTCTGCGTTTGGCGAAGGGCTTCAATGTTGTTCGCTGGTACTCTTGGCGGCGCTTCCTCGTTTCTCAAGTGTGTGGGTTTAGTGTGGCGGAAACCAGCTGTCCAGTCATCTGCGTGAAGATAGGGAACAGCGAGCATTTCGTATACTTCTGCGCAAGCGAGTCGTCGGCCGTTGATAGATGTCCATTTGCAGCAGGGTTGCTATCCATGTTCTGGCCCTGAATGATCGTGCCTTCCGGATAGACGGGCGTTTGGCCTTCTTCGATGAGGCGAATGAACATCGGGTCGATGGGCACGCTCCCCAAGAAAGGAACATTGAACTCCGTCGCCATAACCTCGCCGCCGCCCTTGGAGAAGACGTTCGTGCACTCGGAGCAGTTCGGGCATACGAAACCCGCCATGTTCTCGATGACGCCCAAGACTCGCACGCCCGTCTTGGCGCAGAAATTGATCTCCTTCTTGACGTCGCTGATGCTGATGGCTTGCGGTGTAGTGACTACGACCGCGCCGGCCAGCTGTTCCGGTGTAGCGGACTTGAGCAGCGTCTCGACGAGCGAGATATGCTCGTCGCTCGTGCCGGGCGGAGTGTCGATGAGAAGATAGTCCAAGTCGCCCCAGAAGACATCGGTGAGGAACTGCCGCACCATGGCCGTTTTCTTGGGGCCTCGCCAGACTACAGCGTCGCCTCTGTCGGCCAGCAAAAAGCCCAGAGACATGCAGTACAGCGCGCCGCGGCTTTTGCCACTGCCATCGGCCGAGCTCGCATCTTGATTCTCGTGAACGGTCACCGGGATCCAGCCGCCGGGAGCCTGTCTGATTTTCGCATTCTCGATGCCGAAAAAACGGGGAATGGAAGGGCCAGTCAGGTCGACATCCAGGACGCCAACACGATGGCCTTGGAGGGATAGAGTGAGAGCGAGTTGGGTGGTGATGCTGGATTTGCCAACGCCGCCCTTGCCTGAAAGCACGAGCAAAATGCGCTTGATGTCGTGGAGAGACATCTTTGTTATCGGGCTGCGATCATTGTATTTGCTGTTGCGCTGATATTTGAAGATGTGGCGAAGATGTGAGATGGACAAAAATTTCCGTGCCGTGAGGTGTGAATCTTGAATGGTTTGTAAGCGGCCGGCCCTCGCTCTCGTTGAATTTTTGGCGGGACGCGGGTGCACATTGCGCATTGCATTTCAGATCACAGTGGTCACGTTACCATTGCCTGCAACAGGTACTCTTCGTGACATCGAGAAAGACAACACAACGACTCGAAGTGGTTGAACGGTGACAACACGAACCCAAGACACGATGACAGAAGTCAAAGGAGTGGCAGTAATAGGGTTGAGAATATCGCTTCATTCGCAAATAGGTATCAAGCCTTATATCATGGGAGGATCCAGCCTCATAGCAGACCTCATAAGACGTAAATGCTGGTATGCAATGCCAAAACGCCTTGTCCCAGCCAACTCCCTTCCGTAACCGATGTTGCGAGACGAGCGCAAGGGAGTCTCAACATGCCCGAATCGACATGAGTCCCAGCAACAGGTAAGGATGCAATGTAATCGGACAGCAAACGCTTAAGAAGAGGTGGAGTCGATCGACGAATGGCTCGACTCGGGTGTGAGTTTTGCCATGCCGGGGTTGGGTTTTGGCGAGCGTCGTCGCGATGATGCGTGTGCCATCTCGAATTGCTGCTTCGTGTGTTGGTGCATTATGCTGCGATGGTTGTCAGTGCCGGTGCGAAAGTATTCATATTGCTTGTACTAACCGTTGGTAGGAGGACATGGCTCGGTCGGGCCGGCTAAGGTCATATTGACGGGCGAAGGTTTCTTGCGCTTCGTCGGGCTCCTGGAACGATGTCCGATTGTAGACGGCTTGTGCTTGTGCGGAAGACATGGTGGATTCGTGGAATTGTTGCTGAAGAACGTATTGGATCGTGTAAAGTTGACGTGAGAATGAGCTGGGCGGATGAAGAGGTAAAAACGATGAGATATGAATGTCCCTACCAACATTGTATATCCATACAGTACGACCACGGCGAGCGGGGATGGTGAGGGGACCCTGCGTCACAAGAGTGGTGTGAATGATGTTGCGACCGGGAAAGATAGAGATTCAGGGTCGTTGACACACAGCCGGCTGCGAATTCGATAGGCTCGATATGCACGTCCTGCGGGTAGAGATGTCGAGATCGAAGCCAAAATCGTCATAAGTGGGGCAGATTAAGGTACAAGGCTACGCCCGAAAGTGTCGCTAACGCGAATCCAGGGTCCGCCGGGGAGCCGCGAGGGTGCGCAAAAGCGACGGCTCGCGGACATCCAGTCCTTTGCTCGTGGTGGTCATCCGGATGTGGGCCTGCGTGAAGTTATTGGCTTGGTGGCGCCGTGCAAGATACCGTAGATCTCCGCGAGCAGTCTGCCGAGTACAAAAGCGCGCCGAAAGCAAAGGACGGTGCTGTAGCAGGAGGATTCTGCCCACGTCTGCAAATGGCAAGTCCGCATGACGCATGCTTGCCTGAATGCCTGCACCATCCGCTCGTCTCCCCTTGCTTTGTACACTCGAGGTGTCGTCATTTTGCCGCTTGAGCCCCCCTGGTATATACTCGACGCGTGCCAACTCAACGCAGACCTCTCACTAAATTGTCGCGGCTTCTATCTCTTTGGGTATGTGCCCGCTATATTCCGTGTCGTCCGACGGGACTGAACGGAATAAATACGCCGTCACGTCGACATGGAAGTTGATGTCGGTCGTGTTGAAGTATGTGTGAGGCGGTCGAAACGTCATCCCAGCAGAGGGCGTTCACCTTTTGCTTGAAACAATCCTCGTCACTGGCCCCTCTGTAGATCTGCGTTCAGCGCTGTGTAGTACTCGATGCGCCACCCGGCAACCGATACTCAGCCGCTACATCTGCGCGGTCGCGTGCTGCCGTAGCAATATTATGATGCTTTCGTACCCACCTCGTGGCATACGTCTGACAGCATCACCACCGCTGCACTGTGCGCAATCGAGATTCGCCTCCCTCAACGTTCTTTCGCACACGCCTCACCACCTCCGCAATCTCCTGCTCCACTTCTTCCATGCCTCGGCCAGCATCGACGATGACCATGTCCGCGTGCTCGTCCGGGTGTTTGCGCATTTCGTGGTAGCACTCCCTCACGCGATCCTGCAGCTCGCGCTTCTCGTATCGCTCCTCGCCGAATCCCCCGCGTTTGGCCTGCTCCTCCGCCGAGATGTCCAGGAAGATGCAGACATCTGGTCGCGGGAGGCCGACATCGGGGCTTCGACACCACTCCAGATCCATAGATGGGATGTGTTTGGCCGCGGAGTAGACGCAACCAGAGTAGTAGTATCTGTCGACAATCACCGTTGCTCCCGCGTTGATGCGCTCTTCGAGCTCTCTGACGGATTCCCAGCGGTTCGCGGAGAAGAGTAAGTGGATGGCGTGATCATCTTGTTGTGCCTGGCCGCTGAGATAGCTGTTGATCATCTGCCCAATGGGTGACGATCTGTTTGGAAACCGCATATGATGCACCTCCTCGCCATTCGCCCTGAGCACGTCGACTAAGCGCTGACATTGGGTAGATTTGCCGGAGCGGTCGAGGCCTTCGAAGACGACGAGCGCCCCTCTTTGCGTGCCCATGTCCGTCTGAAGTGCAGATAGTCGTCCATGAGCTGCGCGCGCGTGGAAGTGTGGAAGCATTTCATGCCCGCTCTTGGGTGCATTATGTAAGCCAGCGGAACTTCATGCTGTTTCCGTTCATCTTTTCCAACCGCATCTGCTGCTGCTTGGCTCTCATCCCTCCCCGAACAAAACGATGTCCAGAGTGTCTTGATATTCCAATTATGCCAACATACCTCACCGACCTTGCCAGCAGCACAAGAGACTCTCTGCTGTACAAAGACGATGGCTAAAATCACCGACAAGATCGCGGCCCTGCCGCCAGACAGCAACTACTTCTCCCTCGAGTTCTTCCCTCCCAAGACCCAGCAGGGCTTCTCCAACCTCCATGCCCGCCTGTCGCGTATGGCACAAGCCCTGCGCCCACTATTCGTCAACGTCACTTGGGGAGCGGGCGGAAGCACTTCCACCAAAAGCCTCGCCCTGGCGGAGCTCACACAAAGATCGCTGGGATTGACAACATGTCTACACTTGACCTGCACGAATATGAGCCGGAGACTGATCGACGAGGCACTGGAGCAGGCAAAGGCGTTAGGTGTGCGAAATATCCTGGCATTACGAGGCGATCCGCCGCGCAGCGAAGAATACCGGGATGACAGCCAGGCGGCTGCAGAAGAGGATGACAGCAACAAGGACTTCACGTGGGCCGTGGATCTGGTCCGATACATTCGGAGACAGTACGGCGACTATTTCTGCGTGGGTGTGGCGGGATACCCGGAAGGCCACTCGGATCAATCGCACCCCGAACATCAGTCCGTGGAGCATGATCTGCCATATCTTGTGGAAAAGACTGCTGCGGGGGCCGACTTCATCATGACGCAGCTATTTTACGACGTCGATGCGTATCAACAATATGAGCGGACACTTCGAGAGCACGAGAGCGGTGTCTTCAAAACAATACCGATCATCCCTGGCCTGATGCCAATCCAGAGCTACCAGATACTCTGCAGAACCACCAAGCTGAGCCATGCATCCCTTCCAGCGGACATATCTAGCCGGCTTCATGCTGTCAAGGGTGACGACGAGGCTGTTAAGCGCGTTGGTGTCGATATCCTCAGTGAGATGATTGGGAAGATGGAGAAATTGCCAAGCCCCGGACCGCGAGGCTTTCATTTCTACACTTTGAATCTGGAGAAGGTTGTTTCACAGATCCTCGAGCGATGCGATCTTATCCCATCGACTCCACCGATCATCCTTGCGCCGCCAGAGAATGGAGCTCAGGTCGAAGAAGCAATTGTAGAGGAGGAGAGCGAAGGTTACATGGTCGTCACAGACCTGAAGAAGCGTCGCCAGTCCTCTCTCGCCAACTCACAACCCCGTAACCGCGTTGTCGTATCTCGCGATCGTGCATCGAGCGCCAGCAGCACACGCACCTCCGCTCTCGAAGCGCCGGAAGACCAAGCGGGCGTTCCAAAGGATCGAATCAACAGCCGAGCAAACACTCTCGCAATCTCAGAAGGTCAAGGCGACCTCGGTCGAGAAGCGACATGGGACGACTTCCCCAACGGCCGATGGGGTGACGCCCGGTCACCCGCCTACGGCGAGATCGACGGCTACGGCGTAAGTCTACACGTCAGTGCTCCCAACGCCAAACGGCTCTGGGGCGAGCCGAGCAAGATCGCAGACATCTCCGCCCTCTTCCAACAGCACCTGGAGGGCGAAATCGATGCCATGCCGTGGTCGGAGGAAGCGCTGCAGCCCGAGACGTTGATCATCAAGCCGAAATTGCTCAGCATGATCAACAAAGGCTGGTGGACCATCGCATCGCAGCCGGCGGTCAAGGGCGTCCGCAGCACGGATCCGATTTTCGGCTGGGGACCTAAGAACGGCTTCGTATTTCAAAAGCCGTTCGTAGAGTTCTTCGTTCCTTCGGCCGATTGGAAGCGGCTGCAGCAGGCTCTGGGCGAGGACGAACAAATCACTTATTTCGCCGGCAACTGGGCTGGCGACTTTGTCTGCTCGGATGAGGAGTCCGTCAATCCCGTGACGTGGGGCACGTTCACCGGGAAGGAAATCATCACGCCCACCATCATCGAGGCGGTGAGTTTCAAGGCGTGGTTGGAGGAGGCGTTTGGCATTTGGGGCGAGTGGCAGCGCGTTTACGAGCCGGGGTCGAAGAGCAGCAAGTTGTTGGAGAAGGTGAGGAAGGATTACTGGTTGGTGAACGTGATTGACCATGGCTTTGTCGTGCCCGGGGCATTGTGGAAGGTGCTTTTGAACGAAGCTGCATGATGAATATCTATTAGACTCATTCCGCCCGCCGACCAGCGCGGCGGACTAAATCATCTTACACACTCCGCAATCTCTACGTTGCGAACGTCCATTCCACCCCCTCATACGCCTCCCTCCTCTTCACCACCACATCCACATCGCTCCCGGGCTTCGTCGCAGAGAACGACATCTTCCAGGTCTCCTCCGGCGGCGTCACAAATCTCTCCCCCTCCCTCGCGCCCCCAACTTCAAACCCAGCAACAAAAAGCGACACCAAGCCCAGCACCTCCGTCTGCGCGAAAAACCTCCCAGGGCAAATATTGTTCCCGCCGCCGAAACTGCGGTACGCGGAACCGTGTATCTTGCCCTCCGAGTCGCGGTACGGCGCCGCGGGGTCCGGAAGCTTGTCGGAGCTTTGAGCGTCGCTCTTCGCCCTCTCGCCCGTTGAGAGGAAGCGGCGGGGGTTGAAGGACGCGGCGTCGGGACCCCAGGGGCTTTTGAAGTGGATTACGCTCGTGGCGATTTGGACTACGGCGTCCTTTTTGAGCACGTAGCTTTGGCCTGTTGTGTGGTTTGTGATGGTTGTGTCTGCCGCGACGAAGCGGTTTGAGTGGACGGGAGCGTACATTCGCAGCACTTCGCGGAAAGCAGAGGAGAAGAGCGGACATGCGGAGCGCAGCTTGCCGATGTGCATGGTGCGTTTTGAGGCCGAGTCTGCCGTCACGCATTTGTCGACTTCGCCGCGGATGTCGGCGAGCAGTGCCGCGTCTTCGAAGATGTACGCGAGCAGCCAGAAGGCGGTGGGGACGGTGTTGACCAGCGCGCCGAACAGCAGGCTCGCCTCGCCGTGCGCGAACATCTTCTTCGTCAGCCCGTACTTGCCCATGTTGATCTTCACGCGGTTCTTGATCAGCTCGCTCGTGCCGGCGTCGTTGTACGCCTCGGCGTCCATGTATTCGTAGAAGGCGTCGAAGACGGCCTGGCGAGCCGTGCTGCCCTGTCGCGCGAAGATTTGGGGGTAGGGGACCATGGTCAGCGCCGTGGCATTGGATTCGAACACCCAAAAGGCCTCTTCGGCTTCTGGGTGCAGGGCGAATGGGTTGCGGGGCCCCCAGATGGCAGCGACGGATGCGATGGAGAAGTGATGGCGCAGCCAGGTCCAGAAGACCAGCCGCTGCGGCCCATGCACGGCGAGCTGATTGACATGCACGGCGATATTGTTGAGAATGCTGCGATTCAGCGCATCGAGAAGGGGACCGGGTGCGAGCACGCCTTGCATCATGTCGTGGATTTCGATGATGATCCCGTCCCGCGTCCCGTTCTCGCCGTTGAGATTGTAGTCCACAAGGGCATTGGTGGCGTTGTCGAAGGCAAAGAGCGACTTAATGGCTTGGGCGATGAGGGTGTTGAATTGCAGCGTTTTGTGCGCGCGGTGCACGGCGATGGCCCAGTCGGGGGAGGCAACGAGGTACATTCGCCCGCTGAGCATGGGTAGGGTGTAGATGCCATGGTTGTAGCGGGTGTTCAGTTTGCGGAAGTAGTCCGAGCCTTGTCGCATCAAGTTGAGGATGTGGCCGAAGATGGGGACATTGGAGGGAATGTAGGGCGGTTCGCGCGCATCCTTTCGGGGGGTGAGGAAGCGCTGGATCAAAAATATGAGGGCGGCGATGACGAGGACGACGAGGAGAAGAGGGGAAGAGGGTATTGAGAACATGATGGGACGGATGAACAATGAAAGACAGCGGAGGGAAAGACAAAGGAGAGCAGATGGAGGGTTGGTTAGGTGGATGAATGTCCTAGGGCGTGAGCGGAGGGCTGAAACTACGTGTGGAATTGCCCGGTTCGGACAACTGAACGTTATCGCTGGTGAGCTGACGGGTGTGCTCTTGGAAGGATTGCACCGACACTTGTTATACGAGAACACTGCTCACATAGGCGGCTCAATCCTCCCTCACCGTGCTAGGCTCTTTAGGGTCTCACTCGAGATATCGCACGCGATGACTAAGCTGCAGGTGATCCCCCTCCCTCTCCTCCCTTCCCATCAACCACAACCTCCACATCCTCCTGCCTCGCCTCCGCAATCTTCTCCTTCCCATCATCCAACATCGTAAACGCCGCCTTGTTCTTCTTCGCCTCTCCCGGCCCCTCCGACTTGAACTGATACCCTCGCACTCTCGGCCCCTGTCCCGTCTTCTCCGGCAAATGCGCATTGTACACCTCCTCGAATCTCCTCCGTTCACTGTCGAAAACATCGAGTGCGATGCTTTGCCGAATCCCAGCGAAGAAGAGGTCGAGCACGTGGTGATTGTGGATCTGCAGCAGGATCCACCCGAGCATTTCCTTGGCCAACAGGAGGTGCTGGATGTATGCTCGGTGGTGCTTGGTGCAGGCGTAGCACTTGCACCCTTTGGTCAGAGGTGAGAGGTCGATGGCGTGGGCTGCGAGCCACATGTCGATCCCTAGAGTCCTGGGGGCGACATGCTCGTGGTCTGGGGGTGTGATCTGCGGCGCTGGAAGCGTAAAGTCCAGTGCGATGCCAGCATCGGTTGCGGCGCTGATGAAGGGTATGGTAAAAACATCGATTCCCATGGAAATCTGTTGAAGGATGTCGTGAGGCGTGCTCGGTTCCGTGAATGCGAGTCGCGACAGGCTGTGCAATGCGGCCGGTAAGTCTTCCAAAGGTGCCAGATTGTAAAAGGCCAGGCCAGATACTAGCTCGCCAAGCTGCTCCGTCAGGCAATCCATGTAGAATCGTTGGTTCGCGCAAGACACCAGCGATAGCGGTGCAAACAGCTTCGACCGTCCTTTCGTCTTGCCATTGCTGTTGCGCAACGCAACATGATCTTGCATCCATTGTATCTGCCGATCGGTTGCCTTTTCAATTCTCTTCGAACCCAATGCACGCCCATACGGAATATCGCCCAATCCCACCACAATGTCCGGTTGTAGATGCTCCGCCGCCTTCGCATAATCTTCCGCCTTCAGCGTTCGGAATCCAACAGCCGTGCACACCGAAATCGAGGTATTGGTATTCGGATTGGCCGCCGGAGCGAGCACAGGCGGCGTCCTTCTCGCTCCCAACACCAGCACGGTCTCTTCCGGCAAGGCAATAAAGCGACGTAGCGGCGACGAGCCATCAGGCGGACTGAATTCATATATCGGCGGGATCTTCTGCGGCGCGCGTTCTATGACTTCCAGGCTGTGAGCACATCCGTCAGCCCAGGATGGAGCGGGTCGCGTGCGCCGCACTTACAGTCTTCGAGCGGCACGTAGACGCCATTGATGCCCGCGTCGCGACGAAAGGTGTCTTGCGTGATGTGAGGCACCACGCCGCGGGACGTCACGCCCAGGTAGTGTGGGGTTTCAATCGCTTTGCGGCCGGGGAGACAGAGGCGGCCGAGACGAGGGCCCAGGCTTTGGGGCGTGCTTTTGATGATGTTGAACATTTCGTCGGGGAGCTGCGAGAGCTTGCCGGGCTCGACTGAACCCATCCTAGCCGGTGCTATTGATCTGCTGCCCTCGTGGCCATGCGAGGAGAGACGTTAGTCGCGTGGATCTCTCTTCAACAAGAGTCGTCACATCAAAAATTTGGCCCGGCCGGCTTACATAAGATCTGGCTATCCGTTTTGGGAAGGAGTGAGGATGGAGAGCATTAGCTACGAGCGCATTGAGTACAAACTATCTCGCTAGCGGAAAACTGTCTCCTTCCATTCTTCACAATCTGCAGTGACTCCCTGTCACATATCCGCGTCGAATCTCTCTCTCATTCATGTCACATTCTGCTCCCCTCATCCTCTATCTGTCGAAGCGCTTGCTCTCCAGGATGCTCCCCCCTAGCATACCACCCATGTCCGTCTTGCCGATGCCTTGCCCGTTCCTGCGGATCTTGGACATGAACTCATGTAGAAACTTGACAGGGCTCGTGCGTAGCTTGCCCGAATGGCCGCTGACGATGAATCCATCCGCGCTGACAATCTCGCCTTCCTTCCGAGGACTCGATGCGAGGTTGAGGAATTGGCAGGCCTTCAGATAGTCGTCGTAGGATGATAGGTAGAGTTGTCCGGCGAACAAATCGAGCTGCATGGCTAGTGATGGTCGTACGATGAGATCTGTTTGCTGCTCTGGGATGGTGAAAAAGTCCAAGCGATCGAAGGATCTGTAGCTGAGATTGACTCGTGGCCGGTACAGATGGAGAGCCACATTGCGAGCGCTTGCAAGGTCGGGAAGCAATTGCTGAGCCTCCCAAGGGCTGATGATCATCATCCTTGCCACGATGTCGCTCTCGCCGGGGCGACTGGTCAGGATCCATTGCACAGGTCGCTGGTAGTGATCCGACTTGTACGCGTTGGCCGAAGACTTTATCGTGCGGGCGAAGTCGGCCGTTACCAGCAACGATCCGCCTCCCGAGAGCTGGCTCACGTCGAATCCGTTCGCTGCTATGGTGTCACGGAGGCTGTAGAAAGCTGGCATGTATCCCGTCGACATATGTTCCATGACGCCCCAGTTGACGAACTTCTTGACGTCCGGGTGGAGGATGTGCGGAGCTGCCTCTGCTGGGTCCGGCCGCTCGATTTGCGATTCGATCTCCATCTTGGGACAGAGCTCTCGCTCTTGCTCTTCTTGCAAAGTCCGCGCGCCGAACTGCAAATGCTCAAACTCCAGACACCGCTGCTTGATCTCCTTGATTCGCTTGACAGCAGGTGAATTCTGCGACGAGATCTGGGTTGTTGCTGGGGCATGTGGTGAGTATCGTTGCTCCAACGTCTGCGCTTCAATCTCCAGAAATTTCTTGGCCTGCGCAGGTATCATTGCGATCATGTCGAGCCAATGGGCCCCCTTCCAAAGCTCTTCTTGGTGTGCGAAACGCTGGCCTTGCATGTCCCACAAAGGCATGGCCCGTCCGGTTTCGAGGAACGTCTCGCGTATCGACCACAGTAGAACGTCCTGCAACTGGATGTCGGCTCCAGACTCCTTTCGAGTGCATGCATGGATCTTATTCTTAATCTCGTCCGGAACGAGGAAAGTGACTGTTTGTCCCTGGCCGAGCTTTCTCATCCGCATGCACGCTTGCACCAGTCGGTCTTTTGTCAGGTTGGCACCCAAAGTGACGGCTGCTCGGTAATGAGCCGGGAGCTTCAGATCGATGCCGCGAGTGTGCGCTTCGTCAAGGAAAACAAAGCAGACGTCGAGCTGGTACAGAAACGGCGAGGTCTGCAGAGGCTCCACGCACCCCGTTCGATCAAGGACTGAGACCACGTCCTCATCACTCACAAACACCGCGGCCTGATAGCCGTTGCTTGAGTGCATCTCCAGCCACTTCTGGGCGACTTGTTCATTTGTAAGTTCCAGAATCAGTGCTCCAACGTCTAGGATGACCTGGCAGGGCGGATCGAGAGTCTTGACTTGCTGGAGCAAGCACTCAGCGTCACTCATTGTCGAGGAGACGGTCTGCGGTATCAAGACCACGGAGTTGTCCTTTTGCAAGAGATGATTCAAGACCAGAGCATTGGTATGTTTCTGTTGCGGGAGATCGAGGTGTTTGACATCAAGTGGAAGAAGTTCTCGCGAGTCGATGGTACCGCTGAAACCTGTTGTCTTCTGTCGCTTGGTCTTCCCAAGATCCCACCCAGAAGCGGAAAGCCTGGAGCATGAGTTAGCATACGATCAAGATGATGTACGAGAACGAGCACATACTTGTGTGGGAATTCCTTCATCTCCCTGGGAAAGACGAAAGTAGCGAGGAAGTAGTCGACAGCAGATTTGCTGTGGCGGACGTGCGGAAACACTTCCTTGATGCATTGCGATCGGTCCTTCAGATTGATGCCTTGAAGCTGACGGAACGCTGATGGCAGGGTTGACACTCCCGCTGTCCAAGCAGCATACTCGATGTCGGCCTGATCAGAGTCCATGAGATGCTCGAATGCCAGAAACAGGTCGCCATCTTGAAGTCCTCCGTAGTAGTAAGACAAGGAAGTCAGCACGATCACCACGTCTGGATGACTGAATTCCGAGCGTAGTGTTGGGCTGTCTTTGGCCCGGTAGGGAACAGCCAGCTTGGTTGGAGGCTTGCGATCCGGGACCAGTCCGTAATTGACCCTCCAGCGTTTCTGACTAAGGGTGAAGGCAAGCACACCTCCAGCCAGAAGCCCGCGAAGCAAAAGCAGCGGTGACTTGGTGTAATCAGTCCAGAATCCGTCTGTGCTACTCCCCTCGACTTCCGCTATCTCCTCCGGGCTGAGATCTGTCTTGATCATGTAGGTATAGACGGCGTTTCTGACTTTGTCGGACTGGCGAGCAATCGGAAAGCCGTCCAGACCACGTTGGCAGATATATTTGGCGATGCTCCGGATGAAGAACTCCTCTGCGTCGGGCTTCAGCAGGCGTGTTCTTGGGAAGCTGCTGCAAGGACCCGAAGTCACTTCGACTGCAGAACCCAACAGCTGCGCGCTATCGTTGGCAATCTGCCTGACGATGTCCAACACCTGCTGAATCAGGAGCCATCGATGAGGGCTGAAGGTGATCTGGTCCTGATGTCCCACGGTATAGATGAGTTCGAATTTGACAGCGAAGATTTCATCGGCTTCGTCCACTGCAGAAGGCAATTAGCATGGTGCACAAACTTATAAATACGGGTAGAAGACTTGCCTATGTCTCGAGACGAGGTGTCGAAGAAATTCTGGGTGCGCATTAGCGAGCGACCAATGTCCTCCTTGCCACTGTTGTAGCATTCCAGGCCCATCAGCTGAAAAGACAGGATATGCTCGGGCTGCACTAGCAAGACGCCACGGTGCGCCATGCACTCGCGAACGAGCCGGCCGACGCTATCGACTGCGGTCGTGTTCAGCTTCAAGGACCGCGAGAACGGCATGTAGTAGACCCTTCTATTCAGAAGTCCGCCGAGTTTCGAAGTGAGCATCTGAGCCATTTGCTTCGACTGTGGTTTGGCGACCACTACTCTGACAAGCCGAGATGAATCCGCAAGCGCTGCAGCGACAATGGGAACAATGACAGATGACTTGCCCTCACCCATGTTCAGCTGCATGACCTGATTCTGGCCTGTTTCGGTGCTCCCCATCTGAGACGCAATCTGCTCTTGAACTGGCCGTATGATGATGCAGCTTTCAATCTCGAGGAGAAGGGTTTCAGGATGGTCCATGGGGTCCCAATTCGTATGCCCAGTGTTGTCTCGTTCTTTGGCCAGATCATCTCCTCGAGATGCTCTGAAGGCCGCCAGCATGCGCTGAGACCGCTGCAACGCAGTCAATGCTAGACCGTATTGCACCAGACCAGCTTTCCAATCGGAACTCAGCTTATCCCACTTGGGTAGAGTAAGCTGTTGGAGGACAAAGATTGGCGACACCCTTGGCCATTGCTGAACCATATGCGCCACCTCCAAACCTCGAAGCTGTGACGTCGGATTGGCGGTATTATTCAGTGCGGTCTCGATGTTGCCCAGCAACGATTGCGCATGCTGAGCATACCTTTGCTCCTGCGCAAGTAGATCTGCCAGTGAGAACTCGCTTGCGGGTTTCGAGGATGACACAGTGGTTGTTTGAAGTGAAACGAGGCTGTCGCGCAGCGCATCAGAATACGACTTCTCGTACCGAGATCCCAATGAAGTCGACTCTAAGGTTTCGATCAAGTCGGCGAGGCCAGGAGCAACGTCTGTGGGAGTTTGATCGCAAAGCAGGCTCTGCTGCGAGGCCGGCGGAGACACGCTCACGGGACCAGCGCCAGCGAAGAGACCGTCTGCAGCAACATGACCCAGGGCCGAGAGGGTCTTGGTTGGGTTCGAAATGATAGTTTGGGGCGAGCTGAGTTCTTTCAGGCCCACCGCGGATATTACCTGCTCGATGCGCTTTAGGTACTGAAAGAGTTGCAGATTGGCAAAGCAGGTCTCGAATTTGGATCGTATGGCCTGTTCGGCGGGTTTCAGCCGGACATAGTCGGCCACACGGACGGGCGACGCTCCATCACCAAATGGCGCTGGTTTCTTTTGGGGCCATAGCTGACAGTAGTGATTTGCCACGGCCTCAAAGGCCTTCTGCTGATTCAAGTTGAACTGTTTCTGCTGACGACTCTGGAATTGGCCCGGATTCTCGCTCCCATTCCGAGTTAATCTGGCCTCGGGCGAATCTTTCAGCTTCTTAGTATGTGATCGCAGAAGAGTGACCAATTCGCGTTTGTCGACCTCATGTCCCTCTCGAGGAGAACAGAACTCTATCTCGGGCACTTCGACGTCGCGAAGAGCATCCACGGAGGCCAGAAGCGCCAGCAGTTGAGCTACTCGCATGTCGGCATTCTCATTGGCGACCACTGCCGACAGCCAGGCCATGACGGCGAACTTTTCGTCTCCGTCATTCTTCTTGAACAATTTGTGGACAGGCAGCAGATAGGCGAGATCAAAGCCAGCCGTGGCAGTACTTCCAGTGTACTGGAGAAAAGAGGCAGAAAGCTCAGTATTCGGGCCATGGACGCGGCTCTTCGCTAAATACAAACACCAGAGGCAACCCGGATTTGGCAAACGCCAATGGTAGGTGTCGAGGTCTTGGTAGATCGTGCTTGCCATCGAATACGCCCTGACCAGTCTCGTTGGTGCTTCGAAGTGATCCCGAGCTGCATACGGTTTGTCCCAGTCAGGGCAATGCTGTTCTGCGCCGAACTCAGAAACGCGGAATGTGGCTGTGCGGAGAAGGTCGCGCTCTAGCAACGACTTCTCGCACCTTCTCAGTTCGGGCCGATGGAATGTCGCATCTTCAAAGAGCACTTGGTATTGCTCTGCTGCATCGAAGAGCTCAGCGACGAGCTCGCGAAAATGGCCGTGTTGAGACATGAAACTCAATCCGAACTGCCAGCTGATGGTCTGCATGACTTGTTCGTTCAAAGGGTAGAACACTCTTTCCGGAGTAAGAGCAGCGATGCGCTCCAGAGTGGCAATATTGGTCTGCGAAAGCTGACTGAACGATCGCACTGCCGCAGATCTGAGCATAGCCAGAGAGTGTTCCGTTCCAGTCTTGCGCAGAAGAGGGTCCGGGAGGCAGAATGATGACAAGGCATGCAAGTATGTTAGGTATAGCTTGCCCTGAAGACCACCGTTGTCAATCAGTCTGCCCAAGAGCGTGTCTTCCCTCAAAGGATGCACTTTGACAATCGAGTCCTTGTCAATTGTCACGAAAGCGTGATCTCCCATCTGAAAAACTCCCGCGGAACCTTCCGGTACGAGGACCATCCGGTGGCCATCGGAATCTCTTAATATCAGCTTCGGGACACCGACCAACGTCCCAAGCGATTGGTCCTCATCCACGTACATTCCGCGGAACTGGCGAGACTCAAGGTGTGCCTTTCCAGCGCTCAACGAGAACTCAAGCTGAAGCTTGGGAACATTCACTTGAATGCAGGTTCCAGAAGCCATCGCTACAGCAATGATATTCTCCGGCTTCGTCAGTGGGTCGAGGATGTGATTGATCACGACGGCCGTTTTGCTCTGACTTCCGACCACGCAATTCCCATGCTTCACGAGACGCCACGTGGAGGTGGAAGTGCATCTTGTCAGAACCCATGAATCGGCGGAGACTTCGTCCCAAGGATGATCGCGCGAACGGAATTCGACGGTCTGGTTGGAGTGGTTGTACCAATGAATCATGTCGTGTGCAAAAGTCGCTGGTAGCTTTTCGTGGAAGAGTCGGCTTGGAATTGACTCGTAGTCTGTCGAACGCCTTGAGGCGCGAACGATCAGATCGGGAACGGAGAGCACGGAGAACTGAGCAACATGGCTGAGTGCGAAGTGTACATCGTACCCGTGGTGCTGCACTGTGGCAGCAAACTTCATGCCAGGAACGCTCGATGGGCCCACCTCCACCACGGCACTCTCGAATATTTGAGGCCACATTAAATGCTTCTCGTACTCGGCCGGCGGACGGTGCAGAGGAAGTCCATTCACCAAAAGCTCTCCACTCAGGACGTTGTAGTGGACTTGAGGTATACCATGACTGGCAGGCGCAGGTTGGGTGAAGAGCCAATGGTCTGCACTGCCGTCCAGTGAGCTCCAAGGACGCCCGTGACGATGCACAGGTGCTATGGCGTGCTGAACGGATGTGTGCCTGCTCTTCAACAGAGGGTATGCCCGATGGAGTAACCTGGACAAGCGCATGGACTGAAGGTCGAACGCTGACTGGTTTGTTGCCGCGCGAGCGCTCCTTCCTCCATGTATGGCAATTGAACATTCAATCAGAATGGAGGCACCATTGGAAACGTTGAGCAGTCTCACGAGGTGTGCGTCGTCGACATCAAAGCACAGAGCACAGACAAGCGCGACCTCAACCCTCTTGGACTGAAGCTCCGTGTTTTCTTTGGTCGCATTCATGCGGTTGGACTTATTGTGCAGAGTTCTGAACCAACTCAATGCTGTATCGCGAGCGATGACCAGAAACTCGATGCATCGGTTTGCGATATCCGGAGACGGAGTGAGGGTCAGCAGACGGCAGGCGATTGCCGAAAAGACACCCAAAGCTTGAGCAGACTCCCAATTCTCTTTTACTCGATTCAGAGCCTGTCGAAGGCTGTCGATCATCCCAGAGATGTATGGGATATTTTCGATCGCCTTGTGGCTCGCACGAAGCAAGGAGTTCGAACTGTCCGGAGGTCCAGCCTGATAGAGGCATTGGAAGACGAAAAGCGCCGTCTCTTCCTTCTTAAAATCGACCGAAGGTGCTTCGAGTTGAGCGAGAAGATTGATCCACTGGATCCGATATCCCAGAAGAAGCATGCACAGGTCCTTGCCTTCTTCCAGGGTGATGTGCCGAGGGAGATCTGACTGCGCCGCGATGACCGTGTTTGGAGTTGGGCCGCTGGGCGCTGATGCAGGCCGAAAGAGATATTTCTGAAGAGCTGCAGAGCGTGTCGGGAGCTGATACGTGCACAGCTGAGGAGCGTTGTCATTGTGAGTGAGCTCCTGCACAAAGCAGTTTTGAACGAAGTCGAAGTACCGATAATCCAGGCCATTCTTCGTGCAGACGGTGAGTTCGGTAGCCGTTGAGACGAGTATGTTTCTCCGGTGAGTAACGATGTGTGGCTTGTCCTGGGAGAGGAGTCCAATGCGATGCCCAGAAGACAACGAAGCGAAGGCTTTCAGATGAGGATCATCCGGCAGCGGATAGCTCACGCGTGGTCCGCATACAGCAAAGTACTGCGACTGGAACACGATTCGCAGCAAGAAGAATGTGGCGTCTCGCCACGAATCAAACCAAGCCGGCGCGTTGAGTTCAAACATCACCACCTTTGCTCTTTCTCTTGCTGCAGGCAGTGGCCATTCATGAATCTCGATGGTGAGCTTCTCGGCCTGAGTCAGGAAGCCACATCTCCGGCAGGTACTCGAATGTTTCTTCTCCGTGTAATTGTTGTCGGTGACGACGACGATCTGATCACACGAAAGTTCGGCATGCAGCTTTCGCAGATGTGCGTATTCTTCTTTCAACTTCCTCAGTTCCAAGAGCTTTTCTTGACGCGCCTTGGTGGCCCACTCCTCAATGCGCTTGAGCTCGTCTTGCATTGGTTTGGATTGGTTGAAGAAAGTCGCCGCGAAGGAGTCCGAACTGCTGTTGTCGATAAAGATCTTGCGGGATGGAAAGCGGGCATCAGCATGGCGCTTTGACATGTAGCGCTCCACGTCGCGCAGCTTATCCATCTGATCCTTGAACGGCAGCAGTAGATTCTGGAGCTGCGAGCTAGGAACTCCCGACTCGTACTGATGCAAAAGGTTGCATCCGGCGATGGCAATCACATCGCAAGCTATCCATAGCTCGAAGATGGTCAGGATCATTGTCGAAATTGCCTCTGGATTGCCGGCATAGTGTGACTGTGCATGGATGTGATAATCCTTTATCAAAGCGGAAAGGCTCTGACACATGGAGGAATCATCGATGTGCGCTACGGCCCAGTTGCGACTGTGCAAGGCCACCCACTGCTCGAAGCTTGCAAGGTTGGGCACAGCATAGGAGGCGATTGCGAACATTTGTGAAGTCAGTCGTGGAAGGGTTTGGGCCGGAAACTTTACGAATGCGGAGGTGGGCGTGAAGTTAGACTCGACGGCATTGGTGTTGCGGTTGTTGAATGATGCAATGTAGGCATCAAGTGCTGGAAGATGGAGACAGGCGTCGTTGTTGAGATCGAGCACCGCCAGTCGGCCGATGTCCAGGTCGCGAGCGTTGTTTGCCTGGATATCCCTCCAGCGGCTCTCCAGTACCGCATGCGTTCGTTCCATGATAACTCGAACCTGAGCGAACACCGTCGCGCCAATGTGCGGGCCCATCTTCAAAAGGCGTCGTGCAAGTTTGGCTTTCATGCAATGAAGAACATCGGAGGGGATGCTGAATACGGCGGCGTCGTCCAGGATTTTCGCCATGATCGTGAGCATGGCTTCCTTGTACAGCGTCGTGGAGTTCAAGCGCCGTACACAGGTGAGATGCAAAGCGACACGAACGAGCATCCAGATAGGAGAACGGCGCCATGGCGCTAATGCGTCCTTCCAGAGAATGTCGTCACGCGTGCATTTGGTGATGGTGGGCACCGAGGCGGGTCTGCCAATCGAGAGCAAGAAGCCGATGAGAAGCTCAGAGACTATACCCGGATGTGTGGTGTCTCTGTCTTCGTCATGGAGGGCACCCGCCTTTTTCGCTTGAGCCTGCATTCCCCCAACTGCCTCACTGCTCATGTTGGAGAGCATTTGGACGATGGTGGCTTGGAATTCTGGCTGGCGGAAGTCGTTCAGGTCCATGGCCACAGCAGCTCCCGGAAAAGAGCGAAGCAGGCGGCCTTTTGTCGTCATGACCGCATTGTTAAGAGGCGAGAGCTCGAAGGTATCGATTCTGATATGGTCTGGCTCTTTACTGATGAGAACTCCGGCATTCTGTGCACGGATGTGTAGCGGGATCGGGATGCCTAGTGGTGTGGTTAGTTTGCATAACGTCACAAGACCGAGGAGCGATGCAACTCACCATTCTCGATCAGATCGTCCCTTGCATTTCGAAGCTCGCTCTCCATGATATGTCCATTGCAATGAACTCTTTGCATTCCCACCACCATGCGGAGAGCTTGGTCGATGAGTTTACTCTCGCCATCCTCCATCCACTCCCGAAAAGCTCGGAGGCCTGTCAGGGTTGCCTGGATCAAGACTGTATCGAGGTCTGGATCGTAGTCGCTCTTTTGAGGCAGTCGTGGTGGTAAGAAGATATGATTGGCCAGGTAAGATGCAGCCGTCTCTGTAAGCACAGAGCGACCGCCTCCGCCTGATGCCGCTGACATCTTGAGGTGGCACGCTGTGATGCGTGCTGGACGTATTGAGGCTCAGTGATGTTGGAGGTCGAGGAGGAACGTGAGAGCGTTTCGATGGAAGGCGGTATTGTGGCAAAAGTTTGTGCGGAAGCGAAGGGCGTGAAGAGCGAGAAGGTGACACAAGTCGCGGGCTGAAGTTGTGTCAAAACGACGGCTTTCAAACGCGGCGGAGGATGCTCAGTCACCACGGCAATGTAGGTGAACAACCGTACCGCAGTGAGTGAGCTAGCGTGTCTGAGCCAGCTGCTGGGAGCTCGTTGATTCAAGCCGATGCCTGGTTCGTCAAAGGATCTAAGTGCTTGGAAAGTGAGTATTAGGCTGCAGGTCTCACGTTGATGCAAACGCTGGCCGAACGCACGGTTCACGTCATCGCAACAAGACCTATGCCTCGTTTGATTGCACCCGCGGGGTTAGCAACCTCGGGCATCAATCATAAGCCATAGGAAACGTCTATAGCATTCTGGCTGCTGGGTTGAGTCAAAGGAACCCGCAACAGTGCTTACTGTGGTATCCCGTCAAGGGCTTACATGCTTGGTGGGACGGCCATGCAGCTCGGCGTGGGAGATGCGGAGGGCCGGATGTCGGCCTCCACTGCGGCTTCCCGCATGCTGCGTGGCCTGCGAAGTTTCATCGCCCTCGAAACGTCGACGTGCCCGAGACCCGGACAATAGTAGCAGAAGCGCGTCTCGGACATTGCCATCGCGTGAGGACGCTGCGCAGGGCGAAAATCCGCGATTCTCAATGAGCTCAAAGCTCATGGTGATGAAACGTGAGACCAGCCCGTGATGAGCAAATTACGCCCATCGCGTGCATGCGCAAGAACTCTGAGGTTCGAATGAATCGAAGCCTCGAATGTGAGGACGCGCGGGTTCTTAATAGGAATGTTAACGAAGAAGGCACGAAGTGAGGAAGGAGCAACAGGAGGAAGGAACGAGGTGAGGTCGAGTCCGCGTTCTCCACTTTGCGCTAGCTTCGGAATGCGGAGCGTCATCACGTGCACCAGACCTCCAAATAATCTGCAGATCTACAAAACGGGAGAAGTTACTCATCATCTGAAGTATACTTTCGCAACAAATGCTCACAGCATGAGCTCACGTGGATAGTGATTTCCAGCACGTGCTGTTAGCAGCTGCACGACGCAAAGACTCGCCGCAGCATCTTGCGAGGTGCCCATTCAGTTCATAGGGTATCTCTGATCGGAAATCCCGGCGCTGAAACCTGCTAGAAACACGCTATAGAACGCGATGCCGTTTGATTGAAGTCTGGCAATGCTGAGCGGGATCTCGGGTGTATCAGCGCTTGAGTACACTTGTAGACGTGATGCTCGCTCGGTTTCCCAGGGCTTTCGATCCGAGCTCCTGATCAAGGCCGATTCCGTCATCTTTCCTGCCCCTCAGCAGCATCTCCACCGCCCTGAATACCGGAAGAAGTCTTTCCTCCAGGCAGCGTATCTCCCCGTAATGACAGCAGGCTCTTCCGCAGCAGCTCAGTAGAAATCCGCCCCTTTCATAGCCAGCAGCTTCACCGCCTTCCACCCCTGCGTCGTCAACGCAAAATGGTAAACCATCACCCCCTGCCGGACCAGCGGCGACGGATTCCCAAACAGCTGAGCCAGCACAAACACCCTCGCCGTCTGCTGCGACTCGTCGACGTACGCCACGATGCTGTTGGGCGGGTGGTACAGGCGCGGAGAGAGCGTGCGGGACACTTCGTACCCTTCCTCGTACGCTTGTCTGCTCGTGGTCAGGCCTCGGATTGGCAGCTTTGCTACGAAATCGTAGGCGACGAAGTTTTGCCAGTCTGGGTGCGTCCAGTCGCCCGCTTGGACGATGTCTAAGATGCGGGCCGTCATTGATTCTAATTGCGATGCTGTGGGTGTCTTTGGCTGAAGCGATGGGTAGTGGGCAGCTGTCGTTTGTGTGAAGTATGGCCGTAGCTGGGAAAGCGAATCCGCTTCCGTGGCTGCTTGTTGTCCATATCGATCAACGGCGTATAGAGTCTTCTGTGGCAATAAATGAGACAGCGAACCCGGTTTCATGGAGGCTTTCTGTTCGTGTCGATCAAAGGCGTAACGAATCTGCTGGGGCAACAATTGGGAGAGCGAATCCGGTTTCCCGTTCATGTTGATCTAGTGTGTAGAGCAAGGCATGGAAGACGGCCATTCCATAAGCATTAGGCTTTCAGTCTCCCTCCTTGTCTCGGGTCGCCTTATGGCTGACAGGCTGTCACAATACATATACTGACGAGCAAGAAGAAAGCAGCGCGATCAGCGATTTATTAGTGCTTTCAGCCTCGGTTTGTCACCATTCCTACCTAATTAGGCAGCTTCCCCTCCCTATAACCGGGCCAAGTGCCTCTATCCTTCTAGCGGGCAGCGTATTTCCAAACGCCGAGGCAGGTGAACAAAAAAGCCCTACCGCTCAAATCCATCAGAAGGCCCGCGGCCCACCAAGGGTAATCTGCTTCACCGCCCTCCAACCCTGCTTCGTCAAAACAAAATCCACAACCGTCACCCCCTCCATAACCAAAGGCGGCGGGTTGCCATGCACATGCGAAAGCACCAAAACGCGCCCCGTGCCGTGCACCTCATCGACGTCCGCCGCGATGCTCCAAGGCCGGCCCTGGAAGCCCGGATAGGCCTCTTTGTACGCCTTGACGCCGTCGATGAATGATTGTCTGCCTACTGTTGCGGCGAAGGGGGTGCCGGAGAAGGATGCTGTCGGCGTTTCTGCAATGTAGTCTTGGGCGACGAGCCAGTCCCAGTCCGGATGCGTCCATTCGGCATTTTGGGTCATTTCGATCATTCGCGCTGCTATTGATTCGAGTAACCGCGCTGTGACTGTCCTCGGTGGCGGCGGCGGGTAGTCGAAGGGTGGTGTCTCCGGGGAACATGGTAGGAGCTGCGAGAGCGAGTCGAGTTTCGGTGGAGTGGTGGACTTCATGTTGTGTGGCCTCCGATCCAGGAGTCGTCCAATCCACAACCACCAGGCGTCCAGTACCTATCCTCTCATTCTCTCTGGATGTCTCGGGCGAGAAACCATGACAACACCGAAGGTATATGTACAAGGCAACGTTATGCAACCAGCTGACGCCGTCAGCCGCAGCATGCCACGATTGCCTAAACAGGAAGTAATCAGGCACATGCCGATCTCGCCCCACCCAACATTAATGCGGATCATAAGGGCTGTTACAAATCTGCCCTTCTTACTAAAGAAAGCAGCTCTGACGAACATCGAAGAGTGCGCGCCAATGCACGCTCGTTAAAAGCTTGCTCTGCCGAATACCGCGCGATTGCTCCGCTACACACCACTGCGGCAGCAACGCAATCATACCACGACAAACCTCATGCCGACCAACAAGACCTCCTCGTAGAACTCCCCACCCCGAGCCTTGCCAATTTGTCGCGAAACATCTGGGTTTGCATCGTAACTTACACAGCTGCCCTCACAAGTCTCCGGAACCTCAAAACTCTCCAGCGCCTCCGCAACACTTTGCTCCTTGGAACCCCATTTCTTTGCCGTTCTATTCGCACCTCTGCCCGAAAGAGATTGCGTGGCGGGTGCTTGCTGCACAGTCGAAGTGTCGTCCGCACCGGCCATTGATTGTTGTGGTGTGTGACCATGCCGACCACGGAGTCTGGGCTGCTTCACCGGCACATGAGCGGGCGAGTTGGCGAGGGCTGCGGCTCTGGTCCTTTTCCTTGGCGTCTCTTGTGGCGATGACGGGGCGCCGTCAAGGAGTGAAGCGCTGTTGGCTTCGTCGGCAAACACGCTGTCCTCGCGTGGGCGGTTAAGACCGGCAGCGTCCTTCATCAGCTTCGCAGGGTCGATCGTAGTGCCTACCACCTGCGAGCTATCCGCGAGGATGAAGTCTTCCAACTCGTTGCCAATCTTCTGCTTCTTTCTCGCCCCACCGCCTTCGCCGAACTCGTCTCTCAATCTCGCCAGCTCACTCTCCATATTCCCCGGTGTCATCTTCTTCAAATCCCCCAGACGTTGTCGCAGAGTCCTGCCACTCTTACCGGGTGTACGTTTGGCATTCTCGTAATTGCCCACCACCGTCTTCTTCTTCGTATCGATATGGAGACCAAATTCTTTGACCATATCCGCGATCTTGTTGGGTGATGGTGTGGTAGGGGCGATGAGATTGGGAGTTTGGCGTTCAACGGTCGCGGCATTGATGGACTTGGTGCTGATCGATGTCTCGAGAACGTTGTTATCGACAGAGAAGCGCGGAGTCGAGGGATCCTGCACCTTGTATTCCGGGTCATTCAAGCGCGTGGGCTGCATAAGATAGGTTGTGTCCGGCCCGTACTTCCTGCCTTTGCCTACGGTGATGATCAGATCGATGATGCCGATGCCCTGACACTGCCGCATGTGCTGTGGAAGTTCAACACCAGCCAGCGCTGTCAGGAAGTCGGCTGAGGGTGGCCTGTCGCCGAACTCATTCACGCCGCGAGCCTGGCTCTCCTCGATAAGACAGGTACGAACACCGTTCCATCTGCCTTCCGCATCACCATCAGATGTAGATGATGCTCTTGGTTGTGAGCCTGACTCGCAATAGATCCAGGGTTTCTCGACCTGCCTATGGATGCGAGTACCAGCAAAGCGCACTGTATGCTTGTCGACCATCTGTACGCAGAGACGTCGGCCTTCAATCTCATTGACAAAGGTCACGTCTGTAAGTTGGCCGTTGACAAAGACTTCAACTTTGAGACCCTTTGCCAAATTCTTGTGCCCGTTGTTCGTCGAAGAAATGTAAGAGAGGAATGACTTTTCGGAGATGTGGACATCCAAGGCCAGAGCTTGTGGAGTACCAAGACGTTGCATGGTCTCAAGTGTTTGCATGTTCGATGTCGTGAGTGCAGCTGCGGGAGTGCCGTGAGTGCTGGGCCATTCGGGCTTTGCGGTCTTGCTTGGAGAGGGGACGAAGCTGTGCTCTGTTGAGGTCGGACTTGTGGCGAGAGATGTAAGGGGCGAACCGTCGCTGCTGGTCAGCGGAAGAGGATACTCCGTGAGTGTCACATCCTCTTCGAGCGCGTCCTGCATCTCAGCATCGAGATCATCGTTCTCGTTTCGCGAAAGGAGGTCCCCAGCTTCAGCCATGAACAAAGGCATATCCTCATTCGGTCCAACGAATCGCACCACACCGTTCGCCTTCCCATCCTCGCCGATAGGCCGCTCAGGCAACTGTTGCGCGCTTGAAAAGACACTCTGCACTCGTTTGGCGTTTTCCTGCTGCACGACGCCTTGGTTGAACCTAAAGGCATTGGAGAGGGAAGACTGAAGATCGCAGGAGATGAGGGTAGCGGTGACACCGGTGGCACGGTAGGTCGGCATCTTGTCCCATTCACGCCGTGGGAGTGGTGTGGCAGTGATTCAAGAGCGCGGTTGCGTTCTTTCTTCCGTGGTTGTTGCTGGCAACACAAAGTCAAAGCCGCTTTGACTTTCTTGGCGGCATCGAAACTTCTGCATGAGGAAGGAGCCAGGGCGTAGTGGAAGCCGTCGGGTGGTGCGCCAATGTTCTGTGCAGCACAACGCCTCTCAGCCATCGCGATTATACTGTCGGCTCTCGGTGATCACGCCAATGTTGGGCTCCTCCAAGCTGTCCCCAAGCTCGACCATTGTCCGATCGTAGACTCTCGCGAGTTGCATGTCCCAACTGTCATCTTCATCATCCTCCCGTTCAAAGTCCTCCCCTTCCACAACCAGCTCTCCGTCGTCAGCTGTATCCATTCCATCCCCGTCTTCATCCTCCGCCTCATCAAATTCAAATTCCGCCCTCTTGAAAGCCTCCACGACACTGACCCTCGTCCTCTCAACAAGCGATCGTATCCGCACCTTCTCCGTCCCACTAACCCCCCTCCTCCCCTCAAACCCCGGCAACGCCTCCCCCGTCTCCACATCCCTCCCCTGCAACAAGCCAGCAAACGCGCGATCCAACTTCCCAAGCAGCCCGAAAAGGCGCTTAGGAGAAGGCGGCATGCCATGCACAGCCGTAACAACAATCATCGCCAAATTCATCAAGTACGGCACCTGCAGCGACGGTGTCCCACTCATCCACACCACATCAACCAGCTGCTCGACATCCTTGCACGTCTCCTTCATGCTGCTGTATCCCTTGACGTCGCCCGCCCATGTCTCTGCTATTGGCGGTTTGGAGCCGTTGGTGAGGGCGGATGTGGAGAACGTGGTGCGCTTGGCGTAGCGGCGTTGGATTTGGAGGATTTGCGCGTCGAGGTGCCGAATGAGGTAGCTTTCTTTGCTTCCACCGGGGCGGAGGGGGGTGCTGCGTGGGTGTGGGAGGGATGAGGGAGAGTGGGATTCGGAAGAGGCTACTGATGAAGGAGGTGGAGAGAGGACGAAGCCGCCGGCGAAGTCGGACGAGGCCATGATGGTTGGGGGTTGTGGAACAAGCGAGGAATAGCGTAAGAAGGTAAGGCGATAGCTTGGCCTACTCTACGTGGCATAAGACTACATCTCCAAGTGACAGAAGAGGAAGAGAAATAGTTGTGAAGCTTGTGGGAGAAGGGACACAATGACATACGGCTAATCGAGGTAAGGTGAGGTGAGAGCTTTCAGCGCGCTTGGCAGGCTGAAGCCAATCATATGAGGAGCATATGGATCACATCAACATATAGTATCTGGCAGTACGTTGGGTGTTGTAAGCCTTTGGCACAACATTAAATCGATCATGTCATTGAGTATGAAGTCGTGGTGTCTTCGTATCGTCATGCCATGGCAGCAGTGCTGATCACCAGCAAGGCGCTTATCGCGCAGCCTTAAGTGATCCACCTTTCAGCCTTCTTGTCGTAGCCTATCGTGTCAAGCTCGATATTGAGCGAACGTAGCATCATTGCCATCGTAAATTCCTGCTGGTGTATTAGTCCAAAGTACTTTCAGAAACCGCAGCGTGGCGAGCTTACACCACCATCCCCATCATCAGTCCGCTGTCGATCGAGCGCCTGTTGGCGCTGCAAATCAGCAGCATGTTCCAGCTTCCGCCGCGCCTCACGCCTCGCATTTCTGCGGAACTCCTGCTCCTCTTCAGGCAGAGGGTCTCCATCAGAGTCAACTTCACGGTCTGGATTATTACTCTCCTCCGTGTCGCTAGACCACGGAACGTTCTTCATCTCATTCGATTTCCAAGCAGCCATGCCTCCCATCCCATCAACTCGCTCCTTGGCCGATACAAACAATTCATCTGCGGCAGCCTGAGATGCAAGTTTCCATTTCTGAATAAGTCGTTCGAGATTGGTGTCGGTGTCCGACGAGGCCAGCTTGGAGGCTTGCGAAAGAGTGTCGATCTCGCCGCGGAGAGTGCGGATCTGGGCCTCCAGAGCACTCAACGCTTTGTGAGCCGCGAGTTCAGCCGAATCGCTGATCTTCGGTGTCCGGGTCGATGAAGCATTGGTGCGAGGGGTCGTAGAACTCGCCGATGGCAGCCCTCCGCTGCTTCCAGTGGCAGGATTGGCCGATGTCGACGGGGTCGCATCTGTGGGCGTTGTCGGCTGAGTCGGCACCGTGGCTGCATTCTGGGCCGGGCCTGGGTGGTCGTGGTCTCCGCGGCGCACCTTCAGGGGAGAGACGAAGGGTTTAGTCAACACTTTCGTTCCATCGATGAGCCGCCTGCGTTTGACAGGGTGTTCGGCGGGCATGATGATCGCGAGGCTCGCATTGGTCTTCGTCGCGGTTCGCGCGCGGGCCCTGGGCAGGTACAGAGGTGCGCGGCGCGGATGCAAACGCCGTGGACTAGGGTGTCTCCGGGGCACAGTACCAGATTTGTGATGGATAGTGAATGTGAGTGGCCGGGTGGGCCATGTGCTGCCACGTTTCCCGCGTCCCGCAAAAAGCGCCGTACCAAGGATCGAATGGCGGCCCCTATCTCGGAGACAATTCTTCACTCGTTCAGGTAGTTACTTCCGTCCTGATGTTTGTAGCGACGACAATGGTGTCGAGCAGCACTCTCCGAATGTGGATGATGTTTGTACATGCAAGGTGTTCCCCAGGCGTTCATGCACGACGACGAAACTCGCACACCTGCATCGCGCCGAGTCGTCCGCGCCTTCTGGTCGGAAACCACTGCGGGCTGAACCCGCGCTAGTGGGAAACCTTAACCCAGACCCCGAACCATCGTTGCCATCTTCTCTATTTTATCCCGAACATGACTTTTCCTAGCCTCTCTCGCGCCCGTTTTCGGCGCCGAACGAGTGTCGTCTAGGCCAACCCCAACAGTCCTCCCAGCCATCGGCGTCATATCGGAGGTTTTGGGCTGACAGTTCCTCCCCGCAGCTTCTGAAACGCAGCAGATCGCGGTGTATCTGAATAGGCCCTTTCGTATCACACCCGGCCTCCTGGATCCCAGCCAACACAGTCGTGTATATCACAGAGGCTTTAGAACTACTATGGCATCTGACAAGAGGATACCTTTTCAAGGCCACGACGAATGTTCAGCCCGAGCGGATAGCGCGGCTCTACAACATCTCTCTTTCGGGCTCTTTTCCTGCTGATCAACACGAGGCTAGTCCTTGGTACCATGGCTTCCTTGGAACCCCATTTGGCGCGACCGTTGCTCTGCCGCCTCCCTATACACCTCCGGAGCCTGCTGTCAAATAACAACTGCCCCGACCATTGACAGACTACGGTACGGCCCAGCCTGCGCGACGGCCCTAAGGCTTAGACAGCAGTCTAGCGGAAATTGACCAGCGTCTCGACTTCCGAAAGCGGCGGGGTGGTTGCAACCTGCCCTTTCTTCTAGACCGCGATTACCTGTGTACCCTGGTCGTTACCTGGCTACCGGGTGAAGTTCAGCGATCCAGCTTGTATATATATATTCAAGGTGAGTGCCTCGCTGGTCTGTGAGCTTCCCCACCGATCTTTCAGCCGCAGTTCATATTCACTTTCTTCCCTATACGCTCTTATCATCCTTCCAAAGCAGCTACAAAATGTACTGTCAACTCCTCGCTGTCGCGGCTCTTGTCGCGAGCGTTGTCGCATCGCCCGCCCCTCTGGAGAAGCGAGCGACTTGCACTCTTCCCCCTACCACCACAGTCACCGTCTCTGGCACTGGCTATCCCATCCTCGGCCCATTCAAGGTCACGGCCAGCACATCTCCAACACCCACCAACGCCTTCAACGGCGCCTACCTCAAAATCACCTCCGGAACCTACGAGCAAGGCGTCTTCAACGGCAAACCCGTCAACGCCGCCCTCATGTACCTCGATCCCTCGACGCACTACCTGTACAATCTTCAAGGCCAGACGCCCTTCGCCGGCTGCTTCGGCTCCTACAACACCCAGCAGCACGTCGTCTTTACCGAGGGTCTTACCTGCTCCACGCAACCCGTCACGTGCACCATCAACCCTCAAAGCTGCGCGCTGAACTGCAACTTTGGCGCCAATAGTTATAATCAACTCGAGAGCCCTACTTTCCAGCCCGACTGGTCGATTGTCAGCGGGCCCAAGGCCGCCGGCAAGGGCAAGGGCAATGCGATCCCCTTCACGCCCTATATCGTGCCAGCATAGAAGGCATCGAGATGAACGGGGGTTCGGAGTTTGTGAGCGTGGGCGAAGGACGGCGCAGAAAAGTGGTTTGTTTGGAATGTAGTTTGGTATTCTGTGAATTGATCAGGTCATGCTCTGCAGTGCTCCCCTCGACTTTCTCTTCATCGCCTCATGTTGGATCGTAAATCCGCATTCACTTTTCTCGTAGACTGCTGGTATGCATGATACGGCGGAGGAAGATCGCAGATCCAGGGTTTATTATGTCCTGTTGCTGCTCAATTCGCTTTTATCCACCACGCTAAGCTTCAGCTGTTGCCCACCTGGAAACTTTCCGCCGTCCCAAACTTTCCTCTCACCTGCGATGCCATCTCAGGGTTCACTTCATCCGTACAGGGGGACGAATCTGCGACCAGGAAAGAACGTCACGGCATAACGAATCCATCATCCATTCACCAAGGCCCGCACTCTAAGCGACAAGCCACAATGGAAGACCTGACCCACGCGATCAACTCCCTCGTCCAATCCCCCACCACAATCTACTACCTCATCGACACCGCCGTCATCCTCTTCATCTCCTCCGCCGCAACGCGCGGCAACTTCTCCAAAGCGCACGCCCGCTTCCTCACCTTCGGACTCCCCTGGCTGCTAGCCCGCGTGGTGCTCCTCTTGAACGGCTATCTACGCGACGCGGCTCAATGGGGCGTGCCCAAGTTGCTGGAGCATCCTGCCGCGCATCGGGTGCTGGTGGAGCAGTTGGGGTTGGATGCGGACTACTGGGTGCAGGCGCTGCCGACGGGGGTGCAAGTCTTCGTTGCGGCGGTTTTGGCGTTTAATGCGAGGTGGATTGGGGAGGTTGTTGGGGGGAGGATTGTGCGGGGGGAAGGGGCGCGGGAGCAGAGGCAGAGTCGGAGTTAGGAGTCTCGTGAGGAATGGATATGTTACTCAGAGGCTTATATGTAACAACGACAAGGATATCAAAGCACATGGATGCCTACCAGCTCCTACACCGAGACAGCCTGCGTTTCCAAAAACTGCTTCAGGATCGCATTGAACTTGGTCGGGTTTTCAACGAACAAGCAATGCGAGCCTCCCTCCTCCTCGGAAAACTCAACGAACCGAGCACCTGGGATGCGCGCAGCGACCCACTTGCAGCCCGCGATGGGAGTCTGCACACTCCCAGCCCCTCCCACGACCAGAGCGGGGACGTTGATGGTCGGCAAGACATCACGCCAATCGTGTCTAGTGTGATCGTGGAGCAGCGCAGCCGCATGCTTCGAATCCATGATTGCGTTCTGCTCCAAAGCGAAGTTGACGTCGTCGGGAGAAGCGTTGCTCGTGAACATGGAAGCCACGAAGCCGGAGGTGACGGCTCGAGAATCAGGACCAGCCAGCGCTTGGAAGAAGGCGTCGGGCACTTCGTCGTTGGGGAAGACGCAGCCGTAGTGCTTAGTTTCTACTTCCGTCCAGTGCGGCCTGGGGAGCATGACGGCAACTTGGTCAATGAAGACCAGGCTGTTGATGGTGCTGCGCCGATTAGGGTAGAGATCGCACCAGCACCAAATGACGGCACAGCCCAGGGAGTGGCCCACGAGTGTGACGGACCGCAGGTTCAACTGCACGAGAAGCTCGTCCAAGTCGGCAGCCAGGCGGGACACGCGGAAGCCGTGATCGGTCTTCTCGGACTCGCCGTGGCCTCGATGGTCGTAGGTGGTGATGTGGAAGTGGTCCGAGAGGGCGCTGTACTGCTTTCGCCATTGCGCGGCCGTCTGATTCCAGCCCGAGAGGAGGACGATGTTTGGTTTGCTTGGGTCACCCCATTGGTCGTATGCGAGCGAAACGCCATCACCGGTTTCCACCGTGCCACTCGTGTGGAGCGCCATGGTGACAGATACGGATAGGGGAATGGATCTGGTGGGATGACATCGTTTGCATTTTGCCGTCTTACTTCTTTCCTGGAGGCTGAAAGTGCAGTCTTCCTAGTGCTGACGTGCAAGTTGGCGTCAAAGACCTCAGCCTCATCAGTCAAGCCCAACATTCCTTCAACAAATCCCACATCTCCAAGCACAAATACCCCCACAACCATCATGAAAATCATCCTCACCGGCGCCACGGGTCTCGTAGGGAGGGAATGCATTCGCATCGCCTTACTGAACCCCCAAATCACCGAAGTCATCTCCGTCGCTCGCCGCCAAGCTACATTCCCAGACGGCCTTCCTTCGCAGGCAGATAAGAGTAAGCTGAAGTCCGTCATCTTGGACGACTTTGGCAGCGACTGGCCTGCTCACGTCCTAGAGCAGCTTAAAGGTGCCGATGCGTGTATTTGGTGAGCAAGACTACACCTGACCTTCGCGCAAGGCCTGTGTGAGTAAAAGATGACAGAGCTGACTCGCGGTAGGAATCTGGCAGTCACGCCGTCCAAATCCAAAGGCATGACCTCCGAAGAGTTGAAGAAGATCAATCACGACTATCCCTTCGTCGGCCTTAAATCGATGCTCGCCGTCGCCAACTCAGCCCACCCGTTCAGATTCATCTACACCTCGGCCGCTTTGACGGAACGGGACCAGGACAGGGCGTTATGGGTAATGGGCGAAGAACGAAAATTGAGAGTGAGTTTGCCGTCTCGAGTCCATCTTGCTTTGCCCGTCTGACTGCATTCTCACGGTTTAAGGGCACTGTCGAGATTGAACTGCTCGCCGAGGCGGCACAATCCAAGGGCCGGATCGAGCTGCAGATCACCAAGCCAGGCGCGATTACTGATTCTCAGACGCCCATGGCGAGACGCATGATGTTGCCGGTACTGGAAGCCGTGCTTGGGCTGCCGAGTGTGCACGTTAGCGACATTGCTGCTGTGGAGCTTCATCAGGCGATGAACGGTACTGGTGGGAAAGACGTCATGTCGAACGCGGGCTTGGTTGAGCTGGGTTCCCAGGCGTTGAAGGAGTGGAAGATTGAGAAGTGCGCCTGAGTTTGGTCGACGGTGGCGGAATGATGTGCTGCTTGGGCAAGTCGCCGCTCCATCTTCTATATTTTCTCCGACTCTATACCATCTCCAACTTATGAAGCATTCGTCTTCCCCCGTTCAGCTCTCGTCTCAGTTCCCTTCAAACTCTGTCCCGGCTGCCTGTACAGCATCGACTCATCCAGCGCCTTTGCCAACGCATACAAGAGTTCTAACTTGGGCACCGCAACGCCAGCCTTCCGGCCCGTTCGCACAGCATTCCCCAAGATAGTCTCGACTTCCATGCGTCGACCATTCAGCGCATCAACCAGCATACTCGGCTCAATACCCTCACCACCAACTCGGTCTTTTGCCCGCTTCAACTGCTCCACCTGCGTCTCCTCATTGACGCTAGAATACCCCAGCGCCTGCGCAATGTGCACCACTTCCATCATCAGCGCCCCAACCTCCCGATCCGCATCCGGCGCAGAAGCAAGAAACGCCACATCCCTGCTCAACGACAGAGCACACACGGGATTCCACGACGCATTCAGCATCAGCTTCCGCCAGCGCATCTCCTGCACATCGTCAAACCACTTCGCATTACTCCCCGCCTTCTGAAGCATCTCGACGAACGTGTCCGCCGCCTGTTTGACCCCTACTTTCTCCTTGTACGCCGAAGCAGGGAAGGAGCCGATTTGCAGCATCTCGAAATTGCCCATGCGCATATGCGCCGGCTCGATCTGCGTCGAGGGTAGATACACGACAACACTCAGCAGCGGATTGTGAGGAAACCGCTCAGCAAACTCCTCCTCAATCCCCACCCCATTCTGGAAGAGCGCAATACACGTCCTCCCCTCCGTGACAGCAGGCGCGATGAGCTCGCTCGTCTTGTCCTCCGGAATGGCCTTGGACGTCACGATAATGTAGTCGAAAACGCCGCCTTGCTGTGCCGCTTCGGCGGAGGTGCGCACGATTTTGGGGTGGGCGCGCAGGTTGTTGCCGTACTTTTCCGAGTCGATGAGGAAACCGTTAGCTTTGGCTGCGTCGTGGTTGGAGCGGCAGACGGCTGTGACGGAGAAGCCGGCTTTGATGAGCAGGTAGACGTAGATGCTGCCTATTGCGCCTGAGCCGTGGACGAGGACTGTGGGAGCCATGTTGGTTGCGTGAGATGAACGCCGTTGGAGGGGTGAACGTCTGACGAAATGTTCGGTACAGCTCAGATTGACCGCCGGTAAGATTGCAGTCTTTGCGGCGAAGGAGTGCTGTCTCTGTCTCACGCCTATGGCAACGGATAACGTGAATATCCGACGATGGAAAGAAGGTGCCGTAGTGTTAAGTGCGCAACCTCGTCGAAACCCTCCAGCTAGCATCAATGGTTGAATCAACTGACTTGTACAGATACTTTTGGCAGGGCAGATGGAAGAAATATCATGATCGTGAGTGTACCATGTCGTCCAACGTTTGACGATATCGGCGGCTGACAGTGAGGCTCCGATGGACCGTGCGAAGCGACGTCACTCTTGCTCGTATGGAGCGAGCAAATAATTGTCCCGAGAGATCCATTCCATCTTCTCATGCTGCAATTACCATTCATCCAAACAATCATGACGAGCTACCTCGACCCGATGCTTGGTCTTGCACTACCCTTTGTAGCTCGAAATCGGCGCACAATGCCTCGCGTTACCTAACACACTCCACCGCCGTTCTCGCTGCGGGGAGACCTGAAGGAACTAGAGATGCACGCAAATGCATGAAAGCCCCAAGCTATATTTGGGCCCAAAACCCTCACCGCACGTCTCGTGAGTTTCTACTTCCTTCCTCTCTCCTCTCCTCCTCTCTCCCACTCTCCCCCTTCGCCATGTCCTCCATGTGATCAATGCCCCCCCACCACCCGGTCATGGCCAAACCCCCACCAAACGACATCCACCAATTCTCCCTCCTCTCCGCCTTCCACGCCGGCCTAAAAGAAGGCGGCCCCCCCGCCGCCTTCCTCGCAACGCAAGGCACGCACGGCCTAGGGATCTCCGAAGACGACGAAGCAGACATGCTACAACTCGATTCGGAATGCTACACCTTCTCCGACGAAGGCGAGGCCGCGCGAGCAGATCCAGAAGACCAAATGCCGTTTGTGATGGTCACGGCGTTCCAGCCTGCGGCGCGCGTGAAGCCGCCGCGGGGCACGACGAGCGCGACAATCCGGGAGGTGTTTGAGGGAAAGGCGGGGAAGAATACGCCGTTGCCGTTTCGCTTGGTGGGGAGGTTTCAGTACATTAGCACGAAGCAGCGGACGTATTGGGATGTTGCGGGGACGATATTTGGGTTCTGCCTGCCTGGGTGGCAGAGGGATATTAGCGGGGAGGGAATGCAGTGTGCTTTTCTGGCGGAGGACAAGAGGTCAGGGGGCCGAGTGGCGGATTTCGAGACGGGGGAGGGAGTCGTGTTGGATTGGGCGGTATGTGGGAGATTCCACCTGGGCTTTCCACAAGACAAAGAGTTCCAGCAGATTCGACTCCGGCGGCAGTCATCAGCGAGTAAGAAGCCGGATTACTGAAGAGCCTTCCTCTCCTCCTCCTCCTCCTCCTCCACCTTCTCCCTCTCCCTCCGTCTCCGCCGCACCCACTCCCCAAAAGGCCTCCAAATCGCCTCCTTCTCCGCCGGCTTCAAACTCGCATTCAACCCACTAGTAGCCGTAGCAACAAACACCCACGCCCCCTCCCACCCCTCCTCCCCTCCCATCCGCTCCCCCTCCCCCTGCCACCCATACGCAAACTCCTCCTTGCGCATCTCCCTCCCATACCGCCACCTCCAGATCGCCAGCCAAATGCTCTTGCCCACAATGCACACCGCCTCGGGCCGGAAGCGCCGGATTTTGGCTTCGAGGATGGGCGTGCCGGCTACGACTTCTGCTTTGCTGAGTTCGCCTGCGTTTCTGCTGGGTCGCTCGACGATGTTGGTGTTTCCCATGCGGCAGAGGCGGGGGAGATCGACGTCTTGTTCGGGGCGGAGGCGCGTGTCTGTTATGCCGGAGGAGTGTAGCAGTTTCCAGAACATGTTGGACGGATGGGCGTACGAGTGCCCGGTTGCCGCCGTGGTCACGCCAGGATTGAAGCCTACAAAGACGCCGATGAGGTTGGGTTCCAGGATGTCGGTTAGAGGGGGAAGATGGGCGTATTTGGATGGAGGGGCGTAGCGAGAAGATTCCCGGCGTCGTTTCTTCGTCGCTGGAGATGGAGTCGACTTGGTCTCGCCATTCTCAGTACTGGGCCGTTTGCGGCTGCTGCTCCTTAAGATTGGTCCGGCGTCTCCCTTGCGGCCGTCTTTGTCGTCGTCAATGCCATGTTTGAATCGTTCCACCACCGATCGAAAAGCTGCAGTTTGTGACTCCCTCCTCGCATTCTCTACTTCCGGGCCGTCTTCTTCGATCGCGACGTCCTCACCCTCACTTTGCAGCAACTCGCGGTTGCCCTCCATCCGGCAGTCGTTGGCATCGTTGGACACAATGTTGAAGAATCCCGAGTCGTCCACTCGAGTTCGCTGCATGTGGATGAAGTCCGAGGTGGCGGGATGAAGAGTGCGCCGACGTTCTACATTCTTCACCATTCCACAGCCCTTCATGGGCCTCACTTTTCCCGCCACAAGGAGAGACATCTGTGGTCGTGGAGGCACACGGCACCATTGATGCAGTTCATGTTATACACAAGCCGAACGAATCCATCCCGCCCGGTATGAACAATCTGCAAAGCCACCCCTAACGCAGGCGACTCGCAATGCCAATCTCAAGAACAGCAACGCTCAATGCAAGTTTCCTCATGTGTGCGTCGAGAAGATCCTATTCTTCCCCAATGCGCAGAACGCCTCCCACGATGCAGAACACAAGCCCCCTCACGCCCTCTCCTCCATCAAAACCCTCGCAATCTCCTCCGCATCCTCCTTGCTCCCCACCTGCACCAACCACTTACTAAACTGGCTCGCGCCCTCCTTAGCCGCCGACGACTCGAGATGATCAATGAAAACACCCTGCACCATCTTGCCCGCCTTGCCAGTGACCTCGTACTGCATGTTCTTCAACGGGGCAAAGTTCATCTTGGTCACGCCGAAAGGCGGCACCTTGAGCACCACCCGCACCTTGCCCGACTCCTTGTTCTTGAGAATGTACAACGGGCCCTTGCCGCGGTCTACCCAGCCCATGCTCATCTCGCCGCTGTCGCTCTTCTTCTCGTCCCACTTGGTCGCTTTGGCCTTGTGCACGCTGAACAGCACGTCTTCCGTTTCCAGCTCCGACTCCCGAAGCCCGGTCTGGTCTTCTACTTGTGGTTCCGCGGGCGCGGCGCCTTCTTCGTCCTCGCCCTCGCCGGCTGTAGACGCGCCTTCGCCATCAGTGGTCAGGCCAGGGGTTGTGGCACGCGAGTTCGTGAGGGAGGAAGACTGGGTGCCGAAGTTGAAGCCGAAGTTGGGCTTCGCTAGATGGCCTGTGGCGTCCGAGGCGGACTTCTGATTGGTCGCACCAAAGAGAGTGCCGAATGAAGGGGGATTGCCGGCAGGAGTCGTGGATCCGACGCCAGACGCAAGGCCTGAGCCGAATTTGATCGGGGTGCTCTGTTTCCAGGTGTGGTCGCCACTGCCTTGCTCCTTCTCCGCTTCAGTCTTGTCGGCGTCCGCGGTGTCGGTGCTGTCACTCGGCTTCGATGCATTGCCGAAGATGTTCGACGTGCTCGATGCGCCTCCCGCAGCGAATGGAGTCTTCGATCCAAACTGGAACTTCGAGGCGGTCATGGGGGTAAAGCGCGTTTCCGTCGGCTTCGCGCCTATCTTGCTCGGCGCAGTGGCAGGCGGTTCTTGCGATGTCATCCAAGCGGGCAGGCCTTTGGCTTGAGCCACTGGAGTGGCTTCAACGTCGTCGACACCATGCCCGTCATCCGACGCTGCGGGAGTACCAGCACTGGCTGGCGTGAAGATAGCACCACTCTTGGCGGCATCCAGGATCTTCTGCTTCTTCGCCTCTTGCTCGGCCTTGTCTCGCGCGGCCCACTGTTCCTCGGTCTCTTCATCCGAGTCGTAGTCTTCCGCTTTCCGCTTCTTCCTCTCCTTCTCTTCCTGGTCATTCGCCTTCTTGCCGAATGCTGCCAAGAATCCACCGCCCCCAGTTGCGGGCGCGGCGAACGTCGGCATGCCTGAAGGAGCGCTCGGAGCGGCGCCAGAAGGTGTGAAGCCCGTGAAGCCAGAAGGTTTGAAGCCTTCAGAGGTCTGCGCTGGCTGGGATGATTTGAATCCGCCAAAGGTCGGCGCTTGCTGCTGCTGCTGTTGCTTCTCTCCAGTCTCCCTCTCAGACTGTAGCTGAGATGTTGGCGCCGCAGGACCCGCAGACTTGTTCAAAGCCGCCTGAAAAAGTCTAGAGGTGTTACTAGCATTCTCCGGCAATTGCGGGTACTTGATCGTCTCATTCGGACGCAAACGCTTCTCCGTCGCAGGCGGCTCTTGCGGCGCATCGTCTTCAGCAGATCGCTTGCGATTGACGGGGGCAATCTGCGGCGGCTGTGGGACGCTAGCAGCAGAGGGCTTTGGAGTGAATTGGAAGGCCGAGGTAGTCGACGGGGCTGTCGGCTTGGGTGTCGAGTTCGCCTGGCTGGCGGCGAATACGTTCAAAGGCGCAGAGGGCGTGTTCTGCACTGTGTTCGGGGCCGTGGGCTGCGTGAGAGACACACTGGGAACGTTGGTGATCTTTGCTGCTTGCTCGAGGTAGAACTGCATGATCTTGCTCCAGTCGGCGTAGGGATCTTGCGTCGCCAAGTGCGCTTTCAAGCCCTCGTTCAGGAACTTTAGTGTCTTCTTCTCCGATTCGGGGATTGTATGGGTAGTGGCCGCCGGTGTGCTTGCTTTAGCAGGTGTTGCTGGCACTGGCGGCTGCAGCGATTTCGAGCCAGTAGTAAGGGCTGACGGCCCATGTGAAAGCCACGGCGCGGCGGAAGGTGTCTCTTGTAGTGATCTTGGAGCAGTGGTGGAAGATTCCTTGATAGCTGTCGCTGGAGTGCTGGGCGGCGCAGCGGCTTTCTCGAACATACTCGCGCCCGGAGTAGACGCATTGAATAGAGTAGTCGAAGGCGTGAATGCGGATTTTTGCGCCGTAGGCGGTGCATCGTCACGCGGCGTTACACGGTCAAACAAACTTTTACCCTCAGCGCCGGATGCTTGGCTGGTCGTACTCGCCAGCGAAGCATCGGTGTCAGCGGGCGGCTTACTTTGAGGAGCCGAATCAGTCGCTTTCTGCGGTGTTTGGCCAAAATTAAAAGCAGGTGTGGTGCTCGACTGAGAAGGCTGCTGCTGTCCAAAGCCCCCACTGAAGAGGCTCGTCGCCGCTTTGGGCGTCTCCTGGCCAGATTGCGAGGCGGGCGCTGCGCCGAAGAAGCTTGGCTTTTGCGCACTGGCTTGTGATTGTCCGAATCCACTAAATTTGTTGGCGGAAGGTGTGGCATCCGAATCGCTTTGTTGGGCTGGAGCGCCAAACATGTTGCTAGGAGGCTTGGGCGTAGAGTCTCTGCTCTGGGTGAACATGGTGCTGCTGATCCCATCCTTCTGGTTCACCGAACTGAAGACACTCGCGCCAGGCTTCAGCGATTGAGAATTGCTATCAGGAGGAGGTGTTGAGCCAAACAAGCCTGTGCCAACGCTCGACTGGGTACCGAACAAGTTGCTCGTAGTCTTTTCGGGTTGCGGTGTTGCACTGAATAGCGGTTTCTGCCCGTTCTGCTGCCCGAATCCTGCAAACGTAGAGCTGGGTGCCGCCTTGGGCGTTTCTTCAGTTTGCGGGCCTGGTGACGGCTTGTTGCCATTAGATTGCGATTGTGAAGTTGCCTGCCCGAAGGAAAATGGTGTGCTGGCAGGCTTGTCGCCATTCTGCTGCGCGCTCTGCCCAAAGTTGAACGACGGCGCTTGTGTAGATGGAGTGGGCTCCTGCGACTGGCCAAAGCCGAACGATGGTGCTTGTGTAGACTGCGTTGACTGCTGTGACTGACCGAAGCCTTTGAACGGAGTTTGTGCGGGGGCTGTGTTGCCGAAGCTGGGGAAGGATGGAGTAGCAGCAGTGCTAGGCGTTACACCGTTCGACTGCGGCTGGGTATTATTGTTTTGGCCGAAAGAGGAGAAGATTGAAGAGGTTGAGTTCTGGGTGTTGCCCGGCTGAGTCTGTCCGAACGGGGTAGTCGACGAAGCAAAGCCGTTCTGTTGAGGTTGTGTTTTGTCGGCACCGCCAAAAGCAGATGCAAAGGGGTTGCTGCCACCGCCAAATCCGCTTCCACTTCCGTTCGTCTGAGTCTGCGAACCAAATTGGAAGTTGGTAGGGGGTGGGGTGCCAGAGGTGCCATTGGTCTGCGCGAAAGGGTTCGAGGCGGCGTTGGTAGAGAAGTTGAAGTCGCCGCCAAAGCCGGTGCCTGACTGGCCTGATGGCTGGAAGGAAGGCATGCTTTGTGGAGCGGCTTGTCCGAAGGCGGTGGCTGTCGGGGTTGCAGCCCGACTGCTTCGTCCACTGCTTGGTTTCCGTGTTTGTGCGATTCTGTGTGGGAGGAAAATTATGTCAGCTTTGTTTCTGGCAGATGCAATCCCGCTCAATGACCGCTTGATGCGTTTGCAGAATGAATGGTGGTGACAATGATGCGGGAAGGGAGCGGCGCGTCTTGCACAACCAGCGGTGCCACCCGAACCTCCACAAGTCTCACCACCGTCCGTTGTCACGCACCAATCCCAAATACACGGCCATCCATCGCATCTGTGAACAGCATTGATGAGAGGGCGACACTTACTTTCTCCGAGCCATCTGCGCCGCGGTGGCATGCTGAGGCGGATCAGCCTTTTCATCCCGCGAGTCCGACATGCCCCCATATCGCTCTCCCCCGCCCTGAAAGTCCTGCTGCCTCTTGCTCATCTTCACCAAGGCCCTCTGGCCACAACAATCACGCCCTCACACGCTCCACCAGCTGTGCGTCCCGTCGTATCCCGACTGCCTTCAAATTCGCCGAGCTGAGGGTCGAGGAATCGAGGGGTGGAGGGCGAGGGGAGGGGTGGACGACGGCGCGCGCGTGAGAATCGCTGCCATGCGCCAGGAAGGAGCGGAGAGGGTAGTCCGTCGCGTGGATGATGAGGGGGTTGGGGATGGTGCGCGGTGGGTGGTGGTGTTGATAACTTTTTTCCCCAAACGTGGACCTGACGCTGCGTCTCCTAACGTTGGCGGCCGGGCAGGTGGAGTGCCTCAAAAAAGGCGTGGGATTCCCCGTCTCGTCTCCGCTTCCTGCTTCGGCTAGCGCGGTTTGTCTGGCATCACGTTTCGCGGGCCATGAACCTGCAGCTGGACAACACGGTACCTATTAAGCTTGAACCCGATGTGGTAGGAAACTAGTGGAAGGTGTTGCTAAACAGCTATCTGGACGATTCGTGTTTCATTCAAGAATCAAAGGCAACGTGGAAGGCAGCAGCTCCGGATTCACCCTCATTGCGGCCTCAGGCAGCGAAAACATTCACGAGAAACACATATGGCAATTTAACAACCGCATGACAACATAAATAGATGCCACCCTAACGTTGCATTCTCGAGAGTGCTAATCAAGTGCGCTAGTCCACTGTACGCCAACTCTTCCATTCGTGACCCAAGACATACCTCCCAGCCGCCTCATAGCTTGGCCTTGTTCTGCGCCTTCTTGAGGATGGGCTCCATCTTCGTCGCCTTCATCACATCCCCTCGGATCTTGAGCTTGCCCGTCAAGAACAAGTTCTGCGCGTTCGACTTGCCCGAGATCAACTTGCCGAAGTCCTCGTCTTTGAGCGTCAGGACCACTGTGTGCACGTATACCTGATTAGCATGCGTTTCCCACCGTCTGCATCGATGCGCCGTCCGGATATGAGGGTGCTCTGTCTCCTCCCACTCTCACTCCGCATATTCGCTACACGGAGCAGGAGAAGAGAGAAGGACATGCCAAGAAGAAAAAGGGATAAACAAACCATTCGCCTTCTTCCCCTCCGGCGCCTGCCCCTTGCCCACCTCCCCGCTCTCCTTCAAATCAATGTACCAGCTGCTCTCCGCCTTTTGGTCGTTCTTGAGCGTGAAGGCGAAGATGGCGCCGCCCTTGCGCACGGCGTCTTTGCGCTCCGCTTCGTCGGAGGAGAGCGCGCTGGAGATCATGTCGAAGGCGGCGGAGGAGGGGAAGGCATCTGTGGTGAGATCTCGCGTTAGGATTGTGATGGCGAGGATGAGTGGGGAGGTAGGTTGGGCTGGTTTGTACCGTCTTTGAGAGACATTGTTGTCGTTGTGGAGAAGTGTGGAGAGGAAATTGGGGTGTGGTTGGCGGGTTTGGGGTGCAGAGGATGGTGATGGAGAGGACGGAGGTCTACAAATTCGAGTGGTGAGAGATGAAGGGAGAGGTGAGGGTGACGGTACTAATGAGATCGGATCACGAGCACACGGATGTCATCATAAACGAGCCCGTGGAGAACCGGCCATTGCGCATGTGACGTTGGCAAGCCGCGGCGTGGAGTTGGCATGTGAAAGCGTGGTCAAAGCTTCCTCCGACGCGTTACGACCTTCACCATACTCCTCTTCGCGTGAGATCGATTTTGTATTGTACACATTGTTTACATGGGGAGTATCATAAATATTGAGCGGAACTAAACACCCACTCTTCCAGTCCAGCGCCGTTGATCCAAGCGGATCATGGTTCAGCATCGACGCCCCTCTCCGAGTCCCGCAGCTCCTCGTACTCCGGCAGACTCCACTGCGAGGCCTTTTCTTTCATGAAATACTGCATGACCGGATCGATCCACAGCCAGCTTGCAACCTGCAAGACCACGTGCACCAAGGCAATAGCCCACGCGCTCGAGGGCATAAGGAAGCTTGGCGGGTTGTCCAGGCCTTTTTGGACGATGTCCATGAATGGCCGGAATCGATCGTCGTATGCTTTCAGCGCGGCCGGCACTCCCTCTCTCGATGTCTCGGCTGGACTGTCGTCGCCACGTCCGCACTGCCGGCCGATCTCGCCTGCGAGAACGTAGGCCCCGATCATAGCGCAGGAGGTGCCCATGCCTGACCCTCCAGGGCTGGACGCAGCGTCTCCCAACAGAGCAACATGTCCCTCGTGCCAGGAGTCCAGCTTGACAATGCCTATTCGTTCGCAATAAAAGTCGTCTGCCTGCTGCATCTCCTTCAACAGCTCTGGCGTCCGCCAGCCCGCATCGCGAAAGATCTCGGCGAAGGCCTGTTTCTCCGCCTCCACGTCACCTCGGCGGACATCCAGCAGTCGTGGGTCCGCTTTGGACATGAGAAGGTACAGCTGCATGTCCTCGGGACTATGCCTCCGAGTCAACAAGGCCCGTTTTTCCGTTGCGAGGTACATCATTCCCACGTAGCGCTCGCCCTCTTCTATGGGTCGTTTGAAGGTCATGTACGCATTGTAATCGCCGATCGGATTGAAGCCGGCAGTCGCGTCGTCCGCGGCCAGCATCATCTTTCGGGTAGAGGAGAAGGCGCCATCGCACCCTACCAGGAGATCGTATTTCTCAGTATGGCCATCTCTGAAGGTGGCTTCGACGCCATCACCAGTTTGTCGAATGCTCGTCACCGACGTCCCGAATACATATTTGGCGCTCTCGCCGGTCGCATCATGGATGATCCGGCACAAGTCACCTCGCATGATTTCGTAGTCGCTGGTGATGCCTTGCGCTCCAGACCCAGTCTTGTTCGCGCCGAAGTAGGCTCGATTCCTACCCGCTCGATCCACAAACTGCATCCCCTCTTCCGGTGCGGCTTTGGCGCGGAAGGCAGACTCCAGGCCCATGCGCTTGAGCACTTCGATACCGTGGCCTCTTAGGTCAATTTGGAGGCCGGTAGTGCGGAGGGTTGAGAAGTGTTCGACGACGGTGACGTCGTGGTTGAGCTTGGAAAGCCAGAAGGCCAGGGCGGTGCCGGCGACGCCTCCGCCGGAAATTAGCACCTTGAGTTTGGGCATTGTGGAGAGTTGCGGCTAAGGGAGATTCAATGGCGCGGACGTAAGAGATGAGGATTGACTTGTGCAGTGCAAGCGGGAGTTGGGAAGGTTCGAGGGATATGTCCATCCGATGGATGCAATCAATGAGAGTCAATCATAATATAGATCAGATCGGGGGGGATATGGCCAGAAGGGATGCAAGGTTTTGTGGCGACGTTGCGACCGATGGGTGCTGTTGCGACGTCCCCCGGACAGAGGAGCTCAAAATCCTGAATCTTCGGCCGGTTGGCGATGCTGAACCGGCCGGACGACAATCGGCGTGGCGGATCGCTAGCTGCCTGCTCCGATGAACCTGCCCGCGAACCAGGCAGCGATGATGCTCACTGCATTCCGAATACCTATCGTTTGGGTCAATGTCGATGTCTATGTGATCGATGGAGATGACTCAAAGATGACAGCAGGCTGGGGTTCGAGATGGCCCGTGCTCAACCGTCGGATGTGCCTGGCCGAGTTCGGACATCGCCATCGACTACCCATCATCAACCTTACTGAATACATATACTTGCAGGAAAGCGATCAGTGAGCGATTTTTCCCTGTGACACGATGAACGGCCATACATCCCCACCGATGACAGGCGGCAAGCGTCTTCGCCAACTCCTCGCCAACCCCTCCAAAACCGTGGTAGCCCCCGGGGTACATGATGGTATTACCGCACGGCTGGCACTGGCGTCGGGAGCCGAGTGCCTGTACATGGTACAAACACTCTGACTGCAACGGACGTTGACGTACTAATACAAGTCCAGACCGGCGCAGGCACAAGCATGTCTCGACTAGGAATGGCAGACCTCGGGCTCGCCACCTTCACAGACATGCATCAGAATGCCGCCATGATCGCCGGCATCAACCCTTCTGTTCCCGTAATCGCGGATGCAGACACTGGCTATGGAGGGCCAATCAACGTCGCAAACACGGTTCGCGCATATGCCCGATCCGGCATAGCAGGGTGCCATATCGAAGACCAAGTCACGGAGAAGCGATGTGGTCATCTCGCCGGCAAGCTGCTGGTGAGCCGCGACGTCTACTTCAACCGACTGCGTGCTGCGTGCAAAGCGAGAGACGAAAGCGGTTCTGAAATTCTCATCATCGCGCGGACAGACGCTCGCGCGGGAAAAGATGCTGACGGCAACGGTGGTTTCGAAGAAGCCGTCGCCAGATTGAAAGGCGCCGCAGACATCGGCGTCGATGCTCTCTTCTTCGAAGCCATGCAAAGCGAAGAAGAAATGAAACGCGCCATTGCCGAATGTCCCGACCTTCCCATGTTACTGAATATGGTGCAGGGCGGTCAGACGCCACAAATCAGCAACGACACTGCAAATGCACTTGGCTTTCGCATCGTCATTTGGCCATGTCTGGGCATGGAAGCCTTAATCCCGGCGTATCGAAATGCCTTGGAAGTGTTGAGAAAGACGGGGAAGCCACCAGTCGAAGAGAATCTGGGTCCGAAAGCGCTGTTCGAGGTCTGCGGCCTCAATGAACTCATGGCATTTGACGAGAGTGTGGGCGGCAAGGCGTACAAAAGCTAAATGACAATGGTCGCCGGCCCCTATCAAGCACCCTGGATCCAGTTCGCAAGAAGTACGCGTACCGTACGACAGCAGACGGATCAGATGGATTAGTAGAGTCAGACAGCCTCGGGCGGCCGGTCTTGTGATCCACATCTTCCAATGTACATCCACAACGTGGGATGCCGGTGCATCGACTAGTCACGAGCGTGCGGTCTCCGGGGTACGTTGACGCCACGTCATGTGAGCTCCCTCGAGGTGGGAAGATGCAGCAGATCAACGACGCGTCCTCGTCTCACCTACCTTGAGCCACCCCGCTCTACTGGACGATCCCGTCAAAAAGCGCTCCGACAGCTCCAGGACCAATGACGATCAAGGCCGTCACTCAGCCAGATCGGAGCAAACGTTAGCAGGATTCAGCACCGAGCTTGCATGCCCCGGCGATCCGATCATGTGCATCGTCTTCTACATCAAGCAACGCGCCTCTTTGTCTTTGCACAAACCTTACGCGAGAGCTGGTGCCTACTGTATGGATTAGTGATGCATGATTCCATCAGAGACAGGACAAACGCGAAAGCCATCCGGTTGTGAATCGGACATAATCTGACCGCTCATCGGAAGGCGTTTGACTATTCACAAAGATATCTGACGGCCAGCGCTAAACATCCTCGACCGCCCCGCGATCGAGCATCAATATGGAAAGAGAACTGGTCCCGCCAGTAAAGCAGCCAGTGGAGATCGAGCGGCCGGCTCCTTCACACTACACGTGGCAAGCTTTCCAACCCGACTTCTAACGTGATTCCGCCCTCCCACCGACCTAGTCGCCCATGCATTAAGCCGGGTGTGTGCATTCTTGGCACGTTTCTGGCCGACACTGTGTCGTGATCGCGTCGCTGTTGTCGCTGGGTGGGCCGAGCGAGCGCCACTAAGTCGACTCATGGTCGTTGCTCGTAGGCGACAATCCTGAGCACAGGGATCGACGACATTCGCAGGAAATGGTTGGTCTTGGAGTTCGGTGTCCGTCAACACGCCCAAGCTACCTTCGTTCAATCATCCCCAACCCTTCGGTCGAACGGCTTAGGTTTATTAATCATTTGCCGCAACTTCCCGTCACACCCTCGACTGCAGCGATCCCGCATCCTGCCGCGGATGTCGAGTCACGATGGCGACGCCCGGCCGCATGTGACATGCCGAGTGCGCGCTGCACGTGTACCCAACCAAGACCGTTCGTTCTTGGACTTTGTGCCCTCGCTGGGATCTGGAGGAGCACGGGTCGATGGCGTGGCGGTAGTAGAGGCAGCGGCAGACGGAGTAGCGCTCGACGACTTGGATGCACATGCTGTGGTGGCAGGCGTTTGGAAAGAAGCTGGGGATCGAATAGCAAATGCCGCTTAAACGCTAACGAACAGGAGGGAAGGAATGACTCAGGACCGGCGAACAAGAGTCAGACGGACGTATGTGATTTCAAGCAAAGCGAAGAGAAAAGAATCGGGAGTCGGGGGAGGAGGGAAGCGAGTGAACGGTGTCAGACTAGAGCCTTTATACATCACTCTTCGCGGCCAAACAATGACAGACGTCAGCGCGTGCATATAATAGATACTGTCCAAAAGAGAGAATCGTTGCGCCAGCAGAGAAAGGGCTGTGCCTGTCTGGCCGCCGCAACCTTAAACCCAGCCCGTCGGTGCTGCCTGCGCATGCATACCATGCTAGAGTCCGGCATCTAATCGACTGACCACGAACAAGGTTGCCTAGACCGCTGCGCAAAGCGTCGACCAAACGGAGACTACGTATGTAAAAGGACAGAGTGCGCGGCGCGTGACTCAACCCGGCAACATATCTGCCCCGTCGAGCTGGGCCCTGAATGATATCACCACCGGCGGCTCCGACCACGGAAGCGCAATCTAAAACGCACGCTGCGCAGCCGCGCAGCAAGGGGCAGACATATTCGGAGACACCTGGCGTCTCGACGGGGTGCCCGCGTTGGAATCAGCACCCCGTGAACCCCGCGCGGCAGAGCGTGCCCCTCCCAAGTCCGCACGCAACAGGAGATCTAGACGTCTTCACTGGCTGACTGTGAAGCGAGACGGCGCCCAGTCAGACGGACTTAGCGTGAGGCTGTAGCGGGCTGACCAGGAAGGCCACGAGGTGTTGGACGGCTGCATGGGAGCGCAGCACGCACGGCCGTCAGATGACGCGCCCACCCGTCTTTGCGTGCGGCATGCCTTCATGCAGCACCCAGCCCGGGCGGCCAAAAAGAAGCCGGGGCTGCAACGGGGCGAGGCGACAACTCGTTTTCGCCCGTGAGTCAGCGGCTTACATGAACTTACTTTCACTTATGCAAGCAAAGCGTGCTTGTGTAGTGCATGCACGTTTCGGGCGGTTGCGGCGGCACGCAGGGCATCGGCGTTGCTGGATGGGCCTTCAGTTGCGTGTTCCGGTGTGGGGGAGTCGGGGTGTTCATACAGCCTTTCTTCAGCCTCGGGTGGGGGCCTAGCGCAGCACAAACCAACAAGGCCCCGATGCGGACACGGAGCTGCCGAACGGGGACGGAGTTGGAATACGACGACACTGTTTCAGGCCGTGATGCCGCCGAGGAGTCAGCTTGCTGATCATATGACTTCTAAGTACCTTGATCCCTTCGCGTCTTATAGTTTGACTATGAGGAATACACGACGCCAGGAAGTAGTATGCATAGGCTGTGAGACAAGGACACGAGAGTTGAAGTCAGAGTGTGGAAGAAACAGCACAGTTGCTTTCATGGCTATCTAAAGCGTAGGTAGCGACTATAATTTTCAGTGCCGAAAACATCCACAATCGATGGAGTGGGAAAGCTGGACAAGACGACTCTGCCGCGCAGATTTGCATCTTGTGTTCCCATGGTCGTTCCCCTTTGCGTCGATGTGACTTGACGGCGGCGCCGAAATGGGACTTGTCGACTGCATTGTCTCTCCGACTGTACGATCGTGAACGAGGTGCAGGGATGTTGTCGATGAGGACTGTATGACTGCGTCGTGCTGCGGATGCATGACCGGAGCCTTGACAGGAGGGTGGAGAGCCATCGACGCAGCCGGTGAAGGTATGCCAGTGCGCAGCACGGCGGGCACGGCGTAGCGCGTGCGTGTCAGTGCTCGTCCTTTAACGAGGTGAAAGCCATAGTCGATGATGAACGGAAGCAAATCCAGGTTCCTTGCAAGCAAACTTCCCACTTCGGCTCAATCGTTCTCTTTCTGTTCTCGCCGGCGAAGCTCTCACTTCCGCAACGCGAACCCTCCGTGGTGTCGTCGCGGAATGTTCGCGCGATACCGAGACTCGCTCTCCGACTCGCTACTACACTCCGAACCGTCCGAAGACGCGCACCGCGAGCCGCCGCAATTCAACTTGACGCGCTCGCCAGTACGCGTGATGCCGTAGCGTTCGCACGTGCAGCTTGACGACAGCGACGAGACGGAGCTGGGCGAGCTGTTGTAGCTGCTGCGCGAGTTGGTGAGGGACGGAACGTAGTCGGAGCCGCCGCTGTCGGACTCGGAGTCGCTGTTGTCTTCCCCCTCGCTGAGTTCTGACGCGGCGAGGCGGGCGCTGAGCACTTCGACCGTCGGGTTGGTGAAGCGTTCTTGTACTACGAGGCGCGTGGCGTGGGGTTTTGTTGGCAGAGGCGATTGGATTTGCGAAGGGGAGAGTGAGCGGCCTTTAGGCACTTGAGCAGAGTGGCGTCGCGAGTGTCCCAAGGAAGCGGTAGACTGGCGTTTCGCATGGGCTGGGACTTTCTGTGGCTCAGGCGGTTTGGCGGACGGAATGTCGAGGATGTTGAGCTTGCGGCCGGTCGTGGGCTCGGTGACGGACTCGCGTGCAGGATCGTGGGAGATGTGGTATCCGTCGATCATGTAGTAATACCAGTACCGCCGGCCCTGCTTGAGCTGCGAGCCCTGGAACCTGAACATGCCCTTCCACCCGCCCGACTTGGTGGGATCTTTGCTGAGAGGATACTGTCCTCTGTAGCCATCCCAGGATCCAATGAGATGCACCGTCTTGCAGTTGGCCGAGGTGCGAAGCGTGAAGTTGAGCTGGATTGCCGTCATCGTGGCGATGTTGCTGTCTTATGGCTTGGTGATTACAATGGCTGGTAATCAGGTTTTGTCGTTTCGTGTGTTGAGCAAAGCAAGAGCTATTAATTAGTAGTGGTTGCGTCGACCAGCGACGGGAGGGAATACGTCGAGAGACTTGGATGATGGCGGCGGCTCCGTGGGATCTCTGGGAGGTGTCCAGCACTCGAACGGGGGAAGGGAAAAACCAAAGTATTAGGGCAGATGGAATAAGCGGTAACGATGCCAGAGGAGCGCCAGGCTCTCTTGACAATACTCAAACAAAGGGGGAAGGATAGAAGAGAAAAGACACCAAAGACCAGCTCTAGAGGTTGACACGCTTGCTGAAGAGAGAAGAAGAGAGGGAGAGGAGGAGAAGGGAAAGCGTATTATGGAGGAAGGGCGCTTGTCGCACTGCAGCGACCAGCTCATCCACACCACTGAGCGTGGGCGGAAGAGTGCAGGCAGCGCGAAGTCGAGCAGGCTGTGTGGTGGACTCGGGATGGGCAGCGCTACCAGCCGCGTCGTGATTGGACTGCCTCGCCCCACCTGGCTTCCAACACGGGCCATGCTTTGCAGCCCGGCCAATCATGCGCGGTTTATTTTGGATGGAGGTGAATGTCGAGCATGTCGTGCATGTATACCATATGTACTTGGCGGGGAACGTCTTGCTCGTCGACACGTTCGTTGGCACGCACCCACCACACCTCGTGCACTACTCGGGCGAAAGCGATGGTGGTGTCAGCGAGATGGCACTGATTGATCGTCGAGCGTAGTACAGCATACGAGGGTGAAGATGTCTAGCAACCAGCAACCAGCAAGGCAGCCTCAGCGGCTAACCGTCAGTGCTCTTGATCAGCTCTTCCAACTCATCCGGGCTCAACGTGCTCTTCCTCCGCTTCGGTCTGCCTCGGATCTTCGTCTTCTTCGCCATCGGGCTCATCTTGCCGAGCGTATCATCCTGCTCAGCATCCAATGCCCCGTCCAATCCAAACGAGACCTTCACCTTCGTAACGCCATTCGTCCCAGCTGTGCTGCGGGGAAGCTTGCTTTTGTACGCCATTGAATCACGCGTCACACCCGCCGTGGCTTCCTCCGCCTCTGCGCGGGCAACGTCCAGCTTCTCCGCGATCGTCATCCGCGGCAGACTATTGTCTTCGTGACTCTCGACCTCGCTGAACTCTTCATCGAGGAGAAAGTCTTCTTCGGCGAGCTCACGTGCCGGTGAAGGGGCGACTGGTACAGATTTGCGACTCGACGGCCGGAGATCGAAGAACTCGGGCGGCTCGAGAACGTCCCTCTTCCGCTTCGGACTCACTCTTCCGATGCTCGTCGGCTCAAGCAGAAAAGACGAGTCTTGTCCCGCATCCGGCAGTTTGATCTCGCTCACGTCACCGTTGACAAAGCTTGAGTCCACCACACTTTCTCGACGGATGCCGCTCCTGAGATGCTCCGGCGATACGAGACCCATGCCCACCCTCAGGTCCTCCACGTTGATAGCGTGTCCCGTGTTCATTTTCTGCCGCCAGCCTTCCATCATCAGCAGCACATCCTTCCACCTCTGCTCCATTCTCTCCCAACCTTCGCGCAACCGCACGATTTCCTCGTCGCGCACCTCCACCTCCTCCATAGAGACGAAGTTGGGATTCGTCAAGACGGTCTTCAGCTGAGTAATGGTGGTCTCCATGTCCGCCGCCAGAGTGTCGTACGAGGTCGGCAGCGCGTGCAGCATTTGGCTACCATTCTTGCCCTCCTCAGCACTTGATATGCTCCCCACCGCGCTATCAGGATGAGTGTGAGTCGCCGGTAGGCCGAGCAATTCCCTCATCGTGCCCAAAGCGCCTCGCACCAGCGTGATGAGACCGTCATTCTCATCGCTCAGACTCTGGCCCAATTGCGTCAGGAATTCAGTCGTCTCTTGCTTCAAACTGTACTCCGGATCGCCAAGATCGTGCATCGACGCGTCAATGTTCTGCTTGCGCGGGGCACCGGTGATGGTGAGACTCGGCGCGGCCATGCCGACCTTGTTGCCTCGTTGCTGGCCCTGCAGATGCGTCTTCAGCTTGGCGATTTCGAGGTCGCGCTTGCGGACGTCGTTGGTGCATTGCGCCTTGACCTGCACCAGCGTGGTCTTCAGCTTCGCGGCCTGCTCTTGCAATGTCTTTAGTGCGCCTTCCACCTTCTTCACTTCGACTTTGGCGGTACGCTCGGCGGTTTGTGCCTGAACTAGAGAACGCGCCGACTCCTCGTGTTGGGTGGTCAGTCGTTGAAGCTCGTGCGTTTTCCGATCGCCCTCGGCGCGCAGTGAGCGTAGGGTGGTGGCGACATGCTCTCGCTGATCGCGGTCTCGGTCTTGCCGTAGGATCAGGTCGTGCACGAGATTAATGATTTGCGCCCGGCTTTCCTTGGACGGCTTGACGAAGTCGATGGCCTCGCTGTTGCGCAGCAGGCCGCGGGCGAGCAGCAGGTTGTTGAGGTAGGCGGAAGCGGTGCGCAGACTCTCGTGATCCATTGCAGCGCTGCAGCCGGGGGCAATGAACTCTTTTGACGAGGGTGGTCGAGGAGAGTTGTGCCAGGTTGCCCGACGAGCGGGAGTGTTTGTGTGTTGTTTGGCGGTTCCCTATTCGGGCAGCGCGGGCCGAGATGGCGGAAAGGCTATTTCCGTCACACACACACCTCGACCCCACTCCTCTCCATTAAATGCCCGAGCGGGCTCTAAGATCGAGGGGTCTCGTGTCAGGACAGCAGTCGAATCGCAAGACGCACGCATTGCTGAGCTGAGAGTCTCGTCTCTTATCGGAAACTCGAGGGCGAAGTTGCTGAAAACAGATGAACCCGTCCATGTCGCCACGAGCCTGTAGCTCCTAATCATTACTGTGCAGAAGCAGACGCTATAGGGTAAGCAATGCAGGGCACCAGAGGAGCGGTGAAAGCTAAAGTGTGTGTGTGCCTGAATCCAAGTCCCTGACTTTCCTTGTCTTCTCTTCCCCACCATCCTCTTTCTCCCTTCTACCCCTCTGTCTCCCCTTCTTCCTACCAATTAGACACACCCTTCCACAGCAATCATGGCTACGCAATACCAGCTCGAGCCCGTCAAGACCATCAGCCTTGAAGGTAAGCCATCAACTCTCCCTCCATACCCCTCGCCATAGACAGTCAATGGCAGTCTTGCCCTAGCAATCCAAGCCTAACTCTTCCTCCCCCCGCCAGAAATGCAAGGCTGCATGGCCGCCGTCTACGAATGGGCCGACTCTTACGACAGCAAAGACTGGGCCCGCCTAGCCAAGTGCGTCGCCCCGACCCTGCGCATCGACTACCGCTCCTTCCTCAACAAAATCTGGGAATCCATGCCGGCCGAAGAGTACCTGAAGATGGTGAGATTGCCCGCCTTACTTCTTTCTCCCTTTTCTTCCGCCGCCCTAACCAATGCAACCCCCAGGCCTCCGACCCCCTCGTCCTCGGCAACCCCCTCCTCCGCACGCAGCACTTCATCGGCGGCACGAAATGGGAGCGCGTCAACGACGAGGAAATCATCGGCTACCACCAGCTCTGGGTGCCGCACCAAGTGTACAAAGACGCGAGCCTGCAGGAAGTCGCGATCCGCGGGTACGCGCACTCCTTCAACCTGCACTGGTACAAGAAGGTGGCCGGGGTGTGGAAGTTTGCCGGCCTGTGCCCCGACATCCGGTGGACGGAGTTTGAGTTTGACAAGGTGTTTGAGGCCGGGCGGAATGAGATGGGCGAGAAGGCGGCCGAGGCGGCTGTTGGTATGTCTATTTCGAGATTTGTTTCTTTTCTCTTTCAGTTTCACCTGACTTTGGTCGAGGTGTTCCTCCTGACGCGTCGCAGGCATCCCCTCCTCGTAAGAAGACGAAGGTGTAGACGCATTTGGCATGGAGGCATTGGTGGGAGAAGAAGGACGGTGTTGGATGAGAAATGGAGAGGAAAAGCATGTAGACACTACAAGAAAAGCACTATGCACTTCGCTCTGCTGCAGTCCCTCGAACATCGTCCTCCACAAAGCAAACCATGCCATCGGTGTGCTTCACATCGTCCTTGCAGTAGAACAACAAAGTACTCTTCTCACCAGAAGCACAACAACCTTCTCAGCAGCTTGGGTATTGAAAAAACAAAGGGGAACTTTCATCTCTCACTCTCACATCTCCAGCATCATGTTTCCCTGTCCATCCATCCCAGCAGTGTCCTGATCCGATTTGGAAGGAGAGATCGATGCCCGACTAGACTTGCGTGGAGGCTTGCCCAACCCTTCCTTCTCCGCAGGAGGATCATCATTGATATTCAACAGGCGCAACGCAGATCGTGTGCGCTTCTTGCTGACGCTCTCACCCGGACTCGACAACGACATGCTCGTCAGCTTCGCCGGCGTTGACGTGGTCCTTGTGCTGCTCGCCGCTGCTGTCAACCTCTCCGCCGTCGCATCCAGAATCGTGCTGAAGAAGTCGCGGGCTGCGACGAGGCGGGTACTCAGCATAATCGTCATCTGCTTTCGCAACGACAAACGACTTCGTGTACTTACGCTTCCCCGGCGACGAGCCCTCCTTCTTCCCCTTGACCACTTTGGCCGGAGTGATGGGGTGATTGCTGTGGACGAGACGGCCTTCGGCGTCCTCTGATGTGCAGGAGGGGAAGTCGTTGCAGCCGGCGTGCATGCTCACGTCCGAGTAGCGTGACTCAGCCCGACAGTCGCTGGTGTAGTTCGTGCCCGAGCGGAACGGGGAGCCAAGCGACGGGTACTGTGGCGAAGGAAACTCCGTGCCCTTGTGCACTGTGGTGAGCGTAGGGAGGGGAGGTGGCGGCATGTTGTTGGAGGCAGGGGCTGGCGTAGGACGATCTGAGGATGCCGGGCTCATGGCTTGGAGGATCATCTGGAGCTGGTCGCTGGGTAGGCGGAACTGAACTTGGCGGTTCCTTGGTGTCGTCTCTCCATGGGCCGCAGGGTAGGTCGGAACACTCGGAGCATTGTGGAACAATGGTGCAGCAGAATCGGTGATGTTCGAGTAGGCAGAGGTGGAGCGGGTGCCCGTGTCTTGCATGCCGTTCGCATACTGCACGAATGGATTGGACGCGTCGAGCATGACGTGACTGTCCAGGTCTGCGAACGGCATTGGACTGCCCAGGATGTTGTTGCTAGCAAGGCGTCTAGGCGTGGGAACCGGAGTCGGAGTCACAGTTCTGTAGTAGGTGTGGGCATACAGCGGATTCATGTACATGCGCAGGTTCGGCCAGGCGATGCCACTGCCCTCCAGAACGTCTGCCTGGAGTGTCAGTGTCTGCGTACTCATCCATCAACGAACATGTCCATGCACTCACCGATGGGAGCAGGCTGAAAGGCAAAGTTGACGGGAGCATGCAACCTCTGGAAGCGGACCTTCTTCGAGTCAATGTAGCCTGCGCAGAGCTCGACTCTGATTCTGCCGACTGGATCGGACGGATCCCAGTGGCTCTGTGTCGTAAGCGCGCGGTGGAAGGGTGGGAACTTGAGCGCCTCACCCTCCTCGCCCTGAACCGGCGATGGAGACTTGGCTGTTCGACAGACGCTCGGTCAGCAGTGTTCCTCGCATCTGACAGGCGACGGTCACGACACTTACAGATCACCTGCGGCCACGAGCCCGCCATGGGAAGATGCTCATTGGCAACCGTCTGTCCATCCACCACAACCCTCACCTGCCACACCTCCCTGGGCTTGGACCCCTTATCATTCTTCGCCAACACGTTCGCCGTCTTGGTCCACGAGTGCAGGCTAATCTGGAAAGCAGCACCAGGCTCCAGCGACGGGACGAAGGTGGTCAGCAGCGGCGTGAGGAAGGGCGAGTTGGGATCGTGCTGCTCGGAGTAGCAGGCGGTGCGGAATTCCTGCAGCGGGATGCTGTGTGCTGCGCCCTCGCCCGCGGGAAAGAGCAGGATGTCCCAGTCTTGGAAGCGCATGGTGGCTTGTGAATGTCGCCGTCTACCAGTCTTGTTAGTCTTGTCTATGGTCCTCGTTTTTCTCTCGATGTAATGCGGTGCGGAAGGATGGGTGGTGTATGTGCGGGTGGGAATGGTTTGGGGGAAGGGAGAAGACGTGTAAGGAGGAAACATGAAAACATTTTGCGGTCGAAACAAAACAAATCTCTTTTGTGGAAGGGGCAGTAGAAATGGCAGGTGCGAGTGTTGACGTGGCTGTTGGTGAAAGAGGAAGGAGCGACCTGCGGGTCGTCATTGCCCTCCCCATTCTTCACATCTTCAAAAGCATTGAACTCGAGATGAAGGTGAGCTTAGAAACGTCCAGTGAACAAGAGGAGAAATGCAGAATACAAGTGAAAGGAGAAAGAGTATTTCCGATAGATACCTAGCTGTTGTCTTCCTACGATGACACCTCAAGACCCCGTCCTCCCAACACGCAAAGCCGAAAGGCCATCTGCCAGCCTCGCCCTCTACCGCAGAGGCCGACGGCGACGAAATCAGTCAATAGAAGAAAGAAAGAGAGCAACGCAACCCCATCCTCGATCAACCTTTTTTGTGCGCCAGCTGCAAGCCTTGATGTGCTAAGCCCTGGTAAGGAGAACGCCGCCCGTTCGGCCACAGTCATGCAATCTCTCTCTTTTCGCCCCGGTGAAATCACAGAACAAGAATCGCAGGAATGAAAAACCAAGCAAAAGCAAAAGCATCTCGTGTACGTCTTAAAGGAGTGTGTGGAAGAGTAGTGGAACAAGCAAACTTTTGGAGAAACCCTCCCAAATCTGCCGCCCTTTCGCCAGCCCTCCTGAATGCATCGCGTTGGACCGCCGGGTCCAGACATCGGTGTGTAAGGTGTTTGTTAGGAAATAATGGCACATCCTTTCGTATGAAGTGAAATGTCGCAACGGGTGGAGGAGAAAACAAGCGCATGGACGTCTTTCGGTTGGCCGTTCGTTCGAAAAGTCGTCTGTGCGTGCTCTCGGTGTGAAAAGCAGAACCCTGGGACGTGACCAACTCCCGCTAAATCGCAATCTCACGCATCGCAGTCAAGTCGAAAATGCGCTTACTAAAAGGCTCGTCAGTGTCGAGTTTCATCGGGCAGAGGGCTTTCAGAACATACCTTCATAGGGGCAAAGTTGCCGTAAGGGTGCTGAGGTGGCATGCCCATGGATGGGAAGACTGGCGGGGGCGGGGCAGGGCGGTAAGGAGTGCCCGCGGGGCCGGAGTTGTTCTGAGAGCGACCCCAGCTGAGACGAACACGCGAGTTGCCGATGGGGTAGCCTTGCATCTGGTTGATCGCCATCTCCGCCGCGTGGCGCTGAACGAACTGGACAAAGCCGCAGCCCTTGCCAGGAGGAATCTTGACGTAGGTGATCTCGCCGAAGCCTTGGAAGAAGGAGCGAAGCTCATCTTCGGTGACGTAGCCGGACAGGCCTCCGACAAAGACGGTGGTGTTGTTCGGGTCGGTGAACTGGTTCATCGGCTGAGGCGCGCCATAGTAGCCCATGGGCGGCGCACCCATCGAGTACATGCCCATGCCGCCGGGTCCGCCGGGCATCCCGCCCATACCGGCCCCAGCACCAGGACCACCAGCGCCGCCGCCGCGGTTCTTCGGGGTTGCGGTGGAGATGCGCATGGGGCGATTGCCGCAGTATACTCCTTGCATCTCGGTGAGAGCCTTTTGCTGGTCCGCCTCATCGGCGAAACGCACGAATCCGTAACCCCTTGACAGCCCGCTGATGGGGTCGGACATGATCTTGGCCGATTTCGTGGAGCCAAACTTGCTCTGGAAGAGGGACATGAGGACGTATTCGTTGACCTCTGGGCCGAGGTCGCCGACGAAGATGGAAAACTCGGGTCCGCGATCGTCACGACTGCGATCCGCAAGCCCACCGCCCGAGGCCCAGTTCAGTTTGAACTGTCGGTTGGAGTTGGGAATGCCTTGGCCGTTGAGCTGAAGCGCCTGCGTGGCCGCGTCTGGGCTCTCGAAGTCCACGAAACAGTATCCCGCGTTGCTACTGCGGTGGGTTAGTGAGGAGGGACAAAGGTTGTGGTTGGGTTGCAGCCACATACCCGGAGAACTTGTCGCGAATCATCTTCACGTTGACCTGGTATCCCATGCCGAACCACACACTACGCACAAAGTTCTCATCGATCCAGGGCTCAAGTTCACCCATCCTGAACTTGTTAGCATGCATGCACATCGTTTTCACGTGACGTTGTTGCCTCACCAGAGGGTAGTCTTCTGATCCCCGCCCTGCGAGCCGGGTCCACCGGGGCCACCGGCTTGGGGCGCACCAGGGAATTGGCCTTGCTGCTGGGAGGGATCCATCTGCTGACCCAGTTGATGTTGCTGTTGCTGTTGGGCCGCACCAAAGCCGCCTTGCTCTTCAGCACCTTGCTGAGGCTGGCCGTTGCCCTCACTGAAATTCTGGTAGCTCATGATGATGGGATGTCCTTGGGTGAAGTGCAGGTGAAGGAGGTTGCGCGGAGAGTTGAAGGAAGCAGGCTGCTTGCCGTGTCACTGCGACGGAGGTGTGAGTTGGCGGGGCTGCGCGATGAACCGGAGTGATGGTGATGACGCTTACCGTCAAGGTATGAATGCTTTCCGGCCGTTACTCGTCAGAGTAGTGAAAAGGACCGTGCGCGGCTAGGTGGGGGAAACAATCGCAGCAAGTGATTGTGAGAAGAAGTGGGCGCTTGCAAGAGAAGTGAAGATGAGGTCGAGATGACGAATCGCAAAAGACGTCGCGGGGCAAGTGAAGACACGACGCTGGATCGAAAGGGGAGCCGCTCGAAATCTGCGAGGAAATGGTCAGCTGGAGGTGCTCGTTGGCCTATCAGTTGCGCGACGACGGGCGAGGGTGGGACGAAGCAGCAAGGCGGTGGAAGAGACGGAGTGTCGGGTCGAGAAATTGGCGCATGTGCATTTGTGCCGCGCACTGCTGCCAGCAATCCCGCTTTCTCACTCTCAGCCGCAGGGTGGAATCCGCGCGGCCAGACCCCACCGCACCTCGGCGAAAGAAGCGAGACGAAACGGGGTCGATGGAGCAAAGCAGATGGCGTCGTGTTGGATGAAGGGGAAGGGGGTTGTCGCGCAAGAATGCTGCTCACGAGCGCACCGAGCGGCCGCGAATGGATTTCCGGGGAGTCGGCTCCGGCGGGGCAGTGATGGATGGGCGGATCGGACGGAAAGAAAGGAAGGCAGACTCACCAGACAGCCAAAGGAGGAAGGGAGGGAGAAGGGGACGCCAGCAGAACGCAGCCTCACGCAAACACAGACGGCGCAACGAGGAAAGACGGGCTTTTGCGACACGGAGGGAGAGGTGGTGGTGGGATGGAGGGGGAAATGGAGAGTGGAGGGAGGGTTCGCTTACGGAACGGCGAAAACTTGCAAGCCCACCAGCGGAATAAGGTAAAGCCGCCAAGCCCGGCGACTGGGCCCTGCAGCTGGAATTTCGTCGATTGCTTCTCCAGGCCTCGACCCTTATTTGCTCATGCCCCCTTCCCCTCTGCTCCACGCGAGGCCGGACCGCGTCCGTACGCCTCGACTCTGCGTGCAAGGTTGATGTGCTGGATGGCGAAATCTCCCTCCTCTCCACCCCTTCGGAATGTTCCCCCGGACTGACATTCGCCGCACGCAAGGGGTGCCTTGTCACTCTACGTACAGCTTTCTCACACCCCATCCACTTACTGGTGCAACCTCTGCCGCGGTTCTTCAAGGTCGTATTTACTTCGTCGTACTGTGTAGGCGTGTTGTGCAAAGGCAGAGACCTGCTGCTCCTGTTCATGTTCCTGTACATTGCGCGTGGCGGACGCAGGGATCGTCATCAGATGCAGGCCCCAAAAATAGGTTGCGCCCGAGATGCACAGTACACGGTACAACAGCGTGAGGTTGTGTTCGTGTGCAGACGGTTCATGTGTCTTGCAGATGAACACGAGCGTGAGCTGAAAGACAGGGAGCAACGGATGACTGTCTAGTGCGTCTCTCCATCTAAGCTGTTGATGACAATGGGCGGAGAAGGAGGGTCTATAAGGTACTTCATACTTGGTCGCTTGCGAACATGAAACACCACCACAGGAGGGCGTGCGATGCGATATTCACAGCCGTGGGGTTCAATCTCCCTCAGCCCCGCCAAATCACGTGAACGCGAGAAGAGATCATCCCACGCTGGATGTCTTGATCAACCGAAGCGAGGCCTGCCCAGGCAATTAGAGGGTTGCAAGTGCATATAATCAGGGCCACATGTCCAATCCATTAATCTGTGATGCTGCCAAAAGCCTACCACCGGCGTTCATGAACATCTACACACGTGTTCGATAAGAATCTGAGCGACGCCTCTAGAATTGGTGTCATCCGGCCCGTGCGCTAACCCGTGACGCCTTCCTCTAACCCACCACCCTGCACTCACCAAACACCGCGCAAAAGTTTCTCTGCCCCTCTCAACATCACCGCCCTCACCCCCCTACAACCCGTCCACTCACCACACCGGCATCGCCTTGCACCCCTCGTCGCACACAGTCGCTTTCGCCTTTGCACACCTCTCTGTCCCCGCGGTAAGCCCGTTTCCCCCTGCTGCCGCCCACTTCCCCCTCGTCGATGCCAAGACATGCAAAGCACAACATCCTCTCACGACCCGCGCGCTCGGGAAGACGAATGCCTCGCGCCATGCAACCCGCATCCCCCACCGGCTCAGTGATGCCGAATACACCTCACGAGCACGCATCCGGGGCGATTGGGGCTGCGCTGCGCATGTTGACGCGTCGAATCTGGACGTCATCGACCCGCCAATGGACCCCCTGCGCCCATCCGTCGCTCGCGCTTTGCACGTCTCATTCAGAGCAGATTCACTAACACCACCTCCCAGTGTCCCTCTCTAACGATCCTTCACCATGGGTTACGAAGATTCCGTCTACCTCGCCAAGTTGGCTGAGCAAGCCGAACGCTATGAGGGTGCGTTTTGCAACCACTTCTCCCCTCCAAACACCCTCTCGCTAACCCGGGCCATCTTCAGAAATGGTGGAGAACATGAAGACCGTCGCGTCCGCCGACCAGGAGCTATCGGTGGAGGAGCGAAACCTCCTCTCCGTCGCCTACAAGAACGTTATCGGCGCCCGCCGTGCCTCGTGGCGCATCGTCACCTCGATCGAGCAAAAGGAGGAATCCAAGGGCAACGACCAGCAGGTCACCCTCATCAAGGAGTACCGCCAGAAGATCGAGGCAGAGCTTGGCAAGATCTGCGAGGACATCCTTGACGTTCTCGACAAGCACCTCATCCCCTCCGCCCAGAGCGGCGAGTCGAAGGTCTTCTACCACAAGATGTGCGTCTACACCCCGACATCAGGTTGATATGAATACATGTGGCTGACGAGGAAATACTGCCAACAGGAAGGGCGACTACCACCGCTACCTCGCCGAGTTCGCCACGGCCGACAAGCGCAAGGAGTCCGCAGACAAGTCTCTCGAAGCCTACCAAGCCGCCACCGAAGTCGCCGCCACCGATCTTGCCCCCACCCACCCCATCCGCCTCGGCCTCGCCCTCAACTTCTCCGTCTTCTACTACGAGATCCTCAACTCCCCCGACAAGGCTTGCCAGATGGCCAAGACCTCCTTTGATGAGGCCATTGCTGGTGTGTAGCATCTTTTCCGCTGCTTGAATAGGACCACCGCTGACCGGGTTCGCAGAGCTCGACACCCTGTCGGAAGAGAGCTACAAGGACTCGACGCTCATCATGCAGCTCCTCCGTGATAACCTTGTAAGTCATCAACCAACAAGCCCTTTCGGCAATGAGACTGACCAAACCCCTTCACCAGACTCTCTGGACTTCCTCCGAAGCCGAGCCAGCGAGCGAGCAAGCCCCGGCCGCGGAAGAAGCCGCCAAGCCCGCAGAGCCAGCAGGCGAGGAGAAGACGGTCGAGTAAGGCTGCGCGCCATCCTCCTCCTCTCCTCATGTCTCTCTTCCCCCTAGTCAGGTTGTCTCCTTTCATTTAGCGCTGCGCTAGATAGAGAAGCGGGCTGGAACGGGGAGCCATCAGGTTGTGGGTGTGGCTGTGCCCGATGCCGAGCATTCTTTTGGTGTGTGTCGTTAGCAAGACCCAGTCGAACAGAGTGAACGCTTTCAACACATGGTCGTGCTCTTGACCCCCGTAGCGAGATTGTGCCTTTCGCTTGTCCCTCGCGTGGTTGTTATTGGGACTGTGTATGTGTTTCTTTGCACGTTCATGCTGTTCTGCAGCTGCTATTCACAGTACACAGTTCTGCACAAATGCACAGGACACAGCAGCTCAGCACACGGCCACCCGCTCATCCATCAACACCGCCACTCCCCTCCCTCGCCCTCCCCAAAACATCCACCCACGTCTCCGGCCGCGGCCTCCCCTCCTCCCCCAACCACCCCTCAACCTCATACCCAAACCCCAACAACCCATCCTCACCCCCCCACTCCGCCATCCCCGTCAACCCAACCGGCACCCTCCCCTGCCCCTCAATATCCTGATCCTCGGCATCCCCAAACCCCACAGGGACACTGATAGCCGGACACCCGACGAAGTTCGCCAGCCACGCATACTCCATGTTGCGAATCTGCTTGTTGCCGTCTGAACACCCGTACGCCAGATCTGCGTCGTTGATGCGCCAGCCTGCGTTGGGGGTTGTGGGCGTTACGATGATGAGGTCGGGGTGCTGCGCGTAGAGGTGCGCGAGGTGCTGCATGAGGAGGTGCCGGAGTTTCTGCGCTTGCAGGAGGTCGACGGCGGGGGTGCGCTTGCCGAGCGAGAGGAGGATTCTGTTTGGGGGCGTGAGTTGGGATACGGTGGGGATGCCGGAGGCGATTTCGGCGAGGATGGTCATTGCGTGGGCGAGTTGGCCGTCGTGGATTAGGGGGAGCGTGATGGGGAGTAGTGTGTAGCCGCAGTGGGTGGTGAGGTGGTCGATAGCTGCGCGACACGCGGTTTGCACGGCTTTGTCGGCGCGCGAGAACCAGGTGTCGTAGATGCCGAGGACTTTGTTGGTGCGTGGTGGGGACGGGGAGGGCGGGATGAAGAGCGCGGAGGAGCTGTGCTGGCTGTCGGGTTGCGCCATGATGCGGTATGCGAGTTCCAGGTCGACCATGTTGGCTGCCAATGGCCCGGCGACGCCGGTGGATATGGCAAGGTTGGAGCTGGGGCGCACACTGATGCGGCCGTGGGAGGTCTTCAGGCCGTAGAGGCCGCAGTATGCGGAGGGAATGCGCACGCTGCCGCCTCCGTCGTTGCCCATGGCGAAGGGGACGAGGCCCGCAGCGACGGCGTAGGCGCTTCCACCAGAGCTTCCTCCGCAGTAGTAGTGCTTACTATACGGGTTGCGAGGTGTGCCCCAGATGGGGTTGATGTTCGTCTAGGCATCATGTTATCGTCAGTCTCAATGACTTCCAGCTGAACGATAGCAAAGACATACCGTATCACACCCCAACTCATGCATCGTCGTCTTCCCCAAACAGATCGCCCCGGCCTCCAACCACAACTTCACACAGAAGCTCGTCACGTCCGCCTTGTTCGTAAAGTCGAGCTTCGAAGCCAAACACTTCCCATAACCAGTCAAATCTTCTTCATCCTTCACCGCCATCGGCACTCCGTCCAACGGGCCCAAGGGCTTCCCAGCCTTATACCTCGCCGTGCTCTCTTCCGCCGCTTTCCGCACGAGGTCGACCTTCGTCTGGAGAAAAGCAATCGAATGCTCGGTAGCATCTTTGACGTCCCGCCGGATCAGCGGCAGTAAAGTCTCGACGACCTGGAGCGGCGTCACGGAGCCGGATTTGTAGGCTTCATGGTAGTCTAGAGCAGAGTAGAAGGGACTCTTTGCCGGCTTTCTCGCCGTCCAGTCTTCGCTGTTGAGGGCTTGGATGTGCTGCTCGTTGGTACTGGCTGATGCCGATTCCGCACCACGACGAGCTTTGATGACTGTCGGGTCATATCGCGCGTCTACATCGTTGAGTTCTGGGCGGTCTCGTAGTTTGCCAAAGCCAGCGTTCGACCATAAGACGCCTTGCACGAAGCCCGAGGCGGCGACTCTGGAGATCGTGATTAGCGGAGAGCTCTCAGGGCGTCGTCCGGGGTCGAAACAGGAGAACGTACAGTTGAGACAAGTAGTGCAATGCCACGCCTCGCACCACCGGATTACTGTGGCAGAAGTCAGCTCGCCGTTCGTTTCATGCTTGCTGCTTGATTGCTGGAGTAGGGCGAGCGGACAGACCTTGGTGGCGGCGGAGCCTTGTATTCAAAGTCATACGCCTTTGCACTCGGGCGATTAATCCAGTACGTGCCTTCTTGATCTTTGTTTGCCATTCTGGATATCGCTCATTTTGTGCTGGGGAGTATGGCGTGTGGAAAGGAGGATCACGGGGTGAAGTCACGACCGCAAGTGGACACACAGATCGCCAAACGCCACCAGCGCTGGACCGACGTAGAACACACCTCGACCTCATTCATGCATGCGCAGGCAACATGCAATCACCACGAGATGGGACTCCGCAATCGTGAAAGGAGCGCACAAAACCATTCATTCCTAACCCACAATCCACATATTCTATCCGGCATCAACCACCAATAGCAACAAACCCAGCCCTTGACCGCACCCACCAGCACCACCATCCGAACCCACGCCATAACCTGCAAACTTTTTTGTATACTGAGTGAACCCACGCAACACCGCCCAACTCGCCAGAAGCCCGTCATGCACCGTGAGGGAAGAGGAAGCCCCCCACAATCTAAATGTATGTATTTTGCGCGCACGCCCCCGTCAAACAAGCAACCGGCCCGCCCGCCGTTCCCCCAAACCGTGCAGTTTCGCTGCTTGGCAGCAAATAAAACGAGAAGGCAGGGAATGAAAGGGAGACGCCGAAGCAAAACGTACCAAACACGTTCCCCGCGAAAGCGGAATTCAAACAATGAACGCAGCACAGGGTATCGTAACGACAAAAAAGCAAGTCGAAGGTCTTCGGGGCCCCAGTTTCTTGATCTCCTCCAGCGCACGCCGCGCGCACGTTTTCGTCCCAAAGCAAAAGATCCTCGACGCTCGGTCGTGTACGAGAGGTTCCCCGGTGTGCATGGAGCAGGAGAGAAATTCATCCTCGCTCCCAAGTGAAATGGACGCCGAGAACACCTCGCTAAACGACACCCGAAAGGCAATGTTTTCCTTTTCCCACCCGTTTCCCCCATTCCCAGGTCTATTGTGTTGCTTTCGGATTGCTGTTGCAGGTAAGGAAGGGGGGAGGGAGGAGACACGGCTCTCAGTAGCCCATCCCGTCATTCATCCCTAGTAAACCCGCACCGGCAACGTTGACCCCCATGCTTTGCGCATTGCCAAGCACGTTGGGCAGGTTTGGCGGATTCGCCTTCAGCTCCGGGTTGCAGGGCGGGCTATGCTGCCGATGGTACTTGAGGCCGTTCAAATTCTTGTAGCGCTTGCCGCACACCTCGCAACGGTACGGCTTCTCCTTCTCCATGCCCACGGTGCCCGGGTAGGGGATGGAGGTGGCGGGGTCGACGATGGAGAAGGTGCCGTCGGGGTTCTCTTTCAGCTGTTGGTTCTGGTGGCCGTGCTGTTTGTGGTACTTCAGACCGTTTTGGTTCTTGTACGCCTTCTCGCAGCCGATGACGGGACACTTGAAGGGCTTGACTTCCTCGCCCACAAAACCGCCGGCACCCGACAGGCCGTTGAGCAGCTGTTGTTCCCGTAGTCGCTTTGCGAGCTCGGAGTTGTTGCCGGCGTTGGCGTTGGCGCTGCCGTTGTTGTTGGCTTGCGCTCCGCCGAAGCGGTTCGCGTTGGCAAAACCTGGTTTGCTCAGCAGCCGCTTTGCGGGATCGTCAATGGTGCCGCTGGACCCACCGGTGTTGGCTGCACCATTGAGGCTGAGGCTGTTGAAGTCGGTCCCGCCTTGCATCAGCTGTGCGTAGTCGAGGCTGTTCAGGTCCATTTGATTGGTGTAGTCCAGGTTGCCTTGGACGGTTTGGGGGGAGTTGGGGATGGAGGTGTCCGGGGTGATGGTCTGCTGGGAGAGAGTTGTCGGCGTGCTGATGTTGGGAGTGTTGACGGAGGAGACGGTCGGGTTGTTCGGGAAGCCCTGTTGAGTTGCGTGTGGTGTAGTCGGACCATTGGAGTTCAGGCCCGGAGCTTGCTGGAAGGCGTTCGCCAGGTTGATGTTCACGCCAGCGCCTCGCGGCTGCTGTCGTCCAAAATGCGGTTGCGGCTGGAATTGTGTGCCTTGCGCCTGAGGTTGGGAGAGAATGTTGTCCTCCAACTCCATGCCGTCGAGGTTGTCGAACGTGCCAATGATCTGCTCATGTGACTGGCCACTGAATAACGGCGAGGGGTTTGCCGACATTTGCGGGACGCCACTCTGTTGTGCGAGACCGGCCTGTTGGGCTTGCGCCTGTTGCTGGACGGCCTGCGCAGTGCTCGTGGCGTTGGCCGCACGAGTGCTGGGGAACTGGAGATCCTTGGGCGTGCGGCCGATCGTCTGGTTGGGCTGTGCCGCATGCGCCTCCTCGTAGTGTTGCAATAGCTCGTGCATGGAGTCGAGGTGGATGTCGCAGCAGATGTAGTCTTTCATGTAGTTTGCCTCCATCTTGGGCAGGTAAGAGGAGGAGTGGAAAGAGGGTGATTGGAAGCCGTAAGGGGAGGTGCCGGTCATCATGATGTCGTCACGAATGAAACTGCCCATGGAGATGCCGCCCCAGCTCATGCCGCCCATGAGGCTGCCGGACATGCCCATGGCATGCGACTCGCGTCGGCCGGGTATTGCTCTCGCGCCATACGGCGTCGTGCCCAACATGGCGATGGATTCCTGTCGTTCCCTCGGCAGCGGCGCGAGGTCGTCGGAGCGCTCTTCACTGACTTCGTGCTTGACGTCGAGCTTGGGATGTTGGAGTTGAGAGGTGAGGTTGGAATGTTGGTTCCGCGGCGAGGAAGAAGTCTGCCTCGCCGTGGCGATGTCTATCGGCGACGCCGTGCCCGACATTCTAAATGCGGCAAGCTGTGGCGAAGCGGTGGGGAAGAGTGGGAAGTCGGCCGCGTCGGCTCCGCGAGTGTCGTCACCCTCGTCGTCCCAGGTGAAGAGGAGATCGTCGCTGGGGAGATGTTGAGTGGGTTCACGCTTGCGGCGCAGAGGGTGAGCGTTGCGCGGCGGAGGATGGGCGGTGACGGCGTGGAGGGGGAGGGGTGTGCTGACGGGCGTGCTCTCGACACTCGAACCTCGCCAACTCGAAGGAGGCGACTGCGATGAGTAGTTGGTCGCCAGGATGGGCGGAGGGGCGGGAGGGATGTCGGGGAGGGTGGGAGGATGTGTTGGTGATGGATGAGGTGGTGGTGGATGATGCAGCCAATTAATTGCCGAGCTGCTTAGCGTGAGCTTGTGGCCGGAGGTGGATTAAGCCAGGGCCGAATGTGGGCAGGCGTCGGCTGAGGCGGGCTGCGTCTACCACTTCGACATGGACGAATGTGCGCAACAGAGCATGAGGTGTGGATGGGAGAGGGGTGTTTACAGAGAGGAGAAGCCAGAGGAGAGAGCAGCGTGCACGCAGACAGACGGTCGGGATGCAGAAAGGCGGTCGGTCGGTCGAGCGAGATCGAGCGAGCAGGGAGACTAATAATACAATTGGAAGCCCGTCACCCGCCGCGGTCCTCTAGCCGGAAGTGCCAGACGGTCGTGACGTTGGACGGCTAATGCCCGGCCAATCACCGCCGCCGCGCCTGTTTCATGGGCATGGGAGGGCCTGCCTCGCTCCCTTGAGCCGGTCGCCATCTCAAATACAGCTACCGTAGATGGCCATCATCTACCACCCACCACCACCGCCTCCGTCGCCACCAGAGGCTCGCCGCTTTCGGGACGAGCTGACGCCCAGATCGCTGCCGAGCGCTGCCTTGCGTCCTGCACGGCTCGATGTCCGCAGCGTGCCAAGAGCTGCGGATACTTCCCCGTACATCCAAGCATGGTGGAAGGCGATGTGCATCCCACCCCTACCTGACCTGAATCATCCGCGCCTCGGTTGCAGGCAAGACACAAGTGCTTGGTAGGCGATCCTCCCCCGACCGCCCCGGCGCAGGTGCATTTCCGCCTTCGCAGTCGACTTGACGGATCGAAGGATAATGCCACCCTCCCAGCGTTGCAAGGCCAAGACACCACTTCCACGTTTGGTGGCGGTGGCCCCGGTGGCACCACAGCTCTCGTGTTGCTGCAAGTATACGTAAAACGAGCGTCTGGCCCGTCGCATCCGGCAGCCCCATGCGAGCGGCCCATCCCATCGCACTGGTGCGGCCAGGCTCTCCACTGTTTCACCCCAGCCGTTGGTGCCTTGCCTTCCCCATTCGGACGCCCAACTGGCCTCCGAAACGGGATGGTCTGCTTCCTCGGCTCTTCGGAGAGCCACGTTTGCGCAATCTGCCTCACTAGCCGTCCAGCCGGCCGGGTCGCGATTCAGCATCCCAGGCCATTCGACTAATTGCAGTACTTCACGGCGAGCGTAGCTCACGGTACATCTGAAGATGTACACGCTGACGTTCGTCATACCTGCGTAAGGCCAGCGTCTCCCGAGGCCGTGCGCTGTAGCATGCATGCAGGTACACAAGGCTGGGCGTATCATGTTCACTACAGCTGTCGATGATGGGGCCTCGTGCTTTTAGCCGGGATCAACAGAGCGATCATCAGGCCCGGCGCAGGACCACGGTATTCCCGCCCTCTCCTCTCCCAGCCTACATGATACGTCTCTGGAATTCCGCGTCTCTCAGCATCTCCCCAGAACTCCTGCCCACAATGATCAGTAATAACAAAGACCCCAATTCTCGGCTTTAGCCTGATCCCTGGGAGTCCGACAAATTGTTGAACGGGAGATCCGGAAAATTATCTTTTACTATTTCCAGCCCCCACCCACCCATGCCACCCCATGCCTAGGCTGTCTCCTGCTGACCTGAATATGTATTGTGTCCAGTACTGATCGGCAGCGGCAGCGACCGTCCCGAACGCTTCCGCCGTGCTGGTAACTACTCGAGCTCGAGCTAATATGTAATGAGGATCGTAGCGTGCAGGCTGCCATGCCACTTGACCGGCAGATGCCGTGTCGGTGGTCGTGTGCTTCAACATCCCACTGTGTCGCATCTCATTCGCCAGAATTGGCACAGCTGAACGAGTGGGATGTATTGGTCGTATCCTACACTGGAGATTACGCGTAAGGAGAAGTGGTCCTAGAGCGCACGAGAGTCCAGACCCATCGCCACGCCGAGGCTCATATGATACAGGCCCAGGAACACGACGGAGGCGTTGCTTTTCCCAACGTTTGCTATCTCGTGAAGACACGTTCGAGGGCACGCAGATCTTTGATCCACACCTGTCGGAGCAAGTGAGTGGTGTGGGTAGGATAGTGGACACGCAAGGCTCGGCTTTCACTCGGCGAGGCATCGGCAGACGTGATGAGACAGGCAGTTGGACGGGCAGTGCTTCTACTTCCCGGGCAGCCTTGCGATTACCGCGGCATCATTGATTTCACGTCCTGCGCAGCACCAACGAGTGCATTCTGGGAGATGGCGGGATGGAATACCATACACACATCCACAGGCTGTTGGCTTGCCCTTTCGGGCGATTGGGCCTCGTCTGGTCACGTGCTCACGTGTCAACGCCGGCAGTGGAGCCTCCCAACTACCTCACTTGTGCTACTTCTAGCAGATCTCTGCGAAAGGATGGGAAGGAAGGGATGTCAGACGCAGCTGTCATGCAGCCCACGACAGCCTTCCTGTAGCGTTGTTTGACTGACAGTGCGACGCAATGCAGTGATAGGATGAAGAGGACGGACGGGGCTCGCTTGATGTGTTGTCCGCCCCACTTTTCCTCATCTCGCGAGCGGGCAGTGGCTGGAACGTGATCTCGGTACGTCCACCTCGCCCTCCCACGCGCCGCAAGCACACCGCCCATTGTACGGCGCATTCTCGCAACAGACTGTGGTACGGCTGTCCCATTCCGCCTGGATTATGTTCGCGACTCCGATTGCGGGCATTCGACGGCGCGCGACACCCGCGCACCATCCGCAGTAATGGCCGACGCCATCGAAGCATTCCTCGCGCAGCATCAACAAGGCGAGGAGCCTCACATTCCACCGCGTCACTCGACATGCTGCTGCGGCAACGACGCCTGCCCCTACTTGAAACACAACCAGGCCGCGCTGGATGGGTTGGAGAGGGACGTTTCCACCGCCGCCCGGCTGGGTCAGGTACGTTCAATTCCAGCATTATCTTTATCCATACCCCAATCCATCTTGTGCCGAGTCGGTCCAATTTCCTCGCGTTGGCATGGCCGTTACGTCTGTCCCAGGCGTGGTTGACTGGGCCAGTTGAATCCTGCAGGATCCTGCACTCCGCAATCATTGACAGCTTCGTTTCCCACCTGCATACACATGCGTTCTGCTTCTTCTTTGTGCCAACATGGCGTCGCAACCACCACCACCCAAGATGGCAGACATGGATCCGCTGACCTTTGCGCTGCAGGCGCTGTTGATGCGCCATGAGGCCTACATCGCCGACTCGGAGAACGAGCGCAAGGACATGGCGGCGCAGATTGAGTCGTTGGCGGCAGATAAACAATCGCTCGAAAGGCGCAACGCCGATTTTGTCGAGGAGAACCGCAGCCTATTGAACCAGCTCGAAGCCCTCAACACTGCTGTTACCGAGTCCGACGCGCATGTCGCCAACCTGCAAGCAACACTTACTTCGACGCAGCAAGAGATGCAACGCTTGGCCCAGCTTGCATCGAGGACGGAGAGCTTGGAGCGCCAACTAGCGGAGTTTGAGCAAGAGCAGGCTATCTGGCAATCAAAGATGGAGGAAAAGGAACTCTCGGAGAGGTCGGCGTTGCGGAGATGGCAGACGGCGGAGCGTACCTTGGCGCAGATACAGGATCAAATTGAGCAGATCGAGCGCGAGGCGAAGGAGGAGCGCGAGAGGCATGCTGAAATTGTCGGACGTATGGAGAGGAGGCGCGTGGTAGAGCAGGAGTTGGGATCGGCGGCCGGACGTCTGAAGAGCGCTGCTGCGCTCAAGAACGCAGACCGAGACGCTACCAACGATGGCGTCGTGTCGCACTTTGTCAAGGATATCTTGCAGGACAACGCCAATCTGCAGACCGGCATTGTGGAGCTGCGTGAAATGCTCAACAACTCGAATGAGGAAGTGGAGAATTTGCGCAATCAATTATTGCTGCACCAACCTACGGATGAGAGCGAGGACGTGCCGCTGCCTAGCGCTGAGCGAAAGGATCTGGGGCTGGAGATGAACAGAGCGAAATCACAAGAACTGCACGTACACCACCACTACCACGCGCCGCCAGCCGCGCCAAAAGCACCACCTTTGCGGCGACCGAAGAAGAAGCGATACAGTGTCTACTCCACTGGCCAGTACACTCCGTCCTCTGGAACCAGCACCCCACGTTCGTCCGTATCCTACAACACGCCCAACTCCGCCGCCGCAATCTTGCAACAAACCGCCGCCAGCGTCCCGCCGTCGGCAGGAGGGAAGCGATGGTCCATGCAGTCAGCGGCGACGTACCACTCAATACTCGCATCGCCCGGACCCAGCTCGCCGTCCAACCGAACTTCCTCTGTCTATGAACGCGTCTTTAGCGATTTTGGACAGGACTCTTCACGACCTACTACGCCAGATACTGACGAGCCGGGTTCACCGTTGCTAGCGCCCATGCACTCCAGGAAGAACTCTGCGAGCTGGTCACGAACGTATAGTGCGCCGGTTGCGTTGCGGCATGGCTTCAAGAGCAGTGCTGCCATTCCGTCATTAGACTCGATCATGAGCATGGAAGAGCTGCCTAAAATCGCACCACCGCCGACACAGGAGGACCCGATTCCGGAGGAGAGCGAGAGAGACGACGACAACAACGAGCCCGAATGGCAAGAAGACGAAGATTCCAGCGCCGAAGAGCCACACTCCAACACCCCGCCACCTATCTCCACCATCGCCATCCACCATCAACCCTTCCAACCCTCTCTCCGCCGCGCCGCCTCCCACGAATCTCTCCTCTCAGTCTCAGGCATGGACATCCACACCCTCAAATCCCGCCCCTCGCAGCTCCTCGCCCCCTACGCCAACCGCGCCCTCACCTCCCAAGCCGTCATCAGCGACACCACAGCGCACGCCACGCGGCCCGTGCCCCTGACGTCCCGCTCTTCCACTGCAGCTACTGGTCGCAGTTTGCTGAGCGGGATGGCTTCCGAGCAGCGCCAGCAGGCTGCTGCCGTGTTGAGTCGACCTGCTGCTGCTGCGGGACTGGGGAAGAAGGTTGGTGGATGGGTTTTTGGGAGGTGGGGGGCTACGCCTGCGCCTAGTACTACGGCTGCGACAACGACGATGAAGACGGGTGGGGAGGTGAGACCTGTTGGTGCTGCTGCTGTCAAAGGAAAAGCGACAGACGTGAGCGGCACCAATGCTGCTGCCTCCAGCAAAACCAGAGCAACGAGCGCGGACGTAAGAAGCGTCAGTATCACCACCGCCGCCAAAGGAAAGGCGGACGTGGGCGGCGCCGGGACTGCAGCCGCCGTCCCCAAAGGCAAAGCAATGCGTGTCGTGAGTGATGGCGCGATCGCGGCAGGAGAGAAATCGGCGCCGACCATGCCGAAAATACCAAAAGTGCGCTCACCTGGGATCAACCAGTCAGGGCCTCTCCTGGGCTTTTTCGAGGAAGTCAGAACGCTGCCTGCGGCGCCGGTATTGAAAAGTCTGGACGAGGAGGCATTGAGGGATGTGTTGGGTGAATGAATGATTGGTCGATGATTGAAGGAAAGGAAGGACTCGTTGGTGGATTTGGGAAGTGTGCTGTTATGAGCGATGATACCCCATCCATGTCCCTTTCTTGGCGACAGGATATTCAAGAATATGCAAATCCGATACTATTCGTCTATTCGTGTGTCACAATCTAGCAAGGGCCCTTCCCCGCGTGCAGCATTCGCTCACTTCTTCTGGCCCACGATAACCCACATAATCCAATGCGTGCCCGGTTCAAAACCTGGATCATACGTCCGACGGAAATCGGCCACCACTTCCTGCGCTTTCTCCGCGCCCCGCTGCGCCCCACACACTTTGGTGATCATCAGAGGGAACATGGCAGACAGTTGCCCCGCCATGCCGTCAAACTGCGGCTGGCCCTCCACCGGCTTGGGCGGGAACGGGTACTGAAAGTCCTGCACATTCTCGAACGGCGCGGAGCGCAGGAGAGCGGGCAGCTTGCGCCCGATTTGCATGTCGAGGCTGCTCGCTCGGGTGTCTTGCAAGAAGGCGTCGTACCATTCCATCTTCAACGGCTTCTCATCCGGCGCGAGGAGGTCCATGTCGATCTCGTGCAGCTCCAGGTAGCCGCCGGGCTTCAAGAGGCGGGAGACGGAGGAGACGTGCCCTGGCCAATCGCTCACGCCCATGACTAGCAGGCGCTCGAAGATGTAGTCGAAGGACTCCGGTTCGAAGCGAGGGTCCTGGCCGATGAGGTCGACGACGTTGGCCTGGACGTATTCGAGGTTGGGGTGTTTGCCGTGCCGCGACTCAGGCACGGGAGCGAGATCCACGCCAATCACGTGCGCGTTGGGATATGTGGTCGCGAGCAGGGCGGTGATTGCTCCGGTGCCGCAGCCGCTGGACGAGAGATTCAGCTCGTGGTCTTGTGGACGTGGTGGAGATTACAATGGCTGGACGGGTTCACCTACATGTCTAGAATCCTCTTGGGGTTCGAAGGCGCGGCGTGGAGCGGCCGGTTGTTCATGATGGCCGCCAGACTCGCCGACTGGGTATCCAGCCGCTCGTGTTCCGGCTGATCTTTTGGGAGGTGGTAGCGGCTGCCGTCCTGGAAGGCACGCTTGGTCGGGTCTTCATCCCACTGAGACATGGTGGCGAACGAGATGCGGGTTTGGGCAAGGTGAAGCAAGCGATGTTCCGGTGGAAGGCTCCGTTTCCACTTTGTCTACAGCACGACGTTGTTGATTCATAAGTATTTATAAGTTGCTTTTGGCCCACTCGGCTACTGGTGGATCGGGGGACGTCATGGTTGCAGACCAGGTGAGGCTGAAATCCCGAGGTTCCCAGGTTGCTAGCGACGGACTCCGTTCAGCCCTCCTTAGCATCGCTTCAGGTTGGATGATATTGTCATCCAGAGCCTATGTCGCCTCGACGCGGTAAGCAAGGAGTATAGACGGGCCGGGATTAATGTATCTTCCATAAGCCTTTCGCAGGGGGAGGTGAATCCTTCTGCAGGCACTTACTGGAGTGCACAGTTAAGCTCACGCTAGTGGCCCTCGCCGAACCTTAAATACTTGAGGCAGATCTGCACTACACATTTCGTTCTTGCAAGCCTTGTCAATCTTCACCCACTCACAAGCTGCATATTCTACAGATTCACGTCCACTTTGAAAGAGAGTCGGAATCAATGCGTGATTGGGCATTGGTAGCCCTAGGGCTGGCGTGAAGTTGCGTTCAGCGTGTCGTGTGTGGGGACCACAGCATCTGAAATCGTGACTCGTATTTGCCAGCGGTGGCTTCCTTCGCTGACGCGGTCACACGCTCGAGAAGCAAAAGTAGCGGGCCCCTGGTATCCACTGCCTCCAACGAGTCACAAACATGGAACAAGAATCTGTCATGCAACTTCGCCCTCAGGATGGCGTAGCTGCGCAGACGGTGTTCACTCACACGGCAAACCCGGAGACACTGGATCAAACACCGCACCACGATCGCTCTGGTGCCATCGCTGACACCAAAATGGAATCGGACGATAACGACGACGATGATGAAGGGGTGTCGTTGATCACCAATCAATCCTCCGTTCAAACACACGTGACGGCCTCAATCGATGACCTCAACAGGGATGCAAGGTACCTTCAGATTTCGCCTACCAACCCTGCCGACATTTCGACAGTATGGGAACTGCCTGTCTCACCACTCAATTTCCGGCTGTCTGTGCTCAAGAAGCAATATGGTGTCACAAAACCCATGGCCGTCTCGTACCACAGGAACTGCCACCTCATCTCTCGACACTGGCACTGTCATCCGTGCGATATGATACCACCCTCATTACGGGAATCCACGCCGTACTCCCTCGCTCTTCTCATTACCCTCAGGCATGTGGCAAGCCATACGAAATTGGATCTGCCCAAGGCTCAATCCATGCTTCTCCAATCCTGGCAAGAACGCATCGAACGATTGAAAGCGAGAGTTGAGGATGCTCCTACGTTCTTCGCGTCCAGCACAGCAGAGCGGGTATATGCTCCTTGCGAACCAACAATCATCGAACACACACCAGGTCTGACTCTGGACGATGCCATAGGTGCTCTTAAGTCTTCCAGAAAGGGAGGCTTTGCCAACAAGCAGAAGTTGGCGACGGAGCCGTCGGGGCAGGCAAATGTCGAAACGACTTCCAGGTTGGCTCGCCGCAAGGCTATCAGAGCTGAAAAAAGAGAACGTTTCAGGCGAGAGGCGATCGCTGGGCTAGCAGGGGAACCTCGGCGTGCAAGACGGACTAGGAGCGGTGATCAGCTCGTTGATATTGAGATCGGAAGTCGGACGGATGATGGTACAGTCCCACCGAACAGTCCTGATCTACTCACCCAAGTCGTTGGATCAATGGAGCCTGCTCGCCCTGGACTTCCAAGAGGTGGCGTACAGACGGTACAGCGAACAGAGCAACCGGATCAAAGCTCCCGCTACAATTCCAAGCAAGACCGGTACGAGGATAGCCTGATGAGTCGCATGTTGGACCATGTGGAAATCGACAACTACGAGAGGCGCAAGGCGAGGACGGTGAAGCTGATGCAGAGAGGTGCGAGCCGCAAGCCCTCCCAGCCCAACTCGATGCCACTCGAGAAGATGGACTTCAACTCGCTGCCGACACTGCAGACGGAGTATCCCAGGACCGACAAGGTGGCCCTTGAGAAATTGGGCCAATTGTCGCTTGACGCTACACCGGATTGAGGCTGCGCCGCTAAATCTCTAAGATGAATGAGAGAGGTCGTTAAGTTGGGGGCGCTTGCAATTGGGAAAGGCTGCCATCAGGATTCATGCGGCTAGGTCTTGGCTTTGATCTCCTGGCTGGAGAGGTACGACGGCACGTGTAACGTAGTAGACGAGCTTTCATCTCCCACTTCTGGAGAAGAATTACGAAATGCCCTCTGGAAAAATATGAACACTGACTGAAATCCGCAAGCCATCTCTGCCATGACCCTTTACACTGCTCACTAGTCCGAACCGTCGACGGTGTCTGGACTACTTCTGTACTCGCTCTCGTCCTCGAAATTGCTCCCATCCCTTTCCAGTTGGCTTTGATGCTCATTCTATGATTCTGTCTCCTCCTCCAAACTATCAGATGAAGGCTCGCTGCATATCTATTGGAAGCTCTGCTGTGACGTTGGAGCTCTGGCGCTCTCCGCCCCCACATCTCCACACATAGCGGCCCACACCTCCAACCCCACAATCCCCAGCACTTAGCCTTGCCGAGCGATCACATTCATGAAACTTGAACATCTGGGCATCCTGACTCCATCAAAACACGGGCCTGCAGAACGACTGGACACCATGTTACCACCGCTCATCGCTCTCGAGGAGCATTTCTTCTCCACCGGCGTTCTGAACGCCCTCACTGAAACCTACCAAGAACAGTTCAAGCACGTCCCAGGCCTCCGCGACAAAATCGCCGACCTGGACCAGCTCCGGCTGAGCGATATGGACAAGAACGAAATCTCAATGCAAGTCATCTCGCACGCCTGCGTTCCCGGCGGCCCAACTGTCCAGCAATGTATCGAAGGCAACGACCAGTTAGCCGCCGCTTGCAAAAAGCATCCCAACCGCTTCGCTGGCTTCGCAGTGCTGCCGATGGCTGACGCGGAGGAATCTGCTCGCGAACTGGAGCGAACGGTGCGAGAGTTGGGCTTCGTGGGTGCGTTGATCGACAATCGCGCGCAGGAGAAGTATTACGATGGCGCGGAGTATGATTGCGTGTGGAAGCAAGCGCAAGACCTCGATGTCCCCATCTACTTACATCCCACTTGGCCGGCGGAGAGCATGGCTGCTCAATTTACGGGGAACTTCACGAGCGGAGCGAGCAGGAGTCTAGGGGCGTCTGGCTGGGGCTGGCATGCTGATTGCGGTTTGCATGTCTTACGACTGCACGCTGCGGGAGTGTTCGACAGATTCCCTCGACTGAAGATCATACTGGGGCACTTTGGCGAAATGTTGCCCTTCCAGCTGCAGCGCATCTGCAACCTGAGTGTGCGGTGGGGAGAAATCCAGCGAGATTTTAAGACGGTATGGCAGGAAAATATCTGGATCACGACGAGTGGAGTGTGGTCTTTGGATCCGTTGCGATGCATTTTGCATAATACGCCGATTGACCATATCATGTTTAGCGTGGACTATCCGTTGGAGAAGAACGAGAATGGATTGATGTGGATGAAGGAGTTGGAGCAGAGCGGACTTGTGGCGAGTGAGCAGTTGGAGATGATTGCTTATAAGAACTCGGAGAAGCTGTTGAAGGTGAAGGCGCCGGCAAGGTGATGTGCCCATGGGTTGGCGATTGACTGTCTGGTCAACGTCTTCGTCGTCGCCTGATGGATCGCAGTTCCTGCATCGTTAGTGGGGTCGAGAAGCGCGGACGGCGCTAGTGGCGGCAAGAGTGCATGCATCAAGGCAGCATCTCTCCATCATCCATCCGTATACCTTCTCCATACGCATCACAAAGCACCCGTCCACAATTGCGGACCATGGAGCTGCGGGCGATCCAACCACCCTGAGTCGATGCACACCCAAGCCCCAGATGCCCCGCGCATTGACTTCCGCCTCAAAGGCAGGGAGGGTGATAAAGTATGACTCCTTCCAGTCTAGTCAGCGATCCCTTGCCGGCGCAGTGAAACACCAGACCGTGCTGCCGACATCCCCGGATTTGGAAGAGGCCCCCTGGCGGCCGCGTTTGACTCAGAACCTGGCCGGCCGGTGCACGGTTATCGGCGTCTCGTGATATGGAGTTCTTTTCGCGTTATTGGCTGCAGCCACTTTACGCGTCGAATCGCGTCTCCTCCCGTCTGCCACCCTCCTTCCCTTTTCGACTTGTGCACCGTCAAGGTTCGCCCTTGTTGCATGGGCGGGGCGAGGTGAGGGCATGGATGATTACAGTGAGTGTGGTGGTGTCTGTGTTGGTTTCCTTTTTCATTTTGCGGGAAGTGTGGCCTGCTTTGAGGAGACCCCGGGCAGAACAAGAGTATAAATAGCCATCTCTTCCTCCACCTTCTTATCAGCATTTCGCTGCGTCCTTCTCATCCAGAACCAACTACGCCGCTTGACTCGTTCCAACCATGTTTGCCAAATCCTGTCGTGAGAGCTTCTCCTACCGAGCCGGAAAGGCCACGAGCAAGAAGAAGGAGCGGTCGTTCCGAGACAAGGACTTGACTCGTTCGAGAACCATGTTCATTCCACAGACAACCAAGCCATCTCAGTCACAGAGTCCGTCAAGCTCCAACCCAACCTCGCCGTAAGTCTGGTCGCTGATAGCAGCTCATCATGGTCCAGTCAACTAACACTTTCAAAGCAACCTCAACTCCTCCATCGTGACCATAAGCGTAGGCGCCTCATCGCGACTCTTTGCCGCTCATGAAGACGTCTTGTGCAAGTCTCCCTACTTCGCTCACATGTGCCGTGCCCACTTCTTCGAGACGTCGGGCAAACGCCTCGATCTCCCGGATGAAGAGCCTGAGATCTTCTCCGCTGTGCTCGAGCATCTCTACAAAGGCGACTACACCCCCAAGCTAGCATTCGACAAGAAGCGAGCCAGCTGGTACCTCGAAGACGGCGTGAGCGAACGAGGCGAGAACGCAATATACCTCGGCGAGGTAGTCGGCACCGTCCTGAAAGACACCATCATCTACGTAAGCCCCTCCCCTCCACCCTCTCACATCCATCCCTAACTTCTTCACCCCAGTGCTCCGCCCAACGCTACAACCTCCCCGACCTCCAACGCCTCGCGCTGAAAAAGCAAGGCCTGCAAACCGGCGTGCAATGCAGCACCATCCTCGCCTCCGCCCGCTTCGCCTACGCCCACACGCCCGCCAGCGACTCCAAGCTGCGGGCGCACTACCTCGCGCTCATCATCCGCAGTCGCAATACGTTCAAGCGAAGTGGTACCATGCAGATGGAGATGCAGAAGGGTGGGACGCCGTTGTTCTTTGACTTGTTTGTTGCGTTGGTTAATCATCTTGTAAGTTGTTGTGATCCTTGGGCAGGTGACATGCGTGTGAGACGGTGGCTGACTGGAACGTCTTTGCTAGGATGATATTGCGGGCGTCGCCAAGTCGCCGCGGTAGGCTGTCGTCTCCTACTACAGCTGGGAGGTCTTTGGGCTCTGGCAATCACCAATGTGAGTTCGCCATGTTGTCTTTCATTGGCGTTGGGATATTACGGGACTTGTATGATATCGGCTCTTACTCAATTTCATATGCTTGATACTGCTAGATGCTATATGTTATAGCACTCTCTACCTTTCATGACCCAAAGATACTCTATTCAGTCCTAATATGGGTGGATAAACTTGACGTTTCAGGATGACAAGACCTCGTCCAACACCTTCACAAAGCCTCGGATTTCCTCCTCTGTATAACCGTCAGCCTTGCACCTCGTAGCATGTAAAGCCACTCGTAGCCACTCACCGGTATTGTAATGCACCAGAGACACTCGAATAACCCCATCGACAGGATCCAAGCCCAACACATCCTGCACCAAGCGGTTCGAATAGAAAGACCCCCATCGGAAGCCATAATTGCTCTTCGCTTCCACAGCCTCGACCACCTCACGACTACTCCTCCCCTCAACAACAAAACTAATCACGGGGACTCGCTTCTGCTTATCCGCAACCGGCTCGCCACAGATTCTTATCCGCCCGGCCTTCGAGTTCAAATAGTCGATCAGAATCGCCTGCAGCCGTTCTTCATGATCGGCAATCTCGTCCCACGGGATGCGCTTGAGGTACTCGACAACGTGCGGAATACTGGCAGTTAGTTCGTAGTTTGCGGCTGCGAGGCCGAGGGTGTAGGAGAGCTCGTTGACGGGGTGGAAGAAGTGGCCGAGCGTGCGGAGGTGTTTTTGCGCGGCTTTGGAAACGTAGAGGTTGGCGACGTGCGGGCCGTAGACTTTGTACCATGAGAAAGAATAGATGTCGACTTCCAATTCCTTGACATCGACTTGTCGGTGCGGAGCAAATGCCACGGCGTCCACGACGAGCAAAGCACCGACTTCATGCACGGCTTGAGCGATCGCTTTGACATCGTTGATCGTGCCGAGGATATTACTCGTGTGCGTGACGGCGACGAGTTTCGTCTTGGGACTGAGCAACTTTCGCAAGGTGGGAAGCTCGACGTGCGGGTTCTGCTTGTCGAGTTCCGGGGCGTACCATCTCAACGTGCAGCCGCGGTCGGTGGCCAGCTGGATCCAGGAGGCGATGTTGGCTTCGTGGTCGAGTTTGGAGACGATGATCTCATCTCCAGGCGAGACGTAGTTGTACAGGGCCTGGGAGACGTTGCGGAAGAGTTGAGTGGTTGAGGGGCCTGGAAGTGTACCAAGTCAGCCAACGATGCTCATTCGAAAGGGACTGGACAGGATCATTGTCGTCACCTACCTATCACCACTTCCTCTGGTTGGGCATTGATATACTTCGCCACGGCTTCGCATCCCACCTGAAAGAGCCTGGTGGATTCCTGGGCTACGGGATAGCTCGCTCCGAGTTGGACATTGTTCGATGATAAGTAGTCGGAAACGCTGGCCAATGTCAGTTCGCCACACCGGAGCTCAACGAATGCGTGCAGTCCTTACGATGTGATGACTTCTTGAAGCACTTGGCTTCCTTTTTACGAGACACAATCAGCTTGGTTAAGTGCAACAATACGAGTCGTCCCAACTTACCACCGGCATTGTCAAAGTAGATTTGCTTGTGCTGCAACGCAGGGAAATGCTTCCGCAGTGCGGAGACGTCGAATTGGGTACTCATGATTCTTTCAATGCAAGATATGTGTTTCGATATGCGATGTGCAAGTGTTGCAACGCATACAAGGTATCTCAATGTGGTCCCGAAAGAAGTGGAGTAGACTGGATTTACGTAATCTTCCATCTCCACCCGATGTGTTGTCTTCGCATCAACTCGGTCTCTTCTCCATCATCCACTTCAAGGCCAATGACCTAGACAAGCTCTTGCTCACGATGGAGAGACAACACCGTCGTAAAAAGCGCTTGCCCGACGTAGCCTTGTGACGGCCATCTTTAACCACCAAATCATCACGCGAGGAACCGCCCCTACCAAGCATGCATTGGCGTGGGACGACAAGCACTTGGCATTCATGGCCGCACCTCATTCATCAGGTAGGTAGGTATACCTCGCTTCCATCTCCTCTCGTCAGCTATTTGTTTCCTCTCAAAATCGGCGCTGCTACCTCATGATGTCCTCGAGCGTATCGAACCGCCTGCTCTCTCTCTTCCTCCTCCTCTTCCTCGTTCACCGCGTGCATGCATTCGGCGCCGGCAACATTGGCTCCACCGCCGCCATTGAAGGCAGTAACTTCCGACATGGCGATATCGAAGACACCCTCCTCACCCTCCTCACCGCTCGAGCCATGGGCGGCAAGAAGTTCTCTCGACTCGACGTGAAGCGCGTCTACTTCGGCAATTGGTTAAGAGATTACAGTCAGGCTGTCGATGTGGGCACCGTCAAGCACGTCAGTGCCGAGGCCATCAGGTTGCTGTTGTGGATACTGGGGTTCATGAGCTTTGGCTATGGGACGGGCGAGTTCGAGGTTACGACGGAACGGCTGGGTTGCTATCGGCCGGAGGAACATATCGACAATCCAAAGGACTATGCGGATAATGTCGATGCGAGGCAGTATGATCAACGCTTGCGTGGGCCAATCGATGAGCAGCGAGAACTCTCGGTCGATCCCAGAACTGGTCTGAAGCAGTACATTGCTTCCGAAGATCTCGGCATCACAACATCTGCTGGCATGGTGCGTAGGCTTTTCAGACGATGCATTGAGCTCGGTCGACAATACACGCAGACAAAGGACGAGAAGGATTTCTACGAAGCTCTTCGTCTCCTCGGCACTGCGTGTCACTGCCTCGAGGACTTCTCCGCCCACAGCAACTACGTCGAGCTTGCTCTTGTCGAACTCGGGGAAACCAATGTCTTTCCTCACGTCGGCCGCCAAACCCGCATCCAGCTTCAAGGCGCGCCTCAGCCAGTCTTCCCCATTGTCACGGGAACTTTCGGCGGCGTCGACTTCTTACATTCCGTCATGGGCGAGTTCAGCGACAAAGTAACGCAATCTGAGCTCCAAGAACTCGAAGGCACAATCCAGCAGTCTAGAAAACAAGACACGAGTCTCCTCAAGCAGCTCCTCAACCAAATCCCCAGCGGCATATTCGGCGGCAAAGACCACGCCAACGAAGCAGACCAACTGCAAGCCAACGCCCAAGCAGCCGAATTGCAAAACCTCCAGGTCTCTCCCAAACAGCCCGAGGCCTTCACGCAGCAGGTTGAAGAGGTTTGCAAGCAGATCTACCCCGTCCTCGAATTTCACGACAACATCATGCAGGGCATCACCGAAGCCATCGAGCATATCCCCATACTTCCTCAACTGCTCGATAAGTTGCAGGAACAGCTGAATGTCTTTGTCTTCTCCCTCATAGCACCTTTCGTGCTGCCCATCATCAAGCAGGTGAAGGCAGAGCTGACTACGGGATCGAGCGAGGTCATCCAGTCAAGCAGGGAAAAGCAGTTGATTGTGTTTAATGACGACCACTGCACCGATCCCACGCACAGCATGCTTTCGAAAGACCACTTCAGCAACGTGCTGAATGAGCCGGCAGGCAAGGTGGCGTCAGAGGTGTTGAAGTGGGTGGTGCCGCAGATTGTAGCATGTTGGGATGATCCCTCGATTGGTGAGTGTTTTTGCCGCATTGCCAAAGTGGACGACTGCTAACAAACAGATCCAAGATATCCGCCGCACGAACTCGCGCATCATAAACGGAATCTTCCACCACCCCGCCCTCCGCTCACAAGGCGAAGACGGCGCGCACGAAGGCCGCAAAGCCATGTTCCACGTCGTGAAGGACTGGTGGCAAAGCACGCTCGGCGAGCCCGAGCGCGAGACTCTCCGCCACAAACTCAGCAGGCAAGGCGTGCAGCAGGGTCGCAACCACAAGGAAGGCGTGCACGATACTGGCCACGGCTGCGGGAAGCCGCTGGGGATGCCGGGCGTGCTTACTGCTGCGAGCTCCGGGGCGATTGGTGGGGGATCTCCTTTCCCTGGTTCTGGATCTTTGTCCTCTGGTGCTCTTGGAGCTGTGGTTGGGGGTTTGGCCGGCGTTGTTGGCGGGGAGTTTTTCGAGGGTGGAAATCAGGGCGGTCAGTACAGTATGCCCGATGGGCATAACTTTCAACAGCAACAACAGCAGCAGCAGCACGGATACCCAGGTGCGAATTACCACAACAACCCTCCCCAACATCCACCCCAACACCAAGGCGCATACTCATCCCCTCAACTCGCGCCCTGGGAACAACAGCAACAGCCCTTTCCCGGCCAGCACCCAGGCGAAAGACCTCATCCTCATAGACAGCAAGGGGTCGGTCATGGAGGGAACGGCGAAGACGAAAGCGACAATAGTCACGAGAGTGACGATGAGGAGAGGAGGGAGAGGAGACGTCGCCGACGGCAGCAGAGGTGGATGGAGGGGGGAGGAGGAGGAGGAGGGAGGATGCATGAGCCTGAGCATGAGAGGGGCAGGGGTAGAGGGGGTTTTGGAAGGAGCGGTGGAGGCGGGAGAGGGAGAGGGATGGGGATGGGGATGGGAATGGGAGGCGGTGGTGGAAGGGGAATGGGAACGGGGATGGGAGGCGGTGGCGGTGGCGGTGGGGGACGAGGCATGGGAGGTGGAGGGCATGGTCGTGGAGGTGGTGGAGGCGAGAGAGGAAGAGGCATGGGCGGGAGAGGTGGTCGGGGAGGGCGAGGCAGAGCAAGGGACATGGATTGATGAGGAGCGCGAGCAACTTTACATACTGTCGGATCGGAGAATTCAAGACAAGTGAAAGCAAAGAGTACATCGCATCTCATTGATTTTTGATTTGTCTATCTAATACTCATGCCACAGGATCTTTGACGGCCGTGGACACGGATGACGGACGTGTAGCAACGCCATCGCTCTCCAACTTCAAAGATCATCCATCGTCCATGCCTCTGACCCGGAGAAACCAATATGCTCGTGATAGTCGTGGGGGGTTTGTTGGCGCAGGAGAGACAAGGCACACGCAAACCCACCATCCGTCGTCGTAATCCATCGCTTTTCGGTCTGCATGATCTCATTGCCCCTGCTATGCCTTTCGACGGTGCTGATGGCGTCTGTTCCGTGCGCGTTCCTTTTCCCCCACACCATCATTGCCGCTCCATTTACAAGTCGGGATCCTCCTCGTCCGGCAACGGCATGGCCGAAGCTTCCGCCATCTCCTGCTGGTACTTCTCCATCGCAGCCTGGTCGACCTGAACTTCGGGGGGAGCGAGAGCGGGGGCAGCGACGAAGTCGAGCGACTGGTTGCCGACGAGCTTCCGGGCGAGCCACAGGAAGGGCTTCTCGAAGTTGTAGTTGCTCTTGGCGGAGATGTCGTAGTACTGCAGGTTCTTCTTGCGGTGGAAGGTGATGGTCTTGGCCTTGACCTTGCGCTCCTTGACGTCGACCTTGTTGCCGGTCAGGACGATGGGGATGTTCTCGCACACGCGCACCAGGTCGCGGTGCCAGTTGGGCACGTTCTTGTACGTGATGCGCGACGTCACGTCGAACATGATGATGCCGCACTGCCCGTTGATGTAGTAGCCGTCTCGCAGCCCGCCGAACTTCTCTTGTCCCGCGGTGTCCCAGACGTCGAATTGGATGGGGCCGAGGTTCTGTGATGGTCAGTTTGGGGGGGTTGGGAAAAGGAGGGTGGATTGAGCATACCGTGCTGAAGCCAAGGGGGTGGACTTCGACACCGAGAGTGGCAATGTACTTCTTCTCGAATTCTCCCGTCAAATGGCGCTTCACGAAGGTAGTCTAGAAGTGAGGAGAGTTCGGTTAGCTGGTGCTCCCATCCGCGCTTCACTGATCTGCCTGCTCCAGCCACCCAGAGAGTGCCTCAGGCTCTTGCTGCTTGACATACCTTTCCGGTACCACCATCACCGACAAGGACCAGCTTGAAGGTGGGGGTGTTCTGTGCTTCAGCCATGATGAGATTGGTGTGGTGATTGGTGGCGTGGGCGATCGTGCACAATCGTGGGGCAGGGTCGATGGCGAGAGTGTTTCAGAGACTCTCGATCGTGTGGTTGTCGGTGTGTGTGGTGGAGCAAAGAGTGGCGGAAAGAAGGGGTGGTTGAGAGATGGTGTAGAAGAAGCGGTCGTGAAGGTAAAAAAACAGTGAAGGTGTGAAATCACCGCCAAACACGCCGTTGAGGTCCGTGCGTCACAGCGACAACCGGAAAGCTTAAATTTGCAGGCCGACTTCAACTTCCCCCCGGCACGACCATCATTCACTGTATTTGCATCGACGTCCGAGGTAGCAGTAGTCGTGACTTGTGCAACTGTCATTGATATGCCGTATTGAGTGCACGCTTTCAAGCTATGAAGTCTTCATCTATGCTGCCTTCCAGTGAATGCTAGAGAGCATATACTCTACTTCAGAGTGGCGGTATTAGCACCAATAGTCTCCTCCAAGCTGGTCCAGCCCTTTCCATAATGCTTCCTCAACAGCGCCTCGGCATCTTGCGATGGAATCTGACTCAAATCCTTGCCCTGGTCCGCGATGTCCTCCGGGAACGTCTTGCCGGGGTTCTGTTTTTGGAGGATTGCAATGACATCCTGCCAGGTGTATGGCGCGGCGAAACCAAAGAGTCTCTGTCCGTTGCAGCTAGGATCAATCAACGCGATGAGGTGGAGCTTCGCGTCGTCTCGCACGTCGATGAAGTACTGCGGCGGGAACTGGAGCATGGATGTTTCGCCTTTGAAGAGGCCAGTGATCCAGCTGGCAGTGCTTGCGGAGTCCTCGCCACCCGGCTTCAGGATGGGGCCAAAGTTCGCGTTGGGGAGCACGGCGGCTGCTTGGAAAGGTGGCTTGCTGTCCTTGATGGCTTTCCAGAAGGCTCGTTCTCCTTCCACCTTCGAGGCGCCGTACACCTGTCGATCGTAGTCAGTACTCAACGCTTCGCCGGCCTTATGTTACGTTCTGTATATTGCGTAATACTCACAATGAATCCCTGGGGATCTGGCTCTTTCGACTTCTTCACCGCGTCGTCATTCCACGTATCGTGTGTGACTTTGATCACCTCGTTCGGTGTAGGCGTCAAAGCCGCCATCGAACTGGAAGTGAGCACAATCGACTTGACCCCCGGCTCCTTAGTCGCCGAGACCAAGATATTCAGCGTTCCCTTGACCGTGGGCGGGATCACTTCATCCGGATTCGAGCTGAAGGTCAGGACGGAAGCCATGTGGATAATCCCGTCCACGCCCTTGACCGCTTCGTCGAAAGCGCCCTCGGCGATCATATCCGGAACGACGACGGTCTCGAATTTGCCCTTGCCGAACTTCTTCTCGACAAGCTCCTGCAGCCATTCTATTTTCTTCTCGTCGCGCACTGTTCCTCGCACCCGATACCCGGCCTCGAGGACGGCGAGGACGGTGTGGCCGGCGATGTAGCCAGACGCGCCAGTGATGAGGACGAGCGAACCCTTCTCAATTGTTGCCATGATGACTGACGTTTGTTGTTCGGTTGGAGGGTTAGTATCGTCCATCGAGTTTGATGCATTGGGTCTCGGTATTTATCTGGAGACTGCCGAAGCCTAAAAGTTGAGGAATTGTCATCATTACTAGGGGCATAAGCTACAGGTGCTGCAGAACGTCGTTATACGTCATCCGAAACTTCATTGGCCTGAATTCGTGGATTCTCTGGAGATCTTCAACCACTCGACTGTGTAAGACCCCTCGTTTGGACTACTTGATTGCTAATCCAAAAATTAGAAAGAGAATGACATGATCCAGGTTCACAACATTCACGAGATGACCAATCAACAACGGGACGAGAGCAAAACGCTACTTGGACGTATGTGTGATCTTCACATTCGTCCAAAGGGCAAGAATTTACGCCGCAGCTGAGAGTCCGTCGAGTACGAGCGTGGACTGAGATCGCGTAGTTGTCGAAAGTTCTCAATCTCTTCATTTCCTATGCATAAGCGTCCATGTAACTCCGTAGCCTCGCTATGCCACCGTCTGAGCCGATAGTTCCAGACCACTGTTAACGCCAGATCTTGTCCGATCGCGGCGCTATATCATGCCTCTTGGGCAGCGTCCACGGAACAGCACAGATGACCTTGTTCAGGATGTCAGCACAAATGTGGGCAAAGGCATGAACAGAAGGTTCTCCAAACACACCTCTCCCTCGGAATACGCCCAGAAATACGCGCCGAGGCCAATCAAATAGTACATTGCCGGGTTCATGCCTTGGTATAGCAGCGCCGCACTCAAGCTCATCAACGGCAGCCAAAACATCCTTAACACCATGCTCTTGTGGATCGTGGTGCCGGCGACGTATTTGAGCGGCCACTCGTACATCAGGCTGATGAGGGCGAAGACGATGTTGATGGTCTGCAGGATGGGCACCGGTTTGACGGCGCCGTCGAGGTTCTTGGTCGCAAAGTCCCAGAAGATTTTGGGCCAGAAGTAGCATTCGAGGGCGGCGCCGAAGTGGACTGTGGAGGGCAGGGTTGTTAGCAAAGACTCGTCGCGAGAGTCCTCTAGATGGCTGTCTTACATGCTGCTGCCGTCAAGACCACCAGACGGGCCCAGTGGTTTTTGATGAGTTTGCCCATGCCGTGCAGAGTATGAGGGGTGTAAGTGAGCTGCGCTGGATGAGGAACGGTGTCGCTACCGCAGGGGATTTGAGGATCTCATGATCTGATGTCGGGACTGGCAGGGACAAGACTAGAACGAAGCGCGGCAGTGTGATGTATGCTGGACAGGAGGGCGGGAATAGAGTCTGGCGCCCGGTGTATGCGCGTGCGGGGGCCTGGAAGACAGGTGAATCACTTCACTCGATAGACGCCAGGAGGTTGCAGGCGAGAGTGCTGGAAAGTCGGAACGTGAATGCAGGTGACAACGAAACAGCACTTACGCCACGAAATGCGGACCGAGCGCGCTTCTTCTACAGCGCATGCCCGAAGCAGACGGGCCAGAGCGGAATCTGGCCATCTCCGCAGCAGATGCAGGTTGGGACGAGAGCAGAGAGATGTCGAAGCGCCGGGTGTGACGAATGAGCTCTGTCGTGGGGTGCAGCCAATCAGGGGACAGAAGTGGCAATTACGCGCCCAAGGGGTCGGCGGCTAGGCGGGGCTCTGCTCCCGGCCCGCGCCGCCCAATGCTTTGGGCATGAGCGTCAACGTCCACTCGTGTCGTGAGACCGGCCATCTGGCGCATGCGTGCAGATGCTAGTCACACTCCATTAACGACCCATGCGTTCGGGATGGGTGTCTTTCCGGTTGTAGGTGTCTGTGCATTCATCTTCCCTTCCTTCTCACCTGTGCAGGTAGGTCGGCGCACACGTGCTATCTTCCCTCAATACATCTCCTTGAACCACATCAAAAGAGTGCTTGCTTCTGATCACACTGGTGCACTGTTGCCGGGAACGACCCTGCGGAAACGACAGTCGTGGTGAAGTAGGAGCCAAAGAGGCTTCAGGGTCATCTATGAATCTTGAAATGCCACACCAGCCGACTATGCATCGATAACAACATTACCTACTACAACTCGCAGTCTCACCGCCGATCGCAATGGCCGCAACACCACCCCATCGGAGGTCATGGCTACGCGCCCAGTTCACCGCGCCAAAAGTCCTCTTCTACGCCATCTTCCACGGTCTACACATTCTCATCTTCATCATCGGCTGGTACATTCAGGAGACCGACCAGCGGCTGGCCGTGCTCAACGAACTGCACTTCAGCGTTTGGATCTCCAGAGGAGCCGGCTTATGTCTAACTTTCGACGTCACGTTTATCCTCGCCCCGATGCTACGCAATCTTCTGCGCTTCATCCGCCCCAAAATCCGATGGCTGCCCTTGGACGAGACGCAGTGGTTCCATCGCCAGGTGGCGTACAGCTTACTCTTTTGGACCATCGTCCACACTGCCTCTCACTTTGTCAATTTCTTCAATGTGGAGGCCTATCAACTGCGGCCCGTCGCTGCCGTCCAGATCTTGTACACTGAAGCTGGAGGCGTCACGGGCCAAGTCATGCTCCTGTGCATGCTGCTCATCTACACCACGTCACACGCCAAGATTCGGCAGCAGAGTTACGAGACGTTCTGGTACACCCACCACCTCTTCATCCCCTTCTTGCTCGCAATGTATACGCATGCTACGGGGTGCTTCGTCCGCGACTCGGTACATCCGTACAGTCCATTCGCCGGCGAGAAGTTCTGGAATCATTGTCTCGGCTACGAAGGCTGGAGATGGGAGTTATGGGCAGGCGGTCTTTACCTCATCGAACGGCTCTACCGCGAGATCCGGTCACGACGACAAACCGAGATCATCAAAATCGTGCGCCATCCTTACGATGCCGTCGAGATCCAATTCCGCAAGCCTAGCATGCGCTACAAAGCAGGCCAATGGCTCTTCCTCAACGTCCCGAGCGTGTCGCAAAATCAGTGGCACCCCTTCACCATCACATCCTGCCCCTTCGATCCATACATCAGCATCCACGTCCGACAAGTCGGTGACTTTACCCGATCTTTAGCCTCAGCCCTCGGCGCTGGTCCTGAACAGCAATCCCTCTATAACGAGCTCGACCCTACGGGCATGTACGAAGTGGCGCTCCAAAAGGGCCAACAAATGCCGCGCATCCGCATCGACGGCCCATACGGCGCGCCAGCCGAAGACGTCTTCGAAAACGAAGTCGCCGTCCTCATCGGCACGGGCATCGGCGTGACCCCGTGGGCCGCCATACTCAAGAACATCTGGCACCTGCGCCTCTCCCCCGACCCTCCACGCCGCCTGCGCCGCGTCGAATTCATCTGGGTCTGCAAAGACACCACCTCCTTCGAATGGTTCCAGACTCTGCTCTCCTCCCTCGAAGCGCAGTCTCTCAGCATGACGGGTCCCGGAGCAGACGCCGAGTTCCTGCGCATCCACACCTACCTCACCCAAGCCATTGACATCGATACTGCGCAGAACATCGTGCTCAATTCCGTCGGCATGGACAAGGATCCGCTGACGGAGTTGAATGCGCGGACGAATTTCGGGCGGCCGGATTTCAATCGCTTGTTTGTTGGCATGAGACAGGGGATCCTGAATCAGACCTACATGCCTGGCTTGCAGCAGGATGGGGCCAGGAAGAAGACCGAGGTGGGCGTGTATTTCTGCGGGCCGAATGTGGCTGCGCGGGATATTAAGAGGGCGTGCAAGGAGGCGATGGTGGAGGAGGTGAGGTTTAAGTTTTGGAAGGAGCATTTCTGATGTGGCATTGGAGTTTCTGGAGTGGACGGAGAGTTGAATTTACGCCGTGATCTCGCACGGCTTGCATGAAGTGTACCATTATTACTCCTCAGAATGCATTGTTTCCGAACCGCATTGCATGTCAAGCACACCGTCCATAGCCCAGCACGAACCCATCTCTGTCCAGCAATGCAATCCCATCCCTCGAGTCCATATCGTACAACCGCATCTTCCCCCCTCCTCGCTTCCCCCTCTTGCTTACACCACATCTCTTTCAACCAAACAAACTCCCACCCGCGCTCCCTCCAGCCCCACCCCTCTGCGCCGCCTCTCCCTGCATTTTCTCCGACACCTTGACATTAACCTCAAAGAATTTCGCCACGCAGCGATCCAAGCACACCGACTCGCCCTTGTTCAGGTCGTTTTCGCGGTACTCGGGAGGGATGCACTTTTTCGTGCACGTGTCGACTAGTCTGTGAGAGAGGGGGAACTCGGTCAGCGAGACGGTTACTCGTGGGATAGCTGCGGGAGGCGTAGGAGGCCAATTCACTGGTTGAACATGTTGGAGACCATTTCGATCTCCGCCTCTGCTGCTTCGAGTTTTTGGGCGGACGTGGGTTGCGGCCTGCTTTGGCCGAAGAGGAAGGACATTGTGGTTGTTCGTGGAGGCGTCGGTGAATGGGGTGGATGTTTTGCGCTGATGAGCAAGTTGAATGCAGATGTGTAGAAGGAGGATGCGAGTGTAAGAGGTGTAGCGGTGGTTGGAAGTTGATGGTTCGTGGAAACGTCAGGGCAGCAGACTCGAGGAAGCTTGGACCAACTGCCTTTTGAACCTCAGGCTTCCTTCAATCTGCGGCCGTCGACATATCGGCCAGTCTTCTTTATTTTTATTGTGATTGATATGGCTCCTCGCTGAAGCTGTCGTCTTTGCCACATATTGCTAAATCATGTGGCCTTCATGTCAACTCCGCTGACTCTGAAACGAGACATCTCGCCTCCTCCACTGCGGAAAGGCTCGACCGTACAAACGACGAATGGAGACAAACGACGAAAGAGCAGTCTGACGGATTGTTCCCGTCGTGACGATGAGCAGAAAAATCTATCAAGTGCCGGGCCGTCACTGGCAGCCATAGAAGCAGGCCAAGTCGAAATACGCAACCATCTCGACTACTTCACCTCGCATTTCAAGCAAGTCTTGCGCCCTGCAACGACGGCACGCCTCGACATCGATGAGTTCAATCAGCTCTACCGTCGCAATCGACACGTGCACGGTCGTCACTTTGTAGTACATCAGCACGATCATCCTGTCTCTGGTAAGTTGATCTCCCTTTCTTACACTCTACTTCTCCCAACTGACAAAGAGCAAGGCGTGCATTACGATCTCCGACTGCAGTTCTCCGACTCAAGCACTCTCTCTTTCGCCATTCCTTATGGCTTACCCGGGAATGCCAATTCTCGAAGGCCCACGCGCATGGCCATCGAGACGAGAGTCCACAATCTATGGGTTCGTGCCCTTCCATCCATGCACGAGAATCCACGACTAACGGTACCAGAACAACCTGATAGAATCCGCATCCCACTCCACAGGCTCGCTTCTCATCTGGGACACGGGAGAGTACGAAGTCCTCCCGTGGCGGCAAACCGACACCCGCTCGACGGACGACGAACACTCGGATGCCGCTCAACGGGACGGAGACAAGTCAAGCGAGCAGTCACACAGTGAGCGCCTCGCGAAAAGCTTCCAGCAACGTCGCATACGGCTACGACTGCACGGCACCCGCTTGCCCACAAACTACACAATCTCGATGTGGCTCTCCTCAACAAATGATCGAGACTGTCAGCCCAAAAAGCCCAAACGGAAGCGTCGACGCATCGACCCCACCAAAACGGCCAACAAATTTGAAATCATGACATCAAGCGAGAGCGAGTCAGCAGAGATGCAGCAGGTAAAGCAATCACTCGATCCAGCCGTTAAGAACGAACAAGAAGAAGAGCAAGACGCAGCCGCAGGCGTAGCTTCCGACGCCGAGGACGAGGACGCCTCCATCCGCGCCAACAATGCCTATCCTGGAGCAAACAATACTATTGGTTCCATTCACCAGCGCTCCTGGTTCTTAACGCTTGACAAGAAGAATTCCGGGTTTGAGCGGATTCGCTCCGGGCCGGATGCTGGGAGGCGGAGAGGTGGATGGGAGCCTTTCTTTGTGCGAGGGAGGGATCATGAGAGAAGTGTGGTCACCGGGCGGAGCGCGGATGAGGTGATGGAGGACGAAGGAGTGGACAAGTTTGTTGGGAGGAAGATGTGGCGGCCGATTACAGGGTGAGAGGCTGGCTCTTCTTGAGGAATGTCACAAAATAAGAGACAATTGGGGCATGTGAACACTCGATTGTCGATTATCTTGCGCTCTACTCGATGACCAAATCGTTACCGTTCCAGCCAGATCGCCTGTCACTGCGCGATCGGATCATCCTCTCACTCCCCGACGAACCGAAAAGCAACTGTGTGTGCGTTTAAAACGAAACCTCCGACGCCCGGCTAATTGAAACACGGAAGATGCACTTCCAAAACCTTCCCATCCGGACAGTCCTCCAAAATCCCGCCCACATATTCGTGCACCCCGATATCATGATGGACCGCATCTACGCAGCAGCACGGGGTGCCACAGCATTCGAAGTCGCGGACGCCGTCGTAGTGGTGCGAGGAATGTACGACACTGACGATCGTGGACTTGTGAGGGTGCGCTGTAAGTCGCCGAGGACGCCTCGCTCGCTTGCCTCTTTGAGGTACTGCTCGATATCCGGCGGCACACTTCGGCCCTGTTGCCACGCGGCAAAGACGCTCTGAGTGATGCTGAAGTTGCCGTTGCGGCCGGGGCTCGAAAAGTTCCGGCTGGAGTACGGTGACTGGTGCTGTCGCAGCGTTGGCGTCTGATGCCCGTTCTCACCATTGCTCTCGTCGGCATCGTCTCCGGCTTCCGAGCCCATGTCGTCACTCATGTCCTCATCTTCGTCTTCCTCCTCCTCCATCGCAGCAGCGTGTCGCCGCCTTCCCTCCGGCTCCTCCACAATCACCGATATCTCGGTTTTCCGCGTGATGCTTCTCCGGCTCTCCTCATCCCACTCGCTCAGCTCCCTCCGATCCACATACGGCCCAATCTCATCGCCCGTGGTATCCAGCACTCTCGTCCCCTCATCCTTCTCATACCGCTCTCTCGCCCACTTGGTGCCCTCCCAGCAGCAGAACTCCTGAATCTCGTGGTACGTCAGACCCAGCGTGTCGAAAGCGTCGAAGAGGCGTTTGTGGTGTTTGAAGCGGCCCAGCCGCATGCGGTGCGGGGGATGGCAGTAGTTGAGGCCGGGATAGCGGGCTTCGGTGCTGTTGAGGTCGCCGTAGAAGGTGGCGACTTCGATGCGGACTTCGGGGACGAGGTTCTTGGCTAGGTGGGCGGAGAAGGTTGGGGGATCGTTGGAGGTGGGGTGGGGGTAGAGGTAGCTGTAGAGTTGGTGGGCTAGGGGCGTTTGGCGACGCATGTTTGCTATGCCTTCGGGTTTCGAGGAAGAGGATAGTGAGTGGATGGGTAGAGTGTGAGAATGGTGGAGGCGTAGTAGTTGAGTCAGATGGCTGGCCGATGTTGATCAGGCATCGCCCGTGAGCAGTGTCTGCCTGGAAGTGTCGTTCGGGGTGGTCTGCACCTGGAGGTATCTCGGCCGCGTTTGGCTACAAGGGCATGAGTTGACAGAGATTGTGGAGGTTGGTGATCGAGATACGGGCCTGCAAGGGATGTGTCGAAGAGGGAGGTGAACGGCGAGTGACGAATGGCGGTGGCGGAGCAGGGGACCGGAAGAGGAAGTAAGTGGAAGGAGTGGGGAGGGAAGGAGAGCAACGGCTGAGGTGCACGGAGTCGATGGTGGCAACACCGTCTGCGCTTCCACCTTCCCGCACCACTGCGACTTGCTCTGGGGCGGAGGGAGTTTGAGTTCCAAGGAAGCGAATGGCGATAAAGCGGGCCTCCCAGACGGGAGCGGTGGATGAAGTAGGGTGGTCAGTGTGTCACTTTCTGCCCTGCGCCTGCCTCCATCCATCCATCAAGCTCCGGCGCGAACGGGGTGCATGAAAGAGAGGCGGAAGTCTAAAACTCACGGGCGGCAGGCATGCGGGTGCACGCACGCAGCAAGGAAGGTGCGGCCGGGCATCGCGTGACGACGGCTGCGCCAGCCTAACGAAACTCTCAATCAATTCATTCCCGCCCGCCTCTGACTCGCCCACTCTTCACCAACAGACGCGGTGTAGGCGGTGAAACACGTCTGTCGAACCGCCAGCGCATCCCACGGGCAATGACGAATCACCTACTCTGGGTGGTCGGTACCTAAGGTACTAAAGACATTCAGTGGCCTGCTGCTCGCCTCGTCGGGCGCCTGGAAGACATTTCCCAGAAGCAGCGTCAGAGGCTTCGGAGGCTTTTGGCCCCCGTCATTATCCTCCGCTAACCCACGGGATTGATGTATACAGTAGTGTATACGACCGTACCGTGTTCCTTCACTCTTCAGCTCTTGGCTGCCACGCCGCTCACGAAACTCACTCCACCACCCGTGCGTGCTGCCGTGCCGTGGCTCGGCCCCGAACAGCGCTGATACCGTCGCCTGGAGCTACCAGCATTCCCCCCGTCCTTGTGTTTCATCCGTCGCTGACCGGCCGCTACGCCAAGGGAATCCCCTGGGAATCCCCTGGGAACCCCCCGGCGTGGGCCTCGTGTCATCATTTACGCTTGGAATGATCATCGCAGCATGCACTTTGGATGTATCTTGCCTGAGACCAGTAGAAACTCGCCTCTAGGCTCGCGTTCTCGGGGCGAAAGGCAGCACGCATACATGCATGCATGAATGGCTCGGCCCCGTAGACTGTTGGCGTCTACGAGGGGAAGACGATTAGCCCTGCGCGTTGCCGCCATTCACCGCTACTTGTGCCTCCACTAATGCGCTCTGCGGTCGTCCAGTCTCGCCTGCGTCCAAAGCTAAACGGTGTCGATGATCACATCATGCGTGTGCATGTGGCCGACAAACTTTGTGTCCTCCGCACAAACCAGGCAGTGTCATGTCGTTTGCAGAGCAACCAGACATCCAAGGGAATCAGACCCGGCCACAACGTACCACGGTACACGGTGAATGAAAGAGTGCAGATCTCCGTGTTAACATTGGATTGATCGTCTTCCGGCCCACGGATGGCCTTAGTCAGCGACTTTGGTGTCGACCTCACCTGTTCAAACCTTAAAAAAAGCATTCGATGAAAGTCGATGCGTCCTAACCTCCATCGATGCCTAAGCGTGGTTGCGAAAGACTCGAACAGAATATCCCCAGTGAAGCATAACATGGAGCCTTGACGGAGTCACGCGTAAGCAGATAGATCTCCTCATTCCCACAGCCCAATGGCAAAGTGCATAGCATCTTCGACCCTCGGCGCCGCGCCAGACACATATCTCTACAGCCTCGCCCAAGCTGGAGACATCTACGCCACCATCGGCTCCGACGACACTCTTCGTGTGTTCGACATCTCGCTGAAGCTGCTCAGCAAGAAAACTCGAGCAGCTGCCGATGGGCTCTCTTGCCTCTGCAGCAACAACAATGATTTCATCACCGCCGGTCGAGACGGCCTGATCCGCAGTTGGGATGCCAGAACCGCCCGTCCGCTGCTGGAAATTGCACAGCAGAAACCCAGTCCAGTCTCCTCAATAGCTACCCACGACTACTTCATAGCAGCGGGCACCGAGAGTACCAAAGAAGGACTGGGCGATGTCAATGTGCTATTATACGACCCTCGAATGCCTGCCACACCATTGCGCAACTACTGCGAATCCCACTCAGACACCATCACCCAGCTGAAATTCCATCCAACTCAACCGCACATCCTCATGTCCGGGAGCACCGATGGCCTCGTCTCATTATTCGACACGACCATTGCCGACGAAGACGATGCCCTACAGCGTGTCCTCAACCCGCGCTCCGCCGTGCATTGCGCCGGCTTCCTCAGCGCCACAGACGTGTACATCGCCACTACCGACGAGCAATTCTCGATCCACTCACTCGACGACACGGCGGAGAGATCGGTAGTCGATTTCGGCGATGTGCGAACGACACTCGATTGCTCGTATATTGTTGATGTGGTCGATGGTGGTCGGCCCGTTGTGGTTTGTGGCAATCTGGAGAAGAAGTCGCTTGCGCTTGTTGAGCTGGCGAATTCGCAGTCTCGTCCTTTTGGGGCGAGGGTGGAGTTGCTTGGTGCTCATGGTGAGGATGTGGTGAGGGATTTGATCGTCGCTGATGGAGGGAGGAAGGCAATTAGTTGCGGTGAAGATGGACAAGTGAAGGTGTGGGCTTTATGAGTCCTCACTGAAGAGACGAGTGAAGTCGAGCAGCCTGGAACTTCACTGCCTTATCGACAATGAAGCATCACGTGCGTTCACGTGCTTGGTACGGAAGACTATTGTGATCGGAGTATCGCTTATTTCCGTTTGCATTTCGATTCTGCTTCCACTCAACTTCATCGGAGCCAATGAACGTCGTCCGAACAGTGCGGCGCAACACCCCTTCGTTCTCAACAATCTCATCGATCGACAGCGATTTTCTCGCTTTCACGACCACACGACCCAGCTCCATCACCTCGGAAAATGCGACGACACGTTGGGATGAAAGGGCTTCGCGCTCTACCCTCCGCACTGTATCCCAATATTTCGGAGGACCGAGTCGGTGCAAGTGACTTGTCTAAGAGCTACGCTCCGAGCATCACCGCCGGCCCAGTCGCTCCACCTCAAAGCTCTTTCAGCCCTCCGCGCGGTCTGCGCAAGCGTCCCCGGCGAGACTACTCTGAAGACAACTATTACGAACAACTTCACGTTCCAAGCTGGAGTGAGGACTCTTGGACTAGTGGGGAATGCGAAGACGGTGCCGATTCCGAAGGCGAAGACGATCCCGAGGGTCGTGACGATTCCGAAGGCGGTGATGATTTTCAAGTTGATGACAACATGGAAGACGATGACGAGGGCGAAAGTGACAACAACTCCGAAAGGAGTGACGATTCCGATGACGTGATCGACGTGGTCTCACCAGTTCTACTCGCACTTGGGGACCACAACAAGTACTCCAGCTCGTCTGAAATCCGAGAAACGGAGCACGATGCCCGAGGTTCCGTGGGCGGTGCAGTGCCGTCATGCATGGTCACTCTATTCGTCAAAGCTCCCAATACCAATCGCCAAGCAGCGAGGGACGACAGCTCCGGCTTCATGGGCATCAGGAAAGGAGCAGCGCCCCGCCTCGCGACCCTTTCTATCAAGATTTCTAGGACTTATACTGTCCGGTTCGCCGTTACGGAGAACGTTCTCCGTCAGGTTCCAGCGTACGCCCAACAGCTCGACACGGCAATCGCAGAAAACGAAGTAGAGCATCGCTTGTATATCTCCGACTTGGAAATCCGCAAAGAAGAGCCTATGTTCCAGGTCATCGAATACCTAACGTATGGCATCCTCAAGCCTCTTAAAACGGAAGATCCAGATGCCTGTTTCGACAGCCTCCTCGAACTCCTCGAGCTCTATGATCTGAGTGCTGCCTTGGACATCAAGACCCTCGCGTTGGCCGTCGTTCAACATCTCGACCAGAGCGGGAAACCCGATCTACCGAATTTCGTTGCCTTTGCAATTGAATGCTTCAGATACAACTCGGGACATGCGGTAACCGCGGACTGTCCTATGTGGTTGTACATTAAGCGAATGCTGAGCAAGCATCTCAACGAATTGAAGCGCTTCAAACTGACCGAGGACCTCAGAGACGCCGGCGGGATTCTGAGCAAGCTTCTGATCGATGCGCTCCTGGAGTGTGGTCCACAGGATCATACATAGCACAACGCTTGCCCTATCGCGAGACGACTTTGGGACTGCCCGCGGAGCCGGCCAGCGCAGGCTAGATCTTTCATGGGGGCAGCACGCAAAGCCTCTATCAATGGACCATTTTTGAGCAGAGTAAGTAGGTAGAAATAGCATAGGAAGAAGAAACTATCTGTAGAGCAGCCATGCGGTGCACTTTCAAGACGACTCCCAGGCTGTTCTTCTTGGCCGAGCACATACATCCGGAAGGCTTCTTTTGGACCTGCGATGAACCGCGAATTGTCATTCCAGCCGCGATGCCGATCGATCAATGACCAACGTGTGAGTCAAGAATCCTCAGTCCACGTGCCAGCATAGCATACTCGAGGTTCTTCCGAAAGCCAGCGTGATCTGTCTCTCGTTCCTCATCTTTCTCGTCTCGCCCGTAATTTCCCTCTTCGGCATCAAATCAGGCTGGCGCTAGTCCTAATTCGGTCTATAAATTGTGCAGAAGCAGGGCGACAACCTTGCTGTAGACCTCTCCACCCTCCGAGGCTGAACACAAATATTGCAGCTGCGGTTCAAGGAAGCAAAGACACTCAAAGCTTGAGGGATAGAAGACATACCTCTCCAACGTCAACTATCACAGATCACACATCAATTCAACCAACAACCATGCCCTCACCAATCCCCACCCGCTACTTAGCCAACACCTCCGCCGCCCTAGGCCTCTTCATCGTAGCGAACAGCATCTACGGCGCCGTCAATCCCCGCGGCGCCCTGAACATGCTGGGATTCCCTGTCCCCACCTCGCCGTCCGACCAGAAGCTTGTGCTCGGCCTGACGCGCATGCAAGCCACTACACGCATCGCGCTGGGCGCATCGACGCTGGCTATGTGGAATTATGGGTGTTATAGGGCTATGGGGCTTGGGGGCGTGGTTGGAGTGTTGATGGCTGTCGTTGATGGGTAAGTTGTTCTTGCTCTTCTGGTGAGTCTTGTGCGGACAAGGCTGACGGTGTGGTGTGTAGATTTGTGAGTCGGGATGTGATAGGGAAAGGGGAATTGGGCCACTGGTTTGCGGCGCCGATTGGGCTTGGGATCAGCATCGGGCTCTTGATGGACTGAGTGATGAAAACCGAACATGACGAACTGGCGAAAGGCACGCGACATGATTGTGTTTCAAGGCGTCTCGATGGCGTCGTGGGGAAAAAGGATTGGAATCGACACTCATGCTTGTAAATCTCCATTCTGCGATACTGAACTTGTGATCATGTGGCTGTACGACCCTTCCCCAGGGACGTTCCAGAACGATCCTTCCTCCAGCATCCTCACAACCTCCTGAACTAGTAGAAAGTGGCCGGTCTTTGCGCAGCGAACACCTTCTTGTTCGCCCGCGGGGGGTTGCGGTGGGGAAGCGGGAATTTGAGGTCCTTGGTGAGCAGCTGCTTGATGTGGGGGCGCCTGACGGCGTCGGTCCTCTCAACCTCGACGACCTTGAGGATCTGTATCACGAATCGGGTCAGCTCTTCGTCCTTTGCTCGTCTTGTGTGAGCTTTATTGACATACGTGGATCGTCCTGAATCTGGCACGATGTCTGCTGGCCATGTCCTGGTACAAGGCGTGAACGGCGTCACAGCGCGACATCTCACGGTACTCCTTGTACATATTGTGCGTGCCGGAGCGAGAATCGTAACGGATCCAGACACCGAAGATCTTGACCTTTTGCGGCTTCTTCTCGTGGATCTACCCAGCCAGATTGTCAGCAACCAGTCCACCTTCTCCAAGTAGCTCTTCAGGCTCGCATCGTTTCCCATGCGATGGTGCGTCGGCGTACCTTGTTCAAGCTCACGATCTCGCCGTTTGCCTTCTTGATCTTGCGCAGCTTGGCGAGGAAGTACCAGAAGCGGGATTTGGCGACGACATCGTTGGGCGCGAAGATGCGCATGCGGTAAAGTTTGGGGGTCGGGTTGGCATCGCTGGGCAAGTGACGCCCGATGACCTGGTATTCTTGAAGGCGGCCTGTCGGTGGGAATGTTTGATTAGCTTGTGTTCCGTACATGGCAGTCTGTTCGTCGCCGAATGTATGGCTCCACAGATCCTCATGGTCCCATGCCCATGACTGTGTGTTCCTCTGCGTGGGTGCGGAAAAGAATCATGTGCAATGCTCCTCTTCGGCGGGCGTACTCGAGGGCGACTGGGACCGGGGGACGTGGGAGGAAGAGTATTTGCTTACCCATCTGTATTCTGTTAGCAAGTCTCTCACTTTCAGTGTGTTTGGCGATACTCACGGTGTCTAATTATTGGTCGTGTGGTCGCTGGCGAGTATTCAACACGACTTCAGCACAAAACTTCGATTTTGAGATTCGCTTGTGGGAGCGGGAACGGAAACACCCGCGTGCCGCCAAGAGTTCCAAACTCTATTTGGGTCCGTCGGCAGCTTCATGTGAACGAACGTCAAAACATGACTTCACGTTCCTGCCTTCGTTTCAAGCAATAATGAAGCGCCCAACGCTCTCTTGAAACTCTTCAAACCAATGCTGGCGTCGTAGATACAAGACCCTGGCCTACTATGATGCGCAACCATGGACTCACTATTCCAGGACTTCGCGCAGGCAAACAACACCTTGAATGGCTACCTGCTAGCCACCACAATCTCGCCAGTTCCACCTCATTCGGACCCAGCTCGACTGTATAACTTTAGTCGCTCAGCCAACTCCTACTCCATCCAGACAGACCTTCGCTACAAGCTCCAGTACAATCCCGACATTCAGCTGGACAGAAAAGAAGCCAATGCTTGGCTCGAAGTCTACACTGCCTTCTACTCCTTCGTGGGCACCTTGCTCGCCGCGGAAGAGACTCAGAATGCAGGACGAGCTCGAGAAGCAGATTGGGCGCGAGTATACGACGGTTGGAAGGAGGTGGTGAATGCTCTGCTCAAGGGCTACCAAAGCAGCATGTTTGCAGTGTGGACAATCCCATGTCTCTACACCGCTGGCAGATACCTTCGCGTATTCGCCATCAAAGCCGATGAGTCGATTGCTTCGCAGCGTGACTCGGGGCTCGCGTTCGGCGGCATCCAAGAAGAGGATGCGTTCAATCCGGACAGTAAGCACGAGAAGCTTGAAGATGCAGCCCGGCAGATTAATCGTATCTTCGCCCTCTGCACCAGTGACAGGTACGTTGAACATGCGCAGAGTCTGTTTCCCATATTTCTTGTCTCTCCCGTACCTTTCGCTGCAACTTCAAAGCTAAGGTAAGGCAAAGGGCTCCCCTCGAACAAAGCCGTAAATGGGCTCTCTACTACACCGCCACCCTCCTCTTCAAAACCTACTTCAAACTCAACAGCATCAGCCTCTGCAAAGTCATCCTGCGCTCTCTCCGCGCCGCCGCAGACTCCGACATGCCACCACTCGCCGCCTTTCCCAAAGCCCACCAAGTCAGTTTCAAATACTACTCCGCCGTCATTCACTTCCTCGAGGAAGACTACGTCACCGCCGAAGCGCTGTTGACAGACGCATGGGAGCAATGCCTAAGAACGACCAACGGAGCAAGCAAAAACCTCGAGTTGATCCTTACCTACCTCATCCCCACTCGCCTACTGACCGCACACAAACTTCCCTCCAAAGCCCTCTTGGCGCCCTACCCGCGTCTCGCGGCGCTCTTCGATCCCATCACCTCCTCCATCCGCGCCGCCGATTTGACTGCTTTCAATGCGGCCATGGAAGCCGGCGAGGAAGAATTCGTCAAACGCCGCATCTACCTCACCCTCGAACGCGGCCGCGATATCATTTTGCGAAACGTGTTTCGCAAGGTGTTCATCGCCGGCGGCTTCGAGGGAGCCAAGGAGGCCAACGGAGGCGACGGTACTCCCACCGCTGCGAGTGGCTCTGCCACCCCACTGGTGAGGAGGACAAGAGTGCCGGTGAACGAGTTTGCCGCTGCTCTGCAATTGGCTGGAGCGGAGGTCGGAGATGGCGAGGGCGGGGTGGATGGGGATGAGGTGGAGTGCTTGATTGCCAATGCTATGTATAAGGTGTGTTGTTTGGTGAACTATCATGGTGGAATGTCTGCTGACTTTTGCTTGAATAGAACCTGATGAAAGGCTACATCGCGCGCGAGCGAGGCATTGTGGTGCTCAGCAAGGCCGGCGCATTCCCAGGGACAGGTGTTTGAGCGAGGGTCTAGCAAAGTGACTGATGCTTGCCTCTTTCCATCCTCCTGTCCGTCCAGTGAAGCCGTGTCGAGCGAGAGGCTAATGACTCCATACTCGAGCATGTGCTACATTCGCACCAGCCAAGTCTACCTACCCATCCCACCAGCTGAGAAGTAGCAGCGATATCAAGAGTGATGTCAGCCATGCTGCCCAGTTACAATATCCTGATACCCATAGCATAGCTCATCCATGAGAATGAATTCGCAGAGACGTACGCTCGCGCCACGTCTCCACCACTCACACTTGACCTTTGATCTTCCCTGCGAGCCGCTTGTGCTTTTTGTACTCGTCCAATTCTTGTTGCGTCGGACGGCGCTCCGGGCCCAAGGCTCTGATCGGGTCTTGGCCCGCTTGTCGCTTGAGCTTGAACTGGTGCCTCTGCCTCATTGATTCAGGCCCGTCGAGATTCTCGAAGCTGACCACATCGTAGAGCCCATCGTATCGAAAGCCGGCCTCCGGAGCGTACTGAGAGCCCAGATTGCTCGATCGGAGGAGGCGAACGGGCTTCTTCTTCTCCGCAGATCTGATCAAGTGGCTCGTTGCCTCCGCGATCTTGCCGTTGACACTATCGGTGCCGCAGTAGAGGACTTCGTCACCATCGTCGACGTCGGGATACTTTTTGCCAGTCGAGTCTGTGCCTCCGGACATTATGACGGAATATGCGCAGTCGTCGTTTCTGCCGTGGATCCCACCTTGCGAGGAGCCGTGAGCACCGTCGCGGAGAGCACATATTTGCAGGGGCCACCACTGGCCATTGAGAAGCTTTCCATTGCCGTGATAGTTTGATCTTGTGGTCGGGTAGGTGCGGTCGAGGGAGTCTGTCGTTTTTTGTCCCTCTTTCTTGTCATTTACCGACTTGACGTGGAACTTGATCCCTCGTAGCAGGTCAGTCTCGAATACCCTATCGCACCACTGTGAAGATGAACGATTAGCACATGTCGAGGTGATAGGTAGTTGACGGAATCAAACCTTGTTGTAGAGTTCACGGGCATCCGCTTTGATATCGAATGGCCAATTCACGCCGTCGGAACGCTGGTCGTCGAACAGCTTTGCGAGTGCGCCGTTGTTCTCAAGCATGTGTTTCGCTTTCAACAAATCTGGAGTGACCTCTACGAATACAATGATATGGAGCAGCTCGCGGATCTTGTCGAAAATGGGCACTCGATTGCCCGAGCCAGCAGTCCGGCATTTCCTGATGTCATCGCTGAGTCTTCCAAGTAGAGTGTCGGCATTGGAGAAGTTCTTGTCACGGGCGTTTTTGACCTTGAGGTCCGCGTACCATTTTGGTGGACGCTCAGGGGGGGTACCGGTGCCAGCGGTCGGCTCGTCTTGTGGAGGTGACTGCGGCGAGGCGACAGATGTCCTTTTGGCGATCTTGGGCAAGTCCGACAAAGTTGGCCTACGCTCCTCCTTGATCGCGGATGAAGTTGTTGCCTGACGTTCAGAAGAGGAATTGGTAGCTGCGGCCGGCCTTTGTGCACCGTTTCGCTGAGGCCATTGGGGAGATGCGTTCGACGTCATCTTCGCGATCTTGGGCAAGTTCGATGAACTTGGCCTTCGCTCATCTGCGAAAGCAGACAAGCCCGTTGCTGGACGCTTCTGCGCTCCGTTGAGGGCACCCTGATCAGAAGACGCAGGAGGACGGGCAGAGTTGCTCCCTTCCTTTGCCTGCCCGATTGTCTTGTTCCTGATCACACCTGTCTCCATCGATTTGGGGCCCGAAGGTGGATTGAAAGGAATTGCGGTACTGCCTGTTCGTTCCTCTGCCTGTAGACTTGTCTTTTTCTTGGCCACACCTTTCTCGGCTGGGTTTCCTGCCCTTCCGTTTTGCAATGTGGTCTCATTTCCAGAGCCAGAGCGTGGAGACTCTGACGAAGCTGTCGTTGTGACATTGTTCGCGCGTTGCTGGAGGGGCTGCTTCCTGGGTTGAAAAGCGCTCAAGACGTCGTGATCCGGAGAGGTCTGTGAAGATGCCTCGGACACCGGCGGAGCCGTCTGCGGTGAAACGGCCGCGTGGTTCGCTGCGGCCTTCTTGGCAGCATGCTCGCGGAGGTACTTCTGTTTTGCTGCCTCTTTTATAGCGGCGAGGTCTTTTCGAAAGGTGGCTTCGGCCTGTCCGGCACTCAGGCCTGAGGATTGCTCGTTCCCCATGATTGTGTCGCTAGCCAAAAGAATGGTGATTGGCAACCAAGATGTTGATGTGAGAAGGCGAAACTTGTTGATGTGAGAAGGCGGAAGTTGTGCGGATCGTTCTGTGACCGTCTCGTACCTTCCAGATGCACGAGAAGTCCGTTCTCCGGGCAACGCACGTGATGAGGGAGTTCTGCACCAATCAGCACCGCAATCTTGTGAAAGAAAACTTACGAAAGAGATGGCCAAGTGATGGCAAGATGAAGGACGCGAGGACTCACAATGAACACGTTGAGATAATGGAAGGGAGGGGAGGCCGTGTTCAATGCAGCCCCGTGTACCGGATGGCTGCATGCAGATCCGCGTTTACTATGTACTTCCCTCTCATTTGCAGGTGAGATGCAAAGTGGATAGGTGTGAGAAGCACAGATGGCTGTCTGTGTCGCAAGAATGTGCAGCCTCTGGCGGAATAGCTAGAGCTCAAGAGGTGTTGAAGGTGAAGGTGAAGGAGGGAATCGCGTGAAGTCTCACCCGCGGAAGGTCAATCCCTCAATCGCACCAAACACGTGAAATCTTACCTAATCCAACGCGCAGTCACGTGAGTCTCTTCACGTGTTCGGAAGACATCGTCTGAACAGATCCTATGCTGTCACAAAGGACAGACTGATCATCATTGAGTGATAATTACCCTCATGTTGAGTTGTGTGGGAGGAGTGAGGTTGATCCTCGGAGCATTTCCGGGCTCCAATTGGCATTCCCGAGGAAAGGATCTGCGCTGCCGAAGCGCATTCCATGACTCGATGCAAATATATTCGGTAGAGCTTCTTCATTCCTCCATCGCTCCCTCTCCGCCTCTATACTATCCCACACCAGCACAAAATGGCCACCGGATCATTTCTGACGGCCATTGATCTGAAAGACTATTCGGACATCTCACAACTACCAAAGACCGCGGTCTACGCCGGCGGTCTATATGCGACCATCTCCGCGGGAAATATCGACAACGCCTTCCGCCTGCTCAAAGACACCGTTGGAAGACACCAAGTCTCTCTGGAAGTCTCCAATGTCCAACTTCAGCAGGATGTAATCGATCTTCTGGATGCCGGCGCAGCGAGGATCTTTGTGTCAAGTACTCAAGCTTCGGGTTTCAGCCAGATCCCAAATCTTGACACGACGAGGATTGTGTACTGTCCCGATGGTGCTTCGGCTGACGTGACGGCGGATCTGGACGGAACATCGTTCGGTTTGTACCTCCAGAATGTCGGAAGTGCTGAAGCTGTTGGCAGCATTCTCCACGAGATGGGAAAGAAGCGGCCGACAGTGTATGTCTCAAAGTCAGGCATGTCGGAAAGCGATGCCGTAGAGCTCTGCAGACAAGATGCCATCCCCATTATTCCCGCCACTCGACTGTCTCTTGACTCAATTGCGTCATCTGAAGAGATCCGCGTGGCCGCTCTACTTCTCGCTCGCGCAAAGAGCGATCGCCCGGACGGCTTGCTCACCACGCTGGTCGCGGACGAAAGAGGGACCGCGCTTGGGTTGGTTTACAGCAACGAAGAAAGTGTGGCCGAAAGCCTGCGCTCCGGGAGGGGTGTCTACCACAGCCGCAAACGCGGCCTGTGGCGCAAGGGTGACACCAGCGGCGACTGGCAGGAACTACTAAGAATCGACTTTGATTGTGACAACGACTGCCTGCGCTTCGTGGTACGCCAGCAAGGCCACGGGTTCTGTCATCTTCAGACCGCGACTTGCTTTGGAGACTACCACGGTCTGTCCAAGCTGCAGAAGACCTTGCAGAGCCGCAAACGCTCCGCACCCGAAGGCTCGTATACTGCAAGACTCTTCAGTGATCCAAAAATGCTTAACGCCAAGATCATGGAGGAAGCATCTGAATTGTGTGAAGCGACTTCAAAGGACGACATTGCCGCCGAAGCTGCCGATCTGTTGTACTTTGCCTTGACGAAAGCCACAGCTGCCGGGGTGACCTTGGAAGACATTGAGCGAAACCTGGATGCAAAGAGTGTCAAGGTCAAGCGGAGGAAGGGTGACGCGAAGGGGCCGTATGCTGAGAAGTTTGGAGTCACCACTGGAGCGGCGACTAATGGCAACACTGCGACGATTCGAGAAGCAGAGTCCAAGCCCAAAAGCAAGGACGATCCTGCAGGCTTGGACAAAGACGGCAAAATTCGAATGCGGAGATACGTGACGGCGAAAGAAACGCCTGAGACCATTCGCGCGGCGCTGCAGCGACCCTCCCAGAAGTCCACCGAGAAGATCATGGCGATCGTGAACCCAATCATCAAGGACATCCAGACCAGAGGAGACAAAGCCCTGCTCGAGTACACGCACAAATTCGAAAAAGCCACCTCCCTGACAACTCCCGTGCTGAAGGCACCGTTCCCGGCGTCACTGATGCAATTGCCGCAAGAAACGATTGACGCGATCGACATTTCGTACGAAAATATTCGCAAATTCCATGCCGCACAAAAAGAAGAGAAGCCGCTCGAAGTCGAGACGATGCCTGGCGTGGTATGCTCGCGTTTCTCACGACCAATCGAACGAGTGGGATTGTACGTCCCCGGAGGAACGGCAGTCCTTCCCTCAACAGGCCTGATGCTTGGAGCTCCTGCACAAGTCGCTGGCTGCAAAAAGATCGTCATCGCCTCCCCTCCTCGCGCTGATGGCTCGCTCACTCCGGAAATTGTGTACGTCGCGCACAAAGTTGGTGCCGAAAGCATCGTACTTGCCGGCGGCGCGCAAGCCATTGCAGCCATGGCGTATGGCACGGAGCAAGTCAGCAAAGTCGACAAGATTCTCGGGCCTGGCAATCAGTTCGTGACAGCTGCGAAGATGGTGGTCAGCAACGACACTACCGCGAACGTCAGCATCGACATGCCCGCCGGACCATCGGAAGTGCTCGTCATCGCAGACAAGACTGCTAACCCAGCGTTCGTCGCGAGCGACCTATTATCGCAAGCCGAACATGGCGTTGACTCGCAAGTCGTCTGCATCGCCGTTGATCTGGATGAGAACGAAGTGCAAGCGATCGAAGATGAACTCCACAAACAAGCCATGGCGTTGCCGCGGGTGGACCTCGTGCGAGGCGCGATCGATCACTCCGTCACCTTGGTCGTCTCTTCCATCAAGGAGGCAATGGAGCTCAGCAACGCCTATGCTCCAGAACATTTGATTCTGCAAATTGCGGATCCCCTCGCCGCCCGCGACATGGTACAGAATGCAGGCTCCGTCTTCCTCGGACAATGGACGCCTGAATCTGTCGGCGATTACTCGGCCGGCGTAAACCATTCTCTGCCCACCTATGGCTATGCGAAGCAGTACTCCGGAGTGAACCTGGGCAGCTACATCAAGCACATCACTAGCGCGAACTTGACTGCCCAGGGATTGAAGAATGTCGGCGGTGCGGTTATGAGGCTTGCGGAGGTGGAGGAGTTGGACGCGCACAAGCGGGCTGTGAGTATCCGCTTGAGTTATCTGGAGCAACAAGGTGGGAAGGCATGAGTCAATGGCGTTAAGGGCAAGCAATAGAGGGTCGGTCATTCATACAGCACACTCAACCAACATCAATTCCAATCTCGTCCGCGCACATCCAGTCTCACAAGCGAGAAGGGATCCTCGCCGCTCCATCCAACCTAATCGTCTCGCCATTAAGCATCAAATTCTCAATACAATGCCGCACGCACGAAGCGAATTCCTCTCCCCGCCCACGTCGACGCGGAAACACAAACGTTGCCTCGAATTTCCTCATCCGACTATCACTCAGCTGCGCTGTAGACTTTTGCCCCAACGGCGTGTCAAAGTGCCCAGGCGCAATCGCCACACATCTGATTCCAAAGGGCGCAAGCTCCGTTGAAAGCACAAGCGCCATACTGTTGATTGCGCCCTTGGAGGCCACGTAGCTGGCTTGGCCGGGTACCCCACCAAAGGCAGCAATGGAACTTACAAGAACGAGGACGCCGCGCTCGCCGTCCGGTTCTAGGGGCACATTGGTTGTCATGTGGGGCAGGATCTGGCGGAGGAGATCCAGGACGCCGCGAAGATTAGTGTTGAGGACAAAGTCGAGCTTTTCCATCGAGACAGGTCTGTTATCTTTGGAGACAAGCGGAGCGCCGATGCCTATGCCTGCGGCTGGAATGACGCCGCCGATGGGTTTGCCGGTTGTTTTCGTCCAGTCTGTTATGGTGTTGACGGCTGAGGTTATGGAGTCGGTTTTGGCCATGTCTGCTTCGAGGAATATGGTTCTTTCGCCTAGTTCTCTTGCTATCTTCATGCCTGCTTCGGCGTTCAAGTCGAGGATGGCAACGTAACCGCCATGAGTGTGGAGTTCTCGGACAGTGGCGAGCCCGAGCCCGGAAGCACCGCCTGATACGATGAATGTGCGGTCGTGAATGTGCATCTTTGACGATACGAATGAAACCAAGTAGTGGTGTTGTGCGTGGTGGTAAGCATGTGCAGTTAAAGCAATCACTTGGCGGGTCTGGGAACGTGCAAAGTCAAATGCTTGACGGACGATCGGACATGGTCTGACGTGTGAAAAACAGTAGATCTCACATGCATCATGGTGAGACTCGATCGAGCTTACGTGATGTTGTCTGACAGTGCACGTGTTCTGCGACGTGCCTTCATCAATGTTAGCTGTGTGATTAGGTAAACATCAGGCTGACGGGCGCTCCCGAACCCACGCGGGAAGTCCCGCGAAGCCTTCCTTCACTCGTGTACTTCACTTCACACTAGCAGTACCTCTTTGGCAAACCGTCCAGCCCACCACAAGAGCATCGCCAAGTTGCGCCACTGGGTTCGCGTCCGCTACAAAAGACTGTCGCCCAGCTCACAATCTCTCATCCGGCCAACATGGCCTCACCAGTCGCAAATGGCCATCCCGCGACACCCCCCGCCTCAGATCCCGCAGTCGTCAATCCCCAAGTCGAGCCCGATGTCCCCATCACATCACTAGACGACGACGGCCAATCCAAACGACCCCGCGACGCGCGCGTCATCCACCTCGTTCTCTCCTCCCTCGGCATCCACTCCTACCAAGAACGCGTACCCCTCCAGCTCCTCGATTTCGCCTATCGCTACACCAGCTCCGTGCTCTCCGACAGCTTACGCCTCAGCGCTGAAGGCTACTCTGCGCAAAATGAGCGCGCGGGTGGACGTAGAGCAGCAGGCGCCAATAACGAAGATGGCTCGATAACGGTGACGGCGCTGCGGCAGGCGATAGCTGCTAGGACTGGCTATCATTTTGCTGGCCCCCTGCCGAAGGAGTTCATGCTTGAGCAGGCGACTGAGCGCAATCGACTGGCTTTGCCGAAGGTTGAGAGGGGCTATGGGGTCCAGCTTCCGCCGGAGAAGTACTGTCTGACCGGGGTTGGGTGGAACTTGAAGGACGAGTGGGAAAGCGAAGAGGATGGGGAAGGGGATGGCGAGGAAGTGAAAGAGTCGTCTAGCACGGAAGGAAGGGAAGATCAACGTATGGGAGGCATGGAGGATCATGCGAGCGAAGACGAAGAAGGCGTGGGGAGGATGGAAGATGTGTTTGGCGAGGATGGGGAGGGCGGGGACACAAGCATGGCTCAGGATTGAGAAGAATGCTCTTAGAAGGGGAATCTACGATTGAATGCTTTTAGCGAGGCGTTGGTAGGATCGACATGGAGGGGATGCCAACAAGACTCATTTGGACCACGGCAAAAAGGCTGCCAACTCTTACAAGAAGGAGCGAATGGGCGCGGTCATATTGCGTACAGCGTGCAGTTCAGATTCATAAAGCCACTCGCGAGAGGGCCGCTTGGACAACGTACATATGCCTACTTCGCGCGCTGGCGCACCTTGAACTTCACGCCCTTCTTGTTCGTTCCGCCTATGCTGCCATTCATGCGCGCTTGTTGTTGCTCGACTTCTTGCAGAGCAGTCGCTAGCTCTCGCTCTCGATTCTGTAGCCCTTCAAGCCTTTTCCGTCTCTTAGCCTGCACTCGATTAGGTGCTTCGCCTTCTTTGTCATCGTTCGAGTCCTCGTCATCATCCGAAAGGGCTTCGTTCCGCAGAGCCACAATCTGAGCGACTTCCTCTCCATCCTCTCCAAAAGTCCTCCGCTTCCCACTCGCCGCGACATTCACTGACACCCCAACCTCTCCCGCCACAACATCCTTTTCCACCCTCTCCCTCTCCCTCTTCGTCTGCTGCAGCATCGTCCTCAGATACCCCGCATCCTGCGTCTTCATCAACTTCACCACATCGCCCTTCAAAACCTTGCCACCCCCTCCCGAATTGTCCGTCCCTCTCGTCGCCCCTCTGATCCCTCCCTGACTCTGTGAGTTGACCATAGCAAAGTAGAATTCATCTTCATTCCGTTCGTCGGCCTTGTTTTGCAGAGCTTTGATTTTCCGCTTCTTGACTTTGTGGTCGGCGGCGCGCAGCTTGTAGTCTTTGTTCTTTTCGAGGAGACCCCATTTTTGTCGTTCTTGGGGCTGCGCGCGCTCTTTGTGATTGCGACGCTGGACTGCATTGCGTAGGGAGGACATGATGGGTGGTTTGTCGGCTGCGATTGCGCAGTGAGGTGGGTTGTGTTGGCGAGGGCCGGGTTGGAACTTTTTTTGGTGACGACCGGAGAGAGTTCGCGCCAAGACGAACCTCCGCGGCGAAGGCAGCCGCTCTCCGCAACTCTTTCGACTTCATCTCTTTCTTCGACATATCTCGAATGCCTTCACTTCTCTGCGTGACTATTTCTCATTGTAGAGTATTTGCTGCTGGCTATACGACTTCGTCTTGCTATCGAGATGCGTCGTTTTCGACGCCGTTCCGGCCGGCAAGCTGCCCAACTCCTACAAACTCTGGTAATGTTTGTTCATCGGCCATCGAACGTTGCAGACCCGATACATCAATCATTGGCTAGGCTTGGCATCTCAATGCGAACCATGCGCCATGATTATTCCCGATCCAGCTATGGCTGGCTTTGTTGCCAACTGTGAACTTCTTTGACCTTTGACACGCTCGCCGGCGCCAGCTTTGTTCAAAGCAAGTCATTGACAAGAACGCCAGATCCGGCAAACCACTTTTCGCCGTGCCCATCATGCGACAGTAAAGATGTGAGCTTGTTCTTTTCGTCTTATTCTCCTGATTTCGTTTCAAGACTGCAATTCGATGCGACTCTGCTTTCCTCTTTCCAGTCCTCTCTATTATCCACATTTGCAAGCGCATCAAAGTCAAAATGCCAGTCCCCCGAACACGCCAACGTTTTATCGACTACGGAGTCGAGGCTCGTCAGAGTGCCAACCCCGCAACGGTCAAAAGCATCGCCACGAGAGAGTGTGGGAGAGGGTGGGCCGCTCTGACAGCCAATCAAAAGGCACAATTCATCGAGGAACTGAATGCCTTGTTAGAAGCCGTTACTGCAGCCGAAGAGCAGCAACTCGATGCAGAGGCTGCAGGAGATGCAGCGGATGCAGCGCGCAATGGCGATGAAACGCCTTTTGTGCGCTTCATTGCGCTGTCGGAGATTGCAGCAACGGACTACCAAAGAACAAAAGGAGCATGGGATACCGCCATAGAATGCCACAACACGTTCATTCAGAACTCGGTCCCGCACTACGTCAACGCAGATGTGGTCACCTACGCCAATCAACGTTTAGCGGATGACAATCAGACAAGAATCGGCATCGGAAGGCCGTTTGCGCGGCACCGCCAGAACTCGAGAGTCCCTCCTGACCTTCCCGGGGGACGTCCAGATGGGTTTTACAAGATGCGAGAGGCATGGGCAGACTCTGTCAGCAGCCGCGACGTGAAGAAACGACGTAGGCGGCGGCAATTCAGGAACGGCGCGTCGCTTGCAGCTCGCCATTTTGGGGGCACTTGGCGAGGCGCCTGGATTCTTGATGGCGGAGCCCAATCCTACGGAGGACGCTTCGTGCAAGTCAATCAACACAACACGGTCGTCGATCGCGTGGTGGAGAAGACCACATACCAATCTCAAAACGACTGGGCGAGCATGGTGCGTTTCGTCAACGACCCTGTCATGGGCCGTGAGCCTAGCGAGGCTCACTGTCATCGAGTCCTCAGCCAGATTACATCACCGCTTGGTCCTGGGAATTGGTTGAACGTACCTAGGATACGGACACCTGCAGAAGTGAACGACAGGTATCGGTATTATCGATTGTCAATGGAGTATTGCCCACACGGAGACCTCTGGGACTTCTGCCAGAACTACGAAGACTATCTACCAGAACCCTTTCTGTGGCGCGTCTTCCACGCTCTGGCACAGGTTGCCATCGCCATGAAAATCGGCTTGTACCACCCGACAGCGGCGTTGGCCCACCCTGGTATGGGCCCTTGGGATGAAGTCGTCCACCTCGATCTCAAACCTGGAAACATCTTCCTCGCAGCGCCGTCAGATCATTTCTTCCCGGCATACCCGACTCCCCTGGTGGGAGACTTCGGCTCTGCGATCCGAACAACGCCGACCGATCCGCTGAATCCCAACATCTACCTCCACTCGGTGCAGACGAGGGGCTTCGTGGCGCCGGAGCAGAATTCCTACGTCGATGCCGACACCCTGGAGCCTGTGGACGATGAGAGAATCTTGGCGCACACCAACATCTACGGCATCGGAGCGCTCATGTACAGCATCATTACTATGAACCAGCCGCGACAGCCTGAATTTCTCGGCACCGGTGAGCGTGACCTTTTGAACATCTGGGCGGATGCGCCAGATTTTGAGTACAGCTGGGAGCTACTGTATCTCGTCCACTGGTGCCTGCGATTCAAGCCTGCAGACCGCCCGAGTCCCGAGAATCTGTTCGATTGTATTACGACGGCGATTGACTGGGCCCCGACGATCAACGACCCTTATCCTCGCAATCTCGCCCAGAGGATGGAGGTGCTGCATCCGGCTAATCTTGCAGATGGAGATCCTCGGGAATTGACCTATATGCCGGTAGACGAGTACGCCGTAGGACTCGCAGCGACCGCATTGCCGCCGATGCCTGCTTGATTGGAGCGCGCAAAGAACAGCTAGTTTGGGTTTCATCGTGGGAGGGCACCAAGGAGCATGGTCCGGTCGGTGCTGGCGGTCAAAACTATCGCAAGCGTCAGTTGCTGCTAGGGAATGCTGGGGCTTTGGAGGATCAAACTTACTCAACGAGCCGTCCGGCGAGATGCGAGCGTCGTTCACGGTTCCTTTGTGGCCTGGCAGCTTATGCAGCATCTTTCCGCCGTTGCTCTCCCATACCGTCACCGTCCCGTCTCCTCCTCCAGCCGCAATGCGCTTGCCTTCCGCATCCCACGAAGCCCGAATCAGATTCTGTTCCAGGCCTACTTGCGCGCCATCGAAAACTCGGATTTGACGGTCCTGAGGAGCAAAGGGTCGAACGTCCCACGTCCGCGCCGTGTTGTCGAGCGAAAAGGAGAGCAGAGATTGCGAATCCGGCGAAACCGCGAGTGATGTGACGGTGTCGGTGTGGCCAGGTAGCGTGTATGTAGTCTTCTTCATCCGCAGATCCCAGACTTTGATGTCGTTGTCGATGCCACCAGAATACAGCTCGTTTCCTGCTTCCGCCAGACTCACTGCCGTGACTGGCATGTCGGTTTCAATGTAGTCGATTGCAGCCTTCTGTCTCGGGTCCCACACGCTTATGCTTCCATCATCGCTGCCGGACACGAGAAACTCCTCCCCTCTCTTACTCACATCCAGACAATTGATCACCTCTTCATGGCCCACGTAGCGTCTGATGCGCTCCCCGGTTTCTACATTCCAGCTCGCGAGGTGCTGGTCTGCGCTGGCGGAGTAGATGACCTGGCTGTCGCGCGACCACTGCAGATCGAGCACGGCGGATTTGTGGCCCGTGAGGATGCCATAATTCGCGCAATCGCCCGTCGCGTTCCATAGGAGGATGTTGCGGTCCATACCGCCCGATGCGATGTGTGCGCCAGTGGGATCGAAGCGAGCGCAGAAGACTTCAGCGGAGTGGCCTAGTCAAACCGGTTGTTAGCACCCAGTGTCGACGAGCATTGACCAGTGGCTCTTACCGCTCAACTCCATGACTTGCGCCTGTAGTGCCGCATTGCTGTGTGCCTACTCAACCCCAACCGCAATGATCAGCCAATGGTTCGTCCCTTTGTTTTCTTCCAGCTGCTTTAGCCTGGACGTGGGGCCGTCTCTTCAGGAGAGGAAGACTCACCCCTTTGACGAGCGCACCGCCTGCGCTGCCGTTGACTCGCGCGACTGTGCCATCGTTCAGGTTGGCTTCGGACTTCTGTCTCTTGACTAGCTGGCTGGTCCCGAAGGAGGCGGAGGCTGGCCGTTTCTCGCGCGACATGTCGTGTCCCTTTCGCTCCGAGATCTGATTGGAGGCTCCGGGATCGTCGAAGAATTGCGCCAGGTGAGATAGTAGCAATCGTCAAGTTGCAGCGCTGAAGTGAGGTAGACGGGGCGGCCCTGGGAAATTTTTAAAGCCACATGCATGCATTCGGCAGCTGCCGCCACTACGTGGGAAGCTCCTGCCCATCTTCAGCTTGTTCATGCCAGCACACACTTCGCAACGAACACCATAGTGCCTCAATTTGGACGGCGACGACTACGAGCCGACACGAGAGGAGGAGTATGCGGTGATTTTCGGCTGGGGCGACGTCTGAGAAACAGGCGCATGCACGCATCTTGACACCATGGCGTCGAGCAAAGCAGCCCGGCTTGGGGAAGAGTAAGCTCTATCCATACAATACTCCAAGTACGTGAGGTTGATTTACTGACGAGTGTACAGGGTGTGGAAGTGAGTATACGCTACATAGCCTACCAACACCCACGAGCACCAAATTAACAGACCCTCCCACCCCAGATCCCGAGTCGAGAAGATCAACGCCGAAGTCGTCACCCTCACCTACGGCACCATCGTCGCCCAACTCTGCCGCGACCTCATCGTGCCCAACACCGCCTCGAAAACAGACTACGCCGCGGTGAACGCCGAGCTAGATCGCATGGGGTACAACATCGGGCTGCGCCTGATCGAGGACTTCCTCGCCAAGTCCAATACAGGGCAATGCTCCAACTTCCGCGAGACGGCGGAGATGATCAGCAAGGTGGGGTTCAAGGTATTTATGAATGTGATGCCGCTCGTGGCGAACTGGAGCGCGGATGGGAAGACGTTTCATTTGGTGTTTGAGGAGAATCCGCTGGGGGATTTTGTGGAGTTGCCGGATGATGGGCGCGCGCAGGAGGAGCTGTGGTATTCCAACATCCTGTGTGGGGTGCTGCGAGGGGCGTTGGAGATGGTGAGTGAGGAGAGATACGATGTGTGCGATTTGGGACTATGGAGACTAATGGGATCTTCACAGGTGCAAATGCAGGTCGAGGTGCAATTTGTGAGCGATGTGCTACGCGGGAACGACACTACGGAGATGAGGGTGACTCTGATTCGGTATATCGAGGACGAAATGCCGCCTGATGATGAATAGTTGGGCTGAGGCGAGTCAACAAGCGTTTGACACGGGCGATTCTACACTTCAACAGGCTGCACAGCGTCGACAGCCGCCTCGGGCGTGGAACTCGAATCCTCGACCTCGACCTCTGGACCCGCCAGGACGGATGATTGAAATTGGGTAGTTTGAACACGGCGAGCTCTACCCAACGACGAGACATGACGTCTAATCTGTTTGCTCGCAGTCGCTGACGGAGGAGCTCATCATGAGGCGCCTGGGTTGCGGAAGCGCAGTTAACCGAGCACAGAAGCACCTCCACCTCGACCTTGACGTGGACAGTAGTTTCGACGCTGTATTCGGATCTTGACAGACTAAGACTATAGAGCAGCAAGCGCATGAACAACGCTTGCTCGCATAAGATTTCTATAACTTCCCCCATTCACTCCCTCCTTTCACACACAAGTGCGACGTCCATGGAGTTTCGTCGGAGGGTCCGAAACGTGTGTCCACGACTAAATCCCGCGAGGATCAAGTCTGAGATTCACCTTCCAATCGACAGGATGTCGAAAACCAGCGGGAAAAAAAGGGGGTTCGTCGAGGGTTGTGCAAAGCGACAGGCATCCCATCCATTCGCCCACTGAGACGTAGGACAGATGCACTGTAGGATGAATGCAAATCAATAATGCAGCATCAGCAGAGAGAGGTGTGGTGTGTTGAGGCATTGGCGCAAGCGAGCTCGGCCATCTTGACAAATCCCTTGACCCCTGCTGCAAAGTCACGTGTCGCCCCCCATTATTCTTCGCTCCCGGGCGATCACCTTTGTTCCCTCCACCGCAACACCGCACCCCCCTCCACCACTCCCTATCCGTCCGAGGCAGCGACGACGAGAACTCTCGACCCCGTCTGCCCCTCGGCGCTGCATCGCGCACCTTCAATTGTCCCCCTTCCCCCATCCCATTCCCTTCCCGCTCTTCACTTGTGGGCCTGCAGCCAGGTCCCGCCACCCGTCGCGCGCGCTGCCCGCTGGCTTCTGGGCCGCCGCCCGCTTCACTTTATTCCCTCCTCATCCAATCTCCCGCGCCCACAACCACACCACAACACCACCGCCCTGCGCATGTCTGCGCTCCCTCGGCCCCCTTCATAGACGGTGTGCGCATCACATCCTCTCCGCGCCCGCCGCACGCCCTTTTTCCCCGACACTCCCGCGCCCGGTCGCTCGGCGTGCTCTCGGTGGCTGTCAGCGCCCGACACCCCCAAACTCTCATTCACCTCCGCGCCCTCCCTTCCGATTGTGATCGACCGCGCGCTCCTCGCGCCCGCGACGCACTCGCCTAATTCCACTCGTCGACCCCAACCCACACGGGCGCCTCGACATTACCCGCGAAGCTCGCTGCCTCGCTAATCCTCGCCCAAAACCCTTACCCACCTAACTCACTGCTTCCCCCCACACCCCGACCGCCGCAACTAAACACCACATCACGGCTCGCAACCTCGTCTCACGATGAGCCAGCAGCCGCAAATGAACATGGCCGTCATGGGCGGGCCTGTCGGCGGTGGCGCCATGGCTGGCCAGATGAACATGGGCTCCCCCTCCAACCAAACCATCGACATGAGTCCCGCCGCGATCCTGAAGAAGCTCAACACAGCCATCTACGACTACCTCTTACGCAACTCGCAGTACGACATCGCCAAGGCCTTTCAAGAAAAGATGCCCATCGAGACCAAGCCCAAGGACGAAAAGCAGGCAAATGGCATGGACGATGGCATGGATGACACAAAAGACCCCGGCATCCTAAAGCGGCCCGAGGGCCTCCCTCTGCCCAACAACATGCACGACGGCCCCCTCTTGCAAGACTGGTGGCTCCAGTTTTGGGAGCTGTGGCACGGGCAGCGCAATCGCGGCAAGAACAACACCATGCAATACCTCCAGAACCAGCGCATGGGGCAAAAGGGACGGATGAACTTGATGGGTGCTATGGACCCAAACATGCAAAACCTTCGCAGCGGCTACAACATGATGGCGAACAATGGCATGCCCATGAACCCTAACGACCTTCGCAAGTCTGCCATGCAGCAAAATAATCAGCAACGCCTGTGAGTGCTACCGTCGGAAGGCTTCGTTCCACCGTCTTCCTTTACTAACCTTCCCCGTAGAAACCCTCAACAACAGATGCAGCAAATGAAGATGCAAAACGCGCAAAACAATGCGCAGATGATGCAAGGCAGTGCGATGGAACGACAAGGCTCGCAAATGGACGGCAGCGGTCCCCGATCCTCCCCGGGATCCGGTGACGGGCCTTCCTCGCCGAAGCGGCAACGAATCGAAGGTGGCATGCAACCCATGCCGGGACGACCTGGTCAACCAGGACAAATGCAAGGCAGCCAGGTAGGTTTGCAGTCCCCTCCCCCGTTCCCCCAACCCCTCATCTGGCACCTCTCCCCTTTGCATCAGCCAATCGACTTGCTTCAAGAGCAGCCTCTCGTTTGTATGTCACCGACTAACCAACAGTCGAAGTCTTCAATGAACTACTCGCAAGCCATTCAGCAACAAATGCAAGCTGCGATGCAAAATGTGAACAATAAATCTGACGTAAACAAGGGCATCAACCCCAACATGGGCCCCGGCGGCGCTCAAGGCAGCCCGATGAACCAAGTCGGCATGGACGGCGCGAATCCCGAGTTCTACGCCAATGCCAACGGTCGCATGCCCATGCAGCAGAACCCCGCAGCCGTGGCGGCGGCCAATGGCCAAGGGGCCGGCAATGGTGGCAATCATGCCTTGCAAGACTATCAGATGCAGTTGATGTTGCTGGAGCAGCAGAATAAGAAGCGTCTGCTCATGGCAAGGCAAGAGCAAGACATGCACAATCCTGCTGGTGTCGGCCCCAACGGCCAATTCCCTCCTGGTATGTCCCCATCCGACAGTCACCAAGGGATGGATCCCTCTGGGAATCCAAATGGTATGCGAGGCTCATCAATACCAGGCATGATAGATCCGAATCAAGTACCCCCTGCCATGCGCACCCAGATGATGATGGGTCCGAATGGGCAGGTGATGCGCGCTCCGGGCGCACATCCGATGGCCGGCAACATGCCCACACAACAGCAACTCGAGGCCTTGCAACGCCAGGGTGTGCCGATGCCCAATGGACAATTCACCGGACAACCCGGCCAAGCACAGATGATGCAAGCACAGCAGGGCGGCCAGCCCGGTCAGGCACAGCCGATGGGTACGCCTAGGCAGCAGAACACCGCCATGCCGCCACCCCCAGCGCCCGCAACGGGAACGCAGCCCAGCAGTCCGTCGCAGCAGCCTCCTCCGACGCCCAGTCAAACGGCCAAGCCCAAGCCAGGCACGAAGAAAGAGCCTGCTAACAAGAAGGTAAGACACACTGCATACATGTCAAGCATGACCCGTTGGCTAATATCCACACAGGGCGCCGCAAACAAGAAGGGCGCAAATGCCAACCAACCTGCCGCATCAGAATCCGAACAGCCACCAACCCCTACACCCGCAACACCAGCGACACCCATGAACGCCAACGCCTTTGCGCAGAATAAGCAGCTGCCCAACGGTCAGCCAGCGGGAGCTCAAGGCAATGCCGCCGGCGGAAACAATGCCCAAACCGCAAACGCGCAACAACAACAGCAGCAGGCGCAGCATCAGCAACAACAAGCCGTCCCTCCAGGCGGAGACGACATGGGCTTTGCCTCCATCATGGGCGACGACCAATTCGGCAACCTCGGTCTGGACTTCCCCTTGGGCGCGGAGAACGACCTCGACTCCTTCGACTTCGACAGCTTCCTCAATAACGACGGCACGGACTTCAACTTCGACGTCGCGGGCGCCTTCGACGGGGCGCCGTTGACCATGGACGGGGCGAATTAGAGACCCTTCCCGCTTCATGGCTTGTATCACTACTACGACTCGGATTCGGCGTATGATGGTCGTCGATGCGATTAATTCTGGACGATTTGGGACGAATGATTCACCCTCCTCGGGTTTCTGATAGATGCCACTCCCGCTACATCGTGCATTGCTGGACGCTGGCTTCGCATACGGCAACTGCGCCTACACCTTGCTCTAACGACTGCTACACCTCTCTCGCCGGTGGTAACGCACTCACATTAATGGGCATCTGGCTCATCATGGATGCTCATACCACTGCGGTCTTTCCCACCAGCGCGTCAGGCCAGCAACGACACGTTGGACCAGGGATACCACTTCGTTCATGAGGCCTATTATCACTACTACGGGGGAAGGGTGCGCTTCTTGTCTTTTGCTCCTCTGTCCTAGGGCACCATGCATCTTGCCTTCTTACTTGTGTCCTTTTTCCCTTCCTCTCTGTGTTTTTCCTTTACTACCCTCTTTGCGGACTGGCTTACGGAGCGAGGGATGATGTGTGCTTGCGAGATGTAGCTCTAGTGGGAATATACCATTATTCATATCGGCTTTTGGGGAGGCCTTGTTCAAAGCTGCCTGTGTGATGTCTACAGTACTTACTCGCGATGTCCGGCGTCTTCCGCTTCACTCTTGCCCCTCGTGTGCCAGGGGGGTGGACCTGTGGTCTTACAAGCTCGGGGGTATTTTGATACAACGTGTAATTCAACTCCGAGACTTCGTAATGCCATTCTTGTTACTCGGTGTGGGCGGAAAGGCGTGCAGTGGCCATTGAGTCGACAGACAGCCTCACAGCCAAAAGTCGTGACACCAGCGCCATAATTCCACGCCATACCACCCGAACACCACCTCTCCCCCTCCCCTTCACTCTCCCCGCCAAACCTCCACCACAGCAACCATGCTCCCCCAACGAGTCAGCCGGCTCCTCCCCGCCCTCCGCCACTCCCCCCGCCGCCTCTACAGCACCACAACCGACAACCCCGTCCCCGCCAACAACCCCAAACCCGCGGTGTCGGAGAACGCATTCGCCGTCTCCAAAACCAACGCCACCCCTTCCTCTTCCACGGGCGCGCATGGCCGGGCTCTCGTCGAGAATCCCGAGGAGGGGGAGGAGATGAGGCAGATGCAGGCGCCGAATCGCGAAGGGACTTGGAGCCGGAGTCAGCAGCCGCGGGCGAAGGCTATGGTTGGCCCGAGGTTTGAGTCGATGATTATGAGGGATCAGGTGAGTGTCTACTCTTGCATTGGACGGTGGTCTCGATGCAGGGAATGGGGGCTGATTTGAGGGTTTTCTCGCTTCTAGCCCCAACCGTTGTCTGCTATGGAGCTCATCCACCAGCAACCCGTGCGCTGGACTAAGGAGCGCCGCGTCTCGTGCGATGGCGGCGGCGGCCCATTGGGTCACCCGCGCATTTTCATCAATGTCGACAAGCCGCAGATTTGCTGGTGCACGTACTGCGGCGTGCCATTTGTAAGACAAACCCCTCGATCTTGCTCTTCTACGTGGCGAAGGAAGGCTAACGTACGTATGCTGCAGGCGCACGAACACCACCGCAAACACCTCGAGAGCTTGCCATCGACGAGCTACCCCCTCGAACCGACGAATCAGCCCGCCCAGCTTCCGCGCTACGATCCCGGCAACGCGAAGACCGGGTCAACGGAAGCCTACCAGACGCCTACAGGAACTCCGTACGAGCAGAGATAGAGCAAGTAAAGAGAGTGCAGCGCAAAGAAATTCCATATTGTACATATGCCCATCGCATCATGCCCATCGCATCATGCCCATCGCATCATGCCCATCGCATCATGTCGCTTCAATCACCCCAATTGGCCCTAGAGTCGTACGGCCATATCACAATTTCTCTTTCACCATCCCTCTCCCACCATCATCTAGTCACATCTTTTCTCCCTGAATCGTCGCCACCAATTTCCTGGTATGCTTCTGTGCCCGAAACTCCAAGTACCATATCCCCTGCCACGTCCCCGTCGCCAATCGCCCATCTTTAATCGGTACAGTAACGCTCGCGCCCACCAGCGCACTCTTAATATGCGCCGGCATGTCGTCCGGCCCCTCAGCGTTGTGCCGGTATAGATTCCCCTTCTTATCCTCCGGCGCAAGGCGATCAAGCGCATCAGACATGTCTTCTCTAACCTGTGAACGAACGACACATCACGTCAGTTCCTCGCGACGTGCTTGCGCAGTGGTAAAGACGGGAATAGCGCAATCTCACCTCGGAATCCCAATTCTCATTCAGCGATAACCCAGCAGAAGTATGCTGCATGAACAAATGCAGAATCCCGACTTTGTACGCCGCGATTTCGGGGACCTCCTTCTCCACGATCGAGGTGATGAGGTAGGAGCCCCGCGCTTTGGAGGGGAGGGTGAATTGTTTTTGGAACCACGACATTGTGCCTGCGGCTTCTGCTTTTGCTACTGTTGCTGCGGTGGGGGGTTTGAGTGCTGCAACGTTACAGGCTGCTGGAGGGCAGCAGTTGCAGGTTGGGAGGAGCGCGGGTCTGGTGGAGGGGAGGAAGTCGGCGCCGAGATAGCTGAAGGGGAGGAGGATGGGGTAGAGGAGGAGTTGGAAGAGGTTGGGGAAGAAGGCGAGGATGAAGATTGCGAGGAAGAGGAGGGTGTTGCGCAGGTTGGGGTCGAAGGGCATTGAGTGTTTGCGGGATGAGGATGGGTTGGTGGAATTAAGAGGATGTGACGTCAAGGTGAAGTTTGGTGGGGTGGTGGTGTTTCGACTTCGCGGAGAGTACAACTTGCAATTGAAGGTGTGGGATGATTTAAGAAAGAAACGGATTTTCGAACGATGTTTGAAGCTGCTACGATTCCGTACTGTCCATTGTGCGCTCGCTGTAGACTGCGCATCGGACAAGTGGCATGATGGAGCCTTGCTCGGCTGCACAGCCATGGTGAGTGACCCGGAAGTGTTGGCAGCTTCAGGAGCTCCGTAGATTTAGACATAGCGTAGCCACGGTTATAGCAGTACCATCCCAAGTCATCGACGCTGAGAGAAGTACTCGTGTAGTCGACAGGGAATTGGGCGAGGGGTGGTCTGGCGGTGCGGGTGTGCTTTGGGGTCTCCATTCTCACTTCATCTTCTCCCCCTCCACCGTCCGCACAAAATACCAGCTGTCCTTGAACCTGGGGTCCATTTTCCAGACCCCCTCAAACTCTTTCACCGTCGCAAAAGCTCTACAGACAACCTCGTTAGCAATCCACATGCAAAACATTATATCGAGGGGGTGTATTCTCACCTCATCGTATGAGTGCCGTCGACCTCGACACACCAAACCATCTGATCGGCCTTCAAGCCCAGTGGCTCAACTTTACGCTCATCGTAAACACCCTCGCGCATGGCGATCTTCATGTTGTCCTCTTCCACTTCGGCCTTCGTGCGGCCTTGCCAGGCGTGTACTCCATGCTTGGCTTTCTTCTTCTTGGGCTGTTCCGCTTCCTCTTCCACGGGGGCAGAGAAGGGCTGATACGTCCACCCATTGTCTGGCGACACGAGCGGCACGCCGGGTTGCGCCAGGCCGTAGTATGCAGGGGCGGGATAGGCGTAAGGCTGATAGTAGGGGTTGAAGGCGTATTGCAACTGAGGTGGGGCCATCATGTAGTAGGTGTTCTGTTGGAAAGGCTGTTGAGGCTGGGGCGGAACGGCGATGGGCTGCATTGGCTCTGGCTTCACTTTGGCTGGATTTGGCTCTGCTGGTTTGGCCTTTGCGGGTTTGGCATCCTTTTGCGGCTGGTCAGTGGGCTTGTACGTCCATTTGTGCGAACCGTTGGAAGCGTTGTGGCCGGAGGCGATGGTGGAGGCTGCGCCGGAGTCGCTGCTGTCGTCCGACCAGTGCTCGTACTCGCTCGCTTCGGCCATGATGGAGGAAGAGTGAACGATGATGAACGTGAGTGGTTGAATGTGGTGAGAGGGATGAAGTGTGAAGAAAAAGTGTGTTGTGTGTCAGGTGTGATGAGTCGGCAGTCGCGATGGTGTAGTGCGACGCGTGATGCAATGCGAGCGAACTCTAATGAATTAGGAAGGAGCGCTCACCTTTGCTTCACTTCTCGACGACCTTGGCGCGGGGATGTAGATATGGCGACTCTCGATCTGGGCCTCTTGTTTCGCCGCCTCTTCGATGGGGTCCTCGAGCCAGGCATCTGCAAACGGCCAACAGCACCAACACATCTTTCAACATGGTCTCGCGCTGTTGATGAGGTCGGAAAGCGGGCAAAGCGAAGTCGTGGCGCGATGAGATGACGAGCTAGCACGGTCCGAGGCCACCTCACTCGATCACGTGCAACCACGTTCGTCATCCGCACCGCGAAGTTCACCTTCACCGCTGAGATTCAGGGGCCCGCCGCGATCAAAGATCCGCCAAATACGGAATGGCAGCCATGGCACCGGCCTTCTCCACCGACTTCGACGCGGCCAACGAGGCGAAATCAAGCGCGGACTGGTAGTCGAAAGGCCCTCCTGCATGTCTTACGCGCTGAACCGCATACGCGCCAACAAATGTGTCGCCAGCAGCGGTCGTGTCCACCACCTTCACCTTTCGAGCCGGCACGCGACCTGATGCTCCAGAAGCCGTGACGTACACCAGACCTTCGCTGCCAAGGGTGATGATGACTGCTTCTTTGACTCCCCATCTGAGGAACAGCGGGGCTAGCTCCTCGGGCGTGAGTTTTTGGTGGTTCTTGCTTTCGTCGAATCGACCTGCTAGGATCTCCGACTCGGTCTCGTTCATGATGAGAGTGTCGATGTCCTGGTACGCGAAGTCGGGAAGCAGAAGCGCGGGAGCAGGGTTGAGAATGACATGCTTCCCGCTTTCACTCGCTTTCTTCATGTTGTGCAGGACCTACAAGTCAACATCAGCGAACCGATTTCCCACCCTCTCGAACCACGGGAAGAATGGAAACTCACCACCTCAAGCGGGATCTCCAACTGAAACACCACCATCCCCGCCCCCTTCGGCACCAAATCCCACTCAGCACTAACCACCTTCTCAAAAGCAAAATTCGCATTCGCCGTAATCAAAATCCGATTCTCCCCCGTCTCCTCCTCAACGATAATATTCGCAATTCCAGTCTTCTGACCGCTCAACTTCCGGACACAGCTCGTGTCGATGCCCTCCTTCCCAAGACCAGCGAAGTAGTCGGCGCCGAAAATGTCGTCCCCGACATTCCCGACCATGCTGACGCGCACGTCTTTGGGAGCGAGCCGGGCGCAGGCTACGGCTTGGTTGGCGCCTTTGCCGCCGAAGCCCGTGTCGAAGGAGAGGGCGGCGAGCGTTTCGCCTGCGGCTGGCATGCGCTTGGTGCGTGTGATGAAGTCTATGTTTAAGGAGCCGATGATTGCTATGGAAGTTGGTTGGGCCATTGTGGGTGTTGTGCTGGCTTCTGCGATCTTGTCACTTTCTTCTGATGCGATTTCCCGGTCAGACGAAGAAATGGTGTCTATTCAAAAGGTCTTGTAGAGTGCGGAGGGAGGGCAGGAAATTGAAGTGAAGTCCAGATCGCAGCTTAAGCCGACGCGGAAATGAGCCGCATTGCTGGACAGACCGCGTCAAGCCACCTACCCCGACCTGCGAGCATACGCAGGCTATCAAGAAGAATGAAAAGGAATCTCTAGTTGGTAGGAGGAACGTAGCCAACGGCATTTATCAAAAGCCTCGATACAAGAGCGAAATAAAGGGAACTCCGAGAATTCCGAGAATTCCGAGCATGGCAAGCAGTATTTCGCAAGGCTACGGCTTGTGGTCCGCAAAGTACTAATGGACACTTCCGGTTATGCATTCTTCGCCACTCTCCAGCTACCCACGATCTTCACCATTTGTCATGACCATCCCACGGCATACGCAGCCAAGTCTTCCCATCCCCATCCTGCGCTCCATCAAAAGCATGCTCAAACGTCCTCTCACTTCCCCTCCCACTCGCACTCCGACTCACACTTCCACCTCCCCATCTCCCCCCCTCCTCCAACCCCTCTCCCCCACCAACGCTCCCAAACCCAACCTCCCTAAACCACCAATTCCCACCCGCATACGCGCCCCGACCACTACTCGACCTCGAGAAGTTCCTTCTTCCCTGCCCACTCTCCTCCCTTACCTCCTCCCGCTGAATCCTCTTCCACTCCTCAAACGTCAACCTTAAAGCGCCGCCCGCCGCGCCATTAGGCACGTTTATCGCTGCTTGGGGCGCTTCTTGGAATTCTGAGGGGGCGATGCTGAGTGGATGGGGGGAAATCCAGCCTCGGCCTGCGTAGATTGTTAGGGGTGGGGTTTGGGGGGATGAGTAGTGGTGGGATGAATGGTGGGCATGGTGAGTACGATGGGATGAGAAGGAGGCGGCGGCCGAACGAGTGGATGCCGAGTATCTATTTGAGTGCTCTGCCCTCGTGTGATGGGATTCGGATGCTGCGTGTGAGGAGTGGGAGGACGCTTGCATCACGGATTGTTGCTCGGAACCGCCGTTGGCCAAGGAAGTTGGTTTGTTCGCATTGAGCGCCGAGTTCTTCTCTTCCGTCCATGCGCGCTCTGATACTTGCTGCGCGGAAACGCTTCGTACTTTGCTAGCCGAAGCAAGCGGCGGCGAATGCGCGCCTGCATCCCTTTGTGATCCGGCGACAGTCATCCTGCTTGAAGCCAGCGATAACGCTCTTGACGGGCCGTGGAGGATGCCTTCGAATCGGCCTTCGGAAGCTCGACCAGACGATCTCGTGGAAAGAGTTGAAGCGGCCTTTCCGACCGATGGCATTTTTAGAACGGCCGGGATGGCGCCAGACATCATTACTTCAGCTGCCATTCTCGCCTCTGCTGCCCCTTTCGCTTCCGCTGCCGCTTTCGCCTCGGCCTCGCGCTGCTCGTTCAAGCGCTCCTGCGCGAGCCTTTCTTCGCGCAGGCGTCTTGCGATCTGCGCCGCTTTGATGTCTCTCTCAGCTGAATCTACTCGCTCGTCGCCCCCTTGCGATGGCATGTTGCTTTTGGAGGGTTGTGACCTCGTTTGTAGTGGTGCGACAGTGACGGCCGTGTAGTTGATATTCGGCAGCTCCATCATCCGCTCCTCGCCGTTTTTGCTCACAATCCGTACGGCGCGCTTACTCTTAGAGCTTGCGCGTGACTTGATGGAGATGGCACTTTCGCGCTTTGGTGTTGGCTGAGGTGCTGTCGGCTCTGCGCGAGTCTTCTCTTTTGCGACCTCTCCTTTCTCAGTGTTGGCTTTGTTGATGACGGGTGATGGGAGAACCGGCCGTCTTACCACCTTCTCCTTCCCATCTTTCCTGGCAATACGAATGCCTCGCGTATCATGCTTGGGCACGTAAAAGCCCTTCATCAGCTTTGGCAATTCGATTTTCTCAGGTTTCGACTCTTCCTGCTCTCGCCCAATTGCAACAGCGCCATCTCCCGGCGCACTTGCTGCCTCTTGTTGTTTTCTCTGCCACTCAGTCGCTTTGGCAAGTCTTTTGACGACACTTCCATCCAGCGGTCGCACGTGACTAGGCATGCAATTTCCCCCTGGAGAGAGGTGGTGGAGTGTAGGACAGGCGTCATCGATACCCGAGCCAAAGACCGTGCTTCTTACTGACCAGTGGCCTGAGCGAGGGCCATTGTAGCCTAGATTCTCTCGTGCGAGAGGCGGTCCGCCTGGGGCTCGTGAAGCGGGTGCGGCGGGGCCGAAGTGGATTGTTTCGTTGGAGTCGTCTATGGCGGAGGCGGTGTCCAAGCCTTCCATGTTGGATGGTGCTGGAATGTGGATCGGATGGCAGAAGCTGCGTTTGTAGGAAGTATGCGCTGAGGAGGAGAACTTGACGTAGAGGAGGTGACGTTCTGGCAGTCTAGCGACGGGAACAGTCGAATTCGTCAACGCGAGCCTTCCAGTGCCTGATTGAGCCTCAGATCAGGAGCCAGAAGGAGAATTCGGCGAGCGTGACAGCAGAGACAAATGCACATGAAAATCATTCCTTCGTCAGACATCATCACAACTTGGCCTTTTGCTTCTTCTCATTCCCCTCCCACTGCCTCTTGATCCACCACATCCTCACATAACTCCAAGTGCCGGTGAGCGCAGCAAGCGGCGGACACAACAACAGCAACCAGCCCCACCACGGCGGACTGCCCTTCCTCACCACCGTCATGACACGATCAATCTCCTTCTTCAGCGCTGCTTTGTCCCCATCATTCCACACCACGACTCCCGCCCGCTCTCCCCGAGAAAGACACTTCTTCGCCTTGTCCCGCACATCCCACTGCGCCGCCACGCGATTCTTCGCATCCTCCTCGGTCAAATGTTCGTCCCGCTCCCTCAACCGCTTCATCTGAATCTCCGGCTCACTGACAGCGACCACCATAATCGTCCCACACATCGGCTCCCACCCGCTCTCAAACAGCAGCGGAACATCCAACACCACCGCCCAGTTTCCCCGTAGGTACGCCAGCAGCATCTGACGGTACATCTCCTTCCGCACAGCAGGGTGCACAATGCCATTCAGCACTTTGCGATCGCTGTCTTTGCCCTCGCCGAACACTCTACGGCCGAGAGCGGGGCGATTCAGTGGTCTGCCTTTGCCGTTGTGCCCGTGCTCGCCGCCATTGTTGGGCGTCGCTTCTACGAGGAGGTCGGGGGTGGAGGGGCCGAAGTGGTCGACGATCTTTTGGTAGCCTGCTGTGCCGGGCTCGACGACCTGGCGGGCGACTTTGTCGGCGTCGACGATGGGGAGATTGTAGGGTGGGGAGGAGAGGATTTGGGAGACGGTGGATTTGCCGGTTGCGATGCTGCCGGTGAGGCCGAGGAGGAGCATGGCTGTTGTGACTGAGGGGGACTTAAATGATCTGTGACTACATGTACAGTTTCACGATGAGGAGGCGGATGGGCGAAGAGTGAGGTTGGTCGTCAAGCAGCAATGGCGTCAGGCGGAGCTCGTTAGTTAACGTTATCTAACCAGTGGACCTCGGCTGCCCTAACTCTCTCTCCGTAAATCAATGCTCACAAATACCTCACTTGTACTTCTTGTCTCTGCATATCTTCTCCTTCCTCTGCCTTTCGTAGTTGGACTCTAGCCGTTCCACGCGCCTGACTAACACACATTTACGATGGTGTGGCTTGTGGAGCTTCACAGGGTCGACAGGGGCCATCTTGAGATGATGCTTCTCCGCCATGCAGGTGGCATGATCTAGATCTTGTACATCACTGCATGTACTCATCGCCCCGCGCTACTCCGTCGTGCCGATCGCTCTGGCGATGATTGAATGCCCAATGCGGCCGCAGTAGTGCGAAAGCTACGTGGCACCGCGTGTGGGCGCTCTCATCCTTGGACGCATTTGATGAGAGAGCGATGCTAAACTTCAGAGGTACCTCCGCGGAAGCACTGTCAACCGTGCACACATACCGAGCACCCCTGGCACCATGGTGCTACGGCCGTAAGGGAGACTGTCTGTCATGCGCTCCTATATTACTGCACTCACGTCCGCCATGCATCCCATTTACGGCCTGGCATCTGCTTTCTCTTGAGCCTCCACGCACACAATCCTCACGAATACCCTAACCTTGACCGCGAGCAGCTATGGGTCAGGCAATCACGTGGCTCCTGTGTGCCGTCGCTGCTCTATCTGTGCCTGCTAGTGCCTTCCATTGGTCTGGCTCGGTCTGCACGCGGGACCCCTACTCCTACATCCTGCCTCTGTCCGGCTATCCTCCCGCCGAGTCTTTCTGCGCCTCTGCCTACCCGTTGAAACCAGTCACACACACCGTGACAACGACCCCATCGTCTATCACGAGTACGACAACAACATCAGTGACGCTCACAACGACAACCATCACCAGGTGTGTACACATTCGTGCCATCTACATCCCCTTGTCCTCGTCGTAGAAGCTGACGTCTTTAGCAGTACTGTAGACGTACCCGCCCAAAAGAAGCGAGACAACCCAGCCAAGGCTAGCCAATGGCATGACTGCTCCTCCCGACTACGACACGCCGGAGGTTGTTTCCTAAGCACGGCGTGTTCCTGCATTCAGACGCCGTCTACAACGACCGTGACGAAGACTGCGCCACCACGCATTGATTCGACCAGCATCTCTACAGTCGACTCGACCTCCATCATCACCACCGTCGACGCAACGACAACAGTTTGCACGGCGGGCACTATCGCTAACCCTAGCGGGCCTGGCTATTTCAGCACCGCTTGCGGAACCTCCGTAATTCCCATTTTTACGCCCACGCCTGACTCCGCCACGTCCTTTGACTCCTGTCTAGCGTCTTGCGCTGGGCGTACCGAGGTATCCACGGGAGCGTGCTGTGCGGTGGATTTCGACGTCAGCACTGGCGTGTGCAACCTCCAGATAACAATGAGCGACAGCTCCACGTGCACGTACGGTTATACCTACACCCCGGACCCCGCCTACGACTACGCCATCTACTATAACCCTTCATAGCTTGACACGTCAGCATGCTTTCCCGCCTCGTTCGTTCCACTTCCAACTGCTTCAAACCATCGTGCATGTCGCCAAATTCGCTGGTTCCCCGTACGAGCCTTATGCCCGCTCGTCTGTAGCCTTTGCCCAGCCTCGCGGCGGCTTCACGCCGAAATTGGAGTTAACGACACCAAGAGCGTCGTTGATAAGCATCACTGTTCTCTGATGTGGCATCAGCACTTTCTCCTCATTAGCTACAGGTAGAGCTGACTGTGAGGGACGGAAACATCCTCAGGCTGCGAAGCTTATTGGCACGGCTGAAGCATGCCCCGCAGTTCATTACACGAGATGACCGAGTGCTGAGTGATGGAAGCGAGAAGCATTCTTCGTCCAACCAGACCTACAACCCAGCCTCTTGCATCTCCGATTTGACCTATACAATGCTAATACCAACGTCTCGGCGCTTCAACATAGCCCGCACCCCATCCACACAACCACCACCATGGGATCGATCGAAGAGCCACCAGCGACCATCTCCTCCACGATCCCAATCGTAGACTTCTCGAAATGGATCCACGGCAAAAACCAGGCCGATCGACTGGTAGTGGCACGTCAAATCACCGATGCTTGCCGCAGTGTTGGTTTCGTCTATCTAACGAACCACGGCCTGTCCCAAGACCGCGTAGACGAAACCTTCACGATCAGCAAGCAGATGTTCGCTCTCCCGCTCGAAGACAAAATGAAAGCACCGCATCCCCCCGGCTCCGCTCACCACCGCGGCTACTCGGCCCCAGGCTCAGAGCAGGTGAGCAAGTCCAACGCCGACGACGCCAGCCGGCCAGCCGGCACGCCGCCCGCCGCCGCGGTCAAGGAGTGCAAGGAGAGTTACGAAATCGGGAGCGAGGAGGACGCGGAGCAGCCAAACATCTGGCTGCCGGAAGACACGCTGCCCGGCTTCCGCCAGACCACCATCGCTTTCTACTGGGCCTGCCACGAGCTCGCCACCGCCGTCTTGCATGCCCTCTCCCTCGGCATCGGACTGCAGGAGGAGGCGCTGCTCACCCAGTACCACACCGGCCATCACAATCAACTGCGCCTCTTGCACTACCCTCCCGTCCCCGCGGCGGAGGTGGAGAGCGGGAGCGCAGCGCGCATGCCGCCGCATGCCGACTTTGGGAGCATCACGCTGCTCTTCCAGGACGATTGCGGCGGGCTGCAGATTGAGGATCCTCGCGTGCCGAACAAGTTTCTGCCCGCCACGCCGGTACCGGGGGCGTGCGTGGTGAACGTGGGGGATTTGTTGATGCGGTGGAGCAATGGTGAGATGAGAACTCCGCCATCCCCTTCGATGGCCGTTACAATCGAAAGGTCCGCTAACGCCTTTGTCCCAACAGACTACCTCAAATCCACTCGCCACCGCGTCACGCTTCCGCCGCTGGCAGACCGATTCCAAGGCGAGGAGAGAATCACTCGCGATCGGTACTCGCTCGTGTACTTTGTAGGACCCCTGCTTGATACGGTCATCGAGTGCCTTCCCGCTTGCGCGGACGCAGCCCATCCGGCGAAGTATGAGCCTGTTACTCGGCGCGAGTTCTCCAAGATGAAGTTTGCCGCCGCGTATGGGGATGGGAAGTAGCGTGGCGTGGGCGGTTGGACATGATGAATTGATGATTGTGCGTCAGGCGAGGGGTCATGATGATGTAGCCGAGCGTGAGGATTCCATCGCGCAGATGTGGATGGGACCGTGCCGAACAAGTTACTCATTCGAACACATGTCCAAGCCTTGCCCGTGCAATCATGCTCCTCAGCGATACCCCATGCGCGAAGCAGAAGACTGCGGACAATCCTTCTTCATATGCCCCTGCTGCCCGCACTGAAAGCACTTCATATCCCTCCCACCCGCCTGCCGCCCCGGCGTGCCGCCCCCGCCAGAAATGCTGGTGAGCGTGTTAAGCTTCACCTGCTTCTTGCGTCGCTCGTCCGCGAGGCGTGCAGCTTCCGCCTTCTCCGCTTTCCGCTTCGCTTTGCGCTCTGCGCGTGCTCTGTCGCCCGCTTCTTTGCGGCTTTGGGCAATCATTGCTTTTGCTCCTGTTGGGTCGTCGCTTTCGTCGTCTTCGTCGTTGTCGTCCTCGTCGTTGGAAGATCCAGAGCCGGACTCCGAGTCGGATGAAGATAGATCTGGGTTCTGTTGTTTCTGTACACGGGTGAGCGGTGATCGAACATTGTCTGGGCGTCAACGTACCTCTAGCCGTCGATTGAACTTCCCAAAACTTCTTCGCCCATGCATTCGAGTCGATGGTACTTGGTCGTCTTCATCTTTGACCGGTACAGCAGAATCCGCAGCGTCAAGAGCAGAGTATCCCGCAGACACGATCCGGAGAGGCGTTTGCTGTGCTGTCGGCTCTTGCTTCTTAACACTCAAATACCACTCCGTCTCGTCAAGGTGTGATGTGATAGGAGTTCCCCCGACCGGCGACGCGGTTCCCGTGAGTGCTTCCCCTTCACTGCCCTCTGCTCTCGACCGCGGTGTGGTGGAGGGCGTGGAGTGGACAGTTCCATTGGATAATCTCTGTCTCTTTGCAGGTGGCTCGAGCGAGCGGGTGCTTGGTGTTTGGGAGGGAGAGGCGGATGAGCGTTGCATGAACTATGTGCTTTCAGTCAGTATGTGCTCATGCAGAATATCTAAACGCCGTTCAAACGAACCTTCATGTTCATGAGTCGCGAAGACATGCTCTTCGCCTGCTTGTTGGGTTGCGCCATGTCGTTTCAGGCCGAGCAGGTAACATGCGAGGCCTCTGGACGCCTTTGAAAAAGACGCACGCTCTGAGCGTCGAGTTCAGCTGATTGTGGTAGTGAAGAAACTCCCCACCGGCATGTTGTGTGAAGTTCAAACGTGATGGCGTTCCTAAAGTTATTAGCTGCAAACAACCTGTAACTTTTGGAAATGCGTGACGTGACGCAAAAGTCGATGCATCGGCACGACCTTTGTCCCCGAAGCTTGTCTGCGTCCATGACAGATCGTTGTCCAGTCTCGGACTCCTCGACTCAACTCAGTGCTATTTCTACAATGCATCGTGCTCAAGTTTAGAGAGGACACTGCCCTTCATCAACTGTCGTGGGCTGGACCACATCATCGAAATCAGCAGAACAGCATCGTATTTGGAACACGGTCAACATGGCTGTAAATCAAACACGTCTTGCTTGTCCTATATCAATAGACGACCACTAATTGAGCGCATTTCGGCATCCTAGGCGCAGCCAAAATCATCCACATGTCTTTCATTGACCCCGACCCGACTGTAAACCTCAAGTAAGATCGTCGAGGAGCTTCGTGGTATTGCCGGCGGTCGCGGGGGCAGATCCGACAGCGTATAGAGTGAGGGCCTCGCTTTGTACAGGTACCGAGGGTCCGATACTGACTATGTCTTCCACGAGATTATAATTATAGAACACCGCGCCTGCCTCCACCCCACTCACCGAGCAGGTGAAGGGACACGTACCGTCCACATCGGTCGCGACTGCACAGGTAAGGACGCTTGTGTTGGAGGATACACCGTCCGTGAAAATGACGAAGTATGTCTGGACCTCGCCGATTTGCTGGACCGCGATACGTCCCGCGGTGCTAGCCGGATTGGACGGACCTGGATACACGATGACGAGCGATCCGTTGCCTAGGAGGGTGTACGTGGCAGGATTGGTCGGGTTGAGGATGTTACCGACGAGGAAGAATTCATCGGCTTGTTGGCGAGGATTCAGGAAGGAGTTTCCCTCGTTGGAACCAACTTCGTAGAGTGAGAATGTCTGAACGGCGTTGACAGTTGTGGTCGAAGTTCTAAGCAACACGTCAGCAGTTCTCTCGAACAAGGCCACAACACGGGAAACGACAAGCGTGGTGTGTTATGACTTGGAAGTGTTGTGCCCAGGAAAGACCTTGAAAATGGGAAAAGGAAAGAGAAGATACGCACGTGACAGTGTGGACGACGGACGCTGTAGATGTAACGGCGGTCTTGGTGATTGTTTTGATGATCGTCGAGGTCGCAGGGTGAAGACATTTGCAGCAAGACGATGCGGAGGGACCAAGAGGGTAGTGCGACCACGCCTGGGGCTTCGGCGTTTGGTGTGCTTCACGTTTCACAGGCGTAGTGGTGGACGACGTTGTAGCGGGCACTGCGCAAGAAGTGACGATGCTTGTGGCGGCGACGGATGTTGTGCGAGTAATTGTAGTTCTGCCCACGGGTCATCAGCTTCAGAGCACAGCACCTTATGAGGGCAGAGGGCAGACGTACGAAGTGTGGATTGTCTTTGTCGTTGTCTTCGTCACCGTTGGAGCCCACCTCGCAGGGTAGTACCAAGAGCAGAAGGCGGTGGCCTGGGATTGTTGATGCGCGGCGTAGACTTGTTCGACGGCCTTGGAGCAGCCGGGCCAGGAATCACCACTGCCATGCCAGGAATCACCGCCACGAGGAGATTTGGGCGAGGCGGCGGCAGTACCGAGAATGGCCAAGATGAGAGTTGTGAGACGCATGCTTGTGGATGAGAGAGTGCAAGGTCGCGCGCACCCGTTTCTGGGGGAAGGGGGCACTTTTGATTAGACGCGATCGTCCAAGGGCACGAGCTACCTGCGCGTTACGGCCGTAAGGGGGTATACAGTACTTGTAGCGCTCCCGAGATTCGGAAAGACTAAACAAAAGTTAGAGTCTAGACTCAAACCCAGCGACAACGCGGAACTTGGTTTTTTCAGTCGCGTCTGTCGCATATTGAGATAGGTATAGAGCCTTCGATGTCGCCGCGATCGAGGGTTAGATGATCCGCCAAACCATTGGATACATGCCATGCCTACGTAGCATAGAACTGGAATCCGAGGTCCGGATGGACAATGCGCCACCTCTATGCGGGATACTGTATGCAGGGCCGATGTCTGCAGGCAAGGGTGAAGCAATCTCCGCGGAGTACCCAAGTCTGTATGATCGTCGCCCCGTTTGTTTACGTAAGCTGGCTCCAGCACATGCAACATGGCGCGGTTGTCAGCGGTGTCAGCACTAGAGACGTCCCAACTCGTCATCATCGTGTAGTTCGAGGGAATTCCATCTGCGCAGGACTCGGACCGACTGATCAGTTCCGACAGCCACCTGATACCATCGCCTCTTGAACAGGCCTCGACATGGCCGTAAGCTAGAAACACCTTCCGTTCGCCGGATAGATAACCGCTAACCAGAACTCGCCAGTTCCTTGTCAACGCGTACAACTGGTGGCAAGGCGTGAACCAAGTCAAAGCGGAGCTAAAGAAAGATGAAAAGACCTTCCGCTTCGGCATCTTAGGCGCAGCCCGAATCAACTACATGGCCTTTATCGACCCCGTTCAAACACATCCCGGTGCAACCATCGTCGCTATAGCAGCCCGCGAAAAGAAACGAGCGCAGGGCCAAATCGATTCGTACAGCCTGGGGACAGAGTGTAAAGCCTACGGCTCGTATGCAGAACTCCTCGCCAATCCGGATGTCGACGCCGTGTACATCCCGCTGCCCAACGGCCTGCATTGCGAATGGACCGTGAAAGCACTGGAAGCTGGGAAGCATGTTTTGTTGGAGAAGCCGTTTACTTCTAACGCAGAGCAAGCGCGGCAAGTTCGCGATGCGGCTGAGCGGACGGGGAAAGTGGCGCTGGAGGCTTATCATTGGCGATTCCATCCCGCTACACATACAGTCAAGTCGATCATCGAGAGTGGCAAGTACGGGTATCCCACCGCTGTCTCCGTCAGTATGATCCTGCCCGCCGGCATCGTGGGGAAAGGCGATATCCGCCTGAAATACGACGTTGGCGGCGGCTCGGCCATGGATCTCTCATACCAGTTCTCAGCCTGCACGCACTTGGGCTGTCGACCATCAGACTTGCCCAAAAGCACGATTCGAGTCCTCGAAGCCGTGCCGAGGATCAATGCGCAAGACAGCAAAATCGACGAAGCATTGACCACCAACTTCGTCATCGAGCAGGAGGGCAAACCAGCCGTGAAATGCCGCACACAAGGCAGCCTAGTCCCGCTTCCATTCCTCGGCTTCATCCCTCGTTTTTGGAATTTCCAAACGAGCGTCGAGGTTGAGTTGGAGAAGGCCAAGGTTGAATATCAAGGGTTCGTATTGCCTACTTTTGGCCATAAGATCATTGTGACGGAAAAGGAGAGTGGGAAGAAGACGACGGAAAAGGTGTACGTTGATGGACCTGTGTGGGGGAAAAGGGGCCAGCCTTGGTGGACGACGTATCGGTATCAGCTTGAGGCTTTTGTCGAGGCGGTCAGGGCGAAGGAGAGTGGGGAGAAGTATAAGGGCCCTTGGGTAGGACTGGACGAGTCGGAGAAGGTGATGAGTACGATTGATTTGGTTTATGAGAAGGCTGGACTGCCGAGAAGAGGTCTTTGACGTCGTTGATGACGTGGGCAAATTAGCAGGTGTGAATTCATGATATGCGCCTGGAGCGCCGCTCGCTATAACGCGGAGTAGACACAACAATCCCGGATGGATCAAATCGCTCTCCTGCACAAGCTTTCTCACTCATCAGTGGCGTTACTCTCAGCTGTGATTGCCGCCGCCGCTCCATCTCCATCCTCCTCCATCTTCTCCACCCCTCCCTCTCCACCCGCCAAAACCTTCGTCCTCACCCTCCCATCAACAGCACCCCCCGGAGTCCAACTAACCACCACGCCCTCCTCATCCACAGACTCCCAACGATACCGACTCAAATAATGCGGAATGGCGGCCAGCTGCGGCCCATACCTCTGCGTATTATCGTACAGCTCAAACAGCGGCACAGCCAAGAGCTTCATATTCTTGGGCACGCTCAGCACCTTTGCCTCCGGCAGCTGCACGAGGTACAGCTTTTTGCACTCCTTTGGTCGCGTGATGTGCGGGGGGAGGTAGGGGTACATGGAGGTTTCGAAGTTGGGGCGCCACCATTGGGAAATGGTGGAGTGGATTTCCCAGTCGGGGTTGTGGTTTGCTGCTTCGATTTGCGAGAGGGAGCCGGTGGGGGCGAGGCGGTCGTTTAGTCGGGTTTTGAGGCCTTCGATTTCGTCGCTGTCGTGCGGGAGGTAGTCGCCTGGTCTGGGTGTTTTTACTTGTTAGCTGGAGTCGCTGACCAAGGGGCTATGTGGGATGCTGGGGGCATACAGTTTGAAGAAGGCATTCGCTATCTGCAGCATGAGGACGTGAGGATGGTTGTGCTCGTGACAAACCAACACGCCTTCCGCCGTCCGTCGCATGCCATATTGCTCGTAGTATTCCTCTAGCCGGCGTAATCGGTCCTTCACCGACGGATCTTCCTCTGGCTGCGTTTCTTTCGTGCCGAATGTGTAGTTGCTGAGCGGGTAAAGTCGAATAGTGTCGGGTTGGCGATCGTCAAAGGGAAGGGAGAGTTGCGGCGGGATGGAGCTTTTCTGGTGTGACGGAGGTATTGTGGCCATTATTCCAAGGAGGGCGTGGAAAGGAGAATGACGTGAGGTCGGCGAGATTGCCAATGCGGAGGAGGAGGAGACAACTTAGAGTTTCGTGACAAGCCTTGCGCTTCGGATCGCGTCCGCGCGCGACAGGCGCGAGTGAGTGGAGACGTGTGGCGCGGGGGGGACTACGTGGCACAGCCTGACCAATGTAACATCACTTCCTTTCCTGCGGCCTCCACGGCAACGACTCGTGCGATGCAAACGAAGCAGCCCCAGCGCTGATCCTGGTCTTGCTGCATCATCCTTCTCAAGGGCACCCGCAGTCCACCTATAACGGGGCCGCAGCAGCCGGGACTTCACAATGTGTCGGTAGGTTGAAATCCCTCAAACCTCCATGTCTTTGCTTCTGTGCTCATGCAGTGTGGCAGGTGGTTCGCGTACATCTCGGCAAGCGAGCCTTGTCTCCTGGAAGACGTCCTCATCAATCCCAAGCACTCCCTTGCAAATCAGGTCCATGATCATTATCTTCCAAGGGTGAGCGCTGCCCATCCAGGCGGACTCCGCCCTGTCACTAACCGGTCTCTGTAGCTCCTTCCGCACGATGCCACTCCGTCCGAGGAACAAGATGCCAAAGCTCGCAATATGCTCTTCAACATTGACGGGCTAGGCGTGGCGTGGTACACTTCTTCCAATTCGGACTTCGAGAGAGGTAATACCGTAAGCCATTCTATGTCCATGTCTCGCTGTCAAAATGAGGCTGACAATGACGGCACAGGCTCAAAAGAAAGATGAAAAAGAGGGGCTACGACCTGCGCTGTAAGAAAACTGATTGCTAGACCCTCGTCTCCTCCTACAGTTCCTGACCATATCATCCGCCCGCTTAGGTACAAAACCATTCAGCCTCCCATGAACGATATGAACTTCCGATCTATCTGCGCAAACACCGAGACCAGAGTCTGCTTCGGACACATCCGTGCGGCTTCGAGTACAGCCATTACCCCGGTGAACAACCACCCCTTTGTCTTTGGGAGACATGGTGAGTCCACCACCTCTAGCGCTGTAGATAACAGCTCACTCACCATGCATACTTCCAGCCTTTATGCACAACGGGGCAGTTAGCGACTTCCTCACCATCTGCCGCGCAGTCAACGTCAAGCTCAGCGACGCAGTCTTCGCCAACATCTTCGGCTCCACCGACAGCGAGCACATCGCCGGCCTCTACATGACCTACCTGACCAACGGCGGCGACAAGACCTCCTTTGAGAAAGAGTACCCTGCCCACGAAATGGCCGCAGCAATGCACAAAGCCATCGCAACAATCATCGACCTCCAGCGACAAATCATTGGCGACGACAAACGCCTCCCCAACTCCCTCAATCTCTGCGCCACGGACGGAGTGAGATTAGTCGCCTGTCGCTTCCGCAACCACAAAACTTCCCAGCCGCCAACGCTCTACTACAGTTCCAAAGCCGGCACGACGCTGAACAGAAAGTTCCATGATCATCCCGACGGCATTAAGATTCCGGGCGTGACGGATACAGGGAAGGAAGCTGCTGCGCATGGAAAGCACGTTATTGTTGCCAGCGAGCCTTCGACGTACAAAGTGGAGGATTGGGAGCTGATTCCGAAGAATCAGTTCATTGTTGTTGAGGCTGATGGTGAATTCAAGTTGGCGGATCTACCTTATAAGACAGAGTGGGCTGCGGAAGATCATGATACGGGAAAGAAGTTGGACTGAGGGCGGCAAGTGAGTAGATGGGACGATGATGGTATTCCCTAGGTCAATATCTCAGTGTACCGCGCTTAGCCTAGAGCCTGATCACACTCTTTGCCACTGCCTCTCTTCAGTCCAACTCTAGCAAACAGCAAGTGTCAAGTCACGTGTGAAGATAAAAGCGGATGTGAATGATGCAGCTTCTACAGCTCCAAGCGGAAAGAGCAATCGACGCCTCAGGCCCAAACTTTTTTCTCAAACGTCAAACACCTTCCACCCCGCCTACCTCTCTTCTCTTTTACTTCAACCCAAGCACACAATGACACAACACCTCTAATACGCCTCCACGCAAAATGCGTCTCCGCCTGCGCATCGAACGCAACACCCTCCCACCCACCCAAGCCCTCTGGCCCATCCAAAACCCCAAAGCAACAATCGCCCAACTCCTGCAAACCATCAACGAAACCTTCCCTCTCGAAGCCGACACCTGGGGCCTAGAAGACTACAGTGTGTCCGTGGGCGGGTACGAGTGTCTGCACTACCATGAGATTCGCGCGGTGTGTAGAGATGAGGACGAGGTGGTGATTCAGCCGCTGGGATGGGGGGATTTGAAGGCTAGGAGGGTGACGGGTAGGATGCAGATCGCGGGGGATGGGAGGCATTTGGTTGATGGGGTTCCTTATGGAAGGCCTGCGATTAGGGCGCCCGTGAGGCCGGAGGTGGTCATTCCGCCTAGGAAGAAGAGGAAGTTGGGGAATGAGGAGGAGGAGGGGGAGGAACCGGAGGAGGAGAGATTACTACTGACGGAGAGAGGCGAGGAGCTGGAAGAGGAGGAGCATGAAGATGACGAAGAGGATGACGAGGACTTTGAGGAGAGCTCGTCCGAAGAAGAAGAAGTGTCGGCAGAGGAGGAGAATGACAATACCGACGAGGAAACAAGCATTTCCGAAGATGACTCAAGCGACACCTCAGACAGCGACTCCGAGGATGCAGAGTCGTGGAATGGCATATCTAACAGTGAGCCACCCACATCACTGAAACCGACGTTGCGCGAGCAGGCGACCACAGCCCCAGGTGAACTTGAAACTCCACCGCAGGGTGCCAAAAGGAAACGCTCTTCGAATGACGACCCGGCGTTGAATGCCAAACCAGCCCACGCAATTGGTGATTCTGAACCTACGGGACTGCCACATGAAGGCAAAGCAACCACCAAATCTCGCAACGCGCGGCGTCGTGATGCCAAACGTCTCAAATACTTGAAGGAACAGACGGGCTTTCCTGCCGGCGCTACCATCGCCGACATGAAGCAATGGGCCCCGAAAGGGAGTTTCGGAGCTGGAACTACCACTGCAAATGCTACCGCTGAGGATTCGTCGATGCCAGACGTGACTTCGACAGGGGCTGAGGAGGCTTCTTCTGACAGTGCGCCATCGGTCGAAGGCATTGCAGCGCGGGAAGAACCAGTTGCAGACCTTTCAAAGGCAGGAGGCCACAAGAAGAGAAAGATGAACAACGCACTGGAGGCAGGAAGCAAATTCGAGGACTCCGATTTCGAGAACCGGCGTCAAAAGCTGTTGTCAGCCATCCAGTCCGGCGGTGTTGACGTTTCCGATACCTCCATCAAGCCTATCTCAGATGCAAGCATCGAACTTTCACCAACCCCTCCAGCTGCAGCTCCACGTGCGCGACTCAACCTCGCCAGCTCCCAGCGCCTAGTCTTCGGGAGTCTCGGCGTCAGAGTCCCCAAAACTCAACAAGAGCGAGACGCCCTGCAGAAGAAGCTGGCCGACCGACCGAAGAGGAATGCCAAACTTGAGCAGATCGACTCGCCCCAAACCAACGACGAGAGCATTGCAGCTCCTGCGCCCGCTGCTCCAGACGATACTGACTCCGAAGCCTGGCGGGCAAGAATCCACCTTACCGCCGTTGAATGCTGTGACGAAGGCGTCACGCTCTCTACACCTCCTTTCCCCTTCCACCAACGCTGGGATCCGCAGCAGAAGCGGAAAGGGAAGAATAGCAAGGCGAAGAGCGCCACGTACATGGCCGATTCATCGTCTGTGGGTAAAAAGCGGAAGCGCGGACAGGCCGATCAGCAGCAGGAGTACTTCGAGACGTACGACAAGTACAATAAGGATGGGAATGGCGACGCGCTGGACTACGACGGCGAGGAAGGCCATGAGGATGAAGAATACTGGGAAGACGGGGCTCTCCTAAATGGCGACGACGATGATGCGGGTGACGAAGAAGAGAGCGACGATGGCTTTCCCGAGCTCCCTTCCGACATCGATTCCCTACCGCTACTCGAAGCCGACCAAGCGAAAGTTGACGACTTCATTACGTTCGCTGAACTAGCTTGCGACGAGAGCACGGAATGGCAGCCGAAGACGGCCATTCGCACGGCGCGGATCTTGAGCGTTCCTGCGAACGACGGAGACCAGTCGGGGGAGTTCACACTGTTGCTTTCGAAGCGCGATCGGTTGCCCAAGGTGTTCGACGACGAGGGCAACCGGGTCTACAGCAAATTCGAAATGCCGGGCATGGATGAGGAGGAAGAAGAGGGAAATGCGGAGCAAGAGGGAACGAGGAGGGTGGAGTGGCAGGAGCTCGGGCCCGTGAAGTTGATTTCAAGACGCGGAGCGGGCTGGTGACTATCAAGCCCTTCAGTGGCCTTCCTCATCATACTCTTAGCTATCTTAGCTTCTCGCTGACCACGGCAATGCTCGCTATACGCATCGCCAATCGTAGCATAGGTATATACCACCCCTCAATCCTCCCCACCCTCAAAGCGCAGTCTCCCACCTCTCCCCCCCAAGATCCTCCCCCACGCCAGCGAAGTCCTCGGGATCCGACTCCGCGTCCCGCTCGGAGAGGACCTCCCATTCCCGCTCGTCGATGTAGCGCTGATATTCGTCGTAGCCTTCGCGCTCGGCGGGGTCGATGGTCTCCCAAGTCGAGACGTCGGTGTGAGAGGGGCCGGGGGGTCGACGACTGGAGTCTCGGTTGAGAGGCTGGGAGGAGAGGGTCCTTGTTGCTGGGGATCTGTTGCTGGGGTTCTTTCTTTTGATTGAGGGGGTTGAGGAGGGGGGTTGGGTTGTTGTTTTGCTTGTGCGGCTCGAAAGGAAGGAAGGGGTCATTGACGACGACGACGACGACGAAGACGACGGACAGGAGGGGTGTTTTAGGGTTGGATTGGGTGATGTTTTGGATGACGATGAGGGCTCGTCAGGAGCTGAGGCTTTGGTTTGTGATTGATGAAATGCGGCGGAGGCTGGATTGGTATTGTGAGTGTGAGTGTGACTTGTCGTCGGCGCTGAGTGTGACGCGGGCTGTGATGGTTGGTTCTTCATGGTGGTGTTGCCGTCTATCGCTGTATATGAATGTCTGAGCGGGCGGGAGAGGATGTAAAAGGGGCGGACAGGAGACAGCAAAGACGGCGATGATTGTCAAGGTTGGAAAAAGGTGTGTGGATGAAGTGGATACGCCATTGTGCTACATCCAAGCAGCTCCAGGCCGATTGTCATACCCTTGTGTGATTATGTGGAAGCGGCTTACCTATTCAATGTGCTGCTCGTGGGAAGAAGAGTGAGCGAATACTCAAGGCTCGATGCAGGACGGCGCTTGAATCCTCTCTGTGCATAGCTTCAGGGCTGGAAGTAGTACTTGCTCCCTCGTTCACGGTGATGTCCAGCCAGCTATCCGTCAAGAAATTCATACAACTCTCACCGAAGGCCGTTCGCACACAACCTTTGCCTCATTCGCACCCTCCACGGCAGCCAGAGAGCCGTCGGGCCTCTCAGACCCACCAACAACCTACCACGGAACAAAGTCAGCAAGAATGCACATCCAATCCACAAGCATATGGACGTAGGTCAGCAAGCCAAAGGCCACCAACTCACCTCATCCGCCCTTCCACCATCACCAACCACCGACGTACCCCCATCCTTCCCCTGAACAATCTCAGCCCACTCCGCCTCCCCGTCCTCACCCCCAACACCCCTCCCCCTTTCCTTAGCAGCCAAAACACCATGACTAGCCTTCCTCGCAGGCGCCTTCTCCGGATCTCTTAGCATCTCAAACAACTTCTTCCGATCCTGGGTGGCGAGTTTGATATTGCTGTAGCTCGGTTTGGGTCGGACGGGGTGGATGGTATCGATGTCGGTGTCGTTGTCCGTACTGGTGTTGGTGTTAGGTGGAGGAGAGGGAGGTTTGAGGCAGCCACGGTAGGGCCATGTTGTTTGGGCTGGTGTTGACGGGGTTTGGACTGCTCCGTTTGTGGAGGGAGAGGAGGTAGGTTGTTGGTGTGCTGGGTTTGGAGAGGTAATTGTGCTGCTTAGCCGCGTGATTTCGATTCCTTCGTCGTCGTCGTCTTTCCTTGATTTGCTTTTAGCGAAGCATGGGAGCAGTCTTCTCAGCTTGGTAGGCATGGCTGCATGAAGCGCTGTGAGAGGCGAAAGTTCCGTGATCTTCGTTTGCTGGATCATCGCTAGGCGTTGGGGGGGCCGTCAAGGGATAGACGAAAGTCAGCATTCAACGCGCATGACAAGCACATCAAACGGGAAAGCTTTAGCAAAAAGCGGATTCGCAATCTCGAAACAACAACATCAAAGAATGGTGAGCGGGCGGGCGGCCTTACAGACGGGGACGACGCCTACCTTATTGCATACATCCCCACGGCTGCCGTGTAACCTGAGCGGACGACATGAATGGTCGCAACGCACGGTCCGGGTTTTCATGATTGGGCAGGGACTGGGAAACGGTGGCACGGGGCAAGGCTGGCTGCATGGCTGTTGCTGTCGCTGAGACTTTTCTGGGTTACACGAAGCGTGTATCTTGTGTATTGTATCTCGTATTGTATGAGGCACCTTGACTAGTACCCAAACTCATTCATCAGTGACATCGATCAATGTAAAGTCATGCCAACACTCACTCACTCTTGGTCGTCCACATATCTCCTCACTTAAACCAAACCCCCGCCGCACTCCCATTAAACCCCAAATCCGTCACCCTATTCTCATAACTCCGATACTGCTGCGGCAGCACCGGCTCAAACTCCTCCACCCCCAACTTCATCCCCTCCTCATACGTCGCGCCAAAATACTTGGCTTCCGGCCTGCGCTCCTTGTCCAGCGCGGTAGCGCGCCTACGCCGACGCAACCGCGCTTTCAAATCCTCGTTGTTGTCGTCGTCGTCGTCGTCGCCGCCCGGCCGAGTGTCGCCAATGTCGCCCGGGAAGCCACCGCTGGCGCCGTTGCCTTTGAGCTGCAGGCGCACGCCTTGCACGCTTTCGCGGCTGGCGTCGCGGTCGAGGAAGTTGTGCGGGATGAACATTACGCTTGAGGCGGAGGTGTGCATGAGGGTGTTGGGGATGTCGCCCGAGTGGCTATACCATAAAGTTAGTTGAGGTCAGTAGAGGAGGGTCAGGGCGGTACGTACGGCACGTGGTGACTCCCGACGTTCAAGTAGAGGGTGAGATCGCCGTCGTAGTCATCGTCTTCCTCGCCGTGCTGCAGACTCTCGTGGTTGGCCATTTTGGTGAAATCGATGATCGGGTCGTGAGGGTTGAAGTAGTTCAATGGATCCGCCGAGCGAGGCTCTGTGTCTTTCCTCCTCAATACCCATAAATCGTGCTCGGCCCATCTCGCGCCATCGCCCAGCGTGGTCGAGTTTTCAATGGTGAGATGGGGAGGCGAGGCGATGCCCGTCCCGGGCACGACTCTGTATCCCTTGCGCTCGCCCCAGGAGTTTTTCTCCTCGGAGTTGTAGACGATGTACATCTCCCCGCCATTGCGTGGCCAGTCGAGGAACGTCTCTTCGGTCACTGGGTACTCCACAAGGCGCATGGTGTTTCTTTGTTTGATCTCGGGGAGGTCCCAGGGGTAGCTTTTGGTCATGGGCTCGATGGCGAGTCGGACCATATCGTTTGCGGTGCCTGCGACGTCCATGTCTGCCTTGAAGTTGATCACGTGGTCGTGCATGCTGCTCGCGAGACCTTCATTCACGTGGTGGCCGTATAAATCCTCGGTCTTGCTGCTGTTGGCTGAGTAGAAGGCGCCGAAGATGAAGCCCGAGGCGCGCACTTTGACTTCGAGCGTGCCGTCGAGATAGAAGATGTATTCAACCGTGTAGTCGTAGTTGCCTACCGTCGAGGTCGACCTCAGCGTGAGATACGTGTTTCGAGAGGTGGTGACGGAGTATTGTGCGGTATGGCGAGACAGCAGGGAATCAGACGTGTACTCAAAGAGGCAAATGCTGTTGGGTAAAGTATTTGTCTCGTAAAGCTGGTGCCACTGGACATCGAGAAAGTCCGCGTAAGCTGGGCAGTCGTAGCCGGGGATCAGCTCGAACATCAGCTTGCCCATGCCCAGGAAGGTATCGAGGAATTCCAGTCCACCTTGCACGGGGTCATCGCCAGCGTAGTGCGACAAGGCCTCTTGAAGTCCGAGCTCGTAGACGACACGCTCTCCCTTGAACTTCACATCGAAGAGAGAGACGCCGGTAGCCTGGGCAGTGGTGATGAAGAACTCGAATCCAAACCACGACACAAACTGCTGCTTGCGATCGAGTTTATAGCGAGGGCCATACGGCTGGACAGATACGGGTGGGGGCAATTCGCGTCCATCAGGCTGCGAATCAAAGTCTTCCGTAGCAGTCCAAGGTCCGTCATCATTGCGTGGTGCTCGAACGAAATCGGACTTCTTGATGGCCGCTCGAAAATCATCCGCGGTATCATACAGCTGGCCATTGTAGTAATATTCTTCCACAGTCCATTCCTCAGCAAACAGACTGTTGGCGTCGACTTTAGCGTAGATGCCCTGTGGCAACAAGGTCCTCGCACCCGAAGCAATGCCGGGCTTAAAGATCTGGAACCACATAACCTGCCCGCCTCGCTCGATGCCTGCGGGCCGCGGCCAGCACAGCAGGCCGTCCGGGGCCTCGGGCTTCTCGAGGTTGATCTCAGCACCGAGTAACTCCAGCGTGATATCCGATATGTTGGCTGCGATGGACTGTCCGACTCCGAAAAGGCCATCGAAGTCTAAGGTGGGAATCCGCACGGCGTTGGAGCCGGAGTTGAAGACGTACGTCAATGGCAGCGTCTTGGATTTGGAGGTGATGGGGAGAGAAACCATGTAGTGCGCCATGTACGGTCCGTCGTCGCGGTATTCCGACAAAATTGCTTTGGCCCATCGTTGAGGCGGCTCGCTGGAGCCGTGCAGATAAGCCAGAGCATCGGTCTTGTTGGGCCGCAGGGTTTCGAGATAGAAGACAAAATTGTCCCGGTTGCTCTTGGGTGTCTTGGTTAGATTGAGATGAGCAAGATCTTCGAAGAGGAATTCATTGACGTCCTCGGCTTCCTTGGCCGTTAATTCAGCAAAGACATTCTGTTTGGGCGCGGTGTATTCCTTTCTGCCCTTCTTGGCCTGGGTTCCGAGGCTCGGAGGCTCGGCATTGAAGTTTGGCAAGAGGATGAAGGTGAGGATTGCAAAGACCAAAATGGCCGAGAGCACGTAGGCCGGTCGTGAGATTGTGGCCATGATATACCGTGAGTTGGTTGGAATGAAAGCGGGGAAGAAGTGGGAGTGTGATGGACGATAAGTGAATACAACTGAAGCAGGCTCGTCGGGGTTGGACTTGCCCCATTCGGCAGCTGTTGCGGCATTCGTCCCGGCCTCGCGTGGGTCTTGATGAAACGCCGACATGAGGATGACCGATGCATTTGTCTTCCATTCGATCAATTCCGATGTCTGGACAGTCAATGCACATGAACGATGCGAACTCCGACTCACATCCGTCGGCATCAACAACTGATCCATTGATCTCTCTTATCATCGACAATGATTAATCTTCAGCACCAAGAGTCCTTCTACTGAACCGAGAACGAGCGAGCAAGCAAAGTCATTGTTGCACAGTGGAGTTCACAGCAATTCGTTTATGATGAATGGTAGAATGCTGGCAAGAACGTCCTTATCACGCTCAGTCTGCTCGCGCATATCATGCCAGATTGGTTAAATTCTTGACGAGCAGCAATGTTGTCTTAAGTCTTATTTTGATCGATCAGGCTCATGTTGCTTTGGGTTTGGCCGAATCATAGGACCTGTGCCGCCCGTTCCGGTGGCGTGGTCGGTAGGTGAACTTGCTGAGCGTTTGTGAAGGACGGACGCCTATCATAAACAACCAGTCCTGCTCGACCACTTTCATTTCCTTTTCTATCATTCTGCGACAGTCGTCTGATCCATACGAGTTACGATAGTTCTGTTCTCACGAGCTCTGCCAGGCGGGGGTATGACGGGATGCTGGCCAAAAAGCGTACATCACCAGACGATGCAATCTCCCTGGACGACAATGGCCATCTCACGTTCGGTCCAAATGATCCCACAAACCCGAAGAACTGGTCGCTGCGACGGCGATACTGCATCACCGCCATTGTTATCGTCATTGTACTGAATGCTACCTTTGCCTCGTCGGCACCATCTGGCACTATCGATGGCCTTAGCAAAGACCTTCATGTTTCCGTTGAAGCCGGGGGGTTGGTAACCACGCTGTTTCTTCTGGGATACACTGCTGGACCGTTGTTGTGGGGACCGCTCTCCGAGTTCTATGGGTGAGTAACTTTTGCACTTTTGGTGACCACCTCATGGAGTGGTTCTGGGATGGCAGCCTTTCAACTGACTCGATGGTGATCATAGTCGCCAAATGATCTTCTTCGGGACATTCACCCTCTACCTAATCTTCAACTTCCTATGCGCTTTCTCGCCCAATTTTGGAGGCCTTCTAGTCGGCCGCTTCCTAACTGGCGCATTTGCCAGCTCCGGTCTGTCGAATGTTCCAGGCACGCTTTCTGACATATGGGGACCCGTGGGCCGAGGACACGCCATCAATCTATTCCTGGTGGTGACCTTCGTGGGGCCAGCTCTTGGCCCCGTTATATCTGGGTTTCTGGAGCTGACGAAGACATGGCGCTGGACCTTCTACGTCCTCCTCTGGATGGCCGGCATCACGGAGCCATTCATGTTCTTCCTCCTGCCGGAAACCTTGCCGAGCATGATTCTATACCGGAGAGCTCGCCGATTGCGCACAGCCAAAGTGCCAGGTTACGAGAACGTCATGGCGCCAGTCGAGACGACCGACCGGCGACTGAGCGCCATCTTCTATGCCACGTTGACGCGCCCATGGAAATTGCTGATCGATCCCATCTGCGGCCTCGTCTGCATCTACTTTGCAGTCACATATGCTCTCCTGTACATGCTCTTCAGCATCTACCCCATCGTCTTCCAACAAAAGCGCGGCTGGAACGCGGGCGTGGGCGAATTGCCGCTTCTCGGCGTCGCCATCGGAGCCGCCTTGGGCGGCGTCATCGTCTTCGTGCTGGGCGAGCGAGAGAAGAACAACAAGAACCCTACCCCCGAGGATCGCCTTCCTGCCGCGATGATCGGCGCCGTCCTGTTCGCAGTCGCGATGTTCTGGTTCGCGTGGAGTGGAGAATACGACGCGGTGCCCTGGATCGTGCCGACGCTGGCGGGCACGTTTCTGTCCACCTCGCTGCTGCTCATTTTCGTCGGCTTCATGAACTACCTCGTTGATTCCTATCTGGCTTTTGCCGCTTCCACCCTGGCGGCATGCACGGTCGTGCGTGCTGCTGCTGCCTCGGCCTCGCCGCTGTTCACGCAATACATGTTTGATGCGCTTGGGGTTGGCGGAGGGGGATCGTTGATTGGAGGCATTGCTGTGCTTCTTTTGCCCATCCCCTTTGCTTTTTATAGATACGGTGCGCCGCTTAGGCTGCGATCCAAGTATGCCCCGACAGCCAATGTAGCTGGGCGGAAACAAGATGACGAAAACCAAGATGAAGAGAAAGGTAGTCAGGTAGACAATTAGACTCGACACACACCCGTCGGCATCAACAACAGGTTCGTCAACGTTTCTTGTCTAGTCACCTACAACGGACTAACCTCCAGCACCGCCTTGCCAAAGTTGTCCCCCCTAAGCATGCCCAAAAAGCCCTCGCCAGCATTGTCAATGCCCTTCGTCACATGCTGCTGCGCCTTGAAACTGCCCTCGTGCATCCACTTCTGCACATTCTCCTGATGCTCCTTGTGCCATTTCGGTCCAAACCCATCGTCCCTCACAATGAAGCCTTGGAAGCGGATGCGCTTGCCCACGATCTGCATGAGGTTGCGCACGCCGTACGCCTCCGCCGGGGGCACGTTGTACTGCGAGATCATGCCGCAAGCGATGATGCGGGCGTGTTGGTTGCATGCCGCGATGGCTGCCTCGAGTTGTTCGCCTCCGACCTGTAAAATGGTGAGTAAAGATCAAGGCAAGGACTGCGGCCAGACTCACATTCTCAAAGTAAATGTCGATTCCGTCGGGAGCCAGACGCTCCAAAGCCTCCGACGCCTTCTCCTTCTTGTAGTTGAAGCCGCCATCGAAGCCGAGGTCGTTGGTGATGAACTTCAACTTCTCATCACTCCCCACACTGCCAATGACCTTCAAGCCCTCCCGCTTGGCCAGCTGGCCCACCACCGCTCCCACAGCGCCCGACGCGGCGCTGATGAAAATCGTCTCGCCCTTCTTCGGCTGTCCGATTTCGTGGAGGGAAGAATAGGCCGTCAAGCCGGGCATGCCGAGCGCGCCGATGAACACGGAGGGGTCGAGGTTGTAAGGGTTGTCGAGGACTTCCGAGCCCTCGAGCTCCTCCTTGCTGATCGCAGTGTACTCCCCGGTGGAAGTGAAGGTTTTGACGACGTCGCCGGGCTTGAACTTGGAATTGTCGCTCTTGATGACGGTCACGATGGCGGCGTTGGTCACGGGCTTGCCGAGTTCAAAGGGCGGGGAGTAGCTTTTGATTTCTGGCTTTCGCATGCGGCCTCGCTGGTAGGGGTCAAAAGAGACATAGTTGACTTTCGCGGTGATTCCGCCGGACGGAGGGGCTTGGTCGACGTCGAAATCCGAGCTCTCCACCTTGAGGTGCTTGCCGATTTCGGGCCAGGCGGTGGGGGCTTCTTTGAAGATGAGGGCCTTGTTTTGAACCATTTTGACGGGATGTGGATGAGTAGAGATTGGGGAAGTGAATGGAAGAATCAAATCCGTGGGAAGGTGGACGAGTACATATAGCTTCGTAGTTATGTTGCAAAACGATCGTCATTGGAACTTTTTCGATTATCGCCCGCTTACAAATGATGTGCCATGCATGTGAGTCTGGTGGATCTCCCCATGCACTCAAACCCGAGCAAGGTTGGTTTTACGTCTGCTAACGGGATGGCCGCCTGTCACCGCCATGCGATGCCGAGGCACGTTACGAATGCGTGCGACGCCTCGGAGCCTCGCCATGCATGTCGAGGGAACATTAAGCATTCTGCATTATTTGTGCACTTGTTTCGCACGAGAATCGGCGTTGGGTTGGGCGGGCCGGCACTCCGTTTTGGAGCCGGCCCCTTGTCGCAGGGTCACGGACGATTGTGTTTGCCTGGAGTCGCCTCCACTTCCTCCTTGCTGTCCGTCCGGCGGGGTTCAGCATGAGCAATCAGTGTGCTTGCCCATTTCAACCTGAGGGTAAGGTGCGGAACGAAATGGAAGCATCAATGATTAAAGAACGGCGGAAGATAAGTGGGCGATTTTTGACACTTAACGTCTGCCCCTCGCACGGACGTCCATCGGTGATGACGCGCGACTCGACTTTCGACTTCCAGTCTCTACCATTGCTTGACTGATAGTTGCAACATCAATGAGCTCTGACGGAAGAGTGATCTGAATGTTTCGCATCGCCACGCCGCCTTTCTTTCTTCCTTGCTCTTCATAAGGCTACTGCAGCCATCATGGACGAAAAGACGCCGTTGGAGCCGCCTCCATCCTACGACAATGCATCCCAAGTCACTCCCACCAAACCCGCGCAAGCAGGTTCAACAGCACCGCCGCGTCCACGCCCACTCGACCTCCCCGCGCTAAACATGATCCGAGGAAAGAGAGTAATCCTCGCCTCCGCATCCCCTCGACGGCGCCAACTTCTTGCGCAGGTGAGTACCCATCTCGCTCGCCTCCATACACCAGCTCTAACAAACTCCGCCAGATCGGCCTGACCGACCTCGAAATCGTCGCCTCCACCGTCCCCGAAGACAAAAGCAAATCCCTCGCGCCCTTCGAATACGTACTCGAAACGGCGCAGCAGAAGGCGCTCAACGTCTACGAAGCGACCATCGACTCCCCCAAAGGCGAGCCCGCGCTCGTCATCGCCGCCGACACCGTCGTCAGCACCGAGCTCGGCCAGATTCTCGAGAAGCCGCGGAGCGAGAAGGAGCATGTCGCCATGCTGAAGATGCTGCGCGACGAGGGTTGGCATAAGGTGTACACGGCGGTGGTGTGCATGGCGCCGCTGGAGAGTGCCATGGATCCCGGGTATACCATGGAGTCGCATGTGGAAGAGACGTCGGTGAAGTTCGATTCGAATGTGACGGATGAGTTGATTGTGTCGTATGTGCGGACAAGGGAGGGCGTCGACAAGGCGGGGGGCTATGGGATTCAGGGCATTGGGTCGATTTTGGTGGAGAGCATCAAGGGAACGTTTGACAATGTGGTTGGATTACCGTTGAGGGCTACGCTGCAGTTGATTGAGAAGGTGATTGTGGAGCCTGCTGTTCCTGATGCTGTTGACGATGTCGGCTATTAGACGCTCGCCCTTTGCTATAGAGATACCATTTTCATAGACATAGATGAAAGCAATGACTTTACTCTTGTTTCATTCCATTCTCACATCACCGCGGAAATGTCTCAATCAGGCAGGAAGCGTCGGCGGCCCAAGCGCCAATGAGCATGATGTAAAGTCCCCAGGCTTCACTCCCCAATCCTCCTCCCACCTCACACACATTCACACCCCGCACCGCACCCCAACATGGCGCAGCTGTACGGCACCTGCGCCTGCGAACGCAATCAATACACCATCATCATCCCCTCAGAGCTCCGCACACACGCCCAAGTCTTCTTCGACAACAGCAGAGACAGTCGGCGAACACAAGCCTCGCCCGTAACAGCATGGCTAAGAGTACGCTCACCTCAACACCCGCAAGCACACTCCGCACGGCCAACTAATATGTACAACAGATCCCCCTAGACTGGTACCACAGCACGACGTACGCCCTCTTCCCAGACGAAACGCCCACCTCCATCCGCAAAACATACCATACTCCCGCGCGCGCCGCTACGCCCGTCCGCCGCCAGTTCTGCGGCTACTGCGGCACGCATCTCACGGCTTGGAGCGAGGGCGACGAAGGAGATAGAGAGGCGGCGAATCGGCTTGACATAACGTTGGGGAGTTTACTCGGCGAGAGTATTGAGCAGCTGGAGGCGTTGAAAATTATTCCTAATGCGGACGATGATGAAGACGACGAGCAGGCGGATGAAAACGGAGATCATGGCGGGCTGGTGAAGGGCGGGACGGTAGATGACGACGTGCACATCCCCACGACCGAAAGACCGGCTCCAGTACGCAGCCGCGGCGGGGACGACGAAATGGTCAAAGGCGGAACCATCCACGATGATGTACACATTCCCACCACCGAAGGGACAGCCATGCACGGCATGGAAGGCCCCGGCGCCACCACCACAGTCGCGCCAGTGGCACCGACATCACGCGCGACAGCGAGATCGCTACAACGCATGCGCAACCGCGGCCTGCCGTATTTCGAGGAGATGGTGGAGAATAGCCGGCTGGGGCGCATCAAGCGGCAGAAGGGAGGCGCGTTGTCGGCGGATGGGAGGACGACGGTGGAGTGGGAGATTGTGGAGATTGGGAATGGCGATTCTGCGGGTGGGGAGGGTGATGATGCTGGTGCGTCGGGTGGGAGGGGTGTCAAGCGTCCGCAGCCGGAGTCCTAAATGGATCTGGAAGGCCGTCAGAGGGAGTGATGAAGTGTCCGATTAGCAAGGTGTTTTGGAGCTACTCGGTTGAAATTTCGCCTACTTTCAAAATAGATTGCTATGTAGGTAGCTGGTGACGCAGGGTATGTACATACGATGCAGGCCATATGCCATCCGCCACTCGTCCACCTCGAAACCGACACCCACCTAACCCTTCACAAACAAACAAGCACGCCTCCAAAGCTCCATCATTCATGCCTCCCAGCCGTAAGACCTCGCGGTGAAAAGCAATCCCAGCAGCCTGATTGGCCCCCACCCCATCCACCTGAAACCCTCAGCCTTCCCCCAAAAGCAAGCGACACCACCACACCACCCGCTCCCCTCGCGCCGCGACCTCCCAACCTGAAACGCGCGTGGAAGCCCCGTAGACTCCTCAGCCGTGAACTGCACCCATTGGGCGAGGCGGGCGACCGATTCGGTTGGGGAACGTGCAGACGGACAGCAAGGCTGTTTGCTGCTGTTGGGTCTGTGAGGTGTTGATTGGCTGGGCTGCGCTGCGGCGTGCAGGCGAGAGGAGGGTCTGGTTCATGCGTACGCTGTGGTTTCTCGCTCGCGAGGGATCGCAGCCTTGGGATGATGTGGATGCGGGTGCAGGTGGGGGAGGAGGTGTGAGTGTTGTTTATTCTCTTCTGCTTTCGCGTCTTCCGTATGCCATCTTTACGCGTGGAAAAATAATGGACGCGAAGATTGTTCTATTTGCCTGAATTATTATATCTTCCATCTCTCACTCACTGCAGAATCGCACAGTGATCTGCTCGCCGTCAAGCACAGCTTTCCAGCAGCAGCAATGCAGAGTCCGCTCCCTGATTCCCGCGCGCTCGAGGCGGGTATCATCCCCGATGAACCGCCTTCACGTCTCTCGCGCGTGCAAGAAAACGTCCGCAATCTGCTCCGGAACCCGACTTTCGTGCTGGCATCGACACTCCATTCGGGAAGCGTAGCAGCAGAGCCAGAGCGACAACCATCCCATCGACACGACCAGCACATGCCAGCAGTGCCAGTCCCTCTGCATCATGTGTCCCGAACAGAGAGGGCGCGAGTCGAAGTGCCACCAGCCAGTATCCCGCCATCTCACGACCAACGCGGAGTCCTGCGCACAGTCGCACAGTCGACATTGTTCAACTCCCGCGCATTCGCTGCTCTCGATCACCCCGACTTGAGCGACCCCTCATTGTTCCAACATCTGCGTAAGACACATCATCGCCACCGGCATTCCTGGAAACGCTCGAGGCGAAGCAAGCATTCGAGCGGCAAGTCGCGAGCGAGTTCGTCGCGGTGTCTTTGCGTTTTGACGGCTTTGTTATTGGGTGCTGTCGTTGCTACCTGTGAGTTTGTACCGACGGAGCTGTGCCTGAGGCAGATCAAGTGCTGATGTGGATGCCGCAGATTTGGTTTTGGTTTCGACGTCGGGCAAAGTAACGCCGACATTCCACATACTGTTTCTTCTGGGTATTGTGCTGGCTGCGATTGTCTGCGCGTACTCCTTTTCCAGATTGTTCCTTCTGGGACGTCACGGTAGAGTGCATGCGCCCTCTCGACTTCGGCACAGGCATCGTCACCGACAGCCCACGGTTGAACGGTCCAGGCCGGCACGAATCTCAATTCCAATGGATCTCAGCGAGGGCGGAACGTTCATTCCGACCAGACCAATCCCAGTCCAAGCAGATGAAGATGACGAGGAAGTCCGTCCAGACACCCGAGAAGCGCAGCCCACAGCCTCAGTCCGCATCGCCGAGCCAACAGCAGCAGCAGCAGCAGCAGCAGCAGCAGCACGAGCGTCCCCCAAGCCTGCGACCAACACCGTCCGCAACCCACCTCCAGCATACGGCCGCTGGAGAGGAAGCGTACGCGCCGATCCCGATCTCCTGCACTGGCGAGTCGTCGTGCCGTCACCAGCTTCCCAGCACCCAAGAACGCCCGTGCTGCCTTCGCCCACGTACGAAGAAGCCATTGCGAGACCGCCGAGTTATGTGACGAGGAATAGTCCGGAGAGGAATGCCGAGATGTGCGAGGACCCGGCAGGAGATGGACCAGTATCGTCATCACCAGCGACGGCAGAAGAGGAGGAAGAACTGGAATACCTCCAGCCAGAAATGTTCCAACTCCCCGGCGCCGGCGTCGGACTGGCCCTGTAATCCCCCCATCCTGAACGAACTCCCATATATCTCTTCCAGCAGAAACATCCACCACGCACATCAACCACCTCACCCCTTCTTCCCCTCCCCCTCCCGATCCTTAGCCCACCATTCCCGCCAAAAAGCCTCGTCCACCTTCCTCTTCTCCTCCTTGCGCTCCCGCTCCTCCCGCCTCTTCTCCGTCCCCGCAAACCACTCCTCGCGCGCGGCATCCATCTCCTCGGGCGTCGCGTACTGCATCATGCACTTGTTCATCGCTTTTTGCTGCGTGCGGCAGAAGAGGGTGGCGGTGAAGGTGCGGTTGGTGCAGCAGGCGGCGAAGTCTGGGTGTGTATCGTTAGTAGAAGGGTGGATGTAGGGAGGGGGGAAGGAAGCCTACCTCTCACTTCGTCTGCGCATTTTGTTCGCACGCGCTTGTAGTAGAGGTCGCGGACTTGTTGTTCTTGACTGGCGGAGAGGGGGAGGGGTTGGCGGGCGGGATTGGGGGTTGATGACGGTGGAGACGGTGGGGGATGGCTGGCCACCTTTGTTGAAGGGGAGGACATCATTGCTGATGTGAGAGGGACATTTCGAATGGATGGGAGAGGTGAAGCAAGAGTGGTGATGTTAGAGCTGATTCTAACTTTCTGATGTCGATGAGCTACTGCGGTGCGGGAAAATACCAAGCCGTGCCACGATATCCGCTCCTCGATATGCCCTCAGCCTTGCCGAACGACCCAAGTCGAGTGATGATTCCACCCGTTCATTACGTCGTGCAGCATCACATTACCACGTCATCATAATTCATGCACCTTCTCCTGACCGTAACTTTCCATTCACCGTTTAGCAGGATGGCTGACACGAGCCATGGCCGCGGCAAGCTTGTGCAGCATAGCCAGGCTCTTCTGCGTCATCTCATACGCTAGTTGAGCATGTTTCGCTGCATCCTGCGCAGTCTCGGCACTGATGCGTGCTTCGCGTGCGCTGAGGAGCGAGTCGTTTAACACCTAGATCAAAAATGAGCAAACTACCTCTTACAGCCTCAAATGAAGCCGAGGGACATACCTTTGCAAAGTTGAGGAGCCGCGCTTTGCGATGAGGGTTCAGCTCCATCTGCGCTCTTCCGACAATGTGCTCGGTCAGATTCTCCACCGATCGTGAACTGTCGTCATGTTCATCTTCATTGACACCCGTCTCGCCGACCGAAAAGCCATGCAAGGCAATTTGACTGGACAGCGATGCACGGAGCGTGTTGGGCAGTTGAGGAGCACCAGAGGTGCTTGCTGTCGGAACTTTGTCTGGCGTGATTGCACTGCCGTTCATGTGGTTGGGAGAAATGCGGTTGAAGACCTTCTCATCGATGCGTGGAACGGGAGGGATTTCTTCGCTCTGCCTCTCGCGCCTGCCGGAGAAAAGACCGTTGATCTTGTCGAGGACATAGCGACTTCTGGAACGCGGCCTCTGCACCTGTGATGTGTCAGTGGGTGTGATGTGTTGATTGGCTCGCTCATAACTCACCTTCGATTTGGATGTGTTCACGGCCTGCGATTGACTCTTCCGCACAGACGTAGGCTTGCGACCACGAGACAGTACTTCCTGCGGACTGCCGGTTTTCGGACTCAAAGCGGGGATGCGAGACGTCTTCTTTGACTCAGATGAAGCAGTGGTGCGGGCGAAAGAAGCTGTTCCTTCCTTCATACCTTGCCTGGCCGCTCGGACTGAACCTGGCAGGTGAGCTTGGCTGGTCTTGCCAAGCGTTGGAGAGGATCGACGACGAGCCACGGGAGGAGGAGTTGCAGCCGCTTCTGGCGTTTGAGCCGAGAGATTGTCAGGCACTGCCGGCGTGCGAGATGGGTAGCCAATAGAGGTGGTGGTGTTGACGGAACCCGCGGAGACAGTATTCGACTTCCGAGAGTTGACTGAATGTAAGGCTTGACCAGAGGCGAAGTGCTCCGCAGAGGGGGAAGTGGCGTTGTCCGAAGGCGTGCTGCTCGACCACTTGCTCATAGCCGCCGCCTCTCCGTTCTCACCGCAGACGCTTGATGTTGTCTCGAGCCTGCTCATGGTGTCGGATGCATTTCCCGCACCGACCTCGTTCCGCACCATCTCGCCCATGTTTGATTCGACGCTGCTGTTCTTGGCGAGGTACTTTTCCGCCATTGCCGCATTCTCCGCCAGTGAAACGCTCTTCTTCTTGCTCTTGTCCAGGCTGCGCTTCAGATGTCCGAACATGTTGAGCAGGGTCTGGCGGTCGACATCAGTCTTGGGTGGACTACCTTTGCCTTCTAGATGGGAGAGGGCTAGGGACAGCTCGGAGGAGGGGTGGTCGTGCCGGTGCATATCCGCGACGGAAAGAAGAGCCTCCGACGGGATGGTGGGCAGCGGGGCGGTGAACGGACTGTTCGTGGGTGGTGCAGTAGCTTTGAATCGTCTGAGGCCCTGATCACCTTCAGAGTCGGAGTGGGATCCATCGAACGTGGCATCAAGCAGATGCGCGGCCTTGTTGTATGGAGACAGCCCTGGGCAGTAAGGCTGAGCAGGCGGAGACGAGCCGGCGTCGTCGGTATCAGACGAGTCTGTTGCCGCATGATGGCCATCAGGTGAGCTGGGCGCCAGGGTGCCGTCCGGAGAGGTGTCGAGACTATACGACAGCGAAGGAGCGTCGGTGGAGACTGTCGCATTGCTCTCCATCTCCCACATGCGTTCTGTGCGTATACGTTGCAGGCTTCCATCTGTTGGCATGCGTTTCAGCTGGCGACGCATCTTACCGTTCTCAAGGACTTTCAATGCTTCGGGCGAAGCGAGTCGACGACTGCCGAAAGAGGGTGATGGTTTGACAAGCATCGATCCTGATAGTCGATTCTTCTTCACATCGATCACGGTAGCTTTCTTGCTGTCTGGGATGGGAATGCGCGAGGCGGTCTTCATGGCTTTGGCGGACATGCTACCTCGAGAGAAGCTGTTGGGGCGAGGACGAGAGAAGCTTGCTGGTGATGGGCTGTGAATGCGAGAGTCCTGGGAAGTGGAAGAGGCGTCCGCTGCTTTTGTGAAGTCTGTAAAAGCCATGCAGCTATGCATCGAGCCAGGAGAAGGCTCCATGAGGACGCCATCGGAAATCCTATGCCGGAGAGAAGTTTGACGGGTAGGAAAGCGAGATAGTGGAGAGTCCGTGGACGGAGAGTCAAAGGACGGGAAGGCTTCAGCCGGCGAGGTCTCTGTAGCTGAATTTGAGGTTGAAGGGCGAGGAGTGCTCTCCACAGAAGTCCCGGCCTGCTGAAGATGCCGATCGATCCCGTCTTGATCTGATTTGCTTTCGCTAGCGCTGGCGTAGGAGGAAGCAAATGAGTGAGATGCGACATGGCTCATTGGGCGACGAGTGGTGCCGGTAATGACCATGGTGAGCTCGGCGGCGGCAGCCACGACAGACGCTGGAGTGGCAGTTGCGGCGGGGCTCAGTTGGCATTCCTCACCCTCTTTGGTCTGTGCGAGGTGAACTCTGTCGGAGTGGGTAGACAGGCCAGCCGCGGACCGTGGTCGTAGTGCGGGCCAATCCTGTCTCTGACCGGTTGGAGAGATGATGCGAAGCGGCTGCTCGACAGCGTCGATCAAGCTTCGGCTGTCCTTGCTGGGGGAGGGGGTGTTGTCGAGTCTCAGGGCTGGGCGTGGGGGAAGGGGCTTTTCGCGTGGAAGAGGTTTGTTGATGGTGGGGGTTCCGTTTGGAGTCATCTTCACTTGTCAGAGGGCGGTGAAATCGAGGAGGAGGAGCCTGAAGACTCACCGAGCGAGGCGAAGCGCCATGCTTCTTCCCAGACGGCTCAGACTTTTCCATTGACGCGACTCGATCGGCAACAGTCGAGGCCCATTTCGCGGAGCTCAGCGGGGTGATGACACGGCGAGGAAGTTTGCATTGAAGATGAGGGGTCCTGTGAGAAGGTGGAGTGTTGCGAGGCACGTTCACATTACGCTCTTGGAGCGCCATGTTGAGGAACGGTCTGCGTACTCGATGGCGGGGAATGGAAGAATGATGGGTGGAAGTTGGGGTGGAAGATGTTTCGGGACGCGAGGCGGAACATGAATGTGAGAAGGTGTTGTGTCATTATCCGAAACCTTGCCTCCGTTTGCGCACTTTTGTTTGAAGAAAGGGAAGGCACGACCGGATTGTGCTGCATGAACCCGCCACGGCGCCGCCCGGCCGGAAGAGCAGCGTCGAGGATGTCTCGCATTTGACCTACCTGCTGCGATTGACAGTGTATTCCATCTTATCTCACCTTGTGTGTGTCCTATCATACTCGATGGCTCTGGCCATGTTGTCCCACAGTCATCTCCACGACAGGGAGCGCACAAGCCAGCCTTTTGCCACAACAACAAGCCCCCAGGTCATTGCAGGCATATTCGGCGTCTGATGAGTCCCGAATGACAATAAGGCACATCTTGTGCTACCTCACCGCAACACATGAGACATCTGTCAGTGCAGGACGCGACGGTGGTGGAAGATGAAGTCACAAACATCCTGCACTTCATCTCGGCCCGGCTCGCGTCTGCGCGTCCGCCGCCTTCCGAATCCCCGCCATGCCCGATGCAGCTGGGTCCACGTTGCACGGCGGCGGATAAATCGCGTACTTTTTCTCGCAAGCACCCATCACACATGCTCCGGACGCGACAACAATCAGCTCGCCATGGATCCCGAATACAAGGCTGCCAAGGAGGCGTCGGTGTCGCTGTTGGGAGGTGGAGGAATGTGGGAGATCAATTTTGTCACTTCCGTCGCCCCTGTCCGTTCAACCCGCCTTCAATATCCAACATCTGTGAATGCAAACTGACTTCCCTCTCAGGTTGCAGTCCTCTTATGGACCTTTCTCCAAACCCGCCAGAGCTTCTTCACCCCCTACACCGTGCCGGCAGCCTTGACGGATTTCCTGCTGAATTGCTGCACCATCCTCTTCGCCACCACCATGTACTCTTCCGCGCCCCAGGTCTTACTTGGTCTTCTCGTTCTCCCCGTCGTCGCCACGCTCCTACAGCCCAAAGCTGCTTCAGAACAAAGTAGCAAGCCAAAGGCGAAGACCGACGCAAATGGTAAACCCGCCGAGGCCACCGCCGATGAGCTCACCCCAGATGATCAGGACCCCCTTCCCATCAAACCCTTCATCACCACCTACCGCGGTGCAATGATGGTCATTACATGTATCAGCATCCTTGCCGTCGACTTTCCCGTTTTTCCTCGACGCTTCGCCAAGACGGAGAGCTTCGGCACGTCTCTGATGGACCTGGGTGTTGGATCTTTTGTCTTTGCCGCAGGCACCGTGGCAGCTCGTCAGCAACTCAAGGAGAAAGTCACTGGAATCTCCTCATTCGTCGCGCGCTTCAAAACCGCCATGCGCCACTCTCTGCCGCTCATCATTCTCGGTCTCGCTCGTCTCTACACGGTGAAAGGCCTCGACTACCCCGAGCATGTCAGCGAGTACGGCGTGCACTGGAACTTCTTCTTCACCCTCGCTCTGCTCCCACCCGCCATCGCAATCCTCCTACCCATCCTGCGCTTCAGCCCAGCATACGGCCTCGTGGCTCTCATAATCGGCATTTGCTACGAGACTGCCCTGACCCCCGACATGAAATCCTACCTCATCCTCGCCCCGCGCCACCCAGACGACTGGCTGTCCCAGAATCGCGAAGGCGTCTACTCCTTCATCGGCTACCTCGCAATCTTCATCGCAGGCATGGGCATCGGCACGGGCATCCTCCCCCGCGACCCAGAATGGGGCCTCGTCATCCCCGTCCGCCGCTCCGACAAAAAAGACAAGAAAGAAAACGATGACCCCCTAGACGAGGATGCGGAATGGCTCGCCTCAGTTCTCGACCATTCAGCACCAGACGCAGCCGGCGCCGCCAGCACTACCACCGCCAAACCCGCGGAAGAAGAAGAAAACCCCTTCAAATTCGAATACCCCCAGGGCGCCTTCTTCTTCCTGCTCAAATGGTCCTTCATCTGGTTCATCCTGACCGTCTGGCTCGTCTGGACCTACGGCCCGCAACTCTTCGTCTCCCGCCGCATGGCCAACCTGCCCTACGTAGCCTGGGTCTCCGCCTTCAACACCACGCAGCTCTTCGCCTTTTGCATCATCGAGTGGCTCATGTTTCCCGATTTGTACAAAGCGCCCGACAGGCAGACGGAGGCCCGCCGCATCCAAAATGCCACGAGCAAGGTTCTGCATGCGTTTAATCGCAATGGGCTCGCGCTGTTCTTGCTGGCGAATTTGTTGACCGGCGGGATCAACATGAGTGTCAAGACGCTTTATATGGATGATATCAGTGCCATGGTGGTGTTGGTGGGGTATATTGGGGTGCTTTGCGCGACGGCGCTGATGTTGGATCATTACGATATCTCGATCAAGCTGTAAGGGAAGGGCAGTCTGCATCTTGGGAGAGGCGTATATTCTCCCTCCGACGAACTGGAGGGCTCATATAGACTGGATAATGGGTTCTGTAAACTTGTTGCGATTTTTGTACGCCATGAGTGCTACTCTTTTGGGGATATATCGGTGAGCAGCAAGGATCAAACTCGCTCGATTATGCAATCAAGGCCGTTCACAGCCCTTTCGTCTGACAATCAGAAAAAGTTACAATCGCTATGCCTCAAAATGACAATGCCCCCAGCCTCGGATCAGCGCGACCGCCGACTCGGCATCTCTACCGACCGCCGCGGCGTAGTCTCCAAATCCTTCGCCGCAACCTTACCAGGACCCTGAGGCCGTAGCTCAGGAGTCGTAGGCCGACTATACCGCGGATCCTCATCACCCTCATATTCATCGTCGCCATCCTCTTCCAACGCCTCCTCGCTCGCAGCTCCCTCATCGTCCAGAAGCAACGAATTCGCCAAGTCGTCATCATCGTCTCCAAACGCGGAAGAAGCAAGTAGGCTGCCATCCAAGCTCACGCGCGGATCCTCCAAGTAAGACGAATCCATCATGGCGTCGTCTTCGCTCAACACGCTTCCCTTCGTCGTGCCATTCGTAGTAGCGCGCTCCAACGCCTCCTCAATCACATCGTCCTCCTCGGACTCGGAATCCGTGAAATCGACAAGATCCAAAGGCTTCTGCCGCCAATAGTTAAAGTCCGTAAAGTCCTCGCCGCCGCCTTTGACCAGCAGCCCGACGGGCGGGAAGTAGTAGTCGACGATCTCGCGCATCGTGGCGTACGCCGTTTTGTAATTGTTGAGCGACAGCAGGTCCAGGGAGACTTCAGAGTAGCTGTTGATGGTGAAGATGCGCGTGCTGGGGATGTTGACGGAGCGGTAGCTGAGGGCGTCGGTGAGGCGGTTGCCGAAACCCGCGTAGAATGGGCTGCCGCCGCGGCCGCGGTTCATGCCTAGTCCTGAAGGATTCTCGTGCTCGTCGCCGTCTACGTGCCCTTGAGAGTGCGCAGAGACGCCGTGGCCGGAGAAGAGGGCCATGATGTCTCGTAAGCAGGCCATTTTGAATAGCTCCGGCTTGCGAAGGTAGACTTCGCGCCGTAGAGCTGCCATGGTGCGATCGGGACTCAGGATGACGGGTCCTTTGGGGAGCCGGAAGCCGTCTTGCACTACACCGTCTAGGTAATTCCGCGTGGTGTCTGCTTGCCCGACGCTACGACTTGTGAGGTAGAGGAGGTTGTAGCCGTTGGCTGCAATCTCCGTGTATAGCTTGGCGACACCGGGATGCGTCCAGTCTCTTCCGATGGAATTCATCACGTGGCCTAAGACGTCGGATTTGGTGATAGTGCCATCGATGTCGCTGATGACAATGGGTACATCGTGCTTCAGATACCAAAGATTCGCCGCGCATGTCGCCCGGTTCACTGTGAAAGACATGGGGTTGGCGCCCGGCCGGAGGTGCATGGACTTGAGTTGCTCGGACGTGAGCCGCAGGGTCTTAGCATACGTCTTGACCGGCTCGCCGGGGGTGACGGATTCCTGTCCTGGAGAGCTCGGTCCAGAGTTGATGCCGATAGCACTATCCGAATCTCGTCGAGCGCGTGTGGCTGAAAGCTCCACGTGGGAGTCGGATTTGGCATCGTCGCTGTGGTATCCTTGGTCGATCAGAGCGTCTGTCGAGGCGTATCCGGCGGGATTGTAGCTCCCAAGAGCTTTTACTGCCTTTTGCGCGGCCGCGTCCTTCGCCTCTTCGCTACTGTAGATCCAGATGTTGCCATTTTCATCCGCACCAATCAAGGCGCCAATGTCGTAGGGGCCGTCAATTTCTTCTGACAACAGCTGTCGCGCGATTGCCTCTGCTTGCAGTGCATCACCATCACCACTCCTGTAATTCGTCATATCTAGCATCAAGTCGCCAGTGTCCGTGACTTGATTGCTAATGTTGGAAGCCCAGAGTTTCTTGGAGAGATTCATAGCTCGTGTATTGGCATCATCCTTCGTAAAAGGGGGAGGTGAAGTAGAAGAACGGTCTGCTCGAGTTTGTAGGGGCGATGGTGGTCTTCGTTGTGGTAAGGATTCACTGAGAGGGGTGCTATCATCTTTGGAACTTTCGACAATCGCCTTGCCAGCTTCTATATCACTGTCGGTGGAGAAGCGAGTTAACCTGTCGGTCTTGTAACCCGTCATGTCTGTGGAAAGCGGTCGTCTGAGATGCATATCGGAGAGCCGTGGGGGAGGAGTGAGGCGTCCAAGGTCGGTCTGGCCTCTGTCGAAGTGTAGGGGTGGAGGGTGTATGCTAAAACTCGCGCTCTTAACATGTTGCTTTGGCTGTCTCACGCCGAGATGATTGTCGTTGAGGTCGAGCGGGTCGGGGTCTTGGGAGGTGGGTGCGGGAGGCAGACTAGCTTCGAGTTGGGGACTGGTTTCGGGGGAGACAGGCGGACTGGTTTGTAGGCCTGGGGGAACATGCTCGTCGGTTTCGAAGACGAAGAAGGCCTCTCCACCCTCGCCGAGTTTCATGGAGAAGTTCTGCTTCTGCCCATTGACCTTGAACTCCACCTTCTTCTCGTAGGGGCGCAGGAGGCGCCATTTGCCAAAGCGGACGTGGAAGGGGCTGCAGGCGAGGGAGGCATCATCTTGCTCGACGACAATGACATCGATGGCCCCGGACAGGGTGGCCGGGTTGATGCTGTTCCATGCACCGTTGACCGAGCCTGCTAGGGAACGGACGTATTGCATGGTCGAGCAATGCGCAGGCTGGCCTCGGCCTCCCTCTCGGGCCAGGTATGGTCAATTGCGGATGGGAAGAGAGTCGTGCGGAATGATGAATGACAAGCGAGTGACAAGGGCGGAACGTCGAGGATATGGGAAGGGAGTGGCGAAGGAGGGACAGCGAGGGTCAGCGAGGGTCAGCGAGCCTGGCGCGGTCACAAGATACGGGTGGTGGTGTTCTGCGAAAGATGCGTGCAGGTCAGCCGGGGTGCTGAGTCGGCCCCCACGTCATCCGGCAGATGCAGTGGAATGATCAGACGTCGCTGCTTTGGGCACGGGAGGATGTGCAAGCGGTGTATCAAAGGAAGGAATATGTAGAATGGCACATGAAGAGCAGATAATGCTGAACTGCTTCATTTCACTGCTCGACTCGCCGTGATTCCGTCGAATGCTGGCCCGACTGTACCTGCCCTTCTTTTCACTGGCGCGAAACCTTGATTGATGCCTGACGGCTGGGCAGGAGAGGCAGGCAGCCTTCCCGAGGTCGCGGTCGCGCTTGCCGGCCGATGACGGATTAGTTAAGCAGCTTTTCATCAACTGCGAGCCGGCCTTGGCTTCTGAATGTTTCCAACGTGCACTCGTTACTCCACGAGCACCACAAGCACGCCGACCTCCACCAATACCCGCCCCTCCACTCCATCATTCCTCTTTCACATGTGCATTACTTCCTCCCCTACACACCCCATTCGCTTGGCTTCCCGAACATGCTGTAGACATGGCATACTTCAATGCCGCAGCTGCGACTCCCTCGAGAGGGTCGAGTTGGCTGGCTAATCCAACCGACGGCGACCCTTCTGCGCCCTGGTGGAATAGCGCAATATCTCCACGTGTCCTACTCACCCTCCAATCCCTCGCTCTTCCGCTCGCTTTCTGGTTTAAGCCAACATGCGTCTGCATAGCTCTTGTCTGGTGAGCCCCAGCTACTGATCCTCATCCGTCTCCCCACCCGCCACACGCTGACTTGCTCCCCCAGGCTCGCCTATCGGGCCTCTCAAATCGTACAGAAACCTCTCGGCGATCTCTCCTACCTCCTCGGATTCGATATTCCCTCCCACCCTCTTATCGATCTCGCTGGCATCAAAGCGGACGGCGCCATTATCCACTGGAGCTTTCTGGAAAAGCCAAAGCACAAGAGCCAGGTCAAGATAGAAATACACCTCAACGGCACCCTCATAGACCGATCGCCATGCCACGAGTCTGCGGTCATGATAACCGGTCTTCAGCCCGCCTCCTTCTACGTTGTCCGCGTGGCTCTGTTGCACAATGAATTCAGCTCCAAGAGCGCCGCTATCCGATTTCGCACCAAACCTACCTCTTCAGACGATTTCTTCACCCCTGCCGTCAACCCCGCCGATCCCGACCATGACCCCCAACAGGAACTCGTCCCACGCGTCCGGCCCTATCGCGCCCTCAAAGACTTCGCCCCATCCTCTCCGACCTCGACTAGTATGGCGAGAGAGGGTAGCCTGGGCCTGGGGCCGGTAAGAAACACGAGTCGCCGCCCATCGCCCGCCAGCATCCAAATCGATCCCAGGCAAGACTCGCATGCAGACGACCTTGATTTACGTGATGGTGCGGAGACTGTTCAGCAGCTTACGGAAAAGCTCGATGCAATCAGACGTGAAACCGAAGACGCCGAGAGGTTGGCGAGAGAGGAGGACGATGAAGAATTCCGGCAGAAAGACGAATTGGCAAATGAGCGTGATGACTTGAAGGCTCAGGTTAATGACAAGGAAAAAGTTAGCCGGAATCTAAAAAGAGAAGTGAACACGCTTGAGCGACAGAATACCGCCGCGCAGAACGAGCGTGCGAAGCAAGAGCGATTGTTGCAACAGAAGAAGCAGGAGAGGGTGAAACTCACAGAGGACATGCTACGGTGGGAGCGTGGCGCGGAGGAGATGGCTGCTGAGGTGGAACGGATCAAAAGCGAACGGGCAACCCACCTCGAACAAATGGCGCGAGATAAAGAAGACTTGCGCGAGAAACAGGCCGCAGAAAGCGCGAAACTTCGGGCCCTCGACGATCAAGTCAAAGAAAAGACGGCGGAAGTCAAGAAGATTGAGCGCATAATCAAGGACAACTCTCCGAATGGCTCGGAACGCGAGCCCAACCTCGTGCAGCAACTCCAGAGCGATGCGGAAGAAGAGCGCAGATGGCAGGCGCTCAGACAAAGCCTCCAGCAGCAGTATACCGGCACCTTCACGCGGTTGGAGAACGCGAAGAAATTCTACGTCAATCAGATGCAATGGCTCGAGACTCTACGGGCTGATCGAAGACGGCAAGAGGATGCAACACAGTACGCGCCTGCTGCCAACGATCGCCATCGAATGGCGGAGATGCAGCGCAGGAGTTCTCCCAGTGTTGCTGAAAGCCCTCGCCTTGGCACCTTTCCAGTAAACCACAGCCCCTTCTCGAACCCGGCCGGCCCAGCTGGAGCGGCCTACAACCCTACACCCTTTTTCAACATTCACAACGGCATGTCATTCCCGAACCCGACGGACGAGGTGGCCATGTCAGAGGATGATCGGGACAGACTCACCGGAGGCGCTGCCATGTCCCCGACAGCTGGCGCTGCTCTCATTCCCGCAGATCTCTTCTCGGGTGAGGGCGAAAGCAGACTTGAGCAGGTTAGGCCGCTTCCAGGACTTGGCTCTTTGCCTGGTCTGGCAGGAATACCTGGCCCATCCCCTCAGCCCCAGCACGACCAGCTTGGCGCCGGACCTGCCTCCCCGGCAGCATCTAGCAGCAGATCGCCGAGCGTGTTGGCAAGCCCTCGAGCGAGTCAATACAATCTTCCCACCACCTCGTCCGATGCCGTTATTGAAGGAGATCGCCGCTCCATCCGATCGAACCGCTCAAATCGTGCTGCTAGTGGAGGCACGGGCAGTCGATTCAGCGGCATGTTTGGCATTCGACCTCGTAACAAGAGCGCGCTCGAAGAAGGCCCACCTCTGAGCAAAGCCAGTTCCATGCCAAGACAAGATCCAGGAAGCACAGGCCTGGACTCCACTGCTCGCAAACGCAATAGCAGCATTTCCGGCCTGGGCGGTTTGGATGGCACCGAGGACGTTTCTTCAGACTCTCCCGGTGCAGCGACTGCCAGGCGGGCTTTTGGCTTTTTCAGCAAGGAGAAAAGCGGCGGGTGGCCATCCAACTTTACTGCATTCAGTCGAAAGCCTGCTTCCCCGCGCCCTGGCTCTACGCATTCCAATGAGCTCCCGCGGCCGTCGATGGAGAGCGGTCGTTGGCCTTCCGACACCTGGTCGCTGGCAGATGGCGCAGCTGGAGCCCGCGGCAGTCCGCTCGCCTTCGGTGCTGCTGGGTGGAACGCTCCCTCTCAGCAATCACGCATGTACGGTTCGCGTCACCCGTCTCGTCGTCCGTCTGTCCAATATGCCGCTTCCGGCCCTCCCGAAGACATTCTAGAGGATGACGATTCCGACGCCATTGATCCCAATGAAGCTCCGCACCTCGAGCCAATTGGAACCAAGCCATCGAAGAACACAGCTGCCGACAATGCTGCTAAGCTCAATCCGAACGCGAAAGACTTCAAGTCATTCTTTTCCAGCATGAAGTTTGGCGGCAAGGACAAAGCGAGGGAAAACGGCGAGGGCAGCGACAAGAATGATGGCCTCACGCCTCAGCAATTGACAGCACCGCCAACGTCCCACGGCCTTGAACACGACGAGTCCCCACCCAACAGCCGCAAGTCTCGTGACACCCGCGACACCCGCTCCATGACCACTACCGAGTCCTCTCTGGTAGAATCCGGCCGTACCTCTCCGGACCTCGACCAAACACTTTCCTACCCCACCTCCGATGTTCCCGCCGCATCCGCCTCGCAGCAGAGCAAGGAAAGCCTGATGCAGAAAATCACCCGCAAGTCTTCGTCTAGCAAGTTCAGCCTGCCCTCTTTCAACCGTCAGAGGTCGCGCCTCGATGTGCCCACGACATCTGCGTCAACGCCTGTGCCTGCCGAAGACGACGTGGATCCGATGAATGAGAGCGTGAGCAGTCTGAAGGACAATTCGCCGGCGAGGTCCGACGCTAAGGACCATCGGGGTTCGCGGAGCTGGAGTAGTGCTTTTAAGCTGGGGAAGAAGAAGGGTGCTGGTGGTGCGGCGGAGGCGCAGAGTATGAGTGATCGGATCAGCATGGCGAGTGGGACGGAGGATGGCGAGGATGATGAGGAGGGGGTGTAGATGAGTAGGGAGATATCGCTGCCATTCTTTGGACTTTAACACCTGAAGGACCTGTCACAACTTGCCATCTGTGTCTCCTGTTCACGGGCGAGATATCATTGTATGCGCGGATAATCCAGCATGACACGCGTTCAAACTCGGCTTCTTACTTTTTCTCAACCACACCTGCCAAATCTGGAAGTTAGACACACGACACTCCCAAAGGTAGTCACGCGACACCGTCCCAGCCCAAAAGCCGCATGTACACCATCCGTACGGCTGGACTGAAAGGTCTGGGCGTCTTCGCGACAACACACATACCCCGCGGCACGCGCATCGTCGCGGAAGCACCGCTCGTAACCGTCAAAGGCGAGCGAGAAGTCTACGGCGCCATCACCCGGCTCCCGCAGCGCGACATCGCCTTCATCCGCGCCCTCTCCGTCAACGCTGGTAACAATGCCATCTCAATCCTCGACCGCGCCCGCGCAGCCTGGAACCTAATATCGACCTCCACGCTCCCAACTCCAAGCATAGTGCGAGACTACAGCGCTCTCCTCTCCGCTTTCCGGAACAACAATTTCGACCTCGGCGCAGGCGTGCAGGCTCTCTTCACCGAAATCAGCCGCTTCAACCACTCGTGCATCCCCAGCTGTCAGGGGAATTTCAACTCTGCGTTGGGCAAGTTTACCGTGCATGCTACGCGTGGGATTGAGGCTGGGGAGGAGATGACGGTGAGTTATCTTGGGGAGAGCGGGGTTGCTTTGAGGGAGGAGAGGAGGGGGCGATTGTGGAGGGGTTTTGGATTTTGGTGTGGGTGTGGGATTTGTGATGAGGTGAGCGATGATGGGGGAAGTGAGGGGAGGAGGACGGGGATGAGGGACAGGTTGAGGGAGTTTGCGATGGGGAGTGCAGATTCGAATGGGAGGGGGCACGTGGAGGTTGATGTGTTGGGGGAGTTGATTGGGCTGTTTGAGTCGGAGGGTTTGGGGGGTCGAGAGTTGGGGATGATGTGAGTCTTGCTTTGAAGCGATGTGGACACATGGATGGGCTAATGTTTGATGCGCAGATATCTCTCCGTGGCGGAGAAACACGCGCATTTGGGCAATCATGAGGACGCGCGACGATCTGCAGCGCGGGGCCTGCGCATTGAAGAGACGTGCGTGGGGAGTGATAGTCCGTTGTATCACGACAGCGTGCAGCGCATGCGGCGGATGAGCATGCAGCTCACGGACGAGGCTCCGTGATGCGAGCCGCCTGCCACCTGCAACCTCAACCGTGATGGTCAGGCCGTGATGGCCTTATTTCGACCGCATGTCTACTTCTTGCACCTGTACGCGCAGCTGACGATGGCTCTGGGCATTCTGGACACATCATTCACCACCATCGTGACAATCAGAAGATCACGATGGGAAGAGGCCAGCCGTACGGCATCAGAGACAAGGCCGCGGCCGCAAGTGGCGAAAGTTTTTTTTTGACTTCAGCCTCATTTGCAAGGACATCATGCCGAAACAAGTACAAGTATCTTCCAGCCAAATACGCTCGGCAATCAGACACGTGTGCCCCAAGCAAGAGGAACAAATATCGGATGCGCTCGGCGATCGTTTCTACTTCATGACGTGCCAATTGCTCTCGCTCTAGCGTGTGTGACGAGAGAGCAGGTCGTGCCTTGCGTCATGATGATCTTGTTCCTCTCCATGATTCGGAGCCGACTCCGACTCCGGGCTGCACGTCGCGGAAACCACGTTGTTTGATGCAAGAAAGATAAGTGCTGTTGATTTTCCCTGTTTAGTTCCACACGCTCTTTCTCTCTTACTTCTCTCACTTTAATCTTAACTACCACCCAAAATGGCCCTCTCCTCCGCAGCAGCGAAACTCGAAGAGAAAATCGGGCACGGCGACAACGCCACCACCATCCAAGATGTCACCAATCCCGACCGCGATCCCGCCTATGCCTCCTCAGCCGACAAAATGAAAGCGCTGGTGTGGCAAGGCAAGAACAAGGTCGAGGTCGTCGAAGTGTCCAAACCCGCCATCATCGAGGATACCGATGTCATCCTCAAAATCACCGGGAGCACCGTCTGCGGCAGCGACTTGCACCTGTTGCATGGCTCGGTGGTTGAGATGCAGACCGGCGACATTCTCGGCCATGAGTTCTGCGGAGTTGTCGATGAGGTCGGCTCGAAGATTTCCAAGGTCAAGAAGGGCGACCGCGTGGTGGCGAGCTTCCAGATAGCGTGTGGCTCTTGCCATTACTGCGATCAGAAGCTCTCTTCGCAATGCGAGAAGACGAACTCCAACACTATCGAAAACGCAATGTACGGCGGGCGAACAGCAGGGATGTTTGGCTACAGCCACTTTACAGGTGGATTCGCAGGAGGACAAGCAGAGTACACCAGAGTTCCTTATGGCGATGTGAACCTGCTCAAACTGCCTGACGACGTGCCCGACGAAAAGGGCCTCTTCCTCTCCGACGTCATCGCAACCAGCTGGAACTGCGTCGTCGACACGGGCGTCACCAAAGGCTCCATCGTCGCCGTCTGGGGCGCCGGCCCGATAGGCCAAATGGCCGCCGAGTTTGCCTTCCTCAACGGCGCCAGCCGCGTCATCGTCATCGACTGCAACTGGCGCCTCGACTACGTCAAGTCAAAGTACCCCAACGTCGAGACGGTGGATTTCTCGCAGCTCAAGGGGCCGAAAGGGGTGGTGACGAAATTGAAGGAGATGACGGACGGGAGAGGGCCGGACGTGGCGCTCGAGTGTGTCGCTGGCGAGTATCCCAAGGGCTGGCTGCATACCATTGAGATCGCGGCGGGGCTGGAGACGGACACGTCGGAGATTCTTAATGAGATGATTGAGAGTGTGAAGAACTACGGCCGCGTGGGCGTCACGGGTGTGTACGTGGGCTACACCAACCACTTCAACATCGGAAGCATCATGTACGTTCTCTCATCCCCCCCAACCATCACCAACTAACCAAAACAATTTGACAGGGAACGCGGCATCCGCTTCATCGGCAACGGCCAGGCCCCCGTCCACCTCTACTGGGAAGACTTGCTCAAACGCATCCAAAAGGGCGAAATCGACCCGCTGAAAATGGTCACGCACCGCGTGCGCATGGAGGATTTGGACAAGGTGTACTACAAGTTCGACAAGAAGGAGGACGGGATGCAGAAGGTGTATGTGCAGACGCGCTTCTCGGCGCCGCCTTGCGCGGGCTCGCCGGCGTTGACGACGTATTGATCGCCTCTTGCGACTGAGGGGGGTTGTGCGGTGATGGTAGATGGCTCGATGGGGTGTTGTTGACCCATTAATGAAACTTATGATGATCGGAAGCTTCTTTTCCAATAATGTAGTACTCGGGAGAGAAGATGAAGGAGTGGCGCTGTATATACAGTCCATTGATTACAACTGTCCCGTTTCCCTCCTCCAGTCCATCAGCGATCAGTCCATCCATTCAACCACAGCATGCTCGCTCAAAGCAAAAGACAGGGGAGAGACGGCCGAGAGCAACCCCCCAAAATGATATATCCAATCTTCAAAACACCAGCACGCACACGCCATCGATCCCACCAAATGAGCAGAGGAAAACCGCTTGTTACATTCGCCATCTACCTTATGCCCGCAAAAAGTCCCGATTCACATTCACAAACGCCGCCGCGCCCCCGGTCCTCGTCGCAGCCTCGTCGAGCAACGCTTCCGTCTGCGCTGACAGTTTCTCTAATGCCGCAGAGGAGGGTTTGCCTAGGGAGACTAAGAAACACACATTGTTAGCCAGCGCTTCTTCACGAACGAAGGCGAGAAAGACATACCAAGAATAGCCCCATTCAAGTCCTCCGCAATCTGCACCCGGCCTTTGGCATCCATGAGTCCGCCAACCACACTCTCGTTCGGATTGGTATAAGCCATAATAGCGAAAATATCGGACAACTGCTTCTTGATCTGCGGGCGGGGATCCGAGCCGAACGTCGACTGCAGTTCCTGGCCGTACGCGAGGGCTTGCGCAAGCAGTTCGTTCTGCGCCATGAGGCTTGCTTTGCTGGGGGAGAGTTCTTGCGAGGCGTCCATGTCGATGTCGGAGGATGAGGAGGAGGGAGAGGTGGTTGATGAGGGGTGGTTGGGGGGCGCGGATTCGCGGTTGAGTTGGTCGTCGAGCTCCATTTGGGTGTCGATTGGTTCTGAGGCGTCGATGTCTACGCCGCCGTTGTCGGCGCCGTCTGCGTGGCCGTTGCTACTTGGAGGTGGTGGTGATGCGGCCGCGGCGGCGGACAGTTCCGTATAGTTTCGCATCATTTCGATAAACTTTCGACACCGTAGACGGAAGTGGATGTCTTTGTTGCGAGACTCGTTGAGGACGTGCGGGTAGAAGCAGTTGGTGAATTTGAGCGCTTTGTCGATGTCGCCATTGAGAATCGCGCGTCGTATCTTCTGCCGATTGGCGGCATGTACATCGTCTTCGGCGTTCGGGAGGTGGAGTGGCGTTTTGCTGCTGCTGGGAAGTGTCTGTCGCTCTGCGTTGACGTCGCTCGCGAACGCTTTGGCCGTCTCTATGTAGCCTTCGTGCGCGAGGTATTGCCCAATGAGATTGTGGATGAGTGTATGTGCGTCGTCTGGAGGGTGGAGACCAGACAGGTCGGCGGTGGTGAGATCGGCCATGACGGTCTGTCGCTCTTGCTCCATCATTCGATCTATGTCGAACATGAATGCGCTGCGGCCGAAGTTGATTGATACATGGTCGTTCGGCTTCTTCATCCCGACGGACGGGTATAGTCGTTGACTCTTGATTCCAGAGAAAGCGACGCCTAGCAGATGCGAGTTAGTCGGACATCTCAATCATCCGTAACTGAGGCACTCACCAAGATACACCCCATTCTTAGTGAAAAAGGCATTGCCCGTCCGAAAATTCACGCCACAGCCCACCGTATCCTGCGTAGCGAACTTCGGTCCGTACGCCTTGCCATTCGCCGTGCATGCAAAACTGAACCCATCATCCCCGTGATACGCCCAGGAATCGGTATCCCAGCCCGGCAAGCGATTCAGGCTGACCTTCCGCCCCGAAAAGCCTACGCCGATGAATGCATCTTTCCCGCGCGACAGCACCGTAATCTCAAAGTAGTACAGGCCGCACTCCCGCGGCATAGGGTGATCGGCCCTCACTGAAGCTGCCTCCTCTGATTGTTTCGTCGAGCCGGTGAACCGCACTTCGCCACCGTCCGCCAGTATTTCCAACCCTTGACACTTGTCGTCTGCACTAAGTCTCGTGGGCAGCGGGTGCACCGCATAATCGTCCACAACCGGCGGTATCCTCTCAATCACATCCTGCACTGGCCCACGATGGATGTGGGAGGCATGCATCTTGCTCAGATTCGCATTACTCGGACTCGTAGACAGACTCGGCGGGCCCGAGGGCGGAGGGAGGAGTTGAAGGTTTTCTTGCAGTTCGGCGATGTGTGCGTCCCAGGCGCGTTGGAGCCTTTGCACGTGGCGGGATTGGCGGAGGTATGAGGGGGTGAGAAAGGGAGGGTGTTCGTCGTGGTATGCACAGCCCATGCGTCCGTCTGAGCGGCCGACATCGTTCGACCAGCTCGACCCGGGTCTCTTTCGCACATTTTGTCCATTCTGCCCATCTATGTCCATGCTACGAAGTGAGCTTCTAGGTCTCTGGGTCGCGGACTGTGACTCGGACTGCTGCTGGTGTGGTGAGAGGGCCATGGTATCGGGGGAAGTAAGGGAGTTGGTGACCGCAGCCAAGGTGTTGAATCGGGAGGGGTGGAGGTTTCCCGCAGCGCCTCCTGCAGCCACGTTTGCGTAGGATGGTCGTCGATGTGGAGGGGTGTTGGCGAAGGCGGAGGGTATGGAATATGGATTCGTGCTCATGATAACCGCGGTTCGTGATGGCGGGCTGGTCTGCTGACTGCGGCGAATGGAGTGGCTGTCTGCGCACTCCGAGACCCCACTGGCCTGTTCTACGCAGTTGCCCTGGCCCCGGTGGTGAGCAGAGATCAAAATGTGTCGGTGAGCGGAGCGTAGGTAGGGCGGCGTGAGAGGAAGTTGGCGTATTCGGTGGGCGGTTATCGACGGAGAAGGATGGCTCGCTGGCTGCTCGAATCACTATTGGACATCATGGTCGACGGTCAGTATGCATCGGATAGGAGTGTGGTACAGTGGCAGACACTGCGTGTGTACGAGGGTGCAAGGATGAAGAGTGAAGTGGAGGGAGTGGTGACATGTGCGAGTTCAAGTGCAGCCGGGTTCAGCACATCATCCCCGCAAATTGATGGCGCGAGGTTGGGGGACTCAGGGAAGGATGGGTGATTTGGCAGCGCCCTTGGATACGGGAAGCATGCAATCACCTACGAACACGAGACTGGGATCAACGGTAGTAGAGTGGTAGTGCATCTCTGTTAATACGCAGAGCGGCATCGATCGCTATCTTGGCCTCCGCGCCCGGCCATTTGATACATGATGCTTCGTGAGGGAAACCAAGCTATCCATTCAAACCGTCCTTCAGAAACAATGCTCCCCATAACAAACGCCTTGCTAATCGATGCTCAATCCATATGATGCCATAGCGTCATGTTCCCGCCCGCTTTGACCCTCATATGCACACATCATACACGGTCTTGAAAGGTAGCTTGTTCAAGAAGCCGCCGCCATCGCGGGCGCGGGTGAGCTCTCAATCCCATTCGTCATCTCAAAATCTCCCTGTCCACTTTCACTGGGGAGCGCACTGCTGCCGTTTGGCTTCACGTCACTCGAAGCAGTAGTGTCACTCTTGACATCACCAGCGAAACCAGCGTCACGAACGGGTGCGTTCCAAGAGGACATGTTCCACATGGTGCCGGTGAAGGACTTGAGCTGGAGAGGTTTGCGTTCCCATTTCCGACACGGCTTGCCTGTGCGGTCAAGGGCGCGCAGTCCGGCATTGATGGCACCGGTGTTGGCTTTCGGCCCGAGTTTGTGGGATGTCACCGGGTTGGGGCCGGCGACGGTGACCTTCTTTCCGTCTATAGTGCGATCGATGCTACCGTCCGCTCTGCAGGGGGATGTTAGTTGATGATGATGGCAGTCTGACTTATGGGGAGTGTACTCACAACCTTGGCTTCTTCTTCGGTCCCGGTCTAGCCCTCTCCCTGGGAGGAGCATCGGGATCGATGGCAGGGGGTGCGCGCTTCTTGCCAGACGCGTTACCCGCCGGTCGCTTCTTTTTATTCTCTGCCCCGGGCGGTGCTAGCGAGTTGCCGTCCGTGTCATCATTCGCATTAGGTGGTATCGGGGTGGAGTTGGCTTCTGATGATTTGTCTGCGGGCTCCGGCGGCTGTACTGACGGCGAAGGCTCGGCTTTGATGGACGCGGAGCGTGAGATGGAGGGCGTAGCGGGAAAGCGCGAGAGTTTGTCGGCGGTGATGTGTAACACGATGATTTTGCTCTTCTTCGCCCCTTTGGCAGTGGCTTTGATGGTGGTGGTGGTGGTCGACGACATGGTCGACGACGGCAGGAGGGCCGATTCAAGGGTGGTGGTGATGGGGGATGATGGGTGTTGATGGATGGGGTCGATGGTGATGAAGGTTGAGGGGGCGAGGGATTATTACGTGGTTTCGCTCCAGCCAAGCTCGGGGCACCGCCTCGCCTTGCTTGGGTGGAGGGTGTTGGATGGATCGCGGCCGGCGGGAGCAACAATTGTCACTCGTCTCGCGTGCAGGGTGTGGTGGTGGAAAGAGGATGAGGGGTGGGAGGGTATATAGCGCTGGGGGATGGGAAGGGGAAGCGGATGGAAGGGTGGAGGCGGCATCGTGCCGGAACAAGCAGCGTGCGACTCGCTTCATTCTGACCAAGGGTCACGTAGGCAGCCCGGCGGCCGTAGCTTTCGCGCGACGGGAGACAAATTGAGGCTTTAGAGGATCTCGAAAATCGGAGGCACATGCCTTGGCGTTAGCGTCCTTTTTCGGCCAATCACCGAGCGCCACCGCCTCGCCATCACTTTCTCCTGCAGCTGCTTTCCCCTTCGTGAACTGATTGTCACAGGTAACATGTCGTGTTCTTGACCATACATGTAAGACTGATTATGTCGTCAATCGACTGCGCCGCCTGTACTGCAATGTCTGCGCGTCACTTTCTGAGACCCAGACAGACCAGATACCGGCGTATCAAGCTGCTGCTATCGCACGTGATTGATTCCTTCTTGTCGACGAGGACAGTCAAAAGCGATAGCACTACATCCCTCATTGCAAGTCTACTTGCCTCTCTAATGGGATGGAAGTGATCGGTTGGATCATACCAGACCCATCCCACCGCTGATGACTAGCTGGGCTCTGGAATGCGGCATGATTCAACACCCTGCCACATGGCCTCGATACATTCTTGCATCAACCTCCTGGCTTGATATATACATAACGGGGCACACGTCCTCACGAAGGTAGGCATTGCAAAGTTTCAGGCCTGTCGCCGGTCATCAACCTCAGCATGTTCACCTTCTCAATCCGTTCATCTCTTTACTTCGCTTTCTTCCTTTGCTTGCACTCCGTTTCGTCGAGACGAACCCATGGCCATCGTCATTTACACCGAGAGTACAAAAAACAGCAGGTCGCGTCTTCCGCCAGTCCATCTACTTCCCAGACAACGAGCACGAGCTTGTTGCAGGATGTTCCGAGTCGCATGCTAGCGTACAACAATCTCACAACCAAAGGCAACGTCGAAACGAGCTCAACGACTACCACCACAGCCACCGCAGTCTCCGGGACCTATTCATTCAACGCTCAAGCAACGGACAACGTTGCTGTGTAGTAAGTTGACGATCAGTGCAACAAGTCAATAACCCTACATTAACGCCAATCGTCAACACAGCTACGGCCAAACGCCGGATACCCAGGCAGGCGGTCTACTCACACTCTGCCAAAACACCAACGTCGACATCGCCATCCTCGCCTTCGTCTACGACTTCTTCGGCACCTCCGGCTCCGGCTATCCCTCTGGAGAGTTCGGCCCAGCCTGCTTCGCATCCCAATCCCCGGAAGCACCAAACCTCGCCAATTGTAGCGCCCTCGGCCATGAAATCACCGCGTGTCAGCAGCTCGGCAAGAAAGTGCTCGTCAGTCTGGGCGGTGCGAACGGAAACAGTAACCTGAATTCCAACACCGACGCAGCACAATTCGCATCAACGCTATGGAACCTCTTCGGCGCAGGCACGAACCTCTCCGCGCTACGTCCATTCGGAGCGAACGTCGTAATTGACGGCTTCGACATCGACAACGAGAACCACAATCCCGCATACTACGATACGCTCGCCACTTCCCTCCGCCAGCAATTCGTCCAGGACACCGGCAGAACATACTACATATCCGCAGCGCCGCAATGTCCCATGCCCGACGCCTCTACCCCGCCGGCGCTGATGTATGCGGCCGACTTCGTCTGGGTACAGTTCTACAATAATCCGCCTTGCGAACTTGGGAGTCCGGGCTTTTTGTCATCGTTTGCTTCTTGGTCTGCTAATCTTACGCTGGGAAGTACGACACCGGGAATGCCAAGGTTGTTCATTGGAGCGCCGGGAGCGCCGGCGGGTGCTGGCAGTGGATATGTGTCTGGGGCGAATCTAACGGAGATTGTTCACGAGGTTTTGACATTGGATCTGGGTGATTTGGGGGGCATCATGTTGTGGTGAGTCCGAGTTGTTGCGCTTCCCTGAATTGTTGCACGTGATCCGGGCTAACAAGAGTCTCATGTCTAGGGATGGAACAGAAGCCATGGGGAATGTTGATTCAAACGGCGTGGATTACTTGCAGCATGCTAAGGCTGCTCTGCATTTGTAAGCTACCTTAGTTCCAGTCTAGAGCGACCTGAATGCACGTGAGTTGCACCTTGCAGTTCTGGCCTTGGTGGGTAAATTGGATTTTCTCCCAGTCTTTGCCTAACGCGGACAGGCTCGGCGAGGCCGTCTTGCGAGAACGGCAGGTCCATGACTCGTCGGCCTCGGACGACTCTTTTCCTTTTCATTGCCTTGCGGCATTCGGCGTCCGGTCACTTCAGCACTTTTATTAGTCTTCTCAATATCTTTAGTTCAACCCTCGGCCGCTTCCAACGTATTGGAAAAGCTGCTGGTTTCTCTAAAGATGTACGATTAGCAGACTGCACACCTTCTCGCCACCACATCTTCCGCCCAGCCAAACCTCCACCATGTTCTCTTGGATCAGCGGCTCGGGCAGCACGCCTCCGCTCTTCCTGGAATTCCGCTCCTCCAAGACCTTTATCATCGTCACCGTCTCGACGGCCATCTTCACCGACATCTTCGTCTATGGCATCATCGTGCCATTGCTGCCCTTTGCGCTGAAGTCCCGCGCCGGCATCGCGCCGGACGTGACGCAGAAATGGATCTCCATCTTCCTGGCGGTGTATGGTGCGGGATTACTGGTTGCGGCGCCGCTCTGTGGGTGGTGAGTTTATGTTTGACCCGAGCCGAGCGTTTGGACGTACGTGCTGATGGTGTTGGTTAGGTTCGCGGATAAAATCAGTTCGAGACGTGGACCCATGCTGTTGGGACTTGCGGGGCTCCTGGGCTCGACGGTCATTCTATGTCTTGGGAGAAGCATTGCTGTCCTGGCCATCGGGAGGGCGCTGCAGGGTATTACCGCCGCTGTACCATGGGTCGTTGGCCTTGCACTACTCGTTGACACTGTTGGGCCGGAGGGGGTCGGAGTCGCCATGGGCTATGTCGGACTCAGCATGAGTATGGCGATGTTGTTGGCGCCCTTGCTTGGAGGCGTGGTCTTTGCGAAAGCGGGCTACTATGCTGTCTTCGCCATGGCCTTTGGGTTGATCATTTTGGACATCTTCTTGCGGCTTGTCATGATCGAGAAGAAGATGGCGGTCAAGTGGCTACCCGTCGAACCAGTCAAGACGGATCAGGAAGGCCTCGGCGGAAAAACTGATGAAACCCACCAAGCGGGACTCGACATCGAGATGGACGAAGTGAGACAGGCGGACACCAAGGGAGCCTCAGATGGCAAGACAGCCGTCAATGAGTTGAGAGAGAACGCGGTCTCGGCACCGGACGACGCTCCAATACCGCCGGTCATCGTGCCCGACCACGTTCCAGAAATCGTCAAGCACTGGACTGCGCATCTTCCCCCGGTCGTGAGACTGCTCTCGTCCCGAAGGGTCCTGTCCGCCATCTTTGGATGCACAATCCAAGCGACCCTATACACCTCCTTCGACTCGATCCTGCCACTCTACGTCCGCGACACCTTCCACTTCAATTCCATTGGCGCTGGCCTGATATTCCTTCCACTGGTCATATCATCGTTCCTGGGCCCTGTCTTTGGGCATCTGAGCGACAAACACGGCCCGCGATGGTACGCCACAGCCGGCTTTATCCTCGCCGGCCCCTGTCTGATTCTGCTTCGACTCGTGTACAAAGATACACTGAACCAGAAAGTGCTCCTCTGCGCGTTGCTAGCGCTGACCGGGACAGGCCTGACGATGACGCTGACCCCGATGATGGCGGAGATAGCGTACGCTGTGGAGGCCAAGGGACGCAATCGACCCGCAGGCTACTTTGGCAAAAACGGAGCATATGCGCAGGCTTACAGCTTGTTCAATGTGGCATGGGCAGGAGGCTTTCTCATCGGCCCGTTGCTGGCGGGTTTGACGGTGCAGGCATCAGGCTGGCCGACCTCGACGCTCATCTTGGGCTGTATTTCTTTCGCCACTGCAATTCCTGTGGCGATATGGACGGGAGGGAGCATTTTCAAAAAACGCAAGCTACAGAGAGACGCGGCACGGGCATTACACGAAGAGTAGATGTCATGATGTTTCATTTATGAATGTAAATAGATAGATATGCCTTATGAAACCAACTCAGCAGTCGCGCTTCACATGCTTTCCGTGTTACGACGAATTTGCTTGGCGTGGCCGACTTCCCCAAGCTCATCCTCAGCACCTGCACCTTTGCGCCAGCACGGATGCACGCGCCAACATGATGTCGAGTGAAGCCATCTTGGAGGGCGCGGCTCGGGATGGCTCCATCGACGTGTAAGCCCTGCAATTTCACTGGTCTGATGCTGCCCGCTGACCAAACGACAGCGCCGAGTGGCCTCGCGTGTTGGAAGCGCTCCTCCAACGCCTGCACGATGTTTGTCCCCCGATGCGTCCTCTCACCGCCATCGGCCAAGACTGACCCAGGCCCCAGATTGTGCACAACGATTTCCCTATTCCTTCCATCCCACTGCCCCAATCGCAGCCGCCAACGATAGATCCCGAAGTCGTGGCATCCACGCCCCCCAACTCTGGACACGATGACCGCGAGGAGCGAGAGGGGGAACTGCCTGATGCAGAGCAGGAGAACGAGGCACATACGAACAGCCAGAGTAGTACGAAAGAGAACGACGCGCCGACAGACATTGCAGCTGGCAGGCCGTCAATATCACGGCCGCAACGCGATCATGCAGAGGACGCGGTGCAGCGTGCGGACAGCGTTGAAGCGCAATCAGGCACGCTACCCCCGGATCTCCTCAGTTTATACACGGTTCTGCGACATACGCTCGAGCGCGACTTCCAACATAGCCCTCCGTACACGATCCAACGGCTGGCGGAACTGGCGCTCCATCCTAAACGACACTATCGCTTTCTTCCCTCTTTCCTGCGAGCTCTTGATCGTGTGGTCAACGTCAGCTCTCCCGTCACCGACTTTCCTCTATCGACTGCGCATCTCACCACTCATGGCCTCCTCACGAACGGCGACACGAACATGGCGAACGGCATCACGGAGGGTCACGGACTGGGAAGTGACGAGAGTCTGGGAGGCGCACTGCTGACTCCGATCCCATGGCTTAGGAACAACTCGTTCCCACACACTGCTGCCAATGGGGCGTCGAACTCTGGAGAGCTCCGCAACCACGGCGGAGAGGAAGGACTCCACGGGTCGGGTGGCACCGACACCGTTTCCGTCAACAGCAACGGAGTAACGACATCGTTAATGAACGGATTGCACCCTTCTCCGGCATCTCCAACCCTGTCCGACCAATCAGACGCCAGCTCCTCTACCTCCTCCGGTACCATGGAAGCCCAGCTCCGCGAGCAGGGCGGCGTAACACAAGGCGAACTCCTCCGCCAAGAGCAAGAAGCCGGCGTCGTCCCTTTAACTCAGATCCCCCCTCGACGCGCCATCTTCACCACCAGTGGAGCAGGCGTAGCAGCTGGAGGCAGTGATGGATCCGTCAGCGCACGGCCAACAACAGCCATGGAGTCGGTGGAAGAGGGCGCGGACGAGCTCCCGCACGCCCGAGGCCCAGAGCTCATCGGGCCTGAAGACATGGGGCCACAGCATCACGCTTTCGACGGCGGATTGGATTTGGAAGCTGCGGTCGGCAGGGGACGTAGCAAGTCTCCGCAACCTCCTCCGCAAGCCATTCCGGCCTCGGAAGCTGAGGCGGCTGCGCAGGCTGCGAGTGAGGATCCCGCGGGGCGACCTGGGGTTGATCCGGGAGATGTGGAAAAGGAGGTGGAGAAGCTGAGGGAAGTGATGGATGCTGAGAGGCAGGCGGCGGCGGCGAGGGATGCGGATGGCGATGTGGTTGTTGCTGATGCGGATGGGAGGGAGGTGGAGGAGAAGGAGATCACGGGGGACTTGAGGGGTGCGGATGCTGTTGATGCTACGACTTTATGAATGGAGGTGTTGAGAAAGGAGGAAGCAGGCCGTGGAATGGAATTCCTACCACATGTAGCCTTGAGTGAATACTGGACACGTGCTGGCCAGTATGCAGCTTCGGAAGGTGCATCAGACACACTTTCCGAATGAAACGAGTGTGCATGGTCATTATCATGCTCAGTCTACAGACCACACGACTCAAAGACGTAAGACTGGGAGAAGTTAGCGAGCACATGCTGCCGCGGTGATTTGAGCCGCAGATGATCCGCGGTCAAGCCCTCGGCGACCGCCCTTCGGCTGGGATCGGCTTGTAGAAACACCAGACTTCTATGAACACACCACTCGGACCAACGCCTTACCTCTTGTCTCAAAAATTCCCCATTGTCCCAGCTTTTCGTTACTGCTCCAGCATCGTCGACTTACTCATTACACATCATGGCCACTCTCGCGCGTGCTTTGCGGCCACTCGCCCGCGCTGCGGCAACCTCCTCCACACGCCTTCCCCATAGTCGAGCGGCGATTGCAAGATCGCAACACGCGTAGGTATCACATGGGAAGCTTCAGTGGCGACGCGCTAACCCTTCAACCAGAGCAAGATGCATTTCGACCACCCCCGCACGCAAATACGCCACGACCGGCACCGTCGACCTCGAGGGCCTCGAGCCGACGCCCATCTTCCATCTGAACGAAGTGGAGGAGATGATGAAAGAGTCGGTCTCCAAGTTCGCCAACGAAACCATCCTGCCCAAGGTGCGCGAGATGGATGAGAAGGAGGCCATGGACCCCGCGATCGTCGAGCAGTGCTTCGAGCAGGGCCTGATGGGCATCGAGATCCCGGAGAAGTACGGTGGCGCGGGCATGAACTTCACCGCCGCCATCGTGGGCATTGAGGAGCTGGCGCGCATCGATCCCAGCGTGAGCGTCATGGTCGATGTCCACAACACCCTGTGCAATACGGCGATTATGAAGTACGGCACGGAGGAGTCCAAGTCCAAGTGGCTGCCCAAGCTGGCAACCGACACCGTCGGCTCTTTCTGCCTGTCCGAGCCGGCGTCGGGATCCGATGCATTCGCGCTCAAGACCAAGGCGGAGAAGACGGCGGATGGGTACAAGATCAACGGCAGCAAGATGTGGATTTCCAACTCCGTCGAGGCCAACTTCTTCATCGTCTTCGCCAACCTCAACCCCGAGGCGGGCTACAAGGGCATCACGGCGTTCATCGTCGACAAGGAGATGAAGGGCTTCAGCATCGCGAAGAAGGAGAAGAAGCTGGGCATCAAGGCGTCGAGCACGTGCGTCATCAACTTTGACGACGTGGAAATTCCCAAGGGCAATTTGCTCGGCGAGGAGGGGCAGGGCTACAAGTACGCCATTGGCCTCCTCAACGAAGGCCGCATCGGTATTGCCGCGCAGATGACGGGTCTCGCTCTCGGCGCGTGGGAGAACGCGGCCAAGTACTGCTGGAACGATCGCAAGCAGTTTGGTCAGCTCGTCGGCGAGTTCCAGGGAATGCAGCACGAGCTTGCCCAGGCCTACACCGAAATCACCGCCGCTCGCGCTCTGGTCTACAATGCTGCGCGGAAGAAGGAAGCTGGTCAGGACTTTGTCATCGACGCGGCCATGGCGAAGCTCTACGCGTCGCAGATTGCCGGCAAGGTGAGCGCGCAGGCTGTGGCGTGGATGGGAGGAATGGGCTTCGTGCGCGAAGGCCTGGCAGAGAAGTACTACCGCGATGCGATGATTGGGTAAGTTATCTGCAACAGTCTTCTCTAAAGATGGTTTACTGACCCCTTCGACAGCCAGATTTACGAGGGCACGTCAATGATTCAAAAGACGACGATCGGGCGGTTGTTGCAGAGGGAGTACACCACTTAGAACGTCGTTCGGCGAATGCAGATTGGGTCAATAAGGGGTGTTCCGGCAAACTTGCAGCGCACGGAGTTCAGTGGACGGTGTAAATAAGTTGATGCGGCATGTATGACTTCATTATCATCATCATGGCTGACTATCCAGTCTTCACCAGCTCTTCGACAACGTGCCTCAAGTAATGCGTGAAACTGGCATAGAAACTCATCGACGCCGCCCCGCCAGCCGACGAATCCACAAAGCACCAATCCGAGCTCTCAAAAGCTTCTTTACTGCCAGCAAAAGACTCCATCGCCCGCACGATGATCTTCTTCTGCTTCTCGTCCGCCTTGTCGTACATCTTGCCGTACTGCGCGACGCACTGCTTGACCAAGTCGGGTTGCACTAGCCACAAGCTGTCAATGTCTCGGGTGCCGACCTCGAGCACACGATCGAATAACGGAAAGGCCGTGTCGAACTCTATGCCTTCAAGCACTTGGCTGCTCTTCTTCTCCGTGCCGACGAGTTCCTCGTATTCAGTCGGGAGCTGGAGTAGCGCTACAGGTGCTACGAAGTAGTTCTCCTCCACCCAGTGCACCGCTGAAGTGCCGTGCAAAGCTGGGTGGGGACACTCATCGTTGGCCATGCCGTTTTCCTCGTCTTGTCCGAAGCCGTTGCTGATTTTCAAAAAGGCCTTGAAGTCGTCGGGCAGAGCGATGCCTAGCTTCTTTTCCAGCTGTGCAATCTCCTCGTCCGTGGCGGGGGCGTTGAACAATGACTCAGGAACAGTCTGCTTATGCTCGTCGTCATCCTCCTTCTCGTTCAGGGCATGAAGGGTTTCTCTCGTCGTTTCGTCGCCGATCTCCAAGAGCTCTTCAACCGTCTTGCCCGCAAAACGAGACACCGCGGAACCATGTTGGAAGCGGTCCTTAAAGGCCTCTATCAGGCCCCGGCCCTTCTCCTCCATTTCCTCTTGGCTGACATCGACAGCGTCCGCCAGCAATCCCCGAACATAGAATGGCCACAAACTTTTCGTGTCGCCGAGGTAGCTGACCTGCGAATTGGCGTGAAGCCGTACCACAATTCTCGTCAAAATGTCCGCGCTTTCTGCGTCGAGATCCGACACTTTGAATTGTGTTTCTGGCTCCGTCTGCGGCGTGGCCTGGCCCTCTGCCGCTTTTGCCCGCTTGGATCTAAGCTCTCTACCCGCGGACTTTGGTTGAGGTTCAACGCGATGTAGCTTTACTGATAACTCAAGCGCGTCCACCAGTCTGCGGCTCTTCTCCATGGCGGTATACCCGGTCACTGCGTCGGAGAAGCCATTGTCCTCGACACCGAGGAGCTCATCCAGCCTCGCGCGATCGTCGCCGTCATCACCCTCTACAACATCAACCGAACTCTCATCTCTGTCCGCTGGATCCGCCTCATCCGAGGAGACTCCATAGTTGTCCAAAGGCCCACCTTTCGGCCATTGACTGGACTCGCGCCACGCGAACTTGAGGCAGCTGTGGAGGGCCCGGCGTCCTTGCGTGGCGCCGTGTTCGTACAGGATCTCGGCGAGCTGTTTGGCGACGTCGATCCGCCCGAGCAATGCGAAGCTGAATGCACAACTGTTAAGCTCCGTTTCCACGCGAGAGATGTTGGGCTCCTGCCGGATCGCGTCTGGGGTTACATCGGGCGGCAACATGCTAGCAACGTAGAGTCTTTGAGAGGCTGATGGAAGAAAGGAAAAGTTGACGGTAATTTGTGTAGTGAGTGGGTGGCGTTGTCTAGTATATATCTTGGTACAGGAAGGTTCACAAGGCAGCAGTCTCTCAGCCTAGCCTTGTCAGCAAAGGTACCGGGTACCTCGTGTAGGTGTGAATTGAATCCCGCGCTCGCGATGAGGTGACGTCAAAGCCAACGCCCAACGCGTCTTCCCACCCTCAACTTTCCGACCTGATCTCCTCCATCTCTCGCCCCTCGACATGCGCGATAATGCTCGTCGTCCACCGAACAGCGCTCCGCCGGCGTCTACTCACCCAGCATGGATGCCGAGTCCCGAAGCCAAGGAGGCATTTCGCTTCCCGCGCGTCTCTGTGGCAGGCCTCGAAAGATCCACGTCTCGATGACATCGGCCACATTCTCGAGGACAATTTCCTGGTGATGCGCGACAAGTACGAAGTACCCAAGCATGCCATCATCCTCGCGCACGGTCTGCTGGGCTTCGACAAATTGCATCTAGCCGGTCAGAGCATTGCGTACTGGTATGGTATTACGGAGGCTCTGGCGGCGAAGGGGGTAGAGGTCATTACCGCCGAGGTTCCGCCTTCTGGACGAATTGAAGTGAGGGCGGAGAAGTTGGCGCGGGTCATTGAGGAGAAGGCTGGGGGAAAGGCGGTGAATATTATTGCGTATGCTTTCTATTCATCCTGCGATCGATGTTGATTCAAGACTAACAAATTTCAGGCATAGCATGGTTGGTCTATGATTACCAACTTGTGACGCGCACTGCTAACACGATACAGGGGTAATAGTATCGCCCTCTATTGAACGGCTTTAAAACTGATCATAACCCAGAGGATTGGACGCCCGGCACATGCTCTCCCGCATCCACCCACCAAACGTCAAGGTCCTCTCCCTAACGACGGTCGCAACACCACACCGAGGCTCCGCATTCGCAGACTACATCTTCAACCTAATAGGCACATCAAACGTGCCCAAGCTCTACCGCGCCCTCGAATTCTTCGGTCTCGAAACGGGCGCCTTCCGACAACTCACCGAAAACTACATGCTCGAGCACTTCAACCCGCGCACTCCAGACGTGGACAGCGTCCGCTACTTCAGCTTCGGGGCGACTTTCCAACCACAGCTGACTTCGGTGTTTCGACGTTCGCATAGAATTGTACAGCAAGCTGAGGGTCCGAATGATGGCCTTGTCAGTGTTTCCAGCAGCCAGTGGGGTACCTACAAAGGCACATTGCAGAATGTGAGCCATTTGGATCTCATCAACTGGACGAATAAGCTGAGGTGGTATCTCTTTTCGATGACCGGGCAGAAGCGAAAGTAAGTCTGGCCTGCCGCTCTTTGATTATCAGGAACTAAGGCCGTAACAGGTTCAATGCAATTGCGTTCTATCTTTCAATAGCGGGTAAGTTGTGGGTGACCATTATGGTTATGTTCGTGCTGATCTTCTCCAGACATGCTTGCCAAAGAAGGATTATGAGGAATATGGCAACACGATGGGCACAAGTCAAAGCTTCGAGAAGAAATTAGGTGTTTGGGATCATGGTCCAAGATCTCGACGGGAGATATGGCACATCTCACTAGCTAGCATCACCGCCGGTGCTCCAACCTGTAGTCGAGAGCTCTGAGGATAGATGTAAAATCGCCGAGATCGTCCCCAATCGGTCACATGCCAGCCTTACGGCGAGGGACGCGAAGCTTCAAGCTAGTGAAAGTTTAAATACAATTCCCAGCATTTCATCTTCAAAATTTCCAAACCACCACGACGCAACAACCACATTAACATCGCCCAGCCCATGGCTACTCCAACAAATATCGCTGACGTGCTCAGTGATCTTACTACCGCCACCCAATCTGCCATCACCGCCCTTCCGGATCCCACCACCCTCCTCCCACCAGACAACGGCATCTCTCTCCTCGACATCAAAAACGACCTCTTCCTCTCCTACCTCCAGGCGCTCGCCCTGCGCAACCTCAATGTCGTGCGCGCCGTCAAAGATGGCAAAAGTCTAGCCGAAACGAAGAAGCTGAACAGCGAGATTACGCGAAAATTGGTCGAGCAGAGGGTGTACATTGAGCGCGGCGTGTGGCCGCTAGAGAGTAAGATCAAGTACCAGATTGATCGCGTGGTCAAGGCTGCAGATGATGATGAGCGGGCGGGAAAGCTAAAGGCAGATGCGAAGAAGGTCAAGGAGCTTGCGAAGATGAATGGAAGGGATGAGTCCGAAGAGGAGGATTCAGATGATGAGGACGAGAGCGATAGTGAGGCGGAAGAGGACGAGGTGGCTGCGACCATGCATCGTCCCGACCCTTCAAGATTCGCACAAAGCAATGTGGATGCGGAGCGTGAGCGACAAGTTGACGAGGGAGGGGAAGGCGTTTACCGGCCTCCGCGCATCTCCGCCACCTCTATGCCTACAACAGAGACGAAAGAGCGCAAAGAGCGAAGACCAGGCCGCTCAGCCACTCTGGACGAGTACGTCAGCACAGAGCTCTCACAAGCTCCTCTCGCGGTCCCGAGCATCGGCAGCACAATCACGTCGGGCGGCCGGAAAACGAAAGACGCCAAGCAGCTGGCGCGCGAACAGGAGCGGCAGAACTACGAGGAGACGCATCTCGTGCGCCTGCCGCCGGAGTCGAGGAAGGAGAGGTCGAAGAACCAGCGCCGGGATCGCGGTGGGGGTTTTGGGGGCGAGGAGTGGAGGGAGCTGGGCGATAGTGTGGATCGGATTGGCGATTTGACACGGCGCAAGGGGAAAGATAATGCGCTTGATCGGAGTCGGAAGCGCCGGGCTGTGGAGGACAGTCCGCGGGATGATGGGATTGGGGCTGCGTTTGATGCGCGGAAGAAGCGGATGATGAAGAAGATGCGGCGGTGAGCGAGTGCCCCTGACCAATAACTTGTCCCAGGGCAGTAGAGACTATGTATCTGGAATTCGAGTGAAAGCCGAGAAGGCCAGTCCATCCTGTAGATGGAGATTCTTGCCCAAAGACTCGTCTCATGAAAAGTACTCGAGGTCCAATATGTGCCCAGGCTCTAAGAACCATAGGAAAACGTAAAACTTCATCCAATTTGTCCAGATAACGCTCGCGTTGGTACTGTTCAGAACGCTTACCAACATCCCATACGACCCATTCTCAGCGCTTGACCTCAGCGTCCACCTCGTCAGTCACCCCTCCCTGTTCTCCCCTAAGCTCAGCTGCCACCTCGCCCACCACGATGCCCTCTTAATGCTTACTCTCATCCTTCTCCTACTCAATCGCAAGACGCAAGAAGTCCATCGCGTTAGCCCCCGAGCGCTCAAGGTCCTGAAGGGCCCTCTCCAGGCCGTCGAAAGCGTCGACGGTCTCCGCATCGGCTTCCTCGGGATCGACGGCGATGTACTTGCCCTGCGCCATTTCCTCGTTCGCGCCGAAGGGCACGGTGATGTGGCCGTGCATCACGCCGCGGTGGTTGGCGACCGCCTTCTACGGGTTAGCGCGTGTACTCAGGGCGAGAAGGGGTTGAGGGTGTTGTTCGTACCGCGAGCTCAGTGAGCGTGCCTTCGACACTGAAGTTCTTCGCCTCGTTGACGAAGAGCGCGTTCTTCTCCCCGTGGGAATCGTGCGGGTGCTTGCGATGCGCGACCAAGCCGCTCAGCGCGTTCCAGCCAGGATGCGACATACTAGATGCGAAAACACGAATCAGCGACTGCATACTCTGCACGGCGAGCGAGGAAAAGGAGACGACGTACTTTGCGCTGCCCTGTGGGATGATGTATAGAGCGCGCATGAGGCGGTCGTCGGCGTCACGTTTGCGCCAGTCCTTGGGCGGATGGTGGGGTGTGCCACCGCCTAGGAAGATAGGGTCGCCGCGTGCCTTCATTATGCCGCCGCCGACGAAGACGATTGTGCCGGCGAACATCGCGCCGATCACGATTGGGAGCATGGCCATCTTGTTGATTGGTATTGGTAGATACTTGTAGAGCTGCTGTTGAAGTCGCAGTTGGAGTTGGAGTTGAAGGATGGGAAGGTGAGTGAAGAAGAAGAAGAGGAAGAAGAAGTCGGGAGGAGCAAAAGAATATCGCCGGCGCACTTTTGACCCATCCTGGTTTTTCTTCTTGGACACCGTGGCTAATACCGAAAGACTGGTTGGTTTTGGTGAGTGGCGAGGCTGTGGAGGTGGGATAGTGGTAAGCTGACCTCTTGCTGTCCAGGTGAGAAGTTCGCAGAGCTGGTGTTCACATGACACGTCCCACCGGTTCTTCAAAAAGATTCGGCTCTTCCAGTGCTGGAGCATGCGAACCACAGACTTTCTCCCCGGCTCGAGTTCGTAGGGGTCGAAGTATCGTCCGGTTCGAGTGGTCATGTGCGTGGTGAAGGAGTGGCGAAGAAATGCCCACACTCATCCCATGGGTACGGCCACACCGCCGCCGCGAATGACGCTGTGGCAATAACATTCCCACTCTCCATCCCCTTCGCGCCTCCTCCACTTCAACTTGCTCACGCTCTCGCGGTGCGTATTCCAGTTGCCTTCGTCATTCGCAGGCTGGCTACTGGGGCCCGACGTAAACCACACCACCGCGGTCTGCAGCTCGCGGTCGACAAAGGCGGAGAAATTGTACGCATTCATGCGCCACGCCGGATTCACGAGCCGCAGATTGTCGCAGTGCTTCAGGTAGTCTTCGAGAGCGGGCAGGTGTGGCCAGGCTCCGAAGTCCATGGAAATAAACTCGGTTTGAAAGGTGGCGGGGCAATGTCGAGGCATGATTTCGCGCGCGCGATACCCGTTCGACTCGTCCCATGAGCCCACGATCAGCTCGCTCAGGCACTCTAGGTGTCGGGCGATGTCCGCGATGGAGGCAGGTTGTTGATTGCTCTTAGCCCTGAATGGCGTGGCAGAGGAGCCGAAGGACATGGTCGAGGAGCCGGACGGCTTGGTCATGTTGGAGTAGCGGGAGAGGAGTGGATCAGAGGCCTTCCGTCTATGCCACGTTCTCTCCTTCGCATACCAGCGCCGACGGCGTGCGCGGCTGGAGGAGGGAGCAGAGATTTCTGTCAGGCCTCCCACAGTAGACACATCACCTACCTACTGCCAAGCAGCCGCGGCTGGGGAAGGCTTTTTATGCAGCGGTCAGGTAGGCATTGCGCTGTTTGGCGCGGCTCGGAGCATAACTGCGCCAGATTACTGTGTCCACCGTCCAACCACTGCCCACTCGGGTTGGTCCAATCGGCGCGACTCGCTCGCATCTTTCAGCCGCGCACCTCCAACCCGAACCGTTAATACCTTACCTTGACTTGAAACCCCCGTAGATCTTCGCGACAGCCCGGAACAAGCTTTCTCCGACCCCCGAAGCTTCCCCGCCTAAATTTTGGGCGATCATCAAAAAGTCTGTCCCTCAACTCTGGGTGATGGTTTCTTGCACCCTCCACGTTCCCGAGCCACCTCCAATCATTGCTGGGCGGTGAATGGACGCTTCGGCATACCTCAAGAGACACGGCTGGCGAGGCGACGGCCACTCGCTCGATCACACCAACCGCGGCATCAAGAAACCGCTGCTCGTCAGCCAGAAGGTCGATGTCCTGGGCCTGGGCAAAGACAAGCATGGGCCGGTGTCCGATCAGTGGTGGCTGCGCGCCTTCGATCAAGGCTTGAAGAATTTCGGCACGGGGCAACAGAGTGTGCTGGCCAGCGTCCAGCAGCACGGAATCAACAGAGGCGGCTTGTACGGGCGCTTTGTGCAGGGCGAGAGATTCGAGGGGAGCATTGGGCACAGTGCGGAGAGCTCGGGGATCTCGACTCCAAAGGAGAGACAGGACACTCCTCGCGATATGGCCATCGACATTCCTCCTCGAGATGAGCTCACCGCCGTTCCGGAAAGCATGGAGAAGCTGAATCGCAAGCGCAAACGCACTGAGCGACCTGTGGAGAAACGAGCACGGCGCAAACTTGAACCGGATGAGAATGCAGTGCAAATGGCAGAGGAGGAGCGAGCAGAAGCAAACGAGCAAGTGACACTCCCTCAAGAGAAGGCAAAGAAGGAGCGACCTCTACGAGACATCGACGGCCAAGCCAAACAATTCGTCGTCGAGGCATTGAGGCGTGGCCTCATTCCTGCCGGCCCCGGCGATGTTCGCCATGGCATGGTCCTCACCGGCGCGAACGCGACTGCCATGCGCACTGAGCCGCTCCCCGCCGGAATGCAAGAAGTCTTCGATCAAGTCGGCCTCCATACGCCCATGACACTTCCTGGTGGATCGGGGAGTAATGCTCTGAAGAAGCAGAAGATCGCTCGGGAGAAGATGAAGCGGGAGCTCAAGCGCGCGGCCAAGGCGTATTTGATGGGGGACAGGCCGCAACAACCCAAGGAGGAGCGCAATAAACCGAAGAAGCCTCGAAAGTCCAGGAAGGAGTCTGAAATTGCGCAGACGGATGCGGAACGACAGGCCGAGAAGCATGAACGTGCAGCGAAGAAGGAAGAGAGGAGACAGAAGAAGGCTACGGAGAAGGCTTGGAAAGCGTCACTGGCTGCGCAAGCCGCTTCAACCAATGCTGTAGTGGCAAATGGTGATGCCGAAGATCGTTCGGAAGGCTTTGTGATCGACACTGAAGGCGACGAAAATCTCACCAACCCACACACCCAGGCGAAAGTGCCGAGCGCCAACAGTAGACCTCTGGCCGGCCTCGAGCCCGCAGGTGACGAAAGCTACATCTACATCCCCGGAAGACCAGTCCCACTTGACCCGCGCATCTGGGAAGGCAAAGTCGTCAAAGACCTGCCCAAAGCCGTGCGCAAAGCGCGCAGAGACTGGATGGCAGCAAAGCGCGAGGCGAAAAAGGTGCGCGCCGGCCGCGCCCTTCCAGCGGCGCCCAAGGTTTCTCGTGGGCAACGCAAAATCGAAGAGCGCGAAGCCCTGGCCAAACAAATCTTGTTACATTCTCGCCGGGAAACCCAGGGCGCGGGCGATGGGTCCGGTATGGTTGCCCTTGGCGGCGTGCAGGATGTGCCGCTGGTGAAGGTCCAGTCTACTCTGGGTGGCTTTTCCAAGGAGGAAGTGGCCTTGGCCCGTGCGGTGGCGCGGCGAGTGTTGAAGAATGTGAAGCGTGAGGAGCGTGCGAAGAAGGTTTCGAAAGACAAGGGCAAGGGGTATAAGAAGCGGAAGCAGGCGTAGAAGGAAACAGGCAACGTGGTGGTCCGTCGGAATTTGTAGCGTTGAGCTGCGAGCAAAGGAGTGCATGCTCAGCGGCTGAATAGATATATCCGACCTCTTCTAGACGATCAGAGTCCGTCTATCTATTGCTCAATGCGTCCTGATATTTGCGGGTGCCTGGCTGCGATTTAATCGTTGGATCCAAATACCTTCGCCTGTGCGGCTCCCGCAAGGCTGGCGCAAGGCTCAAGGGTTCACGGTGAGGCTCGCGCCCGAAGCGAATGTTATTTCACTCATCATGCTTGACCATAGTACTATTCAGGCTTACTTATCTCCAGTCCAAGGACTTCCGTCGATAATTACGTACATTAATGTTGTACGTGCATACCCGCGATACCGTGACACAACGCATATGCACGTTGATCACCGGCCGAACCAGGCTGCCGGGTCCTGTTTCAACGCACAGTCATTCCACGTCCAATCGATTGCAATCGTCCAATCATTGGCATGAAGAGCAATTCCCTTCTTTTCCTTGCCAGCTGCCGCCTAATACACATCACATCACCTCACCATCGGAAGCTGGACCGTCTTCTGTATCTTGCATCGAGATCAATAAAGGCTGCCCGCTCACACACTCCGCCATGGCTCGGAAGAAGGCGATCCAGGAGAATCCCCAAACCGACAGCGCACTCTTCATCCCGCCATTGGAGCTGCGAACCAACATCTACCAGCAACTCTTCCGCATGTCAACGCTCGACCAGCCGCTCAATCTGATCAAAGTCCCGAAAGAGCAAGCGCGGAAGAAGCGCCCGACCGTCCTCTCCGTTCTTCTGACATGCCGCCGAATCCATCGCGAGGTGGAAACGATCTTCTTTGCGATTAACCACTTCGCCTTCGAGATGTCCGACGTCGCATCGAGTCTTTCTTCCTGGTCTCCTTCCTCGCTCAGGCTGCCCACGCCTCGCCTCGAGAGCATCCGCACATTGACGTTGAGCTCGGTTCGACAGCAGCGAGCCACGTGGTTCGTGCGGCACAGACTGCAGCAGATGCCGCAGCTCAATGTCCTGACGTTCGACGTCCAGCAGTGTGACTTTCGGCACATGGCTGCAACTCAGATGATACAAGAGTATCGCCAGCTAGAGGGCGTACCAGGCTATACGAAAGAGACGCTTGCACAACTGGGTGGGATGGACATGATTAGATATGGTGGATGGCTTGATGCTGGAGGGATCAAGGTCGGGGTTTGGTGCGAGGAGTTCATTGGGAAAGAGTATGTGGCAATTCTTAAGGGAAAGCCACGAGTGCGACCCCCTGAGTCGCGCAGCGGGACGGATGAGAGACCGAGAGTAGTTGTTTTCTGCAGGAGAACATGAGAGGCGAAGCACCAGCTCGCTGTTTTTCGGATTTCGGTTTCGGTTTCTAGTATGAGGTTCGGTGGTGAGTGTGTATTTCAACCAGTTGTGGACTCCGCGCAAGACTAGCAAAAAGTTAAGCGCAAGGCTTGGGTTGAAACCTCACTTCAAGTCCATTTGGGTGCAAAATTCACTTCAATGCACTTGCGCTAAGATTCACGTGCGTTTCACGTGCATTCGTTATTAACAGGGAAAGAACGAACTATCGTGTTCTTTCCCGATTCAGCTGCTCCTAGGCTGCCGGCTTGGTCAATCGCACACAGTCAATTTTCGCTCCATTCACACCGATCGATGTCCAGCCTTCTACACACTCACCACCCATTCACTTCACAATTACCAACCACCGACGCTCGGCCACTCGCATGCAAGGCAGTCATCCTCTTTTACCGTGCGGCGCAACGCGATTCGCACGCGCCAGAGCTCAGTTTGCTCGTCAACAGAAAGATTTGAGCCTCCGATCCGCTCCAACGAGGACTACCATCAACTCACAATCATGGCGGCTCAAACGAACGCCATCCAACTGGCTGAGCGCCCCATGGACCCACAAACAGAGTGTCGGCTGTTGAGTCTGGCGCCGGAGCTTCGTAACAGGATCTACCATGAGATATTCAGCATGTCGACGTTCGAAACCCCAGTCCGCCTGGTCAAATTCATAGTCAAGAGTACGGACAGGCCTCAAACCGTTCTCGCTTTCCTTCAAACTTGCCGCCAGATCCGCCACGAGGCCGAAGGAGTTTTCTTCGCGATCAACCACATCGCAACCCCGATCCAGTCCTTGACCCAACCTCTTTCCACGGGCAACATGTCCAGCGTTCGACTCGCGAGCATCCGCACGTTAACGGTGCGTAAAGCGCGTACATTGGCCATTGAGCGCTTCGTGGAGCGGTGGCTTTCTCAGATGCCAGAGTTGAAGGTCCTTACTTTCGACGAGATTCCATGTTGGCCTCCACAGAAGCTTTACCAGATTCTCGCTCGCTACCATCCGGAGGTGCCGCTCCACCAGTTGAGCAGGTTGGATCGCATCAGACATACTCGGCCGCATTACCAGAGGTCGATGAAGCATGCGCCCTGGCGTTGGGAGGTCTCCGGTGAAGAGTTTCTGGCTTTCATTACGGGAGGTGGAGTAAAAGGGAGGATCACTTGCATTGGGAAGGGGGAATAGATGACGAATAAGCATGTGACGGGTGGAAAGTTGGGATACACAAGACGGTAAAGGTCGTGCAAAACGAGAGGAAAGGGGGCCAAGGGCAGTTTGCTGAGCAGCAAACATGCAGTACTACATGAGATGTTTGCTGCAGTGAGTACGAATCCAGATAAAAGGGCGATGGTCTGTCTTCAGTGAATAAGGCTGGCATCCATCTTTGCATCTAAGCGGCATTTCTTCCTTCATTACATACTTCATGGCCCATCTCTGCCTTCTGATTCGGTCGCCTCTGTTCGCGATTCACCGATGACTCGCCACCTCGTCCGGAGGTCGTTATAAATATTCCCAGCCTTGCTGCCTTTTGACCGTTCTGTCTGGATCCCTAACATCTCGACACTATCATGGCGACCACCACCTTCGATCCACAGACAGAATCTCCGCTGTCCAGCCTGCCGGCTGAACCGCGAGACCGAATCTACGGTCTCGTTCTCACGGTGTCGACAGAGGATGGACCAGCCCAGCTGGGGAAGTCGTCTTCCAAGAAGCAAGCGCGCCCAACCTGCCTCTCACTCATCCAGACATGTCGTCTGATACACTCGGAAGCTCAAACGATGTTCCACGCTGTCAACTTCTTCAAGATCAACGTCGACCTCATCCGCAGCTTTACCCGCAGGACCTCCATCGACCGCCTCAACTGCATCACCATATTGACGGTGCAAATTTCCGAAAAAGCTGAATGTGTCACCCGCGCGGTGAAGTCGCTCACTCGTCTAGCCAATCTCAAGAAGGTCACCATGAAAGTCGAGATGAAGTCCATCAAGTTCTTCGCCGAGCTCATCGCGGAGGTGGAAAGGGGCTTTGTGGCCGAGGAGATCAAGCGCAAGACGAGTCTTGAGCAGGTCAAGGTTATTGCTGTGGGGAAGGACAAGCCGAACCTGGAGCTGTATGCGTGGGATCCTGAGAATGGTGAACGGCTGGTGGGAGATCCATTCGCGTAGAAGGTAGTTTCTGAAATCAACGAGAACAGGGAGTCGGATCGAGAAGGTTATGGAAGTATGATCTAGAAGTGGAGTAGCTTAGACAGTCGAGTATCTCACCACCGCATCGTTTGGAACGGCTACTTCGCTTGTTTACATAGCATCAGATTCGGCATGCGCTGAATGTAGATCCTACCTCTCAAAGCTTCGCCTTCTTCTTCTTCGCCGCCTGCTCCTTAGCAAACTGCTCAATAGCCTTCCTCGGCTCATCAGTCTTGCCCCTCTGCCTCAACATCTCGCATTCCCGCTCGTTCGCATCTAGCAACTCCTGCCTCAAAGGCGCCATGAGCAGATTCTTATTGTCACGCAAAGCTCCAGCAGGCTGCTCAGCAATGCGCTTAGCAATCTTCAACACTTCATCCATGAAGCCCTCCTTCGGCAGGATTTTCGTGATCAAGCCGGCGTTCTCCAGTTCCTGAGGAGTGAACCGCTCTCCGCCGAGAATTAGGGCCGAGGCTTTCTGACGCCCCATGGAGTTTCTGAAAGTTACGCTCGCGCAGGCTTCGGCGCAGAGGCCGACTTTCACGAATGGGGTGAAGAAGAAGGAGTCGGGGACGGAGTAGACGAGGTCGAAGAGCGCGATGCTGCTCGTGCCGTAGCCTACTGCCGGGCCGTTGACGGCGGCGATGGTGACTTTTTCCGCGTTGATCCAGATCTGGTGCATTTCTCTTTACGTTCACGTTAGTCACACTCGGCGGAGATGTTTTGGAGGATTGCTCACCGCAGCAGCTCAATGTGGTCGTCGGGGAGCACTGGGCCTTGGGCCGGGACGTCGCTCAGGTTCAAGCCGGTGCTGAAGAACTTGCCTTCACCGGTAAGGACGATGACCTTGACGGCTGAATCGCTCAATGCCCATTTGAACGATTCGATGAGAGCTTTGTTGGACGCCTTGGATAGGGTGTTTGCGGGCGGGATGTCGTAGCTGATGACCGCGACGCCGTTCTGGACGGAAGTCTTCATCAAGTCGATCTTGGGTGCCGACATGATGGGAGCCGTTTGACTGAAGGTGCGCGCGATGTTGAAAGCTAGTGGAGTGCGATACGGAGTTGCCGAGATAGGTTTCCAGGAGGTTAGAGAGGGGATAGCGGCTCGAGTCGGTGCTCGGATGGTAGTCGCGCGTAGGGAGAGTGCTTGTATCCAACGTCTTGAGCTCATTGGCATTCGTCGCTAGTAGTACATTATCTATTCAGTGTGCAATGCCGATGTTTCGGGGAAGAGGATGACGGTCGTTGCTCCGCACTTGAGCCTAGGCTCACGACGGTGCTCAGTTCTGTGCGTGGCGTTCTGGCATATTCACCTTCAGCCACAGTGCGGTCAAGCTGGGCTGTGGCGCGTTCCCCGGCGACCCGAGGCTTACCCTAATCACTCCCATATGGCTGTCACATGCAAGCTGCAACATCGTCACTCTTGGAAGCAGCCGAGTGTCCTCCAGGCAGCACGTCCTCCCGATGATCGAGTGTTCTGGAAGACTCATCAACCCATACCGCCGCCACATCGAGTGATGCCACGCAAGGTCTCGTTGGACCCAGTCCATAACAATGGCCGCCCAATCCACCCTCCGCCATCCCCAACCCACCGATCGCTTCTCACGCCTCTTCGACCGCCTGTATGAGAAGCTCATCACCTCCGTCGACTCATGGCAACACCGCAGTCCTCGCTCGAAGCGGACGACGCGCCTCATCGCCGCTCTCGCCCTTACCCTGACCATCATCACCACCAGCTATGGCGGCTACAGATACCGAAGACGGAAGCGGAAGGAAAGAGAAGAAGGACGCACACTGGTCCGCATGAATAGCAGTAAGAAGCTGGACGATGGCACACGGGTCATCTACGTCCCCTACAAAGATGGACAGACGAGAAGGGTCACAATCCATCCCACCAAGGCCACAACATTCGATGCGCATCGGAGACTCTTCCTCAACCCACCCGTGCAAACAGGCATGGTCCGAGATCCGTCTCTGGGCGTGCCGTCATCAAGCATCAAACCCGGGATGAACCTGGCCTTCTTGCATCAATACATGAGTCTGATGAGCATCATGGTGCCGAGATGGCGAAGCAAGGAGTCCGCTCTGCTCGTAATGCTGTCCGTGTCTCTTATCGCGAGGACCTGGCTTTCCATCTTCACAGCGAAGCTCGAGGGTCGTATCAATGGCGACTTGGTCGCGGCGAAAGGTCGTCCATTCCTCAAAAGCCTCTGCTTGTTCCTCGGCGTTGGGATCTTGGGAGCCAGCGAGAACCACTACATCAAATATTTGCAAGCAAAGGTCAGCATTGCTTTCCGAACTCGTCTGACCAGATACATCCACGATCTATACGTCAACCCGAGCATGGCTTATTATAAGTTGCATAATCTGGACGGGGGAGTTGCACATGCCGATCAATACATCACACAAGACGTGACGCTCTTCTGCGACCAAGCCGCCAGTTTATTCTCTTCCATTGGAAAGCCGCTGGTCGATCTGTTTGTCTTAAACTTTCAGCTCTATCATTCCCTCGGTCGCTTCGGTGTGGCTGCATTGTTGACAAACTACTTCACCACTGCAACACTGCTTCAGAACATGGCCCCTCCCTTTGGCCGCCTGAAGGCGCTCGAAGGCCTCAAAGAAGGACAGTTCCGAGCATTACACTCTCGTCTCATCGCGAACGCCGAAGAGGTCGCTTTCTATGCTGGAGGTCCTACAGAGAAAGTCCAATTGGAGCGGGGGTTCAAGGAGCTTCGCACTGTCATGCAGGGCCTCTATAAAGTACGCGTGGCGTACAACATGCTGGAAGACTTTGTGATCAAGTACTGCTGGTCTGCGTCGGGATATCTGATTACAAGCATTCCCGTCTTCCTGCCTATGATCACGCAACTGGCGCACGATAGAACAACAGCAAGGGACACGGGCAAAGCGAGACTACCGCCCACCACCGACGACTCCTCCTCCTCAAACCGCATGACACAATTCGTCACGAACAAGAATATCATGCTCAACCTCGGCGACGCTGGCAGTCGCCTCATGTACTCGATGAAAGACCTCTCCGAACTCGCCGGCTACACGTCGCGAGTCTTCACCCTCGTCAGCACCCTCCATCGCGTCAACGCAAACGCATACTACAAACCCCGGAATCGGTATCCAGAGTTGTACAGCCTAGCAGATGTCGACGGCACGCTAGCGAAAAGCTTCGACGGCGTGCGGCTGGAGAACGTGCCCGTAGTAGCACCCGCCTTGTTCCCCATGGGTGGCGAAGAGCTCATCGAGAGCCTGACTTTCCAAGTCAAAGCAGGCGACCACGTTCTAATCACCGGTCCAAACGGCGCAGGCAAAAGCGCCGTCGCACGCATCGTAGCAGGCCTCTGGCCCACCTTCCGCGGCATCACCGCCCGCCCCCGCGTCACAGGCGAAGACGGCATCATGTTCATCCCGCAGCGCCCCTACCTAACCGTCGGTACCCTGCGCGACCAAGTCATCTACCCGCACACAGAAATGGACATGCAACAAGCGGACCGCCGGGACGCGCAGCTGCAAATCATCCTCGAGCAGACGCGGCTCGGGTACTTGCCTGAGCGAGAGGGCGGGTGGGACACGAAGAAGACGTGGAAGGATGTGTTGTCGGGGGGCGAGAAGCAGCGCATGCAAATTGCGCGCTTGCTGTATCATGAGCCGCGGTATGCTTTTATTGACGAGGGGACGTCGGCCGTCAGCTCGGATGTGGAGGGTTTGCTGTATGAGACTTGTAAAGGGGTTGGGATCAGTAAGTTGGCCATCCGCTATGACGATTGATGTGAGACTAACGATGATGCAGCACTAATCACCATCTCCACCCGCGCATCGCTCAAACGCTACCATGACTTCACCCTTACGCTTGGCTTGGGCGATGACGCGAGCGGGTACGAATTCCAGCGCATTGGAACGCAGAGCGAGAGGGAGAGTGTCGAGGCGGAAGTGCGGGAGCTGCGCGACCGACTCGCGCATGTGGAAGAGTGGAAGCGCAGACGGGATGAGATTGACGAGGAGCTGAAGCAAGTCTGGACGGTGGAAAAAGAGGAAGAGGCCCCTGAGGAGCCCGAGTCCAACGCGACGGAGGGGCAGATTTGAAGTCAGGAAGGGCGTTGAATGAATAAATGATGCCCTCGAAGATTGTGAGATACCACAGCGCTCGCTGCAAAACGATTTACATGCCAAAAACTCCGCGCTTCTATATCTCAAATCGCAAACGCCATGCCAAACGAACGCATCTATATCCTTGCCTACTCCCCATCCTTCTGCTTCGTCTCCTCCACCTTCGCCCACGGATCCGGCCGATGAAACTCCTCCTCCTCATCATCCTCTTCATTGTCCTCCAATCGCACAGTATGCAACTTCCCCTCCGCAGCATCGACCTCAGAGTCCACACTCTCCGCAGCTCCCGGCGTAGCATCCTGGGGACTAGCATCGAGAACCACAGGCCCGCCGGCGCGAATCGGGTTCCTGGCGGGCAATTTGGGGGGTTCGCGTTTGGGCACGGTGACGAGGCGCGCTTTGGAGATGACTTGCGCTGCGGCCGGGGTTGCGGCGGATTGCTGCTCGATGATGTGTGCAGGTTCTTCTTCTTCGTCATCATCATCGTTGTCGTCTTCGCTTTCGTCTTTGCGTGCTTCTGCCGGGGAGTGCGTGGTTAAAGGTGGAGTTTGAGGGGGCGTGGTGTACCCGTTTACGTTGCTGGCGCTTTCGGGCGTGGCTTTGTCCTGATCGGGGATGTTTTCGCTTTTCGCGGGGGCGGACGCGTCGCTGCCTGTGCGATGGAGGTCGGAGTCTGCATCACCGTCGGTCTGTGTGCTCATGTCGGACATTTGGACTGTAGGCCGAGCCGGCAGGAATGGAGGAGGAAGACTTCGTCGGGGTGTAGGATTGGATGCACCGGCGCTCAGACGCCAGCTACTGCGCGCGCTCGATGATCGCTGCCGCTCGATGCTGTTGCGGCCGTAGATGTTGTGCACGGGGCTGGTGGGGGCGGGATGGAAAGAGAAGGCCTCCCAGCTTGCGCGCTTCTGCGTGCCGGCTTCTTTGATCGACATGCCTTCTTTCTCGAGCGCCAGCACGCCGTACGGGTCCGGGTCTTCCTTATCCGGCACGCCGAAGACGTGTCCGCCTTCGAGCAGGTAGTCGCCTGGTGGTGCCTCGTTGGGCATCATGCTCTCGTCTACGTCGCTGTCTCCTTGTGCTGCCCGGATGGTTTCCAGGAGTCGTTTTACTTCGTACGGAGGGTGGCGCACTTTGCCGGCCAGGATGTCTTGGACAGTTAATGCTTGGCCGTAGAAGCGTTCGTTCTCGTCGTTGCGCTCGATGACCACGCTGCCGTCGATTTGCACGCCGGCGTAGAAGCCTCTGCTCTTCAGGTAGGTGAAGATGGGCGCTTGCCGCTTGTGCAACTCGGTGTCGAGGATTCCACCCGCGCCTACGGGACCCGCGGCTACACTGATCTCGCTGCCGAGAGTACATCGCACTCGTGTGAAGGCCTGCATGGCCTCGGTGGTGTTGATGACAATCACGCAGTCGTAGATGTCGACACCGACGAGGAAACCCAGCCCAGCGGTGTGCAGCAGGATTCCCGAAGGAGGGGACCAGCTTCCATCCTCTTTTCGAGCCACGAGGACCCCCGAGCCGCCTGCACCGGAGATCCACAAGCCCGTCCGCATGGTGGTGAAGATGGCGAGGCCCTTGGCATTCTGGATGACGCTCGTGGGGATTTTCTTGATTACCTTTTGCTTCTGCTTCGGCCCGTCTTGCGGCGTCGTTTCTTCTTCGGCGTAGAAGCCGTCCTCTGCGAATCATACAACGCTGTCGTCAGCCCTGCCGTACTGCACGCACACACATCTCACAGCAGGGGAGGAGAGGGGTGTCTCACTGCAGAAGGTCTTGAGGATGCGCGCAGCCTTATCACTCTCCTTGTCGAGCGTGGTGGGCCAGAAGGCCTCGCTGCCCAGCTTGTTGCTCAGCCTGTTCACCGGCGCGCCCAGCTTGTCCATGGCTTGCCATGTCTTGTCGAAGCCCGTCTTGCTTCCGCCCTTGACCCGCTCCCAGAGCGTGGGCTGAGACATGGTGTCTCTCCTTACTTCTACTCTTCTCGTCGCCTGGCACGGAGTCTGTGTGCTCCTCGCCGACTCCGCCGCGGCCGCCGCAGCAGATGGGGTAGTACAGGATATCAGGCGGGGAAGAGAGGAAAGGAAGTCATCTTACAATCTGACAAACGCAGGGAAGAGAAAAGGACGGCACACAGGCAGGGTACGTCTCACGCGTGCCTGCGTCAGCCGATTGTTCGTATTTTAGTCTCTGGCCCAGCGGGAGCCTGCGGCATGGGGAAGCGCATGCAGCTCTCTACTCATCCGTTTAGCCTTGACTTCGCGTCGCCAGTGACGTACGCTCTTTCGGCCCCGGCTGTTGAGTTTCGCGTGCGCCTTCCGATCCCAACTTTGGTTGTTCCATTGTCGGTTGCGTGAGTGCACGGCACCTCTCACCACGAAATGGCTCGCGACACTCTGACACATGTCAACGGAAGGTCTGACAGATGTCATGAGGTTGGGATTGTGCGTCTGTCCTGCATTGCAGTACTCGTCTCCGTCTGCTTTGGAATCCGGCCATCGACCCTTAGCGGACCCGCCAAAACTTACCCCCATCATGAAGAGTCATAACGTGGAAACTCCGACTACATATACACATCGATCTCCGGCAAACGATATGGAATATCTCTCGAGGCCCCGAAGCATCATTCCGAGGACATCGTGAGACTACTCGCAGCATTTCCATTCCACCACCAACATGGCAACATCATATCCAGCAGTAAAAGTCATCATCGTCCCCGGACCGTCCATCTCCGAGCAAGAATGGTGGCCACAAGTCCACGCCCTCGTAAACGGCGCCTACGAGTTCAAAGACCTCTCCATGTTCCCCCCAACCTGGTACCGCCTCAACCTCGATCCCATCAAAGGCGCCAAAGGTCTAGCAGCGGAACTCGGCAACGAAGGACATCTAGCCGTCGCCTTCGATCACGCCCAGCAGCCCATCGCCTGCGGCGGCATGCTGCCCTTCCGCGGGGAGAAATGGATCCAGAGCGCGTTTGAGAAGAAGTCCGACGCGGAGATTGCAAACGGTGCTCGGCCCGCGACGGTGTTGCCCTCGGATTGGGAAACGTGCTGCTGGTGTGTTGGCCCCTCCGCACGTGGCCAGGGGCTGAGTCGGCGCATCTTGCAGGAAGTCATCGACTTCCTGAAGCCTAGAGGCGCCCAACGACTCTATTCCAATTATGTCATGGCCGAGACGGGGGATTTCTGGCCCAAGCTGGGTTTTGTATCCGTTCCTGGAGCCGGAGGCATGCTGCCGAAAGGCTGGCAGAAGAACCCGGCGGAGGAGGGCCTTAGGGCGGACATCCATTTTGGGCTGGGCGTACTGGCTTTGTGACGGACACGATGTCTTCAGAGTCGGCTTGTGTAGATGAATATCGGTAAGTCAGTGTGCTCTTTCTGAAGATGTTATGTGATGACAAGAGCTGGGGCCATAAGATGTTCAGCCGCTGTTTGCTGGTCGGATCTGCTTACAAGCCAGCGTATTCATATCTTCTCAACTTCGTCTGATTTCTCTCAAGCAAAACATGTTGGCAAGCGAATTCATTGACTCGATCGTCGCTAATGGACTGCAGTAGAGAATAGATCCACCACGGCTAGATGGACGTCGAATCCACAGCTCCAATTTCCAGCCACTCACTGAGAATGAGGCTGCCTTTGCACCAACTTGGCGGTGTGGAAATGCAAAACCAAAAACATTGGTCAGATGAACTTCGCCAGTGGTCGCCCACCTGACTACTACTCATCCGATTTGAAGCTTAAGTGCCGGGGAGCAGACGAGACCCGCTGTGTCCTTCAATCGATGCAACCAATGTGAATGCTGCGGCGCCAGGATTGATCATATATCTTTAGATGGCTGGTAGTCATGCTGGGGAGAGGACGTAAATCACGGATGACGATCATGAGATGAGGGCTCCTGTCAAACTGAGATAATTTATGGCAGATAATGTCCAACATATCCATTTCATCCCTGCGCCTCCTCCCATCGACTGCGACTCAACGTCCTCGCAACCCGAATCCTCCCATCCTCCTCCTCCTTCGCCCCCTCCACCTCATCCCCGGGCAACAAAACCGCCTTATCAATCGCAACCGGCAAACCCCTATGCCTCCCCCTCAACATGACCGCGCAAAGAATCAACTTGCTCAAAATGCGCCACGAGCCCGAAAAGCTGTAATCGGCGTACGGCAAGCCAATGCTGATCCCCACGCAGCCGTACGCGCTCACGATTTCGAAGATGAAGTTGAACACGCTGAACACAGCGGGGTCGTTGTTGAACTTGCTGCTTTCGATTATCATTATGAGGAAGAGGGCGAGCACGAGGAACCAGGCGTCGTGCGCGAGTTGGGCGCGCAGCTGGTGCCGGATGAAGTGCGTGTTTGGTTCTTGGGTTGCGGGTTGGGCGGCGCTTAGGGAGGCGAGGTGGGAGCCGATTGTTTTGGCGCGCTTGAGGAGGAGGGTGCTGGTGGAGAGGGAGCGGGGGAAGGGTTTGTCCTCGTTGGGGTTGGGGTTGTCGTCGTGGTCTGGTTGGTCTTCGGCGTAGATGCCGAGGCTGCGCTCTTCGTAGACGTTGCTGTTGCGCATCGTGATTACCACTGGGTACACGCTGATGTACATCATGACGACGTACAGGACTAGCAGGCTGATGCGTAAGTTGGGAATGGTGACGACGTAGAAGCCGCCGCTTCGCACGGCGAAGGCTTGGAACAGGCCGTCGATGACGCGGTACCGGAGGGGCAGACCGGCGTCGAGCTTTTTGTTGTTGATGTTGAGGATCTCGAAGGCGGCCCAGTCGATCGCGTTTAGGGAGAACACGGATGCCGCGAGCCACCAGGTGTGCTGCGAGGGGAACAACGTTGTGTAGCAGCGTCGTGGGTGGTCCAGCAGGAATTTGAGAGTCTGGGTTCTGACGGTCCAGTGACTTGTTGGAGGTTTGTTTCGAGCCAGCCTTGAGCAAAGCTTGTACAAGCACCATACAAAGAGCCGCAGGAACAGCGGAAATGCGGTGTTGCCGGCCAAGATGAGCAAGCTCATGGTGATCAACATATAGTAGCTGCGCTGGAAAGCGACCATGTTGGCATCGACCAGACTCATCCCGGAATTGTTAAAAGCAGACACAGCATTGAATGCCCCAACCCAGAACGGATTGAGAGCGTTGACTTCTGCCGCACCTGGATTGTTGAGCATAACCCACAATCCGCATCCTATGCAGCCGAACAGCTGCCACAAGACGTAATACGCAGGTATCATCCACGACAGGAACTCGATGGCGCGATACTCGTAGCCGCCAAGCTGTTCGCGCTCGGCGGCGGTCAAGTTGTTGAACTGCGAGTTGCGACTGATCCAGCCGGCAGCTGCGGACGGGAGATATTTTGATATGTCACCGTGACGGATGTTGCTACTGAATGTAGTCTCCGTCCGACTGAAGCCCGGCGGCGATGCACCGTCTAGGGCAGTGGAGTTATGGAATGCAGTTGATGGAAGAGCGCCAACGCCCTGCATGGAGAACAAGCCGCTGTGTTGACGTCGCGGGGGGCGCGTTCCCGAAACGGCACTGGTAGGATGACCTGCACGAGCTGGGGCGAATTTGGTGTCGTCGGAGAATACAATCGCTCTCGGGTGGGCGTCTGTTGGAGGTGAATCCGCTGGGTCTGCCTTCGGTTCACTATCTCTACTGGCACCGTCTGGAAAGTAGTTGGTGATGCTGTCAGTTCTGTTCATGCCTGGCCCACCCCTCCTCTCTTCTGGCGTGAGCTCCTCGCTCAACGGAGCCCCATCCTCCAAGGTTGGAGGTGTGCTGGTCTGCTCATCCGGAGTTTCCGGCTTCCTCTCACCGGGCTCTCCGTCTGGCGGCCGGCTTGTGGCGCGTGGCTCGGCATCGCCAACAGCCCATGTTTTGACCTTGCTGATGGTCCGCCGTCCCAATCCCTTCTTCCGTCTCTCCTTTTCGTCGAGAAACCTCCTTTCAAAGGCCTTCTTTCGGACGTGAACAACGAACGCGCTTACAAAGACGGGGCTTCCGGCCAAGATCAACAAGAAGAGTAAGACTTGCTGAAAGGTGTTTAATGCGGAGAGATTTACCGGATTGAGGCCGGCCTCGGTCATGGCGGATACGGTGAAGAAGAGGGCATTGGTGAAGTTGATGTGATGGGCGGTAGTGGTGGAGCCCCAAAAGATGAGAGCGGTGAGAAGAGCGGTAAAGATGAAGTACATCCAGTGGATGGTGAGGAAGTTGAGGGGTGGTAGTTGACGACGAAGGAATCGCATCGGCCGACCCAATGGCCCAAGCGACGGCATGTTTGCAGAGGGTTCGAGTGCACGAAGCGGACGTAATACTATGTCTGGTCGAGAGAAGACTGCTGTACGGCTGGTCCTTTCGGGACGCGCCTGAGTCGCTCCGGGCGTGTCGCGGCGGTCATGACATCCATGAATTGTTGGTCAGAAGATACTAGCGGGTGCGCTAAGGATGCGATTTGTCGTTTGCGCGCGAGCTATGCCGAAGACGTAGTAATGATAATGTGATGTATACACGCACGCCTCTCTACCGCGTTATTCAGAGGAGATGACGTCTCAGGCCGGTGGTTGTTCCGGATTGGGGTTAGGGCGGCACGTGGAGAGTGGCGCTGAGCTGCTGCTGAACCTCGCCCACCATTTCCCCCATCTCCCCCATCAACTGCCAATAGCGCTGGCGGACAACTGGTATCCAGCGATTCGATGAGCTGGAGCTAAAGAGACAAACGTCACCCTTTCACTAGAGAAGGCTGTGTATGCAAATCTGGCCCAGTCTGGAAGCAAAGCTTGAACGCCTGCCAAGTGCACAGCCGCGTTGAGGCCCGACACCTGCCCCGCGATGTTGGTTTGGGCGGCAAAAAGGTTGGTAACAGGTTCCTGCATATTTTGTTATCTGCTCTTCAACTCCCTTACATCTTTCTCCTCTGCACCTGATTGTTCACGCAGAACGGTTCTTTCCTACCAGCACACGATTCTCGCTCCAGCTCGACGTTCTTCCAACAGCATTGCATCTGCGATTCTGCAACGCCTACATCTACGTCATTGAGCTCGCACCCACCGACAAACTACTCCTCCAACCGCAATAATGGCTGGCCATCACGACCCGAAATTGCTCTATACGGTCAATGGGATCAAAGCCTATCACATCCAAGATGGCGAAGAGCAATCGCTCACCCCATCTGGCCCACAGACCCTTTCCCTGCTCATGGTCCCCACCAACTCGCCCTTCGCCGACCTCTCCACCACCATCCCCCAGAATGAGGCGCCCGACGAGGACTTCTACCTCCACCTCCACCTCCCACCCGAGCTCGACCTGCCCATGCCCGCCAGCACTCAGATCTATCACCAACCTCCTTCCTCTTACTTGATCCCTCGCTGGGACCTTGGAGCCGAGACCGGAGCCTTCACCAAGATCGAGTTTCCCAGAGTGGGATACGGCACCACGCAGGAAGATGTGGACACATTTGAGACCATCCTTGCTCAGTGTACCGCGTTCCTGGAAAGAGCAAGACCGCCTGTGCCCCCCAGGAAAGGCGAGAAGAGCAGCCAATACAACCCAGCCGACTACGCTCCCGGCGGAACGCTGTACGATCCCGATGCAAAAGGCCAAGAGCATGGCCAGATCGTCCTCATCGACGAAGACGACGGGTCAGTCGTTGGTGAGCTCGGCGGCGACGCCAAGATCTTCGAGGATCCGAGCCTGAAGATTGGTACCAAGGATCCCGTTGAAGTGCAGGTGACACAAGATGGGAAGCGGATTGAGGTTCGCCCCGTAAGCGAAGACTACCTCCGTCTGTCAAGACATCCCGCGTACAAGGACAGTAGCCTGGTCCAGAATGCCGCCACGGCGTCTCGTCTGATCGTCACCTCCAGCAGCTACATAGGAAACATCCTCACCTCTGGCGCCGAGTCCTTCACGCAAAAGACAAAGCCCAGCGCGAAGCCTCTGGAATTCAGCCCGGCGACCCACAACCGCGTGCGGAAGATTAATACTCTTACCCAAGAAACAGCGCGCATGAGCAGCAAGACCATTGGACGCATCACCGACGTTGCCCAGAATGCAGCAGCGACGATGTCAGGCCACAAAAAGATCCGCCCCTCCAAAGGCTTCGATGAGAAAGGCAACCCGCTCCCGCAAGAAGAGTACAACCCCGGTCTCCTGAACAAGAGTATGATCGCTTTCAGCACCATCGCAGACGGCATCGCCACCTCTGGGAAGCAACTACTGACCACCGGCGGTGTGGCTGCATCGACAATGGTGGGTCACAAATGGGGCGAGGAAGCTGGTTCCATGACCGCGGATCTCGCAGGCGGGGTGAAGAACGTGGGACTCGTGTACATCGACGTCGCTGGAGTCAGCCGCAGGGCGGTGATCAAGAGTGTGGCGAAAGGAATGGTTGTTGGAAAGGTCAAGGGAGGTGGCCAGGTGGTCGTGGGTGGTGGAGATGGAGGCACTGTGCCTGACAACGATGTCAAGGCTTATCAGGAGAGCGCCGCTGGCGCTGGCAAGCAAGACTACGGTCCCTCCTCTGGCAAATACGAGCCCGTTGGTTTTGGGAACTCGGCTCCCCCGAGGTACGAAGACTTTGGCGGGGGGAAGAAGCAGTGAAAGTGCAAGGCTTCTTTTATGCTCTACGCTCGACTGACTTGGTCGAGCGACGGCTGAGGAGGGGAAAGAGTAAATGATGAGTAACGAAAAGCAATAGTTAGCATTGTATAGCCTCTGAGAAATCGAAAGCTCTCTGTACTATACATTTATAAGTCCTTGAGCGATCCATCGAGGCGAACAGTCTAAAGTATCAGAAAATCACGTGAATCCGCATCCCTAGCGCGTTTTCAAGTGCCTGCCTACAGTACCTGAATCCGCGAAACCCAACCTCACTCCACATCACCTTCTCGCAACCTCACAACGCGAACTGTGTACACACATCTGCACCATGCGTACTCTCCCTCCAAAGTCGAAACGAACATGTCCACCTTCGACGGCAACGTCGCCGAGTTCCCTGACATCCGCATCGACTACTTCCGCCCAGCAAGTGGCAACGCCAAACCCGCCCTCGCCTACTTCCTCAGCCACGTGCACTCCGACCACCTCCTAGGCCTCGAAGCATGCAAGTCGCCCTTCATCTACTGCTCCGCAGCAACGCGGGACATCCTGCTCCGCCTGGAGAAGTACCCTCACCGGATGAACTTTGCCAAGGGCATTCTGGAAACGCGCAAGCAGACGTATCGGCATTTGAAGAACTTGCTGAAAGCCATTCCGCTTGAGACGCCGACTGTGCTGGAGCTGTGTCCTGGGAGGGAGATCAAGGTCACGTTGTTCGATGCTAACCATTGCGTTGGAGCGGTTATGTTTCTCGTCGAGGGCGATGGCAAGGCTGTGCTTTATACTGGGGACATTCGTTCGGAAATGTGGTGGGTTAATTCTTTGACAAGAAACCCGATTATGTTGCCGTATGTTGCTTCCGAGACCATGGATGCGCAAAAGAAACTGGATTGCATCTATCTTGACACCACGTTTGTGGTTAACGGAAGGGAGGCGCCTTTTGCAGAGTTCCCTTCGAAGGCGGACGGGCTACGAGAGCTATTAGGAAAGGTCGCTCAGTACCCGACGGACACCCTCTTCTATCTCGATGCGTGGACTTTTGGGTACGAGGATGTGTGGCAGGCGGTGTCCCATTTTCTCGGCTCACGCATCCACGTCGACGACTACCGATACGGCTTGTACCGGTCGTTGATCAATGGCGTCGAACCGAAAGCACCGGAAGCTGTCAAATTGATTGGCTCCCGTTGTGGCAACCACTTTCAAGAAGGAATTTTGACTCCTTCGACCAAGGGGTGTCGTATCCACAGCTGTGAACAGGGGACGGGATGCGATATATGGAGCAAAGGTGGGCGTCTTCGTCCGCATGGGTACCATAACATACTGACTGGGGCTAGATTTCGTCCGCATCACCCCAATCGTTACACGACACAACAACGTAGAGCTCGTTGAGATGGGTGCAGGCGGAGGTCAAGGTGATCTAAACCAACAGCACGAACTCGAGTTCGACGATCCCCAAATCGTTGGCAAGCTCATGGCACTCTGTGCCTCTGAACTGCGAGAACAGCCACAGCTACTTTCAGGAGTTTTACAACTACTCGCTGCTTTCATCAACAATCCAACGACGCCATCGTTGAAACTCGACGGCTTCAACCTCGGCGCAAACCAAGAGGATTTGACGACTGGCGATCTTACTCTGGCCGACTCGGACGATCTACCTTTGGAGAAGGTGGTGTCTGTATTGTCGAGAATTGTCACCAAGATGAAGAAGGGGGATGCCATCGGCGCGGTTGATACCAACAAGCGACCAGATGGGCTTCCGAAACGAATCGTAAGTAGCCACAGCGCAGATCATTTGAACACCACTGACCACCCGTAGACTTTCCCGTACTCACGACACGCCTCACACGCGGAATTGTGTTATCTGGTCGAAGCTTTCAAACCCCGAGAGATACATCCTTGTACCGTTGATGAAAAGAACTGGAATGCCGCATGCTCAATGGCTTCGCTTTTCGGTCATCTCTACGATGGGGTTCCAGTTTTCCGGCATGATCAACAGATGCTCCAGAGGAAGGATTTGGTCTCAGAGGAAGGCAGGACTCACCCGGGACTTACGTCCTCGGCAAGTCCTGCAAGCGAGTATGCAACGCCTCGAGCTGGGCGTGCAGGTGAGCAAGGCGATGGTGGCGAAATTCCCCGGCCCATTGAGATGAATGTCCTCGAGGCCGCTGCTGGGAGAAAGCTTCCGAACGAGCAACAAGATATGGTCAATGACCGAGATACTGGGCCTTCCATCCACTCTGGCTTGGAGAAAGACTGCCGTGCACCTCCTTCCACAAAGAAGAGAAAATCGAGGGAATGCTCTGGTACCCGTGCGGAAGGCGAGGCTGAGGAGGACGGCAGCTCGCCTGTACACACTCCTCAGGCGAAGAGACGAGAAGTCTCGGAACTCGACCCTACAGACCACGACCCTGAGAAGGACAGACAGTCAATTCAACCCGATCCAGATGCGATTCACATGAGCTCGCCCACCTCTGACGAAATACCCACCTCCAGACTAGGCTCATCGCCAGCGAATGCTCGGCTGGCTTTCCGACAGGAAGTGTACAATGCTGTATTGGGCATCGGGGGAAGCACTTGGTCTGACATTGGACTTATTAGTACCCGTCGGCATCGTGACGGAGAGGAAGAATTATGAATCACGACTTGTACGAAATTGAATACGAATAGATGTCCAGCAAGTGGGATGACGACAGTGGGGCCTGTTCCCTGCCAGTCGCCAGCCAAGTTTCAAGTTTCCAACCTCAGCCTTCTCGCTATCCAAGCTAACACCACTTTCATTTCTTTCCACAATATCACCCAACTCTAATATGGTTCAAGCGATTCCAACAAGATTCAAATGACATTGACCTGATCCAGACTATAATCGTAAACCAAACAACTCCGGCAAAATGGAAATCATCATGGGCCTAGGCCTCGCCCTGCCGGTAGTCACCACAACCGGCATCTCCGTCACAACCGGCGTAGCCCAAGGCGTGAGCGAGCAAAAGAAACAAAACGCCGACGCAGCCAACCAAACACGCATGCTGAAATTCCACCTCGACGTCCGCGTCGACGACGACTCATCACAGCAGCGGAAACCCAACAAAGACGCCGACTTCAACAACTACATCGTCACCCTCCGCAACGACAAGCTCTGGGTCGAGGCGAAGAGCCCTATAACGCGATTACCGGATAATGTCGCGCATCATCCGTTTACGGGGTTTTATTTGGCGTACCCGGACAACGACAGGCCGTACACGCGCGGACTGGTGAGCACCATCAGCGTTGATCCGCCGATGCTAAACTGGATCTACATCGACAAGGACACGCTGGAGGCCAAGTACGCCAGCCGGAGCGGGAGTATTGCGCATCATGTAGGCAGCTACGATTGGACGAGTGAAGAGGGGGACGATTCGTGTATTACGTTTGATGAGTGGGAGGGGTTTTTGGCTGTGGAGGAGGCGGAGGGGGAGTGGGCTTTGTACTTTGATGTGGAGGATGATGGGTTGAAGGGGGTGAGGAAGGGGAGGCGGGCGGTGGAGGTTAGTCTGGTTAGGAGGGTGATTAGCGAGCAGGAGACGAATAAGTGGGGTTTGGGGAGCGAGGGGAATATTGGGTTCAAGAAGACGAGGGAGGTGTGAGAGCACAGGGTTGCTTGCTTGAGAGCGCACTCGTCGTTTGCGCAGGGCCGACGTTCGAGCTCACACGGAGGAGGAGCCAGCAGCTCTATCACGCGACACAGGAGACCACGAACTACCCGTTCGGGCAACGAGAAGCGTAGACTCCATGACGACACCCCGCGCCAGACGGACGAAAGACAGACCAGCGCAGCTCGAAAGATCGAATATTGATTCATCGTTACGCTAAGCGACCACGATGCAGGAAAGCGCCCGTATGCATTCTCCCCCCACAAAGGCAGCAGCCTGCGATGGAATCCAATGCAATGCCACACCGAAGCGCCATCCAAGAGGGCACAGCCATGCACTCGAGAGGACAACGCGAAATCTATATGTATCGGGAAACGCCTGCGCTTTGCGGATGGGGGTGTTGCGCCTTCGTTCTTCAAACCAGAAAACCAAGACAACGTTGCCATTACGGATGACTTCCTTTCGCACAAACAGGAGCTGCGTTGATTTGCCGTCAAGACGCACCGGGGCCCGGGTACTTTGCCAGCAACTCCTCGATTTTGGGCACCAGTTCCGGGATTCGGAAGGGTTTGGAAACGACATCGTCCTGGAGCCACAAAGTCAGTATAACATACGAAAATACATGCACGCATGCACAAAACAACTCACCATCCCAGCATCAAGCGCAGTCTGCACCTGTTCTGCGCGCGCATTCGCCGTCACAGCAATAATCGGCACATGTCCCGTCAACATGCCTTCTTTCTCCAGCTCGCGGATCTTGCGCGTGCACGTCAGCCCGTCCATGACCGGCATCTCCTGGTCCATGAGCACGACACCCAACTCGAGCTTCGCGCCGGGCGTGGCGGTCGCCGGATCCGCCCAGTACGTCGACTGGCGCAGTTTGTCGAGCGCCTCGCCGCCATGGTTGGCGACGTGCACTTCAGTGCCAATGTTTTTGAGCTGCTTTTGCAGCACGCGCTGGTTGACGAGGTTGTCTTCTACGATGAGCACGCGTTTGGGAGCGAGCTTGGTAAAGGATGGGCTGGTGTTTGTGGTTGGGGAGTTGGCTTGCAGGGCCCCGGTTTCGTCAAGGCTCTGGCTTCGCTTCTTCGATGCGACCTTGGGGCTCTTCTTTCGCATGACTGCAGGAGAGGGCTGCTGCTTGACGCCCGTCGCGCCGTCCGTGTCCGCGGGCGCAGAGCTGCGTCTTGCAACAACGTAGAAGGCGAATGTACTCCCCTGCCCAGCCTCGGACTCCACGCCAATCTCACCGCCTTGGAGCTCGGTGAGTTCTCTGCTGATGAAAAGGCCGAGACCGGAGCCACCGTACTGCACGTGCGTCCTGGGACTGGCTTGCGAGAAGCGCAGGAAGAGCATCTTCTTCTCCTCGGGGTTCAGGCCTCGCCCGGTATCCTGGACGGAAAAGTGGATATACAGCTTCTCTCCCTCGCCCCAGTCCTTGTCTGTGAGGTCCTTTTGCTTCCGCCGAGATTGAAAATACTTCACAGGTGCATTAGGAGCCTCGCTCGGCCGCTGTCTGGACGCCGAAATGGTCACGCTGATGACCCTCTTCTCCTCTGTGCCGGTGAATTTGATGGCGTTCGTGGTGAGGTTGATAAGCACCTGCAGCACGCGACTGGGATCGAAGCGCACCCAGTCCAGCTCGAGGTCTCGATACGTCTGGTCGACGAGGAACTGCAACTGGATATCGGCAGCTTGCAGCTCGCCCTCGTGCATTTTCAACGCGCGCTGGACGACCGTCAAAGGCTGTGCGTCGACAGGAGTGACGAGGAGCAGCTGAGAATCCAGCTTGCTGAGGGTGAGAATGTCGTCCACGATCCTCTTTTGATGCTGGGAGCACAGGCTGATGATTTGCGCGGCGTCCAGACAACTCAACAGCAGCTCGTCCGAAATCTCGCGCTCCTCACCCTGCTTGAAGCGCGTCAGACTGCTTGAAATCTCATCCGAGCACTGCAAAATGGCGGAAAGCGGGTTGCGCATTTCGTGCGAAGTAATGTCGATGAAGTTCTCCTGCTGTCGCTTCAGCTCCACCGCCTCCTCCATCTTGCGCGTCTGGATGCCTTCGGCCCACTTCTGCTGCGAAATGTTCGTAATCGAGGCAAACACGCTCTTCAGTCGCCCGTCCTGGTATCGCTCTGGGTAGCCCGAAAACAGCGCCCATGTGTCGCCACGATTGCCGTTCCGGTCTTCCCACTGCGCCTTGAAGCGGAATTCCGAGCTGACTGCTTCTGTTCGAAGCGTCAGGTCCTCCCACAGTCGCTCTACCAATGGCCGGTCGTCTGGCCTGACGGATTCCATCCACGCCTCTGCCATGGACACACCCCTCGGGACGCGAGAGATTTCGTACCACGTGTCGTTGGCCCATGACAGCTTGCCATCCGAACCGGCAATCATCATGCCGACTGGCGCGAATTCCGCCATGCGGGTGAACTTTGTTTCACTGTCTATCGCTTCCTGAGTGCGTTGAGCAAGCTTCTCCGACAATTCGATGCGGTCCAGCGCGGCAAGCTTAGCCGCTCGTTGGCCTCGACGGATCTCCTCTTCGAAAAGCACCACGGATGCCAGTGACGTCGCCAACTGGCGAGACAAGAGCTGGACAAACAGCGCATAGTCATCATCGTACGGTCGTCGCGAGTTCACACCCAAGATCAAAAAGCCAAGCACGCTCTCGCCCGTCGTCGGGTGAATGGGGCACACCACCACAGATCTTACAGGGTCGGGGAAGCCTCGTAGATCCAAATCTTGCACCAGCGTCGCGGGGAGATCTTTGCTTCCCACTTCTAGCACAGCGTGTCGATCGGTCTTCATGACCTCTTTGAACACCGGTCCATATCCTTCGGTGCCAGTTTTGAGATCGATCTGCAACGGCGCTGCCGGATGCCCGTCAGGAACACCCAACTTGCCTTCAAGCCAACATTGCCGAGTATTCATAGCCGAGTTGGAATGGATGCTGCTGCTGTCGCTGTCGTTCTCGTCGGCAACGCTGTACAGCAGCAGAAAGGGGGAGTCGTATTCATTAAAGGTAAAGGATTCCAGAACCTGCGACCAAAAAGCCTTCACATCCCTCGCCGACGCCGTGCGCTCTCCAACTTCGCGCAGCGTCAACATGCGGCGCTCGGCGATCTTCCGTCGCGTCTTTTCGAACGCAGGATTGTACAGGCCCATGACGGAGCCGTCCCTACCGACCATGGGGATGATGCTCCAGCTGAAGTACGTTTCTTCGAGGTACATATTCCGCCGTACGAATAGGCAGTCATCGTCCTTCATCGTCGCTTCGCCGGTGATTCTCGCAGAGGCAAACACATCCTTGACTTCGTCCCAGATCTCCGACCAGGCCTCGCTGTAGCTCTGCCCCATGAGTTTGGGGTGCTTCTGCCCGGCAAGCATGACGTATGCCTCGTTGTAGATGGCGATCAGGTCGTCGCCCCAGTACATGGCTGCGGGATGCGGCGACGCCATGATCAGGTTGCACATCTGGCGTAGGTCGGGGCTCCACAATTCAATGGGACCGAGAGATGTCGAAGCCCAGTCAATGCTGCGTGCAAACTGAATGTGCTGTGGCATGGAAGAGGAAACGGGGAGACGCGTCCAATCAAAGGACGGAGCGTTGGGAGATGAAGGAGATGTGAGACTCATGCTGGTGTCCTTTCTGGTCGGGGACATGGTCATTCGTGGCGCCGGTACCACGACACTGTCTCCGGATGTTCGATGACTGCCGTTGGTCGGTCGCACGGGGCTCGGCTCTGGTAGACTCTGCCCGTACGGAGACACGCTGGGCTCCAACATTTTCGTGTTTGGTGAGGCAGGGGTTCTACCACTGCTTGACGCTGTAGGTGCCTCTACACTCTCTACTAGCTCGGGCAATGGGCTGGGTTGTTCGTCTGACGGTTGCAGCGGCGCCGAGTCTCCGAAATAGTCACTGGGTTCTCGCAAGGAGTACATCATTGAAGGTCTGGCCCCTCCGCTGGGGGGTTCGGAGGATAGCGAGGGAGGGAGACTCTGTCGGAAAGTGAGTCCTGCGGGGGATTCCTGTTGGGAAGGCAGGAATGCGCCGCTGATGATACGAAGGCGCTTCCTCAGCGTGGAGCAGCTCCACGACATGCTGGCGAAGAGGAAAGAGGGCAGACAGACATCAAGACTCTCGCCATTGACCGCGGCGCTCAGGAGCCATGCCTTGAACTGCAGGTAGGTCGCCGGCCCAGGTGACGCGTCCTCGGGCGATACACCGGATACCAAGGCCTCCAAGCCGGCGTAGGATCGAAGGGAGGAATTTGCAAAGGCGAGTTGCAGCGGACCGGCACCGTAGTTTTCTCTTACGCCGAGATCGACGATGAATGTAGGCCTCTCGTCTTGTTCGAGCAACTCCACGACGCCAATGGAATGCAACATACTGCTGAGGTCTTTGGGAGTGCTCGCCAGCTCAGGGCTATGACTCCTAGTCGGCCGATCTGATTGCGAGCGAAGGGCCGCGTGATGAGGGAATGTGCCAGAACCCGGGAATACTGACGGCGTGGCCACCACGCCTCGGGCCAAGCTGACCGTCTTGACGTGCGTGTCTTCGACACGCGCCTTGGAAAGCATCCTTGCGGCCGCCTCGGAACTGGAGAACCGAGGCGGCAAGGAGGGTCGGGGTTGGGGACTGTTGCTGAAGAAGAGGGGCGAAGGGGGTTGTAAGTCGACGTGCAGTGCCGAAAGGCGAGGGGAGAAACTGTCGAGGATATGTTTGTTGCGCGGACCAAGATTGAGCTTGAGCCGTTTTGCAGACGGTTCGGACGTCGGGCCAGGATCGGCGTGGGGAGGGGCAGGTCGTTTCCTGTCCTCGCTCCGGGGGGAATGGTGTGGTGGGGGTGTTTGTAGTGGTGGCTGCAGGGTCGCGCTCACGCTGCGGCCTTTCAGCACGGGGCGGGGCGGCGTGTTGCTGCAGGCGGTGTCCTCGCTCCGATCAACCGCGCCAAAAGAAGTCCATATGGACTCGCGGCGGGGAGGGGATGTATTGTTTGTCGATTCCTGCTCATGCGGCGCGGAAGTGTAGGCGAGGGAATGGTTGCGCGGCGGCGTGATGTGATGACGGAAGGGCGGCGGCGCGGCAGCAGGGGAGTGCAGACGCGTACGCTCGACGCCCTCGGGCGTGCTCTGCCTCCTGCGCAAGAAGGGAGGACGGGTGGGCGAGGTGGCGGGCGGAGGGGCGTCGGCGGGACGTTTGGAGAAAGAGTCGCGCGGAGTGAAGATGCTGGGCTTCGCGGAGGGTTTCATCGGCGGCGGTAGACTTGCCGCGCCGGTGGGGGCATTGAGTTGCTGAGGCGGCAGGGCAGGCGGGCTCCTTGGGGCTGTCTTCTCATCGCAGACCCGTCTCGTCCGGGATACCCAATGGGTCTGTAGGGATGGAGGGGACAAGGAGAGGTGCACGAGGGATCCGCAGGCGCAAAGCGGCCAGCGTGGAGGGTGTGGATTGCAGCATCCGACTCCCGCTTACGCTATTCGTCCTCCCCGCGCTTGCAAAACGCTTTCGGCTGCATCGTCGCCGATCCCTCGGCTTTCCTTCCATGCCACATTGACAGAGATACCCGTTATGTGTACACCGATTCGTCTGCAGAACGGTCGACTCGAGTGAAGAGTGGAAACGACAATGTCATTCTTCCATTTCTTGCGGCCCGCTATTTGAAACGCCTCAATGAGTTGCACAGGAAAGATGAACGAGCAGGATGTCTGGAAACGGTATGCAGCCTTGTCCACTATTGGCAAACGCAACACCATGGAGTGTGCTCCATACCCAAGGAGGTTCGCCTCAACACGCGTGAAGGGTATCTCAAATCCATAATCCCATGATCACGTCAAAAGCAACGCCCCAGCTCTTGCGCAAAGGCACTGCTTCTGCCAAGAAAAATCAAAAGTCATCGCTTCATCGCAGTCGTAGCCTCAATCAATCATCAATCTCAATAATCTCCACCACCTTTCCCTTTCCCTTGCCATTCATCGCCACCTCCTCCGCATCGACACTAGGCGAGCGCACCCCAGTCATCTCATCCGCTTTTGGCTTCCAACTCCCATCCGCTTCCACCACAATCGCTCGAGTATCCAACAAGCCACGGGCTTCGAGTTCCTTCTTCACCTCGACCAGAAACCCATCAACGACCAGGGTGTGCGGCCTGATGTCCCCTCGACACAGCGGGCAACGCCAGCAATCCACCACCGTCGGCCACAGCTGCTTATCCCGCTTGCAGAAGCGAAGGAACGTCTCGAGGTCGAAGCAGTCGCGGTGCGTACACGCTGTGCCTCTCACCGGCGTATCGAAGATGCGAGAGTTGGCGAAGGGCTCGAAGAGCCGGATGGTGAGGGAACTGGAGGTGACGGCGAGTTCGCCGTCGTCTTCGCCACTGAGTTGCAGGGACTTCTGAATCGCGGCTAGTGAGGCCTTCGCTGGGAGGTGTTGCAATTGCGACGTCAGGGACGTGTGGCTGATCAACCCGACGATTTCCACCGCGACAACGTAATCGAACGGGCGGGTGTCCTTGCTAATTCGGTTGACAACGGCCTTGATCCAGTTCTGGCCAGGGCGAATGTAATCCGTCAGGTCGATGGGCAGGTATCGGTTGTGATGCAGCTTGCGTCTCGGCTCGAGGGGCACATTGTTGAACTCGAGAAATAGGTTTTCGGGCCAGTAATTGTCGGCTACGACCCATGTCGACTCGTCTGGGAAGCCGTTAGGTGGGTATGCGGCGCAGCGCAGGCGGTATGTGTTGGAAGCTTCGGTCAGCACACGCTCAGGAGGTTCACCATGCTGCGATGGAGTCGTGATCGGGACTTTGGCAAAGGTTTCCTGGGGAATGTTGAACGAGATGCTCTGGATTGGGTGGTCCTTGTTGAGCTTCGCGGGCGAGAGAGCAAAGCCGTGCACATAGCGGTATAAACGCTCGGCTTCGGAGTCTGCTGCCATGAGTTTCGGGCTACGCAGATGCGCTTGGTGCAAGGCACTACGAACAGGATTGGGGTTCGTAGGCTGCGACTGCGGTGCATCATTTTCGCGGGGAAAGACAAAGGAAGGCGGCAACCGAGATGCCTTTGGCAACGCCGTTGCGCTGTTGAAGACGGCAAACATCTCGCCGGGGATATCGAAAAGCGGCAACGCGCCCTTGTTGGCCACTTTCTTGGACACGCTTGTCCATTGTTGCACCGCGCGTTCATGAGCCGCCCAGCGCGCCCGAAACTGGCTGTACACGCTATACGCCGCCGCTTCCTCCTGCGGGGTCCTTTTGCAGCCTTGGAAAAACAGCGCTTGGTCGATCTTGTGCAGGATCTGGATTTTGTCGACACCCTGCTCGGGATAAAGGAATGATCGGGAGTCCATGACCTGGCGCGCGAGCAGGCGGAAAACGGCAGTCTGCACCACGGGGCTGCTCAGCTGCAATGTGTCGTGGAGATGCTGGACCAACGGCGGTGCTTGCCGCGAGATGCTCTCTTGAGCTAGTTGATGCCACCGCTGTGGGAGAAGACGGAGGAATGCGGCGACCTGGACCACCTTCGGCTCGTAGAGGGTTGCAGCTGGCGATATCTCGATGTGGGCCACAGGCTCGGGGAATTTGCACAGCCATAGCAAGACCGGCGGACTGAGCATCTGGTTCGGACAGAGCAGAGTGTCGAGATATGCGAAACTCTCCGGGTGAAGGTGTTGAGCAGATTTGGGAATGAATTTTGGCGTGATGGTGAGGGCATAAATCTGGCTCAGAACGACGTAGAAAAGGTCGTCCTTCTCGATGGCTTCCTTGAGGAGTGTTAGGCGGCCTTGATCGACGGGATTGAGCTTTATTTGAGATGCTTGATTCCTCTGGAAGGCATGAAAGCGCTCCAGCATGCTCGTCTTCGATAGCGCTTGTGCTGTGGCCATGCTTGTTGGTGGCCCGGAGAGTCGCGGTTGAAGGGGCGTTTGTTCTGCTCCGGGAAGAGCGGGGACATGCGAATACACGGGATGCATGTGATGGGGCCTGTCCGGCGTGGAGGCCGATGGGCGGTCTGATACACCTTGACCTTGAGTCTGGGATGGAAGAGTGATGGTCGTGGGGAAGTAGCGTCTATTATACCCTTCGGGTTTGTTTTTGGAGCCGAGTGGTCGGCCTGGTTTGCGCTTTGTCGGTGGCGGGTCTTGATGGTTGTGGGATGGTTGAGAAGCATCTGCAGACGCGCGAGAAGGTAAGACATGAGGCAGTGGCGCTTGCTGAGGAGCAATCGAATGTGCTTGGGCATCCATACTTTTTCGTGAAGCCTGTCCCTGGGATGCTTGTTGCTCTTCCAGCGGTTGTCGCCCCACCGCGGTGTTAGGTACTCCGGCCACATTGGTTGCTTCCCCTGCTTGCTGCGCTGGAGTTGACGCAACAGCATTAGCCGCAGGTAAATCGGTCTGCTCTCCAGATTTGGTGTTATCATGACTGCGGAAAGAGGCTGCTGCAGTGTCTCGTAAGATTGGCACGGATGCTTCATCCCGTATTGGCGGCACCTCTGATTCTTGGTATGGCGGGAGCGGTGCATCTTCTCGTCGGTTCATCCATCGATTGCCACCGCGTCCCATAAAGAAGTGCAGAGTGGAGTTTGTTTGCGCAATGTCCTTGGCTGTCCGTGGGCGCTGCTCGAGCCTGGGTCGTTTGTTTAGGGATTCCCCAACGCCCGACATGATCGCGTCGCGCGCGTCATGAGAACTAGGATTTCTGTCCGCAATCAGTCGCTCTTGCTGATGGCCAGGTGAGGTGACCTTCAAAACTCAGAGCGAAGTGAGAGAATTGCAAGGGGGATGGTATGCAGAGAGAGCCCCAAGTCGGTGCGGGAGTGGAATCATGTGAAGGTGGGGCGCCGGGTTGGCAGCAGGCTCAAGAGCAGGCAGGCGCGTATCGGAGGAAGGTGCGACCGCGACAATATCCTCGCTCCTACACTACATTATGACATGTAGCATGTAATCTCTGTAGGTATCGATGGAACAACGACGCACTTTGCTTCGCTGCCCACCTGAATGTTTCACCTCGAGTCACAAACTCGCAGTACGACATCAAGACACCTCTGGGCGCGCACGGACGTCGTCGGCGAAAAGGGCATGGAAGGATCCGAGTGGAGCGTCGGCGACAGCTTTCATCTCGGGACTTTCGAGCCTCGCCAACCCGTCCGTTCTTTCGCCGTTGATCAGCCAAATTGCACATTACCTACTTCTGGAAGAGCGTCTAGGCCTCGCGCTGCTTCCATCCTCATCTCCACTCCAAGAGCGCCCTCCTCGCCCGGATTCTGCCGCACTGTACCACGTCAACGCAACCTGCGCGCCGCTCGCTTCCTCCCGCTAACGCGCTTCCACGCCTTCCTTCCGAAAATCCCTACCGACCGCACCTGACGTCTTCCCACATCACCTCAACTTGGCGTCATCGGCGAGCCCGCCCACCTTTACCATCCCATGCGAATCTGCGCGCTGCCACCTCTCGCCACCTGAACCGCGTCCCGGCCTCGCGCATGTCTCCGGCGTTCACGAACATGGCGACCAGAGGTAGCATATCTCAGGCCGCCCCAGTCGGCTCCACTCTGCTCGTCGTCCACAACTTTGTCGCTAGGAGCGGCGATGAACTGAGTCTGGCAAAGGGCGATCGCATAGAGCTCATAGAACGCGATGACGACTTTGGCGATGGTTGGTTCCTGGGCAAGCATCTGGGCAACGGCCGAACTGGACTCTTTCCAGAAGGTGAATACTCCCCCACTCCACTCCACTCTGCTGAACAACCACTGACGCATCCAGTCTACACCACCCTCGCCCCCAAACCTACTCTGTCGAATGCGATCCAGCAGCGCGCCGCGAGTGAAAGTCTGGTGAACAACAGCTCGTTAAGCAGCGCTGCGGCCACCGCCGCCGCGAGTGCCGCCGCTTCTTCGTCGCCGCCCCAGGTTCGACACGCCTCCGCGTCTGCCGCCTCGATGCGGCCCGCAAGCGCCTCCGAGACCGCATCACCGACAGCTGAGCCAACTCTTCGCGCCTCGTTGCCCGCAACATCGGCCGTATTGAGGAATGACGCCATCTCGACCGCATCACCCGTCATGAACGAGACCTTGTCCGTCATCAACGAGCACATGAACGACATGCACACCCCTTCCAGCTATGCGTCAACCAGCAATAAGCGCAATTCTACCGGCCGCGGCTATGTTTTCATCGCGGGTGAAGAGACGGATGAGGAGGAGAGGCAAATGCATACAGAGGCAGAAGTAATGGCATGGAGTCCCGACCGGGTCGCAGAGTACCTAGAAGATCAAGGAGTGGAGAAAGCGCATTGCGATGTCTTCAAAGAGCAGGAAATTACCGGGGAGGTATTGCTGGCAATGGAACAGAGTAGTTTGTTCCTCAGAGAATTCTCGCTGGGCTCCGTCGGCCGGAGACTGAAGACCTGGCACAAGATTAGGGCGTTACAAGACGAGGTCAGAGTGAACAAGCCTCCAGACGCCCCATCAAACACTTCCGAGTACGAAGGCGAAGGTAACGAGGCCGGAGATACTGCGAGAAATCGTGCTTCGACCGTGGGATCGGCTCTTCCGCGTGCTCTAGACACATCACGGCAGAGCACCCTCGCTCCTGGCAGGAGTAACACCTCGCACTTGGTGACAGATACGGGAATGTCACCTACGTCCGGACCAGAGGCTACCTGGACACCGCCTGCGCAAGCGACTCCAGCCGCACAACTGCCACGACGAGGGTCAGATGGACAGACAGCGTTGGACACTGCTCAGAAGTTGGGCAACCGCGAACTCCACCGAAAGCAGCCTTCTCTCGATCAAAATTGGCAACCGGGCCAACCGCAGAGCGATGGACAGTACTTTGGCCATGCCCATTCCCTGAGCTCCGACGCCGCATATCCCGCCCTCCTCGCCATGGAGTCAAGCGTGCCTTCAACGCCGAGCAAGGACGACATGGAAAAGGCATCTTTGTCTTCGGTTGGCCAAGCCCGAACGAATACCACGTCTGGAACCCGAAAGACTTCGGCCGATGTTGCTGGCTCCGAGCTGTCGCGAAGCAGCATTCAATCTGGCGCCGTGGGGAGCCCAGAGCTTCTGCGAGATTCAATGAGCCCAGCTACGAAGGCCCAGGGCACCTTTGGCGCCTTGAGCTCCGTCAGCAGCACGCTTGGCGGCACAAGAGCAGCTACTTCGCCCGCCTTGGGCCGGCAGCCAACAGACGTGAGCCCCCTGGTAACGAAACTGGACCACAATGCCTCCTCCGAAGGCCTCTCGCCATCGTCTGCTGTCGCCGGAACAGATTCGGCTTTACCGCGCTCATCTACCAGTCCTAAGATCCCTTTCTTTTCAAACTACAAGCCTAACTTTACAGGCCTGCGAGGAATCAGCGACACCATCTCGCGAAACGAGAAGCAAGCGCCGTCGCCCGTTCGCGATGCTTCATCCCCAGCAAGAACGGGTTCCAGCACGCCCAGTACTGAAACCAAAAGCCTGGAATATACAAAGCCTGATGGGCAGTCCCGCACTTCCGACCCCGCCGCCAATCTTATTCCACCGACTCCCAATCAGCGACGAATCCGGGTGAAGCCGAAGAAAGCGACGTCTGCGTACACTCGCGGATTGGAGACGAAGAAACCGGCAGAGCAGATGATTGGGGCCGATTACTCGGGATGGATGAAGAAGAAGAGCGGGTCGTTGATGACGACGTGGAAGACGCGGCTTTTCGTCTTGCGAGGCCGACGACTGTCGTATTATTACTCCGAGAACGACACCGAGGAGAAGGGGCTGATCGACATCTCATTCCACCGCGTCCTGCCCGCGCACAACGAAACGCTCACCGGTCTTCACGCCGCTATCACGGGAGTTTCAGGCAGCAGTCCTTCGAGTCCGAAGGAGGGCGCGACGCCGACAGCCGCCGAGCAGGATCTCGCCGAGCATCCAGCGACAGGCGAAGCAGACGACGGCGTGTTCATTTTCAAGCTTGTCCCTCCGAAGTCCGGGCTGTCGAAGGCCGTCAACTTCACCAAGCCGACGGTGCACTACTTCGCGGTGAACTCTCGGCAAGAAGGGCGGCTGTGGATGGCAGCGCTGATGAAGGCGACGATCGACCGTGATGGTGACAGCGTGGTCACGACCACGTACAATCAAAAGACGATCTCGCTGGCCAAGGCGCGAGCTAGGCGCGAGCGCCCGCCCGCGCTGATGGAATCGGACGGCGAGAAAGAGGCGGCGTCGGAGTTGGATGGAGCTGGCGATGATGCTGGCAGCGGGAGGCAGGGGCTGGGCATCGGCGGACTGGGAGAGCATGAGGATGCTGTCGCCGGTGCTGGTGCTGAGTCGACTCTGGCTGACGAGGGCTCTTCGCTTGCGCCCAGTACGACGGAGGTGGGGAGTTTCACCCAGCAGATCAACGAGTCACTGGCTGGGCTGGCCAGGTGATGAATTGGACGTCCCATTGGCTGGGCATACTGGAAAGCAACTGTTTACGAATATGATGATGATAAGGTGGTGGGAATGATGTTCAACTGACTACATAGAGTAGCTACTTGTCTGCCGCGCTGCCGGTGCAAAGTAATGTCTGTTGAGAACTGGAGGAATCCGAGGACTCTTGCGATTTATGTCAATCACTACCTACAATTCTCCAATAAGCATGTCGCCATCCGAAGTCGGCGGTGAGGTGCTTCGGCTCGCGGAGCTGTCCCGCACGACAAGCTTGGGCTAACCGCACCACCACCCATCATCCCCTCCCATCTCCATTGACAAATCAATGCAATCCGAGTGATCCGTCTCTCCCTCATCAACCTCCCCTCGTCGATAATGTGAACATCACCACCGCCAGCATGTCTTCCAAGTTCATCCCACGGCAGCTCCTGCGCCGCCAGCTCTGCCAACCCATCCAACGCCACTCCATCACACTCCTACCGCCAACAACGACGCAAAGCATCATCGTCGCCCGATCGTACGCCACCCCGACCGGCAAAGACGACAAAGAGGGCGGCAATCCCTCCTTCCGAGGCCAAGTCTACCAGAGCACGAATGAGCGCGTGCAGCGCGAGCGGGCGGAGGAGGAGCGGTTTGCGCGGTACCGCGAGGCGCAGAAGTCGCGGAGCTCGGCGGGGATTGTGGTGCCGATAGGTAAGTTGTTACCAGTATATGTGTTATCCCACAGGCCCTCCACTAACACACTCGACAGTCCTCGCTGTCGGCATCTTCGGCGGCTGGATGCTGGGTAGACAACAGCCCGGCGAACCTAGCAATCTCTCCACCGCCCCTCTCGGCCAGACCGTGCCTCCAAAGCACGATACCGCACCTGCCACTCTACAAGCAGCTTGGTCTGATTTCAAAGCCATCGTGGGAGAAGAGAACGTGTCCACACAAGCATCCGATACCAAGGCGCACTCGGGCAGCGAATGGAGCTCCTACACCCCCAAAGAGCACGAGGTATACTTCTGCGTCATCAAACCCGGCAGCACGGAGGATGTGTCGGAGATTATGAAGGTGTGCCATAAGCGGCGCATCCCCGTGACGGCGTATTCGGGTGGCACGTCGTTGGAGGGACACTTTGCTGCGAACCATGGCGGCGTGTGTATTGATTTCAGCCGCATGGACAAGATTCTCGCTATGCATGCCAAGGACATGGATGTCGTGGTCCAGCCGGCTGTGGGTTGGGAACTGCTGAATGAGGAGCTGGGCAAGGAGGGGTTGTTCTTCCCGCCTGACCCTGGTCCTGGAGCTCAGATTGGAGGCATGATTGGTACGGGATGCAGCGGCACGAATGCTTACCGTTACGGTACGATGAAGGACTGGGTTCTAAGCGTGACGGTCGTCATGGCGGACGGCACAATTGTCAAGACGAAGCAACGGCCCCGAAAGAGCAGTGCAGGCTACGACTTGACCCGCACGTTCGTCGGATCCGAAGGCACGCTGGGACTGGTCTGCGAAGCTACATTGAAAGTCACGCCGAAGCCGCAAAACACCAGCGTCGCAGTGTGCACGTTCCCCACCATTCGCAGCGCAGCAGACTGCGTCTTCCGCGTCGTGGGAGCAGGTGTACCCATCGCAGCGGTGGAGATCCTCGACGACGTGCAGATGAAGTGCATCAACGACGTCGGCCGGACGGAGCGCAAATGGGAGGAGGCGCCGACGCTGTTCTTCAAGTTCGCGGGCACGCCGTCGTCCGTCAAAGAGCACATTTCTATCGTGCGCGACCATGCGAAGAAGGCGGGTAACAAGACGTTTGAATTCGCGCGCAACGCGGAGGAGTGCGAGGAGCTGTGGGAGGCGCGCAAGGAGGCGCTGTGGAGCGTGATGGCGCAGCGGAAGGACGACACCGACCATGTGTGGACGACGGACGTCGCGGTGCCCATCAGTCGTTTGCCGGACATTATCGACGAGACCAAGGCGGATATCAGCAAGAGTGGGCTTACGGGGGCGATTGTCGGGCATGTGGGCGACGGCAACTTCCACGCTATCATCTTGTACAACGACAAGGAGCACGACATTGCGGACGCGCTGGTGCATCAGATGGTGAAGCGGGCGATTGAAATGGAGGGCACCGCCACGGGCGAGCATGGAGTCGGCTTGATCAAGAGGGACTACTTGCAGCACGAGATTGGCGAGAATGCCGTGGACCTGATGCGAAAGGTGAGTTTGGGATGGAGACGCCCATGATACTGAAACGCTGCTGACCGACTGCCCACAGATGAAGCAAGCTTTTGATCCTTTGTGCTTGTTGAACTGCGACAAGGTCGTACGTGCGCAGATGCCCAAGCCTGGCGAGGTACAGGAATGGTGATTGTGATAAAGTCGAATGTTGCTTTTAAGAGATGTATATGCCAGTGAAAAGAATCTTGCATTGTTGCCAAATATCAAGGCGAGCGAACAGCTAACTGAGAAATCCCCCAACTTTACCCACACCACAGCAAAGATCAATGTCTGCCTCGCTTGGTCATCGCTCGTGTCTTGCTTCCGGATCCGATGGCGTGCGGTTGAAACGCTCCCTCCGACTATCCGTTGCCCTCTGCTGCGACCCCCGATTCGGTTTCCTCGCCGTGTACACATGCCTGTGGTGAAAGTCAGCCCAAGCCCACGCAACATCCACTCATCGCTCCTCCGACCTACAAATCAAAATACAGGCCCGTCCCCCTCGCATTCGCCCCCCTCAAAGCATCCGCACACATGCCCCTCGCCTGCACCTCGCCAATGTCCAGCCCAGTACTGAGATGATGCAGCCCCAGCGCGGCAAAAGCGTTCGGCGCCATCTTGTACCCCACACTGCATTGGAACCAATCCGAGATGCTCGAGCGCGACGCGTCGCCCGGCGTGCCAGCAAAGGGAATCTGGATTTTGCGGTGCACGATGTCGACGAAGCCCACGGTTTCGAGGAGTGTGTCGATGTTGCGGGGCAGGGACATGGGGTAATTTGATTGTTGGGAGGCGAGGTACACGCCTTCCCACCATTCGCGGACGGCGATGTCGGTTTCTAGGAGCGGAGTGAAGGGTTGCAGGCGCGGCGTCCAGTCTATTTCGATGAGTTCGAGCTGTCCTGTACCGGGGCGCAGATGGCTGTATGCGGTTGCATACAGCTTCGACCAATCTGATACGCTGCCGGCGAGCTGGGCGGCGTGGATGAGGTCCTGCGACGCGGGCTCGACGGGCCACTCGTCGGTGTTGAAGTCGACGGGCGACAAGTTTCGGATGGACTGCGCCGAGTTGCTGACGAGGAAGGGCACGAGATCAATACCGGTTATGCGGGCTTGGGGGTAGCTTTTGGCCATTTCTTCCGTCCAGGTGCCTGTGCCGTACCCGATGTCGAGGATGCGCAGGGGCCGGGCGTGGGTGATGGTCAGGTGGCAGAGGTGCAGGCGGTTTTTGAAGGCGGCGCGGTAGATTAGGGCGTGCATGCAGTCTAGGAGGTCGCCTTGGTCCTGCGCTGGGAGTTAGAGGTGTGCAAGATTTCGCTGGGATATTTGCTCACTTCATCCCATGGGAATGGATAGACTCTGCCTCGCCATGTGAAGTAGCCGCGACAGTAGAGCTGGATGGGACATGGGTGCCCGGACTGTCGCTGAGCCTGGCTGTTGAGGAGAGCAGGAATGGTGATTCGGGCGCTGTTATTTCGCCAGTGGACTCAGTCGGTGCTGTTTCAAAGAGTCTCAAAGGAGGACAAGTGAGTATGATATCGCTTACCTCATGATATCAATGCCTTTGCTCGAGAAAACCATCGAACATGAACAACCGCCTTCGCGTCGAGACAACTCCCTCTGAGTCCGAGATAGTATCTCCCAAAAACCAACTCCCCCAGAACCCCTCCAAGAACAAAAGACAATGGCACCCATCCGCACCCTCGGAACCCGCCTTTCCGTTATCCCGGGATGCTCGAGCGCGTTGTGTCACCTCGCCAGACCGGGTCCGTCCGCGTGCAGCAACCCACGCGCCATCGGCGGGGGATTCAGGTAATTCACCAGGCCCAATCCCTTGGGACGCATGCTGCGGTGGACGACGCCTCGGATTCGTCCCGACCGCGATGGCGTGAGAGGTGCATGTTGTGCGTGTGACGTGGATGCTTTTGCTGTGAGGGTCGGGTGGGCTGGATGAGGGGAGCTCTGGGGTTAGTTCGATGGTGGACTCGGAGTGAAGCAACTCTGATCAGTAGAGTTGAATGAAAATTCATCAGAAATGAGACTTCTTCCAAGATCCTCACCCACCGCGAATGCATGTAAACTATGAGCTTCCACGAGAGAGGGCCGAGCTGGACAGCAGGAGCAGCAGCACAACGAGAATCCAAACGTACTCGCAGCGGCTAGAATGGCGAATTACCGCGGTGAACCCACATGGCATGGGCAAAGGAGGGGGGAGGTGACACGAAAAAGTCAAGCCAGGTGGTCGTGGTGGCACACCGATGTTGGATTTTGCATGTCAAAAAGATCCCTCTTCTCCTCTTCTCTAAGCCTTGCAACGCCACGCTACGTTTGTATCAAAAGGTGCAGTAGTGTGTTCGACTCGTGCGGGTCTTCAATCCCCACCGGAAACCTGTTCTGAGCGGGATGTGGTTGGAGATGCTCGGCGCCGCGAGCTTGGATGGCGCTGGCGTTGCTTGTGCTGATCTTGTTTCGATGTCGAATGACAGATACCGCCCGCCTGTTCCTCTACAAAACAGCTCCGTGCTAGCTTACAGGTTTTCTTGCAGTCCAGATGTGTCTGCAAGTCGATCTGGTCAGTACCACTCTTGTGGGCACGTTTTTGGGGCATGTAGCCTTACATATTGTGGAAGAATGGCGCTCGATTTGCCTTGTAAGCCTCTCGAACATTCTGGCACAGTTGTCGAACAGCATCGGGATGCATCTGCAGCTGCCGGGTGAAGAGCGACATGCTCAACGCCTCGAAAGAATTCATAGAGTTGTGTCGATGGTCGTCGCCACACATGATGCCAATATACCAGCGTTTGAGCAGGTAGTCTCGCGCATCGCGCGGTGAGGCCTGGAGTGGGATTCGGATCATCCTATGATTGAGATCGGTGAAGCCCGCGGCCAGAAGCAGTTCCGCCGTGTCCTCTCTGTACGCCATCGAGCCGTTCAGCAAGGACGAGGCTTGGCACATGAGTGACCACCATTCTTGCACGGCTCGCATGCCGGGTGTGACTTCGGTGTTGTGTAGAGAGCGAAGCGCCCAGTCGATTTCAATATGTTCGATAAACCCATCGCCGGCTCTCAGATATCTTTGAAATCACAATCAGCACGGCTGAGTGTCAAGTGCGAGGCCGACGCGCGCGACTTACCGCAAGGCTGTGGAATACAGCTGCAACCAGTCTGGTACGCAGCCAGAGAGCTGCGACATTCGAATCAGATCGAATGACGCAGGCTGGAAGCCCCAGTCGGGCTGGGTGAAGTCGAGTGGAGCGACAAAGGTGGCGTTGGGAGTGTCATCGCTTCGGGCAGGCGAGTTGGAGCAGAGGTCGATGCCGACGACACTAATATTGGTGTTCAGCCTCGCCAAGTCGTTGGCCCATATTCCTGTTCCATAGCCAACGTCGAGGATATGGAGACGGCGCTGCGCTTGCCAATCGAGCTCTGCATTCACCAGTCGGTTGTTGAGCGCGCGCTCGTGGATCATGCTGTGGAGTGCATCGAGGCGCTCGAGCTCGACCTGCGCGCATCGGCACTGGGTCAGTAAGCGTTTCGACGGGACGAGTCATTGTGACATACATCGTCGCAAGGAAGAGGATAGACCACGCGGTCGCCGTAGGCGTAGTATTCCCGTCCTATAGCAAGGAAAAGTGTGAGTGGACGTGCACAAGCAAGAATGGACGGAGATGATGCGAACCATTCTCGACAAACCGCGTTATCGGACGCGGTCCGGCGTTGTTCGCGTGGCCATTGGTGAGGGCGCGCTGCGGAGTGGTCGGCGGCGCTATCGCTTCACCAGCAGCGCGTTCGCCGGGTCTCTCGCTGAGTAGATTGCTAATGTGCAATCTTCGATCGCTGCAGGGAAATGGATGTGAGTGTGAGGACAGCAATGTGTCGGCGTAGGGTAGTCACCTTATCATCTCCGCACCTGCATGATTTGGTGGCCGCAACGGACGTGGTTGGTAGGGCAGCAAGGAGGGGGTGAAGCAGATTTCAATGCAGGATCGAAGAACCAACGGGAAGACGCTGCCTGGGGAGGGAAAAGGTTGTACTCGTCTTGCCACGCATGTGCAGCCGGGAGAAGGCAGTGGAAGAAGTGGGGGAGAGCGATTGGCCCCATTATACCGACATTGACGCACGCAGGTGTGTTGGGGAACGACAGGGTAGCAGCGCTGGCGCCCGCTAGAAAACGCACATCACCGCTCTAGCTCCACGGCCTCGGGCGGAGCGTTCCGTACGCACATCGCGCTCTGCTCGCAACGCCTTGACCCAACGTCATCTCTCGTCGTCGCCGGAGCACGCCGCGGAGATTGCGAGCGCGACGGGACTTTCTCCAGCTTCCTCCCAGTGTCCATTCGTCGCTGTGAACTTCGTCAGACTCGGCCTTCTCGCGACGCCTGTCATTGATGGAGCCGGCGCAGCTAGAGTCCCCTCCAAACTGCAGCCACCAGAGTGAGTTGGCGCTAACTGGCTCCGCACCCATGTCGCTGGGAACGCCTGCATCACCAGCAGCCGAGCAGTGCGCGTGTGGCGGCGGCGAGGGCGATGCATCGAGAAGGGATCACCGCACAAGCTTTGCAAATCCCCTCTAGCCTGGCGACAAATCTGCATCATACCCCTTCGGTGTGGTGTTTGGCTCTCGCGCCCGCCTTCTCCGGGTCGACGTGGCGAAAGCATGGCGAGGGTGACGAAACACGTACCACGTTTTCTTAATTCCCGCCGGGGCGGGGGCGAGGCGGCCACGCATCTCAGGAACGCCGGATTGCCGGTCTGACCAAGGCATGGCATCCACGGGAAACAATCAGGGCCATCGTCGTCATTCTTACAAACCATCCTGCTTCACCCTAGACCCCCAGCTCCGAGGAGACTGTCCAATGCTCGAATGCAGGACATCGATAGCAGTGACGCACGATCACCCCTCTCGTGCGTGATTGGCTTCCCCTCCACTGGAACCCACAGCCCCGGTTCCCCCTCCTTCGGGATGCGGAAGCTTCGCGGCGCGGGGCGGAAGAGCACCAAGTTTTTTCCCTCGTCTTTCCCGACTCCATGGGCGTGCCACGAGCCAATGCGCCGGCCCGCGATACCCTTCCTTCCACTGTACACACCACCGCGCGCTCCGGTGGGGGCTCAGCAACGCCATTGTGCTAGTGTGTGCGACTGAGTTGGTAATGTGGTCGGTGAAGTAGCCGTATGGTCGTCGATCTGGAGCTGCGAGTTGAATGAGGCGTTTAACTAGGCGGCATTGCGGGGGGAACTGTGCGACGTACCCCGCCGCCACCGACGCGGCTCGGAGTGAAAGCAGATGTGATCCTACCGTAGCAGTTGCCAACTCTGGTACGAGCAGGCGGCTTGTTCGGAGGAAAGCTGAAGGGCAATTGGACGCGTAAGTGCTGTAGATAGAGTGCATGTGATGCCGGCGTCTTTCAAGCCTCCGAAGGCGGACAAGAGGATGATCCAAGGCCTGCGCGGGACATTTGTTCATTCATAATCCATAGCGCGTCTTATTTTATTATCGGCGATTGATTATCCTGCAGTGTTACACTTTCCACACCCCATGAATAATATCAGAGTATTCGCCTGATGCACAAGGTCTCGGTCAGCTCGCGGCACACATCAGCAGGAAGAGAAGTACACACCAGCAACTCTCCATCTCTGGTCAAGTACACGAAGCAAGTCCATCAAGGCCAGAATGCGTCGCTTCCACTCGGCGTACGGTAATTCCTTCCCACGCGAAAAACCTACACATACCCTCCCGTCAGCTACCCGAGTCACGGACTCCAACGACTTTGAGACGTACAGTTCATCGTTGCCTGATAGATGCAGTTCACCACGAGCGGACTCAGACCTCTCAAACCACCGACATGCTCGGCCTGCCTGCGTAGGCGGGCGGCCAGGAGCATAACCATCTCATCTATCTCGCGCCGCCCGTAAAAGCTTTCTTCCTGCAGATCTTGACGACTCACGCCGCCAGTTGCTTTCGAATTATCAAACCGTGCAGTGCAATCGCAGAATTGGCAGAGGGTCAGCAGAGCGCTGAAGATGATGGCCACACCAGTGTACCGTTCTGGCGCTGCGTCCGCTGCCCCGTTGTACAAGTCCACTTCCTCGTACACGCATCGCGCGAAGATCTGCATTTCACGCAGCAACCGCAGCGCCTGATCGAAGCGGACGTTGAGCGGGATGCTCCGATTTTCGATATGCGCTATAGTTCGACCTAGATATCCAGCTGCCTGGCAAGTCCGAACAAATGGTGAGCCTGGGATGCCCGTTCCCCCTGACGCCGCAGCTGGCGTAATGGGTCCATTGTCGAATGCGGCATCGTCTCCAAGGCCGACTCTTAGATCCGGTTCTGCCGTTGCCAGAGGTTTGTTTCGGTGGCCTATGTGGATGAATCGTTCGAGGATGACAACGCACCACCACCATCGCTTTCGCTCTTCCTCTTCCATCGCGGTCTCGGCAGGAGGTAGCATCTGTGGCGTTTTGGGTTTGTGTAGACCCATGGCATGTCCGATTGTCGCGAGAGAACCAATGGTGAGATAGGCGGCCGGGCAGATTCCATGGCCGAGCTCGTACAGAGCGATCAAGAGTAGTGCCTGGACAAGTCGAAGGGTGAAATCGTTCAGAGCTTCCACTTCACGATAGAAGAATTTCGCATTCCGATACAGCTCGGTTTTAGGATCAGATCGCGTTGGAACGTCGCTGCAAATCAGCTTCATGCATAAGAGCAGCAAGTTGGTCGAAGCGTCTGCATCGTATGCTGCGCTTGATATGTGATGGTGTAGTCGCGTTCTCGAGATGAATGGGAACCAGATATGTATGCTGCTGAGATAGGTGTCGATTGTCTCAACAATATCGTTGAAGCTGCCTAGTTCACGGAGTAGCCACTAAGGAGTCGTGATTTGCGCAGGTGGAATGGAGAGTCCTCGGAATTTGAATTCAAAAGAGGCGAGGAAGAAGACAGAAAATGCACTTGTTGATTGATGTTGTCTGTCGCGATTCTGTTCCTGACGAACAGGGCTGGAGCGATGAAACACCGCGCCTTGGTTGGTTGGGACTTTGGCGAGAGCGGTGGGCAGGCTCTTGGAGGCTTTGAAACACGTCACATCGGCCCATTGTCGTGTCAGGATCGCGGCGTCCTCGGCAGATGGCCTAGATGTAATTGTGCAGTACAGGCAATGTCGTAGCAGTCGTCTGTTGCATGTTGGACAGGTGGGACATGCTTGGGTCGCCGAGTTGGCCATCGGAGCGGGTCGATGTCGATAGATGTAGCAGCCAAAGAGGGAAACTGACTTGAGCACATGGGTTGCTTGTACATGTATGTCTGCTTGTTTGCTGGTCGCTGCTGCCATGAGGGACGTGGTTGATCGTCGTTGCAAGTGGCTGCCTGAGGCTCCACATGCCCTTGCCAGCCGTCCCACCACTAATTTTCACCAGTCTTCGCGTCAATCTCTCCGACTTTCCACTCCTCCTCTTGCAACAATACGGCAGGCTACAACTCCCCTCCATCCTACATCTTCAGCCTTGCAGCCCGCCATCCCTGCGTCATGGGCCGGCCGCCAAAGTACGACTGGGATGACAAACGCGACATCTGCTACAAGCTCTGGGTCGTCGACAAACTCAGCACCCCAAACATTGTCAAATGGTTCGCCGAGCACTTCAAGCTGCCCGAGTCCGAGGTGCCGTCGGTCTCGCAGTTCCATCAGAAGTTCCGCAACTGGAACTTTCCCGGAAGACGCGACAAATGGACGGAAGAGGAGTATGAGAAACTGACGGCGAGGACGAAGGAGCTGTTCGAGCATTATGTCACCGCGGGGGACATCCAGAAGACACTGAAGGAAGAAGGATGGGATTTGAACGATTACGACTTTCGCGCGTTAAGGAAGAAAAATGGCATGTTGATGAGAAGCATGAATGGGTACAAACCTTTACCTAGCAACAAGAGACCTCGCACGGAGAGTGATGCGGTTGAGGGGCCCACAGCTGAAGAAGAAGAACAACAACAACAATCGGAGGATCAAGCCACTCCCGAGGAAGATGCCCAGCAGACCACACTTCCCCCGGAGGAAGCAGCGCGTCGGGCCCAACGTCTGGCCGAGCTTCAGATGCAGAGCGATGAGCTACTACGCACACGCAAACGTCGTCGCCGCATTCGAGGCTATGGCCCCATGCCAGCGGATGACCCCAGCATCGGGCCTCGCTACGGATCGGAAACGAGTCTCGACGAATGCAAGGCCTTCCTCCAACTCTCCAACGAGACATACATGGAGCTTCGTGATCAGTTCGAAGCCATCTGTCGCGAAGAGGGGATCATCAAAATGACCTTATGCGCCGACGGCCAATGGCAAGCCGCTAAAGATCGCCTCACCCGAGGGAGTCCCCATCTCTCTTCCGTGCTCCATCCCCTCCAGCCCGACATCGACCGCCGTACGAACGCACTCAACTGTATTTGCAGTGATGTCACCAAGCGCATGCGCAATCAAGCTCGCGCCATGACAATCGCGGACGCCAGCAATCTTCTCGGCCTGAATCCTGTGGAGTCCAAGGAAGTTCGCCGCCGACTCTACGAAATCCTCGAAGCCGACCACTTTACCACAACCTTGGCCTGCGGGAAAGAGCATCTCGACGAGCTGCGTCAGAGATGGTATGAAACATCCGATGCGTTGCAGCAAGGAATCGCGTCGGGTGACCCACAAAAGAGTCGCGCCATCGATGTCCTGCACCGCGATGCTCGTAAACGCTACTGCGACGACCAAACCCGCAAAGACCCGGACAGAAAGCAGTGGCAGAAGGCAAACCATTACGGCCCCGGTCCCGGCCCTGCCAAAGGTCCCAATCCCAGCGCCACAAAGAAGAAGAAAGCGGGCAATGCAGACGCTCCCGCCGAGTCCAACAATCAGCCACGAAGCAGCACTCAAAGGCATGGCCTGAACTTTCCCACCCCCGCAGCCTGGTTCGGACGCGAGTCGGAGATGGCCGATTTCCGCCTCACCACCATTGCCGACGCCGCGCCGCATATCAACTTCGATCTTGATCCGCTCTTATCCGAGACGACACATGGCCCTCCGTGGCCGCCGCAAGCCCCCCAGCCAGCCCCTAGCTCTAGCGCAAATGCTTCTGGCTCCGCATCCGCCGCTATTCCGGCCTACTTCCGCCTAGCCACTTGCTCGCAAGTCGCTGGTAATCATCCGCGCATGTGGCTCGGTAAGCTTGCTTCAGGCGCAAACTTTGATGCTCTGCGTCAAGCTGCTACGTCGAAAGCAAGTGCTCCGACTCAGATGGGGAAGGTGCATGGCGTCGTTAAGAACACGGATGGGACTGAGGACAGCTGGCTGATTGAGAGCGATGACGAGCTGGGTGTGTACCTGCAAGAAGCACAGGAGAAGGCAACATTTGTCGTCTTCTTGGTCGAGGGCAGTGCGTAGGGTAGGGCTCGCTGTGAAGTCACTGCCCTGCATCTCGGGACGACACTGTATCATACAAATCTGGTATGAGACACTGAGAATACGAAACGACAGGCGACCTAGTCACTGCCGCAAACAGCCCCAAACCTCCTCGCAGTCAGTGGCTGCGGAAAGACACCAGCATCAATCAGGTGCTGCGCATCCCACGCCGGCGAATCCTCCGTCCGCCACGTCCAGAACATCCAGCCTTGCGTATTGGCTTCGAAGACGTCCATCTGCGTCTCAATGTACCACCTCGTATCATCTTTGAACCCCTGACTCCACGTCTGCAGATCATTCATCCCTTTGCAGGATCCCACATACGGCGATCCAGGAAACGTGCCATCATATCGTGCCCCACGCTCCCAGCCGTTCAGCGCGACTGCGCAATCCGTCATCGCGGCCGACCATTCACCTACAAACGTCCACTTGTCCGCGCCGGAGTAGGTGTACGCATTGCTGCAGACGTATTCCCGGTGTTCCGCTGGCGTCATGGCGACGAGCTGGTCGGTGAAGACTTGGTAATCGTGGTGATCGATGGCGACATACTGGCTGTTGTCATCCGACGGCGTCAACCAGCCGTTGTAAGCGCGCGGCTCGACAAATCCATCCTGAATGACGACGACTCGCGAGTCGGACACATCTCGCTGCTGTTTGTACCCCCGTCGTTCGTACTGCTTGACTTTGTCGAAATCCAGCTCGGCGATCAAGGGTTCGTTGACGAGTTCGATGCCCGCAATCACATCGTCGTACTCCGCCGCGCCATACTTCCTCTGAATGATTTCCAGCGTCTCCAACGACTTGCCAACGTGCTCGCCCGTCTGCCACAAAGGCCGCGGAATCCGATGTCCACTGTTGTCAAACCCATTCTGCGATCCCTGCACGCCATGCAGATCCACCACCACCTTCAACCCCGTGCGTCTTGCCCATCCCACCGCCTTATCCAAATACGCCGCCGCGCCGCGCGCATACGGCGAGCCTGCATTATCAAAAGCCCAGAAGCCGATGGGGATGCGCACAACGTTGAACCCGGCCTGAGCAATCTTTTCGAAATCCGCGAGCGTGATCCAACTTTCCCAGTGCGGGCGGAGCACTTCGTCGTGCGCCCTGTCGCGCCCTAGGGTTTTGCAGAGCGTGTACTCGTCTACGATGCCGGCGGAGGCGGGGTATTTGCGGAAGATGGAGGGCGTGATCCAGGGTTCGAGGAGGAGCCAGCCGCCTAGATTCACGCCGCGGATCTTTTCGTTGCCCCAGTTGAAGCCTGTTGGTGCTGATTGTCGTTTGTGCCTGTGGTAGTTTTTAGTGGGGGGGGGTGGATGATGGGTGACGGCGGCGGGGCCACTGACGGTATTGCTGCGGCCAGTGCTGTGGCGTACATGAGGAGGATGCTTGATTGGAGGAGCATGGCTGTCGCTTTCCTGGAGTTGTTCTTGCTGCACAACGCGATTCTCCAAAGGTGTGTTTGAGAGGTTTAGACGTTTGGTCGTTGCCTTGTCGTTGTCAACAGGTTGTCCTAGTTGCTGCGAGACGCGGTTGGAGCGGGTATGCATCGTTGGAATGCGTCGTGCCTCGTTGGGTACAATGGTGACGATCGCAAGTCGCATGATGACCTCGGAGCCTGCATGATATTACGTACATCTGGTTTAACAAAATAGAATCAGTCGAGTATATTAAAGAATATTCGAATGAGTAGTCTCCGTGCGATCGATTGTGGTCATGCTGGTTTCAGCCACGAGGCTGTGCTGGCGATCATGGGCAAAGCAAGGCTGGCGAGACTCCGCCGGCATCTCGCCTAAGAACTGCCCAGATACTTCGCAACCTCACGTTTCGAATCCCAGTTTCGTACTGGGTCGGTCGTTCCCAAGTACCCCGAGATATTCTTCACCTGGACAAGGACTAGAAGGCCGACATATACAAGCGCTGTCGTCAAAGTCGACCAAGGCCGTTCGGGCTCTTTCACGCTCAGACCTTTGGCTTTGAGGGCATCGACGTGCCGGTGTCTGACGTTGTACAGGCCTGTAATGGTATGCTCCACGGCTTCTGCGGTACCGTGTCTTTCGAGGTGGCCTGCCAGAAGAAGGCCGAGGGTTTGGGCATCTTCGAAAGCTTGGCTGCCGCCCTTCTGCCGATTAGCACAATATGCGTAGGAATGATGTTCACTGGCTTATAAGAGATCACATCACAGCTCGAGGACGATACTCACCTGCCCACTAGCCGGCGTCATTGCATGCGCCGCATCACCGACCAGAACAACACCGTCTCGACCCCAACGCGGTAAGTCAGGCAGCCAACAGACAGGATAGACGTTATCGACCTTTGCCTCGCTCAGACACAGTCCGATCAGCGGGTCAGCGAAGTCGGCATGGCGTTCGCGAAGCTCCTGATTGATGAGATCGTAGTCCAGGTTATGGCGGTCTGGCGCCGGAGAGTCGTAAATCGAGAAGTACAGGATCTTGGTGGGATCGGCTTGACTCAGACCGCTGTATCCGAAGAAGCCGTTGGGGCCTTCGTAGAACATGATCGTTGGGTCGTCGAGGTACGATTGGGGAAGGGACACCTTTCTATCAAGGACTCCGCCGACTGCGCAGTGGCCGCTATGAGCACGAGTCAGAGCAAGGCTGCAGCCAAAAAGCAACATAACGATGACGAATATACGAACAGATAGTTCGGCTGATACCTCTCGTCGTCCCCGAACAAAGCCTGTCTCGTCATACTGCGAATGCCATCCGCTCCAACAACCAGATCCGCCTCTTCAGTAGCTCCATCCTCGAAATGCAGTCGAGGCTTCTGCGCGTTTCCAACCTCCACCTTGGAAATGGTGCGATACTGCACCGCAACATCCGCCGGCAGGGCCTTCGCCAAACACTGCACCAGCACCGGCCGCGAAATGGGCAGAAGGTCAACGTGCTCCCTGCCCAACGAGTAATTCCCCGCCGTCTTCCACGTGAAGCCTTTGCACGGGAATCCCGAAGCGCGAACGGTGGCGGCGAGCTCGGGGTCAAGATCTTGCAGGACCCGCAGAGCATTGGCTTGCAGGCTTATTGCCGCGCCTTGGTTTTTCAGGCGTAAGTCTGCGTGATCATTCCATCCATACAGCCCGGTGTCGTGCGCGTTGGCGCGGTCGTAGATTTTGATCTCGACCTTTTGCTTGACATATCGTCGGAAAGCGAGGGCGGTGCCGATGCCGCTCAGCCCGGCGCCGACGACGATGACCTTCATCGAGGGGGAGAATATGGTACTCGGATCAAGGCGCCGGTCTCTGGGATGAATATGAGGGACACAGGATTGAGATGCGTGTTGATCATTTATTCATGTTCAGTGTTGCCTGTAGCCTAGGGCGTGGTAAGCCCTGACTAAAGTAAGGCAAGTTACATCACCACGCTCAATAACGTAAACGGTATGCAAGGCGCTGATCCTACCGTGTTATATACTCATGCGAACGCGAGATATGCACCCCACCCTAACAGCAAGGCCAACCACTTCGCCCCAACCGCAAGCCGCTCGCCATCATTCCGCACCATCTTCACCACCGTCTGATTCAACCACACCGGCTGCTCATTCTCAATGGCGTACAGCGTCGAGCTGGCATGCGGAAGGAGCCCCGTGTAGCACTGCTCCCACCCCACCTTTGCGACGGCGTATGAATGGGCGTAGAAAGCGTCGTATTGGGCGTCGAGTGCGTCCATCAAATTGTTGACTCCGCCCTCCGGGTGGAGCTGCTTCCAGGGCCAGCGGCAGTCCTCGGAGGCGCACGTTTTGAGGATGAGGACTAGAGCGTCGAGGCGGTGCAGCACGTTCCAGATCGGCCGGCCGAGGACGGTGGTCATTCCTTTATCGTAGGCGTTTGTTGTGTTGCCTTCGGAGGGTGCGTAGGGGTGGAGATTAGTCATTTGGTATCTGAAGGAGGTTAGTTTAGCTATGGCCTCTGCTTTGGGCATGGCCTGACAGGAGGACTCACTGGTCCCAAGACATATCTACCGATCGGATGTCAGCTCATACTTTTCGCGACAGAGCGGATGAAGAGCCAGACTCACCGTAAAGCTCATGCGCCGAATCCTGACACCAAACGCTGTACATCAGATCTTGCAGTCAACACCGTCAGCACAAATCGCGACTACACTCCAGCCAGTGGGAAGCATACTGTACCCCGCCCCCTGAATCCTCAGAGACTTGTAGGTATTCACATTCTTCCAATGGTCCTGCCCAATGAACCACCATGCGCCATATACGCCTTCCTGCTGGAACGGGCCCCAATACTCAATATGGGTGGAATCGCTCCGGGCGTCAACGTTTCGCTGGACATCTGCGGCGGTCTCGAGAGGGAAAGTGATGGCCGTGCCGTCCCATTCGTCACCTCCAACAACGAAACCAGCCCAGTCGGGTTGAGCGAGGGTCAAAATGGTCGGAGCGAGATCGATATGGCCAGTGACGAGGTCGGTGACGGACTGGTTCTTGGCAACACCGGGTCCGCGTACGATAAACGGCAAATTGATGTCTTCCTCGTAACAAGTAGTCTTGCCTCCTTGGAGTCTGTGATTCCCCATGTGGAAGCCGTTGTCCGTGGTGTAGAAAATGTACGTGTTGTCGAGCACGCCTTCCTCCTCCAGGGTCTGCACAACTGTCGCGATCATATCGTCAACGCTTTTGAGACATTGCTGTCGCCGGCGATACCAATCGTCCAGTTCCTCGATGTTTTGGTCGTCTAATTGGTCCAGGGTCCACACGGTTGCAACGCCGCTTCGGTTTGCTGGATTCCAATTGGGAGACCGCGGCACCTGTAGTCCAGGGTAGAGATCTTTATATTCGTGCTTGGGAATGGTTGGCACGTGCGGCGCGACGGGAGCCGCGACAGCGAAGAACGGTTTTCCGGAATGAGCATTTGCGTGGATGTAGTCGGCAATCTGCAATGGTCAATCGTGTGAATGGCGCCGTCAACTGCCGACCAACCCAGGAATACACTCACATCTTCAGTGATCTGGTCGGTGTTATAGCCCGTGAAATTGGCATCGACAGTCCACTTGTGGCCGTCATACGATGTCCAGGAAGAATTGTAGTACTTGTACATGCTCGGATCCAGCAGGACATGGGCGGAGCTCAGGCCCTCAAGACAATGCGGTTCGCAGTAGTTTTCCGCGCTGTAGCCGTTGAAGAGCTTGCCGGAGTAGTAAGTCGAGTAGCCTGCGGCTTGCATCCTACCACGATGATGGGAGTGTCAGTTCTCTGCTCACAGCGCCAAATAGCGAGGACCGAATGCTGCGCTAACCAGGTAAAGAGGTACTTCTTGTACCACCCCAGAGCCTGAACCTGCTGCCATGCGCCGCCAGGCAGTCCGTTCGTTACCGACGTGACATTGGTATTCTACACAGAGACAAGAAAATTAGCGCCGACATGAACTGGGCTGCATTGGAGAATGTCCCCCACGAACATGCGCATGTTTGCCCGTCCACAGCGTCGTCCGCGCCGGACAACACAAGCTAACGTGGCCATAGTGTTTGGAGAAAATGGTGCCCTGCTGCACCAGCATGCTCTGCAAATTCTCCATGAGTTCGAGGGAGTTGAGATGCAAGTCCTGGTCATCGGTGAGGATGACGACGATATTGGGCTTCGGCGGCGCCGCCGCCGCCGCTGCGTAGGAGAAGAAGAGACATAGTAACGAAAGGGCGGCCAGCAGACGACGGAAGGACTGAGGGTGCGCCATGCATGGTATAGAAGAGGTAGAAACAATGAAGAGACGGTACGGTGCGGGAGGTATCTCTGGCGGCTTGGACAGGAGGTCAGGACAGATGAAAAAATCGACACGGATGACTGATATGTAATAGTAGGCTTATGAGAACCCCCTTGAGGCGTTGGCGTGCAGGAGAGTTACCTTATACGCAGCACCTACTCACGATTGCGCGGCGTGGCGCACAAATGTCGTAAAGGAAAGAACAATTTTACGCAGGCGGACCCTTGCATCCTGGGCTAGTCGTAAGTGTAATGCAGCTCCATGCTATTCCGGGATGACAGAGAGGGTGACAGATACGGGAGAAGGGGAATAGAAGGCGTCAACAGGGAGGTTAGTGCGACAGTATAGTGGTGTGAAGCGCGGGGTGGGCGGGCGGGTGACAACCACGAGTACGCTTGGCGATCTGTGATTCGAGGCATCGTGTCTTTGGCGTGTAGGGGACTTCAGGCACCCTTTTCGGGCCCGGGCAAGTCAAGGCAGCAGCATACGCCCCGGTCTATTCCTCCTCTCCACCCCTTCCGTCGTGCTAATCATCTACTAGCCGCCCGGCACAGCGGGATGGAAATCGCGCACGTTGATCATCTGCTCCGCAACTCCGCTAGTCGTCCCGCGGCTACATGACCTGCAAGTGCAATGAATTAGTCTTCGTCCAATCACCTTCGTCCAATCACCCCACGTCAGAGACCATCTCGACTTACCTCGCTGATGCTCTGCCGCTCAATCGTGCTCTTTTGCCTCTCGTTCCTCGATACCCGCCAGTACACATCCGCTATCTCCGAACTGCCCATCGCCCGGAGGAACTCCTCGTCGTGCGTGATGATGATCAGTTGAAAGTTCGGCTGGTCGCGCCGCTTCTTCACAATCTCCTTCAGACTCTTCGCGAGCGCCTTGATGTTTGCTTCGTCGAGATTCGTCGTCGGCTCATCGAGCGCAATCATGCCGCAGCCAGAGCCGAAACACTCTGCCAGCGCGAGACGGATGATGATGGAGGCAAGCACCTTCTGCCCGGCGGAGCAACGGCCGCGCATGTCCATTTCCGTGTCCTGCTTGACCATGACGACGCGGTAGTTGTAGCTCTTGGTGCTCGTGACGTTCTCACTCTCGCTGCGAATCATGATGGTGTCGACATCCGTGCCTTGGTAGGTGCTGCGCCACAGCTCGGCGACGATGTGGTTGATTTCCTCCATTTTGATCGAGTGGTACTTCATGATGGCCTGGTCCAGAGCGGCGCTGTAGCGACCCAGATCATCCACGCACGCTTTCGTCGTCTCCACCATGATGTGCGCTTCCTTGTACTTCTTCGCAGCATCTTTGTAGTCCGTCTCCCAGTCCGCCCGGAGCTGTTTCAACTGGTCGTCCATGGTCCTGACCGATCCGCTGATGGTAGCTTGGTCGCCGGTGAGCTTGTTTCGCACCCTCTGCCACTTCTGCGCCTCGTTGTCGTGGTATCTCTTGTCCTCCTCGGCATTGTGAGACTCCAGCTCTGCAATCTCCGCACGGACTGATTGCAGCTGGCGAAGGTCTCGACGGAAGCGCTGGTTGTCGGAGATGCTGCGTCTCGTATCGGAATGGTTGCGAAGCTGATTCTCCAGATCCTTCACCGCTCGGACAGTGCGACTGACCTCCTGCTCAACTCGCGTGATTTCATCTTCGAGCGCCGAGATCTCACGCTTTCCACGCGCGAGTTGCTCTGGCCCGCCTCTCTCCACATACGACTTGACCTCTTCGTCGGCCTTCTTGAGATCGCTGAAGCTGCTGTTGAGCTTGTTCGCCGCGGCCTGCAACTCGCGGGTCTTGTCTTCACCACGGACTGCAATATCATCGTATTTCGCTTGGGCCTGCGACATTTGGGGCACGAGCGCCTGCAAATCATTGTCCATCGTCTTGACCGTCTCGCGCTGCTCGCTGTTCAACCCGCGGTACTCTTCGATCTGACCTTCGAGCGACCTCTTCTCTTTGAGCTGGTACTCGGCAGTGCTCAGCTTCTGCTCAACGTCCCTCCGTTCCAGCTCCAAGCTGTTGATCAGCTTTGTAGAGCGCTCGCGGTCACCAGTGCTCTTGGCAAGACGAGCCTTGGTGGTCCGGGCAAGATCGTTGACCTTCTTGATGTCGTCCTGGATGATCTCCAGTCCGCGGGACAGGCCGGCTGCCTTTTGCTTCGCCGTCAACTCCTTGATCTGGTTCTCGAAGTTCGCAATGTCGGTGCTGTACTTGGCGATGTTTTGGACGGTCTTGCTCAGAGCCTCAACATCTCTCTTCGATGCCTGACGGTCGCGCACAATTGCGTCTTGGTCTTCAAGTTGGCGAACAAGCTTCTCATGCTGCTCTGCGAGTTCGCCTGCCCTCTTCTCCAGATCCGGAAGCTCGGCCTTGACTTTCTTCCACGTGTCGTACTGAGTGCTGACTGCCGTAGCTTCTTTCAAGGCCTCCTCGGCTTCTTTGAGGTCGTCCTTCAGCGCATCTCCGCCCTCCAGACGCTTCTTTTGGCTCTCGACAGTCTTCACCATCTTTTCCAGCTCCTGCGCGTTCTTGAAGGGACGAGCACACGTGCGACAGCCGTTGTGGTCCTTTGCGTTCTTGATACAAGAGTCCAGATACTCCAGGACTCTCGAGAACGACTCGGCATCCGATTTGGCGATGTCGCGGCCATGTGCAATTTGTTGGAGCTGGTCGGGAAAGTCGGCAGCCTCGCATCCCACGGCATCACGAATCGCTTTCTCTGCCGTGTGCACTGCGGTGCGCTTGGTTTTGAGCTCCCCCTTGGCGGCACTGAGCTTGAACTCGATCTGTTCCATCTCGCGATTCGTCCCGTCACGCTGTCTCTCCGCCTCAGTCACGTGGCTGCCGCTTTGCGTGACTGCACGCTGGAAGTCGGACTCCACAGTTGCGGGTGTCCATGCTTGACCGACAACAGAGCTGATCTTGTCACCGTGTGCACCCTTCATGGTCTCCAAGCCTCCCTGACTAGTCTTGAGTTCTTTCTGAACGAAATCAAGGCGGGCAGAATCACCGGCTTGTTTGGTCCCTTCGACCAGTTCGGCCTCCAGCTTCTCCTTCCGATCGTCGAGCTGGTGGAGTTCGGTCTCGGCGTTCTCGATGCTGCTGTCCCACTTCGCGCTTCCCACGGCTGCCTTTGCAGTCTCCAGTTTGGCTTCGGTGTCGCGTAGATTTGATTCCAGCGTTGCTTTTGCTCCTTCGTCAATGTTGACTTTGTTGAATGCGGTTTGCAGGTCGGCGATCTTGCGGTCATTCTTGGTGATGGCCTGCCGGGCGAGCTCCTTGCGTTGGGTGAGACTGGTCTTTTGCTGGTCGATGTCATTCAACACCTTCTGCGCCCGCTGTAACTCTTCTTGAGTCTCACGCCTGGCGCGCTCGAGAGAAGCGTTCTGTTCGCGCGCCATCTTGTTGATTCGGTCCATGAACGCCTGAACCTGCGCGTCATCCACCTCCAAGTCGAAGCCGCGGATGTTGTGGCTGCGAGCGGTTTCCTTGACGAGAGACTCACGGTTCTGCACCTGGCGTTCGTAGGCCTGCTTCTGAGCTTCGTACGTGCCGCACTCCCGTTCCTTGTTGACCAAGCGGCTTCGGGCGCCCTTCATCTCCTCGGCCAGGTTGGCGTACTGCTCCTTTTGATTGGCGAGATCGTTGTCGTAGGCCGCCACCCGCTCTTCATACTGCTCCAGCATGTGTTGGAGAGCCTCGTCGGAATCGGTCATCTCGTGCAGATTCTCCCGCAACGACTCCACGCTCTCCTCCTTGGTGCGCTCTTCAATGCGCTTTCCATCGAGCCGGTAGACGATCTGACCGGCGCTGTTTGCCTTCTCGGCGAACTCCTCGGACTTCTTCGCAGCCTCTTCGATCTTGATTCCGATCGCCTCGTACTCCTCCGAAAGTCGAGTGAGCTCGTTGGAGAGCTTGACATTGCGCTGCGTGTTCTGCTCGGCCTTGCCTTTGACGACTTTGGTGTACTCTTCGTCCTTTTTGAATTTACCAAGCTCCTCGCGCTTGCCCTTCTGGAGCTTTTTGATGTCAACGACAGCCTTGGTGTATTTCTCGGCTTCGAAGATCTCATCGAATTTTCCCTTCAGCTTTCCGGCCTCCGACAGCGGCCACAAAGAGTCTTCCTGATGGCAGAAGATGACGCAGTCCAGGACGGCATTTGACACGCCAAGGTACTGCGGCATCAAGGTCTGATCAAGCGGGGAAAGTCAGTGGATGATTCGTGAGATGGGATGGAAGATAAGCCAGAACTTACCACCAAATCGGCGACGCGAGTGCTAATGACGGTCTTGTAGCCATCCTTTTTGATGCTCAGGGAGCTTTCCATGGTCTTCATGGAACGAGAGGCCTTCTTGACGGTGAGCTGCAAGCTGCGGGTGCAGACCAGCTGGTGGCCCTCGGCGGATCTGAAGGCGATCTTGACCTGGGCGAGGACTTCTTTTTCGCCGCAAAGCTTGGGATCGTGGACAAAAGCGCCGCCCTTGGTGTTGGGCGGGAGGTCGCCGGTGGTGGCATACTTGAGGCATTCGATGATGGTCGTCTTGCCAGAGCCGTTGAGGCCGACGATCAGAGTCAAGGGTGGATGGAATTGGATGGTTTCGGAGCGGATGTTGTCAAAGGAGCGCACGCCCAGGATGGAGAGTTTGTCGATCCTCGACATGGTGGATGAGTGTTGAGGAATGATCCGTGGAAGTCAAGGGGAGGATGTGGGATGGAAGGCGTGGAGATCCCCACCTGCTGCCTTGACTTCATAGGAAGAGGGAGGGGAAGGTTGCAAGGTGGGGTGTGAACATGAGAAGTAGATGGTAGCAAACCGGTGAATGTAGGGAAAGGTGAAGGATGGAGAGGTCATTAGTGGTGGTCTTGTGTCGTGTTTGCCTTCGTTTGCTTCTTCGCGGTGAATCAATTGTCGCCTCAAGTTTCGCGTAAAGTGCATACACGAAGTGGACGCCACTTCACCTGACCTGCACATCTGGTCAGAAGTCGTGGCATTGTGGATTTGGCATTGAAGATTGCAATATGCGCGCGGCAGACGATGAGATAAAGCCTTCAAAGCGCCTTACTATTCATCGCGATGATCGATTAATAGCATGATGGTGCTCTCATTGCCATCCTGCCCCAAGCATACCCAGCCCCGGCTCTTGCACACACCATCATCTCGCGACCGAAACAGTCCCACGGCTTTCTTCCTCGGCAGTCGCCCATCGGACCTTTCGCCGAGGATCTGTTTCACGGCCTTCGAAGTGCAGTGTACGAACCCTGCGCTCGTGCAACCGTCTGGGATTGGACCCATCTCCACTGCTAGGCGCGATTCGCCCTCTCCAATCGACCTCCGTGCCCCCCAAGGCTGGCGCGCCTTGCCGCGGTCCCACCATGGCGGCGTGGCAGAATGTTCCTGGCCTCTCTGGCAACCTCCAGGACTACGCTGGCTTGGCCGGCAACCGCATGTCCAACGACATGGGTGGCCTGCTCACTGACGCCTCGGGCATGATGAATGGGTTGGACATGGATATCAACTTGGCAATGGACATGGATCTCGACTACGGCCAAGATGCACAGACCGTCAACGCCATGGAGCAGCAGCAACAACAACAGCAGTCCATCGGGATGGATCTCACGGCCAGCAACGGATCGTACACCCCTCAGACTCCCCAACAGCAACAGCAGCAGCAAGATGCGCCAATGACGGGCGCCGGGGCAGGACCACTGCCTACAGGTTTTGGCATGTCCGTTCCCCAGAGCACCAGTACACTGACCGAATTCACCAAGCGGCGGAACTGGTCGCAACGCATAATCGAAGAGCTGAAAGACTTCCTCCACATCCTCACCCCCGATGGGCGAATACTCTACGTCTCACCCTCTTGCAAGTCCATTACTGGCTACGAGTCGCACACCCTCGTCGGCCGATTCATCGCCGAATTCGTCCACCCCGACGACAGTGGCATCTTCATGCGCGAGTTCAACGAGAGCATCGCGAGTGGCAACAGCCTGCGCTTCTTCTATCGCTTCAAGAAAGATGACGGGACATATGTGATTTTCGAGTGTGATGGACACCCCCACCTCTCCGCCGATCAAGGGAACAACGGAGGCATGAGCGGTAGCCCCAACTCAAACATGCAGCAAACCTCCTCTGCCGGCTCTTGCAAAGGCTTCTTCATGATGGCCCGTCCCTACCCGACCAAGAACGCCGCCCTACTCGACTCCTTCCTCGAACACAAGATTGAGAATGAGCGCTTGATGCGACGGATAGACGAACTCAAGCGGGAAGAGGCGCAAGAGAATGCCGAGCAAGATCGATTATACCGTGAACACGCGGTCACGTCCAAGAGCGGCGCGACTCCCTCCGAGTCGAACTCTCGAGCACCCGCAGATACGAATTCCGAGCCACCTCTGGATTATCAGGGCATGCCGCCGCCTGCAAAACCCCCAGTGTCCAACACCGCCCTTACGAGGCAGAACCTGGACAGCGCGCTGTCGTCACAAAAACCGGATAGTATCGCAGACAAAATGTCGCGCTACGAGGCCAACAGCACGCATCTCGAAAGCATCGAGTTGCTCACCGGCCTGCGCTATCGCGACGGCGAGCGCAGCCACGGCATCAGCACTGGCGACACCTCGCCCGCGCTCATCCGCGGCGATGCGGGGATTGCGATTCTCGTCGACCGCGACCGGGACGGACTGAAGAAAGACAAGAAGAAGCTGAAGGTGGCGGATGAATACGTGTGCGCCGACTGTGGCACCCTCGATTCACCCGAATGGCGTAAAGGACCACGCGGGCCGAAGACGTTGTGCAATGCGTGCGGTCTACGGTGGGCGAAGAAGGAGAAGAAGGAGAAAAGAGGCGGCGGGGACGATAGCAGTCCGGTGCACCCGTCTAGCGGCGCAGGCATGGGTGGCATGGGCATGGGGGGTGTCCCACAGCCTGGCTTGCACATGCACAGCTCCGCTGGCAGTAGTGGGTGAGGCAGGACTGGCGGCTTGGAAGCATTTCAGCGCGACGTTTGTGCATTTGCCTGTACAGTGGTGTGATACCGAACACACGCATCTGTACAGTTGTCATATGGGCCCCGGCCGATCTCTGGATGATGCCATTCAGTCAGAGGAGGTCTGACGGATGATTGGCGCCTCTTGCACAGAAGGGGAATTGGCGGTTTCGCGCGCGTGCAACGGCGCGGAGCCTACGTTTGGCTCGAGGCTCGACCACTGATCAGACGGTAGGCGGGAGGCGTGTGTGTGTGTAGTATTGAGTAGACAAGTTAACACGATACATACAGTGAATCGAGGCAACTGGTGATCCGTCCCAACCCGAGGACATCTCGAATAGGTGTTCTGAGGCTATAGGTGAAACACAACCTGGCGGAAATCCTCGAACGTGATTGTGTGAGATGATTACGAATGGAGCCGCCGCGTCACGTCACTGGCCGTAGCGTATCGGCGGGTCCAATGGCCCCTGTCAACAATCTGATCGGCGCCCCCTGTCAACCTGCATGTGGAGGACATCACACCAGTCGGGCTTTTCATTCTCTCGTACCTGCGTTTTCCTATTCCTTCTTTTTACGAAAAAAATCATCAATGGCAGCCTCGTCGACCCGGAAGTCCCCTACGACGGCCAAGCGTCGCGGCCAAGCGTCGCAGCCTTGCAGATGAGCCGATCTGAAAGCTATTAGACGACATCTTGGCATGGAGCGCCTAACCCAAGCGCGCAGCCTTATGGGTTGCAAGCGATTCTTCTTGATAGCAGGCTGCTTGCTCATCGTGGCCACCGCCCTCTTCGCCGCCCAGCCCGCGTGGCGAAGTCGACTGCACTCGCCGCCTCTTCTGTCGGCCTGGTCGCGGCAGCAACCCGCTCGCCAACCTCCACCGCCCGAACAGCCTCCATCTCCGCAAGAGGCTGCGCCAGTGCAACGACCCCCACCTCCACAACAACCTCCACGACCCGGCTCCCCAAGTTGTAGGGGAGCCAGAGGCCAACTCATTAATGATGAGACAACCCAGGACCTACCCACCTTCCGCACCGCCCTGCCCGTCCCCGGCATCTCTATCAACGACCCCGCCGATTACGTCTATCCAGAGCCCACTTACGGCTCCTACCGTGCGCTGGGATTGGAAAAGACGTGGATGACCTTTCGTCAGCGGTATGAAGCGTACGGCTACGGTGAGACCGAGGGTGCCTATCCTCTCGCTCACGTATCCTGGGAGACGGTGGATTGGGGCCAGCTACAACAAGACTGTCTTCTCTCCCAACCGGAGAATCTGACAGAAGAGGTCCCGGCACAGGCTAATTGGCCTCCACGGTTTCGGCTCGCTAAGAATCCCGAGTCTCCCGAACGCGCCGAGCAGCCTACGCGCCCCAAGCGTCCTCATGCCCACCACCCAAATCATCCGCACCCCCCTAGACCACCAGAATCGCCCGAGACCCCCGAGCCTCCGGGTGAAAAGGGTTTGAGGCAATTAGTCGCACTTCCCGAGGAGGGGTCACCGAAGCCCGGCAACGGAAAGAGGAAGATTGGAAGGCAGGCAATCATTCTGCGAACGTGGTCGACATACAGATACACGCAGGAAGACTTGTGGAACGTGCGGTCCATCATTACCGAAGCGAGTCTTGCGAACCAAGGCCGCTATACCGTTTTCTTGCTCGTGGACGTGAAGCGGGAGGATGGGGCGAGGATTCACACCGACGATGCATTCTACCGCCAAGTGCTGGAGGAGTCTGTACCGAAGGAATTCTGGGGACTCGCCGTCCTGTTCCACGAGAGTCTGCAGCGGAGCTGGTATCCGAAGATTCGAGAGTATCAGTGAGTAACTACCATGTTCATCGAAGAAGACATCATGCTAAGTCGTGGACGTGCTCTAGTCCTTACTGGCAAATCATGCAGCCCTTCCAACTCTTCTCCCGCTTCTACCCCGAGTTCGACCACCTGTGGCAGATCGAGATGGACACTCGCTTCCTCGGCCACACGGGCAAGATGCTCAACGCCTACCAGGCGTTTGGCAAGAAAGAACCATACAAGCAAGCCCGAGAGCGCGCCTCTTGGACCTTCATGCCTCGCGTACACGGCAACTACAGGAAATTCTCAAACGGCATCAACAGAGCGCTGCAGAGCAATGCCACAACGTGGGGACCCCCCGACACCAGAATCCCCGGTTTCAAACCCCTCGGACCCACGCCGCCCGTCGCCGACGCCACTCTCGACCACTTCGAATGGCTGAAAGGCGAGGAAGCGGACCTCCTCCTGCTCGCCCCAGCCTTCGATCCCGCCCGCGTACAAACACAACCCGACTGGCTCTTCAAAAACTGGATCATGGGCTTCGACCGCAGCCTCCCCCGCCTCGCCTCCTTCCCGGCCCAAGCACGCGCTTCGCGCGAACTCCTCGCAGCCGCGCACATCGGGCAGCGCGACCTGGGCCTCCGACTAGCCGGCGAAGCTACCCTGCCCTCCTTCGCGCTCTGGCACGGCTTCAAAATCGTGCAGCCGCCCATACCCAAATTCACCTTCCCGGAGCGCGACCTGCACGAGCTCAACGAGATCTACAACGGCGGGATGCCGAATGCTTTCCACGATGGGATCGCCAGGGGCAAGGACCCGTATCGCGCCAACGCGCTGCGGTGGTATTCGCGCCCGCGGACGTGGGAATGGGGCAGCTCGCTCGTCGAGCCGGTGTGGATGCACTGGCGGAACTGGGGGCCGAAGAAGAAGCGCGCTTGGGCGGATGTGTTTGGCCCGGTGCCGAATGAGCTGCCGGCGTTTTTGCGCAGGATTGATGGCGAGGTGTATGCGCCGAATTTAATGCTGCATCCGCACAAGACGAACGGGAAGCCTGTGGGAGGGGGTTGATGGTATGGAGTTCAGCACATATAGAGCGCGGTCGCCGGCGACATATGCTCTCGGGACTGCTCACGATACATTTAGACCAACTTCGACATGCTAATTATACTGTCCCTTCTTCGCCACCAAACTCCAAACCAAACCTCCACACTCCAACCCCGGCCCAAACCTACGCCTCAAACCCAACCGCCCTCTTCCCCCTTCCCCCCATCCCACACAACTCGCTCTCCACCATCTGCAGATCCGCCATCACCCACCCCAACTGGGTGGCACGATCGCTCGTCAACCGATCCATCGCGCGCTCCGACAAATCGACGCCATCGGGCTTGCTGTCGATGCCGAGAAAGTGGATTTTGCGGCCCTCGAATTCGAGCGAGTAGCATTGGCCGCAGACGGCCGAGTTCCAGCCGCTGATGGTTGAGATGCTGGCTACTTCGGAGGGGATGTCGGCGAGGGTGTTGAAACCGTATCTGCGTGGGGAGCAGGAGATTGTTAGCTGGGGGAGGGAGAAGGGGGGAAAGGGAGGGGACGGACCGCGACATTAGGCCGTGTTCGCCGTCTGAGCAGGCGACTTTTGTGAGGGAGTTTGAAGGGTTGTCGTAGGTGTTGTCGTAGCTGAGAGTGTTCAGTGTTGTGGGGGTTGATGTTGGGGATGGGGAGACGAAGTTACCGGACGGCGACTTGTGCGGCGCTCACAAGTGCAACGGTGTGTGCGAGGAGAGTTGCTGTGATGATCTTCATGGCGATAGTAGATGTTCTTGCGCAAGTGACACCGAATAGATGTTGGAGGGAAATAATACGAGAAGACGATGTTGGAGAAAGCGGAACAGTAAGAATGAGGGAATGAGTTCGACGAAAAGAAACCACTTGTCTTGTCGGTTTTCTACCGTGTGTCCTTTCTCAATCTTTTTTCGAATCGGTTCTCGTGACAACTCATACTGTCCAGCGATGGTAAGCGTGGACACGGCAGTGGATGTGTTAGTAAGTGGAACCAAATAGAGAAATGTGGTAGTCAAGTGGGACGAGAATCCAGCTTCCAGCGTCTCATGGATGGCTTTCTCCACCTACCTGATAGGCAGATTCTACGCTGGATAGATTAAATGCCAGGCCCGTACCTTAGGTAGGTAGATGGGTGAGGGAAAGAAAGGCAACGCTCGCTAGATCATGTGGTCGTTGGATGACATAGAGCTGAGGAACGCTGAGTAAGCGCCTGTCCAAGACATCATATTGCAACAACAGGCCTTCAGCTCCACGCTTAGGAGTACTAGGTCAAACCGGCCCTTCTCGCATATGCATCCTAAACGATTTTCAGATATTCAGAACGGCTGTGAAAGGTAGACTTTCCACTGGCAGAAGATATCATCACTCCATTACGGCCGACACTCCACGGACAGCTTGATACCTGGATCGGCCCAAGTCTTCAGCGAGACCACCATCCATCTAGCCAACATCGCCTCCAGAGCTGGCCGTGTACACCTCAACCGCTTGACCCCTCCGCTGGACCCGCCGACAAAATGGTCGGCTCATCCTGCAACGTCTACGTCTCCATCACCGGTCCCAAGCCCAGCGAGCACGACAGCTCACACCGACCAGGCTACCACAGACCGCAGCATACCTGGCTAATCTCCATCGAGCCGCACCACAGCCACCTAATGCCCGGCATCGGGCACAAAGACAAAGACCGCGAGCCCATCCACTACGCCGCAACGTGGGATGCCGAGGCGGAGACGTACGCCATCGCCACGCACTCGCTCGTCCGCGACCCGGGCATTATCGGCAACATTCTCATCGTGGAGGAGGCGCATGTTTCTACGGAGCGACTGCACGGTATGCTGAAGGAGGATGTGAGTCCGCTTTCTCCGCCTTCTAAGCGCAGGGATCATGCGTCGTCGGAGGACGAGCCGGAGCATTGGCTCCGCGGCGCGATTCACGGGTTGCAGCATCGGAACGTGGCGCAGAAGTTTGATGTGGATGAGTTTTTCTTGTTTGCGCACGGGTATGTGGCGAATAGGCTGGAGAACGAAGCGCCGGCTTTGATTGCGTATCCGAAAATCCACAAGGAGGCCGACAAGAAGTCGAGCAAGAGTCGCTTCTGGGTTTCCACGCCGACGCAGCATCGCACGCGCAAGGACAGTAGCGGGCAGGCGAAGATATATGGGGGCTTGATGTGATTCTGATGTAGCGGTAGCTTTTCTTGCTCAGGTCATGATTCATGATGTATGTAAGCTCTAGTACATGATTGACCCTGGACAAATGCAGTATTCAGTACATCTGCACCTCCACCAGCGCCCTCCGAACTCCCCCATCCATCCCAGGCACGCCGTGATTCTCGATTTCATAAGCCACCGCGCCTCGCTCTCGACAGGCTTCTTTCAGCCCGTCGATACTTCCGCCGACGCCGAAGTAAACTCGCTTGGCGCCAATCATGGCTTTGCCCATTTTCACGCGCTGCAGCAGTTGCACCAGCAACTCGACAAAGGCTCGCGTGGATTCGGGGCTGTAGATGGTTTCGGCGGCTAGCACGACCATGCCTAGCTCGGGCGCTGAGGGGGGAATCAGCGCGGCTAGCTGGGGACACCAGGAGCCAGAGAGGAAGATGAGGTTGATGCTTCTGCTCTTCATGTCGGCTGCGAAGCGCTGTAGCAGAGATTCGGAGATTTCGAGGTCGCCGTGTGAGGATTCATCGAGACTCGGGGTGGGAAAATTACCGTTTTCCGTGTTCGCTGCCCAGGTCAGGAGTAGATTCGGGAGTGTCACGAGTCGGAGAACAGCGTCGTTGTAGTCTTGTAACACAAAAGTGAGGGAGAGTGCGTTGAGTAGTGCATGTCGGAATAGTACCAAGCTAGGAATCGCGGTGCCAGCACCGAGCTGAAGAGTGATTAGGACGATGCCCGGTGCTTCATGATCGAGCAACAGGAGACATACCTCGACAATCTGATCGCACCGGACAAGCTCATCGATGTCCTTCCGCGGACCTCGATCAAGAAGCAGACTTGCGAGATCGAGCGAGCATTCCCACGTCTTGAAGCCGCCTTCGTAGAAGCCGGAGCGGAGGTCAGACTGCTCCAGTTGGTCTATGATCTGGTCGTTCTCCGCGCTTTCTTCGCCGAGGAGCTGCACGCGGACATCGTACAGCTCGCGTCGGGGCAAATGGATCGTGCGGCCAGTTGGAGATTCTATCTTGACGGTACTGTAACTGATGCGCTCAGGGAGTGTGGTGAGCTGCGAGGCATGTCAATACCCTGCCGAGACCAGCAAGTATGAAGCGAATGATGGGCGATTGCATACCTACCAGTTGTTGCAGTGAAAGCTCCTGCGGCAATTGAGTCTGTCCGCCTTGGACCGCGGCAGCAGAGGTCGCGGGCAGATTATTGTGCCGTTGCTCGGCATCGTCGTCGTCATCTGCGGCGAAGCCAAAGGAGAAGGCCATGGTGGCTTGTTGTATGCTGCAAGTAGGCGGCGTTAAGGATTTAAAGCGACGGAATTCACTTTGGTGGGGCTTGGGCGACATGACGCTAGCCCGGACTTAGCAGCTACGCCTACGGCCTGCCTTGGGGCTTCCACCCTTCCGAAGAGACCATTGCAGTATATAAAAGGACGATCCACTGCTCGTCTACTCTCCATTCCTTTCCATATCACACACCCCTTCTCAACTTGACAACGTCCCAGCAAGAAGCTCTCTCTCAACCCAGCATGGCCTACCCAAGTGACCCATTCAAACCATACGATGCCAATCATCAAACCCTTAAAGGACCCGGAGATGCACGACCAACGACGCTACAAGTGCTCAAAGACAACAATGCTTTTGGCAAGTTGAAGGGCAAGACCATCCTCATTACTGGCTGTTCAGCAGGTCTGGGCGTCGAGACTGCCCGAGGGCTGTACGAGACTGGCGCTACTCTCTTCCTCACGGCGCGCGACATGAAGAAACTGGACGGCGTGATCGACGACATTGTGCAGAATGCGCAGCACAACAAAGACGGACCCAGACCGCAAGCCGTCGAGATGCACCTCGACAGTCTCGAGTCGGTGCGCAAGGGTGTCGAGGCCTTCAAGCAGCAGTCCGGCAATAAGCTCAACATTCTGATTGAGAATGCGGGCGTTATGGCTTGTCCTTTCACCCCTACCAAGGATGGCTACGAACAGCAGCTTGGCGTCAATCATTTCGCCCACTTTCTGTTGTTCCAGCTGCTGCGTCCGACGTTGATCACGTCGGCGAAAGAGTCCGGCTCTGCGAGTCGTGTGATCGTCCTCAGCAGTGCGGCGCATCGCCGGGGCGGCCTGCTATTCAGCGACGAGGAAGGACTAAACGCATGGAACAAGGGCGACAACTACGATAAGTGGAAAGCGTACGCGCAAGCAAAGACAGCGAACGTGTACATGGCCAACGAACTCGATCGACGCTACGGCTCGCAGAACGTGGTGGGCGTGTCCGTCCACCCGGGAGGCATCTTGACTGATTTGCCGCGCCATCTCTCCCAGGAGGATCTGGCCGCGCTGGGCGTCGGGGACAGCATGGCGCACATCTTCAAGAATCCCAGCCAAGGCGCCGCCACGACTGTCTGGGCGGCGGTGAGTCCGCATTTCGAGGGCAAGAATGGTGGACGGTATCTGGAAGATGTCGGTGAGTCGAGTCCGGCGCAGGAAGGGACGGTGATGGGAGATCCGGGGTATGAACCTCATGCGTATGACAAGAAGAGCGAGGAGATGTTGTGGAAGATCAGCTGCAAGGTGGTGGGCGTGCAGGATGACTGAGGCTGAGGCTGACCGCATGGTGCCGCTCCAACGGTTTTGCATGATTCTTCGTTCCACGTGACTGTTTGTACTTAGCAGCCGGCGTTGAGCTGGCTAACAAAACCCTCTCTGCTTCACTTCATCGGTTACTCTTCATGGCCGATCAGTATGAGAGTGCATCGATTATATACAGATCTAGTATCTGTCCACGTGAATGTGGACGCCAAGTCGACGCGCGATGATGTCAGGGTGGTGGACTTGGTCGACAGCCACATGCACACAAACACACCACACGCGAGCATTCTAGCCTTGCTTTGATCATCCTTAGTCAATACCAGACTCTCCGTTCGCACCCTCCCAATTGGATCCATTGCGCATTCTCGTCTCTGCTCGCATTCGTACATTGAACAACATACCACCGACTTGGCTACGTCAACATACACACCAACGTCCCGCCACCGCAGCGGTGACCCTTTCTAGCTCGGCATTCCTCAACACAAACACGACATGGCGCGTGCCAGACGGACGAGACCGGAATTGACAGAGTCATGGGATGCAGTTGAAGCCGATTCAGACCTCCATACCTCCGAAGACGAGGCCGCAGCGCTTCAAGAAGAGCAAGAGGAAGAAGCCAGAATTCTCAAGAGAACGCGCGGGGCCAGATCAAACAAGGGCGCGCGCGACTACAGTCCTCGGCAGCGCGCCACGCACTCCGCCCTCGAACCGCCCGAGCTCGTCATGCCGAGTTCGCCGAATGCGATCAACGGCAACAAAGAAAGATCGCACACGCCGCGCTTCCGCATGAACCAGAGGAGTCTGACGAGTGATGCCGGCCATTTGGATGCCGCCGGGAGGAGTAGCAGGACGACGACGCCACGCATGAGGATGAACGATCGTAGTATGACGAGTGATGCGGGCAAGTTTGCGCGCAAACGGTCCACGGCACAGAATATGATTCTCGAAGATGAAGGGGAAGATGATGATGACAACGCCGATGCCCTGTCCACATATGCGCGACTGATGTGGCGGCGCATCCTTCGGCCCATCTTGGGCTACTGCGTGGACATTGTGGGCCGTGTGCTGAACATTGGACGACCGCTGCTGGCGTACGCCCTGTTTGCCTATCTGCTGTTCGCCATTGTCGTCTTCGGCTCGGGCTTCCTCACTCACACCATCAATAACGCCCTCTCGCCCATCTGTCGTATTCCAGGCGTCACCCGCTTCTTCAACCCGTCTTTCTGTCCTCGCTTTACCGCCCCCGAAATCTCTGGACCCGCGGAATTCGATAAGCTCATTCAGGCGCAATCCGCTTTCAACGATGTGCTCGCCTCCTCATCCACCGGCGTGAACCTCCCCCTAGACATGAAGAGAAGCGAGGCCGGCATTCGCGACCTCAAGCACGTGGTGGAGTACTCCTCCCTGCCCTCGAAGAACGAGCTCGTCTACGAATTCGTCGGCTTCATCGACACCGCGCGGCAAGCCTCCCAAGACCTCAGCAAATTCAACTCGCGCATCGGGCACGCCGTCGACCGCATCCTCAGCACCAACCGCTGGACGCTAAGCGTCATCGACGGCATCTCCGACTCGGAAGCCACGCGCGGCAGCATCGCCACCTTCCTCTCCACCCACCTCAACATCTTCGCCCCCTTCCAGCCCGTGCCCCTCTCCCGCGACATTCTCCTCGACCAGTACCTCAAGCACACCTCCGCCGTCGAAGAGCAAATCCTCTCCCTCATCACCGAAGCCCAAGCGCTCCTCAGCATCCTCGAGAACCTCGACGGCCGGCTAGACATCATAGCCGGCGTCGCGACCCGCGACGGCCTCGCCGCCGAGGGCAACCGCGAAGAGCTCTTCGCCTACCTCTGGACCAAGCTAGGCGGCAACCGGTCCGCGGTGAAGAAACTCGACCACCAAATCGACCTGCTGCGCAACGTGGGCCAGTACCGCCGCATCGCATGGGCCCACGTGACCAACACGATCGTCAAGCTGCAGGCGATTCGTGACAATTTGGAGGATCTAAGGGAGCGCGTCGCCATGCCCGAGACGCTGGGCACGGATCGCGTGCCGTTGGAGATCCATATTGAGGCGATCAATTTGGGGATCCAGAGGTTGGAGGAGCAGCGCGAGTCGAGTCGGAAGGTGGAGGCGGAGGCTTATCAAAGGGTGTTGTCGAGGGCGGAGGCAGGGGATGCGAAGATGATTGAGGGGAGGGAGCTGTGATTGAACGACTTTTTGGCAGTGGAATGGGAAAATATGCTCGGCGCTGCGTGCGCCTTATAAAAGCGATGCCCGACTGCGATTCGGCAAGGGTCATAGTCCTGATGAGATACGAGCTATGAAATGGACGAATGCTTGATGAGACATGAAAGCCGTCGATCTGTATCTGCGACGCGACTCTATGCGACAAAATGCCATGCCACCTGCCTTCAGTCGGAGGTCTTGATGTACTTGCTCCAGCGTCGTATCCGCGCTCCGTACTTGTAGAACCTGTCATCACACAAACCCCGTCAGTAAAAGGCTCTCTTCTCGAAATAGGGACTGCAACGGCAGAACTCACAGCACCGGCACCGGAATCATAATCAGTGCAATAAACCCCAGCACGCTCGTAGCCCACTGCACGCCCAACCCACGAAACATATAATCCGCAAACAAAGGGAACCCGGCACCGAAAAGCGACCGCGTAAACGTCGTCGCCGCAATCGCCGAATTGGCGTAGATGGTATACACATCAATCGTGTAATTAAACCCCTGCAGCGTAACGATAATAACGGAAAAGCCGATCGGGATGCCAGAGAGAATCTGCGGCCAGGGCGAGATGGAAGGGAAGCTCGTCCATGCGAACCAGAAGAGGCCGATGGGCAGGACGACGGAGGCGAGGATCATGGTTAGCAGGCGCGTTTCGATTGGGCGGCCGGCTTCGGGGTCGGGCGCGAGGCGGGTGCGCGTTGTTGTGGCGAGGAGGATGCAGCCTATTAGGACGCCGACGAGGACGGCGAGGAAGGGGAGGCTGCCTTTGCCGGAGCTGTAGTGGCGGTCGTCGATGAAGGAGATGGGGTAGGCTTCGAAGAGGAGGTAGATGAGGCCTGGGGAGGGTGTTAGCTAGCAGGACTTCCTGTGGGAGTAGAAGGAAGATTGGCGTACCGTAAACGAAGGATTGATAGAGGGTGACGAAGAGGAGGATGGGTTCGAGGAATAACATCTTTGATGGGCGGAGGAGATATCGGTTCGCGATGTCTTTGAGGTTGACTTGCGTTTCTTCGTGCTTGGAGTGTAGAGCCCAGTTGCCGGTTTCGTGTCGGAGGCGTTTCGCTCGTTGGGTGAGGATGATGGGGGCACAGGTCTGTCGGTCAATAGTCAGTCGACGTTTCATTCATGCAAGAGCCTAGAAGAGAGGATGCACACCTCAGGAACGAAGATCCATGCGATGACGAGGAAGACACAGCCCATTATCAACGTGATCTGGTCAGGTGTTAGCAGATAAGATGTACATCATAAGGCTTGAGTTAAGCTCACCCATTGAGTCCACCTCCAACCGATGGTGGAAGCCACGTAAGCGCCAACCTGATGATGTCGTGAGCCAACAAGCCGTGAAAGCAGGAAGATAGTTTGAAGCATACAATCGGTCCACAAATCGGTCCCGCATACAGCGTTCCCGCAAAGCTCGGCATGGCGAACCCACGCTCTCGCGGATCCCAGATATCTGCCAGGATCTGATGTCGCAGTGTCAGCACTGATTTGACAAACGCGGTCTCCTTCTAGGCCAACTCACACCACCAGTCACCCCCGTCGGCGACGAGCCAAAGAGGCCCTGGAAGAATCTCCCCACGAAAACCGTCTGTAAATTCGACGCCACCGCTACGGGGATCTGGAAGATTGTGAACCCCAGAACGCCAGCGAATAGAGGGAGTTTGCGGCCGTAAAGTTCGCTCAAAGGTCTGCGGAGTCAACAACAGTCAGTATACGACGAGTCGACAATCAATGGAAGCCAGCACATGCCCAAAAATCGACGGCCCAATGCCGAAACCGACAATGTACAACGACGTGCCCAAGATGGTGATCTCTTCGTCGACGCCGAATCGCTTGGCCACCTGCTCGTTGGCGCCGCTGAAGACGGAGGAGGAGAAGGTAACGGCGAGGGTTAACATTGCTGCGGAGAGCGTGATTGTGAATTTCTGCCGACGCGTCCTAAACCACATGGTTAGCTCGCAGAACCATCGATTGCATTCAGCACGTAATAGTCGACGGAGACGAACATGTTCTGGGGAAAGTCGGGATCATCAGGCCCGTCCCAATCCACAATAACAGATTGCGGATTCGCATGGCTACTCGGCGCCTTCTCCGTCCGTTCGGGCGCTTCCAAGGTATTGACAGTATTCGGATGCGCGGTCTTCTGTGCGTCGAGCGACGCGCGCGTCGAGGTGGGCGACATCTTCGACGAATCGCTGGTGACGTCGGCTACGTCCTCGTCCTTTGCGTCCAGCCCTTTCTCCAAATCGCCCATGTTGCCGCCGGAGGTCTCGCCGTTCTTCATCGGGGAGAGTGTGGGAGTGAAGAGCAGACGAGGCCCATGACGAAGAGAGGGTCATTGCATTCAATGCTCCACGAAACCAACCCCGAGAGGGTAAGGGATGGTGTCGATTGACGTTGTTGGTACCCGCGGGTAACGCGGCATCTGCTTTCCCGAGCGATGGAGCTATTGCGGAGTTAACGCCAACCTGCTGCATATGGCGGTGAACATCATTCATCTAATAACGAGAAGAACAAACTGTCAGCTTTTGCGTTTCGATCGCCATGTATCTGCAACGCTGTGGGTGCTTATTGGCGTCTTCCGATGAGGCGAAGATAAGGTGCGCTCGTGCGCCAAGGTTTGTGCCTGACATGAGGGAACACGGCATCATGTCGAGGCTATCCCAAATGGCATGTTCTATGCAATGTTCCTGCGTCTGCTCCAATGCAGGGCGGATTCAAATTGATTAATTCAAAGTGGTTAAGTGACTATCTCTGAACGCTGTCTTGATCCCAGACTCCGATTTGGCGACTTTGCGCCCTCATGCACTCCCATGCACCCCACGATGCATCAATATCAATTTCGAGAGAGCCACTTGAGTGGGACGGACGGGATGAGAATGTTGTGCGAAACCCTGTGCGCCTGATGACGCCTTGCTGTCGTGTCTCCAGTGTTTACCTCTCCCCGTCTTCGCCGCCGTCAAGCTCGTCGGAAGTATGCCTGGCATCGAGTTAGCATTCGTCTCATCCATAACCCATCCGCAACTCACCCCAGCAAATTCTTGACATCCTTCATCTCGTAATGTCTCTTCCTCATCTGCTCAAATCGCTTGTGCTTCTCCCTCTCCTCCCGACTCATGTCCTCCTCCCTCCTCTCCCCATGATTACTCCCACTGTCGACATCCATCCCGGCATCCACCACCACCTTATTCTCCCCATCACTCTCCCTGCGAATGCTTGGGTCCATCTCCGGCTCTCCAAGGTCCAGACCAGGGATATCGCCATCTCGCTGCGCACGACGGGGAGGCTGCTTCGTCTTGTCCATCTCCAGCTCGTCCACCGCCAGCTCCTGGGCATTGAGAGCAGACATCTCCGCTTCGTCCTCTTGTGGGTCATATTGCTTGGCGTAGGGCGTCTTGGGCTCGTCGATCTTCATGCGTCCGCCCATCTGGCCCTCATTGAGGTAGAGGTTCGCTTCATCCCACTTCAGTCTCTGCCCTTGCTCGTCTTGCGTGCCATCTGCCGAACCCCCTTGAGAGGATTGTCGGCGGCTGAGACTCGCGCGTTGATTCGAGCTGTTTCGTCGGGCGCCGCCAGCGTTGATTTCGGTGTTCATCTGCACAAGCTCTTTGTCGGTAAGCTCGCGCTGAAGCGGCGCACCGTTCGTGGCTGCATCGTGAGCGGGCTCGGCGGGCTGAGGAGGCCGCTCTGATAGGGGAGAGGTGCGCGTGTCAGGTGGAGAGTTGGCGTTCTTGAGAATTCCTGTTACACCCTGCGTCAGCTACTGTGCGGGTGTGGCAGGACGTTTTGTGTGCATCTGGTAGAGACTTGGCGTACCTCTGGGCCTCTTAGGCGCTTCGGGGGGTGAGTGTCGGGCTGCTTCTGTCTGTGCCATTGTGTCGATTTGCGGTGTTGATAGCGTTGCTCAAAGACGATGTATGAAGATGGTGTAGTGCTGACGATGTGGAAGTAAATGACGATGATGCTCGTATGTTTGGCTGAGGTGCCTTTCACATGCAAACGAAGCGACCCAGCCACCCGATGCAGGGTCGACGTGACACAACTTTACACGAGGCTAAGAAGGCGCAGGAACACGTCTGCCTTGTTGTACTTCAGCCGTGGTAAAGTCGGTATCGGCCTGTCCGTGGAAGTCACTGCTTCGATGTTGTGCGTCTGGTGGAGAACACTTTTGTTTTGTCGTGTGCGAGCTTTCCTGATCTTCGTCTCCCTCGCCCACCCTCTCGGAGGTAAAACGTCATACGCTAGGCCGTTTTAGGACAAGATGCAGCCACAGCCGGCGGAGAGCGGCTGCAGCCGTTGCATACCACGTGCACACAGGCATGTAGATGACTTCAGCCATTTGCCAAGGGTGCCACAGATTTTGGCCATAATCAGCTTTAAGTCATGCATGTTTATCGTGTGTAGTCATGGTCCGTATATAATGCTCAGCGAGTTTCGATGCCGACATCAGCCAGTGAACATCATGTCGGAGAGAACTTCGACTTGGCCCGAATCCTCCCGCCGTACTTGTAGAACAAAATGGGCACAGGAAGGAACAGCGTGCATATACATGCCAGCAGAGTCGTCGCCCATTGCACTCCAAGTCCTCGGTACATGTATGGTGCAAACACTGTATCCATTAGTGTCAAGCAGGGATGAGGAGGACGGGGCAAAACGTACGAGGGAAGACGGCAGCAGCGATACTTCGGATAAAAGTATTGATCGCGATGGCCGAGTTGGCGTAGAAGCCAAAGCAGTCGATGATGTAGTTCGTGCCTTGCCAGAAGGTGACGAGGAGACCGGCTCCAATCAGCGCTACCGACATCACTTGAGGTACCCAGGTGATACTCGGGAAGGATGTCCACGCGAACCACTAAAGCTTTGTCGTCAGCGTGCATATCATTTAAAGATAGTCATGCCCGAGAGGGGAAATGTACGTACAAAGAACCCGATAGGTAATAGAATTGCCCCAACAATCATAGCTGGTAGGCGTTGCTCGGGTATTGCTTTGCCGTATTTGAGATACGCCGGTTTGAAGTGGACGGACGTGGACCACCACATGATGCCTGTTCCCATTGCGATCCCAACAATGAATGGGATGTACGAAAGGCCGGTAATGCCGAGACTCCAGCCTCTGTCCTCGTGGAAGGAAATCGGGAAGGCTTCGAACAGGAGGTAGAGCACGCCGTAGATGTAGCTCATGTAAGCCGTGATCAACGCCAGGATCTTGTCTTGTGCAATCATGATCCATGGACGAGCCTGACGGACTACCGGTTAGCATGTGCTTGCATGTGCTTTGTCTCACTGTCGGCTTACCAAATATACATGGACAATGGTATGGATATTGACCGGGCTCTCATCAGCCTTGGAGTGTAATGCCCAATTCCGAGTCTCGTATCGAAGCCGTCTCGCGCGGAGCTGAAGGATCTTCATTGGAGATGTCTCGGGGATGACAAAAAGTCCGATTACACCGAACAATCCGCTGAGCATCATCGTAATCCACGCAGTCCAGCGCCAGCCTAGGAAGCTCTCAGTAACAAACCCACCCACAAGAGGCCCTGCCACCGGCCCGCAGAATGCACCAGCGGCGAATACACAGATTGCGTAAGTGCGTTCGACCGGCAGCCAAAGATCCGCCATGCAGCCACCGACAATAGCCACCGGAGCACTCGCTGCAATTCCCCCGATCAGCCTGCCGATGAGAATGGTCTCGATATTCGTCGCCAATGCCACCGGTAGATTGAATAGCATGAAGATAATGTAGCCCGCGAATAGAGGCGTCCGTCGACCCCAAACTTCTGAGGCCGGACCGAAGCCAATGGGGCCGACCACAAAGCCTAGAAGGAAAAAGGACACGCCCAGGGTAGCCACGGGTGTACTGACGTTGTATTCCTTCGATACCGGCTCGATCGCAACGGCGAAAATCGACGAGGAGAAGGTCACGACGAACGTCATAAGGCCCATTGACGCCGTGATGCATATTCGCCGCCGGGAAGTCCAGTTCTTGGGATTTTCGGGGTCATTGGGTCCATCGAACTCGATCAAAGTCGGATCCGTGGGCTCGCTTTCAGGCGGGGATGGCGTTTCGTCCTGCGATATCTCCGCCTGCGACAGCTTCTCGATATCCCTGTCGTCTTCATGCTTCATTTTCTCCGGTTCGAGGACGTCTGCCATGCTGCCGTCCCGACTTTGCGACTCCTTTGGCGGAAACATGGTTGGATGTAGGACAGGTCAGTCCCCAGGTTGTATCATTTTACCCTCCTTAGAAATCGCAATGATCGTCATCCCCGGACTCGTTGCATTCGCCGCTTTATTTCCGGGGTGCGGCACAGCCGACGAGGGCGCCAGTGTGCCGACTTCCGCATTGCCGAAAAGGGTACTGTAGCAATATCTCTACAGTCATTAATATTCCAGACGTTAGACAATTTTGTAAAACGACCAGCAACCCCGCGATATGCAGCGTAAGCTGCAAGTTGTTCGTTGCTGACTGCAAGAAGGAAGCAATATATGATACGACACGTGATTGGACACGTGATCATCAACGTCACGTGAAGTTCGTTCCTTAAATCTATAAGACAACTTTCGCATAGGTCGCGACTACCGCCGATTGTAGTTCACATAGCGACTCGCAACAAACAGCAAAATCAAATTGCTCCCAATGAACGCAATCAAAATGCCCAGATCGCGATAGCGCGTCGAGAAATCGATCCCAAACTCTTCGTAGAACTGATCGCCGACCTTGTACGCGCAGTAGCCACACTCGGACGTCTGGTTGTTGACGAGATACCCCGGGCCGCCGGATGCAAAGAAGGCGGACATGTACTCTCCGCAGGTTTTGCCGGGTGGAGAGGTGAAGCGATTGAGTTCGGAGTCGGTGCATTTTACTGGGAGGCCGTGGAGTTCGTTGGACATTAGGCCGCTGATGAGGCGGGTGAAACTGGTGGACGTTAGCAAGTGACCAGTTGCAAAGTTTGTAATATCGAATACATACGGGTCGAGCTGGTACAGCCAAGCTCGCCAGAAAGACGGTATCTCCGGCGGCGGAACGGTAACACCACAGAAAAGGGCGAAAACAATGATGACGAACGGGTTGAAGAGAATCGCAATGTAGGTGCTCGGCGTGAACGCGGAGATCATCTGTCCGAGAACGACAGAGAACAGCTCTGTAACAATGACAACCGCGAAAAAGTATCCGCTGCGGCCGGTGTGAGGGTTGAATCCGGGAATATAGTAGATGGGAAGGAAGAAGGACACCGCGCAGATGATTGAGTAGGGGATTTCGGCCAGGACCATGGAGAGCGCGAAGGGGAGCTGTTGATAGGTTTTGGCGGAGGCTTCCCGGTAGTAGATCTGGCGTGAAATGTCGTACTTGGGTTCTACGCTCGCGAGGATCAGAGCAGGAAGCACGGTCACCTGCAGAAGGCGTTGCGGTTAGCATGCGTACAGCACAAGACGCCGAGGCGAGTAAGTGAATCACTATCGGGGATGAATAGCTCACCTGGAAAATCACGAAAACCCTGTACTGCAACGACGTCCGAGAGTCCGAGAGTTGCAAAAACATAAGCCCCGTCAAAAGCGCAATAATCACATGGTTGAAAAGCCGAGTGAAGCCATAATTCGGCTGCCGCCAGAAAGCCTTCTGCTGCCGTTTGTTGACAGTCACAATTTGATGCCAGAGCGGAGTGGCAAACTCCTTCGCAGGAGCGACCGTTTGGGACTCCGTTTCGCGCACTCGCTCCGTCTTGAGCCGGACAATCTCCTCTTTGACGTTTTCGAATTCCGCCGAGTCGTTCCAGATGGCGCCCCAGTCTTTGTCGCCGATGCGCGGGGATTGCCCGGCGCCGATGGCGTCGAGCATCCATTCTGCTGGGTTTTCGTCGGGCTCGCAGTAGGCGCCGTGTTTGGCAAAGTATTCTCGAAGGATGGCTGCGTCTTTGCCAATGTCGCCGAAGTATACCGTCTCGCCTCCAGACTGCAGTAGTAAGAGTCTGTCGAAGTTTTCGAAGAGCGAGGCGTTGGGTTGATGGATGGTGCAGAGGATCGCTTGGCCGGCTGCTGCCAATTTCCGGAGGAAACGGACGATGTTGTACGCTGATTGACTGTCCAGACCCGATGTAGGCTCGTCGAGGAAGAGCAGCAGCTGAGGTTTCGCGGCTAATTCAATACCGATCGTGACTCGCTTGCGCTGTTCAACTGCCAGACCTGCTTCGGGACTGCCAATGATGGCATCCGCTATGTTTTCCATTTCTAGCAGTGCGATCACTTCTTCCACGTATGCGTGCTTCTCGGCCAGCGGTGTATCGTAAGGCTGCCTGAGCTCCGCCGAGAATCTGAGCGCCTCGCGGACACTTTGGGTCTCCTCGAACATATCCAGTTGTTCAGCATACGACGTTCCACGTTGGAAGTCGGTGCCGGGTGTTTTCCCGTCGATCAGCTTGTCGCCGCTAATAACGCCAATATTCTTTCGATTGGCGAGCACGTCGAGCAGTGTGGTCTTCCCAGCACCCGATGCGCCCATCAAAGCGGTAAGTTCGCCAGGTTTGACGTAGCCATAGACGTGTTTCAAAAGACGTAGCTGTCCAGACGACACAGGAACGTCGTAGCACATATCTTCCCACGTGAGGACGGCCTTGGACTCAATACGAAGCTCGGTCTCGGCGTGTTCGCTGTCTTTGCGGCGACGAGAATCCTTGCTTCCAACTAACGTGTCGTTCAAAGCCTTTCGCTCGGAATTCTCCTTGACGAAAAACGTGACCGTCCTGCCGCCGGCGCCCCACCTGATATACTCACCCAGGTAGACGTTGGCCATCAGGAAAGCGATGATGAGAATGACCATGATGCCCCAGTTTCGCCAGAGATCTTTCACGTCGTATTGGAAATGTTGAGTGACGTAGGCAGAGCCGCTGACGATAGCGGTGCCGGCATGGCTTCCTGGAAGAGTGCAGACTTGGTGGGTGATATCGTTGTAGCTTGGTCCGTACGGGATAAGCGAGGTACCGTCACAGGTGAGGTCGATTCGCGAGAACTCGTTGATCATCATGGAAGAAAAGCCAAGGCCCAGCTGGTTGATGTAGAAGATCCACCGGAGCCATACCTGTTCGCTGGCGTATTGTATCAAGTAGCCGCCAGTTAGGACAAAGAGTGTGATAATCAGCACAGCTGTCTTAATCGCCGAATCGAAATCCGGACACAAGCAGGCGGCCGTTCGGAAGAACAAAGTCATGCCAAGATAGCCCGTGATGATGACCAGGACGAAAGTGAAGAATGCGCCGACATCCAGCACGAGCCCGCACATGAAGTAGACCATGATGCTGAACACCAGAATCTTCACGCTAGAGAAGAGGAGGTCGACGCCGATTTGTGCGATCCATAGTGCAGAGGGGCGGTAGAATGCGTAGGCTCGATGTTTATTGACCAGTGGCCGGCCGACCATCACTCCAGCCAATTCTCCAAAGGCCGTAAAGCAGTTGAATAAAAGCGAGATGAACAGGACACCACCACGCGTGAAAGCACCCTGGGAGGTTGTGGGGAGTTGCAGCCTGTTTCGATAAATATCAGTGCATGGCCGGGGATTCCAAGATGGTCGAGATCGTCGAACTTACCACACAGTGCCAATGATAACCGCAATAATAATCGTAGTGGCCCAGCCCACACACAAGGAGAACTTGTCCTGCCACTTCAACCAGAACTGCCTCTTTGCCAGAAACCAAATCTGTAAGTAGAGGGGAATAGAGTAGACGGATTTCTTGGTGTAGTGGCGTTTCCCCTGCAGCACAGCCGTCCTGAAGTCGTCATGAATCTGCTGGTTCTCCTGAAGAACATCCACGTATTCCTTCGTTTCCTCCGCAAGGCGAGTGGCGTATGGCGATTGCTGAAACGCTGCCGCCAGCGTTTCGGGGGAGTGCGGTGCGTTTGACTCGTCTCGACCTTTTTGATATTCTCGTTCGAAGGAGTCGGTGCAGCCGGTGAGATAGTCCGGGGTCGTCTGTCGAGGCTTGGGTAGGAAGCCCAGGCCTTCAAAGTAGGATCTCGCTTCGTTGGCTGGGCCGAGGAAAATCTGACGGCCTTGATCGATTACCATGACTTTGTCGAACTGCTTATAGATGGATTCGGAGGCCTGGTACAGACTGACGAATGTTGTCGTCTTGTAGATGTTCGTCAGGACCCGCAACGACTTTGCGTAGTCCACGGCCGTCGAGGCATCGAGCCCACGAGTGGTGTTGTCGTGAGAGATGACCGAGCCGCCGGTAATGAACGTCTCTGCGATTGACACGCGCTTCCGTTCGCCGCCGCTGATGCCGCGGATGAACTGATCTCCACACTTCGTGTTCCGCGTGTGTTCGATATTGAACATCCGTAGCAGCAAATCAACAACCTCTTCTTTGAACACTTTGGCGGTGAGGTTCCCACGTCGCTTTCCGGGAACTTTGGTATCCAATGCAAAGCCCAGCGTCTGCCCAACGGTCAATGCGGCCAGATGGACGTCATCTTCTTGACAATAAACGCTCTCGCCACGATACCGAGTCTCGAACTCCTTGCTCGTGAAGGGTCCGTACCGCACATCGCCGTCAATAGACGTGTAGCCGTACCGTTGATTGGCAATGACCTTCAAGAACGTAGTACAGCCTGATCCCGGCCGTCCCAGCACCAGCACCATCTCCCCGGGCTTCACCACCCCATTAAAGTCATGCAGAATATCCACCTCATTCGCCTTCCTTCGCGCCGGCATCAACTTCATCAGCAGCCGAAACGGCGCCCCGAAAAAGCCGACAAACGCATCCGGGAAAAACGTGGGAACGAGAATCTTCGTCCCGCCGACGCCTCTGACCGTCAACCCGCTCCAAACGACGCCAATCTGCTTCGACTTGATCCCGGCCTCCTCCTCCAGCCGCCGATTGCCTCGCAGGATATCCTCGAGATCGAACGGCTCGGCCTCCTCGCTGGACTCCGACGCCCCGCCCTTCTCCAGGTCGCGCTGCTTCTCGTCCCGCTGCCGGCTTTGCTGTCGCGACAATTTCGTCGAAGCCTTGCTGACATGGCTAAAAGTGCGCTGGAGTTGATGGAATTGCTTTTCCGCTCCGGCGACGTTGACGCCGTGCGCGCCGTCCGCTTTACCGGCTACTTCGATTGAGAGTCGCTCCGAAGCGGCGTAGGAGACATCGTCTGAGGAATCGCCATTCTCGTATGAGGCCAGCGTGTCGACGCGCTCTACTGCCACGGTGGGAACGTTGTCATGAGGTGTCGTCAGCCCGGCCGTGTCGTGCGCATAGGCCCTGCTAATCGCTTCTTTTTCCGAGTGCTCCATAGGCGCTCATGCGGTTGGTAATAAGGCGAACGCACGGGTGTCACATGACAGATCGACAGCGCAGGCACAGCGGGGTAAGAAGTCTCCAGAGCACCCAGGTGTTTCTGTTCCCTCACATTTCACGATTGGAATCCAACAAGAAAGAGAGAAAAAGAACGAAGCCGGATTTAAGAAGAACTATAGATGTCCAGATCAGCCCTACTGTTACCCTCACACTTGCCAGGCGACAACGCTACTGCGCAATGAGTCGTGCCTATAGTAACGCCGAAAACGAACACCGTCCCGGAGAGTAACAATGACTCTTGCATCCTCAACTCCGTGGCCCCACCCCGCCATTGCAAATCAATGCCGAAGTCGTCGGTCTTACGCCGGACTGGGGAAGATGCTGTACCTGCCTGTTTCGGCGACCCCACTACTTGACCGCCCTACCATCTACACGTGGTGACAGGGTGATTCAATGTAGTGACACGATGATACAGTGTATGAATACAATATGTAAGCGCTCAGGGTACGGCATTCCTTCTCCAACACCTTCGGCGCCGTGAACGGTACTGCTCTCCCAGGACATTAGACCAATGCGTCTCGCGAATGGCCCACGACATGCACGCTTCTGTCCCTCCACCCAACCCAGACTCCAAGCTGCATAATCATTCAAGGAGCACCCGCCTCAACTTTTTTCGTTCGATCTCGACCGCGTATCGACGCCTCCCATCTCCACGTCCTTTTCCATCCCGTGCGGAGAATCTACAACATGTGAGTGCCTGCCCGTGCGGGCAAGCCACTTCTCCGCCGAGTCCAGTGTCAGCTTCATCGTCTGATTGACCTGCGCCATCATGTCGAGACCTTCAGTAGCAAAAGCTATCATGCGATGCGCGCTGCGACTCGTCTCGCTGTCGCCCATCTGATTGTCGGAGACGAAGCGCCAGCGTTGAGGCAGCGACATGAGTTGGTTGCGCACGAATTGACGCGCATTGTCGGGCAAGGCGCCGCCTGCGTAGCTGGAAATGTTATTTACCACCGTCTGCAGAGTCTGCCAGATGTCGTCGGAGTGCTTCTTGAGCAGTTCTGCGAGGCGTCGCGCATCTTGGTCTTGGTCTGGTGTTTGCGGGCGCTCGCCTTTTTCAATGCTCGAGTCGTGAGTGGAGTGGAAGGCATCTCGGGCTTGGTCGTATTGTTCGAGCACCATCTTGAGCGCGTGCATTAGAATGGAGACGCGTTCGGCTGAGTTGCTGAGTAGTTGGAGACAGTAGCGGAGACTGCTTCGAGAAGTGTCGCTCAGCGCAATGCTGAGGCCGGAGGTCATGACAAACACCTGCGATGACCAACTCTGGGGCTGTCGATCGTTTCGGATGGGGCTGGCTTCCTCTCGGTAAGAAGGCGGCTTGCTCGATCCATACGCTGGCAGAGGCTCGCGAGTGGATTCTTCAGACTCTCTGTGCAAATTGCTGCTCGAGCTTCGCGTGCCCGATTCGAGATCCATTTCGTCCAGTCTTCTCCGTGCGCCCGTGGAGTCTTCGCTTGCTCGTTCAAGATCTGGCGTTCCATTGGCATAGCCGCCGTAGTACCACCGAAGGCCACTCTCAATACCGGTCACTCGGCCGACCGTGCTGACAGTGCTTGCAACCGGTCCACCGACGTTTCTCTCCACCAGGTTCGCTCCGTACTGCACGAGTCGAGGGGAGTAGTATTTGGTAGTGGAGTATGCGTTGAGTGAGCCGTTGATCGTCCCCCCTACCCACGGATGCGCTCGCGTGAAGAGTTGGAGCAGAGGTTCCGGGCCCTCGTGATCATCACGTGCTGCAGTAGAGCTGCCATGTGATCTGGTCCGATCTGGTGGGGATTAGCTCGAGTCCATCCTCCAAAGCATCGCACTCCCATACCTGGATTGCCCAGCCCTGACAAGGCCTCGGCCGCCATGCGGACATTCGGATCGTCAATGGAAACAACACTTGTAGACCGCGCGCCCCGTCTGTCGTCAATGCTCATAACACTGCCAGCCTCCGATGGGCTGGCTATCGCCGACTCCATGCTCGACCGAGCTCCATTGAAAAGTGCAGGACCGGGGTCCATGCGAGGCAGGCTTCTCACCGAGGTGGGCGATACGGGGGGTGCATAACGGGCGATGTTCTCGAAGTCGGGAGACAGGACGGTTCGGAGGTCAGGCAGGGTGATTTCGGCCTGGACTTGCGGGCGGCTCAGTGCGGTTTGGGGGACGGAGGGAAAGGCGAGGTCGGACGGATGGTGGTATTGCAGGGGCGGCGGCGGTGTGGACTGTTGCAGCTCCATGGTATTAGGCGTACAGAAGGGAAGGAGACAACGAGTGTGAGTGCATTGACGACCGCATTTGCACGGCGCCTTGAGCTGGGGTGGAGTGTGGTAGAGTGGGAAGGGACGGATTGAGGTCGTTGCGCGCCGTGAGGGAGGGCAGGGCGAGAGCGACGCTCGCTCGGGATGATCGCATTTCTCTTCGGCATCGTCTTCCCACGCATGTGATCCAAGCTCGGACCACCCACGCTCGGGGCCCCACTTTCACGTGCTTATCACGAGCGGGCTTGCTCACCTCATGTCGATTTGAAATCTCCCAAGATAAAAGAGACGCTTCGTACCAAGTACACCTTCTCAATATTGCACTCTGAACGCGTTCCAAGTCTGTTTTGCATTGAGTCGGTCTGACTGCGTTTTGGAGAGTATACTTTCAACGTGCGCCAATATCGGCCTATTATGCATCGTAGATCTCCGTAAAGAGCTTCATGTCCCGACCAGCAATCTCTCTTCATTCTCTCGTAATGTCACTAGAGTCAATCGTACAAACAACTTTCCTCTCAGTACTGATGAACAGCAACCTGGCAGACAAATTCTCCACGTCAATCCAAGGCTCCAACTGCGCGAATCTCCGGCTCTCAGGAACATCTGCCGAGCACGCAACCCTTTCGAGTCCCTCTTCTTCGAGCTGCATCCATTTCTTCGCAATAGCTGCGGCGAACGTGCTCTCCCACAGCCCCTCTCTGCGAGGCATGGATTCGAGAACAGCAATGGCGCGACGGCGGAGGCCAGGATCGCGGCAACGGATGGCGGTGAAGAAGGCGGGGACGATGAAGCCGAGATCCAGGGTGAAGGAGACCGAAGGAGGCGCAGACGCAGATGAATCGCGAATGCTGGTTGAGACGTCCTCGAGGAGCGAGACGATGCGAGCAAAGTGCGGCATTACGCAATCGTACTCGCTTTGCACAAGCGTGGGAAAGTTTGCATCGGCGTCGACGGAAGCAGCGAGGTACCAGCATTCGATTGTTTTGGTTTGACTTTCTGGTGGAGGCTTGGGTAGAGCAGTGAGCAGCTTGTGCCAGTGCTGCTTCCATTTGATGAGCCTTTGCCGGCAGGCCAGAAGTTGCCGGCGGCACTCGTTTTCTGCGCGGATATCCGAGTCGCCGTGGACATAGATGTGTTCATGGAGCATGAATGTTAGTCGAATGAGGTCGACGAGGGCGGCGTGGGCTTGCTGAACGCTGGAGTAAGATTGCGAGTGCAATTCTGGCGCCGTGTTCAGCAAATCCCTGAGAGTATACTGATATGGAGCAGTGACGTCGGAAAAGGTGAGAGAAACCAGGTCCAGGCGAGCGAAGGCGGTGGCAATCTCATCGAGCGCAGTGCTGCCCGCTGTGATACGCTTTCTCGGCCGGTATTGGGCAATGATCTTTCGACCGTTCGCCATATGGGTTGCGCTGGCGGAGTAATTTCCACGCATGCCTTCGTATAGAGTGAATATATGACAAGCCAGAAGCAGGCTGTGGACTTCTGGGGATGATCCGGTGTCAGAGATCACGTTTCGAGCCTCGACGAGTGCTCGCTGGTAGTGTCGATCCGCGTAGAGGCGTAAATGCTGAGCCGCTGCTTTGTCCTTGTGATGGATGAGAGAGTCGTGATATGCACCGATGGCAAGCACGGCGTGTTTAACGGTCGGGTGGGTATGGCAAGCCTGCAATACAAGGCTGTCCCAAAACGCAGAAGGAATCTGTCGACGAGATTGATGAGTCGAAACGATCAAACTTGCGTTGTAAGGGTCCCCACATACCGTCTGTTTAGTGCTGGCAATAGTGCACTGTCGGAAGAACTGAAAAAAGCGTTTGTCCAGAACACACTGAAAGGCCGGGTCGGTAAGGACGCACGGAAGGGCAGACGGGAAATGCGGGTGTTGTAGCGTATCCAGGGCCATTCGCAGGTCTCCGCGAGTCAGGGGAATGGTGGTGTAGCCATCACATGTACGTCCAGTGGCCGTACAGCGATGGCACTTTGGCTTGCCCTCATCGCATTTGACCTTGCGGATACGGCAGGTCACGCATCCACTTCTGGTCGGTGGCATGTCGATTGGCGTGGAGGGAAGATAGATGGCGCTGCGGCGGTCCGACGTGCCAGAACATTCTTTCGGCTGGCGAGGTCATTGTTCTGAGATACTTGAAATGATACATCTTCGCTACTGCCTGGTGAGGCTTGAGTTACCACAGCCCGGCTGCCGGCCACGACAAACGTCTGCGCGTTGCCTCAGCCCCCGTTGGATTTGGGCTGCTGTCATTGGTGTGCTCGCCCCGAAGTTGGCCCGGCAGACGACTTGAAACAAGCCATGCCAATAGCAGTACTCCTCGACTGGCAGTTCACGTATACTGCATGCTGCCTTGTGGATCCTCGCTACTGACTTGCTCTTCTTCAACTTGTATGGTTATGAATAGATGTCCAGCATCGACACTCCTACCACCCATTGGCCGGCTCGCTGTCCCTCAAGGCAAACGCGTACACGGTGTCCGAGACACATTTCAGACACATCGACCTGGCGATCAAGTGTAGGTATAAATCAGTCTTCCGTCTCTTCCATATTGCTCTCTCACTGCCTCCATCCACTTCTTTCTTCTCCATCTCGAACAATTCTCCAACGCACAATGCATTACCAACTGCTGGCATGTCTTTTCTCTCCTCTCCTCAGCATCGTCCACGCCGGGTTTCCCCCTGAGCCACAGGGAGTCACCATCCAGCAGCTCAAACACCTCCCAGGCGTTTCAATCTCCTACAAAGAAACGCACATCTGCGAAACGCAAGCACAGGCCTGGGCCGGATACGTCCACCTGCCTTCCACGCTCCTGGAAGACATCGAGTCTGCTGAGCCATACAATGTCTCCATGTTCTTCTGGTACTTCGAGGCGCGGAACAACCCACAGAATGCCCCCACCACGCTCTACCTGGCTGGGGGTCCGGGCGATTCGTCAGTAGGAGGTGCGGTGCAGGATGGTGGACCATGTATGATCCTTAGCGATGCGAATACTACAGTCAACAACCCGTGGTCTATGAATACGAACGTCAACATGCTCTACGTAGGGACAGATCGATATCCTAATTCATCACCGAAACTGATGATTGCTAGGTGGATCAACCGGTTGGCACTGGCTTCTCATACACGGCGCGCGTGAACGCTACGCTCAACCAGCTGTTCCTTGGCTCTCCCCCCACCGAAACCGGCATCACACCCTTTGCAGCATACGGCGGACATGTGCCATCGGAGAATGGCACCTTCATGTATGGCACATTCTCCGAACAAAATCCGGAAAAGACGGTCAACAATACAATGAGCGCCGCAAAGACGCTGTGGCACTTCTGTCAAGCATGGTTCTCTTCCTTTCCAGAGTACACCACGACCGACAAGAACCTCAACCTCTTTGGCAATTCGTATGGAGGTTATTGGGTGCCCGCTACTGCCCAGTATATCGTTCAGCAAAACAACGCCATCAAAGCTCTCAAGTGCAATGGCACCGTCATCCCCGTGGACACCGTCGGTTGGACGAACGGCTGCGTAGACGAACTCATCCAGGGCGAGTGGTATCCGGAACAGGCGTACAACAACACCTACAACCTCCAAGTCATCCCCGAGCAGGCGTACAAAGAAGCTACAAACAACTTCACCAGACCCGGCCGCTGCGCCGATCTTATCAAAGAATGTCGAGCCCTCGGCGACAAGCTGGATCCCAACTACTTCAGCACAGACGCAAAGGTCAACAAGCTCTGCGTTGAAGCGCTTGAGTATTGCTTCGTCTACGTCCTCGGTGCATACAATGTCTTCAGCAACCGCAGTGTGTTCGACATGGCGCATCTTGACCCAGATCCGTTTCCCACCAGTTACTGGAACGGCTTCTTCAACCGCGAATGGGTGCAAGCTGAGTTAGGAGTGCCGGTCAATTTAACCGCGTACTCCCTCCTCGTAAACAACGTCTTTCTCTATCAGACTGGGGATGCTGTCCGAGTTGCAGGCCTGCAGAGCATGGAGTATCTCCTCGCACAGGGAGTTCGAGTAAACATGATATACGGAGACAGAGACTATCGGTGTCCCTGGAATGGAGCGGAGAAGCTGAGTTTGGCGGCGCAATGGAGTGGAGCAGAGGACTTTGGAAAAGCAGGGTATGAGTACGTCGAAACTAACAATACCTACAAGGGAGGGATGGTAAGGCAGCACGGGAATCTAGCGTTTACGCGGGTGTTCGAAGCAGGTCATGACGGTAAGGACTCCATTCAGATCCGCATGGGAAAGGAGCGATCACTGAAATCCACAGCCTACGCCTACCAACCAGAGACCGTCTTCCAGCTCTTCAACCGCTTCATCTTCTCCAAGGATGTGGCGACGGGCACGCAGACAGTCTCCAGCAACTACAGCACGTCAGGCCCAAGCAGCACTTTCGGGGTCAAAGACAAGCTGCCGCCGCCCCCGCCGTTCAATTGCAATCTTTACAATGTCATCGGGTCGTGCACCATTCAGCAGTACGAGGCACTCCAGAACGGGACGGCGAAGGTGGTGGATTTCAACATCGTTCGGCCGGCAGGAGGGTCGCCGGGGAGCTTGGCCGGGCTCGAGTGACGCATGCGGCGATGAATGCTGCTTTGGGGCTGGGAGCTTGCCCGATGATATGTAGGGGGGGGGTGTTTAGACCCCTGCTAATCTCCGTACGTTGGCAACGCATTGGCTAGCCGTTCCAACGCGTGTCAAGTGTCAATGTTTAGCCTGGCTGCTCGGCTCGAAGAGACCGACTTCCTTCGGCGGCTTACTCGAATCAGCAGCTCTGCCGCCGCTCGTGCAGATGTGTCGCCCTCCTCTGAGATATACCCTGCCTTGCCTACATATGCAGGTTAGCGAGCTGGACGCGGCGCGCGGGGAACGCGCCGTCCACTCACGGACTGGCACATTCGCCGGCTGCACACCTCGCATTGGATCTTCAGGCACTGTGATGCAGCAGTGTCCAGAAGCACCGGCTTCTCGGAATCGGAGGCTCACCACCCCGGAGGAATATGCCTCCGCAATTACCATCCGTTTTTGCACCAAATGTGTTGGGATCTGCAATGCATACCCCAAGGGTGCGGAGATGGTGCCATCCTGGTCTGACGTGCAGCGCGCAGCTACCCACCCACCGCCGCACTATCCCCTCTGCGGCCACGTCCACGTCTCCATTGACATGCATTCCCCGACCGCGATTCCTTACCGCGAGGGGGCCTAATGCGAGCCTGCCAGGTGCGGCTGCAAGTCTTGCCTTTGGGCGCGTGCACGAGCATGAGGTGAGAGTGTTTCCGCTTTTTCATTCTTCCTCCGGTCTGTTTCGTTACATACCTACCTGTTCTTTATAAAACTTCGAAAGCTCTGTCAAGCAAACAACCTGTTTGCAAGCGGGAACGACACGCTGACTTTGACAGGCGCAGAAAATGCTCCGACATGCGCGAGCCCTCTCACTCCATGGCCGCCGCGACGTCGCCCAAGTACACCCTCCGGCGGCCCCATAGTACCGCCATCCTGGAACCCGAGGGCAAACCCGCCACCACGAAATTCGCCTTCAGCCTCTCGATCTGCCGACCTGAAGCAGGCGGGCGGCACCATCGCTGGGTTCTCCAGCTGCACAATCAGTCGACGGGAGATTGCACCCTCTTTCACGTCCAGGGTCTCCATCCGAAGCAGAGGCTTGTCATACAACAATGTCGGCCGCACTATCGTCGGCTGAGAATCATCAAGAGCATCCATCTCGCCGAATTCCACCTGCTGCCTTCCGGCTTCTTCAACCTCGCTTGCGCAATCGAAGAAGCCGTGCCTATCAGGTGCGAGGCCGCGGAGTGGAACGGGCAAGACTATGTCCTCGACGTCCTGGAGATGTTGGAAGAGGACTGGTGGATCGACGTTGACGATAGCGAGTACTTGCTCGTCAAAAAGAAAGTGACTGCCATGTACGGCCCTGCGGATCTCGTGCAGAGGGCTGTCATGCTGTATCCCAAGTGGGGCGAGGGGAAAGAGGCGAGTGGTGATGCTTTGCAGCAGACGGATTTTGATATGCAAAGCATCCGCTTCAATGGCCGCGGCCGCGATGCGGGATATCGGTGACGACGGGGTGGGGTTATTCCCTCGTGCTCAGCATTTGCCGTTGGGGATGAAACATCATACCAGGACTTTCTCTCGGGCTGAGATCGTTTCACTTGACCTTCACCCTGGTCAGGATTGGCTCCCGAGCGATTAAGCCTTGCGGTCCTGAGAAACAACATGTCGCACATCACACATGTATCTCGCTGGTCAACGACATGGACGAGACATCCTCGAAACACTTCATCCAGCCCTTGACACCAGCAATCCATAACCTCCCCGTCCATCCCTCCCTTCAGTCCAATCTCACCACCCACCATGACAATCCCCCCAATGCCCCCCTCCCTGCAAGCCCGCCTCACACGCGCCAAAGCCGTCGCCCGCCGCGGCGCCTTTCCCACCCCCACAAAAGCAGAATGGAACCTCTACCTCACCGGCATCAAGCTGCGCACCTCCGGCCACTTCGAAGAAAATCAACCGCGAAACATCGAGTGCGTGCTGGACTGCGGCGAAGGACCGTGTCCGTATCGGCCGTTGGAGGACAAAGACGTCATTGAGGCGGATGAGAGACGACTTGCTGCTGAGCGGTGGGCGGCGGATGTCAGGGCTGGGAGGGTGAGGGTGGAGTCTTCTGATGGTGGTGCTGGTGGAGTGGAGCGCGGAGCTGGGGAGAACGAGGAGGAGGAATCGTCTTCTGCACCGCCCAGTCAGAACCTCGATCTCGAGCGCCTTGATGCGAAACTCCGGCGTATAGATTCGAACCTCGCGGAGCACAGCCGAGATCACCCCATTTCACCGTCGGCAGCAGAACGAAACAAACATCCAAAACGCAGAAGTCCATGGCGAAGACGCACGAGCACCGACGACGGCCTTGAAATGTCCACGAAGCCGAAGGCCTCGACGAATAACAAGCGCATCCCTGTCCTTCATGCACCGCAGCCTCGGCCTCAGCCGCAAGCGAAAAGCAGAACGTCGTCTTCCTCGCTTTCCTCGCCTTCATCTTCATCCCACTCATCTTCTGCGACTACCCCGGCAATGATGCGGACCGCACAAGGGTGGAAGAGGTGTAAATGCCTGACTCGAAGGGCGAAATCAACAGCATCGCAGCGCGGAGAGGCCGCTTAGCCGTTGGCGAGCCCGGGAGACGGGGAGGGGTGCTCACAGTACCAGCTATGCATTTGGGAAAGATGATTGGAATTCGAATGGCAGAAACGCTCTATCAAACCATTGTATACAGGTGGACGTTTTTCGCTCTCTCTGTGGTGCCTCAACAACGCTGCGCAACAGCCTTGATGCCAGCCCCTTTTCCCTCCGGAGCAAGGGAAGAAAAGAGTACATAGCACAAAGAAAGGAAAGGGAAAGGTAGCACATGTCTATCGTACACCACGCCGCCCGACTTTTTCCCAATGCATCCCCGTCGCGGAACAAAAAGGTGTCCATAATACACGCATAGTCAGCCCATCAGATAACACACTCTGAAACGCCGCGAGCCCGCCAGTGTACTCTACCAAAAACATAAGAGAAGAAAGTGCGATTTTGGGGAACCCTAGTCCTCGTTGTCGAAAGACCCCGGCAGCCGACGGGCTTTTTGCGAATCAGGAGCGTTCAGCGACGACTGCTCGCCGAGGAATCGATGCAGTTGCTCGGGATTAGTGGCGCGTTCGAAGGCCCGGAGGTCGTGAAGGGACCAGGCTCGGAAATGGCGTTGGCGTCGGATGACTCCCGCGTGCGAGTGGCGACGAGTCGGAGGGAGGGAGTTCTCGCGATGATGAGGACGCCGCTGATGGAGCGAATGGCGTCTCGGACTACACAGCACTTCGCGCTGCTCTTCCCCCTCCTTCTCACCCGTCGCGTCCGAGACGAGATCATTGGCGTTCTAAGCCTTTCGCGACCTCGTCACTCTGCCACTGCCTGGGCTGGCGGACCCGTTGGCATGCCCATTCTCCTTCACAATCTCCTGTACTGCCTCCCGCGCCGAAGCGAAGCTCTGCGCGCCACCCGACAGTCTTCTCCGCACCTCCTTCACGTCCGGCACTTGCTCGTCCTTCATCTCGACAAGAGCGCTGGTCGCGCGGCCCCTACCCTTCTTGACCGGCTTCTTGTAGGTGGAGATGTAGAATCCGATGAAGAGGACGAGGTAGCTGCTAAGGATGCCGACGCCCGCGAAGGCGGCAAATTCCTCGCCGGCGCAGATGCCGGCGGTGGGCAGCCAGGTGAAGTAGCTGGCGGAGAAGTAGGTGTAGGTGGCGAAGTAGACGAAGCCGAGGTCGATGACGAACTGGGTGATTTGCAGGATGGTGATGTACTTCTTCCACCAGATGCGGATGCCGCGCGCCGACTGGAAGTAGTACCAGTACATGACGACGTGCACGGTGAGGTTGAGGGTGATGGGCACCCAGGAGACTGCGGTGTGGCCGAGGAGCTGGGTGTAGCAGAGGAGGGCGGTGGCGCCGTGGTGGTAGGTGTGGAGGAAGGTGAGCGGCTTCTTCTTGAGGAAGAGGAAGACGGTGTCGAGGAGTTCGAGGTACTTGGTGAGGTAGTTGAGCTGGGGACGAAGGGTCAGTGTGGCTCAAGGGGGAAGAGGGGAGAGAAGCATACGTAGTACAGAACGACCAGGTGATTGGTCCAGCCGCCGTCGTATGAGCAGATGGAGAAGAACAGGCCATTGCGGGCGAGGGTGGGGATCAACTGCTCGAGGAACAAGAGGAGCAATCCCCCGCTAATGACGGTGAGGTAGAAGTTGTGGATCTTGAACAGCCCGTTCAACTTCAATGGCTGTCGGCCCTTCATGAGCTCTCGCCCGCCAAAGATGATGATGTAGTAAGAGAGAAGCGAGATGGCCGTCTCCCACATGGTTGACATGGGCGTCTTGCCGGGCGTGAAACGGAAGTTCTCCGGAGCGTAGCCCAGGATGGGCTTGAAGGCGGCAGAGAAGATGGGCCATAGATGGATGCCGAAGGGGCGATCGAGGGTGGGCTGTCCGTAGACGAGCCAGTCTGGTTGGGCGACCATGCTGAGTGGGTGATTGGTGGGGGGAGTGTGGTGGAAGAGGAGGAAGAAGATCGAACGCAGAGGGTGTCGTGTGAGACTGGAATGCGGTGCGGAAAGAGGCGGATATGGGCTAGCGCGCGTGAGACGGTCGCGACTGCCGGAAGGTGCGCGGGTAAGACCCGAGGAAGGAGTGACTGGAAGTGAAGCAATTGAGGAAGGAGAAGGGAAGACTGGATGAGCACAGCAACGAGGAGGGTCAGACGCCGCGAGGTATGGAGCAAGGTGGGCTGGGAGAAGGAAGAGCAATGCGACTGGAAGAGTCCAACGTTGGATCAGCCTGACTTGCCTCAGGGGTCAGAGCGTCGACGGCGGGGGAAATTTTGTTGGAAGGGAAATTTGATGGGACGTTCCTCGGCGCTCGCGTTTTCTCGCAGTCCCCCGTTCCGTCATCTAACTACGTCCCCATCCAATCACGTCTCCGCCCGGCCAAAAGTCCGGTCGAAGTACAGTAGCATCGGGTCGAAAGGTAAGACCGAAGTTGCTGTAATCGCGTACTTTCGAAGCACTCGTGCTTGGCATTGCGTGAATCGGAGTGCGGCGGAGAAGGAGGGCAAGACGATAGTCATAGAGATCAATGATTAATTTGTATTGCACGGTCCGAGCAGATGATTCAGCAGCATCCTCTCGAGTCCGGCACGCAGTAAGCTGGACGGTCGACAGGTACCTCAGCTTCGAGGTATGGTGACAGCTACATGAGCTCGCGCCATCATTCTGGCACTTGCTTGATCACTGATCTCTGAACATCGACGCGACGTGTTGCCGGAATCCTCTATTGTACCTTTGAATGACCCTTTTGTCTTCTCGCAAACATCTGCGCATTGCCTTCCTGCAGAGCACGTGACGAGGAGGTTTAGGCGATTGAATCGGGGTGCCAAGGAAAAGCTTCCCGCAAGCTTCCAGCCCCATTCTGCTCGGACTTCTCACTTCACGTTACCTCTTTGCCGTCTCCAATCCCCTCGACCACGCCTGCTGCACACCTGCACGATCTCCTACTGTACTGCACCGCTGCCATCTCTCCATACACCCCCTCGTCTGGCCCAATGTCCTCGCTGGTCATTGCCCGTGTCGCGCGGGCCAGGCTCTTCAACACCAATGCCTCCGGCCTACGGAGGGTGAGCGCGATGCGCACCCCCCTCGCTGCCCGCTTCAGCACCGCCTCCCGACTACAGAATGAGCATGGCGAAGAGAGTTTTGAAGAGTTCACTGCGAGGTAGGAAGCCCTCCCTGCCCCGGACCCCGTGCGCTGCCTGCGACCCGAACAATGGTTGCCGGGCCGCCGAATGCGCAGCAATGAGGAGACACCCGGCCACCACAATTGCTTTCGAGACTCAGTTCAAGCCCACACGCTGACACGTGAGACTCCACAGATACGAAAAGGAATTCGAGCAGGTCCAGGACGTCTTCGAGCTGCAGCGCAACCTGAACAATGCCTTTGCCTACGATCTTGTCCCCTCTCCCTCCGTCATCACCGCCGCCCTCCGAGCCGCCAGAAGAGTCAATGACTTTCCCACGGCCGTGAGAATATTCGAAGGTACATCCCATTTCCCGTGGCCCTCGTGGCCTCGTCTTGTCCACCACAGTCTAACACCCCCCTGCAGGCATCAAGGCCAAAGTGGAAAACCAGAACCAGTACGACGAATACATCAAGGAGCTCCAGCCCATACGGGAAGAGCTCGGTGTGAATCTCAAGGAGGTCATGTACCCCGAGAGCTCGTAGAAAGAGTACATCCTGGATTGTGGGGATTGTATGACGTGCGCCGACGAGATCGACTGGGTGGGGAAGCGAGAGTGGAAGGCGGAGGAAGCACGAACGGATAAGAAGGGTACAGCGATGGAGTAGAATATATCAACACTTGCCTAGGTATGGATGGGCGTGGCCGTGAGGCTGCGTCAACTGTTACTATTAGCTGCACAAATCCTTCCTACATGCGCTGCGTGTTCTCCCTGTCCCCTCAATGTGCTCCCTCATGAACAACGCATTAGCTGGCGGTCGTGCAAACTTCCCTTCTCCCACCTAGATCTCGCTCCTGGGGCCCATAGATTGCGTGTTATTAGCACTACCAATACTGCCGCGGAGAGTTTTCGGGACTCGCCGTTCACTCGGGGAGGTGGACTGCACTTCATCTGCCATACGACTTCCTACATGCAAACTTATACCCCTAATACGGAGCCATTGTATAGAGAAGAGTATTTGTTACACTCCAATAACAATGTCCAACCATACTTCAACCTCCAAACCAAAAGTGTTGGTCCTCGGAAGTCCCCTGGACTACGTACCGCAAAAGTACTTTGACGATTTCCAGCAGGACTACGCCATAGACGTACTGTGACGTCCCAATGACTCTCTCAAACCAAAGAAACTGACGTAAGAACGAGACACCAGGTCCTGCACGCCCCAGACCGCGCATCAGTCAAAGCCCAACTCCCCACCAAAGTCTCACAAGACGGCCCCTTCGCCGCCCTTGTCATCAAAATGGGCACAATCCCCTACGAGCCCTTCGACGCCGACCTGCTCTCCGCCCTCGAGCCAGCGTGCAAAATCGTCGTCTCCGCTTCAGCAGGCTACAACGAATTCGACGTCGACTACTTCACGCGCGCCGGCGTCTGGTTCTGCAACGCTGTGCACGCCGTCTCCGAAGCGACGGCCGATATGGCGCTCTTCCTCATCCTCGCTACGGTGCGGAATACGAGTGTTGCGGAGCGGCAGGCGCGCGAGGGGAGGTGGAAGGCGGGCTTGACGCCTTCGGGGGATCCGAAGGGGAGGGTGTTGGGCATTGTGGGGCTGGGGAGTATTGGGAGGTATGTAGCACGGAAGGCGGCGGTGTTTGGGATGCGGGTGCATTATTATAATCGACGACGGTTAGCGCCGGAGGTGGAGAGGGAGCTGGGCGTAACGTATTATGGGGATTTGCATGAGTTGTTGGGGAGTGCGGATGTGGTTTCTTTGCATACGCCGTTGAATGCGCAGACTACCGGTTTGATTTCACGCGAGGAGTTCGCGGCGATGAAGGATGGGGCGATTTTGGTGAATACGGCGCGGGGAGCGGTGGTGGATGAAGAGGCGTTGATTCAAGCTCTGGAGAGTGGCAAGGTGGCCCGGGCGGGTCTGGACGTCTTCCCTGCCGAACCGAAGATCAATGAGTATTTCATGAAGAGCGATAAGGTGGTGCTGCAGCCGCATATGGGCGGGCTGACGGAGTCGTCGTTCGCGCTGTCGCAGCAGGAGTGTTTGGAGAACCTGCGGGCGTACTTTGAGAAGGGCGTGCCGAATTCGCCGGTGAACCAGCCGGAGCGGCAGCATTGATTTGCTCGGTCGTGGGGGGCGACCAGATAGTTCTAAATCACATGTTGCCCTCGTGCCCTCACTCTTCGTCGATTGCCGGCCAGTTCACATATGTACGCGGTTCGATCGCGGGGCCTTCGTCGTCAACCGCATCCTCTTCATCTTCGTCCTCCTCACCCTCGCCTTCTTCTTCTTCATTAGAATCGCCCTCGCCTTCCTCTGCTTCCTCGCCTTCATCGTCGTCGTCGCCATCTTCCTCAAGTTCATCTTCGTCTTCTTCCTCAATCTCGCCCACATCTGGACCCTCTTCCTCGCCCACATCCTCCTCCTCATCCTCGACGTCGTCGTCTTCGTTCAATACTAGAGATGGATCTACCTCATCTGCATCCTCTTCATCAGATATCTCATCATCCTCTCCCTCAGTCACACTGCCAGCCCGCGGCAGCGCACCTCCATCTGCGGCGCGTTGTAAAACCTCGTAAGCCTTCGGTGGCCCCTTGAGCGCTTCCTTGGCGACGTCGCGCGCCAGCTGTCGTGCCTCGGGGCCACACTCATCACCGACAGCGCAATTCGCCGGGACGTCGATCTGGTTCGGCAGTTGCCAGAGCACGCTGAAGTAGTCGGCCTGCGGCAATGATGCGCCGTTGATGATCCTCACGAGCTTCTCCCGCATGATCACGCGCACTTTGGCGATGATGCCATTGTAAAGCCAGCCGTGTTGTTCCATATCGCAGTCAGGACGAATCGCTTCGGGAGAGTTGATGAGGGTTTGAATCATGGGGTCCGTAAGGTCACAGAGCTGCCAATTCCTGCCCACGCCAAAAAGAGTCTTTCCGTCAAATATGTGGCTATTAACCACGTTGGCGTGGCCCTGCTTGCCCAAAGCGCTATTGATCTCGCGATTATGCCCCAGAGTGAAGTTCAGCGTTTGATAGATGCGATATCGTGGATTGGAGCGGGGGTCGATGCCGTACTTCACGACTGCCCCTTGCCACGGTCCGCTGGTGACGTAGTAGCCCAAGTATCGAACCGCCCACGATATGGCTTTCATGGTGGTCGTCTCGATTATGGCATCGAGGGCGCGCATGGTGACGATGGGCCGCGTTTCCAACAACTCCCTGACGGCATCGATTGCTTTGAGTATCCTTGAGCTGCTCTGCTCGGCCGAATCAGGTGGCGGAGCCTGCGGGACGACAAGTGTATCCGATGAAAGAGCAACACTTTGTAATGGAGGTGGTAGCAGCTTTGGTCGGCCACGGTATTGTTTGCCGCGTGTTGCACTGTCATCGGGCTTTTGGTCGTATTGCCAGTCGAAGGTCTCAGCGGTCGGAATGAAACTTGGTGGATCCGGGTATGCAACGTTTTGGTCTATTCCGAATCTGTAATCGATACGGAAGTCTTTGAAGCTATCGTACTTGGGCTTCATCGCATGGTCTCGTATCTCGCGCAAGATTGGAACTTCGCTCGCACGTGTTTGGAAGTCAGGGATTGTCTCAAAGCGATGAGTCTCATGAATCATCCCGATAGGCTCTACGACGTGGTTCTCCGGATTGTCGCGCATCGTCTGCAAGAGGTCTGCGACGGTGCGGCCACTATGGATGGACACCGGTAACGAGCTGGCTTCGAAGGGCTCATCTGACCCGCGCTTCCGTTTTCGACCAGTCCTTTTGGGCACCGTAATCTTGACGAGGACATTCTGAGACGATAATGGGGTGGATGAGATTCGTTTGGCCAAAGGATCATTCGGTCTGAGTGACACAGCGACGGGCGCCGCAGTGGCTGCATCCTCGATGTTGGGCGTGAGTAACTTGAGCCTCGATTAGCTGCGTGCGTCACATTCAAATCGACGGATGCGATATCATCTCACATGTCGAAGCTGATGTTCGCCACCATGAGATTTGTAGGCGTGGTCAAGGTTCTTGACGACGCATGGATGTTCGATACTTACGACGTGCTTGAGCGGCACGTTGTAGCTCGGAGCCTTGACCTCGCCAGCAAGTGGCTGAGCTGTTGCCCTCGACATTCCGTCATTGGGTCTACGCGCCCCTACGACACCAGATTCCTGCGGGTGGCGGTTGTGGAGCGGATGCTGATGCACATGGAAGGATGAGACAAAAGATACAAAGCACTTTACTTGGACCCTCGAGCGTGATGGCAGCGCTGGTTGGTCGCGGCCCCGCGACGGGTGGCCTCCCGCCTTCCCGCTCAGCACGGACGCCAGCCCAAAACACACCACTCCTGCAATTGCCAGACCCATCATTGCCCTCGCTGCAAGTCCTCCATCTCCCAGAATGCTCGTCTGACTGATTCCTCGATTATCCTCGTCCTCAGCCTCGACGCCCTGACCTCTCATCCATCCCCACCCTCTCCGAAGGCGTGCCGGCAGCCGCGGCGTCACCTTCGACATCGAGCTTCATTCGCCCACCTCCTGCCCCACGACCAACTCTTCTCCCGATGGCCTCCTAGTCTGCGCCGACTGCTTCGCGACGCACATTCTCCGCATCACCTGGATACCGACGACCGGAAGAGCTGGCAACGCTGACAGACAGCTGTCAGCGCGTCAGGAGTGACATCTCCCCTTCACGGCTGGGGTTCCACGCTCCAAGTGCAGCGGCAAACCATTCCTCGACATCCCCGACTATTGAAATCCTTGCACAATGAATCGCTTTCGGCAAAGAGTGGTATGTTTGCACGATTTCTACCCCCAATCCCCCGTCATACGTCACCTGGCGCGGTGCACCTGAATCTGACCAATCTCCCGCAGCATGAACAACTCTCGCGAGGCAAAGACCGGGATGGCAACAAACTCGCCAAAAAGGAGAAGTCCTCCTCCGGCAGCGCCTCTCCGCTCGGTGGCTCCTCATCCCAATCTCCTACTGGCTCTGCCCAAGCCACTCCCACGGGTTCCACGTCCAACCTCGTCGATCCTCGAAATAAGCCGCTCCCCGGCCAGGACAACCCGACACAATCCCATCCCGGCGCGCCAATGCCCGGCGCGCCTGCGAATTCAAGCCTATCACAGACCTCCAACGCGTATCAGCCACCGGCACTGGGCGGAACGAGCCCGAGCAACGGCGCAAGCACTCTTGCCCCTACCACGCCCGCCCGGCATAATCTACCCCTCGCCCCCAGTGTCGTAATCTCTCCCAGCATCCCGGTAAGTGCACGTTGGCTTCGAATGGCGCATATTTGGGATGGCGTACTGATGATGCAGCAGCACGTGCCTCCTCCCGGCGCAGCGGAAACCATGCCCCACGATCTCGCTCCTCCCAAGGCCGGTCAGAAGAGTCTTCTCTTCGATCGGCTTCAAGCGGTGCCCAAGGACTCCGTTCCTGAAGGCATAAAAACGCCCAAACGACAGCATTCATCACGCTTCGACATCTCCGACCAGAAGCAGCGTGAGCTGGAAAAGCTTCCCGGCTTCCACGAGGTCTCACCGAATCGGCGTCAAGAGTTGTTCATGCAAAAGTTGGATCAATGCAACATCATCTTCGACTTCAACGACGCATCGGGGGATATGAAGAGCAAGGAAATCAAGCGCCTGGCGCTACACGAGCTTCTGGACTATGTTGCGCAGAACCGACAGGTCATATCGGAGCCCATGTACCCGCGAGTCGTGGAGATGTTTGCCAAGAATCTCTTCCGGCCCATCCCTCCGCCCATCAACCCGCAAGGCGAGGCCTTTGACCCCGAAGAAGACGAGCCGGTGTTGGAGGTCGCGTGGCCACATATCCAGGTCGTCTACGAATTCTTCCTCCGCTTCATCGAGAGTCAGGACTTCAACACCAACTATGCGAAGCAATACATTGACCACGGCTTCGTCCTGCAACTGCTGGAGCTGTTCGACTCCGAAGATCCCCGGGAACGAGACTTCTTGAAGACCACTCTCCACAGAATATACGGCAAATTCCTGAACCTCCGGTCATACATCAGACGGAGTATCAACAACGTGTTCTTCCAGTTCACATACGAAACAGAACGCTTCAACGGTATTGCCGAACTTCTCGAAATCCTTGGCTCCATCATCAACGGCTTCGCGCTGCCGCTGAAAGAAGAGCACAAGCTATTCCTTACGCGCGTGCTCATCCCCTTGCACAAAGTCAAGAGCCTGAGCATGTACCACCCACAGCTGGCGTACTGTATCGTGCAATTCTTGGAAAAGGACGCCGCTTTGACCGAGGAGGTTGTACTTGGACTGCTTAGATACTGGCCCAAGGTGAACAGCACAAAGGAAGTCATGTTCCTCAATGAAGTGGAGGACATTTTTGAGGTCATGGATCCGGCGGAATTTGCCAAGGTGCAGGAACCGCTGTTCAATCAGTTGGCAAAGAGTGTCGCCAGCCCCCACTTCCAGGCAAGTAATGCGCGGTGTTTACCAGCACGCCTCCAGCGCTGACGATGTTTAGGTTGCGGAACGCGCGCTCTACTTCTGGAACAACGAGTACTTTTGCAATCTTGTGAGCGACAACGTCGATGTCATCCTACCAATCATGTTTGCACCGCTCTACGAGAATTCAAAGGGGCATTGGAATAGGTGAGGATAGTCTGTCCTGCAGATACGAGTGTCGTGCTAATGTTGCCCAGAACGATCCATGGCATGGTGTACAACGCCATGAAGCTCTTCATGGAAGTCAATCCCGGGCTTTTCGATGAATGCTCGCATGAATACACCGAACAGCAGAAGAACCTGGATACGGTAAAGGCCAACCGACAGGCCAAATGGGACCGCCTGACCCAAATGGCCGAATCGATGAAGACAAGCGTGAACGGAATCCACACATCTTCCACCCGAGCGCCGGGCTCGGGATACAACAGCACAAAAGGATCACAGGCAACCAGTCCTATGCGACAGGATGACGTTGACCCTATGAGTCAAGAAAGCCAGCAACGAATGGAGCGGTTACGACTTCAGGACGACCGAGAGAGAAGGCCGAAGGATGCTGAGAGGCAGAGCAACACGGTACGTTGATCAACACGGTGTGCTTCCTCTTATCCTTCGGTCCAACGACCTCCAATCGCACCCTCACACCCCTTATGTATCCCCTACGAATAGATTTCTGTCCGCCTATTCTACCAAGACCCATTCACTTATCCTTCCATTCACCACAGGGGCATGCTTAGCCACTCCCAATACCCCCCGCTTCACACGGCGTTCAACGTTCTGATCTGAAATGGCGTTTGCTTCTAGACTCGGCATCATCACAGCGATAGCCATGGGGGCGGCACTGGCTCCAAGTCCGTCTCAACGCACAAAGGCCTCCATGTCCAGATTCCAGGACATGGACGCTCTCGCAGCGGCAGTGGTGGGCACCGACCGGGTTCGGCGGGAAGCGCGAAAAGCCCGACTACTGCGGGTGGGGCGCCGGCGAGGAATGACTCGGCCCGAGATACAAAGAGTCCGCGGACTTCGGTGGAGAGTGCTGGCAGTCGTCCCAGTAGTAGGGGTTTGCAGCAAGGCGGGAAAAAGTGCTGATTGGCATCAGTGCGGAAGGGAGTGTGCACCGGAAGATTGTTTGACGTTGAGCGATTCTTGGGCCTCGGGCTGACTGACACGGGACTTGGCGATGGATATAGAGCATGAGCGGCTTTCTCAATTTCTTCTCACGCCTTGGCTGTCATGCGTGTACCGCACCTAGAAGCGTTGCTGATCCCCCATAAGGTATTGAGTCAAGGCCATCCTTACCAGCCTGAGGTGATTGAAAGTGCCGTATTAGGTCTAGCGCGCCAAAACTTCACGTGCAACCGGCCAAAATTTCCACGTGCATCGCTACAACACGATCTCCAAGAGCCTGCAAGGGCATGATACGACACTGGCATAGGAACGGTACGATGGAGCACTCTCAGTATGCGTATCGCGCCGTCCCGGGCTCGGCTGCCTTCTCGGACTTCCGGCTTCACCGGCTCGCCAAAGCAATCGGGGCGTCACATCTGCAGGCGATATGGGTGCACTACGTAGCCTCCTTCGAACCTCTTTCCGAGCAGCAAACCGCAGTTCTGGACCAGCTGCTCGAATACGGCTCTTATCCGGATTCTACCGACGATCTTTACAGCTCTCTACTCCGAGCAGTCCGATCTGGAACGCAGCCCCGTGATGCCGATGTCCGCCTCTTCTATGTCGCTCCCCGACAAGGGACCATTTCTCCTTGGAGCTCGAAAGCAACTTCCATCGCTCAGGTGTGCGGACTGGAGAAAGTCGTACACCGGATTGAGAGAGGAATCGTGTTTGCAGCCACCTTTGATCAGTCCGTCGATACTGGGGAGATCCCCAACGCAGACGCTTTGCATGACCGCATGACGGAGCATATCAGTGTGCAAGCGCCGGATATGGAGCACATGTTCTCGCAACGGCCGCCAGCGCCATTGCAAAGGATAAGATTGGGAAGTACTCCCAAGGATGCTTTGGCCGCCGCCAACCGAACCCTCGGGCTGGCACTGGACGATTCCGAAGTGGACTATCTCATCGACGCATACACTCGTCAACTAGGCAGAGACCCCACCGACGTCGAGTTGTTCATGTTCGCACAAGTCAACTCGGAGCACTGCAGACACAAGCAGTTCAACGCAGACTGGACGATTGACGGAGAGCACAAACAGCGAAGCCTGTTTTCTATGATCCGAAATACCCACAAGTTGAACCCGAGCCACGTTGTTAGTGCGTATAGCGACAACGCAGCTGTGCTGCAAGGGTACACGGGCGGCCACTGGGCACCAGACAACTCTACGGGAGAGTGGAGGCAGACTAAGGAGACCGTGCATTACCTTGCCAAGGTGGAGACTCACAACCACCCCACTGCTGTATCTCCTTACCCAGGCGCGGCGACAGGGTCCGGAGGCGAAATCCGAGACGAGGGCGCGGTGGGCAGAGGCTCCAGGCCCAAGGCGGGCTTGTCAGGATTCACAGTCTCCGACTTACTTATCCCAGATCATCGACAGCCGTGGGAGGTGGATGTTGGGAAACCGGCACATCTCGCGAGCAGCCTGGACATTATGATCGAGGCGCCGATTGGAAGTGCAGCGTTCAACAACGAATTTGGCAGGCCCTGCACAACTGGATATTTCCGCACACTGACCACCAAAGTTGAAACGACTTCCGGTGCAACAGAAATACGAGGCTATCACAAACCGATCATGATTGCTGGTGGTGTGGGCACTGTAAGGCCGCAGCATGCCTTGAAAGAAAAGGGTGTGGTCAGTGCGGGCGCACACCTGATCGTACTTGGTGGTCCTGCAATGTTGATCGGCCTCGGCGGTGGTGCTGCATCAAGCATACAATCCGGCCAAGGCAGCGTCGACCTCGATTTTGCTAGTGTGCAGAGAGGAAATGCAGAAGTCCAAAGACGAGCACAGGAGGTGATCAACACATGCACATCACTAGGCGCGCAGAATCCCATTCAGCTGATTCACGACGTTGGCGCTGGTGGCTTGTCAAATGCGCTGCCTGAATTGGTGGAAGATGCTGGTTTTGGCGCCCGCTTTGAGCTTCGAGAGATCGACAATGCGGACACTTCACTCAGTCCCTTGGAGATTTGGTGTTGTGAGGCGCAGGAACGATATGTCATGGCAGTCGCTCCAGACAAGCTCGACGTCTTCGTTCGTATTGCAAAGCGGGAGAGGTGCGGATACTCTGTCGTTGGCCAAGCGCGGACAGACAGACGTCTGATACTCATGGACCGGGACTCGCAGACCGAGCCTGTTCCCATCGATCTGCCCATGTCGGTGCTGTTTGGCAAGCCGCCTAAGATGCATCGAATGGTCGACTCAAGGAAGCTTCGATTACCATCGTTCGACAGCAGCTTATCGAAGTATCTCCCGGAGGTCTCATCGGCAGACGTGCTCAGCAACGCGGTGGATCGTGTACTCAGTCTTCCATCAGTTGGATCCAAGTCTTTCCTTATCACCATCGGTGACCGCACTGTCGGAGGACTGACCGTTCGGGACCAAATGGTAGGACCGTGGCAGACGCCCGTCGCCGATGTCTCTGTCACAGCCACCTCGCTCACCCCCAGCATCAAGACTGGTGAAGCGATGGCAATGGGAGAAAGGCCGAGTCTTGCGCTCATTTCCCCGGCGGCATCAGCTCGCATGGCAGTTGCAGAAGCACTCACCAACATCGCTGCCGCGAGTGTCCAGGACCGATTACGAAAGATTCGTCTCTCTGCGAATTGGATGGCTGCGAGCAGTCACCCCGGCGAGGGCGCGGCTCTCTACGAAGCTGTGGAGGCCATCGGCATGGAACTATGTCCCGACCTCGGCATCAGCATTCCCGTCGGCAAGGATTCGATGTCCATGAAGACGAAGTGGGAAGGCAAAGAGGTCACTGCGCCCCTGTCTTTAGTCGTTACCGCATTCGCCCCGGTCAATGATATCGGCAGCACGTGGAGACCAGCGCTGAGCAGGCCAGAGGATGTTGGCGATACATTGCTCATGTTCATCGACCTGGCGGGCGGCCGAAAGGCTCTTGGTGGTTCTGCACTTGCGCAAGTGTTTGGCGAAGTCGGCAGCCAGGCCCCGGATGTGCATGATGTGGACTACATTAAGGACTTCTACCACGCCATCCAGCAGTTACATGAGTCGGACATTATCTTGGCATACCATGATCGCTCAGATGGTGGCCTCTTCACTACCCTCGTGGAGATGATGTTTGCAGGACGCTGCGGGATTGATATCCTGCTGGACAAGATTGCGGTATCAACGCGGCCGCAGAGTGTCATTGAAACCCTTTTCAATGAGGAATTGGGTGCCGTCTTCCAGATTCGAAAGAAAGACGAGAGCCTCTTCCGAGGTGTCTTTGCGCCCATGTCACCAGTCACCATTGGCACGGTGTCAAAGAATGGGAAGCAAGACCTTGCGATCTACAGCGGGCCGAGTTGCGTCTATCGAATGGCGCGAAAAGATCTGCAGCAAACGTGGTCGCAGACTTCCTGGGCGATACAACGGCTGCGCGACAACCCCGTTTGCGCGGATGCGGAGAAGGAGAATATCAACGATGACGCCAACCCGGGTTTGCAGTACAAGTTGACGTTCAATCCGAAAGAGAACATTCTGGCATTGACGACTTCAATCACATCTCAGATTCGTGCGAGACCTCGCGTGGCTATCTTGAGGGAGCAAGGCGTGAATGGTCAAGCAGAAATGGCGTTTGCATTTTCCGTGGCCGGCTTCTCGCCTGTTGATGTCCATATGACCGACATCCTTTCGGGGCGCTTCTCTCTGGCTTCTGTCAGCGGGCTTGCTGCCTGCGGCGGCTTCAGCTACGGAGACGTGCTTGGGGCTGGTCAAGGATGGGCCAAGAGCGTCCTGCTCCATGAGGGCGCCAGACAGGATTTCAAAGCCTTCTTCGAACGAAAAGACACATTTGCCCTCGGCGTGTGCAACGGCTGCCAATTCCTGTCCAGATTGACCGACATCATCCCCGGTGCGGAGAACTGGCCGACCTTTGAGCGCAACATAAGCGAGCAATACGAAGCACGAGTCTGCATGGTGGAAGTGGTTGATCCTCCCACCCACACACCCAGTGTCTTCCTGCACGGCATGCACGGCAGCTACCTCCCCATCGTCACCGCGCACGGCGAAGGTCGGGCAAGCTTCGCGACAACGGGCAATTCTTCGCCGGAAGCTCTGCTCGAGCAAGGCCTCGTGTCGATGCGGTACGTCGACAACTCCCTCGCGCCTACCGAGCGCTACCCGTACAACCCGAACGGCAGTCCGCTTGGGATTACTGGCGTGCGGACACCGGATGGCCGGGTCTTAGCTTTAATGCCACATCCTGAGCGCACTATCTTGAAGGAGGTGTCGAGTTACTATCCCGAGAAGTTGGCGAAGGAATGGGGGGAGTTTGGGCCTTGGGTGAGGATGTTTAAGAGCGCGAGGCGTTGGTTGGGTTAGACGTGACAGATGGATCAATTGTTCGCGATGCGACACGAGTTCAGGTTGAAGCCTACTCTGCCGAGTGGGGACGCAGATTCACCAGCTACCGGGCTTATATAATGGATGCCGAATAATGCTTGACATGGTGATCGTCGTAACATACAGAATAAGCCTCCTGTTTTTTTGGTAGGCATGCCGTTCGTACCTAATCACGTGTTAAGGCCAAGGCTGGCAGCTCTACAGTACAGCAAGGACCGGCCCACGATGTGCGCGCGGCTTGGCTCGATCCGCCACAAGCCTATGGCTGCTGCGGCCGGGTCTGACCTCATGCGACAACCGGATTGCTTCTCCAAGCCGCTCGCACACTTCTCCCTCCGCCAGAATTCAATTCTTGATGGCATTAGGTCCCCCGTGGCCACGCTGCCTCACCTGACATCCTTTCGCTGCACCGCACAGCCTCATGGCTCACCCGCCCACCTCCCCCGTCTCCTCCCCCGCGCGGGCCTCCCTCGCCTGAAGAGCGCACACCGACATCATGTTCGAGCCACCGTTGGCCGTGTTGAAATATCTCTATGGCCTCGTGCCCAAGAGCTTCAAGGTGTCGAAGGGCAAACTGCGCTTCAACTACCTCATGGTGCACTATGCCTACCTCATTTCGATGTCTATCATTGGCTCCGTCATCATCTACGGCGGCGGCGCGATGCCATACAACGACGCGCTCTTCTTCGCCGTCGGTTGCGCCACCCAGTCGGGCCTCAACACGATCAATGTCAACGACGTCGCCACCTACCAACAAGTCACCTTCATGCTCATTGCGTGCGTCACCAACCCCATCTTCATCAATACGGTGGTGGTATTCGTCCGGCTGTACTGGTTCGAGAAGAGATTCAAGCATATTGTGCAGGAGCTGCGCGAGAAGCGTCGGGCGAGAGCGCCGACCATTAGCCGTACCAGGAGCGAGATGAAAGCCGGAGATGCGCGAGACCTGGAGGCGGCGCGCGGAATTCAGATTGGCGTCAACGGGCGGGAAATCCGTGTGCTACATGAGACGACCAAGCCCAATGGCATGAGCGAAAATCCAATCCACGACGACAAAATAGAAGAGTTCCATGCGAAACTGCGATCGAGCTCGGAGGAGGAGAGCGAGACTCCGTCGCCCGAGGGCAGCAACACGAGCAACCACGATGTCGAAGACGATGTAATTCAGGCCGCGATATCACGGCAGACCGTTGGCGAAGCGGAGCAAGTCGTGTCCGACTCGTCTGCTTCCCACGGCGGCGACACCAGCCCCACTCTACATCGAGATATCAGGTTTGCCGACGAAGTCTCGCCGGCTGAAAATGAAAAAGACGTGCCTTCTGACAAACCACCGGAAGGGGAGGACATCGCCAAGCACATTGCATTTCGCGAGAGTCAACGGGACAGAGCGAAAGCAGGGCACACTCTCCGCATCCCAGGACCACGCGCATTCGAGGAAGGCGCAGAGCCTGAGGAATTGAGTGATTCAGACGAAGAAAATCACCCTGGTACGGCGGGAGAGAAAAAACTCGCCCCAGTTCGCACCGCGACCGAGCGGGAGGGCGCGAATACATCGGGCGACGACCACACCAATCGTGGTGGGATCAAATTTGAAGCACAAAATCATCCTGCACATCGCCAGTCGACAGAGGGCTTCGAGGAGCCGGTGGAAACGCCAGTCTCGACGTTCGGTCGGATTTGGGATCGCGTGCGCCGACCACCTTCATCGCTCAGCGATGCGCGGGGCACAATCGGACACACATTCAGCCAGTTTTCCACGGCTTTGAGCCGCGAGAGGAGCGGGGAGAGGGAGACGGACCACATGCCGTATCTCAGCTGGCAGGCGACGACCGGCAGGAACAGCGCCTTTCTCGGCCTGAACGAGGCACAGCGCGAGGAGCTGGGCGGCATCGAGTATCGCTCTCTCAAGACCTTGGCCAAGATCCTCCTCTTCTACTTTGTCGGCTTTCATCTTACCGGAATGCTGGTCAATCTGCCGTGGATTCTGCGATCACCTGGCTACAAGCAAGTCATCCAAGGCTTTGGGGTAAATCCCGCCTGGTGGGCCATTTTCACGGCTGCAAGTGAATTCAACGATCTCGGCCTGACCCTCACCCCCAACAGTATGGAGTCTTTCCAGACTGCCACGCTCATTCTGCTCTACGGATCCTTCTTGATCATCATTGGCAACACGGGCTTCCCCATTGGGCTGCGCTTTGTGATTTGGTTCACGAGCAAATTTACGCACTACGGGTCGCGGATGTGGGAGGAGCTTCGCTTCCTGCTCGACCACCCTCGTCGATGTTTCGTCTTGCTCTTCCCCGGCAAGGCGTCGTGGTGGCTGTTCTGGATTCTGGTCTTGCTCAACGGCATCGACCTCGTCTTTTACATTGTATTGGATTTGCACGATTCGACCGTCACAAGCGTTCCTGGGGGCTACCGTGTCTTGGACGGATGGTATCAAGCCGTGTGTACTCGCACCGCTGGCTTCGCCGTCGTCAACATTGCCAATCTGCACCCCGCCATCCAAGTATCCTACCTGATCATGATGTACATATCCGTCTTCCCGATTGCTATATCAGTGCGCAGGACGAACGTATATGAAGAGAAATCCCTCGGCATCTTCGGGGGAGAGGAGGAGGGCGGAGACGATGAGAACCAATCGTACGTCAGCCAGCATCTGCGACGCCAGCTCTCCTTCGATCTGTGGTTCATCTTCCTGGGGCTCTTCATCATCGCCATCGTCGAGGGTGAGAGGATCCAGGCGGTCGATCAGCCGGCATTCACGCTCTTCGCCATCTTATTTGAAATCGTCAGCGCGTACGGCACGGTCGGCCTGAGCCTGGGCTACCCGACCGACGACACCAGCTTCTCGGCGCAGTTCCATATCATCAGCAAGCTGGTCATCATGGCGATGATGCTGAGAGGGCGGCACCGTGGTCTGCCATATGCTCTGGACCGCGCCATTCTCCTCCCCAGCGACCAGAAATCGAAGAGGGAAAGGGAAACGGATGAGGCGCCAGAAGATCATCAGTTGCAGCGCCGCGGCTCCATCTTTGCCGAAACGAATGCGCGACAGCTCCACGGGGCCAATTGGCGGCAGTTTGATCTGGACGAACAAGGCCTTCCGAGACAGCACCTGGTTCACCAGAGTTCCGGCGTGGATGCATCGGCAACGCCTGCGACGGTGGGGAGGAGTTCGACGGGTGGAGAGGAGGACATTCGTCAAAGGCACAAGCGACGAGGCAGCGCGGTGTCGACGAACAGCAACCGGCCAACGCCGCGGAGGCGAAGCAAGAGTCTGAGTCGCGTGATTGCTGGAGGACTCAGTGCTGGTCCTACGTTTTCGAAGAACGATTGAGGAGTGCTCCGGCGGAAGTGGAGCGGTGATGTGAGGTGTGGAGGGACATGTATTCCTTCACTGTTTGCTTGATATGCTGCGTTCTGAGCGACTTGGTATCTGCACTCTTTGCAAGCGCGGCGTTGGCAGGGGTTGATTCACGAGCAACGACGATTTGGATGGGCGGCGGGAAATGCCATGGGTTCCAATTTGGAATGTACATACGTGGACAGAATCACATTGCTCCTGGACCTTTGAGTTGCCCACATACATGCATGCGTGCATTGATTGTGGAGAGACGTGGGGATGTAACTCGACAACCTCCACAGCAAACCCTGGCGGGATCTGCAGATGATGGTGTCATGCACGTGTGCTTAACCGTCGACTCGGTATCTACCTCGCCGCACATCCTTACAACATCGTGTTTGCCTCAATATTCCTCATCCTTGTGTGATCTTTTCGGTGCCATCAGGGTAGTGGACGGTGAAATTGTCTTTTCCGCCAACTCAATCGCGCAGTCCAGGCCCAGCCATTAACATTGTTCCTCCGCCCGCATTCCTTCCTCCCCAACTCACCAGCAACGTCACTCGTTCCCCTCCTCCGCTATACATGCTCCCGCCTTGCGTGCGAGGTCATGCGAGTCGACTGGTTCGGTGCACAAGGAATAGCAGGAGATTCACAAAGGTTGCGACACATTCACGTTTGCCACTAGCAGGCTCCCATCAACGTCACCACTCTGGCCTGCAGACAGAGAAAGCAGCACGCCTCTTCTCCTTCCCTCGCCGCCACATCTCGTTCCAGACGCAATCGCCTCCTCCACACACACTCCACAGATCACTCGCAACAATGGCTGATCCGCCGTCAAGCCGTGCGGCTGGCATCGAATGCCTCGCCGACGGCCTCGAAAAGCCCCTCCTCGACAACCGCTCATACCGCGTGATCAAGCTCGCCAACCAGCTCGAAGCACTCCTCATCCACGATCCCGACACCGACAAAGCCTCGGCCGCCATGGACATCGACGTGGGCAGCTTCGCAGACGAGGAGGACATGCCGGGCATGGCACATGCAGTCGAGCACTTGCTCTTCATGGGCACCAAGAAGTACCCGGGAGAGAACGATTACAACGCCTACCTGACGCGCTACGCCGGCCACTCGAATGCCTTCACCGCCTCCACCTCGACCAACTACTACTTCGAACTCTCCGCCACCTCCACCTCCAACAGCCAGTCCTCCTCTGCCAACTCGAGTCGTTCGAGCTTGCCTGTGCCGAAGCACCAGGCGCCGTTGTACGGGGCTTTGGACCGCTTTTCGCAGTTCTTCGTCAATCCGCTCTTTCTTGAGGATACGTTGGATCGGGAGTTGCGCGCGGTGGATTCGGAGAATAAGAAGAACTTGCAGAGCGATCCGTGGCGGTTGATGCAGTTGAGCAAGAGCTTGTCGAGTCCTGAACACCCTTACCACAAATTCTCCACGGGGAGTTACAAGACGCTACATGACGATCCCATTGGGCGAGGAGTAAAGATACGCGATGAGTTTATGAGATTCTACGCGAAGCATTACTCCGCCAATCGCATGAAGCTGGCGGTGCTGGGACGCGAGGGGTTGGATGAGCTGCAGGAGTGGGTGCAGGAGTTCTTCTCGGAGGTGCAGAATCAAGATCTGGCCCAGCTGCGATGGGACGGCATTCCTGCTCTGTCGAAAGACGATCTACTGACGCAGACTTTCGCCAAACCTGTCATGGACCAGCGGAATTTGGACATCTATTTCCCCTACCCTGACGAGGATGAGCTGTATGCTTCACACCCTGCTCGCTATATCAGCCATCTCATCGGGCATGAAGGACCGGGTAGCATTCTTGCGTACATCAAAGCGAAAGGATGGGCCAATGGTCTTAGTGCTGGCGCCAGTCCGCAATGCCCCGGTACCGCATTCTTCTCGATTGGTATTCGGCTCACCGAGTCCGGTCTGGTGAATTACCAGGAAGTGGTCAGGATTGTCTTCCAATACATCGCAATGATCAAAGAGCAGCCGCCGCAGGAATGGATCGTGGACGAAATGAGCCGGCTCGCCGAGGTGGATTTCAAGTACCGGCAGAAGATCCCAGCGAGTCGAACAACGAGCATGCTGAGCGGACAGATGCAAAAGCCGTCGCCGCGCGACCAGCTGTTGAGTGCACAGTCGCTGATCCGGAAGTTCAACCCGGAAGCCATCGAGACTGGCTTGAAGTGCTTGAATGCGGAGAACTTCCGCATTCGCCTCGTCAGTCAGGAGTTCCCTGGGGAATGGGATAAGAAGGAGAAGTGGTATGGCACGGAGTACAGATACGAGAAGATCCCAGCAGACTTCATGAGCGAGATCAGGAAAGCTGCCCAAGCGACGGCCGGCGAGAGGCCAAAGGAGCTGTACTGGCCTGCCGTAAACGAATTCGTACCGCAGCGGTTGGACGTGGAGAAGAAGGAGGTGAAGGAGCCTGCAGTCACGCCGAAGCTGATTCGCAATGATGCGAATGTGCGAACATGGTGGAAGAAGGACGACCAGTTCTGGGTGCCGAAAGCGAGTTTGCATGTGCTCCTTCGCAGCCCGTTGGCCAAGCAGACGCCCTTCTACAGCGTCATGGGTCAAATCTATCGCGAGTTGGTCGAAGACTCGTTGACGGAGTACAGCTATGATGCCGAACTCGCGGGTCTGGAGTATGCCATTATGAGCCATGGACAGGGAATGGACGTGGTTGTCAGTGGGTACAACGACAAGATGGCCGTGCTGCTGGAGAAGGTGCTGCTGTCCATGCGCGACTTGCAAATCAGCGACGAGCGCTTCGACATCATCAAAGAGCGCCTCATGCGCGGCTACAAAAACTTCGAATACACCGAGCCCTTCCGGCAGATCAGCTCTTACTCCCGCTGGCTGGTGAGCGAGAGCGGCATTATCAATTTCCAGCTGCTGGAGGAGATCAAGACCGTCACTGCCGAAGATGTGCGGCAATTCTTCCCGCAGCTCCTCAAGCAGATGCACATTGAGATTCTCGCGCACGGCAACGTGTACAAAGAGGATGCACTGCGCATCACGAACCTCGTGGAGAGCACTCTGCGCCCCCGTCCCCTTCCCGTCGAGCAATGGCCGACGCGGAGATGCATCATGCTCCCGGAGGGCAGCGACTACCGCTACGAACGCGTGCTCAAGAACGCCGACAACATCAACCACTGCCTCGAGTACACCGTCTTCACCGGCGACGCGCAGGATCTGCGCATCCGCGCGAAAACGCTCCTCCTCGCGCAAATGGGCGACGAGCCGGTCTTCGACACGCTGCGCACGAAGGAACAGCTGGGCTACGTGGTGGGCAGCAATGCCGTGCTCGTTTCCACGCTCGCGGGCTGGCGCATCCTCATCCAGTCGGAGAAGGACTGCGCGTATCTTGAGAAGCGGGTGGACGAGTTTTTGATGGCGTTTGAGCGCACGATCCGCGAGATGCCGGACGACGAGTTCGAGGCGCATAAGATTGGGCTTGTGAACAAGCGGTTGGAGAAGTTGAAGAATTTGGGGCAGGAGACGGGGAGGTTTTGGGGGCATGTGGTGGATGAGATGTACCATTTCGATCTTGGTGAGTGCCTCCGCCTTGTGCTCTTTGGCATCGCCTTTTGCTGACCGCCTTCAGTCTACGACGATGTGGCCAATATCGAACCCCTGACCAAAACGGACATGCTCGACTTCTTCAACAAATTCATCCACCCGCACTCCACCACGCGCGCCAAAGCGGCCGTGCACCTCATCGCGCAAGCCTCGGCCGCCGACCTCGCCAACAAGACGTCCGACGGCGAGAAGGTGGAGAAGCTGGTCGACACGCTCGTGCAGATGCTGGGCCAGCTGGGCCTCGAAGACGCGAACGCTGCGGCGGAGCTAAAGAAGCGTTTGCAGAAGGTCGACGTGGCGAAGGCGGATCTGGAGGGCATTGTGGGTGCTGTGGGCGGGTATATGAAGGAGGGGGCGGGCGTTGCGGCGGAGCAGGTCGAGCAGATTCTTGCGCAGGGGAAGGCGGTTATTGCGCAGATGTTGCCTACTTTGGGTATTGTTGCGCCTTCTGCGGTTGCTGCCTCTGACACAGAGGTCAATGGTGAGGAGGCTGCTGGTGTCAATGGGACGCAGAAGGAGGAGAAGAAGAGCAAGACGGTGGTGATTGAGGATGTCAAGGCTTTCAAGGCGAGCATGCCGCTCAGTCCTGGCCCGCGCGCCGTGAAGGATTTGAGGGAGTTTGAGGAGCTGGGCGCGAAGCTATGAGGAGCATGCATACAGCTAATGGATAGAGAAAAGCGATGAAGAAAGGCTCTGAAGAGCACCAAAAACACCACCCTCCCTCTCCTCGCATGACATCAATGTTTGGAAAGAAGATGAGCTGCTCCAAGAGCGAGGGATATCATGAATTTACAAATTTTGGCCGCTCCATATCCTTACTGGCCCACGGCCGTCTGCGCCGCAAATCCCCCTTCGGACTTGCCCACTGTCCCCTCCGCTGTTGTCGGCTCCGCGCCACCCTGGGTGTACTTCTTCTCGCACCACTGCTTCAGGTCACGCGTCCAGTCTTGCAGTCTATACCTCCAATTCTGCTCAAAGTTGGTCCGCACGGTGCGCGCCAGTGGGCCGGCAAAGACCTCCCATGTGCGATAGATGGTCGTGCCATCCGCCGCCTCTTCAATCTCGTTGATGCGCTCGCACTTCAGCAGGAAGCCCGGGGTGGAGATGGCGGCATTGTCGAGCTGCCAGCGGATGCGCGTCACGCAAGGCGCATTGTGCCCATCTTTCGCCAACTTCAGCTTCTCCACCAGCGTGACGACCTGGCGCGACTCGGCCTGCTTCGGCGGGTCGTAGGAGATGTTGCGGTAGAAGATCATGCACGTGCCGCCCGTCATGCGCGTGTGCGAGCGCTGGCCCGTGCCGTGCGGGTTGGGGTTCTTGGTGATTTTGACGTTGTACACGAACGTGTTCCACTGCTTCCAGTCGCCGACGTCGAGCAGGGCGTCGTAGACTACTTGCGGCGGGGCGGCGATGGCGACGGCCGAGTAGGCGGAGAAGAGGCCGCCGCTGGGGATGTTGTGCGTGGGCCGCGGGCCGGTGAGCTCGGAGTTGTGGAAGTCGGCGCCTTTGAGCGCGCCTTTGACGTCTTTGGGGGGCTTTTTTTTGCTGGTCACGCTGGTTGAGGTGGTGGTGGGGGTCACGGGGGACGACATTTCGAATCACCTCCGACACTCGGGGACGGGCGTGGTGGGAAGGGAGAGGAGAGGGGAGGGGAGGGGGAGAGGAGGAGGGGAAAGGTAAGGTGGTGGAGGTTGTGGGTGCGGTTCAGCCTCGTGGGGAATGGCCCGCCACCGCCTCCGGAAAGCCCGGCCTGCTTTGGCCGCCCTTCTGCTCGTCTCCTCCTCTTCCTCCTCCCAGGCCTCTATCCTTGTTTAGTCACGCCATCACATTGCTGAATCAGGTCTCCACGCGACGAATGTAGGCTGGACTGGTGTCTGTTCCAGGACATGTTTCGACAGCCATCTCCAGCTCAAGTTGCGCGGGATTGAGGCAAGTGCTGTGCTCGCACGCGGAGTCTCTCTTTCCGCGCACCTCAGCTTATCTCCCCCAAGACTGGCTCCACCGCGCTTCGGACGTTGTCTTCTCTACTCGTGGACCAATCCAATGGATAGCTATCATGCCTCCACCACCCGTTTCCTTCCACACCAAAGGCAAGCGAATGGTGTACAATGAAAGCTACATCGTCGTCGACCAAGCTTACGTGCAATACATGCCCCCAGTTTCGGTCGGGAATAAAGAATACTCCCCTGCTGATTTGCCTATCCTCTTCATCCACGGCGGAGGACTGACCGGCGCGATGTGGGAAGCCACTCCCGATCGTCGACCTGGATGGGCTGTCCTTGCTAGTCGGCCCCCTTACACCCGATCAGTGTACTGCATCGATGCCGTCGACAGTGGACGCAGCCAACGCTGTCCAGACGACTTACGCTCGGCACCCGTCGAATACCGCACTGCGAAGCAGATGCACGAGCGCTTCCGCCTGGCTCCGTCGGAGAACAAAAGTACCGACGACCAGGAATATCAATTCCCACTTGAGCACCTGGATGCCTTGATAGCTACGCAGAGCGCCCGAAGACGAGGACAGGAGCAATATAGCGCCGAAGCGAAAGGCATCCAGGATGCCATCTCGGAGATTGGCGAGTGTGATATCATCGCGCACAGCAACGGCTGCTCTACTTGCATTTCTGCCCTGCTCGATCCCAACACCACGTCGAAAGTCAGGCGTCTTGTCTTGGTTGAGCCGGCTTGGGCTTTGACGGATTCTACGGACCACTTGAAGGATGTCACCACTTTGCTTGTTTGGGGCGATCATCTGGCTGGCCATGAAATGTGGGAACCCATTGTGGAGTATTACCGGGACCTGGAAGGGGATGTGACGGTATACGATCTACCCAAGATGGGAATCAGGGGCAACTCTCACTTCCCTATGCACGATCGGAATAGTGATGAGGTGGGTCATTTGATTTTGAAATGGCTACAGAAAGCCTGAAATAAACCACTACTTGGACTGCTCCGAAGCAAAATCCCTCACCGCCACACCGTTCGCCGCAAGAAGTGCAATGAGTTCGGTGAGCTTCAAGTTGAGCTCCTCAAACGCGCACACCATCCTGTCAAGCACTTTCCCCTGCCTTGACCACATGTTCACCACAGCATTGGCTTCAATGGCCTCGGTGGACGCCTCCTGCCGCACTGAAACGAGCCGGTCCTGCAGATTTCCCCGCTCCCATTCCTCAATCTGGACCCACGATAACGCCGCCGCCGTTCTCTCGGTGACATCGTCTACGTTCCTGTGCCCTCCTACGGCGGGCCGCGGATCGCATGTGCCTGGCAGATGTCCACCGCTGTTGCCAGCCGCTCTGCTGGACTCGGCGGCAGGTTCTGCACCTTGCTGTGGACTGTCGTAATCCAATTCGTCCTCAGACTCCTGTGCTTGTTGGATCTCCAAGGCTCTGTTACGCTCTTTGTTCAGCGTTTTGATTTCATCCATCTCGGCGTTCAATCCGTCGATGCAGCTTTGGATTTCTTCGGCGGTTGGTTGTGTACGCTTGGGCATGATATTGATCGAAGCTATGGTTGAAGAAGTCGAAGATGCCAGAGGAATAGAGACAGAGTGGCAGTCATGGGGACATATATAGATAAAGAGCCCATCATGTTGAGCAGCCTGGTTGTAGTGAAGAAGTCTGTTACAGTGAATGCCGACCAGGTCGACAGTGCCTGCGGCATACACGCCCATCATCGTGACACAACCACGTAGTCAGTATTGTTAGTGACCTCTTGTGTCATCTGCCACGTATTTGTGCTTCACGACCAGAATGCCTTACAGTCACTCGTTCAATGCCTTCTCAAAGAGGAAAGTAGCAAACACCTGAAAGAGGAAAGTCCGTGCTCGAGCTTCGACGCCCAACTTCAAGGCCGCTGGGAGACTTTCGACAACACTTGAACGTAGCACGGCATTCCATCATGCCTCCGCGGCTGCCATTGACGGCTCGTCACCTGCAAGCAGCAATCAAAGAGCCCTACATCTGCTCCTCATGTCTCGCGAAAAGCGCCACATGGAATGGAGCGCGAGGCATCGCGCGAACGAGCAGACAGCGAGAGGACCGGGACGTGCAAGCTAAACGCACGACTCCTCTACGCCCACGACTCTCCACTACGACTTTCCGCGTACCTAAGACGGCATCCATCAGAAACTACGCAACCAACGACTCCCTAGCATCCACCACAGCCGTCAACGCGCCCACCACCGTCCCCGAACCCTATCGAGACCTGTACAATGCCCTACTCGCTTTACAAGAGCAAGCCAGCAGCTACGTGGATCTCTCTAGACTGCAACTAGCCACACGGAGTCTTGAGTCCAACAATGCCGTGATAAGAGTTGCCCTCCTCGGGCTGGGAAGCAAAGGCGCGCTCGCGGCGCGGAGATTGGCTGGGGTTTTGCTCAGCGATATCCTTTCGGACGACGAGCCGTGGCAACGGGAGATACTCGAAGGCATTGAAGATGGCAGGAGCTTGCTGTTGCGCTATGGCGATGCGGAGGATGTGCCGCGGAGTAATGCGTTGGTGCGCACGATGCATATCCCTTCTCCGTTCTTGAGGACGCACAATATGGAGATCTTGATCACGGGGTTCAGCCCCGGTGCTGGAGACGTACCTAGCAGCGATGTCGCGGCGTTGGAGGACGCGTTACTTGTCCCTCCGTTGACTACGCCCAATTCAGCGGGCGGAAGGGTTGCGTTCGTTCGGTATCCCGTGCACAAAGCGGTGTTGGTTGTTGATGGCATCGCTGGCGCGGTGGAGTACGGACGGTTTCCCGTTGACTTGACGGAGGGACCTTTCATCAACGCTGCTATTTGCGTTTCTGCGCCTCCCACTCCGTCCGAAGGTGGCGTCCCTGGAGGCAGGACGGTGGATGTGGATCTTGCTAATCAAGCTCTCGAACACTTCCGCTCGCACAAGGCAGAAGGCGCGCAGCACCTCCAGGAACTGGATAGAAGTGGCGTTCCTGCTCTGGGCGAATGGATGGCTTCTACCAACCCAAACAGCCCCGCGGACAAATCTCGAAGCACTACGGACCTCAACCCAGCTGTCGGGAACTTGATATCGTCGATATTGGCCAACGCTTCTACTTCCATTGCTGTATCTGAAGACAGCGAGCGAACTCTGGCAACCGCCAACACTGTGTCGGAGCATCAGCGGAAAGCTCTGCAAGGAGCCATTTCCAGATGGTCTGCAGAAGCCCACAGCGATTTGCAACGCAACCTCGACACTGCGCTCCACGACTCAAATGCATGGCGAAGGACGGTATGGTGGCGGCTGTTCTGGCGCATAGACGACGTCACCGTCTCTGCATCCGATATCATACGGTCCAGCTGGCTCACAGAGTCAGAGCAGCGCCTCGCCTTTCTCAGCGGACGAATATTTGACGCAGGTTTGGCGACAGAGGCGCAGCTCATCGGCACTCCTGTCGCTGCGAATCACGAGGACGCACAATCTGCAAAGCCAGATGTGACAGCAGAAGCGGGCACCGCACGACTCAAAGCAGCAGCCGAGCTCGAACGAGCAGGAAGACTACTTACCCGTCTTCAACTCCAACCCCCACCAATCCCCCTCACCCGCGGGCCCTGGCCACAAGCCATCAACTTCAGCCGCGCGTACATGCTACACGCCCTCGTCCCAGCCTTACACCGCAAAGCGCAAACTCTCCTGGTCTCCGCCCTCACCACCATCGGGGGCTCCGCAGCTCTCAGCGCATGGCTCTTCGTCGCCACCGCCGGTGTCTACGAGGCAGGAGCCGTGTTTGCTTTGGGCTTTGTGTGGAGTTTGCGTCGCCTGCAGAAGAAGTGGGAGGGGGAGAGGGAGGGGTTTGCTGCTATTGTGCGGGAGGATGCGAGGAGGGTTCTGATGGAGGTTGAGGAGGCGTTGAGGGGGATTGTGGATGGGGGTGGGAGGGTGAGGGTGAGGGGTGAGGATGAGAGGAGTTGGAGGGAGGCTCGGGGGGCTGTGGAGAGGTGTCAGGCTGCGCTGGAGAAGATCAAGGCTGAGAGGTGAGGGCTTTCCGTATGACTAAAGCCAATTCAGAGTCCTGTATTCACGAGCTGTGAAGTCATGAAATGTGTGCATGCAGTTCTGCATCATGCATAAGACTATTCAATTGAGCATTGATGGACGCACTCCGGCGACGCGATTTATGCCTGAGGCAACATTCGTGAAAGCAAAGCCCGGGTAGCCCCGCTCCAAATATGGACTAGCGTTACAAGTCAACCGCACCGCACCGTGCCAAGAGTTCTAAATCTGCGGCACACGGAACAACGCCAAATCTCGAAAGTCTGTTGCAACGACTGCTTTCTGTCACGAAGCAACTCGGCACATCAACCAACTAACAACACCGCAACAATGACGAGCCGACCGACTGTCACCATCCACGGTGGTGATGGCGCCCCCACCAAGGACACCCACCCGCTTCCCAGCGTCTTCAAGGCCCCGATCCGCCCGGACATTGTGCAGTAGGTGGAAAGCGAACAAGAGCGAGGATGATGGAGATTGCAGACTAACAAATCTCTCAGGGCTGTCCACGCCGGCATGGCGAAGAACAAGCGTCAGCCGTATTCCGTGAGCGAGAAGGCTGGTCACCAAACTAGCGCTGAGTCCTGGGGTACCGGTACGTGATGCAGCATTGAAAAAGCCGCCATGCTTCACACCGATCCGCGAACTGACAACCCTCCCAGGCCGTGCCGTCGCTCGTATTCCCCGTGTCTCTGGAGGTGGTACCCACCGTGCCGGTCAAGCAGCTTTCGGCAACATGTGCCGCTCTGGCCGCATGTTCGCCCCGACCAAGATCTGGCGCAAGTGGCATCAGAAGATCAACCTCAACCAGAAGCGCTTCGCCACTGCTTCTGCCATCGCCGCTTCCTCCTCCGCCGCCCTGCTCCTCGCCCGTGGCCACCGCGTCTCCTCTGTCGCCGAGGTCCCCCTCGTCATCTCCAGCACCGTCTTCGGCGCCGCCGCCCTCATCAAGACCTCCGCCGCGAGCAAACTCCTCGAGGCTGTGGGAGCCAAGGCAGACATTGACAAGGTCAAGGCGTCGCGGAAGCTGCGTGCCGGCAAGGGCAAGATGAGGAACCGACGTCACACCCAGCGCCGTGGACCTCTCGTCGTCTACGACGGTGAGAAGGACGGCAAGGACCTCGTGCGCGCCTTCCGCAACCTGTCTGGCGTCGAGACCTGCTCCGTCTACGCCCTCAACCTCCTCCAGCTCGCACCCGGCGGCCACCTCGGCCGCTTCGTCGTCTGGACCTCCAACGCCTTCGCCGCCCTCGACTCCGTGTACGGCAGCACAACCGAGCCCAGCGAGCTCAAGCGCGACTTCCTCCTGCCTTCCAACCTCGTCGCCCAGCCCGATCTCGCCAAACTCATCAACAGCTCCGAGGTGCAAAGTGTGCTTCGTCCGACCAAGGGCGGTGCGATCACGAAGCGCGGCGTGGTGCAGAAGAAGAACCCGCTGCGCAACAAGCAGATTCTGCTGCGTCTCAACCCGTACGCTGCTGCATACCACAAGGAAGGGCTGGGGCATGTCAAGGCGGACACCAAGCCGGTGGAGAAGGATGCGACGTTTGAGGCGACTCTGATGGAGAACTAGAGTACTATCCGTTATGTACGGTTCGAAGTTCCCGTAGTTGAGCGTGTCTTTTAACTTTTGTTGCAGCTGCAACATTCAAACCTCCCACAGATCCTGACTTGTCTCTTTCTATGAACCTATTCTCATACTTGGGCTATCGAGCGACGCTCAATGCCTACCTGAACTCCATCGCTAAAATAGAATGCTGTCTCCGAAGCTTGACTCAACGAAACAGCCTCCTCCCGCCCATACGCGGAGCCGCGACCTCCCTGCCTTCAAGACTGAGTCCCGTAAACCCCACCGTACCGCCTGCACGGGACTTCTTGTAGCGCCGTAGGGCTTCGCGGAGATGGTCTGGAAGAAGGGGGCCACGGTCGCACTCCAGAAATGAGGACTGCAGTCCGCCCGCACCACCTAGGCTGAGAGCCTCTGCTATGCTCTGGGGAGGTTTCGCTTCTTTCGTTTCTTTGACGTTCGTCTGCGCAGGACTGGAGGAAGACTTGTTGGCTTTCTCGTCCTTTTCGGTTACGCGAGAATCTTGAGTGGTCGGCGGTTCGTTCTCCTCTTCGGCTCGCTGTTCTTGCAGCGCGTGGTTCAGTCTGTCAAAAGCGGCATTCTCCCCTCCATCTGCCCTCTTTGATTCCACGCCCGCCCACTCCCTCTGCACCTTCCTCGCCTCCTCGATCAGATCCATGGCGAACATCTTCGTGTACGCCCCGACGACCAGCACGACATTCCCTGGCACACTCTGACTCAGCGTCTGATTGACCAGTTTGCGCAAATCATTCTTGTGCAATTTCGCGCGGTACTGCACGTCGAAGCGATCCGCCATGTCGTTGACCGTCAGGCCGGCGCGCGAAGGCCGCGTGGCGGTCAGCGGCGTCCGGTCAAGCCTCTCCATGTACGTGCGGAAACTGGCGCGCGCGATGTCCGCGGCTTGCACTTCGGCTTCGGTCAGTTCACCGCCCGCATAAAGCGGTGCTCTGCCTCCGCCAGCGCCGGGCGCTAGATCATCGTCTTCGTCCTCCTCGTCTTCGTCGCCTGCGAGCGATGCCGCGCCTGCTGTTCCGCCGCGGGAGCTGCGTTCGCGTTCGCCATTCACGAGGCTGACGCTGCTGGCGCGAGCGTGCGTGTGGGCTTTCGAAGGTCGACCGCGCGCTCGTTTCTCGCCTCGCTTGCGTTTGCGCGAGGCCCCGCTGTCCCCTACGCCGGAAATGGCGGACATGATTTCGCTGTCGCTGAACTCCTCGTCGTCGTCCATGTCCGCGCCGGGACTGCCTTGCGAGGTCTGCGTGGGGGAGTAGCGCAGGACTGCATCTTCTGCGGCGGCGTGTTGGGCTTCGAGGCTATCTGGTGGGGGAAAGGAGGTTTGACGGAGGGGATGGGCGGAGTTGTGGGCGGAGGCGGTGAGGGGTGAGGGGCGGCGGGTGTGACTGCTTTGACTCTGGAGGGAGAGCGTTGGTCGTTGACGGGGGAGGGCCAGAGGCGAGGCGGCTGGGGGAGATGTAGCCGATGACGGAGGTGGAGAGGCCATCACGGCGGATGTTTTGCGGATGGTCTTATCGGAGGAGCATGGTAAGGTGAGGTGAGGTGAGATGTAGGTCTGGTTCATGAATTGGCGGGCGGATCGTGAATGCATGTGAGGTAAAGCTTGGATGACTAAGCAGGCAACCCTTATTCCCTTCTCACAACGTAGCTTCAACTTGGAGACGATCCTCTCCATTGATTAGATATACATCCGTTGCAAGGCTCGCAAAGATGTCTCGTGGGCACATTCCTTCCTTCACATGGGCCAACATTTTCCATCTTTGCACCATCCTGTGCATGCTCATCACGCCGGCCGGTATGCATTGCCCTCCCCTGAGCAGCAATGTAGCCATTGGCTATGCCTCTTCATCCCTTCTGACTGTTGAAATATAGTGATGGTGAAGCATGAAAACTTCAAAACTTGCGAGCAGTCTGGTTTCTGCAAACGCAATCGCGCCTACGCCGACACCGCGTTGTCCACTTCCAACTGGAACTCTCCCTACACCCTCGACCCCGCATCCATCAAGTTCAACAAGGGCGTCTTGACCGGCACTGTGCTCAAGAAACTCGCCACATCAGACGAGAATGTGCGATTACCGTTGACCATCACCTTCCACGAGGCGGGAACGGCGAGAGTCACGGTAGATGAGGAGCGCAGACAGAAAGGAGACATTGAACTTCGGCATGACAGCAAAGCGAGGAAGGAGAGGTACAATGAGGCGGAGAAGTGGGCCATTGTTGGAGGCACCGCGGTCAGTACCGGTGCTGCACTGAGCAAAGATGCGGACCAGGGCACCACTCGAGTCCTGTTTGGGCAAGGGAGCAAATTCGAGGCCATCGTCCGTCATGCTCCTTTTGGTATCGACTTCAAGCGAGAGGGTGAGACGCAGATTCAATTCAACGATCGTGGATTGATGAACTTTGAGCATTGGCGTGCGAAGGTGGAGAAGCCGGAAGTCGCAGCGGCGGAGGGCAGTGAGGAGAACCAAACAGAAGATACGGCGGTGAAGACCGATTCTGGTGAAGATGAGAGCACGTGGTGGGAAGAGTCTTTTGGCGGCAACACGGACAGCAAACCGCGAGGACCGGAAGCAGTTGCGTTGGACATCAACTTCCCAGGCTATGGACACGTGTACGGTGCGGCCGAGCATACCGGCCCTCTATCGCTAAAGGAAACTCGAGGAGGCGATGGCAAGTACTCCGAACCCTACCGATTGTACAACAGCGATGTGTTTGAGTACGAATTGGACAGCCCGATGACGCTGTACGGCTCCATTCCATTCGTGCAGGCCCACAAGAAGGACTCCTCGGTTGGTGTGTTTTGGCTCAACGCCGCCGAAACGTGGATCGATATTACGAAAAGCACGTCAACTGCGAATCCCCTCAGTCTCGGCATCGGCAACAAAGTCACCACTCAGACGCACTGGTTCAGCGAGAGCGGTCTGCTTGACGCTTTTGTCTTTCTTGGCCCAACGCCGCAAGATGTCATCGGATCATATGCGGAACTGACCGGCTTCACCGAGCTGCCGCAGCACTTTGCCATTGCGTATCACCAGTGTCGGTGGAATTACGTGACGGATGAAGATGTCAAGGATGTTGATCGTAAATTCGACAAACATCGAATCCCTTACGATGTCATCTGGCTGGATATCGAATACACGGACGGCAAGAAATACTTCACGTGGGATCCGATGAACTTTCCAGATCCTATCGGGATGCAGAAACAACTGGATCAGCGTGAGAGGAAGCTGGTGGGTATCATCGACCCGCACATCAAGAACGAAGGCGGATACAGCATCGTGGACGAGATGAAGTCCAAGGACCTGGCAGTCAAGAACAAGGAGGGAACCATCTTCGAAGGCTGGTGCTGGCCTGGCAGCAGTCATTGGATCGATTGTTTCAGCCCGAAAGGCCGAGAATGGTGGAAGAGCTTGTTCCGCTACGACAAGTTCAAGGGTGCGGCGAAGAACATGTTTATCTGGAACGACATGAACGAGCCATCTGTCTTCAACGGACCAGAGACTACGATGCCAAAGGACAATCTGCACTACGATAATTGGGAGCACCGCGATGTGCACAACATCAATGGCATGACTTTCCACCAGGCCACCCATGATGCACTTCTGGCTCGCGACAAAGACGAAGACAAGCATAACGTGAGACCATTCGTCTTGACCAGAGCCTTCTTCTCAGGGAGCCAACGATTAGGTGCGATGTGGACCGGGGACAACCAGGCGTCCTGGGGCCATTTAGAGGCGAGCATCCCGATGCTTCTTAGCATGGGCATCAGCGGGTATCCGTTCGCGGGCGCCGATGTGGGTGGTTTCTTCGGTAACCCCGACAAGGAGCTCCTGACTCGGTGGTACCAAGCTGGCGCCTTCTACCCCTTCATGAGAGCGCACGCGCACATCGATACGCGCCGGCGAGAGCCGTATTTGGCTGGCGAGCCGTACACCCAGATCATCGCGCAGGCCATCCGCCTGCGCTACAGCTTGCTGCCGGCGTGGTACACGGCGTTCCATGAGGCGAGCACCACGGGCGCTCCTATTCTTCGGCCGAACTACTATGTGCATCCCGGTGACGAAAAGGGTTTCGCCATCGATGACCAGTTCTATCTCGGCAGCTACGGGCTCTTGGCCAAGCCAGTGACCAAGGAAGGCGAGAAGGGGCAGGAGATGTACTTGGCCGACAAGGAGAAGTACTACGACTACTTCGACTATTGGATGTACGAAGGCCCGTCGACAGTGAAGGTGGCGGCGGATCTGGACACGATTCCGTTCCTGATGCGAGGCGGCCACATTATCCCCCGCCGCGACCGCCCGCGCCGAAGCTCGGGGTTGATGAAGTTCGATCCGCTTACGCTGGTCGTCGTGCTGGGCAACTCCGGTGACGCAGAGGGCACGCTGTACCTCGATGATGGAGAGAGTTTCGACTACAAGGACGGCGCATACATCCATCGCCGCTTCCACTATCAAGGCAGCACTTCGACGCTCATGAGCGAAGATCTGGGTGTGTCGGGGAAGAGAACGAAGGAGTATCTCAAGACCATGGAGAAGGTGAGGGTTGAGAAGATTGTGGTGGTCGGCGCGCCGGATGCATGGAGGGGCAAGACAGAGGTGGAGGTCAGCGAAGAGCAGGGTGGGAAGAGCTCCGCCGCCCGACAGGTGGAGCTGGAGTATCACGAGCGGGAGGCTGGGAAGGCGGCGTGGGCGGTTGTGCGCGATCCCGGCGTGCAAGTGGGAGCGGGGTGGAAGATTGCTTTTTGACGAGACATGAAACATGCGGAGGCACATGGAGTAGGAGAAGAGGAGGTTTGTGGTACCCTAAGCGCGGTCCGCGGACATGCTCGATCTTGCTTCCATTTCGATCTACGGTACTGCATGCACGATTGCCCATCTGCTGATCAGTGGCTTCGGCAAGTCATGGCAGCCCGGAGGGTGTGGAGAAGCGGCCAGGGTAGCACATGGATGGGAGAGAGCTTGGGAGGCAGCAAACCTTGGCCATCGTTTCATCCAGCGACCAAGCCACTGCGATCGTCCGTCGATTGCCGCGGTTTGAGGCACGTCAGTCATCCAGTGACTTCCCGTTACGGCATCTACATTTGGTGATCCCCTCTTTCGATGTTTTGGAATCGCTGCAGGTGGTTGCTTCTTGTCGCAAATGCATCGACTGCTGAGCAACGATGTTTCTTGGCAGTTGCTGCATGCATCTCGTCCAGCTCCAGCTCCAGCTCGCTCATCGCAAGCGGCGTCAGGCGTGGATGGAATGAAGCGAGGCGGGCGTCGGCGATTTGGAATAGAGGATTTGCAATTTGCCCAATCCAGCCTTCCCCAGATTAGGTAAGGCCCGGGTGCCGCCGCCTCTTCCCTCCGCTTCACCCCACCCCATCGACGCCGCCCGACGCAGCCTCGACTCGCGCGTCTGCCAAAGGCGAAAAAAGATCTGTCATCGCCCATCTCGACTCGCCGCACGCCTGCCCTCGCCCTCTGATTTGTCACTGATGCATCGGATGCCATGCTGTGATTGGGTGCGATTCCCACCTGCGCTTCTGCCTCTCTGTGTTTTGCCCAAACCTGGCTTCTCTCCCCATTCTCCTGGCATCGCTGTCTACTGCCCCATGTCGGACTGCCCTTTCCGCCCTTCTGCCATGTGCCACCGGAGAGGGCGATATGCATGATGAGATCTTGACGTGGGTTGGGTTGGCGAGCTGTTGAGGCTTGATATGCGTTTCGACCTGCTTTGAAACTCCCGTTGGCTTCCTCGTCGTCCTCCATCTTCTTCTTCTTCTTTTATCTCCTCTGCTCGCCCTCGCTCCATCTCTCCCCCCTCCTTCTCCTCTCTATCTCCCGTCCTCTGTGTCCTTTCGTCATCGGTTCCCGGCACAGTTCCGGATACGAGCTTGACCTAACCCAATTCCACATCCAACGACGATTGCATCCACGTGCCTGCTCCCAACCCCATAACCCCAGTTTTCCCCTGCCTGGTCTCTCATCCATCAAACCAAATCACACCATGCCCTCCAAAACCAAATCCAGCTCCAACAAAAGCCATGCCTACCTGGGCGAACGCGAACGCTCCGCCATCGAGAACTGGAGCCAGGGCGTCACCGATCGGCCGACGAAACCGAGCGCTCCCAATGCCAGCGACAAGTCCGTCCAGGCGTATCTTGAGGCCAAGATGAATCTCTTTCGCGTCGCGTCGGAGGGCCAGAGTGGCGTCAAGCAGGCTTCTCATTGATCTGGTGGTTGGCACGTGACGGGAATATCATTTACGTTCCGCAGGACGCAGTGGCAACTAAAGCCTCGCCGATTCCAGCCACTCGGATTGCCTGCAATGGTCTTTGTGGCCGCCATGACGAACTTGCCCCCATCAGCTAAGGCGGCAACCAATACTGGGGATTTTCATTGTCAGCAGCTTACCTGGCCAATTTCTCTGAATGGCTCGCACTGTTTCTGGATTCTATGGTCTTGCCGTCATCGCAAAACCCACTATCAAGTCTTCGGTGACAAACGACAGAAACGAAGACTTTTCCATCATGGACTCCAAACATATGCTCGTCTCTCTTGACAGACCTAAACATGTTGGATTTCGATCGACTCCAGCAGGCCGCGAAGAAGTCACTATCGAAATCGGACGAAGATGAAGCCACGCATTTTGGAGCGGCCGATATTGGATGGCAAGCTCTCGGCCCAGCCCTGGCATGCATGTTTCTCGCCACGGCCGTGGTGTCAGGAAGATGGGTTGCACGCCGACGCATTGCCAAGTGCGAGGGATTGGACGACTATGTGGTGTCATTCTCGCTCGTGTGTTTCGCTCGTCTCCGGAATTCGTATGCGGCAAACCCATCTTAACAACAGGCCAAACAGATCCTCTCCTGGGCAATGACGGCCCTCATCGCCGCCGAAGTCAACGGCGGCAGAGGCGTCTACGCCGGCCCTGTGCAGCTGCAGACCATCGCCAAGCTCGTCATCGCAAGCAACTGCCTCTGGATCCTCATCGTGAACATCACCAAAGCCTCCATTCTAATCCAATACCTGCGCATCTTCAGCGACCCTCCCCTCCGCCGCATCTGCTACCTCTTCCTCACCCTCCTCCTCCCCGCAGCCAGCTGGGCCCTCTTCGCCGGCATCTTCCTCTGCACCCCAACGGCAAAACTATGGAACCCGACTATTACCGGCCACTGCATCAGCGCCCAGCGCTACTGGCTCTCAGTCGCAGGCACGGACATCAGCCTCGACTTCCTTATCCTCCTCCTGCCACTCCCGGCAATCACTGCACTGCATCTCCCGCGCAAGCAGAAAATCATCCTCGTCGCCCTCTTCGGTCTCGGCTTCTTCGTCTGCGCCGTCAGCGTCGTGCGTCTGCTCACAGTCCTCATCGCCGCCAATCAAGGCCATTACGTGCAATCGGGCCTCTGGGCTGTGATCTGGTCGGCCGTGGAAGCGAACGTGGGCATCACCTGCGCCTCTCTGCTCTCACTTAAACCGCTGCTTGTCAAAATCTTCCCGAGGCTGGGAGAGGAAACGCAGCCCCCAAGCCACAGCATGCGTCTCGCTTTTGTCGAAAGTGGAGCCGATGTGTGGCGCGATGAGTCGACGAAGGTGCTGCCCACGGGCATGACTTCTTCCCTCAACTCGCCGCTTTTCACTAGGCCTTCGACGGCGTGGAGTAGTCGCAGCGGAGCTTTGAAGGGCTCTTTTTCAACGGGCAGACCTGGGAGTCCGCAGTCTGCAGTCTTCGGCAGTGCGGTTGAAGGCGTTGCGTCGCCGCAGAGGGCCTTTCCAATGCGAGGAGAAGACCTCGACTTGCTCCAGATGCTGGGCGAGGAGCCGGAGGAAGCGCGAGCGAGAGCTGGTTGGCGAAACTCGTGGTTTGTCGAAGATGTGTGAGACATTAAATAAACCAATCAATCTACGAAATGGAATATCCGTTTAATCCCAATCTCAAGCTCAGACTGTCCAGGACTAGCAAAACGCCTACAGTTCCGTAGTGGTGTACTCCTCTCCATCAACATCCATCATCTCGCTATCCTCTACGCCCAGCACGACCCGCGTGCCTTCCCCATCCGGAACGCCCATCGTCGTCCCGCCCAGCGTCGTATCCCTCAGCGTCCGCTGCATAACAGTCAAATCCTCATCCTCCTCTACTTCCTCCTCTATCTCCTCCTCCTCAGCGCCGTGCTGCACCTCCGTACTCTCCACCACCGTCTCCTCAGCCCCACCGCCCCCTCGTTCCAACGCGGTAACAGCATTCATCAACTTGAGCAACGCATCGCGCAGTTTCGTCAGGACATTGCGCGAAGTCGCATCGCCCGCCACCTTCGCGTCGAACGCCTCTTGCACCAACGTGAGCACGTGCGCCAGCGTGTCCGCCTCGCATGCGCCCGCGGGGAGGTGCAGCTTGCCCAGCATGGAAAAGAGGACTTTGCGCTCTTCCTTTTCCAGCTGGCCTGCTTTCGTCGGGCCCGTGAGGCGCTCGAGCACGTGCGCGGCGAGCAGGAAGTGCGTGTCCCCTGCTGCATTGATCCCGGCTGCTTCGGGCGCTGCGGATTCGGCGAAGCCGACCATTTTCCGTGGATCCGTCCAGTCGAGTAGCATTTGGCCGACGACGCTTAGCTTCACCATCGTGTCGCCTGCTTCGTCGTCGGCGTCTAGGTCGTCGAGCAGGGCGTCGCGGAGGGTTGCGAGTTTTGCGATGACGGGGACGGCGACTGTGGCCATGAGTTTGGCGTTTCCGGCGCGGCTGTGGCAGTACACGGGCAGGAAGTAGGAGAGGCTTTGGCGGAGTTGGGCGTTGGAGTTGGTTTCTGGGTCAAAGTAGGTGATGACGAGTTGTTTCAGGAGGTCCTCGTTCGTGATGAGACGGCTGAGCATTGCTTTTGACAAAGCGGTGGCGCCGGTGGATTGCACGGCCGGATCGTCGGATTTCAAGGCTTTCTGGAAGGCCTTGATAATTTGCTTGGTGAGTTGATTAGCGTCTTGTTGCTGCTCTGTTGCAGTGGTATTGTCGATGCTCGATTCCGCCAGGAGAGAAGGATGGGTGATCAGGATGTCCGCGATGATTTGCAACGCGATGACTTGCAGCGTTGGGTGGCCTTTGGCGAAGCAGTGCAAGAAGAGAGTCAGGTTCTCTTGGGCGAGGTTCTTGCCTAGAAGGCAGCAGAGGCCCAAGCAGAGCAGTCCTCGCTCGCGGATAGGCGCTTCCTGGCTGCGCACCGCCGGGACGACGAGGTTGTTCAGCATGGTGACGAGGTTAGCATCGTCTTCGAGATCCCCGCCGACATTCTGCAGCATGCAGAGAGCTATGTGGAGGCATTTCATGTTGACCATGATCTCGCGGATGTAGGCTTCCTCAGCCTCCGCTGCGTCTTCAGGCATCGTGCCTTTGGCCTTCTTAGATTTTCGTGCTCGCTCTGATCCTCCAGTGGCACCGTCGATTGCGTCCTCATCGACGAAGGAGGTGGCTGAGTGGAAACTCTCGTCGACGTTGGAGGAGATGTCGTCACCCGCCGCGTTCTCACCCATAATCGTGTCGTGGACCTCCGCGATAGCCTCCAGCACAATGCCACAGAACTGCCGCTCTCCTTTGTTGTCCTCACCACACACCATGCGAAGCACCTCAACCACTAGTCTCGTCGCTTCTTCTGGTAGATCGGCGATAGCAAGAGCCTCCCTCATCAGACCGAACATCTTCCTTCTGCCCACCTCGTCGGAATAATCAAACGTAAGTGCCATGTGCAGCAATTGCTCAACAACGAACTCGCTCTGCGCGGAGTCTTCCTCCGCATCTGCATCTTCACCCGTGGCAGCTTCCCGCATGTGCTCAATCAGTTTGTTCAGCTCGCGCTCGAGGAAGAAGCCGAATTTCGTCACCTCCGGCAGCTTCTCCTCGACCAAGGCGTTCAAGTCACGGTGGTGGACCTCCTTGTTGCCCTGGCGGCAGAAGTCGTTGAACGTCCTCGCTACGAAGGCGAGTTCGGGATTCAAGTCATCCCAGAAGTGGTCGGGAAAGGAGACGTAGTCGAGGTAGTCAGGCCTTCCGGCCCAGAACTCCTGCATGGCTGTCAAAGCGATGCCACCTTCAGTGCCGGAGTTGACCACGTCTATCCGTTCGAGCAATTCGAGGAGAGCGTCGAGTGAGGGCTCGGCGGCCTGATTTGCAGCCGCCTTTTGCGCCTGACCGTCTTCACCTTCAGCTTGTTCCGCAGTCTGAGCAGCTGGAAGGGCAGCGCAGTCTTCAATCCAGCGTTCTCGGAACAGCCGCGCAGTCGCATTTCGCACGTTTTCGTCCCGATCGCGCAAACCCCAGCGGAGAAGCTTCTCACGATGTGTGAGACTGAGATGTCTGAAGTCGCCAAGCGCAGGAAGAAGTCGGGCATATAAGGCTCGGCGGGTGCTGGCGTCGGCATCTCTGGCGCGCTCGAGGAGGTAGGGCAGAACTTCTTTTGTCAGTGGGAGGTTGAGAAGGAGGTTGCGCCTGACTTCCGCAGCGGGGTCGTTTTGAAGGACGTTGAGCAATTTCTCCAGCACGCCGGTTCCGACCTCGTTATCAGAGTCCGAATCATCGTCCTTTTCATCGTCATCAACCTCAGCAGCCAAGCGCCCAAGTCCGTACACGGCTTGCAACCTGACCATAGCTTCTTTGTCGTGAATACGCTTGAGCAAAGCCAGGCGAAGTTTGTGAAACAGCGTGTCGTCCAGCGTGTCCAAGCTGTTGATGATGTGGCTCGTAATCTGCGTGGCACGGAAACGAATGTTCTTGTCCTTTGCGTTCATCTTCGGCAGCAGCTCTTGCAGCACCTGGGTCGTCAATCTAGACGTGGGCGTTTCCGGTAGGCTAGTCGCATCGGGATCCCCTTGGTCCGCGATCTCGTTGTCTTTGCCGCTCGCGGCGTTCAAGAAGGTGCCGAGAAAGCGAATCACCCGGTCACCAGCAGGCTCCGCCTTCTTGACGGGCAAGACGCGCAGCACGCATCGCACCGTCTCTTTATTGAAGTCGTCTTCATCAAACTCCTCCTCCGCCCGTTTGCCCTTCTTCAGGGTGACGGGCTCGTAGCAGCATTGCTCTTGCACCTTTCGCAGGGCGAAGCATAGTTTGCTATGTCGCGTAACAGACTTCTGTGATTCCGCGAAGATGGTGCAGATGCTGCGTCGAAGGCTGGTGTCGTCGCCTTCGTCTGGAATGTCGGTTATGGGAGAGCTGGTTCGTCCGGCGGACTTGAGCGACAGAGCGCTGCTGCGCGTACCGCGAGTGACGCGGCCCGGCATGTCTGATGTGTGTGTAGGTCGTGTCAGTGGTGATCCTGTGGCTTCTGGGTGTTTGTGTTGGCGCCTCCGAGATGTGAAATTGAAGGTGTCGTTGCAATGTTTACCGCGACGTCAACAAAGCGCGCGGAAAGTTTCCGCCAACTTTCCCTGGCCTTGGCGCTGTCGCCATACATCATTCCGTAATGGCTTTCGTTCACACAACGGTGCATTCACCATTGCCTTTCAATCGTTCGTATTTTCCTCATCATCTCCAATGTTTGCTCGCGGCGCGCTACGTCTGATAGCGCGGCCAGCTTCTTGCCCTCTCCCCATCCGTTACGCCTCGACTTTCTCCGCCTCGGCCACCGAAGCCATGAATCCTCACGGCATTGAGATCTCCAAAGCCCAGCGAGTGGCCAAGGACGGATTTGTGTCGGGTACAGTGTCTCTCGTGTTACGCCTTGCAAAGCTGAGTCGTTGACTGATGCGGATAGCACCTTGACAGCCATTGGAAACACCCCCCTGATCAAGCTCAAGAAGCTCTCGGAAGAGACGGGATGCGAAGTACTCGGGAAGGCAGAATTTCAGAACCCTGGAGGCAGCGTAAAGGACAGAGCAGCACTGTATGTCGTCAAGGATGCCGAAGAGCGCGGTCTGCTGCGTCCCGGCGGGACGGTGGTCGAGGGCACAGCTGGCAATACAGGCATTGGCCTCGCCCACGTTTGCCGATCGAAAGGGTACAACTTGGTGATATACATGCCCAACACGCAATCCCAAGGGAAGATTGACCTTCTCCGGCTACTTGGCGCCACCGTCTACCCAGTCCCCGCCGTTCCTTTCGAAGACCCTCAAAACTACAACCACCAAGCCAAACGACACGCCGAACAGCTCGAGAACGCGGTGTGGACGAATCAGTTCGACAACACGGCAAATCGACAGGCACATATCGAGACAACCGGCCCGGAAATATGGGCGCAGACCGAAGGCAAAATCGATGGCTTCACTTGCGCCTCGGGCACGGCGGGCACAATCGCGGGAGTGACAAGATACCTCAAGACCGTGAGCAACGGAAAGGTGCAATGCTACGTGGCCGACCCGCCTGGGAGCACCATCTACACCTACGTCTCGAGCGGGGGGAAGCAGATTGCGCGGTCAGGCTCGTCCATCACCGAGGGGATTGGACAGGGTCGGATCACGGACAATCTCAAGCCGGACGTCGACTTGTTGGACGGCGCACTCTTCATTGCCGACGAGAAGAGCATAGAGATGGTGTACCGCTGCTTGGATGAAGAGGGGCTTTACCTTGGGGCCAGCAGCTGTTTGAATGTGGTTGCGGCGAAGGAGTTGGCCGAAAAGCTGGGGCCGGGGCATACGGTGGTGACCATTCTCTGCGACGGAGCGTACAGATATGCCGACAGGCTATTCTCGCGCAAATGGTTGGAAAGCAAGGACCTGTTGAAGGCGATCCCGGAGCACTTGACCAAGTATATCGTGCTGCCTTAGAAGTGGTCGAATCCTGTGCAATATGGTAACCTGATTGCGGCTCTGTGGTGCAGCACGCTATTGCAAACCGCTAGCGCGCAAATTAGGCTGGCTTGGCTCATGCAAGGACGGCCTAGATCAAGCTGACCTAATGTTAGAGCTGGCCAATGCCTTCACGTGCGGCTGATACGCCATATATCTGGACCCATCCCTTCCCTTCGCACGACTACTTGGTATTGTTTAGAGTAATACCGCCCACAGTCTCGATTCTCATTTGTTTCTGCACGTCGTTTCCTCGGGAGCCGACAACTACGTCTTTTCAGCAACACAACAAGTGTAGACAACCCAACAATCCGTCCAAAACATAGCCCATCACCAAAACCCAACAAACAACCACCACCATGGGCAGCATAGATCACTACACCGCCGCAAAGCTCATCGCAATCCCCACCGCCTTCTTCCTTTCCGGCTACGGCAGCGGCTTCTCCCAAAACTCCGTGCCTCTACTCTACACCCAGCCGGCCTCGGTGTCGGCCTCGATCCTCGAAGGCATCTACAAAAACGGCGCCAAAGTCATGGCCCCCGGCGTCGTACTCAGCACCACCGCCTTCGCCTACCTCGCCTACTACGCCAAATCCCGGGCCGAGCGGAATCTGTACGCCGCTGCCGGGGGGTTGGTGCTCAGTACGCAGCCATGGACTTTGGGCGTTATGCTGGGCGGGATCCAGCGGTTGGGGGCGATTGCGAAGAGTGCCGTTGAGCAGCAGAAGGCTGATGCTAGTGGGGAGGCGGTTAGGTTGTTGCAGGGTTGGGTGTGGCAGAATTGGGTGCGGGCGGTGTTGACGGCTAGTGGTGGGTTGGTGGGGTTGTATGCGCAGCTGTATTAAGCATGTTGGGTGGATGTAGTGGGTTCAAGTAGAAATATACACAAGAACGACTCGTCAATTGCATCGATTTTAACTACATGTCCTTACTGCGATATGGGATAGCTCGATAGGTACTGTTGTAACGCGCATACCAACGCCATAATACTCGGAGCTGATTGGCCAATGACTCGCATCTACACTACCACCGTAAGCGACCGGACCTATGGTGCTCTAGACAACAGACGACTCGCAATACCACGTCGAAAAAGCTAGCATGCACCGAGCCTGGTAGGCATCAACCATCAGTCGCGAGGCACGCAGTCGGATTCGACTGAAAGCCAGCCAAAGCATGACCGAAGAAAGCGATCAACGGCCACCCAAGCCAGGAACAGCGTGCATAGGGTGTCGACGCCGCAAGCTCAAGTGTTCGCGCGAACCCGACGGCTGCACGAATTGCCTACGATCCGACTTGCCATGTGTCTACCCTGCGCCCCAATCAGGCATCAAGCGGAAACGAGGTCCCTACAGGAAGGACAAGCCGGCCCGCGAGCGACATCTCGAGGATCTGGTGCGCTATCTCGAGCCCCGCGTGGCTCGCGGCGATGTGCCCGCCAGCACCGACTTTGGCGAAATTCATAGCGACGGCTCCCACCACACTAGTGGAGACCAATCGCCTTCGCAGATTGCAAGGCCGGAAAGTGCCCATCGAGGCCCTGCGTCCGGCAAGGGCAAACCCGACGACCTGGTGAAGGATGCCTTGATCGCATTGACCAAATCATCCGCAGTGGGCAAGGAAGCCTTCTCGTACAGCCAGGCTGCGGCGGCGAATAGCAGTGTGAGAGAAGTCGGCGAGCCTGGCGGATTCGGGCAGCAGCCCAGCGTCGCTGTCGTCTTCGACTACTGGCACATCTTCGTCACCCGCTTCGATCCATTGACAAAGGTCATTCATTGCCCGACTTTCGGCCATAAGCTGTGCGAGAATATCGGAGATCTAAACTCCCTTCCAACATCGACTCAGACTCTGCTCTTCGGCATCTACTATGCCGCTGTGACCGCCTGCACCCCAAAGGAGGTACGGAGGAGGTTTGGTCAGGATCGCGAGGAGTTATTGGAGCGGTATGGGCGGACCATCGAAGCTACGCTGGCGGATAACTACGGAATGCCGGAGCTGGAATCACTACAGGCGCTCGTAATATACATGGTCAGTTCAATCATCGCTTTGCTCGCACGGACACGCACTGACAACTCCACAGGTCTCCATCCGCCGCCAGGACAACGCAACCAACACCCGCGCCCTCTTTTCTCTCGCGGTGCGCATGTCGCAACTGATGCGCATCAACGAGGACCCCGGCGGCCAGTATCGCCCGCTGGAAGCCGAGCTCCGTCGCCGTCTCTGGTGGCACCTGGCCGGGCTGGAAAACCGCGGAGCAGAAGAAGGCGGCGCGCGGAAGACGAGCATCATGGAGGACTCGAGCGTGCAGCTGCCCGCGAACCTCTTCGACTATGACCTGCAGGAGGATCTCGAGGAGCTTCCGAAAGCGCGAAGGGGCACCGCGTCTACGACGTTCTTCCTCCTGCGTTGTAGTGTTTTCAAGCTGATTCGGGCGCTTGTGCTGTTGCGTAAGAAGCACGAGGCTGCCTATGGGACAGACTGCGATGACGAGCTGGTGAAGACGAAACAGCGGCAGGTGCTGGAAGAGACGCGCCAGATGATGCAGCGGGAGTACCTTCACAATATGGACGAGTCACGCCCATACGACTGGCTATGTCTGAACTTCATCCGCACAATGCTGGTACGTCCACTCGTGAACCCAGTCTCACCAAGCTCCCTTTCCACCGAAGCACCCGCTAACTCTCAACAACAGGTCAAAGCGCGCCTCATCATCGACCACCCCCTCAACCGCAAGCCCACGCGCGACATGTCCGAAGACGAGCGCATCGACCTGCTCAAAGCGTCAGTGGAAATCATCGCCTTCTCCCACTCCATGACCTGCTGCGACCGCGCGGGCATCGAGCAGTGGGCCTGGTACCTGCGCACGTGGGTGCAGTGGCACTCGCTCGCAATCGTCATCTCGGAGCTCGGGCGCAGCAGCGACTCGCAGTTCTCCAGCGACGCGTGGGCCGTGCTCGACCCGTTCCTGTCGCGCTGGGACAAGATGTTTGCGCTCAAGCAGGGCGAGGCGGCATGGGATCATGTGAATACTTTGATTAAGCGGGCGAGGGAGGTGCGGCGGCTGCAGGAGGAGGAGGAGCGGCGGCGGCGTCTTCGGGCCGAGACATTGGAAGGCGCTGCGCACGTGTTGCGGCGCGATGTGTCTACTGTCGACCCCCAGCAGCCTGCGACATCAAGTGGCGAACCGACTACCCTCTACTCCCAGCCACTCTACGACTCCAGCATGCACGCTCAGGACGCGATCCTGAATCCGCTCCCGCCCAACGCACAACTCGCGGAGCAAACAGGCTGCACGCCGGTGATGGAAGGGCTAGACGTGGACTTCAGCAGCGGATTGGACACCGGCCTGCTGGACGACATCAACTTCTCCGCCTTCAACTTCGTCTTCGCCGACACGTCCTGGGCTTTCCCGCCCACGGAAACGAATTGGAGTACGGAGGGCATGATGTTATGATGTCTGGTCCCATTGCTCCTCTTCGTCCTCTGCGGCTTCGCGCAGCGCCAGCCTCGCTCGCACGTCCCGCACCAAACCCTTTGCTTCCTCAACCTCTACGCCGTCTTGGCAGAGTTCGTTTGCCAATTCCATCGTGCGCTGCCAATCGCCGCAGCCATATGTCCACTTTGCCAACCACAGGCGCGCACGAGAGGTGATTTGCGTCACGCCGATGCCCTCTTCCCCCTCCTCCGCTCCTTCCTCCTGGTCGAGACATAGCTGCATATACGCCGCGGCCTCCTCGTAGTTGTCGTCGCGCTCGTACAGCAGCGCAATGTCGAACAGCACTTGCGGATCCAGGGCGCCTCCAACAGCATGCGCCAGCGCATTCCCCCCACTGCCAAAACTGGAGCCTCCTATATCCATCTGGCTGCCGACTTGGAGAGCACGCTTATAAGCCTGGATAGCATTCCCCAGCTTTCCGCACCGGGCATACGCATTGCCCATGGCAGCCCACATTTTCGGATCGTGCGGACACAGCGCCGCGGCGCGCTGGTAGTAGAACAGGCTGTAGGAATGCAGCTCGAGCATTTCGTATCCCTGGCCCAATCCATACCACGCGCGGTAGTCCTTGCGATTGATGTCCACGGCGCGGCGGTAGGACTCGATGGCGGCCTGCGTGTTCTTCAGCTCGATGTACTCGTGGCCCATGAGCGTCCAGGCGGCCTGGAAGGTGCGGTCGAGCATGAGGGCGCGGCGGAAGCAGAGCACGGCTTTTTCGTGCTCCGCCATGAGCGAGTAGTAGTTGCCCAGGATGCAGCTGGTTTCCGGCCGGAATTTGTCCGTTTCCGAGGCGGTGGCCGCGAGGGTGGCGAGTTTGGGCCGGTTGGGGAGGACGTAGAGCAGGTTGCTGTAGATGTCTGTGCCTTCGAGGCGGTGCGGGAAGGCGTGGAGGAGAGCGTCGAAGGTGGCCATTGCGGTGTCGTGGTCATTCGCATGGTAGGCGAGGAGGGCTTTCTGCTGCGCGAGGAAGGGCGAGGAGGGGAAGATGGAGGTGACCTGTGCGAGGCTGTGGTAGACTTCGGGCGTCTGGAGGTAGAGTTCTTGGCTGCAGTGGATGTAGAAGAAGAACTTGATGATGTTCTCGGGGAGATGCGCGCTCACTTGCCGCAGTTCGTCTACGGAGCCGATGAGGGAGGCCAGTTCTAGCCAGGCGGACCAATTGTAGGGGTTGAGATTTACGCTGCGGAGGAGCCATTGTTTCGCCAGCGCCTCCGATTTGGTGCGCACCAGTACGACGCCGTAGAGGTAGTCGAGCCAGCCTTGTGAGTTGTCCATGTTTTGCAAGCCGCCACGGGCATTGAAGTATTCCTCGAGTATTGCCAGTACGGCGGGAATTGCCTTGTTGGCCGTGACGGGTCCATCAACGGGTCCGAGAATGGTTTCCGAGTCTTCCACCTTGCGCTTCTCGCCCGACATGTATTTCGCGTACAGGGCCAAGAAGAGGGCCTTTTGGCTGAGATTTTTCGGTAGAGGAGGTTGCTGTGGCTTCAACAGCTTTGCCGAACCGCGTGGACTCTGGAGGCTGGTCTTCTTCGGTGTTGACTGTAGCTGTGCGGCTGATACTGCCTGCTGTGAGGTACTGTTTATGTGCGGGACGGGAGTGGGTAGGAAGACAGCAGCACAGCGGTCAAACTCGCGACAGTGGAAAAGTGATTGTGCCAGCTGGTACTTGTGCAGCTCTTTCGCTTCTCGCTTCGCTTCCCTACGGTCACGATCGGTGGGCGTGGCAGTTGTAGGGGATTGCGCGGCATCGTCGTCGTCAATGTCGGTATCGGAGGCATCGTCATTCGTGAGATCGTTGGAGGCGGTGGGAGGGAAGGAGTTGAGGAGTTCTGCCGTCCTGATTGCATCATGTTAGGGGGTGCGAGGATGATCTATCAAGTGCACTCACCATTTCGCGGCCTGGAAAAGACAGCGGTCGTTGCACGCGCTCACGGAGGCTTGCAGTTGTGCTTGCAGGTCGGCCTGCTGCTCCGGAGACAGCAGCATGGTCTGTGGGAATTCGGTCGCCTTCAGGATGTGTGGGTGTGGATGAGAGCGTGCATGACGGTGGATTGAAAGAGCAAGACGTGGAAGCAACGCGTGCGTGTGTTGAAGTGCAAATAGCAACCCCGCATCAATTGACGCCACAGACGCCTTACTCTCCACTGCAGCCTTGAGCAACATGTTTCTTGCAATCGTCACATCCTGGACGGGTGAACAGAAATTACAATATGTCTTCAACAATGGCTTTTGATGTCGGCCTCGGACTGGAAAACACCCACGTCCTCATCACTGGCGGTGCAGGGCTAGTAGGCGGGCATGTCGTCCGCGCCTTCCTCGCAGCGGGCAGCAAGGTAACGGCCGTCGACCTCGCGCCCAACACTCTTTTCGAAGACAATGACCACCACCCCAATCTCCACTTCCTCAACGCAGACATTCGCGATCCGGCGAGGATGGAGGCCGCGTTTCGCAGAGCCTGGAGCAAGTTTGGCCCCGTGCACACATGCGTCGCCCTGGCGTCGCTCGACCTGAGCGTGCTCAACCAGACCGACTCTCTGGCGGACATGGATCCGCGCGAATGGAACAACGTCATCGATACGAATGTCAACGGCACCTTTGTCACATGTCGACAGTGGCTGCGATCCCTCCGAAGCGCTATCGCAGATAATCCGGATGCAACATCCGAGTTGCGGAACGTGAGTCTGATCATCATGGGCTCGGAATCGGGGCGTTTCGGCGTTCGTACCATGGCCGCATACGCTACTGGAAAGGCGGCGGTGCAAGTTGGTTTGCTGCAGAGCCTGGCGCTAGATGTCCCGCGCATCTTTCCGAGGGCGAGGGTCAACGCCATTGCTCCTGGGCCGGTGGACACCCCGAGGTATCGAGAGGAGATGGCGACGTATGGACGAGAGTGGCATTGGAAGGAAGCCGAAGCAACGTGAGTCTTTGCTTCTCTCATTTGTCATCACGATGTGCGTGGCTAACTTTGTGTTGCAGTGTGCCTTTGGCGAGAGCAGTTCCGCCGGAAGATGTAGCCCGGACGATCCTCTTCCTCGCTAGTGAACGGTACAGTGGAAGTGTACACGGACAGCTGATCCCCATCGACGGAGGCAAGACGGGAGCGCTCGCCTGGACTCAGCAAGAACTTGACAATAGAATAACGGCCTAGCTACGAAGAGACGACTGCTACGATCAGATTGGAGATTTGACACTGCTGTCCTACCGACTTGCTGGGGGTATTTACATTCTCAGTTCTTCACATCATCGACTCCGCCTCTGAGGTCGGCAGCCTAATAAAGGTACGGCACGAACTTGTACGGAACTTTCTTCTCGTACGCCGCGTACTGTGCACCATACTTCTCTCGGAGGTAGTCTTGCAGGACGGGGATGGCACGAGTGACAAAGTCCCAGGCAAAGAAAGCGGTGACTGTGGCCCCCCACACCCACCCACCAGCCGCAAGCGCATATCCGCCCCTCCACAGCGTGTAGCCGAAGTAGTTGATGTGTCTACTCAATCGAAACAGGCCTCCCGAGTAGATCTTGCCATTGTTCGCAGTGTCCCCCTTGAACTCCGATCGCTGTAACTCGGAGATGAACTCGAGCGACAAGCCGAGGACGTACAGCGTCGAGCCAACGATGAGCGGCGTCTGGGGAAAGTGTTCGCCGTTGACGGAAGCGGAGGTGTGCGAGCAGATGAAGAGGAGGGAGTTGATGGAGTTGAGGCCGGCGTTGAGCGCGCCCACGGCCGCCGAGGCGGCGACGTCCATCCTTTCCTGCCGCACCCACAGATGGTGGATGTTCTGCTTCAGCACGCTGCCGACGCACATGGCGAGCAGGATGCTGCGGTAGGGGCTCAGGGCCAGGCGGTCAAGGGCGGTGTTGGTGATCCATGCCGGGCCGCTGGGCAGCGTGGTGCTGCCCAGCCGCTCGATCAACGCGTTGCCCCAGTTGTACTTGAGGATGCGGTATTGGAGGAAGGGATCGGCGCCACGCAGGCCGACGAAGGTGAGGGTGCCGAGGGGGTCGGTGGCTTTGTGCGAGCGGTCGATGAGGTCGCGCGAGTCGCGATGGGAGGAAGCGGAGGAGGACATGGTGACGGGTGGGTAAGATGTCGTTGCGAACGGGTGGGATGGGTTGGCTGACTCGAGCAACGCGACGTGATCCTCAGAGCCGAGGGAGTGTCGTCAAGGCAGAGAGCTAGCTCCAGCTCCCACTGCAGTATCGCGGAGGGGAGCCGCGCGCGCGTTTACGGCTGCATGCATGAGACTGCCCCAAGCTTCGGGGCGGAACGGACTCGCTGGCTGGCTGGCTGGGGCTGGACGTTTATCTTATCTCATCCCGTGTGCCGAGCTGCGGGCTGGGCCAGTCTCGACTTTTCGAGAGAGGCCGATCGCCCCTGCGGTGTGAAAATTCGCAGAATTGGCAACTGCAAGGACATCACTCGACATTCACTTGGCGAGAGGAAGGAGCGATGCATGTTTCTGCCTCGCTATATTCCACAACTTGTCACTTCCCCGTCCAACAACGAGTGGATCACGGGGCGTCCACGCGACACAAGCGTCCCCCAGTCTCTGTGGCGCGCCGGCTGGGGGTGGCAAAAGCTTCGACTGGCCTCGACCTTCCATTGAAGATTCTGAAGCTTCTGTCTGCTCGCCGAGCGGGGCGCGCGATTGGCTGCGGCGCGGATTAGCATCCCACCACGCCCGCCTGCGATGCAACCTTGCGGCAGCGTCGGCGATAACCTAACGCAATTTGGCCCAGCGGGCCAGGATACGAGCAACTTTTGGAGCGTAGGCCGTGGCGAGGCGTGGGGTATCTTGCTCCACGCGCACTGCAGATTTTGGGATTAAAGGTAAGCGTCCACGCGACCGTTCGTCGTCCCTCTCTCTCTCCCCCCCTCACTCACCGTCCTTTGTGTGTTTCCTCTACTCCACTCCACTCCCGACCTTCCCACCCCACCCCTCTCTGGGTATCTATCACAGAAGGAAACATGGATTTGGAAAAGGGTGGCCACGGCACGCCGGAGATCCTCTCCCAGACGCCCCCGGATAAGCTGCAGCGTCCATTGACCGCCGACGAGAAGCTTGCCGCCACGACCATCGACATCGACTCCCGCGGTTCCAATACGTCCAAAGATATCGAATACAATGGCCTCTCCGCCCACCAAGGCAATGGCATCCTCGCCAGACTGCGTCGTTTCGAGGAGTCGCTCGACCGCCGGCTCGGCGTCGAGTCGCAAGCCATCGACCGCAAACTCCCCGAGGAGCGTGCCGGTGTGAGCTGGTGGGATCAAGTCAACATGGCCTTCCTGTGGTCGTCGGGCGTGCTGAACATCAGCTGCTTCGCCACCGGTTTCCTCGGCTTCTTCTTCTCCCTCTCCCTCAAACAGACCATCCTCATCGTCATCTTCGGCTCTTTCCTCGGCTCCTCCCTCACCGGCTTCTGTGCCACCTTTGGCGCTCCCATGGGTCTGCGACAAATCTCCGTCTCTCGTTACTCCATGGGCTGGTACCCCAACAAGGTCATCGCTCTGCTCAATTCCATCCAGAACTTAGGGTGGAGCGCCGTTGCTTGCATCACCGGTGGTCTTGCTCTGGAAGCCGTGTCGAACGGCCATGTCTCTGTCGAGGTCGGCATTGTCGTCATCGCCGTCGTTAGCTTCGTCGTCTCCTTCGTCGGCCTCCGCGCCATTCTCGTCTACGAGAAGTACGCGTGGTTCGTCTTCTTCATCGTCTTCATGATCATCTTCGGCGAGACCGCGCCCTACTACGACAACACCACCCCCGCCAGCGTCACCGGTGCCACTCTCAGCGGCCAGGTCCTGACTCTGCTTGCCATCATCTACGGCTCTTCCGCCTCCTGGTCGACCTGCGCGTCCGACTACTACGTGCACTACCCGCCCAACGTCTCGCGCGTCAAGGTCTTCCTCATGACCACCTGCGGTATCGCCATCCCCACCAGCATCGGCATGACCGCCGGCGCCTGCGTGGCGTCCGCGTTCAACAACGTCCCCGCCTGGGCCAAGGCCGACGACCGCGGCCTCGGCTTCCTCATCCAAACCATGCTCTACCCCCGTGGCTTCGCCGACTTCATCCTCGTCCTGCTCGTGCTCTCGGGCATCAACAACAGCATCATCAGCGTGTACAGCTCGGCCATCTCCTTCCAGCAGCTCGCGCGCCCCTTCGCCCTCATCCCCCGCTTCCTGTGGAACATCCTGTGCTTCTGCATCGTCATCGCCCTCGCCTCCGCCAGCCGCAACAGCCTCCTGACCTACCTCCAAGACTTCCTGTCTCTCCTCGGCTACTGGTGCACCAGCTACGTCGTCATCGTCTTCTCCGAGCACTTCATCTTCCGCAAGGGCGACTTCAAGAACTACAATCTCGAGGGCTGGAACGACCCCGCCGTCCTCCCGCACGGTTTCGCAGCCGGCGCTTCTTGGGTCCTGGGTGCGGTTGCGTGGATTCTCGGCATGGTGAGTGATTTATCCCCCTGAAGTCCTAGCTATGCATTATACTGACATTTGCAAATTAGAACGCGACTTGGTTCATCAGCCCTATTGCAAAGACCATTGGCGCCCACGGCGGCGATGTCGCCAACGAGCTCACCCTTGTTGTCACCGCGCTGGCCTTCATCCCGCTGCGTGCCATGGAGTTGAAGTATTTCGGAAAATAAGCGTATCGTGCAAAAGTTTCCGCCGGCGGCGTGAAGGCTGGCATGGGTTGTATATGTAGCCTCGTGACTTGCTCAGTTGCGGCTAGCAAACGTAATGCATTTTTATGAAGTTGTTCAAGAGAAGTAGACTTGCGATCAGTGCCTCTCACACGATGACTGCGTAATCTAAGAATGTAAACGCCCTCGAGGCCTGCTCCATTGCCAACAGTGCGTGGTAATATGTGGCGTGCTGAAAGTGGGAGGAGGCCCGGGCATGTTTTCGGCCTTAGGCTCCATTGCCACGCATCCGATATCACCCACACATGTCGTAGTCATTCACTTTAGTATCCAAACCCCCAGAATGACACAGCTACACCGCAGCTAACCCAAAGCCCGTCCGAGGCGTCTCAAATAAAAGAAAAATACCAATCATTGAGCGCACAACCCTCCCGCTACCCGATGCCCGCAACAGGAGCAGCAGCAGCATGCCCTCCTCCCCTGGGTCTTCCCCGTCTTCTCCCACCCCACTCCGCGACGCAATCATCCCCGCCAAAACGGCGCTCAGCTTCGGCGCGAACCTGGAGATGATCAAAATCGCCACGGTGCGCGAGTCCAACGCGCAGGGCAAGCGGCTGTCAGGCCTTGTGGCGGTGTTTGTCGGCGGCACGAATGGGATTGGCGAGAGCACGGCCAAGGAGTTTTTCTTGCGCTCGACGGCGCCGAGAGCTTATATTGTTGGGAGGTGAGATTCATCTCCTCTTCGTTGTATTGGTCTGAACAGGATTGACGAGCGAATGTAGGAACGCGACTCGTGGCGAAGCATTGGTAGCCAAACTGCACGCCATCAACCCGCAGGGCGCCGCCTACTTCCTGCAATGCGATATCTCCCTGCTGCGTAACGTCGACGAGCTGTGCGCGGACCTGCTCCGCCGCGAGGCGAAGATCCACTGCCTCTTCCTCACCGCGGGCTACATGACGCTGCGCGGCCGCACGGAGACGGACGAGGGCATCGACCGCAAGATGTGCGTGAATTACTACGCGCGCGTGCGCTGCATGCTCAACCTCATGCCTGCGCTGGAAGCCGCGGCGGAAGCGGGCGAGTTGTCGCGCGCCATTACCGTGCTCGCAGCGGGGTCAGAAGGCGAAGTGCGCCTCGACGATTTAGATCTGCAGCGCGACTTCACCCTGCACGCCTGCCTGGCGCACTGCGTCGTCATGACGGACTTTATGGTCGAGGAGCTCTCGCGCCGCCACCGCGGCACCTCCTTCTCCCACTCCTACCCGGGGACCGTGAAGACGGGCATCGCAAACGAACTCTCCGGCCCCGTGCGCCTCGCCGTCAAAGTCCTCTACGCCGTGCTCACGCCCTGGATCCTCAACGTGCAGGAGTCGGGCGAGCGGCACTACTTCCAAATGACGTCGCAATGCTACCCCGCCGCCAGAGCGCAGAAGCCCCAAGAAGGCGACGACAATGACGATGAAGATAAAAGGGGCGCAGGCATCCCCCCTCCCCCGGGTCTAGGCGTGTTCAAAGCCATGGACGGCACGCCCGGCGGAGGTGCATACCTGCTCGACTGGGACGGCAAAACGTGCGGCGACGAGAAGGTGCTGGGCAAGTACCGCGACCTGGACATGGGGAATCTAGTGTGGGCGCATACGATGGAGGTGTTTGCGCGGGCGGAGAAGGCGAATGCGAGGCTTGCGAAGAGGCGGGCGAGTGCGGAGGCGGAGGGCAGTGGGATGAGGGGGATTCCGGATCCTGTTGGCTGGCGGCCGGCTTCTTGATGGCGGGGGGCTGTGGTGTCTGTGATTGATCAACTGGTTTTCTGTTTACTAGCGACGGCGTTGGCGGTTCGGGAGCATATAGAACGGGATAGAATGTACAAAGAAAGAGAGCTCGACGAAGATGACGACGGGGGATGAAACGAGTTGCAACGCGAGCATACACAAAAGCAAAGAAAGCAATACATGCACTATGAAATACGCATCTGCAAGTTCAAATCAATCAACCAAGCGCGTGCCGTCGAGGTGTCGAGTCCAGCAATGACAAGGCCTATTACGCGCTGAAAGCCACAAAACGAGTCCGCGAAACCAGCCGTCAAAACGCAGGAAGGACTCCTTCATTTCTAGCACCATCGCTCCCCCAGCCGCGGAGCACCCCCCTGCCACCCCTCGCGCTCAAAGTAGCGAAACACCAACTCGTACCCATCGAGATCGTGCACAATGCGATCAACACGACGATAGCCCTTCACCGACTCCATCAGCTTATCCTTGCGAGCGGCCAACTCATCGTGCTCGCTCTTCGTCTCAAACAGCGTGACGCTGAAGCGCGCAGGCTTGAAGATGCCGACGACGTGCTGCACGATTTCGAGCGTCGAGCGGCTGCCGGTGTGCTGCTTGGTGGGCACGTTGGTTTCGAAGCTCGCGTACGAGCATTGCGGCTCGGGGGTGACGTGCACGGTCCAGTAGCCTGTGGAGTCTGGTTTGTTGGGGATGGGCACGATGCCGTTGGCGGAGTAGCCGCAGGGAGTGAAGAGGTAGGAGTCGATGTGGGCGTCTGGGTACTTGGAGGTGGGGTAGACGTCTGCCAGGCCGCAGCCTTCGGTGACTACCGTGCCGAGGGTGTGGCCTTCGGTTGTTAGCTCCTCGGAGAAGGTCAGCGCCTCTTCCTCTGCGGAGGCTGTAGAGTCCGAGTGCTCCGAAGAGGTCTCGACGAAGACGTCGAAGTCTGAATGGGTCTTGCTGAGGTCCTTGTCCATCAGCTCGTTGACATCTGGAGCACTCTGCTCAGAGATAGAGCCAAGGTGGCGAATAGCCTCCTTGCGAGCTTGGTGAGCACGACGTGCATGGTCCTGGGCAGTCGAGCTCGCATTTTCGAGGTAGAATTGCCGCGCATTGTCCACGTCCAAGTCGGTCATCAAGATCTCCAGTGTTTCGTCACCATGGTCCTCTTGTAGGATTTTGGTCACCGCAACATCGAGATCCTGTGGCGGCAGGTCACCACGACTTCCACTGCTCACCGAACGACGCTCCTCTGGCGTCGCAGGTGGGGTGAGCACACTCCCCGGGCCCGTGATGTAAAGATACCAATGCTCCCCGTTCATTTTGCCGATCATATAGGCACTGCCGCCGACGAACATCTTGTCCAAGTATCGAACTTCATCGCGCCAGCTACGGTGCGGGCCCTTCTGCTGATCGGGGTAGAGGTAATTCTTGCGACTGTAGAAAACACGATACGGCGTGGCCGCGACGGCGATGCCCTCGGGGAGATCTGCTTTGGCATGGGTAAAGCCAGCCTCAAGGGCTGCAATTTCCAGAATGCGCGGCATTCCTCGCAGCAGCGTCGTCGTGCCACAAGTCTTGAGCACAATTTTGTGGGGGAAGACAAACATGCTCGATTCGGAGAGCAAGTAGGCGTCGACGTTGGTGGATTCGACGACAGACAGGACCTTGCATCGGACAAGGTCGAGCATGTCCTTCCACGTGGCTTGAGAGACCACCTTGAGGCCGTGCGGCGAAGCGGAAGAGGGCAGGGCCTTCTCGGATGGAGCGAACCATACTTCTAGCAGCTTCTCGGGGCCTTCAAAGGCATTGCTGGAGTCGAGATCGACAGCCGTGATGTCCCGATTGATGGTCCATTGCGGCGTGCCACTAAGTGATGCTGATGGCGAATTGGTGTAGTTGGTTGGAATCCCCGTATTCACCATCTCCAGGTCGTGGAGATGTTGTCGGCACTTGTGGATGGTCGTTGGGCGGGAGTCGGGAAGGAGCAGCACTTGCGGCTTTGGTGAATCTCGTCAAAAGCTGATCGGAGACGCTTCGTTGATAATCTCGCTTTGGACTGGGAGCAAGACCTCACAGAGAAGTACTTCCACGAGGGAGGCTGGCTTACGCCAGCAGCAGTGCTCAGCGGGGGGAAATAAGCGTGGTCTCCGGGGTTGATGTTAGGGAGGTCGCGCGGAAAGAGGCACCAAGAAGCTCTTTGGTTGCGGAATCTTGTCGATAGTGCTAGGTGACGATGGTGTGCGGGGTCCCAGTTGAGGGAGGAACGATGTGCAGTAGGGTTGGTGATGGCTTTTGATCAGTCTGGAATGTGAGTCGTAGTAGAAACAGCAAGTAGCTCGTGTTATCGAGGCCTGAGCAAACAAGTCAGTGAATACAGCCACATTGCGGGGGGGACACAGTGCCTCACTTCTTTGGCTTGCAGCAGAACCGAAGAAGATCTTCTGGACGCATTAAATGCGGTGGTGGGAGCGAGGTGGCGAAAAAGAGAGACTTCTTCCTACAACAGAAGAAGTCTCGAAGGATAGCGGGTGCTGTGTGCCAGCGGGTGGATGGAATTGGGAATGGGCGCCAGAGCTGTCGATTGACCGGGGTTAGACCTGTCAGGAGGACGTTGGATGGAAGATAAATAGGGTGTTGTGGGTGAGGAAGAGATGGGAAACAAAGGGAGGAGGTGAGGGAATTTTGGCAAGGTGCAGGAGCCAAAAAAGAATTTCCCCCACCACACTCGACATCGACATCACATGCCGAGCCCGCCCTCGCTTCACCGCATTTTCGTTCTTCTCTGTACATCGCTCCCGCCCAGATCTGTAGCTGTTTTGATCGCCAGGACAACACTACAGATTGTCTCCAATCGTCCAGGAACAACGCCCACAACTCGCATGAAGGCGCGTGCTCGACGATCGCTATCCTTCCCCTTCCCACCTGGGCACGTGCTTGGCATTGTGCCACGTCGGAATCGGACAAGAACAGACTAAGCATGGGTATCCTGCGTGGCATTCAACGCAATGGGCACTCTTTAGACAGAGTCCGGCCCATTGTCAATTCAAAGACACTTCCTCCCTTCTCCTTCACATTCCATTCGTGATGCTGGGCCCAGTCGGCGGCCGAGAGTTCAACAAGCCCGCAAATTCCCGTATATCCAACACCACATCCCCCGGCCGTTCCCACAGAGCGAAACGGACTCTGCCTTCCCTCCTCTTGATCATGGCCACTCGGTGATATGCCTCTAGCCATTGCGGAGGAGTGTGATGCTCGCCTGCGCCCATCGTCGCCTCGCGAAACAAGGTGACGCCAATGGGACACATATTGAAGCCCGTCCACAGCGTAGGGAGGAAGTGGCTCGAGTTGGTCAGCCATCGTAGTGCCACTTCCGGCCCCGGCAGCCAGTACAGCATTGTCCAGTTGACAAGTGCCATTGGTGACCAGGGACTGGCGAGTTGGCCGCCGCTGCCGCTATCCCAGTATGCGGGCGCTTCACCAGCAGGGCTGTGTGGAGAGCGGGATGATTGTGGTGATACTCCAGCGCTCTGTGGAGTCATTGGCGATGCGATGCTGGGTGGTATCCGTAGCGTCGCAGGACTGTGCGCGGGCGAAGGGTTCGCCGCACGGGGCGGTTGGATCGCATCCAGCATATGAGCCATCAATCCGATCGGTGAGTCGCAGAGCGCATACGCACTCGTCTGCGGTCTGTCGCGCACAGGGTTGCTGAGTGCCGGCGTCAAAGGGGGCGTCAAGCCCGGGGTGTGTAGGGACAGATTCGACATGGGGTCGGAGAATGCTGCCACGTCTTCCGTAAGGTAACCGAAAGTCGACCTGCGCAGATTTGCAAAGGTCAGCTTGGCAATATTTGTTTGAATCGTGTGAGGACGGAGTGGGCGAACCTTGGAGCTGGCACTTCCGGGTTGACTGTGTGTAGCGCAAGGCAACTCTCGGGGTGCAAGAGGGTGAGCATGCGCGCGATACGAAACCCCCTATCAGCCGTTAGCAACGGATGCATCGCTTGCCGGGCGCTTCGAAAGTCATTACCATCCGGATCCATGTATCATGTACCGACCATACCCGAGCCCCTTCATCAACGCGTCAAACACCTCGGCCGTACCATGAATATTGTTGGCAACTTCCGGTACGGGCTCACTGAAGGCGAACCCTGGAATCGACGGGACAACAACGTGAAATGCCTGGATCGAATCGTCGCCCCTAGGCGGAGTCGTGATGGGGTTGCACAGCGCGTCAATGACTTTGGAACTCGTGATGAAGCTCTCCGGCCACCCGTGAATGATGAGGAGGGGAATTGCGCTGGCAGAGGCGGATCGTTGGTGGACGTAGTGAAGGCGTGTTGCATTGATGGGCACTCGGAATTGAGGCAACGCGTCGTTGTAGTATAATTCCTGCGCTCTCCAGTCATAGCTTTCCAGCCAGTGATCGAGTAGGGGCTCAAGATCGTGCTTGACGACACCAAAGTCGACTTCGTTCTGCGCAAATCGCGGCTCGCGAGGCAGTCGCGTCAATTCGAGTTTCTGTCTTGTGAGGTCAAGATATTTCTGCGAGACGTGCATTCGATAGGGTTGCACGACGTTCAATTCGGGCGGGGACTGCGATTTGGAGCTGGAGCTCCACGCCATGTTATTGTTGGCAAGGGAGAAGAATCATCGAGTCGATGTGTGCGATTGGAGACCTGTTCTGTCTGTCCCACCTCCGTGATCTCCAACGGAAGAAGCAATGTGTTCGATGTGCGGGTTGGACCACAACGACCCACCGCCCGGAATCAACGCCGAGATATGGGTATGAAGAACGGGAGCGTGATGAGAGCCGGGAACCCCGTGCCTTGATGAAAAGCAAATGAAAAGGTCCAAAAGAACCGAGGTGCAAGCGTGTCGATTGTGTGCAAGGATTGGACGTAGGCCAAATGAAAGAGGGAGATGGTAGGGTATATGCGTTTACGATTATGCAGCACGCGAAACGCTGGACATTTGACTGCACAGCCATTCAAAGGCATTCGCAAGCCTTGCAAGGCCCCCACGAAACGGCGGCTCAGGATGGAGACGTTGCCACGAAATGATGCAGAGACAGGCATCGGCGCCTCCGTTGCGCACTGGGGAAGGAGGGCGAAGAAATTTGGGCGATGCGCTCATACTCTGGTCAAAAGGCCCGACTGCCATTGGTTGGGGCGGAGCGCGATCAGCATCCATGCCCTAGCCTGGCGATCAGCAGCCTGCAATCACGTAGCCTGCTTGCCTGCGATCATCATTAGCCTTTCCACCGCCTTGCCACCAGCCACAACCCGGCAAGCATATTGTTGCACAGTTGGGGCGCACAGCCACAGATTCCTGGGCCAGACTTTCGCGGACCGCGGGAGCCTCAAGGCGAAAAGTGGGCTGCGGCCGGGATTACTTGCATACGCCTGCCTTTCCGGACGTGCGTTCGACCGCTTTCGTTGGTGCGGTGGGCAAAGGATCTGCCGTATCTGGACGCGTCAGGCATGTTCTTTCCAGCTGCGGTGACGGGGCGGCACCGCAAGTGCCTTGCGTGCTTCCTTGGCATGTCACCGTACATCGCCTGGCCAGCTGAAGGGCGAGCACTTTGTGCAAACGGACGTGCGGGCCGTGGACATGGCCGACGGCAACCGAGGCTGATGCGGTCAGTGGATGTCCCATCACGGAGCTTAAACGGTGGAGATGCTCTGCCGCCGTCATCATCGGCAGCAGATGGACGGATTTCTCCAGTGGTCTTGAGCTGCCATAGAAAAGCAGCAACAGCGATCGGATGGTGTATTCGAGGCGGAGGGAAGTCGGTGCTAAGCTTCTGTACAGACTCTGACGCCACAAGCCTCTGTCTGAGCATATTTTGACGGCGGCGTGGAGCACGAAAGACGCCTGGCGTGGAGGTGGAGGTGCAGGGACTTGGTGCCTGAAGCATGTGGAGTCCTGCGCCACACCTGCCTCCGTCTGTGCGCCCTCCATGGCCTCGATGGCGCAACCCGAGCCGGGGACGGTCATCACGCAGCACCAGACACTACTGTCATTACGTCCTGCTTCGTTTGCAGCATTCGCGCCAACGGAATAGAATCCAGCTGTGGAATTTGTCACTGATCACTCATCGCCAATCCTCCATCTGCCAGGGTTACGTTAAGCACTGCCCTAGTGAAAGGATTAGTTGCTTGGCTCCCACCCCCCCCGTCAAGGATCAATCTCCTCCTAACTAACTTAAACCTACATAGGAAACCGACCGCGACGACATGGCATTCCAAATGATGGCCACACCCCGCGGGATGGCCTCCTGCAGCCCCCGGATACTCGTGCTTCCGATTAGACACGAGACGAGATCTTAGAATCGCCGTTACCGCGAAAACTCTATCTACCAGATCTCTCTGCAATAGCAAAACCAACCACTCGCGCCCCTCTTCGGAAGCTTGCTGGAATGGGCAGAGCAGCAGCCGAGTCGACCGCGTTGACCGCACCATTGCCCACGTGCCAGTCCACCCGGTCATGTCTTCCACGCGAGCGTGGATGGGCACACTGGCAGGCCAAATAAGCTCAAAACTGTCCTGATGGCTCCAATGCAACCACGGCGTACCATGTACCACTCTCAATCATACACTCCCCGTCAACCCATCAACGACACCATCTCTCTTGGCAAAGCAAGTGCTCCGATTTCCTCAGTGCCACATCCCGGCAGAGGACTCGATCACGAACAGGTGCTGCTCGGGCAGTCATTGTCTTGCACGCACAAAGATTATGCACAGCTATCTCGTGACTGTCTCGCAGCCGCACAAGTTCGATTGAACCACTTCCCCTGCCTCCCGGAATTCCAAATCCACACCTCCTCTCCTCACACATGGTGTCAGCAACGGCGCGGCGCGCCGCGGGCGACACCCGACGCTGTCATCGCCTGCGTGTGAATCGATCACCATCGACCAGTAGGAACGTAGAGCCCTAATAATGCCATCTTGTGTCCCACTAATATCGATCGCAGCCGAGATCGATCGGGCCTAACACGCCATCCCGGCGCTTGCAAGTCGTAGCGGTGTGACAATGCACAACTACCTTGCACGGCATGCACGTAGCCGTGTTCGTCGCGTCGTCCTCTAGTGACCGTTGAAGTAAATCAGTATCGAAATGAAATCACTGATGATCGACTCTCGTTCATGAATGATTCCAAAGACGCTCTCAAACAGCTGTTGAACGACTGGCGAGAAACACCACGAGCTCAACACCGTCTACACCCCCGATATGGACCTCAATCGAAAGACAAAAGGCATCCGAACCCCGGAAATCCGAGCAGAACTCTCGAAGAAGAGGCCACACGTACACAGTGTCCGCCTCGCTCAATTCACTGCATGCAGGATGGGCAGCTACGTAACGTGTCCCACCCAATCATGCTACGGGAGGTATATGTTCATCAGCCGACGTCTCTCGATAGCGGCAACGACCGCCCATACGGCCCTCTCCGAATGTTGATGCAGTTTGCCCTCCACCAGCAACGTAAGAGAGCATGGAGGGCACCCGGCTGCAAGAAGTCGGGGACAGCCAGACATTGCAGCGCCTTAACTCGACCCAGCGGGCTTCGCGGATCGACTTCGTCCCACACCCGATGACCTGCAAGAGCGAGAGTCGTCAGCAAACCAAAGCAAGACTACAACACCACCTCCAAAGGAATAAGAAGCGGGAATAGACAAAACTTACATCGAGATCCTCCGCGCTACACCCTGCAGCTGCTTATCCTGATCGACCTCGCGGTCTACCCGCTTCAAAGCCTCGTCGCGCTGCGCCTCAGTACTCTTCCGCACCTCCTCACCCGAAGGCGGCAGCCGCTCATTCTGCAAGTCCACCTTCCTCGCGTCCTCGAACGACGTAATGGCTTGCTTGATGCCCTCGGCGCCGAGCATGAGAGTACCCGCGGGCAAGCGGCCGCCGGAAGCAGTCTTGAGCTCCGTGACGCGCTCGCTTTCCTCGCGCAAGACTTGGAAGACGCGGGACAAACGGCCGATGGCGAGAATCTTGTTCTTGATCGCGCGACGCTTGAACTCGATGCTTTCCGGGTCGTGGACGTGACCGCCGGCGAGGGGAGGCGAGGCGGGCCCGCTGGAGTGCGGAGTGTCTTCTTCCAACTCCTCTTTGCTGCAGGTGTTGAGGATGGCGATGAGCATGTCGGTGATTTTCTCGCCGACAAACGGTAAGCTCCAGGTGAAGACGTCCATGAAATTCGGCAACCAGTAGGGGTGAGGAGTGCAGTTGAACTGCCGGATGTTCATCACGTTATTCTCATACTTGAGCACGGCGGCCTTGTTGTTGTAAACGTCCAAGTAGTTCGGGGCGGAGAAGATGGTCATGACGGATGGGAAGCCGGTCGTGCGGGTTTTGCGGTACATTCTGTATCCCGCGTCTTGGGCTTCGTGTGCGCGGATGATGGAGAGCAGATTGTTCTTTTCCAGGAACGCGCAGGCGGCCGGATAGGAGAAGAAGTAGGAGCAGCCTCGCACGTGGTTGTGGACGAAGTATTCTTGCGTCTTCTCCTGCCCAAATTCCTCTAGCGGATCGGCCCAGAGAATATCGCACATGAGGCCGGAGGTGGGGGGTTCTCGGAAGCGGTCCAGCGCCTTGAGATCTTCCAGCGTGTGTAGCTCGGGCGACAGGCCACCATGAATGCAGAGGAATTGCTTATTCATGATGGCGGCAAGCGGGAGGGCACAGAAGGATTCGCAGCACGCATCGTATACTCTCTCCGAGTATTTGTGCTTGCATTCCAGCTTAAAGGTGAAGTAGTCGGTCAAATGCCGACACTCGTGGTTGCCTCTTAACAGCCACAGGGTGTTGGGATACCACATCTTAAGCGCCCACAAGTAGAGCACGCACTCGATGGAGAAGTAGCCTCGATCCACGTAGTCGCCGAGAAAGAGATAGCGCGTCTCTGCAGGGTCGCCGCCGACTTCGAAGAGCTTCATGAGATCGAAGAACTGGCCGTGAACATCACCACACACGGTGATTGGGGCATCCATCTCGAGCAGATTGGGTTCGGAGCGGAGCAGGGCTGTGCCGGCGTTGATGATCCATAGCGCTTGCTCTTCGGTCAAACGGCCCTCGCGATAAAGATGCTGCTTGAGGAATTGGAGGTTGGGCTTGGTGCGGTCAATGGGCGAGATGAGTTGCTCGTCGGTGGGAACATTGAATGCCGGGGCTTGTACGTCTTATAGAGGGAAGAGCAATCAGCAGGGGTAAGGCATGGTGTGAGGCTGGTGGCGATGCATACCTTTGCACACGCGGTCTTGTGTGCTCACTTGCGTGCCATCTTCCATGGTGTGTAGGGTAAAGTCAATCTCGGGCACCTGCTTCTTGTTCTGCACCGCTCGAATGGCATTGTCAATGTATGTGGGCTGCTGGTCGCCGCCCGTGTGGTGGCCGTCCATCTTTTCGAACCCCTTTTCCTTTGCTTTTCCTCGCAGTGGAGATGTCGTTGACCGATTTCGAGGGGGGTAAATATTACCAGAGGATGAAGGAGATCTGTCGAGGTTGAGGAGGTGGGTGTGGGAGGACCTCGTAAACGCGCAGCAAGAAGGGGGCGGTGGAGGCGGGGTTGCGGTGGGAGGTGTATGAGGGGGTGGTGCTGGTTGGGAGCTTCAGAGAGAGGCGGATTTCGACGAAAGTACGTGATGGGAGTAGTCCACGCTTCGCCCGATATCTCGAGATATGTCACTTGCGAAAGGCTGGTCGAGGGGATGGGTGGATGTTGGATGTGAAGTGTGGCCCGGCCAGAGTTCAGGCTGTGCTGGGTGGAGTTAGAAACGCCCGAAGCCAAAACCCTGCGCGCCGCTTGAAATAGCCAAATGAATGACGAGGGCGTTGCTGCCTGAGGCACTCGTGCTCACCACCCCACGGCTTGAAGACGTGAACATCGTCTCCTTCGCCAACGAGGGTCCAGAGCAGATATCTGCACAAATGGGATGCACATGACTCCCACGAGCAGATCGTCGTGCTCGTCTGACCCATTACCACATCGACCTGGCCACTGCACTCTCCCGGCTGCCCCACTCTCCTTGTCACACCAAGCCCAACCATTGTACCTCTTCGTGGACCGCGTACTTACATACAAATCGCAGGGGGGTAGCACACCGATGCCGTCGCTTCCTGCTTCATTACACGTGCATGAAGTGTGGCATGACTGTACCACATCACTTCCAGCAAGTTGCACTCACTGGTCTCGCATCTACGAGTTCACAATACCATGATGAGCCATAGTGCTGCCGGGCTACAAGCGCATTGTTCAACCACTCCGCCATCCATCAAGCGGTACAAAGCTTGAGAGAAACGTGTTGCGGATATCACGCTTCGTGTACAATAGGCCTTCGCAGAGGTGATACGCTGGCGCTTAGCTTCAGATCATCACAGCCGACTTGTCATTGCGCATACTGTGATACGTGAGAACAGGTTGAGCGGTCACGCGCACAATGATGTGGCAACAAGCGTGTAATCTTGGAGAGAGAGGTGGTATATAGAAGGGGTGCGATGTTCATCTTTTCTCGTACTTGCTCTCCAAACCTGCGAAGGTTCATTGTTTGCATACCGCTTCCAATTCCAGACGCTCAACGAGGGCTGTCGCTCGTATCGAAAAGTACGTTTCTGCTCCAGTGGGCTACCTAGAAGCGTAGGTCTGACAAGTCGAGATGGACATGTTAGTACAATATCAACCAAATACACAACCTGATGACCCTCAACACTCAACTCGCACACCACTGTGGGTGCCAAAAAGATGAATCGAAGCAAAGCGAAGCCATGGCAAGCATCGACCACCCATTCAACAAATGTAAATGGAGGATGGTAAATCAGATGGACGGAACCAGGCGCAGAACGAAGGTCACGGATTGCGCCAGCCGGAATTGCAAGTGGTCAATTGCCTACAAAGGCTTGAATCAAGGTGCTTGAGAAAGGGATATGCGGAGCTGGGTCGTTTTCAGGTGCATTATTGGTCATATCTTATGCAGAAGGATGGAAATGTCGGCCGCTAGGCAGCTTCGGTTTTGTCGAGTCATGTTGCCGTATCCGGGTTGGCAATCGCTACTAGCTCCAAATACTTCATCAGCTGCTTGAGTCCTGCTTCATCATTCGCGAAGGACGAATAGTCTGTGAAGCCCTCGTTCCACCCCGACGTTCCCTTTCCCCTGAGATGGAGGTTTTCAGGCGCGCAGGCGTTGAAGTCAATGAGAAACGTGTTGCCCTCTTCGTCGAACATGATGTTGTCGGGGCTGATGTCGTTGTGTGCGAGGCCAAGGCCGTGGAGATGTCGAATGGCAGCCTCCACGCTCCGAAAGCACCTCCAACGGGCGGCATGGTCCATGGATTCTCGCCGGTCCGACAAGCGACATGCATATCGATCCAACACCATTCCGACTACACGGCCATCCTCCACTAGACAGCCATAGTATTCGGGCAGGTTGGGATGTGGGTTGGCGAGGAAGTGATTTTCGTAAAGCTGGACTTCGTGAAGCAGTTCGTGAGCAAGTGCCTGCGTTCCACGCTCAAGCCAGTACCATCCAAAGCTGGGTCTTTTGATGTACACGCCTTGCGGTATAGTTTTGGCGGCGTAGATGTGAAGATGTTCCAGCTGCAAGGGATAGATTTCTTCGCGGGGGACAGGGCTCATTTGGACTTTTGGAAAGATATCGTCGAATTTGCCTCGTGCGGTGTTCTCGCCGTACTGAATCGAGTTTCCGGAGCGTGTTACGATGAATGCGCTGATGAACTCATTGTGTTCATCGCTCCATTCCTTCCTCACTTCAAGAGAGTCAATATGGAGGTTGTTCATGTTGATTGAAAGTAAGATCAAAGGGGGTCAAGTAGGAAGTCGAGGACATCGAAAAAGGGGGGGAGGAGAGGTGCTTTTAAGACCGAGGAGGAGGTCTCTCATATGCCTACCTGTACTCATTCATGCCTGAACGTCTCTCATGTGCCTACCTGTAGTCACTCATGCCTGTCTTCAGTGTCTACCTTACCTGGGTCATTCGTGTGCCTTGCGCATGTATTACGTCTAGTCGGGTGTCTTCAATCCCTTCTTTGCATACAACTCCGCGTACGACAATGAAGATAAAGTCAGCTCCTGACTTGCACGTGGTAGTGTCGACAAGTGATGTGCATGGATGCCTGAGGTGTGAGGAGATGCGGGTGGGTCCGTCCGTCCCAGAAGCCCCACAAAAAACGCAGCACTTGCAAACACAAAAAGTTTCGCGGGTGCAACGTTGAAAAAGCGCTCGCAGTTTCATGTCCGAACACGATTCTAACAAACCCGCAATCTTCAAACACTTGGCCCCAAGAGACAGAGGCATTCTCTCAAAGCAATTGCAAAGCAAGCAAAAAGAAGACACCATGACTTCCGAACAGACGTGAGTGAGCCTTTGCCTCCGCTGCCATTGGAAGCGGTGAGACAAACGAGCAATCATTGACGAGAGTACAGCTTCATCGCCGTTAAGCCTGATGGCGTCCAGGTGGGTTGATAGCCTTCCATGATACTTGATCTCCTGGATCATCTTAGATTGACAATCATCTCAGCGTGGCCTCGTTGGCGAAATCATCTCCCGCTTCGAGAAGAGAGGGTAGGTCGATTGCACATAGCAAACGTGGCAACATGACGCAGGACTAACACAACGCCCAGCTACAAGCTCGTCGCCATCAAGCTCATGACCGCCTCCAAGGAGCATCTCGAGAAGCACTATGAGGACCTCAAGGAGAAGCCGTTCTTCAAGGGCCTCGTTAGCTGTATGTACCAAACGATGCCTGGCCTATCCGTAGACCTCTCTCTAACCCGTACCGCACAGACATGGGCAGCGGACCCGTGTGCGCCATGGTCTGGGAGGGCAAGGACGTCGTCAAGACCGGCCGTACCATCCTTGGCGCCACCAACCCCCTTGCCTCCGCCCCTGGCACCATCCGCGGTGACTACGCCATCGTAAGTTATATTGCCATTCCATCGATGCTTCAATCCACTCTAACATGTATCATCAAGGACGTCGGCCGCAACGTCTGCCACGGTTCCGATGCCGTCGACTCCGCCAAGAAGGAGATTGCCCTCTGGTTCAGCGAGAGCGAGATCCAGAAGTGGACTCCTGCTCAGCACAGCTGGGTCTACGAGAAGTAGAAGCTGCCAGTGAAGCACACGTGATTGACCATCGCGTCAAAAGCATCTTAAGATAGAGCGTTCGATAGACGTCAACGCATTGAAACTCTTCGTTCGCTATGCCACATGAAACAGACTCAGGCCTTCTGCACCTTAACCGGATAAGGACTCTTCCCAAATTCAACCACCCTCTTCCTCTTCCCAATCCGATATCGTCTTCCTTTCAGCAAATACACCATCCACCCAGGCACAGCCCGATCTCTCCAGGTGCCCACGCCGCCGAATCTTGTCATAGGCCAGAGCCGAAACCCCAACGGCTTCTGCACGAACCTCGCATCCACCATCCCATCAACATGACGTTGACTCTCGCTCTTCGGCAAAGAAGCAGTCCGCAACTCGTGAGCGAGAAGATCGTTGAGCAGATTGTGCATCAGAACCGGAACGGCGGCGTAGATGTCTTGCAGCGTATTACGGGAGTAGCTCGCCACGTCGCCAATAGCGTACGTCCGCTCGCCAACGATAGGACAATCGATTCGAAGCGTGGCAGGGTCAGTGAGGACGTACCCCTCATCGTCCTTCATCTCATCAGGGAGGTAAGACGTGTTAGGCTCTACGCCCGTGCAGGGTATATACACATCGGCAGTCAGCAAGGTGCCGTCCATCAATTCCAGCAGCGTGCGACCGCTCGAGTCGGGCGTTTCTTTCGTCGAGGCGATGCGCGTGTTGTACTTGATGTCAACGCCCAACGCCATCAGCTTCTTCGCCGCTTTCCGGCTGATTTTCGGTTCCTGAGAGGGCAGACAGCGCTCGGAGGCTGTGATGATCGTGATCCGTTGCGCGGGCTTCGATGGCTTTCTCATCGACCAGTCACGCCCAAAATCTCGATGTCTCGCGAGCTGCGCTGCGATTTCTACCGCTGAAGGTCCCGCTCCGCCGATGACTATCGTCCTCGCGTCCACCACTCGCGAGTGGAATGCGTTCAGTGCGCCGAGCGTGTTGAGATGCGGGCCGTGGAGAGTCAGAAGATCGCTGTGCGCCGCCGTGCCTGTGGCGAGGATAACAGCGTGGTAAGAGATGGTCTGCTCTTTCGCCTTGAGGCTCGCGAGCGAGAGTGGACGCTGCAGACTCGCACGCTTGTTGAGCACGCTCGCTCTCTTCTGCGCTTTGCTGCCGATCAATTCGACCGTGATCGTTCGCGCAATGGGGTCAAGGCTGACCGCCTCGCCCTGCACAATGGAGAGGTGATGCGCTCTTTGGCGATGGAAGGCGGGCTCAATGGGGATGAAGAGTTCGTCTTGCGCTATTGACGCCGGAGATGCGATTGCCCTCGGAGCGGCGATGTTCCAGTAGAGATTGGTGCTGGGGTTGATGAGGACGAGGCGGTAGGAGGGTGCTGCGTTGACGGTGCGCAGCTTGTTGATCGTGTGGTCGAGAAAGTGGTGCGCGCAGGCTAGGCCTGCGTACGAGGCGCCGAGGATGACGATGTTGAGTGGTTCTACGCCGGTTCCTGTGGGTGCTCGCGAGAGCGGAGGCCCCAGTTGCGGAGTGGGTTGCTCATATGCTGAGTCCATCTGGGTCTTTCGCTGGCTTGAGAGTTACGGTATTGTGAACGTTTGAAGAGGAGATACACGCTGAAATACTATACATCTCAAAAGGAAGCGCGCTCACGCGTGCTTGGCCTAGGAATGTAATTTACAGCCCCCTTGCTTCGAGATATGCGCTTCGCAGCGTGCTCAGAGCACAGTCCTGATCGTAACCTTGGCCCGAAAACGCTGTAAGAAAAAACAAATGGTATCTCTCCATCCCATAGCGCCATGCTGAAGAAATGTGAAGTCCCGAGGTGGTTGTCTTCAACGCCATCGTTCGCCGTCGCTTCGAAAACTTGAAATGTCGCATGTCTTTGCACGAGTGTGAGAGCATCTAATGCCAACCGGGCATCGCGCACTGTTTCAAACTGAGTCAGCACAGCTCGATCATAACGGGGAAACGTCATGTCGACGCACGATTGTATCCGTATCCATCTTCATTTCCGCCTCCCTCTTCTGCAGCTCCTGCAGCGACACAGGCGTCTGCACGCGAGCGGGTGTGCCACAAGGCGTATTATTCGGCGTCGCGGGGGCGCGCTTCGCGAAACCCTGGAAGATGTTGCCGAGAAGGGTGGAGGAGCCGGGTCGCGCGAGCGTGGACGGTTGGTAGAGGGTGTGGTGGAGACTGGACGGCGAGGCGTGGTGTGTTGCGATGGGCGCTTTGGTCTGCGCTGCTAACGCTGCCGCTGCTTGTTGCTCTGCTAGCTTTTTCGCTGCTTCGGCCGCTGCGCGCTCTTCGTAGTAGTGTGACGGGATGGTCTCGACGGCGAACATGGTGGCGATGTTCTTGCAGAGTGTGGGCGAGAAGGGGAACGCTACCGTGGGCGCGGAAAGGTGACGCTGGCGCGAGCGAAGACGAAGTGATGTATTTTGTGCAAGGCAAGTGCCAGTTTTGGAACGCCCACGCCGGCACTTGCGTAGTGAGTGACGTTGCACTCTGCTGTGAGACGGCGCGTGGGAGGCACCCAGGGTCCGGTAATGCGGAAGTTGAGAAGATGCCGATCGTAAGGCTGCACGCTGCCGCTGACGCAAACGCCGGATCCTCCGCGCTTCTCGCTGTTGAAGCCGAGAGTGAGCGAGTGAAGGGTCTCGTAGTGTGATGCTCTTGCTGAGGGAAGGACTGGGTGTGTGATGAGAGGGCGCGAGGGGCGGGTAGAAAAGGAACAACAGTCAGTCGCACGGGCGGCAGGAACGGCGAGGAATTTCGAGATCCCCGGGCCCGGCAAATTGTGCGGGTTGTGGGGGAAGGCACGATGTGGGGAAGGAACGTGGCCGCCATCCGAATGAGGCAAGAGCAAGCATGCCCGCGCACGTGTGGTTGTTCTCTCACGTGCTCTTTCATTGAGACAAACGGTGTAGAGAACCCTATGAAATAATGGTTTATGGACACTGGCTTTGATTTATGATCATGCTCATTGCCCTACTCCAAGGGTATCCCATACTGGGCCAACCGCCCGTCCCGTGGAAGCCATATATCGTTATCGAACCTCACGCAATCAAATCCCACCTCAAATATCAGCTGCCGTCTCCAGCAAGGCCTTGGTCAGACTCTGCCTCCCAATCTCATACACCTTCGTCCCAATGACCTCGCCCAGCATCGTTTCGAGCCGTTCCTTCAACACCTCCCCCTCGGGATACCCATTTTGCTGCAAGGCTCCCGTCTCCGCCGCATCTTTCTCCACGGTCTCTAGCGCTCTCATGATCGCATTCACCACGTACTCCGCCTGTTCGCGCTTCCCATCATCCTTGAGTCCCCTCTGCAGATGTGCGTCGTACGGCAACAGGTTAGGTACGATGAGCGATCGCACGCCTTCTGGACCGGCGATCATCGTGAGGGCAAGGATAGATCCGTAGTGCGTGCCAAAAGGCTTGTGGGAGTCGAGGAAGCTCTTCAAGCATGAGCGCGCGATACGTGGCTTCAGTGTTGATGAACTGGGTCCGTATTTTCGTGTGATGCTTGAGAGTAGGCTGGCAGCGTAGTCGCGTAATGCGAAGTGGGTCGTCGGGCCGTCTTGGCTGGCAGAGCCGAGGTGTTTGCCCACAAGGCAGGTGAGTACTGATGGGATGATTGAAGGGACGTAGGGCGCGAGGTATAAGCTTGCATTTTCCAGCAGAGCAGCTATGACGAGCATACTTTGCGTGAGGACGAACATGTTTTTGAGGCTGTGGGTGACTTTGTCCGCCACAAACTGGATGAAATATGGCACCAGTTGATGAAGACCGGGATCGGTCTTGAGCGATGCGAATGCTGCCGATCGGTACTCGTCGTTCGTCTCGTCCAGTATGGCGCCGCATATCCGCTCGAAGTAGAGCTGCAACTCTTTGGAGAGTACATGCTTGACGAGCGGCTTCACCGATACGTTGTCGTTGCCGCTCACTGCTGCGAGATGTGGGTTTGCGCCGGGTCCTTTTGCTGCGAGCTCTTGGTTGCGCTGGTCGGCTTGTGTCGGGTTCTGCGGTATGCTAGGCTGCACACCCTCCACGGCTAGCCAGTGTGCCGTGAAGCTCATCTCTCTTGGGACCTTGGGTAGAGGCGCATTGATCAACTTCTCGAAATCCATCTCTTCATCTTCCACGTAGAACAGCGGCTGACCGGGGCCGATAGACGCTTCACCGAATCGCAGTGGTCTCGTGGACTCGTAGCCATATAGCGGCTCCACCTCCAGCAATCGCAGTGCTTGTGAGACGTCTTGTGTTGTGAGTGTCGTTCTCTTGCCGTGTCGCATGAACTTCAGCGCTTCTTCCAGGACCTGACTGATTCTGAACTCGACATCTCGCGCGAGGTGGTCGACGGCGTCGCGATTGAGCTGCGTGATCCCTATCGACTCGGCGACGTCGATGACATTCTCGGAGTTCCAGACTGACATGTTGTCAGCCTGGCCGACGGACGCGCCGACGCGGTTGTCGCGATACTGCTTTGGAGGGCTCAACAGCTGTTTAGTTCACTTGGGCTGGTCGAGTGCTTCGAAGGGTGGGTTGCGTGAGGTCCGCGATAGGTCCTGGTGGTCGGTGGTCGTGGTTCGTAGAGTCTAATCGTGGACATCGAGGCAAGCAGTGTGCTCGTGAAGGATGTTCTGTTGGAAGGGCTCGACTGGCTCTATTGTTCACTCAGTGATTCCATGGGGCACTCCGAAGGTTTGCGCGTTCCAGTGAATTGCGCCGACTTCACTTGTGCGTTCTGTGAACTTGAAGGAGAGGTTGCGATGCGAGAAGTGAATGCAGCGTTGGCGGCACGACCCGCAACTCTATCCCCAGCCAGCTGTTGCTTACGTTATCTTGGCCGCTCCAGTTCCATGTCATGTTGAAACATAAAGGTCCAGTGAACGTGATGCGCGGAGTGGAGTATGATGAGGTCCTTCAACAACATTTACGTATAGCTCTCTATCAATTGACGAAACTCGCTCTTGTCCTGTCAGCAGAGCACCGCCTGTGCACGCCGCAGATCGAGCTTCAAGTCTGCGTCTCTTTCCAACATCTCTGGAGTGGCTGGAGTACCTTCTCGGCGAACTTCCTCCGCCACTCACCACTCGTGGTCGATGCTGGAGCCGAATGCAGACACCATCTCACGGCCGCAGCGTCATCTTGGCCCGCTTCGAGTTCGATATCCTGAGCACATTCCCAGGCCACAACCTCGCGCTGGAGCGGATCACTTGGGTTCCTCGGCCAAGCAGGATCGTGAAAGCCACCATGGGCTTCCAGTGATGTTTCGAAGCAGAGCTCAAGAAGGACGATTCCGAGTGTCAAGAAGCTCTGGTCTTTCGATCCGCAGGGGCTTCAGAAGCAACAAACCCATACGATGAGGGGAGAAAAGCGACACGAGGATGCTGCCGATTAGTGGTGTTGGACAGTCATGGAGACATCGATTGAAGATGCCAAGACGGCTCCATCGGTTTCTCGACTGCGGTTTGAAGGATGAGATGCAATGGTATAATGAGAATCAGATATCCATTTAACCAAGCACCGTCACACACGCTATGCATTGAATAGACTCCATCATGAAACTCCATATCTCGTTCGCGTTGTTGGCTGACCCTGCCGCCTCCTGGAGTCCGAGATCATCCTTGTACATCCGGCAATCTGACGGCAATATCGCCGCTCTGCGTGATGTACCGCACCCATGGCAATGACGGGTATTGCAACTGCAGATCGATTAGCAGTAGTCCACAACAGTCTCTATGTGAAGAACTCACCTTCGGCTCGATAATCTTCAGATACCGCACCTGAATGCCAGAAGTAGTGAAGTACGGAATCTCAAACTTGACGCCAATCGGCCTCTTCGCCTTCCCCGTGCCGCCCACACCCCCCATACTCCCTCCAAAGCCGCCCATCATGCCGCCGCCGCGTTCTTCATCACCGCGTACACTCGGTAGACCTAGTTCAGCGCGCATGAGGAACTCCTTCCCGCCGCCGAACTGCTTGATCTTCCACACTATGCTCGACGTTTCGGGCGCGTAGTGCACGGAGCCAATGTTTGTCCGGAAGCGAGGCGTGTCCGCATCGTCTGGCACGGGGATAGAGATCTCCACATTGTTGGCTGTCGAACGGCGCTTGAACTGTGCTTTCGCTTTGAGCATGTATTCTATCCGGCTGCCGGAGTGGGATTCGACGATGCACTCCACCCAGATGAGCGGCTTGACTTGTGTGTTTAGTCGGTAGGACATGAGTTCGAATTCGCCATCCGGAGGAATGAAGGAGATTGTCCTGTCGTTTTCGAACCGTGAAAGTCGCACACATTGATGGAATTTGACGTCTTCCATCTCCACCGCTTTGCCCCGCGTCGCACGCCCGGTCGTCTCGAACATGACTTTGTCGTTGAGGCCGAGGCGTAGCTCTGGCATGCCGGAGAGGTAGCATTTCATTTTGATGGCGCCGAGGATTTCGGAGCGCAGGACGTTGCCGGAGGAGCTGACGAGCAGGTTGAGCGATTCCACGACATCGAGGAAGACTTCGTTCTTTCGGTAGCGGATGCCTTCGCTTCGCCAGCTGACCGCGTTTGTGACTGCTATGGGAGGGGCGCGGGCCTGGACGTCGAGCTTGAAAGACTCTTGCGTGATGTACTCTTGCAGGATCTTGGACTCGGTGGTCTGCGGATAGCCGAAATCCATCATCTCATCGAGGAGTTCGTAGATGATGACAAAGTTGTCGCGGATGCTCTCCTCCTCCAACTCCTTAAAGTACTCGGTGAAGACTTCAACAATGCGGTGCAGGAAAAGCAGGATCTCGGCGGCATTGCTGTTGCGTTTGGTGAGGGCGAGGAGGTACAGATTGTTGTGGCGGATGTAGAGGTAGTTGATGCCTTCGTCGCTGAAGCACGGCGGCACGGAGGAGGACTCGTCTTCGGCTTCGCTGAGGAGGACGGGGAACTTCTCGACGGCGCTCATGGGGATGTCGCCGCGGTAGTTGCGCGCGAGCAGCGTCTTGCCCTTGAGGTCGAGGAAGAAGATTGCGGAGGCCATGGCGAGGGTGGGGGTGAGGGTGCGGGTGTGGTGATGTGGATGGTTGCTATCTGGAAATCATCTCAGAAGGGGTTGATTCGCATTCATGAGCGCGTGTTTCAAAGTCTCCGGTCGTAGTTGTCGCGCTGTTTCGAGGAGTGAGGTGCGGTAGGCGGAAGTGTCAAGCTTCGCCAAGACTTGAGGAGCTCACATCTTTCTTCCACCCAGTCCTTCGACACTGCATTTCGTTCGACCACAACACCACAATGGCCCATCAGCTAGCCCACAGGGCTGGTCGAACAATTCGAGCGCCATCTACGGCGACATTGGTGGCTCTCCAATCAGCCATATCCAGTCTCACCATCTCCTCACCGAATCCTGCCACCCTCCAACGAAGAAACGCCTCGCATCAAGCCCAAGGTCGAGCCAATGGCCCCAAAGACCGCGCAGGCAAACGACTCGGAGCAAAAAAGACGGGAGGAGAATATGTAATACCTGGCAACATCCTCTATCGACAAAGAGGCACACTCTGGTTCCCCGGCGATGGCTGTTTCATGGTACATTCATCCTTTCCCCTTCATACTCGGGTCAGCACTAATATCCCATTCACAGGGTCGCGACCACACGATCCACGCCAAAGTCCCCGGCTACGTCAAGTTCTACCGCGACCCCTCCTTCCCCACGCGCAAATACATCGGCGTCGTCTTCGAGCGCAACAACGTGCTGCCACAGCCCCCCAACGCAGTGCGCAAACGGCTGCTAGGCATGCTCGCGTACCGCATGCCCGAGAGCAGCAACAGCAGCAACACATCAGAGCCATCCGCTCTCCCATCTCCACCCACCGAAGCACCCTCCAAAGCAGTCGAAGTCTCCACCCAACCTCCCACCTACCCGCAAACAGCCACGGTGAAAAACACGCGTGAAAACGGCGAGGTCATCACCTCGCAACTCCAGCTGCGCAGCGGTAGCTATCAATGGCGACAAGCGAATTACGACATTGGGCGGACGGCGCTGCAGAGCGAGCGCGCGTTGAAGGTGAAGCCGTATGATCCCAACGACCGCTTTTTGGCGTGGCGCAAGCGGAATGCGCGGCGTGCGCGCGCGGCGCAGAAGAGAGCTCTGGGGAGGGGAGGGAAGGGGGCCGCAAAGGGCAAGGCGAAGGGGAGGGGAAAGAAGAGGTAGAGGTGGGAGCGATGAGCGGTTGGGGTGGATCCAAGTTGATACTCTTGTAGTGTTGTATTGCAATGCATACCTACGGACTCGCTGTATTCCAATGCGTGCAAGAAGCTGCAAATGCCGTATGTGCTCTCCGCCACATGCTCCTGCTGTAATGACACCTCACAAAGCAGAAACGCTGCCCGCCCGCCGCATGTGTTGCGCGCACCGCTGAAGTGAAAGACACAATGCTCAGTCCTCACGGCGCCACCTTCTAGTTGACGCTCGCACCCTCCGCAAGCGTCCATCCACCACCCAGCACCGCTCCACCACCCTCCACATTCCCTTCCCCAGTCGCGCCAGGAACCTTGATAATCAGGCCTTCCCGCGCCAACCAGTCCTCCATAGCATAGTCCTTCAACCACCGTTCAGGCCCAACCAGCTCATCGTTCTCCTTCTTCGCATTCTCCATATGCCTTCCCACGTGCTCCAAGCGCTCATCCCAGCTCCCCTCTCCGCTGAACTTGGCATCGCAAAACAAACACCCGCTCTGCTCCGGCGTCGATCGAATGTGGCGGTAGCATCTCGCCGCCGCAGCGTTGAGCGCTTGCTCCTCCGGGTCTTTGGCAGCCGCGGACTTCGACAGCGGCGGCGCGTTCGGGTCTTTCTCGCCCGAGTGCATGCGGCGCACGTGCTGGATGAAAAGATCCTTGCGGTTGAAGTCGTTCGGCTTGCGTTCGGAAAGGTCGCAGGGCGCAATGTCGCAGCGCCAGAAGCCGAGGCGCATGTGCGCCGTGTTGATGTGCCGCTTCCACTCGTTCTTGCTGCCGAATGTTGAGGTGCAGCCGTAGACCGTGAAGGGACAGGTGAAGGCGCGAGAGGAGTTTTGTTGCACGTAGGCGCTTGGTTTCGCGCCGGGCCCGGTTTTGGAGGCGTTGGAGAGGCTGCGCTTCCTGGGCGCGCGTTTTCCGGCTTTGGCGGACGTGGGTGCACGTGGGGAGGAGATGCCGTGGTCGGAGCGAGGGTGTTGGCGCGGGTACGTGGGAGACTGGGGCTCGGACTTGTCGAATTCCGAGTTGGTGGTGCTGGTCGCGGAGTTGTTGCGCATCTGGTTGTAAGCGTCTGAGTTGTAGTAGTTGCCGGATGGGTGACGGTCATCGACGTCCATTGCGCCGGCTTCGCGTTTGAGGCCGCTGTGGGAATTTGGTAGGCCGGGAGCAGGTGTGGCTGCTAGGCTCCAGGCGCTGGCGTGATCGGGTTGGTGGCCGTAGACTTGGGCATCGTGTGACAGCTTGGCTCGTAAGGCTTCACGGGCTGCGCTGGCGATGGATGGTCGTGTAGCGAGGTCGCCCAGTAGATGAAGGCCACGTGCTTCCTCGTGAGATACGGCAGGAGCGAGGTTCCTCTGCTCCCCTTCTGGCTCCCCTTGCGGCGACCAAGGCAGACCATCTCCATTGCGCCAGCGAGTAGCCGCGTGGGTCGGCCAGGCACCACTACTGCTGCTTCGATCGGGCCAAGTGGGAGGCTGTCGAGACTGCCTTGGGCCGACGGGGATGGTCAGGTTGATGACATTGGTGTCGGGATCGCCGCGTTCGACATAGTAGCCGGCAGGCAGGAAGTCGTTCAGTTGCTCCACCAGTTCGCGGCTGTCGGCAAATAGTTTGGCGATTGTGGCGACGATGGCGGGAGTGTCGTGCGTGCCTTGTTTGAAGTCCTTCAGGACATCGAGGAAGCGGACATAGACATCTGGGAATTCGGCGTAATGCGTTTTGATTATGTCGAAGTAGGAGAGGGCATCGCCGAGGTCCTGCTGTGGACGCGGGGGAATGTCCTCCTGTCGCGGCTGAGGCTGAGAGTGCGGAGGCGGAGGCTGTTTGGCATAAGGGTTATGCTGGGGGGGAGGGTATTGTTGATGATAATGCTGGGGCTGGGACTGGCCCTGTTGTGGATGCGGATGCTGTTGTGGTTGCTGTTGGTGGTGTTGCTGCTGCTGCTGCTGCTGATCCTGGGAGGTGTCCAGGATAGGACGGGGGTAGGTGGGCGACGCGAACGCCATTGCGGCCCCCCAAGCCCGGTGGAGAAGGAGAGGGAGACGATTGAAGGCAGATGCAGCAGCTGCCACGCGTCGAGAGCAGACTGTTGGATGTGCAGTGGGAGATGGGGGTTGAGGTGAGGTGAATGGTGGCCCTCTTTTTTTCTCCGCACGCGCACGCACGCACGGCAGTGAGCTTTGCAGCAGGCCCAGCCGCGGCGGGAGGCGAAAAAAGCGGCGCGGCGAGGCTAAAGGTGCCCAGCAAAAGGCTAGAATGGGCGAGGTTTGATTGGGGGAGGGGGCGAGCAGCGCGGCGGCCTTGTGTGGCTTCAACCTTCCCCTTCCGCCCTTTGCGCAGCCGCGGTAGCCGTGGCCGTAGCGGGTGATGACGTAACAGACTCGAGGCTCACGTCCGGCGAGCGGGGAGTCGGGGGAGATTGCTTGTCGTTTCCAAAGAAGCGCCTGGCTGGTAAGGAGATTGGCACGTGGATTCGGTGGGAGAGAGATGGAGTCTTCGTGGCCTCCCTCGGGTGGAAGCAACGCGTGAGTGAGAAGAAGATGAGCCAACAAGGCTGCAGCGTTAAGGTAGCAGCCTGCCGTGTGGGCGCGCGCGCGTCTGGGTGAACGCGGAAGTTGCCGCGCCGTACATTGCGCCTTCATCACCTGAGAGCTAGGCGGAACTACATCCTTATCTTTACTTAACACACGTGTTCTCTCGAACCTATCCCTCCTCAACACGCCCACACAGCCGTAAATCACACCTTGTCGGCAATCATGGCAATTCCTGCCGCGGTGTCCGTGTGCCTCGTCCCCCTTCCTAGCCGATGGGCCATGACTCGCATCGACCGTCTGTTCCCTCAGGCAACAAGCCTCCGGCTGCGTCCCAATGAGTTCTTCTCCACGCATATCCAGACGCTCCTGGCAAACTTCGCCTGCATGACTGCTCGCGGATCGTCCCAGCCTTGCCCGTTTCACCTCTCGGAGTCCTCGCCGAGCAGCCTTCGTAAGCTGCACATCGCCTCGCTTGCGCTGTCATCGACTGGTGGCTGCGCAATCACGGCTTGAGTTGCTGTTTCCCATTCCAGTGGAAAGTTCAAAGTGCTCGCCATTGCAGTCGTTCCGCTCACTGGAAGCATTCGACCCATCCTCCCGATCCGCACGCTGCGCATAGACTGCCTTGGTGTCGTCGCTCCCCGTCGTTGGAAGTTGAATAGACTCCCTGCTTTTTTCTTGCTCCTCCTACTTCCCTCGCTGCTCCCCGAGCTCGCCTCGGGCACGCTGGTCAACGCCCGCCTCATCCCCGGCCGGAGTGCATGGTGTCGTGATGTACCGGAGCTTGCCGTTGTGATCTCGCCCAGAGGCGGGAGGTGCGAGCTATACTCATCCGCCAGGCTCACCCGGCTTTGTGCGCATATCTCTGCAATTCCTTGGATGGCTTGCTGGAACTCCGCACTGTCGGCAGCCTTCAGAATGTCTGCGAAAGCATACGACGAGACCGGCGGCAGTACATGGGCCCCTCTCCGTCCCTTTCCAGATGGGCCAATGGACAGCGTATGATCGGAAGAGTGTGCTCTGACGAGCACGGGCGACGCCATTTCATGGCATGGTCACTGCCTGTCGCCTGTAGCCTGTACCCAGAAAGACAATGTGCTTGCTGGTGGGCTGGAGCTGGGAAATACGAGACCACGACTTTTGTCATCCCACGACTTTTAAGCTTCAACAAATTTCAATATCATCTTCACAACACCATGTGCCTTCACACAACTTCTCTCACATCATCATCTTCCTCACGCCGTTCGACAGTAGCTGTCGAACAATTGACTGACGAAGATGACAGACCAATCAGACTTCAAGATCAAAGGCGCCGCTGAGAAGAAGCTCGCCGAGGTATGTCCTGCTTTCACCCCCGTCTCTGCCTCGTGTTTCACTCGCATCGGGTGACACCTTCACTACAATTCTGCTGATACGCGATAGTCAACCAAGCAACCGAGCACGCCTGAAGCGGCTCGTGCTCCTGAAGACGTCCCGCCGACCTCGACATCTCTCGAGGAAGGTGAAATCACACCAACGTCTACCAACGGAGAGGTATGTCATGATGCACGCATCACTACAACTGGCTTGTGGTCTACCCACTGCCAATTTTTCAATCCATGACTTCCGACAAGCACTGTCAGCCACGTTATGTGCACAGTCGAGCATATGAACCTGAGCGCTATATCACGTCTGTCCGTCATCGATCTCGCTGACAGCTAGTAGGCCAAAGCAAGCGTCGACGTCGGACAGATGGTGAGTATTCACAGCATCTTTTCAGCCTCATTTTCTTACCCGCCCCCTTCCTCTGCTCTCAATATCTGCTGCTTTCATTTACTTCTCCCTCAAAACAGCTACTTCAAAAGAAGCATCTACTATCCAAGCATTCTTTCAATACTGATCCCCGAGGCACACAGACCCACGAGGACCAGCTGGCACGCTACCGATGGCTCAAAATTTCCTGTGACCCAGCGGCACATAACAACCACGACCACTACTATACGCACATGGACACGTTCGCTTCGCAGTGGGAAGAACCCAACGAACCGTACTGGCTGTGGAACTCAACAACCCAAGACTATGATGCCAGCGGCCTTCAGAACTCAACTAGCACCGCAGCCAGCGCCTCCGCCAAGCAGCCCTCGTCCACTGGAGTCGACCCCAACTACACGGGCTACAACCCCAAGATCCACGGCAACTACGACCCCAACGCCCCTTACGCTCAGTACCACAACAAGAAGCGCGAAGAAGAGGCCAAAGCACAGCAAATTGCACAAGGCACATACGCTCCATCAAGTACTGCCTACGTCACAAGCGGCAACTTCAACCGATTCACCGGCAACTTCCAAGACCCGTCGCAGTCCGCAGAGAGACACAACGACTACAACAAGTCCGGCCGCCAAATGAACGCCTTCTTTGACGTGGACGCCGCAGCCAACATGCATGACGGTAGGTCGCTGAAGGAGGAGCGCAGGAATGAGAAGTTGTCGAAGGAGCAGATTCGGGAGTTGGCGAAGGCGCGCAAAGAGAAGAAGCTGAAGAAGCGCATGGACTTCTACCGCTCTTGAGACCGCGTGGCCTCCTGATTTCACCATTTGCTTGCTCGATTAGCGGCATCATTGGGCTGGCGTACCGGGCACTCGCAGCGATGGACACTAGCATTCACGGGGTGTTACGATGATGATGATGAATGATGAATGATTTGCGGCACACACTGCGCATCGGCTTTACTCAGAGACGGAATGTGGCATTAATAGATCGGCGGATGATATCACGCCAGAGCTCGGAGCTAGTGTAACTCATCAATGGTGGCACACTCCCACGTCTTTACTTCCTCCGCTTGACGTGTTCACTCTTCACCACTTAAGCCTGCCTCTAGTAGTTCAACCATGCCACCAGCTTGTGCGTCTAACAGCTGTAGCTCCGCCTTGAGATTCAGCATGAGCATCCCTTGTAAAGCCTGTCGCATTTCACACTTCTCTTCCCCTTCCCGCGCTCGCTCCAGCATCTTGATCGCCTTTCGCCTATCCCTCGGAGTAAGACCCAGCAACCCCTGATCAGAATGCAATCCCCCTCCCTCCCGCCCAATATGCTCTGCTCTCACGCCCAGCCACCGAATGCTGGGCACGCGCAGCGCCTCGCTCTCATGCGCCAGCGCTATCGAGCCATCCTTGTACGTCGACAGGATAGCCAAGCCATCCGGATCATAATCCACCAGACCGTAGACTGGAGGCGCACGGAACCCATTGCGCGGAGACGGCGTGGCGAGGAAATGAAGCAGCGCTCTGGTTGCAATGTCCGGATACCCTTTGCCAGTGATGAGGATGCCTTGCTCTGCGAGTTTCGCGCTGAAGCTTGCTGAGGAGGCAATGGAGCGGAAACTGGCTTCTTTCTCCACGACGAGAATCCACTTCACACGGTCCAGGTTGACGCACAGGATGTCTTGCAAATTTAGCACGAGTGTGCCTTCTCCTTCGGCGGTAGAGGCGACATTGAGCGTTGAGCCGTTGCGCCGCGTGAAGAGGGCTGCGCCTGTTATCAGGCCCTTCGCTACGGCTGCGATGTTGAGGCTGCTGCGCGGGGTGGAGAAAGTGAGGGCTATGGCGTCTATGTAGCGGTTGACGTGCGTTTGGTTGCCGAAGAGCGCGGGGTCGCGGTAGTAGATGTCTCTGTGGAGCAGCATGAGGAATGCACTGGGATGGGGTGGGGTTGTTCTTACCGTTTGGAGATTACGGTGTCCTTAGAGAGAGCTTCGTGGATTAGTTGCAGGATGCGAATGATGACGGCTGTTTGTGGGGAGATTAGTGACTTGTCTTACCAGCATGGTGCATGAAGAATGGATGTACTGAAACGCCAGGCTTCTTCGGCACTTTTGCCCGGAAAGCAGATGCGTCGGAACTTTTGGGTGCGTTGGTCGGCGCCTTCTTTTGCTGCCTCACTGGATGATGTCGGTTTACTCTTCAGGGTGATCACAAGCTCCGGCCGTTCGTTCGTGAGATCAGCTGCCATTTGATCGAATATCTCTTCAATCTTCTCGAGCAGTGGGGCATGACGGCGATATGGCCTTTCATCATTTACTTCGTCACAATTCGAGTAATGCCTGGGCGAAAAGCAGACTGCGGCTTGTTCTTCACTGTACATCGACCTACGAGGGTCTGCTATGACACTGAACTCGCCGGAGGTTGCAGATGGCATTGGATCGTAGCCATCGCTGAACGCGAAGAGGTCAGTCGCCGCGGATGTTAGTGACTCTCGCGATGAGTCGTGAGCAAACTCCACTCCCGCGAGCAGATCATCAAAATCGTCGTCTTCCATTGTGGGAGACTTTGCGCAATGATGACAGTCCGTCACTGACGGAATGCTGAGGTGAGGTTGGGTGAAGTGGACTTCACTCGTCAACACGAGGTCCGTGCTCTCCCTAGCGCGTCAAAGCGCGTCGGCTGCCTTCGCGAACCGAGCTTGTGAATGTTCGGAAAGTACTGCACGTCCATGTACCTCCGCCAAACCTGAATACGCGATTCACAGTTGATCATGCGAGTGTACGAACATTTGTGAGTGCCGACTGTCAGCTTGCACTCCATGGACAGCCATCAAATGGAGGCAATCGACTCCTCGCCGGCAGAAATCAACCCGCGGAAACGCGCAGCACCGGACGAGGACTCTCCCGCGAAACGACCACTCAATCTGAAAGGAACGCAGTTCACGATGCCCACGCCACCCGACACAGACCAGTCTAGTAATGCGAGCCCTACTGTCGATAATGCAGCTGCCCGAGACGTCTCCCCAGCCCCGAGCTGTACTACCCTGAGCAGCATTGAAACGATGTCAAGCATGCCGCCACCTACCTCCACCGACGCTGCCGGCCAGACTTCGAGTGCTCCGACCACTTCAATACCTGGGCAACCGCCCAAGAAGAAAAGAAAGCTCACTCCGTCGGAGAAAATAGAGCAGCTTCGGGAGAAGGAAGCCAAAGCCGCCGAGAAAGCTGCAGAGAAAGCTCAGAAGGAGGCGGAGAAGGCGCGTAAAGAAGTGGAGAAGGCCGAAGAGAAAGCACGCAAAGATGAGGAGAAGGTTCGGAAGGACGAGGAGAAGCGCGTCAAAGATGAAGAAAAGCGAAAGAAGGCGGAAGAGAGGGAAGCGGTGAAGCGCGAGAAAGAGCACAAGGAGGAGGTCAAGGTGCAGGAGAAGCTCAAGAAAGAGCGCGCCCAGATGCGACTTGGAGCCTTCTTTCAGAAACCCATCACTCCTGCGAAGGACGGCGCTGACGAGGCGACATTTGGCCGTGCTAGGCGCAAGTCGTTGTCCCTCGAGCCATTCGACGCAGTAGCAGACCAAATCCGCCGGTCAGAGTCGCCTTGCAAGGACGCTGCCCGCTCAGTGTCAGTGGTCAACACTCCTGCGAAACCTGCCGTCCCGGATTATCACAAATACTTCCTGCCCTTTCAACTACAGACCTACACCTCCATGGCTGCGCCTGCCATCCCTGTTGACCTGGATGTAGCTCAAGACATGTTCGATCAAGAAATCGGGGAGTCTTCTTCAGGACAAGACTCCATTCCTGTCCACTCATCCTCTGTTCTCGAGCGACATTTCACTCTGGAGCGGCAGATCTCTCGCGGAAGACATCTCTCTCGCATGCGCAAGCTTTTCGATCAGATTCACGGCCGTTCGCAGCAGCCAGTCGACCTGACAACCGGTGAGCTTCCCTCCCACCCTATGAGTGAGCTGCAGTCTGTCTCCCGGCGCCACATCGCGTTCGAATCCGATGTTCGCCCGGCGTACTTTGGCACTTATACGAAAATCGATTCCCCTCGAGTGGCACGACAGCTCGCTCGTAACCCTTTCACGAAAGCTCGGACAGACACTGACTACGACTATGATTCGGAACTTGAGTGGGAAGAGCCGGAGGAGGGCGAGGACCTACTGGACGAAGACGATGACGAAGCGGAGAGTCAGGGAGACGTTCACGAGATGGATGAATTCCTGGACGATGAGGAGGACTCGCTCAAATCCAAACGCAAAGTCGTCACCGGGGATCTGGTGCCGACGCACAGCGGGTTGTGCTGGGAAGATGATTCCAGACATCTCGTCGCGAGTGGTGAGGGTGACCAGCCGCTTCAGACTGCTCTTCGCGGTATGCGGATGGGCATCTTGCTGCCGGGGCTGAAGGGCTCGACAATCGATCCATTCTCGAAAAGCTATTGGCAGAGCGAGCAGCCATCCACGGAAACGACAGCACCGGCACCGGCAGCGACAAGTAAGACCGAGCCATCCATACCTTCGGATGAGTTGATGCCGCCTCCGTCCAGAGCGCCCCTCCAACCTCGTTTGAACAGCAATGGCACTCTCGATCACCTGTTCGCTGGTACAGTGGATGGCAGCAGCAAAGCTACGAAAGCTCCGGCATCGACGCAAGCATCCAAGCCCGGACGCAAGCCTTTGCCGAAGACGCTCAGTAAGGAGGACATGGACGAGTTCAAGGGGTTTGTCGTTGGAAGCCACGCGAACAAGGCGGACTTGTTGAAGGAATTGAAGACGAGGTAATCATTACTCCGTTGTGGTGACCATTTCAGCATTGCTAACGAAAGGGTATAGGTTTCCCAATCTCACCAACGAGACAATCAGGACTACGCTGGGCGACAAGTTTGCGCAGGTCGGCGCCACGAAGGCAGAGAAGAAGTGGGGATACGTATCGACGGAATGATCAACACTCTACACGTCGTGTAATGTGCTTGAGCGACGAAGGACTCGGTGAGAGAGCGTGACGATGACGACTGCTCGTCGATGAGATGAAAGGGCAAGGATGCTGCATCTGTATTTACTACATCAACTGCACCGCTTTACCCTCGAGCAGGATATAGTTGTACGCAATAGCACTGACCATCAATCCCCGTCAACGTCAGAAACAGATCACTCGTTCTCGCCGGATGAGGCCCCCGGCAACGTCCACATGACTCAAGTATGTATCTCTTCAAGACAACCTCGACAGAAGCGAGGAGCCGCCAGACCCGCGCGCGCATGACGATCTGGGCCAATCAGCGTCGCGACAATTGCGCTGACCGCTTCGCCACGTGAAATTGCGCCAATAGCCCGCCGGCTGGTCGGCTGAGACCCTTCCACGCTTATACTTGCGCGTGATTAACAATCCAGCCCGAAAACTCCAGTCTCAGCTGCGGTAATTGCAGGATTGTTAAAGGAATGTTCTCATTGTCTCGTTGAAAAGCTACCCTTCTTCCTCTACGAACATCCAGCCTACAACTGAATTCACTGCCATTCGGACGTCGGCCGCAAGCTGAATATCGAGCCTCGCACTTCGCCCCGCGGCTGTGGATGTAAGTTATAAGCGGACGTGCGATCCGCGGGTATTGATTCTTCCTTGTCGGCCTTTCTGACGGCATATATGTAACAGAGCAAGGTCAAGCTACGAGACAAGCATTCTGCGTACTGCATCTACGAACAACGAACAAAACAACAATCTCAAATGGCTTTCCCCACCACTCCCCTCCTCGCGCAGGCGCTGCGCTTCTACTCCCAGCGCGCCGGGCCCTCGCAGCGCTCCGCCTTGGGCGTCATGGCCGTCATGGGATACTGCTGTGTGGCTTTCAGTGCGCCATTTGCGGGTGCGGCGGTGGTGAGCTCAAGAGCGGGACAGGATAAGCGATATGCGAATCTGTAAGTCGTTGCCTCGGTGTGCGTTGCGAGGAAATGGAGAGGAGTTCGCGTCTTTTCGCATGTGCTGACTGACTTTTCCCTCATTCTAGACGGCCTCTAAGCTTCCGAGATTGCTTGCCCTGCTCGCCGCTGGAGGACTATGCTGGTGCGCTGAGAAGATGATGGAAGAACGATGTGTGTTGCAATAAGGGTTTTCGGAATGACGGTTCAGCGTGGGGCAGGCGTTTGGGAGGAGACTGTATCGTCCGGGACAACATCAATGGGCGTGGGGATGGCACATATTGGCGTTTCGGGATACCTCCGGCGTGTCGTCCTTCGGGTCGTCTTTGGTTGACGCAAGCATCGGCATACGTATGCAGACAACGATTCCACCTCTTCGATTTCCAAGTTCTCATCTTCGCGTCAGACGGTTACAGATGTCCGCCATCAACTGAATCTGTCTCCCTTCCTACTCCGCCAAGGCTCCTTCGCCTCGAACCGTGACCCTTGCTCTTCCGCCGCCTGATCCTTCGAATGCTCGACCGGCGCCGGGTCCCTTGGTCGCAGCTTATCTGCGTTCGGTGCTCGAGTCTCAGACATCTTGTCGTCTCGTAGTCCGCTTTCGGTAACCCGTAGACGCTCTCGGTCTTGTCGTCGCTGTTCGACGAGTGCTGCTCGTTGTTCGCGGTCGGCGTTGATGCTGCGTTTGGCGAAGTAGTATGCTCCTCCGCCGGCCAGGCAGAGAATGCCCCAGCCGTAGGCTACTGATGCTCGCTGGAGCAGGCATGGTTAGCTGTGAAGGCCTAGAAAAGGTGGGTGGTGATGGAATACCGTGTTCATGGTGAAATTGGCCGTGCAGCGCAGCTGAAGAAATGCAACCGAAGCAAAGTATGTGAAGCGGCTTCGCAGATTGTGGTCCGAGATGTTCTCGAATATGTAGCCGTGTGATAGCAGGTGTCGTGCGAATGGCGAAAATCAATGATCTGATGAATTGGGCGCTCTCGGGAGTGAGCACAAACCTCCGCAGCAACGTTGCGGGAGCTGCCGCTTCCGCCAGTGAATGACTCCACATCTCGCCTGTAGGTCATGATCAAGACACGCCCCGCCTGAACTGAAGACTCCTCTTCCTTCTCCATCAACACGCCGCTGTTGAACTTTACCCAAACCCCAGACCTGAGGCCCATCACTATCAGCCGACCGTCTATCGATATGTCCAGCGTAGCATAGCGAAGTCCAACTCAAGCGGCGAAGATGGCTCCCAAGCGAAAGGCCACGGCGGCGAACGGGCGAGCCAGCAAACGGCAAGCCTCTGGAGTGAGCACGCCCGCCAGCCGGACTACAGACGACGATGAGTACGGCTACAGCGAGAGCGAGGACTTTGACGAGAGCGAGCGAGAGACTTCGCAAAAGTACGACCAAGTGGTGAAGAAGTTCCAACCGTCTACGTACACCAAGCAGGTCGCACGGGCATCTGGAGATCCTGCTAGCCATCTCTTCAAAGCAAAGAAGGACTTTTCCAGGGAGCCGCTGAAGCCAGATCATCGTCTGCGGCCGTTATGGATCGACCAGGAGAATGGTAGGGTAGTCCTCGAGACTTTCGCCCCCAGCTTCAAGCAGGCGCAGACTTTCCTCATCAACATTGCCGAGCCCGTGAGCCGCACCACCAACATGCACGAGTACACCATCAACCCGCACAGTCTCTTCGCTGCCGTCTCCGTTGGCCTGACAAAGGAGGACATCATCAAGGACCTCGAGCTCTTCTCCAAGACCAAGGTACCGGAGAACATCAAGCGCTTCGTGGATGAGGTCACTTCCTCTTTCGGAAAGGTTCGACTGGTGTTGAAGCACAATCGGTACTTCATCGAAAGCGGTGATGCGAAGGTGTTGCAAAACCTGCTTCGAGACGAGGTCATCAGCAAGTGTAGAGTTGAAGACACCGAAGATCTCCTCACAGAGAAAGCCGCAAAGCAGGGTGGCTTGATTATCCCTGGTACGAAAGAGGCTGCAGGATTGAAAGAAGCCGCAGCGCAGGCTCAGCGGCCAACGAGGCGAGACCAGGACGAAGACGACTCCGATGATGAATATGGCGGACGTGAGGCCGAGAAAGATATGGCCGACTTTCTTAGAGAGGAGGAAGATGACGATGAAGAGGCTGACCAAGTGCACTCATTCGAGATTGACGGCGAGAAGATTCAAGCCGTTCAGGAACGCTGCAACGTGCATCTCAATCTACCCTTGACGGAGGAATACGACTTCCGAGCCGACGACGTAAATGCGAATCTTGACATTGACCTTCGACCAAACGTGCAGATCCGCTACTACCAGGAACACGCTCTTAGCAAAATGTTTGGTAATGGACGAGCTAGGAGTGGCATCATCGTGTTACCGTGCGGAGCCGGCAAGACCTTGGTTGGCATCACGGCTGCTTGCACTGTGAAGAAGAGCGCAATCATCCTCTGCACCAGCGCCATGAGCGTCATGCAATGGAAGGAAGAGTTCAAGAAGTGGTCCAACATCAACCCGGAAGATGTGGCAGTCTTCACATCTGGTGAGAAGCAGAAGCTCAATCACAGAGCCGGTGTGACCATTTGCACCTACAGCATGGTTACGCAGAACACCAGGCGTGCGTACGATAGCCAGCAGGTGATGGATTTCATCATGTCCCGCGAATGGGGCTTGATGGTTCTGGACGAGGTGCATGTTGTACCGGCCGAGATGTTCAGACGGGTCACCGAAAGGATCAAGACGCATTCCAAGCTCGGACTTACCGCCACGCTTCTTCGAGAGGACGACAAGATCAAGGATCTGAACTTCTTGATTGGGCCCAAATTGTACGAGGCCAACTGGCTGCAGCTGAGTGAGGAAGGCCACATTGCTCGCGTGCAATGTGCGGAGGTCTGGTGCCCGATGACGACCGAATTCTACAGCGAATATCTGCAAGCGAGAACCACCAACAAGCGGAGTCTGCTCTCCACCATGAACCCTAGGAAGTTCCAGGCATGCCAGTACCTGATCGACTTCCACGAGAGGCGTGGAGACAAGATTATAGTCTTCTCCGACAACGTTTACGCCCTTGAGAAGTACGCCAAGGGATTGCGGAAGCCTTACATCTACGGCGAGACTGGCCAACGCGAGCGGGAAACCGTGTTGCAAAATTTCCAGCAAAACGATGCCGTGAGCACCATCTTCTTGTCCAAAATCGGCGACACGTCTCTCGACCTCCCCGAAGCGACGTGCTTGATCCAAATCTCCTCGCACTACGGGTCGCGAAGACAAGAAGCCCAACGCCTCGGCCGCATTCTCCGCGCCAAGCGCCGCAACGACGAAGGCTTTAACGCATTCTTCTACAGCCTCGTGAGCAAAGACACGAACGAAATGTACTACAGCTCCAAGCGACAGGCCTTCCTCGTCGACCAGGGCTATGCGTTCAAAGTCATCACGCAGCTCAACGGGATGGAGCGCATGCCGGACCTGGCCTTCACGACGCACCAAGAGCGCATGAATCTGCTGACCGACGTCTTGCTGCAGAGCGAGACGGCGGGCGACGTGGAGGATATCAAGGACGATCTGTTTAGTGACCGGAACGTCGCGCGCTCGCAGCAGCGGCGGAAGGGCAATGGGGTCAAGCGGCAGGCGGGCACGCTGTCGAGTTTGGCTGGCGGGGAGAATATGGCGTATATGGAGTATAGCAAGGGGAATAGTCGCAACAAGGAGCTGGCGAAGCCGAGGAATGCGTTTTTCCGGAAGGAGGAGAGGAACAAGGAGAGGAGGCAGAAGGCTGCGAGGGAGATGCTGGAGTAGTGGAAGGGCAGGATGATGTTGGTAGGCTGCTGGGATTGATACTACTCATTTTGGTACTCACTTCACTTGGAACAAGCCCGATGCAACCTGCAGTGGTAACAACGGCATCAAGCTATACCTCAACTCCATCTCCCACTGTTGCAACGCGTTGGTGGTGGCCTCGCTCAACTCTCCCTTCTCAACATCCGTCCACTCCGGCGTCACAATCATCAGCTGCACTTCTCTCAACGACGCCAGCTTGAAGACCTCCGCGCCCGCCAATCTCCAGCGCTGTTCTTCCACAATCCGCATCCCGTGCGTCTCGACATCGAACGGCTTGAGCTCGACGTACACCTCGAGTCGCTGAAAGCCGTGGAGGTAGTCGGCGAGGTTTGTGTCCCGGAGTAGATTGCCAAGCCATTTGACGCGCGACTCCGCGGAGTAGATGCGCAACTGGCGCAGGTTGCGCGATTGACTGGGCGCCAGACGGTCCAAGAACAGAGGAAGAGCGGTAGGCCTAACGAGGGTGAAGATGTTTTCTTCAAAGACGATCGACGCTGCTTCGGCGTGGATCTGCTTGCAGACCGAGAGGAATCCCAGGTTCAGGGTGTGTGAGACGGGATAGCGGAAGCAGTCTCTGTGGCGAGCGGAGAAGCGGTCGGCGGGCACTTTGCCTACTAGTGCTTTGCCGGCGCCGGTGTACTTTGCGAAACATGCCTGATCGTCGAGTCTCGAGACGCAGGAACAGCATCGACCGTTGCTGATGTGGCTGTCGGTGTAGGGTTGGTGTGCTGTGCCGCCTATGTGGATTATGCGGCCACCTAAAATCTGGCTGTAGATTTTTATGCGGAGCTCTGAGGGGAGTCGAAGGAACGGAAAGGGTCTGGTGGGGATCTCCATCGCGTTCGCCGCGATTGTAGAGGTGGAGGATGAGGTGAGGTCGATGTGACGAATGGACATGCGGAGGTGGATGGCACTCGGCTGTCCGGCTGGCTTGAGGCTTGCACCCCTCTCCACCAGGCCGTCACCTTTACTTCTAACTCTCCACCTCGCTCGATTACAAGATGTCTTGCCAGTAAAGCGATCGTCTCATCATGCCTTTGAAATCTCCATTCCAGATCGGCATCCCGTCAACCGACATCTTAAGCTACATCTTCCCCCAAGGCAGCGAGCCGTCAGGTCAACCACTGTGGATCGACGCGGACGACACATCGAACTCACTCTCACCCAGACAGCTTCTGCACTGGGTGAAGCGCTTCGCCATCGGCCTCGATAAGCTTGGAATCCGCCAAAATGAAGCGGTCATGATGTACACGCGCAACCACATCTTCATCCCCGTCTTCTATTTCGCTGTCGCCGGGACTGGACGCATCTTTACTGGTTGCAATCCGGCGTACGGAGTCGACGAAACAACGTATCAACTGCAGAATACGGGCGCGAACTTGCTGCTGGTCGAGCCAATGTTTCTCGATACTGTACTACAAGCGGCAAAGAAAGCAGGTCTTGCTCGAGACCGGATATATCTGTTCAGTGACAAGCCATGCCAGACAACGCAGGGAATCAAAGACTGGCGCACGCTATTCGGCTCGGATGATGAAGCAGAGAGCTGGCAATGGCATGGCATGAGCCAGCAAGAAAGCCAACGAACTGTAGCCGCGCTCAATTACTCCTCCGGAACGACAGGTCTACCCAAAGGCGTGATGATCTCACATCAGAACATCGTCGCCAACGTCGAGCAATCGTTATACATGCGGAACCTCGAGCAGCCCTTCCGTCCAGAAGATGCACCTGATGAGCGCTGGTTGGGCTTCCTCCCTCTGTACCATGCATACGGACAGCTCTGGTCCATCGTGGCCGCTGCAAAGACCCTAACGCCCTGCTACTACATGCGCGAGTTCCAATACGACAAGTGGCTGGGAGCAATGCAGCAGCACCGCATCACGCATATTCAAACCGCTCCCCCCGTCCTGGTCATGCTCGCGAAGAGGCCAGAAACGGAAAAGTACGACTTGAGCTCCCTGGTCAACATTACTTGCGGCGCCGCACCGCTTTCGAAGGAGCTCCAGAACGAGGTCTCTGATAAGTTGAAGCTCAAGATTGTTCAGACGTGGGGGATGACGGAGTTGACTTGTTCTGCTTTGCACGTCCCAGGTGGTCTGGATGAGCGCTCTGGATCCGTTGGGTGTAAGTCAAAGATGCGAACGTTGCTTGTTCTGACCTCGCTAATCGTTACCCATCTGCTAGACATCGATCCGAATTGTGAGATCAAGCTAATCGATGACAACGGCAACGAAGTCGGCAATGGTGAGCGCGGAGAGATCCATGTCCGTGGTCCAAACGTGTGTCTCGGATACTGGAGAAACGAAGAAGCTACGAAGAACGCATTCGATCACGACGGTTTCTTGAAGACCGGCGACATCGCTACGAGGGACGACCGGGGCTGGCACTGGATCGTGGATCGCAAGAAGGAGCTGATCAAGGTCAAAGGCTATCAAGTACCGCCAGCGGAATTGGAGGCGGCTCTCTTGGAGAATGAACACGTCGCCGATGCTGCTGTCTGTGGCTTGCAAGGCGAATATGAGGAGCTACCGAGAGCTTATGTTGTGCTGAAAGACGCTTCGAAAGGTCGCGTCAGTCCAGAGGACATTCAAAATTGGATGGCTCGGCGCGTTGCAAGGCATAAACGACTGGATGGAGGCGTCAAGGTATGTCCAATTGAAGCTTTCTGCCATTCGACATCACTGTCTAACCTGCACCAGTTCATCGACGAAGTACCAAAGTCCACCAGCGGCAAGATCCAGCGAGTCATCATGCGGCAGTGGGCGAAGCAAGACGCAAAAGATCTCAAAATTGAGAGGTCACGATCGAAGTTGTAGGTGCAGCTTCTATCGTGGCCGCATTCCTCTCGTCAAGCCACCTGGAATGCCCCCTTGCGTGGACTCCTGCGCGCACTAAGATTGACGAGAAGACGTACGCGGGCTGGTGTGGAATCTTATCAGACCACATTGTTCTCACCATTCACCCGTCGCCAACCTCCGTTACTGCCCCTGCCAGCCATTTGCTGGTGTTATCAAAGGAGTGAGTGTCGATTTTGAGGAACCTCTGCCCGAAACCGTCCCACCAACTCACACCAAATTAGGCAAGTCGAAGACCTGCTCTAGAACACGCTGCTTACACGCGTCGAGCTATCGAGTATCTCAGCTCACTCACAATGTCGAAGAAACGAGACCCAGAATGCTGCTTGGACCAGCCCGTAAACAGAAGAGGTGGCCTTACTGCCACGGCAATGATCTTGTGCCAACATTTGGTACTCTGGGGCTCGATCTATGTGTTTGCAACGGCTGTCTATATTTTCCGCACAAACGCGTCACCGCGAGTTGTTATGGTTTGCGATCTCCTTACCCTGGTCACGGTGAGTCACCCCATCGATTGCAACTCAGCTCTCGCTAACCAAGAGCTTAGGCGTTGGACTCGATGCTGGTTATCCTCGCTCAACAGCTTGGATCACATCTCAGCCAGTGCACCTCTTTCAACCCCTGCAGCCTGGAAAGTCTGCGGCAGGGTTTAAGATGGTGGCTTCCAGCAATGGCCGTGCTCTGGCTCACCAACTGCGGACTGATGGCGTGGACTCTATTCGACGGACACCGGATGTGTGCCCTTGCTCCTCTCTCAACCAGCAATCCGCCTGCCAATGCCTTGCTCTGCAAACTTCAACTGGGCAATGCCATCGCATGCGTACCGATATTGTCAGTATACTCTCTTGTCACGCATGAGGCAATGCTAATGTGCCGCACAGCATCATCTCCAGCTTGCTATGGATGCTCACGTTTCGAGTCGGACAAGACCCCTTCACATACCACCTGTTCGGCATGAACAAGAAGCGGGGCATCGACTTCCCCGATCTAGTCTACACGACATCCGCACAGCGCGCCAACTCCTCCGCAATGTCTTTCAAATGCCGCTCATCGACATCGCTGTCCTCCCCAACACTGGCCCCCTTACCCGACGACTGCACAGCAGACTGCACAGCAGACTGCCTCCCCCCAACATCAAAGAAAGCAGGCTTGGGCAGCTTCACCCAGAAGCCGAGCAATACGCGCTCCTCCTTCCTCACACCCCGCCCCTCCCTCTCCTCCATCAGCTCCTCGACCAAACTCGACTCGGCCCCACCCCCTTCCACCCCCCTCCCACCTCTACCGCCTTACATGCCCAAGCACAGACTCCACCGAGGCGGTGTGAGAAGATACCGCGCCATCCCTCCGCCCCAGCCAAAGACACAAGGAACAGTGCGCATCGTGCCACCTTCGCCCGCGCCAATATTTGGCAACCTCGCGAGGCACACAAGCCAGGATTCGCTTTCGAGTGTGTACAGCCAGGCTGTGACGGGCGAGAGGTATAGCGTTGTATTGAGCGGACATCGCAGGAACTTGACGAGCGGGAGTCGAAATTTGAGCTCTTTTTCTACGGCTACTGTGAGGAGGAGTCCGCTTGGTGGTACGATGAGGTTGGCGGAGTATCCTGGTATTGTTTCTGTTCTTGAGGATGCATCTGCTACTTCCGCGGATATTGACGATGTTGTGACGTTGGAGGCGAGACTGTCGTCGCTCAATAAAGGGTCTGGACGGCTCGGAGACGATTGGCCTGCGCTGGTGATTCCGAAGACAAGGGAGGGGGCGATGACACAGCCTCAAGGAGTCGTGTACGGGATCGCGGTATGATTAGATAGGAGTCGATTGAGCGTCCATATCAATCTACTCTAGCTTTATGATTATCGCTGTTGAATCCATGGCCGTTCATGCTCGATGTTCCCACTGCATCGACCGGCCCGTCATCCCTGATCTCATGCACCTTCATATCCACCCCCACCCAGAACTTCTTCCCCCTCCACTCGACCGTTGTGCCTCCCCAGAACGCCCAAAACCAGATTGGGAGTGCGAGCGCCTCCCGACCTAGCCATGCTACGAACCATTCCGAGAAGGCTTTCCCTTGCACGCTTCGAAGCGAGCGCGCAAATGTAGGGGTGTTCTCGTCGAGGCGGATCGAGGCGCCGGAATGCAGCAGGTTGTAGAGTCTGCGATCCATCGTGCACCAGATGGAGACACTGAGAAGCCAGAAGACTGCGAATGCCGACCAAGTCTGGGGTATGTGCAGGTACTGGTGGAAGAACGGCAAGGTTGTTGCGGCAAAGGCGCCATACATCGAGCACAGGAAGGACTCGGTTCCGGGTTCGACGAAGGTGGCGAGCATGACGGTGAACTTCCTCACTCGTAGCCATCTTACTCTGCGATTCCAGTACTCGGTTCCGCTCATCCCGGTCACCGGCTGGATGGCGAGATCGCCGAAACACAGAGCGTGCTTGCCCAATCTCTGCCCGTTTTCCTCCGCTGGCACTTTTCGCTTCCAGAGGAGGTCGCCGATCAGATGATCCTCGCAGATGTTGTAGCTGAAGTAGTCGATTCCTTGGTTTTCGGTGAGGCTGTTGAGATGCGAGCGCCGGAACATTGTGCTTTTGCCGATGATGCACGGAGCGATGAGGACGGTGTTGATGGCGGTGTAGAACTTGGCGTGGGAGGAAGAGAGGAACATTTCTTCTAGACGGCCACCGAGGGTTTTCCACGAGGGCGAGCCGCTATCAAGAAGAGTGGTGTCCACGACCAAGGGGAGGAGATGGATGAATTTGTTGGTTTGGAGTCTTTCGACCATCCTTTCGCAGGTGTTCGTGCCGACCCAAACGTTACAGTCGATGATCCAGACGATGTCGCCCTGTGCTTCGCGATATGCGCGGCTCATGTTGCGGATCTTGGGATTAGGACCGAGGCGGAGCTGGCCTTGTTGCAGCAACTGGTCTTCATCTTCAATTAATATTGTCACATCGTGGCCGGGGAAGTCGTGAAGGAGCTGCGTGAGGGTCGGAAGAGCCGGGTCAGAGCGAGAAGAGATGCAAAAGCGAATGTGCAATCTGTCTCTCAGATATGATTGTCTGAGTGTCGAAGCCAGGCATTCGTATAAGCCCGGTTCAATGCCTTTGACCGGACGAATGATCGTGACATCTGGAGTTTCCCTCAGTACAGCTGCTGGTGGAGGACTGGAGTAGTAGCGTCGACTAGAAAACATCAGCGTGGATCCATTTTTTTGGATTAGAAAACGAAGCCTCACAGTTGCACATATCCGACTGTGCACACCACAGCGACCGCAATATACCACACAAGGCATATCGCGGCCGCGAGTCTTGTTATTGCTGAAGGGGCATCTTGTGTCCTTGAAGCGAATGTCTCCGAGCCAACGTTTAGCGAGGGCATTCGTCGTTGTATTCAACCCAACAAGATTGTAGGCCTTTGAGAAGCTGGTTGAGTTGATTGAGAGGAAGAAAGCGAGGTCAAATACTTGTGCCGTATGCACGTGAGCACGGGCGCTAGCGCGTTAATCACGGGAGCGCCCGCTGTCGCTCGCTGCCTGTCTTCCCCAAGCTTGAGAAGGTAAACACAACTTCGATCGAACAACATCAGTTCATTCTTGCAGAATTGTCACCAACACGTGCACATTACCGTGAATTCTCAGTCAGCAACCTCAGTCAAGTGTCCAGCGCCCGCAAGCGGCCAAGCAGCCATGCAGTCCAGCCCGCCGCAACGCGCGTGGGAGCCACCTTCCCCCACAACATCAAAGTACTCGCTTGATCTTGCAGCGCTCGAGGCCGATTCGCGCAGCGGCGCGTCAACTCCTCTCCCTACCCAGCAAGTTGACAAGATCCTGTCCGAAGACATCGATGGACCCAGCGACTTCACGCAGAACCTGGAAATGTACATGAGAGGTGCGACGTGGACGAAGGAGACGGACATGGACAACAAGCAGGATGCTGGGCAAGAATCCACGCGCGATGACGGGGACTTGCATGAATCATCATCCACTCTGAATGGTGAGGATGAGAAGACTACCAGCCATCACACACCCAGCAACAGCCCACCCAAAGACTCCGCATTCAATGATGTCGAAGCTCAGGATGCTGCGGCGGAGGACACAAGCTCCGACTGGGATCCCTACGGCGAAGCACAAACGCCCCAGCCACAGCCCAAGCATGGCTTTCTACAACCCACCGTGGAAGACTACTACAGTGAGCTCGTTACACCAGATGCCTTAAAATCCATGCGCGTTCGCAATGAGTCTCCGTCGCACGATTCCAAGCCGTCAGGAGCACCCGGCATGCGGCAGTCATCTGGACGTGCGTCAAGTCCCACATTATCACCGGAGAGATCGCCAGTCATGGAGCGCCGCCCAACGAGTGCCCACAATGCTGAAGACGGTCTCGCGAAACAACTCCAGGAGCTACGCAGCAAATACACTACGCTGGAGCAACTCAACGCAACGCTCAGCAGTAATGTTGAACAGGAGCGCCGCATGCGCGAGGAGGCCAATGCGGACTACGAAGCGCGGTTGGCGGATGCAGCTCGCCGTGAACGCGACTTGACCGAAATGAAGACCCAGTCGCATCAACACAAAGAAGATTTCCGCCGCGAATTCGCCAAGTTGAAGGAGCGGGTGCAGAAGCATGAGTCGACGCAGTCTGCCCACGAACAACAAATGAGCGTGCTTAGGAAAGAACATGCGATTGAAATGCAGAACCTGAGAGACGAGCTCGAACGCGTTAAAAACGAACACGAACAAGACCTCCAGGCGACGGAGCAGGAAGTCGAACTGGAGAGACGCAGTCGCGAGGATGCCGAAGAATCTGCACGTGCAGACCGTGAAGCACTTGAAAAGCTCAATGCTCGCATCGAGAAGATGCACGCGGATATGCAACAAGGTGAGGAGCTACGCGAGCAAATCAAGGAAAAGCTCCGTGTCGTCACCATGGACAACGAGATGCTGCGAGCACCGAGACAAGTCGAAGAACGAGCAAAGGCGGCCGAAGAGCGGGCCAAGGTGCAGGAGCAAGTGATCAACAAACTGCAAGGCCGCGTTGGAGAACTGAAAGGGCAGCTGCATGCCGAGAAGGTCGCGAATCAATCGGCCAGTCTGCGCGCTGCTCCGCCCTCCAAAGTATTGCAAGCCGAGGTCAACACGCTCCGCGCCAAAGTCAACGAACTCACAATCGAGCGCGACGAATTGCAGGACAACTTCGGCGCCGCGGATACGGAGAGAAAGCAGGCGAGGAAGAAGCTTGCCGGTCTGCAGGAGATGCAGGAGGCGATCGATAGCAAGTTTGCCACTGCCTGGGACAGTCGGGAAGTCATGTGGAAGGAGAAATGGGACGCTTGGCAGAAGGAGCGCAGGCTGATGGCCAAGGTGATCATGAGGCAGTGGGGGCGTGAAGAGATGGGCCCGCCGGATGAGAATGGGCGGCAGCCGTATCGGTACAAGTATGGGGGCCCGGCGAGGAAGAAGCAGACGACGCAAGCGACGCAGGAGGCGAAGTGAAGACCGTGAAAGTTGGACAGGTGGTGTTGGATGGTGTGACGAGATCCATGATTATCATGACGGCGTTTTCTTCCCTCTTTACCCCCTACGGCGAACGGTCGAGTACTCCTTTTAGTTGTACATTCATCATAACAGGCCTTTCCGCGCCAACTCGATTTTCCGCAGCGCCTCGCCTTCTTTGAACCCGCCTTTGCTCACGCACGCCATGCTGCCGTCGCCAAACTCCACCTTCTCCTCGACGTCGGGAAAGGCGCAGGGACAGTGATGGGGGAAGTGCACGCAGGAGAGCGTATGAGGGCAGAGGTATTTGTCGCAGGGGGCTGTAAAACAGAGCATTAGCGGAGGAACAGGATAGTGGGAAGGAGACAAATGCAAGACTTACCTGCTTCGTATTGCTGCTGATACCACACGGAGTCGGAGCCCATGTTTTGCGGTTGGGCTTGCTGCTGCTGGCCGCCTTGGTTGAACATTTGCTCGAAGAATTGGAATTGGGCGGAGGCGGGGAGGAGGAAGAGGAAGAGAGCAGTGAGGAGGGCGGGGAGATGCATTGTCGGTGCTCGGGTGTCGTGATAAGTGTGAGAGGATGTAGTTGTTAGATGTTCAGCAGATCAATGCGTGAGGTGTTCAAATCGCACCCCACACCCCTCACACGCAAAAGTCGTGGCACGCTTCGCTGCAAATCGACTCTCCCGAGCTCCCGCCGCAAACTCTACCTACATAAAGCCTTCCACTTCGTCCTCTTCCTTTCTCTTCTTCTCTCCTCACGCACTCCATAGACAGTACATGCCAGCAAAAGCCCGCGTCGGCCCCGTGTTTCACGAAGGCTCGGCGCACGGTGACCACCATTGTTGAACTTGCGATTTCGAGCTGCGGAGAGGGAGAGCGAGAATCTTCACGGATTCTTGCCGGATACCATTAGAGCTGGCCGCGCAGCCTTTTTTCTCTTTCACTCGCCGTTTCGGCGGTGGGTGGGGGGGTTTGGGTTCTTTCTGTTGCGCGGGCGGTGTCATAGGTATCGTACACTAATCTACTCATCACGCTGTAGAGTTGGGCGTGTTACTCCTTGTATGAGTGGAGGGAGGCACTGGTTCGATGGGCAAGTACATCACTTCCATCTTTGCCCCTTCTCGAATGCGTGGCATGGTCTCATCATTTCCATGCTTCTTTCATGCTCTCGATCGTCCGTTGAGCGACATTGCTCTTCATCCCCGCCGAACATACTCCTCATCATCCCACATCTTGCCCGCAATCTCCCACAGCCCCCGACCTGCACACGAACCAAAATTAGCAATCAAAGAAGCAAGAGAGGGCAAGAGGCCATACTCACCCCATCCCAACCACCTATCCCTAACCTCATCCCCCCATCCCTTCCCCTCCAACAACCCCGCAACATCAACCAACACATCCGCCGCCCCCGCCACCCTCTCACTCCCCCTCAACCGCCCATTCGACCTCTCCGCCTCCCTCAAAACCCTCATATCGTCCCTCCACGCCTCCGCCTCCGCAGCGCTGTGCCCAGGCAGCAGCTCAGGGTGCAGCGCGAGTTGCATTTCGCGCTCCGTGGTGTCGAGCAGCAGCGCGAATTGCGTGGTCAGCGAGTTGGCGTGGCGGTAGAGGTGCGCGGCGTGTAGACGCACGTAGGCGGTTTGGTAGGCGTGGCGGAGTTGGAGTTCTAGGTGGGTTGTGCGGGCTGAGGAGGAGGGCATCTTTTTCTTTTGCTTTCGATGTTGTGCGGTTGCGTTGTGTTGATGTTTGTGCTTTGGATTGGGAGTGAGCGCGGTGTGCGTTTATGATGTGCGATGATGAAAGGTGAGAGGTGTGCGCTGTTCTTCTTTGAAGAAGGTGAGGTGGGTTTATAGTTGGCGGATGACTGGTGAAGGGATGACGATAAAGATCTCTTGTCCTTGCAATACAGTCAAGACAGCCTTGGAGGTAAAGTTTGACCTCAGCTAGTACTGCGCAAGAGAAGAGTGCATGCAGGTCAGCAAACGCGGCCCAATCGCGAGGCAAACAATGCATGTCTGAACCGTCTTACGAGAGACTCGCAAAGCAAACACCGCTAGTCGCTTTCAGATTATTCCTACTGCTGGGCCAGTCGAAGGTGATTGAGGACGCTATACCGTCGTCAGATATAGTAAACTATGCAATATTCTACCGCCGTCTTATGCAACGAAACAACGCATATCTACTGATACATTCGAGAATCTCCAAGGCCAGTATACATGGGCTTCGGCTCTTTAACCTTGCCTTCATCCTTCAAACACACGCCTTCCCGCCCAACGCGCTGCCGCAGGAATTTCAACGCCTTCTGCTCTCGCGTGAAGAATTCTTTGCTCCGCACGCCGCAAGCAATGTTGGCCGTGTCGCCGGGCTCGTCGGGTTTGCTGACGCCTTTGTCTGCGCCGCTGTCCGCGTCTGGCCGATCGATTGCCTCGATTTCAGACTTGGAGCTCATGTGGTGGAATAACTCGGGATTCGCCGACCAGCAGCGCAGCCCGCCCGAGGGGCGACAGCCCTCCACCACGCGCACATCGTATGCCATTGTCCCACCGTCCCGCTCTTTCGGCGCGATCTCGGTCAGCAGGCGGTGTGCGCCGTTGCGCGTCAGGGCGAACGCGAAGGTGCAGAGGGGAAAGACGGATTGGTGGATCATGCGGTGGTATTCGGGAAGCTGGAGGAAGTTGACGAAGACGGTGGTGTGCGGGTGCATGTCGTTGATGGCGGGAAGGGACTTGTCCTCGTACATGAGGCGGGGAATGGATTCCTGCCAATCGGACGGGCGGAATATGTCGCCGCAGTGGCCGAGATAGAGCAAGTCCCACGCGGACACATTGCCCCAGAAGTTGTTCTTTTTGACGTTGTGCTGCACCTGGCCCGGCGGGTTGGTCTGATCCTTGACCAGCTGTCGGATGGCATGGGCAGCTTTGGGGATTTGGTAGGTGCGCAGGTGGATATCCCAGTCGACATCGTCTTCAATGACCAGCATGGTCTCGAGGTTGGTGGAGAGGAACCATCGCAGGGCGTTCAGGTGTCCAAGCCACGCCAAAGCACTGCCTCTTGTGATCCTACTGTCCTTATCCGCGTGCATGCCTAGCACATCGGCGTCCGTCCATTGCGGTTGTCGAGGGATGGTGATGTCGATCTCGGTGATGTTGGCCGCGACGATCAGGGACTCGCGGCGGGGGGAGCCTTCTCGCGAGACGGCGACGATTGCTCCGAACTGCGGAAGCGAATTAGCATGCAGCTCGCATTGTGTGGGAAGAGTGAGCAAGCGCATACCCCCAGGGTGGAGTTGGCGGGCTTCAGGCCGTTGAGCTCCCACTCCGGGCCAAGATGTGGAGGGCCATGCGAACTCCTGTACAGCAGGCCGATGACGGAGAGGAGCAATGCAATGACGAGCCAGCGCTGCGTGCGTCTGTGCATCTTTTCCCTGGCGATCTCTTACATGGCCTGCGCTGTTATCGATCCATCAAGTAGAAGAGGAGGAGGAGAGGGCAAGAGATGATGTGCAACACTCCGACGACGCGGACTTGTAGCGGGCGATAGGTATTGTACCTGACAGTAGTCCGTCCTCGAATTTCGTGGAGCAAACGGGGTTTAGAGTTCAATTAGCCGGGTTGTTTGCTTGCCCGATTGGGGTTGGGCCGGTTCCATCATCCACTCAAACTCAATGGCGCCGCCGCGAACAGGAGTAATGAACCATGAGCTGCACTGGGCACTCTTGAAGGAATTACTGATGCTGACACATTGCGTGCTATCCCTCTTCCCCCTGACTTCTTCAGCCTTCTTTCCAGACGATCTACGTGCGTAGCAGCGGTGGTGGTGCAGGTGTCACGCCTTGTCAGGCCACTCCTAGCCTGTTAGACCACGACACCTGCTACTATCATCTCCAATTCTTCCAAACCACATATTTCCCGTCAGGAAAGACAAACCTTCCATTTAACTGTCTTCGCAATGGCATGGTCTGGACAGATCGTAAGTAGCTCGTGTGCAACCGTCGTTGCCCGGGGTGTAGGCCTTTTGGTTGCACAGCATGGCATGCCAAAACACCAACACTTCTAGCAACATCACATCCCCTCTTCCCACCCTCGCAACACCTTCTATCCATCATCGCGCGCAATATGGCAGACTCATTCACATTTCCTCCGCCGGCGATGTCGCGTTATCGCTCATTAGGTCACACTCGCGCCGGCAGCAGCGTCCCAAGCTCGCCCGCACCGACACGTGACACGAGCTCGAGCGGTGTTTCACGGGGGAGAAGCCATTCGCAACCTCGACACCAAGCAGACCAAAAGACTCCCTTTCGAGTGGGTAAGATGTCTCTGGATCTGCCGCATCATCCCTTCGGCCGAGACAGCTGGGCGGAGGACTGGAGTGACGAGGGCATGCATCCTGGCTACACCATCCTGCACGATACGCCACCCCCACACCCACGGCCAGAGCCAGCGTCATCGTTGTCTACGAGCTCGCACTATTCTACTTCCGAGCACCCGCGTCTCGGCGACACTTCGAGCCCCCTGGCCAATGCAAAGTCCGAGTCTAGCAAAGCACGTATCCTTGCTAGCTTGTTCAAACGAAAGGGATCCAATATAGCTCCACAGCCGTGCGACGGTGCAGCAAACCCCTCTTCAACCAAGACGCGGACCCTTCGTCGAATTCACCCAGCAGGCGAGGCGCGTAATGGCGGTGGAGGCCAGGAGCAAGCCAGGCTCATCGTTCAACCAATCGAACGGACGGTCATTGTCGAGCATGGCAAGTCCAAGCTCAAAGTGCCCGTCTCGTCGTCCATGACAGCCCTCGATATCGTCCAACACGCATCGAAGCATTGGCCGAGTCGCATCAACTCAGACTCTGCCGTACTCCTCGAGTACTTCATCAGTGTCGGCATTCAACGGCCTCTACGACAATTCGAACGAATGCAAGATGTAATGAACAGCTGGACCCACGACCGCCAAAACTACCTCATCCTCATCGACCCAGGCACAGGCAGTGCGGAAGCCGAGCTGACCCTTGCCGGCATCCCTTCCCAACTCCCCAGGAAGCAAAGCTGGGTCCTCGAATACTCGCAGAAAGTCGGCAAGTGGGACAAACGCATCGTCACCCTCCATCCAAGCGGATTGATAACCCAAGCAGCGAGGAACGGCAACGTCGACGCGGCGCGCACGAAGGAAATCGGCTACCTCAGCGACTGCGACATCTACGTGCCCACGCCGGCAAAAGTACGCGGGAAGATCAAGCCGCCGAGACGCTTCTGCTTCGCTGTCAAATCGCAGCAGGACATGAGCTGCTTCGGCTCGCTGTGTGATTACGTGCATTTCTTTTGCACGCACGACCGCCAGACAGCTGATACATTTTACGCCGCTGTTCAGGGATGGCGCAGTCGGTATCTTGTCGGTGGCCTGCGCGAAGATGTCAAAGGAAAGAGAGGGGACGATGTCCCTCGTGAGAAGGAAATGCCGTCGAAAGCGAAGGGCGTCGTAGTGTCGACGACGCAGGCTCCGTTCACCAAGTCTGCTGGTCAGTTCGACACTTCCCTTTCGCCGGAGCGTAGGAATGTCGCGATGAACTTCGCTCTTTCGCTGAACGGCGGTGGTGGCAGTCGACTAAGAAGACTGGATCTAGAGCGTGCTGATCCGCGTGGTGGAAAGGTCGGCAGAGGCGTGGCTATGTGAGTAGGTATGGGCAGCGAATCGGTATGGGCAGGACGTGTTCTGCTTACAACGTACGTAATGACATCCGTAGCACCAGCACGATTAGATGACAATAGTTACAACAAGGTTGAAAATCGACCTGTGGATCTGTATTCCATTCTCTTTGTCAATGTCGTCCGTCCATTGTAGTTGAATCTGTCGTTCTCTTTCGTTCACATAGGTCGTGTTCACATTCGCTTGTACGCGTAGCACTTTGTTTCACCAGCAGAGGAAGCTTTTCAAAAAACGCCCACCGGGGTATAGCCAAGCAAAGGACCACCCGCCATCCTAGCGCAGGATCGTGCCCCAATAGCCCATCTCGTACCTGTGCAAGTCGTTCGGGGAGGATCGTGGAGGATCCGTGTAGACGGTGACGACCAAGCCACGTCCGTCGATCCCTAATCACGCAAGCTGTCGTTAGTCAAACGTTTACACCCGACGCTCAAGGTACGGAACATTGGGGCTGGTAGAAGAAGGTGCGTACATCCCGCGCCGCGACTCAACGCGCTAGGGGGCAGCGGCTGCCACGGGTGTTCCATCAACTGCGGCAGAGCAATGCGCAGATGCGCCTCAGGGATCGACAAAGCCATCAAACCGATCAGCAGCGGCAGCTCGCCGATGAGGCCGCCGAGCGCGTCCGACTGCGTATGTTCCGACGCTGCGTAGCGGTCGGGGAGGATCTGCAGGGCCCAGTGTTGGTTGGGGCCGCGGATGCGCAGCGTCTGCTGGCTGAGCTTGCGCCCGGCGAAGGAGACGAGGTTGTCGAGGTGGTTGAAGGATAGCGAGGCCCAATCGTCGCGGAGGTGGGCGACTTGTTCGTGTGGTTGGGAGACGCTGGTGCTCTGGGGGTAGGGGGTGTCTCGTCCGTCGTGCACGGCGGTTGTAGTTGCGTCGTAGTCGAGCGTCCAGATGACGCCGCTGTGGTGGTAGATGGACCACGTGCTGTACGTATAGACGGACAGAGGCAACTGGGTGACTGTACTAGTAGCGTGGCCGTCGTGGAAGAAGAGCAGCGGCTCGTACCCGGTGTTGCTCCGATGCGCTTTGGGAGGGATCCACAGCCCGGAACGCGATGTGCGCATTGTGGCATTGCTCGACTGTCTCATTGGCTTGATGGAGAAGTAATAGGGGGGCTGCGGATGATTACTTGGATGGCCACGCGTCGCGAGTGTGCGAACTGACGGACAACCATGATGGGAATACATTGCGCTACGGAATCCTCTGAAGCGTCGGATCCACACAATATATATCGACGAGCGAGATCAGTCACACCTCATCCACCCGCAGATGCAGACATGCTAGCGCTCCGCTCATGACTGGTGCTTGGGAGCAGACATGGCTTGGAGGAGACCTGGCTCGTTGCAGTCTTCGCCGGGCGAAGTTGCATTCGAAGCGAAAGGTTCCGCAGCACCGGGTGGAATTCCGACGAAGAATTCATATGAGAAGAGTGCTATGACATCGCTCGTGGGGGCTGATCAGTCATCAGAAAGTATACTGGGTCGGCAGCCACGGCGGCGCCAGCTTGTTCAAGCAGTTGACAGGAGAGCTTGTGAAAAGCTTGGCTGTCAGGACCGGGGTGCTGTGGTTGGTCTGAGGTCGCCGGCCGCGACAGAGCGGAGGATGATGACGAGAGGGCGCAGCGTAGCGCATGGAAGCGCCGGTCAGCTTTGCCGGTGAGAGCACATTAGTACGAGGATGTACATCTGGTCTCGCAGCCTAGCCGTTGGCTGTCGTGTACATTGAGCCTACGCGCTAGCCATGAGAGGGATGGCGCTGCATGTGGATCAGGGAAGCGGGCCAACGATCCGATTATTTCCCGAAGTGTCTCGTCGCTCAAGTGCCGGCGGCAGAGAGCAGATCAAGCAGCAAGAGGTGGGCTGATTCGGCGTAGCGGCGACGATGGGCGGAGTCCTGCGGCCGGCAAAGGTAACCGACGCGATCGCGTATGTTCAAGGGGGTCAATCCAACCACATGAGAGGATGCGCGAGTCCGTTGCTCCTGGGAGTGCAGGTTGCCCTGTTGTAGTAGGGGGTGAGCCACAAAGCTTGAAAATCACGCACGCAGAACAGCGAGCGCCTTGACGTGATGTTTCATGCAGGGCATTGGGCAAAAGATTGGCTTTGGAAGCAACGTGTGGCGTGCCGTAGAGCCCACATCCACGGGAAACTCGGCACCGCGCGGAGAAGAAGTTTTTGCGGAGACGAAATCATTCGCCGGTGGGCAAGCCATGGAAGTCAATGGCAGATGTGTGCTGCTTCCGCGGCCTCGATGAGCGAATAATCGAGGGCCCAGCGCCACGGCAGCATGCAAGAACGCATGCGATTACGTATGATCCGAAGTCACACTTCCAGGACAATCACGCAGGGTCGTAGACTCGACGCTTCAGCATCCGCAATTCCCGGGGAATGACGGGTCCGCGGCGACAGTGAGCAGTCGATCAAACATGGGCAGTGCACGCGTCGAGAAGAGCGTATGTACTACAAGCCCATCGAGACACTGGTGCCATCTGTAACGACGTCTCGCTTTGCATGTTACGTGTCGTGGCATGCGCTCGGATGGATCTCGGTTGGATGACCTTGAGATGCTGCATGCAACATGAGTGGTCGGAATCGAGATTGAGCGCTAATGTACCTCGAGAAGCGGGCAGACCGATGCATGCAAACAAATGCAGATGTGTGAGCGGGGCGGGCCAATGGACGCTCGAGGCAGCAGCCTGGAGATTATTATGTTTTTTCGGCAATCGCTCCGAAGAGGGACATGCCCAAAAGGCAATGTAGCGGCGACCTGGTGTGTCACTCACATGCCAAGCAGCAAGCAGCGTGTCACCGGCATCTTCTCTGATCACTTAGCCGTGAAGAACTGGAGTCGAACTTACCGAGGCACTGGGCGAATTCAACCGCATGAAAGCCCTCCCGAGTGCTGCGGCTGGCATGCATTCTGGGGGTGTTCGATGGCGTTCACCATGTCCATCTGGTCTCGCAGAGTACAACGCACCTATCGAGGCATACTTGAGCTCGAATTGGGCCTGTGGAGTACAGCACTCAGCTGATCGTTCGCTTCTTGTCCATGGGACCCAGGGTGGTCAGGCAGGTCGCTCTTACATTCGGCTTGTTGGCGAGAGGCTATCTTTGATGACACGAGCTGTTTTACCGTATCCTGGCAGTCTTGCAGGACATCGGCTGTGTTCCGAAGAGGCTTCAAGAATATGAGCACTGAAAGGCCCATAGAACAGATCCAAACGATGCCACTGCCGCCGCAAGGATAACGAAGGTAGCCAGCATGGGTCTAGGATGGGGATAAGATCACCATCACTCATCGGGCGACTGGGTAGAATGCAATGAAATCGTTCGCGGCTTCTACGGATCAAGAGGTGACGTTGGAATAGAGAGCCGCGAGTAAAGGATAGGCCCAATGGGCGCCGATACGCACTCGGCCAATGATAGCGCGTACGAGCTATGAGCGATCATCAATCGCTCGGCTCCGTTGGAAGACGGAACGCAAATGTCCGACGGGGGAGGCCAGAGGACGGCTAGCTATGCCAAACTGTGCTCTTCTGGGCCAAGTACGCGCCCAGCAGGAGCAGGGGATGCATTCCGGCATCTCCTAGTACGAAGTCTAAATGGCGAGCGTGAGCAGCGATGAGTTAAGGGTAGTGCAACATCGCAGCGTTATCATCAAGGAGGCGATATGGGCCGCGGCTGGAAATGTAGATCCTGTAACGCAATGACGCGTAGACTTTCCTGCGCTTCGGCATGGCACGGGATGCTACAATGTCCGCGATGGGGAGCAAGCGCTGGGGGTCTAGCACGTCCTGACGCATGCTCGTGGATCGCGCGACCATATCGACGTGTTGTTTTCATTCCATCAGATACATCTTGCGCTTGATGATAGGAAAATAGGCGGTGTTGGTAATGGACAAGCTTCTAGACCGCCCACGAGCATGGTAAGCTTTACGCCATTCTGCATTAAGTGACGCCAAGGCTTGAATGATTCCACGCCGCGAAGCCCTCGAGCTTTCCCCCTTTCGGACAATTAAATTTCTGCCTCCACCTTCCGATGACTTCGCATGAAGATGAGGATGGTGACAAGGCATCAACGCCTCTTACGATTCCCCGCATGAACAACATGGACAGCCAGAAGCCCGTGCATACAATCGTGCTGGACGCCGGCGCCATTATCAAAAACCAGCCCCCTGTGTCCACGCTACTCAACCAGTGCGAAAGCCTTGTGACGGTCCCGGCCATCATCTCCGAAATCAAGGACACTACGACGAGAGCACGAGTACAGACGACCCTGCTACCCTTCCTGACTCTCCGATCTCCAAAGCCCTCCAGTGTAAAGTTTATCGCCGATTTCGCGCGGAGGACGGGAGATGGCGCGGTGCTGAGCAGGCCGGATGTGGACATTATTGCGTTGGCTTACGAGATCGAGTGTGAGCGTAATGGGGGTGATTGGAGATTACGTCGGGTACCAGGGCAGAAAGGCTTGAACGGTGCACCTCCGGCGAAGACCAATAGCCCAGAAGAACAATCTGCTCAATCAAATCCACCAACCATCCCGGCGTCTGAAGATGAACCAACTGCCGCATCAAACGGCACAGAACTACCCGCCGATGTTGCAGCAGTATCTGAGACGGTGGAGAACCTCGAAATCGATACAGGCGACGAAATCCCGGAGGCCGAGCAGACCGGCACCAAACACGATTCCGCCCTTAACTCAGAAGACAGCCACGAAGCATCAGACGCCGAATCCGACGGCTGGATCACCCCTTCAAACCTCAAGAAGAAGCAAGCAGAAGATGCCGGATCTTCCGCCATCCAAAGTCCGGAGCCCAAGACAATGCAAGTCGCCGTCATGACCACCGATTTCGCAATGCAGAATGTCATTCTTCAGATCAACCTCAACCTCCTCTCACCATCCTTGAATCGGGTCAAGCATCTCAAGACGTTTGTGCTGCGATGCCACGCCTGCTTCCAGGTGACCAAGGATATGACCAAGCAGTTCTGTCCGAGATGTGGTCAGAGCGCTTTGACGCGTGTCTCCTGCTCTACGAATGCGAATGGAGAGTTTAAGCTGCATCTCAAGAAGAACATGCAGTGGAACCAGCGGGGGAACAAGTACAGCATCCCGAAGCCAGTTGCTGGCTCTTCGAATGGGAAGGTCAGGGGCGGTGGTAAAGATGGCTGGGGCAATGAGCTAATACTGGCGGAGGACCAGAAGGAGTATCAAAGGGCCATGCAAGATGAGAAGAGAGTGAAGGCGAGGGATCTGATGGATGAAGACTATCTACCCAGCATCCTCACCGGCGACCGAGGCAGAGCTGGCGGCCGAGTGAAAGTCGGTGCTGGCAGAAATGTGAACTCGAAGAAGCGATGAATCTGATCGCGCCTGGCTCCACCGTGACGACCCTCCATGGGATGTCCATCATCTGCGGAGCAACAACATCTCATCTGCCATCATGCACGCATCCTGCGATTATCTCGGCTAGCAAAGTCGCTTCAGTCTCTCGACTTCCCCCAGCATTTCGTCCAAGTCGACCAGGTGTTCTTCAACGTCATCGCCAGTGCAGATTTTCAAAAAGATAATCACGGCTCTCTCCGCAAACTCCTCAACCTCGTCGGAGCCTGGCACAGTATTCAGAAACTGGTCTTCTCTGACCCCATGCACGGAGACTCTCACAACTTCTGCGATTTGACGATCTCCAAACGATTGCTTGTACAGAGTTTGACATATCACGTCTTCCGAAGACCCATCTCCAGAACCACACCGACGGCAGTACCAGGGAAGCTCGCGGCCCGGCGCTTCCACCTGGACAGTGAAGCTCTTGATGAGCGCAAACTTTTGCGTCGGAGCGCGCTGCACCCAATGCAGCAAACGTTTCCAGTCCTCGTTTTCCTGGAGATCGGTGACGAAGATGAAGTCGTTGATGGAGTAGAAGAGGAGTTCGGCTTCCTGGCGGACTTGTTTGCATGTGCGCAGCAGGGCTGCTTCCGCCCAGAAGTTTTTGGAGATGGAGACGGGGCGGCGTTCGTAGAGGGCGAGCTCGTAGATGCGGTTGCGTAGCTCGGGCGCGAGCGCTCCGAGTGGGGAGCGGTCCATCTTTGATAATCGCGCGGGATGCGTTTGAGGTTGATGTGGGTTTGAGGGGATCGGAAGATCGGAGATTTCATGTGTGTCGGTGCGTTTGTTGAGGGGAAGGAGTCGTGCATGCCAAGCTTTGGCGAAGCAGGCAGCCACCTGAACGAACTAGGAAGGAGCGACTCACGTCTGACCCTTCCTCCTGCAATCACGAGACAACGATTATGAGACCTGCATGGAGTGGAAGTGGTTTGGTGTTACATGCTTGGATATCAGCACATCACCTCCACAACCTATCAAATCCATGCCGTAATGCTTCATGTTGAGCCCATTGAACCAACCAGCACTGCGCTCGCTCCGGAGCGAGAGGAGGAACATGCCTTGATCCTCATGCTCCCGAGCCTGCAATTCGACCCTAACATGAAGGCCACTCGCAGGCGGCCTTCTCGCATCATTGAGCCTAGTTTGAATCCACCACTGCGCAAGAGTCTGACTTGGGGAAGCTGCTCCGAGCGGTCCGAGCATGTGGCCCTCCATCGAATGCACTACTTTGGAAGAAGTAATCTCAACGCCTCGCTAATCCCACAATGACCAGTCACCGACGATGGGTTCACAGTCCGATGGCCTTTTGATCCTCTGTGTGCCGGTCAGTGATATGTCCGACGCATGAGCCGGAAATATACGCACTCTGCAGCTGAGTGATAAGCAGTCCATATCGCTTTTTGAGTGTCACTCGTTGCCTATGGAAGATTTAAATCAGTCTCACATCATACAAACAATGGCGAGAATAGCGCCAGAGCGGTTGCCTACCTGGAGTACTTGTCGTCGGGTGAAAATCTTGCAGGGTGGGCGGATTTGGTGACCTCGCCGTCGGTGATCTTCTTCAGCGTGTAGGTGCGCTTGCCTTCGCCGTCGAGGGTGTACATGAGATGCATTTTGAAGTTTCGTGGCTGCTGAGTTGTATGAAGTTGGCGTGGTCGTTTCGTTCTGCGGTGCTGAATGCAAAAATTTGGACGTGAAGTGAATTTGCTATCTTGCATCTAGTCATGGGCAAAAGTCGTTGCGCGAAAAGAGCGGGTCAAAAGTCGAGGTATCTGCATCCTCACCCAACCTGAACTTTCTGTTCGAAGCACGCAATTATCAGTACAGGCAGAGGATCTCGCGACAGCTTCGAAACGACACAATTCCAACGGGAACCGATCACAGTCCACCCATGGAGACTATGTGAATCTGGTCAACAAGCCACTCAAACACAAGAAAATGTCCGTTCCGTCAGGCGCCAACGGATCGCCGTCCGACGCGAAAACTGCATCGACTCAGCCTGGAAAACGATCACAAAAGGCCAAAGCCCGACGAAGAAATCTGGCCATCCACGCCAAACCGCTCCCGCTGGAAACACATCCCCTCCCGGCCTTTCATCCATCAAACCCCATCTCCCTCCTCCGGCTCTGCTACGCATGGATCTCTGACGCTCTCTTCTCCCCGACATCGCATCCTGCGCGGGACTTTGTCGGCTACTTTTCTCCAGAGACGCGCTCTGTACATGTGACGGATCCGCGATGTGCTCGCATTCTGTGGCAGATGGGGTTCTTTGGGAAAGGCACGCTGAGTCGCAGTGAACCTAGCTGGCTCAAGCGCGAGGAGGCGAGGGTGCGCGAGCAGCGGATGAAGCCGAAGGGCAGACTGGCTGCGGAGGACTGGACGAATGTTCGGAGAGAGGAGAGGAGGATGTTTAAGCTGGAGCGGGCTCGGTTGGAGAAGGAGAAGATTGAGCGGCAAAGGCTTATCGAGGCGGGGGACTTGCCTCCGGACGAGGAGGAGGAGTCAACCGAGCTGACTGCTGAACCTCCCCCCGAGGATATCCCAAAGCTGACTACGGAAATCACGGTCGACGCGCCTGTTGTGGGTGGCCACGTCACTCCACCAATGGATTTGCAAAATGGACACATCAACGGCGACTCAAAACGGCTAAGACCTACTCTGAACGGGACACTACTTCCAGCACATGACCTCGCATCACAACCCAGCTCTCCGCTTATAGTCAGAAGTCCCCAACCCTTCCCAGGACCAAAGACCGTAGAGGAGGAAGAAGCAGCCGAAGAAGACGAAGAGGAAGAGTCGCGCGGCCGCGCAATCGAAAACCAAGAACACCTCCAACTCACCTTCGAAGAAGCCTTCTTCCTCGTCTACGCCCTCGGAGTCCTCACCATCCACCCCGCCAAGCGCCGCGACCTGTCCCCGCTCTCCGTCAAGTTCAAACCGCAACCCTACTCCACCATCGACCTCCTAGAGCTCTTCTGCCAGTACTCCTCCTTCCCACCACAAGACACAGTCTGGATCTCGCCCGACGAGCAATTCCTCCTCAATTACGTCGCGTACCACCACTTCCGCTCCCTCGGCTGGGTGGTGCGGCCAGGGCAGAAATTCGGCGTCGACTACCTCATCTACCAAGGCGGCCCGGTCATCGCACACGCCGAGTTCGCCGTTCTAATCGTCCCCGCTTACACAGATCGGTATTGGAATACGCCTGGTGGGCGGGCGCGGAGACGGGTGTATGAAGAGAAGGACTGGTGGCAGCTGCATTGCACGAATCGAGTGCAGAGTCGCGTGCTCAAGACGCTGGTGCTGTGTTATATCGACATCCCGTCGGAGCTGGACATGGATTTTGACGATGTGATTGATGTGGGGAAGTTGATGCGGAGTTATAAAGTGCGGGAGTTTGTGGTGAGGAGGTGGTTGCCGAATCGTAGTCGAGACTGATTGACTTGTATGCGGCTTGTATTGCTGGATGCATTCAAAAAGTAGTTGTGGATGTACTCTTACATGAAGAGAGAGATACGTTTTCATGTGGACAAGGTCTGAAATCCATCGCTGTGCCGTGCCTTAGTCTCGCACGAGGTCAATCGCACTCATGCCAGGTACCGTACAAAATGCCTAGACATCTACAGCCCCAACAACGCCATGCGCCATGCTTCAACAGTTGGCGCCCCAACAAAGTAGACCCGCTACTTCCCTCCCGTCGGCCACTCATTCCCCACATGCTTGAACCACACCGGCCGACAATCCTCCTTTAGCAGGAATGGCTCGCCATCGTAGTGTTTTCCGGTAGTACACCCATGGCACTTCTGCGAATTGGGACAATTGTAGAAGGGGATATGGTTATACCCGATATCCTTGAACCAGTGGATTTTGCTCGCCTCTTCGAACAATCCGAGCGCGATCGTGTGGACAGGCGCATCGCCCCAGCGTTCGTAGAAGAAACCGCCGGCGCGGTCAAGGTGCTCAAAGTACGCCTCGTACGCTTCCGATCGCCAGAAGTCCATGTCGCCGATTTCGAAGTTGGACCAGAAATGGCATGTGCTGTAGCCGTTGGCTTTGTAGTTCCATTCCGGGCGGTGCTCCTTGTCCTGCAGGAAGCCCATGGCGTTGTTGTCAGCCAGGTATTGGTTGTTGGAGGTGATGAACTTCAGCGTCTCTGGCCAAAGCGTTGCGATGCTGTTGGGCGAGTCGTATAGGGTGATGGTGAAGCCGTATGTTTTGTTGTGGTCTTGCATGTACCGGAAAACGTCGTAGTCCACGTCGCAGAAGAAGTGAACGTTCGGCTCCACTCGCCAGTAGTATTTGTAGTCTTTCAACGCCGGGTGACGATAGAAGAAACCGCTGTTCCATCGACACATTTGGTGGTAGGAATCCATCTCCGCGAATTGCACATTCTGATCTTTCAACAACGCATTGGACTCGCGCATGAGATCTCGATTGATCCAGCTCGGGATCTGCCAATGCTCTTTGGGGATCTGGTGGTAATTGCACTTGGCCTTGGTTTGCGCCTGGGTGGTCTTTTTGAATTCCTCGGTGAAGGGCTCATCGTTGATGAAGGTCCAGGGGTAATTGAACTTATGGTTCCACGTCTTTTCCAGATCTTGCATGCTTTGCACCAACTCTTGTAATTCCTTGTTCCGTACCAAACTGAGGAGTGTGGCGCTGATGCGATCGCTGTTGGGGTTATCGGCATCGTAGTTGTTGCCGCTGACTCGGTGTAAAGGTTCGGGGGGTTCGTGGGTTGCTATGGGATCTGTTAGCAATTGATACATTGGCGAGGATCGCGGTAGGATTTACGATCTAGGTTGGGGTCGCGGTCAAAGCCTTTGACATCGGCGTGTTTTGGTGGAATGTCGGCCGGATTGCGCATTATGCGGACCATGAGGAAGAGGAAGAAAGCCATGCAGGCCGCGGCCAGCAAGCGAACGGGTCTGGCTCCTGCCATGTTGAGCTGTTCCGATCGCACATCTAGCGAAAGGGCGTATCTTTTGTGCAACACTCTAAGGTGTGGTGGATGTTGTTTGGCGCATTGGTGGAGAGAAAAGGAGGGCCAGCGGTTGATGACGTTGGGGCCAGTTGGGTTTGAAGTTTCGCACTGACGAGGACGCAACCTTTAGAGTTCCGTTGATTGAGCCGGGGCAAACTCTAAATGCGGAGCGCGGGAGTGTCATCCCAATAAGGAAACAACGCGACTACGACACGCGCTTCGACGAGAGTCGTAGCGCAAGCAAGATGCTCGCATAAACATTGCAAATTCTGCCATACCGATGTGATGCCACTCAGGTGACACCGGCCCTTGGAAATGACTCATGCGACTAGAAATCATGAGCTATGCCAGAGTCTGGTCCGGGGCATTACAGGACTGGAGAAATCACATCCGAACTTCAAACAGATATCAGAGCAGGCAACAAAAGCGCTGCGCACCACGAACCACTCGAGGACAAACCCTTTCGCGGTCAACTCCACGCTCGACGGATTGGTCGAGAAATTCGGCGTGCTCAACAAGGATGGCTTGGCAGACGCTCTCCAGACTCGACTCACCGAGTTGCCAACGGAATCGAAATGGCTGCCCGAGATGCTGTCTCTGCTGCTCCTACTCTCCGACAGGCCTGCCGAGAAGACAAATCTGGAGGACCTGAACAACCTCATCGTGCCCATTGAGGTCCAGCAAGAACTTACTTGGCAAGAATTCCTCGGCGATGATGCGCTGGAGGAGCCGGAGATCTGGGATGATATCGAGCGTGGTTATCATTCTAGTGGAGACGAAGGGTCTGAAGACGAACGAGATGATACCGTCTCAACTGCCGCTACGAGCGAGCCTACGGAGGATCTAGGTGCTCTGGCCAGACTCCACCTGACACCGGTCGACCAAACCGCGCTTCGTAACGTGGACGAAACATATGCTGAACTCAACGCCATCAGCCGCGACAAATCCGTCCCAGAGCTTGCGATCATACGTGAGGTCCTATCGATGCTTCATGGGTTACCAACCTGGATATTCGGGACAGCAGATCCAGACGGAACAGTATCTGTGGATTCAAAGCTCTCCCTCACTCAAACGTCTGACCCAACCTTGAAAGACTTACTCGACGTCTTCAGAACCATCGGCTCCAAACTGAACTATCTGCGTAACTGGTCGCAGGCGGAGCAATCGCAGCACTTCGTGCAGACCTGCCAAGTCGCGGCAATGGAGCTAGTTGCGACATTTGAAGAGTCCTTGACCACGCTAGAAAAGATCTACGTCTCAGCAAACGCAGCGACTATTGTCAGTCTCCTCGATGTCCGAAGAGAAGTGGAAAGGCTGGCACGGTCCGCTATGCGCCTGTCGGATATCATACGAGCATCGACGCTCCCGACGAATTCGTCTCCATTCGCACTTCTTGATCTACTACTGGAAGAAGCGAATGTTGCTCAGATGGCTGGAGACACGGTGCTGTTCCAGTCCCTTAGCGACGTTCTTCTTCCTTCCCTGACAACCTATCTGAAGCCATTATCGACCTGGATTCGCACGGGCGTGCTGTTGGATCCCGACCGAAGGAGCTTTATGGGAGAAAGCGAAGCGGCCGAGGGAATTGAAACGGCCTGGTACTCACGGTACACCATGCGTACATTTCCCGACGGCACTCCGTACGCCCCGGCTTTCATGCAGGAACTATCTGGCAGGGTGTTTGCAACAGGGCGGAGTCAAGCGCTGCTCTCCGCATCGAACGGCGGATATGATGGCACCGCCACCCAAACATACGTGAAGCCTAAGTGGCGATTCAAGGACGAGCAACTGCATCAAAACTACACCATCCCATTCATACAGGGCTTGACCGCATCCTTGGAAGAGTGGATTGACGGAAACGGTGGGGACTGCATGCCCACACTCTGCAAAAGCCTGTTGTTCAACCACGGCGTCCTACAAACACTCGATTCACTGAACAGAGTATTCTGCTCCGCGGACGGTGCGGCGTTCCAGGCCTTCGCGGAGGCCCTCTTCTGGCGGATAGATCAAGGCCTGCGCTGGCGCGATGGCTTTCTAATCACGGAGCTGGTGCAAAGCACGCTTGGGCTGCACGAGGTAGACCTGGTGGCGACGCTCGACGACGACAGCAGGGAGACCACCGTGCCCACCTCTTCAATCACGAGCCTAAGTTGCATCAACCTGGACATTTCTTTTCCCTGGCCGATGCAAAGCATCACGCAATCGACATCACCGGCCACCTGGTCCAAAACACTGGCTCTACTCCTACAAGTATACCGTGCGAAGTGCCTGCTCCGCGGCCAACTACTTGATCTCCGAGCGCGTCCCTCCCACGCGACACCAGGACTCACCTCGATCCTCTACGCTCTGCAATTGAGGTATCTCCTGATGTCAACAGTCGATATCCTACACGCGCACGTCACGACTACCGCATCACAACTCTGCGCCAAACTCCGCGCAGCACTCGAGAATGCCCGAGAAGTGGACGAGATGGCCGATCTCTGGCGAGAGCATCACAAGCAGATGGAGACGAGTTTGCTTTTAGCGCCGGGCTTGAGACCGATTCATGACGCAGTGATGGACATTCTGGTGCTGTGTGAGCACTTCACTGTCATTTGGGACGGGGTTGTGGACGGCAGCCAAGCGAAGGGCACACCGAACGCGCAAGAAAGCACGGTGGTTCTCTCTAACCTTCGGACTTCGGCGCAGAAGTCGCTCTCTTTTGTTTCCGCGGGACTGCGAAGTGTGAGTCGTGCTGGAGGCGACTCGGCGCTGGAAGCGTTGGCCGAGAGGCTGCAATGGATCCAATAAGAGAACAGACACGAAGTCATGAATGAATCCAGCATGAAGCTATGTATGCAAGCCCACCATCATCTCAATTCTCGGTCGTATCAATTGCATCGACTGCATTCATGCCACTCCCAACAATGAGTCCTCCTTTCGAAGCCGCTGTACAGCTGGAGTCGCCGCTGACGTTGGCGGTACCGACGACGAAGACACGGCATTGAAAGCCCCACATGGCAGATTGCCGAAGACGGCTTGCTCACTCTGCTCGCTGTTGGCCGTAATCAAGTAAAAGGTGTTCGTAGACTGGGAGCAAGTGGTGGAGTTGACATAGGCACAGCCGTGGTTCGAGGGCGAGTAGCCCCAGATGGCGCCGTTCTGGCCGGCCAGGAGAGCTTCGACACAGCCTGTCATGGAGTCAGCTCGCCGCTTCACTTGCTTCAATGCTGCTGCAGACTCTGCACGTATGCCACAAGAGGCACGAAGCGCTCGTCAAGAGCAGCGGTAGGAGGCAGAGACTTACAGTCGTATGCAGAAGTAACATTGGCAAATGTTCCACCTGTTGGTTGCGACGTGGTGGGAGACGCTCCATTCACAAAGACCAGTTGGGTTGGATTGTAGTAGTCCACGAGGTTGTTCGAGGCGCAGGCGGCATAGAGTGTGGTCGTGGAGGTATAGTGCTTCTTCGTGGTTGTCGACGTCCTACGCAGACGAGTCAGTGTGAGAAATTCTAATGTATGGTGATTGGGGGGCGGAGAGCTCACGTCGGGGGAGCAGTGACCAACGCGGTGATTGTCGAAGTCGACGTAACGCAGCTGCCGGCTTTTGCAGCTTGCTCCTCACGCGGCGACAACGCCTCCGCTGCGACCAGCAGACCTTCGCTGTCGAGGATATCACGCTTTTGAACGGGATCGCTACCACCGCTGCCTTGATAGATGGCACCAGGCAATGAACTCTGGACTGGTGTAAATCTGCGCTACGTTAGGCCGATACGAAGGAAAGCGGATCGGTAGAATCATACCCGGGCGCGCCAACGGTCGTAGTCAATTTCGCATTCTTTGTCGCAGTGACAGTCACCGTCTTGCCCACCAATGTCAGTGTAGTCGTGCTTTTGACAGTCTTTGTGCACTTGGACTTTGCTTTGACATCAGCCGGGCCGGCGAAGGCGGCACCGACGAGGGCGAGCCAGGCAAAGGCGGCGGCGCGCATGGTGTCTGAAATGAGAAAGTCGGAGGGTGTTGGTAGTTTCTGAAGTGCAGACCAGTGCAGGGGGGAGAACGACAGTAAAAGAGCAGAGCACAGAGAAGCGATATCAGAGCGAAAGAGAGGGGAAGACGCGTTGGAGGCGAGGAGAAGCCATTATATGGCAGTGGCTTGACAGATTGATATAGCGTTTCAACGGGCAGTCCAGAGGCGTCGAAGTACCACAGAAAGTCAAAGCAATGAGAGATGAATCCATTGCTGTCGCGAAGAGCGACTTACGGCCGTAGCGGCAGTCCAAAGGGCACCGCGGGAGAACTAATAAACATACAAGTGTGAAATAGTGCATTAGCGCGTAGGCCCGAAAGAGGATCGAGGACGGAGTGAGCGAGGCCGCGGAAGGACGTGTTTGGGCGGCGAGTCGACGGTTGGGGAAGGATGGCAGCACGACATCCTACGGGCATGACATCCCGCGGCGAACATGAGCGTTTCAGGGGCTGTGTCTCGCATCCGTGGTTGTCAACGTCTAATAGAGGGCTAACAGGCTTGGCAGCGCGGGGCGCGAGTATACGAGGCCGCGGAGCGAGACGGCCAGAGTCGAGAACCATCGAAGACGCAGGGGTGGAGGAACGCCAAGGTGAAGAAGGCGCCACCGGACTATGAAATAGTGAGTAGCGCAGAAGGAAAGAAGTGAAGGCTCATCAGGGGGAGAAAGAATGAAGTTCAAGTAAAGTGCGTGTCACGTGCTGAGCTGTGGGTTGGAGAGTCCAGCATGTTGTGTTCAGGACTACGCGGCGCGTGTTCAACAGGAAATGGTGGATGGAAATCAGTACAGGCGAGAGATGAAATCATGAAGAGATACAACATGAAACTAAGCACATAAATTGCAACGAATGTATCCGAAACGCCCTCGCTAAACTCACATCTAAACCCAATCTCAGTCCAAGATAAATACATCTCCCACCCCGGCCGCATCTTCCCTCATAACAACATCCCCTAAGATGAAATAGTAATGTACCGCTCACAACCACGGCATCCACAACAGATCCGTTTGGCACAGCTTCTCCGGATTCGTCGCCCGCGCCACCATATCGATGATATTCTGATTGGCAGGCAGGTTGTTAGCCCCGGGGTCCGCCGCCAGGAAGACTGCCTTCTTAACAATCAGTCCGGCGTTGTGCTGCACATTCTCCCGCAGCTCTGTCTCCTTGATGCTCTGCCGGTGCGACGACGTGTACCAGAAGGTCATCTCGTCGCGGATGAAGATGGACAGGTGGTTCTCGAGTTCCGTGTTCGTGCTGTCCGACACCACGTTCTGGCGTCCGTTGCCGTTGGACTCGTTTTGCGATGTGCTGCTGCCGGTGGAGGCCGTCGCGTCGGAGGTGAGGCAGCGCGCAATGGCCATGAGTGCGGCGGTGAAGATGCCTTCGGTGTGAATCGGGCCCATAAGATATTGCAAGTTGGGCGTCAGGCGGAAGGGCACGGGCTCGGGGTTGGAGAAGTAGGGCCGAGTGGTGGACATGTAGGGGAGAAGCTCTGAACCCCAGATATTGCCGTTGCGTCTGGCAATCGACATCTTGTTGGGGTACCGCACCGTCATGTGCATGGTCCAGGTGATGTACGTGAGCGCTGCCAGCTGGTACGAGAATTGGCGGCGGAAGAGCCAGAAGGCGTCGAAAGAAGGATGCGTCGCCGCGAAGTACTCTCGGATGAGGTCTTTAGGCACGATTCGCTCTTGGATGTGGTTGAGCGACTCCAGTCTCATGTTCTGGAACTGCTCTTGCTTCTGCGGCGTCAAGCCTCGGAGTCGTTCCATCATAAAGCTGGTCGGTTCATCCTTGTCCATCTCATTGCGTCGGCAGTAGTCTTCGTAAATAGCCTGGGGCGTAATGTAGGACGCATCGTCCTGGATCATTCGCATCTGCGGTGAGAGAGGCACCATGACTGGTAGGTGGAACTGGATGTTTCGACGCCGACTCTCCTTCTTCTTGGCCAACGTGCTGTTGAAGATGCGGAAGAGCTGCAAGATGCGCTCTTCCCGACGACAATGACGCGGCGCAGGATGCTGGATCGCAAACGGATGCACACTGCCGTCATGTCCACGAATCTTCAGCCGACGATGGCATCCAGCGACACCACGCACCAGGTCCACAAACGGCAAGAACCTCTCAATGCGGACAAAGTCTTGGTTCTTGTCCTTGTGCTGAAGGTACTGTCCCGGCACTTCCACCTCATCGAACCAGAGGAACCGGAAGCCGCTCAGATGCGTGGACTCTGCGAGATGGAAGGTTTGCGGGCGGCGGTCCAGCTTTTCGGCAAGCCTGTCCCGCCACTTCCGGCACTTCGCGATGTAGTCGATCATGCCAGGCTTCTTGACCACAAAGTCCGCTTCGAAGGCCTTGCGGATGTGGGCTGGCAGGATGGTATCGGCGAAACGAATGATGTTCGTCTCCGTGGACTGAGGCAGCTTGGAATCATTTGCAAACGCGCCAGGAGATCGTCCAATATAGCCAAGGGCGTCATTCAGCAGAGCAACGATGAGTCGGAAGGCGTCTTCGTCCGGTGGACACTTGAAGTGCTTCTGGATCTGCTCCAGCATTGCTTCCATCGAAGCGTAAAGCAGAGGGAAGGCCGTGCGAAGAGTGATCATCAGAGATTCCGTGTGCTCCCAAGGCTTCTTCGGTTTCGGCGGTGCTTCGGCTTTCTCTTCTTCCTCGCCAGCGCCCTCCTTCTTGGGTGTCTCTTCTGTCGTGCCGCCGTTTTGAGCGGCGTCCCCAGATGCTGACGCCGGCCTCGTTTCTCCATTCGCCGTGCCAGGTCTTGTCTCCCCATCCCCTGTGCTCGGCCTCTCTCCATTTGCAGTAGCAGGTCTAGACGTGCCTCCCGCGCTATCGGGTCGATTGACCGCAGGCGACGACTCCTGCTTAACCCCATCTGCATTCTCCTTCGCTGCCTCGGTCGCCTCCTTAGCTGCTCGAGCTTGTCGCTCCCGCTGTTCTTTGGCAGCCAAAGACTTCCGCAAGACCTGCATGTCTTCGTGCGCCGTACGCAGCTGAAAATGCAGAGCCTGCGGGTAGGTCTTGGCGAGGCTGGTGAGGATTTGGTGGGCAATGTTTGCTTCACCTTCGCTGCGCGAGAGATTGTTAAGAAGCTGCGGAATGAACGTCACCCAATACCACCACGGCTGGTCGCCTTTGCCCTCGTAGTGCGCGAATGTCTGGGCCAGGGTGCCAGCCGCGTCATCCAAGCTCAACAACCACAGAATGCGACTGAGCACCTTGCGCGACTTGGCACTCTTGTACTGCCCAGCAGCTTCCAGGTAGCAGCTCAGTGCGTTGCTCGCGAGCTCAATTCTCGTCGGCTCTTCTTTGAACAGCTGATCGCTGTATCGACCCCACTCGGCCCAGGCTTTCGGCACGCGAATTTCGAAGAATAAGGCAGTACCGAATGCATCGTTGGCTTCGTTCTTCTGGTTAAGCTTGCTCAGGAACATTCCCTTGAGAGTGTAGAATTCGGCCTTCTGGACGTTGCTGAAGTAGTTGAGATTGGTGTTGTTGATGACGTCCAAGCCGCTGGTGAGTTCACTGCGGTTCTGATAGTGGCATTTGGCTTGCTCTCGTAGCTTGAGGAAAGCCTCCTGGATCTCGATGTTCGGCAACGTGTAGATCTTGCCGAGCTGCGTGATGCACACATCCGGCATCTGGTGCTTTCGAGCGACGTGCGCGAACCGATTGATGATCCACGCAGTTTCATGATAGCCGCGATATGCGTAGGATGTGCCTGTGGCATTGGCGTTCGTGTTGGGTAGGAGTGCGAGGTACGTGGCATTGATGAGCTGGAAGATGTGTTGTCGCCAAGTCACGAGATCCTGCCAGGCGTTGATATCATCCCACAAGTTGGGAAGTCGATCTCGCCAGGTGCTCAGAAGGACTTTGAGTTCTTGAGACTTGACATCCAGATTCGCTGCAGTCGTCTGCGAGAGACTCTGGCAAATGACACTGGCGTCATGCAGCTCCACCAGTTGCTGGAAGTTCTGCAGCAAGCCGATGTGTGCGTTTGTGATGCGTCGGGGCAGCTTGTGCCAATTCCTGATGGACAACTGGATGTTCTCATCACAGATTCGGGAAAATTCGGGCATGTTGTCTCTGCTGGCGTTGAGCTTCAGCAGCGACATGAAAGCCTGGAAGAAGATGCGACGGGGAGTGGGAGCATCGGAGACGGCCTTGATGATGGAGTCCAGCTGGTCTCGAGACTCGGTCGTGCTCCAGAGCTCGAAAGAGCGCCAAGTTGCCTCGAGGTAGAGATCGTTGATGTTTTCATGCTTAGCGAACTCGCCCAAGATCTCCCACTGTTGCAACTTTTGCGCGCAGAGAACCCATTGATCCTCCCACAGCATGTACTCTCCTTGCGAGAAGGGCAACGAGCCGGTGCGAGCCTTAATCTGCGCCTGCTCGTACATGTTCTGCGCCTTGTCCCAGATGCCATTCTGCTCGAACGAAAGGGCTGCATTCGTCTCCACGAATTGAGCTCGACGTCTCCAGGTACCGTAGAAGAGGTCGCTTTCTTCAAGAGCGGCATAGATCTCGACGAGTGCATCAAGATTGCTTTCACGGACATTCGCGCTGTCCATGACTGGTTTGAGAGCGTGCTCCTCCATGGAGGCCGCTGCTGTGTACCAGCCGTCGTACGCTTTCGCGAGGTACTTCATGACGTGGGGCGGGAATTTACACGTTGGGCGTGCTCGAGCGATCCCTTCCAACAGTGTTGAGACGACGTTTGGTCGCTTCTCAGCCTGTCGCTGATGGTAGTCTTTCGTAAGCAGACTGATCAGTCCCTGCTCAATATCTTCGCGATCATCCTTGGACAACGTCGACCAGCACATTGGGAAGTAAGCCACCCAGATGTCGTGGGCCAGCTGCGAGTCGGTATGCTGCAAGTCGGACAACGATGTGAGGACATCGCGAGATCGCACGTTGCTAACATCTGCCAGGAATTGCCTTTCGCCAGCCACCAAAGCCTCGAATGAGTCGTCAAGCATGGCATCCGCGAGGCGAGTGTCTCCGGCATACGTGCCGTACAATTTGGAAGCTTGCATGCAGGTGAAATCGTCCGGATGAAGACGCATGGGCGTATTCTGGTCCACACAGCCAAACATCAACTGAATGACTTGGCTGAGCCAGAAGCTCTCGCCCAATACATCCCACTGCTGCTCGCAGATCAATTTGAAGAAGCGATTGCCGGTACTGCGACTGAGGGCTTTGTCAAAGATGGCCACGAAGCGGGCCCGCATGTCGATGTCAGGACTGCGCAATCCAATCAAGAAAGCGTGTTCCATGCGGACGGCAAGCTCGGAGCGCAAGATTTTGGGATCCTCGTAGATGCGGATGACTAGGTCCATGAACTTGGTGTAGAGGGAAAGATCTTGACGATGCTCGAACAGGAACATCTTCTGCAGCACAGCAGTCTTCTCCTTCAACGTCGGCACGGGTTCGGAGGGATTGAACACCCAGGTCTCCACCTGACTCATAATCGTCTCGCAGAGAGGGCCGCTAGTCGACCGCTCGACGAGCGACGCCAGAACACTGAGGTACGGCCGTCGCTGTTCGCCCAGCGCACTGATCCGCGCAGACAGCATCTCGATGACTTTGATGATTGCCTGAGTGTTGAGTTCGACCTCGAGTGAGTTGGGCATCTGAGGTTGTAGCCCTTGCGCGACCGCGGCTTGAGGAGTCATTTGAGACGCCAAGTGGTCTTTGGCCAGCTTCATTTGCAACGTCCTAAGAAGCGTATGGATGTGGGTATCGACATCTTCAGGCTTGCGTTTGGCCATGATCCAGAGGATGTTGACACCGGCGATGTGGCTACCGTTGGTAATCAAATCACCGGCCACGGAGGACAAGAAGGTCATGAACTCTTCAGTCGGACTATCGGCGTCCGGCAACTCGTCTTCGGGTGGATTTGCTGGGATGGCCTCGAGCACACGCTGCAAGAGGGGCGGCAGTTTCGGGTTGACGGACTCTGGCAGATCCGGATTGTGAAGTGCGTCCTGGACCTCAACACTGTCACTGCGAAGGGGCTTTGCAAGAAGCTTCTGCAGCTGCGGCAGACGAGCAACGATCCACTCGTGCGGGCGGGCGTTGAGAAGCACCTTCAAGATTTGAATTGTGTTCACAATCCTGGTCGTGTGGATCTCCGCTTTCTCTTCTTGCTTTTGTTCGCCGCACAGAATCTGCTCGGTCACTTTGGGAAACATGGCGTCGATGTCCAAGTCATCCCAGTAAGGCGGGGAAAGGAGTTTGCTCAGCAGTGCAACGGTCCTGGTAACCGTCTCTGTCGGCTGCTGCACGTGTACGCTGACTGGGGTAAGCTCCTTGTCCCTGGGCGGCGCAACGGGGAAACGCTCCGGCAAGACTGCAATGAATTGCACCATGTACTTGACGAGCACGAGGCGCATATTGGCCGAAGCCACTGCACCTCGTTTGCCCTGCTCCTTCTCTCTAGACGGGGTAGAGGGTGCGTTGAGTGATCCGGTCTCTCGGACAGTACGCTCTTCCCAGTTCATGATCAGGCTGAACAGACTCACAGCCAGTCGTCGACTCTCCACGGAGCTCGGAGGAAGCTGAACGACTTTGCCGATGGTTTGAATGATGGTTTGGGCGAATGGCTCTCTTGCTTCGTAGAACAAGTCGGGGTGTCGTACGAGAAAGTTGAAGATGCTCGTCAACTGCTGGACGTTGCCAATCTCCTCATTGAGGATCTTCCGCGGGAATCTGGACCACGTTGATGAACGACCATCAGGGCCTCCAAGGCGCTTTTTGAGCACGGGTTCGAGAATTTCGAGTGATTGCATGACAAGATTCTTGCCCTCTGCCTGGTGGGCTCGGAGCAGCGCACCGTAGACTTGGATTGCAATCTTCGGCGGTGTTTCATAGTGCGCGATGAAGTAGGCGATCAGACAATACGCCCCGTACTTGTTGATGAGATCCTCCAGTCGGATGTAGTTCCAGCCAAATTTTATTAGGTCTTTGCGGGTATCTTGCAACAAGCCATGGTGGTACTTCACGAGGAACGAAGAGGTCTGCAAGAGCTCCATGCGGCTCAGGTCGACGCCTTGAGTGCCGTCGTCAGAGATGTCCGCAACCGACTGCGGCTTCAGCAGCTTGTTGTGGAAGGTCTCTGTCATCGCCTTGTCCAGCAGAGCGGTCCCTTTGTACGTCGGTTGGAACAAAAGCTCCCAATTCCGCATGACATCGTTGGCCAGGATCGGATTCATGACATTTCGGAAGACAAACCACTTCATCTTCTGATTGGCTTGCTTGGAAGTGAAGGTTTCGATACAGCGCAAGACGATTGACCGCTGGTACTCCACGTCTTCGTTGGTGATGACGTTGGCGTACAGATAGGCGAAGATGGACGGGCACAGCTGCAAATCGCCATTTGTGCACGACTCGAAGAGCTTGAACAGGCTGTCAATGTCGTCGGGGTGCTGCTCCATGTACACAATGGAAATGTGCATGATGTGCTCATGGCTTTGAACCACAGCCAACTGCAAGTTGGGCGGCAACGACTTCATCGTTCGCAGAGACTTGGCGGCTTCGAGTAGAGCTCCGCAAGCTGTTTGGTTCTCCATGAGCTGCTTCGCGGTCTCGGGGAAGGATGCGATTGCGTCGGCCATGTGAATCGCGTTCACGGCCACTTGAGCCTTCTCAACCTCTGTGCCGTCTGCTTGGATAGCCCCGACGAAAGCATCGAGCTCGTCAATGACTTTCTGTCGTAAAGCGCCGCTCTCGGAGTTGTAAAGCATTTGGGCAAAGAAGCGACCCTTGGCCTCCTCCTTCAAGACCGCCAAGAAGTAAGCCCATGTCTCGGTCGGATAATGACTGAGGTACTTTGCGAGCGGCTCGCGGAAGGGACTGCTTCTCGTTCTGCGCAGGCCTGATTCCAAACTCATGACTCGCTCGACGAGAAGCGGAAGGAATTGCACAGCGGCAGGCGGTAGGAGATGGAACACCGAGAAGATGGCGGTGGCAATCTTCATCTTCGGCTGCGCTTCAATCAGGCTGAAGGACCCTTTTTGCAGGCTTGTCGCGTCGACAAAGACGTTCATGTGATCCAACAGTCTCGTTCCGATCTCGACCTTGAAATAGTTGGTGAGGAGTTGCAAGAGCGTTCTGAGCCCCTCCAATCCTTCGACAGACAGTTTCCTGGGGTCTTGCACATTCATCAAGATTGGGCGAAGACCATTCTGCAGCAGGTCCTTGGGGAGTTTCGAGGATGCTGCCAGTACAATCTTCAACCCGACGTTCGCTGCAGCTGCCACCTCCTTGTTCTTGCTGTAGAGGCTGCTGAAGAAGATGGAGATGACGCGCGAGCGCGGCTGGGCATTCTGTTGACCAGCCGGTTGTGTCTGAGGTGGAGCATTGGCACTGAACCCAGGGAACCTGATGGCGGTGGTGAGTAGCCTCAACCCTGCGACTCGGAGGCGCACAATCGATTCGGCAGTGCGATAGTCACCAGCTTTCGGCGCCAACGAATCGTCATCGGCATCAACAAGAGCGAGGGTCTCGTAAATCAGCCGGTTCAACTCCTCGTTGAAGGTAAGGACATCATGTTCCATGTCCAGCAGGAAGTTGATTGCATCCACATAGCCAATCTGAGCGGCAAAGGGTAATGCTCGCAGGGGTTTGTTGAAGATGGGGGCGACGAGCACCTCTTTGACCGGGTTGACCAGTTCGTGAATGGGCATGTCCAGCGTCGCCGCAAGTTCTCGCAACGCGTTTTGAGAGGCCTCGCGCACGTGTCTGTTCATGTGGCCGACTTCGACAATGAGCCGGTTGCTGAGCATGAACAGCCTGCTCTCTTTGTTTTCGAGATCCTCTTTCTTGGGCACGCCACTAGCACCGAAGCGCTTGACCATCGCGACAACGGTATCTTTGGCTTGGATTCGGATGTTGGCTGGCAGATCTTGCGGCATGTCCTTGATGACGTATAGCAAGCCTCGCACCATCTCATCGAGTCTGTCCGACATCCACGCATCTGACAGGGCCATCCGGGAGGGATCGACCATGACACTGATGCCAATCGCTCCGGCGCCTTTGGTGAACCATTCCTCTTCGTAGCATGTATGCACGAAGGTCTCGGTCATCTTCGAGAAGAATGACAAGTGTTCCGCCTTGTCCGGTGCCCCGAATAGGGTCTGCGCAATCTTCATGCAACTTGTAATGGCGTGTTCCGCGGTCTCTCTGACGTCCTTCATATCAGACGCAAGGCTGTCTGAGATGGCATCGGCCAGAATCGAAGTCTCGATGTAGACTGGTCCATCGCCGGCATTGACATTGAATGGACGACGCTTGTGTTTCTCTTTGCCCAGCGCCGTGCCCAATTCGATGATCATAAAGTGGCGGTATATGCCCTCCAGGAATTTCTCGGCATCCTCTTTGAGGTGATCCATGCTGGTGGCAAAGATCAGCGCTTTGAGCAATCTGAGTAAGGTCTGTTGCTGTGCATCTCTCTTGTTGGTCGAACTGGTCCGATCGGATATCCCAAAGAAATCAGAGCCCGTCTCGAACTTCTTGTCGGCTAGATCGAGCGCCTGCATCCTCACCAATCTGGCAAAGTCGTCTGGCAAATTGTCGAAGCCTACCAACATTTTGATGTGAGCAGTGATGAAGTTGAATGCCTGTCTCTTGTAGTGCTTGTCGCTCTTCTTCTGCATCGATGTCCTTGGCACTTCGGCGAGCTTGTCGATTGCCGTGTCGATTCCTAGTCGGGCAGGCAGAGCACGCTCTCCCCCGTTTGACACTGCTCCAATTAAGCGGATATCGTAGGAGGCTTCGTCGTCGGCGTACGTTCGCCAATCGAGATCAGGTGGAGCAGTGATGAACCTTCTGTTCCTCCCTCCGAGCTTTCCCAGAATGCGCACAGCGGTGTGAGCGCATTGGTGGCCTGTCCCTATCAGTGCTCCCATGCCTCCCGTAGCTGCCGAGGGAAGGCTCGTCAAGGATGCAGGCTTCAGCATCCTCCACAAAGACCCCATGATCTCTTCCATGTACGGCTGCATGATGGGATCGAGATAGTCGGCGGTCAAGTTGTCAACACACAATTCGAGGGTTCGAAGGCCTTGGGAAGTGAGTTCCGATGGTCCAACACCAGTGTTACCGCTGGAGACGATTCGGAAATTCGCTTTGCCGTCTTGCGATTTGTAGTCATTTCGAAGATCACTGCCGTCACCGCTGCGGAGTGCTACCGTCAAGGGACGCATGAGATAGCTCAAATGAGGGAGAAGGTGGCTGAGTCTTGCAGGGACGGTGAGAGACAGCTCAACAAAGAGATCTCTCGTGGCACTGTCTGCCGCCGCCGCGAGTTGGGTGTTTAACACCTCGAGCAGCATTTCTAGGAGCGGCAAGATTTCCTTGTAGAGGTGTTCGAAGCGGCCACCTCCGATGCTTCTGAATAAGCTTCGAAGGAGGAGGTAATAGTTTGTGGGCTCAGGCGCAGTCACCGAGAGTTCGATGCTTCTTGTGATCAGGTCTCGGACATGAGGGAGAAGTACCGGCTCGTTCTGATTGCAGAAGAGAGTGACGGCCATGAAGCTCAGCTTGAACAATCGGAGTAAGACGGACGTCTTGGCCATGTCGGTCTCTCCAACTTCTTCTAGCTTGCCAATCAGGAATTTCAACAGCATCCCAGTGAATGCAGGACTCGTCGCTTCTGATGCCAATAGGAACTGCGGGATGTGTAGGAGTGCCGGATGACGAAAGCTCTGATCGTAGAGGAAAGCGATCCCGGAGGGGGAGCCCGAGCTGAAAATCTCATAGAATGTGGCGGGATCCAGATGATGGAAGACGGTCGCAAAGGTCTCGAGCAAGTCCTTTTCCTCTTTTGAGCTGGCGGTCATGTTGGAAGATGAGAGAAGGGCTTGCTCCACTGCCTCTTTGGACTCTGCGCCAGACTGGTCTGTTGGGAGAGGAGCATAGTACTGGAAGCACTTTGCACCTTCTCGGAACAACTTGATGAGAACCTCGACCTCTTCAGCTTCGAAGCCGAAACACAGCTCTTTCCAATTGATGGGAGCGTTGGCCTCGTCCACCTCGTCCTTAACCTTGGGGGGATTGCTGTTCCTGAGCTGATAGAAGAACGTCTTGAGTCCATGCAGCAGGTTCTTGAACAAAAACTTGTTCTCCGTCACCGGATCCATCGCTCGGTCTCGCGGACTGACGGCTTTGATGGGCATAGCACTGAAGATGTCTGTCTCGTCCCAATCGGGTGGTGAGCTGCTGTCGGCCGCGTAGTTCTCCGCGAGAACATCCATGCTGTGGCCAGCTTCATGTTGGTGGATCGAGAGTTTGACAGCATTGGGATATGCACGATTCATGGCGGCGAACTTGTCTGCAATACCGTTGAGAACGGTCATCATGAGCAATCGCGCTTCCTTTTTGTCGTCGATTTTCGACATGCATTCGGCCATGTTGAGCAACAGCTTTGCAGACATGGTCTGATAGCTGGTCCCTGGGATGTCAATGCCGTCCTCTCCTGTGAGATGGCCCACGTAGACGGCTACGACTTTGCGGATTTGATCGGGTGTTAGTTGTTCGCGGACGTGATGGATGAGATCCGCAAGCATGGTGTATGCCAATGGGCGCAGGCTGACATCTGCAGTAAGGCTGTCGCCGACTAGGGTCCGCGAGTCGAGAAGAGGGAGAATGACGGGGAGGAAGATGGCCCGGAAGTTGAAGTTGATGATGTGTCGTATCGCGACGAGAAGCTCTTTCCTAACGGCGACCGCAGTTCGAGGGACGTCCTGGAGTAGTCGAACGGTGAGCTCTGGCAGGATCTGAAGGAATTCGGAGAGGGAGTTTTGGTAGGCGCGCAACAAGTAGGCCAGGAAGGACATTGTTTTGACCTGGGCGGTAACCAAATCACCGAATGCGCCGGCCTGTCCTTTTGCTTTGATCTCCTTGGCAACACCAGTAAAGATGTCATCTCTCGCCTTTGCTTCCTCGTGTGCCCGCTTCTGCGGTTCAGCCTCCAGTAAGAGGGTATTTTTGATGCGAGGAGTGAACATTGCGACATTCTTCGGGGCAATACCGCGGTGCGCTTGGAAGATGGACACCACAATGATGGGGCATTCAGCGACGACTTTGAAGCTGTGCATGCCTTTGACGAGTTGCCTTGACTGCTGCTGTTCGGCGCCGGGATCGGGGGCGCCCAAAGGCTGAGAAGTGGGGGCAATGGGTGAACCTGGAGTGCCAGCAGCGCCAGGTGTGCCAGGCCCTACCGCGGCGTTGGCCGATGCAGAGAGAGGGCCGTTGAACGTGTCCTTGACCGTCTGCTCCATCCCGTCGAAGATTTCGAGAATGAGGTCCAGGAAAGGCTGTGCTTTTTCTGCGACGGCGGGGACTTTGGCGTGGTATCTGCAAAAGTCCATGACAATCTTCAGACACAACACCGCATTGTCCTCATTCTCCACCCTGACCAACTCCAAGCACTTGTCCACGATTTTTGCAGCGTAGGGTTCCATGGCAGCGGCATCGGCGGAGTTGAGCGGCAGTCGATGGATGATTTCGAGGGAGCGCTGGCGGCATATTTGATCTGGGGAGTTGGAGGTGAAGGCGGGGGCGCCTGAGAGGAGGTCGAGAAGGATGGGTATGAGCTTTTGGAGGAAGATAGAGTATGTCTGCGGCTGACATAGTGTTTCGATGGAGTCGCGTATTTCGGTAAGGGTGGCACCTTTGGTTTTGAGGTCGACGCTGGCATCTTGCAGCTTCGCCTCGAAGGCGTCAAGGCCCCGATCGGCCATGGTGGGGAGCGTGTGAGGGGTGGAGGTAGACCTATCGGTGGTCAAGCATGACTAGAAGCGCGCAGACATGAAGGAGAGGTCTCGTTCGTTGGCGGCAGCCGGTCGTGAAAAGTGGAAAGGACGTGGGTTGGAAAGGCAACCTGCGAAGGAGCGTTTGGTGTCGTGTCTCGTTCAAATAGTCGCTTCCGGCCGAAAGTGAGACGCGCAAGCTCTAGCGCGTGAGTCGTGAAGGAAGGAAAGGGTGAAGCGCGGCGTGATTGCGCGGTATTGAGACCGGCCCCGTGAATGGTGTGTTGGGGGGGGGAGTAAGTGAGCTCGTGAGGTTGACCTTTGGCAGCCAGCGGGAGCCTTACCCATAGGGAAACGAAAGAAATCGAGAACGCGGGCGCCGACTCCGCGAAATCTTTTGCGCTAATGCACGGCGGGCCGGCCGGCGCGCGCGGGTAAGCCGAGCGAATCATAGGGCTGCATGCTACTGCCATGTTGCGATGTTGCGATGTTATTAACAACCACGACAGCCACGTCTCGAGTTGAGAATGGGGTGTTGGTGCGGGGAGACGCTGTGCGGCATTGAAAGGCATCGATCGTTCATACTCGTCGCAATCATGCTATAGCAAGGGTCAAGGTGCACTTTCCAGCAGCTCGTGATGGCTGGCTCAGCATATCCCAATCACAATAGCACAGGGAGACACGCCTATCGATCCCATTATCCCTCCAGCGCATCTAAACGATCGGGAGCACAACTTGAACATCTCGACAGACTTATTTCCGATTAGATCTGCCTTGGAAAAGGACGCGGAAATAGGCTACATACGCTGTAACTGCGAGACATCCCCGAACCGAGGCAGCCGAGGCCCCGGCTGTATATCGCAGCTGGATTACTCTACATCATACGCGACGCAATTCATTAACCCCCGTGTCTTTCCCCACACACCCACCTGAACTCCTCATATCGATTCTCACTGCCTGCTCTACTGCAAGAGACCATTCGCACCATCCATAATGCCTTTCAACACAGCGTTGACGAGAAAGCTCGGCATTCGAGGTATGCATCTTCCCTCCAGCCACCCAGCACACCTACTCACCCTCCACAGTCCCCGTCGTGCAGGGCGGAATGCAATGGGTGGGCTACGCAGAGCTCGCATCTGCCGTTTCCAACGCCGGCGGACTCGGCATCATCACCGCCCTCACCCAGCCCGACCCCGAATCCCTCCGCAAAGAAATCCGCAGGTGCAAGCAAATGACCGACAAGCCCTTTGCGGTCAACCTGACCCTCCTCCCCTCCATGGTTCCGCCCGACTACGGAGCATACGCACAGGTGGTGTTGGATGAAGGCATTCGCATTGTGGAGACTGCGGGCAACAGCCCGGGCCCCATCATCAAGCAGCTGAAAGAGGCCGACCCGCCTTGCGTGATCTTGCACAAATGCACCACCATTCGACATGCCATGAGCGCAGTCAAGCTGGGTGTGGATTTCCTGTCGATTGATGGATTCGAGTGCGCCGGCCATGTTGGCGAGTCAGACATTACCAACTTCATCCTGCTGTCGCGCGCACGACAAACCATGCCCGTCCCCTTTATCGCTTCAGGCGGCTTTGCCGACGGACAAGGCCTAGCGGCTGCGCTCGCTTTGGGCGCTGAAGGTGTCAATATGGGCACGCGCTTCATGTGCACGGTCGAAGCGCCGATTCATCAGAATATCAAGCAAGCGATTGTGGATGCGCAGGAGACGGATACCCAGCTGGTCCTCCGAAGGTGGAAGAATACGACACGGCTCTTCATGAATAAGATTACGGAAGAGGTGTCCAAGATTGAAAAGGAGAGCCCGACGGGCAAGTTTGAGGAAGTTGGCCCGCTCATGAGTGGAAAGCGGGGGAGACAGGTGTTCCAGAATGGTGATCCAAACTTTGGGGTATGTCTTTCGCTTTGACTGTTATGAGACGAAAAACTGACAGGTGCAAAGGTCTGGACTGCTGGTCAAGTCATCGGTCTGATCCAAGATATTCCGACGTGTGAGGAGCTGCTCAGCCGAATGGAGAAGGAGGCGACAGACACCCTTTCACAGATCTCGAAATTGATTGTGGATAAACAGCCTCCGCCAGACATTGCAGGAAAACGCCTCGGAGACAAGAGTGATCCTCGTGATGACGGTGTGAGCGTTGCAAAGGCGAGGCTGTGAGGAATCTTTAATAATGAGAAGGTGGCACTGTGAGATCTAGATCAGATTCATCGATGTTAGCTTGACACCCTCCGATTTATAGAGCATTCTGTCTGTTATTGAATTGCGTTCGTGTTGTTCGCCTTCCTGTGAGCCAGTGCCGAGCAATGTCTCCGTTTCACTCCACTCCACTTTCTGCCGCGGTCCGCGTACCGACGACGCCACATGGAACTCGGTTCTCGTGCTCACCACCTACGGACAATTCGTAATTGCAAGGCCGGGAATTCAAACGTCGGTCATTGTCGTGACTGTAGTGTGGGCGCCTTGACGTCAAGATTCACCATCATCGAGCACCTCTGTCCAGGCTTCGACAACGCTGAATCGCGATGGCGACCGATCCCTCTATCCCACGAAAGCTATGGGAGCATCCCGATCCAAAGAACACGCAAGCCTGGAAGTTTATGGAAGCGGCGAATAAGCGGCATGGATTGCGCATGCAGTCCTGGGATGAACTACAAAGGTAATGGTCCTAAACATGTCTTACGGAAGATGCTAAGAGGATTGTCTAGATGGTCTGTCGACCGCCGCGCCGACTTCTGGGGCCTTCTCTTCGATGAGCACCCCATCATCCATTCCGGAAGCTACGAGCGAGTAGTCGACGAAAGCGCCCGGATGGATTCGATCCCCGTCTGGTTCGACGGCGTCAAGGCGAATTGGGCCGAGAACATGCTCTACTGGCCCGACAAGAAAGATCCCAGCAAAGTGACTACTCACAGGAAAGAAGACCACCGCACTGCGTGTATCGAGGTTCGTGAAGGCTGTACGGAAATTCGACATGTGACCTACAAACAGCTCCGGCAGCAGGTGGGAGAATTGTCGAATGCAATGCGTGCTCGAGGGGTGAAGAAGGGCGATCGCATTGGTTTGGTGGCGAGTAATTCGTTCGACACGTTCACCGTGTTTCTTGCTACGACTGCTCTGGGCGCGATCTTCTCTTCGAGCTCCACTGATATGGGGACCGCCGGAGTGCTGGATCGACTGAGGCAAATCACGCCCAAGTACATTTTCGTCGATGACTGGGCTGTCTACAACGGCAAGACTGTCGATCTACGACCAAAGATGAAGGAACTGGAGGCTGGCATGAAAGGCATCTCTGAATTCAAAGGTCTCATCAGCCTACCCCGATGGCAAGGCAAAGCAGCGGATGTATCGGGGGTGCCACGATGCGAGACGTTTGCCAACCTTCTCCGCGAAGCCAAAGGGGACAAAACCTTGACATTTGAGAGGATTGGTTTCATGGATCCATTCCTGATCGTCTATTCGTCTGGAACCACTGGAATGCCGAAATGCATCACGCACGCGGGCGGCGCAGTCGCATTGAATGCTCAAAAGGAAGGCAATCTCATGCGGAACTATGGGTCCTTTGAGCCCGAAGATCTGTTGACACTACAGTACACCACTACTGGCTGGATCATGTACCTCGCTTCGTGCATTGCCATGATTGCTGGCTGCAGACTCGTCTTCTACGACGGCTCGCCTTTCCAGCCCGATATCAAGACTTTTGTCAAACTCTGGGGCGACCTAAGAGTGTCTAACTTGGGGCTCTCGCCGCGCTACTTCCAGACCCTTGCAACCGCGAAGCCCCCGGTGAACCCGCGGGATGTGACCGACCTGAGCAATCTCCGCGGAGTGACGAGCACGGGCATGGTTTTGTCCGATGTTCAATTCGAGTGGTTCTACGATGAAGCCTTCCCTCCGCATACATTACTCGAGAACATTGCTGGTGGGACGGATCTCGGTGCGTGCTTCACGATGGGCACTATGATGAAGCCGCTATATATGGGCGGCACCATGACCCCGGCCCTTGGGATGAAGATTGAAGTCTACGATCAGACGAGTGAAGGTGGTCGAGGAGTGAAAGGCAAGCCACTACCTTTGGGAGAGCAAGGAGAGCTGGTCTGTACTCGAGGATTCCCCACGCAGCCTGTGCAGTTCTGGGGTGATCCATCCGGCGAGCGATACTTCAAAGCCTACTTTGAGCGCTTCGACAATGTCTGGACACACGGCGACTTCATCTCCATCCACCCCAAGACGGGACAAGTCTTTTTCCACGGTCGAGCAGACGGCGTTCTCAATCCCAGCGGTGTTCGATTCGGCAGCGCCGAGATCTATAACGCTATTGACAATGCCCTCGCGGACGAAATCCAGGATAGCCTATGTGTTGGTCAACGCCGGCCTCAGGACATGGATGAGAGCGTGATGCTGTTCTTGCTGATGAAGCCGGGGAAGAAGTTTACGCAAGATCTGGTGAAGCGGGTAAAGGATGTCATTGCTCGGGACTGTGGGAAGAGGTGTGTGCCAAAATATGTGTTTGAGACTCCTGAGATTCCGGTAAGTGAAGATGTCCGTCCTCGGAGTGGTTGTGTGGTACTGATGTTGACTTTGGCAGACAACGATCAATTTGAAGAAAGTCGAATTGCCCGTCAAACAGATTGTCTCGGGCAAAGTGATCAAGCCGTCGGATACGTTGGCCAACAAAAATTGCCTGGACTATTACTATCAATTTGCCAAAGTGGAGGAGTTGGTGCCGCCGCGAGGCAAGCTGTAGAGCAATCCTACTTTCAATATCGGCCTTCCGCCTTCATGCCTTCGTTAATCTTATCAAACACCAACATTAAACTCCGCAGCGTGGAATCTGTCACCCACGCTTCCTCTTACGTATGTCAACGCCGATCAGAGGCTCCTGCAGTGTGCCGGCGCGTGCTTTATCACCGCGCATGCACTTTTAGCCGCCGGCGCAAACTCACTCCTCACGCCGCAGCGCCAAAGCGCATGCATAAAGCTCAACGCCATCGGCGACGTTGCCTGATGGAACTTCCGGCTTGTCAAGGCCCACACCGACCCCCGCCGCAGCCCTCCTTTCGTAATCGTAGCCGTCTGGTGGGCGCGGTCGACGTGCCGTGCGTCTCTGGTGGAACTTTCTGCTGCAGCATGTGATTGGCATCACTAAACACACGTTCACCGCCTGACATAGCTTTGCGTTAGTTTACAGTAGTCGGTCGCGGAAGGAATCGTCTCCGCACGGTATTTTTTGGTGGTATTCCTCTCGACTCTTTTCCTTCTTTTGTTCCATTGCCGTGTCTTAGCAAGCACATACACATAGAAGGAGAAGAGAGACAAATTGTCAATATGCCTGCACATACCGAGCTCAACAGCAAAGTCGACTTCGACAACGCAATCGGCACCCAGGGCAAATATGTGCTCGTCCACGCATACTCCGGCCAAGTCCTAGACAAGGCGGAAGAGTAAGACAAACTCCATAATTTTTCCCGAGCCCCTTCGAGTATTGACGGTAATGTAGATTCGCCCAGAAATACGCCTCCAACTGCGACTTCTACGCTGTCGACACCGCCAAGGAGCCCAAGACAAAGGTACGGCAGACTCGTGAATTGACTTGGGGAACACAGCTAATGCGAATGGCAGGACTACTTCGGCATCACTCAGACCCCCGCTGCGATGCTCTACAAAGACGGCAAGCAGGTCGTGAAGGTGGAGGGCAAGACCGCCGAGGGAATGGGGAAGATCGCTCAGCTGCTGTCGTAACAGTGGTCGAAGATATTGCACACGGTCTCCGTGGGGGCCACTCTTCTCATGTCAGTCTCGTAATTATACGAGGAGTTGAAGGAGCCGTTACGGCCAGAGTTCTTAAACGTTCTCACTTCTCCCTTGGTGCTGCGAAGTTTGGTCACGTGAGTATCTCAGCGTTCATCTGAAGCCAGCTAAAATATCTGATCACAGCAGTGGCGCAGTCTAGCGCCGGGACTAGCCGCGGCGCACTATTAGATTTTCAAGCTCCGCGTCCACCTTCTCACTTTCTTTCTTCAGTTCACAGACCTGCGCAGATCCGACGATCGCACAAGCACAGTGACATCTCATCAAAAGGCCTTGTCGACGGCCTATGGAATTACGAACGTAGTCCATCTATCAAATCCTCTCCTCGTGACGTGTGCATACCCTCTGATCGCCATGGCGCACAATACCCGAGCTCTTGCTCAGCAGCCTCTTGGCCGTAATGTTAACCCCAACGCTCTCATCGAAGGCAATGAAGGTACCACAGCAGACTTGACCGCAACGCTCGAGGCTGGCTTGACCACCTCGGGGCCCGACTTGCAGCGCATCAACAAGGAGTGGAAAGCCGCCCCTGGTCGAGAGAGGGCGTCGAAGAAGGATCCACAATTCGCGCATCCCGCTCACAAGAATCTCATCGCCGACCCTTCATTCTCTTTCCCCTCGCATGACGTACTCAAAGCCTCCACGCTCACATGTACTTCGCATGATGACTTTGATGACAACAATCTGAACGAAGGTGAGGAAACCACACATTCACGCTCGGCAGAGTATGAGTTGCGCGTACCGGGCCTGCCTTTGCTCGATGGGGAAGTTGAGCTCCGCGATGAGATCAACGAGCTCGCTCAGAAGGCCAACGACACTAAAGCGCTCTCAAACTGGGAAGACTTTGATGTGCCCACTGACGTGGCTGATGCGCTCAGAAGCATCGGTCTCGCAGCACCGTGGCCCTCGCAGAAATTCATCATGGAGTGCACACGTGGTGGAAAGAACTCGGTGGTTGCTAGTGGGCCGTACGGAAGCGGAAAGTCGACGGGTACACTGATCAAAGCGATCGCAGAAGCCGTGAAGGCGAATTTGAAGAGGCGCACCCAAGAGCGTGATCAGAAGGCGGCGCTCTTGCGCAGAGAAGGCGACGTTGAAGGTGCGTCGGCGTTGGCAATCTCAGATTCGCGAGAGGCCCAAGACAGGATTTCCCCCTTCGTTCTCATCATCTGCCCCACCCATCAGTTGGCTTCTCAGATGTCGCACGACATCCGCCGCATCATCAAAGCAGGAAATCTCAAGATCCAGATGGACTGCTACCACGGTGGTGAGGTCTTCCCAGCACGCACGAAGGACACTAAGCTATATGATCCTGTCGACGTTGTCGTTGGTTGTGCCGGCAGAGTCATGGACATGCTGCAGAAGAATAGAACCCTCTCCTTCCAAGCCGTCAAGATCACGATGTTTGATGATGCCAGGGTTCTTTTTGGGCCAACATTAGACGACGATCGCAAAGAGCACATCAACGTCGTTCTTCAGTACATCAACGTGGAATGCGCGAATACTAGTATCAGTCTGATCAATACGACGAAGATGCCTCCGAGTTTGGTCCGTGAAGTGTGTTCCAAGCTTCTCGATTGGCAAGGTCAAGGCGCCGCCGAAGTCGTGTGGTCTGGAGGCGACGATGATGCAACCAATCCCGATCTTCGATTCGTCAACATTGCGGACACCAAAAAGCCAGAGGGCTCGATCATTGGCTCTCGGCGTGTACTTGCCCTGATCGGTCTAATCGTGGAGATCTCTGTCAATTCGTACAACAAAATCGGGACGATGTCTACCCTGATCGGCGTGCGCACTCGACGCATGTGCGAGATTCTCGAGGATGACTTGCTGCGCGGGACACGTACGATGGGACTGGATTTGGAGAGTCGTGTCCGCACAATGCACAGCGAGCTCGGCGCGAAGAACAACGATTACCAGTACAACGCTTTCAATGATGTGGTTGGCAAAGCTCACTTCTTGATCTCCACCCCGGCGTACGCTTCAACAGGCCTCAACTATGCGTGCAACCCCAACGTGATCTGCTTCGACGTCTGTCGTGATCATCCTTCGGGGAGTGCTATGGACACCTGGAAAGCGTTCAAGAGCCGCACTGGTCGCGTCGGCCGCGGTGGCCTCTGCATCACTCTCCTCGATCCAGAGCATCACGAGGATAAGCAGTTCATCGTCAACATCGTGCCCTACCTCCAGCAGCGCAAGAAGACCGTCCCGGAGTTCATGCAAACCGTGTACCAGGAGCATGTGGCCCAGAATCAGCAAGTAGAAACACACCTTGCGCAGGATGGAAGCTACAGTAACTTGGACGAAGAGAACGAAGAAGACGATGGTGCTCGTGACGGAGAGAAGGATGATGCCGAGAAGACGGATGCTGAGATGGGGGACGGCGAGAAGGGTGATGCCGAGAAGGGTGATGCCGAGCAGGTTGAGCAGGTCGATGCTGAGAAGGAGGTCGATGCTGAGAAGGAGGTCGATGCTGAGAAGGTCGATGCCGAGAAGGTCGATGCCGAGAAGAAGGTCGATGCTGAGAAGGAGAAGGAGGTCGATGCTGAGAAGGAGAAGGAGGTCGATGCTGAGAAGGAGAAGGAGGTCGATGCTGAGAAGGAGAAGGAGGTCGATGCCGAGAAGGAGAAGGAGGTCGATGGCGAGAAGGAGAAGGAGGTCGATGCTGAGAAGCAGGTCGATGCTGAGAAGCAGGTCGATGCTGAGAAGCAGGTCGATGCTGAGAAGCAGGTCGATG